TCCTGAATCGTGTGGAATCGTGTTGGTGGTGGTGCAGCAGAAGCAACGAATTCATCGCTAGCCCTGGCTATACCACGCGGTGTTATGGAGGTGGTGTGTAGCTATGAATGTTAGTGTGCTGGAAGTGTGTCTGATGTGGTACCTACATCTTGCCATGGCTACTGCTTGAGAGCAACTTGAGGGAGGTGGATTGAGAGGGCGGCCGCTATGTGAGGATAACTCGATGGCTTTGGTTCAAGGAGGAGCCAGCCGAGGATGAGCTGATTGTGTGGTTGGCTTTGTCTGGATCGGGATGGAGCCATTGAGGGTGTGTCTAGGTGGTGAGACGCAGCGAGGTAGGTAAAGGACAAGGTGAGAGGTGAGGCTTGCAGGGCAGTGCTTGAAGCTGCAGGTCACGTAAGAAGCTCGTGCCTGCCGTAGAGCAGTACAGGTGATATCAACATTGACGGAAGGAAGGTGCGTGCCTGCCAGATCTGGCCCAGACAGCAGGTATGTCACTCTTGCCTACGGCAGAGCGAGTGGAAGCGATGTTGACGTCGAGAGCGGGAGGGCACCAACCTACCAGATCTGGCGCAGACAGCAAATATATTGTGCTTGCCTGCCGTAGAGTGACTGGAAGTGTCGTTGACGTCGGCATTAGCAGTGGGAAGGCGGCTACCCGCAGCGCCGGATATGGGGCAAGGCAGCAAATACATCGCTCTCGCATGCTACAGAGTGGGTACAAGCGACGTCGACGTCGAGAGCGGGAGGGCACCTACCTACCGGATACGGGTTCAGACAGCAAATACATGGCATTTAGCTACTGCAAAATAAGTGGAAGTGACGCGGACCAGTGTCTACGGCGGAAAGGGGCACGATACTGGCTCGGGCCGGAAAAGCTTAAGTTGACGCAACCCAAGGTTCTCATTCATTCAACGCGTTTCGACCTATGATGATCTACGGGAGATCCGACATCGCGAAGGCCTTCGTCTTTCCCTCGAGTGCATCCATGAAGACCACCTGAATCGCCTCCATACACTCCAACAGTTTCTCCTTGGTCGCAGGTGGGTTCTCGCGGAGACTAGCCCGGCAAACTCGTGCAAGCTCGCCATTTGCAACACCACAGATCTTCGCATCCAAACGAACAGTTCCATCAAAGTCAGACTGATTGACCTGGTGCAGCAGCATCGGAGCTGTGTAGAGTGGCGCGAAGGCAGGGTCTTGAAAGCCCATAGCCGTACGTAGTGAGTTTGGGTAGGTCGAGAGTTCGCCGCTCATTGTCCAGAGCCCTGCTTCTCGCATTGCCTTCGAGACTGCTGTGATCTCGTTGTTGATAGCGTCGAACTGGGGAAAGGTATCAGCAGATGATGAGCAGAGAGAGGGACGACTTACCACTTTCTCCATGACTTTACTGCGGAAGCAGTTATCCATGTCACTGTAGTCTTCAGGACGGACGGGTGGCATGTATCTCCAGAAGCGACGGTTGACCTCTGCTATGGTGGCTCGATCTGGTCCAGTCTGACGATGCCACTTGTTCGCATTCGCAAGGTGATGGAGGATCATGGCCTTGACTTTGGTGTTTAGCGTCACTTTGGGAACTTTGGCTTTCTCAACCTTCAGGACTGCATCAGGCATTCCGCGACCAGCGGCAGGGCTCGGAGGAAATATGAACTCCCAGTACTCATCGTTTTGTCGCAAGCGCGGATGTGGATTGTTGACAGTCCCAACGAAGTTGTCGTCAGTCCCCGACATGATGGTGTACGAGCGCGAAGTCGAGCGAAGGTGAGTGGTTTGGTCCTTGAAGAGGAGGCTTACTTGAGAAAGAGTACCCAAGACGTTTGCGTTTGCGCCAAGACCAAAGGCAGTGACAAATGCCAAGGCTTGTTATTCAATACATGTGAATCGTCCGCGCACGCATTTTCAAATTATCCCCCCCTTCTACATACGACACACGATCGACGTCCTTACGCGACTGCCCGGCATTATGGCGTCAAAGCGTGTTACCCTGCCCTTCAAGCTCTTCAGTAAGTGCGCTGACCTGAAAGCGAAGAGCCCGAAGTTCGACTGGCCTCGAAGCGAGACCACTGAGGCGCAGGACTTCATCAAACAACATGCCCTGTCAGCTGATGACTACGAATCAATGCGAAGCTGGGTAAGTCTTCATGTACTCCGCATGCTACAAATAACACTCACGATCCTGTCTATAGATCTGGCAATCATTGAGCAACAAGGAGCTTGGAGGTATGCTCAATCCGAATACCGGTCCAAACACACCAGGCCCCGTTCGCCAGGAGACTCCCACTGAATCGCCATCCAAGACCACAGTCAGAACTAAGCGTTTTGCCACACCATTCACAGAAGAAGAGGAGGAGACTCCAGTTGTGAAGCGTGTGAGGGCTGACAAGAACATGGCTGAGATTGATATTACACAGCTCGACGACGATGAAGTCGAAGACACTCTCGAGAGAACGACAACTCTATCCACACTACTACACTTCGAATCAATGATTGTCACCGCTGCAGCAGCAGTGGGTGTCGAGGCTCCGTACTCCTGTCCAGAGAAGGATGCTACCTCCGTCGCCACGATCAAGCGCATTGCCACACTCAAGAAATTGTTCGATAGCAAGGTGCCCGGGTTGAGCAAGGAGTACAAGGAGATGTTGAAAGCTAAGGGTGGCGTGCATAGCAAGGTGGCTTTCGGCAATTCAAGCAAGGGAAGATCTATGAAGTTATTGCAGGAACATGTTGATGGTGTCATGAAGGAGAAGAAAATCCTCTGGGCAGCAGAAGAGATTGAGGACGAGGATCTTTTCGCGGAAGATTTCGAAGCGAGTCAGAACGCCGCTGTTGAAGCAGAGCAGGCTGGACATAACGAAGACCCCGCAGAAGTCGAAGGCCAGGAGGAGATCTCGTAAATGAACGCGACATAGCAGGTCATGTGCCTGCCACGCTACAGTATGACAACGTCCTGCACCATCGATCTCGGGCACCTTTCAACGAAGAAATCATTTGGTCCACGTGCGTCGAATTCAGCTCCATCAAAATGCCGTGGCGTGCCTCAAATACGACAGTGTCACCGCTGTCAGAGGCTCTTAGACTGAACGTAAATGCTGCTGTCAAGGCCCTCAATTCATCATCCTTGCTGAGGACCTCGTTCAAACGAACGTGCTCGCGCTGGAGCCTCTGCAGGGCGGACTCTGGCATTTCTAGACTCAGTAAGACTGGACTTTAGTTAGAATGGGAAGTTGACGCAAAGCAATGTCGACTCTGTTGTGCTCGGCCGTTGGAGGCCCTTTTAATGCAGGGTCAAAATTATTCACGCCTTGTTATATGACCTGACGCTGCTGGGTGCGTAAGTGCAAAGGACCGAGGATATATATGTCGTTTCTCCATCTGTGGAAGGGCAAGTAGAACTAAATGCTCAGAGTAGTCCAATCGCGAACGGCGGCAACCGTAATCGGGCGCTCTGTCATGTCGACTCAGGAGGCAGGTGTCTAAGAAGCTTTGGCAAGAGCGGTTTCGTCGCAAATGCCTTTGGCGTTCCTACTCATGAGTCGACGTAACAGGTCATCCGGTCTCAAGTAACGGCCCTGATTTGTCATCCGGTCTCAGGTAGCGACCTGACCGGCCCTGTCATCCGGCTTCACAAAACGACTGGACGTTGCTAGCATGGAGTCATCCGGTCTCGCTCATACGCCAGACAAAATTAATGGCCTGTGTACACCGTGGCTGATCATCCTACGCTGCAAAAGTCTCCAAAGGTATCTGTCCTTCGTACTAGTACGTCTAGAATAGCCGCCATGAGCCTCTTTCATATGAATACATACAGTCAAAGATGTATCATGCATCATGGCACACCGATCAGTCAACCTCACCAGCAGCACCAATCCGCTCCTCCACACCCTCCAGCGGCTTCCGACCCTTCGTGCTCTTCCTACCTCCAGGAGCAGCGGAAGCACCGCCAGTCCTGCTTGCGCCAGTCTGCTCGCGCTGCTTGCGTTGAGGCTGGGCCTGTTGGCGCTTTTTCTTGGCGGGTGCGACGACGTCTCGGACGACTGCGGCAGCCATGGCGACATTCCGATTTGTAGCGGCGGAGGGTGTTTCGCGTAGCCGTTCCTGCTCCGGCGATAGTCGATGTTGCTCGACTGTCTCTGGAGGATGATCCGTCTCAATGGACTCAATAGGCTGATCGGCTTCGTTCTGCTCTTGATCTTCTTCTACTCCATCTTCGTCCTCAGGGTGATCGCCTGCGTTCTTGGCTTTGGCATAGTCTGCATTCATCTTCGCCTCCATCGCTGACAGCTCTTCTTCCAATGCTTTCGGGTCGACAAAGGTTGATGTGTCTTCGCCGGTCAACGTAGCATATCCAGCCAAGTCCAACTGTTCGCGGCCCGATAGTGCTGCTTTCACTTTCCCAAAGTCAAGTCTTTCCTCCCTGACGTACTTCGCTTTGACCTGCCTCCTGGTCCAGTCGCCACCCAGAAAGCGCGCCACCATCTCAAAGTCAGTCCCAAACGTCCGTAGCCCTTGCCAGAACTTCTGATCTAGCTCATCATTCCACTTCGTGCGTGTTTGTAAGCCCGCTTTCTTCCCAATACGATTCTGATTGACGTAGTTGTAGATGCGCTCATCAGTCTGAATTTCTGACTCGTCGACTTGGGCTATGCGCTCTGCAATATTGTCGTTGAAGTCGATTTGGCGGGTCGACTCGACCACTTGAATTATGCCGTTTGCCATAACGAACTCGGGCACTGCCGCAGCCGCAGTAATGAGCTCCTCGCCTTCTGCTGTAGCTGCTCCAGCGCCACCAGCACGCGCGGCTTTGCGTTCGGCGGCCTTCAACTTTGCTTTGGTGCGGTTGGCTTCGAGTTTGGCGTCCCAGCGAGACTTGATGTCGGACCATTCGGCATCGAGGCGCTTACCAGTCTCGGAACGTTTACCAAGCCCGCTGTCATTGATCAAATCAAACATAGAGGTCGTGGTTGGGTCGATGCGATGGGTTTCAGCATCTTCTGGGTTTGTATCGAGGCGAGGCTTGCGCTTCTTCTTGCCTCGGATAGCGGAGGCGACTATTTGGGCAGCCACGTTTTGGACAGCTCCAGGAGCAGATTGATCAGTGTTATTTGTTGTGTTCGCAGAAGGAGTGGCGCGATTGGAGGCCACTGAGTCTAAGCCGGTCGGACGAGGCGTTGTTGATTGCGCCAGGAGTTCAGAGATTCCACGGGTGGCAGAGGTCACGGACTGGAATTGCTGCACCAAGTCGTCGGTATTCAGACTGACATGAATGCTAGGCGTGGAAACGGGCTGTTCTGTTCGTGCGCCATTCTGACTTGGCCGATCAACCGGAGGCTCAAGCGGAGGCTCGGGCTGCTTTGATGTGGTGGCAGCCGTTTTCCGTCGTTTTGGCGGTGGCTCAGCAGTGTCTGATGGTTTGACTAGCGGTTCCTGTGCTCGCCGGTGGTCCACCGGTTCTTGTACAATTGTAGCAGCTGAGGACCTGCGACTTCTTCGCGTTGAGTTTGAGCCCACCTGCAATGTCGCAACAGTAGGCACAGCATCTGCGCTTCTCTGCACGGGTCGCGTGATTGCTTCCTCCGGGATCTCGGGCACTGGTTCGGGCGACGGAGACCTCGCAACCACCTCTTCATAATCACCGTTCGCGGTTGGTGGCGGGGTTAGTATCGAGGTGGATGCATCGTGGGTGGGCTGCGTGTCGTCTACCCTCTGATCACTGGTTGAAGCAGGTGTTGCTGCAGGCTGCGTCTGACTCTCCGGCGTGAGGACTCCCGCGACGGCATTGTCTTTTTGCGCTCTGCGCTGGATGTTTCTTCTGGGTGCAGCTCTGGGCGCAATCTTCTGACCAGGTTTGCGGACGACGGAACTGAAGGACGACATGATTGCGTGTCAAGGTGCTCTGTTGCACGGAAGTCTTTTTCCCATCTTCGATTACTCACTCCGGATAGTCCGAAACGCAGCAATCCCTCAGATGCGATATATCTGCGTGTATTGGTGACAGTGACTAACTGCTACCATGCACTGCACATCAGCCAACGATTTTAGGTGGGGCGACTCGATGTCGAAAGCTACTAGTCTAATTTGGGCGTAGCGTATTTGCGGCAGAGTCCAATTCGTCTCAATCTTCAAGTTCTTCTCTTCGCTCGCCTTGATTCATAACCTCTGCTTTCAGCGTCTTCATTTCATCGACTTGTACAATAGCACCATCGCAGTTCCTTTATCGACCGTGGCGCTCATCAAGCGTCCATCAGCCACTCCTTTCTTCCTCCCAATACCCCTAAAACTTCGATCTGATGACGGCCGTAGACCAAGCACCCCTTTCCCTTGCCCAGCCAGCCCTCATCAAGATGGAGGATCGCAAGCGATCCATGCCTTATGATCAAGGCGATGGCCCTGCTACCAAGAAACAAGCGCTGGCACCCAACGGTGTCGGCAAGCCACATCCAGATACTGATATGCCCTGGAAGGATGATCTCGAGGTATGTCCAAGCACGCGACCTGCCTGCGATACCAGATATACTGACCTGCAATACAGCGCTTCACGAAGGATGCCATCTTACGGCAGATGAATGAATACAAAAGAGAAAAGAATACCCTCAAATCAGAATTGGATGAGATACGGAAAAAGACCCGCCACCATGATGACCATATCAGAGCCATTGACGCTTGGTTCAAGCAGCTGCTTGATGAAGTCAAGACCATGAGCCCCGGCGATGATGACGAAGATATGGAACTGTCGACTCTTCCGACCTCGTTACTGTTCGAGGATCAGCCACATCTGGAACAACACATAACAAAACGCACCAAAGAAGTTCGCACAATACTCGGCAAACTTCTATCTCGGTCAAAGAACTTCACGCCTGACGTCGTTGAGCTACAGAAACGCATATCAGAACTTCAAGCTGAGGAAAAGAGCCATCTCCTCGAGCTGGAGACTTTGCGCGCAGAAGTTGCCAATATAGAATTGCGGCTAGAAACTGCCACAGAGCGATATGTTGTTGCCGAGAAAAAGGTCGAGCGCGCCAAGAGCGTCACCGTCGCTAAGCTAGAGAAGCAGCTAAAGGGCGGCATGAAGGGCTCCGATGACGGTGTGAAGAAAGAGGAGCTGAAAAATGGCGTTGGTGAGACTGGCGAGGACTATACACGCCTCGAGACCGAGCACAACAAAGTTCTTGCAGCTTCTGAAGTCTTGAAGGAACAGGTCGAGAAATTGCAAGAAGAGACCACCAAGTTGCAATCCGAAGTCACTGCAGCAAACGCCAAGTCAGCAACTCTGTCCGACGAGGACTACTCAAAAACGGACCTCTTCAAGCAATTCAAAGCGCAACACGAAGATGTCATCAAGAAGCTCAACGATTTGGACGCCCGATGCACCCAACTGAAAGATGAAAACAGGATGCTATTGCAGGAGCGAACCAGCTATCAAAACAAACTGGACGACGAGACTCGAGCCACAGTTGCCGAAAAAGATACTCAGCTTGGCCAGGTGGAGAAGGATCTGGTACGTATCAGAGCCGAGCGCGATGACTTACAAGCCAAGTTGAGCATGGAAAAGTCGAAGAATGAGGAGAAATTAGAAGCTGTCTTCAAGGTTAGGGAACTTTGCGAAGCTCAGGAAGAGCGCATCAAATCGCTCGAATCCGAAACACAACGACTTCAAGGAACCTCGGCAATGGACGTTGATGATGCTCAGCTCGAAGGACTCGGCCCGGACGAGATTCGCACAAAGTATCAAAGCTTGAACCAGAACTACAAGATGTTGAGCAGTGAGTTGACTTCAATGTCGGCAGCATATCAGAAAGCATCCAAGCACGCCAAGCAGAACACTTTGAAGGCCGGAGAGCAGGAAGACAAGGTCCAACGATTGGTCGCAGAGAAGGCCAAGGCGGATCAGAAGTATTTCGCGGCAATGAGAAGCAAGGACGCCCGAGAACAAGAGATTCGAACCCTCAAACTGCAAACATCAAAATCCTCGGATATTGCACTACAGTTGAAAGAGGCAGAGACGGCGTCCAAAGCACTAATCGCAAATCTGGAGAAGCAGCTCTCCGACATGAAGGAGGCCCACTCAAGCAAGACATCCGACTGCCGCGCGCTGCAGAACGAGAAAGATAGCAATGCACTTGAGCTGAGCCGCCTCAAGAAGCAGATTACCGATTTGACCCAGCAACTAACGGCAAAAGATGCCGAAATATCCGGCAAGTCAGCTGCAACTCGCACAGCAGAGGTCGAGGTCAAACAACTACAGTCAGTTCTGGATTCAACGCGCAAGGATCTGGAGAAGTGGAAGAGCCGATCTGGACAGTCCGATGTGGTAGACGACCTCCACTCAATCGTCTTCTGCCATTGCAAGAAGAACATGAAGGACACAGTGCTCAAGACCTGCGGCCATGTCATGTGCTCCAGCTGCGTGGAGGAGCGTGTGGCAAGCAGAAGTCGCAAGTGCCCTTTGTGCAGCAAGAGCTTTGGCAGCAACGATTACATGCGTGTGACGCTGTGAGCGAACAGCCCTAGCGTGCAATTCTGGTCCAGCGGACGGCGCGGGGCAAACCGTGCGCTCGACGGGAGATTGTGCTGTGGGCAGAATGCGCCAGATCTTCAGAAAAGTACTTCGCAATCATCAGCAGCACAAATCGTCTTGGAAATCCGACGCATATTATCCTGCAAACATCGATCCGTGCCAGACTCGCTCAGGATAGGCGACTCGCACGATGCTTGTCATGATGCGGGCATCAGAATGGCGGGCGAGACCGGATCGGCAAGAGAAAGCCATGAGAAATGCAGGAATCGTCACCAAAGCCTCGATAGTCTGCAGCTCAGATGCTGACAATGAGAACATATTTAGTAATTCTCAAACCATGCCTGCCACTTTTGTCCATTTGCGGAAGTGCTTCGTGTCCGCAAAAGTGCTGCACAACTGCAAGAGCTACCACCGAAGATGAACCGGTCGACACACGACACAGTGCACTTGGCCTTCAGTGAGACCCGATAGGGATTTCAGCGAAGCAGTCGCTGCCTTCAATCCGTATGTGTTGCGGTTGCTTCTGATTTAGACCATCGAAATCTCCATATCCTGGCGAAGTCACGCGGAGTGACAAAACGATCTGTACTCACGTCTGGGCAATAAACGGAGTATAGCCAAAGCTCTTGCCTTCGCTCTGCTCTATGTTCTCCCGCGCCCAAGAGCCCCTCCGGCTCGCAACATATAGCAATGCCCGAGCTTCCTCTCCCGTCCTTTCCTGCACCTTATTCAGCCCTCGTCCATCATAACCACATCTTCCCCTCCACCACCAGCATTCCCCTTGCCTTCCTTCTCAATACCCCCCTCCTCTTCCACCGCATCGCCGCCCTCCTCACCATCTCCATCCTCTTCATGATCGTCCTCCTCATCCCCCTCCCCATCACCCCACCCCGCCACAGCAGGATAATGCAACCACTTCCAATCCTCAATCTCCTCGATCACGCTCTTCAGCCGCTCCCGGATACTCTCCACTGCATAGCTGCCCAACAGCAGCCTCAGTGGCGGGTAGCTGCAATGGCCCAGTTGCCAGACCAGTTCGCTCGCTTTCAGCACGCTGGTGGGTTGGTTCGTGCCGCCGTACCATTGGACTAGGCGCTGGGCGTGTTTGGAGGGGGAGTCGGGGGTGGCGTAGGGTGGCGAGGGTTTTAGGATTAGGAAGTGCGTGTATGGTGGGAGGGACGGTGGTGGGGGCGTCGCTGTGGAGGAAGGGTTGGATGTTGTGCTTAGTTGGTGTTTGAGCGGTGAAGGTCGTTTCGTTTGCTGCTGCTGCTGTTTCTGTCCCTTTCCTGTCATAGTGGTTGTAGTGGGTGGTGGACTGCCTCCAGCGGCAACGTCGTCTCGTCGCACGTGTCCGGGCTCGACCAGTGTAACGCGCACGCCGAAGCCATCGACTTCATAGAGCATGCTTTCGATTAGTCCCTCCACAGCGTACTTGGTCGCACAGTACGGCGCTAGTCCCGGCACGCCCTGTGCGCCACTCGTCGACGAGAAGATGATATACCGCCCCTCGCCCCGCTCGCGAAAATACGGCAGGGACAGCTGGATGATGTTCAGCGTCCCCATGAAGTTCGTCTCGAACTGGTTCCGGATCTCATGCTCGTCTTGATCCTCAAAGGCGCCAATCACGCCATAGCCGGAGCAGTTGGCGATGATGTCGATGGTCGCGAAGTGGTCCAGACATGTGGAGATGGCGGTGGCGACGGTGTTGCGTAGCCGGACGTCGCACAGCAATGGTAAGAAGCGGGAGCGCTGGTCTGTGGAAGTGGGGTCAGGGAGGAGGTTGAGCATAGAGGCCAGAGTGGTTTTGTAGGTTTGGCCGACGGCGCAGACTAGGTCGCCGTGGGTCAGGGCGGAGCGAACGATGGACTGGCCGATGTGGCCTGTGGCGCCGAAGATGAGCCATGTCTTCTGGATAGGAGGGTTGGTGTCGCTGGGAGGGTCTGTGGTGGCAGGGAGAGAAAGTTTTGGGAATTGGTTCTGGTCACTGGTCGAAGTTGTTGCCGAGTCTGGCATGGCGATCGGCCCCAATGGCACGTGTTGCCTTATCTTATGCAGTATGAGGCAACAAGCGCTGTTTGGTGGTGTGATGCCAGCCTGTGGAGTGCTTGATGAAACACTGCTGCTGTTGTGATCGCGGGTGTTGAAATCGGGAATTGAAGCTCATGTCGGCAGATCCTTAGTTGGTTGGTGGGCATACCTCGCTAGCTGGGCGTTGCACGGGCACAACATTCGTTCTGGTGGAGTTCAAGTTGCTGCTCCTTCGAGCCCGGTTCATGAGGATGTACGCCCGCACGTCTGCTTACGGCTCTCACTGATGAACCGCTTGGTTGGAGTTCTGCCCTATAAGAAAAGCTTGTCTCATGCTGAAAGAGGTACTCCTTGTGGAATGCTTCTCGAACAATCAGGTCTATGCGTAGTAGGATCGTTCAAGCCTCCACTGTGCGGCGGCTCTGGTCACATTTGCAACAGCCTACCTTGGTCGTTGAGCTGACCTGACGGCTAAAGAACCCGATTGCCCAGTCAAACAATATTCGAAGGTAAGCACTGTCGATCGACGTGGTGGGCCTAGAACTTACACCCCGAGTAAACGGTTCATCAAAAACCGGGGCAAAGGCACAGTGTGACGCCATTGCGGGCGGTGATTTGCTAGACTGTCAGCCAAAAAAGTTCTCTCAGGTTGCGCCATCGCATCTACATATATGGCCTTACATATACTAATATATAATACCTTCCTGTCCGTTTCCTGACCCTTTCAACCATACTAGCAAAGTCCCTTCGGATACGAGAGCCCGCGCTATACTCCCTGGCCTCAAAGGAACAAGTTTGACTCCGTCCCATCCCACCACTCGCCCACCCACCACCATGAAAGCCTACTGGTACGACAACGAAGAAGGCGACCAACGCCTCCCCCACGACTCCCACAAGCCCGTCGACCCCTCCTACCTTCGCTCCCTCGGCGTCCTCTACTCCGCCCACCCCACCACCTCTACAGTCGACACCCTCGCCTCCGAGCGCAATTACACCTCGCGCGACGAAATCACCGTCTCCCCGCAGGCCATGGGCGACATCTACGAGTCCAAAGTCAAAATGTTCTTTGACGAGCACCTGCACGAGGACGAAGAGATCCGGTATATCCGCGACGGGGCGGGGTATTTTGATGTTAGGTCAGAAGGGGACGACTGGGTGAGGATCCGGCTGGAGAAGGATGATTTGATTATCCTGCCGGCGGGGATCTATCATCGTTTTACGACCGATGAGGGGAATTATATCAAGGCGATGAGGCTTTTTAAGGATGTGAGTTACATTCATTGCGGTGGACTGAAGGCCGCGCTCTTCCGGGAATGCGGAACGCTGACTTTTGCTGGCTAGGAGCCGAAATGGACACCCTTGAACCGTGGTGATGCGACGGACATCAATCCTCATCGCAAGGCGTACCTCGAGGAGAGGAACGGTGGGAAGTAGACATTTTCGTGGTACAATCTAGCCGTGCCCAGGACTTCGAAACCTGACCGTCTGGGCTTGGGTATAAATGAGTGAATCGGAGCGAGCACGTTGACTACGAAAACGAAATCGGTCCTTATTTATTCGACTATGTTCGGGTGGCCCCCGGCCGGATCTGTCAGCGATTTCACATCAGTTGGCCGAGACCATGATGCCGAACTTTGGACAGATTTGTGCAAGGTTAGGATTGAAGATTGTACGACCAATAATGATGAAAAGTTGTGACTTCATTTGCTGACTGTTGTCTCCCTGTCCAACACTTGGGATTCCATTTATGGGCACCCAAAGAGGCATCTGTCCGTAGCCACCGAGATATCTCTCGTGAAGGTTCGCTTCCTGCCCCTTATGTTGGACAGCTCGCCTTTTCTTTCGTGCCAGCCAGAACGCAATGTGGTCTGGGCGTGCCGGCGTGCTTCGCCGGCATCAATAGCAACCACTGACTCCGAGCGAGGCTCTGTTCCAGACGGCTAAGTGTTGATGTTGTCGATATCATTCGAATTCCTGATCAGGCTTCCCGGTCTCCTGCTCGGCATCGCCCCCAGTATGTACGTCAATGACCTGAGGGCCCGAGCTCCCTGACTCCTGTTCGTCCCGTGGCTGATAGCCGGGTGCTGGGAACTCCCACGGTGCCCGAGTGACTTGCTCCATAGCAAATTCCACTGGTGTAGTCTCGAGAGCTGGGATTTGGCCGATGGGAGTAGGTGGTGATGCTCGATCGTGGAGCTCCGGGTAGTCGAGCCTCGGTTTCCCGTCCTTGTCACAGGTGTCGCACGCACACGGTTTAAATAATGGGATCAGAAGCCACCTGCAGGCGGTGTTGCCCATGGCTAGGTGATATTGATAGTTGTGTATCCTGTGACTGGATGCTGAGTAGCTGGGTTGAAGTTGAGAGATAACCGTTCGTACGCTGTATTCGTGTATGTCGAGAAATCTGCAAGTCGATTCAGTCAGCCCCAGAGAGCTTCAGCAGCATAGTCTTTGAAAACAAACGCATTAAGCAACCTGGCTCCGGCCTGGGCCAGATCGTTAGCTGAACTTCGCGTGATGATTCCACTTCGTTCTCAGGGTGTTGGGGCTTTGATAGCGATTTCCCCCTTTAGGAACCAAAGCTGTCGAGTTGTGATTGTACGGAAGGGCCAGCTGAGGCAGGTAGAGGCACTAACGGAACTTCTCTCGCGTGAGGTTGGAGAGATGTAGAGAGAGAGCGATGGTCTCTGGAGTACTCACTTCGAGCTGACCTGACCTGTCGTCAGCTCTGGCAGCCTTGAAGCATCGTGAGAAAGCCAGTCTCTTACTTCTCATCCCGGTTCACGCCTTGGAGCGCTTCCGAACATGTCGACCATAGCACTGTGGCAGCAGACTCGCAACCCCTTCATTTCAACGGCCGAATTCTTGGCGATAGGTTCTGCACGCAGCACTCCAGCAGAGTTGGCATCTTTTGTAGCGATCAAGTGGCTCCTAATGCTCTCCCGTACGCAGAGCGCAATTCTGGTCTCCTTAGACGCCTCGATTGGTGTCACCATCCTTAGTCTGCTATATTCTGAGCATAGAGCCAATACTCAGCCCGGCAGACCACCAGGCATAATCTGCGGCCCAGGCCCATCTTCATCTCCAGAGATGACCTGACTATTCGACCTCACCTTCACCGGCCGCAACGAAGGGCTGGTGTGCATGATTGAGCCTTGAAGCTGTCCGGTAGCCGCACCACCTCTTCTTCTCAGACCCTCGTAGATCATGGTCTCGGCCTCGTCCTGCGTGGGGAAGCTGTCCAGCCTGCTCCTCCGACGCTCTTTCATCCCTGTGCTGCCCTGACCAGACGAGCTCGCTGGCCTATCGCCTGAGTTTGATGTGTTTGCATCGTCCTCGTGCCCCTCGCGAACCCTCACTTTCCCAATGCGTGGCCAGATGCCCGGTAGTGGTACGACTTGTACTCGGGGCTCGACAACGCGTTCTTCGAACCATGCCTGTGCTCGAGACTCCACTAGCTGGGCTATCTTTGGGATGTCCTGTAGTCGAGACCGGGAGCCGATCAGCGATCGGACGGATAGGTCGAGCCGATAGTCTGGTAGGAATGAGAATGCCAGGTTGGTCTTGGGCTTGCCTGTAGGCTGTGTTGGATGTTCTGGATCCTTCAATAATGCTTCTTCTGTGGCTGGGACGAAGCTAATGGACAGAGTTCCGGAGAAGCGGACGACAGACACTGAGAGTGCGACTGGGAGCATCGCACTCAATGCTTTGGGATAGTTTAGCAGCAAAGACGTCTCAATGGCAAGCGTCAGATTGTCATCCGAGACATCGACGTCAACAAGTGCCTGCAGACGGCCACCTTGTGGATCTGACGCCGAGGGAGGCGAGGATATGATTCGTACATTGCTGAAGATGGGATACTCCTCGCCCATGGATATCTCTGTGATCTTGATTGATGATATGTAGGAAGGACGCTTCGTAGGGTCATTCAGGGAGGCTTCGAGCGAAGACAGCACGGTGGGAGTGCCATTCGGATTGAACAGTGACGAAGCTGTGACACGATACTGTGCGATTGTTTGGGCAATGAGCACATTGAACCAGTCCAGCGACTCAGGCTGATGGGTGCTGTGAGCATCGGATGGACGTGGGGAGTAGTATGTCTTGCGCAGGATCGAGTGCGGACTTGTTGCTGTGGCTGCAGCTGGACGTAGTATGTGTGAAGCAGTCTTTTGATTCAACGATAGCTGTGGTGACTTGGAGCTGGCGTCACTGTGTAACGAAGGTGTCCGCTGATGGCTTGCATGCTTGGAGGTATGGACTGTGGCCGGTGCGTTGGATGAGTGTGGTGAAGGTGTCTGCGGGGCAAATATGAAAAACTTGATGAAGGCACCGATCAGTAGGACAATAGTGAGCTGTCCAAGGAAGAAGCCCTGAGTGAAAGTGAGTGTAGACGCCATGTCGCGACGAGTGCTAACACGAGCGCCGGCAGCGATGGCGAGTAATCAACATGGCCATATCACCAACCATCACCGTAAGTCAGCCATTGGCAGCTCGACTGCCGGCGACACAAGCATCAGGTGAATATGAAACGCTGTGCTGTGTCCCGAACTTCTTTCACTCAAAACCGCACTCTGAGCTGCAAGGACGCATGTCGGCATCGAAATTTCGGTGCAGCGGGCCCTGTCCAACTCAAGCATTCGCTGCAGATCCCACCCGTGGACGCCAGCGTCATCGCGGGGTGGGTGATCGGGGCTTCCATCATCCTTCCAGAAGGTCGCTTGTGCAAGCCCAAGCACTGCAGGCAAGCGGAGTGCTTCTATCGTCAGACACGATCGTACCTGCGCTCCACAGACTATGCAGGTAGTGCATGTCACACCATCAAAGGGCTTCAGTACGCATGCTTGAGACCACGGTGAGTGCTACTGTCTGCCGTGATGAAAGACGGCATCAAATGTACTATGACAAGTATCTCAGCGAGGAGCGCCTTAGGTATTGATGGCGTTCAGGCGTGCTGCCCCACTAAGCGAGTACGCTGCCAGTATGCGGCGACCTTCTCAAGCCTGAGCTGGACACGAGCCGCGCGAACAAAGTAATCGAGCGCTTCCATTCAAGAGTTAGCATACCTTGACCTTGTCTAATCCGACATCCTCTTCAACGTATATCGACAGACCTCATGATGGACTTCCTCCAGAGCCTGAGCCTCCCACCTACACTGTACCTTCTAGCATACTCCTTCCCCGCCATACTCATCGGTATCGCCTTCACCTGTTTCACCAGCCCAGATGACGCAGCCGAGATAATGGGCTTCGAGATCACGGAAAAGAGCCGGCCATATCCCTTGTGGTACACATTCGGGATGCGAGAGCTCACAATTGGAATCTCAATATGGATCATGATGGCCTGCGATCAGTGGAAAGCCGCGACGATCACTATGGGATGTCATGGCTTAAGCGGCCTAGGCGACTTCTATATCGATGGAACATGGGGCCAAGGTTGGAGTCACGCGTTCTGGAAACATGGTTTGCCAACAATTATAGGAAGTTGGGTGGTTTGGCAGCTTGCTCATGAGCAGCAATGGTAGAGCTTTATTTCTCGAGCCAGGGAGGGCGCTGTGTGCATACATGCCGCAAATTACCAACTTGGATCGGTTTTCGATGGCCTTCAGAAGAGCTTCGCTCGGGCATCAGCTGTTGGGAGCGATGCACCGTGAGTTTTCGCGCCAGGGAGGGCGCTGTCGAGGTATTTCCTCGAATTGTACGCAAAAGCCTGCAGGCAATGGACGCGTGATTTCACATGGGAAAGCTGGGTTTCATGGAGTACCTCTGTTTGAGCAGCCTCAGCATCTATGAATACACCTAGAGGCCAGAGGCCAGCCCTCGAGGATTGTCGAGTGGTCTGAAAAGTCTGACTGCCACTCGCAGCCTAAGAATATGACGTCTGGTTCCGCCTAACACCATGCATTCATGAAGTCCTTGATGAGACAGCTCCTCTGATGGGCGCCTTCGCCGTTTTTCGGTCTTAGAACTCCATTGCAATCGCCCGTATGTACATGCGCCGATAATGATGCTTTCGTTTCCGTAAGAATGCCGCCCTCATGGGTAGTAACAATAGAGTGAGAATCGAAAGGTGTCGAGCGTTCAACTAGAACGTTCTGAACAGTCACCTGAGCTGTCAGCAGCACTCAGCGAAGCTGGTGTGAATCGCAATCTGGTGTCTCCTCCTCGATGCACGGAGTGGTTGTACCACTCTTCTGTTTTGCAGGTCGATTCAAGATTCCTGCAATCAGCCCTCCACTGTCGTAGTTACCGCTTGACGTAGACAAATTGCTAGTAGTACGCGTCAGGGGTTGTCCGCCGAGGCCATTGATACTGCCAATGGTACTGCTTGTATTGGTCCGGCCAGAGATCGACAGACTCTTGATGGAAGGTTCGGGAGTCCTACTAGGAGTTCGAGCTGGCGGACTACCATTCGGTGGAGAGGGACTTGACTCTGGCTGTGGGGTGACAGTCATCGAACGTGGACGGCTGACAGCGAATTGCTCAATTAGGTCGCGCGATTCCTTCTCGTCGTGTGCGGGATCAGGCATGGCGAACTCGGTCTTCGTCAGGAAAGGATGATCGAGCAACTGCTTAGCAGTCCATCGCTCCTCTGGAAGCCAGCAGATCATCTTCTTCGCAAAGTCGATGAACAGCTCCTTCTCTTCGCCTTTCAGGTTGCGCACAGTGTTCTCAAACGAGATGTGCTTCTTGATGAGTTCTGGCTTCCGAAATTCGCCTTGATCGTTGAAGTAAGTTGCGGCCGTAGAACCACGCTCCAAGAGCTCTTTGGGTGGAGGACCCAGAAGGCCAATCATGACGCCGAGGTGGGTACCAGATTGATATCTTCCAGGTTCAGTCGGAATGCAGTCAAAGAGACCCTCTTCTTCAACCAGATCCCAGAGCATAACACCGAGGTTCCAGATGTCTGCAGGGTAAGTCCATCCGGCTGTGAGGATGACTTCGGGACATGTGAAGGCATTGGACTGGATCGACTTATTGTTTTCTTCGGCACCCCACTCGGCAAGACCGATGTCTGTGATCTTAGCACTCTTTATGATCTCGTCGCTCACGGTTCCGTCCCCAAATTGGCTAGAGGATTTGTAGATGACTCGACCGTGGTGGTCCGGCATTTTGCGTGGTAGTGGGTGGTCAGCCTGGTATTGAACGAAGTCTTCCAAGACCTTTTGTCCGCCAAGGCCCAGCATGATGTTGTCGCCCTTCAGATCGGTATGGACGACACCGCATTCGGTATGCAGGTAGTCGAGGCCTTGCAGTAATCCTGGAAGAAGTATGCGAAGCCGACGACCATTGAAGCGGCGCTTTGCAAAACCATCCATACACTTATCAATGGGTTCGCGGAGGACATTATACACCACGCAAAGATGCTCGGGATGACGCTCGATTCCGTGCCGAGACCCTTTGATTCTGAATGAGTCAAGGGAGAAGCGAACATGTTGGTAACCTGGATGCTTAGGATTCGCAGTTGCGATCTTCTCTGAGATTTGGCGACGTCCCGTGAAGTACTCGTTCGTGAGTGTATTGATAGAGATCTTGACGGTGACATACTTGCGATCGACGGTAGTACTGCATAATAAGTCAGAATCATTCACCGTAACAACGGCAATTTGACCTACGCTTTCAGGTCTTGGGCAAGCCAGACAGTCGCTGTCATACCGTAGCCGAGCTTGGTCAGGATTTTGTACCGGTCATTGAGTAACTCGTTGATCTTGGCAGGGTAGAAGTGATTTGGATTGTATTTCGGGTTGGTCTCCTCTTCGATCTTTGTGGCGGACGATAGGGTTGGATATGAAGTAGGAGACCCAGACCGACCATTGTTACTGTGAAAGAGGTGGGAAATGCCACTCCGATACTCGGTCAAGTGCGAACGAGAACGATGAAGGATGCCAGGTCTGTCGTTGCTGTCCATGCCTGGACGACTGTCTCGTGATGTGCTTACGCGACGAAGTCCATACTCACTGCTGCCATTGCTGGCGGAAGCTGTAGGTGTGGTCGGTGTTCGACCCATTGTGCATATCTCGAGGTTTAAAACCCGTCGATGATGCAAGCCGCTAACCGTGGGCGAGGGACCGACTGAGTAATCACGGATTTCGAGCAGTCGCCATGCGCCTATTAAAAACCAGGCCGAGAGAGTTTACGATTGATCGCATCCAGGAACCTGTTGCGGCCGAGAATATTGTGTCAGTAATTTGTTGAAGAGAGGTGTAATGTTAAAGGCAAAAGGTTGGAAAACGTACAATGATGGCGCTTGAGAGGAGAAGCCGACTTGCCGGTCGTGTCCGTAGCAAGTTAAGGTAGCAATGGGTTAACGGCGTGGGCTGTCCGAGATCAGACAGCTTGAGAGCGCAGACCGGTGATGGAAAGAATTTTATTCGTGTTTCGAGGAACGAAAAGTGGGTTGACTCGTGGAAATCGAAAGGACACCGATGACGACGAGTACCTTAGGACCGCCGTTGACTTGTGACTGCCGATCACCACGTGGATGCTCCTTTGGCAACCGAGGAGTAGTGCCTTGCGGCTTCCGAGTCTCGTAGAGTTTGTGCCAGTCGAGTGAGAGAAGGTGGTGGTTAATGATGATAGAGAGAGGCTCAGCAGATTCAGGAAAATTCACCTGACGCTTGCGCACAGGCTGAAATGGGCCGCCGTAGACAGCCCTCCAGTTCCAGAGTGCCCCCTTAGCGCCCAGTTATAGTGAAGAAGATTGTGTGCACAGGCGGGACAGTTTATGCACAGACACCCCTTTCCTGACAAACCCCCACACAATCACTGCCAATGCCTGGCAGTCAACGGGCTTAAATCGCGCAATCAACCCTCGTGCATCCGACACAGTAGCGACAAGCGCTGCAGCAGCGATAAGAGGCCACGAAGCGCATGTGCAGCATCAAGAGCATCTCTCTATGCCACTTAAAGCCTCCGGGGCGCCACATGCTGTGCCTGCGACACGCCGACACCATGTCTGCTTTAGGCGTGGGCATCGGTCTTCATTGGTCACCGAGCTCGATCAATCCTGTGGATTTATGGCTTGCCGCTGCGCCGGCTCACCTCGAGCAAGGCCCGATATACCCTGGAACAATCTCGGACGGTTGTCAAGATCGGACATTTTGGGGGCTCATCAGCCCTATAGCCCAACCCTGAGGACGGAAATACCTATTTATGTATAGAGGATCATCAGGGCCGCCTCTCGTGACAAGCATTCATGGGGCCGCCTGGATTCGGCATGTGTTCGGCTACCGACCGCCATCGAGCCGCAGGGCTTGAGCTGCCTGTAAAGACCTGATATGCTCGTCGAGAGCACAAGTCAAGACGAGACCATAACATCCAAACCGCCTACTCAACTGGCAGGTTTGTCTCTGGGAGCTAGACTGGTTGCCTGAGGTCACAGAAGAACAGCGTACTGCTCTGACGACTGACACCAATGGACATCTTGGTGGCGGGCGTCCCGGAGCCCATCTCCTCCTGAATATCTCGAGGTAGAATTCGGTGGGAGCCCGAACCAAAGAAGACATGCAGGGAGAAAAATGTCAGGCAGGGGATACAGCTCGGCGGAATATCTTCGGACGGTGAGCCAGGAGTCGGGCGAGCACTGATGCCGACAACGTGGAATGCAACGTCGCCTTCCGGGACAATTACTGCTCGTGATCCGGGCGGATCATCCGCACCGTTCTCCTGGCACAGACCGGAAATCGTCGTGGTTCCATGCGGAACACATGATTCACGACGTCCTCTGGCTCTGCCCGCAAAAGTGCTCGAGAACCATTTGCATGACAGCAGCGTTCAGGACTCAGGGAATTCTGCTCGTACTGGAGCACGGTAGGCTTTCTCTGCTGCCTCAATAGCCATGGCAGACTTGAAGATCCGATCGATCTCGGTGGCCGTACTGCATATTGACCCAACGCCAAATGAGGTAGCTCAGATGGGCCAGGGAAAGCCCCGACGACGCTGCAGCAAGCATCTCATCCGGGCACTGGAGGCTAGCATCGGGGCTTCGCGAGGGCTATGGGGCAGATCGGCTGCACCCGCCCAACCCATGTTCTCTGCCAGGGAGTAGCAAGTGCTCACGATCTGCTGTGCGAGGTCTGCACCGCGGTTTGTCTATGACTTGACAACGAGTCGGTAGTATGGTCAGCAACCGCATTTGCATCGCCGAGATGGTAATTTGACCCAACTGCTGACTGTACGAGATGCCTGGACGGTGGTTTTCTGTCAGCTCTTTCCCTGTGGCAGTCACAGAGGCTGTGGCCAGTTTGTGGACGGTCGAAGCTCTCTTTCTCCCGGTGTCGGCCGTGTTGGAGGATAGGTTAGCCAGTCAGTGGTCTATCGCTCGGGGGAAGGCCGATGCTCATTATTTCCGGGCCTCCTGCGAGGCTTGCAGAGGATTGTCCTGCCTACTGGAAGAGGTTGTCCTGACCCTGTGGGCGGAAGACTTGTCCAGGGTGATCTAAAGCCAACCTGTGAGCTGTATTCTGTTCTTCTTTGACGGTATTGCTCCCCGGATGCTGTCCTGGCGGGAACGTGTTCTGTTGGGCTACTGCAATCGGCGTCGGCGCTTCCGGCGGGTTATATCGGACGCACAGATGCATTTAGCATGCAGATACGAGATGAGGTGATAGGGTGAGTGGCCTGTGGCCACGTTATCGCTTGACCTAGCCCGGTTTGTGGCTCATTCGAAGGAGAGGATCTCGACAGTCGTTTCGTCGGCGGGTTCGGCCTGATGGTCCGCAAATGGCAGACGTGTGTGTTCTTCTGGTCGAGGAAGCCGGTTACTCGATGCCGGCGGACGTTCTGTGGAAAGTAAGGCCACAGGAGCGGCGTACGTGATGATGCAGGTCGTTGTCGTATGTCGAGATGGGGTGGCGAGGCTACCAAATGGCGAGGCTTGGCGGATGCCTTTGTCCGAGTCCGCTGTGCAAAATCAAGCTCTTCTACGGCTGTATAGGAGCAGTGACGCTCCTTGCAGCTAGTAAGACAACACAGAACGGTTCACAGTGTGAAGGAGTCTTTGTTTGAGGAGTGAGAAACATATGGCAAAACACACGCGCAACACAGCTTGCCATAAAGGGCCACGTCCGCTCTTTCCCAAATTGTCACGCTGGCTAAGTTGGTACGCTGCAGGATCAGATCTCTGATCTGGGTCCAGGTCAAAGGCCCTTGGTGCACCATTCTCAAAGCGTCGTCCCCACTGCAGACTCGCAGTACTACAGTGGCAGCAATCAGCATCGTTGATCTTCTGTTGTCATTCGTCTCTACTGGGCAGAGTCAACCCCTGCCGACGATCCACGTCGTACTCTTCTCCTCGATTGTAGACGAGCCTGTCTTCCTAAAGCTGCTTCACATATTCAATACAGCTACTACCTATATCTTTCTACCTGTGGCAACTCGAATGGACAGTGAGCATACAAGAGGCTTGAAAGTACAACACCCCGGTGGTCCGTCGATGGGAGACCGCTCTGCTCGAGAAGATACCAGCTCAACTCAGCGCTGGCATTGACCCATGGGCCAATGTAACACGTCTATGATTGCTTCGCAAGCAGCCTTAACATGGTGATCGTGTGCTAAGACCTCCGTACGTGGTCGCTGGCTAAAATCACGCTGATCTGCATGTACGGCTTACGGAGTGGCAAGCTCACCGTGCAAGAGCGCAGACCGCACCCGCATCGATCTTCTGGTCATCTTGAGATCTCAACTCGCATTCCGTGAAGCACTGGCAGTCCGTGCTCGTTATAACGGAAGACCAGATCCGCCTCTTGTCGGCAATGCGAAGTCGACTTACAGATACGGAGGGCCATCGCAACACCTAGCCCAGCACGCGTTGGTCGGACATCTGTCGGCGTCACAAGCTGCAGTCTGCAGCCACTGTGGTGAGTCTCGCAAATCGAGCGCCTTCACAGCAATCGCAGAATATGACCCGCGAATGGTTCGCCAATCAGCAGACAGACAAGCAAAGGTCCAGTCCAGGCCCACTAGATATATGGCTCAGATGGAAGCCATCTACCTCTATATCAGCTCAACCTATTCTCCTTGCAGGCTGAAGAGAGCACCTATCAACATCATCATTGCGAGAGTCAAGCCGAGCTGTTTGTGTATGCCAGGTCTTGCGAATCCGAGCAACGATGAAGCTCCCGCCTGGACTTGCTCTTGGTACTAAAGTAGAGCATGAGGCAGTCTGATTTCACAAGGCGGCCATCTAGACGAGCGGCTCGAAAAAGGCAGACTCGAGGTTCCACGAAACTTTCGTATGCGGCTAAAGCCAGCTGTCGTTGCCGCTTCTTCAGTCGAAGAATGGAAGCCTGCCAGACATGCCAGACACGTTGCACAGCACATCGCATGTCGCGTTACAAGATCGAGGATGTGATATTTACAATGCACAGCAGCATGTTGTGTGATCAGAGCCTCCTGGGCATGGGAATGTCAGGCTGAGATTTCAGGAGGCCCAGCGTCTTGGCATTCTCTATTGCATTTCTTCTTCTGTTCCGTTCATTCCCAGCATGAACTAGAGGCTTGCTTTGGACAGAGAGGATGCTCGGAAACAGATAGAATCCATGTCTTCATGTGAGGCTGGTCACAAAATGAATTTCTGGTGCTGCTGCTATGGCGATGGGCAAAAGAAATGCACCAAGCGGGTCCAAACAAATGATCACAGACTGACCACTATTCGGATGCTTGCTGAATATCTCTGGCTCGAAAGTCGTCAAGTGTGCTTCGTTATCTGCACAAAGTCCTCCTCGAAACGCCTTCGCTCGGTCTAGCACAGCTCGAACACTCTTTTCTGTGAGCTTCTCTCGTATTCCGATCTCCATCCCAATCAAGCATGCTAATTGTTTCAGATTCCAAGCAACGATTCGAGACCGCACTCATGGCTCCTTCCAACGCTGAGAACGGCGGGTCCGCCGCCGGGCAAGGTGGGAAGAACGGCAAGAAGAAGGACGAGAGCCGCAAGGCGGTCGTTCGCACTCCCGAAATGAAGCTCAAAGCCAAGGAGTACGCACGTGAGTGCCGCACAGGCGATAAGGAGCAGCGCGGTAGGCTGGATAATCTGCTGAAGAACCGCTTCCCTCGTAGATATCGAGCATACCAAAAGTACAAGAAGAATCGCGTCCGAAAGTGTCTCACCTCTGCTGGCATCGCTCTCAAGGAGGCTATCGACGCGCTGGAGGAAGCGTCCCGGGAATCTCTCGGCGACGGGGATGAGGATGAGGATGAGGATGGTGAAGACGACGACGTTACGAAGAGCGATGGTGATGATCACCACAACGAGGACGACGATGAGGACGAAGCTCCGGCCGTCGGCCAAGCCATCACAGTCTGAAGAACCATCATGTATCCACCCAAGCGATTGCCTACTTGTTGGTACTGACACTCCACAGCCAGACACGAAAGCGTCCAGCCCATCATCCAAAGCACCACGAAGCCGCTCATGACAGCGCAGTCAACAACGACACAGACCAGTGGGAGTCCAAAGAACCTCACCAAAGGCTTTGGCCAACCTTGAAAGGCAGCTCACAGATAGCTCACCTGGGCAATCAGTTGTACCTACAATAGATCGCAACAAAGCCTGGCATCTGTCGCATCTGCATCAGCCGAGTCCTAGCCTCAAGCACTACTAGCAGCCAGCTCAACACAGAACTCTGACCAATGCCTGCCTTCTTCCGTCTTCATGCCTGCCAGAACTTCCTTTCTGATCGCTCCTTCCACACTCCTACCATACCTGTTCTCGTACTGCTGCTTCACTCTCTCCAAATGCTTCGGCTCCCAATGCAGCCGCACAAGCCTACTGATCAACAGCTCCGCCCGCTCCTTCCCTGGCTGTGTCTCCGCAATCGCCTGATGAAGCAACAACGCGTCTCGCATCGGCCGATTTAGCGCGCCATTCAGGATATGTGCCAGTGTTTCGCCAACCAAGTTCCTTGACTTCTCGATCATCGCCCTTGCGAAATTGACCTCATACGCCTTCTCAAAAGCCTTCATCACCTCCCTGAGATGCGCGTCGCTGCGCACTACAATTATGGAAATCATCGCGCTCTCCCCACCGGCCCCTGCTAGACTCCGATACAGCTCCCTGCAGTCCTCCATGACCAGCTTCGAGTTCAGAGGATTGGACTCCGGCATCCGTCTCTCCTCCAACGCCAACAGAATTGCAGTCCGGAACTTGTCAGCTTTCAGCTCGGCTTTCATGCAACGCTCAAGATCGTCGCCATAGCGCTTGTCCTTGAAGCAATTCTTGATCTCGCGGATGTCGCTGTTGCTGCGGCCCATGAGGGACTCGATCAGGAGCTCGCGGCGTGTTGCACCTCCTTGGTACCAGCTGTTGGCCCAGTATGCTTCGGACTCCCAGCGGCCCAAAGCCGTGGCGTAGCAGCTTTGCCGAGGTTGCCTGGGACGCGCATCTTGATGTGTTTGGCGATGTTGATGCCTTGGCCGCCGACTTTGGCGTGGTTCTAAGGAAAATGTTAGCTGTATCCTGAGGTGCACGTGCTGATGGAGGCGAGCCTACCTTGTAGGACAACCGAAGCGCCATGATATCGTCGTCCGAAAGTCCAGGCAGAATCTGGATCAAGGGCTTCACATGCGGCGGCCGGTGAGTTCCTTCCAGTGCGGCAGCGATCTTCTTCGCATCATCATCCGCGTCGTAGAAGCTGACTTTCTTCTTGTTCCTGACGCCTCCTGGAGTTATGACCATAGTGGAAACGTCCGAATCCGCTCGACCTCTTGGTCCTTTGCTGTGGACATGAAGATCATCGTCCCTTGTGGATCGTGGCGAGATCTCCATGATTTCGTCTCTCTTGCCTTCCCTCTTACGGTCTTCCTTCGCGTGTCGCTCCTTTTCCTGTTCAAGCTTTTTGATCTTCCGCTTCAGATCGGCGTTCTCATCGCGAGAGTCATCAGAGTCAAGATCGAAATCCGACAGATCTGAGTCGTTTTTGTGCTTGCTGAGAACTAGCGCTGATGGCATGGGCGAGATTGACTGGTAAGTGCCCTTATACGCCTCAAGTAGAGGTGATGCCGGAGGCTTGCCATTTCCCATAGCATGCTGAGCTGCTCCCAGACCAACTCCAAGCGTGGCAGCTCCAGCAGCACCTCCAACAGCGAGCTTGCCGAGCTTCTTTGTGACCAGCTCCGGTGATGATGAGTCGTCGTGATACTTCCTGTCTCTGCGGTCTCTGTCATGACGACCGTCGCTCCTGTCATGGTCACGATCACGACGATCGTCCTTGGAACTTCTTCTATCGTAGCTATCGTCTTCGTAGCGCTTGTCTTTTCGCGGCCGCTCACGCTCCCTCTCTCGCTCTCGCTCCTCCGGATGCCGGTGGCTGTCATCGTAGTAGCCAGGCGGAACATAGCGTGAGTTTGGCGGAGGACCGCTGAATGAGCCTGCTCGCTGTCCTGCATCTGGTGGGGGCATATACTGTCCAGGCGGAGGAGCGAATCGTGGATCAACTGGGTAGCCGTTTGGTGGACCATAGCCGGGCGGGTAGCCGTATACTGGTTGTCCGTAGCCATTCACCGCTGGCTGTGATCCTTTACGGTCTTTGGACTTGCGCGAGGCCGGCTCTTCCTCTGACGAGCTCGAATCACTTTCATATGCTTGCTTCTTGCGATGCTTTGCCCTATCTCGCTCCTTCTCTTTTTCCCTCTCCCAATCTCGGTCTCGTTCCCTCCTCCCACCACCCTTACGATCATCGTCTGAATCTGAACGTTTTTTGTCTCTGCGTCGATCGTGCCTCCTGTCATCATCAGACACGGACGGATCGCGCCTGCTTGACTTCGACGATCGAGACTTGTATCTTTCGTCCTCCTCACTGTCACTGTCTTTATGTCTCGAGCTCTTCTTTCCACTCCCACCACGCCGCCGGTCTTCTTCATCGTCTTCGTACCGACCCCCACCACCACCCGACCGCTTGTCCCGCCGCCTACGATCATAGTCGGACTCCTCGCTCTCACTCTCACTCTCGTCATACTTGCTAGACCTCCGATCCGGCCTCGCAGGCGACCGATCGCGGTTGTCACGCGAGTGCGACCGTGAGCGGTCGCGGTCCCGCCCGCCGGGCGATTTGGATCGGCTTCGGCGCTCGTCCCGCACCGACAGGTGGGATGACATGGTGGGCTGTCAACCGGCTTGGGGTTGCCGCCGTAGACTCGGACCACAGGTATTCGACACAGGAGATCAATCAGAGAAGCTGAAGGCATCATACGCTCACTGCGACGTTTGTCAGGGGCACAGGTGCGGTACCACAACCTTTTTGTTGGCGCGAATCCTTCGCGCGGAGAGCTGCAGGACGCTATTTCATTTTATAAGCAGTCAAACATGCGTACCCGGTGACAATGCTTGTCGTGATTGGGCGCCCAAATTGGCTGAGATGCAGCCCACTGGGGCCTCTCGTACAAGCCTTACGCCATGCAGCCTCCAGCATGCGCGCCTTGGGGGGATTCGACGAGAGCGTTATTGGCCTAAGTGTAGTTGGTACGGAACGTTGCGCTCGAACGATGGAGGCGCCATCGCTGGCTACAGGAAAGCTTTGTACACTATGCAGATACGACAAGATCGCTACAAATGTAACGAGACTCGCTCAGCAGCGGTCCCGTGTAAACGCTCCGGCGGCCTCTGTCTGTCCTTGAGCTTAATCTCTGGGAATACTACGATGCAAGTTGTCAAGTAATGCCTTCTCGCACCAGGATCTCAGCTCGACAGACTGGCGTGAAGCGAGGACGCCTTTGATGATGTTTAGGTCCTGGGTGCTGACCAAAACATCGTCCGCCTGGATCGAGAGGTGATGATAAGTGTCCTCATGATGATCGTGCAATGTGCAGCGATCTTCCCAAACCACATGCTTCAGCTCTTTGCCCACTGCAAGCGTCCACTTCGACATCGTAGCCGTCCATAAATCATGCTTGGTCTCACACAGCTTCAGCCACTCCTCCGAGTCTTGAAGCGTCTTTCTCCCTGCTGTGTCAAGCGTGAGATGTCGAGCCAGATGCTGTGAGAGAAGCTGCCCGAGAATAGTATCTACGCTGATGCCGGATTTGACGAACTGTAAAAGCATTTCATCCGTACGCGCCAGAGCTGCTCCCGTTGGCGACTTTCCGTCGACCGCCTCTGAGGGCCAGAGCTCGTGAGCTGGCGCATGCATGAAATAGTTGAGCATTTCGTCCACAAGGTCATTCCGTAGGCGTTTCACATCATAGCGCTCACCAAACTTGTAGAGGTTGAAAAGGTAGAAGGGCTGCTTCATCGACACACGTAGTCGCACTTCTCCCATAAGGCCTTGGTGCCCCGGCGCAGCCATCTCTCGATGGCCTGCGCGGCGGCGTGAGAAAGATCCCACCAGGCATCGACGGGAAAGTTGTCTGAAGCCACGAAGTCCAAGATCACAGCAGACTCGTGGCAAATGCGATCTCTCGGCCATCTAACAATCTGGTTACTGCCGCAGTCCACAAGCACCACCGCTTCAGGTTCACTAGCCACGTTAGCCTTGCAAGGAATGATCGTGGCAATTCACTTACGCTTCGTGCATGAGCAGAGCTTCGTAATTGTGAGGTGAAAGCAGACATTCTCGATATGCATCAGACGGACGAACATGGCCTTGCACGATGCCCCAACGGCGCGGCTCTTGACATCTGTCTGTGCTGCTCGTGACCTTGCCCTTCTTTCCTGTCGAGATGGAGGACTTCTCTAGCGGTGCGAACTTGCGTTTTGCAGCTGTTGAGCGATCGGAGGCAGACTCTCTTGAGTGAGTGCTTTCGATATCGATGCTTGATATTACTGCCTGATAATCAGCGTCGTGGTCTGCCAATGGCAGGACGATCACACACCTTCAAGCTCTGTGTTGTCACCGCTGTTCGCAAGACGTGGGATCGCATCACCAGGTCGTGGTACAGTAGCCGCTGGCTTCGCCGTGGGCGATCTCACATGGCTCTCGCGAGAGCATTGACGATCGGGAACGATTAGGCCAGACGAGAAATCGGTCGGCTTGTCGGAAGGAGAGAGGGTCGTCGAGTCATTCTCATCGTCGTTCGGCCGTTTCGATGACCTATCACTCATAGGCGACGACAACCGATCGTTCGCACGAACAGTTCGAGCAACCATCTTCAGTGACGAGAAAGAAGCATGCTGTGAGATGAAAGTGAGCCCTATTGAGCGAGTTGAATGACGGAGACTGGATGTGTAGGAAATCGAGAACAAGTCGTGACTTCCAACTCAATTTCTGACCCTCCTAGGCAGGAACGCGTGGCATGCAGGCCGACCGGTCGTGCTTTCCTCTAATCTGTGTGCCGAATGTTCGCAGCTTGATCGTTGAACGACACATTCCACAAGAACATGAATGCAAGCAGGAAACAACAAGTAATGTAAAGCAATAGCAATAGTATGCCTACCTAAAGCACCTCTCCGTATGAATAGGGCAGCCGTCCCTCGCCGTCGCTAATAATGCCGATACTGATACACTTTCGATCCCCTTAATCCAATTGCCGCCGTGTACTGATAACCTTGGAATGCAGTCATTTATCCAACCCGGACTCCATCGAAAGACCGCCGCTTTTGTAGTAATGATACAGTCTCCGGGACTGGTGTCGACGTGTAGTGATGTTGTACAAATACCGCCCCCGGGATTCTCCCAATAATAATAATAGCATCGCCAGCATCTTCAAGCCGATGCATGCAGCCTCGGCATTGGCCTAATATTGATACCTCCCTTCCATGGTACAATCTTCCACAGTAGTCCTCACACTGCGGAAACCCCTTGCACACCCAACACTCATCACTCAATCGGTGTACCAACTTCTTCTTCTTCCCCATCTTCATTCTACGGAGTTGCGGCCGCGAGGCCTCTTCCGCTTCCGTTATGATTGTCGTTTGTGTTGTCCATGGACTCTATCCTCTCGCATTTCGAGCATGAATGGCAACTTTCTGTGGACGCATAGTGTCGTCCTCGTCGCCAACTTCTTCGAGCAGCTCACTGTCCTCCAACAGGGAGCTGTCATCATATCTCTCGTCTGGTCCACCAATGGCGTGTTGGCGGTACTGTTTGTTCTCATTTGTGCTGCCCTCAAGTCGTCGTTGTTGTTCTCCGGACATGTCGAGGCTGTTCCTAACGCGCTCCCGCTCGAGTTCCATTCGCAGTTCCTCATTCACTGCATCACGCTCCTCTAGTCGTTTGCGCATGCCGGCGCGGTCGAGCAGGCGGGCCTCCCGTTCAGCTTTGAGGCGTCGCTCTAGCTCACGAAGGCGGTGGATCCACTTTTCTTGTCCTGGGCCAGTGGCGCCATATCCAGCGCCTTCGTTACCGGAGCCGTTCGTCTGAAGTGCAGGTGGCATCGGTGCCGGCTCCCTGGGCGGTAGAGAGAAGTTGCCGTTGTGAGGTGCGTGCATAGCCCCGGCCGGGATCGTGAGTGTTCTGTCTGGGACCCGATCACGATCATTGGTGATCACATAGCCCGAATTGCGACTGGAGATGGAGCTCGATCTTGGAGAAGCCATACTGCCGTCCACGCCAGCAAGATGCTCAACGATGTTGGTAGTGTTATAACGCTCGAGACCTGGCCCTCGACTGGTTTTGCGTACACTGGAGGTCCTTGGTGGCAAGCCTAGGGCGCCGTCAAGCGCTGCTGGACCGTCCACGGACATGGCGCTGGACCGAACAGACATGCGACTTTCAGGGCGCATCGCACGGGAGCTATGGCGGTGGTGTTGCTGCTGAAGGAGCTGCAGCTCGGCTTTGAGCAGTCGATTTTCACCCTTGAGCTTGCTGACTTCATTGGTAAGCCCTGAACGAGAGCTGCTCGTACGCGAATGTCCCAGTTGACCCTCCATCTCGGCTTGCCTGAGCTTGACCTTCTCCCAGCTTTCCTCAATGCGTTCTAGCTTTTTGGTCCGCTGCTCGAGTGTGTGTTCAAGGTTCCGGTAGTCTTTGTAGAGTTCGCGTTCCACTTTCTTGATCTTTTCTCCGAATGTCGCAAAGGTGCCCTCGACTTGCTTGGCTGCCAACATGAGATTGCGATTGAAACCTGGCCAGAAGAGCATGTTGCCGATCACTTCTTGCGAAGGTAAATTGCCATTGATCAGGCTGTTATTGTGTGCCCAGTCTGGTCCACAAAGCGCGGACAGTTTCTTCCATAGCGTGAGAAGCACTTGATTTCTCTCTGCCAATTGCTCTTTGAACTGGGTCTCGATCTGTGCCAGACGCTTACGATCTAAGGAACGTGCCTGCTCAAGCTCATTTATCTTCGAGCTGGTCGCAGTCATAGCACGTGTTGCTTGCTGCTGTGATTTCAAGGCTTGCTCGAATGAATGCTTGTCTTGCCGTCGGCCCTGCCTCTCTCGGTCGAGAGCAGCTTGTATCTTGCCGAACTCATGACTGTTGTTCTCAAGCAGTTGGTCCCGGTTCAGCATAATGGATTGCTGCTCATCGAGTCGGCGACGTGTAGATTCGAGGTCAATTTGGGCGGACTCGAAGTCCTGGGCCATCTTCTCGATCGCTGTGACGAGACTTGCACGGCTTGCGCTTGGATCGTTGAAAATGCTGCGCAGACTTTGCTCCATCTCCTCAGCCTTGTCCTTCCAGGACGACAGCTCAATCTCGCGCGTCGAGAGCATCTTCCGCAGCTGTCGCAGCTCCTCGGTAGTCTTAGACACTTCTTGATTAAGGCCGGTGATCAGGCGCTGGACGTCTTTTTCTTTCTTGCTCGTGATCATGTTGTGCTGTTGGCGTTCTTCATTGAGGCGACCGTCGAGCTCTCGAGCTTTCTCTCGTTCAGACTCGAGATTGAAGTGCACCTTCTTAAGGAGTGACTCTAGATCGCCAATCTTGATCTTGTCGCCATCTTGCTCTTCTCGTAGAAAAGCAATCTCATTATGACTGCTCTCCTGTTGCACAGTCAGGCGCTGGATCTTACTCTCCGCTTCAGCAAGAGACTTCTCCATGCTCTCGATCTCGCGGTTGCTGTCATCAAGTTCGGCTTTGACCTTCTGGTATCGAGCGAGGTTTTGCTGTGCATCATCTTCGAGACGCACAAGTCCTTCGCTTGCTGAATGCATCTCAGACTGCAAGGCCTTCAAATTCTCGTTCAAGGATTGCACTTCAGCGCTGAGATGTTCACACTCTTCGGCTTTGGCATCGAGCTCGTCTCCCAGACCATCGATCTCATTCTGTGCCTCTTCTTTGAGAGCCTGGAATGCTTGCTCCTGATCTTCACCAGCGCGAAGTGCTTCGTCGCGTTCTGCAGCCAGGTCTGCTATTTCCTGGTTGAACGTCCTTGCATCGGCTTCAGCTTGTAGGTCAATAGCATCAAGCTCCTGAACAGCCTCATCTGCTTCGCGCTGCAGATTCTGGTTGTCCATCTTCAATTGGTTCACCTCGTCTCTTAGCTGATTAATCTTTGCTTCGAGCTCATCCCTCTCCTGGTCACTTATGCGTGACATTCTTGTGACATTGCTAGCGCGGGAGTGAGACCGTATACGCGAAGCAGATCTGTCGAGGATACTATCACCAGCGATAGATCTACCTCCGCCCATTCGGAGCTTCAGGTCTTCGATTTCTTGGTACAGTCTTTCCTTCTCCTTGTTACGGGAAGTCAGCGCGGAAGCTTGTGCGCTGATAGTCTTCTGCAACTCTGACACCTCGTGTCGCAGTCTGTCAAGCTCTGCTGATTGCGCTTGGAAAGCTTCGCCACTGCTCGCTCGCGAGATGACAGAGCCGCTGTAGCCTTTGCGAGATTTAGACTTGTCCAGGCCATGCGAGTCTTGCCGCAATCGAGCGACTTCCTCTCGTAGCTTCTTGTTTGCGTCATCGGCTTGTTCTCTGGCAATGCTTTCGGCTTCCAGCATATCCTTCCACATATCTCGTTCTTCACGAGAGCCGACATCGCTTGCTCCAGGATTGCTCTCTCCCAATGAACGCACCATTTCTGCCAAGCGACGCTTCTCGCCCTCCTTCGCCAGATTCTCCGAGCGCAGCTTCTCGATCTCGATTTCTGTCGTCTCCACCCGTTCGCGAAGATACAATAGTTCTTCCTCAGCAGTAGGACTACGTTCATCGTCCGTACCATATCCTTGGTCAGACTTGGGTGATGACTGCACGTTCTTCTCGTCAAGCTTCTGCTGCAATTGTCGGATCTGCTTGCGGAAAGTATGGTTATCTTTCTCCAGGCGCATGCGGTCACTCTTCAGCTGCACATTCTCGGTGATCATCTCTTTGATCCCATCCTCTGATCTCTTTTGCAAAGCCTGGTCGAGGAAGTAGATCTTCATCTTCAGATCAAAATTCTCCTTGCTAAGCTTATCGACTGTGCTCCGATGTTCTTTGAGAGTCAGCCCTCGCTTTGGACCTGGTGTCATGCCAGCCATTGTCAGGGTTTTGCTTGGCGACATGTCACGCTCCTGCCTGTATTGTCGAGCGAACGTTCCGGGCACTTCGATATCACGGACGTTGGCCGCAATAACAGTGTCCGTCGGCATAGCGACTGCTGATGCTTTCGGCGTCTCTGGTCCGGTAGGCGTCTGGCGCATATCTTTGCTCGATCGTGGGCTTTCTTCCTGGAGTGTGGACAGGTCAGGATTAAAGCCCGGGTTTGATCGTCCCTCGTCTTCGCTGAGGCCAAGTCCAGAGACACTTGAAGCTATGCTGCCGAGGCTTACTTGACGTGATATGTCTAGGTGCTTGTCTCGACGTCGGCCTCTAGCAGGAGCCGCTCCACCTGACTGCAGTGCAAAGTCGGCGCCGAGTGTCGCGTCGCTCGTATCTGTGGTAGAACTAGCCACAGAGTCGTACGACAGTCGTGCTGACGAAGTCCGGCTCTGAAGGTACTTGGGTCTTCCATGACGTTGAGTGCCTGTGGAATTAAGGCTGCCGCTGAAGGCATCCGAGGCAGGTATGTTGAGGTGCTCGTGCGTAGTTCTTCGTGGTGTCACTTCTTCATCATCTTGCACGGTTCGTGGCTTCTTTGATGGCGACTCTTGATCGTCTCTGTCTTCTGCTGCGGTCTCGTATCCTCCGATCGTTGCCAGAGACTGGACTCGCGACACTGTGCGCGCAACTGTAGCCGGAGATGACGACATTTGCTCGAGTTGAGATGTGTTCGGAGCAGCGCTGTCTGACACCTGAGAATCATCCGCTCCCTCGAATCCGTTCTGTGAAATCGCAGGTGTCTTGAACGTCTGGTCGGGCGTATTTGGTGACGGTACATTCTCCTTTGACTCTGTGTCGATATCGCGGAAGGCGCTTGTAACATCAATTGGATGGGGTCGTTTACGTATGGCAATGTTGTCGTTCAGCACTCCGAACGCAAACGTGTCGTCTGCGCCTCGCACTTGACCGTCCTGCGGCTGAATCTGGGAGATATCGGGTAGAAAACTCGACTCGACATCGGCCAGCTGGTGGTTCATCTCCTTCTCATCGATCGTTGTATTGGGTTGTTCCGCGCTGCTATACTCCGTCTTCTCCAGCAGACTGCTCGGGTCGCGTTGGTGTGGGAGAAATGAAGACGACAACGACCCCAGTTCTCGGTCCTCTTCGTTGATCGAATCCATCGTCGCGTCATCGATCTGCTCATGCTCCTGGGCCTCGAATTCGCCAGGCATTCGCGACGATCTGCGCAGGAACGGCGGGCTAGAGCCGACAAAGGAGGAAGACATGGTTTCCTGAACAGACTCCCTGCTGCAGGTTTGACATCTGTCGGTTGCGGTTGAGGCGTTGACACGCGATTGGGTGTTGACTGCTCATAACAGTATCGATGCAAGCACGCGCTGATGGATGATTTCGCGTAGATATGTATTGCTACAATGCGATCACAGTAATAATCAAGTCGTCCGATCAAGTATCAGATGTGATTGCAATACGGTCTGAAGTTCAGTAAGAGGGGTCTGGGGAGGGCTTCAAACGCGCCAGCCATTTCAAAAGTTGTGGTGGAGCCCGCCTCGTGAAGCCGTTAGACACTAGTCCGAAAATGGTATCCGTCGCTACTATCAATCAGATCATGCACTCGATAAGGGGCTCCTCGGACTAGGTCAGGGAGGGCGCTGAGGCTCTGACACTATTTCGCAGATCGAGATGGCGGGCTTGAGACCAGCCTCACTTGAGCGTCACTGAGCAAGATCGTTGCATTGTAGATACTTCCGCTGGGGAGGCGCTGTAGGAAATTTGACAGAAATGCTACCTGGAGTCCGCCGAATGACTCCGCGGCTGGACGATATCCCGGAGACCTTCGTAGAGGTCACAGAAGTGGAATATATGGTGTCGCTCTGTATGCAATCATCTATGTTCGTGGCTTACTATTACATGGGACCTACTAGGAGTGGCACGACGTTCAAGCCTTGAACCTTTCCTAACTCTGGTACCCAAGCACACCCCAAGAACGCTCACATCAAAGTCCCGTTCCCCGCCAGCCTGCACGTCGCCGTCGTGCTGTCGTCAGTATGACGAACCTAATGATAGGGCCACCTCTAAAATCATGTATTATCTCCGCAAGGAGGCCTTCCGCGAAAAGAACTTCATAAAGCCAGCCTGCTCCTTGACATCAGATCGAACGACCCGAGAATTTCCTGTTGCGCTTGCCAGAGAGTGCGTAGAATCTGCTGGTCCGCTATTCATCAAGTAGTCTGCGAGATCAGATGTGGAGGTGGCAGAGGTTTTAGCTTCGCGAGCTTGGTATCTTGGTTTGGCTCTTTCCCCTGAGGTGTCTTGCCGAGGAGTACTCCTGGCCTGTGGACGGGGTGGCTCGTCGCGCGCGCCATTGCTGCGTGCAGGAATCGTATTTTTTGAAGAGCCGTTGCGCATCAGGACATCTCGTAGCTTCGAGTTGCTAGCGGAACGCTTGAGGTCGGCCTGCTGTTGCGGACGGGCTCCAGTCACTACGATAGGCTGAGCTGACATTCCTGGTGGAGGAGCAGTGTTCCTGAGGAAGTCGATGAGAGACTCTTCCTCCCGACGTGGCTTGGCCTGTGCTACTTCTTGTTCAAATTCCTCATCATCACTGACGTCGATAGCATACGGATCCTTGACTCTGCGTCGCGTTCTGGTAGGCATTCCATCCTGTTCTGGGATGACTTGACGCTTAACATCGTGATTGATGGGTGGCGCAGTAGTTCTGGTGTTGTTGTGACGGCTCGAGTCGAGCAAGGCGGTGCGCGAATTTGTTGACTCTTGCATAGACTTGGTAGCTGTACTCTCATGGTTGCTGCCCACCGAATCTCGTCCGGGAAGCTCACTTGGTGGTGCCAGTGCTTGCAAGTCGTCGGAGTCCATTGTAGTGCGGAATGGTGCCACCTTACGGTCGATTCGATGATCACCAACTGCACGAGGTGGGCCTTGTCGGATGAAGTCAATGAGGTCGGCCGTCTCGGATCCTGGCTGTGGACGAGCATCTCTCGCCTGGAACTTCAACCTGTTCGCTCCACGGGGAACCTGAGCTCGGTCGATATTAGTGTTTCGGGGAACGTATCCTGGGGCGGGAGTGAGCGTTGCTTCTTTGGCGGTGTCCTCTGACTGAGGTGCGAGTGCCTGTGGAAGCTGCGTGTCGTCCGTAGGTCCAGTTGAGCGCACATAGTCAGCCAGATCTCTTGTGGTGTTGCGCTCAGGACGCGGATCGCGCGGTTGGACAGACACAACTCTGCGAGGTGAGCTCGGCATAGCGGACAATTCGGCTGGCGGACCCTGCTGAGATCTCATGGTGTCAGATCCCCCTGTTTGTGTGTTATGTTCAGGTGGATTCGACCGCAGCCCATTGAAGGATTGCTTAGCACTGCGATTATGGCCTGAGACTGGCTTCTCGCCCGGCGGTGCAGTATTACGAAAGAAGTCGGCAAGATCTTGAGTTTCGGTCTTGGGCCTGCTGGTGGCGGATGCAGGGAACTGCTAGTCATTAGTGAGGTCAGGGTGAAGTGTAGTGGGTCCATACCTCTTCAGCTCGCGCTGATTCTGGGGTCAGAGTGTAATGCAGAGTTTCGTCACTCTTGATCAGAACCTCAAGATTCCTAGTCTTGGCTGCATCGTCCTCCGAATCGGCTCTCACACGTACATGCTCACGACGGGCGGCCAGATTCTGCTTTGGACTTGCACCCACGATCTGGCCCGGAATGACTCTTTGTGTACTTGCGCTTGCAGAACGAGAATGGGGAGAAAAGTCGCCAAAATCTGCCCGCTGATCTTTCAATGGCTGCCCGCCTGGCCCAAATATCTTGCTGCTCGATGAGGAGTGCTTAGAGTGATTGGAGTACTGTGAGGTTGAGCCGGAGGTTCCATGACCAGGCCGTGGCTGCTCTCGTGAAGACATGCGGGGAGGAATTGAAGTGGTCCATGCACCATTTGGAAGCACAGGCGTGCTATCTTCGAATTCCTCAGGCCTCTGAAGTGGAAGATCAGAGGCTCCTGAGCTCCTCGCGCTTTGTTGAGCTTCGGATGCTTGCGCAAAAGCGGATGGCTCGAATGTGACTGACTCCTGCGTTCGAGGTCGTTCGTTGTCATATACCAGTTCCTCGCCAAATTCGGCCGGTTCGTCACGTGGTGATGAAACAATCGAGTTCCCCATCACTCTTGCCTCCCGATTACGGCGAGGGCTGGTAGGTGAGGTTGGAACTACAGGACTGGCGTGTGAACCGACAGAGCGACGCGCATGGCTCCGTGCGACATTCCTCTCGTCTCCCGAGCTTAGTGCCAAATCCTCCGGATCACCATCAAGATCTTCTTGCACTTCATGAGGTACGTTGAGAGTCTCGAAATCGCTTGGTCCGGTGATCGATGCTCTTGTATCGACGCCTTGCGGAGGTGCGACGCTTCGAGAAGTACCCATGATCTCTTCGGCCACCGTTCGCTTACGAGGCGTTTCGGGCCTTGCGACTTCCTTCTGCTCACGTTCTTTGCGCGACCGTGCAGCTTCGACACCAAGAGCGCCAGCAATCGCAGCCACAGCTGCACCGTTGATGGCATTTGGCCGTGAGCCTCCTCGGGTGTTCGGTCGCGAGACCTGTTCATTGCTTGGCTTGGTTCGTAGTTCGCGCGATCCTTCCTCGTCGTGACTATTAACCTGGTCAGACAATTGCTCCTTCTGCGGTGCTGTTGAAGGGGTCCAGCCATTGCGAGGCCAAGGCTGATAGCCTTGATCGCCATCTGGGAAACCTGGCAGGGAGTGCGATCTCTGGCGAGTGACATAGGGCCGCAATGGGCTTCGAGTCGGGACTTCTGGGCTAGATGGTCCTGCTGAACCCGGGAACTGTCCAGGCATGATCAACAGACTTGATGGTCGCTGTGGTCCCATAGCTGGGCGTTGATTGGCTCTGCCAGCAACGACATCTGCCCTGTCACGCGCGTAGCCAGGCACCTCGATTTCATCAACATCGGTATCGGGTATGGGAATTGGGATCTGCGCAGGCGTCAATGGCTCGGATTTGGGCGAGTCTTCTTCCGGAATGGCATGCGTTGGCGAGGCAGCATGGCTGGGCTTTCGACTATGGGACGTCTCGTTAAATGCTGGAGACTTTACGGAACCTGGAGTGATAGGCCTAATCGAGAAGGAGTCAGATGAGCGAGACTCCCGCCTCCAAGTGCGCCACAGACGCGAGAGGGGGCCTTCACGTCCAAGCTGGAGCATATCGGCCTGCTCTACAACCAGCTCGTCATCTCCGAAGGACAACTGCTGGCCTTCAACCGGTGTTTTGCTGATTTCAAAGTTGTGGCGTCTCTCTGAATGTTGAGCGGCGTTACATAGGGCTTGCTCTCCCAGAAACTCCAGAACTGAGGTGAGAAAGATGGCTGACATTGGAACAACAGACATGGGCGACCCATGCGCATGTTCCTCAAGTCTCTCGGATTCCAGAAACTCCTCCTCATCCTCGTCCTCCATGTCGCCAAGCCGAGCGTAAACCATGCAGCGCAAACGAGCCAATTTCCATGCTAGCTCCAGATCGAAATCACTCGGCTTCACCAGTTTCGGCGGCTGCTGAATATTGTCTGCATCTTCGCCTTCAATGTAGTCCCGCAGCTCCTCCTCCGCGGCAGAAATGGCAGCTTGTCCCAAACGAGGCCTTAGCAATCGGGGAACAGTCTGTCGAAGAGCGTCCAAGTTTGTCGACTTTGACAGAGACAGCATGTTATACAGGACCTGGTCAAGGAAGCCATTGACGAGCTCAAGAGCATTCTCAGATACGATGACTGGTCGGTCTAGTTCGGTCGACGTGAGGTGTTCGGCAGCACTTTGCGCAATGTAGGCGGGCGGTGGGTTCGCTTGAGGTAGCTGTCCGCCCATGAAAGACCGTCCAGATGTAGAGACCAGATCACTTGCGGAGCTTTGACTACGCAGATTTCGCGGATTTGCGATGTACTCGCTGTCCGGTCGCATGTTGCGCGGTGCGTATGTGGTAGAATTTGCTATGCGCGTAGCTGGCGACGGCGATCTACCTCAACGACACATTTGATCGCTTTCTGTAGAAATATGTTCACAGGTATGCGAATACTGTGCTTCCTTGTAGTCTTACGGTGCTGCGCGATGTCTTGTCTGTAGAACGACTCAGTTGCGGGGAAGGTCGTTGGCTGAGGCTGCGGTCCAGAAAGTCGATGCAAGCAGTGCCTAACCCAACACGAACTGCACTCAGGCCGACAATGGTTCGTATACGGACTGGAGGCCAGGTTCAGCAAGGCACGAGTGATTGCAGTCTACAAGACGCACAGCCTGGAGCAGAAAACGAACGCAGACAGCCCGAGTCGGCTGCACTCCTGAAATCGAAGCCAACGGACGGAACTTCTTAAACTGCGACAGTTCCACAAAGAGCTATCGCTGATTTAGTCTAGCTACCGCATATGAGATCTGCTCCCGGGGTCGCTTTAGGGCTTCTCTCAAGGATGCGAAGGCTTGAACAGCAACTGGCGAAAGTCACTACAGGGCATTGACTCCAATTAAGATCCTGCCATTCTCGCTTAGTATCTGGTGTATGCTGCTCATTCTGCTTAAACAAGCTGAAGTCGTGTCTTCTCTCGTCATGCTAGATAGCAGTCTGGATGACAGCGGGCAGGAATCGGGGTGGACTGATGACAGGCGACCATGACTCGGAAAGCGCAGCCATGTCCCCTGAATCCATACGAAGCACAGTGAGAAAACAGGCTAGCCAGCGCTTCTGTTCCCTAACAAGGCATCGGACTCCCCGGCTATTGATTCACGAGCCACCAAGTGGACCGTCAATTACATCCGACGATTACATAATTGAGGACCTCTTCGCTAACAGCACGTGTCTGTCGTCCAAAGCAGTTGAGCGATCGAAGGCCATGAGAAGCATGAGCTGGCTGCATCAGCGACTCCCTCAATTCATCAACAACGTTCTCTTTTGCTGGTGCAGCATTTGGCGCAGACCACTGCTGACGGCTGAAGGCAAGACAGTCGTCACGGTAGTACACAACTTCAACAGCTCGCATACTTATTGGTCATCGTCGGCTGTGGCTGTTCGAATAACAGCTGTCATGCATCGTCACATAGCCTATCGAGACCATCTATTCACTTTCACATTCCATCCGGGAGGGTTACTCTGTGCTCTTTCAAGCCAGGTTGCCTCCGAAGTGGATGCTTCACCTGACCCGTATTGAGCCCGCACAGACAAGAAAGTACGGAACTGCCATGGCCCCAATGCCGTGACGTGCTCACGTCGGTAAGGCTCTGCTCTGATCGAGCCAGGCGACTTCGAGCCTCCATGTTGCGAGTATTGGAGACTTCGTAAATGGCATCCAAAAACACCGTCTTTGCGCTGGTGGTGTCCTCGTCGCCATTGTCCGATGTGGCGACGCGTCTGGTGAGCCCGTAGTTAGTTCATGGACTGAACCCATTGCTCTCTCTCGTCACTCATCACTACGAAGTGTCTTCCAGGATGTCGTGCAGCTGAATCCGCGGCATGGTGACAAGGCAGTCGCTGGTTTACCGCGACACGGCCGTCTCCTGCGGCGTTTCGTCCGGGTTCGCTGAGTTCTGACCTGGGGTACTGAACACTATGGTCCGCTTCGAGAGATCTTGAGGGCTTCGGTAGGGTACCAATGACCATTCCGGCGCAGGCTCGCCATTAGTCCCGAGAAAACCCTATTGTATTCGACCACAATGACCGCAGGGCAACCTTGCGTATAACCCTATTGTGCTTCGTCAATGTCGGCGTCATTTCAGCGCAACAGACCAGCTAGATCACTGCCCATTCCAGCTACGCGCTCCTCAAGCGCCTTCTTACGAGCCTCGAGCTCTCGAATCTCCGCTTCTTCGGCTTCTATGTCAACTTCAGCAGCAAAAGCTCGCTTGGTGTACGCTGAATTTGACTCCTGCGCGTGGTCGTCCTCATCAGGAATGCCGAAACTTGAGCCAGTATTCAATCTATTCAAATTCGATTGCTGCTGTTGCACGAGCTGCTGGTATTCGGCGATGGACGAGGACAGGTTGCTGTTCCTCTGCCGAATCAGAGCAATCCTCTCGACCGCGCCTTCCACATGGTAGACTTCGCAAAGCTTTTCGGCCCCTAGCAGGAGAACTTCCACATTGACAGCGCCTTTGCCTCTTGCCGCACTGCCACTGCTCTGGCGGATGTCATAGAGAAGATCTTGGCCCAGGACTCGAGCGACTACGGAGCGAGGTTGCGCAGGCGGACCTTGAGCATAGATGCTCTTCCGTGGCCCAGAAGTCCTCTCCGTGTGCAAGCCATTGTCGTTGTGTACGCCAGATCTCCGCGAACCATTCGTCGCGTTAGGGTCGAGTGAGAACAGTGCTCGTTCGTGGGTCTCAGTATCTCGTATCAGTGTCGTGATCTCATGACTGCCGAGCAATGCGTTTGTGAAGATCTTCGGTGGAGGGAATCTGAAGAAATTAGCATTGCTACCGCAGTGGGTCGTCGTGACTTACTCAAGGTCGGCGATAGACGTAGCGGATGAACCAATTTGCTCCAAATGGCTTGCGAGCAGCGACATCGCGACGCAGCATTCCCACACCAAGCTCACACGGCCTAGTTCAGGGCTAGGTCTTCTGCGACCGTATTACGCACTGCCTGCTTGTCCACACTGTATGCCAGTGTGGTGTTGACTGTCTCCAAGTCGGTCGGCACCGCGGGGACGCGTGCGGTTCTTACGCCTAAGTCACGTGTCACTAGCCTCAGTTCAAGTTGCGGCCAAAATCGCAACTGTTGATCATGACTTCGCCGTAGATTGTTTCGGTCACTTCTTTCTCCGCTGCATCAGTCTGTCCTCGCATGGGCCATTAAGAAACTCTGGTTGATAGAACAGACTCCTGTTCGTAATTCTGCAAGCGACCTCAATATCCCAGCCGAAAGCATCTGCCAAACCCAGAGCTTCCGTGCTCATATCCAATCCAATATTGCAGCACAACGAGACCGGCCACTGCGTGTTAATCAAGCCATTGCAGCCCATTGACTCTGGAGAGCGCTAGGGTCAAGCTCTGTGGTCTGGTGGAAGCAGACTGAGTTCTGTCGCGCGGAGGTTAGACGTAACGGCTCTTGCATTTCCGATCAATCATCACGATGAGTGGTGACAAGCCTAGAACGAACGGGAGCGCGGATCAAGGTGATGTCGAGATGAACGATTCAACAACGCCGACAAAGAATGGCAAGGGTAAGGACGGCGACGAGGAAATGACCGTTGTCGTCCCTCCCTTGAAGAACGGCAAAGCCACAGATTCAGCGGCCAAGGATGGAGAGAAGACAGAAGAGGCTACACCTGTCGATCCGAGAGAGAAAGCCATTCAGGGTATGTTGTCAGGCTCTTCTTCTATCAGTCGAACTAATAGCCGCAGAAATCAAAGCAAACTTCGCTTTGCTTGAACGAGCAGTAACGCAGTTCGATCCTCGATTCAGTCTGCGCGTCCTTCGATCTATACCCTCGGTCCGCTCACAGCTGACTGCGGACGTGCTGGCGACGGTCATCATGGATACCTATGTCCGGCCTACGCCAACAGCGTTCGCTCTCCTCCAGGCTGTGAAAGACGATGCTTCCTTTCCAAGAGAACGAGTGGAAGAATGGAGTAAGAAGAAAGACACGCCACAATCACAGAAGACAACTTCGAAAGAAGTGCTGCCCGAGATCGACGTCTACCTGTCGATTCTGGTACAGGTCCATCTCTACGAGCGCAAAGCAATCGAGACCGGTGCACAATTCTCCGATGGCTTAGTCAACCACCTCCGAAGTCTCAACCGTCGAACGATTGATCCCCTGGCTGCTCGTGTCTACTTCTACTACTCATTATTCTACGAAGTGACTGCTCCTGCACCTCCTTCGCCTGTAGCTGCTGTCGTGGGGATACGAAAAACGCTACTTGATGCCCTTCGAACAGCAACCCTGCGCAAGGACCAGGACATTCAGGCTTCTGTAACCACACTACTTCTGCGCAACTACCTCTCGACCTCGCACATCAATCAAGCCGACCTGCTGATATCGCATACAGCCTTCCCACCAACGGCTGCCAACAATCAGATCGCACGATATCTCTACTATCTTGGTAGAATCAGAGCCATCCAGTTGTCCTACACAGAAGCGCATGAGCACTTGATCGGAGCGACAAGAAAGTCTCCGACGACCTACAAGGCTAGCGGATTCTACCAGGCTTCTACTAAGCTCCTCATCGTCGTTGAATTGCTCATGGGTGATATTCCTGATCGAGCAATTTTCCGCCAGCCAAGTCTAGAGAAGGCGCTCCAGCCATATCTCCAGCTCGTCCAAGCTGTCAGCACAGGAGATGTCATTGGCTTCCAGAATCTTGTCCAGAAGTACAACTCGGCGTTCAGAGCGGACAACACCTACACTCTCATCCTGAGACTTAGACAGAACGTTATCAAGACCGGCATCCGCATGATGTCTCTGTCATATGCTCGAATCTCTTTGCGAGATATGTGTCTCCGTTTGGGACTGGACAGCGAAGAATCAGCCGAATACATTGTGGCCAAAGCCATCCGGGACGGAGTGATAGAGCTAGTCTCGACCACGAGAAGGGTTTCATGAAAAGCAAGGACATCGGTGACATTTACTCCACACGCGAACCAGGCGACGCGTTCCATGAGCGTATCCAAGCCTGTCTAGCTCTCCATGATGAGAGTGTCAAGGTAAAAACTTTCCATCCTCGAATGGTTAAGCCTTTGCTAATTTATCCAGGCCATGCGCTTCCCTATGAATCAGCACCGACTAGAGCTCAAGAACGCTCAGGAAGCTCGTGAGCGCGAGCGAGAACTTGCCAAGGAAATAGTCGACGGGGAAATGGACGACGACGATACACCCGGTGGAGACTTTGAAGGGCTCTGAGGGCAGAGACGCACGCTACGGTCAGCGCGAACTCCGAGATTCACGGTATATAGGCATCGTAGCACAGGGAAAGCATCTTCGGGCGATGGGCTTGTGATGTCTGCATCGCTGCAATGGACAGCATTGTTGGGGCGAAGCCGCGATCAAGTGAGCGCTGGCAGGTGTGACCTGGGAAGCCTCTCACAATATAGAGCTGCCAGCATAGACATGAGCAATTAACGACGATCGTGACAAGCTGATCTGTTTCGTGATCCAAAATATCCGACTGATGGTTATCTCCAACTCAACTCTTCGCGTCAACAACCATCTCCAAATCGCGTCTCCCACCCAAACGCAGTCCTTCCGCACTGCACAGTCTGCATTCTACGTGTAGCGAATGAATAAAGAGCCTTGCTTCCCCTGCGCTTCGAATCGAATATGTCCCACCAGCGTCATCCCTCCCTCTCACAAACACAACCACAACCCCGCGCCTCCTCCCGCACGCGCTCGCGCTCACCCATTTCCCGCCCCACCACTCCGCTCCGCCCGTCAAGTCGCACGTCCTTCCGCGCCTCATCCACTGGCGACCCCAACAATCAGCATGGCTACTCCGCCACCCCTCTAGACTCCCTCGAGCCTCAATTCGCCGAACTAGCAGACAGTATGGCCGATCTCGAAGCCAACTTCATGCACCTACAGCTCATGCACGAGTCCCTTGCCCGCTTCGGCGAAAGCTTCGCGGCATTCCTCTATGGACTGAACATGAACGCGTTCGTGGTGGACTTCCCGGAAGCGCCGGTCGCGGAGAGTATCAAGCGGTGGCAGAAGAGGGAAAGGGAGCAGAGACGACGGGATGGACTGTTGGGGGACGAGACTACTGTGCTGGGTGGAGGCGGGCGTGTAGGCGACGAGACTACATTGGCGACGGGGGATACGAGCTATGCGAGTATGAAGCAGACTCCTAGAAGGAAGAGCATGGCGCCGCTTGGGGGCCCAAGGGAGACGCCGGCTACGGCGAGCACGAATACGAGTAGTGTTATTGGTGGCGGTGGTGGGAGGTCGGGCATCCCTGCTGCAAGAGGGAGCCGAGGGCGTGGTGCTGGGAGGGCTGGTGCTGCAAGTGGGCTGCCGAGGGGAAGGGGTAGGGGTGTGAAGTGAGCAGGGGAGCATATTGGTCGATACCTCTCATGTGCTTGTCACGATCATTGCTGCAAGGTGGTGCGATGCTGCGATCTTCTGAGGAACGCCGATCCTTTGGGCTCTGACCAGTCTCTATTAACGCAGAAAGTGGCAGGTTGGACTCTCCGTCGATACAGCGACAGCACTGGCTCAACGAGTGAATATGTCCTCAACCGGGCCCAGCTAGGAAGCTCCAACGAGTGCGGCGATCGCGTTGCTGAATAGCGTAGCACTTGGGGGTCAGTTTCGTGGGGAGCTCGGCATACTGGTCTGCGCTTCTTCGAAAGCCCCAAATGACCAATTCACAGCATTCGTCGATGCCCAAAGTCAGCCGGGATACCGAGCAGACAGAAGCTGGAACGCCATCGGCAGGATAACAGTCGAATAGTCCTAGCACAGACATGAATACTTCCAGTTCATCAGAGAAGCCGAGTGTCTGGTCATTGGAAGGAGAATGAAAGCTGATCCTGAAAAGTCAAGAACTCCAACCACCGTGAGGGTGGCGAGCTGTGACTTTTAGTGTTGGGCGTTTTCACCAAGTCTACCACCTTCGAATCTCAAGCCACATTGCTGCTTACCATGGATTTCTCGGCCAGGGAGGGCGCTGTAGTACTAGCACCCTTACGCTGATCGAGATGGTGGGCTGAAAGAGCCTCACTCGAGCGTCAAGGCAAAGAATTGCTCCATCGTGGACGTTCTGGTTAGGGACGGCCGCTGTAGGGAAGATGCCCCAGCACTCTTAGTGACAACCTGTATGCACATATGCGCTTGGAAGTGCAGCATTCCAGGCAAGGACCACAGTTGATATGAATGGTATCAAACACCATCAGGACGGCATGATGAATGGTTTCTCATTCTACTGTAGCTGAGAAATGTGTTGCATAGCTCCCATAATTCTATGTTTCGCGAATGAATGCTCCGTTTGGTTGCCTTATGGATCGGCGGATGACAGCGAGGGCAGTCCTAGCCGGGGAGTTTTGCCTCGCAGCCGCCAGAAGAAGCTAATTAGCGGCGGAAGTTTAAGCAAATTCCCAGGCGCTTCGGATTCTTGGGATTCGACACGATGGTACTGTTTGCCCAGAGCTGAAGTATATTGTCATCGCACATAATATTCTATAGACCCGCATGATACACGGAGCAGACAATGAAGGATCGGCAATCGTGATAATTGTCGGGAGAGCGAGAGCCGGCGCCACTTCCCAGTCGGCTGGTGCTTGTGATTCAGCCACCTTATTCGTCCTACAGAGAAGGTCAAGATGGGGACCCTCATGAAGCTGAGGCTGCCCGGCTGCGAACATATGGACGAGAAGACTGCGTCAAAAGTGCGGAAGCTACGGGGCACCGAGGCTGGCCGGGACTTTGTCCAGTATATCTGCGTGGATTGTCCTTTTGAGGGAGGGTTCTCGAAACTGGATGCCCACTACAGCAAGACCCAGCACAGCTTTGCGACTTCTTCCCGGTCAACTTACTGTGCAGCGTGCCAGGACCTGGTCTACGATCCAGACTTCGTCCGCAAAGGTACGAAGAAAGGGAACCTGGTTCAGGCGAATGAAGAAGAGGATGCTGCCGTTGCGGCGAACACATCTCAGCGGCCGTGTGGGCGCGAGGGCGTGAGAGGGTTGTTCAACCTCGGAGAGACATGCTACATGAATGCTGTCATACAAATGATGGTCCACAACCCGCTGCTAGCAAGCTTCTTCCTGGGCATGGGACATCCAGTCCATCTTTGTCCGATCTCCAATGCGGCAGACAAGAAGGCTGATTCAGACTCTGAGGACGAGGACGACGAGGAGAAGGATCCCAAGGCCTGCGTTGCTTGTGGAATGACTGAAGTGTTCTCCGATGCTGTGCAGGCCGACCTTTCACAGCCAGCGCATGCGGTTAACCTCCTATTCGCCTCTTGGAAGAACATACCGCATATGCAAGGAAAGCATCAACAAGATGCTCAAGAATGGTTCATGCTCATCGTTGATAAGCTTCACGAGTCGCTATCAGCCAACCCAGACTCGAGACTGCAGTGCGAGTGCTTTTTTCATAAGGTCTTCTTCGGACGACTTCACCAAGAGGTGACTTGCGACAAGTGCAAAACAGTGTCGGTTACAGAGGAGGAATACTCCAGCATCGGTCTAGACTTCAAGAAGCAGTTCAAGAGAAAAGTAAGTCAGCGAAGAAATACTGATTGACCTGAATGCACAAGACTCACTCCTTCACCAGAAGAAAGCCCAGCCCGAGGTCAAGACAGTTGTTCCCACTGTACACGAATGCCTTCGAAGCTACACCGCCCCAGAAGTGCTCTCCGCCGAGCAGTACAAATGTAGAAAATGCGATGCGCCGCGGACGGCATCAAAGCAGGTCCGTATCGGTCAGCTCCCAACAATTCTCTGCGTCCATGTCAAGCGATTCGGCATGAAAACTGCTGGATCTTGCCTTGTTCAGGAGAAGTACGACGGCAAGATCGACTTCCCCCTGATACTGAACATGATGCCATACGTTACACACATTACCACTGGCATGAAGAGAGATGCATTGGTGTACGATCTGGACTGTGTCGTTGTTCATCAGGGTGACAACGTGCACAATGGCCATTACTTCGCCTTCTGCCGTATCGATAGAAAGTGGTTCCGCTTCGATGATGAGATTGTGTCGGCAACGACGATAGAGGAAGTCCTGCGACAAGAGGCGTACTTACTGTTCTACTCTTTGCGTAATCTGGACTAGCAGCCTTCTACACCAAGGGACCCAGGATCTACAGTGAAGCCACATTGGACCATACTGGACGGCAGAATCGTACGCCTTCGCGAGCGTGCTTACTCGTCGGAGTGACCCATACAGGGCGATTCGCAGCCTCTGGTGCCGTCAGACAGGTTCAGTCTCGACGTTTGACTGGGAAGAGTCTACCACCGCGATTGGCACACTGTCGGCACGTTGGCATCTGGCAAGATCGGCTAATCACTAGCCAGTCCTGCTGCTTTGGCTGCTGCATAACTCTGTAAGACATGGTTGACGTGTGCAGGCCTAGACCGGTCATATGACATTGACTGGCGTTAGAACGCAACGAGGGCATTTTGCGGGGTTTGGACTCTTTACATACACACGTGCATGGTGCCAGTCTGGGTCATTGCGTCTTCGGTTGCTGGGATGAGCCCAGAAAGTTCACGAGTGGCCGGAGCAAAATACTAGTGCCCGCAAATGCCTAGCTTACCTAGATACGATTGCGCAACTATTTTTCTCAACGCTAGTGGTTGCTGCAGCGCTAGTTGCAGATCTACCAGTTGCAGGTGCTTGTTTGCCTGAACGTTCCCTCGTCGGTGTGACGAATGTGCGAGCGCGAACAATCGCTGGGCGTCACAGCGCATGTGCCGTGCACAAATATTTTATGCGAAGCCGTAGTTTCGAGCTCAACTATACTGCAAATACTCAAAAGCCTACACAGGAGTCATGCACTATGCACTGCACTCGTGACATAGTGCGTCGAACGCTGCCAGTGCGCTACCGATGACCCGTACCGTGGGGATCTTCAACCTCGAAAGTTTGTGCACGCCCAATGACACACCAGAATGATCTGCTCATCCCATGGCAAAGGCCGCACTGATGTATGAGGTGCACTTGTAGAGGTGGCCGATTAGCCGGATGACAAACCAGGTCAGATACTTGGTAGTTTCTGTAACGGGATAATGTGCTGTCTCTTCGGCACGCCGCGGAATGCGAGGCTGCCTAACTTGCCGGTTCCCGCCACATGTCTCTTCGATTCACGCAACTTACGAGATAGGTACACGAGCCTGCACATAGTGGGTATAGTGGCTGCTCACTCGCTGTCGTCTTGTTGCCAACGTGCAGGCCACCCACCACGAAGGCGCCGATCCACTTGGTACCTCAGGCTGCCCCCAGTCGTTGGCAGCTTTTGCGCTGCATCGCAGACGCAGCCCCTCTTTCCACCCCTTGTTCGGCGCACTTACGCGGCGCTTTCGCTGCCGTGATGGGGAGCCTTCTCACGGTGCACTCAGCACACTTGCATTCTGGTTGGGAATCACTTGGGCAGGAAGCCACCCACCCTGTCAAGCTGGTCTTACTCTACACCAAAGAACATTGGATGCAGGAGCATTTGGATGAATACAAGCATGTTCAGAGATCCAGTGCTTTAGCATCGTTCCTGTGGAATGACTTGGCCCGACCATTCCGAACAATCCCATCTTGCCGCCGAATAGCGGTGACTATCACAATCGAAGGGAGTCAAATCTGCGTTCAACAATTATTCCGACAATGAGCTCATCCTCGATTTTGAGTCAGCACCTTGGAGAACGTCAGATGCGGTTCCGCCCAGGTCTCCACTGTCGTTGCCAATGGAGCAGGCACGCGTATCGCATCACACTGTTGTTATGTCCGAAAGATCTTTTTTTTCTCTCATGACTTGTACTCGTATGGTATGAATCATCCGAAAATGCCGGCTTCGCTGGGCGCTTCCTTGTGGCACATACCAAAATCATGTCACTGCTGCATTGCTGGGCCAGTCAAGCTCAATTCAGGCCCCATGATTCCTCATAGTTATGCTGACAACACTTACCGATCCTTCAGATAGCTGATCCTTAAGCTCGCCGGTTCGCAATTCTCGGTCGGGGTTCTTGTAGCCTGCTCTTTTGCCCATCTTACAAATTCAGCACCGGCTTATGCGCTGCTCTGTTGTCTCACTGCTTCTTCTAATTTCCATCAGACAGACACCACCCGCTCGACAATCCAGACAAATCTCAGCGAACACCAATCACTGGTCGAACGTGCCTGGTTCTCACATCTGAGATCTCACTCGCGTCAGACTTTGTCACAGGTCCTCCTCGCCCATCATCCTCCACAAAGCGGGCCGTGCCTGACGACTTGCACTGCCACGATCATCTCGTGTCACAACTGCAGACCGCGGTCGCCGAATGTCCATCTCCAGATCTATTGTCGCAGCTGTGCTGCTCCACCTTTCCGTGCTGGTCTCTGCCCATGGCCATCATGGCGGCATGGGTGACATGGACGTTGGGGATGGCCCGAAACTCGAGCATGGACCGCCGTCGACTGGAGAGGTGACGTACTATGCTGGTCTGTCCTCGCACGTAGCTCTCATGATGGCGCATATCGGACTCATGGTACTCGCGTGGTTCTTCGTTCTGCCACTCGGTAAGTGTGCCGCTGGAAAAACATGTTCCATTTGAGTCTGACGTCGACCAGGTGTTATGTTCAGCATTGCTCGATCTCGGTATACATTGCCAGTCCAGTTGCTCTTCCTCGTCGTGAATGGTGTTGGCGTCACGCTGGCGACCATCTACAACGTTAGCACACCAGACCTATATGTGAACAACGCGCACCACAAGATCGGATGGATAGCGACATGGGTCATGACCGCTCAAGCTGTCATGAGCTTGTTGTTCTTGTACTCAGGACGCACAAGTAAGATTGAGCCTATGTCGTCCGAGACGGCGGCTTTCTTGCCTATGTCGGCGGCAAATATGGCCCAGCACAATCACAACTCGCCGTATCACGACTACCGATGGTCAGCTGACAGTGGCTCACCTACCAGTCGATCCTCAGCGACGCTCAACAGTCCGAGAGATATCTCGCCGAGCAACATGTATCGTCTATCGAAGGAACTCGAGCGCGACGAAGATGTAGACGATGAGGAAGGCCTCTCGATGCCAATGCCCACTGCTATGCCCGAGACATCTCCTAGCCACTCGAGGTTCCGCGTGAAGGTTGTGGACACATTCTTGTCAGCCAAAGTACCAGGCTTGTTCTCGAAGAGGTTGATAAGGGCGGCAGAGATAGGATACGAAGTAGTAGACCGAACGATTCTGCTCCTCGGCTATATTGCCTTATGACGGGTTGCGTTACATTCGCTGGCTGGATGGTAAGTCTTGCCAAGACACATGTTTTACCCGACGAGTTCCCGATGCTAACTCAACTGTAGCATGGCACTGATGTCTTCAACGGACTCGCTCACTTCATCAAAGGCGGCATATTCTTTTGGTATGGACTGCTCACCCTTGGCCGCTGGATGGGCTGCTTTGCGAGTTGGGGTTGGGCATGGCAAGTCAAGCCAAGCCAATCCCAGGTTGGCAAGTGGAACGCCAGGATGCCTTCTGCTGAATTCACCGAGTCCTTCGTCATTTGGCTGTACGGTGCCAGCAATGTCTTCCTGGAGCACCTCGGCGCCTGGGGTGGGCAGTGGGACCCTCAAGATTTCGAGCATGTCTCCATCAGTATCATGTTCTTCGGTGGTGGCCTAGTAAGTCGAGCAGATCAGATTGTCCGATGAGTACGCTGCTAACATCGATTTCAGCTCGGCATGCTTGTCGAATCCACAACCATCAGGAGCTGGCTCAACACTGCTGTCGACATGATGCCCGCCGGTCGCAGCGTCGACTCTGACGACAAGCAACAACTTTACCGAGAACCGAAGACGTACGGGTTCTCTTATAATCCTGTCCCTGCGTTGGTCATCATGCTGCTCGGCATCATGATGTCTTCGCACTCTCAAGACTCGATGGTTTCGACAAAGGTACACGGGCAGTGGGGTACACTGCTCTCTGGCTTTGCGATCGCACGCACTCTCACTTACCTGTTCCTCTACATCTCGCCACCAACCTCGATATATCCAAGCCGTCCTCCCACGGAACTGCTCTCGGCGTTTTGTTTGATCAGTGGTGGGCTCATCTTCATGGCCAGTTGCCGGGACATAATTCGATCTATGGAGAGTCGCGGCATCATGGCCATGTTCGTCTTCACCGTCGTCATGGGCTTCACATCTTTTCTGATGGCCTGGACTGTCGTTGTGATCGCGTTCAAAGGCTGGGCTGTCCGACGCGAGGCAAAATGCTCACCGAAACACTAATGACCAGACCCGACAATCGCGTCGCTCCCAGGCGGCCTTCAATTCAGCACGCTCGCTCATGATCTGTCCCGAATTACGACTTCTATCGACGTTAATGGACTTGGCCTTTTCTTGCATTTTGGCGTTTTAGGCATTCTCGCAGTCGGGAGATATCTCTCCCTGCACTGGAAATGCTCTGCTTAATTCGACATTCTGACTTTCATTGCCACGATACCCAATACTGCGATTTCTAAAAGCCGTACCGGCGCGTACGCTTCATTTATGATATCCCCAGATCGAATTTGATAGACTGCCGTTTGGCGGAGAGGAGGACAGATAGCTTGTGCCGCGGGCGGAAGTGCTCCCTAATAGCTCATGAGTAGCACTAATGAGACTTCACTCCTGTGGCTCTATTTGTTCCACATGCGTTTTGTAGTGCGCTTCGTGGACGCGAATGTACGTGGATCGAAATACTCTCACCTCATGGTCGTGTTGGCAGAGACACGAATCACTGAACCAGAACCAGCGTCCCTCGAATTGCTTGGCATTCATTTCCGAGCCTCCGAGGAACGTTTGGGGGCCGGATATTTCATGATCAACGACTCCTGTGACTTCACGCTCTCGACCTGGTCTGCAGCTCCTTCAGCGGTGGCAGCAGGTATAATACGAGTGCCTTGCCGAAGCCTAGCGAGAAGCAAGAGATCGTACCTGCAGCGTTAGCCGCACATACCTGCGATCAGTAATCCCAGAAGTTCCGCTCCTTTCACGCGCGACCTGGTCTGCGGCACGCGACATCATCGGCTACACAGCATTTGCTCTGCCCATCGCTCGCAGCCTCATCTACGATTGCCTCTTACCTGAAACACCCTCGCCCTACGTGGGCGCCGCTCCGCTGAGCAATCTCTTGAAATTAAGGCTTTCCGGAGCCAACAGGGCCAGGAAGCACAAGAGCCAGCAGCGCCCAAACCTCGCCCCGGCCAACAAGCCTCAGTCCTCACAGCATGGCGCAATCGACGCCTCTCTCCCTCCCGACCGCGCTAGTATCGCCAGCCCGCATCCGCAGCTACGTCCTACGGCTGCCACTCTTCACGCGCATCACGATCCTCCTCATCCTGCTCTTCTACGTCCTTGAGTTCCAGTCGGTATGGTCAGTCGTCAATTGGGGCTCCCTGAAGCCCTCGGTGATTGGGATCTTCACCGGTGGCATGCACAGGTTGAACACGTATATCTTCATACACACCGGCTTCCTGCACATGTTCTTTAACACGTTGGCGTTGGTGCCTTTGATGGAGCGGTTTGAGAAGGAGTGCGGGACGTTGACGAGTATTGCGCTTTGGGCAGGGCCATTGGCTACGATACCGGGTGGATTGTATATTTTGGTCGAAAGGGGGATTTGGGGAGGCGATACAGCAATTTGCGGCGCAAGCGGGCCCGTCTTCTTGCTGGTTGCGAGCGAGGGTGTGAGGAGTTGGAGGGCGAATCCGTTCTTTGAGTAAGTTCAGAAGATATGCTACAAAGCGTCCGTCCTGATGACATGCTACAGGATATCGGGTGTCAAAGTGCCAACGTGGATAACGCCAATAGTTTTGGCGGTAGTCACGGCAATCTTGATTCCTGGGACGAGTCTGCTCGGTCACGTCTGTGCCCTGGCAGTTGGCTATCTATGTAGGTCCACTAGGAATTATCCTCACCGCATTTAATGCCAGGTACTAACGGCACTGACAGGGGGCCTCGGCTACATACGATTCCTAGCCCCTCCAGACAAAGTCATCAGGTGGATCGAAGGCAAGCTGAACCTCTTAGGAAGAGTGCCGCACTATGTCTCGGTTGACCAGAAGACGTATGGGAGGTATGGTGTACTCCCGACGAGTGCGAATGAGCAAGCACATGCGAATGGTATTGGACTAGGATGGGTCGGCACGAATGGAGGGCAGCGGCTGGGCTCATCGTAGCAAGATGTGGGAGAAGGACGAAATCAAGTATCGAGTCTACCCACGACGGCTGGAGCATCATGTTACTCATGTCGATCTGTCTCGGCGAGCCGAGTGGAAGTATAGGCTCCTCGTCCGATCAATGACATCGATTCCATTCACAGGCATCGTGACGCTAGCCACACCACCTTTCTAGCCAGATTTCAGCGATTGACATCACTGCACACCAAGTCTCGGTACACTAGACTGAATATTGGAAGCCAGAAGGATCTGGTCGACACCGCCGAATGCAGATCAAGTCAGTGGTCCATTCGATCGTCGGACATCTGCCAAAGAGGAAACCTTCTGTCGACCGGCGCTCACGTCAACCGTGGGCACGCTATATATTGGCCACAACGTTGCGGAGCAGATGTGCTAGCCTCCACCATGAGGGAGACGGCCTGTACACTAGTACGACTCAAGGAAAGCCGCTAGCGGGAGCAGCTCTTGCACTTTGGAGCGCCTCTCCAAGAGCGCTCCTTCCTAACCGGTGCCTGCCTTCCTGTCGTTCTGGCATGCAGTGGGAAGGTGTGGCGTTCGTCAATCTAAAAGTTCGACTCGAGAGATGTCCAGTGTAGAATTTCCAAGAAGGAAAGGGTGCAAGTACCCCTACTCTGGACATTTCTCGAGTCGAATTTATAGATTGACGGACGCCTCAAGGGTTCTCGGGTGATCGGACATGGCAACAACGACGTGGCTATGTGATGTAGATGAACAATAACAGCCTTGCATGGATGATCCTTGATGAGGCAACCCATGAAGTGAATGTCTCTTCCAATGTAGTCCGATGCGCCAGCAGCCAAATTCTCAGGCCGGGTAACAAATCTCTTCGACGGTTTCAAGCACGTCAACCGGTCTGAGTCAAGTTTGATGAGACCCCCTGACGGCGGCGGGGGCGCCCCCCGAAGCATCAGATTTGTTGGAGTCTTGGAGATCAATGCGTGCATTCTTCGAGAGTTCGAACTTGACCACGACCGCACATCTTGTCGGCCTTGCATCGACGCTTGCGTTGGCAGAGCAAGGCCTTGAGCATGGGAATAGTCAGTAAGTCAGAACTTGCAGCGCTGAACGTCTCCAGCTAAGCCTCCGCAGCCGACTATCTCTTTCGTGTGCGAGCGTCGCCTCGACTCCTGGGTCTGCCACCCTATCTGTCCGCATTGTGTATGATAGCCGGTGTTATATGGTTATTGCTTCTGCCTCTCCAGCAGTATTCACGTCAAACGTATATCTCCGAGAACGCCTTGCTGCCCGGTCAAGTCCACACATACTACAGTGGCTCGGAACAGAATGTGTTCCGTGCATACAAGCATGAAGTCGCACGCATGATCGTCCAGCCATGGACTACCTTGGAGAATGGGACCAAGATATACCATCCATTGCCCGCCTCAGATGACGACAGAAGGCGGAAGTTTCAAGAGTTGTTCCGCAATGCTGGTCTGAAGACTGCCACACAGAAGTACGAATACCGCTCGTCAGGAACCGTGTACGCAGGGGAGAACTATTATGGCGTCCTACAGGCGCCTCGAGGCGACGGCACAGAAGCAATTGTTCTGATGGCGCCCATACGCAACATTAACAACGAGCTGAATTTGCAAGGGGTAACACTGCTGCTGTCACTGGCGAAATATTTCAAGAAATGGTCGTTGTGGTCAAAGGACATCATCTTTTTGATCACTCCGGATGCTAAGGCCGGGCCACAAGCCTGGGTGGACGCTTATTTCAGTAAACATGATCCCAGCAGTGTAGCGGATCTGCCACTCAAGTCAGGCGCGTTACAGGGCGCTGTGGGTATTGACTATCCGTTCGAGCACCGCTTTGAAAGTTTCTCCTTCGCCTACGATGGCGTCAACGGACAATTGCCCAATCTTGACCTCTTCAATACTGCTGTCAGCATCGCCAGCGGCCAGATGGGCATACCCGCACACATTCAGGGTCAAGAGCACGGGGGTCCCAAGGAGAGGTACAACGACTGGGACCACAGGACTCGTGTACTTGGGAAGGGCATGATCAGCCAAGCGTTGGGACAATCGACTGGTCCTCATTCCGTCTTCATGCCATACCATATCGACGCCATTACGCTGACGGCTGCTGGAGACGGCTGGCAGGATGAAATGGCGTTTGGTCGCACGGTCGAGAGCACTGTCCGGAGTCTGAACAACTTGCTAGAGAAACTGCACCAGAGCTTCTTCTTCTACCTGCTCATGCAGAGCAACCGCTTCGTGTCTATAGGCACATATCTGCCGAGTGCAATGGGAGTCGCTGCCGCCTACACAGTCATGGCCATCTACTTGTGGGTCTTGAGTGGCTATAAAATTGTGAAAAGGACTGAAAGTGCCGCTAACGGCACTGTGACGGGTCTAGCGGACTCGAAAGGAAACTCGAATGTTGTCTCGTCAACAGTACCGCAAGACATACCGGAGCAGCCGCAAGCTACAGCATCCATCGGCGATCGCAGCTTCATCCCCATAGAGCGATCTCTCACGCTGCCAATCTCTATCATCACCGCCGTCCACTTGGCGTCACTCGTCCCGCTGTTGATCCTGAGCAAGGCCAGCCGAGAGAGCATCACACCCATGCTGAGCTTGATTGGCTTCGGATCGCTCCTATTCCCTGCCGCACTGGCCGGCGTCCTCAAGGATCTGCCAGTATACAACACCACCGTCCCGGTCTTCAGCGCTCCGACACACAAACAATATGTCGTGCTCAAGAGCCTCAGTCTATTGCTCCTTGGGCTGTTCCTGACAGTCCTTGCCACACTGAACTTCTCCCTGTCCATGTTTCTGGGTCTGGCCTGCGCCCCGATCGCTTTTGTGGATCGAGTGCCCGGGAAGGCTGCTTTAGCGGCCTTACAATACGCGCTCCTGCTGGTGACATCGCCTGTCGTGGTCGCGATGGGTCTCGTCGGCTACGCGAGTTCTGTTCTCCAGCACCCAGATGGACTCATGCTGATCAGTCAGTGGTTGCTCAAATTCGCTTTTGGCTGGAATATTTCAGGCAGCTGGGGTGTGCCTCTGGGAGTGTTTTGCATATGGTGGCCTGCCTGGACCATAGCTGCGACGGTGGTAGCGAGCTCGTGGTTTCCTAGTGCGGAACGAGACATTAAATTGGCGGAGGTCGCAGATGAGCAGAGTCAGTCGGAGGCAGCAATCACAGACGATAAACGCAGTCGGGTCTCGAAGTCTGCACAATCATAGCATTCGGCGAGGGAAAAGCCATAGAACGATGCATTCCATATACGAAATCAACATCTGCGTTCAGCATCGTCACACTTTCAGACGCGTTATTACCCCTTGACATGAACATCAATGCTAGCGGCCAGCACTAGGGAAATGAGTCTGTGACGATTCATGTGAAGTATACTACAGACTGCTCAGGCCAGGAAAGAGGAATTATATTCCAGTCAACCGGCGCGAGCTATCAAGCTCGACCGCGGCAGTGCATTTTGTTCTGACAATGTTTTACGCGCGGCAGAGAAAATCCTTATCGTGTCTATCACTCTAGAGGCTGTCGTTACACACATGTGTCGTCCGGTGTGGCTAGAGCCCACGGTTCACAATGGTCAACCAGCTTGGTCTGAGCCTACGTCTGGCCCCAGTCATCCGGCGTGAGTACATCCGGTCTTAGTCAACCGGCGCGTCATAAGTCTATCATTGAACCAGAATGCATTCACTGCTGCTGCCACACTCTGCACAGCATTACTGACAGAGTACTGTGCACGGCCCTACAGTAGCCCCTTCGCGACCTTCGCCTCCAGCAGACCCTTCGCCCACCTCACTGCATCTGCGTCTCCATTTCCACCCTCTCCACCCGGAGCCTGAAAACCAGGCATGATCGCCAACCACTCAAACACCGCGGCTCTCAACTCGGGCCTCAGCCGCGGCGGTCTCGACACCACTTCGTCCATTGCCGCCACCACCTTTTCCGCCGTCTGATGCAACAAACCCTCCGCGGCCCGAAAATTCCGCGGCACCTTCTCCTCCCCGGCCGCCGCGAGGACCGACGGAGCGTCGTCTGCCCCGATGCGCTCCGCGGGCGTGCTAGCAAGCCTTCCTTGTAGCCGACCATACTATCAACGCTTACGGAGACGGTACGTGGCCAGTTGGAGGACATGAGGTTCCATTTGTCGACCGGCTTGGTGCCGTCCGAGAGGGTGGCCTGATCGCCGGCGCCGCGGAAGTCGGTGCGCAGGATCACGGAGGGGATGTCGGCGGCTTTGGCGTACATGTATTCGACGACGGTGCCGGCATCGAGTTCGGCGCCGTCGTAGATGAAGAGGGCGAGGTCGCAGGAGAGGAGGGCCTGGAGGTCTGTGTCTCGGATTGTGTGCGGAGTCGGTGGGGCCGATGATGGTGCGGTCGTTGCGGAGATGGTTGAAGATATCGATGGGATGGGCCTTGGCTCGAGGTCCTGTGGGAGGACTGGCTGGAAGCGGCTCTTAGAGATCTGGCTGATGAGAGTGGAGAGCGCGATGTTGGTTGTCAGGTCGGCGAGGGTGAACAAGGGACCGGCATGATAGTATGTGTATTGCTTTTCAGGCGAAGCAGCGGAAGTCATATTCAGTGACACGATACCGCGAGTAATGGTCGTTGCTGTTGGTTGATACGCTTCACTACAGAAGTACGCCTCCTGAGTGGAGACAAACTCAAATTCCTTGGCCTACTTCATGGTGAGGTTGACGACTTTCCTCCCTCAGCTTCAGCATCCTAGTTCTTGAGCTTTTCCTCCACGTTACAGGACTCATATGGCTTGTTGGAGACCTTCGAGGCCGCTTGAGCAATCCGTGACGAGTCGAGCTTTCCTACGGTGCTCGGCCCCTTCGACGCGCCTTGATCGGCCGGCACACGATAGAAATTCCCGCGCACGATGCATTCGCACGAGAAGCTCCAAATTAAGATAGGACCGTTTGATCAACGGCCCGGAGCCAGTACATACGTGCATGCTCACTCACGGACCTGATGATGGCGAGACACATCTTTCAGCCCACCACCAATGCCAAGACCTACGACGAAGTTCTATCGAACACTACGTGACAACCATACGAGCTGGCGAGCTTCCCCTAAATGACAGTGATCCGGCCCGCACGACAAATGTAAGCCCGGTGCTTGCATTGACCAAACTCTTGAATTCACAAAGTCGAAATTTGTTGTTGACGGGAACCGATTTCGATATGAAGCGCGCCCGGCCGGGGTGAGCAAGCGAGCAACGATTGGAAGTTGTTTCATGGCTTTCAAAGCCCGTTCCTGGCGAACCCCAATGATTGCGGCGCCGGGGAGGCAAACCTGGACATTTTCATCTTGCCGCCGGGACTGGCGCCAAGACCTTTGGTGACTCTCATCAAGTCCAGGACGCTGCACGCGCGATCAAGGAGAGCAATGAGCTGTGTCTATGGAGCTGTCGCTGGTGGTTCTCATCTACTGTGCCTGATGTTCACACGCTATATTCTTGAACAAACGCGTCGTGTTCTTCGGGAACGCCCCTTCCGAGGCGGCTCAAATGCGGCCTACATGCAACGAGCCAAAGGGCGTGCACGATCTGTTCAAATCTGGAGCTCCAGTCCTACAGGTACGAATTGGGTAGCTCCGTTGCTATCCGGCCCACCAGGGACGATAGCTGCTTCCGAAATCCCGTCTTTGCATCGCTTCCATCTAGAGCACGGAACGACATCAAGCGTACTACTGCACAAGCATCGAGACAAGCTCATCATGTCGAGTTCTTGACCACACTTGGCCCACAGGCCACAGACATTTGGGGACACAGTGCTGACATTGGCCTCAGCCGGCTTCTCGGAAGAGCACAGCGCCGTTAGAGCACACCCGGATGAGGCAACGGGCATTGCAGGGCGACTTGATGCAGAGTCTCATCACGCTATCTGATAGCCTGTTCGGGACCAATCTAGGGACGTGAGAGAGTCTTTCCAACCCACTCCGTCCTGGATTCTGGTCGTATGCGTTGCAACGAAGACTATTTGCCTGATTGGCTGCGTAGATACTTTGTACGTGGAACCAGGCTCTGTATTCTACCCGAGGATTGAGGTCGTTCATAGCATACGCAAAGGTGGAAGAGGTTGATGCCCGTAATCCGACGAGTTATTGAACGTAGCACCGTCCGTAAGTGGTGGTCCGGAACGTGGGCAATGCCTCAGGCACGAGCGCAGCCATCGTTCGAGAGACTTAATCCAGATCCGTTGACACGTCCCTGGTATGCAGGAAGCCTTGGACAAGAAGCGGCCGTAGCAGGATTTATCGCTTGTGTTCCGAGCATTGCCGTCCTGGGTCGCGATGGAGTTTGTGTTTTCTCGATGTGGTAGCCAAGACTTGCCACGGCCTGAGAGACGTTGCGACTGCTGTAGTGATGACCGTGTATCAGCGATTGAGAACCCTAGTAGATCAATATGCGAACCTCGGGAATTAACCCACGAATGCCTACAATACCAAGGACGGGACGCCTTAACCAAGATCGACACCACATTGATCGATTGATACGCGTAAACCGCATGCAAGAAGCTACAAAAGGTCGTCTCTCGTTGTTCAATGCTCGCCAGAAGCACACCACTTCTGCTAGCTCAACGATGCCCGCCACGAAGGAGGACTATGAGCGGCTGTCAGCTTGGGCGGCACTTCTCAACCCAGACCAAAACATAGATCGACGGGGACATAAACGTATCGTCCCGCTGGAGGTGATCAATGTCTCAGCACCGCGAACAGGCACGTTGTCTCTCAATGAGGCCTTCAGCATTCTCGGCTATGCCAACCCATACCATATGTCATCAGTATTCGCGAATTGCAAGGACGCAGACATATGGCAAGAAGCACTGGCTGCAAAGTACCGGCCTTCGCCAAACAGTGAGCCCTTTGGGACGAAGGAATTCGACCAAGTGCTCGGGCACTGCGGGGCGGCTGGCGACGCGCCTTGCGCACTGCTCTGGCGCGAGCTCATGGAGGCGTACCCAGATTCGAAGCTGATCCTCGTGGACCGTGATGAGGACAAATGGTTAGCAAGTATGCAACAGCTCGCAGAAGGTGCTATCAATCGCATCACGAGCACTATCAAGATCACTGATCCCTTCCGGACTGGTAGAATATTAAACCTTGGAATCAACTGGATGGGATATTGGACCGGAAGTATGAACGACCTCTCCGCGAGGACTGTTGTGGCCAACGCCCGCGAGACGTACCGAAAGCACAACGCAGACATCAGAGCGACTATGCCAAAGGAAAGGCTTCTCGAGTACAAAATGGGTGATGGATGGGAGCCGCTGTGTAAATTTTTGGGCAAGGATATACCTGGGGTGCCTTTCCCACATCGCAATGATGTGAAGACAATGGAGGCCTCTATTGGTTCGATGTACGAGGAGGCTCTGAAGGCATCGCTTTGGAATATCGCTGTAGTTGTGGGTGGTGGAGCGATCGTTGTTGGCAGTCTGTGGCAGCTGTATGTCGCGCTGAATGGATAGATACGTAGAACAAGTGCGAGGTCCTTGAGGTGACAAAAGAGTTCGACACAGAGTAAGCGCGATCTCAACGCGATGGGCGTGCCTTCTAGGCTTTGAGAAGCTCCACTATCTCCGGTAACTGATTTTGCCGATTGGGTACGAGACGCGACTGGTAAACAAGCCCGCCATGCTCATCAGATATCACCTGTGTACGATTTCCTACTCAGCGCAGCAGACCAAGTACACAGCGTGTTCACATCACCACCGATTGCGTACCATTTTGAAGAGAAAAATATGGCGACTATAGCACAATCAAACCCGCACCACCGCAAAATCGAACTGCAGTCCCCACTCGACCTCACCCACCTACGGGATCAACTCACAACCTCTGCGCGACAAAAGCTCGACCTGCACTTCCCACCTGCCGCTCTTCGCTCCAAGCCCGCCACACACATCACACTCGGCGGCTCCGAAGCAAATCAACCGCCCACAACCACTACATCCACAACAAGTACAGATGAAGAGACCGATCCTCTGCGCCAACACGTCCAAGCCCTGACCACCGCCTTCCTCGAACGTACCTGGACCGCTGCCGCAAAGTCCATCACCATCAACGGCCTCGACGCGCACACTCTCCCACAATTCACAAATGCGACAGACTCTACGCTATCATCAAGACAGCCTCAAGAGCAGCAACAACAACCAGAGCACACAGAGATCGAAGGCATCCACTACACGCTCTCCCCCTACGACTCACGGCTACAAACTCGCCTCGCGACCCTCTACGGCGAGCTTGAGTCACTCACGGCGCAAGTCAGCAAACTGCGCCGCGAGGCGCCTGGACGGAGTGCGGTGCAGTTGCGAGAATCGTTGGGTGGGGAGATTGAGGCTGAGGAGAGGGATCATGAAGCTGCGATGGTGGCTGTCAAACAAGAGCGAGAGGATGAGATGGACGGAGTCCAACAAACCCTGTGGAACCTAAGCGGGAGGAGGGACGGATGGTACGAGGACGTGAAGAGCGGGTACGAGGATGCGGTTGGTCAGTTGGCGCGGTTAAGTGGGCACCAAGTTGGTCCTCAGAATCTAGATGGTGGTGTTGCTGCTCCGTCTGCGATGCCCGGGGGATCGGGGGTTGGAGGTGGAGGATTGACAGGATGTGTGGGGAAGGTACAGCGTGCTATGACCGTGGCGCAGGAGTTGGAGTGATGGACGGAGGACTGCTAAGACCGTCGTCTGAAGAAGCAATTCTTGTATTCCAATGCTGCTCGGCCACTGGCGGTGCCACGTGCCGGCGTCTTCGTTTTATGATATCTTCTACTGCGCAGTTGTTACGTATGCAAGGCTTTGGCATCGAGGTCCTGTCCTGTCCGCACGTCCAGCACGGTCAGTCGAGCCTTTTCAGGCGATCAACCAGGCGTCAAGTGATCGGAAGATGTGTTCGGCGACGTGCTGTGACTGATCTATACCGTAACCAAGGTCCGGAAGTTTCGTCTCTACCGATGTCTCCTTTGAACGTCTCATAAATCATTTCTTCGAGCCGAACGGCCACTAAGCAGCAGGCTTCGTCGCGGCTTCCGCAGGAGCAGCAGGTGTGGCCGGAGCAGCCTCGGCAGCTTTAGCATCCGCTGCCGGTGCAGCGGCAGCTGGAGCATCGCTCTGCTTCTCCCATTTCGCCGGCTTGACATATTGGGGATCTTGCCATGGACCAGCGTCACTCCACTCACACCCGCCTTGACATTCGCACTTTCCACCGAACTGCTTTGGTAGATTTTCTGCGGGGATCTGGGCCAGTAGCTCTGACTGGTAGCCGCTTCCGAGAACATGAATTTTGGCAACGGTGACGGGATCGAGGAAACCTTTTATGAAACTGAACGCTGACGCGAAACCCCAAGGCGCATTGATGATGTACATCTTGCCCAATCGCTCCGGGTAGTGGTCCTGTGAGATAGATGACGTGGATTTGACGTAGCCATAGACAGAGGAGATCTTGGTGACGCCCACGCCTTTCATGTCCATGATCGTGCAGCACGTTTCGAGAAGCTTGCCAGCCTTTCGTGAGCAGGCAGGAAGGCGTGGGTCGGCTACTTTTTCGTATTCGACGACAAGGTTCTGCAGCATACGCTCCTGGGTTGTGATTTTATACATCGCATTCAGGTCGATGCCGCCGTACTGCTCAATGTACACCGGCCGTCCGTCCTATATCTCGTCAGCAACCGAATGTCTGTGAACGGCGCTTGACCGCGTACCTTGTCTGTCTTGTGGTAGTACTGAGGGTAGTATTTTGACACTTCCGGCTTCTCGGTGTACTTGAAGGTTCGGGTCAGCTCCTCCGTCCCGAAGTCCTTGCGCCACTTCTCATTGTTGACGAACCTGTTCCAGGTCAATATGAAACTGCAAAGGCAACGGCGGGCTGGCTTACATCTGCTTCGACAAGTTCACATCGAACTTGCGTGCTCTCAGGAAGCGAAGGAGGGTCAGCGTGTCCAGTCGCTCTGTGTATCCCTCTGCCTCAAGCATACTCCGCAGCTGAAATACTTGGGCATCTTGTTCCTTCGTTGTATGGCCGGGATGGCCGGACTGCACTTCTGGTGCCGTCGTAGGATAGTCGTAGTCATCGTACTTGGGATCAAGCTGCAGTTCCACGGGCTTCTGCGCTGTCCGCTGGCTCTCCTTTGACGCTCGGGACATGTTGGACGGCTCTGGGAGGAGAGGGGGCCGACGTTTGCAATGTTTGTGGGTGCGATGCAGCTTTGGCGACTTTATCGTTGCTGCTGGTTGTGAGGAATAACAATGCTGAGGAGGGGATCAGTCTGTGATGGGTGTCTAGGTTCTGGCGTGTTGAGCGTAGGTGCGAGACGACTAAGGACGAATAAATGCCCCACGAGCCACAACAATGAAATCGAATCGAAAGCAAGAGCGCTGCATGACGTTGAGCCTTGGCATCGACTTCAAAGAAATCCAGTGGAACTTGAAATGGAAATGGCAACAGCCACACATGGTCGGTCTCCAACGCCACACGGTCATAAGAGAGTATTCCCATGGGCCAAGTACGAACAACGCACTGGAAGACTTCTGCGTTTGATCCATTTCGACGTACGGAAATTACCCTCGCAATCCTACTAGTACAAGTGTATCTCCATCCAAAGTCATCTCCTCGTCAAGTTGAAATAAAGGAAGGCACCTCGTCGTCCCGAGCACTCTTGCGCGCTTCCAAACCAGCATAGTCGCTCGCTCGCAAGAACTCGCATCAAACGTCTCGCCATGAAAACACCGCCCAGTTACGATTACAAGTTTCAGTCGGTGGCCGTCAACACCGACACTGCACTGATCCAACGTCCCAATTTCATCACTTCCCCGCCTGTTCTCCGCCTCTTGATGTCGATGTCTACTTCTTCCGTGCAAACCTCTTATTGAGCAGGGCGAGCACCTTTGCCACGTCGAATTGCACATATTCGAGATCGAGGTCTTCCTGACCATCTTTCTGCATCTCAAGCAAGTCATCTAGCTTAAGATCGAGCTCCAATAGACCGCGAGCTCGGCCTGGTCAAAGTTAGTTGTTGCCGAACAATATTGAGTTGACATACCTTTGTAGTGAAGACTGATGACGAATGTACCTGCGAGAGGACTCCGGAACATGAAGAAGATGTTACTCTTCCTGTTCTCAGGAACATTACTCCTGACTATAACGCCGTCCTTTTCGAGCTGTGCATGGGTGAATTTGTATGGGCCGAGTTCTTTGACCTTCACTTCCTTTCCCCGTTTGGTTCCTTCCGATTGGCTTCGAACATTGTGAAGATAGCTCTTGTATGTGTCGAGCTGTGACAGCAAGTAAGCATTGTGGTCGCGAATAGTCTTGTACACGTCGTCCAATTTGTAAGTTTCTTCCTGTACCTTCTCCTTCAATGAGCCCAAGTGCGCCAGTTCCTGCTCCACTTCGTCACGAAGCGTGGCGTACTCGTCCGCACGGTCGATGACTCCCATCTCAGAAAGAGAAGTGAGCAGTTCCATGCATCGGATGCCCTTGCGGACCATGACCGGGTCTTTCATTTGCCCAGCGGCCTTGGCAATGTAGTCAAGTCTCAGAGGCCGTCGCATGATGTTGGCATTCTGTGGTAAACTTCGCATGATTTGTACAAAGGCACTTTTTGCCTCCATGAAGAACACCTCGTCTTGTGTGATGTCGAGAGCATGAGTGATTTCGTCAAATGAAGTCTCCCATTTGCTGTACAACGGCAGGCTGATGGCGCGATTGTCCTTGCGTGGAAGTTGGGGTGGTGCTGGACCGAGTTCGTGAAGTATGGTGCCCAGATGCGAGTCCGGATCTTTGGCGAGCTCACGAGCATGCTTGTCGAGTAGCGCATGTGTCGCATAGACTTCGTTCAAACTGATGTTTAGCTCGATGTCTCTTTTCGAAAGGGCGACATAATTGTCCATCTCAAGGGTTTCGTAGAAATCCTGGACCTCGCACAGGTCTAGCAAGAACTTATTGACCCGATCCTTATTCCTTTGGATAAAAGGCTGGAGCTTGGCCATGTACGGCTCCTTGGCGTAGGATGGTTTATTTGCTAGATTCTGAAGCATCTTGGCAATGTAGGTCAGTGTCCTCTTCGGCTTCTCCTCCGGTACTCTCTCAATCAGCATGTATGACTTTGGTGTAACAATGGCCGGGTTGATGAAACGCAGAAAGAAAAATCCCCCGATCAAGGTGCAGATAGCCTGATCTTGTGCGTCCGGGTACTTGCGTCTTGACAGGTTTCGAATCTGTTTGCATATCCACCGAATGCCATATGGCACTTCCTCTAAGGCTTCGATGATAGTGGAAATGAAGCCTTCGGCGATTTCGGTGAGCATCTTTAGCCTTGGGGTGATGATTGCCTGCACCTGGGCATTCTCGGCAGCGAACTCGGCAGTGACTGATCGTGGCAGATCCTCCGGCAGGCTTCCAGTGTCGTCCTCAATCTGCTTGACCATCGTCTCGTAGACTTTCAGGGGGTTGATCTCCAAATCGACATCGCTCAACTCTGTGAGGCCGTTGATCTTCTCGGCGAGGACTTCTTTCAGATACCCCTGGCCTGGTCCTCGCCTCGTGTAGGTTGTCATCATTCTCGAGACCGGGGTATTCTGCCGCAGCAACGATGAGTACTCCGGTGTGGTTTCGAACTGATGAGTGAGTACTGATTGGAACATAGTAAGCAAAAGGTGCTCCTCTCGGCTCTCGTACTGGTTGCCGTATATGGTGAACATGACGGTCTGGAGTAACGAGTCGATCTCAGCCATGGTCACTAGCCGACATAGATGTGCGATGTGTTTTGGCTCAGATTGGAGCATGAAGAAGAGGTTGCCATATCTTTGGGTCTTATCGTCGTTGGGAAACGACCCTTCCTGCAACTCGGCAGCTTCGTCCAAATGGCTCGCGACTTCATTTTGTTCTTCCAGCGCCATCCGGTTCTGGATGAGGAGAGCGATCCGGGAGTCCAGATATCGCACATCCTTCTCCAGGACGAAATTCTTCTTTGACTGAGTGGATATCTTTGATTTGAGATCTCGTAACGTCCTTTGCGCCCGTGCCAGGTCATCGCTTATCTCAAGATCCTTATCCTTCGCACTCATGGATACGTAAAGCGCGGTCATGCTCACACGCTTGCTCTGTCGCATGGACCGCGTGCCATCGTGGCTGGAATATGTATTTGTGCGAGATATAGGCTCAAATGAAGAGCCAGTAGAGGCCGAGCCTCTGCTTGCTGGTTGTAGCATTGTCGCGACCGACATGTCCGCTTGTTGCTGCTTTGTGCGCTTTGACCTCTCGCGGGCACTAGAAACACGTAGAGGAACCTCTGAGCCACCAGATGAGTTCATCTACTCATATGTGTGGATGGGCAGATCAGAGTGACGCGGCCGTGTTTCAAACGCGGTCGTTCCTACACATCGGAATGCTGATCCTGCTCGCCGGCGCCAGTGATATGCTCGGGAGGGTCGCGCGGCTTCGCCCGCCCTTATTTGATATTATTCACGCCTCGTTGGAGCGACCTGCGCTCTTGTTGCTCGACAAAGTCGGGCTTCGCGCAGTTGGTGTAGCCAGAGTTCCCTGAATCGACGGAAAAGGTGTCGCGCAGCGGCCGAGGACGGCTGCGTGTTGCTTGCTAGTCTTCAGTGAGGCTAGAGTGATGCGTACAGAGCAAAACTGTCGGTGTAGGAAACAACACAGATTTGCACTACCGAGATATGGCTGTACGCAGTGACTGTCCTTGTGGCAAAGACAGGGAGGATTGCGGGTGTTTGAGGATGCGTGGCGGGCAGTGGTTGGTGTCCCGACTATACAACGATACCCGAAGGTTGCGTCTGCTCTGCTACGAACAGAAGGATTCCTCGAGTTTGAGGTTTGAGAAGGGTGAAGACGGTGAAAGGAGCGGACGAATGACAGGTCTGTATAGGACTTGGTCGGAGTGGAAGAGGGGGAATGAGTGAGGATTATTGCGACAAGGATGCAGGACGCAGAGCCATGGGTGTGGTGTGGGAGGAGTCTACGCCTGGAAATGCCGGCTCCGCCCTCTTCAAAGCCCAGGTCTCCAAGAGTTTAAAAAGGGCGTGGTGGCTGCCAGGCACGGCCAGGGGTTAGCTTTCAGGTACAGACTCGAAGAAGCTAAGCCTCTCCTATTGGCTACCATTCGCTTGAGCTGATGGTCCATACTACAGAAATATATGTGAGATAGCTTATTAGACGAGCTCTCTCAAATCGTTGAGCCGACAGCGCCTGTTTGTTCTGGATTGATCCCAGATGAGAGGTGAAGTCACCTGGGGCCGCCATACAATGGACTGACAACTTGACGTTGACGACCTTTGCCGAATTCTCGAGATCAAAATTTAGCGTGGCTCATCCTAGAGGCCCGAGGCCTGCGGTGCCAAAATCGGCGTCCAATTTGCACAATTCATACCACGACTGACTTTGAGGTGGCTCGTGACCACAATATCGGATTCTAACGGCACGTTGCGGCTGACAACGACGATCATTGATGACCATATCATGTGGTGGCGCTCTTGCGGGTTGAAAGCATAAGGACGCACTCGCACACAATAGGCGCGGGTATGCAGACGGTACGGGTTGCTGAAACACTTTGCTTCGGGGTTGCCACGATAGTCGCCCACGTCATGACAGGCACGGGCCATTGCATATTGAGCAGAGCTTCAATAGTGGACATCTGTGGACATCATTATCTGCCATGCTGTCTGTGCTATCAACTTATCAGACTTCGAAATGTGTGTCAAAGAGCAAGGGTACGAAGACGCAAGAGCGACTATGAACAACTAGTGTCATTTCCCCAGACTCCATCCATGCTACAAACGGCTGTCGCTGAGCCAGTGCATCAGCGGCTGAAGTGATCAACGCTTGTCAACGTCGTAGCAGTGCCCGCGAGGTGGCCTTCACTGCCGTCTGCGAGAATGCTGCTGTCGACACTGACATTGAGCATCAATGACTCGGATAAAACACAGGCGAGAGCCGCGAGCAGAAAGACTAGGGCTTGACAGAGGAAATGCCAGCAAGATCCTGGTTTGTCCGCTGTTCGTCGACTTCCAAGTTCCGCCCCAAAGGTCGATAGGCGAGACTCTCAAACCATTCCAACTACCTAAGCGTTTCGATAGTTCATGCTTACTGCCCTCATTTTCAAACAATGATGAAGCAGACTGAAACACTCCTGTTCCTATGCTGCGAAATGGCTCGGCCCTCCAATCAGTCGCATGTGGCTGTTGCATATACCGCAATCCTCGGGCACTCGAATACGTCGTTGCATAAGTTCATCTCCTTTACCTCGTCGTTCGCAAGATGAGCAGGAATGGATCAACGTCGATTATGCGCGTGATGATAAGCTAATGTAAGGGCGCCTTTCATTTCCATTATTGCCAACCTGGCTCCTGGAGTCGCCTAGGTACTTTGTCGTTCCTTGATGTCTCCACAGTTGCTGCCTTCATGGCCTGTGGGCAAAAACACATGGCACACGATGAAGCGGTCGATGCACGATAACGGCACTACCTTTACAGCTTGCCGCGATGCGCTTTGAGCAGATGGGCTTCCGCTCTACCAGTGTCGACAGTCAGGTCAAACCGGCCTTCTGCTCAATGAGGTACGGATAACCGTTCCGGCGGCCCCCCCTCGTAGCTGCAGGTACGCGAGTACGCCCCATTTCACGGCGCCTGCATGCAAGGGGGTGGCAACACCTCCGCAGCTCAAATTTTGCAGCGATGGTCCCATCGCGTTCGTCGCTCCACAACACGTGTGCAGAAGCGCCCACACCTCGTCTGGGTAGATGGCATCGTCGGCACGTCAGGCTCGGGAGACCTTTCTACCGATCGTTGACAGTATTGATGGACTTACTGAAAGCACACGGGCGGAATCGCAAGCCCTGCTGCTGCCCCTTTCAGCCTTGCGTTCGTGAAGAACCATGAAATGACAGACAGCGAAGGAGTTATTTTTCACGGAATTGATCAACGAGAACCTTGGAAGTAATGGTGAGTACATCCGTCATTTCGTGGCTATCGTATTCTTGAATAGATTTGGAGCTGATGCACTCCCGTAGAAAACCTGATATGCCGCTTTTGAACCACCGCATCTGCGCTGCTTCACCTGAAAAGGTGGCAGCCCATTGCCTTGTGCTCGCGAGAACATCTGACTCAAGCACTCTCTCCCCACGCCTCCTCGAACAGCGTGCTTTTGCGCTCCCTATTCACTTCTTCATCCAGGAACCTCATCGCTCGCACCACGCTGACACTACCTGTGCCAACATTCATCGTCTTGCCAACTATGACGCTTTCACTGACACCCTTGACCTTGTCGGCCTTGCCCGCGATACCAGCTTCAAAGACATGGTCGGCCGTCTTCTCGAAACTGGCGAGCTGCAGCACCGACGAACTCATCTTAGCCAGCCCGAACCGAGTGATACCAAGGACGTCACCCTTGTAAGTCATCACGTCCGCCAGAAGGTACATGTGACGAGGGTCGATGGACAAGCCCTTCGTCACTTCCTGGATCTCGGTGATGATCTTGCTGCGTGCTGCCTCTATGCCGAGGAACTGGTTTGTCTCCATGATGCTGTTGGTCTGTGTCGCATAAGGGTCAACGCCTGGTGTATTCATGCACGCCTGTAGGCCGTAGCCCTCGACCATGACCTTGTGCATTTGAATAGGCTTGCCAGTATCGGGAACTGTAGATGGAGGGATCATGGATGGAGCTTGGGCTGCCGTTTCCTCGACTTTGATTGCCGGCTCAGATGCTGTGGCCGATGCGCCCTTTTTACCTCTCACCTTCGCCGTCTTCTTCGTAACTTCCGGAGAAGAAGTAGGCTCGGGCTTGATATCGATTTGCATCGGTGAGCCGGGTGACGGGACTCCTGATGTGAGCTCCGCACGTTTTGCTTTGATCTCATCGGATCTTGGATCGTCCTCGGCCATCACCACAGCACGTGTCGCAAGGGGATGCCCTAGGATTGGCAAGCCAGGCAGAAAGCGGCGTAGCATCTGCAGCGAAGGAGAGATTCGGCGTTAGCAGCTTCCTCTTGTTTCGCGGCTACACCGCGCTTGCCAGATTTGATCGGAGTCAACGAGTCAATGCGGATGATATCGCTTCCCCGAAGTTTGACTGAGATCTTGCCGCCCTTGAACTTGCGATGATCCTTGATCTTCTTGATTATGTCGACCATGGTGATGTCCAAGCCAAGGTCTGCGATCGTGTCAAGGTCAATCTTGAGATAAAGACAACTCTCGCGATCAGGGCTGTGGGATATCTGAATGTATGACATGACATCTTCTAGGAAGAGACTCTCGATTCGACCTTTCACAATCTGTGCCAAGCCCTCAGGAATGGTCAAATCGCTTCTGCGCTCAAGGCGACAAGTGATGACGGGTGTGCTGATCGTTTTCGAAGCGTTGATGATCTCTTTGATACGAGGGACGCCGGCTGTCAAGCTCATACCGGCCACGCCAGCGAAATGGAAGGTCTTCAAGGTCATCTGCGTACCTGGCTCGCCGATTGACTGTGCACCGACAGCGCCTACGGCATGACCTGGCTCCACTTGCGCTCGTTTGTATTTCTCAAGGCAAGCGTTGATGAAAGCTTCAAGTGTCTTGCGTGACAATTTCGACGTGAGTTCAAAGCGGTCTTTGGCAGCTCGAGGAACAGCGAGGGCGTGGACAGCCTCTTCCGTTGCGCGAGCCGCCGTCTTTTGCTTTTTCGATGTCTTCAAGTTGGAGCCAGCGGTTTCAGTAGTCTTGCGACCTCCTCTACGCGTTGTTGGTGCTGAAGGCTCTTCTTGAACGTCATTCGATGTAGTGCGCTTTCGCTTCGAGCTGCCAGAGCTTGATGCAACAGCCGTGACTTTTGCTTTCTCGGCCCTCGCCTCATCAAAGGCAATGCATTTGGCCATGACGAAATCGTAAATGGTCTGCAGGAAAGCTCGAGGACTTTCATGCTGATCGACTAAAGCATCATCGAGGGTGTCGTAAGGCAGTATCGTCCCATCAGAGTGCAATCGCTGGTAACGTGCTCTTTGCGGTCTCAGGATCTCTTCCATGACGCCCAGTATCGTGGCGGTCTGAAGGCCGGGGTCTTCCGAGTCGTAGGTGATGGTATCGATATGAGTATACGTACGATCGAAATCAACTGGTCTGGCGCTGGCTTCCATGTCCACCGGGTCGAGCTCGTCGTCGCCAAAGCGGAACTGAATCACATCCGACGTGGAGTTGCGAACAGTTTGGTCGTACTGTGTAGAAAGATCTTCCAGTGACTTCATCAGTCTTCGACTCATGTAACCAGTCTCTGCTGTCTTCACAGCAGTATCGACCAGGCCTACACGACCGCCGACTGCATGGAAGAGGAACTCGTAAGGCAAAAGGCCGCTGAAGAAACTGTTTGAAACGAAGCCTTTCGATTCTGGGGATCGTTCGTGCTTGACGAAATGTGGAAGCGTTCGGTCCTGGAACCCGTCTTGTACACGCTTGCCTTCAATATCTTGCTGGCCGAGCAGGGCAGCCATTTGAGCCACATTCACGTTCGAGCCCTTTGATCCGGATAACGCCATAACCATGGGAGCGTTGTGCTTGCTGAGCTGTTTAGTGAGGATGCCTGCGATTTCTGTTCGGACTGTTGACAGCACCCGAATTTGCTCCGCTTCAAGAGTGGCTGCATCGTCCATACCAGCGCGTCGCTTGAGTCGCCCGGCTTTAGAATCGGAAGTGAATTCCTTGCACTGGTCGAAGACTTCCTTGATCTTGTCGTCCTTGACTTGCCTGAGCATCTCTGGGGGCGTGACATCGCTGATGCCGACAGAAAAGCCTTGATTACCTAGCCATCGCGCGCATAACCTCGACAGACGAGTCATGGCTTTAGCCGCTGCATCTGGTCCAAAGTCGCGATAGAGCACGTAGAATACGGAATTCTTCTTCCCAGCGCCCACGGTCGCTTTGTCCATTCTGCCGCACAAAACTTCGGAGTTGCGAATGCAGAGAAAGCTGTCATCCTGTAGATCGCGATGCAAACCCGGGTGGTAGACTTTGTGGTCTCTGCAGGAGGCATCGAGGTTGACCGCTACGTTCGAATGCCGGTCGGGCTTGATCATGACGCTGAAGACTTGCTTCCCAGTCCACAAAGCTTGTGGCTTGAAGATCGCCGGAGTAGGGAGATCGAATCTCTCGCCAGGTTCTAGCATGCCGCAACAAATAGTAACGAACGTCTTCCGATCATAGAACACATCGAGACTGCTTAGCAGATACGCTGCAGTGATGAAATCCTGTATTGCAGAAATGATCGGTTCGCCGTTCTTCGGTGTCACGATGTTGTGCTTGACGCCCATAAGCTGTGTAGCTTCGGTCCGTGCTTCTTCGGTCTGCGGCACGTGTAGATTCATTTCGTCTCCATCGAAATCGGCGTTGTATGGATTGCAGACACATTCATTGAGGCGGAACGTTCTGTGTGGTCTGACGCGAACGCGGTGACTGAGGATACTGAGCTTGTGGAGCGAGGGTTGTCGATTGAAGAGAACAATATCGCCGTCTTCCAAATGCCGCTCTATCACATCACCATCTTGCAGGTTATTGGCTAGCATTTGGCGGTTCCCGAAGCGCAGGTTGTGCTTGACGTTAGTCGCTTTCTTGGTGATGAAGTTGGCTCCAGGCCACTGTTTTGCGCCGTTCCTGACACGCTCCTGGAGTTTCTTGTAGTTGTACCGGTTAACGACCTCGGGATAGGTCATGTTCTTGGCGACCAAGACGGGTACCGCTACTTCGTCGATATTGAGATTCGGATCAGGCGATATGACAGTCCGACCTGAAAAGTCCACACGTTTTCCTGATAGGTTGCCACGGAAGCGTCCTTGCTTACCCTTCAGACGTTGAACCAATCCACGGATCTGCTTCCCGAACTCGGCCTTCGCAAGTCCTGGCACGTCGCTGTTGATATACATGGCTAGCTGCAAGCCGAGATAATCCCAGTGCTCAATCAGCGACTGGACTGGAGCGCCTTTCTTGAGAGCATCCCGAAGGGCGTTGTTGGCTTGTACGATATCGCCGAGCTTGGCTGTTAGGTCATCCTCCGTACTCGAGCCTTCTTGACCGACAGATGGGCGGATTGCCACCGGTGGTGCCGGAATCTGGAGCCAGAGGAATGACTGCGGTTTTGTGTCTCGAAGGCCAAGGAGTTCTCGATCGGCTCGAGAGATTCTACGAAAGAGCTTGAGTGTACGAAGGGCATCTAGATCGTCCATGGCTTTCTTGACGTGCTTGTCGAGCTCGGTGTTCGTTCTCTTGGCGAAATCGAAGGAAGAGTCGAACGCCTGCTTCTCAAGGGGCACGTTGGACATTTTGTCTTTTCTTGTCGAGGCGTCGAATGTCTTGAACTTGTGATGCATGATCTTCAACGATTGTGAGCCCGCCTTACGGACCTGACCATTCGTCGACCCGCATTGGTAGCATTCCTTCGCCTTCTTACACTGTTCAGTGACATTTCGGACGGCTTTGGCAACTCGCATGTCATCATTCCCGGCCCGGCGGATTTGCGCTAGGAATCTGCGCCGATCGACTTCTGAAAGAAGGATACAAGAGCAATCCTGCAGTAAGTTAGTGCGTTGTTCCTTGAAGTGCCGGTATTGCTGCGTGCCTTGCATATGCTCTGGAGAATCTGTATGACTTTCTTGAAGTATCCAACATGGTAGACAGGTAGAACCAGCTTGATGTTGCCAAAGTGACCGTTGCAGGTCTGGAGTGGAAGGCCGCAAGTCGAGCACACATCACTCTTGATCGAAACGCCCATGCGTTTGTCGAGAGGTCCATACTCGGCGTAGGCTCTGCCTTTGTCAAGGTCGAATATTCGCCGGTCTGCGAGTTCTACGTAGGATTGATTGACGACGTCTCTGTCAGATCTGGTGCACATGCATTAGTCCCGCTCTTGCCGTATCGTGCAAGCATTTCTTACAGAACGCCAAAGCGAAGTTCTTTGATGGTCTTTGGCGCATTTTCGAGGACTTGATGCTTGTTGCCTGGCGCATAGACGTGCGTGTCGCTCGCTGCATCGTCTCGCGCCATTTCTACTGTCACCGAGTGTGGCAGCAGCTTGAGAATATTCGAGAGAATAGAGCACGCATCGTGGTGCTAGATGTCAGGACATGGAGATCTTTGAGTGATCGTTATTGTCGCATGCTTAATTGTGGGTCTGACTCACGTCTTCTCGTTTCTGAAGACTACAGTATACTCGGGTTGGTGACCAGATTGCACTTGATCTGAATTCAGGTATACTGGACTCACAATTGAATGTGAGAGAACTGTTTCTCCAAAAATTTATTTCTGGAGGGGTTTAAATCTGCTAGCAAACTTAAACCCTGCTATCTCCGTGAAGCTGTCATTCAGGTGTTGGTAGACATCCCAGCCTTCTACGTTAAACTCAATTAAACTCAACCACCTCAAATTTGGACTCTGATGTCCATCTTCTTTGGTGTTCATGGTTCACTGACATCAGTACCTGCCATTGTAGCAGCCCAAAAACTGTCAAGGACCTACCCATTCGAGTCGCAGCTGGAATTGAAGAAACAACACTCAGGTCCTCGCGATAGTTCCCGTCCATGTACACCCGTGGAATAGTCCATCGATACCAGTCCCCAATATCAACGGAGGCACTTGATAGGTGAGCCAGCAGTATTGACGGCGTCAAGAGCCTCGGACTCTAGGAGAGTATTCCCAAGTCAGGGTTCAACGAAGCACGCTCCTCAGCTCGACCCGAGGAACATCCCATACCACGTCCCTCACACTCCAACGCTGTCTCGCAGGAACTTTCATTCGTGAAAGTTCCCCGATGTCCGAGGATAGTCCTATCGTGTTCTCGTTGCGGATTAAGAGCATGCCCAGGCGCTGTATGACGTCTCCGAGCCTGAGCCACCCTGCCGCTTTCACCTCCTGTGAAGAGCTGCCATCAACGTCGTCTTTCGTGCTCAAATCCTCAGTTTCCACATTTTTCTCTTGTTCCGCTTCTATCCCTAGCGCTCTCCGTGCACCAACACTTATGCCCTCGAAAAGCACCCTCACGCCCATCTCCGTGCCATCCTGCATCATTCCCACGCACCAGCTTGCTAGTTCCAGTGGGTCGCCGGTGCCGTACGGTGTAAAGGCGTTGCCCACATTATTGACCCCTATCACACCTTTGATCCCGTACAGCCGTCGCAGCAGAGGAATGTTCAGTGTGCCTCTCAGACGTGACATCGGCTGGATCTTGTCCTGCTCGGTAGTAGACGACTCTAACGAAGTCATCGCAGGCGGCAAATCCGGTGGCCGTCCCATCATGTATAGATCGCTGGTCGGCAAGCCCACGAAGTAGACCGGCAGACTAGCCTCCTTGATCTCTTTCGCCAGCCTTGTCAGGTGTTCGTGTGACAGAAGCGTCAACGCAGAGCAATGACCCAAGACTACCGTCCGCCTCTTCCCCAGCGTCGTGGTAGTCGGCCAGCCTTCCTGCTTGAGTCTCCTGAGCACCTCCCAAACAAGCAATTCCTCTGCATCCTTGCTCGCATCCAGATTATAGTCCAAGTGGAAATCCAAATGTAGATCATACTTCAACGCAGTCTTCACAGCCCACTCAATATTCCTGATCGCATTCTCCTTCGAGTCCTCCACATACGGCGTCGAGCCCAACACTCTGATCCCCCCAAACTCATCCCTCCGACGCTCCGCTTCCCCTCCGCCCTTCCCACACTCCTCCCTGAGCACCTCCTCAACCCACCGCCTATTCACCCCACCAATCTCCCCACTAAAAACCGGATCCTGCGCAAACACACACAACTGCACACCCACCAACCCCCTCCACTCTCCCTGCAGCTTCAAACCAACATCAACCGTCTTCCTTCCCACCGTGCCATCTACCTCCACAAAACACCTCGCGCTAGTCACTCCCTGGGTGTAGCTCGTAGCCAGCAATTGACGACCACGCAGCAGAAGGTCCGGAGGAGTGAAACGGGATTTAGCGGAGGCGGTGGAGGAAAGGGCTTCGCTGAAAGTGCCGCTTTGGGGACAGAGATCTGCGTAGTTTGGTAGGGGCGAGCCGTGGTTGTCGTGGATATTGTGGGAGGTCAGGAGGTAGGGTTTGTCGAGGTGGATGTGCGGGTGGGTGAGGGTTGGGAGGAGGAGGGAGGTGGGAGCCGTTGGACTGGTGGGGGTGCCGGATGCGGAGGTGGGCTGGATCGAGGAAATGCAGTGGTTCTCGATTGTTATGTCGAAGGTTTGTGGTTTAGACGATGACGGGGTTTCATCAATGTCGTCGGGAGAAATTGCTGGGAGGATGACATTGCCTATGAACCTTGTTGCTGATGTAGTACTGGGAGCAGCCATGCCGGCCACACGGACTGGCAGGTCTGTAGCTCAGGACTCCTGACCTTCGCTGTGAGGAATATTGACACGAGCACACGAACCGTTGAACGCAACTATTTAGATCTAATCATGACGTTCTGATATTCATCAACGGAGTTCGCCTACCGACGCAACTTAGTCTGATGTCTGTCTTTCCTCGCATTACAGGCTTCGGAGCAGAGACGGAGGTTGAGTGGCATGGAGGTGCACAAGAATGAGATCACGGCCTCGAAGTTGGCTACAGGATGCGTAGGGAATATATTCCTCGAGGTGTTGTGGTCAACCGGTCTTGGATGATTTTGATAACAAACTTTTGGTCATTTCCGTCTATTCCTATCCTGATGCCCACCTTTGAATCTCGTTGGCGCCTATCGCTATGCAGTAACGCGCCGATGCTTGCGTCTTGACCACGGCAACGCCATAGGGAGGACTTTCTAAGCCCCCTTCACCAGCTCCTCAACACTACTAGCCAACTTTCCCGCCTCCGTACGCGTAGCAGCTTCAGCATACACCCTCACCGCATCCTCCGTACCTGATGCGCGCACAAAGCTTCGGCCTTTCACGTAGAGACGCACGAGATTATCGATCTGCTCTTGCATGCCCTTCGGACTCTGCAACTTCCTCTCCGCATCCACGGCCACGAAGATGCGCCGATCTGGCACCTCCACGCGGCGAAGATAGTTGGGCAGGTCGATGTAGGTGTTCTTCCAGTTCTCGGGCGTCCACGTCTTGTGTGCGAGAACGACTTCTGCGAAAAGCATGTCTGAAATGGCGTCACCAACGGCCTGGTTGATCAGATCAATGCAAGCGGAAAGAGAGTCGAGCGCATGTTTCTGACCCGGCGACTTCGGTTCGGTGCCTCGAATTGTGCGAATGGCATTCTCGGAGAAAAGGATTGTGCCGTGACCATTAGCTTCGAAATAGACGCCGATGTCATATCGTGCAGCAGCGTGATGGAGGTGCTTGACACCTGTGTTGGTGCATTCGACAGGTAGCTTGAGGACTTTCTCAACATATTCGGTGGAAGCGCCGTTGGCGTAAGCAGTTTGTACGATGCCGATCTTGAGCTTCTCGTCAATGCCAGCTGTTCTTGTCATATCGGCCAAAAAGACTGCACCAAGCGTTGCGATTCTGTCTCCGTCAAGTAGCGTGAAGTTACCGGAGGCGTCGGTGTAGTAGTAGACCACGCGATCAGCATCGCCGTCCAGAGACGCACAGCGCTCGTTTGGACCAACCGAGATGTTGGGAGGAGCCCGCTGTTTGGTCTTTACATAGTCTGCTCCGCACTACGATCTGTTAGCACGTATGTTGGCGTCATAGCACAGCAAAAGGCCACATACCTCGTAGTTGAGGATCTCTGGCTTCGAGACATCGTCATTGACGACCTTGATATCAATGCCGCCTTGCCCAGTAGGCAGATATTTGAGAAGCTCGCGTAGTTTCGGCCCGCCAACACCATTTGCACAGTCGACAGTGACAGATCCCTGGATAGATCGGCCATGCATCAGAACCTTGAACGCACTGGCCATCTTCTTGTAGTAGCCTTCCTCTGTCGGCTCACCAAACTCGTATGCCGTGCCCTTCGTGTTGATGCATCGCACTATGTAGTGCAATTGAGGAGTCGTCAGAATGCCATAATCTGTGTAATCCACCTTCAGAGCGTCCAACGCAGCCTTCATGGCCTTCACCAGTGCAACGCCTGATGGACGTGTATCGCGACCGAAGACGACTTTCGCTGGCCGGTCATGTATCTGACGTAACTCATCTACAAGCTCTTCGTTGACCAGATCTTCGTACGCTTGTCCCAGCTTGTCGCTAGGAGTGTTTGCCAGAGTCGTGGCATACTTCTCCCAAGATTGTTCCAACATGTCTCCCATGGGGTCCACGAGCTTGACGCCATTGTCTTCGGCCGGGTTGTGGGATGCAGTAATCATCACACCGATTGTGGCATTGCGCTTCTTGGATCGTGCTGCAGCGATCAGGCCCACGGTGTACATGACATGGTCCAAGCCAGCATTGCTGCGGTAGAAGTCAGTGTGAAACTCGTTTCAGGGCATGCACGGTGGCTAACATACGCTTTCATACGGAACTAGAACCTGTCAGTAGTCTGTCATCGCCGAGGGAGGGTCTCGCACGCCAGCTGTACCATAGCCATACTCCTTGCCATCTGGTATTGGGAAGGGTTCCGCGGCCTTGTTGATTGCTTCGATTAGGTCGCTTGGAAGGCGCACAGCAGCCTTCGGCTGGTTGAAGATCGTGCCGGTCGACATGGTCACCAACACGCGCTCATGCGATGAGTGCCTGCGCTTGATGCGTCCTAAGAAACGTCGGGACCGCACAGATCATAAACGCGGTTATGTTCAGCGGAAGCCATTTCCGTGTCTCCAATGCCCCGCGTCGTCCCGCTCCGCCAGGGGATTGGACTTGGCAGCGAGCCTGACAGTGCGTGATCTCTCTATTCAGGATGGCAGTATTTAAATTGTGACATATATCTTCTGATATTAGTCTTCACGAAAGAGGTTGAGGAAATCGACTGCTTCATTGCGTGTGCTGCTGTGGTCGAAATGCTGTCATGTACGCTGCATCTATCGTAAACTCATCTGTAGCTTAACCGTGGCCAATATGCCTGGTAGGAAATACGCTGCCAACTCACAACGTGCCCGTACCACCCTGTTCGCCTTTCAGCACGCTTCTGACATGCGCTAGCTCCTTGACACAGCCCGCATGCCGCTGCCTTGCTCTTTCCCACCAAGAATGACACATCTCATCATGCTGCAGCCACTCAATATACGCTGTGAGGCCAGCTTTCATGCCTCCACTATTACCTTCGCCGACCTCACAGCTGAGCGGTCCATCACTTTTCATCCCCACCCAATCATCTGCCATGCTCTTGTCGAGCTGGCTTTGCCGCGCATTGAAGTGCTCGACCATAGCGCGCTCGAAAAGCTTCCAATCATGCATGTATTGGCGCATCTTCTTCGAGTACATCAGCCATTCGTTGTTGTTGGCAAGGAGTGCGGAGTCTCTAGGTGCCATCGGTTGCTTGGGCGGCTGTGGGAGGTCCTCGAGCCTGAGCCGTGCCGAAGGTCTCTGCTCCGTCTTGATGTTTGTGGACGCACGTGACTCAAACGGCAGAGTGTTCTTCAGGTCGTCAACGCCATTGAGGCCCGTGCTATGGAACGGCCCTGCTGTTTTGAGGTCACTCAAATTATTGATGCCCGTGCCATTAGTTCGTGGGCTGAGAGGAACAGCGTCTCCGGGATCTACATCCATGGGGTCGGTTTGTGTAGATGGATTGGTCCGGGCCCTTCCTCTGGCCTTTTGACCTGCCTTTGTTGGCGATGTACTGCCGGAAGTCCTCAACTTCTCCGCCCAGTCATGATCGAAATTGGACGCCTTGAAAACCGGATCTGGCTTGATGTGAGAAGCGCTGGAGAAGTTAGTCTGGACGATCGGGACGCTTGAAGGCACGGCCCAGGACGGGAGTCCATTGATACGGGGTCCTCTTGGGGAGGAACGGAATAGTCCATACCTGAACGCGCTCGACCCATCGCGCACATCATCCGGGGAGGTGACATCAGGGAAAGGTGCTCTTGTTGGCTGCTTAGGCTCTGGTGGCGGGTAGTTATAGTTCCCCTCTTCGTGAACTACGCGGGTGTAATTCTTGAAGGATGCCTGCGAGTCTAGACCATCGTGCGCGGGAGCTCTAGCCTGTGGTCGTCCGGGCTGAGCAGTCTTTCTCGATGTCGTTGAGGTTCTTTGATCATCAGATGAGTCTGACTCGGATTCAGAGTAATTAGTACTGCCAGATGTCTGTCTCATGTTCGGACTCGCGCTCCGGTGTCTCTGTGTCCCTTGCTGTGGCCTACTCTTGCCGAAGGGCCCTGAATCGCTGGCGTCCTCCCACTGTGGGTCGATCGGCGAATTCCGAACGCTGGCAGAACGATATAAACCTTCCTTTAGGTCCGTTCTGATGTGAGTAGCGCCTTGATTGTAGCGCGAGGGCTGCCGGTCGAACATGCCTGGGCGACTTGGTTGTGGCTGTTCTGTAGATTTGGAATGCCGCAGAGGGCTATGCGATGTTCTCGCGCCTGGGGGTGAATGACCAGACCAATGATCTGGTGGGGGTTGCGCTTGATGTGATCGGGTTCCGTACACATGAGAATAAGCTGAGCGTGGCGCATCACCATAACCTGAATCTGGTCGCCGGGCGCTAGTGGTGCGAGACACTCCAGGAAATCCGGGGTTCAGGCCGTTCGGCATGTCAGACGAAACCGGGCGTGCAGCTGTAGGATGAGGACGAGGAGGTCGTGGCGGCATTTCTGGTGTCTGTTGACCACCTCTCATCTGTGAGAAGCCTCGGGCAGCCTCTGCTCGCGCGGCAGCTTCAAAGCTTTGTCTATCCCATGTCTGGTTGCCGGCTCGTGTAAAAGCATTGAATTTTGCTGCTCCGGCAGAGGCAGGCGTCTCTTGCTGCGTATACTGACGCTGTGGTTTCTTAGGCGGAGGACCACCACCAAAGTTCGTCGTCGCAGCCCTTTGTGGCTTACTGAAGCCATATGGATCAACATTCGCTCGTGGTGGGGGTGGTATGGGTGGGTTCTTGGCCACATGTTTGGCTCTGGCAGAGTCGTACTTCTTCTTCTCTGCAGGATCAGACAGAATCTCATGTGCTGTCTGCAAGTCCTGGAACTTGGCAACTACCTCGGTTTCATGGCCAGGATTGCGATCTGGGTGGTACTGCTTCGCTTCACAAGATCAGTCAAAGATACTGCAAGGCCCGGGTCGGCTGTCCTTACCTAGCTGCCGGAATTGTCTTTTGATCTCTTCATGCTCAGCCGTTGGTGATAGCTCTAGATCAGCGTAGTAGTCCCTCTTCGCATCAGCTTTGACCATTTTGCTTCTCTGCTCTGCGTCAACAGCAGTCCGCTGAACTGGCTGCCGCGAAGCTCCGGCGGCGAGGGGATTGCGGACTGATAGCGCAGATCAGTGACTCTGTTATCTATCGTGACAGAGTCCGCCTCGTCAACATGTCGTTGTATCGTCTCAGGCAGTCGTTGTGAAGTGGTGAGGCTGCAGCGTCAGTGAGTGGAGTACGATCCGGGTGGTTGCAGCGATGACCGGCAAAGGGATTGTTTGTCGACGGGTATCGTAAGAGCTGGTGTGGATGATTCATGCGAACGATTGGTACGGCAGAAGCAAGCAAATTGCAGCGGATGTTGTCTATTAGCTGGCGACCGCGAACCACAGATTGGTCGAGGTGGGCTTCAGTTGGGCTGCGATTCGACGAGGTGAAGGATTGGTTGAAGGTGTGCAGTAGCGGCTCCTGTCAGGCACGGCGGGTGTACAGTACGACGTAACAGGGAGGACTTCGTGGAGGGTGTATTGTTCAACGCGACCATGTCGTCAATAGGACAAAAGTGCTTCACTTGGAACGACGTTGACTGGCCGTGATGCACCTGATGTGTTGGCGCGCGTTGATTTGAGCTTGATGAGCCGGGAAGACTAGTGGTAGCCTTGATGGAGCCTACCACCTGCAGATCTGCTAGGCGTGTTCCGGGCCTTACCTTAACCATATTCTACCAGCTATAGCCTATCCATGGATGGCACTTTGCCATTTGCTTGCAATGCCCACCCCGCACTCATTTTGATCGGCACCACGTTTAGGCTACTACACCATTTGCATGTTTCTCCTTGACTTCCTCCTTTGCGCCATTGACACTTCTTCGGCCTGCATAGATCTCCTGCAGGACCAATCTCAACTCTGCCAGGAACCGCTCAACCTCATTCTCCGTGCCAACAGTGATTCGCAGGCATCCTTCACATCCATGTTCCTTGCCGCGGAATCTTACGACAACCCCACGTTGCCCCGCCATGGTTTCGTAGACAGCCAGCGCGGTTGGGTTGTCAGGCTTGCCTCCTTCACCGTCGAGGATCTCGACAAGGAGGAAGTTCGATTCAGTGCCGCCCAAGAACCTGCCAACGCCGGGTATCTGTGGCATTTCCTTCAGCAGTCGTTCCCTCTGTGCGATGATCTTCCTTCGATTGTCGCGCATCACAGCTATGTTCTTCTCTTCGAGAGCCGCGTTTGCAATGGCACTGGTCGGACTCGAGATGTTGTAGGGCGCCTTCATGCTGTTGAGAAGACTTGCAATCTCAGGACTTGCGTATGCCACTCCTAACCTGACGCCTGCTAATCCGAATGCCTTGCTCAGCGTTTGCATGACCACCAGGTTGGGCCACTCGAGGACCCATTCCGCCAGACTGCTTCCCTCGGGCGAGAAGTCGACGTACGCCTCGTCAACAATCACAACACCGTTCCATGTAGGATGCTCGAGAATCTGTTGAATATCACTTTTTCGAATGAGCGCACCAGTCGGATTTCCAGGTGAGCAGATGTATGCCAGCTTGATGTTCGGATCTGATGCAAGTGCCTTGTTGACCTGATCTGGTTGGAGGGAGAAGTTGTCTTTGACGTTGAGAGGAACCGTCACAATATCGACTGCATTCACATCAGCAGAAACTGCGTACATGCCATATGTTGGAGGGCAGGTGAGGATCTTGTCTTTCCCGGGTACACAGAAGCAGCGCATCAGGGCATCGACAGCCTCGTCAGATCCTACTCCGCAGAACATGTTCTCAGGTTTCAGTGTCTTCTGTGTGTGGACTTTGGTGTTTCGTAATCTGCAGAACTTCTCCTTGAGGTCTATCTGGTGGGGATCGGGATATCGATTGAGGCCGAGAAGGTCGACGTCTGGACTGGCATGATCGCCGTTGCGAAGCCGGTCGACTTCTCCGAGTGCTAGGCCAGGACCGAAGGCATTCTCGTTCGCGTCTAGCAGGATGTTATGTCCATCATCCTTGTAGTCACTGGCACGACAGTCAGCACATGACGAGAAGTGCTTTGCAATAGGTAGACAGACTCTCGTGCGCACCGATATGGCTTCAACTTGAGGATGTTAGACCGCGCACAGGTTGCCAGATCAAAAGCGCTCCCTTTCGCCATGCCTGAGGTAAGTGCAAGATCAAATTGAAGGGCAAGCAAGAGTTGGCTTTTCGAGTCACTTCGTGTCAAAAAAGATATGATATGTAGGCGATCGCGGGGCGCATTTCTCCGATTCTGCAGTGACAAAGTGCCTGCCATTTCTTGCTATGATCACTCATCTTTCATCCACATCAGTGTGAGACGTCTCTACAACCAAGCCGACTCTCGCATTCTTATACGGTAGCAAGATGTCCGGAAACAAGTCCGCTTACGAGAATCGGGCCAGCGATACTGACTTTCGACGAACCTGGGACCGGGACGAATACGCCGCGAAGGCGAAGAAAGAGCGGGACGAGGCAAAGGAGGATGCACAGGCTCGCCACGAAGCAAAGCTCCAAGGGAAGAAATGGCACAAGCATGTCGACACTTCCGCACTTGATGCCACATCCGCACGAAGCTCTCGACTTGATGTTGCTAGCCTAGTGGGAAAGTCTACAATTGTCCCAGCCGGCGCAGGTGTAGGCAAACGTGGCAAAGGCGCTGGTTTCTACTGCGAAGCCTGCGACTTGACCTTCAAGGACAATGTGCAATACATTGAGCATCTAAACTCCAAGCAGCATCTCATCGCCACCGGTCAATCGGGTGAGGTGAAGAGGGCTACATTGCAGGATGTGAAGGATCGAATAGACATGCTCATTCAACGGAAGCGGGATCGTGAGGAAGAGGAGCAGCACCTTGGTGAGACTGACGTGACAGCGAGAATCAACAGACTCAAGGAAGAAGACGACGCAGAGCGGGCAGAAAAACGCCGTAAGAGGAATGAGCAGCGCCAGAAGCAGAAGGCAGCAGTGAAGGAGGAGGACGACTGGATGAACGATCGGCTCGGTATCATCGCGTGATTGATCAGATGCGACCGAGACCTGCAAAGTGGCCAAGAGCGATCATTCGCGAAGCATATCTGTCGTCTGTCCGACTACGATGGTCCTATCCCGTTCACCGCAAGCCGTCAAGGTCGTCGCCTCTCTGCCACATCGCCCGATTGCACACTTGCATCAATCAGACCTTCCTCAGGCACACCGACAGCCGAAAAAGTCCTGAACTAGCCCACGAATCGACTTCGCTGCAAGAAGTGCTACCCAATGCCGGACCACGGCTTGCCAACGATGAGGTTCAAGAAGCAAAGACTTGAAATCAGTCACTGATGGACGCCATTGCCCACGTCTCAAGACTGAGCTCGTGGACGATCTCTGCTCGTCAGCGACTTCCTGACGCAGGAGTCAACCGCGATCGCGTCGCTCAAGGCAGAGAATGGCAGCTCAATGCCCAAACGTGCACATTGAGAATCAACAGCCGGACATTGAGCCATCATGAAGCAGAGCCACTGCAAAGTGGTCTACACAGCTAGAACAGTGTTCGAGCTGGATATCCCATGCAACAAGAAACACAGCCAAGTCCCGTATCATGCTGGTCTGAGTTCTTGGAGAACTCCTTGCGCAACGTGGCTGCTGGCGCGGCGCAGGAGTCGTCAGACAGAGCGAGAATGGGGCCGGGATTCCCGTTTCAGATGGTGTCTGATGCTCTTCTACTCATTGTCGCTGAGTTCGAACGCAGAACCGAGAAATCAGCCGATATGCCGACCGAGCTTGGGCACGAAGAGACGACATTGTGATCAGCCGAGGGGCATTTGGGGCTCGTAGTCCCTCCCATCTAGCAAAGGGACTTTGGCGACATGAATCGGACCAAGGCGCTGTAAGGGAAAGGACATGAAGCAAATGGCAGCGGTCTGTGACAGAGATGGAAGCCCGGAATGAGGCAAATATATCGGTGTCTTTGAAAATGTTGCCCTTAAATAATGGCAGGTGCTTCCCTCGCAGACCTCACCAAGTCACCTCGCGGAACTTGACGCTCCTCAGATGACTGACATCATTACTCCTTTCGCAGTCGTGGTAGAACACATACCACCTGCCCTTGTACTTGACCACACTGTGATGATTCGTCCATCCCACGACCGGCTGCAACAGCTGTCCTTCATACGTGAATGGCCCCAGAGGCCCATCCCCAACCGCATAGCAGATAAAGTGCGTATCTCCCGTGCTGTAACTGAACACATACTTCCCATCTTCCCGCTTATGCAGCCAACTTGCCTCGAAGAACCTCCTCTCGTGATCATCAGCATCAATCTCCTCTCCAGTCTCTGGCGCCAAGATCTTGACATCCATAATCCCATCCCCATCAAACTCCAAGAAATCCTCCCGTAAACGACCAACCCTCGCACCCAACGCCTTCTTCCCAGCTCCCGCAGGCTCTTTCGGTCCCAGCATGCTAGCATCAAAATCAGTCCCATCCTCCTTCGGCTGCACCGCCTTATAACACTGCAACTCTCCTCCCCAAATGCCGCCAAAGTACACATACCCCGTCCCATCATCATCAACAAAACTCGCCGGGTCAATACTATAGCTCCCCTTCATCGGCTCCTTCTGCGGCGTGAACGGCCCCTCCGGCTTCTCCCCAACCGCCACGCCCAACTTGAACCTCCCCTCCTTATCCCTCGCGGGAAAGTACAAATGATACTTCCCCGTTGCGGCATGGTACGCGGCATCAGGTGCCCACATCTGCTTGCTCACCCATGGAACCTGCTCGGCGGTGAGCGAGACGCCGTGTTCGGTGGCGGTTACGGTGCTGATGTCGTCCTTTTCCGGGTCGAATTGGACCGAGAGGATGTGGTAGTCAGTCATGTCGTATTGATCGCCATTGTCGTTGAATTGGATGTCGGTCTCGCGGTCGTGCGAGGGGTAGATCCAGATGGTGTTGGGGTCTCTGGGGAAGACGTGGGCTGAGGGGTCGGCGGTGTAGATGTTGGTCACTAGCTCTTTGGAGGGTGGGCCGAGTTTGACGGTCATCCTGGGCGGTTTCTGGTGCGGCGTAACCTGCGGTATGATTGTCGATGGGAGGGTTCCTTTGGTAGGCGTCCACGACCGTGAATAACGACCGGGGCTAAGTTCCGGACGAGGTCGAGACTCACCCTTCAGGTTGGTTGAGGAGATGTATTCGCCGTGGTCACAGACGGCATCTTTATACAGTACAGCATATTCGAATTTAGCCGGTGAAAGCTGGAGAAACAGCCGGCAATAGGGGCAAGTGCATGGTTTCACATTACCCGAAGTTCTCACGATCGGCACTCGAACGTGCAGAAAAACGCATCGTCTCCCTCCAGATCGTTCTTGCTTGCTCTGAGTGCTGCGCGCTCTAGATTATTCGTACGACCTGCAAGATACACCGCAACATTGTGGGTCAAGTCAAGGTTCTCGTTTCCCTGCCCGCCCTTCTTGGCGTGGGGTCCAAGGATGGGGCCACGGAGGCTCACTCGTGCGGTCTGAAGCTCTTTCTGCAGAGGAAGGTATTGTAGCTGGTACCTAGTATGCGTTTTCCGCTCAGTGACACCTAGCATCACTGGTTCCTGTCACACAACTGGTATGATTGAGCCATTGGTCACTTCAGACAGCCCTCCAGATCTCAACAGCATACTGTCCGTCTTCCACGCTCGAAGACGAAGTATGGTATGGAAAAGGTGAACAAGTATATCCTATATTATTTTTTGGTGGAGATCAGAAGGCCTTTTTGTCAATCATCCACTGGCGCAAGCCGTCAAAATCTCGGCAGGTATGGACCCGATCCGTGACGACAAAGGGGCCCATCCCAGGAAACCAACGTGTCGGAATCGGGGTGCGATCACTCGAGCACTGCAGACTCTGCCTGATCTGATCAACGCAATGGTCTGAACAGCTGTCAGTCTCACGTACGGTCGCTGTGATGGGACATGGCCCGGCCATGTCGGACAACTTACCAAGGTGCAACCGTGTATAGCCATGTTCCTCTTCCAGTTCTTTGGCGTAGTAGTCCGCGTCTGCGTACTTCCGAAGAGTGTTCAGACAGTGCAATTGATGCAAAACGTCAATGCCGGCAGCATACTTGCCTCCCGGCAACTCGAACTCCTTGTACGTCTGCCCAAACATTTGTTGCGCTTCCTGTTCTTGGATGATCCAGTATCTCTGACCGATCAAGTCCTGCCAAGCCTGGTCGATTTCTGGACGAGGCTTGCCGGCAAATCTCGAGTATGCTGTCTGATAGCCTGTGCCATTCGCATAGAATCTGGGCGTTCCGACGAAGCGCCGTTGCACGACGCGGATGGGTGGCCGGTCGCTTATGCCGATGTCTGTGCTGAAGCCAGTCTCAAAGGTCCCAACATCAGCATGACGATAGCCATGTTCGACCGCGAGGAATGCCGATAGAAGAGCGAACACGACGGTCGAGATGATCCATGGCGTGGAGGAGGCAAAGAATGCCGAACGTAGCCGTCGGAAGGACGACGCAGGCGCGTCTCGAGGAGATGTACCACCTGCCTCCGTGACGTCTCTTAGCTGGTCATATTTGTACTCATGTTCAGCGAACATGACGCGAATTCTCGACAACTCCAATGATGAGCTTAGACAGCACAGAAATGGGCCATGCCAACAACAGAATCACAGTCGTCGTCCGACGAGCACAAAAACGATCCGGAGCCGTTGACATCATTTCGTTTGATGGGAAGCACTGCATCGAGTCGCAGCATTCGTGGAGGGTAGAGTTCACTTACGCGGCCAGTCCCCTCTCCAGCTCACTTTTCTTTGTCTAACTACGTACCTTGAAGCTTGCGCATTGAGTTTGAATCCGCGCGGCAACGCCCGTTTGTCCACGACATAGGTAGTCAAAGACGACTGCGCATTGAATGCACATGCGATCAGTGTTTGGGTCAATGGCAGTCAATTCGCGACCTTGCTATAGCTAAGGCATCCATTGAGCCGAGCCAGCAGATTGGCAGGTCCTCTTAAGCGCGCTGGTCAGGTGCTTGCCGCCTCGCCACGTGGTGATGTCGTGGAGGTCGTCATCTGAGTACCTGCATTACCGTACAACAGAAGAAGATGAGGCTGTCAAGAAGGTGGACGGAGCGGCCGCTTCCAGGTTGGCAGGATTGCAAAGTAAAGCTACTAAATGCTTGGGAAGTCCCACCGACATTTCAAGTTGTCTCAACCCCAAAGCTGCAGTGCCGTCACCGAAAACATGCCGCTCAAACATTAGTTCTTCTCCAATATGCAGAAAGCTACTGTTGTAAAGACGCGAACTCGTTGCACGCTAGTGCCAGCAAATATCGATACAGAGCGCCCATAGCAACATATTGATAGTCAAAGGACAGCAGATCATATACTACTGCGGGACAAACCTCTTTCGCAATCGACCACAGGGTGTGGAAAATAAGCCTTCCCGTCCGCTCAGGCAATTCAAGCCACACGCCGAACGGTTAGTAGTTAAGTGGGTGACCATTAGCGAATCCCGTTTGTTGATTGTTTTTGCTTTTTGGACGTTGGACGTCTGCTCCTGCCGGACACCGCAACGAGCCTCTCGGCCTGCTGCGAGTACTCTGCATCGACCCCAAAACCAGGCTTTGCAGGAAGGAAGAGAGTCTCTCAGGTTTTCTCGCGATGGTCGGTATCGAAGGCGACGGACTCCGAGCGAAGATCGATTGACCGGAGGACAAGGCATTCAGCAACACCACAGCCTTTTTTTCTCATTTATCGTGAGGGTAAACTGTTCCACCCTGCCGTCTGATCTCGTCCATAATCTGCATCACGCGCACAGTCTCAGCCCACGGCATGATCTCACTCTCCTTCTTCCCAGCAGCAATGTCCAATGCCGTATTATCCGCCTCATACACAAACCCCTGCCACTTCTGCTCATAATCATACTTCTTCCCCTCCGGCTTCTCCCCGCCCTTCTGCCACTTCGGATATACCACGAACGACTTCGGATGACTAGGCGCACCACCCCAAACCTCCACAAAACCATCTGTCCCGTCAATCGTCGCCACGACCTTGTCACCCCCATTTCCCCTCTCCGTTGTCGACAGCAGCACACCCTGCCTCCCACTCTTCTTGAAGTGTAGGATCGCACTGGTCGTCACCTCAACGCCGTCTTTGAAGTCTTGCGCCGCCAGGATCTTCGGCTCCTCCGGCTTCGCGGGCAGATCCGGGTCCAGCGTCAGCAGCAACCACGTCAGGGGATAGATCCCAATATCAAGCAGACTCCCCGCGCCGAGATCCAAGTTCTTCATGCGGCTCGAGTTATCCAGCTTGGCCATATCAAAGTAATTCTGGAAATCACTGCTTGCACGAAATACCTCCCCAATGACTTTCTCCCCATACAACATCTGCCTCAGATCCGCTACCATAGGTCGATGACGCAACCACATCGCTTCGTGGACATACACGCCCTTTGCCTTGGCGGCAGCGAAGACCTCCTCTGCCTCCTTTGCGTTGATAGTGAACGCCTTCTCGCAGAGCACGTTCTTCCCAGCATTGATGGCGGCGAGGAGATCCCGCTTGTGAAGTCCATGAGGCGAGCCAATGTACACGCAGTCGACGTCCGGGTCGGCGTAGACTTCGTCGTAGGTGCCATAGATTTTGGGTTCGTGCTTGGAGTGTTTGATATATTTGGCGGCAAATTGCTTTCCTTTGTCCAGTGATGAGGAGCCGATGGCTTGGATGATGTGCTTGGCTTTGGCGTCGGCCCGGGGGATGTCGAGATCGGCCACGAACCAGGATGAGATGAGGCCGGTTGCTGTGTTGTTCTTGGTCAGTAAGATGGTGGGTGTGGTAATGGTGAGTCGGATCTGGACTCACTGATGATGCCCCATCTACAGGTGGGAGGGTCGTTGCTGGACATATTGCCGGAAGACCTCTAAAGTTCTCGAAATTAATTGTGCGCCTGGAAGCCGAAAGACAAGGTACGTACACAACACTTTCTAAAGCCTTTTAGGGGCACGCATATGTATATAACGGCGACTGATGTTTGACTGAACTGCGCTTCTGGAACGCTACCTGAAGTATATACATCCGTGGGTTGGCTGAAATGCCTATTGGAGAGGGGGAAAGTTGGGGTGCGTCATAGGATGACCACCGGGATAAATGCACTATTACCCGTGAAGATCCTGGTAGTGTATATATGAACGAGCCTATGCGTCCTATAGCCATGTCACAGCATGTCCTTCCGGATTATACCTAGGCTCGAGACACACTGTTCGACACGCTGCTCTTGCGGTGCTCTCCCTCGAGCTGCAAGCCCTGCTGAGTTCGAAGCACTTCCTCCTGCTCGGCGGACAATTGTGTGACATCCACCGTGACGACAGGCCCCTTGAACCACTTTCTAGCGTCAAGCGCATAGTAGAGGATAGCGCCTCCCCAGACCGCCGAGTTGATGACACAAGTGTAGTTCATGGTCTGCGCTGTCGGATTCGGACCACCGACCGGGAACATGCACAGCAGAATGCCGAAAGTGAGAAACGTGACAGCCGTCCACGCGATGGGAACGGAGAGCTTGCCTGTGTAGAACGGTCCAGGTGTGAACTTGTGCTGACCCCAAACGACACGAGCAAAGATAGGCACGCCCCAAGCAACATTGTTGCCAGCGACCGCCAAGGAGAAGAGAGCTGCTGCCGCCGCCGGAGCGATGAGGCAGAGCAAACCGAGGACTGCTGCCAAAACCGCGCAGGCGATAGTCGTGCGCAGCGGGATATAGCCGAACCTCTTCGAGATGACGCGGAAGTAGCCAGAGAAGGGCAGAGCTCCGTCGCGGGAGAATGCCCAGGATTGTCGGGAGGCCGCTACCAAGATGCTCACGCCCATGAGATACTGGACGATCATTAAGAGGGACATCATGCCCAGAGCGCCGTTCTTGCCGAGTGCATCGTAGTAAATTTGTGCCATCGGCTGTCCGTAGGCCGAGCCGAGTAAAGTCTCCGGGTCGGGGTTCATGCAAGCTGCAATGACAATACAGCAGATCCATCCGAAGAGCCAGCAGCTCCCAATACTCATGAGGATGCCGTATGGCACAGCCTTGGTGGCGTTCGCGGCTTCTTCGGACATGTGAACACATGAGTCGAAAGCGCCGATGGTCCAGATAGGGCTGAGCCATGCAAGCATATGCGCCCAACCGGCTGGCCACGTGGTGAGATTGTCCACCTTGGTAAAGATGAACGACGCATCATTTCGGTTCGAGCCGGTGCCAATCGGCAAAGCAATAATGGTCGCAAAGATGAGGATGAAGTTCATGCTGTCGAACGTCAGCACAATCACTTTGTGTCGAGGTGGCCAACTTACACAACGAAGACGGTCTGAAGCTTGCCCATGACCTTGGCCGCAACCGAAGCAATGACGCCATGGGTTGCTACAGTGGCCGCGAACACGCCGTAGATCTGGCCATTTGTTGGCGACCATTCGCCGTCTCTCGAGATCACAATGACGGAAAGAAACATGAGCGAGAAACCGTAGTCAATAGAGCAGAGTCCTCCAACGAGGCCCAGAGTGTTTGAATAGCCGACCAGGAATGACAGAGGGTTGCGCCATTTCTCGGACGAGAAGTAGTGAGTCCAGTAGTACAAGCCTCCCGAAGTTGGCATGGCAGATCCCAAGTCAGCCATTGCGAGGCCGACAATGAATATAAACATGCTGGCCAGGAACCAACCCCAGACAAGTCCGACCGGGCCAGCAGCAAGCGAGTAGCTGAGAGTAGAAGCGATCGAAGGAAGAAGACCCATGATCGCAAAGGCGATACCAAAGACCTCGATCATGGTGAAGTTCCTCTTCAGCTCCTGCTTGTAGCCCATAGACGCAAGGACAGCAGCATCGGCCTCCGATGCCAGGTTGTGGTCGACCTGCAGAGAGCCGCGGTGCAGAGAGGCTGGACTCTCGGGACTGCTGCTGGCGTCCTTGACGGCAGCATGCTTCTCGTCTGCCATATTCGCGGCTTCGATATTTAGGCGGACTGCGGTTAGTTGGTGGTGCCTAGGCGGATGCTCAAGTACTTCGAAACTGGTCACGAAAGGGACTCAAGACGCAATCGGCAGGGGTAGCCACGTTCTTATACAAACCATCGCATGGTCTCACAGGGACGCCGTGCCGTGTCGCGAGCTTCCCACGAAAGCCAAATCCCCTACCTTGAACCAGTCACTGGCGCCGCTCAACGGACTTGTGCGAAGTCTGAGGATGTCGAAACAGTGAGCGCAGGGCCTCATCTGCATGATTCCTAGCTAGTACTTGCGCTATGCGTTACTACTGGTCAGTTGCCCTGATAAGAGCGAAGGAGCTCGTCAAGCCTAGCAGTAGGGACTGATAAGCTTCGAATAGGCCTGCAAGCCGACGGCTAGTTTGTACGCACTGTTGGACCGATATCGTGAGGGGTAGGGGTTTGTCACTGGTTGCGCTTATCTTTGTCGAATTCATCTGTTCAAAAATATGCCGTCCGGGATCGCACCACTGCCATTTGAATTCGTGGCTGCGTCTAGAGCTGCATAGAACCACGTGGTACTCTTCCTACGCCTTCGCTGTCGGCCATTGTGTGGTATGGCTGGCGTGTGCATCGTCTCGTCGCGGAACACCGCATGTAAGATGACCGAGTAATCGCCTTGCTGCGGAGAGCTCGATGCCTTATAAGCGGCTCACGGCTGTGGCAGTAGGCGCGAAGCTTGGCGTGGTGCTTGGCGCTTACGCTTAAACGATCGGGAAAGTGCTGAGCTTCATCCTTTCCTTGATAGAAAGAACATTTTGAAATCAGTGCACAGTCGAACAAGCGACATCCAGCTAAAGTGAGAACCGAGATGTAGAGAGTCCTTGTCCAGGGACGATTGCCAAGCTTCCGCTGGCCCACCACCAAAGGTACAGCACCTTGCCAAATTATACTACGTAGCAAATACGTCAAGTAGGAGTCTCAAATTAGTCGAGAGTGCTTCGTTGTGCGCGGCTCCGTTTCCGATCTACACACTGGGAAGCTCAGGTTGGATGCGGATTTAGTCAACAAAGAAATGAAGAAAATGGAACTACACCAAGCGATGGACCAACGACATACAACCCCAGCCGGTCGGACCCTCCATCAGAGATGGCTATGGCTAATGACGGCAACAGAGCATCGTGTATGCAAAGATCTCACCCCGAATCCAGCAGGTCGAAGGGCATTAAGGAAACTTGGGATCGAGACAAATTCTTTGAAACAGTAGGTACTTCCTGCAGGTCTTCGTACTAAAAGTGTGGTCGCAGCACACAAAGAAGACGCTTGGGTCAAAATGGCAGCCCTTCAGGAGAGGCAGGTGGGTCGCCAGTGAATCGTGAACTCCGCCGAAGTCCGCCTCCTGGAGGTGAAGGGGTGGTTCTCGACCTTTCTCGATTCTGGGTGGGTTGAGGCGCCGGGCGGCGTACTGCGTTCGCAGCTTCCGCCCGAATTCGTTCACGCTCAGCCTGGGCGGCCTCTCTGGCTGCCTCCCTTGCGCGGACTGATTCCTGAACTGCATCGATCTCCGCACGTCTGGCAGCATCCTCTCGTCGTCTGCTCAGTGCCTCATCTATTGGAGCATTGACGACACTTGCGGCATGGTGGTAGCCTTGGAAGTTGCTAGGTTCGACTGGCTCATTGCCATCCTCGTCATCCGGGAGTACGTCCTCAGATATGAGGTTCCAACCATCGCTGCTCAAGATTCTCTTCAAGTGGATGAAGCTGTCTTTGCGAATGTCACCTACTATGGTCCAAGAAGGATCATCGATGGCGAACGTCATTGGGTTCGACATGTCCGCGGTCGTCTCTGCCTTGATGACATACTCGTGAGTCATGTTGCGCGTGATCAGAGGTTCGTGGACCCCTCGCCTCACCCATTGTCGTCCAATGGGCCACGCTCGATCATCGCGGATGCCGACTTCTTCCCTCGAGTAACCAGTTCCGTTGGCTCCTCTGCCTTTGTGCGTGTAGCACGGCAGAGCAATGATCCTCGTTGTTCCTATTCGGACGACGACCAGGAAGCGTTTCTTCTGCAGGAGGGGCTGGGTCGATTTACAGTCCTCAAAGTATACACCGTCCTTACTCTTGAAAGCGCCTTGCAGCTCTTCATCGTCGTTCGTCCTTTTGTACTCGGCCAGCTCATTCCTGGCAGTCCGCAAGCCTTCTAGGTAAGGTCGTTCGTAAACCAATGCTCTTATGATCATGCCCGGTCTGAGCATGCGGTTGGGCGGTGCAGGAGGAACTCTCCAGTCATCAGTGAAGGCTTTCATGCCTGGGTTCTTCGCATTTGTCGTCTGACTGCTGTTAGTTCCCAGGCCGCTTGGTGGGCGAGCGGTCGACGGCCCATCTCCGGTGAGTTGGCTGCCCATTCCGCCCATGTGAGTGTCAGAGCGAGGACCGCCGCCTCGTGGACCGCCGCCTCGTGGACCGCCGCCTCGTGGACGACCGCCTCCTCGAGGACTACCTCGTGCAGGGTTGCCTCTGCCTGACCAGTTATCCGTTGTCTGTCCATCCCGCATTTCTCGAGGCGCCGTTGGTGGCGACCATGGCGGCGGCATCTGCTGGTTAGGAGCAACGCCTTGGGGTTGTGGTGGCGGTTGTGGCTGGCTTCGAGTCTGTATGCGATCATACAGGGCAGCGGCAGCAGGCAATCTAGCGCGGTCGTCACGAGAGTTCGGCTGGTTCCTGTCGCCTTCTGGCCTTAGATAAGCACGATCTGTGGGCACGGATGTGCGTCGGTCATCGCGATCAGCGCGATCAGCTGCCCGGCCCTGTCGGCTGGAACTTCCTCTGCGCCGCTCGTCCCCGTACGTGTCTGAGAAGTTCTGATTGGACACGCGCCGAGCATCCTCTCCAGATCGAGAACTATTGTCTTGAGCAGTCGAGTTTGTTCGCGTGCGTGACTGACCCCGAGCTCTCTTCGGCGCCCGTTCGTTCTCGCTCTTACTGTCGCTGCCATCTGAATATCTTCGAGGCCTTTTCGATCCACCACTGCTTGCGCTACCCTTTTTCCCACCCCGCTTTCCCGACATACTGTTCAGTATGTTTGCAGATTAGGTGCAACTCAAGATCTGAAAAGCTGTGATAGAACGCAATGCAGTCACAGTGGACAATCGGTCCGCCCACTCGCCGCAAAGCTCATATAGAACGAACACACTCATTGTGTCTGTGTTCGTGTCCATTATGAGACAGCCCCGTGGTCTCGATCTGAACAAAGACATGTCCGCACCCGGATGTGCTTCTCGAGCATTGATGGCCTACCGTCATAATCGAGTCTCGGACCACGTCTGAGTACAAAGAAACCGTGAGTCTTGGAACGTCTCCGATGTTCCAGATCGGAACCTTGCATGACCCGACAAAGGACGACCACATCGTGGTCATCTTTGTATCTGCGCTTGAGTCCGGAACAATGGAATCTTGTCGGGTCAAAGCGCACACAATGACCGGAATCCTTTCTCAACGAGCGCAATCCATACAATTAGACGTTCTTTGATCGTCCGGCGGAAGCGATCCCATCGGGTGGTCCAAGCCTCAGCCAACAGCGCAGAGCATATTGATCAACTCAACAGCAACATCAACAAGAAGAAACAGACAACTTATGCCAGCAAGGACGCGTTTACAGGCTGCGCGAGAAAAAGAGGAGCAGCTTCGGACGCTACAGGGTACCGATCGGAGTGGACGCGAAAGTAGGCACTCCAGCGACGAGAGTGCATCCAGCAGTGGGGAACCCAGCGTCCAAAGCGATGGTGTAGAGCCGTCCCAGACCGACAGTGGAACCAGTCGCGGGCTCACTCTTTCTGACCCAGCTCTGTCCGCCTCCGGAGAAGGCGATGAGGTTGGATCGCTTGGAGGAGGGCCATCGAACTCCCGATCGGACCATAGCCAGGAAAAGCAGAGCGAGGAAGCGCAAGAAACATATAGAGCACCGTATGGATCGTGGTATGCCACAGAGAACAAGGTACACATTGAACAAAGTGCACCTGCCGCCAACGAGGCTCCATCGACCACCAACGACAGGCTTGATGCAGAAAAGCAGAGAGTGTTGAGCTTGTTTAGGGCATATAGCGCGAACAGTCGTCTCAAAACGCTCAGGTCATACGTGACCAGAGCGAAAAACAAAGAAAATTCTTTCCGACATACCATCGAGTACTGGTTCATGGGTGCGGGACTGGCCGACTCTCTCAATCGTGGAAGTTCGCTAGAGCAGATTTGCAAGTCGTGTGGCTTCGAGGAACCAAGACATTTGCGAACGATCCGTCGATGGAAGCGCGCATGTGCGAGGAAAGAGCGACTGGAGAAGGCCCTGAAGACGGAGGAGGACGTGTTCGAGCGAGACGCGAATGATGTGATCTGGAATGCCATTTCGCACCTGAGTCCTGATCTCTTGAAGTCTGACTTCCTTGGTGACCTCCATGGGCATGATAGGGCGTTCCGGCCAGATCCGCCACCGGAGCGATCGCTTCTGAGTGGTGTGCGATGCAAACTGCCCAGTGAACCCAGTGAAGTTTCGATGCTGGGCGCACCTGGAGAAGCAGGATTCGAGGACGACGCGTCGATGGTGGCCAAAGAAATAATTGAGGACCCTTCCTCTGCGAGTTCCGTCCAAGAACAGGCCGAGGAGACCGTGTCAGCTTGCGAGGCAAGAGAGCTGCAAGAGGCCCGAGCCAAGGCAAGGGAAGAGTATTTACAAGCCAAGAGCAGACTGGACGCATCTCGGAACCACTACGAGCGGTGGCTGAAGTATTATCGCTTCGAACCCAAGTTCCAAACCTCTGAAGAGGCCGAGAATTACCACCTGCGAACGCTGGCGGACAATACACGGACTGTGATCCACAGAGAGGTGGCATACGACGCTGCAGCGGAAAACGCACGACACTTGCAGGCAATGAACACGAACAGCGTGTCATCTCGATTTCCAGACGCCTATGCGGAGGAATGGCAGAAAGCTGTTAATGACGAGGCCGAGTGGTCATTGAGTCGATTGAAGCCTGAGAGAATAGAAAGATGGCGTGGAAACGTGTTGAAGGCGCAGTGTGGAGAGTCCTTAGGCGACATGGATGACGCAGAACTGACGGTTAGAGACGAGGAAGATGACATCTCAAATCTCAGAGGCGTGTATTTTGGCGAATCAAGTTCGATGCTTGCGTATTCGACCCGCCATGGAGATAAGATTATGAATTGGGGGATCGAGGCGGAACGTATCTGGGAAGAGATGACTATATCGTCGCATTCCGGAGAACCAACGGAGGTCGAACGGACGGACCAAGAAGGGATGGACATCGACGATGCTAATGCTCGGGATGCAGACCATGAAGAGACGAGAGACCAAGGCAAGACAGGGTCCGAAGCGAGTAGTAGCGGCAGTGATCCGTACTGTGGATTTTGGGGTGTCCAGAAGTGCTCCATAGTTTAGACTGTTTCCAGGTTGGACAGCAGCATGACAATGCTGCGGTCATGAGATAGGCCCATCCAAATAACTGTTTGATTGACTGGCGAGATGCTGTTGCCAAGTTTCCAAGAGGTGAAGTCCAGGACAGAACCTATGTAGATTAGCAAGGACAGACCTATAGAGATTAGTGAGGAATTTCGTGATTCGTGACAGAGGCGTTGACATCACGTGGCTGACCTACTCTGGCACACATCATGTATGCTCGGCCCTCCCTCAGCGACAACACAAATCAATAATAGCAGGAGAATGTCATTGTGATCCACCTGACCTCATGTCTCAGCTTTTGGAAGAAGGCAGCACGCTATACTAGTTAAGACAAGGCGTGGATCTGGTGCCCTTGAAGTCAATCCTCGGCATCGTTGCTGGAGTGTTGCGCAACTTAGAAGACTTCTGCTACTTCGCTGCTCCACCACGAGCTGGAGTAGCTGCTACTCATAGCCCGGGTTAGTTTTGCTGGGTATTGGCAGAGTCGCTGTAGTGACGCCCGCTGACGCCTTCGTTGAGGTCTGAATTGCCGACATTATGGATGTCGAGATACCGGCTGTGCCTGATTAGTGAGAGCCGGAGCACGTCGATGATCGGAGCAGGATCAGTGGTTTTGTGTGCAAGGGCTTCGCTTGTGGCTAGAGGCGCTGGTGGTCATGCGACGACGCCTTTGACGATTTATATGCGTTCATGTGGTTCCGATCAGTACACCGCACTGCAGTTCATGGAGATGGACGGGGGATTCGGCGCAAATGATTCGGGAAGACATAGGAAGGTAGAGAATGGCCGTGAGGAGCGCGGTGGAGATACACGGCCGCCAAGATCCCCCTCGCTCGCAACGGAGATAAACCTACAAGAGTGCTGACCGTGGCCGGGCGAGAACCTGCTCCAGACGTCTGGAGCAACAAGGAGTCGCGTTACCGAACTGCTCGAGTCCTCACCTGGAGCGTGGGAGGTCTAAGTCGGGTCTACAAGCGTTGAACAAAGGACGACGGACAAAGGCAGTAAGCCAGGCGTTTGCATTCGGAATTCTATGTAGCCAGCCTACAGGAGCGTGCTATGTAATCGATCGCATGCTGGGGCGACAGTCTTCAGGTTAAGTGTGCTCTGGTGGTATGATACATCCGATGCGAAATGCGTTTGATGATCGCAACGAACCCCATCTAAGCTTCGCTTTCCCTACTTCCATTGGCACAGGATCCGCTGAAATGGTGTTGATACCGCCAACTGCGATGGCGAGTCTTCCAGACCTTCGACACCAACGACGAAAGAAACGAGCTCTGTCGAGGCTTGTGAGCGATACGTAAAGGTCGCCCGGCTGAGCGGAAGTTTCTTTGGGCGCGATACGGGCCTCGGTCGAGCGTAGGTCTCATCCATCGTGTTCGAAACCATGTGACACCAAGATATCTCGCAGGTCATCGTGTGGGGTTCGCTTCTTCTTTGCAGCCAGTTTTGGGTCCATTTGGGCGCGAACGTTCATAGCAGCGTAGTAGTATCCAACACCTAGCTGAGCCTCGTCAACCGGCGTCTGGTCATCGTCATCGTCAACTTCAGCGTTCTGGTCGAATTGTGCGAAATGCATGCCATGCTCCAGGTATAGTCTGTTAAGACGGCGGAGGCTTTCTGCGCGGATGTCTCCGACTATAGCCAACTTGTGGTCAAGCTTGATACTTACTGGGCTGGCCAAAGCCACGCAGGTTTCTGGCTTTATGATGTCTGCTGACTTCATGTTCGTCGTCATCAACGCTCTATGACGGCCTTGTGGATGCCATTCTCGTCCGTAGGGATATTTTCGGTCGTCGCGGAGGCCGACGTATTCAAGTTGCGTGGTCTCGTGTAGATGGCCGATTCCTCTACCTGATTTGGTGTAGCAGGGTAGATAGGTGATGCTCTGCGTTGACATACTAATGACGACGCCGAGTCGCGTCTTCGCCAGCACTGCGTCTGAGCGTTTGTAATCCAAGAAGTAGATGCCGTGTTTCGTCATGAAAGCCCCCGATCGGGGAGCGTGGGGATTCTTGCGTAGGTAGTAGTCGAGCTCATTCTTGGCCGCTCGAAGATTGTCGCCATCGTGGAGCAGTTCATAGCTGCGCACGCGGATTATCATTCCTGGCCGAAGGTCTTGACGGTGAAACGGGTTGATATCCACCCAGTCCTTACCGCAAGCTTTCCAGTCCTCATCGGAAGCTTTGATGCTTGTGTCGAGCTTTATGGTTGTCTGAGTGGTGGACCCTGTTCCACGGGACTGACTGGCCACCGGTATCCTACTGGCAGGAGTGCTACGTGGGCCAGACTTGCTGCTTGAGCCAGTGCGAGTTGCAGTGGAAGGTTCGCGGCCCTGACCGAGTCGTTCACTGCTCCCAGGCGCAGGTGGACGCACGCCTGGACCAGCATCTCTTCTGTGATTTTGAGCCGATGTCTGTTCGTCTGTGTGTGCAGTAGACCGTGTAGCGCGATTTGAACCAGATCGCCCTCGTGACTGGTCATGTGACTCGTGGTCACGGCGACTTATGCGGTCTCTGTCTTCGTCGCCATCCCCTCTACGCGACTGTGCTCGATGATCTACTCCGTCCGGACGTCTCTGAGAGTATACATTTGTAGCTGTATCCTGCCGTGAGACTTTGGATGAGGATCGATTTGACTCTGATCGTTGATCAACCGCTGTATTTCTGTTGGAAGACATCAAGATGCCGTTGGTGCCACGCGTGCTTATTGGCGCTGTGAGAGAACCATGTGTTTCTTGACGTGCGCAGGCTCTCGTATTGGGACGTGTGTCATTGTCATTCGCGCGTTGCCGAGTCAGCTGGCATCCATCGAAAGCGACTTCGAAGTCTCGTTTTCTTGACCCACGAGCAGGATCTTCTCTTCCACTTCCTGACCCTCGAGGTGTTGCCCGAGACATGATCGTTCGCTACAGGCAGGTCTCGCAAGTTGTGCGAACATCGACAGCTTGTGCAAAAGGGACGATCCATTTGGGGATGGTTGGCCCATTGAATTAGGGTGGGCAAAGTGAAAGTGACCAGGCCCTCCCGTCACCTGGGCGAGCTCAAGTGTCGCCATGCCGAGAACGCCTCATGGTCTCCAGCGCCCTCGATAAGCCTGCTGCCAGCTTCAAACCTGATACAATAACAACTCGCGGGCGCGCTGCAATCGACTGGCACAGAACAATGCAAGATGCCCATGTCATTACACAAAGAACGAGCCTTTGCCGTGAGCTCTTCCGAGGATCGAGGTGGACATCCGGGATGGCTGAACAAAGGACCCGCACGCTGCGATGAGCTTTGTACCGATATTTGGAACCAAATAACGCTTTGTCATTGAGGCCAAACAAAGACAAAGATCTGGGTCTAATATTCTCGAGTCTCGGCCAGTTCTAACAAACAATGTCAGCAGTAAAAACGAAAGCGTAGCATAGAGCGAGTAGCCGCCCCAAGGTACCCGAACCGCTCTCTCATAAGAGAAGTAAAACACTAACCAATGCCAGTCAGAACGCGAGCCCAGGCTGCTAGAGAGCGGCGAGAAAAAAATACGAACTTTTGAGGCGGCCGCTGCAAATCGTATTGACCGCCGGCGATCAGACAACGACCGACATTCTGCTGTGTCGAATACCGGGATCCCTCGTGACGTTCGCAGGAGCACACATTCGGCCCAAAGCAGGGCCACGGTGCGACACTCGTCGCTGCCTGCGTCCCATGTCGTCACGAACCGACAGCGTCTCGCTGATGACGACACACATCAAGCGGATGCTGCGGAGCAGCCAGCAACGACAGAGTCTCAGTCTCAGCCAGCTCTCTCAGGCGTCGCTGAACCGAGACCGCATGACAAGACCGTGAAAACTGATTATCACAAAGCCTCGTACGATGACCTCGATGCCTTCCAGAAGGTGGGCCTAGCAGTGGTCCGGACTCTCCGTGCGAATGGACGGATTGAGATATTGAAGTATTATGTGGGTATCTCGGCAGGCCGGGAAGAGCTCCTGCGGCTCAGTATCAAAGAAACACTTCGAGATATAGGATATCACGACCGCCTGCGCGATGGGATACCACTAGAAAGAATTTGCAAGACATGGGATCCTCATGGTGTGCAGGACAGGCGAACGGTACGTCGTTGGTTGCGAGAGAAGGCTAGAAAAGAGCGTCTGGAGAAAGCCGTGAGAACAGAGCAGGATAATCTTCAGCGAAACGTCGCTCGGTCGGCTCGTGAAGCCGAGACAGCAATAAAGCCTCGGTCCCAGCAGCCTGGCTTCTGGAACTTTCTTGACCAGAACGATCGGTCCCTTTTGGAAAGGCCGCCCTCTGAGCCGTCGCTAATCGGCCCACTCAATACCGCACTCGAGCCGAGTGATAGCTCGGTCCAGAATGACCAACTTGACATCGTCCCTGACCCAGATCTGGCGTTAGAGGTGCCTTCTGAGGTTACAATGGACAAGAGTTGGCCCGACGAAGCGGAGAGTGCTGCTGAATTTGACGATCAGCTCTCTGTTGAGAACGAGTCAGCTCAACGGGCGCGAGAATTGCAAGAGAAGAAAGCTCATGCCAGGCAAATGTATCTGGAAGCCGTGCGCAATCTGGAGTTGTCTCGGAATTATTATGACAATTGGCTGAAGTAATATCGCTGGCAGGGCATCGAAGACAAAACGTCCGAGGAGATCGAAAGAGACCACTTGAAAGGACTAGCAAACAATGCAGGCGATTTAATCGACAGAGAGCTGGATTACGAAGACGCTGCGCGAGAAGCACATCGCTGGCAAGCAATGAACACAAACAGCGTGCAATCTCGATTTCCTGACCCTCATCCCGAGGAATGGCAGCAAGCGGTCGATGAAGAGGCGGAGTGGTCTCTAGGACGCTTGAAACCTGAACGGATAGAGCAATGGCGTTCAGTCGTACCGATACCGATAACGCAGCGCGAAAGGTCAATGAGCGATATGAGTGACGCCGAACTGGAGATCAGACAAGAGGATGTTGATGTCTCGAATCTGGCCGGAGTCGAATTCGGCGAGTCCATGTCGACCTTAGCATACTCGGCTCGGCATGGTAATAAGATCGTCGACCATTACCTACAAGCTGAGCGCGCATGGCAGGACATGTCACTGCCTTTTGACGAAGGGACCGACAATGAGATGTCCGGAACTGAGACGAAGAACGATGAAGAGCAGGGTGATCGGAGCGAATCAGGCTCCGAATTGAGTCGTGGCAGCGAACCGTACCGTGGGTTATGGGGTGTAGAAAGGTGCACTGTAGGATAGATTGTTTCCGGATACTGCGGTGTGACACGGGAGAAATGTCATTGTGATTAACTTGCTTGAACTTATAGTCTTGATAGCCGTTGGAAGGAGCCAGCACGCTATCCTAGATAAGGTAAGGCGTACCTTATGGTGGGTCTATCGGAGACGCAGTGCACTGCAGTGCAGGCTGTGGTGAATGTTACCTCTTGCACATCCGTTCACATGTCGAGATAGCAGCGGTCCTGCTCCTTCAGCACAATGGCGACAAGTCCTACCGGCATGGAGGACCAGGGGAGGCTCCTGGAGGAGGCCCTCAGTGTCGTCCGCACTCAAGGACAGCAAATGCGCCGATGCCTGGAGAATCCGGGGAAGCTCATGGATGCCCTCAAGTGCGGCTCGACGCTCGTCTCTGAGCTACGGACGCCTACACGTAAGTCGCCATCTTCCTGCCTGTAGAACGGCCCCGGCATCTGTGGAGGAGGCCAACACCGCGGTCTCGCGCTCCAGCGTCGGCCGATGCTGCGTCTCTGCCTCTTGCTCTATGGAAAGCATCGCTGACGAGCACTGAGTTCGCAGTTGGACCCAAACAGTACTATGAACTCTACATGGCCGTCTTTGACGCTCTCCGTCACCTGTCCGATTACCTCCGCGACTCCCATCCTGTCAACCACCTCGCCGACCTTTACGAACTTGTACAATATGCTGGAAACATAATACCACGACTATATCTAATGATGACGGTGGGCACGGTGTACATGGGAGTCGAGGATGCGCCAGTCAAGGAGATCATGAAGGATATGATGGAGATGAGCCGTGGTGTACAGCATCCAATTCGAGGCCTGTTCCTGCGCTACTACCTCATGGGCCAAGCTCGAGACAATCTCCCTCAGAGCATAGATGACGGCCCACAAGGAACGATCCAGGATTCCGTCAACTTCATCCTTACCAATTTTGTCGAAATGAACAAGCTCTGGGTACGGTGGCAGCACCAAGGCCATTCACGCGAACGGGAACAACGCACACAAGAGCGTAGAGAGCTCGAGCTATTGGTTGGAAGCAATCTGGTCAGACTGAGTCAACTGGTCGATTTGGAGATGTATCAGTCCATGCTCATCAGTCCGCTCTTGGAACAAGTCGTTCAATGCAGAGATGTCTTGGCACAGGAATACCTGCTCGAGGTCATCACAAAGGTCTTCCCGGATGACTACCATCTTCACACATTACATCAAATGCTGTCTGCTATTGCTCGACTGAATCCCCATGTCGACATGAAGAAGATAGTCATTGGTCTTATGGATCGACTATCGTCATATGCACAACGAGAAGTGCCCGAATCTTCATCCCCGGAGGACAAGCAAGCGGCGGAGGAAGAAGCTATCAGCCGCTTACTAGAGAAAACCACCTTGAAGGAGGCCAAAAAGGCAGAGGCTAGACCAGAGCCGGAGCCTCCAAGTACAAATGGCTCAGAAAGTACTGACATCGACACTTCGGCGACCACGGAGACACCATCGAAAAGCGAGGAATCGAATCCCACGCCAGAGCAGGTCGAGAGCACCCAAAACGGTGACTCAAAAGGAATTGCTGACGTGAAACTGTACGAGATCTTCTACGAACAAGTTGTAAACTTGGTCAAGACCAGAGGCCTATCAATACAGGACACAATGGCCCTTCTGACCTCGCTCGTCAACCTCGCCCTCAACATTTACCCCGATAGGCTGGAATATGTCAACCAAGTCATGGCGTATGCCAGCGAGAAGGCGGCCGAATACGTCGACTCGGCGGATTTGCATTCAGCAGCCACACAATCAAACATGCTCAACCTGTTACTAGCGCCAATACGATCGTACCACTCACTTTTCACCGCGCTCGCTTTACCTCACTATCTCCCTCTTTTCCAGACACAAACATACACGACACGGCGAGCAGTCGCTGGAGAGGTAGCCAGAACAGTACTCCGGAACCGTGTAAAGATCACTACGGTCGAGCATCTCGATGGAGTGCTGGCGCTTCTGAAAGTCTTGATCAAAGAAGGCGTGGCACAGCCAGCTGGCTATTCAGGACTCGGCAACCGCAATCGCGGCGACTCGGACGAGATCGTTGAAGAACAAGGCTGGCTAGCACGGGTAGTGCACTTGGTTCAGGGCGCAGATAATGACACACAACTCAAGCTGCTTCAACAGACAAGAAAAGCCTACGAGGCAGGTAACGAACGCATCAAATACACGACACCGGCCTTGATCACAGCCTCGCTGAAACTCGCTCGACGCTTCAAAGCACGCGAGCACTTCGAAGACAACTGGCAATCACAGTCCTCCACCTTGTACCGCTTCATGCACCAAACACTCTCACAACTCTTCACACGCGTCAATCCTGGTTCAGCTGAGCTGTGCTTACGGCTTTTCGTGTGCTGCGGGCAAGTAGCTGACCAGTGTGGCTTCGAGGAGTTCGCATATGAATTTTTCGCTCAAGCTTTCACAATCTACGAAGACTCAATCAGTGATTCCCGAGCACAATTCCAAGCAGTATGCATCATCGCTGGCGCACTCCAGACAAGCCGTGGATTTGGCAAGGAGAATTACGACACCCTCATTACGAAAGCGGCGTTGCATGGCAGTAAACTGCTGAAGAAGCCGGATCAATGTCGGGCAGTCTACCTCGCAAGTCATCTCTGGTGGGCAATCGAGATACCTGGGAAAGAGGAAGACCCTGCAAATGTAGGTTTTACAATCATCATACTCGACAACTAGAAGCTAATACTCAATCAGTTCTACCGCGACGGCAAACGCGTCCTCGAATGCCTACAACGCGCTCTCCGGGTCGCTGACGCTTGCATGGACACCGCTGTCTCTGTGGAGCTTTTCGTCGAGATTCTCAACCGCTACGTCTATTACTTTGACCAGCAAAACGAGACAGTACGTTGCGCCTTCATCTCTGCCCCCTCAGCTTCTCCACAAGTGCTAACACAAATGATCTAGGTAACGACAAAATACCTCAACGGCTTAATCGAGCTGATCCACAGCAATCTCTCGTCATCGAATGCAGAAGGCGGCAACAACCAGCAGAGTCTGGAGAATCCGAAACGGCATTTCTTCCGCACACTAGAGTATATCAAAGGCCGGGAATGGGAGGGCGTTGTTACTGAGGCCAGATCGTGAGCATGGTCTGGCAAATGCGACGTGTTGCAGGCAGACGTCAACCTGGACCGACTTTGACCGAAGGGTCTCTGTGTGTGGTGACCTAGGATCTGCTGCCGAGCCAGGCCAGGGTCGGTCGTATCCTGTGCAGATAGAAGTTCGGTGTCGCATGCCGCTCGTTGGCTACAACTGTGTGCTAGCTTGGTCGCGCGGAACTTCTCGAGAGTGGAACATAGCGAAGCGATACTGCTGTAGAAGGCGCCAGTGCAGTTTTCATGGTGCCGGTGAACAGGAAGACCCAGGAAACGCCAACGGCAGATGTGCACACGACCCAGACAATGAAGATAGATAAGCAGGTTCCATAGCCGTGCTGGAGATGCCTGATCAATCCGATCCGCGGCATCGGTCTCTATGGAGCTCAAGCCGACGCCACTGCCTATATCTCATCACCACCCACTGCCCCTCCTCTCCCGGCGTTCCCCCTCCAAAATCTCTCGCTGCTCGCTTTCCTCTCGCGCTTTCGTTCCAACTTCCCGGTCCACCTCATCGACTTCGGCGTCACTTTGGTCGCCAAGCGCGTCTGCCAACACCCTGTTCGGGTCATCAAACTCCCCTCTGAGGGCCCTTGCTAGGGAGGAGCTAAAAGTTGGGTGCGAGGCGGAGGTGGTATTCGTGAGTGACATTGGAACTGAGATGGGTGCTGCGGATTCGGAGTCAGAGCCGTTGAGGGGCGAGGCCATGCCTGATTTCGAGCCGCCGCCGTCTCGGCCTAGGTAGGCTTTTAGTTTTGGGCGGGAGGTTGATTTCTTTGGTGCAAGGGTGCTTGTCGTTGAGGAGGAAGGGCCGTCAGTCGTCTCGGTAGCTGCATCCGCTTTGCTTGAAACCGCAGCATGGCTCATCGGATCTACATCGTCTCCCGACTCAGAGTCCGATTCGGAGTCATTCCGGAACATATCCCTCGTGCTCTGCCTTTGCGGCGGTTGTCTGGGTTTGAAAGTACTCCCGCTCGCATCATGCCTATGCTTCGACTGCCACCTCCTCACAGGCACCTGCGGCACCTCGCTCGCCGTCTCCGCCGCCGTAATACTCCTCCTCGACGCCCTCTCCCTCCTCAGATCACTCCACTGCCGCAATTGGTTCTGCAGCACATACCTCCCATTATTCGCCAACTTCATCACCAAGAACTCACAATGGTTGATATTCCGCAAATCCTCAAAGAACTCAACACTGTAGTGGTACCACGCCATCAGAAACACCCTCGAACACAGCCCGTGCGTGACCAGGACGGCCACACTCGCCATGTCGTCTTCGCTGAAACGCCGCCAGAGACTCCCATTAAAACTCGTAATCCGATCATAAACATCCGCCCCACTCTCCCCATTCGGAATCCGATAGAAGAAATGCCCATAATCCGCCCTCTCCCGCCACAACCGCTCAACCTCATCCGTCCCCGGCTGGAAATTCCCAAAATCCTGCTCCCGCAACCTAGGCTCCTCGTACACCTTGATCCTCGACCTCTGAAATGGGCTTGGCGAGGGCGTGTTGGAGCATAACCCACTCAAGATACCTTCTGTGGTTTCGCGAGTGCGGCGATAGGGGCTGATGAAGAAGTGGAGGGTGTCGTCGTGGCGGAGGAGTTCGCGGAGTTTGGTGCCTGCGGCGAGGGCTTGGGCTTGGCCTCGGTGGTGAGGGGGACTTTGTGGTCGGGCGTGGTTTGGTGGATGGTTTTGTCGCGATTGCCTTCGGATTGGGCGTGGCGTATTATGAGGATTAGGCGGGGCTTGCCCATTGCTCTGGGATTTGTGGTTTGGTGGTCGTCCTGGGCGAGTTGGTTGATGGGTGGTGTTCGTGTGATGAGATTCACTGGTGGGGCGGATATCTGGTGGCGCTGGAGGCGATGAACGCAGGAACCGTGCGCATCGGGCAGCTATACCCTACCCTACTTTTGCCCCTGTCGTCCTCTACGTAAACGATTCAGTTCGTCAATTTACACGCTATACTCTCGTCTTAATTTCTTGCGTACTGATCACTGCAACCATGGGCTAGTTGAGTCTTTGGGGCATTCGACCTGTCTTCGAGACAGTGTGAGCAGTCACAGCACTGTGGTCGGCCTCCGGAGACCTGCCACGACCATACTGAAGCAGTCCTTTGGTAGCGATGTCCTCGACCGATGAAAGCCTTCTTCGCCTAGCACTTGGCACACCGAGACATGGGGCTAGTTTGTCACGCCTGAACTAATGTTAGCATACAACAGGACTCTAAAGGCTTCTCGGACTGTATCTATTGCTTCTTCTTTGCCTTATTCTTTCGACTGCTTAAGCCCAACTTATGAGATCTCGTCCCATGAATCTGAACCCAGCGACGAACATGTTGCAGGTGTCGCATTTGTGAGTGCACAGCAGCAGTTCGGTGTTGACGATGACGAACGAGGGTGTCACTTTACTGAAGAGTCCTGAGCGCATCTGTGCCCATCGGAATCGGACTCGGAGTTCTGGAAGGGTCTGCAGACTCGTCTCAAGACGAAAGGAGAGAGCTTGGATTTTCACGCGCTCTTGACAACCATTCAGACATCCCGCGGCCCGAAGGCCGAGCTCGCCACAGTGCTGAACTCCTCAAAGCTGCTCCTGCTCTTAGATGAAGCCGTTGCCAAGCAGAACGTGGGTGTCTTTGTGCTGTTAGTGGCGAATGGCGCCAATGTCGCTCATACTTCACCCATGTTTGACGGAGAGGCGGTCGAGGACATAGTACGAAGCCGAGCGTCGTTGAACGAACGTTACTACGCGATGGCTTTGTTCCTCGATTTCGTATACTTCTGCCACCAAGAGCCCGTCGATGCAGTGTGGATAGATGCTTCAGGAACCCTGGGCGGTCACGTTGAGCCCGGTGGAGGAGAAATCAGGAACGTACTGGCCTTTCTCGCTGATTGGAAGCGGCCGTGGAAGCTGCCGCTCGATTTGAAGTCACAACATCGGCGCATACATCTCTTCTCAAACAACGTAAGTTGGCTTCTTCGGCACCTTGATCCCACTGACCAGGTAGGGGGCAATAATCTTGGTAAATACCCTTCCCATGTAGCGAGTACTCTCGCTAAAGGCTGCCAGGCGCTATTCTTGCTCCTGGAGAGTGTTGAGGCGAGAGGACCGAGCTTGCAACTCACGACTGCTTTTCTTGGTGCCTTTGCCCCGCCGGGTATCGTTCCTGGATATAGGGAACTTTTCTACCGCAATCCCAGCTACAGGAAAGATGCGTCGACCGAACTTGAGACTCTGGTGGTAAGCTTGGCCTGCCTGTCACTGTTGTCCGATGTCTGACTCCATACCGTTTCCGTGTCTGGCACTTGATGCCGTCGAAAGTTGGTCGAAGCAGAGATCAAATCATTCAGATTCGACGGAAGAGTACAATTCCAAGACCATGACTTTTGAGCGTGGTGGCTGGATGCAAAGAGCCCGTCTTCATGGCCATCGCCGTCTCCGTCGATATCGATCCGCACGCACACCACATCTCCCACGCACGCTCGATGAGAACTACTACCCCGGTTTGGGCAAATCCGATTTCTCCTATAGGAACACGGACCAAGTTGTGACGAAAGAGCCGTGGAGGAGAGCCCGAGTCAGCACTTCATCAGCCTTCAAGGACGGGTCGTACTATGCAGGCGAGTTGATCCTCGTGGTATCACAGCTTTGGGTCTGGAAGGTTCACGGAACAGTAATTTCTGCTTACCCAATATCGGATGGGTCATTCGGCTACACCTTTGACAGCGACACTAAGCGTTGGAGGCCACACCACGATCACGAAGAGCCCGCCGAGCTCTGCATCGCACGTATGCTAAGAAAGCATGTCCAAGCGTTCGAGTTGTCCAGGACCATTCAAGGATGCAAAACTCGTCCACTACTGGACATATTCGAAAGCTACGTCGTGCTCATCGTGTCGGAAGTTGACAGGTACACCAAATACACAAGGTCAAGCGAATTCAATCTGGAGACGGAGCGTCGACTGCTGCACGACGTAACCGACGTTCAGGAGGAGCTTGTAATGATCACAAGCGTTCTGAATCAGCAATCAGACGTCCTTCACAGTGTTGCTGAAAGCCTCAACAGACCTGATGCCAACGAGGATGCCAAAGACGAGATCGAGTTGTCGATCCAGATGCTGGGCGCTTATCAGTCGCGCATCAAAAAGATCCAGTCTGACGCAGAACGAATCGAGAAGTCGGTCAAAGACATGCTGGAGCTCAAGCGAGCGCATGCTAGCGTCACGGATGCGCATCACAGCCTTCTCCTTAGCACGGCTGTTATGGGGTTCACTGTTGTGACAATAATCTTCGCACCCTTGGCTTTTCTGACAGCTCTGTTCGCTCTGAAGCTGGACAGCTTTGGGGCCCTGTACGTGAACGCAGCCGACGGCTCGCGAATCGATGGAGTCTACGATGGCGGCAAGCTCGGTGGGATCCTAGGTTTGTGTACTTTATCTGTTCGAGGTGCTTCTAAGACTAACTGGGTACAGTGAGTGGTGTCGTGCTGACCTTTATCATTCCTGGTCTGGCGGTGCTCGCAGCTTTGTGGATGCTCGAGAAACAAGCGAGAATCATAGAGACCCAGACGGTTCGGCCAGGTCCAAAGATGCCACCCACAGACACAAAAGTCAGTTTGGAGACTTCGAAGGTGTGACTTCCCATACTAGCCACGGAACACACGACCTAGGAGAGTATCGTGGTGATGAATCTGACGGATCCTACGACGAGAACGCGATCACGTTGGTTCTGCGAGCCTCGCTGCTGGCCATCGGCCTTGTGCATGAAAGCACGCAGCGCTGGCTCAAGCACGGCAGTCCGTCTCACAAGCGACGGCAATGGTATTGTAAGGCACCTACGCCGGCCTGCAGCGACGATGTCGCAAGTGGCCAAAGCCCGAAGCGACGCAACGCAGCCGCATCTCGCGATCGCCTGTATAGACCTCCGAATGGACATTTTGATCGTAGCATGGTGCTGCCTTATTGTATGGGCTCTTGAGTATGGAGCGTGGGGAGTATTGCGACTGCCTGTACAGCACATGGCTGCTTGCCTCCTGGCAGCTGGTAGTCGCCACCAGGGCAGGCGCACTTGCCATGCAATGCCTTCAACCCAAAGAAAAGGCAGTCCCTGCTGCTTCGCTGCCAGCGAATCTGCCCGTGATTGTTCCTCATCTTCCTCTGAGATATCAAGCACATGCTCATCATGACTTGTTACTGACCACGGCTTGGAGTTCTTATCTTGCTGCTGGACTCAACAGATCCGATCTTCGAAACTCCGCCCTGAGATGAGATCTCCCCGCTTACAGGCTTGGTTGCAGCCCTATCGTGGTCGCTTCATTTCGCTTACTGGTGCATCTTACATGTGCCAATCACGGCTTCCAGCAGCCACTGCCATGGGCGAAAATATTCTCCTGCCGAGTGTCGTTCATTTCTCGTTCCAACAGTTCGGTCTGCAGCGTCCAATGCATGCAACAGACATGGCCTGGGTCTGCCAGCAGAGCCTTGCAAGGACCCTCTGACCACCGTTCGAATCCATCACAAATTATGGCCAACAGAAGTAAGAGGCTATCGAAGAGTACTGTGCACTCGGGCCTCCCACAACATCCAAAGAAGCTTTCAACTTCAAAAGCCTGGCCATGCCCACGATCGTGTGCAGTCAGAATGCGCGTATTTAAGGATCCTGCTTCGTATTTTCCCCAGTCGGCCACCTGTCAGAAGCTCGTGGCTTCGGCGAAGTAGCCCAGAACAACTCAAGATTCCGGGCGAAGAATGGCATTCACAAGCCACATTCCCGTCTGTCAAGGCATTTATTTTTCTTACGTGTTACACATCGTTTTGGAAGAAACGACAGGCACGCACAGACCAGCTCGACCCGATTGTTAAAATCAAGCAAGACATTTCGGACTTCTCCTCACCCTTCGACCTACTTGACTCGATCTCCGAGAGCATTTCGATAGTCTTACATGAAGCGAGCTCTGGTGCCTCCTAGGATGGTATCGATCGTAATACAAAGCGATCACAAGCGAATACATGGCCCCGATCGATCCGCTAATCAGGTCAATCACCTCAGGGAACATCTGCCGTGTCCCGGCCGGTCAGTATAGCAATGAGCTAGCATGCAGGAAATACCTACGGCAGTTGAGCGAGCAGCCGCAGGTCCTATACACGCAGGAATGTCGGCTTCCACATCGGAGATAGCAGTCGTCGCCTCTGACTTGCTCTTTGATTACACGAGAGTGAATGCGAGGCTAAGACTATTCAACCCCACGACAAGCATGATGACGGCAAGATTCGACGCTGGACTTGCGCACACCAGCTATCCCGAGTAGTGAACTTGATTTCCTGATTGAGTTGTGGTGGTCAGACCACGGCAGCCTGTTCGAGCGACTTGAGACACTTTCGCCTCCATGACACCAAACACAACGATGCAACGGTGTGGGCATTACTACAAACGTCCTGTTTGTTTCAACAATGCCCTCAAATTCGGACACTTCGTTACTGCTTCTCGAATCTCGAAATCCGTCGTCTCGTAAGCCGACAGTCAAGATTCGCTTCGTCCTCGCCCAGGAGTCCGAACTTGCAACGGTGCGTCAGGGACCGTAAGGATTCCCCGGCACTGAGAGACTCCGGTGAGGATCCGACGCCAACAAGAGAGCTCTCTGCATAGCAATGATCTCATGCCAACGCTTTCGAGTAAGAGAGTCCGTTTCATTTGGCTTCTTTCGACAGGTGAAAACACCTAACACAGAAGTCGCTTCAGCACAGACAGCCGCATCCGGTGCGTTCAATCCTGATACTTGGTCCGACACTATGGGCTGTGATATCAAGCTCAAACGCACGTTCCATGTAAACCAAGGTTGTCTGGGACCGGGTCAACGGCTGTCATGACCAGAACGATCACTAGCGTGTAAGTATTGGAGCTCTTGCCACGGCGGCAGCAGACGCACGCGACCAAGGCACCCACCGTACCGATCACCTCATTCGCTCTATAGACTCGTTGAAGCTCATGAGCCCCTCTTGCGAAGTGCAGGTGTGCATCGTCAGTAATGCAAGCGAAACAGGTCAGCCTTTCTCCTCTTCTCCTGAACCAGAGAGTTTCGCGTACATAGCAAACTTTCAATAATCGACAGCAATATCCGACACACCCTTTCGCCTGCACGAAGCTCGGAAGTTGACAGTCCGGCAGAACGGAGTGCACACCGCTCTGCTCTGGCGCCTGCTCGAGCAGATGCTGCACGAGGTGGGCAGCCCCTTGCTTCGTGGCGAGGAGTTTGCGGAACTCAACAAGTGCCTCGAGGTGTTCTCGAAACAAGGTAAGGAGATTCTCCAGGTGCAGAGGCTGCACGATGCACATGTCCTAACGTCAATACTCACATGCGGATTCGAAGACCAGGTTGTACGTCATTGTCGCGAAGCAGGGCCTCGAGTCAGGGACTAGGTGTAAGGCCGGTGATCTTCTGGGCCTGGGGCCTCTTCCGGAAGTTGTAGTGCAGTAAAAGAGCGAGCAGAATCGCTGTACTCTGCCTGCGCTCTGCTTCGCAGGCCGTACAGCGATGGATATCGTGTAGTTTTTTGTGCCAGTAGGCTGCGCCGGGCGACGTCAATTCGCATGCCGCCCCGTCGCGCTCCAAACCACGGTTCTGACGCTCTGAACGTATACCTACCAGTAGGGCGCGCGAACCAACGACCATGGTGTGCGACAACAGAGGGACCACAAAAAGCAAATAGTCACACACACTGCCACACGTGTGCAACAAGAGCCAGACGAAACCAAACCCATATGAAGACTGCTCAGCAGCGATGCTGTATCGGGTACTGTACATTAACTTTACTACATACCAAAAAGTACCTACAGTATATCATATCATATCTCACCGAGCCCGTGGGCAAGGTGTACACAATCCTCTCACGTTTTCCACAACCAAGACCGTGACGCCGTCAGCCATTACCACAGCCCTCCATCCAGCAGAGTGGTCTGTTGTTCCGTTTTGCCAGAGACCAGCCCTGCCTACCTCTTCCTTTCGACACAACATCCCAGCTTCAGCGATCAGGTGGTCGCCCAGGCTCAGATTCGTACCTTTGGTAACTTCCTCCTTGTTGCTGGTGATGTTGATACTGCTGCGCGTGATGTTGGTGGTGCTCTTCCTCTTCCCTCCTCAATTGCCTCGAACTCGGCCTCAGGGGTCCGACGTCTTCCTGCGGTTGCCCAGCACGGCCACGATCACTTCCTTCTTCACTGCCCCTCCTCCCGGTCGGATCGCCTCCTCCACCACGTCTGGCCATTTCCTCCTCCTCTTGCGCGACCTGTGCCCTCACAGCCGCCAACGCGCCCTGACTGACCGGCCCACTTCCACCTCCAGCACTGGAGCCGGAGCCAGGCTGACTTGGCCCGGGGGTGTTGTGCGCAGTCTTGCGCTTCTTCGGGCTGTTCTCGTAAACATCACTGACCGCCACCGCCGAAGGGCCGGCTTGTTTACGTAGATGGCCATGGGTGGACGAGGTGTTTGTCGGGCCGCCAGAAGTGCTGCCCTGGGAGCCAAATGGAGAGCCTTGCATTGATTTCGTAGACGGAGTCGGTGGCTGTTGCTGAGTGCCGCTCGTAGGTGGTGCAGATGTTGTGCTGCTGGCGCCACCACCGGTCGGGGGTGTCCAGTGGTGGAAGAAAAGCGCCGCACCGCCTCCGCCACCACCGCTCGCTGAGCCCTGGCCAGTGGTGGATGACGTGGTGCCTGTCGGAAGAGTGGATGCAGATGGCGCACTGGGAAGATCGTCGCGCTCGCTGCGCAGTCTCAGGTCGCTTGCGGAATGAGTAGAGTGCAATGGCTGCCGGTGTTGAGCGGGTGGTGCAAAGTCCACAGTGTTGAGCTTCGAGAGAGCGCCACTTTGTGCGCCGGAGAAGGACGCTCGAAAGGATGCTCGGTCAGAGGAGTGTGGTGCTTGTTGTTGTGCTCCATATGGGTTTGGTGGAATCATGCGATCGCGCAGTTCTCGCTGATCGCGTTCCCTCCGGATGTCCGGTGAAGATGCGGAAGTGAGGAGTGAGCCTTGCTGGCGGAGCTGCTGCTCATATGCCAGTCGCTGAGCGTCCGACGCACTGGATGGTGTTTGTTGCTGAATTGAGAAGTTCTGCATCCAGGTTTGCGCAAACTCCATGGCTTGACTGAGTGTTGTCTCCGAGCCGGTTCCGATGCCAGCAAAGATCAGAGGTACCATCACCGGCGGAATGCCTCGTTCCAGTGATTCGTGTAGCATGTCTCGTTCCATTCGACGCCTGTCCAGTTTCAGATTTTCCTGCCGAGTCTTCTCTTCCTCCTGCTTCCGTCGATCCTCCTCTATCTTGGCGTGCAACCAATTGCGCATAGCTTCGTCATTGCTTGCAGCACTAGTCGACCATGACGATGGTGGAGCTGGGAGCGTTCCCATAGTGCTGCCAGACGAAAGTCCATGATGTTGCGATTGTGGCTGTGCAGGCGGCTGCAAAGGCGCCGCTGAGGAAGACCGGTAGTGCGGGTCTGCAGAGACCGGCGTGGGTGGTGGCAACGAGAAACCTGCAGAAGATGGTGGAGGGAGTCCGCGTGGATGTGATGAGGCTGGCGGTGGTGGCGGCGGCTGGTGTGTATATGAATGGCCGTGGCCAGAACCACTGCTCATGGCAGTGTCGCCGTTGGTGGCGGCTGCAGGAGTAGCGCCGTTCGTGAAAAACGAAGGCAGGTGGCGTGGCGAATCCGGCGGGGAGTAACGGCTGAAGGTCGTATTATTGTGAGTTGGTTTGTATGAGTGAGCGGAAGTGGAGTAATCATGGATATGACCGAGACGGGGGGATGTTTTAATGTCGTGCTGCATCAACGATGGTGGCTTTAGTGCCAACAGCATGGATGCGGCTGTTGGCGAGGAGAGAGGCGAGCCGGTGGAGTATGTTGCTGGTAAGGATGACAAAATTGGGAGATTGATTGAGGGATCGGGACTGAGCTCTCAGGTATGTATCAGGTTCATGGAGAGAGTTGATGCTGGAATTGTTTGAGGTCGTGCCCCAATGCAGTAGTGCGAATTCCTCGGCGACGTCGAAATGTATCAGGATGACGTCGCTGAATCCGAAGCTCGTCGTTGCCGATGCTGTGGATGCTGTGGAATATTGAAAGAACAATAGAACAGCTATAAACGAGCGACTGATTTGCACATCGAATTTGCCGGTGATGAGGATAATATGGCGAAAGTAGCAACCAGGATGAACAAGATTGTCTGACCAGGGTCCAGGCGAGAGTTTTCCAGAATCGATCGAAAGATGGCCCCGGCCACTTTGCAGCGACAAGCTCTAGAACGGAGCTGAGCCTGAAGAGGGCGGACGGTTGATGAATGAGGTAGTCAAGGCACAATCGACCCAGCACAGACCCAAAAAGCTCGTAGATCGGGATCGAGTGGGAAGGACAGGATGGACAACTACCTAGTCGTGTAAGGGATCTCGTCCAGACGGAAGGTTGTGCAAAGATCGGGAGCCGACAGGCGTATAGCACAACGTAAGACGTCGCGGCGTGAGAGATATGTAGAGAAGAGCGTTGGAGTAGAATATTTGGTAAGTCTCGAAGCAACAGGATCACTGTCGGCAATACTGTTGGAAAATACCATGTCCGCTAGCGAGGGTCGATTCCTTTCCTGAATAGAATAAGATCGCATGGTTTGGTGTACGCCACGTCCGCAGGGCTAGTAACCAACGTTTAAAAGACACAGGGAACCAGGGACAAGCCACAAGCCTTGGTTCCGTTCGTCATTAAACGGGAAGCATCGGCATGTGATTGGGTGTCAAAGATGAGTTTGGTTATAGTAGAACGGGTGCCGGATGACCAGAACGGCAGTGTCCCGTGGCCCTTTTGTCACCGCTACAAGGAAGCGTGCTTGGGCGCTTCCAAGTTCCAACATGGACGCCAGAAGAAGACATCAGCCCCCGAAAGCCTGATGCTTCTGGAAGACTTGGTTCCCTTTCAGATTTCGTACTCTGTGAGGCTGGGTGGCCCGACGAGCGTGTAAGTGCAAAACCCTCATATAAGAAGTGGCCAATGGTTGTACAGCCCTGGCTTTGTCCCGATGGACAGATGGCTTAGGCCATAGCCCTTTGTGGCAACAATCTACCCCCTCTCGACTCTTAGAGCAAATGTACGACTTGATTGCAGCACAAGCACAACGCTCTCTGGAGCTCGTTTCTCCTTAATCCAGTGTCTGCAGCACACACATCGTACGGTGCCGTGGAATACTCGTGAGAGGCCCCAGCAGCGCGCATTCTTCCGTAGATCTGCGGGGACTAGAATGCCTGTAAGCACCCTGTCGCGCGCACCGATATAGGCATCAAAGGCCCAATCCGAAGAAGCAATACAGCTGTTCAGGTATCGAAGACGCTGGAGAGAACAAAAGTCTTCGTGACTGCAAGTGCCCTCCGCCCACCTTTGTGACCGCGTGGTACAGGGATCGAGCCACGTTGTGGGCGATCATTTTCCTGCCAGAGCACAGCCACTGTGCTCATCGGTGCGTCATGCTGATACGCAGGCTGCACTAGCCTCACGTGCTGGATGAATCGGCTCAAGCTGCTTCGTACCCCAACAAGGGAATCCTGCTAGCTGCAGGTTTAGCCGCATGTCCAACCTCGTGCCAAAAGCTTTCCCCTTCAAGTCTAGGCAAGGAGCATATTCACGAACACTGAAAAATTATGGTCGAGAGCGTACTTACTCCGTAGTAGTGATCGGTTATAGCTACTGCTCTGTAAGCTTTCTGCCCGGGGGTCTTCGGACAATTGAGCTCTTGAGCGGAAGTCCAGACCGACTGCACCAGTCTGTTGTAAGAACCGCACTGATACAAATGACCTAAGGAATCAGCACAGTGCATGCCACCGGGCTTTGCATAGTGCACTTGATCGAGGCAGTGCGCGCAAAGATCTGAAACACACGCTCGTCTCGAAAGGACTATTGCCTGGAACGCAGCATTCCTCGATCAAACGAGAGACATCCTCCACCCGAGGAGTGATCGCCCGCTCAAGCAGTTGGAGAGATCAGCGGCCATGTGCGAACCGATAGCTTAAATCTCCTGATTCTGATAGCTCCCAAAGCTCAACCTGGAGCTGCGCCGACCTTCTGCATGGCTGAAAGTTGGGAAAGGGCTGCCTATCGCGTCAAGACAATAACGAAGATCTGACTGACTTGCAGCCCAGATGCGGAATCCGTAGTTGCACGCAAGCCGTGCCGTTGGCTGCTTTCAGCATATTGTGTATGCAGGGTCTGCTGCGCTTAGGCATGTCCACAGGCTAAAATCTCCGAACAATGCGAGGCTCGAACCGCGAAGCAAGTCATTGCGATTGGAACTTATTGAGTCCGTATTGTGCTGCTGTTGACAGCTGATCATGGTGAAGCGCTTTTGTCGTCCCGCACTACGAGCGCATAACATGCATGCCGTAAAGCTCGGGCCCATCGACATCGTCTTTTGAAACGACTCCGGTGGGACCGAGCTCGTCAATCGAGCCACTTCTCATCTCATAGACTCGTTGTGTGGCTTGAATGAACGCCACAAAAGCTCAAATGTCGACGCAGAATGGCCGTCCAGCCGTGTGAAAAGCCTTGCCTCCCAACTGTTAAAAAGCCCGGAGCCCGCCTAGACTATCCGAATCCCAGATGCTATCGCGATGTTTTCGCTTGTAGAGTTTGGGAACAGTTTGGAGCTCCTAACGGTAAAGCCAGTCACAAGTTGAGGCTTGCGAAGTTGACAGTGGCGTGTGCCGAGTATAGCTACACCGCGGACCACCATTTCGTTGCCGTGAACGCCCACACATCTTGTTCGCGAATCCAGGCAAGATTGCATAACCAGCAAGTCGTAAGTAGCGACTACCATATCGGTCAGCCATGCTGTCCGAAAACACGAAGGCCATGGTTCCGCGGTCATGCCGGAGGCAAAGTTACAGGCATGTCCCTTGCCGGTCGAAGCGACCTGGGGTAAGATCGACACGGCAGTCGAGCGCGAGGGTTCTGGATCGGGTCATTTATGATGTAATTTTTCCTTGATGGCTCTCACACGCATTCTTGACAGCTCAAGAAAAACGTGACAATCCTCGTAGCCATGTGCTGCCTATCATCCATGTGTCGGCTAAAAGTGATTGACAGCCACGTTTTCTTCCTCGTGGACCAAACACGTGCTGATCGTCACTATGTACTGCAATGATCAGCACGATGAGTCCGGTTCGGCTATCGCTTGACATCGTAGACACTCGAACCGAGCAAACCTGTTCAGCTTGGTCGAGCAGGCTGAGTCGACGTCGGTTGGGAAATGGCCGAGGAAATGGGTGTCTTAACAGTCTGGTCCCTTAATGAGCCAGGCTTTGCCCGGTGGCTCAAATGAGGACATGCATCTGTCAAACGATGTGTAGGCAACGACAACGCCTCCCTTTCTGACAGCCAGCCATCTACGCAAGGGCGTGTCCATGGCATGTACGGCCATGTTGCAATCTGCGTGCCGCCCGTACCTGTTGCCGTGGTGCAATGCGCTGGAATGTGTATGCGGCAGTACTCCCACGAGACGTTAAGATTGCATCGATCAAAATCAGTATGTAGCAGATTTGCGCCTGCTGATCCGGCCTTTATAGTCAGGAAGGAGCGATATCGATTCAGAGGCAGGACCTCATGAATGCGACTACCCGTGGTTGTTAGACCACAGGTCTCGGCCTAGGAGTGAACTTGAATGTGTCGAAGTCATGCAATTATATTACTGTAGTTATTACGCGGAACCACACTCCTCTGGATATCTTTACTTCTCGACAGTAGATGTAGCTACTGTGCTATAACGTCGAATTACTTGTCTGCCTGCTTCTTACGCTGCAGTTTCCATTCGGCTCGCGCAACTCTCATGAAGAGGTCTTCGTCTTTGATGGGAACCCAGCTCGTCAATACTTTCATGCCGTTCTCGAAGTCTGACTCTAGCAAAATCTCACGCATGCCATCAATCAAAGCTGCTGATGTCGCATGCAGTGTATCCAAGGTAGTGCCAAATCTTTGGTCAGCGTCGACAGTGGTCGAGTCGGCAACAGCTGTACCTTCCGCTTGCTTCCCGTTAGGTGCAGACGTTGCTATTGCATTCGACTTTGCTGTCCTTGGTCGCAGGCTTGTATCGTCTCCCAAGAGCATAAACACGTCCCAGACTCTCAACTGAGCTGGGAAAGGTATGCTGTAGTTGAACAACGTCAAATACCATCTTGTACCATAACTGGTGGGAGGTATTCCAATCTCCTCAAGCTTTTTCCCAATCTCTCCTTTGCCTAACCATTTCGACTCGAAGTCGTCTAAGGCAGCCATGAGACCACCAAATCCGTTCTTGTACAGTTTCTCAAGCCCACGCAGCTCCCATAAGCGGACCAACATGATGAAGGCAGTCTCTTCGCTATAGTACGACAATAGAGTGGCGGCCAACGCGGCCATTCCTTGTACATAGCCGGTTTCTGGGAAGTGCAGTGACATTGCATGCAAGACGCGAAACAGTAGCCTTTGACCTCCTCTGTAGCGGCGTCGGAACATGATGTGGCTAGATATTGTTCTTGGCACGTCGATGTCGATCTGTACGTCGTCGGGGCTTGATGAAAGCTGGTATTCAGTGAACAATGTCGTCAGCTCGGGATCACTCAATGACCCGTGTCGCTTCTTTGCCGAAGCATTTAAGAAAGCATGCCACGCCGTAGCTCGCCATTTATCGGGTATGCCTTTCCAGGTCCGCTCAATCAACTTCGTCGAGGATGTGTCAAAAGTGAATGCCATACCACCTCCGAGCTTTTGGTCTGCTTTTGCGACTGGCTGTGCCATTTTGCGCCACTTTTCTTCTCTTTCAACTTCCTTCAATCGGGCCCGAGGGTCATCTGCGGCAGAAACATATGGATCGGTCGTCGATAAATTCGAAGCCGATCGTGGTAAAGTCAGCATATCTGATGCATCATCCATCAATTTTCGGTCTCTGCTACGGAACGTCCCGCGACGCGATAGTGCCGTATTTGATGAGTGCGCAGACATTGGACGCTTGAAGGATGACTGCGATGTCGACGATGGCACAGCAGCCGATGTCGACCGGACCGAACGAGCACTGCTTGGCGAGCGTCGAATAGTATGTTTACGGCGTGGCGTCTCGGACGCCAGCTGTAGACTTGTGCTCACTCGAGTCAATTGCTTTGTCGTCGGTGAGCGTGTGATCCCATTTGGTCCTGTGTCTGGCTTAGGCACAATGAAGCCATAGCGGTCCACGTCGGCACTGTCGACCTCGTTCCAATCTTCTATGCCTCCTGCGAGCTCCGTCACCTCGCGCAGAAAGTCTCTCTGCATGCTTGAGATCCTTGACCCGTTCTGCTGCGAGCCCGGATCGCTGTGTATATCAGTTGTAGAGGTGCCGCGTGACAAAGAAGCCATGCTTGACGCTTCAGTATTCGTACCAGCGAGTGCATCTTGCCATCTCAATCCCATCCTGTTGGCAATGGATGATGCAGCATCATTGTCGTGATGGGCCTCCGATCCGAATGCGTAGTATGACCGCACCTTTTCCGACAGTGCCTCCTCGTCGGTTGACAGCACCTTGACAGAGGGCCTGTGGCGCAACCCTCCCTGAGTCTGAGGTAAGCTAGAACTTGCGCCATCGGTCTGGGTCTGTTCTAGTCTGTCTCCGATGGGCGCCAGGTTATTGGGCTTGGTGGAGGAATTCGACACTTTCCTGCCGTCCACGAGCATACTGCCTCTTTTCGAGAATTTGATGTGGTCATCACCGAATTCGTCACCGAAGCTCCCAGGTGACAAGTCCACCGCTAGTTTCTCGAACGAGGGAGCGCCGTCCTCGGTGGGCTTAGGTGATGTGTTGGAAGAGGAAGTGAACCAAGACTTCTTGGGTTTCGACGTCTCCTCTCCAATGCGTATTTGCGGTATGCTGGTGGGAGACGCGACTGACTGCGAGTCCGGGCGCTCGCTTTCAGGTCTTATTGAGTCTGTCTTGGGCTGAGAGTCAGGCCACTCTGACCGCACAGCAGATACTGGCGACACAGGGCTGCGCGCGGAGCCTTCCTTGTCATTGTTCTCAATGTTCTGTATCGCTGATTGCGGGATGGGAGGCGGAGTCGAGGTGGGCGTGCCATGTTTGGGCTGTCGGTGGGGGACTGTTTCAGCATAGGGCAATCCATGTAGGCTGTTGCGGAAGGGTGCGGGCTGAGATTCAGATCCCATTGTGCCGGTGGGGCCCATCGAACACGAGGTTGTCGACAATGGAGATGCTTAACCGTCCGACTTCGATTGGTGTCATTGTGCTCCTACGCGACACGAGTACAAGTCTTTCCGCAGTCGCTCGTGCAATACATTAAGATGTCAAGAGCAGTCGGGAGCACGCGACGTTGCGCGTGCTTCAATGCAATATTGGCGGAGGAGTATATCCGGCGTCGTTTTTACAGGGGGCTCACTCTCCAGATCCGGAGATGAAATCGAGACATGCAAACTCCACCGGCTTGGTAGCGAGATGATGATGTGCAGAGATTTCCCTCGATCAAGATGGCAATGCCGTCGGCTTGGCTTGTCTCAGAGGCGGTTGTTCGAGTTCCCCTATAACGCAAGGAGGTGAGCTACCACTAGTCATCAGTCTTTGAACTTGTCCCGCTCATCGATCGCACTTCGCATAGTCGGTGCCCTCGTCCTCAGGCAGATGAGCATAAGCAACCGAGCAGATGTCCTGTGGACTGTGGAGCGAAACTTCAATAAATGTAAGTTGTCAATTTCCCGCGTGCGCTGAAGACCTCCGAGGACATGTTCCTTGAGTCAGTCAGCAGGTACAGCATCGATACATGACTCGAAAATCTGTTATCGATACGGTCCTCGACTTTGCGATTTTCCAAAATATTTCCATTGCACCAGGGACTATGCTTCCTCACCAACGAAATGACAGTCACTGACCCGTCGCTATCCAACCTTCTCGAGACTCTCACAAGCTCGCTAGATGCTGCAACTGCAGCCCTCACAGACAGTGCAGAGCGGTTCATACCCCCGACAGATGGCATCTCTCTGCTGGACATTAAGAACGATCTCGTATTGTCCTACCTACAGAACCTAGCGTTCCTGATCCTTTTCAAGATCAAGGAGACCCAGTCGGGCTCAGATGTCACAGATGACAGCTATTACCACGCGACCGTGGAAAGACTGGTGGAGTTGAGGATATATCTTGAACGAGGCGTACGGCCGATCGAGCAGCGGCTCAAGTACACCATTGACCAGTATCTGCAAGCTGCCAATCACAAGAAGAGCATAAATGCCGTTCGGTCGTCGACAGGGCACATTCGAGACGCAGATGCATCTGACGACTCAGGATCTGAGATGTCCGATGGAGATGCTGGTGCAAGGATCGAGTCTACTGCCGACGGAGATACCACGATTCATGCACCTCGTCTCGCAGGGGCTATAGCCGCATCTAGAACGAAGCCTACGGCACCGAACGCCGCCGCGAAGGCGGGAATTTATCGGCCACCTCGACTGAATCCAACTGCTATGCCATCAGCTGATCCAGATGCTCGAAGTTCCTCCACACGCCAGCGAAAGTCTCAGTTGATGAGTGAATACATAGATGAGGAGCTATCAAGTGCGCCCACAGCACAAGCCTCCATAGGTGCCAACCAGACTATCGATGCGCGCGGTCATGCTATCACGTCTGCGCGCGACATTGCCCGGCAACGCGAGCGTACGGAGTACGAGGAAACAAATTTCACACGTTTGGCGGGTGAGACGAAGAAGGAGAAGCGTGAGAAGAAACGTCGGGAAGGCAAGCTCGGAGCACGAGATATGTTTGGCGGCGAAGACTGGACCGGGTTGGGTGGGATGGGCGATCGGATTGGGCGAAGTGTCGAGGGCAAAGGCCGAGATAAGGATAGCGTGCTGAAGAGGAGAGAAAAGCGACGAGCAACCGACGATCTACCTCGAGGAGATGGTATGCAGATTGGCGACAGCTTTGCGAAGAAGCAGAGAGTGCTCGCCGGTAGAGCAGATCGAAGAGCCAATAAGCGTCGCTGATGTAGACCATGGACCGCTTCGTAGCGAAGTCAGATTGGTTCTGGTGGCAGCGGCTTTCACAGCACTGATGCTCGTGAGGTATGCCAGAAAGTTCGGTGCCACATTTGCCCGGCAAGCTGGACTTGAATCACGAAGGATGCATGTCTAGCTCTCAGCGTATTTCTCATAAAGGGTAGCACCCCTTTCAAAGGCTGAGATACTCAAGTATCATGACTTCGTCATAGGTTTGCGTCGATATCCATGGATAACAATGGTATCGTAATCTGCCACAAGAAGACGAGTTGCCAAGACTCGAGATTCCAGAAGGAGTGGGACCTTCACGTACGACTTGTAATTCGACTCCGTCTTGCCACAATGGAACGAGCGACGTTTTAGTGCGAGAGGTCTTTAATGGGCCACAATCACACAGTAGACTACCGCAGGTCATGGCAGAGTCGTTGTTTGATCTGCTGAAGGGCTACCTGCCCGCCAGTGGTGATCAACAGAGGCAGGAGCCCACACGAGATCAGGACCGATATCTGTCACGAATACTATCTCTTCGCCTGTCCGATCTATCAACCTCGGAGACGGAGTCGTTACAGCAAGCATCACACAGCAACAATGTGTCCATACAGTCGCTTAGCTCGCGGTCATATCGTACCACGACATCCTCGTTCGAACATTTGAGAACGCTTGGCACATCCCTTCAAGACCTCTCGTCTACTACGACAGACATTCGCAATGCGGTGCCAGAACTTGACGAGAGTGCTGTCAAGTTCGCCACGTCGTACAGCAAGCTGTCAGACACCAATGCTGCCCTAGACGCCCGCAAGAAGTCGATGCTCCTTGCTCGACAGGCCGAGAAGGTCCAAGAGATCCTGGAACTGCCAATGCTGCTCAGCGCTGCGATCGCCAGCGCGAATAACACTTCCTCTACTGGAGTCAATTATTCCCAGGCTCTGGACTTGTTCTCCCACATCAAGCGTCTGCAGATCTTATACCCGGATTCAGAAATGGTGAAGAAGGTACTGGTAGACGCGAAGGTGGCGATGCGCGACATGACAACAAATCTGATCACCTCGTTACGGAACCAGAACATTCGTCTAGCTGCAGCAATAAGAACGATAGGATGGCTTCGACGTGTTCTCCCAGAGATCTCAAAACAGGACGTGCATTCTTCTCAAGCTACCACTGTCCCAAGCTCGCTCAATCCAAATGCCGCTGTTCTTCAGCAGGAAGACGACTTCGGCGCTATCTTTCTATGTGCCCGCTTGTGCACGTTCTTGACCATGGCGGAAGCTTTGGCGCCGTTGAGAGAGCTTGCCGACCAGGAGACAGCAAAACGCAATCAGACTGGACAGAATGGTCGTCCAGCGGAACCAGTACGTCGGTCATCACAGCACAGTTATGCTGTACAGGGCCAGCAAACGGAGAGATACATCAAGCGATACATCGAGATCTTCCGCGAACAAGCGTTCTCTACCATTTCTATGTTCCGCAACATCTTCCCACCTCATGAGAATCAAGATGTCGCAGACGACGACCCGTTGCGGCTGCCTTCCGCTCTAGCTACCTTTCCATCACACTTGGTCGGCCTTCTGATGGAGACACTGCGCACGTACCTCCCGAATATTACGGATCCGGCCTCACGAGAGAGTCTGTTGATGCAGGTGTTATATGCTGCAAACAGTCTGGGCAGACTAGGTGCTGATTTTAGCATGATGATCGCGACTCTACCGCCAGGGCCATCTCCAGACATAGCAGAAGATGAGAAAGCGGAACCAGAATGGGCCCGAATAATTCGTAAACACCGCGTACAGTCTGCACGATTGGAGGCGCTCGCGGCTGGTCAGGAGCAGGCTGCCAATAAGTCAAAATTTGCAGATATCGCCGTGAGATGAGGACGCGCTGGCGCGACAGCATGTCATATTACTACCTATGATCTGGGTATCCTGCTTTGCTCGACTCCGAGGAATGGCCTCTATGCAGTTATCTGCTGGAAGAAAGCGAAGGCCTTCTCCAACAGCTTTGGCTCGTAGCCTTGCTGCTTGGCCTCCTTGATAATGTTCTCCTGGATTATGGTCAGCAAGTCTCAAACAAGGCGGCATGACAGGGCGACTTACGGTGCTTTGGCCGGCCTCCGAGCCCAGTCTCTCAGTAGCGAACTTCTTGAAGGCGGCATCCTCGCCCTCGGTGTCCGCGAAAGCCTTGGGAACGATCTCCGAGAACATTGTGCTTCCACCAGCAGCCCCTGCAATAATGCTGAACCATTGTTTCCGCTGCTCAGGACCCATCAAGTCCAGTGCCTTGGCAAATTGTATGGTCTCGTACGCCGAGTTGAGACATATGATAGCTGCTGCATAGGCTATCGACTTGTTGAGCTGTTGCTGCGACTCTGTGGCCTTGCCATTCTGTTCGACAACAGCATTTTGTCGAGGCGAATCCATCCCGAGATAAAACTGGGCGATGATGCTGTCGTCAGCCGAGGCATGCTTTTCCATCACTCTTGTAATCTGCTCGCTCGCGAGATTCAGAAGTGGCAGATCGACGTTCAGTCTCTTCTCTTCGTCTCGGATGATGCCAACATCTTTGTCGATGATGGATGTTGCAGATGACATGGGCGGCGTAGCAGACAGCATTCTCGGGGCGCGGTTCTCAAACATCCAGGTCCAGCCCACGTTCTTCTTGCTCGACCACGACGGGTCCGACGAAGTCAAATGCTCGAAGAACTTCTGGGTGTCGGCCTTCAAGAGAGCTGCCAGGCCCATGATCTCGCTCGCAGCCACAATGTGAATTCCGCACATAACTTGATTCAAAGCCTTCGCCGACTCGCCGCCACCCAATGATCCGGGGATGACGTATAAGGTCTTGCCCTCATTTGCAAGGTTACCGATCACGCTCTTAAACGTCTCGTCCTCCAAGTTCTTGGACTCGTCCGAGCTCGCCATGATTGTCAACGTCCCGTTCACACTCCGTGCCGTACCACCAGATACCGGACAATCACAAAGTCTCACGTCCTCTCGCTTGAACTCCTCCGTCAGCCGCCGCCGCACCTCAGACGGCTGTGTGGGTGGTATGGTCGCCATCACCACGACTATCACGCCCTTGGGCAGCGAGTCCACTGCGCCGCCCTTCTCCTTGTCGAACAGGGCGGAGTGTACGTGATAGTGGTTCGCAACCATCAGGAGCACGATGTCGGCGTTCTTCACAGCATCTGCCGGTGATGAGGCAACGCTGTAGCGTGCATTGGGAATGTCGGCACAAGCTGTTGACCACCGCTCATTTGTCGGCCCGTAGACATCAAAGCCGGTCACATTGAAGCCGACGCGGACGAGGTGTGTTGACATGGCAAAGCCCATCGCACCGAGACCGATGAAGGCCACTTTGGGCTGCTTCTCTGGCGATATTGAACCCATGTTGGTCGGCTTTGGATGTGTGAAAAGACTGGCGAAACTAACAATATGCTTGTGGTGTGCTACTCAGTTGTAGTCGCCTTCGGATAGTGGCCTACAGGTTCTGCTTGCAGGGTTATGACGCCACAGTAGCGATAGTCTGCTGTCGAGTCAGGTCTTGGTCGTTTGCTTGTCCGTGGTGAAGGGGAGATGTCTGAGATGTCGCAGGATACTTCACTTCGTATAAGTTGTTACGGCGGAAAACTCAAGAAATGAACAATGCACGTCGAGTACACAGGTACGGCATTCGACAGTATATGAAGTCCGGATAATAGCAACCCATCACGGCCAGGTCAATACTGCTTCCGTATCGGCGCATATGCCGGGCCCAAAAATTCCATATTTTGCCTCGGCCGGTGGTCATCAGTAGGGTGGCAGCAAGCCTGGAGTGTGAGATCGGTCTCGCACGGTAGAGACCCCGGTGGAGGGCAGCACTTTTGGCGGGGTCCAAGGTGAAGACTTTTGGAGTTCTTGGTTCTTGGTTTCGGCGGGGAAATGCCGTGGGGGACCGACTGAGCATGCGCTGCTCGTTGCAACGAACATCGTTCACGTGCTCGGACAATCGACCGTAATAGAAAGGAGGCTCTAAGCCGCCAACAACGTGATTTCATCGGAAGTTCCGGTCAATAGACAGAGCGACCTTCATAGAGATTCAGAAGAGCCATCTGCTCGCTTCATCACGTGATAATGGCAGCCTTGTGTTGGAAGCCTCGTGCTAGACTGTGACAGGTGTAGTCTATTTTGCGGCGAGTTGAAGTCGAAAGTCGCGATCGCGTCTCCTTCCATCACTTGAGAAAAGGACAAGTAATTGACGTCTTCGGCACTTGAGCATCCCGCGCTCTTCACGGCCCTTTCGATGTGGTGATCGAACAACTCGCAATATTCTCGGATCCCCGTCCCGTCTCATCTTCAGGTGAAGACGTCCCAAGATGAATCCGCAACTCCACAACTATCAACAGCGCTATGCGCAACCTCAGACCCGGACGCCGGCGCGTCGCCCAGGTGAGTGCGATACGAGCACCTCTTTTCCCTTGATTGCCCCCAGTGCTCCTGGAAACATGACTCCGCCATGGAAGGATGCACCTCCTCCGCCTGGACCACCAATCATTCAACCAATGCGCACTCTGCAAGAGAACTTAATGCTGCAACAAGCCCTGATGCAGACTCGGCAAGCGCAGGCTGTGTCGCAGTCATTTCCTGTTGATGGTAGCCGCAACGTGCATTCCACTCTGAGTCGCAGCCCGTCACGACATCTTACACGGCCCAAAATCACTGCTCGACAATATAACGCAATGAACCAAGTTTCGCAGTACCAGCACATGATGCGCGGAGCCATGCGACTCGAGCAGATCAACAAATTAAACAAATCACTGGGTTTTCCCGAGATAGATCCTCATGCTTACTTCTTGCTTGGAACAGGTCCCCCACAACACCCGAGCGTCGCTGCCCAACAGCACCAACAACAACTCCAGCAGCAGAACTACGCCCAGCGCAATGGTCTCCTCGAACACCAACTTGCTCAGCGAAGAGCCAAGAAGCCGACCGATCGAAATATGCCTGATGGGATCGAGGATGTGGTAATTGGCGAGGGTGTTCAACAGTACAAGGAGCTAAGAGAGATGGAGAAGAAGCTCGACTATGCTATCATGCGTAAGAGGCTGGATATTCAGGACACCGTCAATCGCAACGTCAAGCGACAGAAGACCATGCGGATTTGGATATCGAATACGGTAGACAGCCAGCCATGGCAGAGACCGGCGTTAGATGCAGATTCATTCGACTTCGAATCTGGTGCAGATGCTACATATCGAGTCACTATACAAGGCAAAATCATCGATGATCAAGACCTTAATGATTCAGAATCAGATGCGGAGGAAGATGCTGAGGAGCAACCCACTACCAAACAATCACGACCAAAGCCGCAGCCAAAGAAGTTCTCGCATTACTTCAAGGCTGTTTCAGTAGATTTCGACAGAGCGCGGAACATGGGCAATCCAAACATCGATCCCTCGATGCAGATTGAATGGAAGAAGACTCCGCAGACTGGCGAATTTGACAGCTTCGAATTCAATCGAAAAGGCGACGAGAACATGAATGTCACAATCAATATGACCAGAGACGAGCCAGTAGAGCGCTTCCGGCTGTCCAAGGCTCTGTCCGATGTCCTGGATATCGAAGAGGCAGACCGCGCCGAGGTCGTTATGGGAGTCTGGGAGTATGTGAAAGCCATGGGTCTGCAGGAAGATGAAGAACGTCGCCATGTCCGGTGCGACGAGAAACTTCGAGCTGTAAGCCAAATACCCACTCACCCACCGGAACCCAGACTAATCTCCATCCACAGGTCTTCAACACCGAAGCAATCCTCTTTCCGCAAGTCGCCGAACGCATCATGCCCCATCTCCACCCCCTCCCACCAGTCCGCCTGAACTACACCATTCGCGTTGACCAAGAATTCCACTCCACGGAAACCCCAGTCCCCACAGTCTACGACATCAAAATCGTCACCGATGATCCTCTCCGAGCCAAGATCCTAGCCATCACCTCCTCAACCCAAACAGCACAGAACCTCCGCCAAATAGCGTCGTTTGACGATCAGCTGGCTGTCATCATCCAGGGTATTCAACACCACAAGGCAAAGCATACCTTCTACCGGAACTTCAATCGGGATCCGATTGGGTTCTTAAGGAAGTGGTATTCGAGCCAGCAGCGCGATCTCAGCGTCATCCTAGGCGAGATCGAGCGTGGCGACGTTGCGGGCTTGGAGTTTGCGAGAGGTGGCAAGGAGGGCGTCTGGGGGAGTGAGATTGTGGAGGAGGCGGTGCGGTATCGGCTGGCGAGGGGGGAGTTGGCGAGGTAGGACCTCAAGGAGGCTATAGAGGTGATTATGAAGTCGGCTCGTCCGCCACCAGAGCCCGAGCTTGTGGATGAGGAGCCAGCGGGGAACGAGATTGGGTCTGAGGAGAGACGTGCTGGGGACCAGTCCGTGTGCCCGGAATGCGGGACGCTGTATAGTCCGGAGTGGAGGTGGGGGCCGAGCGGGCCGAAGACCTTGTGTAACGCGTGTGGGTTGCGATGGGCGAGGAAGGACGGCAAGAAGAGGGCACCAGGGGGTGGGGGGCGCAGTTGAGGAATCTACTTCCAGCGGGTGCCCTTCCTGAGTAGGAAGTGCCCCAAGTTCTATCAGTCCCTCCCGGATTGTTCGCGAGACCCAGGGAACAATCACAAAGTTACAGATTATTGTTCATCTTGAAGTGTATCTTTGCTTCTGCGTGCCCATTGTATAGATCACAGGTGACTAGAAGTCACTAAGATGGCTGCAGCTGCATGTTGGTTGGTAATTTGCTTTGGGTAGGTGCCCTTCCCGATTAGGAAGTACTCCAAGTTCTATCTGTCCCTCCCGGATTTATCGTTCACCCTAGATCACGATTTTTGGTGTTTTCAGAAATCTGTGCGTCGCTTTGCTTTTGTCTGACTGCTGTTCCAATATCGTCTACTAGACGCCCTTCTTAGACCTTGTGAGTGATAGGCCGGCTCGACATCTGCTTTGAGCTGGTGTCTTTCTATCCTTAACAATGCCTCGAGTTCTGTCCGTCAGTCCAATCACTCGAAGCCGTGCCCAGCTCGAACATCGAAGAACTCGACCCTTTGGCATCTCCTACCTGGCTGTATGTAAAATTCTGCAGCAAGCTTCGACTGCAGTAACGCTAGCCGGGGGCTCTTGTCGCATCGTTGAGCACGCAGCCGTGTCGTAAGTAGTCCATGTACGCCGCCAGGGCGACCTCTGCTTCGATCTTTTGGAAGTCCTCGCCCGCACACGTGAGCAAAGCATGACGAGAGTCGAAGACACCTTGTATCTAGCTGTGACGCTTAGGCAAGCGACGGATGGCGAGAGTCGAAGCGCCGCGGAGCTAGCTGTGACGCTGAAGCAAGCGACACAAGACGAGTGTCGCAGACAGCTTTGATCTGGCTGTGATGTCCAAGCCAACGACAAATGATGGGAATCGAAGACGGTTCACAGCGTCTAGCCAGCCAAGGCTCCAAAAAGCGAGTCCTTGCCATGCTTCGCGACTTTTGCCCGACGCTTTGCTCCCTCCTCTTCAATTGTCTGTATGAACTGCGCTGGCGCCTTAGACTCGGTAAGACGGCTCGACGCGTACAGATACCGGTCTGCAAACTCCCTCCACAGCGCTTGGTCGGCAGAAATGTCTGAAATCGGTCGTGGAAAATACGGATCGTTGAACCAGAATGCGTCCGTAAGCAGTTTCAGCTCGTTCGGGCCGAAATTCGTAGGGTCGAAGAATGAGCACTGGTTGAAGTCGAGCAGCCACATAGTGAGTGTTTGCGCGTTGCTGTCGACGTCGGCGTTTCGGTGTAGAGGAGAGTCTTTAGTGATCAGTTGTAGTTCCCGCTCCCCGACTCCATTTGCGTAGTGTATACCGTTCACCGGTGGTGAGCCCAGCACGAACTCGACATCGTTACCGTCTATGTTTGCGGACCAATGCATGACAGCAAGTGCATCGGCCATAACGCGAGCAAAGTTGCGAGGATCAATGTTCAGCTCCTCGATGTCGTTGATAAGCAGGGGAAAGTTCCGGAGACGGAAGCTGCCTTGATGACTCTCTGGTTCTCGCTTGCCCAGGTACAATCGTACGAGACAATCCTTGTTCTCTGGATTGTCCCGCGCGGCTTGCTGAAATCTCCTCGGACAGTATCTGTCGGCGAGTGCGGATCTGACTGGAGCTGGGAGTGGAGGAATGTGTTGGGAGACGAGACCGTACGTGCACGTGCTGATATTATACTCCTTGGGTAAGTCGGTCGCAAGAGCCGTCCACCGCTCCTTCATAGCGGGCGTCATCCAGCCGATGTACTCTGGCACCTAGATAGAGGTGTTAGAGAGCCTCAACTGAACAACAAGCAATCGTAGGGAGAGGCAAGAGATAGCTCGATCCAACTTACATAAAGGTCAGAGCGAAGCTCAACTGGCGCGCTTCTGAACGCTTTGCTGACAACGGCATGCACTTGAGCATCATTGTACAACTCATTTTCCTTAGCCACGCTATTTGGTACTTTGATCACACACTCTGAGCAGCCGAGGAGAAGGATCGTGCCACACTGGCCCTGACCAATCTTTCGGGGCTTCTCTGGTTGACTGCCGAGGTTGGCAGCTTCAAGATACCAATGCCGTGAAATGGAGCCGCTACCCGATAACATGCGCGACAAGAACTCATACGAGCCCATGGCCTGGTCGTCTGAGATGAAGACCGGGGCGGGCTTTGTAGGAGGCGGAACAACCACAAGGTCTTCCATCAGATCGGCAAGTTGGTAGGCAGGCGGGTCGTCGCTTCCTTCTTTGCGGTGATCGGTCAGGATGATGGTACGGAAGCTGTGGTTCAAGACCGACAACACAAGCCCCTGCCACTGTCTTATAACATTCTGCGATGAGGAAACCGTGGCTCAATCCTGCCTGCCAAGGTACTCAGGTTTGTTGTGGTACCGAGGAGCCCTCCAGCTGAAAGAACCTTAATCCTGGTAAACAATCCTCAAACAACTTATTGCTGGTGTCTTGAGAAGGTCGTTGACACCAGATTCGAAGGACGTCGCCGACCTTGCAGGTACTCCTAATGCTGACCACTCCCTTTTAACTGCAGATTCTGAGCTCGCTCGAGAGTTTGCTCGGCTTTTCGGATGAATTCATTGCGCATTGCCTGATCAACGGCGTCCTCCGGGTTCTCCTTGTACGCTTCAAGCGCGTTCCCGGCCAGTTTCGTCCACATGTCCACTACGCCCTTTATGATCTCGTCCGGGACCTCGACGCCTTCGCAATCGGCATACTCAAACATACGGTAGACCGCGCGTTCAAGTGCTTGCGAGTATTCCCCCAGATCTGTAGCAGAATCCAGCGATTCGCGGTCTAGCACAAGAGGATTCTTCTGTTGTGCTCGAGACGCGTTCCTGCGCGCCGACTTGCTGGTACCTCGTCGCGCCATGGTCGCGTCGGTGATGGATCTAGGGATTTTTGGTGAAGCTAAGAATTATCGAGCGGCTAGCAACTTGCAGCTGAGCTACCCGGTGTGATAGCGAAGCAGATGGACACTTCAGACGCCAGCTTTCGTAGATCGGTTCAGGATAACAACATTCGTATGTTCGGACCTTGTAACGCCGACATGGTCGCGCTAGCAAAGACTGCCAGATTTGGCAATGATCGCCTTGCTTCCCCTCCGGCCTTCTGAGTTTCTCCCAGCAATGTTTCCCACACCAGTCGTATGGTTGATGCTAGAAGGAGATATCGGGCTTCGTGGAAGAGCGTGCTGCGAGATTATTGCTCTGTTAAGGCGTCCATCAAGATCGAAAAGCAGGCTCGAAAAAGTTGCGGCGTGGAATATAAATGCCAGTGGGATGACAGCAGGGACATTGCACATCATCGTTCGGATTCAACTGTAGCACGATCACTCGGAAGTCTTGAGGGTCTTCCAGACAACACAAATACGCCTGTACACAATCCTCGATACAAAGCGCCACTCGATCCATACACCAAACACAGCCAGCACAATTGATCCACAGTACTCTTGAGAACGATCTGGCTTCCCAGACCACCACCATGCCGCCCCTCAAAGTCCACCACCTCCAATACTCCCAATCCGAACGCATCCCATGGCTCCTCCACGAACTCGCCCTCACCAACCAACCCATCCCCTACGAGCTCATCATTCATCGCCGCGCCCCATACTTCTCGCCCCCAGCCCTGGTAGCCCTCCACCCGATGAAGGCCGCTCCTGTCCTTGAAGACGGTCCCCTTATTCTCGCTGAATCCGGCGCCATCATCGAATACGTCCTCGACACCCACGCCCCCTCCTCCACCCTCAAACTCCGCCCCAACCAACCAGGCTACACCAACTACTTATTCTGGTTCCACTGGGCGAATGCAAACCTACAGCCATGCATCATGCGCTGCGTCACTCTCGTCCGTACCGGCTTACCCGACTCGCACCCAGCCAAGGTCGGGGTGGTGGAGAGGCTGCATACTGCGCTTGCGTTCTTGGATGCGCATCTCAGGGAGGATGGGGTGGAGTGGCTTGCGGGGCCTGAGGGGGGGTTCAGTGCGGCGGATATTATGATGGTGTTTCTGTGACGACGATGCGGAGGTTTTGGGGGTTTGAGCTGAAGGGTAAGGGGGGGAGTTATGAGGGGATTTTGGGGTGGTTGGGGAGGGTGGGTGAGAGGGAGGGGTAATCAGAGGGCGATGGAGGTAGGCGGATAAGGGAATGGACTGGCGGGAGGCGTTGTTGGAGGGGGTGCCGAGGGGCTTTGCGGAGGTTGGGGGAACGGTGAACAAGATTTGAGGAGCCTGGGACGGACGGAGTGTCAGGAGCAGTCGATGAATGGGTGTGAGAGGCTGCATTCAATTTTGGGGTATCATAGCTTAATATACATGCTCAGCTCTTGTCAGCGGCGGAAATGCTAGAAGGACTGCCCTGCAAAGGTGGCAGCAATTGCCCAGCCATCTCAATGGCGCCGAGCGGATTGTCTTTGTTGTACAGGAATAGCCCCTGGATCGCGGCCGGCGAGACGTCTGATGCACTTGCACCACTTTCGTCCACCCTAAGCATTCCCTGTGCCTGTAGTGTTTCAAGGAATTTTTGTCGGTGTACGCCGTCCGGATCGACATCATCGTAGAAGCGCTTCCATAGCTGTTGGATCTGATATACACTGGCGTTGCCAAGGTAGACGGTCATGTCGACTCTGCCAGGTCGGACCAGAGCCGCATCAAGTTTCTCCACGTGGTTCGTCGTCAGGAAGATAATGCGCTCCTCGGCGCTGGCCACACCGTCGAGAGCATTCAACAGGCCCGACATGGTGACACTCGGTCCATTGTAGCCGTCCCCGCCCATGTCCCGCCGATTGACCCACGCGACATCAACGTCCTCGAGCAGGACGATGGTCCGCTCGGGAATTATAGTGAGAAGGTAGTTCAGGCGGTCGTCGGTCATGCCCTTCTCGCTGAGATTCAGCAGGGCGATGTTATAGTCAAGGTGCCCGGCCAGAGCTTGGATGAAGGACGATTTGCCGGTCCCGGGTGGGCCGTAGAGCAGGTAGCCGCGCCGGTATGGGACGCCTCTGTCAGCGTACCATTTCTTGGACGCGATGAAATCCTGCACATCGGAGACGATGCGCTCTTTCACGCCTTCGTCTAAGAGGACGGATTCGAGGGGTCGCTTGGGGCGGGCGTTGCCAAATTCCTTCCACTCAGTGGAGCGAGGAATGAAGATGGGTGTCTTGCCCTCGACATTCTCTACTGCCAGAGCATGGGCTTCGGTGAAGATAGATTCGAAGACATGGCGTTGGGAGTACAATGTTGTGAGAGTGATGGTCTCCCATGGCTTGCCGTCAGCTGTGTATTGCTTGGTCTCTCTCTGCCTGTTGACCGCTATGAATGCATTGTGGTATCGCAGGAAGTGTCTTCCGGGACCTGCTACAAGGACAAAATTTGCTTTGATGGCGCCGTTGGGCAGCTTTTCGAGCTCAGTATCGATGGACAGCTGTCGCATAGACGGCGTCAGTCGTTGCAAGAGCGCAGACATGGAGGAGGGCTTGCGCCCAGCCGACACAGCATGCTGAACGAGTCGGCCCTGTTCGTGGAGTTTCAACCAGTAGAGGAACCACTGGTACGAGACATCGCGGTTGGTGATCTCGACGTCGACCAACAGGCGCCTCTTCAACAGCGCTGCACCACTCTTCACGCCCCGCCGCGCAAACGTTGCGGCAGCACCAAGTCCTGCGAGCCCGAACCCGGCCGTAAAGAATGGGTTGCTCGTCAACTGCGCGATAATGCCTCCATCGGTGTTGCTGGAGGTGGCCAGCTGCTGGACTAGCTCTTGCTTCGAAGCAGCATTAGGCTGGACGGCGGCGGTACTGGCATCGCTGCCGCCTATCTGCATGCCCTCCTGGTTTCGGTGGTGCCGTAGACGCTTGAAGTCCGAGATGTATCGGGGTGCAGGCAGATGAGTACACGGCGTGCATGAACGCGGACGAATTTGTGCCCGTGGTGGGGTCTTCCACGCCTAGAGATTGGTCCGGCTTTAACCAGAAAATGTTGACGTCGCGTAAACTCGTTCTCGTTGCACTTTTCTCGGTGCACGCTTGAACTCGCATCGTAGGTTAGACCGGACACATGTTCTCCCTTCGAAGCTTGCTCCTTCTCGAATGGGTCGCTTGGGGAACGAGAGGGTGCGCCCATTGCTCTCATAAGAAAGATCGTGTGACCTCGTCGTGACTGCCTCTCTTTTGTTCTTCTTACTTCACCATGCGCTCTTTCCTTAGGTTTCTTCTATCAAGACGAAACTCGTTCAAGCCTCCGCAGCAGACACACTACAAAGCCATGTCTACAAGCTCTGCGTCAGCGCTGCTGTACGCTGCATCAGTAGCGAGCCCTGCAGTGGCGGGCACGAAGCCTGACGACGACTTTACTAAGAACAAAGTCTGGCATCTCAAGCATGGCGGCTTTGAGAATCCGTGGCCTAGCTGGCAGGCTATGTCAGGCCCAAGCATTATGAAGGCTATGATATCAAGACGATTCTCCGGAGCCAGCAATAGCCCGGACACAACACCTCCACCGTGCCTGTCCAGAAGCCAGAGTTCCACCGCGAGCGAACGAGCAATCAGAAGTTGCGAGCAACATGGCTTGGTCATGCCTGCTACTACGTGGAGTTCCCAGGCGGACTGAAGGTGCTGTTCGACCCCGTGTTCGAAGACAGATGCTCGCCGTTCTCATGGCTAGGGCCGAAACGATACACACCTCCGCCCTGCGAAGTCACAGATATCCCGACCATAGACGCCGTGATCATCAGCCACAACCACTACGATCACCTGTCGCTCCCCACGGTCACAAAGATCTCGAAGCAATACCCAGATGTGCATTTCTTCGTGCCACTAGGCAATAAGAAGTGGTTCAAGGAGTCAAATATTCACAATGTGACCGAGCTGGATTGGTGGGACGAAGTTGACCTGACACTCACACCAAAGAGCGGGAAGGATCGCAGTCCAAGCGTCACCTCAGCGGACGAGCCGAAACCAGAGGGCGCAATCACAGCTCGGATAGGAAGTCTACCGTGTCAGCACATGACAGCGAGGTCATTGACCGACCGATGCGCGACCCTGTGGTCCTCCTGGTCAGTCACGTCAGGCGGGAAGTCAATCTGGTTTGGCGGCGACACAGGCTACCGAGCTGTACCAAAAGAATCTGACGGCGAGGACGATTGGAGTGAAAAATGGGCGCACTTGCCACACAACCCAGAATTCAAGAAGATCGGCACCATGCGAGGACCATTCGACCTTGGACTAATACCGATCGGAGCTACATGCCTCGGTTCATCATGTCCTCGATGCATGCCAACCCTCGCGATGCTGTTGAGATCTTCAGAGATACGCAGTGTAAACGAGCGATGGGAATACATTGGGGTACGTGGGTGCTCACGGAAGAAGACGTCCTGGAGCCGCCGCAAAAGCTCAAGGAGGCACTCAAACATCACAATATACCGGAGGAGGGCGTTTTCGATGTCTGTAATATTGGCGAAAGCAGGGAGTTTTAGGTGCGTCACAGTCTGTGAAATGTACGATACCCACGCATCAAGGCGCAATAGTAGGAACCAGCAAACGTATTACGGCCTCTCCACTCCAACGGGCACGAGTTAGAACAAACCATGTACGATAATCTATGACCTAGGATTCATGAGAATGTGGCAGATGGGCCAATTCGTGATTCTGCAGCAATCAGAGGGTGAATTGGGCACGAAACTGATCCAACAAGGCGCGAATCAGGCAAACAGGCAGGCGAAGCTTCAGGCGGTCGACGGACAAAGCCCTACCAGTACCTGGATAAGGTTTTAGGTAAATTGGGCTCACAAATGTGCATTGCACACCTGGTCGTTTTTGATGCCCAACACACATCACGAAAGTCTCTCGACGACTCGATGAGATGATTGTCGTTCCAGCTCTGAGCATTCAGCTCGCTGTCGCATCGCAAAGCTGGTCAATTGATCTTCTCAAGACAGCTTCCTCCTTGGACTTCTTTGCTCTAAGTGCCAAACGATGCACTGCAACCCATCATACAGTTGTGACGACGAGAAATGGTCAATAACAGATGAAATTGAGCCCGATGGGTGCAAACGGTCTTTGCCCTTCATCGACTTGTACCCTCACATGTACTCAAAACTCAGTCGGCCGCCTTTACAATCATCGCAGACGCTGAAATGGGTCGATGGGCCTGGAGAAAAGGACTGCGGCCACCCATGGTCGCCGCAGACATTATCTGCGAGGCATCAGGCGACGGATTGGTATTATGGCGGACACGTATCAACATCGTCGCTTATTGACGTCCATCATCATGAGCCCGGCAACAACGTTTTCTCTCCATCGCCCGACGAAGCACCCTTCAAAACCCGCCTCAAAACGCTCTTTACTGCACATGGCTCGCCGAAACACTCGCACACACCACCAAAACACACCTTCCGCACACGCGACCCAACAACGAACGAATGGCACTCTTACCCATCGATTCTCACCACCACATCCGCATCATCAGATGCAGACCTTTTCGATCCGGTAGCCGTCAAGCATTCGCTGGCGGCGCGTAAGAGAGGTAGAAGGAGATGTCATGCTCCGATTCCTCTTGGGGTGGTGCTGTTAGTCGTGCTTTGCTCCCCGGGCATTCTGGCATACGGGTGGGCCGAGGGACGGTGGGGCCGGTGGAAAAGGGAGAGTGGGAGCCACAAGCGCAAGGGCGTGACGGAAGAGGAAGACGAAGCAAAGACTGGGGAGAAGGCAGAATATTAAGGACCAGCAGAGTGCAAGTTCTGAAAGGGTTTGAACTGCTTGTTGTACATCTTGAACCTTTGCTAGATACATGTCCCATGCCCCACACGCTGCATAAGTTTCTGTATGCCGTAACGCCATGCTAAATATGCTCTCAAGCTTGTTGACACGTCCCATGACCACGCATAAGTGGCGCGGTTTCCGCTATTGCTACATCCATCGCACGAATGTTGTTGCGATCGTCGTCAAGTCGAACTCACTTCTTGGCAGGGCGTCCACGACCCTTCTTTGTCGGAGCAGCCACGACCTCAGCAGCATCTTCCTCTTCAGTCTTGACTTTCTTGCTCTTCTTGGCTTTGGTTTTGGCGGGCTCTTCGATTATCTCAGCGTCGTCTTCTTCGGCCTTGACTTTCTTGCTCTTCTTAGCCTTGGTCGGCTTCACGTCTTTGACGTCGTTAGCGCCGTCAACCTGATCAGGAGCAGCGGTCTTCTTTGAGCGTGATTTGGACGCTTTCTTGGCTGGCTTGACTTCTTCCTCCTCGGCGGCGTCGCCATCGCTATGGGCTTCGGATTTGACTTTCTTGGCCTTCGCTGCTTTCTTGACTGGCTTGACCTCGTCTTCCTCGGCGACGTTCTCGTCTTCGACCTCGGATTTGACCTTCTTGGACTTCTTCGCTTTGACGGGAGCTGGGTCGCCTTGCTCGAATTCCGTATCGTTGTGGGCCTTGCGTTTCTTGGTGTTCTTTGGCTTGGCTTCGGCGGTGTTGTCGTCGTCCTGATCAGCTTTCTTGGCCTTCTTAGTCTTCTTTGCCTTGACTGGAGACTCCGCGTCGCCATTCTCAGCGTCCTCCTCAGCGGCCTTCTTCTTGGGAGTTCTCTTGTTGATGCCCTTCATGCCTGGTCGATTGAGCTCAGGTTCCTGGCCAACGTTAGTAAGTGCTGTTAAATTAAGGGGCAGAATCGCGGATGCCTACTCCTTTCCAATCCTCGTCAGCAACATGGCCCACTCTGATAGCCTCGCGAAGCTTTTCCTGAGACCCAGCGTCAATCTCTTCCCAGCCATCAAGGATCTCCATGTCCTTGTCATCATCGATGTTTAGACCTTCGAGCAGGTCTTGCATCTTCTCGATCTGCTTTGGCGTCACACAACCCCTTCGAGGAACGGGTTAGCCGATGACAGCTGCATATTCATCAGATTCATACCAGTGCTTCCAATGCCAGGACTGGTTGTCCTGAATGACGACCAGTGTGCCCATTCGGAACTCCCCTTTCTGAATCTTGACGCCGGCGTTCTTGCAGGCTGTGTTGCGGCATACTGCTCTGTTGGATTTGGCAAGCTCTGTGGAAAGTCAGCAGGGCCCACCCGATGGACAGAAGTGAGGCTTACCAAATCGGTATGTAGGTCCGTCCATATTGAGCGCTGGACGAGAGGCGATAGATGTCTCAGGGGCCGCCCTAGTGGTTGGTGAATGACCAGAGTGACTGAGAGCAGACGACTGGTCTTAATGAACTTGTTGACTTGGAGAGTGTGGTCAAAGAGATCTCTCAAGTGGTGGAAGATGAAAATTAGTGTTGGTAGCAGATTCAGAGAAGGCAAGAACGCGCTAGACGCGTGAGGTGCAAGGCAAACAATGACGTCAGCCAGTCGCTGCTGCCTTCCAAAGGTTTCTTTGCTGTTACTCCCTCTGACTTACCACTGAAGATTTATCTGAGAGCTCCCTGATACACTGCAGAGTGCTGAGGCAAATATGAGGCAAGCAGCAGACTCATCGAGCACTGGTACAGTGGTGCAGTACCTCGCAATGTGGTGCTCGGGCCCTGCGTCAGCCACTTCCCCACTGCAGAGAAAGCACTCTAGGGAGGCCTCTGACCGATACTGGCAAAGCTGAGAAGTCCTTCACTCCCAGCATCTGCCTTCTGCATGCACATGAACCAGCATGAAAGAGCCAAGTCGGGGCTTTCCAATGCCCTTGGCCACTCTGCGGTTTGTGCCTGATGAGGCAATCAGCCTTATTAATCATTGATAGTGCCGAACCGTGAAGGAGCATTCCTACGCGTTATGAGATACCAAATTGACAGGAAACTACCTATTGCGGTGCATTGATCGAATACTGTGGCCTAGAGCCTGGGTTGCTGATCAAAACTGCAAGGTGGCATCACTCGCTGCATATCTTGGACCTGAGCACTCGCTTAGCGGCTCGTGCATATGAAATACGAGGCTGCCACGGGCAAGGTCACAATCCCAAAATTCTGTTTCATTCTATCGGATGCTCACCAGTCTTCGACGAAACTTATCATAGCTTGATATTTGTGACGATTTCACTCTTATCCAGGACGATGTGATGATATTCAGCTTGCTCATGCCATGTCCGCTTGAGGGCAACCAGCAAGCGGTGGCCTGACTTGACCGGCCAGTGCTCAACTTGAAAAACGTAAAGACCTGCCGCGGAACATCATCTGGGAGTGATGGCTGTGAAGCCAATCGTCTTCATCCACGGCGATGATCCACAGTCACGGACTAAGGCGCGCCAACATGCTTCGAGGACTGCCCGACAACGCGAGCGAGAACATCGTACGAAACAGTCCAGCGCCCGAACAGAAACCAGCGGGATCTCACAGGACCACGAGCAAGAAGGCATTCATGACGATAAACTCGGTACCAAGCAGGTCATTCGTTGCTTTCATCACGTCCGTGCCGTCATCTCCTCAAGAGCCCTTATTCGGAAGGCTAGACTTGAGCCATTCGCAGATGATTCCCACGACAACAGTCATCCTCAGACATTGCTCAGCGGCGCACCCACAGACCCTTTTAACACTCTGGTCATTAATGTGTCGCATAAAGGTATGCAGCAACTGCACCACTATAATATCGACATGCCTAGTGTCGAGTTCGATACCAAACCAGGCTCTCCTTTCGTCCCTCAGCACATCGCCATCACGTCCGCCATGGAGTGCCCTGCAGCATTCCACGCTATCGTAGCGATGGGAGGCGTACATCGAGCGGCACTGACCGGACAGCCCGAACCATTACTTGTCAATTACCATCACAGTCAAGCGCTCCGCCTGTTTCGCGAGAGTCTAGAGGCTGTGAACGATGAGAACTGGACGACGCTTGTTCAACCCTTCATCGAGATCATAGCGTTGGGTGAAGTGGGCGGGCAGTACAATAACCTGGCGATCCACCTCAATGGACTTCGCAATCTCTTGAAGTGCTATGGCGGACTTGAGAAGCTGAATCACATACCTCGGACTCAATTACTCTTATGCTTCGTTCTGCATGGAGCAGGAGTGTCTTGGTTCCAACCAGGACAGAGCTTGACCACGGATGGCTCGCAACAGTCGTCGCGGGCCGCAACAATACATGTGCATCCAGACTTATTGATTGAGATACTGGGATATTGCAAGTTGATGTCTGAGTTCATGATCGAGGTGAATCGACTCATCGCGCTGGATCCACCGCTGCTGGCATTGGTCAAGAAGTACTTCCACAAGAGCACAAAGTTGGCCCGTCTCGTGTGCAATAGCGCGGCTTCTGAAGACACGTTCATTCCCGGCGATGGCTTCGGCAAGAAGGGCTTCCATCGAGTAGCAATTCTGTTCCTGATTGCATGGGATCTACTCCATCTGCTCAGGAAACCGAATCAACTTGCCATCGAATTGTACCTCGAGAGGCTGCACTTTCTATATTACCAGAACTTGCGCCTATACAAGTTCTACCTGATGCAGGATGGTACGGCGGTCAAATTCACCAACATAGAGAAAAATTGGGATGTCATACGAATGATGCAGATCTACAAGCTCCTGGACGTTCATTACAGGCGCAAGATCGTCCACTCGCTTGTTGGTCTGCTGCAGGGTCCTGTCGGCGAGCAGGACATCAATAGAGACGGATTGTCTACAGAAGGCCTCTGGACGGTATTTGCCATGGCAAACAACGCCCTTCAAAGCTTGGGGCGAGAGGACTACGTTCCGTGACGCGGCGTCCAAAACGACCTGAGCTGGTGTGGGCTACGAACGATTTCCCATAAGACATCGATTTCAATCGAGGTCCTTTTGGCAGACGGAATGACGCATCTCTGTTGGGCATGACCATGCTCCATGGACACACTCGTAGGTTGACATACCCGTGTGGCTGGCCGTTTCCAGTGGAGGACAATGAAATTACTAGGCACCTTCAGGCCCCATCACTAGGCCTTTGGCGCTGGAGATTTAGCCACGTTTTGCACATGTCGGCATACGCAAATGCCGAGCCAAGACAAAGCATTTTAGCAGGCATATCCGACAGTACACCAGTTTCGCGATCCTGTCCGTTGGCGATGAGATGTATAAGACGGCGGGAGGTCCCCGTGTCCCGTCGAGGACCGGCAACCAAGCTTGCAAACCAAGCGTTACCCTCTGTAGGCGATGTCGGACACCGGTGTTAAAAACATCATCATCGTCGGAGGCGCGTACAGCGGAGTCTCGATTGCACACTATCTTCTCAAACATGTGCTACCCAAGCTATCGAACGCCTCGGCTTACCAGATCATCCTTGTCAGCACCTCAGCGCAAGCTCTCTGTCGTCCAGCATGCCCTCGAGCCATGATATTGGACGACTTCTTTGACCAGTCTAAACTGTTCGTTGACATCGACGCGCAGTTCAAGCATTACCCGGCCACCAACTTCAACTTCGTGAAAGGAGCAGTGGTCGATTGGAATCATCACGAAGGGCACATCACTATTCACTCAGCTCAGGGTGAGACATCGGTACTGAGTTACCATAGTCTGGTACTTGCTTCAGGCTCTTCGACGCCATCACCGTTGCTTGGCCTGAACGGAGATGAATTAGAACTTAGAAGCAGCTGGACTCAGTTTCGCGCCTCTCTTAAGTCGGCGAAGAGGATAGTCATCGCTGGTGGTGGACCTGCTGGTGTTGAGACAGCCGGAGAACTCGGAGAGTATCTCAACGGTCGGTTATGTGGTTGGTCTGGATCGAGTCCGAAGAGCAAGAAGGTTGACATCAAGCTCGTCACATCAGCCTCGCAGCTTCTTCCGGCGCTGAGGCCCTCAATAGCCGGCAAAGCAGAGACGTATCTGTCTGCATTAGGCGTTGAGGTGATCAAGAACAGTAAAGTCGTCCACGTACAACCAGAAGGCGCTGGAATCAGCTCAGTGACTACAAGCGCGACCATCAAACTCGACAACGACCAGACGCTCGAGGCAGACATCTACATTCCAGCTACGGGCACGAAGGCAAATACGTCCTTCGCTGATCCAGCCTTGCTCGCAGAAGATGGTCGCATCACGACCAATCCCTCAACCCTCCGTGTCGACCTAGCTGGCGTACGTGTCTACGCTCTCGGCGATGTCGCATCGGCTGCACGACCAGCCATTCATGTCATCTTCGAGCAAGTCCCCGTAGTTTGCGCCAATATCAAGCGCGACCTGCTGCTTGCAGAAGGCCAAGACGAGAAGTCGGTCGGTCAAGATAGAGTCTTCAGAGAGGACGTGCGTGAAACTCAGATGGTACTCATCGGCAAGAACGCAGGACTTGGTGCAGCGATGGGATGGGCTCTGCCGAGCTGGGCTGTCAAGATGATCAAGAGGGACTACTGGTTATGGACGACGGCGAATCTGTGGAGTGGGAAGCAGTGGGAGAAGGAGAAGTAGGGTTACTGCACAAGTCTGCTAACTGTATGATCTGTGGATCCATGGATGTCATGCATGATAATGCATAACCGAGCCTGATCGGTCAACTTCCGAAATGCCAGCAAAGCACCCTAGACCCTGAGCGGCACCTGAGCCATGTCAAATCCCAGCATTAGACACAGGTAACGACTCTCTGAGCAAGGGTTGAGCCATCATGTCCTCGAATCTTGTTACTTCTTCGTCACCGCGCCTCGCGTTCATCGGTACCAAACCCACATGGGTCTGGCAGGCCTTCGCGTTCATGCCCAACGTCTCGATCGACACCGCAGTCTGCTCACAAGCGCCAAAGACTCACAATCAGTGCAGCGCCAACCAAAGCAAGAATCGCCGTCGTGAGCTTGATACGACAGACGCGAAGACCTGCATGGAAGATCGGCCCGTAGCTACGCTCCCAGATGACCATCATGAGGGCCGTAAGCTTCTTCACATCCTCAGCAGAAGCACCGTTATCGACTAGTCGTTTGCACTGGCGGTACATGTTGACGAGTGTGCGAAAGGCGTCCTCAGGTGGTACGATTCCAGTGTCGCTGGGGAAGGGTGTTGGGGTGACATTGTGCTGAGCGAGTTCGCCTAGCTGGAGTGCGATTTTGTCGAAGTTGCTGAGGGCGGGGCCAGAGCCAGGTGTGCGGTCATGTTGAGTGTTGGTCTGGGATAGATTGGTGTCGATGAGTTGTGGGCAGTCCTCGTCGTCTTCGACTGTGGGACGAGGTGTCTGAATGTGGTGAATGTTGGGTTGGCAGGTTTTGGTGCTGTCTGGATGGTAGTCGACATCTTCGACGATATCGCCTTGCGCGGTGGCTTCGGCAGCGATGCAATTGAGCTGGTCGACACCAGCCGCGATGGTGTAGTACTCATCACCGCGAGCGAGAGCCTCGTCGCGGGCTTTGGCGATCGTGGCACTGTAAGGGTGAATGGGTTTGGATTGCGCGTTCGTCATGTTGGGCCACGATGAGTTGCTATGATGCCTGTGAGAGTGGTGTCGAAGTCGCTGTAAGCAAAGGCTGGGAGATGAGTCCTTCAAAACAATCATTCTCACGCTAGTGCTAGTGGCTAAAAGCGGAGATATTGGTTGACTGGTCAAAGGGGACGTGTTTGCCATGATTCAACTGCTGCCCAGCAGATGCGGGTGTCTTGGATTTTCTGTCACCATATTCCATTGCTCTATATCTACTACACTTCTGTCATTGCACAGGTGAAGAGCACTGTTCTGCGAGGGCGCAGAATAGCGGAAACATATGCAAGCAGCAATGAGCTTAGCCTGAGATCGATTTGCGAGTTTGCTGCTGTGTTTGCTGATGCTGTGTTGCTTGAGCTGGGCGATCTTGCACAAACTCACTCTGAGTGAACAAGTGAAAGCAATTCTCAAGCCCAACATGTGAAGGCGGACTCAGATGCCCTGGAGCTCCAAAGACAACTCTCAACGTCAGGAGTAGCCATTACAACTTTTAGCCGAGCACAACATAAGGCCAGAAGACATCATCTCGTCCTCATGCCTAAGCACCACCCAGAGAACTCGTCTCGACCTCGATCGCACACACTACCACTCCATGGCACCATTCTCGCTCCCGGTGTTCCCTGTGTGACCGTTGGGTCTCTTGCAGAGCCAGGCTCTGCAACCAAACCTACCCGAGCCACTCTTGCGGGCATAAAACACACCATGCCTCCCGTTCGAAACGCGACCTACAACTCCAAAGAAACCGCGAACGCGCCTACTCGTACCACACCAGGCAGCAGCAACCGGACCAAAGGCTTTCCGTACCTAGGTGGTCGCGAAGCAAGTCCGAGCCACGCATCGCAGGCCGCCAATGATGCCCATATCTCGTCCTCAGAAGGCGGCTCTACGGCTATCAATGCGTTTGAAGGAGGTTTTGTCAGCTTGCCTTTCGGTCAGATCGATGTAGCTGCGTTCGAGGAAAAGATGCGCCAGTCTCGTAAGCGAAATGAGCAGCAAACCGCTGAGAGCGGCGCGGGTCGAACCATGACTCCGCGAGACGCGTTCAAAGCTGCGATGAAGAGAGAGGGTCACAGTTGTGAAGAAGACGATGATGGTGGCGCGAGTGGATACGAAGGCGATGACGAAAAAGTTGGCGAGAAGAATAGTGGGGGAATGAGGAAGAAGAGTGGCGGTCGTGCTGGTGGCGGATATGGGGACGTCGAGATGTCTTGATCCTTCAGCTTGGAGTTTGGGGTGCCAGGAGGACCTCAAGCCACCGTAGCAAGACAGCGAGAGTAGGGCATGCGGGTGCCAATGGCTTGACGTCCGCGCGGCGCTGCAATGCACTGCGAACATCGCACAAGCGCATTCATTACTCCCCGTGCTGCCTATAATGCGCCTCCGCTTCCGCCTTACTCTTGAACTGTCGAAACCCTGTACACTTGCCATACTTCGGCTTGACATACAAATATCCATCCACGTGATCGTTCTCGTGCATCCACGTCCGAGCATCGTCCCCCTGTAGAACCTGGCTATGCTCTACTCCCTCAGGATCCTGGTACTTGACACGTATGTTCAGTACCCGTTCGACTTTGCCGCATGCTCGAGGTACACTGAAGCACCCTTCCATACGGGTTTGGGGTTTACTTGCTGGCGTCGAGTCCTGGAGAATTTCGTACGATGGGTTGATTGCTGCGTCAAAGATGTTGTCAGGTTGATCATCACGGTGCCAGAGAAAGATTGCACGATCGTATCCCCATTGATTGGCTGCCATGCCTGCTGCACCGTCCCATGGGGCACGGGCTGCTTTCAGTTGGGGCGGGAGGATGGAATATTGCATGTCGAGAATGAGCTGTTGATCAGCCGCTGAGAGCGGAAATGTGACGCGTTGGGTTGGTTGATGGAGCACCGGGTGGTCCTGCTCCACCAGCTGCAGCAGATGAGGGTGGTCTGCCATGGCCGCAAGTCACCAAGGAGGAGAAAAAGTGTTCAGCGAAAATTAGGGGATATGCATTCTGTAAAATATAGTGGAGTAAACGGGAGTCGGGAGGAATTGTGCTTTGGACCCTGCAGCGCAACAAGTGCTGGTGTGCTCGAGCCCGGGTATCGCGTCCATTCAGTGAGCCACATACTTAGTGTATATACACATACCAGTGGTTATACTGGAGGAATGGGCAGTCACTGATGGGTAAAGGATATTTGACAACGGACTATTGCTCAGTGTGCCTTCCAGACTGCCGAGGTGGGTGACTCTTGGTCAGCCCACCGTCCATTCCTTCCAACCTTGCTCGTGTTAGGTGCTTGTCGGTGCCTGAGGCTGCCCGTCCGAGATCTGCGTGACAGCGCCGTTGCCACCAGCAGTACTTTGCTGTGTGCCACTTCCACCAGGAGCTGCTTGCTGCGTGCCATTCCCACCAGGAGCCGCCTGCTGTATCTTTGTCCCGCCGTTCGGTAGCTTCACCTTGAACAGCACGTATGGCTTGACCCTCCTCTCCACGCCACCATAGTACGACGGAAGTCTCCAGAGCTGGTTTTCTGTGAAGTAGAGATACCCATCCGCTGCGACGCTCATGGTGTCTGTCCAGCTGAACCTGGGATCCCTCACCAATGTCGATATCGTGCCTGTGCTAGCATCGAACATCGCAATGGAGTTGTCCTCAATGTTGCCAACGTAGATCACACCATTTGAATCAGACTCGAACCCATCAGAGAAGCCCTTTTGGCCGTGATACTTGACTGAAGACTGTGCAATCAGTTCTGAGTATGGTCCGTCATCGCGAAGGAGGGCTGTTTCGATGGAGTACAATTCGCGCCCTCCCGTTGTGCTGAAATAGAGCGTGCTTCCGTCGGCACTGAGAGTGATGCCATCGGCGCCGAAGTTAATATTGCCGATGGGCTTTGTCGTGCCATTGGTATAAATCGGTTCGCCCCAAATGATGGGCACGAAACCTAGAGTTGGACGGACGTATGGAGTGTTCATCAGGTGCCGCCATGCGTTGCCCGTGGAGAGATCGACCGTGACAATGGCATTGACACCTTCGGAAGATGAGTCAGTAATGTAGGCATAGCCAGCACTGCCGATGGTCAGGTCGAAGCGGACGTCGTTCAGGTACTGTAAATGTCAGACGGTGAGCTGACTGCCAGGTGATTGAAACTTACAGAGTCTGCTGGCGCCGCAGTTGGCTCGAAGACGATAGTCTGGAAGATTTGATTGGTGGTGAGGTCGATGCCAACCAGTTTGGGTCCGCCATATGCTGCGGGGACTTGGGTTCCGTCTGGAGTTGCTGCTCTTCCCGTGTCCAAGACCCAGAGGCGGTCTGCAGGGTCAATAACAACAGATTGAACACCAATGAAGTGATCGGTGTAGCTTGTGCCCGTTGGCGGGTAGTTGGTGTAATTGATCCGGCCAGCAGGAGGTGAGTTGATTTCCGCGTTGGGGTATGGTCGTTCAGTATTGTTCGGGAAAATCTCTGCCACGGTGTACTGCTGGTTCTTGGGGTCGAGAGCTGGCGGATAGTTCGAGAACATGCGTCCAGAGTTAGAAACAGCGATACCTGCTGATGTTAGGGCGGTGCAAGCATTGAACGAGCTTCACCTACCCGTGGGCCATTCATCATAGTACAAATGAGCTATCTCCAGACTTTCCGTGCCATATGTGCCAGGATCAGAGATGGGCTCTTGTTGCACAGGTATATCCTGGGCGACCACGGTTGCAAGACATGCTGCAAGGCAGTGAGAGATTACAGCAACGCGGACCATGATAGCTAGGAGCAGGTTTTGAGGATGAATGCAAGAGACAAAGACCTACCGTACCACCTACCTCGCTCTTCTCTCTGTGCGACGATGACATCTCGAGCTCGGGCTGCGATGATCAACACCGGCAGTACAGCTCAGGAGCTTCCTAAAGGAGTTGCGCGGACATATCGGTACGTCTTATTTTGTTGTGTTCACGTCATGAAGATGTCAGGGAAGGTGCAGATTTGAAACAGGCAAGAAGCTAAAACCCGGGGACGGAAATTGTCTTCCGGGCGTGAGCAACAGCCGCCGCAACTGGATTGTCATCCATGGATCATGAGAGCATCTTCTACATCACAAACTCTCGATGGATTAGGCTATCTGCAGGCCCGCAGATCGGTTCATGCGTGCATGGGCCTCCACATCAAAACTGCTGAGCACGTCGAAAGTTGCTGTGCAGCTGTAGGTAAAGAACATCGACGCAATTCTATCAGAAGCGACTGTCTGCCCACTATTGCACTTCAGCCACAGCACAGGAAATCACGGCTTGCGGACCAGAACAACCCGGTGCAACGTGAGAGCTCTCAATCAAAGGACTTCAACACCTCGCAGATCCTCAATCGGTTGAACACATGCGGTGTCCGATACTCAAACCTTTCATACAGCATTCACGATCCTGGCTTTGATCTCATCGACGCCGACACCAAATCCGAAGCTGTCCGCAACCTGAGCCGTGGTTTTCCAGGTCCAACCACCATTCTCATTCTGTACCATGCCTACCTTCGTCGGCATGTCATCAGCACGATCACCGACACCGTCGTGCGTCCTGTTGTGCTCATCAAACAACTGTTGCATCTCTCTCACACCACTCTTCAGATGTGCATCAGCTTCGAACAAGCCAACCGCGAGACCGTCAATAGTCAGTCGTTCCTTGACTTCCTGACTGGTCATTGGGTCCGCATAAGTGACGGCAAGTATGGCTAGTACCAGAGCGAAGAGAGCATAGATGCCCTTGAATGCGACTAGAACGTACAGAGGTATCTTGGGAACGCGCGTCACAAGCACGTTATTCCAGCGCTCCTGATCGAATATGTTCTTGGATGGAATCGTTATGCCAGCTGTAAGCGCAACGGCGGCCTTTGAGTACGACTCAGCGAAGACACGAGCCAGACCCTCGGGTCTCTCCTGGTAAGCCGCAAGTGCTGCAGCGTCTTGCAGCGCAAGGTGACTGAGGGCAGTGTTCAGCGCGAACCCACCTGACAGTACTGCGCCGTAAGCTGGGTCCGCAGGACGAAGATCATAGAGCCCGTCAGCGGCGACCCCTCCGTTGGACCAGTTGTAAGTGGCCTGGTAGATCATGATGGAGCAATTGAGGATGAAGACGGGATCGCCAGAAGCATCGCTTCCTAAGAAGTTGTTTTCACGCATGTACGTGAACAGGTCCATTTTGGTATCGACAGGTGGGAATCCCTTCGACCATGCGAGGAACGAAGTTGGGTTCTGGGATGAGAAAAGCCCGTCCGTTGCATTGCCGCGGCCGATGGGTACCGTCAATCCGGGATCATTGAAGTACTGGATTCCAGCATTGGACTGATTGGTCGGTCCTGTCGCCGAGGACTCTTCTACACCGACTGCTCCGGTCCAAGCGAAAGACGGAGCCTTGTAGCTGCCGCAGGTGAATCCTTCACCGATCTCGCAGTTTTGCGTGACAACTTGGCACTCCGTGGTGACAGCTAGGGTTTCGGTCTCGAAATCATGACTAGTGCTGCTTTTGAGATCGCCCATGAAGAAGAACTTCTCTTCTGGACGGTCCGTTGTGGTGACATTGACGACAAAATCTGTTCGAGAGTTGTTCATCAGGACCTGGGCTGCCTCCTGTGCATGTTGAAGCCCGAATCTCGCCTGACCGGAGGAGCTGTTCCAGGTCGTGATACTGCAAGGATAGCTGCAGATGGTAGAACTGTCGCCTATGCAAGGATAGTTATGGAAGAGCGTGTCGCAGATCGCTGGATCGAACTGGCGCCCGAAAGCACTCGTGGTGTTTGCGCTTCGGACGATATCAACAGTTGCTGGCTGCACTGCTACACCGAACCAGCTATCTGCGATCTGAATGAGGAGGGTGATGACCACAATCCATGTCAAAGACCAGAAAGCCAGTATTACAGGACGCACGAGCGGAATGTGATGAGTCCACCAGTAATGCGAGGTGTTCCAGAGAGGCTGTATACCACTTCCGTTGAGCAAGTTGATGAGCAAGCTCATTTGATACGGGGTGGGCATTGACTCTTTCTTCTCCTTCCGAGACACCTGAATAAGCCGGCGACCAGCGAAGAAAGCGACCAAGGCCATTGTGCTTGATGTAATGAAGGGCATGACCTTTCCAGTCACGGATGCTATCGTATGCAGAGTGCCAGGAGTGGTGGCCGTCTTTGCCCACAGCCAGTACACGTCGTCTCCTCCCTTCTTGAGAGAGTTGATGGCGGTCAAGGTCTGGTTGATTGTGCCAGTCACCGGGACGATATGCACTTGCTCCAAGACCACAAAGGGCGCTTTTATCTGGTTGCCGAGGATGATGGACAGCAGAATAGAGCAGACAAGTGCGACCGGGATGCATGGGAAGAATGCTCCAATGAGCAGGGACAACGTTGCGCCTTGCAGCGTTTCTCCCTGGACAGTATCTGCCTTTGGTTGCTCAACAGGCTGTACTTCTGTGGCGATGGCGGCAGTCGCAACCTTCGCGGAAGCCTCGGATTGATGTGTGTTGTCGTCCTGAGCTGTGTCCCCTGAAGGATGCTCAACTGCAGGACTGCCTTCGTGAAGAAGTTTATTCGACTCCATCTTAGCGGGCTGATAGACAAGTCTCTGCGACTACCGTCTTTTGAGATTTTGGACCTCCCAACACCATCCTGAGCAGTCTGCTGGTTAAAATACTTGTTGCGCACCTACGCTCCGGCACAAGTATGCTCGTGCGGTGTAGGCAACCACGCCCGGGTACAGCCTCGCTACTCAGCTTGTGCATATTTACGAGCACACCTTTGGGATGACTTCTGAATTTGGACGAATCAAGAGATGTGGTCCTTTTGCTCAAGCACAAAGTGCTCGGTATACCATGCCTGTGCGCAGCATTGCTGGTAAGGCGGTGATGTGGCTGGCTGAAGCATTGTGAAATTGCGCAAGAAAAACACGAGACTGAATAGGTCACCCGGCAAAAGTTCTCCGCTTCGTCCAGAGCTGGAGCTTGGCAGCTATTGTGGTTCGTCTGGCATGCTCAGCGGATTCGCAGACCTCGGACACCCTAGAGGAGTGTGTTGGACAGTCCTGCGGGCATTGGGCAGCTTGGCCGACCATCAATCCCCAGCTGTGGAAACGGCCAGTGACGGTCGTCAAAATGGTCTTGGCTCGCATACGTGAGGACTGGAATACGAGAACAGCTGAATACAGGCGAGGGATGAAGCTGCTGCCAAGATTCTAAGCTTCGTGCTCTGCTGCTCGCTTCGCAGGCTGATCGACATCGTCGGCTCATCCGGGGAAAGCGGAGGCTCTCCTGAGCAGCCATCATCTTGTCTGGCGTTGTGCTCACCGTCTCAGACATTCAAGCAGCCCAGCAGTACCCTGCCACTGCTGGGGGGTTCTCGTGGTTGCTCTGGGAGGAAGATCGGCCCTTCGAATACCATTGTCGTGATGAGAGTTTATCAGTACAGGAGGTTGCGGTTCTCTACCCTTTTTGCGACAGGTTCATCAGTCCCGACTCATCTTCCGGTGGGAAAGGTTGTTACCACTGGTGAAGTTGGATCGCTGCAAGGGACAACACAGTGAAGGTGCCTTCTTGTGTCTCGCCGTGTGGGGCAGACAATGTCTCCGTCATCTACTCGTGCCTCGACAAAGGTGAGTGCTGAACCGGGATGATTTGACCTTCGGCGGCAAAACCCTTCAGTCGCAGACCTACCTATGTGTACACACTTGGCTTGTGTGCTGCTGGCATGCCACCGGTGTTTACGCAGCTCGCCTGATACCGCATCCTTTCTATCTTGAAAGTCAATGTAATGCCTTGCTCGTCAGCGTACGAAGCAAGCGTCCCAGATTCTCGACGCTTCGTGGCTCGCTCGTCCTTGAGGCCGAGTGCAAAGGCTGACGAAGCCTGCTCGCATGAAAGCCGTTGATTAATCCATAAACGGCATGTAAGAAGCTGCAGTGCAAATCCGCGTTTGATGATAGGCAGAAACGTCTGCGATTAATGAACAGCGTTGCATCGAGGCAAAATATGCTTCAGGTTGAACGAAGCTTAGCAGTGCTTGATAGGGCTTGTCGGTCGCGTCAGCGGCGCTAGATGAAGCCTATTTTGCCTTCTGTACCTCTCGGAAAGATTTGTGCCGCTTTCCAGCGTGCTCTGTGCGCTCAACCCCTGATCCCGCGTGGACCTGGCTAGTGCCGGACGTCGACATGGTGGTACAGCTGTCGGGCGATCATCCAGCAGTATCCGTAATGGCTGAGAGTGCGTTAAAGAGCGCATGGCCCGGTGCTTCGCAGGAAGACTTTACAGCTTTTCATTTCCGTCTGGGCAGAGCGACTATCCGTAGCTCAATTGACGGCGATGGATAGTCCTATCACTAACAAAACAGACGGCAAGATGTCGTTCTCCAAGGAGACAGGACAACGTCATCCTACGTTCATCGCTCCATGTGACCGACCAGCTTACGACAAATCTGTCACGCTGGAGGAGTACATGTACTATGCCAAGACGACTCGCCAAGAGGAAAAGGACACACCACTCAGCCCAGCACAATCTGGCTCATTTCTCAGCCAAATCTTCCACCGAAAGGCCGTCGATAGTGCAGCGACTCCCAGCGGGACAGAGTCTCCGAATGGCGATCACGAGAAAACCATCTCCCAAACTCCAGCATCGGATGGTCGAGCTCGCATCTCTCCTGACGAATGGAGGGACGCGAGTCGCCTCATGCGGACGGCTAGCTGGGGAGCTGGCTTCTACTTGATCACTACGGACATCCTCGGTCCTTATGGTGTCGGGTTCGCGATCGGGACACTCGGATGGGGCCCAGGCATAGCGCTGTACACGGTCTTTGGGTTCTTAGCCGGCTACTGTGGCTATCTCCTTTGGAAGCTCTACATGGGTCTTGACAGCTACGAGTTCCCGCTTCGCAACTACGGAGACATTGCTTTTCGTGTCTTTGGCGCTCCTGCACGACATGCCGTCAATATCCTCCAGTCGATCCAGCTGTGCTTGATCTGTGGCCAGGTGATCATCCAGAACGGACAGGGAATCTCGCAAGCGTCCAAGTTCAGACTCTGCTACGTCGTCTGCATTCTAATCTTCGTCATCGCCGGTTTCCTGGTTGGCCAGGTCCGAACACTGCGCAACTACGGTGTCGCCTCGGCCGTAGCCGTTGGACTGAACCTGATGGTCATCTTCGTCTCAATGGGTGTGATGGCACACTCGCAGCCAAACTTCGCCATCTCCGTCCTGGGTAGTGCTGGGGCAGCAAATGGTGATGGCTCAATCACTCCCGACGCAGCGGGTAATTACCACCAATCAAGCACTACAACGGCCTGCCCAACCCCAACTCCCTACTCGGATCAATCAACGGGCTAATGCAAGGCGTCTTCGCGTACGGCGGCGCACAGATCTTCATTGAGATCATGGCCGAGATGCGTCGGCCGTGGGACTTCATCAAGGCGATGTGGTCGGCTCAGTTCTTCATCTGGAGCGTGTATCTGATCTACGGTTGCTACACATACTATTGGCAAGGACAGTACGCCTTCCAGGTCTCCTACCTTGGCCTCTCCGTCTATGGCTGGTCCGTAGCCTGCAATATGATGGCTGTGATCAGTGGCCTCGTCGCTGCTGGGCTATACAGTAATATTGGGATTAAGGTCTTGTACAACAATATCCTCATGGACTTGTTCAAGGCGCCCCCTCTGACTACGCGCAAGGGTAAAGTGCTCTTCGGGATTATTGTCCCATTGTACTGGATCACAGCCTTCATCATCGCTGCCGCTATCCCGGACTACTTCGGCTTTGTGTCAGTCATCGCCTCGTTCTGCATCGTGCAGTTCAGCTATAGCTTCCCGCCGATCCTGCACTTGGGATACATGATGCAAAGGAGTGCGGTGCGAACAGCGCTGAACGAGGGGTTTGATCCTGTCTCGGGCGAGACGAATCGACAAGATCGTGGGCTTAAGCGATGGCTTCGTGGGTTCCATGCTGAAAGGTGGTATATCAACGTCTGGCACACCATCCTGGCTGGTGGCGCGCTATCCGTGGCCGGCTTGGGAAGCTACGCGGCTATTCAAGGTATGATTGATGCTTTTGAGGTGAGTCCCAATCGAGTTCCAGTCCAAGGATTTGGCAAATGCTGACCGTGACGCAGAATCCTCAAATCACGGCTTTCACATGTACGAGTCCGCTGAACCTCAATCCGTAGGGAAGACTGCAGTCGCAGTTGCGGGCGTGGACAACAAAGGATGGAGAACGCCTCGTGAAGTCACTGAAGTGTGATCACGTTCCGACTTACTCTCTTGGTCGAAAGGCTTCCAAAGGTCGCCCTTCTAACCGATTTGCCGCAACTCGCATGATGAGTCTACTGCAACCATAGCGAGCTGTTGCTGGAAACGGGATGACTATGCTGCAACCACGATGGCAGTACAGTGTGTGCAGTGTATGCAGTGTGAAGTCGCCTCCCTCCATAGATTAGAACTGCACGTGAGCCCGATCCGGCTTTGCTCCCTTCTGTACCTGCCAAGGACCTCCCGTCGATTCCCAATGCTGTGACACTTTGGCTTGTTGTGGGTATGATCGTTCTATATGCTACTTCAATGTAAAGTGCCGCTCAAATGAGAGTCAACCTGTCCTCCGAGACGCTTTCACAGACGAACCCACAGCCATGCTCACGCGTTTCGAAGTCGTCGGGTAAGTACGAAGGACAAATTCCCCCAGCACCTCCGGTCCACATAGTAACCCACTGATCATAATACAGGGGGAACGCCACGATCCATGGACAACACCTCTGCATCTCATCCGACGGGAAAATCCACATAGCAGCTCCCTCTAAAGCAGATGATGACAAGATCGCTCTTGCCAAGCCTATCGGATCGAGTCCAGGCGTACTCGCCGTCGTCTCAACCACCGCTTCTGGACAAGAACACTCCACTACTAGTACAAATCTCTTCTACTGCCTAGAAGGGTCCTCTGGCAAAGGGAGCTACCGTCTAAGCGCTCGGTCAGATGATTCGACTTTCGGCATGGGCTGGCAAGTGAAGAGGGATGGCTGGGAGGTAGTTGATGACGAAGGCATGACGGGGAGACATCTGCTGAGATGGAACGAGAAAGTGCGGGCAAATAGTTGGCTTGCTGTCAAGGCAAGTGATGTTGAAGGAGAAGCGGGGAGGTGGGAAGTGTGGCTGATCGCGCCTAATGCGGCGAATATGGATGACTTTGAGGAGTATAAGTTGATTGATATTGTGGCTGTGGAAGTTGATGGTGCGGGGAGGGATGTGGAATAGGCAAAGGAGGAGAGGCACACTGGGTGAGTAGGAGTACTCTGGAGGTGACAGGTAGCTTGGAAGGTGTTTGAGACGGCAGGAGCCTTCTCAGCATGCTGGAAAGCGAGATCAGATCATGAAGTTGCTACAGTCACCTCCCTCGTAGCTAGTAGAAGCCTATTAGCTAGTAGAAGTCCCACGACACCTTGGCAAATGGAAGCCTCAATCTCAGTATGCTGCTAGGCCACACACTTCGCCGTCGCCAGCGATGCTAACTCCGCTGTTGCCTGGGCAAGGCTCACAAGCAGCGTCGCCCATATAGCATTTCAGTTGCCATGGGTTATATATTCCTGATCGTGAATTCTGCTCCAAATCCGCACATAAATCGCCGTGTCTTCGGAAAATTGACAGCTCTCAATTAACGACTATGTTCATTGAGGGAGCGAGATAAGCGAAGGATGTAGATTAGATAGTGCCTGAGGCGTGTGCGGATTTCACTCGCGGGACCTCGGAGGAGGGGCGGAGGCCATTATTCAGGCGACGGTCGATGAAGCCTTATCCGATCCCGGGGGTCTTATGTTATTGCAAAACTGTGCGACAGTTCAAGTCGTGGTTGTCGCAGAGTTTTTGCGTTCCTTGTCTACGACATGCTTGGATTTGGTGGTCGGGTGTCGCAGTGCGCACACGCTTTCGGTGGCATGGCAGAGAAGCACAATAGGAAGAGGAGAATCTTGGATCACCTGGCAGCCTGAGGGTCTCCCAGACTGATAGTCTGTTGTTCATCGCCTCGAAATGGTTCATGGAAAGACAGCTTAGTCTGTGGTCCATCTTTGACAGTCAGCATAATATCACTTTGTGTAAGCGCTCTTGTCAGCGCGCAACTCCTGTGTCAATGAGGCAGTTCGCCCTGCGAGCTACGCTGAATGTCAGTGCTAATCGCCATTCCTGGATGAACCATTTCCACAAAACGGACTGCGGTTGCAACTCGATAACGACATGTATTGTTTTCCTTGTGCCGCTCGTTTTAGGCGGTGGCGGATACTCCGTAACCATCTGTACACCTCCCTGTCCCATTGCCTCAGTATCGTGGTTTCCTTCACAGCTTGCCCAGAGCACCATCTTCCCTCAAGAAAAGCCAGCATCCCTCGCCCGCTGATCCTCCAACTTGGCATAAAACTGATCTCGAGCCCGGACGCGCGGCAGGTGGAAGCCGTACCACCATAGATAGCCGAATGTAGTTCCGAGTCCTGTATTTTCTGTTTGTGAGCTCTCATGATTGTCATGCCATTGGTGATGTGGTTCGAAACTGGGGTAGGGTAGGTGAGGCATACCTCCTGCAATGGCTAGATCGAGGACGAGACCCCGTCGGAGCATCTGTGTACTGTGGTCAGTCTTTCTGTACATGAATGGACGGGGTAGGGGTGGGCGTACTCCTGTGATTGGTTTGATCGGCATGCTGGGCGGATTGCTGCGGCGGCGCAGGTCGCGGAGGGGTTTTGACGAGCGCTGAAGCTCTGCGGTTGACGAAACTGCCTGCTCGGCAGAGTTGAGGTATTGGCGGAGGTGAGAGGGTGTGTGAGCGTGAGGAGTGAGAGCTTCATGCAGTGAGTTGACGTTCTTTGGAGTCGGAGAGGAAAGGCGCCAAGGCGGATGCGCTGCTCCGCAATGCCTTCCTGATGCCTCAGATTGAACTCAAGTACGTTTTCTATACGTCAAACAAGATATTCATGAAGTCGAGTATGCGCATATTATGATGGAGGCTCCCGCTTCGGACATGAAGCTGGGAGGATCGCTAGGGCATGGCTATACGGCGCCGCCGCTCAAAGCACGACGAACTTCCAAGAAGCACCACTCCATCCGACCACTGCAGCCAACAATTGAGCCACGCGAGCCGGCATTCGTCGATCCTGAGACTGCGGACAGACTACTACTGGTTCTATCAAGACTGTCGTCGAGGAGGAAGCCGCGAAGCTAGAAATTTACGACCCAATCATCGACTCGCTCGCCCTCACAGCGTTCCGCAATGCAGTCGAGGAGTGTACGTCGGCCTGTCTTGCTGGCAGCCTACCGTCATGAGCTAATGACTGACTACTCACAGATATGCTCAGGTTCCTCTCAATAGTCCGCCTCTCGATGCACGCAGCCCGCCGAACTTACCCGATCGCACCAGACTTCGAGCGCGCTATCGCCTCCCTCGACGTGCCTGACCTGAGCGACCAGCTCCGCGCATACCAGATCGGCACACCTGACAGCAATCAACCGCTGCTCCCGACACCCCCTCCAGATGATGTCTTCCACACAAGCGCCGTCCTACCACCATCACTACTCGGTCCGGAGCTCGAGTCCCAAGACGGCCTGCAGAAGTTTCACCGAAACCCTAAATTTCTCCCACCGCTCCCCCCGTCACACACATATAAGAAGACACCCTTCGTCCCGCCCCGCGAAAACGACTCCCGAAGGATTAGAGAGCTCGCAACCGAAGAAGGCAAGCTCGGCGAGCAGGCCCTGCGCAAGCTGGCCGGTGCGGTCAAGCTCGACATGACGCACCCAGTTGATCATGAGACGCACAAGCAGGCATTGTCGTCTGCTGGCGCCGCGGTGGGACCTTTTAGGAACAACAGGCGGAGACGGAAGAGTCTGAATGAGGCGGCGATATTCGAGGAGACGATGCGCAGCTATCTCAAGGCTGAGCCGGATGGGTTTGAGTTAGGGCCGATTGTTACCGCTGAGAAGGGGGTGAAGATGCCTGATGATGGGCTGCCTAGTAAGGCGAGGAGGAGTGGGTCAGATTCGGCAGCAGACAAAGCGCAGGACGTAGGTGGCTCATCCTCGAGGCGGTCGACTGACACGCGTATGGCGGGTGTCGAGGTGATGGAGCTGTAGTCCGGCTCCGGTGCCTGGGTCGCAGCTCGAAGTTGCCGTCGGTGATTGACATTGGACATAGCATGATGAATATGATACCCCTTCTGCAGTCCATCATCCAGACCACCACGACCATCTGCCCCTGCCTTTCTCTTTCGCGTCATCATGCAGAGTGGTTGCCTCTTCAAGTATCCTCTTCGTAGGCGCCTCCCACTTATACTGCCCTTCCCACGCAGTCGTCTCAACGTGGAATACGCTACCATCCCTCTGCCCACACCGCCTGAATAACCTCACGAAGGGGAAGCATTCCATGGGCAAAGGCTTTGCGTTGGGGTTGCGCAGGACTGCGTCCCGCATCTCTTTCTCGGATGTGCAGCTGTATTGCACGACTTCGAATAGCTCGCAAGCGCGCTGGAGGTCAAAGTCGGTGGGAAGCTTGCGAGATTTGGTCTTGAAATTCTTGGTGGTAGAGTGGACCTGAGAGGGGAGGGAGGAGACGGGGAAGGTGTGTTCGGTAGGCGCCATTTTAGGTGTTGGAGTGGCCGTGACTTTTTTCACGTATATTGTTCGTGATATCTTCTTCGAATGTGCATCGGTATTATCATCGCGACAGAGACAACATGGATGCGCGATGGCGGTCGAACAGCATGGACGTCGGCTGTTGGCTGAATGTCAGGAAGAGAGCCTTGAGGACGTAGGTTCTAGTTCTATCTGATAGCGCGTCGCTTGGAGGCGATTCCGCTCCTCGACCAAGACTTCCGCCCCTCCCTCCCTATATCTACAGCCTCGTCTTCGCTTGAACTGTACCCACAACTAAGCATATGCTGACGTTGAATAGCTACTCAGAAATCTAAGGCTTCAGCTACAGCCTGATTCGAAAGATGTGTTGGGCGTCAAAGCGATAGATCAGATCTTCGAGGTATTCCGCGCAAACAAGGCATCACCATTGAGAGTACCACTAGATCAAACCTTCGACGACACCCACGATGACATTGGCTCATACGAGGAAGGCTCCGCGGAGTCAGTGATCACCCAGCGACCACCCGTCCTAGAAATCACATCTTCATCATCCGCAGCTGGAAAGACGACACTACTCTACTATCTCACGGCAAAAGGTCTACTCTCAGCCGAACATGGCGGCAAAGCCTCCATCGTAGTCTGGTTCGACACTGATGGCCGCTTCTCTGCAACTCGTTTGCATCATGTCATGAACCAGCTTGCCCGTAAAATCTCGTCGTCAACCACAGAAGCCAACATCTCGAAAGCACTCCAACACCTCTACCTCTTCCGCCCTGCCACCTCCTCTCAACTCCTTGAGCAGCTCACAAATCTCCCAACGCCACTTCTTGACCATGGTTCCAGCTCGACGAGACCACTGGGTCTTCTGATCCTCGACTCCGCCACCGCTTTCCGCCATCAAGACCGCTTCGACGCCGAGCTGACCCGTCTCGAAGCCGGCGCAGACTACGCCATTCGGCCCAAGTCGCCTACAAAGACGAGCAGCATCATTGCCGCTCTGAATGCCGTCCAGTCCCGCTTCGAATGTGCCGTCGTATTCAGCACCCAGCAGCATACACCTTCCAGTGGATCTCCGAACGCTTACCAGCCAGAAGCGCCTGCCAGAGCACCTCAGCCAGCGAATCGAGCACCCGACCCTCAACCACCAGCAGACACATCACCCGTCTCACCATGGACAACCTTCGCCACGCTTTCATTAACAACCGCCCGCCTCGCTGTCTCGCGCTTCGCACCAGCCATGAGTCTAGAAGAGTGCCTTCGAGATCGCGACAAACGTGCCGAGGCGGTCGCGCAGGGAAAGTTCTCGATTGGCGTGGACTGGAGCCAGGGCGACCGCTGGCCAGCTGGAGTTAGGGACGGCGTGAGTCGTGTGGAGGCGAAGGGCAGAGTTGGGATGGTGATAAGGGGCTGTGATGAAGGCGTAGGGGTGAGGGACGATGTAGTGGTTGAGATTGGGTAAGAGGAGCGAAAATATGTAACAACACCAAAGCAGTGACCAACAGCATCGATCTTGGCCAACACAACACCACCTTTGCGCAGTAGGTCTGCAGCACTATTCTCCCACGTCCCGTTTCTCCACATTGTCACCAACCTCGGACAAGTGGAAAGTATGGTCAGGTGGAATGTATGTCAGGACGCGTTCCCTTCTGCACGTCTGCCATGTAGATATCACTACAGATATCGACCAGACCAATACGACTACGGGCCTTCATCGGCCGAACGCCACTGACAGACACGACGGCGCGCGAACATCAACCAGAATGTCCACCCAACCCCTCTTTCCAGTTTACCCAGACCTAAAAGGCAAGACCGCCCTTCTGATGGGCATCGGCCAAACCAAAATCCCCAACTCAACGACATGGGGCAACGGCGCCGCCATCGCCCGCGGCCTTGCCCACAACGGCGTGCGCATTTTCGGGTGCGACATCAACCTCGCCGCCGCCGAACACACTGCCCAGCGACTACGGGAGGAATTCGGCAACGACTGCTTGGTGGAAGTCACGACCGCAGATGTCACCGTCGAAGCAGATGTACAGCGCGTGGTCCAGTAGATCGTATCCCACACCAGTTTCGGAGGCAGGATCGATATTCTGATCAACAACGTGGGCATGACCGCAGTAGGAGATCCGATCAATATGTCGTCGGAGGCGTTTGACGCGCAGATCAGATTGAATCTAGGGAGCGTGCACCACTCCGTCAGTGCCGTACTGCCCTTCATGACAGCCCGGGATGGTCCGAAGGGCGGCGTGATCGTCAACAACGCCAGCGTTACAGCACTGCGGTATATTGGCAAACCACAGATCGGGTATGCGGCGGCGAAGGCGGGGATCTTGAACTACACGCGGCATTTAGCGGCCATGTACGCGAGCAAGGGCGTGAGGGCAAATGTAGTGGTGCCGGGAATCATTTGGACGCCTTTAGTGGAGAATCTAGGAAATTCGGACAAGCACGCGGATCGAGAAGTGTGTACATCAATACGGAGGACTGGGGAGATGGCACCATTAGGAAGGATGGGTACGGCGGAGGATGTAGCGAATGCGGTTTTGTTCTTGTGTTCGGAGATGGCGGCGGGATATGTGACGGGGCAGGAGATTGTGGTTGATGGGGGACTGACGACGAGTAGTCCATTCTGAGCGGCGCTCAATCATGTTGCGGTGCCTGAGAATGTGAAAGAGACAGATGGCAAAAGGATGGGAAGATAAGTAGAACGAAGGATTCTCGAGGTGCATTATCGCTCAGCAGTCAGTGTATAGCTATGTACTTCACTGTCAACACAGCACGATAAGAGTAAACAAGACTGAAGTGTGCCTGAGAATCAGTCAACCTTGAGTCCGAGAATTTGTTAGACAAGTATGCTGTTACACTATACATGCTTGACATCTGTGGTCGTGGCGTCCTGATGGACACAGCCTCCACCGGCTGGTGCATAACAGCCTGTCACGCTGAGGCGATGCAGCATACGAAGTCCTGTCCGACCTCAAGAAAGGCACACGATCGTTCGATTGAGCTGGCCCGTAGACTTACTTACGCTGCGGATAACATTGTTCAGTTTACAGCCGGCGAGGATGTCGAAACGTACTGACTGCAACCTGGGAACTCGGCACGATGGGAGGGTGAAGGAAGGCCGATGAGGTGTGGACAAGCAGTGCGGCACGGTGCGAACTTCAGACACCCCACTCAATGAGAGGCTTTTTGGTTAGGCGTGCCCCGCCTTTCCGGGTGACACTGGCCCCTGAGCATAGCCCAGTCGAAGCTGCAGCATCTTGAGCCCCTTGGTGCGCATCATTAGCGACGAGCTACACCTGGGGCCATCACACGCAGGACTTTTGGTGGCCTGACAGCCCGCATCTCGCAGGTCCTTTGGGATGAGGCTGAGATGTGACCGTTCAGTAGGGCCACAATATGCCCGATCTCCTTCCCTCAGTCTGAGACTGCAACGTGACCATGAGACAGCGCCAGTCATAAGCTCGCACTGGCTGCCTTGCGCCGCTTCCCTAGTCAGAACGGCTGTCGGTGAGATATATGCTATCAGGCTGCTGTTCGACTGATGATATGGCACCGAGATATGGATATCAGCCTCATAGCGCGCTTGAATACACTGCCAAATTCATGGACCCGTTCACGGAGGATTTAGATCGTGGAGCGCGCAAATTTAACGGCCCATATGTGTCGGAAAAGCTCTTGGTCAATTCTCAGAAATTCGAGGCTGTAGACACAGTCACAGAAGCCTACTATCATCTGCTTGAGGTACGACCAGCACCAACCATGTGAGCGAGAGGATGAGTTTGAGCCTGGCTGACCGCCACAGAACTCGCAGAATTGGCTCTTAGGCAGGCTTGCTGAGCACATCAAGAGTCAAGATGTGTTCGCCGCAGAAGCAAGCCGCGTGGAGGTCATTGAGATTGACGAACAAGGCAACCGGACTCAACAGCAGCCCACCACATCTCATGCGTTTCGGGCACTCCTCGATCACACCACGACAAGTCACACGCCAGATGATTCGAACCACGACTCTGCTGGCATCAAGCCACCGTCGGACTCAGATCCTGCGCCTGTACGCAGAATAGTCATCATGGAGGACGTATCTAGGAGTTACATGGGCATACTCGGCAGCAGGCTGAGAATCCCACCTACTTTCTTCGCTCGCCACCTGCTGGAACAAAGTGTCCTCGAGGACTTCCGGATAGACGATTCTAAGGACGACGAGGCCCAGAGCTTTACCCTACCATTCTTTCGTTTTGCCAAAGCACCAAAAGTCAGCTCAAACCAGCCGCTTGAGGAGATGTACCGTGTGAAGGCGAATGCCACCAGATTATTTGCATTCCCTAAACCGCATGGCACTTTTGATCTGCGCGGTACTATCATTGAAGTCGAGCACTGCTTCTCGTTCTGGTGTCGGACAAGAGCAGACAATGATTGGGACGGTATGTACCTTTCCGTCACCCTGGCCACAGAACTTTGAGGCTGACATCTGGTGTAGTTGTAATCCTAGTCGACCCTCCGCTCAAGAACGAAGCCCTGGCCGTGAACACATCCTCGCGTCTCTCGATAGGGACTCCACGAAAATGCTCATACATCGCCGAATATCCACCCAACCGCGTCCTCCCATCCGATACCACTACGTGGCCAACCCTAGAAAAGTCACACGAGCCCGATGCCTTCTTCGACTTAGTCAGCAACCACTTTCATCAACCCGACTTCCACACTCCATCCGACCCCTTCATGTGCTCACTCCCACTCCGCCAGATCGCTCTTCAAAGCTGGAATGACTTCCTCAACCACGCCATGCACTGCCTGATACTGACAAAAGGCGAGCCCTACCCAGATAACGCGCACTTCAGCTCCGCCATCTCCATGCTCTGGGCACCCACGGTAGAAGAATGGCTACTGGGCAGAATGGTCAAGTGGTCTAGACGTCTACACATCGAGGCCACGGTGCTGAGCGTCATTATGCGGGGGTTCAACATTGCGCCCCTGTCCACACACTCTGTCGGTGGGGGCCACGACGGCAATGACCTTGCCACCCGCTCGAAAGTTGGCAGCAAGGAAGCCCGCATGTGGGCGCTCATCAGGGAGAAGACACTCGAGTACAAATCCCTTTACGATGACATGGCGTCTTCATACATGCAAGTCTGCTCTCTCCGCGAGTCGCTGGCCTCTAACCAGCAGGCACGCGGCGTGAGACGGCTGAGTGCCATGGGTGCTCTTTTTGTGCCCGTATCGCTGAGTGCGACGTTGTTGTCGATGGCGGACCCGTTCACACCGGGGAAAGATCGGTTCTGGGTGTTCTTTGCGATAGCGGTGCCGTTCTTAATCGTGTTTTCGGCGTGGTTGTTCGTCCAGCCGGGGCTGGCGGACGCGGAGGGGAAGGTTGCGGCGAAGATGTTGGACACGAGGCTGGTGGGTAGTGTCGCTGATGGTGTCAAGATGCCATCGCTGGGGAAGCGAACGTCCAAGGAGGTTTGGACTGGTTGGAGGAATCGATTTAGTGTGGATGCGAGGAGTATGTCGGTCGGGCAAGCTTAATGGGCACAATTCCAGGGTACGACGGGTTCAGACATTTTAAATGTTCACGACGGCCACTCGGCCACCCAGCTTTCCAGTATGGCCCACCATTTGAGCAGCGTTGACCATTTGCGTGGCGCTCGAGGCAGTCCCAAAGACCCAGCTGCGAAGCACCCCCCCAGTCCCGAAAACCACAACTTTCACTATACTCAACCATATCCCAACGTTGAGGCAGCCTCCATAGCGCTTATCATCGCCCGCCATTCCTCTCTCAAACGCCTTCTGAGCTTCATCCCACCAGCAAGTCTCCGCGCCAGCACCCCAGTGAACATGCCCAATCACATGCAGCCGCGGCTTCACGCGCCACAGCTCCTTCAACAAGAACTCACAGCCCAGGCCAGAAGGTAGCGGCACGTCGAGATGGTACTTCGGTGGCGTGTGTGTGATCAGTACATCAACTCCACTCGGCACAGTGTCCGTCCACATATCCTGATCGCCCCTATCGTACTGGAACGCGTGCGTCGAATATGGACCACAGGCGGGGATCTGCGGCGCGCCGTAGAACTTCAGGGTACGTTTGCTTGGGTGACTTGCACTTGGGAGGTCGAGTGTCACGACGCTGTGCTGGAGGTAGTGGATGCTCTTCCAATCCAGCTCACCGATACGCGACGCTTCAGGCAGCGATGTGCGAGTCCGCGCATCGAGATATGTGTCGTGGTTGCCAGCGATCGCGATCTTGTGCTGGTAAGGAAGGGAATCGAGCCAGTCAATATGGTCCTGAAGCTCGGGAATCGTGCCGTCGTTGGTCAGGTCGCCAGCGTGGATCAGCACGTCACCTGGCGGGAGGTACGGTGGTTTGAGGGTGTGCGTGTCGGAGATGCACACTATGCGGACCGGATTGTCATCAATTTTGGGTGACCGGCGAAGGCGTGTCAAAGCGTTGTAAACGGTAAGTAGCAGGAGCTTCAAGGGATGTCGAGTAAGGAGAAAGGCGATTGAGGCTTATCGAAGAAGTCCCGTGGCCGATCAGGCATCAAACTTAGCATTCTGTGGCTTTCTCTAACGAGCTCTAACGAGATAGCATGCCGCTGTTGCAAGCTGCTTTCACTGCGCGCCCTACGTTCGATAAATCAGTTGCAACGAAGTTGTTCTTATTGTATCGGTCGGCGGAAACGGGGCGGTGTCGAACGTCGGTTATAGCCGTTGCACGAAGGGCAGCAAACTGCCAGTAGATGCTTGGCTGTTGGCAGTCGCTTACTCTGCCTGATGAGCTGCATTCATTTGTCGGTTATCATGTTGCTTTGCAGCTCTGCGATAGGCAATTCGCATCTTGCTCTTGCATTTGACGATGAGTGCTTCTAATGAACAGGAAAGCCTGGTGCGCCGTGCGATTTAGGCGGCCAATCGCGTCACACGACTTCGGTGGGCAGTGCAAGAGACTACTGCAAGCCTTCGTATCACGCCTTGAGAAGACATTCTTGCTTCATTTCTCCATCTGCCCTTGTCGGCATCATCAAGTTAATGGTGGTGTACGGCACGAGCTGGTCGAGTGTCACAGTGTACAAGCCGCGATATGGGAATTGGGCTTTCAATGTAACGCAAGCTTAGGTGATTGATGGTTGCCTGGCCAAGATTCTGCTACTGTCCCATCGAATGCTCGTCCGACTACTACACTCGACCAAGTCTTTGACAAGCCCTCGATGCCCCAGTACAGAAGTATACGTCCTCGATCATGATCGGCGGCGGAGGAGGTCCAACTTAATATAGCGGATGAATGCATGTCCTACCGCGTTTTGATGTACATCTCAAGTCCCTTCTGATGCACGAAGAATGTGTTCCAGATCTGCAGATCTTTCGACGGGTCGACTAAAGTGAACTGCACGAGACTGTCAGGCACAGCAGGAGTCTCACGTTGTGAGAAGGGCTCGAACTCACCTCATACTTCCTCAGCAATAACGGAACTAATTTAAGTACCTCAAGCATACTGATATTCTTCCCAATGCACGACCGCTTTCCACTCCCAAAAGCCATCCAGCAGCGGTCCATTTCTGCTCTTTCCTCCTCAGAAGCATCGAGCCATCGTTCGGGCACAAATCTGCGGACATCGTATCTCCGACCATAGATACCCCGGTTCATGTGCACCACGGCGGGATTGCAGCCAACCACCGTGCCGGCTGGGAAGTAGTGGCCGCAGATGGTGGCGCCTTCTTCTGGGACAATTCGCTCGAGGATCACTCCGACTGGCGCGTGCAGCCGGATTGCTTCTTTGACAACTACTTGTAGGTAGGGGAGATTGATGGTTTCGCGGTACTGAGGGAGGTTTGACAGGTTGGCGTCGTCGAGCTCTGCCACGAGCTTGGCCATGGTGCTTGGGTTGAGGCATAGGAAGTCTGCCATCATCAGCGCTCGGAGTGAGCTGTCCAGGCTTGATACTTACGAAAGATGGCTCTCAGCGTGATCGCAGTGCTGTCAGATCCCGCGTTGATATTGCTCAGTGACCAGCCCAGCAGCTGCGACGGAGGGATCGTATTGTGAAACTTCGCTGCGGCAGCGATGAACTTGGACGTCAGGTCTGTGCTCCTGGTCGATTGGCTAAGCGCAGCCTCCCCAAGTCGGGCCTTCTCTATCCTGGGCTGCAGAAACGACATCACAAAGTTCGAGATGGCTGATTTCTTCTTCGCCCATGGATTAGGCACCACGGGATTTTTCGCAAAAATGTAGTCAAGCCATGGCATCTGCCCGACCACTGCCGTGTACCACCCGGAATCTTGGACGACGCTGATCATGTTCTCGACGTCTGTTCCCTGTTCCAGGAAACCGAAGCGGCGACTGAAGGTCATCTCACCAACTACGTCGAAGGCATACCATTGAAGATACTCTCCGAAGTCGCAGATGGCGCCTGTGTCCGCGAAGAGCTTGTCAATCTTCTCGACAAGAACTTTCGAGGTGCTATCGACAAGAGGCTCGTAGTCGAGCATCGAAGTCATTGAGTAGGCATGAGCTATCGGCCGCTTGGCGGCTTGATGCTGCTTCTCATTTGTGATCATGAACAGAGATGCCACACGCTTGCCCTTGACGATCTGTTGGGCGACTTTGTAGTAGTCCGACTGCCGGCATCAGTATGACCAGTAGCAATTCTGATGAGCGGATGCTACAGGAATGGTGGGCACGGGCTATTCCTGGCGTACCTTCTCGAATAGTCTGGTGATGCCATAAATCTGCTTAATTTCGTGAGGGTCACCCACGCTGATACAGTTCGGTCCCACGCGAACGAGCTCGCCATACTTGTCGTGCAGGTCTTGGTTCACTAGTTCGAAGCGGCCCTTATTGACTTGTATCAGGCGCCAGGCGTCGGTGAACGATGCTAGGAAAGGGCCTGGAATGGTTCGAATATGGCTTTTGAAGCGAAGACTAAGCACATAGCAAAGTATACCAATGCATGCGATCACAAAGGCCGCGATGGCAAGATTGCCAGAGGCCAGAAGCCCCATATGAACGCTCATGTCGGATCGGGAATTCGCAAAGCGCTGCTGAGGACCGTGACTGCGGCGGTGACTCTAAACCGGGCAATTTATGCTTGCTGTAAATAGGTTCCGGGTCTCTGAAGCACGATCTCTTCACGGGTGCTGGACGCAAGGTCGAGGTGCCTAGCATGAGCGGCGGTCATTAACGGTGAGTTCGACATGGGGACGGAGGACGCGGCGTTCGTTTGTACGCCGTGCTTGGGTCCCGGCTTTGATCGGTCTCGCCCGTGACCAAAGCATGAGTACCATCATGCATTGATGCACACGCGGCACTTGATTACGCGTATCTCATAGTCTGGGATGAATTTCCATGGATAGCGCAGAATATACTCGACATGAACAAGATGATATCGCGTGATATCACTTGCGAGAACAAAGCTTGGCAAGCAATATATTTGCAAAACTCCACTCCTGGACAGGTGCTTTTCTTTGTGTTACGTGCTTGAGGCTCAATGTGCCTCCACATCGAGATGCGAAGCATTTGCATCAATGATCTTGGTCCCCTCCTCAGTAGACATTATGCTGCTTCTGACCTTGTGCCGAATGGTAGAGCCCCAGACCATCAGGACTATGACCAGCATAAAAGCTCCGATTGAGAAGAATGACATCATGCCAAATACCCATCCAACACCTACCGCGGCAAGCCAAGGATCGATGAAGAATGGGATGGCCAAGCCAAACAGCGTGCGGTAAAAGTTCATGATCGTGGCAGCCTCCACGGGGTATTTGGTGAAGCACTCCACTTCATAGTTGACAATAACGGGGACCGCTACGTTCGAGGAGAAGTTGAGCATAAAGTTGCCAATTGCGGCAACGATCCAGTGCAGATGATACTGCAGCGCAGCGCCGAATAATCCGAGTCCGACCGGAAGGCCAAAGAATGTGGGGAGCCAAAGAGCATGAAGACGGTACTCTGGCTTCCAGACACCGCCGCCTCGTTTACAGACCCAGAGAGGTAATTTGTCTGCAGCGAATAGACCGTACAGGTTGCCAACGATGCAGCCTAGCCAAGCAGAAAAGGTGACTGCAGAACGAATCAGCATACTGGTTCAATTGAGTGCATGCAAGACACTTACAGTACGCGTTCGCGGTGGGGGTGAAACCGTATCCGCCAGCTTCGACCGGAGACTGAACAAATACTGCAAGTAGGTTGTTGACGCCCACACTCCTAGTGTTTGGTCAGTACTGTGCCTCTCCCAACTAAATGACACCACTTACCAGCCAAACACTACGAGGATAAAGATACCCCCGAGCATGCCAACAGGATGCAATCCAATGCGAAACGGCACAATAGCCAATTTTCCCTTCAAGCAGTGAGTCGATGCCATATACTCATAAGAGAAACACAAGACTCACAATATCACTCCACGTTCGTCCTAAGGGCACGCTGGGCTTGCGGAACAGGTACGCATCGATAGCACGTCCAGAAAACGTGGGTGACCGCTCGGGATACTCAGGACGTCCAGGCCGGCTATATCCTGTCTCCTCCATAAAGAAGAAGATGAGAAGGACAACAAAGCCTTCCAGGCCGACGTTATACCAGTACTCAACTGTCCAAGACTCCCCTTGGCCAACAATGAAGCCTGAGAATGTAGGTCCTGCCAGTGTTCTGCAAGTAACGTCAGCAGCTGCACTGAGATGATTGGTCTGGGAAGAGAGGACTTACCCGAGTAAGACCATGACACTGTAGAAGCTGAAACACTTGCCACGCTGGTGGAGAAAGAACACATTGGTGATGAAAGATGCGCCCACTGAGTGCCACTCAGTTAGTGATCAGATCGGTGGCAGCGCCATTCATGTCAGCCAGGAATACGTACAGCAGGTGGCCGCTGAGCCGAAGATGCACCCAAAGAGCCGTGAGATCACGAAGCTCTCATAGTTCCCAGGAGATGTGCTGACTGCAGCCCACACAGTGCAAAGAATAGTGAAAACCATGGCCCACAGGATGCAGCCAGTGCGACCAAACTTCTGTGCTGCAGGCGCCCAGAACAATGGGCCTGCGCAAAGCCCGGCAGTGGCAGCGGAGATCTTCGCAGCTGCGTCAGTACTTCCTCGTGGTAGTGTAAGGAGTAGGTGTCATACCGAGTAGGTGATCTCGACCGGCGTCTTGTGGTAAAGGGCACCCTGTTGAAAGATACTGGACACATTCCCAACAGCTTGCAGCATGCCAGAGAAACCGGCGAAGGACACGATGAAGAGAACGAGCAGCTTTCGTGGCGTTGACCAGTTCTATTACAACATTACGGTCAGCTGGTGCACGTGGTCTCATGGTCACAGGTACTCACCAGTGGATCGTGTGGATCGTCCGTAGGCTGTGGCACAAGAACAATATCCTTATGAGTCTTGGTAGCGACTGATTGCTGATTCGTGGCAGCTTTTTCGCTGCCAGCGTACTCTGCGGACATGACCTCGCTGTTCGGCTTCGTGTCGTCCATGCTCGGGTGATAAGATGGACAATTCTTCTCCAGCAGAGGTCCTCAGGAATCTCTCTAGACTCGACGACGATAGAACAGGTCAAAGCAGTGGGAGCCGATGGCGATGCGAACCCCAGAAAACGAGATCGGCACGGATCCAAATCCTCGTTATAGCCCTGGGCCTTGGTCTTCGCGTACTTCCTGGCCATCCGGACATGCTTGCACGGCATTGTGATGGCACGGTGGTTCGCGGTATACCGCGTTTCAGGGTCTCAAAGTATACCGGCAACGGTCTCCGATCTGAGCGGATTGGTCCGCTCTGAGCACCCAACTTTACACTTCGTGCACACAGCACGCTCTCACCAGATTGAACGAATATTGTGGATGCCAACATACCTTCGACGAGTCCGGGAAGACGCTCAGAATTCTGGTTGCGCTGCACAGCTTCAGACACTGCACGCTGACGGACACGAGGCTGTGTGAAAAGGGACTGGTGGCCCTTGTTATGGCATTCGAGTGCCTTCTTCGTTTCATCAACGACAGGGGGGAGACTTGCTATGGTAATGTTCCGAGAGGCGTAGATATAGCATCAATCGTTGGAAAGGAGGTCGATGCATTGGATGGAAGTCCTCAGGCAGGGTTCACATCGGTCAACAAACAATCTGTAGTTAAAGAGGTGTGTCTTGATGATTGCAAGACCAATTTGCCGCTGATGCTTTCGTACAGGTGCTCTGCCCGATCGCAGAAGTGCACATATTCCAGTGCATAGGCCTCAATTATCGACAGCACGCCAAGGAAGCCAAGGTAGGCCTCCTCGCCCAAAGGCTGATGGAGAGAGCCTGACGATTCCAGGCAACAATCGCTCCATATCCCGTGGTGTTCTCAAAACCTCCAGATGCTCGTGCTGGCCCGTATGATGATGTGCACGTCCACCGAGATGCACAGTCGAAGCTTGACTACGAAGGCGAATTGACAGTGATAATAGGAAAAGACTGCAAAGATGTTAATGAAGATGATGCGTTGAATCATGTGCTGGGTTATGCAGTCGGCAACGACATCTCGGCGCGCAATTTTCAGGCCAAAGAGGTGTCCGGAGGTCAATTCGGCTATGCCAAATCGTTCGATAGGTTTGCACCTATCGGTCCAGTAATAGTGTCACCACTTGTAATCAAGGATCCACAGAATCTCGAGTACACCACCAAGGTGAACGGTGAGCTGAGACAAAAGACCAACACAAGTGACATGATATGGTCTGTGCGTCAGATCATTGCGCATTTGAGCAGAGGTACGACACTTCGGGCTGGATCTGCAATTATGACCGGTACACCTTCGGGCGTCGCGCTGTTCATGGAGGGAGGGAAAGGTTTCCTGAAGCATGGTGATGTTGTCGAAATTGAGGTCGAAGAGATCGGTGCCATCAAGAACAGAATCGTTTTCGATGCTTAACTAGCGATGGATCTGTCAAGGTAGTCCAGATGGCGATGCCCTTGGTGCATTACCCTGTGCCTAGGTATGCATCCGTAGAAGTGGGTGAAGCCAAAGATAGTATACAATGTGCTGAGCCATCAATATGACGACACTGATCTCGCTCTGACACGAGTTTTCATGGTCGGCATGATGCTGGCAAACCGGACGTATAACTCCTTCTCGCGCGCAGTGAGCGTTGAAGTCGATTCGAACTTATTCGGACCAGTGATAATATCTGAAACGCTTAGTAAGGAAGGACCGCAAGATGGCTCAACTCACCTATCAGGAGCTCTCCAAGCTTCCAGTATCGCGCAAATTGGCGCACGGCTAGAAGTAGAAGCTCTCGGTCCACACGCGATATCTGTCCCTCGGGGCAACTGTGCATCGAAGCCGGGCCAACGAGGCAACAGGCAATGAATGGAGATGCGTATGCCATGTAGTCGGGAGTCCAAGCTCGAACAGCTCGAACAATATCTCGCCGCAACTGAGCATTGCGTTCAGATCTACTTCTGTCCGTCGGTCCTTCAGCAGATTCTGCTGGTGCGATCATACACACATACGAGCGTGCACTGTTCAAAGTTAGCAGCATCTACGAACAAGATTGACAGACTGCACAGATCGTATGGACTCGAATGAGGCTTGTCTTCGGTACTTACCAAGTGATCATCAGATTAGTCACCACAATCCAATTGCTCCGCGCAAAAGTCTCCTCGTCAAAAGTCGGCGGATTGGTGGAGAGTCGAAAGTGCTCTGGCAGGCTCAACGCGAAGCAGCTCAAGACTGATTCGAATTCTTCGACTGCCTCTTGCGAGACATTGCGCTGCTCGAGCAAGTCGGAAGCCAGTCCGAGTAAAGAGTTGGAGACTAAGAACCACGCTCGCTCCCACTGATTGGGCGAAGTCTCCAGCCCTTTCCATGCTGTTGCGGGCGACTTTCCAATGAAGGCTGATGCGATGGGGATGCCACTCCACCAGTTCTCATCCGAGGCAGGCAGCATGACCTGGAATTTCTGTCGATCGATGGCGTATGGCCTTCGGCTCATGGTGGAAGGGAAGCCATCAAGCTCCCAGACGGACCAGAATGCACGTCGCTTTTCTTCACGTTCATCCCAATCTTCTGCGCTTTTCCATTGCTTAGTTGTAATGGGCTGTCCTTGCAGATCCTCATCCACGTAGTTGAGCCCCAGGTCGTATGCCAGGCGAACGCACACGCCCGACAACATCCAACCAAAGGAGCTCGGACCACTCGTATGGTAGTAAGCAGCAAGAAGAACGCATCCGTGAAGATAGGGTAGAGTCGGCGATCTGTCCTCCTTTGCAGTCGCATCGAGGAAGATTCTCTTAGCTTGCTGCGCAAATGCTTCGCCACGATCTCTTGGGGGTGTACTTTGCCAGTAAGGAGATTTTGAGAACCTTGCGGAGAGCGATATGACTCCGTTCAATATCAGAGCATCTTCTAGATCCAGCTGGCAGTAATTCAGGACATCGGAAGGTCGTTGGTGTGAATACTTGGCGAGAAACCGTGGCCGATGGAAAATTGGTAAAAAGCCATTGATCTTGTTGAAGAAGACCTCAATGCTATTGGAATATTGTTAATAGAAGACACAGGAGATGAGGTCAACGAGTGAACATACAGATCAGTGACCTCTTCGTCAGGCACTGCGAGGGAGTAGTATTCCTTTTCAGCGCCCATGTATATCTGAGAATTTGGGGTGGAGCCATTTCCGAAAGAGAATGGTACATCCATTTCAGCCGCGAAATTGCCGTCCTGCCTCAAATAACCCACGAGCGACTGTGTCATAGGGCTTCTTGCCGCCCATTGTAAGATCTCCTCAGGCGTCAGGTGGTGGTCCATCGCGTCGTCTATCGCAAAGTCGTTATCTTGTACCGTCGTCCAGAAGTCCGACTCGGGTTGGGCCCCTTCGCAAGCAAGGTTGCTGTAATCTGGCTGCTCCATGGAAGGCAATGGTCCAGTGGCGCGACGTTGTCCGGCTGCAGGTCCGGTCCTAGACATGCCGCCTGCTTGACGGCTGCCGAGACTGTCGAGGGAAGCATTCGAAGTCGCAGATTGGCCAGGACTCGTTGGCGTCGGACTTGTTTGGCTGGTGGCATCAGCTGCATCAAGCGTTCGAGCATCGCATCCACAGACGCCGAATTGGCAAATTTCTTCCGCTTGTTAGTGCCTTGGCCTGTCGCTTCCGGACGCTTCCTTTTTGTTGGAAAGATACAGTCGCTTCCCACTCGAGCGCAGAGCGAGCAGGTAGGTCTAGCCATATCGCCTATAAGTCGTCAGCTGTGCAGTCGCCACTTCCACGCCGGGCCATGAGGCAGCGCCTGGCGCGCGCATGCAGCATACATTTTGTCTTCTTCCTGAATGGTGTCAGCCGCCTTATACATGTCTCGTGTGAGTGGCAATACCTCTTGCATTCTTCACAGGCACGAATAGGTCCCACTGAGGTCCGCTCTGTAACGGCAGTATTGGCCATGTCGCTGAATACAGCTTCCCTAGTGTCAAAAGTATGTGTGAAGGCAAGTTGGTCTTGCAAAGCTGGTGACTTCCTGTCTCATCGGCCCTCGTGAAATGCGGAGGTCCTGGCAACCCTGGAGAAGTTTGGAGATCTGGGGGTTTGTCCCGTGCGTGCCGGACGTGATAGGGATCGCGTCAGCCATTGGGACAGGTTTTGGGATGCCCGTCGTCAATGACGTCCCTAGCCTTAGCATCAGTCGCTGCGACAAGTACAAAGGGCCAGGTCACTACAACTCATGGTCTACAATGAGGGCAAGTGCGATCATGGCTCCCAGCTACGGTCAGAGCTATGCGATCTAGATGTAGATAGCGAAAACAAGCCTAAGCCTATGCTGTACAAGCTCCGGCCAGAGCGGATTTGGCTAGCGCGGCTTTAGACCTGGCCCCGCGTCACAAGCAACCCTCTATGCATCTTCCTTTGCCATGACCTAGGTCCAGTTACTCTCTATCGCTGACAAACGCCAGCAATTACGTCTCTCCTACAATGACGCTTGCACAGTACTTTGGCCTTTGATCCACGCCGCGAAGGCTTTTTCAGTCTCCTTCACGGACTCAAACCCAAGCATCCTCCTCTGGTAGCCCATATCAGCCCACTGCCAACGACATGGCTTGATCCAATCGACTTCGCTCAGCTCTCGATCGCGTTGCTCTTGCTCAGGACCGTCTTCCATATGGAACATGTGACGATTGGCAATCGCTCCGCGAACATTCAGGGTCGTCCTTCTCTTCCGCAAGCTCTCAAATAGGACCAGCATGTCGTGTACCCGGTCGAGTTTCTCGTCGTGCGGAATATCCGTTAAGCTCTGCAGGTTTCCAAGCAAAGTTCCGAGAATGACGCCATCTTCCACCGCCATTGCAGCACCTTGTGCCTGATACGGCAGGCTTGGATGTGAAGCGTCGCCGATGGTCACGCCATTGCCCTTGGTGAACAGTCAGCCAACTTGTTTGAACGAAAGAGCACTAGCTTACCGAGACCCATGTTGGGAGTTCTTCGTGGTGGCAGAGCTTCCATTTCAGGACATTGTCGTGGCATGAGATGATTTTCTGCAGCCTGTTTCATTCCAGTCAGCAATCTTGTGAGGCCTTGGACTATTCCCAGAACTTACACGGGGTCCCAACCGTCATAGGTCATCCGCATCTCATCAATGTCTCCGGCAGATGTTCTGGAACTCGGCGGGAGGTCGTCAGGTCGACTGTGCAATCGGTCAGTCGCGTTCAGACACAAGATGGCAAGTCTAACATAAGAACCAGATTGAACGCTGTGCAGTCCTTCACTGGATAGAATACGCTGTGCCTGTTTGGACCCATCCAGTTGTATGTGCATCTTGAGCCGATCAATTCGTTGATCTGTGGATCATTGAACGCCTCAAGCTGTTGACGTGAAAACGTCCCTCGATAGGCGAGGTCACCGGTCGGCGCGGGGGGAGATGGCTTTCCGATAACCATGTCGCGCATAAACGACCACAACCCTGACCAAAGATTTAGCACAAGCCTCTACATGGACCGTATACTTACCGTCAGCGCCAACAATCACGTCACCTTCTATCCTCTCCCCAGTCTGAAGTACTACATGTGGGTCCGGCAGACTGAACTGAGCATCCACAACTTCGGAGTTCTTCCAGAGATCGGCCCCCAGGCGAAGTGCCTCATTTAACAGCACCTCGTGGTAGTCGCCACGATGTATAACGCTGACTGTGTCAACTCATGTGCAGAAACCTGCGCGAAATACTCACAACCACGGTGCACCAAAGTCCTGGATCATCTGGTCTCCACCACGTCGTGAACATAAGACTTTACCATCCCTCCAGCGCTTGAGATGGTTCCCCTTCACCTGTATTGCTCCTTTCGCGCGGATCTGATCTTCGAGTCCGAAATGTTGCAGGACTCGAGCTGCATTCGGGGGGATTTGTATTCCAGCACCGATCTATCCCAAGTGTTAGGCCAGCTTGCGACGGACTCAATCCCAAACGTACAGGCGAGATCTCAGGTGCTTTCTCGAGAATTTTCACCTCCAGACCGTGCCGCAAACATTCGATAGCTACGGCAAGTCCACCTGGCAGGCTTTCAGCACTCGTGTAGGGCTCCTCGCGGAAGTGTATTACCCAATCCCGCGCCAACCACAATCACTCTCAAGGGTCGTTGTGTCTTCAAGCACATTAGCTGTGTGGAATCTTTGGGATGGAAGTCTTTACCTGTTTGCTCATTGTGTTTCGAATTGTAGGTTCTCCTGCTTACAATCCGCACATACAAAGGCTGGCACGTTTGGAACCACTCACAGTACCAATTGATTGAAGAGACAGAGAGGCGTGTCTCGGTTGAGCCTTACGGACTTGCGCGCGCCGGACTATTTTCCATTGTCAGTGACCCACACTCTGATTTGTGGAGACGGTCAAAGACGGCTTTGAGGACGGGATCCGTGATTGCCATGTGGAAGGCATTTTGTACGAGATGTCCGGATTCAGACTAGGCGAGTTATACATGTCTCTGCTAGGCAACGCTTACGGCTGGGGTGCCCGCCCGAAACTCATCCGTTGCAGGTAGCACCAGCATCGGAGGCATGGGAGAAATCTACGACGAGGACGCCGAATACCAATTCCGAGGTAGGTATGCTATTGACGCTGAGAATCCGATGGCTGATAATACAGATGTTGATGTCCCCGTCCTCATTGTTGGAGCTGGCCCAGCGGGTGCAACCACCGCCCTGTTGTTGGCCCGCTATGGGATCCCAGCAATCGTCATATCTCGCCATAAGGGTACTGCCAACACACCCAGAGCGCATATTTTCAATCAACGCGCAATGGAAGTACTGAGGGATGCTGGTATACAGGAACTGGTGACCCCATTAGCGGCATCCAAGGAAGACATCATGCACGTCAGCTGGGTTCAGTCCCTTACTGGGGAAGAGTATGGTCGCGTGTATGCTTGGGGCAATAGACCAGACCGGATCGGAGAATACACCGTCGCTAGTCCCTGCCAGATGTCTGATCTCCCTCAAAGTATACTGGAACCCATCCTGGTACAAGAGGCCACCACGACAGGGGCGGATCTCAGATTCTACCACGAATTTGTTAGCCAAGAAGCACTTCCCGATGGGCGAGTGCAGACGACAGTTTTGGACCGTCAAACAGGACTGAACTATCGTGTAACATCGCGGTTTCTCATCGGGGCAGATGGTGCGAGAAGTGCAGTACTGGACAGCGTTGGCATTCCCATTGATGGCAAACAGCTTGCTACCGCCTTCAACGTGCACATCAAAGCAGATTTGGCAAAGTACTGCAAGCACAGACCTGGCTCCTTATGCTGGATCCTCAATCCGGAAGCCCCCGATTGGTCAGCGACCGCATGCGTGCGAATGGTACGCCCATGGCATGAGTTTATAGTGTCTATGCACCCAAGTGCTCTACTCCAGACTGATATAGAGCACTCCGCACCCACCAGAGATCAAGTACTTTCCAGGCTAAGACAATTGTTCGGTGATGATAGCATTCGGATCGAGCTGCTGGGCTACGATCAGTGGCATATCAATGATCAAGTTGCCAGAACGTGGCAGAAAGGAAATGTGCTGTGTATAGGTGACGCCGTACACCGCCATCCGCCAATAAACGGTCTTGGGAGCAATACTTGCATATCTGATGCATTCAACATTGCTTGGAAGCTCGCTTTTGTCCTGAAAGGCTTTGCTGATGTCTCAATACTCAAGACTCTCACGACAGAGAGGAAGCCTGTGGGAGATGGTATTGTACGGCGGGCCAATGAAGGGATGCTTGTGCATCACCAATTGTGGACATTGATGGGCTCGACCTCCGAGGCAAGAGACGCAATCGATTGGCGTTTGCGTCAAAAAACCAAAGAAGGCGCAGAGCTGAGACAGACACTGCGATCGCTTATGGAAAAGACGGACGACGAGTTCAACGCCCTTGGCATACAAATGAACCAATCATACCTCCATTCGGCTCTTACAATCAGAGAAGACAGCGACACAGCGCCACCCTGCCTCGACAACGTCAACCTGCTGAAACAGCAGGTCATATCTACGTTTCCAGGCTACCACCTGCCTCACGTGTGGCTAGTAAGAGACGGTCAGTCGGAACGCATCTCTACACTTGATCTCGTTGGTAAGGGCCATTTTACGCTACTGACTGGCATTGGTGGCGAAGCTTGGAAAACAGCCTGCGCTGCAATATCTGAAAATGGACTTTTGCCGCTCAAATCGTACAGCATAGGTGTTGGACAGGACTACATGGACGCATATTGGGATTGGCAGAACGTCCGTGGCGTAGATGAAGACGGTGCCGTGCTCGTAAGGCCGGACCACTTTGTCTGCTGGAGGTCTGTAAGGATGCATCAGGAACCTGAGGGAGAATTGCGTACTGTGCTGCGGAAGATCTTGTGGCATGCGTAGACAGCACCTGAAGGATAGACCGTGATCCAAAGCAAATTGTGCTTCGTAGGCGACATGTGACTGACTGCTAGGAGTGGACACTGGGTGCAAAGCCGGGAAGCGGCATTTCACGGCCGCCGTGCATCAAAGCCGCTCTTTACAAAGCCAATCCGAACCTCTTCTCTCTCTCTACTCGAGCGGCACCAGATCTTATCTGCCACAGCAGCCACACTCTCGGCACGCGAGTGTGATTGACTATCAACGGACTTCAAAGTCCATACAAGCATTTCCCGCATGTTCTACAAGTGATCAATATGGGCTCTTTAGGAGACAACCGCATTCAGCTCTCGAAAACACAATTCGTGACATATTACCATACCGATCTTGCAAAGGCCGAGAGGTTCTTGCTCGACTTCGGCTTTGAAGTCGCTGCCAAGAGCGACGATGGCAAGGTGATTTACTACAAGGGATACGGTGTTGAGCCATACTGCTATGTTTCCCGTCTAGCACCGGACAGCGAGCCTCATTGGGGTGGAGCAGCCTTTCTTGTGCCGTCGCGAGATGAGCTAGAGAAGGCTGCAAGTGTTGTCGGAGGTGCAACAGCCATCAGCAAGCTCGATGGTCCAGGTGGGGGAGAGATGGTGACGCTGACGGATCCCGTCGGGCACAAGGTGCATTTGGTGTGGGGCATCGAGGAGAGGAAGGCTCTCGCGGCACCAACAAATGATTCGAGCCTGCAAAAGCTGGTCATCAACTACGCCGATGAGAAGCCTAGAGTCGGGCGAGGTCAGCGATTCAAGCCCGGTCCCGCGCCCGTACACAAATGGGGGCACTACGGAGTGTCGTACGCCCCCGGGACCTACCAAAAGATGTACGACTTCTATACAGGCACGCTGGGACTTGCGGTGTCGGATGTCGTCACGATTGAAGGCAAGCCTGCTGTGGCCTTCTTCCACATTGATCATGGTCTCGGCTACACCGATCATCACTCGTTCTACATGAAACCGGCGAAGGAGAATGAGAAACTTGATGTCGCGCATAGTGCTTTTGAGGTGCACGACTTCGATGTTCAGCAACTGTCACACAACTACCTTGAATCTAAAGGGTACAAGTTGTCGTGGGGTGTCGGTAGGCACATCTTGGGTAGCCAGATATTTGACTACTGGTATGACGAGAGCGGCTTTGAGGTGGAACATTATGCGGACGGAGATCTGGTGAACAGCGAGACAGAGGTCACTCGCGAGGAGCTGACACCGCACAGTATGTACATATGGGGTCCAGAGCGGCCAGCTGTAAGAGGATGAGTGCAGTGTTCCTTTAGTTTTGAGCTGGACCTGGTGGGAGCCACGGCGGCTCTGACTTGCTGCATGATGACCTCGGAGTCTTCAAATGGCGATGTCATTTTGGTGACTAGCGTGCCAGCGCAGGTGAAATGCGGCGAAGGCGGACGATCGAACACTATTCATGGTTGGGAGTTTCTCTCGATTGTACCCGCTTAACCCAGAATTATTCCGGAATTTATATTTCTTCCAAAAGTCTGCACTGGCCTTGTCCCGTTGACAGCAACATTCGAAAGTCTTCGTTCACCACACAAAATGCACACATTGTACTGCAGTAGTCAATTTCGCCTCCGTGTGATCTGCAAATATGTACAGGAGGTTCGGTCTTCGTCTTGACAGCCAAGAAGTCTGTCTCATCGAGAGCAACAGTCGAATGTCTTTGTTTACCACGTACGAAGCACACATCGCAGTAGTCGATGCCGCCTCCATGCGAGCTGCAAATATGCACAGGTAGGCCGGTCTTCGTCTTGACAGCCAGGGGCTCAACCTTGAGCTGTCTCGGCCCGGTAGGTCTGAGCAGATGGTTCTCAAGCCTTGCGCGCCTAAGGGCGTCCTCGCTGGTCCAGAATCCTTCTCGTGTGTGGTGCATCTCGAGTAGGTCTGCAGCTCGCTGACGAGTTCTGGCGTCGCCGCAGTTGACGGCGGTGTAGTAGAGCGGCGATACGACGCCGAGGTCGAAGGTGAAGTGCACCGAGTTGTGCTTTAAAACAGTTTTGCAGAGGTCCACAGTACGACTGAAGCCTAACTCTGAATCCTCGGAATGTTTCCTCGCACCCTGAGGGTCCGGACGAAGGCCTGCAAGCATAATGCTTGAAGATGCCCAAATGGCTTCGATGAGATGAGGCGAAGGTGAGAGCCCTGCATCTTTGTCTGAGTAACGTTTTTCTGCAGCCAGCACGTCAAAATGAAGTTTCCAGCTGTCGAATAGCTCCCTCTGATGCTTGTGCTCCTGGTCAGCGGCGGGAGTGTACTGTCTCAGTAGCTCCCGTCTGTTCGTGTCGACAAGAATTCCGCCTAATAGATTCATAAAGCTATCCCTCGCATGTTCGATACTGGTGAATCGACCAATGTTAACACTTTCAGCCGGCATCCGTGGCCAAGGTATTGTGTCGAAGTTGTAAAGCGTGGCAGCTTGAATGACTAGGCGACCGAAGAGTGGTAGAATCTTGACTTCGATGCGGTGGCCACGGGGGTTTCGGGAGTCAACTCCACGCTGTATATGCAACGTCGATGTCCGCCACTGCTCAATGAGTGCAAGCCCAGACCGGAGGTGCGCGAGTGCCCCTTCAGCATTACCTCGAAGCCACTCGAAGCCGATGCAAAGGATGCAAGCTACCAACGTCACCTCGAGCTGCTGCCATCCGTCGGTCTGAAGGTGAGACTGCAGGCGCTGTATGGCAAGAGCATACGGCCGGATAGGTTCGGCATTGGTAGTTTTGAAAGTAGACGTCTCATGAAGTGTACCCAAGGCAACAGCAATGTGTCTGATTGGGTCTGAAGTCAAAGCTAGTTGTAGCAACAGCTGGGTCCACATGTCGTCCTGCAGATAGCCGCCAAGCTGCCCAGCCGTCACCTGTTGAAAGTACTGCAGCCGGCGCAGATCAGCCTTGTGCACGTCAGGGTATGCACGTGGAGCTAGCAGACTGAGCGGCGCCACGGCGACTGGTCTACCATAGGTCCTGCTACGGTCGGGAGTAGCGTCTATTGGGAAACCCTCGCAAGTTCGACCTGTAGACGTGCAACGGTCGCATGCTGGCCTATTAAGATCGTAACGAATGCGACGCATCCTGTGCATGGGTCATTAGTATGCCGCCCTGCGCGCCATAGTCTCTAGAAGCTACACGGCACGGGCATACCTGCAGATCCTGCATCCTCGTTTCGAACGCGTGTGCTCGGCTCGTTGTCGATTCTTCGCTGCTGGGGGTGTCATATCCCCTATTCACAACAGACTGAACCTGGAGATCATAGACAGTCGCTGGCCATCGATATCGCGGACCTTCGACGAGTCTAGTGTCTGAAATTGGGGCGGTCGATGACAGCGCTCATGACGCGATCGCCGCGCCCGTTGGCTTCAACATATAACACGGACCAGGGCCTTCATGGAACAGGTTGAAAAGCATGAAGACTCTCCCACGCTTCGCCATCGTGTAGCGATCGTAAACTACAGCGTCCATGGCTCATGGACTGTGTCCCAAGCCGCAAGCTTGCTCCCCAGCTCAGCTCGTTAAACCTGTGCAAACTTTGAATGCACGGTAGGTAAGGCCAGCCGTTCATTCAGGGCACCGGGTTGATGCTATTGGGCAGTTCGTCTGCTAGCCAATAGCAGTGGCCCAGGTCTTCGTGGCAGTCCGAAGGATTCGGAGCAGACAGACAAGTTGGAACCTTGAAACCTTGATGCGAACCTAGACAGTGGCCGAGATGGCACTTGTACCTATCCACACAATCGACACTTGTAGATGGGTAGCATGCACAAAAAGGAACAGAAGTTTGCGCTGTGCTACTGACGCGAATTGCGGAGAAGACAGTCAAGTCATCAGGCGGAGCCACACGCGTATGGACGCGATTGCCCCTAACCGCCTTAGGCAGGCTAATTGACGCTCTGTCGACGATAGCTGATGGCCACATTGTCTTGCATATCTAAATACCTGTGTTGACCACAGAATATCACCAGATCACATCGCCAGTCAAGGCTAATGACTGTCGATCAGTCATGTTGGCGGCAATGACCTGACCGTATCTTGGCTCCCGAGCAATATGGTCGGAAAGAGCTCCATTGAAGCTGTAAGCTCTTTCCGTCAACGTGGCTTCGCAATAACAGGCCACGGCAACGCACCTTGACGACCAGAGAGCGGTGAAACCTCGACGTGAATGAGTGCTGCGGCAGCCTCCAGTGTTTCGCAAAGGCGAACGAACTAGAGCTGTGGAAAGACGATCGCCTCGCTGGAAGCAGGCGTACCAAGGCCTTGTATCTACAACACGGACATGGACACGTGCCACATCAACAACTTCAATTGCCTTGCAATACCTTCTGTGCAATTGAGAAAGATCTAGTTGGCCCTGGAACTAATAAATACAAGCAAACGGCACAGGAGATGTGCGAATAGATGTTTGAGTGAAGTCTTGGCGCCACTCGAACCTGGTGAATGTATTTCCCGAAGCGGACCTCGGTATTCCCTGCCGAGCTAGGTACTGTGTGTGTGCGAAGGATGCTGGCATGCTTGGTGAGAATATTGACCCAGGGCAGCCGACAGACTGCCAATCCGAACGGCGAGGTGTTGGCGTGCAGTGCAAGCAAGTATCGAGGTCGTCCTTGAGACCGTAGGTGTGGAGGATAGACTGGTCACGTCAGCGGGGAGCTGGCGGCGGCTCCGTCGACGCGGCAATGAGGTAGCATCTGGAGCTAGAAATACGGAGACCTGCCATCGTTCGGCCATCGCAACGGTCCCAGGCAGATGTGCTGCTGATGGACCATCCCAAACATGAATACTCTCGCTCGAGTGGGCTTGAGATCTGTCTGCCTGCACGTCGTGATCATGAAGTCGCCTATTCGACTGCGAACTTAAAGTCTCCCTGATGATTGTCAAAATCGAGCTCAACCAGAGCCTTGAAATTGGCACGCTCGACGACCTTGCACGCTTGCTTGTGTCCGAGTTCGTTCCAGCCCTTAGCCTGACACTCCTATTGGATTGGCTGTCAGCTACTAGTCTTGCACTCACATGATTTTCGTGACTCACCTTGCTGCAGTAATAGTAGTAGTGACAAGCCCCGCACCGCATCATGTCCTTCGTATCGCCCAGCTTCTTGCAGCCGTGACACATCTTCTTCCCATCATCGCGATCCCCGCAGTCCGACACGATGGACTTGCCGATACCAAACAAGCTCTTGAGGCTTGTAGGAAAGACAGCAACACGGTGTGACTCCTCCACACGGACTCCCTTAGTGCCATCCAAGAAGAAGCGCTGCTGAGGATTCATTATGGCCAGCGTGTGTCCAACCTTGAAGTTGGCAGGATTGATGTTGTCGTCACGGTCGAGGTAGAAGGCCACAACAAGCTTCTCGCCGTTCTTGTCGCGGATGATGGTTCGAAAACGCATAAAGGGTTCAAAGCTGACTATCTCGCCGAGGAGGCACCAATGGGCGTTCTCCATGCTGTAGTGGCTGTCGAATCCGCCTTCAGCGAGGCATTCATCGTATGGAGGAAAGTCGACCTCATAGGCGAAGTCGTTCTTGGCCATATCTGATTTTGCTCGGCGCGTGTCGATCTGTTGGTTCTGTGGTCGATTGGTGGTGGTCGGTCAAAAAAGCGTTGGTGCCCAGTGTCAGGTCCATCACGCTCCACCTGCCTGCGTAGGAGTTCAACCGGTAAGGGGGAAGCATAAAATAATGATTATGAAGTTGCAATGGGAGATATATCTTTGTACACGAAGGCACCTTTCCAGCGGCCGCTTGTGGCGTATTGCCTGATTGTCAGCTGGAAAGGGCAACAATGAAGACTTCACGGTGACACCTGGCTTCACACTTTGGAGTCTCCTGTGGACCCAGCTTGCTGGATCTTTCGGAATGGATCTTGATGTAGTTTCTGTGGCAGAGGCTTCGGGCTCGGGATAACCATTACCACTAGATGCATAAGGAAGGCCGCGACGCAGCAGATGTGCAAATAGACGTTGACGTGAAGCCTTGGCATTTCTTGGAACGAGTAGGAGGACTGCCTAAAGCGGACTTCGATCTGTTCCGCCCCCACAAAGGTACCCTGGGAGAATTGACCCTCCTCTACCTCATGACCCACCATCACCGCCCATCCTTCGCCAAAAAAGCCTGAAAAGCCCCATTCTCAATAACAACATTCCCCACGGCCCTCAACTTCCTCCTCCCCTCCTTCTGCCTCTCCAACAACTTCTTCTTCCGGCCCATATCTGCCGCATGTAGTTTCTGCAGTACATCCTTTCTGAACGCCTTCACCGTATCCCGCGCCACGATCTGTCTCCCCACCGCCGCCTGTATCGTGATCTCAAACATCTGCCGATCAACATGCTCCTTGAATTTCTCTACCCAGCGCTTTCCCGTATGTCGGACTTGGGAGGCGTGCATGATTCGGGCCACTGCGTCGACTGGTTCCTTGTTTACTAGCAGCTGGAGCTTGACGATTTGCGCGGGCTTGTAGCCCGCGTCTTCGTAGTCGAGGGTAGCGTAGCCCTTGGTAGCGGATTTGAGCTTGCCGAAAAAGTCGTCGACGAGCTGGGAGAGGGGAAGAGTGTATTTTAGGATGACTTGGGCGGAGGTAAAGTACTCTAGGGAGACTTGTTGTCCGCGGTTGGACTCGCAGAGCTCGATGACACGGCCCAAGTACTCGTCAGGGAAGGTGAGGGTGGCTAGGACGTACGGCTCCCGCAGCTCGACGACGTCTTTGCGCGCGACATCGTCGTCGGGAAAGTCGGCTGGGTTGGTGATGATGGCGGTGTGCCCGTCCCGGTACTGTAGTTGGAAGGGGACGGTGGGTGGAGTGATGATGAGACTAGCGCCGTGTTCTTGGCGAAGGCGGTCTTCGAAAACGGAGCAGTGCAGGGTGCCGAGGAAGCCGAGGCGGAAGCCGGCGCCCAGCGCAATGGAGGACTCTTTTTGGATGGTGACGCTGCGGTCGTTGAGGCAGAGCTGGTTGATGCCGTCTTCGAGGCGTTCGAACTCAGACTGGTCGACGGGGAAGGCGGCGACGAAGACCATGGGTTGTGGCTCGACGAAGCCGGGCAGCATTTCGACGGACTTTTCGAGACCGACACGCGTGTAGGTGTCGCCGATCTTGGCTTCTTTGGCACGGCGCATGGACGGGTTGAAGTAGATGTAGCCGACTTGGCCGGCGCGGAGGGTCTTCTGGGGTGTTTCGTCGGGGTACATGATGCCAACTTCGCCGACGAAGTATTTGGACCCTGTGGCGAGGGAGATGAGTTGGTCGCCGGCACGAACTTGTCCTTCGAAGATGCGCACGAGCAGGACGACACCCTTAAATTGATTGTACCAGGAATCGACGAGGAAGAGCTTGAGAGGGGCATCGCTGTCACCAGTGGGTGCAGGAATATTCTCAATCACTGCTGGCAGGATGGCAGGGACATTGAGACCGGTCTTGGCAGACACGAGCGCCGCGTTGGTGGTGTCTAACTCGAACATGTCTTTCATCTGTTGCAGCGCTCGGGGCGGGTCCGCATGTGCAAGGTCGACTTTGTTGATCACAGGCAGCAGCTCTAGACCTTGTGCAAAAGCCAGATAGAAATTGGCGACGGTCTGCGCCTGAACACCTTGGCTGGCATCAACCAGAAGGAGTGCACCACCACAACTGACGTAGCTGCGAGAGACCTCTGCACGAAAGTCGACATGGCCGGGTGTATCGACCAGGTGCAGCAGGTAGTCTTCGCCCTTGTAGTTGTACAACATGGAACATGTCTGCGCCTTGACAGTGATGCCGCGCTCTCTTTCCACGTCCAGCTTGTCCAGGACCTGCTTATTGGAGCCAGGCTCGATAGTCCCGGTCAGCTCTAGCAGGCGATCACTGAGAGTGCTCTTGCCATGATCGACGTGGGCGACGATGCAGAAGTTGCGAAAGCGCTCAATCGGGATTGCAGCAATGCGCTGCTCGAGTTCGGTGGGTGTGGCGGCTTTGGCGAAAGGGGAGGTGTGCGAGAAGGGCCGAACTTGGAAGACCCTAGGGTATTGAGGTATGCGAAACGTCGCTGCGCGAAGGGCAGAAGTCCCTCTGACGAAAGACTGCAGCCATCCTCGCATCGGTCGCGATCATTTATTCTGATCAACGTGTGTCGTGTGAATGATGGATCTGGTGAAGTGAACTCGAAAATATTAGCCGAGGTTTAGCCATGATCGTTGCTACGCAACTGTTGACGTCTTCCCGATTCGTCCGCCAACGTCTCTCTCACTTTTCCACCACCGACTGCACTCTTACAACGACAACAACATGGCTGCAGGCGCGAAAGACAGGTCGCAAGTGCACAAAGTCGCTCTCCTGGGCTCATCCAAGACAGTCGCCGAATTCGTGAGTGCACCGAAGTCAACGGCCCAGCGCATGCACTGACAGGTCCAGTTCGAGTACTCAATCAATACAATCCTCTTCCAACGGGGCGTTTATCCCGCCGAAGACTTCTCCGCTGTCAAGAAATATGGACTCAACATGCTGGTGTCCTCCGACGACCAGGTCCGCTCATACATCAAGAAGATCATGTCACAGCTGAACAAATGGATGCGGCACGGCAAGATATCAAAACTGGTGGTGGTCATAACCAGTCGCGAAACGGGCGAGCATGTTGAGCGGTGGCAGTTCGACGTGAACGTCTTCGACAAGAACTCCAAGCAGAGGTCATCAAGACGGACGGCAGACAAGGAGAACGAGAACCCCCAAGCACCCGCTGTGGCAGAGCCAGAGACCGAGAAGTCGGAATCGCAGATTCAAGAGGAGATCCAGGCTATATTCCGACAGATCACAGCCTCGGTCACTTTCTTGCCCGTGCTGGATGGGAACTGCACATTCAACGTCTTGGTCTATGCTGATGCCGACTCTGACGTACCAATGGAATGGGGCGACAGCGATGCGAAGGAGATCAAGGATGGCGAGAAGGTCAAGCTGAGGAGCTTCAGCACAGCCAACCATCAGGTCGATACAATGGTCAGCTACCGTCTCATGGACTGAGCTTGGGATGTGATGTAATGAGTATTTTGATGGCGCAAACGCGAGATACCCAGGACTGCAAAAGGGACACAAGGAAATTTAGTAAACCTCCAGGGATGGCGATGTAGATGAAGAAAAATCCGTGTTCTCCCCAAAATGAAAGTAACACGAGTCTACCAACGACAGTGATAGCCACACAAATGTTCACACAGAGCTACGAGGATTGTTCTCAAGTGTCTCGCGAGTCCTATCCGGCATTGCCAGTGTCACAGATTGACAAGGTAAGGCACTGATCTAGTATCAGTGATAAATGCGAAGGCGGCTGATCAGACAAGGCAGATCAGCCGAGATGCCAAGGCAACTTCCCAAAGTAGCCTAGCTCAGCTCACGCGAGCCTCACCTTCCCGCTGGCCTACAGACCTCTTCGAGATCTACAAACTTCCGACTTGAACCATCGACCACTTTCTGTTCGTTATGGTATTCTGGTATGCATGACTCTGGTCACCTAAGAATCTCAATCACTGATGTCGCTCCTGATTCGCCCATCCGTTCTCCCAACTCACTCCCAAATTTTCATTTATCCAAACACATTATGAGAACGTGTAGACAAATGAGATGCGTTCCTCGAAGTCTCGCCGACACTAACACAGGACGGTGGATCTCACTAACGCCGTTTAGATCCCATGGAAGCACTCAAGAAGACGCCGAGTCCGCCCGCTGGCCCGCGCCGCTGAAGACTCGGCACCTCAGCCGCACCGGACTTCCGAGATTCTGCGAGGTGTGCCCGCATACTCGCTTGCAACTTGAAAATAAGACCCCGGCCCGTAGACATAATCGTAGACCACTTCCAAATTCAGTCAAGTCGGATGCCAACATCACAATGGTCAAAATATGTCGCATAGGAGGCATTCTCTTGGCGCTAGCTCGGTCGATACAATGTGCATCTCCGGACTCGATGCCCGCCGTCACTGGTACTTACGGTGCTGGCCTCGTCGTCACGTCCCTCTCTGACTCGTCCCGTCAAGCAGTATTCGCCACAATTCCGACATCTAGACTGCTTGGAGTTTCCATCTTCTATCCCACATCAAAGGCCGCGGATGCCATCAACCAGCCATATTTCCCTGCTTCGCTGGCTCTCGCATTCGACGCAGAGCACCTTGAAGCAAGCGGCCTGTCTATACCAAACAGTACGCTCGAGCGGCTTTCAATCCCACTCGCTGCCTCCAACACCTCCATAGCGTCTCCAGCGGCCGGCAACAGCAGTTGGCCGACTCTACTCTTCAACCCAGCTTATTTCACCACTCGCCACCTCTACTCGACTCTTCTATCACATCTCGCTTCAGCCGGCTACGTCGTCATTGCATTCGATTCTCCTTACGACAGCGACCTCTTCCTTGACCCAGCCAACAGCACTAACGTAATGCAGGGCAATTCGTCGGCAGATGCCGATGAAATGAGTTGGATCAACCTCGATTACGATGCTCGTGTTCAAGACTTCGTGTTCGTTTTAGACAATCTCGCCGATCTTGCCGCCCTGATACCGTCGTGCTACCACAGCGGCGACGACTCCTCCTGCCTCAACACCACCCATGTCGGGACCCTTGGCCACTCCATTGGTGGCGCGGCCGCTGCTGGAGCCGCCGGCACAGGGGATCCTCGAATTATCGGGACCGCCAACCTCAATGGAGCGAATCTGGGCAACGTCGTATCCAAAGGGTTCAATGTGCCGTACCTGCTTTTCACGGCTGAAGGCCAGAACAGCTCCGCGGGTCCATTGATTAACGGTACTGGTTGGAATGAAGTATGGGACCATATCCCGGCAGACAAGTGGTGGCTCATTCTGGACGATGCGAAGCATTATTCCTTCTCAGACCTCCCGCTCATGCTCGAGGTGATGGGTGTGACGTGGAGCAACGAGACGGGTGACTTGGAGCAAATAACACGGTCTCTCTCCGGCATAAGAGGTCTTCAAATCTTAGTGGACTTCGTAGGTGCTTTCTTCGGAACATGTTTTCGTGGTGGTGGGCAGCCTCTACCGCGGATACTGGCTGCGCCGGATAAGGAGGAGTGGCCGGAAGTCACTTTTGATGTCAGGACGTCTGTGCTTGACAAGCAGGGGCAGCCGGCGAGCTATACATCCAGGGCGAACAGTGTGAATCCGGGCCAGGCTGTTTTGGGGTGCGTATTAGTGCTATTGTTGCAGCTGTACCAAGTTGTGTCGCTTCAATGGATATAACATTGGGACTCAGCCCTATAGCGCTTTTCGCACACGAGGCGCTCCGCTAGTCTCTGACCAGAAGACTGATGTCCATACACTCGTTATCTGACAGTCCACTAGACGCATGCTCGAGCACAAAAAGGAACTTGTCGCCGCTCACAGGTGGCTTAAAGACCTCGGGACCAACCCACCAGCTCGGACCCGAAAGCGTCCTCCTCTTATACTCAAACTCACCTTCACAAAAAGCCGAACTCTATTCAACGTCATCCCCTTCCCTGATCGTCTCACTAGCAAACTGTACAGGCACCCGCCTATACATACCTACAGCGACTTGTAGTATATGTTCGAGGCCGCCGTCGCTCCGCCCTTTCCACCCGCCTCTCCAGTCATGGCAACACCACCACCAACAATAATCATCTTCGGCCCAACAGGCCAAACAGCCTGCTCCGCGGCCCGCACCGCACACTCGCATGGCGCCAAAATCGTCCTCGCCATGCGCGACCCATCCAAACCCATCCCAGGCCTGCCCACGACTGAAGAGCAGCGAGGCAACTACACTCGCGTGCAAGCCGACCTCACCGACCCTGCCTCCGTCGCGGAAGCCGTGAAGTCCAGCGGCGCGACTCGTGCGTTCATCTACTTCGTTTTCGGCACGAAGGACTACATGCGGGCCTCAATAGAAGCGCTCAGGGATAACGGAGTTGAGTTTGTTGTGTTCTTGAGCAGTTCGAGTATTGGGTTGCATACAGGCGATCGTGATGACGTGACTGCTTTGAGGAGTATACCGCCGGAGGCGATTATCCCGTACCAGCATGGGATGGTTGAGGCCGAGTTGGCGGATGTTTTCGGGCGGGAAGGTGGGTGTGTGGCGCTGCGACCGGGGTATTTTGCGAGTAATCTGTTCCGGCTGAAGGATGGGATTGCGAAGGGGGAAGTGAGGATTCTGGCGCCGCAGTTGACGTGGGATTGTATTGCCCCGGAGGATATTGGGGAGGTGGGCGGTGTCATCCTCGCGAAGGGGGCGACTGGCAGTGCATCGGCTGACGCCGATGAACATGCAATATCGGGCAACGTGATTTACCTGTATGGGCCCGAGAACAGGTCGATGGGGGAGGCCATTGGCGTCATTGGCCGTGCGTCGAACAAGGCCGAGGCGGTGCGTGTCACGTCGATTAGTAAGGAAGAAATGCTGGAGCAATTTGTCCAGCAGAAGATGCCGAAGCCGTTGGCCGAGTACTTAGTGAAGGTGCAGAGCGATGACAGCGGGAATGGTGATAGTGACCCCGATTGGAGGCGACCGCGCAACAGGGAGGGCATCGAGAATGTGAGAAAGTATACAGGACGAGATGGGACGGGATTGGAGGAGTGGGTTGAACGTAATAAAGAGGGATTCTTAGCTCAAGGATAATGGCGAAGTGGCCCTGGTTCGTTATTGTCGCGAGTCAATCTGGCCATAGCGATGGCTTGAGGTTCGTGCTCGTCAAGAAGAAATCCAGGCCGCAATGAGAGAATCTGATCTGGCGATCAGTCTATCAGTCTATCGAAATTGTCGTGCTCTGTTGAAAGCACAATTCTGTCTGGGTATCATCATAATCTCTCGATTCGTTCGCTCGTCTTCGCTCGCTCACTCGCTTTTGTTGAAACACGCCTCCCATACCTGAGTCTGATTACAATCAGAAAAGACCATCAATCTCTCCCGTTTCCGGATCAACATCCACGCCCATGAAGCCTGGCGCCGTGGGCAAGCCGGGTATTGTCTGTATGTCAGCGGCCAGCGCATAAAGGTAACCTGCACCCACCGCCAACCGCACGTCTCTCACTGGCACAGTAAACCCGGTCGGCGCACCCTTCAGCGCCGGGTCATGACTCAAACTGTACTGTGTCTTCGCGACACAGATCGGTAGATTCCCAAACCCTTGACGAGTGTATGTCTCGATCTTCTGAGCCGCAAGGTCTGATAGCTCGATGCCCGCAGCGCCATACATTTCTTTCGCGATGGTCTCGAGACGGTTGTAAATCGCGTTGGGTCCGGCGTCTTCCGTGCCATACAAGAGTTTGAAATCTGTGACTGGCTTGTTGGTGGAAGCAGAGATGACGGCCTTCGCGAGGTCCACCGCCCCAGCGCCACCATCAGCCCAATGCGATGCCGGGACGGCCGCTTCAGCTCCTGCCTTGAGGGCTTCCTCCTCGATGACCTTCACTTCAGCGTCGGTATCGCTGTCGAACTTGTTGATTGCAACAACGACGGGTACGCCATACGACTTAGCGTTGACAATGTGTTTGGCCAAGTTGACGCAGCCTTTGCGCAACAAATCGACGTTCTCCGTTTGGTATTCTTTCGCCAACGGCGCGCCAGGAGAGATCTCGGGCCCGCCGCCGTGGACTTTGATGGCGCGGATGGTCGCGACAATCACAACAACGTCTGGTACTAGTCCAGAAGCACGGCACTTGATGTTGAAGAAGCGCTCACCGCCCATGGTGAAGTCGAATCCTGCTTCAGTGACGACATAGCCGGCGCGGGACGCATGATCTTCATCTGGTTCGGTGCCGGTGAGTTTCAGGGCGAGCTTATCGGCAAGGATCGAGCTGTTGCCGATGGAGATGTTGGCGAAGGGGCCTGCGTGAACAAAGACAGGCGTACCTTCAAGGGTCTGCATGAGGTTTGGCTTGATGGCATCCTTGAGCAAGGCGGTCAGGGCGCCTCCGGCGCCAATGTCATCGCAGGTGACGGGGTCACCGGAGCGAGAAGAGCCGATGACGATGCGGCCTAGGCGTCGCGCAGGTCGCGAAGGTCGTTGGCTAGGGCGAGGATGGCCATACATTCGCTAGCGACGGCGATGTCGAAGCCGGTCTCGCGCGTGTGGCCTTTTTCGGTCGGCGCTTGACCGATGGTGATGCCGCGGAGGTGACGGTCGTTGACGTCGAGAACGCGGCGCCAGGTTATGGTGTCGGGGTTGATGTCAAGTCGGGCAAACCGGTGGATCTCGTCCTCGGTCAGGTCATCGGGATTGGTTTTGGTGATGTTGAGTTTCTTCAAGCGGCGGAGCATGACGGGAGCAAACTCACGCTTGCCCTTCTTAGCAGGCACAAGGCGGCGATAGAGAGGGCCATCCTTCTGTGTTGATTCGTGAAACATGCGGGTTTCGATGGCAGCTGCGAGGAGATTGTTAGCTGCGGTGATGGCGTGGATATCGCCTGTCATATGGAGATTGAACTCGTCCATAGGAATGACCTGGCTGTAGCCGCCGCCTGCGGCACCACCTTTGATGCCGAAGGTTGGCCCCATGCTAGGCTGCCGTACATTGGCGAATGCGACTTTGCCAAGGTGAGCACCAAGAGCTTGCACCAATCCGACTGTCGTTGTGGACTTGCCTTCACCGAGAGGCGTGGGTGTGATGCCCGCAACAAGCACGTACTTGCCGTTCTTGCGGTGATCAAGTCTGTGTAGAAGTTTCAGATCAACCTTGGCTTTGTATGCACCGTATGGCTCGAGTTCGTGAGGAGCAATGCCGACTTCCTTTGCGATCTGGGTGATGTATTTGGGATGTTGCACACGTGAGATAGCAATATCTGACGGGACAGGCTTTTGGAGCCGGAGAGGCAATGGGACGATCTGACGTTGCTTCAATCGCTCGAAGTAGGCGTTGGCTGAGTTGACAACGTTCTGCATAAGCATGGCGACAGTCATGGGACCGACGCCGCCAGGGACAGGTGTGATGTGAGAGGCAACCTCGCTGGCAGGCTCAAAGTCGACATCGCCGACGAGTCGTTGACCTGACTTCTTTGTGGAGTCCGGGATGTAATTTGTGCCAACATCAATGACCACGGCACCCTCCTTCAGCCAGTCGCCTTTGACGAAGCCTGGCTGACCTATTGCGGCAACCACGATATCTGCGCCCTTGACTATTTCTTTGATGTTCTGCGTTTTCGAATGGCAGACGGTGACGGTGGCATCGGCGTTCTTGAGGAGAAAGCTGACAGGGCTGCCGACAATATCACTGCGGCCAAGTACAACAGCATTCTTGCCCTTCAGCTCCACACCTGTCTCTTTGAGCAGGACCATGACTCCTTGAGGTGTGCATGGCACGAAGAAGGGCTTCCCACCACGTTTCGCGAGCTCGCCGATATTTGTGCCGCCGAAGCCATCGACGTCTTTCTCGTCGAGCACAGCGGAAGTGATTGTGTGCTCAGAGAGGTGCTTGGGGAGGGGCAGCTGGACCAGGATGCCATGGACGGCGGGGTCGTTATTGAAATCGTTGATCTGCTGGACCAGTTCAGGTTCTGAGATGGTCGTTGGGAGATGGACGAGTTCGCAGTCGATGTTGGCTTCCTCTGCGGCTTTCAACTTCATGCGGACGTATGTGCTTGAATCTGGGCGGTCTCCCACCTGGATGATCTTCAGACATGGCTTGTAGCGGGGGCTGACCTTCTGTTTGTCCTTGATCTCCTGCTGCAGTCGCTCTCGTATGCTTTTGGCAATGGCTGTGCCGTCGATCTTGGTGGCCGTCATCTTTGCGTATACCGTCGAGAACGAGCGAAGGGCAGATCGATAGCGGTCTTTAGTGACTGGATATGACCTCGACTTTAGGCGCTGCCGCCTCAGGTCTGGCGAGAAGACCGACGAATATTCTCTCCGAGCAGCACAACGAATGCACAGCGAAGCATGAGGTCGCGGTCGGAGGCTAATGGTTAACCCGCGTGAGGTCGACATGCAATGAGAGACAGATCTCCGCATTTTTATGGGAGAAGACGCTCTGCACGATGTTCGTCCGTTGCAGCAAAAAAAATTCAGGTACGCGAGTCACGCGTGGGCTTCAAGCATAGCGATGGGTTATGAATGTGTTCTTGTTTGACGGAGGGAGAGCAGCATTCTTCAAGAGGCAAGAGACGATCTTACATATGTCTTGATCATGCCTCAAGCTTCGTAGTTTGTGCTCCGTACGCCGCAATGAATACCCGCTCCTGTGCAATGCTCCTACAGTCTCCGATGTCACTGCCCATTCGAAATTCTGAAGAAGTCATAAGGTCCATCACACGCCTGGAGTAACACGACGTTTACCTAAAATTTTGCTTATGTAGTGCCTGAAGAAACGCCTGTCATCTGCGCCTATGGGGCTTAATTTCTTCGCCAAGATTTCCCGCGAATAGCGATCCACATTTCACGACAAAAGATCGACGTCGTTCAGGAAAGTGCCACAGCGACCTCCACACTAATCTTTTGCCAACACAGTCAGAACCATCGTCTTGATCCCGTTTCTCACCTCAGAGCGCTCCTCAAGTAGACACATACCACATCCGAGCGCGCCGGGACTGAGAACACCACCAAAGATGCGGCCAACCCTACTGCAGGGCCACGTACGTGCCTACATGCCCCTCCACGAAGACTATGTGATCGCAATCACTAACAATCCCTTCAGGAACGTGCCCTCGCACAAATCAAATACAACCGCGACGGCGACCTCCTCTTCTCCGTCGCCAAAGACAAGCACATTTGCGCCTGGTACACCTCCAACGGCGAGCGACTCGGCACCTACCACGGCCACCAGGGCGCAATCTGGACCGTCGACATCTCCCCCGACTCGCGCCTCCTCGCCAGCGGCTCCGCCGACAACACCATAAAACTCTGGAACGTCTTGACTGGCGAATGCGTCAAGACCTGGGAGTTCCCCACCGCCGTCAAAAGAGTCGAGTTCTCGGAAGACGGGAAGCAACTCCTCGCTGTCACAGAAAAGCGCATGGGTTTCCTCGGCACAATTGTTGTCTACGATATCCGCTACGGCGAGGATCTCCACGATCAGACGGATGAGCACACCATCAAGATCACCTGCGAAGACAGCAAAGCCACCGTTGCGGGCTGGTCATACCTCGACAAGTACATCATCTCCGCACACGAAGACGGCACCGTCACACAATGGGACGCCAAGACAGGAGAGTACAACTTCAGCACCGAAGCCCACGAATTCGACACACCCATCGTCGATATCCAGTTCTCGCCCGATCGGATATATTTCATCACCGCTGGACGAGACAAGACCGCCCGCCTCATCTCCACCCGCGACCTTGCAGTCCTCAAGACCTACCCTGCCGACACACCCCTCAACAGTGCCGCGATCACACCCAAGAAGGACTTTGTGATTCTGGGAGGTGGTCAAGATGCTTCAAAAGTCACAACGACGGATTCGAGACAAGGAAAATTCGAGGCAAGGTTCTACACAAGATCTTCGAGGACGAGATCGGGCGTGTGAGGGGGCATTTCGGTCCATTGAATACGGTCGCAGTACACCCACAAGGCATCGCTTATGCGTCAGGAGGCGAGGATGGGTATGTGAGGATGCACACTTTCGACAAGCCGTATTTCGATTTCATGTACGAGGTGGAGCGGGAGAATGCTAGGAGATGATCATGGTAGGAAGGCCTTTCAAGGAGTGTGGAAACGACTGTATCATGAGCACCTCGATGGAACATCTTCGTTACGAATGTGAAGATGGCGTCTTGAAGGGGAGTGACGTAGAATGAGGTCTGGCGATACTAGACATCTCCCAACCGCATATAGCCCTCGAGAACGAGGGTCGGCGCCGTGGCAAAAAGAGCCAAAAATGATGATACCTTCGATTTTTCAGGATTCAGTCGCGGTCGTCTACACTTTCTGTCCTGCGCTCACCTCATCTAAAATGACTAGCACTTTGATACAGGAGAACGAGACACGTAGGCGATAATAGGTCGCTAAATCCAGCAGAGACATATCCCGAGGTCATGTAGGGAATGGAAGGGGAGCGCTCAGCAAGAGGGATGTCTGGGCGAGGTAACGAGGTAGTGGCTACCTGTATAGACAACACGACCATTAATGTCAAGCAGCCATAATGTATCGACATACTTGGCTAACGAATCCCTAAACTCAACTTTGACTGATTTCTGGCCCAACTTCGATTTGCTCTGTTGTTGTCGTGCTGCCCTGGCAGTCAAGTACACACAAGCTGAGCTTAAAGGATGCTGTGCAGTATTGACAGTGACTACTACTCTGACGATGTATACTAAATCATATCCTCTGCCACTTAAAGCTACTGTGCCCAGAACAAAAATTTAGACGTCGGGTGAGCAGTTGCAGGACCTGCTCCTAGATAGCGTCGCCGTCATCCTTCGCTGGCTCGTCGCCAATGTTTTGTGACTCTGGAATCTCCAGCTCCTGGGTGCCATCGCGATCCGCCTCCCCCATCTCGACGTCATTGCCACGCTCATCAACGTCAATCTGGTCCCAGTCTCGCCGTGCAGCGGCCTGAGCAGCGACAGCGTCTTCTCCTTCGTCGTCTTCCTCATCATCGTCGTCCGCATCGCTCCCTGCTCCGTCCAGCAGTCCGTTATGCTGCTTCGGGAACATCTTGGTCGACTTGATTCGCTCTCGTGCGGCCTTACCTCCTTCCTCATCACTGCCAGCATCACTCAACTCACTCTCATCATCAGCCTCATTGCCTGCCTCACCATCATCGCCGTCCCGCTCCTCATCCTCATCGCCATCGGCCGAGCCCTCCCCGACACTGTTCCGCCGCGAGCTCGCGATGCTGCCCCGTCGGGAAGAAGCTGCGCTGTTGATCCGGCTACCCACTTGACTCCCTGCTTCAGAGATGGCTCCACGCCGGCTCTGGCTCGGTATCTCAATAACAGGTCGTTTGCTGAGTGTGGGCGTCTTGATCGGTGGTGGCTTCGCAATCGCTGCTTCGGCTTTGCGCTGCACCTCGCGACGCGTGATTGTCTTGGCTCGGCCTGGTTTATTCGGCGGGACTGCTCTTATCGGCCCCGGACCTGGTGTTGATGGGTTTTGTTGGTTGTCGTGGATGGGATTGAGAGGTGTGACGAAGTGATGCGATGGGCTCGTGTTAGCAGTGTTGATGCCCAGACCATGCTCCGTTAGAATACCGTTTGGACCAACGTGGTCAGGCGTGACGTTGATGAAGCTCGGTCCAGCGGTGGCGGCAATTGCCTGTGGTGGCGCACGCTCTGCTTCGGACAGCTGCGACACGAAAGCCTCGTACAGGCATGCGTACGCGTCGCCGATGAGGTCGTCGATGATGCCGCCTTTGAGCAGACTATTGTTGAGCTTCTTTAGGTCGATGGCGTCTCGCATGATGTCCAGCACCACAGAGCTGGTACCGCCATCAAGCGCCCATACTTCCAACAACTCACTCAGCCTCGAGAACTCTTCGAACGAAGTATTGTCGAATAACGCTCGCTCGCGTCCTTCGGGGATCTTGCCGACGCGTCGTAGCAGTCGCACGTATGTCGTAGCAAGGTGCTCCCACACCTGCGTATGATTGATGAAATCCTGATACTTCCTCCTTACCCTCCTCACCAACTGATCCAAATTCCCCCTATCCTGCAACTGGTCCAACAAGTGCGCAAAAAAGCTCACATACTGACCCGTATACACATAGTGCCGTCCCGCGCGCTCATTCTCGGGTTTCCACACCTGGTAGGTCATGGTCTTGGTGAAGATCTGCTGCGTGAATTCGTGCTTGGCGCCCAGCGCACCAGCAATGTTTCGTTCCGAATCGTAGATGATATGCGCGGCACGGTTGATGATGCGGTGCTGCCAATTGGCTTTGTCCGCGGCGGTCAGGCGTTTGAGGACGTTGAGGAGATATTGCTCCCAGTCGGGGCCGTATTCGTCTTCGGCCATGTTAAGGCCAGTTGCGAAGCGGGAGGACTCTTTGAGGGTAGCTGCGCCAAAATGAGGACTGATGGCTTCGAGGCGCACGAGTTTATGCAAGACGGAGACGAGGCGGATGTGGGGCTCGAGGATTGTGTCGCTGGCTTTTTGGGCACGGGGGAGGGCGGCGATGGAGGAGAGGAGGGGGTCGAGGACGTCTTGGGGCGTGATTGGGTGCCGAGATTGTTGGTTTTCGGGAGATTGGAAGATTTTCCAAAGGCATTTGTGGTGGTAGTAGTGAGCGTTCCAGGGTTTGGGCCTGTTGGTGAATTTCTTGCGTAGGAGGCCGGCGGCATATTTCCAGAGTTGGTAGGGCGTCCAGGCGGCGTTCAGAGGGACTTTTGACATGGATTGGTCCATAAGATTGCTCAGGTGGCGACTTGTCTTATCTGTCTTGAAGGCTTCCATGCTCAGCGGTGGACGAGACGATGAGTACAGGCGAATAGCGAACTCCCTGAACATGTCCTGGATCTTTTGTGCTGTGTCCGTATCGTCGTCAGTCGTGCGCATTGCCATTGTCGTCGCCATCAGGAAGCAATGTATCGAGTGTCTCTCCATTGATGCGATGTCCGCACGCGAGTCATTAAGCTTCGCTGCGTTCCATATCAGGTCGTCCTCGATCTTGGCTTCGTAAATCTGAGCAAGCCGCCACCAGGTCTCCCACTTCTCGGAGTTGTGCTCCAAATCCTGTCGCAGCAATGTAGCAGCGGTGTCAAGGTCATCCGTCGGCGTCGGGCTGACCCGCTTTACGCTTCTGAACTTGGCGAGTGTGATATGACCTAGCAAGAAGTACCAGCCGTGCTTCGCCTTGATGGAGTCATCATCCTCGATTGGCAGGGTGACAAGACCTCCTTGGCCCTTGTATGCCTTGTAGAACTTGTCTGGAATTAGTTGCGATTTCAAGTACGTTCCCATCAGCTTCCTGTTCTGAAGGACGATCGGACCACTCTTGACAGTACCAGAAGCCGCTTGCACCTTCTCGATGGTATTTCGCAGTTCGCTCTTCAGCAGGTCCTTCATCGGGAGCTGCTTTGCATACATCGTGACCATTGGGATCAACGAAATCGCAGTCTTCTTGTCCAGGTTCTCGGCGGAGCAGCCATGCTCGAAATCACCCTCCGTATTCTTAAAGCGCAACTGGTACAGATCGAACATTACTTGCGCCATGTCTCCAAGATAATTGTTGGTCGTCTTCAGAGTATTGAGCTCGGACTTGACGAGTCGTACAAGCTGCTTGTTGGCGTACCGACAGTAGTGCCGCTGACCGAGCGCATGATGTGTAGTACACAAATAGTCCGCAAGGTCGTTGGCAGCGTCCGGGAATTGCTCCGCATATTGTGTTGTAGCCTCCTTGAACAGCAGATACTGAACGCACCATAAGTGGACATGCATCTCGCGGAAACGATCCTTGCTCTTTTCGTACAGCTTAGCAGATGCTGCACCCTTGAATGTGGGTGGACTCATCATCCCGAAGCGCACTTGATCCTCGTACAGCGCATGCACGTGGACGACCTTCAGGAGACAGGTGACGGCAACCAACGAAGATCGCAGATGCTCCTCGTCAAGAGCTTCCATGGCATTACTCTCGCCCGAAGCCTTGGACAGAATTTTGCTGAGCAGTTCGTCTGCGTCCTTCAGCCATTTGAGCAACGTCAGCTGTCGGACTGATTCATCGCTTGGTGCCTCAAAGACTCGTTGAATCTCCTGCACGATTGTTTCCAGGGCACGGAATAGACACGAGATCACCTTTGGTGTATATGATATTGTCGTGTAGGCATTTTGTAGACGTCTCCACAGGAATAGTCGGAGCGCTGCATCGCCAGAATTGAGGAATTGTATCAGCCTGCCTGCTTCTGAGTCTGGTAGGAGCTCGCTATCATGGAGCAAGTCGGCTTCCATGATTGGCTCTAGTCTTTCGATCACGGCAACAGAATCGTCATTCTCGGTGTCGAAGACACTCATGAAGAAGTCAAGTGTGCTCAGTCGGAACGATTCCTGCTCTGCCGCTTCGGCTGAGATGAGTGGCATAGCAGCGTTATTCGGCAAAGCAATCGGCCGGACTTCAAACTCCTGCAGAATGCGCTGCAAGTCTTGCAGGCCGGTCATCACAAATGATCTGTCCACATCGTCGGCCTTGGCTGCATAGGTGGTCGAAGCCCACAGAAACCGAACAAGGAGGTCATCGACTGATTCGGCATCGGGCTGTACCTGAGAGTAGATTCGAATGAACATGTCTGTCAAGAGCGCCCAGCGCTCCAGTCGATCAGTCTGTTCTATGCGCGTCGCGTTGTTGACTTGGCTGCTTGGATGTGTTATTGCCGAGTGAATGTCAATATGTAGCTCGAAGATCGTTAGAACCAATTCAGTCAGTCTCGCGACGGTCGTCGATGATACGGCAGGACCAGTCGAATCAGATATGCGAGTGTGCAGCTGTTCCAGCATGCTGATGAGAGGCTGCTCCGTTCGGACGAGAAGTTGGACGACCAGCTGTTTCAATTCAGCTGGCCATATCTCGCGAAGATACGACGAAGCAATACTCTTGCCATTCGTTTCCTCAATTGACGTGCAAATCGAGAGAAACCACGCAAAGACTGCGTCATACAGTGTAGTTGATGGCTGAGACAGCTCTTTGATCAGAACAGCAATATCATCTGAATGCTGCACAGGCGCTGCCGTGACCTCGTCTGGCTGCGAAACCTTCAGATGTTGCTGGAACAGTGTCAGACCAGCTGTTTTCCCAGTGAAGTCTTGGCTGCCGTGGCCGTGTAGAATGGCTTGCGAGCACTCATCAGTCCAGGCACGCAAAGCTGCACAGAGGTCTGCTGCGGGGCTGCCATGTGTGCCACTCGTCTCAAGCTCCGCAGACGAATTTTTATGTGTGCCACTAGCACTTTCCCAGAGACTGTCGCTGTTTCCATATTGGGCGAGATCCAAACGCTGCAGAAAATGATCTGCTTGTTTCAGCATGTCTGCATCGGCAGCTTTTAGAACAGTCCAGTTCCACGACTGATGTGAGGTCGGCTCAGGTACAAGTTCCTCCTCCGGAGCTGCCATATCATGCATGGATTCGCGCGCACGAAGCCTCTTACTCTTGATACGTCCTTCGTTGTCATCATTGCCGGCCGTAGTAGAGTTCCTCTTGCGACTCGGAAGCTCTGTCTGGGGTGGCGCCATAACTGGCTCGCTGACAGCTGGAACGACTGCAGCGCTCTCCTCGGGGGACTCCACAGTTTCCGTAATGGGAGCCTGGGGCTCGCTGCCGTCAGTCATCGCGATATCTCCACCATCTGCCACGGCACTTGGAGTTCTTTCAAGGTCTTCAGCCGCATCGACGAATTCGTCTGGGTTGATGTCGGGTGAGGATGACGCTGAGTTAGCGTGACTGACTTGGACACAGAGTGTGCCGATACATTCTCGTCGCCATCGAGGTGCCGTATTACTAGCTGATGAATCTCGTTGCCCATACCAAAGACTGAATTTGACGTCAAAGATATCTTCTGAATCGGAAATGTTGCCAGATCTCGCTTCGCAGACTTGCTATTCGCAATGTCGTCCCTCGAAGGAAGGAATGGATACGAGTTGTTCGATTTCCGGAGTAGAGATAGCAATAGAGGTTTGGGATGAACGCCGGCAGACCTCAGCTGGGACAAATCGTCCTTCAGAAGCGCAACAAGATCCTTCAATTCTCCGGCTGCGAAGGCTTCGTCCAAGCCAGACAAATCGATGGATTGAGCCGAGTCATCGTCCCCCGCCAAAACACTTTCCAGGCAGAAACGCGCGATCCTGGGGGTGGCCAAGACCTCCGCGACGCGGGCAGCTTTCTTCCACAAATCAATGTCCGTATCGTCGCGTTCTAATGCCTCAGCGAAATTCTTCAATCCGATATTGCAAGCCTCATCGTAGTAATCCTGCGCGATCTTGGCCGCAGACGTCCCAGATGCTTGGTGTCGAGCGTAGTCCAGCTCAAACTGCCCGTGATTCTTGTGTGCCAGATAGACCAGGTGTGGGATGGCATTCGCAGATGACTCTGCTGCATTACTGGGCAGGACTAAGACTGGCTCAATCTCCGTGGGCAATACCGGTAAAATTGGGGTGTCGTCGACCAGATCGTGTGCGAATTCAGAGAGTGCCTCCGGATACTTGAATAAGTCGGATCGAAATAACTCGTCGTACGCTGTCCGAGCCTCATCATAGTACAAAGGTCCCTGAGAGTGAAGCTTGAGCGCAGTCTGATAGAGCTTGAACGCTTCCTCTGTCTGAATTTCTTTCGTGTCGTCGATCTCCTCCTCGGATTCAGACTCTACGTTCAACGCCTTGAATCCAGACATGATCAGCCGATGTCACTCCAACCATCGGACTCCAACAGCACCCTCCTCAGCGTCGACGAGGACTCCCCTTCGAATGAGCGATGGTGATGAAGTGTGATCAGAAATATTGGACATGGAAGGCAGCATAAGAACAACGCGACTTCTCGACGTGTAGTCTAGGTCGGCTAAATATCGGCGGCCTGGCCGAGACGTGTTCACCGCGCACAAGGAGGCATCGCATGTTGTTGAGTTTGATCATATCACCTGCAATTGAAACAGACACTTAAAACGCAGTCTTAACACGGTCAACTCTTCACTGTCACGCACGCTGCCACAGACTCGATGGCTGGCACTTTGCCGTGAAGTATCAGTAGAGCCCAAGCGGCATCTGCAAGCAGCCCAACGATCTAAGGACTGCGCACGAATAGCATTACCGCAGCAATGGTCGCGCCGGCGGTCCCCGAGATCATAGAAGACGATGACATTGGTCTCGCTGTCGATGCCCGAACAGAAAGTCTAGCTGGGCTGCGCGAGCTTGGTCCACCTGATCTGGTCCATCTGGTCAAGCAAGGTGTCAAAGCCACCAGCAAGCAGACTGGCATATACCACCATGTCACCGGCATCGATGCATCTTCCTCTGCGAGTCTCGCCGCCTATATCAACACCCTAACGTACAACCCTGCGGACAAGTCCAACAAGGTAGTGTCAGGGTTATACTGTTGTTACAATGCTTTTTCTCATCTGGACATGAGAGTGGAGGTAAAGATCCCAGGCGGCGTCGAAAGCTACTGCGTTGACGAGCGTGGAGATCGAAGAGTTGCGACCGCGAATCTGTGGCTAGAGACATTCCTCTGCGGAGTGCTGCGGGCCTACTTCTACGCAGATGATGGATCGGGTGATACAATCAAGAAGATCATAGGCGTGCGGCGCTTCAACCCTATCACCTCAACAGAGACCGAGCACAGGTTTCTTGAGGCGGCAGAAAAGTTGTTCTTCAGTGGGCGGCAGCTCGGATCGGATCCGGAAATACAGATACCCAACGTCACGTCGAATCATCTCACGGCTGGACTGCTTAAGTATCTCAAGACGACAGGCCGCTACACGTCTGGAATCAATCTGTTCGAGAAACTCCGGACGAAAGATGTTGAGGTCTCAGCACTGCTCGCGAAGATCCTGCTGGAAGGCGACGAAGAAGTACAAGCTGTGCGAATGCTGTACGAATCACTGCAGGACGTCCCAATGGACTACTCCTTACTTGACGCCCAAGCAGAGTTCTGCCTGAGTAAGGGCGAGAACGAGCTTGCGCTCGAATGCGCGAAGCGTGCTGTCACAGCAGCGCCTTCGGAGTTCAGCACCTGGGCCAGGCTATGCGAGGTCTATGTGTCTCTGGAACATTTCGGCCTTGCACTACTGACCCTGAATTCGTGTCCAATGTTCTCGTACCAAGACAAGGACTCGCCGAGGATGCCAGAGCCTTCCAGAGTCCTTCTGCCCGTCATGCAGGAAAGCGTCCTGGATGAGATCGATGAAGGGCAGCCTCGGGCTGGCGAAGGCTACGACCAAGTCCACGTGTCTCTCCGGAAGCTACAAGCAGCTACGTATCAGGGGACTTTCTTAAAGGCATATAGTCTCTTGACAGACATCGCAGCAAGGATAGGATGGGATGCGCTGCTCAAGACCAGGAGCCAAGTCTTTGTGATGGAGGAGGAGTACAGAGCAGAGCGACATGCTTCGCTCACGCCGAAGATGCCATCAAGCAGAAACGCCAGCACTACAGGATTAGCAGGCACACCTAATGGTGGGGAGCCTTATGGCCAAGCCGATGACAATAGTGCATCTGATGACGAAGACGAGAAGACTTTGGCAGAGTCGTCACATCAGGGCGGACTCAATGGGGATCGGATCCAACAGAACTCCGAAATGAGCGCGAATGAATCTATGGAAAAGCCTCTGCCGACCATAAAAGCTGAGGAGGTCAAATCTGGAAGCGACGATCCTGATAGTACGAATGAAGATCAAGGGCAGTTCCAGAACAAACGATTGTGCGAAAGATGGCTCGATAATCTCTTCATGGTACTGTACGAAGACCTAAGGATCTATACCATTTGGCGGACGGAGATGAGCCAGTATCGTCAACAACAAATGCAGTACAAGAAATCTGCCGCCGAATGGGAAATATTGGGTGACCTGGCTGAACGACTTCACCACAACAACGAAGCTCTAGAAGCATACCAGCAGTGTCTGAACATTCGCTTCTCGCCCAAAGCAATGAAGGGCCTGCTCAAAATGTACGAAAGCAAAAATGATACGCGAAATACCCTAGCGTGCTTGATCAGGCTCATCACTTGGCAATATAGGTGGTATTCAGAGGTGAGTTTTGTACGTCGACCAGGCTGTACAGTTTACTGACTCTGTCTAGTTCTCACCTGAGCTCCTGCACTCAATGAGAAAACTGGTCGAGGAGGAAGGAGCCTTGAAGATACGGAGCATCATTCAGTCGACAACCTTGCCACAGCATGTCATGGATCTGACGCATGAATATGCACAAGTTCTACTCGCTTTTAAATCCACGGGCACAGATGGCTAGTGTCCATGCGGCAAGTGCCGTAGCCGCCGTGGTGGCTCATTCAACCCCGTGTTCTACACGAACAAACTTGCCCGCAAGGGGGAGCCTTTGCAGAAACTAATAGATGAGGGTTGGCAGTATCGCAAAGTGCCCAGGTCTGAAGTCTTCCTGACGGGAGGCATACTTTGAGCCTTACTCTGAGACATCCTGAAGCGACTATTCTTAGCTTGCATATAGACGGCTGTTGGGCAGACCGGTCAGGCGCATGCCTTCAACAATCAAATGACAAGCACCGTTCCACCTGCCTTGCCAAGACTAGGCAACCACGCCGCCCCAACGACTACCTTTAATCTTCTCCACATGACGCTGTAGATGCCTTCTTTCCTTTCCCTCACACAAACAATTCCACTTACTCGCATCTACCATCCACAACGAAATTCGGCATTCCCAACGAGATTATTTCATTGACTGCACGTTATCGTCCACAGACCACATATCCGTCCAGCTACACCTCTCCGACCGACGCCATCCCCGCCATGGCAGCCCAGAAGCGTATCTCCAAGGTAACCCACTCCAACGACCGCTCATTAGCCCAAGCTGACACCACTAGGAACTCGGCGATCTTACGAAGTCAGCGCCGTCCGGTGTCGCTGTTAGCCTTGTCGACGAGGCTAATCTCTTCACATGGTCCGTCACAATGGAAGGCCCCGCCGGATCACCATATGCTGTATGATCACTCAAGGTCGGCCTGACGGTCTCAACAAGCTAACGTCCGACAGGGCGGCACCTTTTCCCTTCGCCTCGAACTTCCACCCGACTATCCGTTCAAGCCACCAACCGTCCGCTTCACAACCAAAGTCTACCACCCCAACATCTCCAACGATAGTCCACCCAACTCCGGAACGATGTGTCTCGGCATGCTCAAGGCTGACCAATGGAAGCCATCGACAAAACTCACGGCTGTCCTCGAGTTCACCCGACAACTACTCAAGGAGCCCAATCCCGACGACGCCGTCGAAGCCAAGATTGCAGAGGTGTACAGAACGGATCGAGCAGCTTTCGAGAAAGAGGCTAAGGACTGGACGAAGCGTTATGCCACCGGACAGGGGAAGAAATAGGAACCTCCCGGAGGGCCTCCCGCAGGGATGTTTACGGAGACTATCAACCCGGTATCTGGCCCTGGACCGAGGACACCTCCCGAAAGTCGGATACCCCACCGCGTCGACCTAACACAGAGGTACGCAACCCATTCAGCCCTAAGCCGTGCTCTAGCAGGGGAGCGGGCTCAAGCGGATCAGCCTGATGACACCAGTCGACGTCATCACAACGCCCCATTGCCAGATGAAAGAGATGTAGATTTACTGGACGTCCTCGAATAGCGAAGAGGAGCTCATGCCCTCCAGCGCAACGACCCAAGCGGGTTTCGTCACACAACTTCACAGCTGAACGACAGGACTGTCAGTGAAGATCTGATGAGGTTTGTCCGATGGCAAGAAGAGCGATCAGGACAGACGTAATGGATTTAGCTATGATGAAACATATCATCAGGTAGAGAGCTGATCTTTGCGAAGCTTGGGAGAGGGCGACACGATACAGAGACGATTGACCGAACGGTTCACTCTGTCAGGACGCGCCAGCTAGATCTCGTGGGCCGAATGTAACGAAGGCACAGCCCACGTTTCCTTTGTGACCCGACAAAGTCATGCGAGAAGGGACTCTTGCGCGATGGCGGATGCCGAGTAGCTACAGTCATCGTCATGATTATTCATTTACTCGACCGCATTTCTGACTTTGGCTCTAGTCCTCCATCTCGTCATCTTCCGCTTCTTCGTGCCCATCCTGGTCCTCCCACCCGTCTTCACCTTCCCCATCCTCGTCTGCCTGTCCGTTCATGTCCATCTCCTCAAAATCCTCGATGTCAAAGTCACTGCCCACTTCAGCTTCCTCGTCCTCTCCAGCCCCGTTTTTGCCAGCGTCTTGCTTGTCGCCGCGCTTCCGCGCTACATTCTCCCTCTGCACCCGTCTCCTCTCCTCCTTCTCCGCCCGCCTTGTTTTCCAGCGATCGTCCAACTCCGCGGTCTCTTCTGATGATTTGCTTACAAAACTATTCCACATTACTCGGCCGTCACAGAGGCCTTCTTCGACTTTGACTAGAGATAGTTCCATGCGTGGGCCGAGTTCGTGGAGGGCTATAGCTCGTTTCTGGAGTCGTTGTTGTGAGGCCGATGTTGAGGGGTCCGGTTTCCGGTCTGGCTGAGAGGCGTCCTCTTCGTCGTTGACATCAGCGTCGGCAACAGAAGCGTTCCGATCCACAGCCGCAGCCCGCTCATCTTGCAATTTCTGCCGCTGTTTCCTCGACAGCACCCTCTGGTGGGTTTCCGTCTCCAGTACCTCAACTTCGTTCTCCGACTCGAGCTCTGTGTCGCTCGCTGAAGTGTAGCCTGCGGCGGAGGGGTCGAGAAGATAGTCTGCTGCATCTTCCAAACGGCCTAGATTGGGCAGCGCCGCGCCGGAAGAAGACTTGTTGGACTGTTTCTGGGAGCGTCTCCGCTGCTCAGCGGCGTCGAAGCGGCGGACTCGTTTCGAGATGTTGGATTGGCGGGTCGTGATGGCGTAGTGCCGGAGGGAGAGCGTGAAGGGGTTGGAGCCTTGGTCGGATTCTGTGGTATTGTTGTTGCTCTTCGAAGGAGTGGTCTTGGTGGTCTTCGGTGTCTCACGATTCAACAGCAATATCCGCTTTATGCTGTCCAAGCGAGTACTGCTGGGCGTGATGGCCGGGAAGATGCCTTGAAAGACTGTTGTGAGGAGCGTCTCGAGTTGCTTGTGTATGGGGTCTTGGTCTTTTGCTGTAGTGTCCTTCTCGTCTTTGCCCGCTTTTGAAGCCTGCGCGAAATTATTCATAACCACCAAAGGCGCATTCGCCCAGATCCCCAAGTCCCCGCCCCTCGGCCGCTTCATATTCTTCTCAACATCCTTGCACAGACTATATCCCTCCACGCGAAACGTCAGCGTTGGTCCCCTCGGCGCGAGACAGATCCGTAGATGCACATTCCCGTTCTTCGATCTGGAAAACAGAAAGAGGTGAGTGACGCCCAGAGGGCCGGACATGGCGATGTAGTCCTTGAGCTTATTCGCTCGGCGCTCGCGGAGGCGTGAGGCGGTATCTGGGGACATGAGGCGGCGAAAGTCGGCGGTGAGTTGAGAGACGGACTGGCCCACTGCGCTGGCGTGCAGCCGGATGACCATGGATTTGGTGGTCGGGGGCCCGGGCGGGCATTTTGGCCTGTGGTAGCGGCCGGCTGTTGAGTCTTTCGCTTTTTGGTCTTGTGCGCCATGCTGGGACGGTGATCTTGTGTGCTAGAACGGGGAAGCCTAGATGAGCGTGGACTACGATGTTGATGGACTTGTTTCAATTCAAGTATGCGGAGGATTTCCTTATCGATACCAAAATCGAAAAAATTCACGGTCAGAAAGACCAAAAGCGCGACTGAAGCTGTACTGGCATTTGGGTTGCCGTGTGCATAGCTGTATATAAGTCCTCAGCAAGGCTTGTTAACACATCCATTAGACGATCGACGTACGCGGCAAGGTCTCGAGGTTGCCCCCTCCTTAGTCAAGGACGCGGTGCGCTTGGTCGACTAGGCGCAACAGACCAGGTATGTCAGCAATGTGAATCTCGTTGCTGCTCAAGAGAAGGACATCTTGAATCAGATTGATGAGAATCAAATGGATGATGTAAGTACAGCTTTGGTCAAGAATCTTTCCTTGAGGAAGTGAAAATGTCTAGGAGCGAAGTCGCATCCTTCGAAGTGCGAATGGGCACTGAGATCGATTGCTTCTGCGTGTGACACTGCTCCACGTCACCCGAAGTGCCAGCAAAGTTCCGCCATCAGTGCTTCACCACGGTGAAGATCATGAGTGAGCTCTCCGGGAAAGACTGTCATGATCGGTTTGCTGCCTTGGCCATCAAGGTTCACGTGTACGTGACGATCAGCTGCCTAGGGACGAGCTTGATAAAGGTGAGGCTTGCACTGAGGACGACTCCTTCCCTTTCAGACCACATCTTCCAGTACATTCTTTGCGGTCACACTTCAGACACGATCGCCATCACCGAAGACCAACATCAGCGAGACCTTAAGATTCGCAACAATGTCGATTGCTGAAGGCGAACCAATGGCCGATAACGACCGAAGCGTGGCTGATGACGAAGAAAGCATGGCCAATGACGATCGTAGCGTGTCCGATGAGAGTCAAAACGCGTCCGATGAGGATCAAAATGAGCTTTCAAAGGGCGCAAGAAGTCTCTGTCAGGTTGCCCTGGAGTGTAGCGCAGACGCTATGCTCAAGGAGCCAAACTCATACGATCTGATTTCCAACCTACCGTGGAAGCTTCAACAAGATCTGTGGAAACACCTGTTGGATGATCGACGAGAGCGACAACGGCTCGAAGAAGAACTTGCAACGAGAAGAGACCACTTGATCGACTGGGAGTTGGACAATAGTGTCGACAGGAACTACGATTTCATTACAGCACACCCGGAAGACTTCTTACAAGGCTCTGTCAAAGAAGATGACTCCTGGTCAACTTTTCTCGACCTGGCCTTGGGTTCATCCTTCCCGGACTTGCCTATCGACCGCGACAACTGGGACAGAGCGTTTATGACCGAGAGCTCAACAGCCTCTTTGATTCGCTTCAAAATCGGTGGTTGGGGAGATTGTCCTGAGGTAGATCAACTCATTTCAGCAGATCTCATGAGAGCGCGCATGGCCGCTCTTAAAGATGCCCCTGCCTGCGACAAGTACGAGGAACGCAAAGATGGTTCACGATTGCTTTCGATTAAAGGAGTGCTGCTCGTGGAGATCGAAGTTGACACATGGTCCGACGAGCCCGAGCCGAACTCAGACTATGTCAGGTGTACCGTGCCCAATGACAGCGAGAGGAGGCGAATTGCAGAGCTGTACATCAACGCTTTACTCAGTCCGATCGACTTGGAATATTCCCTTGGTTTTAACTCGTCTTGGAACGGCAAACCTTCTAACACCAACCTGTGTGGCAGAAATGCTTTCGCCAGACGCGCCCTGAAGGAAATGGGCTTTTCTGCACACGAGGATGCCAATGACGAAGCCTGGGAGGCCCACAGAGACTGGGAACGTGATTGCTGGTGGCATTGATGCACAGACCCTGCATGATCAGAAGATCGAGGACACTGATACATGCCCAAGCAACCACACTAGCTGATCGGACAAAGCTAAGTCATTGCCAGGCAAGTGGTTGGAGGGGCACTCACCGATCAAGAATACCTTATGCAGGACATCTTACACTGCAGATGTCGAAAGGGCCGGGGCTATGTGGATGGTAAAGCTCAGTGTGATGGCGCCCGTGGTCTGGATAGCTTTACTGCAGACGATTGTCCGTAGGCAATAACGAAAAGCCAGATGCCGATGAGTTCCAAGTATACTCTGTGCTCTTGGCGCAGCGGATATGCATACACATTGCCGTATATTAAGTCGTCTACCTATGTACCAGCGCTAGTCGATAGAGATCGTGAGGATCAAATATCAGAATGGACGTCAGGCGAGCGGCTCATCGTTCAACAGTCGAGATCCACGGTCATGAGGTAACCACATTTACATCCCCGTATTTGTTTTACCGACCAAGGGGAGACGCAACGATTTGGACCTCTTCTTCTCCGATCTTGACCGCTGTTGGCAGGAGCTTTGAGCTAGCTGTAAATACTGTACAATGCGTAACGTTCTATACAACTGGGATCGCATGCGGCGGTACAAATTGCCTCAACGGGTCAGGCAGATAGATAGCCTAAGCATGAACATCTCCGTGGACCTGCCCTCGCGTGGGCAATCAACAGCGCGCCGTCCCCCTTCGCTCTTGTCCCCTGGCACGCCCAGCCATGACTCACTCACTCAGCAACATGGAACTTCATCTTCGCAGTCAACGGACTAGTCGTAACGTCATAGTAGTGCTTCAGCACAGGCCCATGGTCTTGGAGATCGGCAATCTTATCGAAACGCTGGACTATTCGACAAATCGTGTAGCCCGCTGTCGTGAGTGCGTATTGCTGGCCGAGACAGATGCGGGGACCACCGCTGTGAGAGGGAGAATCGTTAGCATTGTTCTTCAGGGGAAGTTGAGGCGAAGAGAGGGCAGGAACTCACTTGAAGGGCAGATACTCCCACCCCGACTTCCGACTGTCCCATCGATCGGGCTTGAACTCGACGGCGTCAGGACCGTAGAGATCTTCGCGCTGGTGCATCATATGGACCGCATAGTTGACTTCCATCCCCTTGGGAATGAACACAGGCGACTTCTGATCAGGACCACCACCGACAGGGAGGGTGGTGTCTTGAGTTGCCATGCGAGAATTGAAGGGGACGATAGGAAACAGCCGCAGCGTCTCAGTCATGACTCTTTGTAGGTAAGTGCATGCCTTAAGGGACGCAAAGTCCATCTTCTTCGGATTCTGGTATGTACCAAAGTCCTCGATCACGGCTTTGCGGAGTTTCTCGTAGATGTCTGGGTGCAAGGCGAGCTCGTAGAAAAGCCAGCCTAGCATGCCGGAAGTTGTATCGCGACCAGCCAGCAAGATGTGTAGAAGTTGGTTGCGCAGCTCGATTGGATCCTGTGTTGCCTGAGCGAGCTCTTCGGCGAAGACGTACTTGCGGGATCCGTCTTCGACGTCTTTCTCACCGCGTTGGTATGACTCCAAGGCGCGACTGACCCAGTGATCGGCGAAGCGGTGGATCTCTTTGATGGACTCGCGATACTCGGATGTGGTGTACAGCCAGTGCCAGTCTTGTAGGCGGAACTTGGTGGCCATGGCCTTCATACCTGTCGTGAAGGCGGCGCCGAACTTGACCCAGTCCAGATCAGCACCATTAGAGGCTTTCTCAGATCCGGGCAGGGCAGCGAGTTGCGAGCCGACGCTCTGGCCAAACAGGAATTCGGTAGCCGAGTCGAGTGTGAGTCTGAAGAAGATAGGAGACAGGTCAGTCTGTTGCGTCCACCCATCAGAGCCAGGTTCGAGGAACCGCATGATGTTCTGTACGTGTACTTCTTGAGCAGCAAGATCGGCAATGTTGTCCCGTGCGAATTGTGGTCGCAGAAGTGCTCTCGAGTGCTCCCAGCGTTTGCCATTATCCGTGAAGATACCAGCTGTCGTCCAGTGTTAGCAGATGTCCGATCTGAGGATGGCAATCGATCCTACCACCGAAGATGCCCCAGAAAATCAGTCGTCTCTGCTCTGGTAATTCAAAATCGTTGAACTGTGTGGCGAGGAGGGCTTTGACATTCTCTGGCTCACAGGTAACAACGATCTCAGTGCCTGCCATGTTCTGAACCCAGGTGTTCACCCGCATGTCCTTCCATACCTGCGTGAGGTGGTTCGGTATGTCGAAGGCTTCATCCGCCTTGAGCATTCCGTGCACGAAGTCAAGGCCTCCGGGCCATCGAGCAGGACGACGGGCTGGGGACTGGCAGTTCCATTCGCGTGCCAGACGAGCTCGCTGCCGCTGCTGAAGGATTCTGTTCGCCAGCCATGCTAAGGCGACGAGGCCAAAAAGGGGGAGTAGGAAATACATGCTTACGCCTCGATGTACAGGAGTTGTGAGTGGCGCACATGCTGTCCTTATACAGAGGTCCAGGCGAACGACTTACTTGACTAGCCTCGGGTTCCAATGAGAGTTAGGTTCCCGGGGGAGGGGTCATCAAGCCTGGTGTCGTTTGACCTCACCACTGGGCATGCTAGAAGCAGATCTGTTGACCAATGGCAGGGAGCTGTGAATCAAGACATTTCCTGTTCGATCGCCGTTCTTGTAATAAGAGTACGTGGTACTGTAGGTTTAGCGCGCAGTACCGTTTTCTGATTTTCCAGATGTGGCATTCCCATTGCAGTATGAAGGTCGCAAGAGGCACTGTTCCTGTCAGCGGGGTATTGGACAGACTCGCAGTCATTCCCAGAGCCACTCTGGGTCCGATCTGATTCACGGACTCATCGTCGGTCGCTCATGGTACTCCTGCCTTCTTCGCTGCATTTAGTCGCAAGGAGACAGTGATCGATGTTCACCTTGGCAAAGTGCTGGGGGCTAGCGTCGCGCAGGCTTCGACCTGTTCAGGGAAGTGCGACGGCGTGTCGCGACAAAACTTGCAGGTCACTTCGAGGAGGCAGCCTTGGTCGTCATTTCCCGAACATTTTCTTGACAGTTCAGGGCCTGAAACTCTGAAGTAAGTATGCTTTCATCATCGTCGACATTAAGCGCGGACATCTAAATGGCCAGATGCGGCTCGACTGACATGACTGTCACGATACATGAAGGTGCTAGGTAGGTACAGAGTGATCTCGATAAGCGCGTACGCTGCGTCGCTGCCGAGTCGCCCAGTGGGCCAAGGCTGACATAACATCCCCGGTGATCCAGTGTCAAGTCGCCAGGAGCGCTGCATTAAAAAAAATTATCGCAGCTCTTCGCGCTAGTATACTACAGCATGCCAGTATGTGAAGTTCCAAAGCGCCCGGCGAACACGCTGACACCGCCATATTTGGAGTGGATGATTGAGGCCGATATCCATCATTACAATACTGCTGAGATGGCAGTTCCCGTCACCAGATTCTCAGCATAGTACTTTACACACCGGCTCGGCGCAAGTAACGGCGCAAATAATACAATAGTCATTCACCGTCCTGATCCGCGGAGAAGTTCGACTAACCGGAATTATGCTGAGATGAACTTTTGCATATCTGTAACGGGGTCAGTAGAGGTTCGTACCTTCAAGCGGTCGAACTCACTTTGCAGCCATTCAACATATTCTTTCTGTTCCTTGTGCTCGATGATGACGGGCAGCATCTGCGCGAGCTCTTCGTTGATGCCACGTTCAGCGATGTACTGCTCCAACATGACGCTCAGATCCGAGTCGAGGTTGGTGAACGGAGGTCCGGCGTAGGGAGTGGTGTGGTCGTCATCGGCAGGAGGGTCAGACACATAGCGGAGTCTCTCAATCTCGATCGTGCCATCCGTGGCTCTCGCGACAAGTTCGATGCTCGTCTTGTCCGGCTTCGAGATTGTGATGTCGAGATCGATGGGATATGATGGACGGGGTGCTTCGTCCGCAGCTTCTCCTTCGCGATCGGCAGGCGCAATGGAGTCCTCCGGCGCGACATCGATGGCGCCTCCTCGTGCACCTGACTGATTTATTGTCCGCTTCGGTTGATCGTAGAAGTCTTCGTCGCCCAAAGCGCTATCTTCTTCTTCATCGAACAGCTCTTCGGCGGCCGAGTCGTTGTAGTCGAACATGCTCAGGACCGACACCTCGACTTTGATTCTGTTGCTTGTCAGTGGAGCACTCTACCAGACCGTCGAACTACTAACGTTTCGTTGCCGAATTCTCTTTTGAGTATAATCTCATTCGTGCCCGGCCTGCCAGTGATCTCCCAGATGCCTTTGGCCTTGAAATTCTCGATCTCGGCGGGCTCTGATTCCGGATCGCTGGTCTGGCGCTCGAGCTCGTACTCGCTTTGAAACTTCTCAGCTAGAACTTGATCATCTGCAAAACGATCGATTAGCTACGATGCTTCCATCTAGACCTTGAACGTACTGTCGCCGGCAGGTTCTCTCCGTGCTATCGATGTCGAGAATGACGGATATGTGAGCTTCTTGACTGGCTGCCACGACGGCCGTGGCGACGCTCTCGATGCGATTGAGTAGCAGCGAGATGAGATGGGTCGGAAGGACGCCGATTTGGGCACTGCGCGGCCGAGAAGCCGAAGAGAATTCATATTGACGGCGATGACAAATGCGCTGATTGAAGCAGGCTGTACCAGGAGCGCGATCGGGAAGGAAGAAAGTCGCACTCGATAATTAGATGACAGCAAAAAGGTTTGAGTCGTGAGTACGAAATATGAAGATGCGCGTCAGGTGAAAGTCTGAAATTCTATGGGACTTGAAGATCCTCGAATGCGGCCCCACTCTCCGGCGCAGAAGCCCAAGGATTTCCGCCGCTGCTTCTCGGGCTGGTTTCCAAGCTGTTCGGGCCATAAGCTGAACATTTTCGGCATGTCCAGGGAATCGCAAGATTCCGAGTCAAGGCGGGCTCTGAGGGCTGGAACCATTTCGCACATCGAGCAAGGCATTTTGAGATGAGGCTCACTTGAGCGTCAAGGCGCACAAACAATCCATCATCAATTTGCCCGCCAGGGAGGCCGCTGGAATACATCTAGCGTGTATGTTATGGACAGAGCAAATTCTCATTTCTTGGCCGAACAGCTTGGCTCTTCACACTACTACTAAGACTTTATTCCTCCCGTTCGATGCCAGGGGGCGCTTGACCCTCATATGCTGGTGGCGGCTGTGCCAGTCTCGAGAAGATTTCCCGTCTGATCTTCTGCAGCTGCTGACGTTCTTCGGCTAACCGCTCGGAGATCTGGATCATTTGCGTCTTTGAGTCTGCAGTCCGTTGTTGGCTAGCCTGCACATTGTGTCGCAATACAGCGGCCGCTCGCTGTAGGTCAACGGCACTGGCCTGAATCTTCTGGTGAAATGCTAAATCCGTGAAGATATTGTCGAAGAAGACGTCAGTGATGATAGAACCCTGGGCGATGTTGATCTGAGGCAGAGGCGTGACCAGTGACGACAAGGCCTGGGCCTGCTGGGTCAACCGATAGCATTCGTGGGTTGCCATCTCGGCGCGCCCGAGTGCCGATCTTTCCAAGTAATCCCTGCAAAATTGATTAGCCTTGTGTCGGGAGAAGGGCGTAGGCTGGAAGGTAGGATTGTGAGGCTAATCAGAGCAGCTTCTTTGTCAACCCGAGACATTTGCTCGGGCGGTCTTCAATGCAACGCTCGTTTCCGGATACAAGTTTGACGTTGGGAGAGCAACTTACCAGACCGCACCTCCGCCGAAGATGTCGCCCGTGGAATAGGACAACGCTTCTTGGACCTGATTCTGCGCAATAGCCATGACCTTGGCAGCTTGGGTCAGAAGAGCCAGGGTCTGCTCTTCGGCTTTCAGTGCGCTTTCCAGCTGCTGATAATGCCCTTGAACGTCTTGTACGAGACCTTCTTGGGTGTCCTCCTCGGGGAAGCCAGGCGTGTCGCCCGCAAACACAGACTGATAGAGCGCATCGAGATCGTTCTGTGCTGTCTGATGCGTGGAGGCGTCCGGTTCCAATTGTGCTTTGCCAGCCTGCGCTTCAGCCATTTGCCGTGACAGCTTCTCTCGCTCATCCTGGGCCTGGTGCTCGCTTCTGAGCGCTTCGAAATACTCCTTTTCTTCCTTGTCGGCCTTGACAGCAAACTTCTCCTTCTGTCCGGTGGCTTTGTAGAGAAAGCGACGCGTTACAGATTCATTATACCTGCAATTGATTAGCCATCGTCCGTTGCTGAATCAAGTGAGAAAGCAGAGGTAGATTCTTCACACGGAGGTCATTCTAGCGAGTGTCGAAGATCATTTTGACGAGCGTCGAAGGTCATTCTGACGAGTGTCGAAGGCCATTCTGACGAGCGTCGAAGGTCAATCTGACGAGCGTCGAAGACCAATCTAACGAGTGTTGAAGATAATTCTGACGAGTGTCGAAGACGAATCTGACGAGTGTCGAAGATAATTCTGACGAGTGTCGAAGGTCACTCTGACGATTATCGAAGGTCATTTTGACGAGTGTTGAAGGCAATCAATGGTGAAGAAGCAGGAAACTGAGAATGTACATACTTGCGATGATCCTTGTGCTCCTTCTCCCGCTGCTTCGCTAATTTCTGTAGGTTTGCATTATTGCGAGCGATGGTAGCCTCTAGTTGCCGTATGTATTCTATTTGCTGCTTCAGGGCCGGCGCCGCATAGTCAGTCCGTGCAAGGATCCCAAGCAATCTTTCGTTGTTGGCGGAAGCGTTTCTGATCTGATCTTCGATGGACATTGTAAACGATGCTAGTTCTGTCTTCTAATAATTGGTATTACTTGTGTAGATGGATTCGACACCTTATGGTTGACAGAGGGATGAAAATGCAATTGGGTTGTTGAGAAGTAATAGCAGAGGCCACCTGAGTACCTTCGAAGTTGTTCAAATGTTTCCGTCACCATTTGGAAGTAACGACCAGCACAGCCCGCGCCGTCATGGTTTAGGTCAAGCGCCGAACAATTGCCAGGTGGAAAGCTTGGCAGGCGGGAATTTATTGCGGCACAAGCTGGTGGCTGTGTCAACTGCGGCCGACAAGCTGAAGCGTTACGATAAACCCTTTGGTGGAAAGCTCGAGTCTTTGACAAATCCGTCTCTGGTGATGCGAATGAATTTGAGTGTGTTCAGGCCGGCCCAGTCACCACTCCATCTCTCAAGCTTGTCGCGGTCTTCGGGCTGCCGAAGATCAACGATCCAGAAGCCAGCTTTGTACTCTCGTTCTTCAGCGTTTTTGTGCTCAGTGATGCGCTCCTCAACTTTGCTGGGAGGACGACCTGGACGACGTTCTGCCTTTGCCTGAGCTAGTTCATCGTCGTTCCTTCCTATGTAGCCTTCGGTCAGGGCCTGGAGCTCTGCTTCTGAGAGTGCACCCGAGCTGCCCTCAAGAGCAGATCGAAACCAGTCTATGCGGTCCACGTAGACTTTGTTTGCTCGAGTTGCGGCGTCCAAAATCTTGATTAGCTTGTCTTCTCTGGCACCCGCACGTCGTAATCGATTGGCATCTCGGCTGTTTTGATGAAGACTTGTGAGTTTGCCGCCTTTCTTCTTGCTGATGTGCTTCTGCACCTTATTGAGAGACACTGGCATGATGATCGAAATCCTGTGCGACGGTTTGCTTTCCTTTGCGAGTGGTACTATTCGACCCAGTGCCGGTGTGGTAGACTGAACATTTAGTGTTTTATGGCAAGAAAAAACGAAGGGTGCGTCATTCAGAACTTTCGATAGGCGGAAGCAGATCCTCGAGTGGGGCTCGAAAGCTTAACGGCAAGCGCGTCCTTGCGCGTCGGGTAGGCCCTTCGTCAACCGACCTCGAAGGCTTCCTTCGTTCTGTTCTGTCGACCACGACAACTCAATCAAAACTCTAGTGCGGATTCACACAGCTAAAACTACGAAATGAAATGTTACAGCCGTGATCGCTAGCTGATCTATTCCTACTATCGTGAGACAGAAGGCTTGAGTTGCTGCATCAGATCAGTAACCTTCCAATGATGTGGCGGTGAACCAGAGCTGGTTGAAGAAGTGATAAGTTGCAATGGGCATCACGGGTAAGACACCGAATATGTCGTGCTCGGTGAATCTGTCGCTGATCTGACAGGACTTCTGCCCCTCCTGAAATCCATACAAAAGCCATGTACTCTGAAAAAGTTCGCCGGTCAGACCCTTGGGATTGATGCCTTTGGCTGGCTGCACAGAGGATCGGCGGCGTGCGCTGTCGACCTCGCACTTGATAAGCCAACGAAGAAGTATGTCGAATTTGCTGTCGGCAGGGTTCGCATGCTTCTAGACTTCGGCATTATACCATACCTTGTCTTCGATGGCGATAGTCTACCCAGCAAAGCCGGCACAAATGCAGAGCGTCGAAAGCAGCGAGAAGAAGCCAAAGCAACAGGTCTCGCTCTTCTCCAGACTGGAAAGCAATCCCAAGCATATCGAGAGCTGCAGAAATCGGTTTCTGTAACACCATACATGGCGAAAGAATTGATCGAGGCAATCAAGGCCATGAAGGTCGAGGTTCGATACGTCGTTGCCCCGTACGAGGCTGATGCCCAACTTGTGTACCTCGAATCGAAGGGCATCATCGATGGCATTCTCAGCGAGGATTCGGACATGCTAGTATACGGCGCAAAGCGACTCATAACGAAACTCAATCAGTATGCCGAGTGTGTCGAGATCGAACGTTCAGATTTCGCCTTATGCAAAGAGATCAGCTTGGCTGGCTGGACCGACACAATGTTCCGAAGGATGGCCATTCTCAGCGGCTGCGATTATCTTCCCAATATCGGCAAGATGGGCCTCAAGACAGCGTATCGCTATGTTCGAAAGTACAAAGACGTGGAGAAGGTCATTCAGGTTCTTCGATTTGAGAACAAGTTGTCCGTTCCTGCCGATTATCTCGAACGCTTCCGCGATGCCGAGCTCACTTTCAGTCATCACAGAGTCTTCTGTCCGGTGCAGAAGAAGATGGTGTTCATGCAGGAATTACTGCCTGGCATGAAGGAGGAACAAATGTCTTTCCTTGGGCAAAGTGTGACTCCAGATATCGCAATCGGAGTCGCCTGTGGAGACCTTCATCCGAAGAGCAAAGAAGCGTATCCCGATACTCGTTCATTACGGCCATCACTGCGCGAGGTTCGACGCCAGACAGCTCCTACCCAGACTCTGAAGCCAACGAAGTCCATCGAGTCATTCTTCAATAAGCGGGTGCCGCTAGCTGAATTGGACCCGAACAGCCTCACTCCCTCGCCATCTCAACAGAGGCTCCTCGCGCGGCATCGCAATGCTTCGTGGGACTCTCGACTAATTTCGTCAGCTCCTCAACCACGGACGAACTCGGCATCGAGCACTCAAGTCCGTCCCCTTCGCACTGATCGCCAGTCATTCCTTGCTAAAGCATCGGCCGTGTCGTCGTACCAGCCACCTAAACGACCACGACTGTGTTCTGAAAACCAAGACTCTCCGCCTTCGAAAGGCATCAAACAAAGCCCGTTCTTCGCCGCACAGGACACAACACCAAGTCCGTCCCTTCTCAAAGGGGCTCGCAATAAGAAGCCAAAGCGGGGTGGGTTTGAGCTCTGGTCTGACGACTCTGTCGATGACGTCTTGCTCGGCCTGCCTGATGTTCATGAGACTGCCAGCCCTGAGAAACTGGAGGAGCCACACATTGTACCTGCAGAGTCAGACGATATCAATAGCAGCATCCCACAGTCGTCCCCAGTGTCCGCATACTATGACGCCGATGGGGACAAGGTCGTTGCAACGCTTGGCGACCCCGCGGACACGAAAAATGACCCTGACTCTGGCAGAGCCGAGCCGTTCGAGGATATCTTGGCCTCGCACATTCAGATTCAGCGAGAGCTCAAGACCTTTGCCTACCAGCCATCCGTTCAACGAGAGCAAGCTCTGCGCACGCTATCGCCATCCAAGACACCCCAGCCAGAGACTCGATTGTTCTTGGCAATGACTCCAGCAGACCAGCGTGCGGCACTTGCCGCTCTGCCCAATACGGGATCAGTGAAAGAGCTGTGTACCTCCATAAGCCTAACGGAAGACCGGGCTTCAAGCGACACAAAGGTTGTGGTCGCCAGCGCACAAAGGCTTCATACCTCGAGCGACACGAAGATTGTGCTCGCCAGCCCTCGAAAGTCTCCAAAACCGACTCCTGACAATGCTGGTCAATCAGAAATTTCTTACCCGTCATTAAAGGAGATTGCCCAAGAGATGCCACCCGTCACTGGTAGCGAGGATGCCTTGATCCCAAACAGCGAGGATGAGATCTCAGACGATGATGATGGACCTCCAGCCACAATGAACCTCCATGCATTTGCTTACGTGGGATCCTGACCTGGACCAGCCGATGGACTTTGCAGCGACGCCCTGTCCACGCATAAGGTCCCTCGAGAGCGGCCGGTGTACATGAAGTTGAACCATTGTCACATAACGAAGAGTGCATATATGCATATCACAGAAGACGAAGTGAGAGCAGGCGATGGTTTGCGAGCATTAACGATACCTGCCAAGGGCATGTTCGGATATGGGCGTCGTGACGACTGCGAGCCTGTTTGGACAGCACTGGCACTGCCTTCTGGAGTACACCCCTGGATGAGCGAATATTATTATTGTAAGCAGGCTATTGATGAATATTTACCACGAATTGATGACGTTCAAATCAAGTTCTGTGATCGTGAAATCATTCTCGCGCAAAGATCCGGCAAGTTGGGAGCGGACCCCGCATTTATGTACTGATCGCCCGGAACCCGGCGGGCTGGTCCGAAGCTAGCCCAAAAAGCGTTAAATCATAACACCGGCTACCCGCCATCGACTTTCATCATGGAAATAATTGTCTCCCAGCCATGAGACCAGCCTCACGATTTTTGGTCCGATGACATTGGATATCGCGCAGAATTGTGGTGTCAAGAAGCGATCAAGGGTCCCAAGGCAACATCTAAGTCAAGCTACGCCTCTCTCTCACCATCCTCTCTTCCCATCCATCACATAACAATTCTCGCCGCAAACTGACGGCTTGATCAAAGCATTTGTACAGAATTCGAACCTCCAAAATCCAATACTCGAGCGGAGTCAAACAGTCGACTTCGTCACCCACATTCCTCAACAAACTTCCACATTCCACGGACCTCCTGTCAACTCCCACGTGCTGAGTGGTCACCACGAAAGTACCGTCCCTCGGACGGCAATAGAAAAGAGAACAGAGCACGGCCAGTGACGCAAGATGGCAAGAGTCAGATTTGCAACAGGATGGAGGAGGTTCATACCAGCTATCGGCTACCACCATGTGCTGATGATCTTCATCGCCATTGCCATCATCCTCCTATCACTATTACTGGCAGGCTGCTCGTCAACGTCAGTGCTGATACCCGACATCTACCTCATATCACTCTACTACCAACAATATCCGCCAGTCTTCTCGAGTGTACAAGTCGATCCCACCGTCACAACAGCGATAGCAAACATCGTCGGCTCGGCAGATCTGAATGTGAGAGTAGGCTATTTCGGAATATGCATTGCTGCAGGCGGTGGAGGATGGATGTGCAACCAGAACGCAACCGCGCTGGCCGACCTTGTTAGTGTTGACACCGACCCGCTGAACCTGATCTGGGTCGCCAGCACATTCAAGGATGCCATCGTCTTCCCATACCTCCTCATCATCGCCATCGTCCTGGCTTTTCTTACCTTCGTCCTCCTCGCTACCTTCCCAGGCTGGCATACGACGACAAGCTCGGATGGGTCAGAACATGAAGTCAAGCCGTTTCCGTCACGAGCTGTCTCACAAGTTGCTTTGGCCACCATCTTCATCGCCTCGGTGTTTGTGCTCGTCTCCGTCATGTGGCAACACACAGCAGCCGTCGCCGCAAGTACCGTCGCCCAAGACCTGGGCAACGGAAGCGTCAAGTCTGGCGTCGGCACTGCAGCTATGGTGCTGGGCTGGTTCGGATTTGGCTTGCTTGTGGTGGTAACATTGGGATTGTTGGTCATGATATTGAGTATCCAATTACTGGATCGGTTAACGGACGAGGTAAGCTGATTATACCCTTCTCGCTGCAAACCTCAACTAACAGTCTCTATAGGAATGAGAGCAGATATGAAGAGTGAGATGAGAGGATATCCCGATTAGCGACTCTGAATTTCAACATGCATAGCAATCAACGGCGAAAAATCGAAACGGCATTTCGAGCATCATAATGGGAATTGTGGCGGCGACAACGCCGCAGATAGACACAATTTGGACACCAAGGACTCGTCGATGGGACTTGTTCAGTGTACATGTAGATACGGACACAATGACAAAACAATGCACATTCTAATAAGATCGCATACTCCCGCAAGTTTCAACGAACTGGCTGGAGCTTTGTAGGGGGCTTGGCGTGGGCGTGGAGAGGTTGGGGGATTCTTTGCCTTGTGGATTTCACCTCTGCTTCATATACTGCTTCCGCATGAGGTCAAAATTCGACGAGCGAGCTTATGCCAGACACCTCACAGGTCGAGTCGGCGCTCAGGAGAGCTCCAGCGAGTCGAAATCTCCTGTCGGTCCCGTAACAGGCCTACGTGGAGCATCAACATCTGCTCTGCGAATATATTTGTGCTTGGCACTCGAAGGTCTATCGCTGCGGTTGCAGCATCTCAGGGCCGCAGGGCAGGGACCAGTGCTACCATCCACCCAAATCGACCGCCATCATCATGCCACGCCTCTTCGACGGCCTCGAGCTGCCCGCCTCAGCAGACTTCCACGTACACCTTCGCCAGGGCGCCATGATGGAGACGGTCACTCCTACGATCACCTCTGGCGGTGTTGATACAGTCTATGTCATGCCAAATCTAATACCACCCATCACCACCCCTGCCCAGGCCGTCGAGTACAAATCCCGCCTACAAGCTCTCGCGCCCGACGTCACATTCCTCATGTCCCTCTACCTCCACCCCTCAATCACCCCCTCCATCGTCCGCGAAGCCAAAGCCACCGGCGCCATCCACGGCATCAAATCCTACCCAGCTGGCGTGACCACCAACTCTTCTTCCGGCGTGGTGGACTACGAGTCTTTCTACCCTGTCTTCGCCGCCATGGAGGAAGAGGGGCTAGTGTTGAATCTGCACGGCGAGCTCCCACCCTCGCAGTCTCCTTCTGCACCTGAAGACCAGATCACGGTGCTCAATGCGGAAGCGGCGTTCCTTCCTACCCTCCGCTCCCTGCACACCCGCTTCCCAAACTTGAGGATCGTGCTCGAGCACTGCACGACCAAAGCCGCGGTGGACATGGTGCTGAGCATCAGCTCGCCTAACGTTGTGGGCACCATCACAGCACACCACCTCAGCCTCATTGTCGACGACTGGGCGGGCGATCCGCTCAACTTCTGCAAACCCGTCGCCAAACTGCCCTCAGATCGCATCGCACTATTGCGTGCAGCAGTCGATCCAAGACGAAAATTCTTCTTGGGCACAGACAGCGCTCCCCATCCACTACGCAGCAAACAAGGCAGGAGCGGAACTGCAGGGAATGATAACTCGTGCGGCAAGTGTGCCGCAGGCGTGTTTACGCAGCCGTATGCAACCCAACTTGTGTTGGAAGCGCTAGAGGAAGCCGTCAGCAAGGGCATCTTGCGAGAGGAGGATGTGAGGAGGGAGGGGGTGTTGGAGGGGTTTTGGGCGAGACGGGGCGGAGGTTCTATGGTGTGCCGAAGAGTGAGCGGCGGATAAGGGTCAGAGCGGGAGAGGAGAAGGTGGTGAGCTTTCTGGGAGTAAGGATGGAGGATGGAATGGCAGATGATGTGGTCGTGCCGTTTCGGAGGGGGGAGGAGATTTATTCTCTGGAATGGATTGATTAGAAGAACTAGACTTGTGCTACCGCTTTCCCAAGAAAGGCCTGAGCAGATCATGCATTAATATGCCAGCCGCAACACTGACGTTCAAGCTGTCCACACCCGCGTGCTGGTTCACGGCGTCTTGCACCGTGAGACAGCTGTTCGCCATTCTGGCGATACGTGGCCGCAGACCTTCGCCTTCGTTGCCGAGCATTATGACTACCGGCTTCTGCTTTAGTCCATCGGTGTCGATGTTGTGCTCGGGGATGACATCCGGACGGTTTACCAGGGGCACGTCTTCGGGAGAGACGGCGGCCACGAAATGCCACCCGTTGGCTTTGGAGGTGGTGATGAAGCCGCTTTCGTCTCGGATGCGCAGGATAGGCATGAGTTCGGCGGCGCCGGTGGAGGCTTTGACGGTGACGGCGGTCAAGGGCGCAGTACCGTGGTCCAAAAGGATGATGCGTTGACGCCGAAGTAGTAAGCGGAGCGGATAATGGCACCGAGGTTGCCAAGGTCGGTGACACGGTCGAGGAAGAGAAGTATGGGGTATCGGTCTTGTTGCTGTTGCTTGCTGCGCATCGGGAGTCTCGCGGTGGAGTGCTGAACATTGAAGGCCGAGATGATGGCTGCGTCTTCGGGGGTCAGGCGGCCGACTTGCGCGGAGACGGTCTCGCCGGGTGCGGAGACTTGATCTAGGGCATCAACAGGCAGCACGGGAATTGGGCTGACTTCAAGGAGGAAGCCGTTGTGTGGTCGTTTCTGGGTCATGCGGTCGAAAGCGGCTTTCCAGTCGGGGCCGGAAGTGGATACAACTGGTATTCCTGCGGCTTTGGCACGGCGCAGCATGGCAGAGCCTGGGTCCTCTGCTTCGTGCCGCGAGCGGTGGACATAGAGCTTGTAGCATTTCCGGCGTCGAGCCCGGATGGCAGCGTTGACGGCAGAGGAGCCGTAGATGAACTCGGAGGAGGCGGTCGTGTAGGGGATGCTGGCGCGGAGGATCTCTTTGAAGTCGTCGCGGCTATGTTCTCTTGCGCCTACATATTGGCGACGGTAAGGCTGGGACCGAGGTAGGTGGGAGTCTGGATGAGAGCCATCGTCCGGGGTGGAGAAGCGATCATAGCGGATGGGGACAGATGAATCTTGCGAGTCCTCGGGTTCGCGGTCTTGCTGTTGGTCTGTGGGAACGACCGAGTTGCTGGCAGGAAGCTGGTTCGTCTTTCCTGAAGACGTGACGCTGGTAGAGCCAAAGACTTCGAAGTCGTTGGCGTAAGGGGAATTCCTCAAGTCACGACTCTTCACCTTCTGGCGTCCGCGTCCCTGTTCCTGTTTCTGAGAGGCAAAGATGTCGTACTCCCCGTGTGTGGAATCACTTGGGCTAGTTGTGCCGTGAGCTTGCCATCTATCTCGTCGGGTCGATCGACCATCGTTGTGCTCGCCGTTTGACTGCCTTGACGGCCTTCTGTCATGATCTCGGTCTCGCCATGGCTCGCGATTGCCTTCTGTGGAGCGCTGGCTCTGGCGCAGTCCGCGCTCGATAGCGCCTGTGAGTGAAATATGTCTGCACGAGATACATGTAGCAGAGCTCGGCGACCTGCGCAGTATCTTCAGGGCATGTTTCGTGGACTGCATCAGGTGGAGGAAGGTGCGTTGGTGACGTTCAGCGATGGGAAAGATTTTTGGCGACGGGTTCTTCAATTCTCCAACTTCGCTTCACGCGTGGGCGCGTCAGACCTCGACGTGCTTGCGACTCCCCAGACCCCTCTACATGTTCTACGGTTCAGCTTGCTCAAGTCCGCCAGCCAACTTAGTGTGTATGCCTAATGTGATGATTACTGTGGGCAGCCTCGTGCAGTAGGGGCGCGGCGCCTTCGCCGATTGTTGGGATATTCGCAGCAGAGATGGATGGGGAGGATACCCCGGATTTGTCGCTATGGACTGCGAAACCACCTCCGAAGCCCGCCACAGCCCCTGTTGAGGGTGACAGTAGCCCTCAGGCGGGCTCAGTGGTCGCACGATCGAAGAGAGGGTCGAGCGCCGCAACATCAGAAGCATCGAGCAATGCGGGGGACGTCAACTACGACGCTCAAAGGCCACCATTCACCGAAGATCAAGTCCCCGAAATGCAGCGCGAGAGCACAGCCCGGAAGATGATGTTATCGAGGTGTCATGGTCGTCGCCGAGTGCCGATCACGCTTCTTCATTGATATGCCAGCCATGACCGAGGAGGAAAAAGCAGGCTACAGCTTCGCGCCAGGGCATATGCGCGTCCGCGAGGTCCTCGCAGAGACCAACAGAGGCATTTTCAGGACTCGACTGGGCAGCGGCGACATCGAAGAGGTACGTCTGTCGAGCTAAAGTGTTCAAGTCGCTCTGTGGCCCATGCCCTTTCGGGATTTGTCGTCTCGAAGTAGCCTGCGATCAGTCACTTGCGCCTTCCTTAATGTGAAGTGAATGGAGCAAACGAGACAACCCGAACATTCGACCAAACCCACCACTCTTATCCACTCCAACCCCCGGCAACTCACATCAACTTCTTTGACTTCGTTGTTTCGCTCAAGTTTGCTAACTGTCCTTGTTGCAGTTGACACTTAAGCAGCTCAATCAACGAAACCACGCACAGTCTGCTTTGAGATTCTTTCGCCTCAAATCACTTCGCATGGAAGGGCGCGGACGACGAAGCGCTGGTGCGCAAAAGCCTACGGCCAGCGGCTTCGTCAATTGGGACGATGTCGCTAAAGGTTCCGATGATGAATCAGATGGCGCCGTTGTCGGTTTTCGGAAGCGAAAGCAGCAGCTGGCTGAGGATTCTGACGTCGAAATGAACGGCAACACTGACCAAGACTCCGACAATGAAGACGATGGTGACTCTGAAAGCGACTCGGACCAAGACGAAGGACCTGCCGGTCGCCGCTCATCTCGTCTCAAGGGCAATCGTAAATCATACACACTGGAGACTGACCTGGATCTCATCACTAGATCGCCACCTCGGTTACGCGGCAGAACTTCTACAAGACCGACGCGAGGTCGTGGAGGGCGTCGTACAAATAGCCGGCGCGCAAGATCACTCTCATCGTCGCCCGAGCCAGCACAAGGCACTCGTCGCTCGGGACGAACTCGAACCAAGCCAGTAGGCTCGATGCGCGAGCGTCAGGAAGATGAAATATCAGAGCACTCCGGCAACGATGCTGGCATGAAAGTCGTTGGCACCAAGGAAGTCTTCCGCCGAGTCGACGAGCACGACGACTTTCGCAAACGTCATCGTGAAGAATGCGATACTTGCGACCGAAGAGGCGATGATCCGACCAAAGGACCGCTCGTCTTCTGTCAAGGCTGCACGACCGCCTACCACAAGACCTGCTTGGGCTATCGCGGAACTCGAGAACATATGGTTACCAAGATTGGCGAGGAGAACTTCGTGCTCCAGTGTCGTCGTTGTATTGGGATCGCTCGCGATAAAGACCCTCTGGCTCCACACCTTGGTCAGTGCGAGACCTGCAACGAGATGGGCGTCAACTCTACTCCGTTCCGAATTCGCTTAACTGTCAAGCAAGAGCAGGCACAACGTGAAGAAAATGGCGGCAAAGATCCCATCACCATCGTTGAAGATCATCACATCAACAAGCCCGAGAATGTCCTCTTCCGCTGCTTCTCTTGTCAGCGTGGATGGCATGTCCACCACCTGCCGAATCGCCAGACAGTCACCTCCACTGCCGAAGATGACGAGGAGGACAAGGAGCTGTCCGACGAGGAGCGCGCCGAGAAGCGGTGGCAGCTTTACCATCGAGGCTGGCGCTGCAAAGACTGCATAGAGAACAAGTATGCCATTGACGCACTCGTCGCTTGGCGTCCAGTCAACATAGACACTTACATCCCTGGCTATCACGCAGACATGGTACAAGATTCCCAGAAGGAGTATCTTGTGAAATGGAAGAACAAGTCGTATCTCAGATGCAACTGGATGCCAGGCAGTTGGGTGTGGGGCACCGCGGCAGGCAATATGCGCATGTCGTTCATGAAGAAGCCAGAGAACTACATCCCTCGCATGACGACGAAAGACGCCATTCCTGAAGAGTTCTTCAGGATCGACATCGTGTTCGCCGTCCGCTACACGAGTGTGGTCCGCAACACCTCAAAAGAAGTCGACTTCGCCCGCGTTCGCGAGGTTGAGAGTGCTTTCGTCAAGTACAAAGGACTCGGCTATGAAGACGCCATCTGGGAATCGCCACCAAGCTTTCGAGACACCGAGCGTTGGAATGACTTCAACAGCGCCTACAACGACTACGTACTGAAACTACACACTTCGATCCCAATCCGTACCACACTGAACAGAACCTTGACTGCACTTCGACAGCTAGACTTCGAGAAGTCGTTGATGCGCAAGGAGCAACCTTCGAGCATCACAGGAGGTTCCATGATGCAGTATCAGCTTGAGGGCCTTAACTGGCTCTATTTCCAGTGGTTTCAAAATCAGAACGCCATCCTTGCTGATGAGATGGGATTGGGGAAGACCATCCAGCTCGTGGCATTCTTTGCTCTGCTGGTCCAGGAGCACAAGTGTTGGCCGTTTCTGGTCGTTGTCCCAAACTCGACAGTTCCAAATTGGCGTCGAGAGATCAAGACATGGGTACCATCTCTACGAGTAGTGACCTACTATGGCAGTGCTCAGGCTCGCAAGATCACGCATGACTACGAGCTCTTTCCAGAGGAGTTCACGAAGAAGAAATCACGATCAGGCGATCCTCAGGATATCAAGGCTCATGTTGTCATTGCTTCATACGAATCCATCATCGAGGACAAGACGCGGAACAGCTTGAAGAATGTGCCTTGGCAAGGATTGGTGGTTGATGAAGGCCAGCGCCTCAAGAACGACAAGAACCAGGTCTACGACATCCTTACAAAGACCTTCCGATTCCCATTCAAAGTCCTCTTGACAGGTACACCACTCCAGAACAACGTGCGAGAGCTTTTCAATCTGCTTCAATTCCTCGACCGGACCATCAACGCAGCTGAGATGGAGGCCAGATACGCAACGCTCACCCAGGACAACGTGCCAGAGCTGCATGAGAAGCTGCGCAAATTCTTCCTTAGGCGCACGAAAGCACAAGTGTTGACGTTCCTGCCACCAATGGCCCAGATTATCATACCAGTCTCTATGTCAGGCCTGCAGAAGAAGCTCTACAAATCCATACTGGCCAAGAATCCACAGCTCATGAAGTCTATCTTCACTCGCGATCCGACAGCGGCCACCAAAGAGCGAGTGTCTCTCAATAATATCCTCATGCAGCTCCGCAAGACGCTTTGCCATCCTTTTGTGTACAGCCGCGAGATCGAGGAGCGAAATGTCGACTCTGGAGAGGCGCAAGTTCGGCTCATCGATGCCTCACCTAAGCTGCAGCTCCTGTCCCTCATGCTGCCCAAGCTCAAGGATCGTGGACATCGCGTTCTCATCTTCAGCCAGTTTCTCGACAACCTCGACATCATTGAGGACTTCCTGGATGGTCTTGGTCTTATGCACCGTCGCTTGGATGGCAACACTGCTTCGCTCGAAAAGCAGAAGCGGATCGACGAGTACAATGCGCCAGATTCACCATACTTCGCATTCCTCCTTTCGACACGAGCTGGAGGCGTCGGCATCAATCTGGCTACCGCTGATACCGTTATCATCCTCGACCCAGACTTCAACCCTCACCAAGACATCCAAGCCCTATCTCGAGCTCACCGCATTGGACAGAAGAACAAGGTGCTTGTGTTCCAGCTGATGACGAAAGACAGCGCCGAAGAGAAGATCATGCAGATCGGCAAGAAGAAGATGGCTCTCGACCACGTCTTGATCGAGAACATGAATCAAGACGACGAAGCTGGCATGGATCTGGAATCAATCTTGCGGCACGGTGCTGAAGCTTTGTTCGACGAAGACAGCAAAGCAGATGATATCGTCTACGATGCGCCTTCGATTGACAAGCTGCTCGATCGCAGCCAGGTTGAAGACACCAAGATCAACGATGAGCAGTCGGCCGAGTCGCAGTTCAGTTTCGCGAGAGTGTGGGCGAACAAGACAGGCGCTTTTGAGGAAGCACCGCTGAGTGAAGACACTAATGGGACGAACACACCAAATCCTGGTATCTGGGACAAGATCTTGAAGGAGCGAGAGCGTGCGTACGAGGAAGAAATGGCACTTAAAGCACAGACTTTCGGCCGAGGCAAGCGCAGACGGCAGATTGTCGACTATGGTCAGGACGGCGTCGATGGAGGCTCACCCGACAAGCGCAAGAAGGGCGACGTGGCCAGCGATGGCGACTTTACTGGCAAGGACACAGAGCAAGACGAAGACGATGCCACTGAAGATGACTCGGAGGTCGACTTTAAGCGTCCCACCGTCAAAGGTGTGTACAAGCCACCAGTCCTCTCTCCTTACTTTGCCCTGAGCTAACGTCGTTTCACAGCCCGACCCTTCAAGCGCGTCAAAGTCCCTACCGGCCAACCACCCTACAACCTCGACGGAACCACCGACTACATGCCGCGCGACGGCATCATGCCCCCATCCCATCACTGCACGGCCTGCGACGAGCGCCACCCCATGGGCTGGTGCCGTCTCAAAGTCGCTGGTGTCGAGCACTGTGGTCTGTGTGGCATCGCGCATCTGGGGCATAGCAGGACGTGTCCGCACCTGACGGATGAGAAGCAGTTGGTGAGGCTGCTGGAGACTTTGAAAGAGAGTCCGGAAAGTAGGGAGGATGTGGAGGCTGCAACCAAGTATCTGAGGATGATCAGGGGGGATTTGGTGTCCAGGGCGCGGCGGAAGCGCGAGGAGGAACAGGTCGCGAGGAGCTTGGCTACTGTTAGCACGAATCTTGGGACGATTAGTACTGGGTTGGCTGGTGGTCATCAGCAGGGTGTTGCGGCGAATGGGTATCAGCATGGAGGTACGCCGGAAGGGAGATGGGGAGCACGATTTGTGGAAGGCGGGCGTTGATGGCATGTTTGGTGTTTTGGTTTCTAGAACGAAGAAATCAGAGAGTTGTCTGCTATTCGACATGGGTTGAGGACGACTTCACTGCGATTTCAATGTGCAGCACGCGAGTCTGGCCATCAAAGGATCTTGTGGCCATGCCAGCTTGCATTCCAGAGAGCATCATCCGCAATGTACAGCTCGCTAACGCTCTCGAGACTGCGTAGGACGATTTTGAAGGTAGACAGCCAGAAGCACAGATATGACAAAGAGCCTCTGAGAAAGAACAATCTCCATAAACGATCGCAAGAGCACCGAATGTGAAGTTGCGACGGTTGCAATTTGTCTCTTTGTATACATGCGACAAGTTTGATGTTTTGATGTTCCCTTACCTTGGTTTAGAAGTTCATCGTTGCGCTTCAACGAGTTCCGATGCCGATGAAACAAATATAGCATCAGGTTCAACGGCGAGAGTGCATCCCGGTATGAAAATCCCAGCAATGCGAGACAAAATGACGCATGCCGTTGCAGTAAGCGTTGGGCTAACCGACCACCGCATGAACATTATTTGGAGGTGCTTTCCGGTTAAAGGTCTGGATCTCTTCGGGTGGTGCGGGCCCCCCGGAGTGGTCGGAGGCAAGAAATTGCAATTTCTTATGGCGCTCAGCGCGTGAGCACTTGCGGCTCAAGTAGCATCAAAATTGTCGCTGGGCACTTACTGTACGGACACACGGGACCAAGATGCGACGGGCGTACAAGATCAGTTCGCCGTGAGCATCTTCTTCGCAAGTCTGCCTTGCAATTTGGGTAGTAGCTTGACGATGATTGTTCCCAAGTAATGCTGGAGTCAGGTACACGCGAGTGATCATGGAGATGTGCTTGAAGCTTGAATCGGTGATTTCACGAACTCGAGAACGTCACCACCAGCCAGGCACACGAGGCCATACCCGGGCTTTCCAGGATTTTTAAGGTGTCTTGGAACATGGCGGGTATGAGTTCCTGGCCTCTAACAACATTCAATCCGGCGGCGACATTGTGTATAGACTGGCATCAACGACTGTGTATGAACATCTGTTGTAGACTCACGAGCCTGATGAATGAGCAGAGATCCTTCGCGCAACTGTAGCTTTCTGTTAAGCATAGCGTAGCATTTTGTGAAATTTGCTGCAAACGAATCCTGAGGCTGTGCAAGCAGCACCTTCGACACCAAAACTCGAGTGCTTGGCTAAACAAGCGGGTAGGCCAGCCAAATGCGGAACTAGTGCACGCTGGGAATGCGTAATCAGACCAATCACTTGATCAAATAGACCTCGAGTGGGCACCGTTTGTCTCTCTTTTCCCCTGTCCTCCCGGCGCTCAGGCTTCTTTCACCCACCGACCACCTTCCCCCTGGCATCCGCCCATCCCAGCTTGCCCTCTTTCAGTGCGCCAGTTCCAGCCTGGGCTGCACCTGCCAGGTATTTCTCAAACCTCCCCTACCCCTTCCAGGCTTGTCGCAGCTTTGCTCCTTCCTCGTCGACACCCACCACCCAACCTCCCACACGATCGTTACGTATCTCGAGTCCCTTCCATCGCTTGCAAAGTGTCGTCGTCGACTCTTTGTTATCACACACCACCGCCGTCTCCTTTTGCCGATCGAATCCGGAACTCCGTTCGCTGTATCTTCCGATCGTTTTTCACAAACAACGCACCCCAGATTCGACCTTGAACGCGACGAACTCGAGCGCCTCTGAGTACGACGTCTCTCAGATGAGCATTGTCTGGTTGGGACTATCATAATCTGTGCTGAGAAAGCACATCACGACCGCCGCTTGCCCAGCATGCGGTTCTCCTTCGCCTCCCTGGCAACATTTGCCGCCCTGTCTCTACCATCCGTACACGCCATCGACCAGATCGTGTCCAACTCTCTCAACTCGTGCTCAGGCGCGGCCAACTTTACTGCAACACTTTTCAATGTTGCTTATACACCCAACAACAACTCGCTGACCGTGGAAATTAATGGTGTATCCTCGCTCAGCGGCAATGTTACTGCAAAGCTACAACTTATCGCCTACGGCTTCACAATTCTCGACGAAACATTCGATCCTTGTACCTCAGGCCTGATGGGATTCTGCCCTCTACAAGCAGGTCCTATTCCCAATATCGATACCAACTTCCCTGTCCCCTCCGATCTTAAGAAGAACATTCCTGGAGTTGCTTATACTGTACCGGATCTTGATGGCGTTGTACGCATTTTGGTCAACGACAGGGACACTGGCGCGCCCATTGCTTGCATGGAAGCTGACCTATCCAACACCAAGACCGTTTACCAACCTGCCGTCGGCTGGGTCACTGCTGTTATTGCTGGTCTTGGCTTGGTCGCCTCAGGTATCACATCTGGTATGGGACACACCAATACTGCTGCTCACGTCGCTGCCAATGCTGTCTCTCTGTTCGGCTTTTTCCAGGCTCAGGCAGTCGTCGGTCTGACCTCTGTGCACATGCCTCCCATTGTGCAATCGTGGACTCAGAACTTTGCTTGGTCCATGGGCATCATCCGTGTAGGCTTCCTGCAGACCCTGGCTACCTGGTATCAACGTGCAACAGGCGGCACGCCTACCACCTATCTGTCGACCTTGAGCACTTATTCAGTCCAAGTCCAGAAACGTGCTTTGGCCCTCAGAAGCCTGGACTACCTTAGCCGCCGGAGCACCGACCTCTTGCAGCCAATGAACCATGTCGGAACTCACGCAATCAGAGCTCTCGGCGCGCGACAGGTCGCAGCCTCCAATGGCACCGATACCTCAGATACACAGGTTGGCGCAGTGAAGATTGTCCGTGGTATTGAGCGTGTCGGCTTCCGTGCCAACATTGAGCAAACCAATATCTTCATGACTGGAGTCATTTTCTTTATCTTTATCCTCCTGGCTGTCGCAATCCTGGTCTCTCTTGCGAAAGTCATTCTGGATGTTCTGGCAAAGCGCAACGCATCAAGGCTGATAGGTTCTCTGAGTTCCGCGCCGGGTGGAAGGTTGTCATCAAGGGAATCTTGTTCCGACTGGTGAGTTGACTTCATATGGTGCAGTCGAAATATTGGCTAATCGAATGCAGGTCCTGCTTGGCTACGTCCAGATGTCCATTCTCTGCCTCTGGGAGTTCACGGAACGGGACTCACCCGCCGAGATCGTACTTGCCCTCATAATCTTCGCCAGCATGAGCGGTGCTTTGTTCTGGGCGTCTTGGAAGGTCATCTCTCTCGCTCGCAAGTCTACGGCAATGCACAAGAATCCCGCCTACATTCTCTACTCGGACCCTCAGTGCCTCAACAAGTGGGGTTTCCTCTACGTGCAGTACAAGGCTACGGCTTACTACTTCGTGGTCGTACTCCTCGCCTACATCCTTCTCAAGCTGTCTTCATCGCCTTTGCACAAGGTGCTCCTGTCGTTCAGGCTGTCGGACTTCTTATCATCGAAGCTGTCGCCTTGATCGGCATTTGCGTGCTGAAGCCGTTCATGGACAAGAAGACCAACATCTTCAACATCTGCATTGCGGTGGTCAACTTCCTCAACGCGATTTTCCTCCTCATCTTCTCGGATGCTTTTGGACAGCCGCCTATGGTCTCTGGAGTTATCGGCGTCTTCTTCGCGTTCTACAACATGATCTTCGCTTTCGTGCTTCTCATCATGGTGCTGGTCTCCAGCTTCTACGCCATCACCGCGAAGAACCCTGAGACTCGATATCAGCCAATGCGCGACGACCGTGGAAGTTTCATCAAGTCTCAGCAACAACTCACGACCGAGCTCGATGCCTTGGGTGCGACTGCTCGTGGAGATGGCAAGGAACCATACTCGCAGAACCGTGGTTTGGAGGATACAGAGTCAATCTCAACGGATTCGCTCCAGAAGCCGCCTCAAGACCTGAACGAGAAGCACCCCTACGCTCATGCTCGAGAACAGGCGCCGTCGCCGTATCGGGATGACGCTTATCGAGGCCCAGATGCGTATGCCCAACGCCAAATGCAAGGGCAGGGCTACAACAACTCTGGCGATTTTGGCTATGGCGCTCCAAGACCCGGCACGGCGCCCCAACAACCATCTTTTGATCGCAGCGCCAGCCCAGCTGGTGGCTATCAGCCTCCCCGATCCGCGCACGGTGGCTACCACAACCCCAACCAGTATCGGACAAACAACAACTCAAGTCCTTGGCAGCGCGGAGCAGGCTATGATTAGCCACACTCGGGCCCCCCGGACCATGATAACAACACATTGGGAGTGAACTCGGACAGAACCCAAAAGATGGGGTCTGGCTATTGGGACCGTGACTGGTGGCAGAGCGAATATGGCCACCATCACGGCCCGCCACCACCACGAGACTGATTTCTCCCAAAACAGATGTGCTGTGAAACAAAACTTATCATGAGACCACGAATTATTGTTGTGAAACCACGGGACCAAGAAAAACTGCATTGCATTGTTGCATGGAGGCGAGTTTGAAGGTTGTTTCCTTACTTTTGTGTGGTGGCATGCGTCGACGTCGACATGCTAGGGCACCGATGTTAGAGCGATGTGCGTACTGGTCGAGGATGCAGCACGGAAATGTGCGACAAGTGGCGCTTTCGATGTTGCTGCTCAATACCCCAAGCGGATCAAAGCTAATTGCATTATACGGGTGGGAATGGCGCGAGACACGCAAGCTGGCGAGGTGGAGTGGTGAGCGTGTGTACATAGTGTTGACACAGTAAATTCCTGGGACGAGGCAAGGCCTGCCGGGGGGTACGCAGGCTTCGTGGATTACCTACACTTAGGATAGATGAGAATGCAAGAATTGAGGTCAGAGAACTACGTGACTGCTTTCTCTGCAAATCGGTGCATTATTGACCTGGACGATGGCGTACTACCTACACTATTTATATTTGAAGGGGATTGTCGGCAGACGGATGACTGGGCCGGACTGCCAGACTGGTGAAGTCCAACAAGCACTGACCTTGATGCCTTGCTATAGGATGATGCTATAGGATGGTTGCTAGAGCTCTCTGACACACTGTCGGATATCTACTGTTCATCTATCAGAAAGCTTGGATCGTCACGGAACCGCCCGAACGGCCAGAAAGCTGTTGTAATCGCCAACCAGTCGATCTTGTGCTAGCAGCATATCCAGGTACAATTTCTATTGCAGCAACAGTCTGCTCATGAAGAAGCCTTGATGCACAGCAAGACAGGAGAGGCAGATGGCTTTTGGCTTTCAACCATAGTCGTTTAACATCTGTGCTATTCTTCATCAACACATAAGCCGCGGAGGGCACAACGCATAAGTCTAGATGCTGCTCGTTGTCTATATTTTCGACTGTCTCTGAACGTGGTGTCCCTCGCCCTCGAACAGATCTCTGGCGGCAACTTTCTGGCACTCTTCCAGGTACTTGACCTGCCTCGCGACCTCCCCCAACCTCCCCAACACCTCCGCATTCCCCCTCCCGAACCCATAGATTACGTATGGTATGCCCACTTCCGCACAAAACTCCTTCACGTATTTCTGGGCCTTCCGTAAATTATGCCGCGGCATGCGCGGATACAAATGATGCACAGCCTGGAACTGCAACCCCCCATGCACGAAATCCAGCCAGGGCGGACAGTCGACGTCCATGGTGGTGCGCAGCATCTTCTGCGGGAAGGACTCGTGGACGCCCAGGTCGGCGGTGGACATGGCGAAGTGCGAGAGGGTGATTTGGATGTGGAGCGGGGAGCAGACGATGTGGGAGACGAGGACTAGGGCGAGGCGGGAGGTGAGTGTGGGGACGGTGAGGGTGAGGATCAGGTAGCCGAACCAGTACCAGTAGATTGCGAGGCTGAGGAGTTCGAGGTACCAGTGCTCCAGGCGGGGCCGCGCTTGGGGGGTTGGGCGGAGAAGAGGTAGATGTAGGATTGGGCGTAGAGGTTGAAGTGGGCGAGGGAGAGGATGGGGTAGTAGAGGTAGTGCTGGCGGGCGATGAACCAGCGGGCGGCGGCGTCGAAGACCATGGTTTTGTTGTGGTAGGTGGAGTAGAGGTTGTTGAAGAATTTGGTGGAGATGGCGAAGACGGGCATGTGTTCTATGTCTGGGTCGTGTTCGGGGGAGTTGGTCACGATGTGGTGGACGTAGTGGCTGCGTTTCCACCAGCCGATGGAGAGGCCGCCGCAGATGTTGGCGATGAAGATGCCGATGCAGGTGTCGATGTGGAGATTGTGGGTGATGCCGTTGTGGCCGGCGTCGTGGGCGGTGAAGACGAGTTGGTGGCGGAAGAGGCCGAGGAAGACGCCGGCGAGGGCGTACTGGGAGATGTGGAGGCAGTAGAGGAAGGCCAGGAAGAGGGCGAGGCAGCGCGACATTTCCCAGGCGTAGGCGCTGTAATTGCACTGGTACATGCCTTCGGCGCGCATCTTGGCGTCGAGCTCGCGGTATTTGGTGCAGATGGCGTCTTGGGAGGCGGGGGACAGGGATGGGTAGTTGAGGAGTTCGTTGGAAGGGTTGGAGCAGATGAATGCGGGTTGGGCCTTGGGAGTTTGAATTTGTTCGGTCGCTGGCTCTGGCAGATCCAGTTCTGAGGGGCCGGAGGAGATAGAGCTCGTCTCTGTAGCAAATCTTCGTCTGGCGATACCTTCTACTGAGTCGAAGACTGGTGAAGGGGCGCTGCTGTCGGAGGACTCTGACGCCTCTGGTTGCACTGACTCTTCCCTCTCGCATTCCTCCTCTGCCTCGGCGATGTTTCTGAAGACACCGCCTTGTATGGGTGGCACAAAGTTTTCCCACCTGCCTTCTATCCTTCCGATCACATATTTCTGCATCATGGTCACAGCCTCAGGCGAATGTAGTGCCAGCACCTCATCCGTGCTGTCTCTGCCGACCATGTGTAGTATTGTCTTTTCACCACCAGGGTGAAATGGTATCCAGGCATCGACCTTGACGACCTGACATTGCAGTATTATGATCTTTCGTCCCTCCGCGATCAACCCCTCGATCTCCCTCCGAGTCCATATCCGCTCTTTGTGTGCCCGTTTGGCAGCCATGATGGGTGTCTGCTGCTGTTATCGGTCCTGCATTTTGGTGTGAGACTTGGTACGAGGTCGCCAGGAGCTGCACGAGAGCGTCTCTTTGCCGTAGATCTGTTGACCTTCGTTTGATGTGGACAGGAACCAGAACGAAAAGCGAGGTACATGTACCTGAATGCAGGGTCCCCTGCGGTGGTCTACGAAGACAAATCCGTAGTTGCACTTCTGGACTCTACGGACCGCCGTCAAATATCAGCTTTTCGCCAGTCTATCGAATTTCTGTTAGTGTTGGCAAGTCGCTTCATGAAAGTAGCTGTTTCACTCTAGTCTTCGCCACAGACTTGCATCAACCGACAGTAGGGATCTTGACCTGGCACCCGATGAGCTCAACGCACGTCCCGGCGTGGAAGAGACTTGGTCTAAAGCTCAAGAACGCCAAGGAAACAGCAACACCGGCTAGCATCCAAAATACACATCAGCCACCCTCAAAGAAGCGACGCATCGACCGCAGAAATAGCACTGCAGAAACGCCAGTTCACATTAAGGCGAATGGATCCTCTGAATCACCCATCAACGGTCACGAACCCGTAAGGGACCCGAAGCCCAAGAAACAGGTCTCTTTCACCTCCGACACAAAAGCCACAGACGGCGACACCGCAGTGTCCATCACTCCATCCGAAGCAATCGCATCCGATGGCAATGACAAGTCAGTAAGCAAGAAGCCGAAGAAAGCCAAAAAGCAAGCCACCGCCCCGTCTCCAGGGAAGTCCCAGGACGTACTGAACTACCTTACTGAGTACTACCGCTCAAACGACACCTGGAAGTTCAACAAGAATCGGGAGACTTGGATTCTAAAGCATCTCTTCGACACGGCGGCGATTCAAACGACATACAATCTGCCGCTTGCGCAGTATTTATACGGGATCAAATCGCAGAATGCGAGGGATAGGTTACGGATGCGGTGTATCGCGGAGGGAGCCAAGCTCGGAGATGAGGACAACGAGCGAAACGGTGAGTCTGACGTAAGGACTGTACCCGGCGCAAAGGCGGCTGTGGAGATCTTCGTCAACGACACAGAAGTTGTTTTGGAAGGGTCGGAGCTGGACAAGCTGTTCCAGCGGACACCTAGGACGGCATTGGTGCTGTGGGCTTTGGATCCTGCTGCTGGTGCTACGAATGCGGGACTATCCACCGCGGACAAGAGCAAGACAGGAATAGCAGGTAGTGGTGATGCAGCCAGAAAGAAGAGAAAAAATCGAACCGCAGTGGTGGAATACTCCTCCAGCAGCAGTTCGGAATCAAGCGAGAGCGAGAGCGAGTCGAGCAGCGATTCGTCGAGTGAAAGCTCGGACTCGGAGTCATGATATTACGACTACCTACGTGCAAATATCGGGAGAATTTAGCGATATTCGCAGTATCTGCTGTATGCTGAACAACACCACACTCGGCCCAGCCTCAATATCCCAGCTAGCCTGCGTCGCCCAAATCGGGTATTATGTGCCGAATTCAAGCCCAGAACACAGCATCCTTGACACTCTGCTCCAAGCTTGTCCAGCCAGGAACGTCGAACCGCTTTAGCAGCTCTTCAGCACGCTCGTTTGCCACCTTGGACAGATCGCGACCTAGATCTGGCAAGTCATCAATGAACTTGTGCTCCGGATAGTTCTTGCGATATATCGCCAGGATATCATTCCAATTGTACGGTTTTGCGAACGTGAAGAGGCGCTCGTTGTTGACATCTGGCGAGATCAACGCGGCTACGTGCACGCGAGCGTTGTCCTGAACGTTGATGAAGTATTGCGGCGGATTCTTCGACAGCGCCTTCTCGTCCTCACTCGCGAAGCCGTTCCAGAGTGCCTTGAGCCAGCCTACCGTGCTGGGAGCGCCTTGGTGCTCAGGAGAGAGCACAAGACCCAGATTCGCGTTGGGAAGGACTGCGTTCAGGGTGAAGGATGGCTTTTCTTCCTCGATGAATTTCCAAGCGGCTTGTTCGGACTGCATCTTGCTGGCGGAATAGACGGCCAATTTCCGCGGAACACCTTCATACGGGGGAGGTGCCCAGGCTTTGTCGAGGATTTGGTCATTCCAGGTCTTTTCGTCAATCACGCTGTTGTGACCGGGTCAGCACTCCCAATACGTTGAGACCGTGGTTCTTCGCGCTACTTACAACTCGACATTCGGATTCGGGTCGGCCGCGGCGTCGAGGATGATGTGAGGACACCGCGTGTCAGACTTGGTTCCGATTTGGCGGCGTTGAGCATGTTTAAGGCGCCATTCACCACCAGTGGGATGCCCTTGTTCGGGTCGAGATTCTGCATGACCTGTCAATTCGTAAGCACGAGTCACTCAGCTTCAAGACTGCTGTTTGACACACTGGTGTAGCGACGTGGACGAAGCCTGGAAACGATCAGTAAGAGAGAGGAAGTTCTACCGATGAGTACATGCTTACCTGAAGCTCCCTTGATGGCCTCATCGAATGCGCCCGGACTGCTCATATCTGGGACTTCCACGACTTCGAATTTGCCGGGACCATACTTCTTGTCGAACAAGTCCTTGACCCACGCACCTTTCTCCTGGCTTCGGGCAGTTCCTCGCACCTTGTAGCCTAGCTGCAACAGCTGGTCGATCACATGGCTTCCGATGAATCCTGTAGCTCCTGTCACAAGCACGAGGCTACCCTCAGGAATGGCTCGTTTAGAGAACATGGTGAGAATCGTGGAAGGGAAAGTCTTCTTTGGTCAATGTCAAAGATAGTAAGCTGACAGTTGTCCGTCAACTTATTTGTACTTGCGCAGAGCGCGCCCACCTCGGAATTTTCCATCATTCTCTGCGCAAAAGTGAAGTCGTTCAAGCACGCTGCTGCGATTCACGTTGTGTACATGACAAAGGCAGTCGCAGATAAATATCCAAGTTCCTGGTCCGACCGAACACGACCTTGGGGTTGGACTATACCATGTACTTACTTCAACCAATAACATCACTTTCAAGGTGCCCTTGAACAGGCATAGCTTCTGTGGATGTGGGGAGTCTCGATAATGCTCCAGGACTTCGCTAAGGCACGAAGAAAGTCAAAATCAGACGATCGGCAGCGCAAGGCGTCGATTCCAGGACATTCGAAGACTATACAATTGGTGTTTGCGAAGATGCAGCTTGCCCGATTTCGTACGACAGCCACCGTGCTATGTGGCAGGTCTTCTGCATGGAGTGTGTCATGGCATGGCGTGCCAAAGCAAACGAAGTCTACCAGCAGCTGTAGGCCCCTCCAGGAAAATAGTAGACTGCAAACAAACCACGTGTCGCGGCGGTGGTTCTGCAGCAATGCCATGTTCTCGTGCAGAATCAGTGCTGTTTCGGAGGTTCTGTTATCATGCGGGCTGACTAATTCAGGATGTCCTACCGACGCTTAGCCAAGTAGTGGTAGTGATGGCTTAGGCGCGACTTCAGAGCCCCGCAGTGCTCTTCGATGTAGAGAGAAATCACTCGATTCTTGCAATAATTCCAGGTACCGCAAGATCGTCGTGCGGCAAAGCGATGACTCAAGTTCGCGCGCTAAGTCAACGATGGACGGGAACCACTTATAAGCAGACACAAGTCTGCCACGACAAGGCCATCTGATGAAACGAGGCACAAATGCGTTGCATTCTCTGGAATCCTTGCATCACGTATCAGGCGGACTAGCCGGTGTTGATCGCCATGCCCAGATCGGGTTCCCAGAACGCGGAACAGCAGCACCTGTTCATTGTACACGGGGAAGACAGCCGCCGCAACTTCTCCCGGAGTGTGGGACATGCTCGGCGCACTCAAGCCGTAAGGCGACATCACCAGCAAAGGGAAAGCGCCAAAAACGCTGCAGGATACGCTCGAGGTCTGGTTGGCTGGCGCACGGCAGATCCAGCGCATGGCTCGAGGAGCACTGGGCGAGAGCTTGTCTTCCGTGTACGAGGCGATGTCCCAAACCGACGCGTTACGCCAGGAACCGAAGCGACAGCCGATCAGCCACGAGAAGAAGGGTCGATCCAGTCCGCTGTAGACAATGGATTGCGAGCGGACCCATTCAATTCGTTCCCGTCAGACAATTCTCGGGCGGCCATGCATGCGGTCGACTTCTATATCAACATCTGGAGCATGTACAAGAGAGGTGCAATTGATGTCTTCCTCGGGTTGAACACTCAGATCGATCTCTGCTGGCCCATAGCACTTCAGGACGATATGCTCTTCGACGCAACCCTTACCGTCAGTCGAGTAGCATATTGTGTTAGCTCAAGTCGTCCTGCAGAAGATGATGCATTCTTCCTTAAGCACAAACAGCTGGCTTTGGCGAAGCTGAGGCAGAGAGTCGTCGAGCATGCGCCGGGCGGCGAACCCACAGAAGCTGTAGTATTCACAGTCTCGAGACTGCTGTCAATCTCGTATATGACACTTGACGATGCCAGTTTCCAGATGCACTTCAACGCGCTGCAGAACATCACCCGAAGCTACATGCGACATCGTACGGCAGACGATCAGATGACCAGGGTGGTGGCAAGTAGGATCAAAAGCTGGACGCCACTTTTCGAGTATCGACAGTCCAGAACTGGTTTCGGGCAAGGCGCACTGCAGCCCGCACAGCACCTACCGCCAATAACACGACTCCCAGCCGTATTGCCGGATGACCTGCGCCGCAAAGTTCTGGCTCTACCAAGTGGCTTTGCTCATTTGGCCGTGGGTGGCGCATTTTCCACCCAAACTGTCAATTTAATGGCTGGCATGCAGGATGTTCTGGCAAGGTTGGAAGCTGCGGACGGCAGCGACACAGGTGATGTGACCGAGCATCATTTGTGGGTGATGAAGCAAGAACTGATTGACCTACTTGCTTCTCTCGAAATAGATGCTTTCGAGCAGCAGGTCTGCCAGGGGCTGCTCGCCCTCGCGATAGCATTGCCGAGGATCTATCGGATTGGACCAAGTGATGTATGCTCCCTATCTAAGGGCGTGCCTTCAATCGTGGAGAACCCTCCGCTCGAGCGCATTGTCAAAGCGTTCTTATACCTCAAGTTCAGTGGCAAGCTGCAGTCATCCTTGCATAATCTATGCCTCCAGTGGTGCGCTCTGGCGGTTGGATGTTGTTGTTTCCTGGTCCCGGACTCAGCCGGCTCGATACAGACCAAGGGTCATATCGCGCTGTTGAGCATAACCGAACGCCTGGTTCCAGAATCGAAGAATGAACCGTGGGCGCCTTTCGAGAAGGATCTCAGAGCGCCATTCTTCTGGCCAGACAAGATGGTGAGCATCTGGAAGTACATCTACCTTGAGTCGGTGAAGCGGCAAGCAAAGTGGGAGAAGAACGGTCTGATGAAGATGGGGATGCCTTCGAGGGACAAGGTCGAATACATGGTTCTGCGGTAAGCTTCGCCCTTGATCCGGGTCTCCGTCAAGTATGTATTGCTGACTTCAGATTGTTAGCGACGCAAGAGGAGGTCTGCCTGCGATCAGTGAAGGCCTGCCGTGGTCCATCGATAGAGCACAGTCAAGAGAACTTCCGCAGGTCGCCGCAATAAACGGTATCCTGGAACAGCCTGGCGACGTCTAGAGATGAGTAAAGAGGCCACCAATTTTCTTCCCTCGAGCCAATGGGTGGTACATTGCTGGTGAGGACTTCGAGGCACTCACTCGCCTTGGATGTGCTTGTGCTACATGATAGTCTTGGGCAGCAGTGCACTTCGATGGGTAGGCTCGCCTTGGTCACTAATGCCTTCCTCTGCTCTTCATAAGATGCAAGTCATGATTCATGCCCCCAATTTGAGCCCCTTTAGTGGAGATGGATTGTCTTCACGTGATCATGGAACGCGGAAGCTAGCCACGTTGATGGGGACACCTCCCAAAATATATCTTCCTCCTTCTTCCACCTCTTCGTCGATGCTGCAAAACCGGACACTGCTTAGTTCACCAAGCATGGTCTCGCTCATTACACCACTGGCCCATTGTCAGAGTTTTGCCTCGATGAAGATGCTGAGGGCTATCTGCGACACATCATGCGAGACAAGGACGTCATTCCAACGCGAGAAATTTCAGTAGCTTCAGCTTTTCCGCAGCAGCAAGATGTATCAGCCACGAAGTTGGTGTTGCTCCCGCGCGCCTCTGAGGACAAGATAGAATCTTTTCCGTGGGCCAAAAAGAGCGATGAGTCTTGCAAACATCATGGACTCGTCGGCCCGGAAAGGACGACAAGTAGCTTCTACTCGCATTTGAGAAGAATCTGAGGCACCAGTGCCTGTGCAAGACTTCCACCACTACCTGACAGAGAACGCACTTAATGGCAGCCGCTAATTAACATGACCGGATCAATCCCTAGTTTCCACTTTCAGGCAAGAAGCCGAGATCCTTTCCTAAATCTTCACCCAAACTCTTCCCACCAACCTGCAAAGGCTTACAATCCTGCAGCACGAACATCATGCGTGCCCACTCCGTTTTACTTGTATTCACCCACTGATGGTTCGTTGCTCTCTGCACTGCAACGTGCCCCCTTTTCATGTGCTCGACGTCCCCTGAATCCAGGACCATATCGATTTCGCCCTCTAGCACAATTCCATAATCTAGACTTTGCGTGCGATGCATGCCACAGCGATATCCTGGCGCGAAGTCTACGCAGCGTATCACTGTGCCGTTTGGGTTGACCAGACCAAGTTTGCTGGAGGACATCAACGAGTCATGTGTCTGAACATCGGCGTCGTTGTTAAGGTCGGCGGGAAATTGTGATGTGGTATAGACAACGGAGAAAGCCATCTGGTTGTCATCATACGGTTGCCAAGCGAAGTCTGTGGCCGATTGTACCACAGCTTTAGATGTAGAAGCGTCGTGGCCAGTGACAAGGCGTCGGAGAGGTGGCAGGTCCGAGAGCGAACCGCCGGGTTTGCTCGTGGATGTTGACATTACAACGAAGAGAAGTTGGCTTGATAATAATAAGGTTGAGGTCTAGATATTTGGGTAGAGCGCTGCTGCATTGTAACACCGCGCCTTGGGCCTGCATATATGTAGTCCTACGCAGCGCTTGGCAAGCGAAACCCTGTCAACCATCCCGAGGTCAGTCGTTGCGCTAGGTTCGGGCATTAGTCGCAGGCGAGACGCGATCCGAGATCCTGAGCGGAAGCGATCACGTGAGCGGCTCCGGCATCCCCATCTCGGGGCCAGCAGCAACATACGCACGTCCTTCTTTCAACCTGGGTCGAGGCACGGTTTCTGGCTAGTGGCAGATCAGCTGTTGCTTCATCCGCACTCGTGTTCTTTGCAGGCTGTCGAACATAGCTCTCGCAATGATACAACGACGTAATCCCTTCACCATCCACAACTTGCCTTACGGCATCGTTTCCACACGAGACAACCCGGTCAGAAGATGTGCCGTGGCCTACAACGACTGGGCCATTGACTTGAATGTCCTGCAGCGATCAGGGTTGTTCGACAATATCAAGGAGCTTCCGCAAAACACCTTCCGCAGTGTCAGTATGCCTGCGACATAGGTTCACGCTGACCTCTTCAAAGCCCACTCTCAATGCCTTCGCTGCTTTGCCTACGAACACTCGACTGCAAGTCCGCACAAAGCTGACAGATCTGCTGTCCATGAACCATCTCAGCGGGGACCCCGCGACAAAAAATGCTTTCCTCCCCCTCGAATCGGTGGAGATGCATTTCCCCATGGACACGCGGAATTTTTCGGACTGTAGGTACTTCTGTCAGAAAGGACCAGAGCTATGTTGACCATCAAGTAAAGTCTATTGCTCGCTGGAGCACACCAAGAATGTCAGTAAGCCGTTCACTGATTATGCAGTGCTGATCAGGAGAATTGTAGTGCACCGCAATCTTCAGCAGTAATCCAATCACCCCCAATTGGTTCGCAATTCCCTCTGTGTACAACGGAAGAACCTCCAGTCTGGTCGTATCTGGTACGCCGGTGACGAGACCAGTCGGTGTGTTCCCCTTACCGAAATCGGATGGCAGCAAAGCTTCACCAACACTTCAACCGGAGACACATTTGGATTTCGAGCTGGAAATGGGAATCTTCTTGTCGAAACCCGTCCCGCGGGGTCAATGCCTGCGTATCGAAGATGCCAAGGAATCGATGTTTGGTTTGGTTATGCTCAACGACTGGTCTTCGAGGAGTATTCAATTCTTCGAAATGGCGCCGCTTGGTCCCTTTCATTCCAAAGGATCAGCAACCTCAATCTCGCCATGGATCGTTCCTATCGAGGCCTTGGACGCTGTTGCCTGTCCGCGTCACGCGGCTCAAGAGCCGGCACCGCTCCCTCACCTGACCTTGCCAGAAGCCGGCAAGGCAAGCTTCAATATTGAAGTATCGGTTAAAATTCTGCGTGAGTTATACTGAACGTAAACTCCGAAACCCAGCTGAAACAACCCAGGCGACGGACAAGTTTACGCTCTCGGTGCAAGCAACCTGAACGAGCTCCACTGGACACCCCTGCAGCAATTGACGCATCTTGGTAGTGCTGGAGAGGGCTTGTCCACAGGTGATCTCTTTGGAACGGGAACCATTTCGAGTGCTGTTAGTCCCCATGCAGAGGATCATCAGCCGCAGCTAACATCTGCCACAGAGGACGAATTCTGACGGAGAGAAAATCGGACTTGGCTGTTTGTATGAGAGGAAGCTAAGTGGAAATGAACTCCGGAGTGCTCCACCAGACATAGCCCAGACATTCTTGAAAGATGGCGATGAGGTTGTGCTTGAAGGCTGGGCAGTGAAGCCAGATACTGGGAAGGCCATCTTCGGATTCGGGGAGTGCCGAGGTCAGATATTGCCTGCCCAGCAGCTGTGATGGTAAGATGGGCGTAGTAGGTGCTTTGATGGTGCGTTGTTCACAGACACGGGAGGAACACGCAGTGATGCCGCTCTTGGTCGGTCCGGATGCTCAGCTGCCGGCAAAAACATCATCAAATTCCCAGTTTGCTGCCACAGTTGAGAAATCGATGTATTGCAAATAGTCGAGCCCGAAATCAGTCGTTGAGTCAGGAATCTCGTGGCGCTCGATCGTTTTGAGTACCAGACGCGGGTCTGATTCTGCTTGCTGTCTCAATTCTCTGAGAGTTTCATTTCCCAGCATTTCTGGAGTGACAGCGGAGTCCAGCAAGACGGTCGGAACAGGATTCGCACGACCATGAGCTCCCCCGTTGCTAGCGAGCGGTACGCCGCTCTCCTGAAATATGCTCGGTAAATTATTCTGAGCCTGCTCCGCGCTGTAGGAGATTTGAGCTACAATTCGCAATCCTTGCATGATGGAGCTAGCTAACACAGAGGCCGCACCTGTCGTGATGACCTGAGTCTTCATAAGTCCAACGACAGACTCGGCTGCCTTTAGCATGGCAGTACTGGCATGTTCGGGGTAGGGATCCCGCAGTAGCAGACTACTTTGCTGAGGATTCAGATTATCGAACTGTCGAACAAGGTTGATGATGTTGGCAATTCCACGAACGGCTCCAAGCTTATACTTGGCTATCGTCGCGTCCTCTTCGAGAGTCGTTTCTGCTAGTCCGACGTCCAGGGCGTCCGCTAAGATTAGTATACCTAGGTGAAAATGAATCACAAGCCAAACTGTGGCCGTCAGCACGATTCTGCTCACGTGGGGAATTGAGCACCGCGTCATGCGAAGATTGTCCCTTCGCTTCGCCACAGACGACTGTTCATTGACAGCAAGCCACGGGAAGGAGGCAGAATTTTGCCAGAGTCCAGCAACGCGGACGACTCTTACAGTGAAAGCCGTGTATTCCAACAACGCAAAGGGGCCGGGGAACTTACTATAGCCAAGTTGACTTTTCTCATCTAGCAAAAGGAAGTCCTTTGCAATGTGATCCATCCGTGGGCCAAAGACAAGCTCAAATTGTCGGAGCTTCGTAAAAGAGAACTCTAGGGCGGCGTGTAAATCGAGACTTGTGCGATTGTAAAATAATGAATCCTGGACATCCGTAATAGCTGCCCAGCATAGAGATTTGCAGGCACTTCCCAACTGCAAAATCCTGAGCACTGTGGCATCAGTCAGCAGGTCGTTCCTGCTACTGTTGCTGTGATCGATAGTAACTGCGCCGTAGTCATCGACCTGTTGGGATACCAGTCTCCACACACGTGCTTGTGAGCTGGGACCGGAGATCAGTACCGGAGGTTGACATCTCAACAAGCTCCGTGAGTAATCACACACCAGTCCAAACCAATAGGCGCTGTCTTGCAGGTGACTCAGCTGCAGTTCCGCGGCTGGTGACGTTGAAGAAAGCCGTGACTCGAGTCTCAATTGAAGGTGATGCCTCAGGGACGTCTCGTAGCATAATTGGCTAATTGGTGTGCTTCCTGTCGGGCCAACCGTTGGAGTAATTGCGAAGAGATACAAGGCAAGGCTAGAGCGATAGCTGGACAACGACAAGATTTGTAGGGCATCTTGATTCGCTTGACTCCATAGAGTCTGCATGAGTCGCTGACGAGCCGCTCCGTCGCGTTGATCTACCTCCTGAAAAAGATCTGCAGGAAGCCAACGAGCGGAGAAAGCATGGACTGCGCTCATAAGTGCTTGATTGATCCGAGCCTCGATCGATTCTGGACTTTCCTGGTCTGTCAAAGGATCAATTGGCAGTCGCAGGCTTTCGATGACTGCACGATCGGGACTGAGGGACCGTCGAGCAGTATCTAAGGTCACCATCAAGCGAGAGACAAGCGTTTTGGGGGCCTATGGAAAGATCAGTAGGGGTCGAATGACATCGGGAGTTCGGACTGACTGTCGAGATATGTTTGAAAGGGTTGCAATCGTTTCCAATCCATAGCCCAAGTTGAGGCTCGAACAAGGTGGTGAAGATTTCCCACAAAACGTGGTGCAACCTGAGTGCTTGTTGTCGACGCTCTATCTGCGAGGGACTTACTGGGCTAAGCAGATCAGGAAGCAGAGTGTGGCTCGAAATGGGTACAGCGCCATGCAATTTCTGTTTCTGGGCGAGCTCTGGAGCCGCTCTGCGTTTGGTGAGCCACTGGGACCGTCAGTAGTGTACGTATGGATCCAGCAAAATTGGCACAGCTCTTCCACACCCTGACGTACATTGGTGCTGCATACTTTGCCGCGACGCTCACAGTTTGAGCATGGCAGTCCCGACTTGAGGCCGGCATCACACCCGATCCGCGACCGACGGCACTCGTCACAACTTTTGTTCTGTCTGCGTACCGGCATCGTAGCCTCCCCTGAAGCGTAATCTCAGACGACCGGATCCGCAAATCGTCGGCCACGACACTATGGTTGCCTTGAGAACGTATCGCCACGTGGATGGGAGTCTCTTGTGAGGTGAATCCGGAAGCGAGAAATCGGAATCGGAAGCGAGACCTGGATTTTGAATGCCCAGGGGCCCCGCTCTCCCCGCATTCCTTCCCCGGGTCGTCGCCGAGTTAGCTGCTGCCAAGAGAATCCCGCTTCCGAATCTTGGTCTGTATGCCCTGGTCCCTCGGACCTAACAGGCTATAAGAGCCTTGCGCGCTCACTCGCCTCGCTCCTTGAACACATCGCTTCACCCCAATATTACCCGACAGTGACCACATACGATCAGTGAACAAATCACAATGGACACCAAGGATGCCATCGGTCACGAGGAGAGCGCTGTCCACACTGATGTCCACAAAGAGATACTTGGAGCCACGCGCGAGACAATTGTGATCGACGACGCCCTCGCAAAACGCGTCGTCCGCAAATACGACCTCCGGATCCTGCCGCTATTCCTCCTGATCAATCTCTTCAGTTTCATTGACAGAGTCAACATTGGCAATGCCAGAATTTTGGGACTGGCGAAAGATCTTGAACTCGGCATCGGGCTCCGATACAACATCGCACTGATGTGTTTATTTGTGTCGTACTGCGTGGTCGAATTGCCGTCGAACATTGTTTGCAAAAAAATTGGTGGACACGTCTGGATTCCAACCCTGGTCTTTTGTTTCTCTGTGCTTACCATTTGCACCTCGGTCGTGCAAAATAGGCAAGGCCTCTATGCCGTGAGGTTTCTGTTGGGATGTGCGGAGGGAGGTATCAGTCCCGGCCTAGTCTGGATGCTCAGCCAATTCTATCGAAGGGAAGAGCTGGGATTCCGGACCTCGATCTACATCTCTGCTGCCAGTGCTAGTGGCGCTTTTGGTGGGCTGCTTGCCATCGGTCTGAGCAGTATTCCTCGCTGGGGTCTCATTCATACGTGGAGGAACATCTTTTTCTTCGAGGTAGGTCGCCACAACTCCCGCCCGAGACCGAGCTAACACGTCCAGGGTCTGATATCGCTGTTCATCGCCGCCCTTGCATTTTGGCAGATACCAAAAGGCCCAGAAACTGCTCGCTTTTTGAAAGAGGAGGAGAAAGTGGTGGCAGTGGATCGACTCAGAGTTGATAGCGCTGGCACCACAGAGGGGGGACAAACGCGATGGAAGCATGTAAAACAAGCTCTATCCAGTGTACACGTCCTCGTGTGCGGGTTTGGCTTCTTCTTTGGCAACACGGCTGCCCAATGTTTCTCCGTCTTTGCACCAAGCATCATCAGAGACATGGGATACGCTTCGACACGGGCCCAACTGCTCTCTGTCGGACCTTACGTGGTTGCTTGCATCTTCTCCGTCGGTATTGGCTGGCTATCGGACAGATACAAGGCGAGAGCAGTGTTGATCATTTGCTCGGTTCCACTGGGTATTGCAGGATTTTTCATGCTGGAGTTCCTGCCCGCAAGTCAGCCATCCGCCAAGTATGGCGCGCTTTATCTGGCGGCGACTGGTATCTACTCCTTCTTGCCCATCTGGCTGGCCTGGGCAGTGAACAACTGTGCGACAGCAACCGTTCGAGCCTCGGCATCAGGGATAGTGTTCACCATGGGATCACTGGGAGGTATCCTGGCTCCATGGATTTATTTACCAGGCGATGCACCCAACTATCGCACGGGTCATGCCATTCTGTTGAGCTTCTTGTGCGGGTCCTGGGCATGCGCTGTTGGACTGCTGTTCTACTGCAAGTGGGAGAACAGACAAAGAGACGCTGGGAAGCGCGACCACATCTTGGAGGGGTTGACAGAGGCTGAAGCGTTGGAGCTTAGCTCAAGACATCCAGCTTTCCGCTACATAATATAAGGTGACGCTGCACTGACGCCGCGGCCCAGATATTCTAGAGTCGTGATTCATCAATTGCAACATCTTCGTGGGAATCTGTCTTTCCTCTAGGCCACATAGGACATAGGTGCAATGGAGTTACCGTGACGTGAGGGGATTTAGGATCGGCTACTCTCACGTGATCGTTCCAAGACCGGGAGCTTAAACTCACGTTGTTGGCATGAGCCCGTTCAGATTGAATTGTTTCTCGTCTCTTTCATTCCCTTTCCATAGCTATGCGAATTCCATCTCATGCTTAGAGCGAGTATGAATGACGCTGCAAGCCATGTCACCATTCACCACCCCGCTGTTGTAGCTCGGCGGCACTGTCTCGATGTACAGGCCAAGCTCAACCATCTGCGCCACTTGATCCGAGACACGCAGACCACTTCAATCCAGATCATGCTGCGTGCCTCACACTTTTGGCAGTAACTACTTGCGTCAAGCGCAAGACCGCGATCAGGCCTGAGCCTTCGTACGACCATCCTGTAGAATCATGGCCGTGAAATTGGCGCTCGGTTTGCATGATTATGGGCCACGTCTGGAAAACCATGCGTCAGAGTCATGATGGTACGTAGCCTTGATTAGCGACCGAACACAACTTCGAGCAATCTGGGATACCTGTCTTGGGCCATGATGGCAACGCGCAGGTTCAATCAGCGCGCATTAGGCCTTCGCCTCACGCGGACGGTTTATCCTTGGTCTATCACACCCGCCAGGTCGGGGTTCGTGTTTGATGGTAGGAGCGATATCGGACCATGTAAGTCACCGTTCGTTAGGTCACGGACCGCGGGTGACTGTCGCTGAGCAGGCAGACGTGCGTCAGTGGTGCGAATGTTGTTCTCTACGCGTCGCCGCTGCCTGTCGGGCGCCTGTCGCAAGCCGAGACAAGGAGGCAGTTCTAGCGACTTCCTCATACGTGAAGGGTCACTTGAAGGGGCTTGAGGAGGTGCAAGGCTAACCCTTTGTTGTATGTTTTGTTGCCTGCCTTTTTGCCAAGACTAGTCGCTTCCACAAAAGTCTACTAAGTACTCCTTTACTCCTGCCCTTTGATGCCACTCTGAAAATTCAGCAGTCGCGACCTTCTCTCCTAGCTACTGCCCTCTGGTTGGTCCATGCTTGCCGAACCAACATGGCGCCCCTCCCGCATCCTGTGCTATCATGGTATTCAGGAATAAGCGCGAAATACCTCGATCTCATTGGTGATTTGGGCGTCGAGCGCTACTTCATCGAAGGCGATTCATTGCTCTTGGAGTGCTTCAGCAATCAGCAGCTAGACTTCAACCCTGGCTTCCAGATCCTTCACGCTGTCTGGCTTGTCGAAAAATATCTGTCCAACCTCATCCGACGTAATGACAATGTCCACATCATATTCTTCGACCGCCATGCCGACTACTGTGTTCCTCCAAATGTTCGCAATCCGACGAAATATCTCCTAGCACGGTCGGTCCTAATCCAACATCTCAAAAGCCACGCACAACAAATCAAAGTCCTCTGCTTTCCGCACCTCGAGAGTCATGGCTTCGAAGAATATCTATTACAGACTGGGTGCTACTTTGCCATGTGCTCCGACGGAGCTTCTTACGCGTACTCGAAAGCCAATAGCGCTCAGCTGGCTGAACACGAGTTCTCCTCGCATGCTTCCGATCACGAATTGAAGCGTCAAGCTGGTCTGCGGAGCATAATTCTCAGCTTGAGCCTCAAGAAGGTCGATGTTGCACTACTCAATGGCCTGACATGGCAAGACAGCAAGATCTTCGCGTTCGTCATCGAGCGGCGCCCAGCAAGCCCAGCGGCGATCGCTTCTGCGCTGACGGTACCTGCAAAGCCTGATGCTACGGCTGGAGAGGCTGTCGTTGGCATGTCCGTTGCGGATGACTTAGTATCGAGACCCCTACGAATGCGCTTGATTCTTGCGGCGATCGCTTCTTCCGGCAAAGCACTCTATCGATCCCCATACCTCCTGCCAACGCTCATCCATGCGGCATACCTCGATATCCTGCCAATCACTGCTCGTCGCTATGCGGGTCTGGAGTTCAGACAGGATGAAGAGGACAGCGTCGACGAGTACCTGACACAGCTAATTGCGGCGATTCGGCAGCAGCTCGCTTCAGAGAGCTTCAAAGTCGATGCTACCGTTGTCGATCTTCTGGATGGACGATTGTTTCGCACGATTCTCTGCAATCCCGGTGGCGCTCTGGCTGGCTTGCCTTCCGACCGAGCAGAAGATGTCAAGCACCTTCTCGTACGACTCGGAAGCCCCCTGGCCCAAATCTCGACAAAGGGCAAATTTCCGTTGAAGCGGAGCTCTGACGAGCATCCTTCTATCGACTCTCGAGTACTCCCATTCTCCCATCCTGCCTTTGATGCTCATCTGGCGCCGATACACGTCGAGACAGATGTCGACAAGGTAGTTTATAGCGGCAAGCTCTCTCTCGAACTGACCCACTGGCACTCGTCAAAGAAGAAGCTTGTCCAACATGATCTGAAGCCCGCAGATCCTTGGCTGGACAGAAAGATTAGACGACAAGAACAACGTGCTATGGCCCAGCTGACAGATTACGCTGCTTCTTTGACCGGAGGGCCTCTCAATGCGCAGTTGATCATTGCCGAGAAAGACAAAGGTCGAAGAAAGCCGGCAAGAAATCATCGGCTCAGGAGGCGAAGCCAAAGTCTGCGAAGGCACTCGCTATCATTGATCGCAACAAAGATCGCCTAGCTTCCCAGAAAGCTTCCAAAGACACGAAGAAGCCGACCAAAGCTACGACACGTGCGAGGCAGCGATCCATTAGCGACGTGCTGAGATACGACGGTCCCAGTCTGGATAGGAGCATGGACGCACGAGACGATCCTCGCGTGCCGTTCAAGCCCGATGGCTGGCAAATCAAGGTTCTCGATGAACTAGATGCGGGTCATTCCTTGCTCGTGGTTGCACCAACAAGCTCCGGAAAGACGTACATTGCTTTCTATGCAATGGAGAAGGTCCTTCGCGCAAGTGACGACGATGTTTTGATCTATGTGGCGCCCACCAAAGCTTTGGTCAACCAGATTGCGGCTGAAGTCAAGGCCAAGTACAAGAAGAACTATTACCCAGGCTCTGGAAAATCATGCGTGTCGATCTACACCCGTGACACTCGAGTCAACAAGCCTACCAAAGCCCAGATCCTCGTCACTGTGCCACATATGTTGTCGGTCTTGATGATGTCTCCAGCGAATAAAGATTGGGTGCCTCGTATCAAAAGCATAATCTTCGACGAAGTGCACAGCATCTCACAGGCAGAGGACGGACTTGTCTGGGAGCAGCTAATCATGTCAGCGCCTTGTCAGATCATTGCGCTTTCGGCAACCGTCGGAAATGTTTCAGACTTCAGCAAGTGGCTCTCATTCGCACGAACTGGTAGTGGTCCGCCTCTCACTCTGGTCGAACACGATCAGCGCTACTCAGACCTTCGCAAGTACATCTTCCGAACGGAAGTGGATAGCGTTGACCTGAGAAATGGTATCCCAGAGCTTCCCAAGCATGCTTCCCTCGGCTTGGAGAACGTCCAGAGTATGCAGAATGTGCATCCAATGGCATGCATAATCCGGCCAGAGCGAGGTCTTCCTCCAGATCTTACTCTCGAAAGCCGAGACTGTTTGTCTTTGTGGGAAACCATGAAGGAGCATAAGGCTGTTGGATTCGATGTTCCGCATCACCTGAGTCCTCCTAGCTTCTTCCCGGCTTCCGGTGTTGTGAAGGCCGACGCTGTCCGATGGGGTGCCGCATTGAAGGAAGCGTTCGCTGGCTGGATGGCCAACGCCGAGTCGCCGGCCAAAGCTGTGCTAGATATGCTGAGCTCCAACATCCACCAGGACCAGGACGTCGAAGAAGAACAAATGGAGGACACAGCTGCAGACGCTCCTACAGCTGCAGACGCTCCTCGCACAAAGTCTTTCCTTAAAGGAAACATGAAGCTGATTTGTGACCTGCGAGCGAATGGAGCCTTCCGGCGATCTTATTTAACTACAACCGCAAGGAATGCGAAGACATGACGCGAGATCTACTTGATCAGCTCGAAGCAGCGGAAGACCAGTTCAAGTCGGTCAACTCCGAGTGGAAGGCGAAGATGGCAAAGTATCAGAAAATCCAGCAAGCTCGCAACAGCCGCACAGCTTCCAATGCAGTTACCGCCAAGTCCAAGGACAAGAAGGGAGACTCTGGAAAGCTAAGCAAAATGGAACGCGAGCATGCAGACTTTGATGCACGAGAGGCGGCTACGATGCACTTTGATCCGGATAAGCCTCTCGATCAATTCTCCTTTGCCGACATCAAGAAATCCGATAGTGAACTCTTCAAGACCTCCATTGAGCACTTCGGACGGGTGAAAATTCCAGAGTATCTCATATCTGCCTTCAACCAGGGCATCGGTGTCCACCATTCAGGCATGGACAAGTATTATCGGCAAGCCGTCGAAATGTTCTTCCGGAGAGGTTTCCTTACCGTCGTCATCGCCACTGGTACACTGAGTCTGGGTATAAATATGCCCACCAGAACTGTCGTATTCGCCGGAGACTCGGTCTATCTCAACGCACTCAACTACAGACAGGCCAGCGGTCGAGCAGGTCGTCGTGGGTTCGATCTGCTGGGCAATGTTGTATTCCACAACATGCCCACGGAACGTACTCTTCGTCTGATGAGCTCGCGGCTGCCTGCGATCCTGGGCCACTTTCCAATCCCAACGCTCTTCGCTCTACGACTTTTCACTCTCCTGCATGGCACTGAGAACGCACCGTATGCCATGTCGATGGTAGATTGTCTCCTGTCGCGGGCTCAACTGTATCTAGAAAGCGAGGAATTCAAGACCTCTGTGCGACACCACGTCCGGTTTTCAATCGAGTATTTGAGATCTCAAGGCCTCATCAATGCCAAAGGACACCCGATCAACTTTGCGTCTTGCGTTTCGCATCTCTACTACGCCGAGAAAGGCGCACTTGCTTTCCACTCGTTGTTGAAGGAGGGCTACTTCACGAAGCTTTGTGAAGAGTACAATACCGGCAGTGCAGAGATGGTCCTTCGGAAGCTCATGCTTGTTCTGGCAAATCTATTTGGTCGACGACCCATGCGACAGGTCGAGCGGGAGGATGAGAAAGAGAGAGTGGAGAAATCTGTGACTGTCGTCTTTCTTAAGCCTCTTCCTGAGGAAGCCCAAGCAATTCTTGTCACACAAAACGAGCAGGTATTGGAAACCTACACTTCGTACGTTTCGACTTTCGTCGAGCAGAACTGCAAAGATGCCGACGATCGACTACCGCTGTCCAAGGTCCAGGTCAAGCCATCTATGGAGACTGAGAAAGGTGCTGCTGCGCTACAGGGCCAGTGGCCTTCCAACAAAATGAGATCGGCATTCGTGTCACTGTCAGGCCATTCCGACAACTTCGCATCGATCGACGACTTGTGCAACGGAGTGCGAGAAGGCGTCTTTTTGGAGAAGGCTGTCATACCGAATCTGGATCTTGTTTCCAACAGAACCCATCTGAACGCATATTTGTACGATTTCTACATCCATGGAAGTGTCAAAGCTCTCGCTGATGCGAATCGTGTTCCGCGAGGAGATGTATGGTAAGTCGTGGTTTGTCGTTTCTTGCCGAAGAGCTAGATGACTAACCTGTCTCAGGTACCTATTGAACGACTTCAGCATGACTCTAGCCACAATCATCACCAGTTTGGAGAACTTTATTGACCCGAAGGCTCTCTTAGACAGCGAGGAAAACATTGAAGCAATGGACTTAGATGAGGATAGCGAATATGAGGAGGCGGACGACGGAGACGGTGTTCCCTCGCACAAGTACGACGGCCAAAATGACACCTCCGACTCTGACGAAGTTAAGGACTTTGAAAAGGACATGCGCCACGTTCACCGTATGTTCAAGGCTCTGCAGGAGGAGTTCGAGACGAGGTTCAGAAAGATGTGGGCCTGATTGTTGCTCATTCCACTTCGTACGTCAGAGCGGGCGCAGAACGTCAGAGATACTTCGTTGTCCTAGCTGGTGAATTTGAGATGAGCTTCACTACAGCGTCCGGTCGTAGTCACCGTTCATCACGTATCTCCGTGCTGGAAAGCAACTGTGCGGATGGCATCCATGAATGGCAGTCGGATATGGTCTCCGTCTCTCATTCGCACAACCCCGCCTGGAGTATCCCCAAAGGACTGACGCCGAGGAAAGCCCAGAGGCGTTCGGGCTTGGGGAGCAGAAGTGAACAGGCGTTCGACGAATCATGATCGCATGATTTCAGCCACCCAAGACGAGGCCTAGGGGCTCTCTGCCCGTAGGCGTGACCGCTCTTTTGCCATGTGCTCTCTTTTCTGCGTATCACTCAGGTTGGGTCATCACTGGCGAAGAGACGCAGCGTTCGAGCAACCCCTCACTTTGAGCGACACTAGTAGCTAGCAGATCACACGCAGCAATCATTAGGTATCCTCCAGAGCATTTCTTTAAAGTATTTCTCCGTGAACTTTCAGATTTACTGAGTCATCGTCTCCCCAACGCTCGCCCTTCGACAGAACAACTGCGACATCGCGGGCATTTTGCCTGATGTCGTTCTTTAGGGCGTGTAGCTTTGACGAAGAATTTTCGTTCGATCCTGTGGTTGCCTGAAAGGTACACTTGTGTCGTTCGTGTGGCGACTATCGCAGAGACTCAACTTCTGCTGTAGCTGTCTAAGCCTGAGGCCTGGTCGAGAGGAGCTTCGAGTTGTCGCAATTCACCCCTTAGGGTACTGTCGCGCAGAAAGCCTTCACTTTTCAGAACTTCAGACACCTCGAGAGGACTTACTAGCCCGGAGAGTACACAACAGGATACAGGACACAGGCCACGAATATACCCATTTGCAGCGTCTTTCATTTTAGCTTGTGATTTTCTGCGCGAGGCGATATTTAATTGTGTCGCTGGGAGACATACTTGCGACCCAACCACAAAACACCAGCCAAAATGCCCGAAACAATAACCGACCACGCCCGCGACAGCACCCTCGGCACACCCGACATCCCCTCCTCCCAAACCGTCTTCGTCATCCACGCCACAACAAAGATCTCGGCCCCGGCCTCCCTCGTCTTCCGCACCCTGCGCAACACTGACACCTGGCGCGACTGGAACAAATTCTGCCCGCGCGTCACCATCATCCAGCAACCCCCCGAAGCAGAAGATGAGGCGACCCTCGCCGAGATTCAGGAATTGGTGCGCAACACGAGTGTAGCAGGCAGCGTGGACAGTGCGATCACTGATGGTGCCGCGGGACAGGGGACGGGTCTGATCGGGAGGAGGATGAGTGTGGAGGAGGAAGATGATGTGAGGGCGGCGCCGCCGCCAGTTACGACGGTGAGGTTGCGAGCTAGTATTGCGAGTCAGGGAGGGAGGCCCAGTACGGGGTCAGGGAGGCCGAAGGCGGGAAGTATGGCGTCGGGGGGTGGGGAGGATAGCGCGGCTGCTATGGCGGCGATGGCAGTCGCTAATGTAAATGCTTTGCAGAGTCAGGGTATCAATGGGCAGGATCACGCGAGGAAGCCGAGTGATGGCACTAATGGCGGGCATCGCCTGTCCGCAGCGCAGAAGTTTCAGCAATCTACCGAGCAGCGCAAAGCCTCGATCGCGAGCGGCGAGCGGCCTGAGTCACCGAACAACGTCCTTGTTGAGGCGCCGCACGACCCGAACGTTCTGGTCCCGGCGCCAAAGACCCCAGCGGGACAGGAGGCGGCAAAGACACAGCAGAGGCGTACAGCCAGTGTGTCCGCTGCGACGAAGCGCAAAATGTCTATCAATGCCATCTACGGCGAGCCCAGCGTGCGCATCCAGATGAATACGCGCATGAATCTGCATCTGCGTATGAGGCTGCTGCAGAATAGTCTGGGTACAGACCGCGAGCTGGCAGTCATCGTCAACGAAGTCTCTCGTCCAGAGGACAACGAGGAGGCCCTCTTCCCAGGTGGTGGCAACAGCGGCAATCCCGCGATCAACTTGCTTACACCAGACGGCGAGGTCAATGAAGAGGGTATGCGTCGCGTCAGCCGCATGGCGACGCACGTGGCCGCCAAACAGCCGGGCGTGTACCGTATTGTGTGGAGCATGAACACGCAGTATGCGCCGCCGAGATCGTACCCGAAGTGGATGCTGCAGGCGCAGAGGGTGCATGAGATACGAAAGGTTGTGAGAGGGGATGGGAAGGAGGAGTGTGTATATGAGGATTGGGAGTGCTGGCGGGGAATGCTGGCAGGCAGGACGGAGAAGAAGTACAAAAGGTACTGGGTGGAGAGGGCCGAGGGTTGGGGAAAGGGGTTGGGGGAGTACTGTGAAGCGATGGGCGGTGATGTGGAGAGGAGAGACTTCGTTGGGCGGTGAGAGTGGTCGCTAACGGGTTCAGTCGATTGAAGAGGGACAGTAATGCAACTGGATTGCAAGTCGTGGTTGTGTTGGATAAGGACACGCTGTGAGAGTCACAAAGGCATCTAGGGTGCGATCCGGGTGTCGTTAATGGACGAGATGTCGTTAATGGAAGGAAGAGCAGGTGGATGCTGACCATAAGGCTTGGATCTCCTTGACCAGATGTCGGTTTAGAGCAGCGTGGATGGTGATCCCAAAGCAAGAGTCGAAAGGCTAGATTATTCTTTCACAGGCGTGCCACGATGTGTTCGGTATACTCACGATTGTAGAGCATCGGACTCACCGGATCTCGGCACCAAGCTGCAAGTAGAATACATAGAGTTCTGTCGAAACTCTACAAAAGCACAAAGCTCTTCCGTCAGACGAAAGTATATCTCGAGCCTCCACGCGTCCACTCTCCTCACCCAGATCGATGCAACCTCGTTGCTTGCTGCTCATGCCTAGACGCTAGGATGTCGTCAAGACGACCGCCTGCGGGTCCACGGTCGTCGTCGATATACACCCAAGTGAGGACGGAGGACGACAACGATTTTATTCCCGGTCTTCACCACAATAAAGGCAACTCGCCGCTGCTATGGCTAGCAGTCGTTGTACTATCTCTGCTCTTAGCTGGAAATGCATGGCATCAAGGTGGACTTTTCAACACGCGAAACCCGAGGGGCTCGTATGAGAAGGGTTTCAAGACAGAGCTAGGTCCGAGCTGGTCAATCGACGAAAGAAACGAAGCACTGACCTTGTCACAGTCCAAACCTATATTCGTCTGGAGGAGAAGCGTTTTCATGGTGCTTTCCGCGTAGACGACCAAGGTTACTGGCATATGAGTACCAATCCCGACGAGCAACATATGTTGGAAAGCCAAGTCGCGAGATGGACAATGCTTGGGTGAGACTGAAAACTCGTCAGCACTTCCCTCCCCCCTTAGTCAACTATGACTGAGGCATTCTCCAGCTCGCTTCTATGGGCACACGGCCGCAGAGGTCCAGAAGCTCGGCTTGCAAGCGGATCCGGAGGACTATGAGCCAGGCTTGGGCTATGAAACGCCCTTGTTCCGGACTGAGCCAAGCACATACCATGATCTGCATTGTCTGGTTCGTTGGAACCCATTCTCTGCACCGCCGTGAGTATGAGACTAATGATTTGTAGGACTATGTTAGGAAAGCGCTGGACTGGGAGTACTACACGGATATAACGGTGAATCGTACAGCACCAGAGCATCCAGGACACGCAAGTCACCGACTGCACCTAGGTGAGTGCCATCAGACCGCTAGATCTTGTGGCGAGGCAAAGGTACTGACACTGCTGCAGATCACTGTATCGAGCTGATGAGACAGTCGTTCTTATGCCACATGGATCTCACACCGATACCACGGCGATGGCTTGTGAACGGAAATATGATGCATGCCGACCAAGACCAAGTGCACATGTGTCGAGCGCGCGAGCCCTTCCATGACTGGATTCAGGAGCAACCGATGGAACGACTCATCTCTCCCGTGTAATACCACGCACAGATGTGTCTTTCCAGACATTGATACGATTGCGCTTGGCATTATAGTATGTGACTGCACGTTGCAGACCGCAACATTTTGTCGGTCGACAGGTCTGTGGCTTGAATAGCAGAAGAAGAGCCTAAGGCTAGCATTCTGAGCAAGATTGATGCGCACTGGATCTGGAATTGTGCTTGTCATGTGCATTGTTGTAGGATAGCATTGGCCGAGCACACCCTGACATGGCTTTGTTGCTTCCTGTTGACCCAGAGAAGCAGCGTCACTTTTTGCAGTAGTTGAGCATGCTCGCATAGGAGCTTGCATTACCTTGGCACGTTCGCAGTTTCGCCAGAAGCGGAAAACCATCGTGCAGTCGGAAATGGCAGGCTGTCTAGACATGACATACCCATGATGAACGGGAGTCATAGGTATGCAGCATCGTGCAGCTGCCACGAGTGCCCTGACACGGTGACAACAAGAATGTCTGCAAAGAGATTGCTTCTCTGCATATGTCAACGTCCATGTATCGACATGGAGTCAATGATCGCCTTCGTACATGCAGGATCGGTGCAGAAGGCACGCAGAGGTACTTTTGACGTCTGCAGGGCTGAAGGAGTGCGCGTTCGTGATGTGCTCGTGTTCGTGTTGGAAGCCGAGAAGAGCAGGGCGAAGCAGGCTGGCACTTGTGACAGAAGCGACGGCTGTGGAGGCTTGGAAGCTTCGTGTCTGCACAGCATGCATACGAGGAAGTTTCTCATATCGCCAGATGCGGGCGCGGCTTGCTTTCTTGCAGGCTTAGCTCGACCTCAAGTTAAGTCTTCGCAGCACGGCGCTGGAAGTCACACCTGATGCAGTCAAGGCTTTGATGGCAGTACAGGAAGCTTCGCGGTGTGCGCGAGGCTCGTGGAGGCCTGCCGCGTATGTCTCCGTGATCATGAGGGCATCAAGTCGTGAACGACGACTGTCCGGGTATACTGTGGCAGCCAAAGTTCCAGGTTGCGTACGTAAGGAATGAGCGACATCGGCTTGCAGTCACACTTTGGCTGTGTAGAAAAGCGAGAGTTCTACTCGTGGAAGCTTGAGCATTCGTTCACTCGGAGTGCCCGACGTGAGTCTTGTGTAGTGGGGCTGAGATCGAGTATTGAGTATGCTCGAGTCGTGCCAAAGCCACACTTGTAGGGCGTAGTATGGATTACAGCACAAAAGGGAGCGAACTTTCTGAACGGATGTCAACTCCAGGCGAGAATGCCTTTTGGGATGATGAACAATGCAGACCGTTGATGAGATGAACAAATCAAACCCTGGTACAAGATGCAGCCACAGTCGAAGTAGTGAATTGGAGAGCATGGTACTTGCCGCAAACGTCACGGTGGCAGGTGGTACTGTAGATTCTACGATTGAGGAGGAAATACCTTGGCTTTGGGTGCACCTTCCCCATAGATTGCTAGCCGGCCGCCGCACGAAGCCTTACCCGTCGAGATCACTACCCGATGTTGCGATCGTGGTGAGATGGGCGTTTTCCCGAAGCATTCGTCAAAGCATCGATGCAGACGGTCACCAGGACATGTGCAGGCTTTTGCTGTTGGTTGCCCGTAAACCTGAGGCACCGCAGGGAAAGCTTCACAAATGCTCGAGGAAGATGCGTTCGAGGAGGTGTTCAATGACCATTCTCACGGTCACGCCGATGGATTAGATTTCTAAATGTGAGATAGAGCGCCTGTCTCTACCGTGTAAGCGCACAGCGCTGGTGATCCATATGTCTTGCTCGCCGTCATCGATAATGCCTTGCCTTCATGTTGGCCCAACTTTTCGCTGGCTGGATTCAGTCCGTCCATGTGTGTGTGTATGTAAGTGCCATTATCGCCCGCTAAGAACGCTCCACCAAAGCAATAAACAATTTGAGAGCAACATGATCGCATCAATAGTCTGGCGCAGTCGTAGTTTTGTACACGTTGATGAGTTGAGGTGGGGAAGGTCGTGAAACTTTTGACCGCGGAGTACCGTCAGCGCTGCATGCGAATCCATTGCAGCATCCTCTCGAGCGAAGGGTCTTCTTCGATCCAGTAATGCTTGCGACGGTCTGCATTTGTGAGATCGCGTTTGACGTGCTCATCTGTGATGGCAGACAGTTCCTGTTATATCATGAAGAGTCAGCGTATTGCATCTACTTTTGGCCCCCAAAAGCTGAAATGTTTAGCCAGTCCCACGTGGCGCCGATCGCTGCCCCAAGGATCGTAGCGTTGGGCGATCAACACGAGGTAAAAAAGAACATTAGACATACCTGTCGAAGTTGACTGTCAACTCTTCGTAGAGCATTTTCGTGCTGTCCGCTTGGTCTTGCGCCTCTCAGGATCTGATTGCGGCCCTGTATCCAGCGCATCGCCGCCGCCGCCCGGAGATAGATTTTGTGGGCTTGAAAGCGCCTTGTGGAGGAGTCAAGAATGATTCTGGCTACTAGTTAGTCCTTGAACTGCCACAAAGACATGGCTCCGAACGTACCTCTGCAAAGTAGCCTTCTCAACTTCGGTCTCAGAGAGGTTGCCCGATGATAGACCAAGGTTGCCGGGATTATAATGTGAAGCAAGGATTGCTTGCGATTCTGCAGCACACTGTCGAAGTACCACATAGCCATCCAGATAGTGCGACTCCTGATTGGGAGGTCGTGACTCTGGTCGCGTAATAAACGAAGAGATATGATGCTGCAGTGTTCTGAAGTCGTTCATGATCTCCAGTATACGCATCGCTCGGGCTTCATTCTCTGCTTCGTGTCAGTTGATGAATGAGGGCCGGGGCTGGCAAACACTCACTGCCGTCAGACATGTCTTCCACGTAGGAGGGTGAGTGACCTCTGTGTACCGGGCTATGCTGTGGTATATTGGCTGAGTTCGTATATTGCGTATGCCACGGCGGTGATGCGTGTCTTGTCGTATAGGATGTTGCCACTGTCTCGGGTCCAGCCTCAAGCTTGATCGCAATGTCGTTTGCGGCGAAGCAAGAAGAAAGTTCACGACCTCGAGGCTCATATTTAACAAAATCAACCATATCGCGATGCTGGTACCCCTGTTCGCTATTCATCCACCTTGAGTAAATAATCTGGTGGCTGATAGCAATGCAGCCAGTCAAGGCGGTAAGCACAGGGCAAGACACCAGGACAAGCGGGCCGTAGCGGTGGATGCTATAGAGGCAGCGGAAGCCGTTGAATGCAGAGCCAACGGTTGGGTTATGGCGGTCGGATCAGGAATGCTTGACTGTGTGGGTGTGGTCGTCGAGTTTGATGGCGAGATATGGGGCCAAGGGGGAATTTCAGAGACATGATACTCGAAGCTGTACTTAGCTGTAACTTGCAGACTCATGTGAATGCATTATCCCATAGTCATTGGATACCGGTATGGAGGCTCTGCCATGGTCATCAGCCAGTTCATCGCAAGCCACATGGCAATTGTGGGAGGGCAATGCCAAACGAGAGTGCGACATCATTTCGAAAGTATAGCAACTTGAGCCTGTAAAGTCAGAGTGCCACTTCAAGAGCCGTCGCTAGCAAAGGCTATAGCTCTAGGAAGATGTCACCAGTGAGATGCCAAAGATGGCATCAGAGCCTGAAACTCGGGAGCAATGATGAGTGGGTTCAAGTTTAGAGGCACGTTTTTCCGGGGGTCTTAGCTTACCCAGATAGCTTCCCACTAGGCCTAAATGGGTGAGCTGAGGTCCCAGTAGAACCGCAAACAGGCATCCCAGGCGTAGGCGAATTATAGCCTGGTATGCACTGCGTGGGGCGCAGGACAAGCTGAGTGAAGTTTTCAAGCCTCAGTATTGATAATTGGCTTAATTTGGCTGCTGTATGGCTGAGCGACGTGTGACCTCTGCTTCTTGGGCGTGACTTGTGGCGTTGCTGTACGCTGCTCAAACCTTGCAGCTCTTCGGTGACAAGTTGTTCCCTCGCTTCTGCCAACAGCCCTGCTTTCACCGCCTGAAAACGTATCGTACTCCTGACACGATGCATCGTGCATATGCATTCCTCGATCTTGGTCTGCCCAGTCCCAAGCTGCGGCGCCCGGAAAATCGTCTTACCGCTCCTTGAATCTCTGCCGGATACATGGGGCTTTTGGTTGACGCCAGCATCCACAGCCCTGGTCAAATGCGAAACATCAAGCATCAGACCAGAGTCGCAACAGGTAAGCTTGAGAATCCACTGTATAGCTGAACACGCCTTGCTATGTCGCTCGAGATATTCCCAACCCATGCAAACTTTGCTGCAATCGTCGACATGCTGTGGCGTTCGTTCATCGATCAATCACGCTCTGCGATTGCCTGAAGACGGTCATCGATCTCGTCTTCGGTTAATTTTCGAAAGTCCCGGTTGATGCCATCATTGCCGTCAGTTTTGGGCCCACCGACGATGCCAATCTCTAATTCGCTCTTCTTGAAGTCGACACTTAAGACAGTGCTGAGAGTCGAAATGCCTAGCTCGACCACCTCTTCCCACGTACCAGGGGCAGCATCCTTATTCTTCAGCTTCTTCTCCAGATGATTGAATGCTTCTTGCTGCTTAGGGCCCGATGCCGTCGCTTTGTAGCCAACGAAGTAGCCAGCCGGGTCACACTTGTACAATTGTGGTCCGAATTCGTCATCGTAAGAGATTAAAGTCGTTGCCACGCCCAAAGGGCGCATGTATGCCTGGAGGAGTTGTCAACACGTGCAACATGGCTGATCCCGTAGTGCTTACTCTCTGCGTGTAGACTTGATTGATGTTTGCCAATCTCTTCGCCAGAACATCACACGGCATCTCGTAACCGTACTTGTACCTGAACTCAGCCGCTTCACCTCTTGCGCGATCGACGGATGCTCTGGCATCTGCTATCGAGCCTGTCATGACGCAGCCGACGGACGGCGAGATCTTGAAGACATGGGAGACTGATGAGGGATCGATCAATTTGTCCTATAGATCCGGGTCAATCATTGTCTCGTGCAAGTTGGAGTGAGCGTGCATACAGGCACTTTCTTTTGGGACAGGACCACAGCGCAGTCCTTTCCTCGTACGCCGACTGATGTGATGTTGGCTGCTGTGATTGCTTTGAATGCATATTCTGTTTGACCTTGTCAGCGCTCTGTGATGGCGGCCATCGGAGCGAGGCGCATGGAATCCTGGAATGGACACAATTGAAGCTCAAGCATGACTCCGACTTCCAAAAGAGAATCAAGGCAGGCCCAGAGAGACATACCGACTTGATATAATCGACCTTGGTCAGAGAAGATGGTAATGTGTCGATCATAGCCCGCGCTTCCTAGAACCAAAGGTCAGCTTCGGCGTACCCGAGTGACTTTCTAAGTACGAACCAGACATCCTGAACCAATGACAAGCGCTTCAGGTGTTCCGATCTACCTTTAACAAGATACTGTCCCGAGACCTGAATGCTTGAAGAGTTGAACGCTTTCTGTAATTGAGAATTCGCTTTCGATGAAAGAGTGCTTGATGCAATGATTGCAAGAAACGCGTACTCAGCGGTGCCTTCGTCGCTGAACTTCCTCCAACTGCGGCTCCGACCGCTGCACTAGCCACCTGCCAAGACCGAGCAGGCATGCGCCACCTTACCAGTCGATCAAATGACGTCTGGGCCACGCTTGAAGAAAGTGTTTCCAGGTTGCCTTGATACTGTCTCTACTGCCAGCTGTTTCTAGAGCGTTCCTACGCACTCACCGCTGTCCACCTGACATACTTAGGTACCTTCGCAGGCAGACCCGGCCTGTCCCCGTCATATCATCATCCATTCGTGACTTGCGTCTCAACGATATCAGAAACACAACATCACCATGCATCTGCCACCATCTCAGCAGACGACGACGTGCTCGAGCCCACCTTACAGAACCTCATCGACCAGAAAACACTACGATGGATCTTTGTCGGCGGCAAAGGAGGCGTTGGCAAGACCACCACCTCCTGCTCTCTCGCCATCCAAATGGCCAAACACCGTAAATCAGTCCTCCTCATCTCGACCGACCCAGCACACAACCTCAGTGATGCCTTCTCGCAAAAGTTCGGCAAAGACGCACGACTAGTCGAAGGCTTCACAAACCTCTCCGCCATGGAGATCGACCCAAACGGCAGCATCAACGACCTAATTGCGTCGGGCGGCGACGAAGCGCAGGACGCCATGGCGGGACTAGGCGGAGTAGGGAACATGATGCAAGACCTCGCCTTCAGCATACCGGGCGTGGACGAAGCCATGTCTTTCGCCGAAGTCCTCAAACAAGTCAAGAGTCTCAGTTACGAAGTCATCATCTTCGACACCGCACCCACGGGCCACACCCTCCGCTTTCTACAGTTTCCCAGCGTCCTCGAAAAAGCTCTCGCCAAAGTCCACCAACTCTCCCAACAATTCGGGCCCATGCTCCAGGGCTTCCTCGGTCGCAGCGGCGGCCTTCCCGGCGGCGCCAACTTCGACGAGCTCGTCCAGAAACTCGAAACTCTCCGCGAGACCATCTCCGAAGTCAACGGGCAATTCAAGAACCCCGAAATGACGACCTTCGTATGCGTCTGCATCGCGGAGTTCCTCAGTCTGTACGAGACAGAGCGTATGATCCAAGAGTTGTCGAACTACCAGATCGACACGCACTGCATCGTAGTCAACCAATTACTTTTCCCAAAGAAAGGACTCGATTGCGATCAGTGCAATGCCAGGAGGAAAATGCAGAAGAAATATCTAGATCAGATCGATGAGCTATACGACGAATTCCACGTGGTAAGGATGCCGCTGTTGACGGAGGAAGTAAGAGGACCGAAGAAGCTGGAGAGCTTTTCGGAGATGCTCATCACGCCATTCCAGCCGCCGTCAGAGGACTGACCTCCCAGTCGTGACGACTTGGTGGCGGGGAAAAACGAGTGGCACGACACCATGAGGCTATGACTTGAATGATGGAGTGGATATTCCTAGAAATAAAAACAGAATTATTCCTACTCTCAGAACTTGTGGGCAGACTTGCCACTGGGCTCGTCATGTCCAAGCTACAAGGTAGCCATGAAGCTATGACTACCTGGCATCTTCATCTGCAACCTACCGTATATTGCCTCTGGCCATCACAATCGCATTTTGCCAAGCGTATCGCTCGTAAGGTGGAAAAATGTGAAATGCACCTACCTGGCTCAAGAGCGGTTGAGTCTAAAACTCCACTTACCACTGGCATCGACTGCTGCTGGACTCTCAAGCATCATCGTCTGATCATACCGTGTAGCGAAAGCTCTAGCTTCACGATCATTGAGCCTGGTGGTTGGTCCAGGAAACAACCCCCATTCCCTGAGTCCATGACCTTCAAGTAGCGCCAGAAAGCATCCTCCTTGCAGTCCACCCACTGCCATTTTCCAAGTACTCCTCCCTCGTCACCGCATAATTGCGTAGAAACTCCCTGTGCTGACCCGCGAGCCTCACTCCACCCAGCCAGCTGCTGAGGATGGGGTTCTGCATTTTCCGCACGCGCACCTCCCACTCCGTCGTGACTCGCATTCGCAGATCATTCTGCAATCTCTCCACAAATCCCGGAATGTTGGCATTGCCGCCAACGGCCAGGATATTCGAGAGCATGGTCGCCTGTATGAGCGGCGGTAATGTCGCCATGGACTGCATGACCACGTCTGCGAGGCCAGGCTGCCCCGATCCGATATCTGAGGGGTTGAAGATGATTTCTGGGACAGTGAAGCGCTCGTTGCCAAGTGTCATGGCTACTTCGGAATCGGGTGCTAGGGAATTCGCCTTGCGTTTCCGTGCGGCAGAGGCTGATGGGTCGTGAGGTCGGTGGAAGCCACGGAGGAGACGTATGCCGTCCGGTAGTACGTAGTCGACTCTGATGTCTTCGCTGCCATCTGTGCCAGGTGTTGGTCGATGCTTGTTGCCTTTCCAGGTCTTCTCGAGATCGCCGTTGATGTCGCCGCTGACGAAGCATATATCTTCTTTGATGTCGTTCACAATCTTGGTGTCTTGGGAGAGGTCGAACTGACGGGTTGAGATGATTTCTTTCATCAAGTTAGTTAAGTGCCTGCCGCCGAAGTCGAGACGGCGTATGGCCCGCTGCACAGGTCGCCCATTTAGCACAGGTGTGACATGGGTATGGGAGTATCCACTGTCGATCACCAACAAGCACTCCATGGGCAACTCGGATATGCTGTCGGGGATTGTTCTGGCCGTTCCTTCGAAGAGTGGGTGTAGATCGTTGAACGCGTTCAAGGATTGAGAATTCACCCTCGTGTACCCGCCGAAGCCAAATCCCTCCATGACGATCTCATCTGTGTTCTTCTGCAAAGCAGGCAGCATATTCGGACACTCCCCAAGCACCAACGTCGTGCTTTCTACATCCTTGATCTGGACCTCTGATGGTGCTTTTGCGCTGAAAAATGACTGCTCCCACACTGCTTTCTCGGCCTCCCAACTCACGATGTGGCCGTTCTCGACGGGCCGCCGGAAGATAGCTTCGCTCCATTGTGTGATATTCTCATCTGCTTGGGCTGCAATGTATGTCTTCCGGTCTCGACTTCTCACGATTGCGTTTGGAACCAGTCGACATCGGGCGATGGTCGCTTCATCGTTCTCTTCGGATTGCGGCGCAAAGCCGGCTTTGATGTTGTACCCACCGTTGTCGATAATGAAAGTAGACTCAGGTAGTCGTGCCGGCGCATTGCTCCCTCTACTCTTGCGAGACATGCTCTAGGAAATCGGCAGTCTCACGGACACATGGCAGCGGGACTTCTGATGCAAAGGATGCCAGACAGCCGGTGTATACTAGTCGGTACCGCAGTTTAACTTGGTCCGAACGCCGACAATGATCAGTGAATGACGTTCCCAGACAATTGAGGTTTCCCTTCAAGTTCCAGTCGCTCTTGCAATTGAACGTTGACCTCGAAGTTCAGGATGGCGGGATTTACAGCCTTAACCCCGCCCGCGGCACTGGCATCATTTCAACTCGAAATTGGCTTGCATCTACCTACACCGTGATGAGCCGCCTTGCGGGCTCAGAGTCTGCAGTATGAACAGCAATCTCAGGACGTCTATGGGTCTTGATCAAGGCTGTCTCTCTCCGAAGATTCTCATGCTATGCCCCGTAGCACGAGCATCGACGGCCTTGGCACACGGACGTACGAGGGTGAAAGGCGTCCCCCCGTCCAAGGTAGGTGAGTTGGACTGGGCGAGCTTGCGAGCGGTGTGATAAGCAGCACATGTCCTGCTTCAGGCCGAGTTCCGCGGACAACTTGGCAGATATAGCATGTTAAATTAAGTATACAAGTCCGCGACGACGACCTTCCTGCTCATTATCACCAAAGATTAATTCGCGTGTGCTACAACGACAAACTTAGCAATCCAGTCAGACAAACCCCATCCACTCGCCTAATATGACAGAATCTACCCTCACCACAACCCACGGCACCCTCTCGATCAACACCTACGGGACGCCAGGCAAACCCGATGTCCTCCTCCTCCACGGCATGTCCACCAGCCAGAAAGGCTTCCGTCCCATCGTCGAGAACGCTGACCTCCTCTCCAACTACCGCATCACAACCTTCGACTTCCCCGGCCACGGCTCATCCACTAACGCACCTGACCCACCCACCACATACACCTTCCCCAGCTTCGCCTCCGCCGCCATCGCAGTCCTCCAGCACCTAAACATCACCAAAGTCGCCATCTATGGGCACAGCATGGGCGGGCACGTCGCTATTGAGCTCGTCCACCGTCTTACCTCGGCCAACCCTGAGCTGGACATCAAGGTGTCCGGGTACATGATCACCGGCACGGGTCCATGTAAGGGCAGGGAGCAGTTCCAGGAGAGCTATGCCACAGATTCCCCGGCGACGCTGCGCCGGCAGGTTTTGCCGCCTGATGAGTCGTTGCAGCAGTTTGTGAAGGATGTCTACTCCGCCGAGCATCAGGAGTGCTGGATGCTTGAGGATTCGCGGCGGTCGGATGAGACGGCTAAGAAACATGTCTTCGGGGCGGCGACGAGTGAAGAAGCGTTGGATGAGAGGAAGTTCATTGAGGGATGAACGGTTCCCTTGGCTGTGGTCAATGGGGCGAACGACTTGTTTGTGAGGCTGGACAACTTCCGGAAGTTGAAGTATGGTAGTCTGTGGAGGGCAGAACCGGTCGTGATTGATGGTGCTGGACACTCGCCATTTTGGGAACAGAGGGAGAAGTTCGCGGAGGTGTTTGGGCAGTTTCTGGGTGATGTGACTATGTCGGATTGATCTGTACAACGCCGTGCGCAGGCAGTCTGTTCGGGCATGCATTGAGTGTTAATCGGTCGGTGAGTCTCCTGCTCAAGGAGGGCGCCGAAGGTCTGAAACTATCTCACTTGTCAAGGCAATGATGCTGAGATCGCCAGCACTCGAGTGTCGCTCAGTAGGAAAGATCTTTGGTGGAACTCCTGGCTGGGAAGGGCGTAGGGAGAAGTCGACACCAGTACGCCGTGGTCAGTCCACTTGGGAAAGCGCCCGTTGCTTGGCCGAACAGCTTGATGACGGACGATGAGCCGTCGAGGTGGTGGTAAGAATGTTGATATGGATATCCATCTCCCATTCCTGTCCTCAACCTAGCTCCTTCTTCTCGTCATTCACTTTCTCAGACCAATCACTCGGACTCACCTCTAGAGCAGCTTCAGTCGACGAGCTCTGCGCCGACTCCGGTCTCTCCCGGTTTGTATCTCCATTCCGTTGTGGGGGAGTGCTGCCATCGTTCGCGGGAAGCTGCTTCTGCAGACTAGCTTCGAGCTTTCTGAACAGCCGGTCCAATAGCCATTCAGGCTCACTCTTCTCGTTCATCAAAGGACTGCGTTGACCGACCCATGACCACTGGAATGATTCAGGATCTGGTAGCGGTCCGTCATCGTCCAGTGATGCCATATGCCGTTGACTTTTCGGACTTGTTGGGCTGTCCGGCCCAGATGCGTGACCCTTTCCTGAATGCGAGCCTGGTGCATCGTCTGCGGCGTTGGGCTGTCTATGATACTTGCTGTCTCCCTCGTCTTGGCCTAGGAGCGCGATGTAGTATACCCATTCATCATAAGTATACTGCTTGGGCTCTGCGGCGTTCGAGTCGGCGTACACCTTCCGAATCTCCTCTAGCAGCTGGCGCCGTAGATGATGCTCGTCCTCAGCGACTTTGTTGCCATGCTGCTTAGCATCTTCCTCCTCATTCCCTTCTTCTTCTGCGTAGTCTGCGGCCAGGCGTTCGTTCGGGTCCATGGTATCTCTGCTCTTTTGTTTGTCCTGCTTGTGTCGCTTTCGGAGTTGCTTGAGCCCAAGTATCCTACCAGGCGGCTGTGCGACATTCTCACCAGCCTCGGTGTCCTCATCACGGCCTTGTCGTGCTGATATGCGTTGAGTGTGCCTCTCCCTTGCAACGCGTTTGCCAAAAATGGCCTTGAGTGCTCCGTACTTCAGACGGTCGAGGATCGTAGATTCACTGCTCGGGAGGACTGTGACCTCACCAACCCAGATCGTCACGTCCTTGACCCATTTGACGACTGTGTCGCCCATGTTAGAGATCAGAATCGTCAACGTCGGAATGGCCAAAAGAGTCCAGAAGACGAAGAATGCTTTGCCTGCGTGGCTCATGGGCTCGTAGTCTCCGTAGCCGATGGTCAACAGAGTGGTATACGAGAAGTATATGCATGCGAAGTAACTCCAGTTCTGCGTGTACTCGGCTTTGTAGAAGACTAACGCTCCAATGAACCAGAGAAATGCGAAAGCGAAGACAGAGATGCAAAGGCTGAAATATCGCCGTCGAGCTGATGCCACGTACTGGATTCGACGCATTGCTTCGAATTCGTAGTGTCGTCTAGTCTTTTCCGTCATTTTCTCCGTGCCGGGCTGCAGAACCAGAGCTTTCCTAATGGTGTCGTTCAGCTTGTGGATGTGGAGGAAATTGAGTGGGCGCTTCGGGGCTTTATCCTGCCGCTCGATGGCTCTGGCCACGCGGTGAACGAGTCTTTGCCGGGCTTTCTCGGTCATCCGAGCCTCGATCTTCTCTTTACCGCGGTCCAGCACTAGAGATCGAATCGAGCCGACGAGTAGACCAAGGATCACAACTCCGCCGAGCGCGAAGAAGAACAGAAGAGACCGTCCTGTATGCGTCTTGGGCACGAACGTGCCCCCAACTCCAATGGTCAACGACGTGAAGTCGGCCCAGTAGACAGCATCCAGGTAGTGCCAACCTTCTATATGAGAGTATCCGAGGGCCCATAGGTGTTGCCATACCAGGAAAGAGATAGTCTGGAGCATGAGCGTCCGCTGAGCAACGGTGAGCTTGAACTCCTTGCTGTAGTGGCCGGTGTACGCCCCATAGACCGTTGCACACATCAAGTACGAGATGATCTGGTAGAGTCCCGCGGCAAAAATGGCGTAGTAGTATGCACCACTCAATCCCTTGTTCTCGCCATTAGGCAGGTCGAAGATGCTGGTGTTCGCCACAGAGATGAGTGCAATCAGCAGTACAGAGGCAACCCAGAATCCGATGATAGTGATAGGTTGCGCAATGGCGAACGGCACGCGTCGAGCCATGTTCAGCAGTAGCGATAGATTAGCGATGAGCGCACATGCCAGTGATACCGCATTGATCGCGATGAGCCATCTTGGGTCTTTGACGTCTATGCCATGGTCGGCACTGCCCCCAGGAGGGACGTAGACCCTCCAGTTCTCGACCAGCGCGCAGATACTGAACGCGTTGGCCATAGGTCCAAATGTACCTGCCGCCAGAGGACATGCTGTCGATGCGTACCACCATCTTGTCGGTATGAGATAGTTCTGTTCCTCGTCCTCGTCGGGGTCTGTGTCATCCTCGTCCTCCCTCTCGTCGTGGTATTCCTCTTTGACACGCTCATCTGCATTCCCGATGGGTCCGTCAAGCCCAGGATCGTTCATGGTGGGGTATCGCGGTGATCCTTCGAGCACTTGAGTGCCAGTGTCATTGCATGATGGACAATTGAGTTACAGCCAGTACGCTGACCTCAAGGACCCACGGTATTTCTAGCAGTGGAAGCCAGGGGAGGAAGTCCTTCTGCGCAGTCAATCACTGATCAAATTACTGGGCAGTGGCTGAAAGTGAAATCGAAAACAGGGCATGGCGAACGTGGGACTTTGAGTTGCGACAACTGGGCTAAGATGCGAACACCGACGTCAAGCTCTTGCCGCCACTCTGGGGGAGAAAAGCTTAGCCATCGTGACTTGCGTGACTAAGCTGCCCAAAATCTTGAGCTTACAGCGACAGGTCTAGTGCCGAAGCAACACCAAAAGTACATCTCTTGAAATTTGGCTAAACTTGAAATACCGACCAGCACAATGGTAGGTACTGTCCTCCACACATGTAGGATCCTTTATCACTGCCTACCGCCTCAATGCTCAGCAGTTCCAGTCACGAGGGCTCAGGCGTTCCTGACCTTCGCGGACAGCCTTGACCTATTAGCTGAAGGGAAATTCGGTCGACCTAGACGATTATATTCCTCTGAGGAAATCACAGTACCCGGGTATATATCAAACTCGAGGTCATGCAACCTCGTTCCTGTGCTAAGGCAAACCTTCCCTTGCACCTAGTACATGGGTAAACCTTCAAGATCGCTAAAACGCTGATGAAACAGATAGTATTCCTGGGCTGCTGTTACAACGAAATGCCGTGGCTCAAAACCGTCTAGTTGCAGTCGTGGTCGTGGTGGTCGGCCCCTCCACCGTGGTTGTTTCCGGATTTTGATGATGTGGGTTGTCGCCCCCAATGGTCATATGGCGGCTGGACGGCTGCTGAGCAGCGCCCGCATTACCACCGTAGGGCTCCGATCCGAGTCCCTGCTGATTGCTGTGCATGTAGCTGTCTAAGCCTTTGGTCGGACTTTGCAGCCCACTCCCGCTTCTGCGGCTTCTCGTTGGACTCAAAGCGCCATCGCCGGAGACAGGCCGTTCGGGCGCAACGGCATTGGGCTGCACAACAGGCCTCGCGAGGTCTTCGTCTGGGTTGAATGCACTGGCTTCGAGGTCATCGAAGTCTTGTCCCGGGTTGGCTGATTCATACTCGAGAGACCTAACGAACCAGTAGAAGCCGCTCGCGACAAGTGCGCCCAGCAGGGGACCTAACCAGTAGATCCAATGCACACCCGGAAAGTCTTTGTTGGCAACGCATGGACCAAAGGAGCGAGCAGGATTAAGACTGCCGCCGGTGTAGTACACTCCAGCTAGCTCGGCGATAAACAGCGAAAGCCCAATCCCAACTGGCGCCAGGAACGTGCCCTTGTGCTTCTCGACGGCAAGCATCAAAATTGTCAAGATAAGCTGTGCAGTCAAGAACATCTCGATGAACAGTCCTTGGGCACGCTTGTGCCACCGCTAATGGTTGTCGTCACAGCCAGTGGTCCGGGAAACAAGCCTTTGACCACGCCAGCGCTGGCCATCGACCCTAAGATTTGAGCGATGAACACCAGCCCACCTCGACCCCATGGGACTGCGCCCACGAGACAGAGTGCAAACGTGACGGCGGGATTGAACAAGCCACCCGAAATGCGATAGAATATCCATGCATTAACAGCCAGAGAGAACCCGAAAGCGAGTGATATGTACAGCAACTGTGAAGGGTTCGGGCCTTGAGGCAGCTGCGTTGACTCACTTCCGGATGTGGTCGCCGGAGTGTTTGCGACTTGTGTGCCAGCGAAGGCAAAGAAGAGGAACATGAAGGTGCCAACGAATTCGCCCGCCATTGCGACGAAATGGTTTCTAATCCGATTCGGTATCATTTTGAGAGGTGAATGTCCCGTTGTCGTTATTGTGCTTCCGGACATCTTCTCCACCCGGCCATTTGTGGCGGCAGCATCTTGCCCTGCTTGCTGCCTCCTACCAAGTAGACCTGGTAGGAGTCCCTTGCGACTAGACAGCCTGTCCATCTTGGGTTGTGTTTCACTGAGATCTTGCGTGGTACGAGGTAGATGAGTCGCAGGCAAAGGGCAAAGTGGCTTTGTGTCACAGATTAGATATGGAGTAAGAAAAGTCGAAGACCTCCTCGATTACGTAGGAGGTCGTTGGGAGACATTTTCTGCGCCCAGCATCAGAACGCGGGCTGAAAGGCGCTGGTCAAATGATGGGGCGCGGCACAGACACGCTTGACGCGACAAGGAGCATGAAACGAGACAGTGATCGCCGCCAATGTGCTGATGTGCCCCCAGAATTTGTATGGTCCTGAAGGCTGGAGACTTCATCGCCGATAATGTGGTTGATCGGTCCAAATGTGGACCTTAGCTGCAAGGCTCGTGCCTACGAGAGGACGGAATACGGCAGCTTAGGCCGCAATCAACCCATCAGAGATCGACCTTTACGCGCCATACGGTTTCGAAGATGCAGTAAAACATCTCTTTGCGCTTTGCACGGCATCTGATGTGATCTGTTGATCGGTTGTAGGCTGTTTGGCGAGTCTAGGCGATGTGCTTGTCCGTGGTGGATTTCTCCAGGCTAGGCGACTTGCGGTGTGAAGATCTGCTGAGCGGTACCCCTAACGGTAAGGGTACAAGCCACTAAGCTATTACTATCCGGCATTGGGGGCGCGACCCAAAAAGTTGATGACGCGTATCACACAGCCGAGCACCGTCAGGTCGGACTAGTGCTCATTGTGCTTCAGGTGATCCCAGCTGCATTGCCTCCACATACAAGAAGAGTACGAGTACGGGAGAAGACATGTAGCAGATGACTTCGAAATGACCAGTGCAAAAGATTTGGCGCTACTGGACGGCAGCAGATTGAGTTCATTCTGGCATCGGTGGCTACTTCCGCTACCAAGAACTCCGACTGCCGCACCTGAAGTCAGTGAGGTGGCGTGAGTGGTCTGGCTTTCGAGCCGTTGCGCATTTCGTCGAGGTCGGACTGCAAAGGCCGGTGCAGAACATGGTTTGCATAGTCACTCGCTGATGCGCACACCATATATTAAAGACGTGACTCTCCACTCTATAATGAGTGTAGGGTGCAGCTGCAGCTGCCGCAACAGTCGTTGAGTCACGTGAGATTCAGTTGGAAGCGGCCTAGCGTTGTCGAGTAGCCCCTCCCTCTTGCGAATTGGGCGACTGATACATTTCAGGGTTGACTCGAACCTGAAAAGTGAAGCCTAGAGCGAACTGCGAACCTTCATAGACCGACGTTTCTGTTCGTCTCGCCTTCCGCGTCGTTGTCGTGGCTGAGACGCGACTTCCACACTTCGACGTCTTGCTGATGGCTCGCACCAACCTTTTGGCAAGCCGGCATTAATTCAAGACACCCCTGTCGCCGCGCATTATATCATTGCCTCATCATCATGAGGCCCCTACGATTCACATTATTATTGACCTTCTTCGTCGCACTACCCGTGTTTCTGACCTGCTGGTCATTACTCTCGGCTCATGAAGCTGCCGCCGACCGGTTGCGCGTTGGCTACACTCAGAGCACGGGCCGCTTGAGGGCGTTGTTCTCTTTTTCGACCCCGTCGTCCTTGTTTCCACCTTCAGCCTTGATCAGCGTCACCAACGACAATTCGACCTTCTTCCTGGCCAGGCCTGCCGCGTTTGGGCCCGCCCTTCCGAATAAGGGGTTGAGTGGCGAGCTTTGGGTCGGCCGGGGATTCGGTGATGAGGCCGTGCTCGATGAAGAGGAGATCTACATCGCTGGGTGGGAGCTAGGGTGTTCAGATGTCCCAGGTTGGCGTGAGGATGAGAGAAAGAGACTGGATAGTATTGCAGCGAACACCAAGCCGGCGAAACGCTCGATAGACACGTCAGGACCCGATGGCGGCGCTTCGGAAACAGATGAGGCTGCTTCGACAGAGCCTTCCGACGACGGGACAGATGACTATCTGCATCGCCCTCTCCCGGACTCATCGCCTGCGAAGCCCGGGAAGAAAGGAGAACCTGCCAACGCGGGCACAACACGTTCGAAATCTCCAACGCATGCCGACATTGAGTCCTTACAGGAAAGTGCTGATATTGCTGGCAAGATCGTGCTGCTCGCACGAGGTGGCTGCGGTTTTCTCGAGAAAGTGAAATGGGTTCAGCGCCGTGGAGGTGTGGCCTTGATTGTTGGCGATCGTGAAAAGGGCGCGTCTCTGACGATTATGTATGCCAAGGGTGATACATCGAACGTTACGATACCGTCCATCTTTACGTCCTGGAACGCTGCGCACCTGCTCTCCAGCATGGTACCGTCGAAAAGAGAGGGCGAAGACCCCTCGAACGAGATGCCAGGCAAGCCTGGTGACAGTGGAAGACCGATCTTCACTTCCACTACAAGCGCTACCCAGAGCACTCGCACCGCCAGCGATGCAAATGGACATGACGAAAATCATGGCTGGATGCATGACACTCTGGCTGCCATAGGGCTGACTGAGAACTCATGGCATCAGGAAGATACAAGGAGACCACCAGGAAGCGGCAATATACAGTGGGTCTTGGCCGACAATTGGGACGAGCGGAAGCAGGGCCAAGAACAAGCTCTTGCCGACGGGAAGACTTTCACTCAAACTACCTCAAAGACGCACAAGACAGCCACATCGATCATGTCCAAGAAGACCAAGTCCACGAATGCCGCCACCGACGATTTTGTGATTGGAATCCAAGACTGGAGAGACACGCATGTTCTCGAGACGAAGCAGACCACAACAGAAGCCGGCAAGAATGCAGAGCATGACCAAAGCTCGGCAGAGACCTCGACCTCGGTCAAAGGACCGAAAGCAACGAATGGTGCTCTTCAGGGAGGCAGCATCACTCCTGGGAGTGGCGAGTATGACGACCATTCTGCAGAGCACGGAAGGATGACGTCTGGCGATGGGTCTCGTCAGAAGAGCAGTCACGTATCTCACAAAGATTCCACACACGTTAGACGAGGCCGACGATGGTTCTGGTGGTTGCGATCGAGGCATAATTGTGCGGAGTCAAAGAAGAACTCGGTCACCGACAAGTCAGCAGGGAGGCACGACATGGAGCAGTCGAGAAAGAAGCCGGACACAGATGGCTTGTGGGTCACTCTCACGCCTACAAGCGTCTCAGCAAGTCCTTTCTTCGACACATTGCTGGTACTGGTCATCAGTCCTCTTGTGACCCTGACCGTCGTGTACGCCTTGTTGATGCTTAGGTCGCGGATACGACGGCGCCGCTGGCGTGCGCCCAAGTCTTTAGTTGAGCGACTACCAGTCCGTACTTACCATACGTTGTCAACATCATCCTCGACAACTTCGTCTCAAGTGGCTAGTCCCATCACTAGCGCAGCGGCATCACCACTGCTCGTGCCTGCGACCAGCATCTCAAGCCGGCCCCGACCCAGATCGCAGACTGCCGGCTCTGTGTTGCCTGCTCAAGAATCGTCGAGATCGCTGTCGCGCAGTCCGCCGTCAGAAAAGCCAGGCAAGACTGCCAAGCGGAGGAAGTACAACGTCCGACAAGTGGAATGCGTCGTCTGTCTTGAGGACTACGTCGATGGAGAGTCTCGTGTCATGTCATTGCCATGTGGTCACGAGTTTCACGTTGACTGCATTACACCATGGTTGGTCAACCGCCGTCGAACCTGTCCGATCTGCAAAGGCGACGTTGTCCGTAGTTTGGCAAGAGCCAGCGCCGAGGAGGCTGAAGAACCGACACCTTCCAGTGACGAGATCCAGAACAGAGTCGCACAGACCGTCAACGATGAGCCTAGCTCTGCAATCCCCATTCCGGTCCGAGAAGAAGACCTCGAGGACGAAGATATCGAGCAAGGTCAGACTATCGATGATCCGTTGCTGCCTCAGCCTGTTGAACGTCAAGCGAACTGGCGGAACATCATTGCGACCAGCTTGAGTCGGCTCAGCGGTGAGACTGTCTGGCGGCAGACCCCTACCGATCGGAGTCGCTGAAGTACCGTTTGTCTATCCTATGTACAACCACTATGGTCTTCAAGCATAGCGAGGGGATCGAGCATTGAAGAACAGGTCGAGATGGCGAAAGAGATGTGGCTAGCGGACCTGCAGTCTAGGACGGTATTCTCTACTGTTTTGTTTCATAGCAGAATTTGATACCCCATTCCTGAGGAATGATCGCATCAACGCACTGCAATATGCGCACATTTGAGGTCGCATTGTGCAAGTGTATCGCACAGAACGACGCGAACATGCGTTGTCTTGCTGACAAGTCTCGTCCTTTCCAATCTTGTCAACGCTGCCAAGGTTAACGGGAAGGAACGGCTACCAGGATGCAGAATGCACAGGGCCACCATGGTACCCTATTAGCCATCTCGAGGTTTCGGTCAGAGCTTTGATTTGTCGATCACCTCATACTTGCAATCCTCTACAATACCAGGCAGTCAGGGATTCTTTGGCAGTCAGCTGGTCAGAGAATGCCTTGGGCTATCCGGGCAGTTGGCTTCAGGTTAAGCATCTAGTCCGGGCGTCGATTGGCGGTTTCATGAACAAGCACTCTGGCTCCCCCGCTCACATCACATCCCTGGGGACCGCACCGCATCGCTGCAATTGCCCAAGGGGTATATGTGAGCCAATGAACAAGAGCCACCATGCCCTGTCATGTTCGGAATCAGAAAGAACACTGCCCCTCTCGGCTTTTCGAAGAGGACACTCCATGTGTGAGATTTCCCCAACCTCGTTCGTCGAGCTCGTTTCTGAGATTTCTCTCAGAAACAGATGCAGTTTTTTCTCGAAATTCGTACACACAACCACCTACCTAGACCTCTTATATTGGGAACTATCCTAAAGTTTGTGCTCAAGCTTGGGCAGAGCTCTTCTGACATACACAATGGATAAACCTGGCGCAGAACTCATCTCTAGCGTCGCCTTCGGCATCATAGCGGCACTATTGGCTCTGGTCGGTATCTATCAAGGTGCAAGGCACTGGGCATGCTGTAGCCATCGACAACCAGGTAAGAGCACCTTGGTACGGTCTACGACAATGACTGACTCACTGCAGGGCAGGACAGCAACGGTACCGACAGCGAGACAGCCATTGCCATGCCAAATGACACTACCAGCAGGATGGAGCTCTCTCCGGCTTCTCCTGCACTAAATGGCAACACCTTTTGCACCACCACCGACACTGCTCACCCCCATACGGTGACTGATGATCACGTTGCTGTCGATAACGACCTCGCTTTGCATAGCGCCGCCGCGAACGAAGTCACTGCGGAGAATGCTAGCCGGCCACTGAGCTTGGTCATCGCTGTTGCTCGCTGCGCGGATGGTTCGCATGCCGACTCGAGCGATGCGAACACATAATAGCACCATCCAACATCTCTATGCGTGAAGAATGCTTTACGCCAGACTCAGGTGTGCTGCAAGCATCTGCGACCTTCGATCGAATACTGATAGTCCATAGACTTCGCCAAGACTCTGGAAGATCCGCAGGCGATTTCTGCATCGGGCAATCCGATAGCCGGACAGGGGCCAGCCAATGCCTGCAGTGGATCCTTACTAAGTATGCTGTAGATCGAACATAGGTACTGACGAGAACTGATGAACTGCCTTCCGCTCCAGTTCCTTTTAGATGTCCTGTGTTGACGTTCCTCATGGGTCTTGACACACTCGCTTTCAGTTGCCTGAAATCGCAGCCTTCTGCTGCATCTCCTGCAGCGTCGCGTTACCCATAAAGAAAGTTCTGTTATCCCCACTTAAGAGCTCGCCTGCAAATTGCAATCAATTGCGCATCCTTCTCCGCCGCCCTCCGCCCAGTGTAGTTCCTGAACACCTCTTCCCACCTCCGCTCACTCAGCAGTGGCATGTTCCTGTCTCTTGGCTCCTCGCTGTGCAGCGTTGCCACAAACTCCTCTGCGATGTCCGGGATGTAATTGAACACGGAGTCGCTCCTCCGCAATATCGCCCTCTTCGCATCCAGTTCCGTTACATTCATGTCCATGAAGATCTGCTGTACTCGTAAGAGCGACCGCGCGGAATACGCACACGACTGCTTCCCGGCACAGATGTCCATCATGATCGCGTGAACAAAATTTTCCCACAGGTAAACAAGTCGAGTTGAGATGTTGTCAGACTGCCGTGGCTGTGAAGCTTTGTCCAACAAGGAATCCATGTAGGTAAGATGAGCCCCATAGTCCAAGGCGCTCGTGTGATATATGTAAACGAGAGAAGATCCAAGAAGAAGAGCCAGGGACACAGCGGCTTCCAGGTACGAGCGGGCGGCATCATATGGGCGGTGTTCTGCTTCCCGCAATGATGCGAGCTTGACAAAGCTTCGCGACAACGAATCGTTGAAGTGAACCACGATCGGAGTTCGTTGCACGATCCAATTCACAGCCTCTTCTCTGCCTAGAAAAGGTTGCTGCGAAACTAATATGCTGTTGATGATCTGGACATGTCGAAAATCGATCTTCCGTCCGTATATGGTAGGATTGAACTCGTAGAGGACGTCGGCGTTCGCAACGGGAAGGCTGCAATCAACAACTCGTGCTATTAGTGGATCCATTGACCACCATTGCGCAGAAAGAGGACCAGGATCGTGCAGGACCTGGTCGAAGAGAGGGACTCTCCGCAGCGAGCTTGAGAGCCATCCGTCGCATGCTTGCAATGTACTGTGGAGCGCGTCGCCAATGTGGATACCTTTCTGGTAGAGGCCGATTAGGCTCCTCAGATGCTTGTCCGCTGATGCGAGGTTCCCAGTCGCACAATCCAGGGACATGATCAAGTTGATCAGTTTCGTGTGTTCTGCTAGAGAGGCACTCTGATGTAGCTGCTCGCGTAAGAGATTGATAGCTTTGCAGGTATGTCCTATGCTTCGGGCTCTGAAGTGCTTCCCATCGTGAGAAGCCCTGGACTGAATGTAGAAGCCAGCAGCTATCAGCGCGTGTAGCTCGGCACTGGAGGAGACACTTGCTGCAAAGTCGATGCCTGAATTAGCGTAGTCGGAGATATGCGTCCTTAACAGGCTGTGCAATTCTGACGGTCGAGACTGGAAGACGATGAACATGCCGGATGATGCGATGGCGGCTGTAGATAGAGGGCAGAGGTCGATCGCAGCTGCCGCAAACGGGTCGGAGTTTCCTTTGAACGTGCGCGGCGATGTGTGGAAGGAGCGAGCTGGAGAACCCCGGGGACTTGTGATTGACGCCTTTCCGCCTGTCCGTCGATGAATGCAACCATCACTCGACGAGTCTGTTGATCCTGTCTCATCGCCGACCTCGTTATCGGTGACTGCCCTGAGCCTGGTACCATCAGATCTGCGGCCCACCGCCTTCTTTTCAACGCCATCAAGTCGGAAAACAACCTCAGACCGTGGACGACTTGTTATGCGCCATTCTAGTCTCGCCGCCAGCGGCTTCTGCTTCAGCTTGTTATCGCGCTGTTTCTTGAGCCACTTCTTGTGAGAGTTGGATATGTGGACCATAAGGTCCCGAAATTGTGGACGTTCATCATCCGATTGCAGGCCATGATTGATGAACAGGAACGTCCGCGGTGGGATCATTGCTTCTACTGTCGTGTCGCGATGGCGTATTTAACATATGCCCTCTCACGGCCTGAGCCGTGCGAGTCGCGCACTTTCAACCCGTGTGCTGCTAAACATTATGTTTATTGTCTGTCTATCCATTGACGATGTTCTGCAATGAATGGTACCTGGAAAAAGGTATACCTATGCGAGGATTAGTCAGGTCACTGCAGCCTCCTATTGGAAAGCGAGCGTTAGCGAAGGCGGCTGGGGGCTTGTATTCTGGGCCATTCGCGAATCACAACCAGAATAACCTTGCCGTTCTCGGTAGCAATTGACGTAGATGGAAGGCACAATGTACCACGGAGGTAACAAGTCCCATCTTTAGGTACCTCTAGCCGTAAGATCTTCGGCATCAAATTGGCCCCATTCTCCACTACCATGTCACGACAATTCTGTACTGACCTGCCAAGCCATAACTTATTTACAACAAAGCAGCCAACCCCAACACACCAGCCGTCAGCCATACGTAATGTATAAAAGGCGTATGCCTCCCCATTGCACCACTGGTCACAGTCGAGGTGGCTGAGCTTGCAGCAGAGGTTGTGCTTCCACTCGCACTGCTCGTCTCACTACCAGCGCTCTCCGTCGCCGAGCTCTCAGCCGCTATTCTGTCAGCGTACATCTCCCACGGGCCTTGATCGCGTTCGCATATTTCTCCGTCCTCACCACTCTCCTCCGGCAGCTCGCCATCCATAAAGTACCTACTCACATAACCCTTGACACACTCACTGGGATTTGCCATAAGACCGTGTCCATAGCCGTTGTGCAGCAGAACCTTCGAGTCTTTGTATCCCATACTGGCGTTCACGGCGAACGCCGCAGGAGTAGCTGGGTCAAACAGGCCATTGACGAACAAGATGGGAAAACTGGTCTCGTGTTCGAATGGGCCCTCGAGGCGCTCTTTGGCTGGTAGCTTCCACGCGGCACATGCCCACGTAGAAGTGAACAGAGTGTCTGCAAAGTCAAGAGATGTGTTGGCAGATTTCTCGACGTCGTCAAGAATTTCGAGCGGGTCAGTCGTCCCCGACCAGAGCGCATCGCTGCAGCGGATGCCATCGAGGGCATTCGGAGCAAGAGCGTTATACTTGGGAGGCGCATCTCCCGTGGTGTTGGCGGGCAGAAGGGATTCGGGTATTTTGCCGGCCAGGAGAAACGCCAAGTCCTCTGCGAGAGTTGGCCACCCTATGGGATCGTAGAGTCGGCGAAAAACCCAAAACTTGGATATCAGAAGGGCGTAATAATCCGCTGTAGACGTGCTGGCACTTGCGGCGAGTTCTGCGAATCCAATGTTGGGGCTGGCATTGATGGCCTCGATGATGTCGGCCGATGACGAGGCATTGGTAGAGGTGGCCAGGCTGCAATTAGGGGCATTCTTGATGCATTCATCGAGGAAGGCGTTGAACGTTTTGTCCGAGTCCTGTGGGTATGGCCCGTAACTACCCCTACGATATTCCCATGGGTTCATGTTTGCGTCAAGCAGCATACGTTCGATTCTGTCTGGAAACAGGGCCGCAAAATAGTTGCCGAGCGCTGTGCCATAGCTCAGACCCCAGTACCGGAGCTGCCCACCCTCGCTGAGAGCGTCCACGATTGCGAGCATGTCTCGAGCCGTGTAAGCAGTGCCGATCAAGCGACCAGTCTCCTGCATCTGCTCGAAGCATGCATCTGCGTACGCAACGGAGGCTTCCCATCCTTCGCTAAGGAAGTACTCGGTCACGTTGGTGTTGATGAGGTGAGCTGCTTCGTCGCGCTTGCTGAGCGTTGATGCGAATTGTGTATGATTGCAGTTGAATGGAAGAGTGTTTCCGGTTCCCCGTGGGTCCCATGAGACGACATGATACTGTCCTCCGAGAGTCTCAACAATGTCTGGACCTTGAATTGGGAGATTCTCTCCACCAGTTCCGCCTGGACCGCCAGGGTTGAAGAGGACTGTGCCGAGTACAGGCTCCTTTGTAGCGTTGACGCGGAAGAGTGCGAGATCGAGGAGGACCCCATCATTAGCTTCGTAATCGAGTGGGACTGGTAACGTAGCACAATCGAAAGGAGCTCCTTCTACGCCGTTCGAAGCATCAACTAAATCCTTCACTTCCGGGCACGATCGCCATTCGATCGTTGAATTGAACTTTGATGCCCTCGACACATGTGGAATAGCTAATGCTAGGGGCAGCAAAACAAGAGGGAGTAAGATAATAGCCATTGCTGAGACTGTCAATGGAACTTTGTGTAGGAGGAATTAGACGTTGTTGTTCGGCGAAAGACCACCGTATATATTGCTTTGCTCGCTGAAGCTCATTTGCACTGCTCGTGGCCACGCTATTGCACCAGATCTCAGCGGTACATTCTGCCCGAATGAGTTGGCTAGTGACCTCGCCAGCGCGATCTAATTGAGCAGTGCCTTGCTGATGTCGACTTAGTGTAGGCATCGAAACGCCGATGCCTTGGCTTGCGCACAGCAGCGTAGACTAGTTTTCTTGGCTGTCGAGGAACCATCGTGCATTAGATAATGTCATCGGAGTACTGAGTGCGCAAGGTAGTATGCACAAAACAGATGGCTTAAACCTAACGACGACGGGGAAATATTGGCAGGGCTGAGTTATGTCAGCTTGCCCAATGGCAAACACCAGCAGGAGTTTGATGTGGCTGCGAACTCTCGCTGACGCCATGGGGCTAGTCCATTTTTGGTCGTTCGTGCCGCTCAGTGTCGGTGCCTGCATATTGAATTACCGAGATCTTTCTTTAGCAACTGGTTTCCACGCGTTAGTGGTGTCGCTGTCTCCGGGTGACAACCATTGTGTGGACTCAGGCAGGTACAGTTGAATCCCCAGGCCGAGCTCGCCCAGGTCTGTAATGGTGCATGATCGCTAGTGTACCAAAGATTTGCACACACTTGCTGTAGTGTTACAACTCCAAGGGTTGCGATGTCGCCAGCATGAGGGGCACGTGCGGTGCATGGTGACACTGGGTCGAATTCGCACTGATATGGTATCATATCCACGTCGTCACTCCTGTCGCAGGTGGACTCTCAATGGCCCCGTACGGATGCGCCTCGTCGACCAAGTAATGTCGTTGCGTTCGCATCAACCCATCAAGGTCGGCTTTTCTGGGTGACAACGATGTGGGCATCCTCCAGTACGCGGGAACCTCAATCTCGACCTTCTGCCCCGTCTTCTCGTCGAGTCGGTAATGCTTAGGTGGTAGTATTTCAGTTGTATATACCGGCTGTTCATACTCTAAATAGTGGTGTATGTGCACGTCTCGTTCAATTTCTGGGTGGGTGACCAGTATTTTCCTGTGCTCGATCGTTTGATTCTCCACGGCGGGATGCCAAACTTCTTCGACTGTAGTGTGCTCTGTATGACCGGGCCTGAATCCCGGAGGCAGGCGAACATGCTCAGATATCTGTTGTGAAGATGTTTGCGTGTCAAGGTTGATTGGTGACGTTGGCTCAATGTCGGGCAGAGCCTGCTCAAGCCCCGACAAGTCATCGATGCCGCCCAAGTCTGACCGATGCGGTACAGGCTCGTCTCGCTGAGTAACATCTTCGCCTGTACTCATGTCTCTGGACCTGCGGACAGAACGTGACGGTTCTCGGTCATCTTGTAGGTTTAGACTCTTCCGATTTTGATGCTTAGAGATCGTGCCAAATAGCTTTGCGGTTCTTGTGGGTGCAGTCCTGTTTGGCTCCTGCCCAAAGTAATCGGGTGCCACGTTGTACTCATCGGGCATGTCTGGTGACGAAATTGTGTAGTGCCTGCGGTGGAAATCTTGAGGCGCTATGCTGTCCAGCCCCTGGTCCTGACTTGCAGCCTTACGATGTGCTCTGATCTGATATGCTCGAGTATTGTGCAGCGAAGAATGTCGTGCTGGGAAGGCTGTCTCTGGCAGTGAGGGCGCAGGAGGGAGCGGCGGCAGTGGCTCGCGATTCTGTAGCGAATTTGCTAAAATGTAGGGGTCTAGCTCAGTAGGCGTTCGCGCTGACATATTCGTTTGTACGGTGTGAATGGCTATGTCATCTCCTGTCGGCTCAGCGAGCGCCTGCTGGCGTAGGCTTTGTTGTCTGACGAGTTGCCCGCCTTCGCTTACCACGACATCAATGCCGTCAACAGACTGCCCGCGTCGAGAGCCGCTTCGCAGCCTGGACCTAACCAGTCCGACGACGTTCGGCATTATTGACTTCGTGGGCCAGGGTCACTCGACACGCGTTGAACGGGCGGATTGAACGGAAGAGGTGCATGTCATAATGCATAGAGACATCATGGCTGTCTACGAAAGGGGTTCAACTTGCCTCATGCAATCGGCGCGATCACAGCCACAACACGGGAGCAACCTCCAGGCTGAACTGTTGGACGGCAGGACGGGAATGATCATGTTGCTGGGACGTGGCTTGTAAGATCGACATCACACAGACGAATTAACAGCTCCAATGGTGTCCCGGGACGTGAAGGAGGAGCCCGAAATAGGGGACTCTTTCCCCAGAAAATGCCAAGCAAGCCTAAAAGCGGGCTGGAAGCGACCTCGAAGCGACCTTGAAGTGACGACACAGCAAAATTTGCTGTGACGAAATGGGATGATTTCTCGACAACACCGCAACGAACTGTCGGATTCAGGCTGTTCTCACTCGCAGTTCGCGATCTCCGGTCCCTTGACTCTGATCCAGGATCTATCAGCTTCTGGATCTGGCCAATTCGTGGCCCGCTCTTGCCCAGAGATTCGCCTCTGCTAGCGAATCGATCTAGCAACTCTTGACGTTGAACAGATCGATCTGCCTACGCCATATCCGGACGTTCCATGAGAATCTCAAATATTCGAAGAGCCGATGTGCTAAAGTATGGTAAACCTGATTAATATCCATGCAAAAATGCTGTTGAGAAAATGCTAAACCAATTACGCCACCGGATCGCGTCACTTCAATAACCTTGGGCTGCAGAAGCAAGTCATCGTGAACTCTCTCCTTACTACGAAGTGGCGCGTACGGACGAACCATTCGCGTTGTCTACGAACACCTCGTGCAGTGCGGCATGTGGTAGTCATGTCGCGAGTGTCAGAGCCAGCTGGTCTAGCTGGCCTGTACCTGTCAGATGCGGTAATGATGTCCGATTTTCAGCTTGTATGTGCTCCATTGCTACGGATGCACACTCTCCGACTGTGTGGAAGCGGGCTCGAGGCGGGCTATCTTGCATATGACTTCACCCGCCTTAGAGATGATAGTCGGTTCCAGCTGCCTTTGTACCAGAGCACTCGGCGTGAACGAGGCATGCCGGCAAGCAGAATCGAGCTGTCTGCATAGATGATATCACGCTGCACCGTCATTGACATGTACGTCAGACTCGTTCTCGAAGAGCTATAATCCCCGATAGCTGTCGCTGGACAGACAATTGATCCTATTCACTCACAATCAGATTTCACAAAGCTGTCAACACACCTCAGACATACCAAGTCACCCTTTAGATCTCGCCACTATGGAAGCCGCCAAGAATGCCGTCAAGAAATTCACTAGCCATCAAGGGCATTCGACCACGGTCGAGGAGCAAGTGCATCCCCACGTCATGAACGAGACGGTCAAGCCACACAGACATGAAGAGACCACTCAAGCTGTTGACAAGGAAGTTCACCAGCACCACTTTCACACCACGGTACAGCCCATCGCCCATGAGGAGAAGCTGCCGGAGAAGCACACTCACCAAGCTCTACCAACCCAAGAACGTGAGATCCACCACGAAGATCCTCACAACACCAAAGCCAGCGTCGACGCTGAACTCGCCAAGTTCAAGCCAGCCTCAAAAACTGTTGAGACGACGCACTCCGCGGCCGCCGCACCTGCAGTGGTAGGCGAGCATGTTCATCACCACGTCCACGAAAATGTCGTTCCCGTGGTGCACAAGAGCACCATCCAGCCAGAGGTCGTTCACACGACACAGCCTATCCACGAGACCCATCACGCGTAAGTCTACTCTCCCTTGGCCAACTTCGGGTCCGGTTACTTTGTATACTGCCCGGGATTGTGTCTCAAGCGGACAAAGACTCGCGCTTCTTAACCTCATGATCCTATCTCCGAGCATACCACCATTTCCCGAGACAACGCTAACGAGACTCGCAGGCCTTCGCAACATCACGGCATCAGCCAGCTGCCAATGAAGTCACTCGACGAGTTCAAGGCTGGCGGCGGTGTTCTCCACGGTGAGAAGCAAGGTATGAGCAGTGAGTCTTATGACGGGTGCCCACGGCCGTACAATGAGAAGCTCGGCACGACCTTTGACAAGCTGGGCTTGCACTCTCACAAAGGCCAGCAGGGTCACCAGGCACGGGACTCTGGCGTCGATATGGGACATGACGGCATGAACCCTGGACACAGCGGCAACGTCCTCAGCGGGAGTGGCGCCAAGCATTAGAGCGTTGAGTCATTGTTTATTGGTTTTGTAGTGTAGCATATATACGCATGCAAGGAGCAAGGCTTGGAGCAGCTTACTCAAATGTACACATATTGAATCATCTTATGCATGTTTACGTCCCCGGTACACGCCGCGAACTATGAACTAAGCGCGTCACGAACGCTGCGCACCGAGGTCATTGATTGAAGCGCCACCAGACAACCCCAACAGCCATTGGCGAGTGCCCAAGTTCACAGATTAGACGGCGGCTTCAACCCCAACAACCTCTCTTGCATCAACCCCAGAAAGCTCTCCTTCGGGCCAAAATCATCCTGGTCCAAATCCACATACCCCATCTCCTTCGAATGCACTCTCGGCACCACAGCCAGCGTCCTCCCATGGTTCTTCTCCTCGAAACTCACCACCCTCATCATCGCTGACCCTGCATCTTCAATCGTCGCAAATCCATCAGCCGTACTCGCCAACACGCCCTGCATTCTCGGGCTCAAAATGGCAGTTGAGATGAACCAGGGCGCAATGTAGTTGACACGAGTTCCGTAAGAGGGACTGCTGAGGACGAGAGCTCGAAGCATACCGCGCAAGCCATACTTGGAGGCATTGTACTGTGGTACATTGGGGATGCTGAGGTAGCCTGCGAGCGAGCCTTGAAGGATGAGCACGCTTTCGGCTTTAGCATCGGTCCGACGTTGTCGTTGAAATTGGTGGAGGGCCAGCTTGGTCGTATAGAAGACACCGATGAGGTTGATATTGAGGGTGCGGAGCTCGGGCTTGGGTGGGACTTTGACGTCGAGTTCATAGTCTCTAATGTTGATCTCGTCTTCAGCCGCGATGCCGGCGTTCGCAATCACGATGTCGATGTTCCCAGTGTGCGTTCTTGCCTCCCTGAAGAGTGCGACTTGGTCTTCCCAACTAGTGACGCTGCATTTCGAGAACGAGACCTGGTCCGCGCCAAACTTTTCCTGAAGAGCTAGCGCACCAGCCTCGTCGACGTCGCCAATACAGACACGAGCTCCGGCTTGGACCAAGCGCTTCACATATTCTGCTCCAATTCCGTTGCTGCCTCCGGTGACGATGGCTACCTTTCCCTTGAGATCATTCTTCGGGCCTGTGATTGTACAGTTGATCGGTCCGCGGCTGAAGCCAGATTGACCGCTCTTGGTCGTCATTTCTGCTGTGGCTGGCTATCGATCATGTACTGCGATCTCTGAAAATCTGTGCCCATCAGCGCTTTACGTCCTTATATGTATCTATCACAATTTCTCGGGACGGAGCGGTCGTATGACGGACGCCTGGTGTGTACTCAAGTAGCTAACGTGCAGTGTCGTATGCCATACGATCAGACTCGCTCGCAACTTGAACTCGGCAAATGGACACTGTCACGCTCCGCCCAACAATACCGCTCCTGCTGCTGCCTACCTTGACTCCCGATGTGTTGGCGAGGGTTCCCGATTGGTGTGGCTGACCATTCAATCAAGACTTAATGTATTCCGACATTGCTTCGTCGATTGGTCGAAAGGTCTATCTGTCCTACTCGGCAGGCGAGGTGGAGGTAGGAGCTTCACGAAGTCTGGAGGAACACACCCGCCGAGGTGGATCTGCCATTGCTCTGTGCCCTATCGCTAAAACGATATACGAATTGGGGGCGGGCGTACGCTGCACAGGATCCTCGACTGCCCGTCCTGGCGAACGCCGCCGCAAGATTGTTGGGCGGACGTTGCTCAGAGCGTGAATTAGTACCGTGTGCAGTGCATGAGTACATGAGTGAAAAGCCACCTGAGATTTTTCCAAGGGTAATACTTCGCCGGCTTACGTGACATTCGAGCAGCTCCTAATGTCGACTGTAAAGGCAAATGATAAAAACGCCCTTTCGCTCGCCTCATGGGCTGGAGCACGCTTTTCCTGCAGCTAATAATGCGTATCGATTAAGACCACCCACGCCGACATCTGGACTTTTCCACCCATTCCATGTATCTCTAATACAGTGCTTCCAGCAGATACAGGATGCCGAAAACCAAGAAAGCAAATGCGCCACCCATGGTCACAGTCCGTAGGCTCACCCTCCCTGCGATCGCCTTGCCTCCTAGGACCGCAACGCCAGTACAAATTGCATGCCCGCCCAGTGCGCCGGCTGTAACCCACCAGTAGTCCTGGCCTGCAGCCATGGCTATGGTCGCTATTTGCGACCGATCACCCCACTCCCCTAGAAATGTCATGACAAACGTCTGCACCCAAGCTGGTGACAGAAGCAGAGAGAAGAGGTTCGACAGGCCGTCAACGGCGTTCTTCAACGTCGACGTCCTGGAAGGCGACACGTCGCGCGAGGAACTGGTCGACGACGGTGATGATGGTGGCGAAGGGAGTCGGGTGGCACCTCCGCCTGATCGATGTTTTCGTGCGGGTCCTCGTCCTGCCTCCAATGCGTATGGTGATATCGAGCTTCGTCTGCGAGCTTTTCGCGCGGCTTCGTGCTCCTTCTCTTCCAGTTCCATCTCTACTTCTTTCATTTCCTCACTCACACCTTCATCGGGAGAGATCTTTCGTGCTTCGAGGAACAGTCGAACTCCAAATACAAGGAACAGTCCAGCTGCCAGGAAATTGGTAATATGCGGAGAAATGAGGGATGGCACCGCATGGCCCAGTAAGGCGGACAGGACGGTCATGGCTATTAATGCCCCATATGCGGCCGAAAAGACGACCAGGCGATCGTGGCGCATGGCCATTAGGCAGGCCACGAGGAATGTCTTGTCGCCAATTTCTGAGAACATGATCATTGTAAAGGACAAAATCATGGAGTGCATTGGTGAGATGACAGCGGGCTCATGGCCGGAGCCAGGCGCGGTTCCAGAGCCAGGGAGCTCAGTAGTCGGCCTTGTTGAGTCATGAACCATGGTGGTGTCCTTAGGCGAGGATGGGTTTTCGGGATGGGGAATGTCATGTGGCCTAGCAGGAAGGTCCGCGGGTACCTGCGCAACGTTAGTGGCGTCTTCAGTACTTCTCGTCAAGGACGTACATCGAACTTCTGCGACTTCTTCGCTTCGTCAGTGACTGTCGCGGTCTCTGAGCCATCGTCGACATGTTTGCCCATCTTCTCCTTCTCCGAGTGTGGAACAGGAAGTGCTTCCTTCGGCTGCTCTGGCTCTTTCCCGACCGGCTTCCCATCCTTCAGCCTCGACGAGACACCACCCTCAACGCCACGTGTGCCTTCCACGGGAGACTTGCGATTGGGATCGTCCATGACCCCGTCGTTAGACTTAGGTAGGTCTGCGGTGGGTGTTTTGTCTTTCGTCGCTGGCAAATCAACATCGTCGTCGGTCGCGGTGTCCTTCAATTTTTGATTCTTACGATCTGTTTCCGTCTCGATCCATGGTCCGCTGTGTGGCATGCCATCCTTGCCATCCACCGGTGCGTGCTCTGTCCCAATAGGACCTGAGGCCCCTTTATCGGCAGCGGCCACTGGTATAGGGTCTCTTCTACCCAGTCTGCCTGGCGCGGAAGCCGCAGACGCGCATTCCGCAAGTACTGCGAGCAACAGGAGGAGTAGAGGTGTTCGCCTTCTGTCAACCTTCATGGTGTGGTTTTCCTCAAGCGGTCGTGCTGTATAAGCTCAAGGGGGAGAACGCCTTTTGCGCTTCGTACTCGGCTCGGTAGGCGTATACAAATCAAGAAAAGTAATAATACACAGCTCGAATGAATGACTGGCGCAGGTCGGTCACGCAGCACCGAATTCCAATGATGTTGAGACCGTTCTTAGTGAGATAATCGAGCCATGGATGTTGACGATCGCGGCTGAAATTCAGGCATCGTGTTCGGGGTTCAAAGGGCTCCTTCTTGCCGGAAAATTTAGCGGTCCAATCACCAAATGGCTTGGCACAGCAGGTACCGACAGGGAGGTATCTACCCACACACCGCACCACGAGAAACGTACGTCTTGAGACCTTCGCTGTCACGAATTCGAAGGTGCCATATATCTCTCCGTGCGGCCACCGAAGCTTTTGAGTCCCGCAAGATGTCGCCAGACGGCTGATCAATCGACGGTCGGAGCATACAGGTCGCGCATAGAGACACTCACAACATCTTTCTCCCGAAGACTGTCGACCATGGCTCTATCATGGGCTGACGCAAGGTCAGCGTTACGGCTATAGCTCATGCAACCTGGCCTCGACACCCTATAGCCCGACCAACCATGTCTCTTGGCGATTTGTACAGCACTCAAAGTCTTGCGGAGCCTGGTTTCAACGACTACACAGCTCGAGGATTCAGAAACGGATGATGCTTACCTGTGGTCATCGTCCCATTTCAGCAGCTGCGTGCAGAAGTGTCTATGTCTGTTCAATGTTGGTGTGCCTTCTTGGCGTTACGATCAGGCGCACTCCACCGAATCACTCTCTGTCTAAGGGTGCCTACAATCAAGCTCGTTGTGATACTCAGGGAAGGCTGCCTCCAGCTGTCGTCGACAGATGCTACTTGGCAAGAGGTCCAACGTCCTCGAGCGCACTCTCGGCCGTAGACGATACTTGGAATCAACGCCACTGGCGCATAGTCTAACTCGTCCGTCATTGGTCCGCGGCTGACTACAGCACGACGGCTGACTGCTCGTAGTCATGGCATTCATGCCTCCGAAAGGGTGCGGCGGACAGGTGAGCATGTTTGTATTCGCTCGAAGCACACACGGAGATGCGGCAACTACGTCGAGGTCTTCCACCTGAATCAACCAAAGTCAGCCAATGGAGCTTAAGCGTTCCAGGTATGTAACGTGTCTGGTATTGTCCGACCTGAGCGCCGTAAGCGGTGTAGGACTGCTAATGCAGACTCGAGAAGCTCTGGCACAGAGGTGAACATGAGCATCACCCGCTATTTCGACATGAACTCTACCCTGATCCGGCCAATCTGGATGCCTCGTTCCCCATACTTTATGTCCAGGTAGACCGACAACAGCCAAACTACCTGACTGCCTGCGCGTACGATGCCTTCAACAAAGAGTGCGAAGGGCGTATGAAAGACTCATTCTCTGGCCCCAAGTGATCGACAGCCGATGTAGGTCAATCGACCCGGCATACATATCGGTACCTGAGGCGATATTCATAGACGAGATGACTAAACACCATCAAGCTATAGCAAGACGTACATGGGGATACTGCCGGACATTTACCGTGTCGATCAGTATGCTGCACCAGCATTCGGTAGCGAGTGTGATGGTCTTACCGCATCGGCCAACGTCGAAGACAGAAGGCGTACTAGCTGTTCTATCTGGCTAGAAGTCAACGGAGCATGCTTGCTGCGCGACTGTGAAGGTCAAGCATTTGCTGCTGACTTGCATGGGCGCATGTGGAATGATTCGCTGTTCGACTTTAATCCATGGAATTGGCAAGATGCTTTAGATCAGAGCCTGCCGCGGGATCGCACATTGGCTTTGACATGTTTCTCGGCGGATGAGGTGCTCACGAGCTGAACTGAACCGTGGCAGTCCCTGGCGAGGCGTGAGATAGGTCCCTTACTGTAAAATGACTCGAGCGCCCAAAATCATTATAATCTGCCGGACGCTGTACTTCTGGTGCGGCTGAGGTCGGTCGAAGCGGAGCTGAATACCGAGCACCATAGCCGCCCAGATGTTGCCACACGCCTTTCGGGTATCGCCATGCTGGCCAAGCTTTTGACGAACACGAGAGGGACATTCTCCCTTGTGTGAGTCAAGAAGAGGTGTCGGAAAACCTGATAGTTATGTCGCGGGAGAAAAAGGAACAACCTCAAGCCTCTCGCTTGACGATCTGCTTACCAAATGAACCAGATTTAACTCTCTCGTAAGCAGAGTCTTAACACCTCTAAAACGCACCTAGTCCGACAATCGTCCATCTGCTCGGGGATTCGTTTTGGGTCCGACTCCACCGCCTACCTAGACGGGCTCTAGGTCGGCGATTCATTCCCACCCTACCGTCACTCTGCCTTGTATGTGGAAACGCTTCATCACGTTTGACATTGGCGCAGGCCGTGTCCTGGATGGAATTGGGTAAGGAAGTGTCTATGATGTGGTCGCCGCCACGTGCAGCTATACCCAGGCGATGCATCATGACCAAACGACCCCTGCCTGTGCAACGGAAACCCTAGAGCGAGTCATCTCAGAGCGACATCTTCATCACTCACTCCACGGGCAACACTGCCCCTGAAAATATTCTCGACTACGAGCACACTTGCCTGGCTGAAAGATCATATTTGAGTAGGTAAGAGCGATCGTCCCGCTTGCCTCTGCTCGCAGTACATAACTTCGACCCACGCCGTTCGTAATTCCACAAGGGATTATTTATCAACTCAACTGGCCTCTTACCCCATTTGAACGCCGACTATATCCGCTTGTCATCGACGAAACGCAATTTCAATGGATCACACAAATTCTGGCTACGATAAAGGCCGAACGAAGCCTCCAAGTCTCCTAGCGTGCATCTCCTGCAGAAGGTCGCATCTAAAATGCGATGGACAGAAGCCTCTTTGTCGTCGCTGCTCAGACACCGGTCGTGAGTGTGTCTGGATTGAGAGCCGCAGGGGCTACCGAGATCACCGCAAGCAGAGCACGCCACCTAGGGAGCGGTCGTCGGTTCGGGAGGAGAGTCGCCAGCAACAGCGCTACACCCAATCATTCGACCCGAACTCCTTCTTCTTCGCGCCTAGCCAAGCTGTTGGTCCTGACGCCGAGTCATTCGTGCTTGATGGTGAACTCGCCGCCGCTCAGCCTTATACCTATGATGAGCTCTTCAGCACGTCTTTCACGGCCGTCGAGGTCCCTGGCATGTACGACGCCGGCGTCGGCGCTGCTGGCTTCCACACACCACTTCCACCCGTGATGGACCCTATGTCCAGCCCAGGTGGCAGCACAGGGTCATCAGTGGCGTCTGTGCAGCGAGATCTGTCAATGTCGAGAGCTCCGAACAGCAAAACCGAATCCACGGACCTGATCGAGACCTTCTACAAATACTTCTATCCAGCGCATCCTTTCATCATTCCTCAGAAACTCGCCAAGCAACGACCCGAACTCCTGCCTGAACCGTTGCGAGCCACGATGCGCTTCATCGCTGCCCACTACGTCCCCAACCACAACATTCATACTCTTCAAAAAGCGGCGCAGGTCATATTCTCCGACCGTGTTCCTGATGATATCTTCAAGTTGCAGGGCCTGATGCTCTACATCATGCTACCTTCGCCAGATATGAGCAAGCTACTGGCGCGACTGCATTCGAACAAGCCATTCGATTAGCGCTCAAGCTCGGAATCAACAAGCACGCGTTTAGTACTGCGCATGCTCCCGATCAGCCGATCCTGCAAGAATCTTTTCGGCGCACTTGGTGGTCTCTGTTCATCCTTGATGGCATCATAACAGCCATTGCCGGAGCCAAAATGGCCAACCACTTAATTTTCGCCTTCACAATGTCTTCTGTGACGTTCCCTTGCCCTGCGAAGATTTCGCCTACAACAACATCCGCTTACCACACCCCCCTCGAGCCTTGTCCCAATTCCGAAATCGCACCTTCACCGAAGACTCTTTCAGCTATTCCTCGCACGCCTACGCCATCGAGGCCATGTACATCATGGGCGCAATCTTTCAACTTGGTCCGGACACCTTCGCAATCACCGATCCTCAAGTCGACGCAATCGACGCCTCCATCTCCAACTTCATTCTGTCCCTCCCACCGTCAAAACGCGAGTGCCATCCAAATGACCACACGAATCTCCTCGACGAACCCTTGCTCCTGGCCCACATGCTCATAAACTGGTCAAGTATCATGCTGCACCGGCCACGGAGCTCGCTGACATTCATCCGCAATCACTACTCCACGATCTGCACGCGTTCAGAGACCAGTCCAGAAAATTCAAATTCCCTACCATCGACGAGCTACGCAAGCCATACTTCAAAAACTCTACGTGCCGCAAACATTCTCATCGGTCTTGCCGCCATTCACAGACCGCTGAACTACTGCACGCCAACCATGATGTGTGCCATTACTGCCGCAGCAACTGTGCACTTACCCGCCTACGCGATCGCCGATACGCCTGAGCACGCTACGGCCGTCAAGGAGCGCTTGCAGCTCGGCATCTCGACGCTGGGTCGCTTTGCAGAGATATGGCCACGTGCACAAGTGGCCAAAGCGCAGGTAGCGGGATTTGCACGCGAAGTTTTGACACGTGAGAACGTCTTCGTCGACAGCACAGGCGTAAGCTACGTGCCCGGCGCAGTGGCGGTGACTTCAGCTGGCGGTGAAGACAAGGGCTTGCTGGCGGTCGAGGGCCCGATCATGGGTGCTGGGCAGCTGCCGGCTTTAGAATTCTTGGATCCGGATATGCAAGGGCTGCCGTCATCGAGAGCAGGCAGTCAAGGTATGGCACTGCCGGCTGTGCCTCTCGGGAGCAACGCTAGTAGCGTCGTTGGTGGCAGTGGAGGCGGGGATGACCTCAGCGGGCTTGACAACGAAAGTGGTGGTGAGGAGGTCAACTGGATGACCTCATTCGCCAGAGAGGGCGGCGTCACAGTGTCCAGAGGGAGCAGCCAGCGGCGGTGAGGTCGGCCCAGAGCGCATTCGGCAGCAACAGCCGGGTGATGTGAGTCCACGCGTTACGAATTCACGGTGGCGGCAGAAGTTTGGCAATCGCTTTGACCAAACTCGCGAACATGCACCGGAAATGAGTGTATAGATCGCATGGCGATCGTGATCTTCTCGATACGGCAGTAGCAATACGTAGCAGATGGATATCTGCTTCGTGTACGGTTTGTCAGCACTTAGCAACGGTCCACTTCTTCACGACATATTCAGTTTGCACAACTCTGATGATTAGTCTGCTGTTGCTTTTCGTGGTATCTGACGACACCGCATACAAAAGAGCCAGTCCCGGACTATCTGAAACTTGCGCGCATAAGTTAGTCGATTTCCATTGAGGAGCTTCTGCAGGGAACAACTGCACATCAGGCCAAGGTAAGGCCAGACTCGTCTCTTATAGCAGTAGTCCCGAAGGAGTAATATTGCTCCATCCAGGGCTGTTTAGCGAGGCAAACTTTTGTGCAATATCCTTGCATGTTGCAAGATCTCAGCCCTTCGGGTCCTTTTGGTGGTTCATCTGGGTTGCCTTGTGGTGAACATAGTGATGCACGATTTGGGTAATCGAATCCTACGCCTGCATTGCGCCCTTGTTCAAGGCCGGATGCGATACCGTGCTAGGCCGAGACGGCTAGGCAAACCAACTGGAACCGTCCTTAGCCTTGTCGTGTTGATCGCGCAGATGGACAGGAGCAACTGAGAACTCCGTTGGATTTGCGGATTTGTGTGTTAAGCAAAAGTGCAGCTGGTGCTTGGCTCTCAGCAATACGATCGCCAAGGGCGGCTTCACGCTTTGAACACTTGCTACGTTGGTTCATGCACGTTCAGTCCTGTCACACCAAGTGAGCGTGGGAAGGGAAGAGCCCTCACGAGGAAGACATGTTGGGTGGACTCGCCACAAAGAGAAGGCGTTGATGTCAAGGCTTGGCTGCGGCTAGATGGTAGATACCGCAGTCATGCCGAGACTTCGACAACGGAAGGTGACCTGAGGCATGCAAGCACACTCCCCAGAGGTCAAATCGTCGCAGCTCTTGCATGCAATGCAAGCTGGCCGACTTGAACAGTGGTCAGTCAGCTAGAGCTAACTACACACTTACGAGATGCTGTAGGAAGCCCTCGAGGTGAACCGCATAGAAGACTTGTAAGTCCGAGATGTTGGATCTCCATGTGTGAAGCCACTCACGGAGCCACTCGTAACATTGCGTGGCAGTAGACAAGCCAGAGATGGGAATGAAAACCTACACATTCTCTTTCGAACCTGGCTGCCGAGATCGTGGGGGCTACCCAAGGGACGGCTACGGCTCAGTCCCATATCCCATTGTCCGTCGTCAGACTGGGAGGGCAGTCTTCCTGTCGCGTGCCCCAGGCACTTTCATTCGCGCCGAGCGTGAATTCTAGAATTCCTCCCTCCAGGAAGAAGTCATGGGTAATGTAGTTCTTCGTGTAGTTTTCACCATTCAACGTTGCACTTTGGATGTAAATGTTGGTATACCCTGCATCGAAGTTGACATTGCGTAGGGTGACCGTGTTGCCTGTCATTCGATTGGTGAGATTTACCTCGGGGAAGAAAGGCGGAGTAAGGTAGTATTGATCAGTCCCGGGATTTGGGTAGGTTCCCATCATAGACAACACCACGAAGGAGCCCATGGCGCCGGAGTCATCATTTCCAGGGATTCCAACAGGAATCGAGTCGTTGAATTGAGATGGTATATATTGATGAATTCGCTCGGCGGACTTGCCTGGACGTCCAGCGTGGTGATACTGGAATACGGTCTGGAATGGTTGCTCATTGCCCATGTAAGCGAGCTCAGGAGTTTCGTGCCAATAGTCCAAGCGTTTGATGAAGGTCTCCCGCCCGCCCATCGCGGCGATGAGAGATGCCATGTCGCCAGGGGCCGCCAAGAACGAATAAAGCCATGAGCTTCCCTCGTAGAACTCCGTGCCATCGGGATTGAGGTAGCACGATGTGAAGTTCTGTAGTAGAGAACAGGTGAAGGTGTCTTGGTAGCCGAAAGTCCCGTTCAGATACCTGGGCATCAGAAATCCGACAAAGCCAGAGTCCGTCCCGTTGAGAAAGGATGTCTGATCCTCTTTCCAGACGTTCCGCCAGTACGTGCTCCTTTCGATGTACTTCTCATAGTCGCCTTCATTGCCGAGTCCCTTCGCCATCGTTGCTATACAAAAATCGTTGTAGGCGTACTCGATGGTCCTGCTGGCAGAGCGAGTAAATAGCCCTGTGCCGTATGGATCAAAGTCGTCAGCAGGAATATAGTTGAGCGACTTCCACGAAAGCAGGCCTCCACGGCCCTCGACGGCCCAATTGAGGGGCTCTTCCTCGGCGTCTGAAACGATGGCTTCGTAGGCCAATTGCCAGTCGATGCCATCAGTAATGTTCTTGAGGAAGGCGTCCACTAAGACGATATCAGCGCTGCTGCCACCTTGGGTGAAGCCTTTGCACAGGGACATCCGGCAATCCGGCAGTTTGCCTTCGTGTCGATAAATGTCAAGGAGGGTTCTGATCATTTGGGTCTGCGACCACGGATCGAAAAGCGTAATGGCTTGGTGGATGACGCGGTACGAGTCCCACATGCAGTAATAGCTATCGTAGTATGGCTCATCGGACTCCCACAGATAGTTCTCACCTGTATAGTCCTGTGGCGAAATATGGGCCCGGTAGAATCCGGACCAGAAAGTCGATTGTAGTGAGTTGTTCACAGCACCTGTATCGACAGAGAGCACCGAAAATTTGTCTGCCCAGGCGGCCTCTGCGGCATTGTACGTTGCATTGAAGTCGAAGTCTGGTATCTCGCGCTCCGCATGCCCACACGCTTGCTCCACGGATTTGAAGCTAACCCCCACCCTGGCAAGAATCTGATTGTCCTGTTCTGGAGCATCAAACCAAGCATATACGCCAGCAGGCAGTATTTCAGGAGAGTTATTGAGCCCATCGTCGACCATATTGATAGTCTTTGGCTCTGAGCCTGCTCGATTGTTTACGAACACGCCTGTCTCTCGCACAGAGGCCCCCCTGAAGTCCGCGCAGAAATGCAGCGAGTAGTTGCCAATACCAAACGTGGGAAGAAATTGACCACTCCCTGTCATTCGGCCGGTGGTAGGATCAACGCTTGCTGTGCCGTTGATTCTGGAGTCACTGAGATCCGTCAGATCTGCTAAGATCATTGGACTCAGCGGAGCTGGCTCGCTTATGCCAGTGAGATTGAAAGGCGGCACGGGCACATCAGGCAAAGTGAAGCGATATAGAGCGGTGTGGTTTGTAGTCGTCATTTCCGCAATGATGCTTGTGTTGAGCTGAATCGAGAAATAACCAGGATGAGCCATTGGCGTGCCTGCGGTGTAGTTCACGGCGCGGTCTTTCTTGTTGAACTTACAGCGATTGAGCTCGTCGCCGGGACATCCTGCCTGAATGAAGAGAGGGAAGTTGCCCAGTGATGCTCCTCCTCCAGTACCAGAGTCATGCATGTGGGAGAAACCCGTCACACCAGCCTCTGTCAAGCTGAAGCCACCTTGCCTGTGGTCGCCGTTGACATCCGCGACCGCTTTTGCCATGCCGAAAGGCAGGTTTGCTCCGGGAAAGACGTGTCCGGCGTGTACTGAGGAAGTGAGCTTCAGACCCAACACTGGCCGTGAATCCACTCACTTCCATTGTTTGTTCCAATGAAATGATTGACATACTGTAGAGCATCCCTTCCGCCAACAACTGCAGCTGTGGCAGTCGATGCCACTGCCGCAATCCCAGCAATTTTCGTGAGACCAATCATGGCGGCGGCGGTTGCAGTGGCGGCAGCCGTAGATGCAGAATTTAATAGCAGCTGCAAGTCCTCCATGCCGGACCGGGCTTGACTTTGTAACTATAAGCTACAGTGTGTCGGTCATTGCCACTACTCGTACGTGGTACCTGGATTGGATCCTGTGGAGAAGCGGTGCTACTGCAGCATGCAAGTTGGGGTTTGCGCGGGGGTGAGACGCATGACATCAACGTGCTTGAAGGAACTTGGCGATCGTCGTGAGGAGGGGTCTGCAACCTGCGGTCGTGTGGGTGCGACGACGTAGCAGAGGGTCAATTGAGGTTCATGTTGAGTCGCAGCGATGATAATGCTTTCACGTTGTCTGCCCACGTTGTCTGCCAGATCAGTGGCATTTGCGCGAGGTTCCTTAGCAAAATGTGCACGGTGGATACACACTACCGGAGGCCATGAGGCGTACGTACACGCAGCATGGCGCGTGCTGTTCCCCGCGGGCCCGGTGACCCTCGGATGCTACGCATTGGCAATGTCGCTTCTGGTCGAAGACTGTGCGTTGCGGGGAGCGAGCCGTACAAAAACTTGCTTCATCAGGCCCTGAGTCGTCATCATGGGCTGAAATGAGTGTCGTGACTTGGCATCGATGTGCACACAACTGCGAGTCTTTGCGATTGCTGCACTGTGTAAACGTTTGGGCGGGTTTCGTCGGGTAATTCTAGGAAACTGCGCATCAGTCTTATCCGAAAGTATTCAAGACCAAGGATCTGCCGTCCGAGGTTTCCAGCGGAAGCTGAAATGAGCGGCGTGAGCCAATCTCCTAAACGCCATAGTGATCGCCCTGCGGAGGGTTTGATGAACGGCTTAATAAGTGGTCAGTACTGTAATCAGCATATGTCGTGACTGTAGGCGCTTCAACTCACTATACACCAATGCCGCATTGCAGAACTCGTCCAGATGGCATGAGTTCCGCTGGAAGAACAAAATCTTGGAAGACTCCGCGCGAAATGATTGTTACGGGGCACGCTGAGCCGTTAGAAGCGAGGTCTGGGTCCTCCGAGCTTCCTGCCATGTGGTGGCTGCATGCAATCTCGGTAGACGGGACAAGGATGCTGATCTGCCGTATTGCTACAGAAATCCTAGCCAGTTTGACAACCAGCAAACAACGTGACTTGCGTCGACAGAGGCGCTCAAGGAATATGCGACCAGATCACTGTCGTACCAGAAGCAGGCCACCTTCAATCCCCTTGATTTCCAGCGCGCTCTTGGAAATCGATAAGAAGTTCACAGACTAGCAAAGGCAACGTGGTGATATGGACGATTGAAACGCATACTGCCAGATCTGACAAGGATGGATGATTTTACTAGGCAAGCATGGTCGAAATCCCCGGAGCCTAAGCTGCGGCCGGATGCCTGGAGACCGAACCTAAGAGACGCCAACTTTCTTCTAGCAGTTTTCTCTAAGTGTTCCATGGGCCTTCGCATGGCCAAGGACTTCTTGGAAGGGTCAGATGTCTACAAAGATGCCATCACTTTGCATATATAGAGCCCTACGTGGAGCTTCAGACTGCTGTCCAGTCGACCCCCGCCAGAACATCTACTTGCTCAGCGCTTTTTAGTGACGCTTCAATGATCGCTGTATTGGCAGCAAAGATCAGCTGCATTTGAACACGCGTGCACAGTTGAGCGAGGCCAAATGCATCACTGCGGTCAGATTCTGTCAGGCGGTAAGTTGTGAGGCTGTGACCGACCATGACTGTCATCGGATCGTAACTTCCAGCCCGTCCGGTCCAGCTGCCGTTGACAATTATGTCGATGCTTGCCGAAGCGACAGCCGTTGACAGCCATCATCATGCCGTCCAGGCGCATCTTAGATTTGACCGTTTGCTGTTGACAGCCTTCTGATAGTATGCATTCGCATAAGGTGACAAGATACATGCCACCTCGGCGCAACGGCTATGAAATATGTAGAAATTGGGGTTGGTGTGGATCGGCACCCTTCAAACCTAAGCTTGCAGGCGGCGGGTCAGGGGCAAGCCAAAAGATCGTCCACTTCTGCAGGTACACGAAGCTCCGAGACGCTTGTTCGTGTTCCTTTCCAGAGCGCTGGCTCTTCTGGCCCACCTCATTTTGGGTGGATTCCTCGAAAGAACGATATTCCGACGGACACAGGAGCGCCGACCAGAAGAATCTGGTTTCCAAGTCTACAGCATCACGTTATGAGCAACCGAATTGATCAATGCAGCAATGTATGGCCAGAGATCTTCCAGGCAACAATACGAGGTGTGTACCGGCGGCAAAACCGTGGCGCTGTGATCCATGGATCTGTTTGTTCACGGCAGCCTCTCCAGGTATCTCGGACCTTGCAATAACTAACGAAGTTGTACCCATATTCATCAGACGATTGAGAAACCGATGCATTCGATTCTCATCACTTCGGATTGACAACCTGGACCCGGGTAAATAATGTGAAACCAGCATTGCCAGGCTCCGGAAGGCATCCCATTTGCGACCGTTGGCTCGTTGGTAGTCGCCAAACTAACAGCCGTGACACCGCTGCGCCGGTTGAGTACTGCATTTCGTCTGTGACGCAGTCATCCTCTTAGTCACACGCTGGTCCATGTCTTCGTCGCATGCCTGCATGCTGGTCCCTTTCGATGAGCACATTCAGGCCGGCACTTCGAGTTGACTGTCGTTGTGTGGTAGCACGCGATCCCACTGGGTTCCCAGCAAGACTCAGAGGCTGGTGACGATCAGAGGCCCCCTTACCCCTGTCTATCCCAGGCACTCATCAACACTGAGAACAGGATTCGTTTATACACTCGGCCTATAGCATCTGCACTTTTGCCAACTCAGCCGCGCATTTGATGATGGATGAGTCTTGCGCGGCAACGTCTCACAGGTCTGGGCTCGAAAGGATGAGACTGGCATCTCTAACGAGTCACGATTCACGAATGCGCTCTTTTCGATGTGACCATTTTCAGACGCGGGAGCCACGGTACCTCCTCTTATGGAGTCATAACTCTCGGGGAACCTCTGCTAGCGTATCCCACTCGACTTTAGCTTTGGCCGTAGAAATGTTCCAGCAACGCGCCGTCGCGTTCTCTCAAGCAAGATCCCTTTCCTGGGTCTCATCGGATGCCGCTCCCCGTCTCGCGACTGTGACTTCAGTTTTATGGCCAAATCCACCATCCGTGTTAGAGGAGCCCAACGAGGCATTCTAAGAATCAGGCTCTGATGTTCCTACGAGCCGACAGGGGCCAGAGGCTAAGCTGCTAGCTGGCCCAGTAATCCGGTAGAAGAACAAAGCCAGAAGGAAAAAAAGTATATGGGCATCTCATCTCCCGAAATCTCACAAGTTACACGTCTTGATCCTATTTACCCTCCCTTGATTCCCGCTTTCTTTTTGTTTCGGCTGCTTGGAACGCTCTATCGTTGCTTATGCTATACTAAATACTATATTGGGCCATCTGATACCCCCAAAGTAGTCCTCACACCCGTGTCTGCGATACATCATTATACATCTCCCCCGGCGACCCCTTGACAGTCCGAAACAGGGATCTACCCTTACCATCAGCGTTACCTGAGCCATCATCTGGCCGACACCTACGCCACTGCCGCTGCCAAACGATCTGACCTTTTGCGAGCAAGAAAAGAAAAGAGACGCTCTGACGGGTACTCAATTCAAATCAAATTCTCGACCCTCCCTTCCATCTACTCCCCTCGCTCCGCATTCCTCCCTTGCGACAGCGCACAAGAAAATCGACAAAGAATTCCAGATCGAAGTATTGGCGATCCCTCCAACGACTCCCGAGATCCTCTGTGTAACACTGTAACCTATACGACATCGACACTGTACCTGCAAGACTTTACTCGACGAGCTTGGAACGTACCATTATTCCTGATCGCTTCTGCCTTCAGAGCACACAGGTGCACTCCACCCACACACACACACACACACACACACACAACGTGAGTCAATCTTCCAGGCGAGCAGAGCAGTGCGAGCTTTTCTGCTAGGCGGCATATATCAAGACGTGTCTTCAAGGCCTCCCCTGGTTGTCGCATCATCTCGAACCGCTCTCTGACAGTACAACAACAGACATCCAACACGATGATAACCACATCGAAATCAACATCAACCAGCAACATGGGCCGAGGAGCATACGACACAACGGGCGTGCCCAAACCGAAGCCACAACAACCGCCGAAACCTCGATGATACTCAACAGCACATCATCAGCATTGAGGACACGCTACCTTGCAAAAGGTCTCTCGATCGACCGTCCTCTCGCAGCAGCCAAAGATGCTCGCGACGGGCGACCAATAACAGCGAAAGTGCTGTCAGATCTGTGCCACCACTGTACTCATCAACGACCAATGTTCACTTCGCCAACTAGACCTTAAGAAGAACCGCAACATACTGTTTTAATCACCTTGTCATATTCGACTACCCCTGTACAAATATCGTCAGCAGCAGCGCATCTTTCTGGAGCGAGTTCTGCTTTTGTCATCACTTTGCGGCACTTCCAATCAGCGAGAGCTCGACACAGAGAAGAGTACAGCAATGCCACGCATCATCTTACCAGACCATGAATGGTCTGCGTGGTGCAACAGCGTGTGCACGCGAGCCGCGATCTTGGTCTTGGCACGATCTTCCTTGTACAACATTACCACCATCACTTGTTTTGCGCGCCTGGATCGGGGTCACCAGACCTCCCTTTCTGGAACATAATAGATCTCTTGTTTCCGGGATTACACCTCGTGGCTCACTGCGGCTGAGCTTATTTGCGACGATAGATTGTGCGACTCAGGTCATTGTTTGTCATTGCTGGTATTTGTATTGGCGTTTCGCGAAAGGAAAAATTGGTTTGGGGCAAAGCGTTTGGCGTTCGGAAGTGACGCCTTGCGCATTGCCACATATAAGAAGAGGTGAACAATGATGGCAAGAGGGCGCCGAGGATCCTCTGTGGTCGCGACGAAGCGTCTGATTAGGAGCTTTTCTGACTGAAGAGCTTGCATCTGTATAGAAGAAGAACGCGGGCTCTCTGCCGAGGTTTGAGCATGGAAGAATACGTTAGGAGAGGCTGCTGCTTCCTCTGCCATAGATGCAATAATTCGAAAGCTGTTCACAGCAGATGATACTTCCAGAAGGCTTGCCCTCACCTGAGATCTCGTGACTTGTACATGAGTACCAAACACCTCAGTTACGCAGCAAACCTGAGGCTCAGCCGCGTCTCATCTTCGAGTAGATTTCCGGCAACATTCGAGTCATGGGTCGAACAAGACTTGAGTCATTGACAGTCCAATATCATTCCAGCTACATCCCAAGGCCCCCCAGATCATGTTCCGACCGCTGGGGCACTTATAAACATGTACCTTGCGCCTTCCCACGCCTCACTCCCTTCGTCCCGCATGCTGACCCAGAAGTCTTCACAGACATGGCAGAGCCTTCAATTGTGGTAGCGCTCGAGCTCAGCACGCACAGTTGTCCTTCTGTGTTTTGGCACGGTCTGTGAGATTCACCCGTGCCTCGTCGGCTCGGTTTGCGGCACCTGAAAGTGCGGCTTGCGTGCCGCTGCCCGCGCCTCGGGTACCCTTCAGCGAGGTCTCTGGGATAGCGTTTGCGATAGCTGTGAAGACTTCGGAGACATTGGTGCCGGTCTTTGCGCTGGTCTCGAAGAACAGCAGGCTCTCTTCTTCAGCGTATTGCTTGGCTTCCCTGGTGGAGACTTTTCGTGCATCACCATCTTCTGTAGCATCGGCCTCTGTCTCGGCTTCCGGACTGTCTTCAGTCGCAGCCTCGGAATCATCACCTGAAGCGTCGCTCGAGGTTTCGGCGCAGAGATCGAGTTTGTTGCCCACCAGTGCAATGACGATGCCTGGGGAGGCCTGCCTCTGTAGTTCGGCGACCCAATGTTTAGCCTTAGTCAGGGATGTGGGCTTGGTCAGGTCGTATACGACAAGTGCCGCTTGCGCGTTGCGGTAGTACATAGGTGCCAACGAAGCGAATCTCTCCTGACCTGCCGTGTCCCAAATCTCGAACTTGATGATCCGGTTTGGGAGCGATATCTTCTGCGTCAGAAAGGCGGCTGTGCAGGAACAGTCAGCTGAGCTCTTTTGTGCACTGATGTCTCGAAGCGAGTGCTACGCAGGCCCTTCAGTCGAGGGTGACATGGAACGTACCGCCAATAGTCGGCTCTTTGTTCTCTTGGAAGTCATTATTGACGAATCGAAGGACAAGTGATGACTGTGACACTCTCGTCAGTATTTGATCTTGATCGTGTATTTGTAAGGTCGTGTGTGTGACCGTACCTTTCCAACCGCTGCTTCTCCCAGTAGTACAAGCTTGACGCTGCTACTGGGCTTCGGAGCGTCCGTCATGGTCGCTGGACAGGCACCGGGCGTATGGGGTGCGGTCTCGTGGTCTCGGACCTTGATGGGCCGGATCGATGCGGGTTTGCAGCGGACAGCGATACGTTGTGTGAGTCACGCTGAAGGTCAAAGGGCAATGGCGACGGGGATGCAGAGGGTGTGAATGGGAAGTCGATCAAGGCACCGATGATGTAGGGCAAGTTCGAGGCTTACGGTGGCCGAAGACAGCCAGAGCGCGGACCGGCTGACAAGATATTTTCTTCTAGGAGAACTTCGCATAAACGACCATCAACTATCTTCTCTTCTGCAAAAGGCACAGCTCGTGTCCATGAGCAGCCCTGGACTTACAACCTTGCCTCACACCTTGCATGTCAGACCAGACGTTTTGCTCCTACCGCAAGGCCCAGATCTCAGGCAATTAAATCAAGGCACGTATATGTGCATAATATGCTCACGCCATCAGCTCCGTCTTCAAATCAGCTTCATTGACCGTTGTTCGCTGCTCGTGGCAGATCGGCTTCATGACGCTTCGCGTTGAGCTTTATTCCGCATATATGCTTCCATGACCGCTGACTTTATGGCAGCTTCGGCCTGCTTGCAATTCGCCTGTGAGACTTTCATCAACATCTCCACCTGCTCAGCAGTCCACACGAGGTTATAAGACCCCGAGAATTTGGCAGTGGATGGATCGAAGCCCGCGACAGCATCTTCATTTGGGAGCAGGGGCATGTACACCATGCTGCACTCCTGCAGCACTCTCGGTGCCGGGGGGTTGTAGACTTCGTGGCCATAACTGTCAATGACAGTTTCAGGCTTATCTTTGAGAAGAGTGCCGTCGTAGGTTTGACCATACTGTCCAGCGAACTTGTTAAAAGCCATCGAGTCGACATTTGGAGAAGGCTGCTCATCACGTTTCATGAATTTAATACCTTTTCTTGAACCGATCTGGTCGACACGTTGTGGGAATGAGTCCTTCTGCACGTCACTTGAGGCATCCATGTTGAGAATGAGATCGACTCGGCGTGCTGGATGTAGGAACACGTAGGTAGGGCAATTGTTGTCTAGACCGCTGTCCATAAGTTCCAACGTAGGCGTATTCTCAATAGGCTTGGCATTCTCTTTGTAAGTCGAATTCTCGGACAAATGAAACATGAAATTATGTTCGCTGCATGGGTCCAGTGGGTGGTGCTGCTGGAACTCCTCTTTGCCTTGCTTCCCCCACATTCGCGCTACGCCTTTGGAAACATCAAGCACCGACTTGCCCAAGAACCCAGGAGGTAGGCTGCGCTTGATTGTAGCCAGATATGACGTTAGTGGCCCAGCTGGAGCTGACGTGCATAAGCCAAGGAGAAGCGAGAGCGATTGTTCTGGGAGTTGCACAGTGGATTTGCCGTGCTCAAAAGGCCGTCCAAAGGCCCAGATAGGACTCCATGCCTGGAGTTCATCGCACCCGACCTCAAATGGAGATAATTCAAACCACTGAAACCATGCGTCATTGGCCTTGGAATGCTCTTGATCATGAGGGTCGGTGTTCTTGAAAGGGCGCTTCTCATTTGCCCAATCTTTCCACGGTCTTTCGTGACGGATTGCTGTCAAGAGCGGCAGCGGTTCTTGCCCAGATTCCAGATAAATAATGGCGCTGGACCATTTGAGCCATGACTTCTGAGCACTGTCGTTCGGCCCTGCCACGTGACTATTGAGGAACAAATGACCTGTGGTGAAGACAGAGTAAAAATCCATCGCCACAGTCTCAAGGCCACTTCGATGCTTCTGGACCAGAGGACCTAAAGTCAGCGCAGGGCCATGCTCCGATTGAAGCACTTCTCGAACTGCCTCGGGACTAAGCGGATGGTATGGGCTGAGCCGCTGCTTCACGTGTTCGACAACACGCTGCCAGTCTGCTTGGCCCCAGGTGTAGTACGCGGCGAGCGTCCAGCAGCTACCGCTGACTCCGGCCACGTAGCTCAACATGTCCCACAAGCCAGAGTCTTTCATTTGAACAGCATAGCCCAGCATACCAATCAAGGCGCGGTAGCCTCCACCGCTACCGCCGAAGGCAACAATGGGTACATCGTCGATGTGTACTTGAGTCTCATTCAGGGACATGTAGCAGCAGAATGCTTGCTTGACTCGCTGCTTCCTAGCTGACAGCCAGTTCCTTTCCTCTATACAGAGCTCCAATCCAGTTCGCACATGTGCAACCTTGGAAATTTCTGGGTACTTTTCGGGATTCTGGATGTCTTGGGTGACGTTTGCCTCAACTCGCATGGCTTTCTTGATCAGTGAGATATCGCCGACGGCCTCTGGAAATGCTGGAACGACAGTCTTGTTCCAGAAGGACTTCATCTTGGCCTTCATGCCTCCTTTCTCGATCTCGCCGGATGGAAACTGTCCAGGTAGGTGCTGCGTGCATTCAGCATCGTTGGATGCAACCAATTCCTGCTCATCGGAGTGCACCTGCTGGAGTGGGTAGTGTTGGTCTAGGATTTGAGCCTCGTACTCCTGTTGCTGCACCGTCTCACTGCGTCGTGGCGCATTGAATGATCTTGACATGGTGGCCGTCGGACCCTTGGCGACAGCGCGAACCTCGATCACCTGGGACGTGCTGTATATTGTGGTAACACCAATTATTGGCCATTTGGTAACATCTTCAGAGATATCGCGGACAAGCACGGCGGCTTCTATAGCATAGACCTTCAGAGGACCATCGAGTCGCGATCAGCCAATCACGTAGCCCCTCGCCAGCACGACGTCCAAAGCCGCACAATCGAAGTCTGTCCCCCCATTGCATCGTCTCATACATGTCAAGATTGTGGGAGCAAGCTGTGTGAACATCGCAAGCATCAGCCCGAAGATGTGGTAAATGCTTGAAATAAGTATGGGTCGGTATCTTACCTACTATGCTTACAAGAAGTGGGGAAAGTGCGTTAAAAGCACAAGCCCATCAGACGACCTTCGTAGCCACAGTGCCCACCGGCCGGCTAGTCCACTCGATCGCACCCTCAACCACACTTTTTCTGGCGTCCTCACTACTAACATTCTTGCCTGCCAAGTAGTTCAACCACAGCAACCTGCTGACCCTCTCATCGGTCACAGTACCCATAACCTCCCGCACTCCGCTCTTCTTGTCCTCAACCAACGCCTCGAATTGCCCCTGCGCGTTTCTTAGCAGATACAGAGCCTGCCCATATGGAATCTTCTTGCGGCTCCCGCCGCCGAAGACGGCCTTGAACTCGTTCATTGCGCTGCCGAATCGTTCTTCGGCTTCAGGCGTCGAGCCAGATTCTCCCAGGCCAATAGTGTTGACTCTGGCTGTGATTCCTCTCACAAACCCATCCCGCATATGCATAAAATCGGTATTGCGCGTCGGCACGATTCTGAACGCTGTCCTGATGGCACCGTCTCTCAATATCTCGTTCCAGACCTCCTCACTTTTGACCGGGTCCAGAAGCACAGACCGCAGCTTCTGCATCTCTCCCGCTACGAGAGTTGTAGCTACTGGATCGACAGTGCGAATGAGACGCTCTTGAAGCTTCGCTATGTCGGCGGATGCGACATACAAGCCGACTACATAGACTTGAATCGACAAGAAGGACACAGTGCGGATGCCGAGGCCAAGGAGCTGGTACTCCGTACCACCTGTTGCAGGGTCGTTGTCGGTAGGTGGGACGAGCGTGCCTGGGCTAGCTGGAGGTGGTGTCGTGCCAGCGGGCAAACTTGGCGTCGGAGCTGTCTCTGGCGTGGCGGTGTTCTCACTGAGATGGACCGTTCGAGGGAAGAAGGGGATCGTGCTCGTCCCAGTAGGCACGAGTTCGGCTTGCTCGAGAACTCCTACCTCTGGCAGGGCTGCGGAGCTATCGTTATGTATGACTCGTGACGACCCCTCTTCCGCCTTGGGTTTGCTCCCACCGCTAGCTTCGATAGGTGGCGGGTCGAACCACACGACAGCAGCATACATGCCAAGGGTGCACAGAACAAGCCCGCCAGCAGCAAAGCGCATTCGCCGTATGTACTGTGCCCGCTCGGCAACGGCTTTGTCGGTCTGAGTCGCGTGCCTGGCTGATAGCGGCGTCGTAGCTGCTCTGCATTGCCGCCGTATGCCGATGTCGATGGCGCATTGAAAGTCATCGCGGTACGGTGGGTGGTGTGCATTGGCGGGCGAAGGATGGAGCGCGGTCGCACCGCACCGCGACGGGCTGCATCACGGCAGCATGAGGCGCAGGGCAGCTGCCGAGATGCAAGAAGAGGTAGGGATGGCGGCCCCATGATGTTGACTGTCGAGGCTTGTGAGCTCGCGAGAATTAACGAAGCTACAAATTCAAGTCTGTCAGAAGGAAAGATGGGGTCGATGTCGCTTCGCGAATCTTGGAGAAACAACTTGGACAGTTTGGGGGGGCGCTCTTGGGGCTCCGAGCCTCTGACATGCTCGACATCTCTTCTCAACCTTCCTCATCACACATCACACTTACCTCTCTACGTGATCGCATGCACTGAAGCCGACAAATACTGGCAGTCGAACTACGACATCGTTTTGAAGATCATTATAAGCATAACCCCGAGCCAGTGCTCACGTACGCGGTATCGCAGCTCCATGTGACCCTCTCGGCAGGATAGCAACGGTACCTTCTGAAGCTGGCCTATGCCATCAATTGTACTACGATGATCCTGTGACGCTGATTACAACTGCCACCATGGTCATCACTGGCTCCTGCCCTCAAGTGTGAGTACACTCACTCCCACAGTGGTGTACTCGGTCTGTCAGCTTCCGCTACACGACAACGGCCTGTCTGCAGACACAGATCCGTCAGCACCATCTGTCGACGTGTGCTTTGCCTGCTAGGCCTGCGCCTGCCACCGAGGTCGAACGGTCCTGCCGCGTGGCTGATTGCCCATCGGACCTACTTCTTTCGCGCTCCTTTCCCACTTGCTGCGCGGCCCTTGCCGCCAGTCGCACCGAACTTCCCGCCAGCCGCGCCAGGCTTAGCGACTTTACCACTCTGCTTACCAGTAGTGGCAGCTTTCTCATCGCCGGGAGTGCTGCCCTTTGATTCAGTGGTTTCAGTCGTGTTGTCTTTCTCCTTCTCTGCGGTATTTGTTGGAGCTTGCTTGGCTTTGACAGACTTCTGCGCAGCACGTTGGGCTTTCCCATACTTCTCGAAATCGCGGTTGTCCATGAGATCTTTGATGAGCTCTGCTATGATCACAGAACCACTCTGCTCATCCTTGCCGTGAGGCGCACGATACATTGCGATGCTCATTCCCGCAGCTCGTTTGAGGCCTGAGATAGATGGGTTCTTATTCACCTGGACCTGGATGTCTAGCAGCAGTCAGATGAGGTCTTGCAGATACACGCCGGCTCAGCGGAAGTCCTTCCACATGTGAGCCAGCATCAGCTGGCTGGGAGGGTGCCACTTACTGTACGTCTTTCCTCCATCTGCCATTCCTTGCATATCGATCCGGATGTTGTTACCCTTCATGTCGACCCATAACGAAGGCTGATGAGGAGCTGTGCTGAGATGCTCAAGCTTGGCAGGTGGGACGCTGTCGATCAGATCGATCACACTTTGCAGGGCGCTCTTTCCCATAGTTGTGTCTTTCCGGACTTTGTTGTTGGATCTGCGAATAAACGGGTTCTTCGCGTAAGACTGGTGGGAGGGAACGGCGTCAATTTTACAAGCTGGACATGCAGAAGTTCAAGGAAGTACCAAAGGAACCCTTTCTAGAGGATAACATCAACGATACTGCTGCCTCAGTCGCCCAACACCCGGCTGTGCGGTATACTCGTTCACAACATCATTGACAGTGACAAACTCAGTCAGCAGCTTCACGCCATCTGCCAGCATACCGCTTACCTACCGTGTCAGGGAAACACTTGAAGGCGGCTACGCAAGGCTGTGGTGTGGTCCGTCACGTACAAAGCCGGGTCGGACAAGGCAGCTCGCTTCGTCTCCTGGACATAGAACTCCTAGAGAGTGTTGCCTAGCTGAATCGCCTTGTCTGAGGACAAAGCGACCAAGTGTTCCTCTGTTGCTGGCTCATCGACGCATATCATCACAAGCACTGAAGTCATAGTCACTTTACATTAGTGTTATCTCCGAAAACAGCGTTGGTCGACCCGCTGAATGTAACAAACACAATCGATGTCACCACTACTACAACGAGCGACCGACCAGCGCGTCTGTCCGACTTTCGATAACTTGAGCGTCTGTGGCCCTATTGCAACCTGCGATCCCGGCAACATGGCCAAAATCGAGTGGGCCAATGGATTGCTCGGTCCTGAGCCGCGATGGTCGAGTGAGCCAGACATTGACCTCATTGCCGCCATCATCGACGAGCGCTTGAACTGTGGAGGCCCTGGTGGTGTAACTATCAGCCCCTTCGCCAGCGGATGCTTCAACAAGCTCTACAAAATAGACTTCCTCGACTCGAGTATTCCGGCTTGTCTACTGCGAGTTACTTTGCCAGCATATCCTAAGTACAAGACTGAGAGCGAGGTGGCCACATTGCGATGGCTACAACGACACACGACTATACCTGTGCCGGAAGTACTGGCATTCGAATCGTCTTCGCGGACGGACTTGGGTTATGAGTGGATCCTGATGAAGATGCTTCCAGGCAAGCCGCTATCGCAGTGCTGGGGGGCTCTCAGCCTGGAACAGAAGGAGAGGATTATCAAGAAAATTGCGAACTACCACTACCAGCTGCTTCAGCGCGAAAATGCCCAATCGAAGATCGGAAGTCTGCAGCTGCCGCATACCGAGTCAAGCAAACAGGATCAGCATACCCGTGAGTCTGTGGTTGGAGCCATGGTACATATGCCCTTCATCTTCGGCGAGCATGCCGACAGCACAATACAGAGAGGACCATATGATTCAATTAGCGCTTGGTACCGAGCTTGGTTGATCGAGTTAGCACTCATAGAAGACAAGATCAGGCTGACTTGGGATGATTGCGAAGGTCTGGAACAGTCCGGAAAACACCTTGCGAACGGCAAAGCACTTAAGGAGCTGATACTTGAACACACTACTCTCAACGATGCTGCTCCAACGTTTCTCACCCACCATGATCTCCACCACGGGAACATTCTCATCGACGACGCAGGCAACATCACTGGACTCGTCGATTGGGAGTTCACCCTTTTCGCGCCAAAATATCGAGCTTTCAGCACCCCGAAGTTCCTGCGAAGTGATTTTCGCGATGAGGAGCCCGTGGCGGACGAGTACCCAGATGCAAGTCCAGGCCAGGATACTGAGTGGGAGAAACCAATGAAGAACCTCGTCAACATGAGAGGAAAGAACAACGACAGATATGGTGAGGACTACTTTGACTGGGAAACCACTCAGCTTCGACGGCTGTACTGGGAGGAGCTGGACCGCTTGTGTCCGCGGACAGAGGATGAAGAGGTAGCTGATGATCTGCTATTGAATTTCGAGCTGGCCGTGGACGGCTGCATGGATTTCTGGACACAAGGCATTACGTCTTCATGGGTTCGAGAGATGCTGGAATCTGGTGAGACTTCGTTTGACCTGCGACGGCGCGAGCAGATCTGGCCGTATGAGGATGACGAATCAGAAGATGAGGAAGCTGAAGACGATGACGCTGACTATGACGCTGACGATGACGCTGATGGTGACAGTGAAGCTGGTGACGGTGAAGTCGATGACAATGAAGCTGATGACGAAGGCTCTGAAGAGGCCTTCGCTCAAGAAAACGATTGTAGAGAAGGGGCCAGCGAAGAGGACGTCAAAGCGTGCGGCGGCAATGAAGGAACATAGGAGAGGAAATATGAGCAATGGCGCGGGTAACACCGTAGGATCAGAAGAGCACATGGATGAGAAATTTGTGGAGCAGACGGCGAACGCAAAGAAGACATTGCTTGGGATGTGTGGAACTGAAGCAACAGGTGTCAAAGTAGGAAGATAAAGACGAGATGAATATATTTTCAGAGAGCTCCTCACCTCACCGTTCGAAAATTCGATGATGAGGTCTGTTGCGATAGAATGCTGATGTCACAGGTACTCGCCTGACCAGATGACGCCGACGAGAGTCTTGTAGACCGGCTGAGTGCTGTAGCCAGACTCGGACAGGCAAATGAGTCTGTCTTGCGAACGCCGGCTGACGCGTGACTCTATACAAGACCGGTTGACCAGTGCTTGGGCTTATCCGTCACCGGTTGAGACGAGCGTTAACGAATACCAGGAAAATAAGGCTTGGAAATATATCAAACGAAGATCTTCATGTGAGTGGTATTACCCTATACTACAGATCATGCTTCCATCTCTTTCAGCGACATTGTTCTTGCCGCACCGACTTACCTTCAACAGCATCGTCTGCTTACCTCTCAAGCCAATCTAGCTTCATCCGACCATCTTCATGGACGAGATCGCCAATCGGCCGACCGTGCTCACCAGTACGCATATAGCCATAGCCCGTCCTCGTGAAGTCTGCCCTTGTCGCAGTCTCGTATACCTCAGACGCTGTCGGCGCATCGACGTCAGTCCCAATGATTCCCCAACACCGAGGTCCCCATGCGGCGGAGAAGCCCTTCCAAACCTTCTTGACGTCCAAGTCGCGCTGTACAGTCACCTCGGCGATGGACGCCTCCAGCGACTTAGCCCCGGCGCTACGACCACGCAAGCTCGGCCGAGCGATGCCATCCAAGGTGGGTGCTTTCTGCAGCTCAGCAAGAGCGGTTCCCATCTCGGAGTCAGGACCGACGCTGGCATTGAACTCATCCAAGATTATGGTCTCAAGAGTACGGCAAAGAAGGTAGTGGCAACCAGCGCATCGACCTTCTATGAGACTGACGCTGTGAGGTTTCAGGTCGACGTGATCACGTTGGGACTTGAGGTGTTGCTGATGTTCGAGTGTAGGGTACCGAAGGGTATCATCTTGCAGTACCACGACATTCGGAGGTGGAAATATGGGTAGTGTGATACCAGGCATGCTGGTGTTGTGCGAGCAGTCCGTGAAATAGTGGGTGGCCATGGAATTATAGACCTCGTTGGCGGGTGGGAGGCAAGCGGCTATGGCCGAAGCAGACGTGTCCTTGAGTGTAGGTTGGCGAGTCGGAACAGGCTTGACCGGATTGCTGACCCGCGGAATGCAAACCCGTTCGAATGTGGTTTGTCGAACGGGGATGGGCCTTAAAGGACTGCTGTTCAGTGGAGCGGAAAGTCGGTTTGCTTTGATCCTTGCCTCCTTTGGCTTGAGCTGCTCTGGATCAAGGAACGTGGACTGGCGTCGATTGCTCGGCGTAACCGCGATCGAATTCCTGAGGAGTTTAAAATCTCGCGAAACACGTCGAGTGTGTTTTGAGACTGTTTGACTAGCCTGTTGAGCACCCTGGACGACTTTCTGAGCACCTTGAAGGACCTTCTGGCCGATATCCTTCAACGACGCCCTCCTACGCTTGGTGACAGGAGGCGCGGCAGCCCCTTGTTCATTGGGGTGTACGGCGTAGTCATCCCGAGACGGGATCAGTGTCGTCACCGATTCTGCATATTCGACCTGTATGCGGGAGCTCCGGTGACGAGCGACGTCTGTGACGAGGACAGCGGCGGCTGCAGGAGACTTTGGAACATAAGCAACACTATGGTCCCTTGTCTTGTGGCCTTGGCTTTTCACGGCCTTCTTGGAATCGCCTTTTGAAGCGCGAAGATGAGCTAGTTCTGGAACGACTAGGGGCTCTGGCTTGGCTGGCTTTGTCAACTTGATGGTGGAATGTCGCGGCTTGGACTCACGACGAAGCTTTTCCGCCTCGCCGAGGAGACGCGCTCGCTCCTGCTCACTGATGGGTGAGCCAGGTTTCGGTATTGGCAGAGGCTCTTCCTTTTCATTCATTCGATAACTTGACGGCGGGTAGTAGCTTCGGCGAGGCCCCTCTGTTGGGAACATTGATGACACAGGAGAGATCGATCCATCATCACGACCGATCGGTACGTTGTAACGAGACTCGATCGGCGAGACAGGTTCATAGCTCACGTCAATTGCGCTATCATGCCGACGCGCCGACAAAGCTGATCGAGCTGCATCATCGGACCTATTGATGTCGCGGTCACCTCCGTCACCGGCAGGGTTCCGTGTATTCGTAATCATGGATAGAAGCGGTGCGGCTGTCTTGGCGATGCCGAGACTTCGTCGTTTCGAAGCGGAATACTTCACTGCATCGCTCCTGTGGACCATCTGGAAGGCCTCAGTCTGTGTAGGAATGTCCGGAGAGCCTCCAGTGGATTGTGAGACGGGTAGGCTTTCACTGTAGTCATCAGAAAAATAGACCAGCGGCGCTCGCGAGCCTGCTCGCTCAGCGAAGCTAGGTCCAACCTTTCCTTGTCCCATAGCGGAAGGCATATTGTTTGGTGCAATTATTCTCGTGTTGACAGTGTGATCGTAGTTGTGCATTTGACGAGAGTGGATACGGTCGAGATTGGGACGGGATTGTCTCGTAAGGTGTCCAGGCGTAGATGTTGTAGCTTGGAAGGTCATTGTTCCTGCGACATCAAAGGAAGAAAGAAATCGACGTAGTCATTCATGGGATACCATTGGCTGTGGTTGATTCTCGCTTTGTGATCGTGCCACCTGCATTGTCTCCGTACAAAGTGAATGTGCTGTTCACTATCTTCACTTCGGTCTACAATCGCCATGGCCGCATTCACCATCCGGTAAAAGCCACGGAGCGGCTAGAGTGATTTCGATCCTCCCAAGTGCCGCCATCTCTTCGCCAAATATCCTCTGGAAAAGCATCGTAGATTTGACAGCTGAGGCAGGCAACAGTTGCTCTTCTCATAACCAAGTGTGTCTCGTCCAGGCCGTGAATCGGAAGCCTTGGCACAGCTGGTCCTAACACCTACTCAGTCATCTTCTTCGCCCATGACGGTGCGCAAATTATAGCGCCACCGAGCCACTTCATGCTCTATCGCGCTTAGTTTGGCGGCAGAGCTCATCAGACTCGGGTCTCCAGTTTCCACCCGAGTCTTCTCACGCACGATGACCTCTTCTTTGCCTCGCCACTCGAAGACTTCTCCTGCTTCGTCATGATTCGGCACACGTGACCCAAGGCCAAGTAGACGATTCCGAAGACTGAATCCAGATAAAGAGAAGCCTGAATCTGACGCTGGTGTATGCGGAGTGCCACCTGGAGATGTCGGCGCGAGAGTTCGTATCGTGAGCACGATATTAGCGTCCTGAATCGTAAAGTGTAGGCTGAGGTGGTCAGGTAAAGGAGGCTGGAAGACGGTCGCATCAACGCTGGACATCCACCAGTCGCTGCCTGGGATAGTCTCATGCTGCTGTCCGGGGATCGCACCCTTCATGTACGCTTTTGCGTTAGCTAAGTTGTCATGTAGGAGTCTCAATTGGCCAGATATGAATGAGGCGTCCGTCGATTGGCCAGCCCATCGCGAAGCATCGATTATATCCAGGGAGTCGTTCACTAACGACCTCACAGCGAAGAGCTGTGGTAAGACGAGGTCCGGAGCATTGGGAGAAGGCCCAAACGTAAGGTGGGTGGAAGGATTGGAGGTCGTCTGAGTTCTTGGCATGTTTGGTGGCAGACTCGCAAGCCTCAGATGAATGTCTCCCTTTACCATCTTTGTGCCGATGCGCGTTACGAAGCCCTTGACATTTTCGCTACGCAGCGACGACAGGACTAGTGTGGAGCCTGGCTCTTTGGGTGCAAGCAAAGCAGCGCAATGTTCCAAGCTTTCTTTGAGGGCAGACAAAGACTTCTGGAACTCCCCTAGGAGCCACTGAAGCTCGAGCCGCTGACACTCAACTTCGTCGCGGCGCTGTTCTTGTGGCGACACGGGTGGGTAGACTGACAGCGACATTGTTTGATTGCACCTTCTTTGCGACTTGGTCAAAGGTTGTGCGCGTATAGCGACCTCAAGCAATCAGATCCATGGATGAGTTGACCGAAACACAAAAGACGTCATTAGAACGGTGATACGCGAATCTAATTTTCCAAGGTTTGTGGTGAATGACAAGAAAGTGAAAGAGACTTGAAGGCTAGCTTGGTTGGTCGCGTAAGGCAACCTCGCTCACTCACCAGCAAGCACTCACTGCAGTAGCTACTCAAAGTGGATCTAGTTGCCTAATTTTGCAGTGCATATCATTTCGCAATCGCAAACACTTCCAAGGTTGTTCGTTTGTCTCCATCGATTTGGCATAAGTCGACCAAGAAAAGTCGAACAGTTTGCGACCACTGACACGATCGCCAATACTATGATAAACCTTTCCCGCTCAAGATGACTCTCCCTCCACGACCCGTCACGAGTTCGCAAATCGACTTCAAGTTGCCCAGCGATAGATTCTGGGGCACTACTGCGCTTCTCCCACCTACCTCACATGGCCTTCCATATATCGCTTGCATAGCGCACGCAATCACATGCTTTGCACTGCAGCCACAGACGTCCATGACGATTGAAGACGCATCGAATGAGCTTCTCAAGATGATGGGCAATCCCTCGGAAGATGGCGAGGAATGTGGAAACCACATGGAGTTTGGCCGATTCATCCTCATGATAGCAGAGCAAATTCCTTACGACCACCCGGCACATCGAAAGCTTGTAACTTTGATCAACTATCTGCAGAAAGGAAACTGGTACAGCGATGTGTTCATGATGGAGATTAACCAGAATATGGAAATTGTTTTCGAAACTTCTATGGACAATTCTCAGCTCGCGGCCGAAATGAACAGATTCGTCAACTACAACGCCTTCTTGTCCCAAATCGACGCGCATCTCCCGGCATCCCTCCTGTCGACCGCCGTACTACATTTCTTGAATGCATTCGAGATGGACTATGAGCACCCGGAGAGCGTTCCGAACTCACCCGGCATTCACAATGCGCTGCAAGCCTTTCAACGTGGACCTCAAGAGATCAATGCCAAAGGCAAAGGCCTCCTTCGAACCGCCACAGTCCGAGTCGCAAGTCTGTGGATGATTCAAAATGCGACACATTTTTTCGCCCTCCTTGTCAGTGAGCCAGATCGCATCACTGATTGGGATCACACCACGGTCTGGACGCGAACTGGCCAGCGATTCCGGGGTGATAGATTCAGTCGTGAGCGTTGGAAATTCTGGAAAGATGGCTTTAGACAGGTTGTGGATGAAGCTGCTGCCGACTCATATCTGGGCAAAGAGGCTGGTGATGCACTTCGGGCGATGAACGTGGTAGACGGTACTGATGCGAGTGGTTCATGGTAGTAAATTCCGACAGAGAGTCAAATTCGTCCCGGTTCTGCTGCCGCTTTTCTCTGTTCGAAGATCCGCCTGTACAATGATTGACGTCTGACAACTTTCGGTATTGACATACAGGCGGGCGTAGGGCGCAACTATGGCAGCAATTGCATGACTGCATGCTGTTCGTGAGGTCGCTCGCTGTCGTCTCCGGCCACACATCCGCCCGTGTTTGGCTCGACTCGCTCCGGCCATTGAATTGAGGCTTTCTCTGCCTCTGGCAGAGCCAAACCAAGATCGGACGTCTCGGGCACAGCGTCCACCTTGCCAGAACTTCGCCCGCCACGCAAACACAGCTACACCCCATGAGACTCTATAAATCCCTCGAGGATGTGCCCATGCAGACAGCAGCCTCGACATACTCTCAACCCGAGCGCCTCTAATACAACCACCAAGACCTCCATTGAACCCAAACTATTCCTTTCGAAAGTCAGACCTCCATCTCATTCCCAAGACAATGAACCCAAACTTTTGGAATTATTCAAGCGGCGACAATGGCGGCCGCGCCCAAGTGTACGGCTGGACGGGACCACCCCCGGCCAACCCTGCTAATAGGACTCCCATTGTGACTGGATGGAGACCTGGCATAGCGCCGCCCCCCTACTCCACCCAGGCCGCTGGGTATACCCTATATCCCGGAACAAACCAGGCACAGTGGATGTCAGCGCATCATGCCCAGGCTTCTATTCAGTCCGCGCCTGCCCCGACCAGCGCCAATGCTGGCCCTCGGGGCGTCTTTCCTCACGGACACATGAACTACGACTCTTACTTTCGCACTGATGGCTTGCCTGTCATTGGACAACATGATGGAAACCCTGTTCACTTTGTGGAGTACCCTGCGAACCCAAATTATGCCTACGGCGCGCAATACTACGATGGTCGTCACATCCAGTTTAATGGAACCTACCTTGGAATCAGCGAAATCCAACTCAGCACCGTGTTATCGTCGATTTCTATCAGAACCCTCACGGCGTGGTGTCCCATGGTGGTCCAAACTCGCGACCTGGACAGTTCACGCTCGCAACACACAGGAATTGGTAACCTGGAGGGTCTGGGGGATCGTCGCCCCCTGTGGGTTGAGAGAGGAGATGCAGCCAACTGCTGCTACTGTACTGCTGCTCAGCACACGACGAGCAGGATCCTCTTGCAGAGCGATCACATCGGCGTTCCAACAAACCTGTAATGCATGGAGCTTCGCGTTGTCACACGACACTGGCGCAATTGCTTGGATCCAGGTTAGGTAGATAGAGTAAATGATATGCACATTTTCCTTATTCAGAGTCGAAAGTTTAGATTCGGAGGAGGTGCATATGTGGTTGATATGAGGCAACATCTTGTTGAGTATTGAGAATCCCCACGACGTTTCTGCAGACTTAGGTATGCATGGACATCCCCCAAAGAGTAACATCCTGAAGATTTCCTTCCACTACCGGTCAAAGATATTCAGTCCACAATGCTCACTTTCACTTTATGCCTGCCTCTTCTCCCTCTCCTCCCTTGGCGTGAGATCTCCCGCAAGCGTCTCCTCATCAGCTGTCTTTCTCCGTCCCATCTCGACCTTGCCAGCTAGGGGCGTACTTCCGAATTCTACACCATCAACAGCCACATCCGCACGTTGCAAATACTGGTACCAGTAATACATGCCCACAAATCCGCCCCCTCCCACAATGTTCCCCAAAGCGCTGATGATACCCTTCCAAATGTACAACCCCACGGTCAATCCCGGTGTATCATGCCATATCCCCGTAGGAACGAAGAACATATTGGCGACAACGTGGTCAAAGCCAGTGAGACGAAGGCGAAAGTGGGCCACCAGATGCCCACAATCTTAGAGAAGTACTCCCGGCCGGACATTCCGAGGAAGCAGGCAAGGGTGACGAGCCAGTTGGCGCCGATGCCTCGCAAGAAGACTTGGTGAAAGTGAGGGGTGATCTGCTTGGTCGTAGCGAAAGTGCGTACCTCTGTGGTGTAGGCAGCGACGTCGAAGGTGCCGCCGTAGCCTGTAATCAAGGCCACCACAAACAAAGAGCCGGCGAGGTTGCCCCAGAAGGTGATGAACCAATGAATCAACATCTTCGTCCACGATAACCTCTTCTGCAGCACAGCGACAGTGGTGAAGAGGAACGAGCCGGTGCAGAGATCAGCGCCCGTAAGCACGACCATGCACAGACCATAGGGAAACACGAGCGCGGCGATGGTGCGGATCAGGCCGGGGGCGTTCTCTTGGTACCAAGGAGCAGCGTTGGTGGAGAGGAGAGTGGCGCATGCGAAGGACAGGAGACAGCCGGCGGAGACAGAGGACATGAAGACCTTATCGAGGCGCTCGTTGCCTTTGGTGACGCCCGCGCGGCCGACAATCTCGGCCGTTTCGGCAGGAGTGTAGCAGTTATACATGATGCTGGTTGAGTAAGGGGACACCCACAGGAAGAGGATAGTTCAGTTGTTGTTTGGTGAAGAACAATGAGGGTCTTCGGGAAGGGGTGGGAAATGGTGATGTGATATAGGTCGGACTGTGGATGACGATTGTGCTGAGGTTGAGAGGGGTGCCGCCTTGCCGGATAGCCCATTCCTGTGACATGACCTCGTTGAGACGACTACTGTTCGAATCAGCTTGCCGAGGAGTTACTTACATTCGCGAATGACTCTTCCGCCCACCACAGTGGTCAGAGACGGTCGGAAAAGGCATCCCTTGGCGTGGATACCAATTCTGGTCAGCAGCTCATCGTCATTGCGGAGAGTTGGATTCCAATTCTGGTCAGCAACCCATCGTCAGTGGCTGGGAACAAGCAATCGGCTCTGCATTTGGCAGCATGTCGGTGTGCTTGTTCAGACGTACAGTAAGGACATAGATAAGGCAATGGACGTTTGGTGGCTTGATATGCTGTGATCGACATGGAGGTGGAGTCTCGGGGCATGTGCGGAGCACTTGGCATGCTGCAAGGCCTTCGTCAGCCAAGAAATCGATAGATAGGAAAACAATTCCATTGAGCTTGAGGTCGATGCTTGGTGGACGATATCGGGTCGTCGCAACTAGGTTAGGGAGAGATGGATTCGAGGTCGTTGTTATCTTCGAGGCCAAATTGGTACAGCAGTCGAGCATGCAGTGTGGGAAGTTCTCCGCAAGCGACTGAGATGGTTTTACGAGACTTAGAACGCGGAGAATCCATGCTGGATGTGCTCATCGTTGAGTCGTTGACGACATGTCAAGGGATACGTATGTTATACGGTGGTCTGCATCCAGTGGCAACAGATACTTTTACCATTTGGCTCAGAGAAACCTTGTCAGATTGTGATCTTCCAAGCAAAGCCAAGCTCTCGCTCCAGGTAGTCGGAACCTGACTGTCGGCGTTGGGAGTCCTGCGCAGGCCTTATTTTGTGATCAATAGACCAATCCTTGCTTACTTTGAACTCAGCCATCGACTGCTCCTCATTCTTCTCCAAGTTGGAACAGCGCGTCATGCGGACTCATAGATCGAGTCAAGATCCCGGACAATCAGCGACCGCTGAATCATCCTGCAATCACGTATGGCGGTCATGTCCCATCCGGAGTAGAAGTCATTTCCACACTGTTTTGGCCGGATCGCTGGGAGCACGCGAAGAACTGACCTTCTTTGAGTACCGTGCTGCAACGACACCGGGGGCTGTGTTGGCGTGAGGAGGCCAAACGGCGTCACATCACTTCATGTTTGGAGTCTCGAGCAGAATTCAGAGCCACCTCGTTTACCAGTCGGTCCCGGTGTCTACAAGGACAATTCGCATGTCGCGTTCCAGACACCTTGCCCGCAGACGTTGGTTCCGTAGTGTATGCGAGGATGGGGAGCATGCTGTTCGCTCTATGCACGCGCCTGCGCTGACCCGCAATTTGGACAATCTTGTATTGAGAGCGTTGAAGCAGAAGATGGCAAGGGAGTTCTCGAAAATTGATCGAAGTGGCCCGAAGGTCGAGCTGGATGCTTGGCATCGACTCGCAGCGTCCTGACCCCACTTTTCCTGTCAAATCTCGAAGCCATGAATTGAACGTCACCTCCAGGCGTCTTGGGGTCATTTTAGCCTTCCCGTGGGAAACGTCGTGTGGCGGGCAAGACCGTTGCGCTATGCTCATCTCCTTCGTCATCACCGCCGATGAGCGACAATCGGCGACATGACGAACATGCTCGTCGGCATAGCTGACTAGCAATATCCTACAGGAGACCACCCCCAAGGTCGCTGAACGAAGCCCCCCGAAGCATGTCACGATATCGAACGAGACCGCATGGGGAAGTCTTGCGAAGGACTGTTCCAGACCTAACTTTATTCAAACTGCACAAAATGCTTTCTTTCGCGCTCAGCGGACCCTGACACACCTGCCTTGTGGCAAGTCCAGTGACGACCATTGCCAGGGCCCGGATATCTGAAAGGCACCGCCATGACTCGACTGGCCATGTGCTACAGACCTGAGATGTTGCTCCGACTGTTCGCTAATACTAAACCGGCTCTACACACATTGCTGCCCCATGGTATACTACGGACCTTCTCGTGGCTGCTTCCAGTGTCGAAAGCGCAAGGTTCGATGCGACCTGACAAGCCCAGGGTGTCGCAATTGTCATAAAAGAGGTCTCGCATGTAGCGGGCCTCGGATAGGTGCCAATGAGCCTGACATCCGACCTCTAAAGCTTCCTACCAGGGCATGGGTAGACTACGCGTGGCCTGCAGGGTATGACCAAATCCAGGTCTTCCATTATGCGGTTCCCCATTTGCGACATCAGTCGCCTATGTCCGACACTTTCAGCTTCCAGGAGGCGCCGCATCCGACTGATGTCTCCATCCCACACAGCTCTATCAACGGCTCGTTCGGGGGCGCTGAGGTCGGCGTCTTCAAGAGCAGCTCTACTCTCTTCGAACTGATCAACCTCTGGCAAGTCAAATTCCTCAGCCGAGATGCTAGGGGCACCACCGGAGTCCTATCAACGCGAGCGATGAAACTCAGCTCGCTGGCCCTTTTTGATGATTGCAAAGGATACGCATGGCTTTCTTCGATGGCAGGCTACTATAACGCGCTCACTGGAAACAATACAATGACACAAATACAGATGGAATCCCACGCTCAGGCGGTCTCCAACTTGCGAGAAAAGTTCGAACACAACTCAATGAGCCTTCCGCTGCTGGCCAGCCTCAATAGCCTGATCAGCGCCGAATTTGCCGCCGGAGACTACTCGACAGCAGCCCATCACACGAAGTTCCTCGCAGATGAGCTGGATCCGAGGACTACAGTCCACGGGGGACCTCTTGTGCATCGCATTCGGCACACAGTGATTATACTCGAGCTTGAGCGTTCAATGGCATCGTTCTCGAGGCCCCTCTTTGATCTCAATGCCTGGATTGCGCATGATCAGTCACAAGATCTCAAGGCATCACGCACGCAGGCATCATCAATTTTCTTCCCGCCGTATGCTCCGTCAGGTTTTGATCATGAAGCTCTATCAGATGTCAGATTAGTCGACGTCTTCACACGCATGCGCCACTTTGACCAGATCCTCGACCAGCTGGCGCTGGCAGACACAGTCGGTCGATCCGCTGCTTTTCAGATCTCTTGGACCGCCCTTCAGCTTGGCAACGACATTCTGCTCCATTCTCTTGACTTATGCGCCACAGCCTCGCAATACTCGATCCCAGCAAGCAAGTTCTTCAATGAGGAACAGCTGCGCCATCTTCGACGCTCGCAGTATGCCGCTGCCTCGCTTGCCTTGATGTTCTACTTCCGGTTTCGTACTCGAAGTGAGCATGGTGGCGTAGAGTCCACCAATAGTCTAGCATTGTTGGAAAGATTCTGGAGCATTGGACCGAGTATAGCGAAACGTATGGAGACGCTCATGCGCCATTCACAAGGCTCGGCCGACCTCCTTGTGCTGCATAGCCAGACGTATCATGCTCCTTCCGATTGCAACTGCCCAGACGATGACATTGCTCAAATACCTAAGGACGTCGACCCAATCATACGACTTCGGTTGTGGGTTCTGTATATCGGCAAGTGCATTGAGGCAACGGCCCGCCGTGGCCAACGAGTCCGAACCTCGTATTTTGACGATGCTCTATCGAACCTGTGCGACGGCACTTTTGACGTATGGCTGAATGCTACCGACCGGCGGCAGGCTCTTGACAGGATTGTCGCGGGCTTCTTTTCCGTCGAGCATATGGCCCCGCTCGATGGACGCTCGAACATCTTTCTGAAACAGGGTCCAGAGTGGCTCTCGCCTGCACTACGCACATGGGGGTTTGCCAACTGGGACGGTGAACTGGCTTGACTGTACGGGATTGACGCGTATCGACCCTCGCCCAAACGCCAGACAGATTTGAAGGAGTCCAAGCGCAACACAGGATGGACAATGAGTGATCTGATTGCAGAACGAGCAGAATGTCCAGAAAGACGAACTCTTGAAACAAGACGGCTGGCAGACGAAGGACTGAGCAAGTCAGGCGCCAGTCATTGCAGCCCGCCAAAGAACAGCGATGTATCCGATATCTGTGACAGACTACCTCGAGAGGCAGTGGAGCAACTGTGTTGGACATGATTAGAGATTATTATACTATTTTGCTGCCACGCTATGTACCGTCAAACATTTTACCCATATGCACCTATCTACAACAAACTCGTGATAGCAAGCAGCGGCAGCATCAACATGCCTAGCGAGACGAACATGCCTTCGCTGCCACTGCCGGCTGCCCCAGTCTCGGAAGCCGTCGCTGCTGCGGCATCATTCGTGTTTGTGGGGATCGTTGAGCTCGTTGCGCTTGAGCTCTCCTCTGCACTGCTCGAGGTCGCAGATGCCGTGGACGATCTTGTGCTGGAGGACCGAGTCGATGTCGAGATCGACATTGTGCTGCTGCTGCTCGTTGCATTGCCCTCGTCGCCACCGGCGTTCATCTTCTCCATCATCCATCCCGCAATCTGGCCAGAGTACACATCGAAGTAGGACAAGTGATCCTCGCCAGTCGCTTCGGCGTCTGTCCCATTCGTACAAATGGGATCGGACTCTACGCAGTAATCGTGGAGAACGTTGGACCACTTATTGAGTCCTTCCAACAAAGCACCCGTTCGAGGGAACAAGCCATTATAGGGCGATCCCGAGAGCTCATTGTAGCTTTGTCCGGCATCGTGTCGAGTATTGCCGCACAGCGATACAGCTATGATCTGCTTGCCCAAGGTGTGGTCCTTGCTCGCGGGATCGAGGCCGGCATTTGGCTTCTGAACACAGTCCTGAAAGAAAGTGCCGCCGCCGCCGCCTAGCACATCGCCAACAACCTGCGCGCCTTGGGAGTACCCCGCCACGATAATCTTGCTGTCCGGGCACTTCTTGTTGTAGTCGAGCAGCTGCTTCTGCCCAGCAGGTGCACCCTCTTCGAGTGACACGCAGAATACGGTCGTGTATTTGTTGTCGAAATGGATTGACTCGTGGCCACATGTCACGCCTGACGGCGTAGCCTTGCAGATGGCATCGACGAGCTTGAGTTGCCGCTGACCTTGTTCGGTCTCGTTGTTGCCTTTGGCGAGGAAGATGTGGACGTCCGTGCAGTCGGTCACCTGCGGGATCGACGGGATGCCGTCGATGTGCGGGTTTATCTTTGTTGCATTTGATGAACTTTGTGCATTAATAATGGGAAGGGCCGCGAAAAGAAACGATGAAAGGATAAAAGAGCTTGTGAGAACACCCATGCTTGCGAATGTATCCTGGTCTGCTCAAAGAAAACGCGTCTGAATGATATATACTTTTTGAAAAACGAATGTCGTGAACCTACTAGACGCTGAAGGATAGTCAAGAAGTCAATGGGGATGCGGGCATTCTGGGGTTTATGTTTGTTGCTTTTCGTGAACGACACGCCATGCTCCGCCCCAAACGAGCAGGGGACGGAGGGCATTTCTGCTGGTGGCAGAAACGATGGGGAAAATGCTCATTACGAGTTGCTATCGTTTGGCCATTTTTGGACCAACCCGGGTCCGAATATGCTGCCGGATCTTATACCCGAGACACCGTCGGCGGATGTATCTCGGTTGCCACCACGCTAGTCAACTCGCGTGGTGAAATCTGGTATCGCTCCACCACATCTCTTCGCTTTCGGCAAAGCAAGGGAGAGCGAGCAAATTTGCAAACACAGCAACTGTCTACTCTCACAGTATGATTCATGACTGTCGCAGGGTACGAGCTGTTCCCGTCCACGATGCAAGTTTATCGCAACGCTTTCCAAGGTCAGCCCCCCTATCCCTTGCTCTGATGCCACCCGCACTCGAGCCGCACCATTCGAGTACTTTCGTCTTATCTTTCACTAGCTGCGAGCTTGGTCACATCGGCCAGGATGCAAAATGAACCATGTGGATCCTCAATGCCTCGAAATTTCTCTTCGCGCATGAATCAGACAGCATGCGATTTGCGAAGACTTGTCTGAAAGCGCTTCCAGCTTGTTCGCTAGGGAATAGATCCTCCGACGCACGTCCGCATCATGAAATCCAAGACGATGCCTTCTATAGTGAATTGTGGCCCTGGAAATGTCTGAGAATCCGCCTACGACCAGATGGTCAGTTGGGCAAAGGCGCTGCTTCAACCTCTTTCAAGCACTGTTCGAACTCGGACCAGTTGTGCATAACAGCGATGGCACCGCACTCTTGTCTCAACATCTTTTCCATCGCTTCGGCCTTCTCCTTGCCGCCTTCCGCGTAGTATGGGCCTACGTATCCCATCAATGGTATCCCTGCACGCTTGGCGGCTGTTGCCCCAGACTTCGAATCCTCTACCGCGACTGCTTGCTTAGGGTCAACGCCCAGCTTTTCGCATGCCCACAGGTAGATGGCAGGATCTGGTTTGGATGACGGCTCAGGCATCGAGGACGCGGCCGAGAACACCTTATGATGAGGAAAGAATCGATCCTGGCCAGTCTTACGAATCGAGGCTTCTACCCGAGAGATCGCACTGCTCGAAACGATTGCCGTGTCGTACTTACCCTTCAGATCGCCGTCGTGCAGTCTCTCCAATACATCGATGCTGCCCTCACAGGGTTCGGCGCCCTTCTCCAAGTTCTCGATGATAGTTCCGAGCTCCCTTGCGACCATGGCCTCGACCTCAGAATCTGTCATGCTGAAGCCGTGTCTCTGCTGCAGAGCAGCAAGCTGGTTCCTGAACGATAAGCCCACGAACTCATGCATCATCTCGGGTCCTGTATATTGCTTGGCGATACCATGGTTTCGCAGTGCTTCGTTTCCGAGCTGGCTGCAACCTATGAAGGCGATGTCTTCGGACAAGACTAGAGTGTTGTCGCAGTCGAACAGGATAGTTCGGATCTGGGGACTCGCATCAGCATCGATGCCAAGTACAGGCAATCTGCTATCGTACAGGTGGCATGTTACAAACCTGCTATCAGGAGAAAGCTGTGTGGACTAGGAAGAACAATCTGGTCGCGGGGCGATTTGAAAAAGTAGTCAGTGCAATTAACACGAGTAGCTCAGCTTCCTGGTCTGATTTGTTTTTGTACACTGAGGCCAGTACTGTGACGGAGTGCAGGACTCGGTCAACGCATCTAGAGCCGGTTGATATGCAAACATCAATGTACGGAAGGTCTGCAGGCATCGTTCCACATTAAAATCTCTTAGCGACATTTCATGGCACATCGTAGCTGATGTTCGATGACTAAGCAGCAGTACGTTCGACCGTATATCAGATGGCTCGTTCGATATTGCAATCGACCAGGTGCTCGTTGACAAGTAGGTGGCTTCCTGGTTCTGCCCTGCTGTAGGTACAGGAGGGCTGCTTCGGAAAGGATGCAACCATGATAGACCAAATATACCTAATAGGACAGAGGCCGCCTCATGGGCAAGGCTGAGACAGGGGACTGAGCCCGCAGCAACCGAGCATCGACTTCACGTGCGCAAGAATGTCGTGCAGAAATGCATGTGGCTTATCGGGCCTGATCAAGTTGTTGGGATGCTGTTTGCAGCAGTTGAGCAAAGCTTCTGAGCTTTGATTGGTCGATGACCGCAAGGCTCCAGTCTAGCCTGGTGAGCCTTCAAGGTTTGAAGCTTCGCAGAAAATTCGGCCGTGCCTTCGAGTTCCAGTTTTTGAGACAAGTTCGTCATCTCTCATCATTACTCACCTCGATGTATACTTCGCATTTCGACACCCAGATGTGGTCGAGGACACTGCTCGTGAGCACGGAATGAGGTGACTTTGGAGCCCATGGCCCAAGCTTGCCGCTTGGAAATTTTATCCCTCAAAACTGGAGCACTTCGCCTTCCACATTTCTACTCCTGTCCTTCCTCATATCAATCTGTTCCACCTTTATCAGCTCGGCCGCGCCTTCCTGTCCTTTCCTGTTACACGTGGTGCTTGCACATGCCTTATCAATGTGTTGTATGTCAGATTCCTGCGTACATCATGAAAATCTCGGCCTGTGAGACCGAGATTTGCGCAGTTCAGTCTTTTCTATGTATAGTGTTTACATTGTAGAAGATATCGCTGTCATACTTTCTGAAGAATATTCGAGACAACACTCGTTCAAGTCGGCCTTTTGTCCTTTGGCGCCACAACGACGTTTGTGAAAGACTCGTCCATTGCCCAATGCGTCTTTGATACAATTTTCTTTGTTTTTGTCTCCATTCATACGGAATACTGCCCCTCCTTAGTCAAAGTCGACGACATCAGCGGACGACATCAGCGGGCCACTGCCTAGTCGACAGCCTGAAATTGATACCGAGGCGGCCTCCAATTGTGCGAAGTAAAACCCTCGGGCAGACGGTTGAGGTCATGGCGTCGGACGGTCGCCAGGGGTCATCAGCATCGACACCGGACAATGATAATGGGGGTGCTCGTTCCGCAAGACTCAAGTCGGCACTTCGTCCGCAAAGGGTCAATTTCTCACTCGGAGGCGAATCGCCACCAGAGGACGCCCCAGCATCAACGACAGCGGCTGCCGCGGCGGAAAAGGCCAGACACAACGCCAACCAACTGTACAGCGATTTGTCCAGGAGTGGCTCATTGGAGGACCTCAGCAATCCTTCTACTCGAGAAAGCGCGATGCACGATACTGCTCCTTTGAGGACCGACGGTATGGACGAATCTTCATTATCGAAATTGTTACCTTGGACATCCAGGAAGTACTCCAGGCGGTCGAAGAAGTCAGTAGCGGAACCAGATTCACCACCGCTTCGTCCCCTCAACGACTATCCCATACGATTGAACGACTTGCCGCTATCATCGTTCGACAAGCCTGAACGTCCGTATGATCTTGATGAAGATACCGATGACAGTGATGGCGAAGATCTTAAGCCTTTGGAACGACAGCAGAATGCTGAATATATGGAGGAAGCAACCAGACTTGTGAGAACAATGACCAGAGCCCGCCCGAAAAACTCGAACAGGGATCCCAGATCAGGCACCCGAACTCCAGCACTTGACAAACACGTTCACGACGTTGATTACCTTCCACCACCTCAACAGTACAAGCCGAGTGTTCTCGGCGCGCTTCTCACATCGCGGCTAAATGAGCTCCAGCAGCACGGCCACAGACGGGGCGATTTCTACAATGACTACGTGGGCGACACCGCCTCTCCCTCTGGGTCAAGGACACCTGAACGTTCATCGGCAGGGTCCTCCGGGAGGGTGACGCCTTCGCGGAAGCCAAAGTGGTATGACAAGCCTGAACCAGGAAATGCAACGGCAGCTTTGCTTGCTCAAGCTGGGGTGTCCTCCATCGCTCCCAGCCTACCCGGCGCAAGCACACCAAATTCGTCTCGTCGACCAGGCCTCCCCCGCAGTCGTTCATCTGGCATGATATCGTCGGCGGTAAACATTATCAAAAATGGAGCATCGAGTCTGCGGCCACCAGCCAGGGAGGCCTCTGATCATATTGTGACGATCAATGCCGTTGCCGATATTCTCGCACGACGTCGATACTTGACGAAGCTTTGCCGCGCATTCATGGAGTATGGAGCACCGACCCATCGCCTAGAAGAATATATGAACTACTCAGCACGGGCTCTCTGCATGAATGCGCAATTCCTGTACATGTAAGTCGCTCCCTCATGGTCAAACTTGTGTCCGGAAACGAGCGTTGCATTGAAGACTGCCCGAGCATATGTCTCGGGTTGACAGAGACGCTGCTCCCCTTAAATCTTACAATCCTGCCTTCTATCGTACGCCCCTTTCCCGAGACAAGGCTAATCAGGTTCGCAGGCCGGGTGCGATGATTTGCACGTTCATCGACGAAACGACATATTCCACAGATCTAGAGATGATCAGAACCAACCAAGGCTTGGACTTTGGCCGTTTGAAGGACGCATTCGACGTCTATAAAATGGTGATTCACGACAAAACTCAACCAGCAGAGGCCAGCAGGCAACTGGACGAGATAGCCAATTCCACACGCCAACATTCGACCTGGTTCAGGATCTTCATCTTCGGACTTGCTGCAGTGTGTGTCTCACCATTTGCCTTCTCTGGCAGGCCAGTTGATTTTGGACCAATCTTCCTGATGGGCGCAGTCACTGGCTTCCTACAACTGCAGATCGTACCACGCTCGTCACAGTTCAGCCACGTGTTCGAGGTCTTCGCCGCCGTGTTGACAGCATTCGTTGCTCGCGGGTTAGGCAGCATTCGCCACAACAACCAGAGCGTCTTCTGCTTCTCGGCGCTGGCGCAGTCCTCCATTGCTCTCATCCTTCCCGGATACATCGTCTTGAACGCGGCTTTGGAGCTGCAGTCCAAAAACTTACTCAGCGGTTCGGTCAGAATGGTTTACGCTATAATATATACACTGTTCTTGGGCTTTGGCCTTCTGATCGGCACCGTCATATACGGACTCGTCGACAAAAACGCAACGACCGATGTCACCTGCAATGTACCAGTGTATTGGAATCCGACCCATCTGAACGCCAAGCTGCTCTACACACGATTCATCTGGGTGCCGCTATTCGCGTGTTGCTTGGCTATCATAAATCAAGCGAAATGGAAACAGTTGCCTATGATGGCCTTCGTCGCAACAGCTGGATACCAGGCCAACTTCTGGGTTTCGACTCGACTTGCGTCGAACATCCAGGTTGCAAACGCTATTGGCGCCTTCGTCATTGGCGCAATCGCCAATCTCTACAGTCGAATGTTCCACGGATTAGCTGCGGCGGCCATGCTCCCGGCTATCTTCGTGATGGTGCCCTCCGGACTGGCTGCATCAGGCACGCTCGTTGCGGGCATAAATAGCTCGGAACAGATCACGAATAATGCAACCGGAATCTCCATCATCAACAACGGGACGCAGGGCTTTCTTCAGGCACAGGATGATCCTAATAGCGTGTACGGAGGAACCATATTCAATGTAGGCTATGGTATGGTACAAGTGGCCATTGGGATATCAGTGGGACTGTACCTGAGTGCCTTGATCGTGTATCCTTATGGGAAACGGAAGAGTGGACTGTTCAGCTTCTAGCCAGGTGGACAAACCAGAAGTCGAGTCGCATGATGGGCGTCATAGTGTCTGAGCTAAATCTACGAGGGCGCTGGAGCCTGGGTGAAGCCGAGTCAGGTTGAGTGAAGTTTGCGACATCCTCATGTTTTGCCGGCTGCTGCCTGCCTGCTTGCTTGCTTCACTTCGAGTGAAGTTTGCCATCTGCCCCTGTTTTGCCGGTCGCTGCCTGCTTGCTTGCTCGACTATAAGTATCTCGCTCGCCCTCGCACCCTACCCTCTTTCCTCTTCACGTCTTTTTGCGAATTTCGCTAAGATCAATACGTAGTATCTGTTCTTTCTAGTTTAACAGCTAGAAGATATCCGACAGGATATCCCATCTGTTTTTCTCTTTTTGGTACTGTCGCTTGAGTTGTCCTCTGCGCTTGTGCATGACTCTCTGGCATTGTGTTCGAGACCTTACACTGCCGTCTTGTGACGCTAAGACATCGCTTTTCATCAGTCGTTCTGCTTTTGAAGCAGGACCTGGGGAAGAGTAGCTGTCGATTATAGAAGACTTGGTGTATTCGACAGCGCAAGGCAGTTCGACGTCATTCAAATTCCATGAATATTCAAATGACAGGATAAAATGTGGGGAGTCGACGGTTGCCAGTGACCGAATTCACCTCAGAAATAATCTGCAACTTGGGCCAACTCACATGTCCCGCCAGGCACACTGCGTCCTGACAGAATATGAGACTGCGGCTGCGAAGCATGCACAACCCATCATGATACCATCTACGACCAGATAAAGAGGTACGAGACGACGTGTACATATCCCGCAATCATGGCGACCCAAACCATGACTCTGCGGACGCAAGTCAAGGTAGGGAAGAATGAGAAACTCCCTCCCGAGAACGAGAGATTTGCCGCCGCGTGCGTTGACATCGCGAATGTGCTCATACAAGAGTACGATGCTCTACATGATGACACGAAGCCGAAGAAAGACATCAACCTCAACAGCCTCCGTGGCCAGGTTGCGAAGAAGCACAGACTCAGCCAGCAGCCTCCACTAACTGCAATCCTTGCTGCCGTTCCTGAGAACTACAAGAAAGCCGTCAGTCAGAAGTTGATAGCAAAGCCGATCAGAACCGCATCTGGCATTGCTGTGGTTGCAGTCATGTCCAAGCCGCACAGGTGCCCACATATCGCCTACACAGGCAACATTTGCGTCTACTGTCCCGGTGGCCCAGATTCGGACTTCGAATATTCAACGCAGTCATATACGGGCTACGAGCCGACCTCCATGCGAGCCATCAGAGCGCGATATGATCCTTTCGAACAAGCAAGAGGAAGGGTCGACCAGATCAAGTCACTCGGTCATAGCGTTGACAAGGTCGAATACATAGTCATGGGAGGCACCTTCATGTCGCTCCCCTCAGACTATCGGGACACATTCATATCTCAGCTGCATAACGCTTTGTCAGGGTATCAGACCGAGAACGTCGACGAAGCTGTTGCAGCTGGCGAGATGTCGAGTATCAAATGTGTTGGCATCACCATAGAGACACGACCAGACTACTGTCTGGACACCCATCTGTCAGACATGCTGCGTTATGGCTGTACGCGTTTAGAGATCGGCGTACAGTCTCTGTATGAGGACGTTGCCCGGGACACCAACAGAGGTCACACTGTGGCGTCTGTCGCAGAGACCTTCAAACTGTCAAAAGATGCAGGTTTCAAAGTGGTCTCGCATATGATGCCCGATTTGCCGAATGTCGGCATGGAGCGAGACATCTACCAATTTGAGGAGTACTTCGAGAATCCAGATTTTCGAACTGATGGCCTGAAGATATATCCGACCCTTGTTATACGTGGTACTGGGCTGTATGAACTCTGGCGCACTGGACGGTACAAGAACTACACTCCGAACGGTCTGGTCGACCTGGTTGCACGAATCCTTGCTTTAATTCCGCCCTGGACTCGTATATACCGAGTGCAAAGAGATATTCCCATGCCACTCGTGACATCGGGCGTCGAAAATGGCAACCTTCGAGAATTGGCGCTCTCGCGCATGAAAGACTTTGGTACCACTTGTCGAGATGTGCGGACCCGGGAGGTCGGCATAAACGAGGTCAAGAATAAGATTCGTCCTTCTCAGATTGAGCTCGTCCGGCGCGACTACACTGCCAATGGAGGCTGGGAGACGTTCCTGGCTTATGAGGATCCCAAGCAGGATATTCTGATTGCTTTACTGAGGCTGCGAAAATGCAGTTCCACGCATACTTTCCGTCCAGAGCTCACAGGCCAACAGACGAGCCTTGTCCGGGAACTACACGTTTATGGTCTCGCAGTTCCGATCCATGGTCGAGAAAAGAGCAGGTTTCAGCACCAAGGGTACGGAACACTGCTCATGAAAGAGGCAGAGCGGATCGCTCGAGACGAACATGGTAGCACAAAGCTGAGCGTCATCAGTGGTGTTGGTGTTCGCAGCTACTACGAGCGATTAGGATATCATCTCGACGGGCCATACATGAGCAAGATGCTCGATACTGCAGATGACAGCGACGATGACTGAGCCTTGGTCTACGGTCCATCGCCGATGAGATGTCAGTTGTTGCTCCTGGAAAGTCAAGGCCAATGACAATTTAAGGACATGTTATCGTCCTACAGTACCAAGGAGAACGCCAGGTGAATCGTTGCGTCAATGGTCTGCACCAGCCAATCAGGTCAAGGGTGATAAATGTATGGCGCTGCGCATTGGCAAAGAAATGTTGGAGAAAATTTCTTATCGACGAGGCGTTATCCCGAGCTCGCAATGTTCTGAGTTTCCGCGGAAGATGCGCAGGCGAAACTTTGCTGGAGATATTTTGATGGCGTCCTGCCAGCATCTTCCTACGACGTCGAGTTGTCCTGATCCGGTGTATACGCCAGCATCTTTGCCCGCAACATCTCGAGCTGTCTGCATGCTCTCCAGTCAGCGATGGGTCACCCCGCACTTCTCACTGCGCAAGACTGTTCGGGCCATGTCCATCTAATCATTGGCTCCGGGCCGCTCGCTGCTTCTCGCTGCACGAAATCGATCGAGGTCGGCGCCCGACCAGTCCTACTCGTCGAATCCAAGAGCACATGCCACTACACGATCGAAGCACATGTGAGTGCAGGCGCCGCGTGTATAGTGGAAGAGACGTTCGAAGAAAGACACCTGGAAGCACTCGGGCGACCTGAAGTCGATGGAGTCGTCGATGCTGTTTTTGTAACGACGCCTTCTAGCAACCCGCTCGCGGCGCACATATCACACCTCTGCAAGAGGCGGCGTATACCCGTGAACGTTGTCGATGCACCAACGTTATGCACATTCACACTGCTGTCAACGCATTCGGACGGGCCACTACAAATCGGTATAACCACGTCAGGTCGTGGCTGCAAACTGTCTTCGCGTATAAGACGTGAGATCTCTGCTAGCCTGCCGGCAAAATTCGGCGATGCGATTGACCGGCTCGGGACCATGCGCAGACGCATCTGGGAAGAAGACTACAGATCACAAGCTGCAGCACATGCGAAGCCTCAACCAGAATTAGAAGAGGAAGAAGTGGGTCAATCGCACAAGCTGAACCAGCTGATACTAGAGGATGACACATCGGCGACAACGTTGCGAACACGGCGGATGAGGTGGCTGACGCAAATATGCGAATACTGGCCCCTCTCGCGCCTCGCCGCGATATCAGATGAGGACGTGGATGCAATTCTAGATGCATACAAAGCACCTCAGAACGCTATCGGCCCAGCAGACCACGTCTCAATCCTGCCAGGTGTGCCGTCGCCCAAAGGCACCATCACATTGGCTGGCTCTGGACCTGGTCATCCCGGCCTGCTCACACGAGCAGCCTTTTCTGCTATAGAGACCGCCGACTACATTCTAGCCGATAAGCTAGTGCCTGCTGAGATTCTTGCGCTCATCCCGCGTCGCACGCCGGTCCATATCGCCAGAAAGTTCCCTGGCAATGCAGACGCAGCCCAAGAAGAGATGTTACAGCTTGCCATCACGGCGCTGGCCCAAGGCAAACATGTGTTGCGGCTCAAGCAGGGCGATCCGTACTTGTACGGCCGTGGCGCGGAGGAAGTGGCCTTCTTCCGAGACCGAGGTTTTCGAGCTCGCGTCATTCCAGGCGTGACAAGTGCGTTGTCTGCGCCACTATTCGCTGAGATACCCGTGACGCATCGCGCGGTCGCTGACGAGGTCGTTGTGTGCACCGGCACCGGAAGGAAGGGGGCTGCTCCCGAGCCACCAGAGTACAAGGCGAGTAAGACAGTCGTGTTCTTGATGGCTCTACACAGAATTCAGAGTTTAGTCGAGTCGCTCATCGAGGACGGAGTGACCGATTATCGGCGCAGAAGATGGCCTAAGACGACGCCGTGCGCTGTGATAGAAAGGGCAAGCTGCCCGGATCAAAGGGTGATAAGAACAACGCTCGAGCATGTCTGCCAGGCGATCGAGGAAGAGGCTCACGCCCACCAGGTCTCTTGGTGGTTGGGAGAGCTTGCCAAGTGTTACACGAATTAGACGACGGCAAACGATGGATTACAGAAGAAGGGTTCCGAGGCTTGGACGAGGTCAGCGTATCCGCTGGCTTTGATGTTCTCCGAGAGCTTACTGAGGATACTAAGAAGACGAGTAACGACATTCCGATACCCAAGATACAAGCGATCGGTCCACAGCCTATTGTGGCCAACGCAGCATAGACATAGACTTACTTCATAGTTAATCACAGCGTTCTGATCTCTCAGCTGCCCTTCACAGCACCGCAGCCACGACAGTTCGTCAGAAAGCGATAACAATTGATGATTCCCAGCAACATTCAGTACCCATAAATGAATGTGAGTCGCTGATCGCCGCGTCTGTCCTCGTTCACAGCTTCTTCCTCGTACTGCTCTTGGGTCCAGTCACGGATAATGCGATGTCGCCGACGATTCTCGAAGAAGTACGCTGTGCGGATGATGCAGAAACCAAGCATTCCTGCAACTCGAGTCAGTATTCCAACGGAGCAAGGAGCCGGCATGAACGGCGGGGTTTCACAGTATCACATACCGGCGACCATGATGCCAATCGTCGCGAATAGCGGTGTCTCATCTGGGGTACTTCAGTCAGCATTGCGTTCCAAGCCTGAAGCCCTTGACAACCACCTGGCATCAGAGCACTTACATCGAGGGGCGAAGCGCTTCTTGAACAGTTGTCCAGCGATGACGCCTGCAAGATTACTCCAGCCGTTGATGCCCAATATGACGCTTCGAGAGCCCTTTCAAGTGGTCAGCGCGCCTTCCCAGTCTATCTGCGGAGCTTCGACGGGTTGTACCTTCCATGGCGTATTTCCTGCCAGCCAGACTGCAATGAGCGGCCCTCCAACGAAAACGCCTGCAAGACAGACGTGAGTGAACCCGTAGCGGAGCTGTGGATCTGTGGATGTTGCCATCACGACAATGCCAACTATGCCGAGACCCATGCCAACAACGACATGTAAGGAGCGCTCGCGGAAGTAGTCGCTCGATGTCACGAAAATGATCAGTCCAACGACGCCTCTGTTAATGGATCAGCATGCATCATGGTGCTTGTGCTTGCAGACTTACACAACGAAAGGCGACACACTCATCAAGCTGGCCTCGTTGCCTTTATAGCCCATTCCAGCGACCACCAATGGAAGGAAGGTCGTGAACGCCGTCACAGGTAGTACAGCAGTCATATTGCACAAGACTGTGCACAGTTTCTTCCAATCCTTCAGGACATCCAGCATATCGCGCCTCGTCACCATCCCTTGATTTGAGTCTGCCACCTCGTGAGTACCAGCCAGGTCTCGTTCCATGCGCCGCACTGCATGAAGCCTCTCTTCTTCCGTCAGGAACCAAGCTGTGGCCAGCTTTCCGGGCAGAACGAAGTAGGATAAAATCCCAACAAAGATCGTCAAACCGCCCTCGACCAGAAAGACAACCTGCCATCCGTGGAGATGCGAAGTGTGAGCCTGGAGTAATCCGTACGCGATCAGGCCAGCAAAGGCGCCGGCAATGCTATACATTCCTACGGAACGCGTGTCAGCATCATCACAACAGACTACTAACCATACCAGCCGGGGTCCTTCATACCGGTAAACAGCCCTGCTCTCAGCCCAAACATCGCCTTGGGATACAATGTGCTCATATAGTACATGCCAATCTGTGTGAACCCAGCTTCGGCAGCACCGATCAGCACTCGCAGACCAATGAGTCCACCAGATCCTTTGATTCCAGCATGCGCCATACACAGACCTCCCCATATCGTGACCTGGATCGGAATGAACTTGTGTACACCGATGCGCCTAGCCAGCATTACCATAACAGGTTGGAGCGGAACATACGTTGCCGAGAAAAGTGACAGCGAGTTCGGAATGTCATCTCCCTTCAGGTGTGCGTCTTTCGGGAACGTGGACGTTGCCACGAAGCCGACGTTGGTTTTGTCGATTCCACACAGAATGAATTGGACGGCGAGGATCGCCACGACTATGAGGTCCAGCTTCAGGTTCAGCCGCCTATCCAAAGCTTTCTCCTCGTCTGTCTGTGCCTTATAGAATGTCTGCGACGCTCTGGAGGGACCTTCTGAGAGCTCGATTTCCTTCATCGCCAGTTCTTTGGCTTCTTTGGCCGCTGCTGGCGCTGTATTGGTATCCATGGTGTTCGATATTCGATTCGTCTTGGTTGCCCAGTGGTGATGGGTCTTCTGATACCTGATCTCAATCCGTCACTATCAGCGATCCTGAGGAGAAAGCGGCGTCTCTTCGACAAGGGATTGCGCAGTACTTTGGGATCGCGCAGTGGTCATTGCATCGGGTTTGCTCTTGATAGCCTGGTGTCCTCTCGGAAATGGACCCTGGGCACCCCGCAAACCAGTCACCGACCGCACTCAAACAGGACTAAGGCGAACAGCACATCTGGGGGATCGACTAGAGTCTAACTCAAAAGTCACGACTAAGTCACACGCGAGTCTGAGAACCAGATCCGGCACACCTCGAAGCTCTACGGTCATTGGCTACATTGCACTAGCTGAGTTGCTGATTGGACAAAGGTGCTAGGAATCAGCCTATTTGAGTCGTGGGATAATATCTGTCCACTAGCAAGTTGATTGCACTATAGAATCATCCACAAGTACAGACGCCCGACTTCCGATATCGACTTGCCGTCCACAGCAGCCGCACCAGGATAAGAGACCACGTGCGGGAATACCGAGGTATGATACCCGAATCGAAGCAAGCAGTAAGCGCGGTTGTACACAAGGTCTTGGACATTGCGCATACTTGCTGGTCCTCCATGATCGAGCGCAGCACGTTATACAGATGGCATTTACCGCCGATCAACTACGCGATGCGTGTGTCTACGATAAATCTGCTGCCGTCGTTGGCAATGACATCTCGACGATATATGAGGAATACAAGCATCTGAGAGCGAAATGTCCCGTGGCCTATACAAATGAGTATGGAGGCTACTGGCTCCTGACATCCTATGAAGATGTCAGGAATGCCGCATCGGATTCCAGCACGTACATCTCATCTGTCAAGGCCGTCGTACCCTCAGATCCGCGCGGCATCCGAAGACCGCCTTTGAACTTTGACGCTCCGGCCCACACGCCATTCCGGACAGCACTGGAACGCACAGTGAAGCCTTCACGGATCAAGCGATTACGTGAGCCACTTCGTCGACATGCAGAAGCGGCACTTGCACCGTTGCTTGAGCGTGGGCATGGCGACATGAGTGCAGAGTTCGGTGCAAATTTTGTCGGCCATCTTGAAGCGGAGTGGCTGAATCTTGAGCCTCAAATTGCGCCAGAGCTATCTCGGACAGCAGCAGCCTGGTTGAACGCCTGGCGAGCACAGGATAAGGAGACTGCGACGGCTAACTCGACCAAGATGTATGATATTGCACGGAATCTGATGTATGATAGGAGGCAACAACCTAGAAATCCAGAGGACGACCCTGCGAGTTCACTGCTTCTGGAGACAGACGCCAATGGACAGCCATTGAGCGAAGAGCACCTCGTCGGGTGTCTTCGCCAGTCGCTGGTCGTTGGCGTTGTCGCGCCACCAATCTTGATCGGATCGATTCTTGCGCATCTGGCTAAAGACAAGGATTTGCAGAAACAACTTCGTGATTCGCTTCCTACATCAAGCTCGCCGGACCCATCACTCATTCCTGCGGCGATAGAAGAGTTCCTCCGCCTCTACACCCCCTACCGAGGCTTTGCTCGGACCGTGTCTCGAGATGTCACTCTACACAACTGCACTATCCGGCCGAAGGAGCCTGTAACATTGCACTACACATCTGCCAATCGTGATGAGTCCGTGTTCGGCTCAGATGCAGACCAGTTCCGCTTAGGCAGGGAAAACATCAAAGCACATTTAGCGTTCGGGCGAGGGAGACATCGGTGTGCAGGCGAAGCACTGGCACGACTGGCTTTGAACACGGTGTTGGAGACGGTACTAGAGATGACGGCAGACTTTGATATCGATGGAGAGATCGAGTATGCTCGCATGCCGGAACTGGGGATCATCAGTGTTCCGATGAAGTTGAAGCGTGCTTGAGGTGAATGGAGGCCTTTCGCACGTTTGGAGCAGGATCAAGTGAAGCAGTTCGTTGTTGCCAAGGCATCAGTGACAAACGGCAGTCACCGCATGGGACTATCCAGATCGTGCCAGTTGCAAACGCACTTCACTCGCAAACTCGCAAGCACTTGTGCTTCACTTCAAATGACTCACCTCATCTCACCCAAAATCTTGAACTTGCCTCTTCGGACATCTTTTGCTGTTGTCACTTTCACCTTCTCCTAACTGGTTGCATCATCCTACATCCTGACCAGATGTCGGGCGGGAGATTGTACCGAGTTTGTTCGCCGTCGTGATCTCGTCTCTATCACTGTCCCGCATTCGAACGACCGCACGGCAGCTTACCGTGTCCACGATCCCACATCGACCAGGCAAAGAGGATTCTCCATCGACTTGCACGCACTCATCAGTAAGACTGCCACGATACTGACTGTTCGACAACAAGCCACTGACCTGCCGTACAGCTGCGAACGCCTCGGATACCTCCACAATCCAGCCTACAAATCTAGGGCGTCCGTCAACATGCCATCACTCTTGGACATGCCCATTGAGGTGCGCTTCCTCATCTACGAGCATCTCTTCGCCGGCCAAAGAATTACATACATTCCCACACAACCCTATAATCTGCGCAGCGCGAAAGCCGGGCATCAAGATCGCTGGTGGTACACAAATCGTGGAGTGGCGGAGAACAAGCGATTGTGGTTCAGAGGCGTAGAGATCTTGTTGGTGTCAAAGCTATGCCGCACAGAGGCCTTCCAGATGCTGCATCTCCACGCCAATATCAGTCTGACATATCTTGAAGATCGTTCATGGCGCTTGGCACCCAGCCCAAGCCTTACCAACATCCTCAATCACATCAGATACGTCTCGACAAGTGCGGATTACACCAAGGGACGTGGCTTCCATTCGTTCTTCAAACTCCTGAGAAATCTCGAGATTGTCAGCATCTTCGACTTCGAATTTGACCATGCAGAAGGTCTGACCCGTGCCACGCGCCAAGGCCCGGCTCTGGCGCCAGACGGAAGCTTGACTCAAATGATGTGCGATGCCACGATTGCATCTATTTCCGAATGCTTCCAAGATTCTTACTCAGCCTTCCCTAGACTGATTTCACACTGGGACGCTCGAGGTCGCACATTCGCTGTCAGCGTCACTGGAGAAGGTTGTCGATATTGTTTCAGAGATCTCAAAAGCTTCTACTTCCATATGGCTCTGTTGGTCGGAGCAGCTCCTGGGGCGCAGGCCTCCACGAAACTCTCAAGCACGCCAGTCATGGTGAAAATTGGCTGGAATCACGAGGGCTCGCACCGATGGAAGACCGTGAACACCGAGCTCGGCAAGATGCTCGGCAGACGACTGGGAGGATGATACACACATGCCGCCAGGTAGAGGAGTGGTGGTGAGTTGGAAGCATCATCGTCCTGGGACTCGAGTTAGGCTCGACTCTCGCCGTCTGATGATGGAGCTTGAAGCAGAGAAGCCGCAGACCAAAGATGTCTGGCTATCATCAACCAATCTGAGGATCACGGGCTGAAGAGCTTGAGCCGCTATAAAATTGCAGGCTACGACAGCGTGCCTATGGTTAAAGCAAGGTCACAGAACCACCTTCGAGCGCTTGCTCGCGACCCGCGTTAGGATTGAGAATTGGTCAACACAAGGGATCGAGCTTACGGGTCAGTGCGCTGATGCAGATACAAAAGACTTGCGTCGTATTCTTCTCTTTCTCCTCAGTGTGCTAACAGTGCTAGTCCCGCGTCCGTGTTCGAGGTCGATGAGCTTGGCGTCCGCCCCGGGACGCGTTTCTGGCGTTTACGGGCTTCTCCTGAAAGAATCTAGTCCTCGTGTTCGTCAATCGCCTCGAACAGCTCGCTTATCTATCTTGTTGGTACTTTGCGCCTGCCCAACGCATGACTCTTGTCGATTGTTGTCATTGTATCAACAACGAGAATGTTCTTGTAAGAGATCACGCGTCCAGCTGCTCCACGACTGGCTCTCGAGAGCCCAAGAACCGTACCAGTAGATCCCTGCACCAACGAAACTTTAGGCATCACCCGTCATGTGCTGTGCCACAGTGACGTAGGGGGTGTTGATCTGTCCAGAAACCGGAAAACTGGAAATACTTTTTTGAAACAGTTTGACCTTCTGGTGCATTGTGAAAGTCTAGACACAACACGATCAAACGCCCATCATGCCTCCTAAAAAGCTAGCGACAAAGACACAACAGCAACCACGGCCAGCACAACAGAAACCGCAACCGAAAGCAGAGCCAACCTCACAATCAGGACAGAAACAATCAGCCAGCAAGAATGCAGCAAAGCCAAAGCCAAAGCCCAGCAATCAACAACAGATCCCAGAGCAGGAGATCAAGCAATCCTCCTCCATGAGCGCCTCCATGGCACTGGAAGCAACCAAGAAAGCCTGGCAGCTACGCCAAGCAGCCCATGGTGCTACCAACTCTCAAGCCCGCGAAGACGCACTCGCTGCAGCTGTCAACGCGGAGATCGAAGCAGAGTCATTCGGGAAGGCTGCCAAGTACACAAGAACCGGCGCCTTCCAAGGTCTCGCAGCTGGTGCGGGCCTCGGGGTGCAACCTGGTGTAACGATAGGAAAGCTCACTGGTGCGCTTGTTGGCGGTGTTGTATCTTCTGCTGGAGCAGTCCTCGCTGGTGGAATCGGATCTGTGTACGGGGCGATCAACGGACCAATGTGGGATCTGGGGCAGATGGCAGGGAAAGGTGTCAATAGTATCGCCAAAGAATGGCTTCCGGACTGGGATGTGACCCCGTCACAAAAGTCGGCTCTCGAAAAGATGGTCATAGGTGCTAAGCAGCAGCAGCAACCCAGTAAAGAAGAATTGGAGGAGATGGCAGCAGATGACGGCGGCGTATCTGCTATGGATAGCAACGATTACCAGCAGTGGGTCACCGACTTGAGAAGCTATGTTCCCAACATGCCGAACATGCCCAAGGCGCCGAATATGTCAATGCCGAGCATGCCGAATATGCCCAAAATGCCGTGGGGAGGTGGCGGAGGAGAGCAGGCGAAACCGCAGCAGGCACAAACTCAAGCTAAAGCACCGCCGGTGCCGCAGCAAAGGCCGGCACCACAACAAAAGCCGGCACCGTCGCAGAAGCCGGCTGCACCACAGCAGCCAAACACCTCCGCAAAACGAACGCCTCCCACAAACGCAGCACCGGCAAAGCCTGCTCAGCAGACGCAACCCGCTCCTGCGAAGAGACCTGCGTCGGCGCAGCCTGCTGAAAAGAAGAAGCCTCCCAAGTTGAATGCTCGTTCCACAGGAGGTACCACGACACCTCAGTCAGCGGCAGGAGCGAAGAAGGCGCCACCTAAGCTGCAGCCTAAGAAGTGAACTGCTACAGCTAGCTCAGCGAGCTGAGTTTTGGTTACCTCGGCGTACTGGTGCCGTCTCTCGAAGCCTGAAACGCGGACTATCAGGCCGGTGCTGGCCTCGACCTTGTTCTGGTCCAAAATTTGAAGCGGGCGCGGGGGCCGGAGGTGGAAAAGGTGGATGCACGTCTGAGCGTTTTGCGATGTCCGAAAATCCTTCATACGTGTCGCGTTGTCTGGTTTGGTTATGAGCGGATGATTTGATTGATCTTTCTGAATGTTAAGCAAGCGATCTATGACATCTGTAATCACGAATCTTTCTTTGCGATCCACCATCAGGACAGACCCTGCACTGCTTCTCACCCACTCACGACTCTCCGCTCTCTGTGCATCACTACGCCGTAGGCGCCCCCTCAAACCGCAAACACCCCTCCCCCTTCGCCTCCTCCACCCACCCATACCTTCCCTTACAATAGATCTCCCTCATCGGCTCCAACCCCCTAACGTAACCCTGATCATCAATCGTCGCCGCGTTCAAGATCAGATTCGGCGCCAGAATCTCCGGTTCCTGATATATCACTGTTGGGCACTGACTGCAAAAGTACATTCTCACAGCTTGAGAACTATCGCCGTGGCGAGTGTGCTCGCGGAGGCTGTCTTCGCCGGACGTGATCTGGAGTTGGGACTTTGAGACGAAGAAGGCGGCGCCGTTGACTGCTTTGTGGCAGGCGGAGCAGTGCAGATGGCGAGAGGGCCGATTTGTGAGGTGATGCGGAAGGTGGTGAGTTGGCAGATGCAGGAGCCGGTTAGATCTGTCATGTTGGGCTGTTGGTGTTGTTTGGTGGTCTTCTGGCTCGGTGGAAGCGTTCTGATGCTACGATTGGCAGGTAGTTACAGGCAGGCAAACGGGCTACTCTAGTATTTATATTCGGGAACAGTCAATTGATTATCTTTTCTCTTGCGAGATCCAGGAAGCCATCCGTGTCGCTGGGCGAGACTGGCCTCCACGATCAACATCAGGCCCAACGTGTTGCGAGTGCGCGGTGAGCAAGCGTAAGATGAAAGCATATTGAAGTGGGTTTCCTGATTGCCCAATTGGGAAATACAGATTACAGGCAGGTGGCACCGAGATATCGCGGGAGTGAAATGGGCTCTGGGATTGGGTTGGCGAAGATCGTCAGTGCCTGCGTGCATGGATGGGACAGATAGCGGAGGCTCGAGGATCGTACATGGATCACGGACTCGAGCACAACTTTGTGCAGTCCGGGTACTAAGTCATCCGGCGTCAGCAAGCCAGGTCAGGATCTTGTCATCCGGTCTGATCACAGCCTCATTGTCATCCGGCGTCGTGAGAGCATGTTGCACCTAACGCAGTCAACCGGTCTGCGTTGACGGTCTTCAGCTAGGTCTTGGGAGGCACTGAACGAGTGCTCGATGACATCGATGTCGGTGTCCTCTTTGCATTGCAGGACCATGACATCGAGTTTGAGCTGTGAACTAGAGATGTATTGTTGTTATATGCCCATGAAATCTCCGACCCCTTCTGAAAGCAACACATCCAATGCTTCCATACCGTAACCCGTGTCTACGAACCTACCAGGTTCTGACTGTACAGCGACTCGGATAGCGACCTGGGTATTCTACGCTTTGGTTCCCTTCTGAACGTGCCATCCTTGGAAGTCATTCGAGATTGACTTATCCAAGGTCTCGACGTATGCGACCATACCGCCGGCCCTGTGAAAATATTAGCATTGTCGCCGGACGGACGAGGTCGACGTCGACTTACCAGTTCAGCGGCTCAACCTTCCGACCCGGAATATTCGCACCCTGGTACCAACTCTTCGCGAGGGGGAACAAACTCTTGTTCCACTCCTCACTCATCCGCCGGCACCAGTCATCTTCCTCTTCTTGTGTCGATTCTAGTCTGGTAATGCCCTGCTCCTTGATCAACTTGAACACCTTCTCTACCCACTCAGCCTGGAATTGAGTGCAGCTTGGGCCATTGCTGAACGCCGTCGGTGCCTGCGGTCCGTACAAGAAGAACATGTTGGGGAACTCAGGCATGGCGATGCCCATGGATGTCTTGGTGCCGTCCTTCCAGTGGTCAGCAATGGTGCCACCCTTGACGCCCTGGATGTTGAGCTGCGCGAGAGAGCCGGTCACCGAGTCGAAGCCTGTAGCGAGGATGATGACGTCGACCTCGATGAGGCCTTCGTCCTTGGTGACGATGCCCTTTTCTTGCACTTCCTGAATCGGCGATTTGTTGATGTCGACGATCTTGACGTGTGGCTGGTCGACGACTTCGTAGAAACGCTGCTCGAGCGAAGGCCGCTTGGTTCCCCATGGGTGGGGTGGTGTCTCTGGAGCGAGGATCTCGGCCTTCTTCTTGTCTGTCAGGCGGGCAAGGACGCTCTTGCGCCAGAATTTGTAGGCCTCGTAGTTGGCATCCTTGTCAAACAGCATGTCGTCGTAGGTGTTGAGCCAGAAACGGAAGCCACCTTCCTCGATCAGGAGCTTGTGGTAGAACTTCTCTCGGTCCTCCGGAGTGTCCTCCATAGTCTTCTTCTTGAGGAAGTCATAGGTGAAGCCTGCAAAGGTGTGGCGAGTCTTCTCGATCTCAGCTTCGTATGTGCCATCCTTCTTCTTTCGCTCCTCCTCCTCTGGATCGAGCTTGCGCTGGTTCATGGGCAGACACATGTTGGGCGTTCGCAGGTAGACAGTGAGCTCCTTCGCCTTGTCACCAATCTCTTGGATGACCTGCGTGCCGCTGGCACCCGTGCCGATCTCAGCAATGCGCTTACCCTTCAGGTTCACTCCATGCTGTGGCCAAACAGCGGTGTGATAAATGTCACCGCGGAAGTTGCCAAGCCCTGGAAATGGAGGAGTATATCTGCGCGAGGCGAAGCCGATGCATGGCAGGAACCAGTTTGCGTAGATCTCTGAGCCATCGGATGTCTCCACAAGCCACTGATGGCGGTCTTCATCGAAGACTGCACTGTCCACGTGCTTGTTATACGTGACATGCTCAGAGATCTTCCATTTCTTGTCAACGAATTGGAAGTAGTCTCTCAGCTCTTGCCACCCAGCATATCGATCCTTGAATGTCCATTCTGACCACAGTTCCTTGTCGAACAACTGGTAGATTGGCGTATCAGAGTCGACGCGAGCACCGGGATAGCAGTTCCAGTACCAGATGCCTCCTGATGCGGCACCCTTCTCGTAGATCTTGACGTTATAGCCAAGTCGTCGCAAGCTGTCCACTTGTCAGTGTATGTATTGAACATCGCGTATCCGAGCTTACCGGTTGAGAAGTGTATAGGACGCAAAGCCAGCACCGACCAGCAGAACGTCGACCTGCTCAATATCCTTCGCTGAAGGCATGATGACAATCTTCGGCGGTCTGTGATGCGAGTAGCAAATACAGAGGGTCGGTTGTGCTGATAAGGGGTACTCAGAAGAAAAGGTAGTCTGTAGATCTGGCTGTCATTACCTTCGAGTAAGGTATATATCGAGGGCTTGACATGCGCATCACATCACATCGAACCCCGCGTTTCCAGGTCCCTTCAACCCCGGGTGACCGCGAATCCTGGTGTGGCGTGGCAAAGTCTGGTACTCAGAAGGGAATATTGCGGGCCAAAGGCAATGGGTACTTGCCACATAACACTTGCCTTCCACGTCCAATGACCTGGAAGCATCGATTAATGGTCATCTCGGAGCATTCGCCGGACGGAGAGTCAATCGACTCAGTAGCATGTGGATCGCCTCAGATGCACCTCACTCAGGTATCAGGTAGGGATAGACGAAGCTCCATTGTTAGCGATTGGAAGACCCGAGGGGCACTTCGGTGACTTCATCATCAATTCGCAGTTCGATGCTGGGACGTATGAGTGAGTGTGGGGAAGGCGGGGGTTTCGTGCTTGCAGTGCGCGAGAATTCCGTCACCATAGAGTTTGCGATCTCGCAACCATCTCGAACCCAAAGCACCCGTCTAGACCATAGCAATTTGTCAATCGCGTGCCAGCGTCTCAGCAGGACGGCTTGTCTCGAAATCCAGATCTCGGATCTCGAGACCTGCTCTGCTCGAGCGGCAAAGCAGATGATGTTGACCATTGGCATGGGATCTTCGGCCGTTCAGAATACTTAGTCCCTTGCCAGGTAACCTGAAGTCCGCCGGAGACGGAAACGTGTCAGTTTAGCGTTTCTGTCAATCTCGTATCTGGCAGTTCTGCGAGACCTGACGGTCAAGTTAAGTTGACGACATGTTGCACAAATCCCCTTGCTCCGTGCCAATCAGCTGGAGTTTTGAGAGCCGCTTCTGGAGCCTGCTCGCTCATGCGGCAATGTTCAGTGGCTCCGGACTGTGCGTGTACAGATCAATGGCGGCGGAAGGATAAATGCGACGGGCAAGAATCGTATGAAGGGAGCGTTGTGGATGGGTAGGGACGGTCGTGTTATAGCAGAGCAAGTTTGGCGACTGTTAATCTGGCAATGGCTTCCAAAATGCCAAGAGTCGCTCGTTTTCCCATACAAAACTTCATGCATGTAGCCCGGCTCATATACTTGCTGCCCCAACTCGCCCCTGGACAGAAAGCGGGGCGCGACTGCTCCGAAGACATCCATAACAAAATTGTAGGTCGGGCGCCAGGTCTGCTTGCAGGGAACAAGAAACCATTTTTCGGAGCTCAGGATGAACGGATAGAAGTTGAATGTGTCCCAAAAGGGCAAGCCCCTTGCCTGAAATAGAACGGGTCATTTTCTTTGCGCTTTGCACGACCGATACCTCGGTAGATAGATATCACAGGGACTAAGACGAACGAGACATAGTTCCAGCACTGCAAAGGCAAAGGTCCAAAAGAGTAGTCTGTTTGCTACACATTCCCTCGCCCTTATATACACACTATCTTGAAGCCAGCATGAGGACGCCTGCGCTGAAGAACAACCCGACGAATGGGTGACGGTGACAAATCGTAAAGAACGTAGAGCAGGAAACCGTAATTGAACGTGTGCCTGCTCTGGACTGTACGTTCCTGATAGAACCCGCCTGGAAGACGTTTTACAGCAGCTGTCGTGAGCACCTGAAAGTCCAGGGCCGACATGTCGTGAGCACTTACCCACTCGTGGGAAAGACCCGGTTTAGTCCTCTGCGCCCTGCATGATACGTTAGCATATTCAGTCTCAAGGTAAGTGGAGAAGGTCAAACTCACAAGCAGGTCGTCTGCGATCCTGTTCTCTGGCAGCACCAGCAATACCCTCCTGCTCGAACCTTTGCTCTTCGCGCCTCATGAACCTGTCACGAAGCCATGCTCTTCTGGCACTCGCGCCTTGGGCCTGGATTTCATCGGGTATCTGCTCGGCCTCCGCTGCTTGTCTTTCTCGGACGACCTCGCCATTTGCGCCCGAGCTAGTCACGGCAGCTGGTGCCGGAGGTGCCGGTGTGGTAGGTTGCAGCTCCGTGGCCTGGCCATGCTCTGGATCCTGGGCGGAAGTGGTAGCTCCGGCAGTGGTTGCTCTTCTCCCGCGCACGCGGTCCCTGATCCGAATACCCAGATATCGCATGATCCCATGACCGGCCTCAGCATCGATGGCCGCTACGGTTGCTTCCTCGCCATTGGCTCGCGCGCGCATGCGTCGCACAAGCCGTTCACGCCGGACCATGATGTTGGTGACGTTGACTGGGCAGTATCCAGCCGGAAGTGCAGTCGCTTTGCACATAGGACAAAGTGATGAGTTGTTCTGTAGAAAGGGATCGATGCATTCTGAGTGAAAGATATGGTTGCACGGGAGCTCGCGGACAGGCGTAACACCGTGTATGAAATCATCGAGACATATAGGACATGACAGCTGCGAGTATGGTGTCTCGCGAGGTCGACTAGTCGTGACTGCCGTTGATGCTGCCTCTGTGGCAGACTTATCGGCGTTTGCTGCAGCTGCAATTATTGCAGGGTCTGAGGATGTGTATGTATAAATGGGCATCTTATCCAGAACGGTCTTCGGCACATTCAGACGCTTGATTCCGAGAGCCTCGAGATCGACCTCGCCACGTTCGACACGGCGCTGGAGTCGTCGACGTTGGCGGCGCTGAATGCAGTGCATAATGACTGATGTGGTGAGTACGACGGCAAGCAATATTGCCAAAACGATAATAAGGAATACCCATAGTGAGGGAATGCCGGGAGAGCCAGATACATCGACCTGAGTGACAAGACGAATGAGGTCGTGGGGGTCGAATTGCTCAGACAACTGTTGTCCGCCCGGCGCATTCGATATGTTTCCAGAGTATTGACCGAGCGCCTGCAGTACCCCAGCCCCCACGGCACCTGGTAGGGCATAAATGCCATACTGGTTCTCGCCCTGCCACTGTCCACCATCGTTCAAGGACCATGAGGGATCGTTTACATTCGGTGGCGCATCGTTGCTTCCGTCCGGGTGAAAGAAGTATGCTCCTGCGACAGCATCTGCTCGCATAGACGAGAGAAATGCTTGTACACATTCTGGTGTCGTCCAGGGCGCAATAGCAAACGGTGGAAGGCGACTCGACGGAAGGTCCGAACCGCGAGTAACGTTCGCAGGTATGACGGAGAGAGTGTCGTTCGGGCAGGCGGCATCAGGCACGTCGGGAACGTACAGCACTCCACGTAGGACGTTCCAATTATTTGGGTTGTTTGGATTTAATGTGGTGACTAGATTCGATGTCTCGAACCGATATGCCGCAGTTTCGTTAAGAACAGTGAACCCTGACGAGCGATCATATTGCTGGTCAGGGAACACGACTGATATTATTTGCGCTGCTTGAGCGGCTGTTCTCCATGTCAGCTGTGATCGCGACGACTCTACCACACTGCCGGAACCTTCGGGACTGCATACCCATAGCGATGGAGTTCAACTATTGTTGTGTCTCCTATGTATATGTATATGTTTAAAAGGTGTGCGATATGGACAACCCTACTCGGTCTACCGCATTGTAGGGACGTCTTCGTGACTCGGTGGGAGGCGCGCGCAGTTAGACAGAAGGTGTGAAGCACGTAAGACTGAGGTAAGTGCAAATCAACTCGAAGTCATGGCCAGCATCATTGAGCTAATCGTGCCGGTACGTGCCTAAGCTACACGCTGACGCAAAGACAAGAAGTAGTTTGGGGCTGTGAAGGACAAGCAACGCCAGGACTGGCGGCTGCGCGAGTCTTGGGAGCAGATGTTCGAGTCTCGAAGATGTCAGAGACTTGTGGCGAATTGTGTCTTGGGCGTCTCAGCATCGGCGCGGCTTCCTCTAAAGTCGGTCTGTGACAGGCCGCGCGTTGGAGATCCGACCCATCGTTCTGGGTGCTGATTCGCGTAGATAGCGAAGGGGTCAAAAAAGTCCGAAAAGGAGGGGGAGTCACCAGAGCTTAGTGGTCTTCCAGGGACACCCGAAGCGCTCGTTCACTGCCTGCAAGATTCGTCAACCAACTTACTTTTGCTTGACCATTCCGTAATCTCACCCTTGTCTACACATTTCCCCACGGGATCATGCTCTGGAATTGGAATACAACCACTGGTCGTACGCCTAACCAGAATTTGACCAAAAGGCTCGCAAACCATCGTAACATCACCTACTCAGCCACCCCGAAGCCCGCTCAATCTGTTGCAGCATTTCTGTGATCTTGCCTCGTTCGAGCTCGTCTGCGATGTGCGTTGCAGCAACTAGCAAAGGTCGTCTTGCATGCGGAAGCACGCCGGCTTCATGGTTCTCTGCCACTATTCCGCAGATCTGCCTCGAATGCCATATCAGGCTTTTGTGATTCTTAGGAAGCTCGATCATTGACGGCTTGCATTCCAGCAGGAGGAGAGAGGCAGTGTGATAAAGTAGATTGCCTATTACTGCTGCAGCCGAGCTGTAGAGAAGCATAGGGAACCGATTGTGCTCGTCGTCCAGGATAGATGGGTACGACATGAGTGCTTGCATTCCCTCCGGACGACAATTGTGCCAATCCTCAAGCAGGTCATGTAGTGCTTTCCACTGGGCAGGCGCTTCACCATGATGTTCTTGAGTTCGGTTGAAATTGCCTATGTTGATTGAGCTAGTTACAATCATGGACAAGTACAGCGCATATTTCGAGTATGCTTCGCCCCAGGTCTGTGATCGAATGTAGCTCATGGCTGTCGACAGAGACTCGCTCGGAAAGAATTGGTACAATCGAAGGACGCTATTCCGGGAGTGCGCGAGAGCGTCCCAGTTAGACAGCATGGCGAACGCCCAGAACAAGCTCTGTTCAAAGCCACTGCTTCTGGCGTCAATCGAGGTACGCTTCAGAAATGATGCGCAAGCCTCCATGCTGTCCTGGCTTTCACGGTGGTCAGCTGCCATCATGTCATGAACGCAGAGCAGCAACAGCGCTGCCACAGAGCTGGCGTCTAATGACCGAATCTCGAAATGCATCAAGCGTTCGGCATCGCGGCAAAGCTCGCTGCTCTCTGCCGTCGGAGGCCGCCCAGCCTGAAGCTCCAGGTGTCGGGAAGAGACTGCTAGGACAGCATAGTGCAAAGCATCGCTCGATTTCGCCATCATTGGCAGCGTGTACTGGAAATGTCTTCGACTCTCGCAAACATCTAACCAAGGAGCTATATTCTTGCTGTAGTTTTGCCAAAGCTCTAGCTGACGTCGTTTGTCCAATTTTGTACAACCGAGTGGTCTTGCCGACAGGGTCTGATGAACCAGGCGTAGACCTTTGGAACGATACGCGCCGCTTAAGCTTAGCAGGTTTAGAGCATCAAGGTCTGCTCCTGGGTCTGATGAGTCGCTGCCAGGACTGACTGTCAACAACCTGATCTGCTCCAGCAACCGCTCCCTGGCTCCGTGTGCTGGCACAGAGAATCGCACTTTGGGCTGGCGTGCGTCGTTCGATCGCGTAGTGGGCAGCAGCAAATGGTCCAGGCACTCCAAGTACGTGATCTCATGGTCATGATTGGACAAATGTGGCTCAGGCTGTGCAGCACCGTGCTTGGCCGAGATCGAGGACAACGAAGTCGCGGTCGAGCCAGAGCGGGTCGCTAGTGAGGTCCCTGAAAGCGGTTCCGAACTGCAGGAATCGGAGCTTGATGGTGCATGTGTCTGCGCCTGCTGGTTTGAGGCACTGTTGGATGCGTTTGCTGTCGTTATGATGTCGTTACCACCAAGATCCACGGGATTTGCTAACTCGTAGGGGAAGCGCTGACATTGCGGCTTGCAGGACCGACCACTTATTTCAGCTTCGATTGTTGTAGGACCAGACTGCTTCTTGTCGACTTGTACGCATGACGGGGAGCAGGTACGGGACGCCGTAGCATCACAGGCTGAACTCTCTGGCTCTGCGAGCGAAGCAGCAAGCTTGTCACCAGGCAGCGAAGGACCAGGCTGTGAGTTAGACAGGCTCTCGGTATCGACATGAGCCTGCTGGGTTTGAGTGTCGTCGAATCTCACATCAACGATCTTCCAAGATTAGCCAATGATCCTTTTACTAGGTAGTTCAAATATGCAGCCGAAGAAAATCACCTTCAGTTGACCATTTGCCCTTCGCTTCGTAGGCCTTGCCAGGAGCATTGACGGGTGGTCGGCATCGAGTCCGCTCAATCTGAACGTAAGACCAGTGTCCCATTCACACTTCTCTCCTCGGAAAATGCACTTGCCACAGGTTGGCTTCTCTTCACCACCTGCCAAAATGGTCAGTCCGAGCGGTTCAATGGAGGACCCCCTAGTTACACTTCTTCCTTCTACGCCTGCAGTTCAGGCAGCCGTTCCTCCCCCGTGTACGTTTGGCGCCTAGCTGTGCCACTTGCAGCACGTCGTTCTCTTGGCGTCTCTTCTGAGGAGTGACTTCAATTACCTTATGCGCTCTGTCAGCGCCGTCGACGGCGAAGACGCCACTGAGGTCCATAGCTGGATTTCCTACACTGCTTTTCATAATACAAGTAAGCAAGATCAGAACAATCAGACTACAGGAGGCCCGACACCATGATACAACGCACAATAGTCACCAAATACCTGGCGCGAGAGTTGCCTAACACAGTGCGCGCAAGCGCCAGTGAACAGTAAGCGGCACTCATAGGCGCGCTCCAGTGGCAGAACAGGTGGGGACTCGGAGAAAGTGGGGAAGGTGCCTGTGATGGGATAACTCGGAACAGGTCCCCTCCGTACCTTCCTTACAGCGTACTCTTGCTTGGACTTGTGCGAATGTAGCACGGACCATGGGAGTATCGGCAGGAGCAAACGACAGCTACAGCAGTTGCAGAGCGTCTCGGGCTCTTGAACATGACTCACTACATCAGTGACGACTGAGCAGCATGCTGTGATGTGACGCGCGCGCTGTGCTTTGCTCTGCGTCCAGGAGACACAATTGCTGGAGCACGGCAGCTCTGCTCGCGGTTGGCAATTGTGATTGAGCACATCCGAGGTAAGGGTGTCCTTTGTGCTCGGCGCTGCGATGCAGCTTTGGTCTGTGGCGGTCTGATTGCGGCGCTCGTCATTGACAAGTCGTCAAGCGACGAACGGACCTTCATCGTGGTCTGAAGGCCACTGGAAGCCTGTCAACATCCGGTCCTTGGCAAAGGGGCCTACTACTGAACATCTATCGAGCCTCGAGCACGACACGCCGCACGCGCATGTACGGCCGATGAGGAAAACAAGGCGAGTTCGGCGCGCTGGGTCTCGGCACGTAAACGAGCCGCAGCCCTGGATGCCTTACAGTCCTTGGCAGGGCGACCAAGCGGCTCCACCCGCTCACGACATCAGATTTCTTTATCAAGCACTCCTGTCGTGCGTCAGCATCTGGCTCGCAAGCAAAATTGAGTTGAACAAACTTCTTACTCAGCCGGCGCGCTTCGACTCACTCACCAATAGCATGTCTCTTGTTCGCCCGAGAAACAAGGTTGCCTCGTTCAGGATTCCTTAATCCGTCTGAGTGTACCCAGAAACTCTTCGGTCGAACGCAAGTGAACAGCGAAGCCGACCGCGACGACAGCCTCAGACCCTGGGCAGTGCAACCGAACAATTGATCTGGCCCGAAGTGTTGATCTGGCATTAAGTCCGATCACATGCACAGCCCCTGTCTTGAACGGTTGCTGTCGCCTTCTTGAGAGAGCGCTCCAGGGACATCTCAGACAACCCTTGACGCGGGAACGAGATACGCTAATAAGGCTCGGCATTCTACGATTTTCATTCGTTACCAAACGATACCTTACTGACACATCTCACCTCCACAACCGGGAAGAATAGTTCCGAGAACACAGATGCGGACTCTCGTGATTGTTCAGTAATTCAATGATGGTAGCCAGAAGGTGAGTCGAAAGGTCCGCGTGTTCTGCGTTACGACGCCAGAGGATGAGTTGAGGAATCTATACATTTTATCTATGACCAGATATGGTATCATACCGATATGGACATTGCAACCATCTGAGCCCAAGCCTGGCGCGTGGTGGCGACCTTGCAGAGCCAGAGCTGGTAAGTTCGCCAAGCTTCGTCGCTTGACCGACTCTTTGTCGTTGAGTTGCGTCGTTGACTCCTTGCTTCAACAGGCAATAACCTGACAATTGGGCCTCGAACTCTGGCCAAACCACCAAAAGCCCCTTTCCATCATTAATGCCTGTAATGTGACCCCTGCCACAGACCCGTCTCCACCTCGAAAAGCCTGATAAGAAGGCTCGCATGATATCCGCCTTCTTAGGCGACATGCGCATCTGAACACCATACCACCCATTACCACTTTTTCACACTCACTCCACCGGAGCCACCGGCGCACCCTTGACCGCAAACTTACTCCTCGCCCTCAGCCTCTCCCCAAACCACCACAACGCCCAAACACCAATCACACCCCCAACCCCTAACCCCGCCATAACACTGATCCCCCTTCCAATCCCCAAGTTCTGATACAACGGATGCGCAAAGATAATACTCCCACCCGCCATCGCACTCCTGAAGAAGTCGTTCGCCGCAAACAGACTCGCCGCGTACATCGGATAAGTCATCGGCAGGTACACGAAGATACACTGCATCAGTATGAACGCCCCGAACGTGAACATGACCACCCCAATCAATCCCACAATCCAGTGAATGTCCGGATTGCCCGATGTCCAGCCCCACCAGAACATGCCGGCGGGGAGGAGCATGGACATGAGGAGGGCCGGGATGAGGTTGTCCTCGAGCTTGCCCGGACCTTGTTTCGCGGCGAGGGGCAGGGCGTAGAACTTGAGGAAGCACGTGAAGACGATGACGGCGATGATGCAGCCGACCGCGAGCGCGACAAAGGTAAGGGAGGTTTCGCCGATGTTGAAATGGTAGACGTTGATGTAGGCTAGGGGAAAGGCTTCGAAGAAGCTAGTGGGAAAAGTTAGAGAGCCTGTCAGGGGATCGGGCGGAGTGCGAGGGGATGCGTACCTGTAGTAGATGCCGTAGACGTAGGCGGTGTACAGATTGATGAAGAAGACCGCCGGGTCCTTGAACGTGATTTCAAACGCTAGGTTCTTCATTAGCTTGGATCAAGAGATGAAAGGGAGATGAAGAATTGGGACAGAGGGGAGTATGAGGGAGGAGTAGACAATGGCATTAGAGTGGTCTCTGAGACCTTCTGTCTTCATTCCATTCCCGGTCCAAGTTTTGGGAAGTAACTCACGCTTGATCAGTGCATCCCGGACAATTTTCCCAGGTGTCAAGTTCTTCTGATCGATTTCGGACTGCGAGGCCAAGTTTGTGTTGCCTGTTCGCTTGCGAAGGCGTTGGGCGCGGCGGTACAGCACGGTAGGGCTATACGACTCTGGAAGAAAAAAGATCATTGCCAAAAGTATCGGGCCGTTCAGCCAGAGGATGGGCCACAGTGACCAACGCCAGCCCTCTGCCGGGACCGCAAATCCAGAGATGAGAGGTCCTGTCCAGCTCTGTTAGTAGGAGCAACAAGTCACGCACAGGAACTGTGAGGGAAAGTATCTCAGACATACCCAAGGCAGGACCCGCAAAAGCACTCGCAGTCCATGCTATTATAGCAAAGGGCACATGTGACATTGCGTAGAAGTCGCTCATTGAGGCGGCGCCTGTGGCCAGACACGGAGAGCCGAGAAAGCCAGTGATGAATCGCAGAACGACAAGACCTGCAAAGTTATCTACGAGGGCTGTTGGGACGGAGAGAATGACGAAGAGCGCGTAAGTGATGACATAGACGGTGTTGCGGCCGAGCACAGGCAGCTCTTGAAGCGGAGACCATAGCTATCGTAATTAGCTACGCGATCAGGGCGGTGGGATGAGTCGATGAACACTCACCAAGGGGCCAATTCCATAGCCGATCACATACATGGCAAGGCCGAGTGAAGCTTCAGCGTAAGACACATTGAACTTCTCTTCGATATCCTGGTGCGCTGGTGTAATGATTGCGCTGGATGAGTAGACCCCAAAAGTGTACCAACTGATGATGAAGGTGGCGATAAACTTTTTCTTGCTTGACCAGTTTTGAGGATTTGCAGGGTCGTCTGTGGTGTACCAGTCGACGAGGATAACGCCATCAGGAGTCTTCTGAGGCTGTAGGACCCGACTTGGTTGCCTTCCAACCGGCGTCTGGAGCTCGAGGTCTTTACCAACGCCAGAAGCGTCGTCCTCGGCCTTCTCCTCAGGTAGAGCTGTAGCTGGAGGTGTCGATGCTGCAGTGTTGTCCGAATCAGCCTCTAACACCTTCTCCGCCTCCGACTCAGACGCCGTCTCGGTGGGTAGGCGCTTCCATGGCAGCTCGAAATCGGGCTTGTCCTCAATGTGTCCATAAAGTCTGCCTTTGGTGAAGTACCGTACGACCTGGCCATAGAACGTGTCATGGACGAGAGAAGCCATGATCGCGGCGATGACTTGCCGTGTAGTGGGACTGTCAAAAGCAGGGCAGTGACCTGAACCTTCAGCGCGTCGAACTTCCTTATGTACGTTATGGAGGAAGACTTTTTGTACGGCGTCCCATGCGTGGCACTCCTATGAAACCATACGAACCCTTGTAACTACTATGCGAGTGACAAGCATGATCGACAGACAGCTGGTAGTAGTGGAGCCGCGTACGGTACACAGTAGATTTATCGGCCGGCCACGGTATAGCTGAGCGGTGGAAAATACTGTCCGTGCCATGTCGCCGAGTTTCACCGTCTGATAAATCGATACGGCACGCGTGGCGCGACCTGGGAACCAATCATGACTCTTCGATACGAATGGCGGGTGTCGCACGCATAGCCCAAGCAGGCAGGTTTGTGTCATAATCCCAAGGGAAAAGTGCCTGAAATGGTTCGAGAATGCTTACGGTGGGGTGGATATTCGCGGAAATGAAATCGGGATTCCTCATCCATTACTAGGCTGACCACAAGCGATGTTATGATTTGCCTGGTCTCGTACTTCTCTTTTGACTGCATAAGGCTGCAATCCGTCGGCGTACGCGGGCATGTATAGTAACTTTGCTCATGGGTCGAAGAAGTCTTTGATACGGATACGTTTGCTCAACTTCAAGCGGTCAGCCCTGTAAGTTTGCTGCCTGAATGATGTCATGCTGAGAGACTTCGACGTGGATAGTTTGATGAGCATAGTGCTTTCGCGGAGATATGGCCTCGTCCCTGGTAAGAGTACCGTAGGCTCGGATCTTCCGGGACGCCTTATAGGTCATGTGACTTTCGCGACAAGGTGCTTACTACCAAGGGCTCGGCATCACTCGGCATCAAAGTTGCCCTTTTCCGAGCGTGCTATCTGCCCCGTTCTGATCAGAACTCCACAATACGGACGTACTTGGTTTCTCCTCGAAGTATAGGTATGGTGGAATGAAGCCGTTCGGAAGCATGACCATTTCGACCGTCAGGCAGACATTCGCCGCCTTGAAAAAAGGTTGCTGTTTGACGCATTCGCGTATGAGCTGATTCTGCGCGAGCGGAACTTGCGGTACGTTCTCCACTGACGAGTTGCTGGCGTCTGAAGATGCAATACTCGCGTTCTCGTCGACATCGTGGTACTTGTAAGAGTACGTAAGCCGTTTCAAATTTGGCACGCCATGCTTCTGTTTCTCGCTGACAAAGCATGTGCTGAGCGGCATGTACGCCTCGAAGCGGGCTCGAAACGGTCGAGGTCGTGCGGAAAGATGAATGTCGAAAATCCTCAACGACTCGAGGCTGGGCGGAAGGCGGCGATACTGACCATGATCACAAGGGACGGTTCTAATGAGTGCGGAAGTCCTGAAGTCGAGGCTTAATGTCCGAAGGTTGTCGAAGGGCGTCAAGTTGAGATGATATCCTCTCTGCGTGATGGAGATGCCCCTTGGTCGGATGAAGCCAAGCTGCAAGGATAGATCGTTGAGCGACTTAGAGCAGTATCTCGCAACAGCTTCAACGATGGCATCCGGCGCGATCTCGCCATGCATACGATGCGCGTAGCGGATACCTTCGCTGATCTTGAGCGATTTGAGGGATCGCGACAGTCGGAGAAGCCGCCTCAGCGAGTTCGCTTCCAGATCACACTCTTCGAGATGAAGATACTCCAGTTTGGTCGATCGCGTCAATCTCATGTCTGCAAGATCGGACATGAGTGCCTGTGGAAGACGGTCGACATAGTCTGTGCTAGCGCAAGAGATAGTGAGTGCCTTGAGGTTCGGATGGAGAAACAAAGCGTGATATCGTTTGAGTGTGATCATTGCACTCTCGGAATGCACGAAGTGTATCGTACCTGCTCATGTTAGTCTGTAGAGGATACGGAGGGGGCAAGCGTACAGTTTTCTAGGTTGGGCAGGCGTCGTTGATTGGTTGGAAGGAGCACAGAAGCCGCCTGAAATGCCCTCTCATATCGGTCTTGCAGTGCGATCCATGGAAGTCGATACTCGGTTTCATGTGCGTTACAATCAGGCGTTTCCAATCGTAGATCTCTTAGATTATACATCTGAAAGCGTAAGCTTGATCACCTGGATAGTACGTACAACTTACGAGCGGTAGCCACGGGGGAAGAAGCTCCAGACCATCGTCCTCAGTGTGCTTCACTGACACCAATAAAGTACGTATCGAGGTGACACGCCTGCCATCGGCTTGCAACGCGTGTGCCAAGCATCGTGCAGTGGCGCCATGAAGGACGACAATATGGCGATAAAGCTGGGGCTCGCTCAATGTGTTGAAGTACTTGGACACTCGCGCAGTTGCGTTGAGATCATTCGTCTCTAGCTTTTCCAGAACCAGTTCCAGCAGTTCTGGTGGCACGTCGTTGAGCATCGTGACGTCGCGTCGAAGAGGCGATGGGTTGTCAAGTCTGTACGACGTGATCACGACAGCATGCTGACTATCGGTCAGGCCACCGAGGAACGCTTCGGCGTGATTAGGTGTTGATAGTGCCAGTAATGAAGTACCTTATGTAAAGTGCGGCTGTGTTCGAAACATGGTTCCAAGGTTCGGTCTACAGCAAGGCAATGTTTAGCGTTGCGGCTACTGCCGGATTATGCGAGTCAAATGACGATCTGCTGTTACGAGGCAGGAATGCATCGCTTCAACATGTTTTGCATTTAACATTGAGAACATCATCCTCACGGCTGGATAGTTGTTTGCTGTCGCTAGCATATCAGCCTCTTTGGCCCGGGCCTGTCATAAAGGGCGATCGTTGCTCATTGGCTTCGTCGAAATGCCTGTGTGACCGTGGCGGCCGTTCGCTTGTGACACGCCTTTTTCTGCCGTGCCTCTCCGGTTGCTCGAACGCCGCGCAAAACTATTGCAGCGCCGAAGACCCACGAAGTCTTGACCTCGTTGACTCCTCGCCATGCCCGACTCCTGTTGTCAACCAACCGGACGATCAGTCCTTAGGATTCAAATGCATGTGATAAGTCACAGGCACAGACTGCGAATCATGCAGGTGCCTCGTAGCCGCGACGGAATACTCTCCCAAACATATCAACCTCCACGCGCTCGCCCTTGATCTCGCTCTTCGCTTCGTTCTCCGCATTTGCCGGTATCGAGACCTCTTGGCCAGATACTTGCCAGCCACACGCCGTGTGACAGAACTTTACCAGCGCGTCTGATCGCAGATTAAGCCAGCCGCTCAAGACACCCAGATCGATCTCCCTGAACGTCTTTCCGACTTCGCCTGCGATTCTGATGCGGACCAGGTCCTCGAAGCCCGCGACATCTGCGTACAGATCGGCGTAAAGATCATCTGATTCTAGTGTTGACCAGAAAGCATCGTACTGCGCTGACTCCAGCAAAGTATTCAACTTTGTGAGTTTCTGGATCGACTCAGTCAGGTCGGTTGTGGGTATTGAGGCGATGTCAGAACCGAAGGGAATCGACGATGCGGGTAGTAGTGCCAGGCATAATGAGAAGGCTGGCGAGGGAAAGACTGTGAGGGCTTTGACGAGGATGTTGGTCGCTGTCTCGGGATGTAGGAGGTGAGGATTGAATTGGTAGCTGGACAGAGTCAGTCGTGCTCACTGGACTGTACGTGTCGCGAGAATCGCAAGTTGCCGCATATCAGATAGAGCTAATAAAAATACTCTCCATGGCGCCCCGGAGGGTGCGTCAGGTAATAGGTAACGTGATAATAACTTCTTCATCATAATGCGGCCGACAAACTCAGGGGTGGTGCCTTTACTTACAGTTTCAACAGTGCGAGGCAGGCATAGACGTCGAAGAATTTTTCTTCACACTGCTGGCTCACGTATTCTTGAAACGTCGTCGTCGTCTCTGGGTTGTATCTGTTAAGGCCGTTCAGGATCTCGTCGATGGAAGCCGGTCGCTCTTTGCACCGGTCGAAGCTTGAGGCATGATGTGCGGTACGTTCGAATGAGAATGTGTAAGGCGATTGTGAGAGAATAGCAAGCGCCCGAGTGATCGTGGGCGTGGGGCAGGCTCCTTTTATCGCGTGGCGTAGAACGCGCTGCGACTCTGTATGCTCTATTGCGGTATCAGTCGCGACGTAGACGGCGTCGTAGGGTGTCGAGATCCGTGATGTTAGTGTAGCGCAGTGCCCGCTGGTCTACGGGAATCTGTGCTAGAGCGCATGCCGCCCGTGGACTGCCAAGGCCGACATTTACCCGAAAGGTTTACGTGCTAGTTCAATCTAATAGATCACGAGTATCTCGGTCCGTGTCTTGGACTGTGGATTGTACAGCTTGAGTCCGAGGTGAGTGACACGAAGACGTCGAATGACTTTGGGCCGCCAAAGCCTCGTCGTTACCCATCCGACGCAGGCTTTCCCTTAGCTTTTGCTACTGTTGGAGTCTAACTACGTGAAGGAAGCCGAGGACATGAAGAGAGCAGTGAATAGTTCTCGTGTCTATAACTATACACTTTCGTCTCAGCTTGCACACCTTGATGAACTGAATGCGTGTTGAGAGAGCGATGTCTCGATGAGCTTACTTCAGTGTCGCAGACAAGCTACCGCATTCATTCAAAGCGAGACCGGCTCGACCTAGTCGTCGACTCATCCCAGGGTCCCCATCGACAGTGGCCAGACCTCTACCACGCTCCGTTTCTGCACTTAATCCGATCGATTCGGACGCCCAGAAATTGAATGCGTATGAGAGAGGGTGGACAGTGTGCCTCAAGCCAAGATGTTCTCCATCATCCAAGCATCAATGTGCGATGCCACCTCTCATGCCGCGCTCCGGTATCCCAAGCACCTCGCCCAGCGTGCTATGAAGCATCTGTGTTTGCTGCGAGCCTTCGTGCTCCCAATAGACTTCCACTGAGATAGGCGTATCTGGAAGATTGTCGTGGTTTGATACACCAGGAGATGCTCGGACCACAAGACGTACCTGGAAGCGACGCAAGCTGTGTAGATTACCAATCGCATAACCCCAGGATGTGGCACAATCGATGGCGAATGTCCGACCCTGGAGGTCCCAACGTGAGATCAAGTGAGGCAAGATCGAGTCGCGGTTTCTCTCGATCCAGGCGGAAGTAGCTGCGATAATCGCACCGCACAGCGTTTGCGTTAGACTTCCATCTTGCTCAAGAGCCGGGCCCCGGTACCGGTAGTCGGTGTACCCCTTGATGAGATGAATGATGTGGTGACGGTACAGAGAAACATATTCGAGGTTCGTGAGCAGTCTAAAGAAGGAGTTGAAGCCACGCAGCTTATGCTCGTACGATCTGATCGAGACATACCGGACGCGGTTGAGAATACTTGCAAACTCCTTTGTCGCCCAACGCCGAGAGAGATTCCCGACTTGGGTGAGATTGATATTGGCATGAATTTGGAGCATCTGGAGGGCCTCCGCGCGGCATAGCTTCGATGCCAACAAGACCTCGACCCCTTTCAAGCCCATCCGGTGATCCTCAGCTGCTTCATCCCAGTACCATCGACGTTGACTTCGCTCTTTCCCACGGCGCAGGTTGTGAGGTTGCGCGGGAATGTATGCAATTTTTGCGCCCATGAAAAGATGCTCATAGACAAGAAAGCGAACTTCAATTGGCATGTCCAGCAATGACGGCATGTTGACCGAATCTCGATGTGACAGACTTGCAGCGAATCTCCCGATGAAGGCGGCGAAGTTGAAGCCTAGTGGAGCGTCAGTGCTTCTGCTAGCGAGGATTTGGCGCAGGTTCACTAACGAGTGATTAGATTGGAGACAGCGAACTTGAATGGAAGCCGCACAACCGGTGATCAAGTCTCCCGCGCAGATGGCGATGAGTGTTTGCAAGCGCAAGCCTCCTGAAGCTGTCCACCGCATGCGACTGGTTGATTGTCAAAAGGAGAAGTTGGAAGTGGGTGATGCCGTGGAGTCAAGCAAGAATAAGCCAGAGGTAGTGAAGAGAAGAATATGATGGACGGTGTCGCTAATTCCACCAGTGACTTGAGAAGGGAATTGGTTGGTACACTGCGTCACCAATTCGATTTGTGGCTAGATGAAAGGCAACAACCAGACTGCGAGCAGCACTTCTTCACTGCGCAGGCAATTGGGAGAACCTGGATGGGAAGCAATTGTCACTGGAGTCCGACGCAACAGGCAGATAGATACTGACATAGCATTGCCCTTTTTTCCACCGCTCACCTCGATTTGACCGCGTGCAAGGTCGGCAAAGGCACATTCGCCAACATACTCTGCGAATCGCTGGCATACGCCTCATCAATCAACGACTGATACCTCATATAGACCTGCGGCCTAATGAGATTGAGCTTCGTCGTCCTCGGCAAGTCTGCAGGCCCTGCAATGATCTTGATCATGTCCTTCTGAAGCGGCACCTTCAAGTTTTTGTTGATATCATTTTCAACAGTTGCCCACACCCTATCCAGTAGCCAGTTCCGACCTTGTCCGACTGCGTTCTCCGCAAAGATCAAGACGCCCAAACGGTTCTTACCCTGACCGAACAGAACGACATCTTCCAGGATATCTTCGTTGTTGCATTTGATTGTATGCTCATATTCGTAAGCATTGACAATCACTTGTCGGTCGTTCTGGTAGCACTTGATCTGATCGTCTTTCCGGCCAACAATTCGCCATCTATTCTCCTTGGTGGGATGCTTCAGGGCGAGATCCCCGGTATAAAAGTCGCCGTTGGCGTCCTTTACATCTTCAAGGACGTGGGGAGCTCCGTTACGGACGACAACTTCGCACAGCTGCTCGTGACCAGCTGAATCCTCTGCTGCGTCAACCGGTTTGAACCACACCAGGTCTGGCATCAGCGATGGGATGACCGCCATGTAATCCCAGTCCAAATCATCGCGAGGGCGGCGACTGGACGTCATAAGCATGCCTCCTTCTGACATACCGTACTCGCTGCCGAAGAACACTCCAGATCGCGCCAGTCGATCGCCGATACTCTTTGGCAGAACCGAGCCGAATATCTTCACGTTGTCCGCACTTTTAAGCATACGTAGACCGTCACTGGTAGCGCCGATGAGCTCCAAAGCGTAGGGCGTGGCCCAGATGTTGTTCGGTTTGGCGTCCACCAGCAGCTCCGCAAGCGTCTCAGCCGTAAAGGGTACCCGGTCATTGTCGAAGAAAGTCATTCCACCCTCTTCCTTAGGCAGGCAGAACATAGTCAACCTCATGCCCAGCACATTGTAAGGTGCAGAAGACACCCAGTCAGTCTTCTTTGGCATGAACGTTGTACGCATCAGACCGAGCTCACTTACACCACTAGTCTGGGTTGTTGGAAAGAGCTTTGGGACACCTGTGGAACCAGAACTGTGGGCAATCCACGCGATGTCCTTGCCAGCGTCGATGACGGATGGGTCGCATATCAAATCTCTGTAGGTAATTGCTGGGCACTCCTGCGGACGACCTGTGGTGAAAGTTTGAACGGTTCGATGTGCCAATGCGTCGATGGTCCGATCGCACACGACGTAATCTATCTTCCCCTTTTCGGCCAAGGTTGAGACGGTACTGTCCGGTAGGCGTGGTGAAATGACTGTGCGCTGTCAGTGTTCCGCGTGATGAGCTCGGCAGAGCAACAAACCAAACACTGTATGTCCCATTCTCAACAAGGAGAAGTAGGCGGCCATCCAGTCAATGTCGCCCCGAGTGCAGAGCGCCACCACCAGCGGTCTCTGACCATGCTTGCGGACTTGTATTCCATTTGCGATGTACCACGCCGCCGCTGCGTCCGCCAAGCTCTTGAGTTCCGAAAGCGTGTATCGCTTGAAATCCGAGAAGCCTTCGGGGTTTTTGGGGAAAGCTAGGACAGGCCTGGAATGCTGATCCTCCAGAGCCCGTTGGAAGTACTGAGCAACAGTGGTTGATTTAAGAGCAGACATTTCGCTGTTGATGGTGTAGCGTCGGGGTACGAGCCTCTCACTGTTAGAACGCAACAACGGGCCAGGCCTTTATAGACAAGTGTTGGGAGATTGTTAGGCGGCCTCAGCATGATGCTGATGCGCCTTGAGAATAACCTCCGCGTCGGTTCCGGTCGCAAGTGCATCAAGCCTCGCATTGCTGACAGGCACACAACGTATGTGCTTAGGTCAGGTCCTAACAAAGAACTTAAGCTGCTGCTCGAATTTCCGTATCAGGATACTATAACACGACGGGTAGACCAGACGCTTCACCTCGTTCTCCATCTTTTACGTCAGCAGGAGGTTCCTACCCCGGTTTTAGTTTCCAGGCACCCTACGGGCCACTTCTTCGGTGTCAAATACTGTACATTTCTGGGGCCTGCGGCGGTGTGTCAGTGAATGCGTATCTCGGCGAATGTTGAGTCTATGCAGATTCTTCTGTGCGGACATAGAGACGGCCGAAAACTGCAAGTTCTGTCATCTCGGTGATATCGCAACGCTTGTGACACCAGACGATGCGAACATACGACTCACCGACAGCCTGAAAGCGGCCGTGCTTCCGCTCTCGTTATGATACCTGCGCGCGAGATCGATGGCCCGTCGTCTAATCCTTTACAAAACCTTACCGACCGAGGAGGCCAGCAGGCGGTCGTGGTCTGCATCGCAACTGAAATCCTGCCAGACTCTATGCAGGCGAGTGTGATCACTGGCCAGTCGTGCCAAACTTGTGCCAATCATGTTACCCTGTATAACTTTTCGGCGTTGCTTCTCTCCATCTGTGGACCTGCGAAATAGTAGTAGCACAAAGGGCTAGTGATAACATAATCGTCCGCCACTGTGTCGAACGGCTGGAACAGATGGTGGGACCAACCAGCACAATAGGCAGGTGCAGGGCCTAATTAGCCACCCGCAGCAGCGGGCACACCCCGACGCCGAGCTCACTGCGTTGATCAATATGAAAATGCGGTGGCACGAGTACGAGATGCTTCAGCGTTGGGCTGTTGCGAATGAGCACAACTGACTGCTTCGCATCTCGATCGTATGTCGATACGTGAGGACTGGCAATCAGGCATTTATCGCTACCGTAACCTCTTCAGCGATTTGCTCCAGGGACTCCGGGCCTGACTCGAACAGCCGGCGTACCGCTTCGGACGCGTCTCATCGGACAGACAAGGCCTCGTCTGGCGTTGAGAAGTTCGCGCCAGACCTCACAAGATCGTCAACACAAGAAGCTCTCTAATGCTCATGAACATCGGGAGAGGTCGATAATGTCGATAAGGACACTCCCACATCCGATGTCCGCAAAGGCCCGGAAGTTGCAGCTATGATGGGGATTAGTACTGCTATGGCATGATTGGTCACCTGCAGTCAAGCCTGCGGTCCGAGCTTGGCAAGCCCTGGAGAAGTGGTGATGCCGAGTTCGAGCACTGCACCTCACTCTACACACTTAGCCGTCCTAGAGCATACAACTGTTGTGAGCTTCGATCATGGCCTCAACTGCGCGCGCGGGCCTACTAAGGCACTCGCAGCTCATGCTTGCCTCAAGTCGCCAATCCCACTTGACCAGCAGAGTGGCTCAAGCTTTCCGACCAGCACCCCTCAGATCAACACCGGCCTCATGCCTCCCTCGATTCGCACCCTTTTCGACGACTGCTCTTCGGCCGATCATGCCTCCAGGCCCACAAGTCATCGATGGAGGAGTAAACGAGCCCGCGCCCGTCCCACCACCGAGCCCGATTCACGGCAGCTACCACTGGAGCTTTGAGAGACTGGTGTCGATAGGCCTCATCCCACTTACGATCGCGCCGTTCGCGGCGGGCTCGATCAGCCCTGCCATCGACGCGTCGCTCGTATTCCTCCTCATCATACACTCGCACATGGGTTTCCAGTGAGCTTGCAACATGTCTACAGGCACATGTCAGGGCTAACTTTACCGCAGATCATGTATCACAGACTACTTCTCGGTCAGGAAGCACCCGGGCCTGCGGAAATTCTTCGACTGGACACTCAACATCGCAACGCTGCTGGTCATGTGGGGCTTCTATGAGTTTGAGACCAACGACGTGGGACTGACGCAGATGATCAAAAGAGTATGGCATGCGGGACACAACGATGCAACAGTGGGCAAGGCCGATCTCTCGGGTCTCGGTCATGACGGAAAACTCAAGCATCTCACCAACTAGAGCAGCGAAGCGCTTGTGGTTATGGAGGATTGATGTCAGTTGACACCGCGAGGAGCGGCGTACTTCAAGGCCTCGGGGATGGGGCTGGAGTTGACATGAGGAAGACAACCCTTGCATTTTAACGTCTATAGGCAAGAAGTTCAAAGCCATCGCGTCTATCTGTTACACTCCACATCGATGCTCATTCGTCGTCTTCACCCCCACCACCAGTGCCGAGCATTTCCGCCTCGCCCTCCAACGTATCCTCATCATCCGCCTTCTCCACGATCTGTTCTATCAACTTCAGCGTTGCCCTCAATGGCAGACCGACGACGTTGTCGAAGCTGCCCTCTATCTTCTCCACCAAAATCGCACCTGTCCCTTGTATCCCGTACCCACCTGCCTTGTCAGCCCCCTCTCTCGTCCTCACATACGCCAGCAGTAGCTCGTCTGTGAGGTCTCTATCAAACTTGACCAGAGTCTCCTCCGTCGCGGTCTCCAGTGCATAACCCGGGTCTCGCGCGCTGGCCAGCGGCGCCATCAGTGCAACCGCCGTGTAGACTCTGTGGAACCCGCTGTCCCGTAGTGACTTCAGCATCGTGATGTGATCTACCTCGCTGCGCGGCTTCTCTAAGATGTCCCCGTTTGCGTGCACCACTACTGTGTCTGCTGCTATAATCAACCCTGGTTCTGCTTTCTTTGGATCGTCCGCCTCCTGGCGATAGACAGCCATTGCCTTAGCGGTCGCCGTGGCAAGGACATATTCGAATGGTGATGCAGTCTTGGGTAGATTCTCCTCGAACTTCGACGGTATGATCTCAATGTTAGTCAGACCGATCTGAGCCAGTAGTTGTTTTCGTCTGGGTGACTGTGAGGCAAGTATTATGCGCTTGTTGCGTACCAGACTCAAGGCGGGCAGATCAAGTGGAGGTGGTGGCCGCAGACGGCGCGGCGGAACTGTGGCGGATGTAGTGCCGTTGGAGGTGACTTGTGTAGATTTTGCGTCTGGTTTCGGTGACACCGCTTCGTAGGACGGCGGATCGTCCATGAGGTTTGGCTGCGACATCTTGCTATTGCTGAGACTTTGTTTCGTGAGTGGCATGCATGACGTTGAAGTCAGATATATTGATCACCGAATCTGGAGGGGCTCTGGCTGTGGAGCACGGGCGATGTCCGGCCCAAAAAAGATCGCCAGGAGTTTTTGAACGCGCCTTCCGACAATCTGGGGAAAGATTTCGCATTGAGCAGTACTTGAGATGTGACTCACGAGATCTGTGCGTGCCTGCAACTATAAGACCATAGCTACCTCCTACCAAACCGCATTGTCGCAGCAGAACGCTCGTCTGACCACCATGGGTTCCGCACCAGCACCAGTGCTGCATCTGCGCTCAGAGCAAAAGCCTCTCGAACACCGCTCCGCTCGTATGCAGCGATCTAGTCCTATACTCCCAGAACCTCGATGCTAACCGACTACAGTAACACCAACAACAGCCAAAGCTCTCATCGACGCCGGCTACACAGTTAACGTCGAGCGCTCCCCTATCCGCATCTTCGACGACGCCGAGTTCTCCGCCATTGGCGCCAACCTCGTCGACGAATACTCCTACCCCAACGTCCCCTCCGACCACATCATAGTCGGCCTCAAAGAGCTCCCCGAAGAATCCTTCCCCCTCCCACACACCCACGTTCAATTCGCACACTGCTATAAGAACCAAGGCGGCTGGCAAAATGTCCTCTCCCGCTTTCCGCGCGGCGGCGGCACACTACTCGACCTCGAATTCCTCACCGACGACAAAGGCCGCCGCGTCGCCGCATTCGGCTACCACGCAGGCTACGCCGGCGCCGCCCTCGCCGTCGCAGCGTGGTCACACGCGCTCACCAACCCGTCCTCCCCAGCCAAGATGCCCGCCGTGAGGCCCTACGCCAACCAAGACCTCCTCCTCGACGACATCCGCGCCCGCCTAGCGGAAGGCGAAAAGCTCGCCAACCGCAAGCCCCGCGTCCTTGTCATCGGCGCACTCGGCCGCTGCGGTCGTGGCGCCGTCGACCTGTGCAAGCAAGCCGGCATTCCTGACTCAAACATCCTCAAGTGGGATATGGCCGAGACCGCCAAGGGTGGTCCCTTCACCGAGATCGTCGAGAGCGACATCTTCGTCAACTGCATCTACCTCTCCGAGCCCATTCCACCGTTCCTCAACAAGGAGTCCCTCTCCTCTCCCAACCGCAAGCTCTCCGTGGTGTGCGATGTCAGCTGCGATACCACGAACCCGCATAACCCGATCCCGATCTACACTGAGAACAGCACCTTCAGTGATCCAGTGTTGCCTGTAGAGGGGTATGCGGATCCACCGCTGAGTGTCATCAGTATAGACCACCTGCCGAGTCTATTACCGAGGGAGGCGAGCGAGGCTTTCAGTGATGCACTGCTGCCGAGTCTGCTGCAGTTGAAGGATCGTAAGGAGAGTCGGGTGTGGGTGCAGGCCGAGGAGCTGTTCCAGAAGCATGTTGCGAGGTTAGATCCGGAGTTGCAGAAGCGTGAAACGTGAGTGCATAGTGGGAGGCGTGTTTGTGAAATGGCATTGTGACACATTGACACGGATAGAGTAGACTAGATAGACATTGTCAGAATTAGAAGGCTGTCTAGACCGAAGTTCAATCTCGTCTATCTTCGTCGCGAGGGCCTCTTGTTGATCGTACACAATTTCTTCAGCCGTCGATCCATGAAGCGGAGGGACTGCATGTTGATTTTGATGCACATCGTGGGAGTCGTAGTGAACGATGTGCTCGCTCATGTTGTTCACTGCTGTTTCATCGAGACGTCCTCGTCGACATCCACATCGCCATGCTTCCGTTTCGACTTTGTCGTCGGCTGACCATCGTCATCTCCCTCGATGTACTCCGAAATCTCCCACGACACCTGCGTTGTACCATCTGCACTGACCCCAGCACCTCGCCGCGTCGTCTGAGTCCTTCCCAGCCGACTGCCGTCAATCATCTCTTCGAACCAGTTCAGATTTCCTAGCCTGCCGGAACGCACACTGTGCTGTACCGCCGCCGACGAGTTTGTAGTGGCCACGTCTGTATCGCCAGCCGATCTGTCCCCAGCTGTATGGATGCTCTCGATCTCTTCCGGGTCGACTTCTTCTGGCAGCAACTCAAGCTCTTGCAGCGCTCGAATGTCCTCGTCAAGCAGACTTCCCAGCGTAATACTCAAGTAATCAGCCTCCGACTGAGGCTGCTCCGTCCAGTACGACAAATGTGTGCCGCAATACCCACAGAAGAATCGTTTGCAGTGCGGCTCATGCGGCGGCGTGAAAACTCTCCGTATCGTCGAATGGGTCTCGTCCGGCACTTGTGCAACAGTTGAACTCGACACCCACGTGATTGGGACTCGGAGCCACGCTGCCAGCGGAGTCGCTTGTGCTCGTCTTGTAGAACTGCTGTCGTCGAAGGATACTGTTGCTTTTTCTTTGGCGGAGGTCGGGACCACGACTTCGTAGATGTTGCGGCCGCAGCTGCATGCGCCGCGGAGCGGACGTTGGCGGCTCATTTGGTGGATGCGGCGGGGCAGGTTAGGATGTTGCGAACGCCGAGATGCGGCTGGGACTCAGTGTTGGTCGTCAGGCGATCTCAATGATGATGTGATGGCCAGCGAGCGTGTGCAGATGGTAGGGAACGTTCCTCAAATTTGTTCGCGAAGTTTGTCAGAGATGCGGGCAGCAGTCAGTCAGGAACGATCGGCGTCACGTAAGGCGCCTAATCCAGTTTTGGTATGGGCCGTGACTTCCCCGGATTTGAGATCTGGTGGGCTGAAGTTGCTCTTGGTCTTTCCTTCACTTCGTAACAACGTCACTCCCTTCCAGGAACCCATTCCAACAGACCAGACGACAAAGGTCTCCCTGTAAACATATCTAGGAGATAAAATACTGTTACAGACCGAGCTTCATCGAGTTTCGCCGTTTGAGAGTTTTGCACCACGAAGTCCTCCCTGGAATCCGACCGTCGGTCAAATTCTCCTTCACATTCAGGCTGCCAAGCATCCTTGTTTGAGTCGGCGGGCGCCATGTCAACCCCGGACTCAGAAGCGTCCGGGAGCCCTCCATCGGAAACACAATCAACAGCACCAACGCAGAGCAAAAAGAAGCAGAAACCATCCAAAGCCCGCCTCACATCAGAACAAAAGAACACCAACCACCGCGACGCTGAGAACAAGCGCCGAGAAGGCATCCACATTCAACAAGAAGCACTCTCGAAACTTATTCCTGGAGCCGAGAACGACGCCAAAAGCGAGGAGCGGCTACTCACCAAGACGGCCGATTACCTCGAGGAATCATACCTGGACATCCGGAGAATGATTGCTGAGTGCGATGCCAAAGGTATCCCTGTGCCGGACGAGATCCGACATTTTCTCAAAGACGACGATTTTGGTGGTCCCAATTGGAAAACGCCAAATATGGATGCATATGAGGCCAAAAAGCAAAAAGCGGAAGCGAAGAAGGTGAAGCCAAACGGGAGGAGCGTTGACAAAAGCGCCTCACCAGACGATGATTGAGCTCTGTGGACCCTTTGGTCTGCGAAGCTGATGTCCTACCTCCGATTCTTATTCCCTCGCATAGAGCCCGCCCTGGACGCTTGAACAGGACAATTGTTGGTCGCATCGATTCAGAGAGCCCGCGCTGTATCGGCTATAGCACTACGTAGTAGTTCCGGCAACAGATACATGTCCTAATCGGGCAAGAGGTCTCGACGACTTTGGCTAAGTGTCAGTATAGATCCATCTGCGATAAGTCGCATGAGAACCCTTTTTGCGGTATACAGTCTGTCAACTGCTTCAAAGTCGTCTATTTCACAAGATCTACATACCAGCATTATTAAGCGCTCACGATGTGTTCCGCATTGGTGAGCGCGACGGCTCGAAAGCTTCGAATGCTTGATCGTTTCTCCAAAAGTTTCGTCGAAAACGATGCCTACTCAGGTAGGTAGTTCTTCGGACTTCGCTTCTGATAAACGCCGCTCGGCATTTGCCCGTGTGAGGTCACGACATAAAGGCGATTGCGCACTCCTCCGAAAAAGATGTTTCTGAGCTCGTGTATCTTTTTCTACCTTCTTTGGAGTGTCGTGGGTAGCAATGAAGGATGAGGAGAAAGGCATTGAGAACAATGCCTCAAGGCCTGCAGACTCGGCTGTAACGAAGACAGCCAGTCAGATTCGAGATGACCCGGCGTTCATCGTGAAATGGGACACGAACGATCCAGATAATCCCCAAAATTGGTCGCCCACCTATAAATCATGGATTGTGTTCCAGCTTTCGATGCTGGCCCTTGCGGCCAGCGTGGCCTCTTCGATGATTGCGCCGGCCAATCCTATACTGGCAAGGTACCTCGGTGTCAGTGACACGGTGGTTGTGCTCGACATTTCGCTGTTTGTGTACGACACCTTCCCCACATCTACTTGGCCATGCCCGTACTGACGTGTGTCACAGACTGGGATTCGCGATCGGCCCTCTGCTGTGGGCGCCCTTGTCTGAGGTCTTTGGTCGACGGGTTTCGTTGCTTCCGCCTATGGTTGCGCTGGCACTTTGGTCTGTGGGCACTGGCTTGAGCAAGAACGCTGCCTCAGTATTCATCACCCGCCTCTTCTCGGGAATTTTTGGATCTGGACCTGTGTCCAACGTCAATGCAGCCCTAGGAGACATCTTCAGCCGTGAAGCACGTGGGACCCCTGTCAGCCTGTACGCAGTTGCCGTCGTCGGAGGGCCGACGTTAGGACCCGTCATTGGAGCCGGAATTGTTGTTGGGCTAGACTGGAGATGGACACAGTACATCGGAGCTATCTGGGTCGGCGCCATCACCCTCGTCGGCTACTTCTGCCTGCCAGAAGTTTATCCGCCATTCCTTCTGAAGCAGAAAGCAGAAAGGCTGCGAAAGGAGACCGGAGACCAAAGACTATGGCATCCACATGAGCGAATCAAGGTGGACGTCCGTTCGATCATCACAAAACAGCTCAACCGACCAATACTCATGCTGACAACCGAGCCGATGTGCACGCTGATATGCTTCTACGCATCTTTTGTCTTTGGCATACTCTATCTCACTCTGGAAGCCTTCCCAATCGTCTTCGCAGAAATCCGTGGCTGGTCAACAATCAACTCCTCGCTGCCGTTTCTCGGCTCCTTCACAGGTATCGTCATGGCACTAGCGATCAACATCGGAAACCAGCCACGGTACAAACGTATATCACGAGCAGCTGGGGGAAAAGCTGTACCTGAAGCGCGATGCCCACCAATGGCGATCGGAGGCACACTTATGGTCATTGGTCTGTTCCTTCTGGGATGGACTGCTGATCCTAAGTACCACTGGATACTACCCGTTATAGCCACAGCATTCATTGGTGCTGGCTTCAACACGACTTTCCAGCAGTGTCTTAATTTTCTGGTTGATACGTACGGGATGTATGCCGCGAGTGCCACAGGAGCCAACACCTTTCTGCGCAGCTTTGTCGCGTGTGGTCTTCCATTGGCTGCTAGGCCAATGTTCCACCATATGGGAGTCGGTCCTGCGTGCTCGTTACTGGGAGCTATTGCGGCGATCATGCTTCCGGTGCCATTTCTGTTCATGAAATTTGGACTGCAACTGCGGAAATTGTCGAAGTTCGCGCCGGTTGAAAAAGATGATACAAAGTGATCAAGTCAGCAGCCTGGGAGGGATTAGTACGTTGCAGCGCACTGGAAGTACGCATAGAAGTATGCTCAGCGAACATCCAAGACCTGGAGCGTCCGTGTCCTCAGCAAGGCGCCTGCTGTACGACACTGTGTGCCACAAGGACCCACCGTGGCCGTTTGCTCTGCTACAGTAGTGAGTAGAGAGAGCTCCGACTTTCCATTCTCATCGAGTGCGAAGGCGAGTTCGATGCTGGTCTTTCTTGTTTGCTACGTGCCTGTTGCACCGGATCAGCCATCTGCCAGTATAGCCTACGCACCAACAAAGCCGCCCCAACAGAGCCGCCCCAACAGCACAGCCATGCCTCTGTATCGCCGCAACAGCTACTCCAGCGATGTCAGCACCATCGTCGTCCTCGACAAGAAGAAAAAGAAAACGAAAGGCTTTTTCGGCAAGCTGTTCGGAGGCGGCGGCGGCGGCAAAAAGAAGTCGTGGGTAGACCAAGTCGTGTCCATAAGAGACGTGACCGAACCAGGACGCTTGATCATCCGGAAACGACCGTCCAGCTCGTCAATGCGAACCCGCATCACCATCAACAACGACGACAGCGACACCGAGACCGTCATCACCTGCCAACGCTGCCGGACCCGGCACTTTTACACCTGCGTCGCCCTCCTGGGCCCCTCGTATGAAGGTTGCTGCATCTGCATGGACGATGGCCGCGAGCTATGCATCTACCAACGACGACACCGCCCGCGACGACGTCGCCGCCGCTACTACGACTACTACGACTATTACGGCCCCCCCTACTACTACCCCTACCGCTACTATGACCCGCCCTACGCTTACTACGCCCCAACCCACTCCCTCCCTCTCCACCAACCCGAACCCTACACCACCCCTGTCACACCCTGGCAGTCCTACAACAACCACCTCACCAACCTCCGCTCCAACGCCTACCTCAACAGCACCGAACACGCCTGGCGCGAAGAGCTGACCGACCTGTACGCCGAAACACGCGAGGAGTCAGCGTGGGAGCGCCACAACCGGTTGGAAGTGATGCCGGACTACGAGAAGACGGATTTTCGGTATAAAGATCCCGATGAGCGGCGGGAGAGGATTCGGCATTTGGAGCATTTGTTGGAGGAGGTGCGGGTTAGGGGGATGGAAGGGGAGAGGAGGGGGTGGAGGGGGGAGCATGGGTTGGTTTGAATGGGTGTGATAGTGAGGGGGTCGGCTTCGGAAGTTGTTGAGAGTCTGGGGCGAGAGGGTATGGTCTAAAGTCCCGGCATGGCAGTGGCTTGAGATCTCCAATTACAGGTTCGTGGGATGGCAGCGAGTGTGCAGCGGCGCGAATGTCTGCGATGGGCGGAGGCGAGCTCAGCTGGAAAGTAAAGGGAAGAATTCTGCAGGAGGGAAGAGTTGTTTTATTCAGACCTCCTCACCGTGAATAGCTACTGGACACCTCACGATGCGCCGCTGCTCGACCGTCCCACACCTCAAGGGTACTCATCACAGGCAGCAACGACATGCTCCAAGCCGACATACGAAAAATTTGTCTGTTGATTCCACCAAGTCTCCCTCACTGGGCAATAAGAAATATGCCGTCAATAGCTCGATAAATCAGAACTTTTTGAATCCAATGGTCGACCCTGGGCTCCCACGCAAATCACACCCAAGCCTCCAACAACAAAAGAACTGGAAGTCATGAAGTGTACAGCTTCGATCACCGTCGTTGCTGCATCAACAACTGCTGGTTCCTCAGATACTTGGCTCCGATACCCATCCTTGCGAAATCAAGCCCCAACTCCCTCTGCATTCCCGCCATGCCAGGCTTCTGCCGCACCCAGTGGCCAGCGCTCTGCCTCACTGGGTTGACATTGGTATCGTGAACGCCGCCGAAGTGGCTGAAGCTGAAGTCAGACCAGTCCCTCCGCGTTACAGCATTGTCGCTTTGTCTTGACGAGTGCTGTCGTTGATGGGAGTTATGCCGATGATGCCGTGATGGGAGCCCAGAGCTACGGACAGACACCTCCACACAGCCCTGCCGTAACCGCCGTTGGGAGTGCGCGGGCCGGTCGAATGTGAAGACGTCTTCGAAGTCGAAATCGGCGGAACTGAGGTCGAGGTCGTCAAATTCACTGATCTTGGACTCGGATGCGCGGACGAGGGCAGTTTCCGCTCTTGTCAGCGGGGAGTCGTGGTAGGTTGGGATACCGGCATGCGGGATCAGCTGGACTTGTGGCTGGGTTTGTCGAGGCTGCGACGAGGTCGATGACTGTCGACTCAGTTTGGGATGGGCGGATGAGGATGAGGACATTGAGTAGGTGCTCGAGGAGAGTGTTGAGATGGAGCCGATAGATGACCGCTTATCTGAAGCCGGCATGGTTGTGGGATCTGGGTGTCCCAGTAGTGACCCCGGGACGTGGCTAAGGATGTGGTCGAGAAGCCCAATACTGGATTGGGTAAAGAGTCAATCGTCGACGTGGGAGAACTCTGAGATCCCAGCAGTAACCTGTCGGTGATGAGGTGTGGCGTTGGTGAGGTGGGCTGATGGCAGTAGTGATTGAGTGCGAGGAGTAGATCCAGCAAATGCTTGGAATTTGGCCAAGCCTGAGGATTAGAAGCGAGGAGTATCCAGAAGTGAGGTGATATACGTCGATGATTGAGGAAGTAGTGATTCCTGTCGCTTAATCGCGTTCGTGTAGAGGTGGAATAAGATCTTACAAGTAGATCAACCAAAGAGTCATATATGAGAAAAGATATGGTGGAAGACCAAGGAAAGCAAGGCCTCAGTTATGTTGCCATATCCTCCAATGATGTCGGCATGCGCTCCGCAATATTAGGTGATTAGCAGCAGCGCCTTTCGAAAAGGTCCTCGGTGGAGCTTCCTTGCCTTTCTGGCTCACAAATAATTTCGGGTCCTCAATTTTGCCTATCGTTCTATCTTTGAGGTGGTCGAACAAAGACGTCTTGTGAGGAGCAGATATCGCAATGCAGTAATGTAGGATTGCTGCTTTGTTATAAGGTCCTCAGGAATTTGCCGTGATAGGTCAGACCTTCGTTATTGGCTGCGGGCCTTCGAAAGATGCAAGGTCACCAGGGAATTGCGTGTGACTCGCATATGTCGTCCGGCGATGGCGTGTTTTGGTTGCTGGATTGCGAGTATTTTGATCACATCAGGTGACGATGCAGGACTTTGGGCTTTTATGATGTTTCCAAACGTACCTTCTGGAAGTGTTTTGCTCCTTGCTCAATCGGTCGAGGTTGCTGCAAAACGTCAGACATCCGGGCGGGGGACTCTGAAGGGATGCTGACTGCCGCCGTGCTGCTTCACACGACGGTCCACTGCAGCTTCAGTCATGCATACGCATTCACCAAGCTGCAGAGAACCTGAAACCGGGAACCGGGGCGCTTGAAGCCCAGGATCGAGAATACAAAGGACCCAGCACATCGTGATGGAGCCATTGGTGGGTTTTTGCTATGTAACTACTAACGGCCTTCCAAGGTTGTAGCATTCCTTGCGTGTTTGACGATCTCATCGATGCACGTACTTTTGGGGTCCGGAACAAGTCGCCAGACCTTTGATGAATGTGAGTTGCTGAACCACGAGATTGTGCTTACTGTGTCCGTGGCCGAGCACTCTTGGGCTCGTTTGACTGGATTGTTGCATAGTCCGAGCGGCTATACATCTGTCCCTTGGCTGAGGCGGGCGCTGATGTGTACTCGTGTGTGTGTGCCCAACATCAAACAATTCATACACGTGTAGCAAACGCCTCATCTGCCGATTGGCGATTGGCGGTGTGTCTTCCTTGTGGCCATGCCTGTTCCTGAACTTCCGCCTCTTCCCTGGCAGTCAGACCTGCAGCCCAGTGGGGACAATCGTTCGGACTTCAAAGGCTGTGGAGTACCCTCTCATTCCTCATGATGCAGACACGTTTTGCTTGTTGGGGGAGCTTCAGGAGACTTCTTCTCAGATGCATCGGAAGAGAATTCCCATCGATGATGATCGGTATCATATGCCTGTATCGGGTTCTGCCGACGATGATTCGATGACTTGTGCACTGTAACTCTGAGACTTGGCCATGCAAGGACGACAAAGCAGTGGGGATGCGTTTCCGGCCACTCAAAGTGTGCGAGTGTGCTTGTTGGTGTATTTCATAGCATGGAGCCTGATGAAGTCGTGGACAAGTAACTCTCAAGGCACTCTGCACTGCCACGTACAATCGTTGGAGCACGCGTTCACTTGAGCAATGAAAGGGGGTTGCTGCTGGACGGTCGGAAGCCGCGACCTCGAAGGCAAGATAAACCAGAGAACAGGTGAAGTTCAAGAAGGAGCTACCAGCCAGTTTTGGCCCATTGCTACATACTCCAGCCCATACTCCAATGCTCATGCAACCAATGCTCTGTTGTCCGAGGTTGCCATCGCTGGCCAATGCCGATATGCTGAAATAGTGACCGTGGTCAATATCAAGTCGTAATAGTACATACAATTGCTTTCAAGCACGCCCATCCAGAGTATGCATCGTCGTGTCTCTCTCCATCTTCCGGTCCATCATTCTTCCCGTCCAAAAGAACTCACCACTGCCGCCCCTTTCCGATCTTCTCCTCTCCAATCCGGCCTGGCCCTTCAAGGCCTTCATCTTCCTCTCAGCACGGAACCGTGCCAACTCTGCTCTGTTCTCCTGCTCCGACTGTCTGAGGCCTTTCTTCCACTTCCGCTTCTGCTGCACATCCTTGGCCATTTTACGAAGCGCGCTCTACACGCCATTGCCGCCACCACTGGCAACGAAGCCAACTTCGCTAGCCGCCATTGCTGGTCCATCCCTACTGGACGTTGCGGCGAGTCGTTGCTCTCTCGCAAGCTTGAGCCTCGATGAGACACTGGACACGCGAGCAGCGAAGCCAAGCGAACGCCGCCCTGATGCTCGCGTACCTGGCGAAGCTTCGCTGACTACACTCGCTGGCGAGTCTGGGTACTGACGGTGTGAGGGCCGCTGTATCGAGATCGTAAATGGCACTGGAGAAGAATTGATCGCCTCGGGCGTTGTGTCGTTGACAGCAGCTTGGCGTCGGGAAACCAGGTTGCCGATCTGCTGTTGCGAAGGAGTGCTAGATGCAACCTTCGTCTGATCTGATGAGCCAGCGGACGGCAGAGGATGCTGCCGTGTGTACTCCCGACTGAAATTCGCCCGTGAAGCACCCCGATATGCAGTTGGTGCTTCAGTCATTGCACGGGATATCGGTCGTGGTGAAGGCTCTTGGGTGCTCTTTGCTAGTGAGGTCCGGCGGTTCTCAAGCCTTGACGCTACGCGAGACTGCACAGTGCTATTTTGCTCCGGCGTCTCGACTGTTGCGTTCGACAGGCGACGCGAACGAAAGTTTGTGCCGGTGGGTGTAGACTGGTACAGATGGCTGCTGCCAGGCCGGGAGTTCGGCGATTTCGCATTGTTTTGCTGCTCTGCTAGAAGAGCAATGGTCAGCTCGGTGAGCGATCGACACATCGATTCTGCACGACGCCGAAGCTGTCGTTCTGATTGGGACATCACAGCCGAACTATTGGTGCTGTAGTCCGGGCTAAGCATCATTGAAAGCTGCAATGCGTCCGAGGTCGTCGCCTGCAACTTCTGGTATACATCGTTGCTAACGGTATTCTTGGCATTCATAAGCGCTTCATGTAGAGTTGGATGCACATTCGACGGAATCCCCTCGATTGCCGAGGGCAAGGCGTTCGTGTTGACTATTGGCTTGTGCTTAGGCGATGAAGACAAGTTTGTCGCTTGGGTCGTTGCTGTCCGTGGTCGATCGCTGGTCATTGCAGCTGCGGAGGACGGCGGGAGTTTACCGGTCAACTCGAGTTTCTTTATCCTCGATTTCAGATCATCCAGCTCGTCCCATACCGTAGATGGTGCGGTCGTCGAAATCGTCGACTCTGTCTGAGTCTGTTCCTGCATCCGGATTTTCTCGCCATAGAGACCGTCTGATGCCAGTCGCGATCTAGCCTGATATGGTCTGGAGGGAGGTCGTGAGTCATTGACTGCGTTTGAATGACGACGTGACCGCCCATTCAACTGCGAGCGGCTATCGCTGGGATCAATGTTCGAGGCCTGATCAGTCTGCGGCGCCAGATGACTTCTTGTATCGGTGTAGTATGAGGTGGTAGAAGAAAAAGCGCCCGGGACATGCGACCCTAGTGAGGACCGTTTGCCGAAACGTTGTGGAGTGCTGGCTCGTTCTCGTATTGTTTCAGCATTGAAATTGGTACTAATCGGGGACGACTTCATCGAGGTTGCGGGTCGTGAGGATGAGAGAAATGGCAGCGATATCCGTGATCGTCGTGAGCCTGGGACATTTTCTTTGGGTGTTGAGGCGGCGTCTTTGGCTATCTTGAGGAACAAATCGGCGTTCTTGCTGGGATCGTGGAAATTCTCACTGCTGGAGCTGGTCGATAGATCTTGCGCCGGTGGTTCAAGACCGTGCGAAGACGACTTGTGGTCGTCGTACATATTGATTGACGCGCTCGTTGGTGGTGTTGAGTCGTTGCTAACGTGTGTCTCAGTGCCGTGCGTTCCCGTGTCCGGGCTCGTGGTCTTCGACTGGTCGGACAGTATCGAAATGTCCGAGACGGATGGCTTTGCAGGGAAAGTTGGCTGTGGAGTGTCGCTGCTTGCATGCAAGTATTCGGGTGCGGTTGAGGTGCGTGAAGGAGATGCGGTGGGTAGTGCAATTGTTCGAGTTATTTCACCATCAGACGTGTCCGTCACTGCTTTGGCGGGACTGCCACTCCGGCCTATTGCAACGCTGACTGGCTTCGACGATCGGCCTCGCTCTTGTTGTGGCCACACTGCGCGATCTTGCGACAGCGTCTGCTGTGTAGAGTACGAGGGAGGTGGGCCGTTGCTAGTTTCGATGCCGTAGCTGCTGTGCGATGCAGGTGGAGGTCTCCGCTTTTGCGGGTGTTGTAGATTGGAATAATGTGGTGTGCTGTTGGCTCGCAGCAAGGGGGTCGGTACTTTTGCGGCAGGTGACGAAGACGGTCTCGAGTCGTCGTGGGAAGGGGAGTGGTGGAAGTTAGGGATGCTTAGGGCTTTCGAGATTCCTGATAACTTCCTCATGTGTACATTCTCTTGCAATTCCTGGCCAGCAGCCTGATCGACAAATGTATACAACGCGTTGCGACAGCGAGGTGACGTGCCGCGGATACGTGGTTGTGGTGATGGCTTATGCACGTCGTTGTTGACATATGCGGCACATGCTGATGCGGAGGTTCTCACGCGCTTGTTTCGGCGCTGAGTTCGAGAGACGGCTCCATTCGAAGCCTCGTGGTTACTGGTGTTGAGAGCAGAAAGTGTGTAAGGCACTTCTTCGTCGATTGTCGAGTCGCTATGGCAGTAGGTTTGTTCTAGGGTTGAAGTCCCTGGGCGCATGCTGAAAAACGGCCACCAAGGACCTCGCGTTTGCTTGGGCGTGGACCAGGATGACCTGCGATCCCTGCTAGCGGTGTCTCCGCCGTGCAGCAGGTACCAGCTGGAAGCACTACGAGACTTCCGATACAAGGTGCTGATGACGGCTTCATTTGAGAGTACAGGTACACATTTCTCGTCTTTGCAAAGTCTACAAGAAGCACTGTGCGGAATACTGGACTACGCGATTTCTTCTGTGCACAAGTCCCGAACTCAAGACGAGTGACGGCGACTTTGGCGGTCGATGATTCGGCCATAGGCGTGCCTAGGTTTTCATCACACTTATGGGGAGCCCCTATTTCTCAAGCCTCAAGTTCTTGTACACAGTAGCAGCAGAAAAGTGACCAGATCGAGAGAGTAGTCTGACCTTGCAGTCTCCGCGCGACTCGTAGGATCCGATAGAGGTGAGATCGACCGTTTTATCAATGTGGCGCCCGGCAGGCTGTCCGACCAGCGTTTCAACCTCTCGAGCAGGCGTTCGCTTGACTGCGGGTGTAATCTCCGCGTCCGACATCGAGAGTCATGGCATCCATGACTGTGTCGTGGAAGTCTCGTAGGATCGTGATGAGCCGGCCAGTTGCCTACTGTCGAGATACGGGCAGGCGGGCTCTGATCAATTGGTGCTGTGCATCATCTTTTCGAAGTCTGCTCTGACGCGAAAAGCGCAACTCTCCAATAGAGGTCGTCAACTCGTTGCTGATGTTGAACGTGGGCAGACAAGGGTTACAGGCACTAATGCATGCGTCCCAGAATTTATGACCCACTTCGGAGCTGTCGCAATCCACATGGTCAGAGCGTTTTGGGGGACACTCGGCGCGGATAAGGCAATCATGACTGTCCTTCAGATTCAGATGCGCACGCACTGTAAATTTATATGAATAGACGAGACTCTCCGACGCTGACTAGGACTATCAATTGCTAGACTGCAGACGCTCGGTCACGACAAACGGGCAAACTACAACCCTAATCGGGCCAAGACTTAGAGCATTTGAGGTATCATTGAGCTATCGAGGTATCAGGCTTCAGTTGCCACAAGCTGATGCGCCTAAGATTCGAGCTTTACTTCAATTCGCGTGGACTTCCGTTGCAGGATCACTCCAAGTCTTCGGAGATGCTGACGCTTGATTGAAGTTCTGGGTAAGGGATAGGTTGGGAGTCCCAAGGGTTGGTGGTTGGTGATATCAAGGAAAGGTATGGGTGCTGTGAGTGCGTGTCGATGTCGAGTTAGGCGGTGGTTGGAGGTTGTTGTCTTCGAGGCCACGTCTATCGGGACGTGAGGTTTGGTTCGTTGCGGTAAATCAATTTCGTAAAATCGTCAACTCTCGCGTGCCTTGGCGAGGTGTCTGGTATCATAGCATCATCAGGAATCGCTTCGCGCAAGCCGCAGTCTATCAGACGCCAAAGAAGTGAACTCCCCGTGCTTTTTGAGCGGCCAAAATTCGAGACATTTGTGTGCTGGATTGTCAATCCGTTCGTAAAGTCGTGTGGAGGCAGACGGGGAAAGATGGTCAAGGGAGTGTCGGTGATGAAGCCAGGAGGTCTTGCGTACTCAAGACTGAAGGACAAGAGAGTTGACGGGATGCTGAGTGCATTGGAATCACTCAGAGGACATCTGCTGGCGACGTCCCTTTTCGGCTTCGAGGTTCTCGTAGAGGAGATACAAAGCTTTCTCGTTCGCAGCAGCACTGCCCATGATTGTGAACATCCGCTCGCCAGTCTCGTCGTGGGGGGCCTTTGCAATGGAAATGCGTGCACCAGAGCTCTTTCGGATTTCGCTGATCTTTGAACCACCGCGTCCGATGATGCAGCCGACCATATCAGCTGGGATGCTGATGTTCTGCGTCTGCACTTCCTCGCCGTCTTCCGTCACCATGGGAATACCGGACCCACGTGCGGCACTATCCTGAGTACGATTGTAGCCACGGTTATCGGTGAAGTCGGCTCCACTGCCTGTGCGATTGAAAGGTCGAGATGAGCCAAAGCTGCCAAGTCCGCCACCACCGACAGCAGGCGGGAGTGGTCCAGAGCCAACTTGTACACGTACAGCCGGATTGTACAAGACTGTTCCAGTGCCGCGCTGCCAGTCGTCTACCAGACACTTTCCGATCTCCCAAGTTGCCTTTTCGATTCCCTCGGGAGTGCCCTGGACCTCGACAATGCGTTCAGTCGATTGAGGCAGCATCTCTTTCTGAGCGACCATTCGGACTCCGCTGGCGTCCTGAATGTGCTTGATCTTCAGGCCTTGACGACCAATGATAGTGCCCATCTGGTTATGCGAGATGAGGAGACGAATGGCTAGACGTGTCAGCGTGAGTCACCTACCAGCATCGGGCACCACTTACGATGAGTACCAGCATTCTGCACGACACCACCCATGCCCATTTGAGGAGCGCCTTCCAGCAAAGACTTTGCGACGAGGGAGTAGGCTTTGGAAATACCAGACAAGGGTCCGGTCACTGTCAAGACACGGTCATGAACACCTTGCACGACTTTGCTGACGCCGGCCTTGACGCCAGTCTCATCGCGCAGATCAGCAACATTCTTGCCTTGCTTGCCAATGATCACACCAGCTTCCTTGGACGAGACAATGGCTCTCAGCGTGAGGGTCGATTGTGCGTATTCTTCCTCGGTCTTGGGCTGAGAGTCTTCGCGGTCGTTGATATCGACGCGGTTCAGCTGCTCAGTGAGACCATTGTCATCGGCATGGTTATTGGTGGCTTGTTCTGACGACATTATGGTGAAATGTTGCGGAGACGAGGCGAGTGCCGATCAGGGAGGGGTGTTGTCTGGTGACACGCGGCGCACGCAACGTAGATAGGGCGGGTACAGTCGGTAGTGGGGAAGTCGCGCAAGTAGATGGCGGAGAACGTAGTCTAAAAACTACCTGGTGGGCTGTGAGGAGGTAGGGTGAGGTACGAGGAGGATAGAGGATGGCGATGTGGGTGGTGGGGTGAGAGGTAGGAAGGGTGAAGGTGAGGAGAGGGAATGAGATGCAACGAGTTCTCAAGTCATCGACAGTGGGTTGGTGCTTGGGTGCCAGGTGGTGCTTTCCGCAGAGAGAGCCCGCAAAAATGCAAGAAGCTTCGACCCTCGACTACTCCACACACAAGCCAAGCCTGTGCTAGCAAGCATCACGTTAACGACCTTGCTTTCCTTGGACGCCTCCATACCCTTGCTGCATCGTGGCACGGGGGACTTGCAGATGCAATGCAGCACAGGTTCACAGATATCACAGTTCGACGTTGATCTAGCGTTGTGTAACGATTGCTGTTACGTCCAAACTCGGCCCCAGCACATCGGTATCTACTTATCGGCTTCGAAGACCACCTTTTGGACCTTCATCTGGTTGAACAGGTCGTAGTATTCCACGGCCTTTGACATCGGCACAATGTTCTCGAACATAAATCCCAGCTTGCTCTGGTGTTTGGCAAGGGCTTCGAGTGCCTCCTCGAACAGACCTGCTCCAGCGTTAGTAGGTTAGTCTCTTCGGTGCTAAGCTCAACTCACTTCGCACGGGGCACCGTCCCATCTGAATCCGCAGGTTCTTGCCGTACGCTTGATTCCCTGTCCACGGGATCTCGCCATTGTGCACACCTATCGAGCTGATGTTGCCCCATGGCCGCAAGTTCTCAAACCCGAGTTGCTGCAGGATCAGTCAGCAAGGACGACTGGACAGGGAGGGGAAACCGATCTCACCAGAGCATCAGAATGGCCGACCAGCTCAATGACCGTGTCAGCTCCTCGCCCGTCTGTGAGCTCCTTGATCCTCGCCTTAAGCCCTTCCATGTCTTTCTGGTAGTTCCACGGCTCAGCACCGAGCTTCTTCGCAATATCTAGCCGACTGTCCACTCCGTCAATGGCCAGCAAATGCTTCGGCTTGAAATCCAAAGCATTGACCAGAGAGCAAAGCCCGACTGGACCACAGCCAATGAGCAACACAGTGCTGTTCTCGATCTCATCTTTGTCGAACCCGCGGAAGGCGTTTTTTGCTGCGAAATATCCAGTGGGAAAGATGCTGCAATCAGTCAGTGCTCGAACTGTCGTAGGTCACAATCTCTGCCAAAGACCAGACAGCCATCGTAAGGACGATCACACAGCCACCACTTGCGTCTGATTCACATCTGGGGAACCACTCACTCAGCCATCAAAACCAGCGCATTTTCCTCAATATTACTCGGCGCCTTTACCACAGTACTATCCGCAAGCGGAATGCGTGCATACTCGGCCTGCCCGCCGTCAAGAATGGTGGTCCCGAAAAGCTGGCACTTGGAGCAACGCGACGAATACCCCTTCGTACAGTAGAAGCACTCTCCACAGCTGATGGTAAAAGGCGTGACGATCAAGTCACCCTTCTTCACCTTCTTGACGTCCGAACCAGTCTCAACTACCTCGCCAGTGAACTCGTGGCCCATGATGAAGTCGGTAGCTGAGGGCTGGTGGCCGCGGAAGACGTGCAGCTCGCTGTGAACATCAGCCTTGAATCCTCGGTGCAACCGTCCCAACGGTGTCGTCGTTGCGGAGCAGGTCCTTGGAGAGGAGTACCTACCTGCCGCATAATGCGGTGTAACGGACCTTGACGATGATGTCTCCAGGCTCCTTGATCTTCGGGATTGGGCGTTGCTCGATGGCCACCTTTAGTTTGCCTTTGAACACCACTGCCTGCATTGTATCCTTCGACATTTTGGAGGTATCGATGAGCTTGATTCTTTCTCTGCCGTTAGCCTCTGGTGTAGCTGCTGTTCCTCCTACTGGGCTGGCTGGTGTTACTCAGACTATCACTTGGGCGGATGAAGGACGTAATTTCTGCGCTGTTCGATCGCAACTTTGTACTTAGATGGGTCCCAAGGTGATTCAGGTGCGTGGGTTCAGAGCAAGGGTGTTTACATATATATTCTACAAAGTCGAGTCAGCCACGGCTTCATGCTACAGGTAGCTACAGCTCCAGATATCCTTGTGACTTCCCCATTCATCGATGACATCTTGTCGAACGCCCATTGAGGGGCCTTCGAGGGCTACGTAACAGTTAACAGACCATAGAAGCGCAAGTAAAAGAGGTGGTGTGGTCCAGACCCCGCGTTCCGAGTTGGCCGAGGTCACTTCGAGGTCTCCAATGGGACCGATCGGAGCGCGCCTCAAGGGCTTCTTCACAGTCTCGTCCGGACTGGCTCAGGTACCTATACTGGAACCATTCACGGCGACCTGAAGGATTGCTTTACTAGTGCTCAACTTAAGCGTGTTTCCTTCATCTACGGATTTCTCCGATATCGAATGATTGAATCCCTGGTCTGAACAGGAGCGGTAACAATGTTTATTTCTTGGTTGAATGTTCATGACTTCGTAAGCAATAGACCAACCCCATCCAGAAACGCCTTCAGGCACCATTCATACCCTTGATGGCATGATTGTTCGTCCAAACAAGCCATCCCAAAGCGGCCGACTTCGGGCTCAGCCATCAAGAAACAGTACACAACAATTCGCTCTCCAAGATATACTTGTTCTCCTTGTACTTCTCACTGGCCTCATAAGCCTTATCATACTTCCAGCCTACCGTCTCATTGCATTGCTTGCACATGATATCCCTCACCACATGCCTTCCCGTCGTCATGTTGCGCTCCGTGGCCTCGCCTTGTCGGACATTGACGACGGAGGAGAATAGGAAGCTTTGCCGTGCTGGCCGCGGAAGTTGCGTGAGATGATGTCGTCGAAGTCGGCTAGGTGGGTTTTGCAGACCTGGAGGAGGGAGTCAGACGGGGGTGCTGGTCGGCAAAGCGAAGGGGGGCGGGTATGCTTGCCTTGCAGCCGAAGATCTTGTTAGAGTTGAGGTAGATGTTGTAGGAGAGACCCATGGCTATGGTGCTGTGGGCTCGTAGCCACGCTACCGAGTATCTGTACGAAGGCGGGAGACACACACGATTCTGGATGAGGCAGTTCTCGGGTATGGTGAGATGTGATCGGCGACCGGACAGGCGTTGGCTTTCTTGACGATTGTTCAAACGCTGTTGCTGTTCTTGCTCAATCTATTCCCTGTAACCGTCTCGGTCGACGAACGAGCCTGTCAATGACTGGCCGTCTGCACGTTCAATTTGACAGTGACGGCGTAGCAAGCCTTAGGTGAAGGCACGGGTATTGAAGGCTGATAAAGCGTCGGACTCCCTGCTTCTGTCCAAGGAGTCTTATCAAATGCTTGGAAGGGTTGCAGTCAGGATACGGCAGGCAGAATAGATCGGACCCAGGACAGTCGACGACCGATGGCTGTTATATGTATTGCAAGAAGTGCTGCCTGCGGTTATATATTGTAAAGGATGCAGGGTCTCAGCGTGACAGACGCGGAGTGTTGGGTCAGGCGTGGCAGTTACTGTTGGCGCGCTATCAATCGACCCCGCGTCTTAGTTCGCAGTGTCCGGAGATGCACTGTGCGTTCGACATAAGCTGAGAGCAACGACTCTTATCGATGACGAGATATGTCTGAAGAGTGCCCCGGAATTGCAGGACTGTTCTGTACGTTGGTTGCAAGATGGAGTACTATGTATGCAGGTTCAAGGTCAATTCGAGAGGCGCAAAGATCCGAGTCGTGACTGCGGGGTGGCTAAGTTGAATTGGAGATCACTCTGTAGCCTCACGGGCTGCTCATCTGGCCGTTGACCTCCTGAAACACCTTGAGTCGACCGGCATCTCAGCGAGGTCAAATCTGATCATTACGCGGTCTCAATGCAATGTTCCCCGAGCCTCGATAAGCTGTGAAGACCGAGCACATCGGCGGCACTGACGTGCATGTCATCAAATTCCGGTCAGTCTATCGCTGGCACGCAACGCGACACAGGCGGTCTCGGTTCACATGCGTCAAAGGCTCTGTGCGAGGAGGCATTTGCATCTTTTGAGTAAGGGGCCGCGGAAGAGACCGCTCTGTGCGAGTGACTCTCGAGCACCGGAGCTGGAGCTCGATGCCCGTCGCAAAACCCCATTGGAAGGGATCATGCAACAGGGCGCTGCGACGATAGACAAGGCGGTGCCCCGGGCTGTAGTAGTCGTACCTTGTAGCAAATGTGGACCGGAGCGCGAAGCACACCCCCAAATCTGTTGATCTCCTGCAAACCTGAGCTGACTACGATAGCCCTTCATGTGATGACCCATGATTCTGCTCCAGCCATCGTCGTCAAATTGTTGAACGGAACGCCCACGGAATTCCTGGAACGAGACTGTTGTGCCGCCGTAGTTGGACACTTTCGCAGATGAACTCGATCTTCTATTCGAGTCAGTGTCCCTCTCAGTGTAATAAGTGAGTATCAATCACAGAGCACTGAGCCCTGGCTGGCTTGCTTCCGATTCAGTAGCATTGAAATAGATTCTCGAGTACGAGTGATTGCGGAGAAACGGATCCGTACATCTGATTCAGGTTGGCAATGGCAATCCACGCTGTCCCAATTTCGACGAAGGTCTGTAGTGCACTTGGATTGAATCGGAAGATCGGGATGTCTGCCAAAACCTCGTTCGCTGTCTAGTCGTGCCTCATATACACTATTGCCACTTTTGACGCCATGGATGCGGTGTCCGACTGTTGCTCAAACACATTGGAAATCTCGATCTCTGCTTCAGAAACCAATCAATGCTTCCCCGGTGCGTCCGCTGCTGCTCTGTTCTTTGCTGCATTCGGGTTGTCTATGCGTGAAAAGTCTCGTCAGCTCCATGTTCGCCGCTACGGCGCCTCGTTCGGCAGCGCGGTACCCTCTTCCCGCCGGGAAAATGTCACGCACCTGGTGGAATCTGAACTCGTCGCTGTCCTTCATGGCGTTGGCGCCTGCGTTGACGGCCCAAGCGACGATCAGTCCGGCGGCGAAGAATGGCGTCAGGGGTTCGGCTGCGAGTTGAGCGTTCTATGTTAGCAGTGTGCTTCTCTTATAACATGCTGGAGAGGTCTCGGTCGCAGGGGCTTGATTCGCGGTGGGGAACAGGAAGGTGGCGTACCCATCTTGCCGTTGAACTTCTTGGGAAGGAGCGGCATGTTTGCGGAGAGTCGACAGGTGGGTGGTTGTCGACAGATTTAGGAGTGGGCGGTAGTAGTCCTGTGAATGCGATTTCGTCCAGAGGACGTTCGGGGAGCTTTGAGCTTGAAACGCTAGTCCAAATCTGGCTTGATACGGTGGATGGCACCGCCGATTCGCGACATCTCGTCAACCGGACGCGCCCGAAGTCGATAGCGACCTCACAGCACAACGCGATCAAGGACGAAGTGAGGTTGCAACCACGAGCAGTGTGTTGGGCTATGTGAAGCCTGCCCGCCAACAATTGCAAAGGCGCCACGCGACAAGTACTGCAGCAACCACTCGTCGGTCAGGCCATACAACTACAACAGCCATGGCGACCCTCGGCCCAGCAGTCTCCTCCCTGTCCTCCTCCCTAAACCTCCTTTCGTCCAGCATCAGCATCCTCGACTCCGGCGTCTCCGACTTCCCGCGCCTAACAAAAGTCCTCTCAACCCAGAAACACTTCGAACTCCTACCCGAACACCAACTACGCGAAGCACAACAATCACTCGTCGACGAGATCGCGCCCGCTATTAGCCAGCTGCTCAACACTGCCGAAAACTATGTCAACCAGTTAGCGCGGAAGGAGGAGAGCTTGAAGGCAAGAAGTGAGTTGTTGAAAGGAAGGTTGGAGGTCAGTCAGGCGCGGAAGGGAAGTAGTGGTGGGTTGGGCGCGCTTAGAGGCGATCGCGACGGAGGTGGCGGCATGTCATCGGGCAGGGCCATGGATCCAGCAAAGGCGCTTGAGGTGAAGCAGCTACAGCAGAAGAAGGAGAGGTTGGTGTATGCGATTCAAAGATTGGAATTGGAAAGTAAGCAGAAAGAGCGAGAGTTGAGGAAGAGTATGGCGTTCGTGAGAGATTGAATTTCGCGTATCAGGATCCGGACGTATCTGGAAGACCGGAGAACATTGTCAATGCACGAATGGTCACTCAGCTGACCGCTGCTGCCTGGACATGGCCACCTCCCGCATCAAAGACGTCGAGATGTGCCACCTTCTGTTACTGGCTTCTGTCTTGGTCGATGGATGCATGGTGGCCAGAGCTGCTCAACTACATCAAGACGCTGTTGGGCGATGCTGAGTAGACTGTATACAGTCTAGCATGGGCTCAAGTGTCCTCAATCAAAGTAGTCGCTCGCGTTCTTGCGACCAAATCGACGACTCGCGCTCTCGGGATTTGGCTCTAAACCGTTCAGGAACTCATCCGCCGCTCGTATGCCGTTCAGATTTCTATAGTCACCATTGGAGCTCGAGGATTCTGACTTGATCGTAACGTCTGGCCTCAAGAAAGACCGATCGTCGTTAGTATTAGTCTTCCGGAATGGAGCGATGGAACTCTGGCCACTGTCAGTAGCTGGTCTCGGTGTGCTTTATACGGCACTCACCTTGCGTCGCGTCATGGTCTTAGGATCGACCTCGAATACCTCCTCCACCACTAGATCATGTTGCTCGGGCAGGAATTTACAGTCTTCCATGCGACATTGGCCACTAGGGCGTCGACACTCGTGACCTAGAGTGCATGCAGCGTCGATACAATGAGGGTCGCAGCAAGCCGATGTACGTGCTTTCTGTCGCAAGGAGTTGATCTCCATTGGAGACAGGTCAACAGAATGATCCCACTTGCAATTGTTGCCATATCCGCAGAAGCCTCGGAGGTAGTGATTGTTGCAGAGCTTGGGTTTCTCAATGAAGAGGTATCGAAGGAATTGCCGATCAAACGTCACAGGGAGGTCAAGTCGCTGGTCATACTGGTTGACAAAAGCAACTTGAGGTGGACGAACATCCTCCACTACCATAGAAGGCCGACGCGGATCATATTCTGGACTGTTGGCAATCCGTGTATACTTCGCAAGTCCTTCAAGATCTTTATAGGCTGGTGGTGGGGCATCCTCGTCGGTAGAGTCATCTGACCGCAGCCTCTTCATTGGTCGATGTTGGGATGGCATCCTTATGATAGACTCAGGGTGCTGGTTCTGGGCAGCTGTGTTATAGTGTCCTGCAGCGCGTGTCATATTTGTCTTCAGCGGGCCCGCGCCGAGCCGAACGTCGAGTACATCGCAAAGGATGTTGTCGAAATCAATCAGTGGGTGTTGCGAGCTAGTCCAGGGCCGGTCCTTGGTTGTGCGTAACTCGGTGACCTTGACTGGGAACTCTGGATCTGCGACGGCGAAAGCGTCGATGAAGGCAGAGCAGTCCGCGCAGCCGGCGAAGCCTGCAAAGAAGACGTGCTGACAGTGTTTGTTTTGGAGATGGAATTCGAACATCGCTGGTCATGTTACTGTTGGCGTCCATCGGAGAGGAGGAATGGTACTTACCTTTCAGACTGTCGCAGCTGTTGCTACGATCGCCTGAGTCGACGAAAGTCGTCAGCGGATCGCTCTGGTTCAGACCGACAAAGAAACGACGAAGCAGGTCCACGTGGGCGTCGTCTGATCGACCGCAGACCTGACTGAGGTGCTTGAGGTCCGCTGAGATGTATACCAGAATCTTATCCTGGGCTCGATGTAAAGGGTTACACTCGTGGAAGCTCCTAACGCTGGCACGTAGCTGCTTTCCGGCTTCGATACCACCAGAAAGACCATCGAGCAACAGATCGTTTCGGAACTGGACAGCAGGTCAGCGGCAATGCAAATGTGATGGAGTTTCAGAAGGAATACAAGCTTATGATTCCCATTGATGAGCACTGCTATGAATCGACCGCGCTCCTTTCTTATTGTCAGTGTTATCATGACTCTCCGGATGAGAACGCACCATCCTGGACTCAAGGTCCCGTCTCTGCTGAGCCTCTTGGATCATCCGATCATAGTAATGACTTTCTCGAGTTTGCGCGTCGTCGAGCTTCTTCTGCAGGCTCTCTATGTGGCTCAACAGGTCCTGGATCTCGTTAGAAGTGGTTATAGCAATGTATAGTAGGTGTGAAGTGCCTTGTTGAATGCTTCGTCTTTCGCATCCATTGCGATTCGCTCAGCTTTGTGGGTCTCGAAACGTTGTATGAGGGCAGCCACAGTTGGAAGAGTAGGCGATGCGGGTGAGGAAGGTGCAGACATGATTCTTGGCTTGGAAAAGGAGATGCAAGTACGCCGTTGAGGCGGATAAGTCTGCTTGGGGATGAGCGACGGTGAGGTGCGTAGGAGACACAACAATTTTTATCCACTGCACTGAGTGCTTGTCAACACCTGGACAACACTGGACTCAATTGGTACATCCTTTGCAATTGCCTTCCGTGAATCTCACTATTGCTATCCTCCTGTGAACCACCCTCGTGACCCTTGCTCGTAAATCCCTACTGTAAGTCTCTCTGGTGAATTTGTTTTATAAGACTCAAGCAACAGTATGTGGACTGACAATGACCTCTTGGACATGCGAAGTTCTTATGAAAGATCTGCTTGCTTTTGCTATCATGCCATAGGAGACCTTTGAAAGCAGACTGACGGCCACCAGCACTGTTGTATCGGCCATGCATCTGGATAGCGTACATCGAATCCGGAACTCCTCGCTCAAATTACAGTACTGCGATCTTCCCAACACCCCTGGTCGTAATGCCAACAAGTCATTAGGCCGCGCTACACGTCCGATCGCAGTTGATCTTCTTCACAATGGACGCCAACCGACACCTCGACTCCCAGTCTTCATCGAACGACATGAAGCCATTGATCGGTCTCTGTTTACATATCTTCGCGACACACTTGACAAGCTCCTTATCCTCCTGTCGCATACCGGATTGAATGCTTGTACTTGGATACAGCTTCCTTTCGCTCGTGGTACTCGAGTGTAGCTGCATAGTTGCGGACTGAAGACCATCTGAATCGGCACCAGGAAGATGACTATGGTGTTGGGTACGCTCAGAAGGGACGTTATGGTTTCGAGTGGAAAGCAGTGATGCAGCATCCTCATTTTGCTGACGCTGAGCAGGTATGTCGTCCCTGACGGAAGGGTATCGCGGAAGGCCTTGATCTTGCACAGGAGTCCTTTGCCTTCGGATGCAGTGTGCGTGGATGTGACGATCGATTGCTCCTCAGCGAAGTCGAGGCAAGCCACCCCGAGCGGCTCGTAGCCATTGAATGTGTCGAGATCCTAGTATCACTGCCCCTGATCGACCGGGCATGGACTCTTGCGGGACGAAAAACTAATAGTGGGCAAGCAGTTGTTGCTTTGCTCAAGAGGTGTGTTCCAGGGCGCGCGGCCAAATAGTTACGAATATATCTCTAAGGCAAGCATTGGACTTACTAAGGCCGACTTCATCGTATATCAAACGAAAAGGCGTTCAGCTGAGGATTGAGCGGTCGCCAATGGGATCCTGGCCAGCCCATGTTATCATATGACTGCAGGAAGCACACGTTGGGTGAGTAGTCAGGCACGAGTCGGCCGCTTCCCTCGCGAGCAGCCGGTGGGAGCTGAGTCGCATCGAGGTAAACCGCGAACATGCAGGGGCAAAACGCCTAGAATGCTGAACACGGCACTGTCTGTTGTTGTCTAGCCCACAGAAGGACGTGGCAAATATCGAATCGCTGGTTTCGATGGGGGTAAGCATGAGATAATCACGGGACGCCCATCCTGCTGACAGTGAAATCGATGTAACACAGCTCGTTAGGGCACCGGGAATGTACGATAATGCGTGATGACCATACAGATTGCGGTTGCTCGGCGAATACTTCGAAAGAAGGTGGCATAATGCATTTGCGGGAATTGCAGAAAGGACTCGGATGCTGCAAAGATCGGAGAGGCTGGCGTTAGGTGTGAGCCAAATCTTGGCGATCGGTGGACTTTTTTTGCGATGCGATTGCCGTCTTGGTGCGCGAAATGCGTCAGGAGCTGATAATTTTGCGTGTTCACGCGCCTTGCAAAGGCATTCATGCAAGATGAACAGGTTGAATTGGCTTGGTTGGACTTCCGTGCGAGGGCGTGTGACACAACGACCGGCAGATACGAGACGCCAATCCGGCCCGGATTGCCGTGGCAGATGAAGCCCGGGCGCGGTTTAAGCGCACCCCGACATATGGGCGCCAGAGATCGACGTCCGAAATGACTGGAGAGTCGAACACATTCTCGTCTGAGCGGTCTTCGGGGTCGATCACGTTCTGCATACAGACCTTCACATCGACAAGATCGCAGATCATGTGGCTGGAACAGTGCGACTTTCGCCAGACAATTCACCCTTTTGTCAAAACAGAGCCGAGGCACGGCCACAAGTTTTGCCCTGTCCTGTGAGAACGAGGCAACGAGGTGGCATCAAGGTTGTGTGGACCACATGACAACATCAACGTTTTGAAGTGCTTCCACCATTCCTCTCGATAAACAGATCGAGCTGCTCTTTACTTCTTCCCTCTCGACACCATCTTGTCCAGTTTCGTCTGCGCCTTCCCGGACCGAGCAACCTTCTTCTTCTGTGGATTTTCGCCGTCAGTGATATCGCCATGATCAGCATGCTCCCCATCGTCGCTGTCATGGTCGTCCTCGTCTTCGTCCCTTGCTCGTTTACGACCTTTTGAAGCTTTTCCATCTTCCTTTCCGAAGACCTTCTTCCATTCACCGTTCAGCCGCCTCTTGTCGTTACCATACATCTTGATGTCGTACGCATGTTTCATGCCATCTATACATGCCTGCCTCCTCTCATTGAAGTCGAACATAGGCTTTGGGTATGTCTTCATGTCGCCATTACCCTTTTCGGTTCCGTCGCCTCGGATCTGGCATCCCCATTTCTTCTGGTCGGCTATGGGGGCTTTGTGTGGCTCATATATATATTTCTTGTCGAAGTTGGCCAGCTCAGGAATATAGTTCCTCACGAGGCGCCTTCTGGATCCCACTTCTTGCCAAAGCTATACGGGCTGTAACAACGGTAGAACTGACTGAAGAAAGCCGTACAGCTCAGCCTGCACGGGAAGTGTCAGCAACCATTATCGGGTCTCCTAGGCAGGGGTGAACGTACCACATCCAATTCCCCGCATTACTTGCGCTCTCGTGGTCAATCAACAGTTCTTCGAAAACCTCCTTCCCTCGCTCCCAGTGCACATAACATCCGCCTCTTGTCAAAAAGCACGCGACCATGTGCCTCCCCAGGTGGTGTATCCAGCCCTCCCTCCTCAGTTGCCTCATCAAAGCGTCGACGAACGGAAAGCCTGTCCGGCCTTCCTTCCACCTGATGAACCACTCCTCAGCCTTTTCATCGTCGACCTCATAGCCACCCCTGCCATCGCTTGGCAGGTACCAGTCAATCACTCTACATACCTCGTTGCCTTCCTCCCCCTGGAAAGCATGACCCAGTGCATACTGCGCCGAAAAGTACATGTCTCTGAACAGCACCTGCCCAATCAGATTCATTGGCTCCGCGGCCACTGTCTTCTTAGCTTTCCGTCTCTTCTCGAAGATGTCTTGCACACCCCAGTAGAAACGGCGAATGCTGAGACTGCCGAAGTGAAGGTGTGCGCTCAGAACAGTGGTGGCTCGAGGCTCGAAATCTGTCGGTGCGGTCTTCGGCTTTTCAAAGGTTGCTGTGTATTCTTCATCGTCGAGCACTCTTTTCAGTTCCTTCAGCGCGTTCTCCTCGCCACCATGATGAGGGGTCTCGGCATCTTTGGGATCCATGGCCATCTCATCTAGTGTTGGAACTCCGCAGTCACCATTTGGTCCCAGCAGGCTCACGAACTCTGTAGCTTCACCCTTGGTCCTTGCTTCTGCGTTCTGGTCATCCTTGCCGCCCTCCTGCTGTTTTGGCTTGGTTTGTCCAGGGTCTTTCTCCAGGTCCTTTAGACTAGCCAGCACGTCCATTCCGGGCTCAGGAACTGCCTCGACATCATCCACCGGTCGCTTGACCTCGAGCTTCTCCTTGTCCACTGCTTTCAGCAGCTGTCCCATACTCATGGTCGGCTTTCCACCATTTCCCTTCACGACCTCCGACTCGACGAACAGTGTCCGCCCACCCCATATGCCCGTGACTTCGACACCAACGTCCTCCAGAGCCTTCGTGACCTCCTCGTCTCTCTGCCGAGCATACCAATCCCCGTCCGCTTCGAACACCAGATGCGTCACGCCCCACAGCTTGCACAACTTCGGAATCACTGTGGTCGGCCCTTCCCGGACAACCCACAGCTGCTGTTTCTTGCTGATCCGCCGATACCCTACGTCCAGTCCCTTCATACATTCCACCAGGAAGCGCCATCGATTGGCAGCACCACGTGCCTTGAAGACATAGTGCGGATCCCAGGTCCAAATTGGGTAGAACGCAGCTGGCTTGAGGAATAAGGCGTGCTGAAGGCCAGGCGAGTCGTGGAGGCGGAGGTCTGTGCGATGCCAGTAGAGGACTACGGGACCTTTGCTTGCTGAGGTTTTCGAGGGAGAGGAGTTGGAGGCGGCAGGCTTCTTGAAGCGTGCCGAGGGCGAGGCAGATTTCTTGGGCGGCATGCTGTGTGCTAGAGCCTTGAAATTGCTGCGAAACGCAGCTAACGATGTAACCGAGGGACGTGAGGGTGCTTTGGCAATTCTGTAAAGGTTTGGGTTTCAAAGGAAGCGGCGAAAGAGACTTGGATCGAGAAAGAAGGATGTTGCGGCCAGCTCAGCTGTCAGATGCCTCAGTCGTTATGAAGTAGTCAGTTTGAAGTGGTGCTTTAGAACATCTGAAAATGGTCGCAACATTCGTGACAGTAGGTCCTGATGCAGCAGATCAGTAGACGTCCCAGTCGCCTTCTATTGTCAGCGCTCCACGATCGATGACCTTTAGCAGGTAGGTAGGCGAGTTACGATTTAAGTGGGCTGACCAGCATTCCAGAGATAGCTCAGGTACAGTACTGGTAAAGAGTAAAGCACACTACCTTTTTGGGCAATGGTGACGACATCGTGCTTGTACCTAACGCACCACAGACGTCTAAGCACCATATATAAAGTATTCCAGGTATCACGGCTGTGACTCGCACTGACATCGTGCGAGCAGTCCCAAGGACGGTAAGATGGTCAGTCAAGTCTCTTGTGCGGTCTATGCCAATCAGGCAGATCCGCCTCGTCGTGCGTCCGACCGACGATGCGCAGCTGCTCGGCATTGCACTACAGCCATGGCCTCGCGGAAGATCTGCTGACGCTGATTCAAAGATCATGTATGCAGGAAGCCAGCTTGCAAGCTCGCACATACAGGGGCCAGTGGAAGCTCCAATCGCGAGCACGCGCCCAGATTCCCTCTGTGTGACAGCTCTCAGCATATGCCCCGGGAAAGCCTTGTTACTCATTCTGCCATGAATTTGGCAAGTCGTTCGTTCAACCACGCAAGATCAACAGGATTAGCGCCGCCGCCCGCAACATGGCCCCACACACTTGGTATGGGCTCACACTTGCCATGTCGAAGATATTTGACCTCGATTTCGGAGTCTTCTGGTGGAAAGTATTGGTCGGTTTGACAAGGTAAGAGCAACGCCTTACACTTGATGCTCTGCAACGCTGCCTGAAACTGCTCGTCACTCGAAGGCTTCCCACCAAGCTCTGTCAAACTGTTCTTATCGGGAATGACCGCGCCAATGTCGCCTTGCTGCCACATTCGAGCAAGGATGAGGAGATCATCGGCCTCCCACGCGAGATATCCTTCTCCTCTGGCGACCATCCAGGACTCGACACTGTCGAACCCGAGCCCACCTTCGACCTTGCCCCACAACTGCTGTCGGAACCAGTGAGTACTTGTTAGCCATGCGCCATACCCGCGAGCGAATGCCCTCAAGCCTCGTTTCGGCTTGACTTCCTTGAGCTTAGGTCCTATCTGCTCGCCTTGTGCGGCCTTTTCTTTCATCGCTTGAACGGCCACATAGTCAATCGAGTTTGTTAAGGCTGAGATCGGACCCTCGAGGAAAGCGTAATTGTGAGGGCTCGTTCGTGCCGAGCTGCATATCGGGACAATTCGTTTCATGTAGTCGGGGTACATCACTGCCCAGTGATAGGCTTGCTGCCCACCCATGCTGAACCCAACAACAGCCTCTAGTTCCTTGATGCCTAGATGGTCAGTAAGAAGCGCATATTGCGCATTGACAACATCCTGATATCGTAGCTGGCCAATTTCTGGGAACATAGGCTTGTTCGAAGGAGAGGCAGACTCGCCGTTGCCAAGCATAGCAACCACTATGACATGATACTTAGCTAGACTATCATTGGGAGAAGTCGTCCACGTTTCCGTAGTGTTGATGATTCCGCCATAGCAAGTTGGTATTAGAATAGCCCCCACCGTCGAAGAGGGGTTTATCGAGCGATATGCCACCTGAACATTGTGGAGAGTGGTACCGTCAGAGAACTTGAAGGTTGGTATCTTGTAGTACTTGACGCCAGTCGAATCGTAGTCCGCTGCCTGAGCCATTGTGGCAAGACAAGATGGAGGAGGGAACAAGAGCTTAAGGCTGGTATCCGAGGCTTGTATACCACCCGACAGCTTGGTCCAGCTGAATTGTTGATGACGACTTTTTAGACCTTGTCAAGGGACTCTTTCAAGGCTTTCCGAGATCACTTAGGAGGCTGGATCTTCTCGTTCGATGAGTAGCCAGCAGGAAGCAGAGATCTCAAGCCATCAACCTTAGGATCGACATCACCATCATTCTGCCAGTGGAGTAAAAGGCTCCGTGCCAAGCCTCGTGATCGTCGCAAGGGCAGGTACCCAGCAACCACATCAATGTCTTGGTTGCACTTGCTTGGATTTAAAGATATCAACTTGAAGCACATACATGCAGAAGCATCGATCACGCTCGATCTGTCACTCCAATACCACACTCAATTTCACCAATCTCCAGAACCTACCAGCAATCGAAGTCTTTCCACACCGCCCACTTCACAATACTGAAATTTGACAACCCCACCACACGTCCGCCTTCCTTTGTCCTCGCACAAACACAGTTCAGAGACGATCCTGATCTCGCTGTACGTCGAACTTGACTTGGCCCAGTGCTACCGACTAAAGCACCTCACCTCTTCCTCCTCCACTGGCCGGCGCACATCTGTGTGGCACGGTATACAAGCTCTTCCCTCAACTGCGCACATACTGTCTACCAGACGCGCCGAAGACACACAATGGCGACTCAGGTGACAGCACAGTTGGCGCAAACGTCTCTCAACGATGGACCAGAAGATTCCAGCTGGAAGGAAAACCTCAAAGCGCCCGCGAAAGACGGTCGGGAACAGACTGAAGATGTCACCAAGACGAAAGGCCTCGACTTCGAAGAATTCTACATCAAGCGAGAACTCTTGATGGGCATATTTGAAGCAGGCTTTGACAAACCGTCGCCTATACAAGAAGAGACCATTCCAGTTGCGCTAGTTGGGCGGGACATCCTCGCCCGTGCGAAGAATGGTACAGGCAAGACCGCAGCTTTTGTGATCCCCACATTGGAGAGAATAAATCCCAAGAACCCGAAAATTCAAGCCCTTCTGTTGGTGCCGACCAGAGAATTGGCGTTACAGACATCACAAGTATGCAAGACCTTGGGTAAGCACCTTGGAATTGAGGTCATGGTCACCACTGGAGGCACAGCACTCAAAGATGACATTATCCGGCTTGACGACAAAGTGCATATTCTAGTTGGTACACCGGGACGGATCTTGGATCTCACCAGCAAAGGTGTCGCCGATTTGTCTGAGTGCTCGATCTTTGTCATGGACGAAGCCGACAAGCTTCTGTCGCCAGAGTTCACGATTGTGGTCGAGCAGCTTCTCAGCTTTCACCCTAAAGACCGGCAGGTCATGCTATTCAGTGCAACATTCCCGATCATTGTCAAAGACTTCAAAGAGAAGCACATGCGAAATCCTTACGAGATCAACCTGATGGACGAGCTCACCCTTCGCGGCATCACTCAATACTACGCCTTCGTGGAAGAGAAGCAGAAGGTCCATTGCCTCAACACGCTCTTCTCGAAGCTCCAGATCAACCAGTCCATCATCTTCTGTAATTCAACTAACCGCGTGGAGCTATTGGCCAAGAAGATCACAGAGCTTGGCTATTCGTGCTTTTATTCGCATGCACGAATGATGCAGCAACACCGCAACAAAGTCTTCCATGACTTCCGAGCTGGAGTGTCCCGCAACCTGGTGTGCTCTGATCTCCTTACCCGTGGTATCGACATTCAAGCAGTGAACGTCGTCATCAACTTCGACTTCCCTAAGAATGCCGAGACGTATCTCCATCGTATCGGTCGTTCTGGACGCTTCGGTCACCTAGGTCTCGCCATTAACCTGATCACGTGGGAAGACAGACTGAACCTTTACAAGATCGAACAGGAGCTAGGTACTGAGATCCTAGCTATCCCACCATCAATCGATAAGTCACTTTACGTCTATGAGAACCCAGAGAATATACCTCGGCCAATCCACGCAGCGCCTCCGCCGAGAACAACACAGCCTTCGAATGGACAGGATGCATCACAGCAGGGTCGCCGGAATAACGGCTATAACCCAAGTTATGGCCAACGTGGCGGTTTTGCTCAAGGCAGAGGAAGAGGACGAGGAGGCGGGCGCGGCGGTCGTGGCGCTGCGCATACCGGTCAACCTCAGCACAATGGAACTCCTGGGCCATAAACGAATCCTCTCGCGCACGATGGCTTCGGATCTGTTGCATAGTTAACGTTTCATTTCGGCGTTCAGGGAGTTTTGCGCACAGGCTTCGTGTGCCCGAGGCGTTCGGGAGGACTTCAACGACTGAGCATGATGTTATGTGAGCACGAGGCTGGCGGATCGTTATGCCGACACCATGCGAGGGGATCACGTGTACAAAAGTTTCTTACTATCGGACGCGGAGCAGTTGCCAGCGATAGATCGCTAAGGCTGTGGCGCATTAGGAGCATCTGTTGATGCACCATGTTTTGGATCGGGCCTCTGGATGAGGTTAAAACGACAATCTGGGAACATCTCCTGGGAAACGGATCTGTGCCCATCTTCAGGCAAGATCAAGGTGTCGAGGGCGGTGTCAGTGTTTGCTACCTACCTTATGGCTCATTTCTCACCGTCGGAGAAATGAAACGGGCGGATTAGGGCATCAGTAAATGACATCGGAGGGACGTCTTCAATTTACTCACAAACTACCACGGAGCCCGCCTGGATCGAGGCAGCTCATTGCGCTCGCACGAGAGCGACGCAACAATTCACATCTTTTGCACAGTCGCGACGAACGATAGGGAGTCTAGGCCCCGAGCGAACAGGCTATCTAAGAGGAATCATCACAATCTTCCCAACATCGATACAGTATCCTTGGGTACGTTCGTCCGCAGCCACAGACATGCCGAATCGCATTCCACAGACAGAGGCTGTCATCCGTGTGGCAAAGAAGACAAACATAAAATCAAGAAAAACCCATCAGAGAGGACAGACAGTGCTTAGTGGTATGCAGAGCGGCTTCTATGGAGGGAAACTTTGTCATCATCGCCTTGCACACCGACCCAGCGGTATGGGCAGACACGATGTGGCATAAGAACTCCAGTTGCCTTGGCCTTCATAGCAGAGCATTGTTCAATGACAACACATCGTTCCCTCTGCTTGACTCCGCTGACATATTGCCTTTGCCCATGATCGACCTCGTGCATGCCATGAAATGCCGCCGTCAATTACCCCACGTCTACTGGCCGCTGGTGCGGGATCCGGAGTGGGGAAATCAACTTAGAAATTCATTCACAGTAGCTGGCCTCATAAACCTTGCATGCGACCTCTAAGATCGACGAACAACTACACAACAGTCTGGATGCATAGCTCGTGAGCACAGCAAAGCACCATATGACTCGAGCTCGGTAAGCTGAAGACTGCATCACTATCCTACGCACCTGGCCGTCATGGCCGCACCGAAGCGAAGCTGGACAGACGCGAACCTGCCTTCACCTCACAGCGCTCCAGGCCACGGCGGCTCCTCTACATCGCCTCACTCACTCCAGTCGCCGTCGCAATTGACATCGCCGAAGAGAGCGCGCATCAACGAGGACCCAAAGTCACTAGCCCGGGGTCAACGCAGCGCAAGCCAGAGCAATGGAGCTCAGGTCGATAACTCAAAGATCCCCGGCATATCGCGCAAGGTGAAAGCATGTGCGGCTTGTCGCAAGCAGAAAATCAAGTGTATCATGACAGGCGATCCACCTTGTCAACGGTGCAAAGAACGTGGGCTGTCTTGTCGCTTGAACAAAAGCTTGCAGACTCTGATGTCGGAAGACAGCAAGTGGAAAGCCTCGGTGACCAAAGATGTGTTGTCGCTGTATGGCTCCGTCGAACAGGTGCTACAACTCCTGAATCTGCCGCCACTACCTCAGCTGCAAACATCTACGCAAGACCCAGCTATCTTCTTCGATCAGGACGACCCTGTCAAAGACGAGGACGAAGATGACTCTTATGATAACTCGCCGAAAGTCGTCCCTGTCACAGACAATTTGTCACACGTACCGATCGAGTCCTTGTATCAGATCACTGGAATGCGCGCACTGCGTGCGGCTGAAGGGGTGAACGAAGACCAGTCTCGCATCTGCAAGCAGCTTCGAGACACAGACTTTATTTCTCGCGGAGTGATCAAATTGGAAGATGCGGAACCTTTGGCCGACTATTTCCTCCAGAAGCTTGATCCCTACATCTGGCACATATGCGCCGATTATAAAGATCTGGAGTCGTTTCGGAGTCGATCGCCGACACTGACCGCTGCTGTTCTCACTGTTGCTGCTCTTCACGATACTGCTCATTGCCATCTCTATTCGACATGCGCCAAGGAGTATAAGCGTCTGGTCGCCAATGCCATGTTTGAGCGAAAGATTGACATGGAGTATCTGCGGGCTCTTGTCATAGGATCATACTGGCTCAGCGATATTTCGTGGACGCTATCTGGATATGCGATTCGTCGAGCGAGCGAGTTCCATCTCAAGCAGTACTATCTGCAGATCGCAGACTCAGTCAGATCACCTGATAAGGCAGATGCCGCAAAACTTACTGAAGCAATGGATGGTATCAGAGTGTTGTACCTGTTGTACATATGTGATCATCACCTGTCCATACTCTATGGTCGATCCTCAGTCATGAGGGATAACGAAATATACATCACAGGTTGGGAGGCTTATCTTGCGTGTTCTTTGTCGACCGACTCAGATCGGCGGGTGGCCGGACAGATCTGTTTGATGTACCTGATAAACCAGATACGCGAGAGCCTCGGACCAGAGGACACGACAGCTGTCTTACCTGCTTCGGCATTGCCCAAGATCAACGGCTTCGAGCGAGACCTCGACGACTGGATTGCTCGCTTCTCAAGGCACAGTGAGTTGAAATGACTGCCAAGTACTTTCACTTCCTGCTAACAGTATCACAGACCCAAGCCAGCTTATCGGCAATTGGCCCAACAAAGGCGCCATCATGCACTACCACTGGGCAAAGCTCTACTTACAGTCGTATGTCCTCCGAGGTCTTCCGGAGCAAGGAGCAGTCATTCCAGAACACTTTCTCGAAAATGCTTCAGCTGCGGTTCAAGCCGCGATAGCCATCGTGAATCTACTATTGGAGGACAAAGATGCCCAAGTCGCCGTGGCGTATGTACCTCATCACATTCACGGCATGGTCGCCTTCGCAGCGATGTTCCTCCTACGAATTGCTACAAGGCATAGCGAACAACTGTTTGTGGATCAAAGTCGCTACCAACGCTTGATCGGAGCGCTAGCGCAGCACTTCAAGACGGTCGACCTAGGCAAGGACCATTTAATACACCGCATGGCAGAAGGTCTGGAGAAGATGTCTGAGAGCTTGGGTGGCCCGACACGCCGCAGCAGGAAGAGCATAAGCAAGCCGTCACAATCCGAGGAGAAGCCAGCCATGAGCTCTACGCAGAGCCAAATCACAAACGGCAATGGTGGCATTCCAGACTATGCCACCCTCGATCCTACCGCCTTTGACTTCGGTGACTCGGCTATGAATTTGGGAATGCCGTTCTTCGATTTCGAGGGCACGACACTTCAGAATGGGTCTGGTAACGATATGTGGAATTTCAACTGAGCGATGGAGATGTCAGTACTGTTATGTAGCGAGCGTTGAATGACATATGACACGCTTATGAGATCAACCACTAGACGTGCAACCTGAATACTTCATAGTCATCCGTAAACATGTCACACCGGCAGCAGGAGCAGTCGACCAATCAGAGCGTGCGTAATGCCAAGCCTTTGAGCTACTACGGGGCATTGGATCTTTTAGCTCTTGCTTGAGATTGACCTCACGCCGAAGCTCTTCACACCCTGCGTCGCGCTCCCGTTCGTCCTTTCAGCAGTTACCTCGCTCGCCATGGCGACACAGCGGCTGGCGCTCAACCTGCGACAATCCCTGCGAAGCCGACAAGCTCTTAACAGCATCCGAAGTCCCGTCAGAAGATACGCAAACCCCGTCGAGAACTCTCGAACAGAATCCACAACTCTCTCAAATGGTCTGACGGTACGTAACGCAGCCATGGTGTCAGAACAGTAACTCACAAGTTCTTGCTAGATCGCGACTGAGCACTCACCATGGGCTCAAACATCAACGGTCGGCATGTGGATCGATGCAGGTAGCCGGGCAGAAACAGACAAAACCAATGGCACAGCTCATTTTCTCGAGCATCTGGCGTTCAAGGGTACCGGAAATAGAACACAGCAACAGCTTGAGCTAGAAATCGAGAACATGGGCGGCCACCTGAATGCTTACACATCGGTATGAATTTCGAGACGAAGAGATGAGAGGACGGCTACTAACGACGAGTCCAGCGCGAGAACACTGTTTACTACGCAAAGTCCTTCAACAATGACGTCCCCAAGACAGTCGATATCCTCTCAGATATCCTTCAGAACTCGAAACTCGATCCTCAAGCCGTAGAGCGTGAACGAGATGTGATCCTCCGAGAGCAAGAAGAGGTCGACAAGCAGCTGGAAGAGGTCGTCTTCGACCACCTACACTCGACTGCTTTCCAGGGCCAGCCCCTCGGCCGCACCATCCTCGGACCCCGCGACAACATCCTCTCGATCAACCGTCAAGATCTCGTTGACTACATCAAGACCAACTACACTGCAGACCGAATGGTTCTCGTCGGAGCAGGTGGCATCCCCCACGAAGACCTTGTTAAGCTCGCCGAGAAGCACTTTGGCAGCTTGCAGTCCGCCCCTCCCACCTCATATGCCGCCGAAGTCGCCGCTGAGCAGAAGCGCAAGCCTCAGTTCATCGGCTCAGAAGTCCGCATCCGAGACGACTCCATCCCAACAGCACACATCGCCATCGCGGTCGAGGGCGTAAGCTGGAAGGACGACGACTACTTCACTGCACTCGTCACCCAAGCTATCGTCGGCAACTGGGACCGCGCTATGGGCCAGACGCCTTACATGGGCAGCAAGCTCGCCGGATTTGTGAACTACCACAACCTCGCCAACAGCTTCATGAGCTTTTCGACTAGCTATAGCGATACTGGGTAAGTCTTTCCTCTGCTCTCTCGCTCCCGCTTCCGAGTGCACCTGCTGACACATACACAGCCTCTGGGGAATCTACCTCGTCTCCGAAAACCGCACCCAACTAGACGACCTAATCCACTTCACCCTCCGCGAATGGTCGCGCCTCTCCATCAACGTCTCCGAAGCCGAGGTCGAGCGCGCCAAAGCTCAGCTCAAAGCCTCCATCCTCCTCTCCCTCGACGGCACGACCGCCGTGGCAGAAGACATCGGCCGCCAGATCGTCACTACGGGACGAAGGATGGATCCGGCGGAGATCGAGAGGGTAGTAGGCGGGATCACGGAGAAGGATGTGATGCGGTTCGCGCAGAAGAAGTTATGGGATCAGGATATTGCGTTGAGTGCGGTCGGGAGTGTGGAGGGGATATTGGATTATAACCGGATTCGGAATGATATGTCGAGGATGAGTGCGTAGATGTTGGGAGGGATGAGGTAGCGCGCACATGGTGCTAAGTGGTTGATCTGTGGAAGATGGAAGCACGAGGGAAAGGGTTTGAGGTTCGACCTCTGACGCTGTTTTTTGGCAGGTAGCGGCGGGCGAGGTGCATGAAGCAGCTGTTCGCACTTATAGATACCGACGGAAGTCAGGGCGATCGAAGTAGAGGGCATGGAGTGTGTGAAGTGGGGAGCCTTGCAGCTCGAGCGTCTCATCAGTCAGTATCAACAAGCCAATAACTTTTCCAAGTTTTGTACAGCAAGAATGAGGTACCTTCATCCACTTTCCTTCAACGAAGTCCACCCTGGCGAGCTTTTACCACAACCTATCCGCTACTGTTCAGCACCGCGCAGAGACGCACCACGGGGCGGCCTCCAGTGGCTGACTGACTACCATTTGAATCAATCCTATGCTGCATGTGCTTGGCATACTGTCGGGTACGCTTGTCGAATGCACAACACAATTGAGGCCCTTTGCAGATATGTTGGGCCACCTGTGTGCTTCCAGAGCGAGGATCTGGGGCGGCCGCAGGAGTAGAGAGTCGACGCGAGACCGGCAGAATCTGCGGCAGCTCCACCTCATTTGGTTGACGTACCGGCAATGGTGACAGCACACTATGCGGCAGTTCCACCTCATTCGGTTGAAGTACCGGCAAGGGTGACAGCGATTGCATCAGCCTAGGGCCTAGCCACTCGTCTTCCTTCAGGAATGCGCGTTCCTCGGCAGCCAAGTATACCCGCAGCTTTTCGGCGGATGAGTCCTGCTGGTATTCCAGGTTTGTAAACTTCGCGAGCATCCCAGCCCACACAGCTTCGCATCTTGCTTTGGCAGTCGGAGCCATCTTATCGCGAAGTGCTTCTGCCCACTTGGTGTGCTGAGCGACGTGCTGCTTTTGCATGTGGACAAATACCATGGCCTGAAACCGCAATAGGGCGGGCATCGGAATACTTCCTTGAGGATTTGCCTGTGCCCATTGCTTCAAGGCAAGCCAGTTGAGATTTCGGCCCTCAGGCAGCGGCAGGGTACATTTATGTCGGATCTGGGTAAGTGTCGGTGGATCAACCTGTTGTTGATCCATGAGGTGAAGTACTCGTGGCGTGAGCTGGCGTAGCTGTGCAGTTATGGCTAGCTTCTGCTTTAGCATTTGGGCGAAGACCATGGCCTGGAAACGCGTCAGGGTGGCCATCGGCATAGTTGGTTGCGGATTTGCCTGTGCCCATTGCTTCAGACCGAGCCAGTTGAGAGGCTGGCCCTGAGGTAGCGGCAGGGTACTGTTCTGTCGAACCTGGGTAAGCACTTGTTGAGCGACCGGCTGCTGATCCATGAACTTGAGTATTCGTGGCGTGAGCTGGCGTAGAAGCTGCAGCTGACGTTGACCTCGTTGCTGCGGTGGCCGTTGTATCTTGTCTGGGATGATTGTCAAAGGCACAGGTGTGGTTTCGACGAGGGTGGACGGGGTTGTTCGTTCGGCATCTCCATCCGGGAGCCCTGTGTGCGGATGGACAGATAGTTCTGACATCGCGCTTTGCAGAACATCGTTTGCCTCAGTCGACCGAACTTGCTCCATGACGTCCAAGCCTCGGAGAGGAACATGGCAAGAGCATGAGTGGATGAACATCTTTAAGAATGCTTTGGACTTGATGCAAGATAACTGTGTCGTAGCGAGATAATGCTGACGGAGAACAATGTGTGTCGATATGTGTAGTCGTTTGGTATCAGCAGCGATGACAGCTTCCAATAAAAGAGGGCGCGATGTGCTCGAGAAGCTGCAGCCGCTGGACCTGCCTGACGGCGCCTCCCAAGAGTCGCGCCTGCGGACTGATCAGCTGAAGTTCGCACTTGCCTCAATTTCACGTATGATACTGAGCCAGATCTCAGGCAGGAACACGACAGCTTAGGACTCAATCCCAGGCTTGGGGATCCCATTCCCCTTGGTTGCCCTTCATGCCCTCATCTAGCACATCAAGTCTCTTCATATCCTCCTCATCTAAACTCCAACCAAAAACGTTGCTGTTCTCCTTGATCCGCGCCTCCTTATCACTCTTCGGAATAACCACAACACCGCTCTGCAAACACCACCTCAGCACGACCTGCGCAGGTGTCCTGCCCACCTTCTCAGCAACCTCCTTGACCACAGGATCACCCAGCCTCTTTCCCTGCGTGAGCGGACTGTACGCAACAATTACCATGCCCTTTTCCTCGCACCACGCCCGAATATCCCTTTGCTGCTGCCACGGGTGGAACTCCAATTGATTGACTGCTGGGAAGAACTCCACACCGTCTTCAGCCATCAATTGCTCGATATGCTTCGGTGCCCAGTTACTCACACCGATTGCCTTGACTAGACCCTGCCTGACAGCGTCCTGTAGACCCAGCCAGCTCTCGTGCCGTAGCTTCCGCCCTGGACGAGGAGTGTGTAGGAGGTACAGGTCGATGTAGTCGACGCCCAGTTTCTGACACGACTGTCTCACGCCTTGCAGAGCTGACTCGCGGCCGTACATGTCCTCCCAGAGTTTCGAGCAGATGAAGAGCTCCGCGCGGGGAACGCCGGATTGGGCGATTGCAGCGCCGGTCTCTGCTTCATTTTGGTAGATTTGGGCTGTGTCAATGTGGCGGTAGCCATTGCGTAGTGCTGCGAGGCAAGAGGCGTACATGATGTGGATTGACATGTGCCGTAGCCGAGGACGGGGACTGAGATTGGGTTCGTGGACGGGGTGTGCTTCAGGGGCAGGGTTGATGTTGGGGTTAGGGGGGCCATGTCTGAACTGTGTGCACAATTTCAGCAGCGTCCAGATCACCTGTAATTGCTGGGGTTCACGAAGGCTTTCGACCAGAGATGCGTATTCGTGAATGTTTGGTCCGACGTGCAGAAACGAGGCACTTAGTAGAACGTTGTGCCAAGAAATGACGTTCACGAAGATGCCGAGTATTTCTCCGTGGTAGAATACCTAGGTATGATTCAATCAAGGATCCATCCATGAGTCTCTCTGCAGATCACAGAGCGTCGAACGCCCTTATGACGGCCTCCTCGTCCACTCTCTCGCCCTCCTCCTGCGAGAAGTAGATATCATGGACCCTTTTCCTACTCAAAATGTCATTCCTTGCGCTCGAATGTGAAGCAGCGTGTATACTCTTCCACACGCCGGTCGCGGAGTGGGACCAAAGCCCAAGCATTCCATAGCCCGTCTTTGTCCACATCCCCATAGAACCTTTAGCAACCCCAGCAGCAAAGCCCTTTGCTCCATTCTCTCGGGCACCCTTCACAGGCTGGACAAAGATGTCGACCACTCCAGTGGACATTCCCACAGCAAAGTCTTTGCCCGCTACTTTGAACCCCGACTTCCAGTCAGTGATCGGTTGGTGATCCTTGACTTTCTCGCCGTAGAGTCGCGGTGTTGCACGCAGGCCCTCCGTAAGCGATTGTGGAACGTCGACAAGCGTGCCCTTGGTAGCCACGCCGAGCAAGCGTCCCATTGCAGTAGCCGATGATCCAGCGTACTTTGCGGTCGAGCGAGTGTTGCGGCTGAACTTGCTTGTGGAACGCTTCGAAGACCCTTCTTCTGGGTCAGAGTACGTTGAGAGTGTGTCGTGGTCTCGGTCCTCGACGGTGGTGCTCGCTGTGGCGGTCTGTAACGATCTGACTGATGCTGCCGAACTCGTCGTCTTCTGGCGCTGGTGCATTTTGTATGGGGCGTACCACAGCTCGTTAGTGTTGGTCACAAAGTCAACACCGAAGCCGAGCAATGCTGAAGTAGGTGCTGACAAGGGGTCGTATCTTCTGTTTTCTATCGTGATGGATTTCGCTTTGTATGTCGTTAGGTCCTTCTGCTGGATCTTCTCAGCCTTGAGGAGGATCTCTGCCGCGAGACCAGAGATCTTGGCTGGTTTTGACGCACTCTTTCCTTTCCAAATCGAGCCCTGCTTCGGCTTCCGGACTTTGAACAAGGCTGGCAGGTTCGGTAGGAGATCGCATTTGAGCCTGTCTGGGTCCAAGTGACGGTGAAAGCTATTTACAGCTGTTTGTACGCCGTTCTCGGCTTTCATCGTCTCAGAGACCTTCGCTGCCGCTGCAGTCGCCTCGGGAGACTGGCAGAATCGCATCGCTTCGGCAAGTCTCTCAGCATTCAGAGAGCTGTGAGGTATTGGGGATGGTCCGGCTCCGGCAGAGGCCACCATGTCACCCCAGAAAGGTTGATCGCCGAAAAATGGGACGATCACTGTCGGCTTGCCGGCGAGCAAACCTGCGGCCGTAGTTCCAGCACCTCCGTGGTGGACAAGCCCACAACATTGTGTAAAAAGCCACTCGTGTGGGCATTCGCCTATTGAGAAAACGCTGTCAGGAAGTTCGTCGCTCGCTAACGAGCTCCAACCTTTGCTGATGATGCATCGAACACCAGCTATCTTGACAGCATCCAGTATCGTCTGGAGCAAGACCTCGGGCTTCTCGACCACTATGCTTCCAAAGCCAACATAAAATGGCGCAGGACCATTGCTGAGGAAGGAGGCGAGATCATCTGACGGGGCGTACTCTGGTAGTCCGCGGAAGATGAACCCAGTGACATCGATGTGGTCTTGCCAGTCTTTGGGCTTCGGTACGAGACCAGGCGACCAGCAATATGTGTACGGGATCTTCAGCGTCTCGAGGAGAAAGGGTGCCTCCGTCAAGGGCACAGGCTCGAGGCCCAAGGTTTGCTGTCGGAAGCCGTTGATGATATCGCCTAGCCCTTGCCACGTCAAAGCGTTGACCAAGCTGAATGATAAGTAATTGGCGAGCTTTGGATCTGTCGTTGTGTTCTGCACGTTGGCCAGAGGATGCGAGAAGAATCGTGTCGGCGACCACGGCATCGTGAAGACCATGTGCAGTGGTATCGACAAAGCCTGAGCACAATGGACATGAGCAAAGCTCGGCGGGTTGGCTATGATGGCATTGGCCACAAAGGGAATGCCAGTTTCCGCATCGTCGGCCACACAAGATTGCCAACAGCCTACTAACATCTCAGAAACCATCTTTCGCTTGGCCCCAATCTCTCCTTCTCGGAGCGTCTTAAGCTTAGGGATCAGTCCAGGGTTTTTGACCATATAAGCCATCAGTTCGGCAGGATTGCTCCTATGTCGAAAAATTCCAGTCCGGAGTCGTGGACAAAGGTCTTAAAGACACCATGGGTTGCAATGCGAACTCGGTGACCGTACTTCTGGAGCTCGCAGCCCATTGCAACGAACGGCTGGACATCTCCCCTCGATCCTACGACCTGTATGACAATGTTCAGACACAGTGTCCATTGCGGTCGCTCTGCGTAGACTGGTGGAGCTTCGACGTATTCTGGCAGTTCTGGAAGGTCGACAACCCTCGCGAGTACTGAGGCGATTTTAGAGTCAAGGTTAACGTCTATACGTCCATCATCTGCTGAAAGTTAGCCCTCTGGCGGCTGTCGATATCGCATGTGTCCACTCACTGGTAGCTTGAGCTGTATTGTCGACTATCGCTTGTTGCGTTTCATCTGCATCATATTCTGGGAGGGGTTCAGATTCTTCCCCTGGCGGCGATGGCTCTCGGACCACAGGGACTTGCGCTGGTGTCGAATTCTCTGCAGACATTATCGAATCAGATCTGTGACTCCCGTCTGTATACTTTTGCGACTGGGAAGCATTGCACAGGCCTGGAGAGGTGCTTGTATATACAAGTTCTTAGCTGGCAGCCTGCCAGCAGGAGCTGCTGAGAGCTGGTGTTATGTTTCATTCTCAGTGGCAGAAACTTCATCTGGTCGTATTCACATCACAGATACGCCGAGGGTTCGACGATCGCCCACCTTGCCGCGAAGCGCCTTGTGCTAGTACACGGTGAAGTATTTGTGGGTGGGTCCATCACGAGCAAGGCATCAGGAATTCTTGAGACCGGCTCAACTCTACACACAAGACTTACTTTTCCGGCCCATATCATTGACGGGCTGTGCTGCAGGCGATGCTGAATGATATTGACATAGTCAAGTTTGTCAGAGAAGAAATGATGTCGTGGCGTGCGACAGTGAGGTTGTTATTGGTAAGGACTTGCCGCGTCCCGGGGCTTTCTGATCGCCAAGGCGAAGAATTGTTCCGTTTCCTAAAATTAGCTTCGCGATACGCGTATTCAGCACTGGTCTTCAACGACTCGGCGTAGTTCCTATGCAGCCCGAGCCATCGGAATTGAGGTTACGAAGTTCCAAAACGCCACCAGATCTCCTGACAAAGGCAGTGAGTGATCCAGTCGATTGTGTTGCGGTGAGAAATCGAACTTCCGACACTACAGCTGATAAACGTCTATGCAAGGTACGGGATGTCGAGGGTCGGGTTTGTGCCCGACCGTGCTTGAAAGGAGAATCGCCAGAACGCGACTCAGATGGTAATTGCGACACATACAGGTCTGCTGCGTGACTGCCTCTCCCTGTTGCAACGATTTGGCTTGCATACCCAGGAAGCTGCTAACCACGACCGAATGATGCGATGCCACGGAGAACTTAGCCGCTTACCATCTGGCTTACTATTAAGTCCGACAGTTCTTAGCATCAGGATATACTTCTCCTCTAGAATCAAGTAGGTGTCTCTCTGGGCTCAGCTAATGATGTTCCGTTTGCGCACTGGATTATTCATGTTCGAGCGGATTCAGGGACTCTGCGCGTGAGATCCTCGGTCCCGAAATGTACTATCGGCTTCGTGCCAGCATCATGACCAGAAGTACAACAATGGCGAAGAGGTATAAGGTGGAAGATGCATGTCCGCACTCGTAGGTTGCAAAGACTTCATTGAGCCCATCCCTTCCACTGCCCCAGACTGTCCAGACTCCTCGCCCTGAACGATTACCATTAATTCGAAATGGCAACCGCTCCATTGATGCTCTACGGAGCTGCAGGATACTCACTCGGCCTCGCAGCCGAACGGTTGCAAGCGGCAGGGATCAGCTTCATCATCGGTGGTCGAACAGAATCGAAGGTGAAGGCGAAAGCCGCAGCTCTGGGAGTGTCTTATCGCATCTTCTCTGCCGACGATGAACCGGCAGCTATCGATGAAGCACTCTCAGGCCTGAAGCTCTTTGTCAACGGAGCCGGACCTTTTCACAACACCTGCGAGCAGTTCATGGACGCATGTATTCGGAAAGGTGTCCACTATACCGACATTTCGGCAGAGCTGAATAGTCTCAACACAGCTATCACTCGCGACGCTGCCGCCAAGGAAGCAGGCGTTATGCTGATCCCTTCTGCATGCTCCGGCATGGAAGTCATGCTTGACTGTATAGGAGGTCTCCTGTTACAAAAGGCCCAGAATCCAGTCAGGCTGGAGCATACTATGAACATCAACGGCCCGGTCTCTCGAGGCACTGTCGGGACCATACGTGGATTCAAGCCCGAGGCAGTCAAGCGCGTTGGCGGCGAGCTTGTCCCACATCCTGGCGAAGAGCCTCACGAGGTCGACTTCCGCGATGGTAGGGGCCCGTTGCCACGCTTTCCATCAAACGATCCTCAAATTATCGGCTTGTGGAGAGCCTTGGGCGTGCCGAACATCAGCACATACTGCGTCAAAACGGGCGGTGGGTTTCCAACAGAGGAGCTTGAGTCGGTTCCAGAAGGACCATCCGAGAACGAACGCAAGGCGACGCCGTATCATCTTGCATTCAAAATCACATCCTCCGATGGTTCCATCACCAATGCAGTCGCCCATACAGCGAATGGATACGATCTGACAGCCATGGGCACGGTGGAGGCGGCGAAGGCTATACTGGGTGACGCCGTCAAGCCAGGATTTCAGACGCCGTTCTCTGCATGGGGAGGCGACTATTACAAGGTCTTCTCGGGCACGACCATTGAAGAATACTGAGGCACGAGGATGAGGACCAAGGAGCAGTTCTTAGAGACCCGAGGTTGGACGCAGGGGCATTTTCAATCGCTGTTGTAGGTAGTGGCTACCGAGACCATGAGAGGCATTTTCGCTGCTTTTTCTGTCGCCCATCTTGCAGTCACCTTCAGCGTCCTCCTTGTAGATTTATGCTTGCTCGGCAAAGCGCCGTAAAGCTTCGCAAGCCTCTTTCCACTGAACATCGTTCTGTGTGTGATGGCCAGCGTTGAGCACCTCGACGAGTCTGACTCCGCCCTGCCGTGCCTCAGTAACGTACTTGTCAACCTTCTCAATGGCCAGATTTTCCTTCGCAACATCAATGTCAAGCTTCTTTTCGGACTGCAACGTCCGGACGCCTTCCTGAAACTCTTGTACCATTCTCCGCTCCGTGCCTCCCATCATGAGATCTTCTGTGCCAATCATGACAAGGACCTTATCTTCTGCCCCAGTCCACTTCACGATATTTCGCAGGATGGCGACTGGTGAGAGCCACTTTCGCGTCTTGATCGAAAACCCACTACCACCCATACTGTATGGCCACCACATGCATTCGTAGTTGGCCATCCATTTTCGAAACTCTGTTACCTCACTCAGAGGATACTCGTGGCCAAAGAACGCGTTATACACCAGTCGATCGGTATTCAGACCGCTGTTAGGATGACAGAAATGCGCAAAGTTACGCAGCATGAACCACCTATCTATCCTCGTGAACCAGTTGAAGTAGACGTGAACGTTGCCAAAATGCGGCACAGCGCCCACCAGGGCCAATGCTCTGGCTTTGACCGTGCCCTTGCTGAGGATGTATTGGCTGAGCCCGCCACCGGATGAGTGGGCGACGATGATTGGGGCCTGGCCTTCTCGGCTTGTCGCTTCGAGTACTGCATTTGATAGGTCCGAAGCCAGATCGTCCAAGCTTGTCAGCCATACCATGCGAAAGTATGATACCGAGAAGGACGCCCCATGGTTTCGTAGCGAGTATGCGTAGGTTCTCGCGCCATACGTCTCTGCTAAGTGTGTCATCCATTCCAACCAGACGGTTGCGTGGCCATTCCCACCGTGGACGAAGAATATTGGGGCAGCTTCTGGTGATCTTCGAGTCGGCTCAGCGACTAGGAGCTCGATGTCGCCTGCCGCAGTCTTGACAAAGTGGCGGGTGATGTTGGAAGGAATAGGGTGGAACTGACGTTGTTGTGTCCAACGAAGTGTCCAGTAGCTTTTGAGATAGTCGAGCATCGTGCATACGATGGATGTATGTACTTATGTGTCTTCTTTGGTGGTGTCCGACTCTATTTGTGTTGTCGGTCTATCTGTTGCCAGATTGGATGATGCAGCCTATATAGTTCTCTATGCTACAGAAGGCCAACTACCGTCAGAGTCATTTTCTGCTTCCTTGCTGTTTTCGCTGATTCCTAAAATAGCACCTTGTACGTGCAAGGCGGGCTTCACACTTCCCGCTGCATGACACGGGACATCAAAACTGTCAAGTATTCCTCACCATACAGATCGAACGGTGGCTTACTTGGCAGTCGGAGGAAATCGTGTGGCGTCTAGGGTGACAATGCCGCAGCCTTACCATTCCAGAATCGTTCAACTGGTTACATGATTGCGCTTGCGACGGATCTGCTGTGACTCTTTCGCAACGACAAAATCTGACATGCTGTACCTACCGGTATAACAGAAGACATGGCGAGGTCTTGAATGGGTTACACATTCGGGCAAAGGAGACGATGCCCGCTTATATCGTGGCAGCGAGCGCAACGCGTATGATGACACAGGACTCGAGAATGTCGACAACTCGGCCTCGCGTTGCTGTGCGTGAAGGTGCCTGATGGAAAGAATTAGGTAGCAAGAAGGAAATGACTCGAGTAAGCCATCTGTGCTGCATTGGCAACTTTGATGACAACGAGAGAACTCAGAGCACGTGACTGTCGGCTAGCCTTCTGCCTTTGACCGAACCTCACGCGATGATCTGGCGGCGCGTTTGGTGGAACATGAGCGGTTCCTTGCGCTGACCTGATCGGTACATGATCACGTCCTATACCATATATTGAGAGCCGCCGCTAACCTTGAGATGATGGCCTTCGAGTGACTTGAGCCGCAGCCCATTCACTTCTCACCCCAGATGGACACCTTCACTACGTTACCAAGGTTGCCTAGCAAATCGTCCTGAATCGCGTATAACGATCCCGCTATGCCCAACTTTCTCGACGATTTGCTCAATCCTGCCCCGGCTTCGGGCGCAGTGACGCCTCATCTTGAAGACGGCGCGACCGACGACATGGCAGAGGCCATATTTGCGCCGGAGTTGTTCCAATCCGATCCAAAGGAACTCGCAGCATTGGCTGCCAATGCGGCATCGACTCTGGACGATGAAATTCTAGCGAAGGCAGCGAACAACTTCCCGCGCCCGATGAGGTGACAAATGGAACTGCCAATGGCACTGTTGACGATGAATCGCAGTATCCTGTCGAAGGTCTCGAAGCGCAGCCCATTGATGGCCACGACGCAATGGACATTGACAGCCAGCAACAAGGCCAAACACCTGCCAAATCGACGTCTCCGCAGGCAGAGAAGAAACCGAAATCTCGAAAGAGGTATGATCCGGACAACGATCCAAGATCAACCGTGCATTCGTCCAAAAATGAGGGACAGCATACCGATAAGCGGTATCTATGCTACGTCTGCCACAAGTTATTTACAAGACGTCGATCCGTCAGAGATCACATGTCCAAGATTCACGGGTCGAAAGCCTTCGAACCCACGAAGAGTCTGGAAATCACAGTTGATCCTGTCACTGGTGAGCCTATGGAGCCACTGGAGGATCTCATTGCCAGAGGATCGTCGCAGCTCCCGAAAAACCAGCGAAACCTGCCAAACCTACTAAGAAAGCCACTGAGGATGACGGAGACACCAGGCCCGTAGACGATGGCGCCGAACCAGAAGAGAGTGCTGCACCAGACACGGAGATGGACCTAGGCGACTTTCCGCAGGCACAAAGGAACACGTCCTGCGAGCCTGCCAAGAAGGAGACAAAGGGAGGTAAGACAGCGACTGCGGCTATTAAAGCAGAAACTATGCAGTCACCTCAACCTGTTGCAAGCATTCCTCCGGCGACAACGGGGAAGAAGCGTCCAGCTCCAGAACCTACAAAGCCCCTGCCTGCAGCAATGACGAAGAAGGGAACAGCGAAACCTAAGACAGGCGGTCATGTTGCGAAGAAGCCTCGGCTGGCGGAAGTTGATTCGACATCTGACAGAAGCACGCCTTTACGATCTCCAAGCGCTACGCCTATGGCTGGAAGCCGACTGACTTCTTCGAAGCTCAAGAAGCAGCTCACTTCTTCTTCATCTCCCGCATCCTCACGAGTGGCTTCTGTCGAGCCCGAATCACCTGCACCATCTGCTGCAGAGACGCCTGGCAGCTCCAATGACGATGGAGAAGTATTTTGTATATGTCGAAAGGGGGACAATCACACCTGGATGATTGCATGCGACGGTGTATGCAATGAATGGTACCATGGAAAATGCGTCAACATCAGAGAACGCGATGGCGACCTAATCGACAAGTACATTTGTCCGGCATGCACAAGGCCCGACTTTCTGACTACGTGGAAACGAATGTGCCGGAGACAAGATTGCCGTAAGCCTGCGAAAGTCTTCCAGGACCCGCCGAGCAAGTATTGCAGCAAGGAGTGTGGGAGGATGTTCTTCGTTGAGCTCCTTCGACGAGGTGATCCATACATTGAGACCATTAAGCATGATCAATATGTTGTTGATTCTGCTAAGCCGAAGAAGCTGCGGAAAAGAAGAAAGCCCGAGAAAGCCGACAAACGACCATTGCGAGCCACTGATGCAATGGAAGAATCTGACAGCCGCCTAGCCACACCGGCCTACAGCGAAGATGAGAAGAGCGAATATGAGACTGATTCCAGTGCTGATGAGGACGATCTTGTCAACCGCGGTTTCAGCCTACGAGCCGCTGAGGTGCGAGCAGTGGCTGGTACGTGCAAGTCAGTGGAGGAATGGCACAATCTGGGCCGAAAGCCGGCGACGCCACCACCCGACGAAGCAACGGAGAAGGTCAACATGTTGTTTGATGATTTCGAGCGACACAAACTTGGTGAGATCGAGTTACAAAAGGCGGAAAATGCTCGTCGGCTTGGCATACTTGAAGCTCGAGAGAAGCTGCTGGAGGCTATAAAGGTGCGTAGCACGGGCATCACGGACGAGGTCAAGAAGACAAATCCCAAGTGGAAAGAGATTTGCGGGTTCGATCCGCGGCTGGCGTGGAGTGAAGATATGTTTGTTGAGTGGTACGAGAAGAAAGGAGGCAAGGAGATTCTCAGCGCAGAAAACCCACGAATTGGACTGCCCGAGGTTACGCGGAAGCCAGCCAACGGTAATGTTCAAGTCAACGGCGCCCAGGATGATAGCGACGCGGAATCAGATGATGGCAAAGCTACTAAGAAAGGCGGAGTGTGCATTCGGAATCGCTGTACACGACATCGCACCTGGGCGAAGTCTGCGCTGGCAGAGATCAGGTTCGAGCAGGATTTTGTTAAGCGCAGTGTCAGACAGACCGAAGAGCTGCAGAAGGGGCTTCACGAACGCGGTGTGCTTCGAGCGCTCGAGATGCAGTGAGAAGGATGTGGTTCTGCTCGTACATTCGTCTGGATACTGCTCACCGAGCTTGGGGCGAAAGATCTGAAACAAATTGTTATAGCTCGTGGCTCAAATATCGTTCTACACCTCATTTGTCTTCATCTGCCTCCAGCGTTCGTCGCTAGTAGCCGTGTTAAAGCCCCCTGAAGGATACCTTTTAATTCAGTCTGGCACGGCTTCAAGTTTTCTGGGGCGCCGTTCAAGCCCTGTTGTCAGGTACGCCTGCATGACGTCAGCCATAACCTTGGAACTTTTCCACATGGATGGGACTTTCTACAACTTCTCAATAAGTGATGCCTGCCAGAAGGCGAACCGCGTGGGAAAGAAATAGGGAACCTGCCACTGGCGGCAACTGCTCATTGCTCAATCCGTCGAGCATCCAAAGTTGATCATTCCAACGCAATCATGGCTACAGCACAACGGAGGCTCCCGCAGACCCGTCCGTCAACATACCTTCTTCTGGTGTATCCCATCATTCTCGCCCTCGGTTCAACCTGGTCTGTGATATCACCCTCGTTCGACCCTCAGGCGCTGGGTTTGGATCAGAATGTCAAACCAAACTACTTCGCTGGCAAAGGAAACCTTGTGAACCAGTACTTCGTGAAGCTCGGCTGGCTCTGGACGACACTCGCCTTCACGTTACTACAACTCACTACGCGACCTCCAGCATCTTCCAAGCAGAAGCACTACGTACAAGCAGCTATCCGATACGCCATCGTCACAACTTCCTGGTACCTGGTCACGCAGTGGTTCTTTGGCCCCGCTTGATCGATCGCTCCTTCACCATCACAGGCGGCCACTGCGAAGCGCCGGCGCCGAACGAACCTGGCTTCGACATCAAGTCAAGCATCACGTACCCGACCATATCGTCCGCCTACACATGCAAATCGACAGGCGGACGCTGGCGCGGCGGACACGACATATCTGGTCATGTCTTCATCTTGGTCCTGTCGTCCGCGTTCTTGCTCTACGAGTCGTTCCTGGCTGATGCGCATTCTCAGCATCCGACTGTGTCACCATCGGTTGCTGCTAAATTAGCGCATGAGTTGACGGAAGAGGAACGGAAGGCAGTTGGAGGATGGGAAAGCGAAGCAGCTGCGAAGATTACGGTCTATGCTCGGTGGTTCCTGTACGGAGTGGTCGTCTTGGACTTGTGGATGATCATGATGACCGCGATTTGGTTTCATACGTGGCTTGAGAAGCTGAGTGGGCTGCTCATTGCTGGTGCTACGCTTTGGGGTGTGTACTTCTTGTGACATGGCGCTGAGACGCACGTAGCAGGTGTTGGCATTAGTTGGGCGTTAGCCGACTTGCGGGATGGTCGAAGGAAGATTGAGACATCGTGCGCGATCCAAGCACAAATATTCTACGCCACTGAAGTTCAATGGCTGACTCAGAATTGCATCAACTTCATCGATGACAGCTCGGTGCAAACGTATGCTACAATCACAAAATTCTCCAGGTAGCCATGATGCAAGTGCTAGATCCGATACAGTATCTACCTAAGGACTCACGTCAATCAGCGTCACACATGCCATGAAGGCAAGTGGCAGGCAGCGCCGTAAAGCGACGCAACGTTGGGTTGAGTGGTCAACCTGTTTTGAACCAGTCATCCGGCCTTAGCTGATGCTTGGCTTGTCATCCGGTCTGGGTCGTCTTAAAACATAGGCAAGTTCGACGGAAAATATAACTGGTCGTACCTACCCACCTAGGCTGACATTACATCCAGACGTTAGAGAAGGAACGGGTTTGTCTTCGACCATCAATTCATCTGGTCTGCGTTGCCCACAGGTTTGCGACTGGAAATCATTGCAGAACATATATATTCCACTCACACATCCATGATGTCAGCAGTTGTTGGCACACGTTGATGCCTCGACACTTTCTAGGTCCAGCTTGTGCGACCAACGGCACTCACGACAGGCAAATTGATCGACCTCCGCAGTGTGCTCAGTGTTGCAGCAGACTGCATGCTCGTTATTAAGAAAGCCTGCTGACTTTCGCAGAGGATAAAATATCCGCAGTCCCTGGTAAATCCCAGAGCCGGTTGCTGTGGCATCCCCCACGTCATCCAGGGCTGCTGTCCTATTCGCCGGCTGTCCTGTCGGGTAAGCAAGCCCAAAGCTGACTCGTTCGCTACATCCAGGCCTCCGGAAATGCCGCTGCACATGCATCATATGTATGGGGGCGGGCTGGCCCTCCTTCTTGAGACAGCCCCCCTTCGACGAGCTGAAAAGCGTACGCGGCACACTCTGTCTCACTGTAAACAGCGTCGCAGTTTTGGCAGAGCATGTCGTGCGATTCAGGCCGTCAACCCACCATATCTTTCGTTTGTCTGACTTTCTGAACACCCCGTTCTTTGGATACACGCCGCATTTGGACTGGAAGTACACAATCGCTGCCTGACGCCCGGCGTTGATCATCCACAAGCGAGAAAGCACACCAAGCGCCTTTTTGCGCAAGAAAACGTCCAGCGCGTCTACGCAGGCCGAGCAAGGCATTGCCAGAAGCATTTGCATTTGCGACAGTCAGAACAACTTACAATTCCTCGCGCGCATCGCTCCGGCGCAACATAATATCGGAAATACATCCGGCGGCCTATGCGCCAGCCTCGCCAGCACATCAACGACATTGCAGATAGCAGGTATACACATTGAAAATGGTATGCGCGCATGTCTGTAGTTCCATGATCTGAGATTGACTGACCGTCTGCATAGCCCGCACTCCTTCCACCAACATCGCCCTCCCTCTCCGATCTGCCACGCCGCGCCCTACACCTCGTTCCCAGACAAGCCACGCAGACCATCTCGGCGGGAGGCACCGTTGCGCAGGGCTGCCCTGGCCAGTACTCGGGCGGCGTGCTAGCCGGGTCCATCGTCGGATCCATTTTCGGCACACTCTTGCTGATATTTCTTTGGCAAGCCTTGACAGACCCAAGATGGAGGGGCAGCAGGGAAGTCGTCGTGGAGAAAAGAGTACGGGGCAGCAGCGGTAGCCACAGACGGAGGAGGAGTCGGAGCCGCAGCGGAACAAGTCTGAGCGGGAGCAGCGTCCGGCGACCCTCAAGAGTGTACTCCGGCAGATGATAGTGATTGAGGCAGTGGAATGCGGAGGGCTGGATTCTTTTGTACTTGCAGGACTTTGTGCTAGCATCGGGGACCGTGTCGCGAGGTGCAATGTGGGTCAGTGTTGACAATGATGATGGTTAACGAGACGACGATGATGCGAAGCGATGAGCACAAACGGTGGATATTGGCAGGCCGCAGGGTCATGATCACAGGCACGAATGACATGGGGCGAGATGCGTTTGAAGGTAGGGTTGAGAGTGCGATGGGTGACCACGGGTGTGTGTGTTCGTCATGGCGAATTGGATCTTTGTACTAATGACCAAATCTGGACTGTACGACAAGATCGGGATCCGCTGGTCGAAGCTGGATTTTGTTGTGATGCAGGAGACGATGACATTGTTACACGTCACTTTTCGCGGCGAGCAATCTGTCATCCATGTGGGACGTGGGGCAAAAGATATTGTCACATATGCCATATGTACAATCCGGGCGCTGGATGAGGGTCACATTGGGCCTTTCTATTGTATAGCCTCATAGGCAGACAATTCTACTACTGCATCGCAAAGTTGTGCGGTTTGCGGGCTGCCTCATCCGTGACCGCTGCTTCGGTACTATGCGAGGCTGCGAAAGCGAAAGTCGCGTGGAATAAGCTCTCATCAAGAATGCCCTGCCTTGTAATGGCTGGCCCGCGATTTGGTGCAGCCCCCTGAGAAGAAGGCGTCCACCGCGCGTCACCCAGTCAGGCATAGCTCCAGTCTATTTCAGTGAGGGATGAACTCCTTCTGAGGGCTGATAGACGTTTTGCCATCCGACTGTCCATCCTTCATTCATTTCATATCCCTCTTCAACGACCGTAATTATACCCTCGCCCTCCAGCAAAGAGACGAGGGCACTTTCCGCCAGGCTCTTGTCGCGCATTCGACTTTTGCATTTCAGCCGGATGCTCGGCTTGGCTGCCTCGGGCCCCTTTCAGCTGTAAATTATTAATTTCTTCCACGCATCCCTCACAACCACGATTCAAGATGCATATTCCAATTAGCTGGGCATCACAATGCCTCTTGTTGTCGACGACTGTCTTCGCTGGACTCACTTCGGCCTATCGCCCAGTACAATTCGTCAAGCACACGGGCGAGGTAGGTCTTTGGTCATGCTCGCTACTAAACATTTGCTTACCTCACCCAGGCCGGCAGAGCAGATCAGGCGTTCTCACTGACACAACATTACAATGAGTCCACCTCAGAAAATGATCTCTGGGTACGAATGGAGGCTTTCCGATACAAGGGTAACGCGAGAGGATGGGCTTCGCTTGGTCTAGGTCCCTGGATGCAAGGCTCACTAATGTTCATCCTATATGGCGACCCAAGTTCGCCTGACTCGAGCTTGACGACCTCAGTCCGTGCTGCTCGAGGACATTATCCACCAACTGCTCTTTCTGCGATGGACTCGGCTCCGCCATTCGTGCCAGATGTCGAGATCATGAAATCTGTGTTTGAGGAGTACAACGGCGGCTTTGACCACTCGGACATGGGCAAGCCGTCCCACGTCGCCATATCGGAATTCGTTGTGCGAGGCTACGACAAGTGGCATGGTGTCAACATCACTGCGGACTCGCCATCTCAGCCCTTCATCTGGAGCAGCAACTTCAAGCAGGATTTTCAAGGTGACTTCAGCGAAACCCGAGCCATCGACATGCATATGTTTGGCCTGGGCTTCGGCTTCTTATTCGTCGATCTGAAGAATGCGTTCGTGCCCAGTCCTTTCTTCGGCGAGATTCGCGATACCGAAGGCCACTACGGGATCAATGAGATCGACAATCCTGATCCGCCAACGGATGAGGAACTCGCTAGCGGAGAGGCATACATCTCGCTTCTTGGTGGCGGTGCGGCCAACATTCCAGGCACCCCAGCAGCCGACTCTTCCGCAGCGACTGGGACCCTTGAATCTGAAGGCAAGGACCATCCAGCCTCTACCTCAGAAGACGACCACAACCACGATGAAGGTGCACCAGTCTACGCTTCTCAGCCATTCAACGTTCGCAACTTCCTGTGGCATATCCACGGAGTATTGATGATTGTCGCGTTCCTGTTCCTTTTCCCGCTGGGCACCTACTTCATCCGATCAGGCCGGACAACGTCCTTCAACTATCACTGGACACTTCAAGCATTGGGCTTTGCTTCTGTCGCCATCTCTGCTATCATCGGATACATCAACAGCCACAGTATCAGCATCACGCATCAATTCGTGGGCATTGCTATCGTCGCCGCATTGGGGATTCAGGTTGTCCTAGGCTGGCGACACCACGTCTTCTTCGTCAAGACCGAGATGCGCCGCAAGAATTGGCTCAGTCCGGCACACATGTGGCTTGGGCGCATCGTGTTCCCTATTGGCTTCGTGAACATCTTCACCGGCATGCAACTGCGCGGTTACGGTTGGTTCACTATCTTCCTGGTTCTCGTCGTCATGGTGGTTGAGGTCGTGATCCTGGTGTGGTTTATCCGAGGAGCGAACATCAGGAACGCGAGATTGGATGTACGGGGCGGAAAGGCAGTGGGAGGAGATCCGGCGTTGGCGGCTGCGGAAGAGGAGTATTTCCAGTTGGCAGGCGATGACGATGACTTCAGTGACAGCGATGGAGAGGCGGAGGGTGCGGCAAACAAGGACAAAGATGATGCGAGGAGGGAGCAGAATAAGAGGTTGGCGGCATTGGACAAGGTCTAGGGTCCGATTCGAGGGATGCATGAATGGCGCGTCAGTCTCTACACAGCATGCAACCGTCTATGCCAAGCTGAGCAGCCGTGTGTCTGTGCATGCCGGGCTGAGCGCGGTGTCCAGTAAGAGATTCTTCATGTAATGATTCACTTATATTTTTCTCCAGCACGAGGCCTCTTGCCGGAACGAGGCCTCCACCGTACGAGGTTGCTGCATGCGCTTCCCTGGGCGCCCCAAAGGACCATGCAAGTCGCGAGCTCATCATGGTAAGCTTCGGTTCGTGGACTCGCAACAATGCAAAATCCAACCGAGCGTCGCAACGACATCTGGAAGTCGCATTGCTTGGTCTGTGAGATGTGCTGACACCATGCGGCCCCTCGGACAATCGCTCTGAAGGTGTCGACAAACCTCTTCATATTGCCCGAGCCCAACGACGAAGCCACCGTTCAGATCATCTTCTCTCTCAAGACCTAGAACCTCTCGATAGCCATCTCCTCGAGTCACACTCGGGTGTTCTTTCCCCTTCGCAGCTCCCAACAAACCGCCTTCTCCGGGCCATCATGGCCACGAAACCTAAGGCTCAGCCCCCTCCTCAGACCCTGGACCCATATTCCATCCAACGAGGCACCTACGCCCGCTACTGGCCAACAACGTTCTTCTTCCTCCTCGGTCGCGCCATCCCCGGGCCTCTTTCCTGGTTCAGCATCTCCCTCCACCCACTGCGCTACCTCTTCCCTAACCTCCCCACTCCGCCTCCGGGAAATCCCCCCATGCACCTCCTTAGCAACCAATATCCACGCATCCCCTTCCTCTTCGCGGCCATGCCCGCCATCTTAGCGATCAAATACACCCTCTGGATCCTCCTCCTCGTGCGCGAGCCCCTCACACCCCAATTCGCGCTCTTCGGCGTCCTCGCCAACCTCCTTTACGAAGGCATCGTCAGCACCCTGGTCTTCACCACCACCGCGTTGAACCCATTCTGGTCGGAGCGGGTTTTCTACGCGAGTTTCGCGGTGTATGTGTGCAGTGTTTGGATTGAATTGTTAGCCGAACTACAGCGATGGCAGTTCAAGCGCGATCCGAGGAATGGAGGGAAACTATGTACGCAGGACTTTTGGGGCGTAACGCGACATATCAACTGAACCGCGAATGTGATTACGGTGAGTCTCGACTTTCTGTGGTGTGTTGGTGGGGATCGTGTTGCTGACGTTGTGCGAAGGAACGTCGTACGGGATGGCTGCTGGTGGGCCGATCTATGCTTGTTTGACGGGAGGGATGTACTTGGCCAACTTCATCACGAACGCTATGCCTGGGCTTGAGAAGTATTGTAGGGAGAAGTACGGGACTGAATGGGTGCGGTATGAAAGGGAGACGCCGTATCAGCTTATCCCATTTGTTTACTAGCACTGTTGAGTAGACTCGAAAGACAGGAGGAAAGATCATTACTGTATGGGGTATATACTTGTGACCGTCACCATGAACTCCCATCCCGTTTTCCATCCAAGACCCGAAAGTGTCGGACATCAAGTCCCTATTCCCAAGCCTCTACCTCTTTCCCATGCCCTGCCTGCATCCCCTTTACCATCGTCAGACTGAGTGGCAACAGCAGGCCCCGGCCCAGCCACACCACTCGAGTAACCTCTTCTGAAGTCGCCTGCACTACAACCAGACTCTTCAGTAGTAGGAGCACTCCAGCCAAAGCTCCCCTCTACAACACCGACCATGACACGCAGACACATCCACACATCCTCATCCCACTCTCCCCTCAGAGCGACCACAAGCTTCTGCGTGAGGACGTTAGCCGCAGGCCGTACCATGCGCAGTTTCTTGGTAAGATCGGCTTCCTGCTTGCGCAAGCTCGCCTCTTGAGCTCGCAGGAACTGCGCGTCCTGGAAAGGACCGTGTTGAGTCGTCGAATGTGAGATGCCAAGCAGAGAGCGTGCTTTCGTGGGAATCCGCTTAAGTGGCGAATTCAGATGCAAGGCGCGTGACCAGGCCAGGTCGGAAGCCGATGTCGAAGAGAAGGCATTGAAGTGCAGGGTGCGTGGTGTAGGAAGGGCAGGGAGGACGGTATTCGGCGACGCTGATGAGCCTGTATGTGGGCTTGATTCATGTAGCTGAGGTGACATGTCTGCGTCGTCGAGAGTATGGTAAGGCTCTCGACCACCATCGTTCCAGAAGCCCTCGCCGAGCCTACTTCTCAGCACATCCTCAGCACTGAGCTGCTCGTCCCTGACTTCCTTAGGTGCAGCGTCAATGTTCTTCTCGAACCACAAGTCAATGATGAGCCATGCAGCCAGAGCAGACAACAGCACTGGCCTGCCGCGAGGGAAGATCTTTCCGAGAGCCTCTGTATATGTCTGGTCAAGGATGTGTGGGTTGCGGAGCGGTGACAATATAGCACTGTCAAGGCGCAAGATGTTGTTAGGGAAAGCGTTGATTGCCGCGGTGATTGAGGCTAACGTGTGGCGGACTTGGCTGAGGCGTGTGCTGAGGCCAGTAAGATATCGGTGTGTTGGCGTCCCGGAGGCAGAAGGTGGAACAGCCCCGGAGCAACACGCTTCCTGCTGCGCAAGAGGCGGCGAGTCGAAGTTCGGCGAGGGATGTGATATGGCTGGCGAACGATTGTGGTGTCGAAGTCTTCGCAGCACATTCCTGGGTGGTACAGGCCATGCTGATGTCGAAATTGTTGCAGTGGAGGAGTTGAATACAGACTCTGTCCGCTGCGACTGAGGAGACATGCCAAACGGGTCAGAGAGTGCAGCCAGCTTTTCTTGTGTACTGCTGAAGACAGTGCTGGATGAACGATCGGAGTCAGGAGTGCCCGAACTTGCTCGGGGCATCAGCGGCGCTGGAACCAGGCTGCTTGTTGAAAACCTGTGCTTGTTATCGTTGGGTACGGAGATGTGTAGTCGTGGCCGCGCCGGAGTTACACTGGCTGGGGTCTCTTGATCGATATGGGTGAATGGGGTGTCCCATGGACTGAATGCAGATACCTCCTTGACCTGAGTCGGTGTTTGTGGTCTCTCTACCATGGACTTGCCATGAGAAGTGGAGATAGTCGAGATGGAAGTTGGTCGAGAGATCTCCACGAGCTTCGGCTTGCCAGGACCAGCAATGCGAACAACGGTCTAGGCATGTTAGCTGAAGAGCCCATTTGACAGCGAGAGACTTACCACATCCCCATCTTTGCTCTTCTCCGTTGGTGCTTGCTGTACTACCTGGAAGCAGCGAGCCTTGAATTTTTTCTCGCGTTGCGTCACCGAGGTTTCATTTGCAAGCCAGCCCGACTCGTCTGACTGCAAGGTACTGATGCGGTAGATCTGTTCCTCCGGCGTCACCGGGGTATCGATTGTAGACACACTTCTACTGTCGGTGCCATCATCACTGGGTGTGCGCGGTCTTACGTCGTGGTCTTGAGGCTGCCGTGTGACGCTGTCTGAGGTCTCATCAGGCTTGTCCTTATCGTAGTAGCAAGACAGGATGTGAAGATCCTGATAAGAGTGATATTCCTTTGGTCTGTTGGTCGCCCTAGGATTTTGAAAGGTAAAGTAAGAGTCGCTTGCGATCATGTCGTCCTTGTGAATGGGGCTTGGCAGTAGAGGCGTCTCAACTCTCCGAGAGAGTTGCTCTTTCTGCCTCGCTGCCAAGGAGCGCAGATCATGATAGGTAGGTGACCTTCGACGAAGTTCCTGGGCAAAGACTGGGGATGCGCTGGAAGAGGAGCTGCAATCACTGTCGACAGGAGAATCAGGAAGGCGAAGTGGGAAAGGCGCTTTCATTCCGTCGACATATGGCCGCACGGGACTCGACCGTCGTACTGACATGCTCGGCTGTTCGTGGTCTGTCTTTGTTCTGCGAAGAAGTCTGGGCAATTGAAGTCGTGGACCATTGCGAAATGCTACTTTGCTATTTGGTGGTGCGTCCGGCGAATCTGGAGGCGTCAGCTGACCATCCGCTAAGCAGTGTGCCATTCTAAATGTTGGCATTGCGGCAGAGTCAGCTGTGGTAGTAGCTTCAAGCAATGACGAGAAAGAACTGGCAGCCATTGTTGCTGAGAACACTCGGACGGAGTACTTGTTAGTGAAGTAGAATTCTGGGTAAGACATTTGGCAAGGAGGTGGACGAAACCTCGAAATTGTACTCCTGGCGCGAATTGCAAATCCAGCTGATCGTGTAGACGGCCATACCGTTCCCGTGGCGCGGCCAGCCGTAAGGGATCTCTGACGGGCAAGAGGGTAGATTGAAACCCTTGCATTGTGTTCGAGCTCGGGTTTGACATCTTCGACGTTGTGTTACCAGCCCCGAACAAAGATGCATGAAGCGGAAAGGGCTTGATCCCAGCCTTCTCGAGGTTTGGTGGAGGGTCTGGATGAGGGCCACCCCCTTGCTTCCTAGCCAAGACCCATGCCACTGGATGCGACAGCCGCGTTAATGAAAACCTACATGATGAACAGCGCAAGGGCGACACATCGTACACAAGACGAAGCGACGAAAGCGGAAGTCATGGGAAGGTGCATTTTGAATTGTCAGGAGGGGAAGGTCGAGGTAGCTTGGAAGGAGGGACAATCTTTTCTGTATCACCGTGGCGTGCCAAGCGCTCCCCTATTCCAACCCGACATCGAGGTAAACAATATCATCATTGAAGATCCGACTACGTCTACCCACGAAACATGTCTTGAACAGCACATGAAACATCGCCTGGTAGTCAGTTGAGAGCTCGATACGTGTGGCACCGGCGGGCCGAGACCGTTCGACCAGTTGCGCCGACAACTGTTCAAGCCCGAGGGCAGCATCGTCTGCTCTACTACACTGAGGTAGAAGTGAGCCTCGACTTAGACACATTATTTGTGCTGGCGATGTTCATGGGGCAACGGAACTTGCCATGTCAGTCCTCCCAAACTTTATATTCTCAGGATCGAGGTTGTTCCGCTGAGGTTATGAGTATATTGTATATTTCGTTGTGTAAGATATGCACCAACTCAGCATCCACCAGTGCGCCTAAGTATCCAGTACAATTCATGAACATCTCATATATGCTCAATTGGCTCTTCCTGCAACAGGCTCTGGCTCTCGCGTTCCTCCCAGATGGCCCGCTGGCCTTCCCGCTGCTCTCTCGGCAGCAGAGCCTTAAGAGGCGGCCGGACCAGCTCGTTGAATAGGAACGTTCCGTACACAAGCAAGGCGAAACCCACGACTTGCAACCACTTGAACGTTTCCCATCCTAGCCCCAAAGACACCAGCCAGATGAATAATGTCCGGCATGTGTCGATGATAGACCTTGAAGTAGCTGAGATCGACCTTGTAACAGACAAGCCAAAGAAGTTGAACCCTCCAATCGACACCATGATGAACAGACTCGTGATACCAATCGCCCGATTGTTGAAAACCTCCCTGTAGCCCTCGTCCGCATCAAAGTAGCCATACTTGCCCTTCTTCGAGACACCCACCGTGAAATGCAAAATCACCTGGCCAATGACCGTGACCACGAACCCAAACAAGCCCTCCCAAGCCACCATCTTGAGTGGCTGAATCGCATGATGTTCTAGAATCCATTCCTCGAGACAGAATTGACTTGCCGTGAAGATCTGGGCTCCTGCGATCAGGAAGATGCCGACGATGGTTTGAACGACCACTGGATCTGCAGCTTTTGCAGCCACTTCTCGGGCCAGAAGCGCCACAACGGGCTTGAGCTCTGGACTATGTTGTGGCGCGGTATCTGCACTTTTGCCGCTCCAGATGGCGCCGGCTAGACCAACGATTGCAACGCCCGTTACAACGATCACCAGGGCGAACCAATGATAGCGGAAGAGCTTGCGCTTGAGGAAGATGACGCTGAACAGTCCAACGAAGAGCACCAAGGCGCCTCTCGTCATCTGGTAGATCGAAGCCGCGACGAATAGTAGGCCAACGTTCATCAGCGTCGTGCCCGTGATATCGCAGCAGGCTGGAATAGCCAACAAGCCAATCTTCAGTCCTTGCAACGGTGTCCTATCGTCCGCATTCGGCACCAGTGGTTTCAACGCGGGAGACGCGGCATCCTGCGACGTCCTCGGTCGCAGAGTATCATCATCGTCCTCTTCAGTATTCACCGGTTGGTACAGCAGCGGAGCATCCTGCTTGCTGAACCTGGTCTGGAGCTTCTTGATGAGCCAGAAGGCAAACACCACAAGCCAGCATCCAGACTCGCCGATGAACATCTGGACGGTCTGAATGACGGGCTGTTCAAACAAATGTGGCTTGCCCTTCCCGTCGCAGTTCCGTACGCATTGCTGATCTTGGTATTTGGTAAGGATCGTGTTGGCGCAGCCTGTGAGGAGCATCATTCCCACGAGGAACGGGATGACTGCCTTGACAGCCATGACGGCGGCACGTGGTTGAAGGGGATGTGGCTCGACTGAAGGCGTGGTCTAGAGGTATTCGAATGGTGGATTTGTCAAGGAACGTGGTGGCTGATAACGGATCTGACTTGAGCGGCCTGCCGCCGACCCGAGGTACTTCTGGAACGAAGGGCTGAGGACTAGGAGGTTGCCGCGTGGCCGTAGATGTGACGGCTGTCGATGCGTGTGTTATGTAGAATGCGGAGTGAGAGGTCGCAACACGAGAGTGAGAGCTGAAGACCAGGTTGGTGAGCACGCGGGACGACTCAGATAGCCGCCTTGGAGAATTGGAGGCGGAGCCCAGGCCCCGGACAGCTGACCCCGATCATACGGTAAATTCCGCTCTCCTTTACAATCATGTGGAACGGCACATGCCTAGTAGCACTGATCAAACCTCTCATGTAAATATCGCTCTACTACTGACATCGAAAAGGGCCAGGTGCGACAGAGGGACAGAAGTGCTACGTTTTAGTCCCAATCCGTCACAGCTCACAGAAAGGCAGCAGCAGCCAACAGCCCAACACCAGCAACCATCGCTCCCCTTCCACCATCAACGCTAACACCACCAGCAGTATTCCCAGTAGCAGTCGCCGTCGCCGCAGCACTCGTCAAGCTGCCAATCGCGCTACTAGCTTCACTAGCGGCAGAGCCAGTTGCCGATGTCGCAGCAGTGGCAGCACTGCCCACCGCAGAGCTGGCGTTGGCGCCGCGAGAGGATGAGGTAAGGCTCGTTGCCGCCGTCATCGCGGCTTGCGAGAACGTGACGTTGGGATCGTAGGTTGTTGATGCGAAGTTGCAGTCCCGACGGAGGTCACCTGCATCTGTCCATGGTCCAGTATTAGCGAGGCACTCATACAATGCGACCAAGGTCGATGGTGAAGTACTTACCATTATCCTGCTCTCGTCGATCGTCTTCATCGTCGTCGTAGAAAGCAATGCACGCCGCACAGATTGGTATGACCTGCTGAGCGCCCTCAGCCTGGCACATGCATGCTAGCTCGTCGGAGTCACGGTCGAATGCTCGATCGCAGTCGTCGGAGACAGCAACGATGTTGGAGCAGACGGTGGCGCATTGGGTTGGGATATCATTGTTGTCGATGTCTTGGGCTAGGATTGGGGCGGCTACCCAGATTGCGAGGACGATGGCGGTGGCTGCTGTTTTCATGTTGGTAGAATCGATGAAGGGGCTTGACGTCCAGATATTGTCTGCTGGGATGACGAGTGGGTGCGGGACTGCTGGTGGTAGTGAAGGGGGTGTTAGGCGTGCTAGACTCTTTTATATTCATGAACGGGAAGCACGTGGTGTATATATGGCAAGCAGCTCCGTTGCGAGGCATGGCCGAATAACGGGCTGGTCGATCACTGCAATCAAGGCTACAGGTGGGACTTCCCCAGAGTCAGAGCAACAGATGCCGCGCACGTCGTGGCAGTGACTACGCTTCCTTTTGTGTAGCTTTACTTGGTGCTGCCCTCGTCAAGCATCTCCCAAGCCCAATTTGTGCCCGCAAACAGAACCTCTTGCCTGTTAGTGAACGTCTTGTTTGGGGGGCCGACGCATAAAACAAGAAGATTCGAAACAGAATGACGAAGGATTCCACCATGCCAAGAGGTGACCTTTCTGGGCACAGCTGCTCCGCCTCGTTCCGCCGTGTGACCGCTTGAGTACTGGCCAGTGATGAATGACACTCTCAACAGCACTGCCGCGGAGTGAGACGCCGATTCTCAGGGCATTCGAATTGATACAATCATAGATGTAATTCCATACAAAGAATGATCCGGGCCTCTTGGCCCGTGACGCTTGCCCGCCACCATTTAAATTCGTCGACTGACATATTCCGTTTGGAGCTGACACTCTTTTCGTGCAAATGTGCATCTCATCACAGACAGCAAACATCCACATAGGCAGATCTCAACAGCTCGGCATTGCCACGAAGCGCCTGAGACTCATCTCCAGTCGTTTCTCGCTGAGGCATTGCCAACCGACCCTCTCTGGTAGTCAGGGGAGACATCAATTAGCCACCGGCCAGCAGCAGATGCTCAGCCTCTACCGTGTTCGAACAGCGCACCTTGAAGTGGCCAAAAGAGACATAGGCAGTAAGTCCATTCAATCAGCCTCGTTCCTAAGAGGCCTGCAGGTCGGTACAACAAGACACAGCTCGACACCACCGCGAAAATGGTGCTCAATTGGTTCGGGCGTCGTGACAGGGAGCAACGCAAGGAAGCAGTTGCTGTCCGGCTAGCCAAGAACGATAGATCCGTGAAAGGCGTGTGCACAGTGTCGCAATCTTGCTCATCCTAGAAGACCCAAGCATTGACGCACGTCCCAAGCTTCTGCAACTGCTTCACATCGTCCATTCGCATATACTGACCAAGCGTTACGACGTAGTTTGATTATGCCGACGCGCCAGACGAGCGGGTCAGACTGAATGAATGTCCCTCATTTGACGACGAATGATTTGCTGCTGTTTGCACATATTGCACGACGCCGGAAATTTGGCTTGTAGGTGTTGTTGTTGTTACAATCGAGCTCACCTCATTGCCTAATCGGTGGATTCACCTGCTGGTTTTGCCAATTCATTCGCTGTCTCTTTGCGCTGTTGGGATCCTGCGGACCGCCACTCATCTCAGATGGTCCTCTACGGTGGCCTTGATTCTGTCCGGGCGGCCGCGCGCCAACAGGCGTATGTGGCTGGCTTCCGTAAGCAGAAGTGTTCACAGAAGCGTTCGCGTCCAGATACTGCTGCTGTGCCATAGGATATGGCACTTGCGCATTCACAGGCGAGACGCCAGAGTACCCTCCGGGCGAATTCCACGTGCCAACTGATGACGCAGCAGGCGAAGCGCCTGCCGAAACATCGCCACGTGGACCCGCCGCTTGCACGGGAGCCATAGGAGCCCCGGGCGCAGCCATCTCATCCGGAATCCTCTTCAGATGCATAAGGTGCTTCTCCAGCATTTCGAGAAGCGACTTCCGCGTGAACGGCTTGGGCAGAACATCGTCCATGCCGTGCTGGAAGTACATTTGAATATCGTCGGACCTGATGTTCGAGGTCATCGCGATGATTGGTGTTCGGTCGAACTGACGGATGATATGACAAGCCGAGACACCGTCGAGGTTGGGCATGATGATGTCCATTAGAATCAAGTCGTACTTCATGCCCTCTTGCATTTTGCTGACGGCCTCAAGACCATCAAGTGCTGTGTCGACTACGGCCTGGAATGAATACAAGAACTTTCCACCTATTTGACGGCAGGTAGAATCATCCTCAACCAGTAGCACTCGCGGCTGTCTGATCCAGCCAGGATCTGTATAGTTGCTCTTCTTCCTTGATTCAGCAAAGTTCTGGCGTGGATCGCTGGCAGCATCCTTAGACGGTACTGCATATGGTATGTTGTTGACATGGTCGCCATACATCGGATCAATTCCATTACTTGCGCCCATGGGGTATACCATCTGCTCAAGCTCTGCGGGATTGATCTTGGAGTAGCCCATGCTGCCCGTCGAAGAAGCTGAGGGAGGACCAGCCCTGACTTGGCCGTTCGGGCCGAGGGCAATGTTAGTGTTCAATTGCTCGAGACCAGATACATTGAACTGAATCTCTCCGTCGCCTAGCAGTTTCGCGGCATGTTGAAGCGGGCTTGCTGGCTCATCCTCTGGAATTGGAATTGACTGGCTGGTGGGCGTCAGATTGGAGTTACCGCTCTCGGCCAGGGCCGGAGGGAAAAGGCTTTTGCTGTCCCTTCTCTGTTTGTCGACTGTGTGTAAGAAGCTCATGACATCCTGCATAGCCCGATCATGATTGACAACGGCCTTCTGGAGACGAAGTACTTCCTGGACGATCATCTGATTGTTCATTTGCAACTGCTGGTTATTGTGCGCAAGTGACTCGATTTGTTGGGCTTGGGCTGCAATCTGCTGGTTCATTAGATCGATCTGCTGAAGTGGGATCTCCTCGGTCGATCCATTGAGGCCTGTGGTAGACTTCCGTGGCGCAGGAGCTTTCCGTCTGATATTGTCAAGAGTGTCCTTGCTGTTGGCTTTGAATTCGGGATGTTTGAATTCCCATGCGTTGGGGCCATATGCCGACTGCCCACCCTCCTCATTGTTTTGTCGTACTTTGTGAAAATCATACTTGTTCAGCTGTCGGACGAACGATGCGAAATTCGAGTGCTTGAAATGCTTCGGCAGAATAGACTTGGTGAATTTCTCGTTCTCGAGGACGACAAAGCTGTCGCCGTCATCTCCCCATCGCACAACATGCGAGTATGAAGGGTCCTCGAGCATTCTACACAGGTATTGGCATATGGATCAGGGCTGTTTCGGGTCATACATACTTGTAAAGCTTGCGGACAAAGTCCGAAGAATTGTTGGCGGCAGAGGCGCCGCTGACCGAGGCCGAGTCCATGTCGTGAGCCGCAATTCAAACTGGGTAGTATGCTAGCTATTGCGGTCGTTCAGACAAGCGGCGCAGACGCCTGTTCCCGTGGGCGCGATATGGTGGTACAGGTCTGGGAGTGGGTAGCCGATCAGGATCGCTCGTTGGCCATGTCTCAATTGTGCGATTGCGACGTGAATAATGCGAGGCGAATACCAACGGCAAGATTGAGCTTGGACAAGAATGTTTGGAATGCGAACCCGGAAATGGTTACTGCGCTGCTCGAAGGGCAGCCTAACAGCACAAGTAGCCGCGGCGCATGCGAAGCAAGAGAACAAGTGATCGAGCAAACAGTGATTGCAGACGCTCTAAGGCTGAGGCGTAGGATGCTGGTTAAGTTGGCGGAAGCACCTGCAGCAGTGACGTGTGGGCGCTGGTTGTGGTACAGCGTCCGAAATAGCAGGCGAAAATCTCGGCTAGGCGTGAGGGGAGGAAGGGCCAGGGGTGATGATGCCGTATTCCTTTGGGACTCTGATAAGTGTATATTGCAGTCGATAGTAAAGAGAAAGCTTTGTTCGACACTGCTCAATAGTGCAGATGATGGTCTCCTGAATCAGCGGAGAGCTGGCGGTAGCAAGATACGGGGACAAGTGTGGGACAGCAGGTGGGAATAATGATGAGACCCCCATCGATCCTAATTCACGACCATAGTCATTGGCAGAGCTGTCGTAGCGGTGGATGTGGAAGCATGGAAGAGCACAGGCAGCCAGTAGGAACAGCGGTCAGTATGGAGCATAGCTAAGGTACATAACTGCGACTGCAGCACTGACAATTGGAAATCTTCCGACTGAAGGCCGCAGACGTTCACTTGCTTGATCAGAAGCGTCGTGTGCATGCTGTTGATCTGCGAAACCGGGACGAGGTAGAGATGCTGCTCTGCACGTCGTCGTGTTGTCACAGGTGTCCCAGCGACTAGCTCATCTGCTTGCACGGAGGTACATGGGTCTGCGATTCATGAAGCTGATGCTCGAACGGCATTGACTTTTGAGGTGCATGGCCAGAGTCAACCGGCCTTACAACGCCATCGTGTACAAGCAAAGGACGACTTCATTCCGCAAGTATAGCCGCTCCTGACGTTCTGCTTTGTGATACTGTGCAGCGTCAGTCTTGACTCACCAAAAGAACATCAGCATCCATGGATCGCATGCAGCGAACGAGTAGCCACAGCATTGATTGGAGGCTTAAAGAGGTCGTGATAAAGACGACAGGGGTACTTCATGCTTCGATCGAAGTGCTCCATCATCTCACCATGCAGATCGCCGCCCGCAAGTGGCTTCGCAAACGGGCACGTCGTTTTTCTTCGCGGTTTCTAGGTTTCGGCCTTGCCGCCTGAGTCGAGTGCAGAGGCACATCTACTCCGTAAGCACTTACCACCATATATTCGTTCACTGTCGGGAGCAAGAGCGACGTCGGCTCACAAGCAAAACTGCCATTCCGATGAGCACGGCAAGGCAGGGATATGCTGGTCTGCCGCGACTCCAAGCACCATTTCATGCCCAAGTTGGCATGGCTCTTAACTGAAATGGGGGAATGGTTGATGCTTTGAGCATTCAGTCAAGCCACAAAAATCAGTTACCTCGCTTACACTCGCTCTGCTGGGGTACAGTGTGTAAAAAAATATATACAGCAGCACGTCTTTGGACAGGTGCAGCTGGGCTCGTCTGCTGGCACATCACGAGGACTTTCGCCCAAGCATGCATGACTCCCAGTCACTGCAGGATCAGTGGGCATGTTCGCTGCATCGGGTTATCGTTGTGGTTTCTTCTGCAGATGGGTCCCAGAACAATGGGTCGGGCTGCGGCATCTCCATTCCATCAATTATTGACAGCGTGCTTTGGGCATTTCTCAGGCATTTTGCAAGGTACAACGGTACGCATGCTCTCGTAAAACATGCTTTGCGGAGTGAATGTTCGGCGGTATGCGCCGAATCTCTTGCTAGCAATACATTCATTCGAAACTCAAGTATCGCCGACGCCTTGATTGTCCACTTGTCGAGAGGACTTGTGTTGCTGGCACCGTGACGACGGCTCTATTGTGAAAGGGTTTCATTCCTCGTCTCAGCTGTTCAGTGTGCTTCGCCTCGGCGTCTGGACGATTGATACATCGCCAATGTCACACACGGGAGTAAAGCAACCGTGACGGTCGCTGTGCACGACAACAGCCCGACCATGCCATACTGTCTCGCCTTTCTGGCCTCGATCTCACCGGGCCTTCTCCTTCTCCCATTGCTCTGGCGTCAGACACTTTGGTGTCCAGGCATGTATTGAGGCGATTTCTGTCTTTAGGGCGCCGTTTACCAGCTATGTCTCTGCAATAAGCTCTTTTTTTCGAAGTCTGGCGAGACAATGATCGCGTTGAATGCCTGTCCACAGCCACCCGACATATCTTCAATATCAATGTGCTCAATGTTAATCTTCGACTTGAGCGTGTCCATCAAGCTATCAGCGGTCACGCCAGCTGCCTCGGCATTGGCGGCCGCTTGTGTATCTGTTTCTGCTGCCATCGGCGCGGATCGTAGTCTTGCGCTAGCTGAGTATGCGCGTCGAGGGCGAGGGAGTAGCTTCGCTTGAGGCCGAACTGCTCGGGCGCTTCTGGCAAATTTGACCCTGGGATAACTGAAACGATCGCAAGAGCGCAGGACGAATTATTCGTGAGATCATGAGCGCGCTGCGTCTTCCCAGTAACTTGAAGGTGCTCGAGAACAGCAAGAGAAGGCCTGTAGTGTTGTGAAATGTTCACGAGATCACTGCATTATAAATTCTGCTGCAACTCCGAGATCTGGCACTACGTCATTTGAAACACGAAATCGAGCGACCTCAACTTGGAAAACTGACAACAATGGCGGCATGAGATGAGCTATCCTCGATCATGAAACCATGGCATAGCTTCACGGGTCACTTCGTGGCTGCCAGACGCGCCACTGATGTTGTTTGACAATCTCTCACCTCATGCTGCATCGCCTACTTTCCCGGACGCCATTGCAGATTCGTAGCTTCACCTCCGCTTCTACCAGAAACATGGCGTCTCCATTCACAGACGCAGTGGTGAAGTCTATGAGGACGCTGTATCCCGAAGCTCTGGCAGACAAGTCTTTCGATAATACAGGCCTACTTTTGGAGGCTCCATTTCTCCCACAACGGCGGAATCGGAATTCAGTCCTGCTCACGATTGACCTTACCAAGGCGGTCGCAGAAGAAGCAATCGAGAACAAGCACTCGGTTGTCGTCGCGTATCATCCAATTATATTCCGTGGCCTCAAGTCGATCACTCTCGAAGACTCACAGCAGAAGTCACTGCTAAGGCTTGCCGCCCATGGAGTCTCTGTCTACAGTCCTCACACCGCAGTCGACACCGTTCCTGGTGGCATGGGTGATTGGTTGTGCGATGTAGTCACTGGGAAGGTCGACTCCGAGGAAGCCGAGAATGAGACAGAAGCTACCTCGCCAGCGTCAGATACCGATCGCTCGACCTCTGGCTCTGAGATGTATGGATCTCCTAGAGGCGGCAATGATGCCACCGATTCAGCAAGCAACAGGCCAAAGACCCCAAGTTCCCAGACCAAACGGCCCAGACTCAGTCATCGAACGTACTCAAAACCGACATACCCGAAGCCGACCCCAACGTTCCACTCCGCCGTCCTTCCTCACACGCGGCAGGTTGTCACGCCTTCACCATCGTCTGCCCTCGAAGCTGCCAACACGCTGCTTTCATCTTCTTCGACGCCACAGGGTTACACCGCGACCAATACTGGCGCTGGTCGATTAATCTCCTTTACCACTCCACAGCCGTTGACTTTGCTGATCACTCGCATCGCACATGCTATTGGTCTACCTAAGGGCTTCCCGGTGGCCATTCCGCAACTACCGACTCCCAAGTTCAAGTCTGTTGACGACATCCATATAACGACTGTCGGAGTCTGCCCGGGTAGCGGCGCTTCCGTACTGCGGGCATGCTCGCCGCCTCCAGACCTGATCTTCACAGGCGAGATGTCGCACCACGAGGCTCTTGCGGTCACTGAACGAGGAGGGTGCGTCATCACCTTGTTCCATAGCAACTCAGAAAGAGGCTATCTCTGGAGCACGATGCGGAATAAGCTGGAAGATGAGGTGAAAAAGGTGTGGGAGCGGACAAGGGCAGAGATGAAGCGAGCTGGTGGCGGGGAAGATGGTTTTGAAGATGGGGTGGAGGAGATTCTGGAGGATGAGAGTGTGGAGGTAGTCGTGAGCGAAAGAGATCGAGACTGCTTTGGCATAGTAGTGCTGGAAGAAAGTGAGGTCCAGGGCTTGACTTTGAGAGGCGAAGGCGATGTGGTCGATGATGAGGAATCGGACTGAGGTTGCGGCGGAATCGGGCAAGGAACACACGTTCGTGATGGTCGAGATCTTACATATATCCCAAATTATTGTGTTAATCTTAGTAGAGTAATTGATACTCTGGCCACTTTGTTCGCTACAGCATCCTGTCCCGTTGGCTGTCAGCTTCACTGTGCCATGATCGAAGCCTCCAAATCACTGTAGCGTGACTCCTGACAAGAAGACGCAGGACCAGGCTTTCTTCTGACATCGGTCGCGATTGACAATCCGGGAACATGCTTGCCAAGAGATAGATCTACGCCGAGATTTTCCGTCCGCCCCCGTCAGCGCGGCTGAACAACTTGAAACTCGAACTCTCTTGCTGTTCTGTGAAACGCTCCTGCTTGGTGTCTATGGCTACATTCGCACACGGAAAGCACGACGGGCACAATCAATGCTGCTCGGCTTACAAAATGAACCAGGAGCTCACACGCCATGCTGAGCCCAGGCCACACCCGAAGGGTGCTGACCATCCGAGCGAATCATGACATCCCCATTACTTGCTCCGCCGCATTAGCATCGACTTCTGTGACATCTCATGGCTTGGCTGACCGCTTCTTCACGAAGACAAAACGGAACTCCTCACCCTCCGGATGCTTATATCCCCGCTGATCCTACTCACGTTGATGGATGTCATCACAGTCCTGATTCGCTTCATGTGGTGAGCATTAACTTATCAGCAGCCATTCATCTCATTCACCAACAGTCAGAATGAGTGGGCCAGGTCGGGAATTCAGCAATGGTGAGTAGTCTTTCATTGCGTCCACAGTCTCTGGTCGTGGTGGAGTCGAACATGCCTTCAGCTTGAGCATTCGTGGTATACCACACAAAAAACATATTGCGGACGCTTAACTGCTTCACGTTACCCTTTCCAGGAATTCCCTTGTCCCGAACCGCCATACTGACGATGACACGAATAGACAATCCAGCATGGAATCAGAGCCCTTCCCAATTCGACCGCTATCTCGTCAAGCGGCAGTCACCACTGCTCTGCGGCGAGCCCAATGGAGACAGATCAGACTACAACCTCGAATTGCATATCGGATCAGTGTTCATCATCCTCTTCGTCTCCGCATCGGCATGTGCCTTCCCATTGCTTGCCACGAAAGTGCCTCGCATGAAGATCCCGCCACGATTTCTTTTTGCAGTTCGCCATTTCGGAACAGGTGTTCTCCTGGCGACTGCGTTCGTGCACTTACTTCCGACGGCATTCACGAATCTGACTGACCCATGTCTCGGTGGATTTTGGACGGAGGACTATCCTGCAATGGCAGGGGCTATTGCTCTATTGGCCGTTTTCGGCATTTCTATAATCGAAATGGTGTTCAGTCCTGGACGCTCGTGCTGCACTGTCACTGCGCAAGAAGCATCTCCAGTATCAATGGATGAAATGCGATTCGAGGACAAGCAGCCAGGACCGAATCCACCAGACGTCGAGTCGCCAGAGGACTCAAGCCTAGCATCTGGCGTGGGGCCCTTGTATGGTCGTACAAAACTTGGCCGAAGGAACAGCACTGGACAGCAGCTGGCTCGAATGACCTCTGGATCTGCCTCTCCATCTCTCCGCGGGCATAATGTCTCAGGATCTGGCCGAAGTGACAGTGGCGGGCAACATCTGGCACGGATGACGTGTAAGTCTGTGCCTGAACTTACAGGCGAGGACGAGGATAACATCACCGCGACGGATGATTTCCCGGCACATGATGACTCAAGTGCCGTCGAGCATGTCGCAAGCCCTTCCCCTTCCGTCTCGAGCAACTTAAAGTCGCCCGAGCTCACGAGACTTGCTGACCTCGAAGCTGGTGTCAAAGACCTGAAGCCAACAGCAGATCAGAAACGACAAAAGTTACTACTCCAGTGCCTGCTCCTCGAACTCGGCATTCTCTTCCACAGTGTCTTCATTGGGATGGCTTTAGCCGTTGCTGTCGGCAATTCTTTCATCGTCCTTCTCCTCGCCATTGTTTTCCATCAAACGTTCGAAGGTCTCGCACTTGGCAGCCGCATCGCCGCAGTTGAATGGTCACCGGCCCAGGCGAAAGGCTGGCATCGTTACCAGCCATTGATGATGGCATTGGCTTACGGGTGCACCACGCCCTTTGGTCAGGCGATCGGCATTGCCACCCATACTTTGTACAGTCCCAGCAGCAGGACGGGTCTCATTATGGTCGGCATCATGAATTCGATCAGCGCTGGACTCTTGACGTATACGAGCCTTGTTGATTTACTTGCGGAAGAGTTCATAAGCGACGAGAGCTGGAGGACCCTGAAAGGGAAGAAGAGGATTGTCGCTTTTCTAGTGATGTTTGCTGGTGCGGCTGGCATGAGTCTAATCGGTGCTTGGGCTTGAAATGTCCTGACATAAGGGACAAGCCAAGCTGCGAGTTATATGGACGCTCCGCCGTCGAGTTGCAGTATCTGCAAAGCTCCTTGGGTGTTCTCACGCGGAGGACTTGCCCGCCAATGTGCGCGCCGAGTTCAGCGCCCGAACTTGACACGTTTTCGGTGCCGCTACCTGCTACAGTCGACCATCGAGCCCGACATTTGCGATCGTTCACGTCCGTATTGTACGTCAAGTCCTTTGTGACGCGCTGTTCACGAAGCAGAACATTTGTACGACACCGCACCAAATCCTAACACATCAAGACGCCAAGGTGGTTGAAGCATGGAGTTTACAAGGTTATACGAGGGGGGATATAATGTCGCCGTTCTCGAGACCCGGCTTGATTTCGCTCGTATCGCCACTCAGGGCCGCTGAACGAACCACTTGAAATGTCTCCGAAGCATACACAACATTTGCGAATGTCGCAAGCACTAATCTAAGGAGACGCATTTCATGTATATCCCTGAACGAGATGGTGAATCTGGCTGGTATAGCTAAATGGGGCAGGGCGGGACTCGTACGATATATATCCGGAATCTTATGTCGGCCGAAACCCGACAGACTTGCTCACTGCGCAGGGATATGGGATGCTGAGCTAGGCTATGTGAGCAGATACGCTTCTACGCCTCCTATCAGGATGGCGTATTTTGTGCTGTTCAGACAGTGCTCAATGGCTCGCTAAGTACCTCTGCGTGTGGAAGTACGGCGGCTTCGCTAGCTGACGCGAGCCAACGACACGCATTCGCTCCGCCTCTCCATGTCTCCTCCGCCTTACGCTTCCCTCAACAGGCAATGTGGTCGCCTGAAACCTCGTATGGACAGGAACTGTTATATTGCCAGTCCACATGAAGCAATGACAGTCCACATAAAGGCCAAACGAGCTCGCATTTTGGGACACGCGGTGCATTCATTCCTCCGGGAAGTAATTCGTGTTCTATGACTGCCCGTCGGCCTTTTCCTGTATCTTACTTTGTGTAAGAAGTGGGTGGTGGAAGTTGTGGTATGAACATAACAATTCTCCAAAGGCGACACCACTGCATCGCTCTGCAATTCCTCGAAAAGATCGAATCGTTATCGCCACCAGCATCGCCACCCCATCATTACCGGACCAGAACTACCCCATCTCCCTCTGTCCGCCACCACTCCAGCATGGCCTCCTCTACCCCCAAACCAGACCCCTCTCCATAGTGATAGCAGGCGGCTCCCTCGCCTCCCTCATCACAGCAACCATCCTCCTCTCCCTTCCCCAACCATCCCACTCGATCAACATCACGATCCTCGAACGCCTTCCCCCATCCAACCTGCAGGACCTCGGCGCCGGCATCGCCATCTCCCCCTCGATCCTCGCTTTCATGTCCCGCTACTGCAACCACCTCCCTCCCCCGAAATACGCTGCCCCTTTACACGCGTACCGACAGATCAATCGAGAAGGGAAAGTAACGACGGAGAGCGAGGGAAAGGGACAATTCTGGGCCACGAGTTGGGGACAATTGTATCGGGTGCTCAGGGGAAGGTTTGACGAGTTGAGTGATGATGGGAGGAGGGGAAGGTATCTGTGTGAGGCTGTGGTCGAGAGCATCGTGGAGGATGGCGACAGGGTAGTTGTCAGCTACAGAGAGAAGGGAGAATCCAAACAGCTTGCGGCGGATCTGGTGGTCGGGGCGGACGGGGCGAGCTCGACGGTTCGGGGATTGCTTTTGCCGGAGGTGAAGAGGTATAGTGTCGGGTACGCCTGCTACAGAGGCATCGTCGCGGCTTCGCAAGTCTCGCTCGATGCACAAGCCATATTCCAGGACATGGCGACCTTTCATTGGGCGCCACGCTCACAGATGCTCTCCTATATGGTGCCGGGAAACGGCGGGCCGGCGGACGAGATCGGGCGGTATATCAACTGGGTGTGGTACCAGATTCGGGATGAGAAGGAGATGGAGGAGTTGTTGACGGATAAGGACGGGAAGAAGCATAAGTTCTCGTTGCCGCCGGGGAAGATGCGGCTGGAGGAGATTGAGAAGATCAAGATGAAAGCGGGTGAGGAGCTGCCAGAGGTGCATAAGGAGATTATAAGGCAGACGGACGATGTGTTTTTGCAGGTTGTGACTGATAGCCATGCGGGTGGGAATAGCTTTTGTGGTGGGAAGGTGGTGCTGGTCGGTGATGCGGTCGCTGGGCAGAGGTGAGTCGTCCTGTTCCTTTGGGGAGGCTTTCGTGGAAGGACCTGCTTACCAAAAGCCTCTCGCGTATAGACCACATGTTGCAAGTGCCGTCATGCAGGCAGTCTTCGACGCCGAGTGGCTGGCGAGACTCGTTCAGGGGCTCGCGAGTCCGGAGGAGTTTGAAGAGGAAACGCAGAGCTTTTCTAAGATCCTGGTGGAGAAGGGAAAGGAGCTTGGCGCAGGTGAGTTTCCTTGCCCACGGTACTTTACTTCGCTCGCAGATCATAATACTGATAATATGACCACTAGTCTGCATGGGCGACTTCGATCCAACGTACAAGGACAAGACCTACTATCCACTGTTCTTCGGGACACAGGCCTTGCTGAAGGCGAAATTCGACAAGCTGGACGAGTTGAACAGATCATCTGCCTCGAACGGAGTTCTGTGAAATACCTCCAACAGCCGAACTTCTTGGGACAGATACATTGTTGCAAAGGCAAGCAGCGTAACGGCTTCCTCAGCTTCAACATTACCTCAACGCGGAAAGTCTCGGCTCAAATCTCGCGTCTGAAGGACTTCCCGGTGTGATGAAGCTTTGAGTACTCTCAAAGAATATCGTGATGGATCACGGTCAACTCAAGTCAGTGCAGCAGAGAAGCAGCACTGTGATGCCGGAAAGAACTGAGACTCAAATTTGATTTTGAAGTTGAGACTGGCTCAAACGCGGCACAGCGCTGTCAGTGTACATGGCAACCTGATGTACTTCTATAGCCCATTGCTGGGATATGGGCCTTTGCCGATATTTGTTCCTGGATAGATGTGTGCCACGCTAGACGCTAAGGCTTGGGCACCTTGAGAGTCTTGCTGACCATCAGAATCCCGCAGACCACGTAAATGAGCACCGTAGGATGAAACTCCAATATCGATCCTGTCAAGCTTGTGCCATATGGTATCACCTTGCCGATCTGACCCGTGTACGACCAGTACGCCAGAAAGGTAGATGACGTGAAGCATGCAAATGGTACGGGCACCCCTTCGAAGTATTTGCTCTTGCCAGTCTTGTCCTTGGGAAGCATCTGTACCGTGACATTGAACCGTGCCAGACGCGTGAGACCGCACAGCACATAGAAGGTGAGTAGAAGTTGGTCCACAGCGGTGCGATAGCCGACAGAGAATGCGATTGCTGCGGGTGCAACGCCGAATGTGACCTTGGAGCACAAATTAGTTGCTGCAAGAGCACCATCAGGCTCGGGAGGTACCTACCAAATCAGCGAGGGAGTCCAGCTCCTGACCCATCAAGCTCGACTTTCCCCGCCATCTTGCTACCTTGCCGTCGAACAGATCCGCTAGTAGGCCGAGCGGGATGAACGCGAAAGCGAGCCACAAATTAGACATGCTGGCTGGTCTTGCAACGGCACTGTCGGCGCTGTACTTCATTGAATGTAATATGGACATGACTATTGGTAGACGACATTAGCTGCTGGCCCCAGAACATGCTTAGAACATGTAGACGGCAGAACTCACACCCAGACAGTCCGTTGAGGAGCGTGATGGCGTCTGCAAGGTGCATGGCCTTGACGAGACTGAAGTGGCCCGTCTCTTGCGCCAGATACATCGCTTGCTTCTGTTGGTCTTGCTTCAGCAGAGAAGCCTGGTCCGAGCCAGCTTCCTCGGACCGGAATGAGTCGGCGGCGGCTTTCTTGGCCATGATGAATGAGTTGGTGCGGATTTGAGGTCGTCAGATGGTAAGGAAGGATGCAGCAAGGGATGTAGAATCAAGAAATGCAGGAATAAGTAGGTAAACAGCACAGGGAACCACGGGGTAAGGACATCATGGGCATTCAACACACTGGAATTTCAAGTTTACGCCTATGACGTTCCGCAATTTGATGGGCTTTAGTGACGCACCTAACAAGGTGTGGCGCAGAGAGCAGTTGTGGCTGTACAATATCGGAGGTTAAGACCTTGGGGTGCGTGTGGGTCGCCGTATACTGCCAAGTCTGCCAAGCTCGAAATGCCACAAGCGCTCCCTCAACTTTCGCGACCAACTTTGATGCGACGACTTCGACTTCTCCTCCGTCCACACCATCACAATCAGTCAAGATGCCTACCAGACTGACCAAAACCCGCAAGCAGTGAGTATCTCCTCCGCTGTTGGCTTCAGCAGCGACCTCGACGACCTGTCAGCGCACAACAGAGCACGAAAACTTTTGCTTGAGCGCAAAGACTGACAATGATTCTCTTCTAGCCGCGGCCACGTCTCCGCCGGTCACGGTCGTGTCGGCAAGCACCGCAAGCATCCAGGTGGTCGTGGTATGGCCGGTGGTCAGCACCACCACCGCACCAACATCGACAAGTACCATCCTGGTTACTTCGGAAAAGTTGGTATGCGATACTTCCATAAGACGCAGAACCAGTTCTGGAAGCCCACTATCAATCTCGAAAAGGTAAGCCGGCGAATAACGACAATGTGGACGAGAATTCTGACATGCGACACAGCTCTGGTCGCTCGTCCCTCAAGAGACCCGCGAGGCCTACATCTCAAAGAAGAAGACCGACACCGCGCCTGTCCTCGACCTCCTCCCTCTTGGCTACTCAAAAGTTCTCGCAAGGGCCGGATACCAGAGATCCCAATCGTCGTCCGTGCGAGATATTTCAGCAAGGAGGCTGAGCGCAAGATCAAGGAAGCTGGCGGTGTCGTCGAGTTGGTCGCATAAAGGATCAGTTGTTCCCGAAACAGCACACCAACTCGAGGCATGCTCATCAGCATGACCAAGAACGTCGAGCAAGCAGCTGCCTGGCTTTGATGGAATCGTGACGATTCATCTTCGGTCTGCGCTCGACCTTATGCGCCCAAGCGTAGCCCCTCAACCCGTCTCAAAGGAGTCGTGCGGCTACGACTTGTGGATAAGACCTATGCAGCGACAATTCAATCAAATATGAGCATATTTATGTTCGAGCCTTCATGGCTCCGGGTCTGACACTTCTGCCAACCCGTTCCAAGGCCACAGTGCTGGCCAGCATCAACCTCTTGTGAGATGAGATGCATATTCCGGCACCTCGCCTTTTAGCGACCTGCCTTCGCGACCCCTCCCATCTCATTCTATCCACAACTGCCTTCGATTTCATGAGTCAATTTTGCCAGTGTGAAAAAAATGATCTTGTGACAAATTTGACCCGTATTGAGGCGCTGATGAGTCTGTGCTTCTTTGGCTGTATCTACTGACAATGTCCTTCCCTCGCTAAGGACGCGGAGCTGGCCATCTCTGCGTATCAACGTCGAGCCTCTACTGATGACTACGGAGTGTACTATGCGTTGCACTGGGGAGAAAGCCATACGAAACCTTCGCTTTATTTCCGGCGCCGTGGAACACGTCTCAATGGAGAAAGAGCAGGCTCATGGTCCGTAGAGATTGTATACCTCTTTGTTCTGCACATACATCCAATATCATCTACAAGATTCATATCTTAGAGCTTCTCCTACTGCCGCCGCTCTCTGTGCTTTCCCTCTTCTCATCACTGATACCCTTTCCCTCCTTCGCTCCGGACACCTCCTCTTCCCACAATCCCATAGTCCCCTCCACGAACTCCAGCATCTCCCCGACCATTACTGGCGGCACCTCATGCCCGCAGCCCTCTACCACGACGTCCTTCAACCACAGACCACCATCTTCAAACCACCCGCGCTTTTGAATGGCCTTCTTCAACCACCCTAGAAACGGCTCACTGAACTTATAATTCACCAACTTATCACTCCCCCCACTCAACACCAATACCCTCTTTCCGCCACCAAAACACCTCTCCATCTCCGGCCTCACCCTCTCCGCCTCCTCCTCGCTCATTTCATGGGCCCAGTCCTCCTTCCCTGCGTGCTCTGTTCCTTCTCTACCAAGTATCCCTGAGAAGTACTCCGCCGGATGACTCCCCCTAACCGCCTCAACCAACCCCTGCGGCCAATCCGCACTCCCCACAAACCCCTCCCCCTTCCCCTCCAACCACAGTTTGCGCTTACTCAACCTCGCCCGGTCAACCATCAACCTCGTATAATCCGGACACCCAATAACCACCACCACCCCCTGAAACCTCCCCGGATCCCTCATACAGATCTGCCACGCCGCATGCCCGCCCAAACTCACTCCCAATACCATGTTCCGCACTATCTCCACCCCTCCATCCGGGAACGCATACGCCGGCAAGAAATCCAACAACAAGCTCGTATCCTGCGCGGTCCCCGCAAAGCAGCTGAACATATCCTGCGCATGCCTTTCATTCCCATCCCGCCACGCTTTATTCGCGTGCGCGTCGACTAGGCGGGTTCCGTGGTTTCGCTGGTCGAATGAGACCGCGATAAAGCCTAGTTTTGGGGAGGTACCTCGACGAGCGTGGAGGTCGTAGTGGTGCCGAACCAAATGCGCAGCAAAAGGCCACATGCACTCTGCGGTCTGCAGGCGTGGGTGCAGGAGCCAGAGGACGGCGACTTCGGTGCAGGCGGGCGGGAGCTCGGCGAGGCCGTGGATGTGTGTGAGGATGCCGGCTATGTGGACGGTGGTCCGGGATAAGTCGCCTGGATGCGGAATTGAGTCTGAGACTGAGCTGTGAGAGGGCATGGATGGGAGTGGGGTGCTGGTACTGGAAGAGGAGGACATGGTGGTCGATGATGGAGGAGGGTCGTAGGTGTATTCGACCGGGTTGGCTGTTGGGGGACGTTTGGGTTTTGGTGTCATGGCTTTTCCAGGCGTTCTGCCGAAGGATTGGGTTCGTTGAGTCTCGCTGTCCAGTAGTCCTTCCTGCAAGCAACGTAGGTCGTCTTCCTTAAGGAGCTTCGCTGTGAGCCGTCGCCGCTTCGACTATTCTCGTGATTGATATGCTGCTTCTTAGAATCTGGAGATGTGCACAAAGACAAACGCCGAGTCGCCGACCACGGAGTCTGGATGCGAGGCAAGCCTCGAAAGAAATTTGGAAGCGGCGGGTGCTCGTGCATAGGAGCGGAGATCGTCGTCTACTGCTTCGGGCAATAACCGATATAGCAGCGTCAGGTATTTGCCTCGTCGCCTTGCATTGGCATGACAGGCATAACGACAGGCGCAGCGTGAAGTTGAGCAGTGCTCAGGATTTAAGGAAGTTCCATCGCAAGTCTGGTATTGAAACATGAGTGTGAAGGGAATACACAATTCTTTCAAGTTCTCTTGGACATGGATTCAACCTTTTCCAACTACATGAGCGAGATCCTGTTTCACTGGGGCTACGATTGTCGCGCGAAGATCCTCTGATCCGGGAGGCTGGCCCGTAAGTCGCTAGTCCGTACGTACTGACGATCTCGACCATGCCCTGAGCAGACTCGTCAGTCATTCGCATACGATCAGAGGGTTGCGGCCGAAGCCCGAGGCTGTAACAGCTGTAGTGTAGAACAGCGGCAGACTGGTCGCTGTGTAGTCTGTCCCGGTACCATAGGGACGGGCAGTATCCTTTCCGCGACTGAAGATGACCTTCAACGGATTGTTAGAGATAGCGAACGGCTTTTCGACGTTGGCCAGATTCAAGACGCACAATAGTCGCCTCAAAGCACTGCGGTATTTTCGTGCTCTGTCGCAACCACTGTAGACCTTGTATGAGTGTAAGCCTTCAAGCGATGCTGCCCAGGTGTTCGAGTTAGAAGCCTAAGCCTCGTCGCGCCAAGCTCGCCCACCAACTTAGCTGACAAGCCGACCCAGGCACACAGACTCCGCGGTCGCCAAAAACCAAAAAGTCCTCTCTCACACATTACATTGTTAGAAATCCAAAAAGAAGAAAATCCCTGATCAGGAGCATCCAGGGAGTTGAACCCAACACTCCGAACGATCCACGACGACGCTCAGAATGATTTTGCCCCGACCAACCAGGACCACTCCCAGAGAGGACTTAGGTACGCCAATACCCCTCTCAGGCGCTATCAGTACAGTCGGGATGCGCAGATGGTCGCCAGTCACGAAAGGCTTGCCTCCGAAGAGGGTCGCACATAACATGAAAGGTGAGCATCTGCTGTATGATTGTGAACCAAATCTCCAACCAAAAATATATATACCTTCGTTCGTGAGGGGCAATCTGGTATAGGCGGACTTTAGGGGCGGCTGAAATTCGACAGGTGGGTGCCTAGGGCAACGAAGAGGCTGCAGATTGGTGACGCTGAAAAGTCGGCGACCATGCATCCCACCAAGGCTGAGCAAATCAACTCGTCTTGGTTGAAATCGTGGCACGATCTGTTCAGAATGCGTTCAAGTAGTTATCGTCCAAGTCTGCCGCGAAGCCATACGCGAAGTTGTCCAGGCCATTGAACGCCAGAGTACTGAAGTCGCCCACACTCGGGTTCAGCTCATCCCAACCACCATCAAATGTGTAAGTTGGTCCAGTGTCGATGGCTGAGGAGAACTGCTGCTGCTGCTGCTCGACTTGCGGCTTGGGTGCGACTGGCCGCCGATCTAGGTTGCGAATCACGATGTTGATGCTGGTCTGGATACCTGGACAGCTCGACCTAACAGCATAGAGTGCTCGCAAGCAGGTGTTGATCTTCGCTTGTGCGCCATCTAAGCCATCATGCAAATCCTGAAGGGCAACAGTGGCGGCGGTATATGCTGAGTAGCTCATCAGATAGGTGCAATGCGAGAGGCCGAAGCTCTTCTCAAGCAGCAAGATCAGATCCTCGACTTCTTGCGCCGCTTCTCGACAGATGGTCTGGCATTGCGGATCATGCCGAAACGGTCGATGCAGCAGAATTCTCGAGGTATAATATAAGGTGCTTTGAGCGAGTATGTGAGGCGGCGGACAGCTCTCAGCAGAGGCATCGACATGGAGGTAAGCAGGTGATTCAGCGCGCCATTGTTCTAATCTGGCTCTCGTTGCGTGCACGAAGTCCATGATCTGCGATGGTCTATCCCTGGCGTACACTGTCGTCAAGATATCAGAGATGATGATCACAAGCTTACAGAAGTTTGCGAATGTCGAAAAAATGCGAGCTGGCAATGGGTTCCAGCCTCTGGCCTCCTCCGCATAAGGAAGCCACATTGAGTCTTCAGAGATATCGTCCATGATGGGAGGATCGAATTCTGGGACATCGGGAATGGTAGGTAAGCGACCGAGATACAGACTGATGATTCTGTCCCAGACATAACTGCTCCACGCAATCTGCTGCCGGACCCTCTCGAGTTCGGGGTCAAGGGCCACGTCCCGTGCCCGACTTCTGGTGAAGATTCCCAGGTCGACACCCATCCTGAAGCCCATCCCACTGTACAGCCATGCTCTCGACACCAAGCCTTTGCCCATTTCGCGGGCGGAAAGCTGAAGGAGTGCTTGCACAGTTGGGACTGAAGGCGCTCGATGAATCTCATGGCCCAGCAGGAGCCGCACTCGTCCAAGCAACTCCTTGCTGAGCGAGTGGTCGGTGAAACGGGTTGCGTGGAGACATATGACGCACAGCAGAAGTTCGGAGAAGAAGCGGCCGCCCGATGCTGCGTCGCGCATGAACGGTACCCTTGGCACGAAGAGGAACATTGGATGAATCCAGTTGAAATGAGTCTTAAGTAAGTGTTCGACTTTCTCGGTTGGCAGACGAAGTATGGCGGAGCAAGTTTTAGATGCTGCATTCTCCCAGTACTCTAGCTGGTCTTGGTTCATCGAGGGCATGACCTGATCAGTAACCGTTGCCTCAGCAATGCGTTCATCTTGCTCGGCTACCACAGGATCTTCAAGCGCCGATGTTGAGGTATACTGAGGAGTATCTCTGTGACTTGTGGAGTTGATTGTGTCGACAGGTGACCGCAAAGAACTGATATCATGGCTGATGGACGGCACTGCCGAGTGAGATATCGATGAGCTCGGTGTGATCTGACGAGTCTCAGCTGGCTGTGACAAGCCTGCTGCTTGCTCTAGCTGAGTTATGCGCTCAGCCATGGCTACTACCTGGCTCATTGGAGGAGCTCTGTCATATGAGCATTCGGCAGAGTATGCCTTGCAAATTCCACATTCTGGCTGCTGCCCATCGCATCGAACCTTTCTATTGCGACAGTTGGAACAGGTCAGATGGTATGCTTGTCGCCTGCCACGTTTGGCGACGCCATTTTTCGCCCGCTCTGGCTTTGCTTGGGTCATGGTGGGAGCATCAATCTCTCTGGATATTTGATCTGGGACTCATCAGCAGGGCCTTTCTGATCAGTCCGATGGGAATCATGTCCCGATGCTGATGAATGACTGACGCTCGTCTCAAGGCGTATTGCTTGTACAAATGACGCATAATCTAATGCAATGAATACTTGTCCGTGACGAAAGTGAGGTTAGAAGCTCGGATTTTTCCCGAACTTGAAGCTTAGATGTGTGTGAGCACGTGATCTCCATTGCAGCTGCCGCTTCAATTCGATGTTTTGCTACAGAACCAATCTCACCAGGCAGGTGCGACCCACGTATAATGTTCAGCGTCAATGACAGGACTTCCTAAGATCGCTACAAACAGTATCATCTCATACCACAGACTTGTGATTGCCTCGTCCATGCACCAAATCAAGCATGATTTCCACCGCTGTCCGGCCGGTCAATGACTGCATATCTTCAGTAGAAGCTCCTATATGCGGTGTCATCACCACTCGTGGATGACTGAGTAATGTCTCGCCATAGCTCTGTAGAGTTGGTGGCTCGTGCAGCATAGCATCCAAGCCGGCTCCGTACAGCTTGCCTGAGTTCAGAGCTCGGAGCAAAGCCGCTTCATCGACTATACCGCCTCTGGCACAATTTAGCAACACAGCGTCGTCCTTCATAATAGCAAACTCCTGCTCTGAGATCATGTTCCGGGTCTGCTCTGTGAGAGGGACATGCAAGCTGATGACATCTGCAGAACGAAGTAGATCAGGCAGGGTGGTAGCCCGTGTGAACGTCGCTTCGTCAAATAAATCAGTCCAGGCGGACTCTGTAGCAACAGGATCGAATCCGATTATGGTGCCGTTCATGGCAGATGACCATTTCTTCGCGACCTCGCGGCCAATTGCTCCCATCCCAATGATGCCCAGAGTCTTCCTGAACAGGCTTTTTCCAAGCATCTGACTTCTGACGACTTTCTCGCCGCTGCGGATCTTCTGATCGAACTCAGTAATTCTCCTCGCAACACAGAGTGCTAATGCAATTGTAAGCTCGGCGACTGACTCCGAATTGATTCCTGGTGTATTGTAGACGCCAATCCCGCGGGCCTTTGCTGCTGCAAGATCAACGTTGTCGACACCCACCCCTTGTTTGCAGATACACTTCAGGCGGGCGCTGGCGCGTTTGATGTCATCAGCACTAAGCCGAGTGTCGCTGCGAAGAAGAATGGCAGTTGCGCGATCGAGAGCCTCATCCTTCCGAGCATCGGGCGGCAGCACAAGCCGAATGCCTCTGGCTCGCCGCAGAACTTCGATGGCAGCGGGATGGTATGGATCGAGCACGTATACAGATGGTAGCTGGTCCATTGTGTGTCCGGATCAGATTCAGCAGTCGGGCCTCGCGTTTGCCATGTAGCAGCTTCGCACTCGGTCAGATTCCGGTGGTTACTGCCGATGAAACTCTCGTGTTCTACCATGCTCGCAACCTTGATGCGGGTTGAAAAGCATGCAGTAGCAAACGCAGCCACAAGCCTCCTCACGTCAAACGGAACCGACCCTTAAGCCGTTGCATGAATGACTCCCATCTGCCCCTCGGTCGCGCAGCTCGAGCTCCTTCAACAGATCATCGTAATGCGTCTTCCGACTCGCCGGATACCGCATGGTTTCCGGCATAGGATATGCCGTAGCATAGCGGTTCTCCAGCAGCGAGTAAAGTGCATTGACCTGGCCCATCTCTTTCTGCTCGTTCAGGGTTGGTGGTGGTTGCGTCTCGACCGGGGCTTCACTGCTCGGCGTCTTGCCTGCCTCGGTGGCCAGAACTGGATTCGTCAGACGCTCGACACGTCGTCGCATGATCGTCTGGAAGGACACCGGTTCAGGGCGGACTTTGTCTACAGGCCATCGCTGGATGATGCGGGCCCAGTGCTTCAGTGCGTTCTGATCTGATCAATATTTGCTCGATGAGGTGTTGATGAGTACCTACAGATGAGTTTGCTGCCATCTTTGCGTCAATAATCTCCAAGATTACTACCTTCAACACATGGAGAAGGAGGGTAATGTAACGAGCTGAATATACGTCTACCTCATAGCATTCAAAAAAGTTCAAGCGCGTCATGATCCGCGTCCGACAGCCGATACTCCCTATTATACCAATTGGGAAATACGAGAACAGGCAATTTTAGCTGCTTTTTGACTTAAGGATTAGCTCTTCGTTTGATCATCTGAATGCATACGTTTACTCTAGCAAAGGTCTCTCCGTCACGTAATGCCAGCGGATATCAAGCATCTCGCCACCATCTGGTATCCTTCCCTATCCACCGTTCCAGCTCGAGCGATTCAGACAGCCTTCTTGCTCGTAGGCGGCTCCAGACCATTTACCCTCCATACCTCAGCTTCCGCCCCTTCCCACTTCTTCCGCCCTCGCTCTTCTCTAGGGCTATCAAACAGCCGCAGGATCCACGGCCCATCAACGCCGTCCATCAGCAATCTGTACAATCGCCAGTTGCGGAACATGAAACTCCAGCCCTCCCATCCCCATCCCAACTTTTGATTGATCCCGTTGCCAGCCGCCTCATTGAGGAAGCGCTCAAATTCCTTCGCGTTCTGTCCCACTTGTACTGTCCGCCACGCCTCAAGATGCCTCAACATGCCCTTGTAGTGTTCATCACACCATGCTTCACGCTCCGCTTGCGGCGGAAGCTCGAAGTTGCCTTTCCAGACCTGTGCGATGGCTTGAGAGGCGAGGTCAGCGTTGATGAACGCGGAGATGCCGTGGCCACGGTAAGCGCCAATGAAAGCAAGAGACTCGGTATGCTTTGAGGGAGGAAACACACCACGAAATAGTCGAGGATAAGGCATATGATTGAAGTTGTGGCGGTGATTATCCCATTCCGGAGTGGGATGTAGCGTCGGATTGGCGGATGGGCCGAGGAAGGAGAAATCGGGCTCCGCGCCGGTACACAGTATGATTGTGTCGACGTTGGAAAGAGAGGTGCCATTCGTGAAGTTGATTGTGTGACCGTCGGTTGCCATAGAAGAGATGCCCGGGGAATGTTTGAGGCGCCCGCTGCGCGAGAGGTCGAGGAAGTAGTCGTTCATCATGGGCGCTGCGTTGGCGATGGGATGCGCAGGAAGAAGCCCCCACTCTGGCTTGACCTTCATTGCATATTTCATTTTGAGCTCGAGACCAATGTTGCCGATGTAGCCAGCAACGCGAGGGAAGTTGCGATTGATTGTTAGGATGATAGAGTTGACACGCCGAGTCGCGAGGTGGTCTGTAGGCTTCTGACCTTCGGGCGTGCGCTCAACGACGAGGACACCAGATCGATGTGAGACAAAGACCTCCGGGCAGACCTCGCTGAGCTCGGCGGCAACGTCGCCTGCAGTATTGCTCAGACCGACGAGAAGAACCCGTTGTCCTGCAAAGGGTTTGGCGTCTTTGAAGGCGCGGGAGTGAATGATCTTGCCCTTGAAGTGCTCCTGGCCTTCAAACTTCGGAATGACGAGACGATTCTGGGAACCAGTTGTAAGAAGAACCCTGCTGAATTGTTCGGTCACAAGTGACCCGTCCCGTCCTTGAAGAGTGAGATCCCAATGCTCCGATTTATCTGATCTGTCTAAGCGATGCAGGCCAAGACCTAGCCTGCAGTGTGGTACAAGATTGAAATGCTTTGCATATTCATCGATGTAGTCTGCGATCTCCCTGGCGTCGGGGTAGTTGGTTGTGTAGCGTGCAGGAAAGTCGCTGAACGCAAGGCGTTGCTGCGAGTTGTTGGTCTTGGTATGCTGAGTGACCGAGAGTGTGGTCTCGTCAGTAGTATATCTCCACAGTCCACCAATATATGGGTTCTTGTCGAATCCTACAGCATCGAAACCTTCCTCCCTCAGGTTTTTGAGTGCTACAACGCCATGCAGACCTGCACCCGGTCAGCAGTGTTCCATGCTCAGATCGAACTCATCTTACCTAGGCCGATGACAGCGACTCGTTCCCCCATGGCCGTGGCGTACCTCCGCCGTGCGTCAGGCAAGAGTGACAGTCACTGGAATGGCCTCGCGGTCAATCTGCGACTATGCAGATACATTGGAATTGACACGTTCATTGAAGAAATAGATGTAATCACATATATGCTGAACCTACCTGGTCTTCGAATCATTCAGTTTCAGCTACGCGGACGACTGGAGGTAGATATAGGGGCGTCTGATGGTCAAGTTGCGAGCCCTCGGAGGTGGGGGCCTGATGACTGAATAACTCCCGACATATCGCCCAGCAGCACGATTGCACTGCACAAACTTGTACTGAGAAGCCGCGTGTCGCATACGTTACTGAGCGAACATCGCCTGTGACAAGGACTGCTGATAGCAGTTGCACATACGAGCTGCATGGGAGAGCATGCTCTTCCAGATCAACCAACGAGCTGAAGCTACCTACTGTAGTTTCCCAATCTGGACGCACCAGAATAGTGGTTTTTTGTCTGTTCTTTGTAACAGCTGTTGAGAGATTCCAGGCTTGGTTGCTGCGCCACCCACCAGCAATCTCGCCCGGGAGGACCCTGGATCTCTTTTCCTCTCAGATCTTGGGGGGCGAATCAGGCGACAACCCAACCGCTAGAGGACGGCGCTTCCACCGTCTTCTCGGATAGACCAACATCCCGACTTCACATAACACCCTCATCATCGCTCCTACGACGTCTTCACTTCCTTTTCTGTCCAATTTGTTGATCCTAATCCACCTTTCCCTTCAGGAGGGCTCTGGTAGCATTCTGAACCAGGCACTGGAGCCATGAGCTCTCAGCGTTATCAGCCGGTTGGTCGCATGTGTAATCAGCACACGACTCCTCAACTGACTGCCCACCAGGTGAACGCACACGATGACGATAACGACTCGCCGATAGAGCCCTCCGGCAATGCATATAGCCCTACATCTCCCCCACCCTCGTTCCGATCTCGCGACACATCACCAACGAGCAGGCGGCTGCTAGATCAGGAGGACCCTATGACGACTGATGCGTCGAGGGATTTAGAAGACACCTTCGGCGACGGATCAGACGACGAAGAGGATGACCGACAGCGCCTTATGCGAGGCAACCCAGACACACCACAAACAACACGCACACCCACATCTTCCTCAACCACAGAACCCAGACAGCAAGTCGAGCGCCGGATAACAGAACTACCCGCCTTCCGGCCACCCACCACACGACCGCAGCCCAATGCACAAGCCAACGATGGCGTCTTCGCCAACCTCGGCGCAAAACTCGAGCGCGGCGAACAAGTTGATGAGAAGCCACCTGTAAGCATTCCCACCCTCTCCTCACCATCGCTCAGATGAGCCTCACTTCGGCGTCAGGCTGTAGAAACAACTCATTTCGGGGACCGGGCCAGGGAGGCCGCTGTGTTCTTCTTGAATCTATCGAACTAACATGTGTTATACAGACCTACGAACAAGCCGCAGCCGACGCCACCCCACCCTACTGGGAAACCACAATCCTTGCCCCCGGCATGTCCTCGGACGAAGTCTACGTCGAAGGCCTCCCCGTCGGCTCCCTCTTCTCCTTCCTCTGGAACGGCATGATCTCCTTCTCCTTCCAGCTCGTCGGCTTCCTCCTCACATACCTCCTGCACACCACTCACGCCGCCAAAAATGGTAGCCGCGCGGGATTGGGCCTCACGTTGGTGCAATATGGGTTCTACATGCGCTCGAATCCAGACTCGAATCAGGGGAATCCGGGGCAGTTTGCGAATGGGAGCCCGCCCGATCCGAACAGTCATAGTTTTGACCCGAATAACGTTGACAACACCGGACCTGGAAGTGGTCCCGACACGGACCTATCGGGCGGCGGCCTTACTGGAGTCGACTGGGTTTCCTATGTTCTTATGATTGTTGGATGGTTCATTCTAATCCGCGCCGTATCCGACTTCCTGCGAGCACGCAAGGCCGAACAGCTGATCAGTTCGAGCCCGAGCAGAGGCCTCCCCGTGCCAGTCGTAGCAGAGGGCGAGTCGCCGGAGCGGGCTGCTTAGGAGCTTCAGCCGCTCACACAATTTGATGGCTCTGTCGAGGAGGGCTCTGCGGGCACAGCAGATAGTGGCGCGAACGTCGAGGATGTGGAAACGCCAGCGCCCGCCCGGGCTGGACGGTGGCAATGGCAACAGTTTTCGGGGTTTGCTACCGCAATCTTCTGGGCGGACCCTGACGACGTCTTGCGCTACCTTGTCTGCTCCTTCGTCTTCATTCTCATGGGGCTGGTGAAGGTCATCTTGGTGATCACAATCGGACCGTTCTGGTAGCATTGCATAGCGCCACTACAGAGCCTTATCAATATGTTATAAATCTTCCGATCACTATCACAGTCTCGAATGCACTGGCATGGACCCAGGCCGTGAATGTCTCTTCGCCCTCAGTGAAATACTCGTTCCGCGTTTGCCTCGATCTTTGACTTCGTGAGTCAAGGTATAAGTAGTTGCATGGCCCCCGACTTCACGAATCCTTCTTCTCCCATCCGCGAACAATGCGCTCCACTACATGACCACCTCCTCATGCCTTGGCAGTACGGGCTACTGCTGCCTGGTGGGACGAGCGACATCGTATTAGGTTCAGTCGACCCAGTGGCTCTCCCAAAAAGCCGCCTGTGGTCCCAAACTGCTCACACAATTCGCCCGTTTGGATGCGCAGACAAGTGACTGATTTCAACTGTAGTGGAAAGAACACACTACTTACATACTATTGCGATACAAACAAGACTAACAGTTCATGACTTACCGTGATGTTTCAGATACTTACCAGCAGTCCTTTCACCAAATTCCAGCTGACTTACCTCAAGACCAATCCACGACTTACCTTTACCTACCCAGAGCAACACTCGCCTCTTCAAGGGGCATGCACGTCCCTCATAACCTCATCCTCGTCGGTCCACTGCAGCGCATCTCTCGGGTTCGCGTGCACACGAGACGCGGCGCCACGGATACGCAGTCCTTGACCGCGATCACTATCATCTTCATGGGCAACGAGCCTGACGCCCTCCTCGTCGTCCTCCTCATCATCATCCGACAAGTATGGAATATCTCCGACTCGGTCCACGTCGAAATGCTCACAGCCCAACCAATTGTCCCCGCACAGAGGACATGGCGGTCCCGTATTCGCGTCGTCTGATTCCAAGTCCAGTTCTCGTATCTCCCCCTCCTCGAGATCGTCGCTGTCGTCGTCGTCAATCGCTGAACCATTGTCGCTGTCGCTATCGCCATCAACGAGCAGCCGTTCCGGCTCAGCGAGAGGTCCGTAGCGATCCCCGTCATCAGTCCAAGTCATATTGTACCGACCCGCCACCGCACGCTGCACTCCCCACAGCTGCAGAAGCCAAACCGGCCTAGCCCGCCGCGCCGGCTCACCCACACGGCACCGATCATCAGCCTCAGCGCCCACCATCACTACTTCCCACGCCCAAGCCATTTGGTCACTGTCCCGCGTAATACTAGGAGCGTGTGCCGCGTAGAGCAGACAGCGCGTCATCTGATCCTCACTATCGCTGCGAAGGAGCCCGAGCGGCCCGAGCGTGCTGCGTCTTCCCACGCCCACGATTCGCAGCATCAAAATCGCGTCATCAATGAACATTTGTAGTCCTTCACGCTCATGCCGTCGCAACGTCCAGAGGTGCCCGTCAGCGAAGGCCTGCTGATCGTCAGAAGTGCTCTCCTCGACCAGCGCAATCGTAGCTTCCGGGTTAGAGCCCCGCTGCTCGTGACGCGCGAAAAACCGCTCTCGCATGCTAGCGAGGACGAAGCTCAGGACATCGCGCAGCACAACCGCCATCTTGCGGAGTTTGTCCACAGCGCGCGTGATTTTGCGCTTGAGCCTCATGTGCCTCGCTGGCGAAACGGCGCGGTCTTGTACGCTGCGGCGCGAAAGAATGCCGAGTTCCATGATTTTCTCCTCTAGCATCTCGATGACGGTACGGAGTTGCGCGATCAAGTCGTTGTTGGCGAACAAGAGGAGCGCAGGCAGTGCGTCGAGGAGGGCAGGTGTCCAGACTGTGTCGGCAGGGAAATGGGACAGTACCTGAGGGCCCATGAAGGGGTACTGAATGGTGATGGCCTTGACTTGTTCGACGGGATCATCAACGGCGGTGCACTCCGTGGGTAACGGCGAAGGAAGGTCGATATGAGCCCATGTCGGCGTCGATGCTTCGGAGTGGGAATCGTCGTTGGCTGCGGTAGGTGTTGGGATGTCGGTGTCGACGCGGAGTGCGGAGGTTGGATGGCGGCTAGCTTCGATAATCATTGGCAGGTCTCTGACGAGGACCTCCCTCTGATGACTCATTTGAATGAAGAGTCTCTGCAAAGTCCACTCATTAGCGGCAATATCCTGGCGGACAGGCATATTGACGATTGCACGAATAGCTGTGGCCAATTCGTGGTCATCCTGTGGAGTCTGGAGAATCTCGACGGCGATGTTGTGACATAGAACGTTAGTGACATCGTGCCGTTCCGGATAACGACGTGTTCGATTAGGAATCCACGACCGCGTCTGTAGCTCGTCTAGTGCAGGGGCTGCGCCAGCCGAGATGAAAGGCGGCACCGAAGACTCCTCTGTGAAGATCTCCAGCTCCTCTGGCAGGCTGGCTAGGAACTCCTCAAGCTCATCTTCGTCCACCGTGAAAGCCTGGTCTTGGACGAAAGTGCCGGCAGCCAGCTCGGTGAAGAAGTTCGCCAAAGTGTAGGGTGGCAGTACGTTCGCGAGGTCAATGCCCAGCATGGCGGCAAGTTCCCACCGGATCATGGTGGCCCACTCTTCCAGCCGCCTATCTACAGCGTCGAGGATGTGCCGATGTTCGATCGTACATAGCGCGTCCCGCAGCGTGAGACATCTGTCGTTATCGTTGTCGGTCGTAAGTTTCGCACCGAGAATTGCTCTTGTGACGTGGTCTTTCGAGAGCATTGCTTGCAAAGCCGAGAAGACAAATGAAGCCTCTTGCTCACGATGGAGCGCCGCATCACTCGTCGGGGATTGGCAAGAGGGTAAGTTCATCTCGTCGGCCATAGTGGAAATTGTCTGGATGGTCATCCCACGAAGGACAGGATCGAGCTCTTTCAGGGCAAGCAAAGCCGGATGAGGCGTCGGCAACCGTAAGTCTGCTAGAGGCGTGGCGGGCAACACATTCGTAAATCGCGTGATCTCAGCGTCTGCTGCATGAGCCTCGGCGGATGTCAAAGCTCGGAATCGCCAAGGGTACTCGTTGAGAATGGCGCGAGCAATGCCACCGCTAACGCGGTAGCAAGCTGTATGTGAGCTGAACTTGACGTCGAATTCCGTATCCAGTGAGGCGGCAGCTGCGCCAGTGCTGTGGTGGGCAGCAAAAGAGTACAGCGCGGGTCTATAGTCGCCGGTGCTACGGTCGAAGTGCAATCGAAAGTTGGCGAACGTCAATTCGTCGGCTACTCTGGCGATAGCGTTCCGTTCACCCTGGCTCAGGTCCGAAAGGGTGATGGCTGCGGAAAAGTCATCGGCGGTGGTTGGCAGCGTCAGGGTCGACGGCAATACCTGAGACTCCCGCCGAGCAGGGGGAGAAGGCGCCTGGCTTCTGGTAAACGACTCGAGCGCCAGAGGTGAGATTGGCTCATCGATGATCATTGCGCCGTACCCATCAGATGAGGTGACCGTCGAAAGATTGCTTGGGCGATGCGGAACTGCATCTGAATACATCGGCGGCGGCGACTCATAACTTGGAGGCTGAGGGGCACTGGAAGCAAGATAGAACGGAGGCATGTGCCCATCAGATGGAACGACCTCTCGCTGATGCCTTAGCTCGACTCCGCGCCAGGTAGGTCTCGGCGAGTAAGTAGGTGGGGGTCTAGAAAATGAAGTCCTCGGTCGTCCAAGTCTCGGGGTGACTGCTTCAGTTGGGAGCTCAGTAAGGCGATTGCCAGGATGAGGCGCTGGGTCGGAGTGCGTTGGTACATCTGGTTGGCCAACCTCGTTTCTGGGAAGGCTGTCATGATAGTGATCAACGATCGCGTAGATGTGACTGTCGGTCACACGAATATTCCACTTCTCCTGCAGGAAGAATCGAATTCTGCTCGAGGAGACGTTTTTGCGGTGCAGACTTACCGTTTTGTGATAGACTCCATCCGCAACCTCCCTATACATGTTACGTCCCAACGGTACTTGCTGAATGCCATGGCTAGGTAGGTCAGTGGCATCGAATTCGCCATCGAGGACGCTATTGATATGTTCGGAAGATAGATCGCGAAGGAAGTACTCACTAAAGTGGCAGGGTATACATTTCGAACATCCACTCGCTGCTTTCGCCCGAATCCACAGGATCTGCTTCACTGAGAGGACCTCAGTCGAGTCCCTGATCTTCAAGTTTTGGTTCTTTGGAATTGTTGATAAGTCTTGCATGTTGTAGTGAGCTGACAAAACAAATTAATCTAAGGCGATTCGGTGTTTGGTCGAAAGTTCTGAGGAATGAGAAGAATCGGGTGCGACGTTGCTGGACCCACGATGTAACGACATTGTTCAAGGAATGTCTTTCAAACAACAAAAGAGTGACGGTCAGCACAAAGAGGAGATGGGAAATGATAGGAATTGGCTTTGTGAGAATTGACCCGAAGTCGCTTTGAAAGGACTAGGAGAGGTTCTGCTCATACAATGAGCGCACTACTACACTGAGTCAGCCTGGTCATGGTCGCGACGGAGGAAAAGCTTGGAGTTAGCGTGCTCGCCGGCGCAGGCCTGGCTAGATCCGAGTCTTGGGGGAACGTACTCTGAGCATCGTCAATGGCCTGATGCCTCTGTAGCGAGGAACGAAGTTGCAGCTCGATGGCGGCCGTCGCGCGCCGTTTTGCAATGCTTTCGGGCATGGACTTGCCAATAGCGTCTCGTTGTGTCATCAACTTGAGAGCGCCCGCCACTAACAGCGTTTCCTCCTTCTCTGGGGAGGTCGGTGATTGTAGTCCCGGGTCCGAAGTGCTTGCGTGGGTTGTGACCCGTTTGAGCATAGTCGAGCTTCGGGTCTTGGGGCGTGAGACGGCCATAGATGTTCGGGACGAATCCGCGGAGACTGGTGAGTGTTTGCTGTGAGCAAGCTCATGATTTAAGAGAATTTGTTGCACCAGTGCATTGTAGTTGGTATGCGAAGCACGTTCCTCTATATTCAGACCTCGTATGATGTCGGCGGCAATGTCGTCGATACCGCGACCACTGCCGGCAAGGTCGAGAACTCGGAAATAGCTCTCCACCGGGATCTCGGTCCCAGACACGTTGATAGTTGGCAAGCCACGGGTATTTATGCCGGCCGAAGCGGGGCGAATGATTGCGGTCAGCCGTTTGCTGATCATATCTGCGCATCAGGACAGAGATTATTGTCTTCGATGGACGTGTGTGTTTGATATCCAGCACTAAAGACATTACATCCTCTGGAACCATGGTGAGGACTCCCCAGGCGCTGGTCCGGTTGCATTGAGAACAAAGACGGCCTCGAGCGTCCGTGCGTCCATGTCGTGGTCTGTGTGCTGTTCATTCGCTAAGCGCCAAGTCTTTCATGTATCTCGCAACTCTCTTCTGCGATACAGAAGTTGCAGGCGGCCAGCCAGGGTGGCAAGAGTAGCATTTTGAGCCATGATTGCAGTCTCTGTCTCGTCATCTCTCTGCTGTTGACCATTGACTTCCGCGAAGACAACCGCTTTTTCGATATGAAGACTGTTCCCAAGCCGAAGCCTGCCAAATCGTCCATCGAGCCACGTCAGGCGTATGTAACTGGCGTCCGGGCTTTCTGACTCAAATGAGACGATGTCATGTGTGGCGTTGTCATCTCGCGTAGCTGAATCGGCGTCGAGGCCGAGTTTCTCTCGAGTTGCCGCAATGGCGTCTTGCCGTAGATGCCAACCAACGAGGTCGCTGCGTACCCGACCAACAAAAGCCTCAACATCCTGTCGAGTCGTGGTGCCTTGCAGAGAGTCTTCCGAGCCATAGCCTTCATCCGCCAATGGCAAGAAGCGTTCGCGATAACGATCTACCGGGATAAAGGCTGGCAGCGTATGCTTGAACAAAGTAAGCTCCTGAGCGTCATGGGCGGATCTTTTGCAGAAAATATAGTAGGCTGGTCCGTAGAAGCCTCCTCGGCGATGTATGTCGAAGCGTATGCCCAGGAGTGGACGATTGGATGTATCTGGAGCTGGATCAACGAAAGGAAAGGTGGTGACGCCGTATGCTAGGCGATGAATATTGGTTTGACAATGTTGTAGGCGATTATCGAGAAGTTCGATGTGATCGGCAAAGCCTTGCTCCTGCCTCAGTTGTTGCTGGATTTGATCAGAAGCGAGCAAAGACGCGGCAAGCACGTCGTTGCGTTGATCGAGGTTCGCCAATGCCGAGCGAGCTGCCTCGATCTCCCGGTCTAGATCATCCAGTCGAGCCTGTTGAGTCTCTGTCAGAGCATCCTCGGGCGGCGGCGACGCTACAAGGGCCATCGTTGTGAGGTAGTCGACCGCCTCTGACTGTTACGCCAACGAGAGACCAAGATGATGCCTTCGGGCTGAACGCGCTTCGGAGAACGACCCGCGTTTCATCCGCCAAGCCTTTGCATTACTAGGGCGGAAGCAGACTAGATCAAGCCTCCGGCAATGCAAGAAATCCTGGGGCTTCAGGGCATTCTAGGCAAGGGGTTGCCTATCGAGACTCCAACGCTCACCTGCGCGAGGCACGCATCAGCACCGACAACGAGTATACAAGACAGGTCATCAATAGCGCTGCTATGCCTATCTATGCGCCGGTAGTCATTCAACATCAGCAGCATCTGTCACCTAGTTGATACGCTCCAGCAGCGAAAGATGAATTGATCAGCACTGGCAAATCCCCAATGACTTCATCTCGCACGGATTGATCTAGATCCTTTTTTGAGGACACGTTACAAATTTATTCTGGTTCCGCTGTGTGGTCATCGTTTCGCGTGGATGCCGCCTGATTCTCTGGGTGAGCCCCTCGCACAACCACTCTTTGTCTCTCGTCACTCTTTGAACATTCAGGAACTGCCACGTTCAACGCAGTCCACCATCAACAACTCACGAACTCCACATGCGCACCCTCAGCAAAACCTTGACATCGAGCTGAATTCGCTCTCTTCCACTGCACGCGACGACGACTCAGACACGTCCCTGTCAGACATCGGAGAGAACGAGGGCGACAGACTTGTGCCCGGCGGCTCAGCAACCCAGATGAAACGCGCATCACGCCGGAACAAGAGCAAGAGCCCGCATCCGGATCTCAAGATACAAGTCAACGGCAACGGAGGAGCCAATGGCCATTTGAACGGGCACGCCAACGGCAGCGCGTCCTCCAGTATGGAGTTGAGACGCAAGCATGTCACCAACGAAGACTCCCATCGCGATGAGCTCATGTCGCATTCACAATTCTCCCTCGATTCCGAGCCTCCTCCACCGACCCCTCAGACACCGGGCATGGTGACCACCTCCTTTTCCTCCCTACCGATCACAGACAAGCGCAACTTTCTCCTGTTATGTCTACTCTACTTCCTCCAAGGCATCCCGATGGGCCTCGCTGCCGGCTCCGTGCCATTCCTCCTCAAGAACTACCTCTCCTATACTCAAATCGGAATCTTCTCGTTAGCGATATACCCATACAGTCTAAAGCTGCTCTGGTCGCCAATAGTGGACGCAGTATGGTCACGCAGAATTGGACGCCGCATGTCGTGGATCCTGCCCATCCAGACAGTGTCCGGATGCAGCATGATCTACCTTGGAGGACAGATCGACAAAATGATGGTAAAGGCTGGTGCTGACAGCGGTTCTGGTGTTTGGGGCTTTACTGGCTGGTGGTTTTTACTCGTCTTTCTCTGCGCGACACAAGACATTGCTGTAGATGGCTGGGCCATCTCGCTGCTGTCAATGGCGAATATATCCTACGCATCGACTGCGCAGACTGTTGGCCTAACAGCTGGCTCCTTTCTCTCGCACACCGTCTTTCTCGCGTTACAAGCGCCTGACTTTGCGAACCACTGGTTTCGAACCGTACCGAGTAAAGTCGGACTGCTCACACTTGGCGGATACATGGAGTTCTGGGGCTGGGTGTACCTGGCGGTCACACTTGGACTGGCCCTATTGAAGAAAGAAGAGAAGACGAGAGACCGCGAGGGCATTATGGAGGTCTACCGCTCAATGTGGCAAGTCATCAAACTGCCCAACATTTTGACGATAGTCGCCATACACCTGATCTCGAAGCTCGGATTCGTCACCAACGAGGCCGTCACCAACCTCAAACTACTGGACAAGGGCTTCGGTCAGGCCAATCTAGCCCTGGTCGTGCTCATCGACTTCCCCTTCGAGCTGGGTCTAGGCTACTACGCGGGCAAATGGTCAACAGAATACACACCCCTGCGACTGTGGTGTTGGGCGTACGTCGCTCGACTTGTCGCAGCGCTTTTCGCACAGCTGACTGTCGTCATCTACCCAACAGCACACGACGAAGCCGTACCCGCATGGTACTTGCTTACCGTCATCGTGTCTCACGTCTACTCGACATTCACAAGCACCATCATGTTCGTCGCCTCGGCTGCTTTCCACGCCAGAATAGCAGATCCCAACATCGGCGGTACATACATGACGCTACTTGCCACGTAAGTCTTCCTTGCTGACCCCTCGCATCACCGAACATCACTAATTTCCCTTTAGTGTATCAAACCTCGGAGGCACCTTCCCCAAATTCTTCCTCCTCAAATCCGTCGACCTCTTCACCAGCGCAACCTGCCAACCCCTAGACCGCGCCTCATCCGCCTTCGACGACTTCATCAAAGCCAACCCCGACATCACGCCCATCACCGAGGCCTTCTCATGTGCTCTCGAAGCCGAGAAGAACGCCTGCATCAAAGGCGGCGGTACCTGCACATCGAGCGCGATGGGTACTACATCACGAACATCGTCTTCGTCCTGATCGGAGCCGTTCTGTTCTGGACGTATATCGAGCGGAAAGCTCTCTCATTACAAGCGCTACCATTACGCGCATGGCGCGTGGGCGGGAGTGCGAAGTATGAGAGGGTGCCTACCTCATGACACATGCTCGAAGAGGCCAATCTGTAGAAGCCAAATGCAATGAAAGCAAACGTTCAAGTCACCGGAAATGCACACCTCCACTATCGCCTGCCCCCTCGACACACTTTGCTCCAAACGGCCATAAATGCCATTCCCGCGTGCTCTCGAGAAGCCTGACCCACCTCCCAAACCACGGCATCCTATCCTCCCCGCTCCTCCCAGGCTCCTTGCCAACCCAAACCTCCCGGTCCCGCTCCATCCGACACACCAAACACTTCTGCCTGCTCACCGCCTTCCTCTGGCTTACCAGACACCGATCGAATCCATAACAGCCACACTTGCTCGTCACATTCGCCGCATCTGCGTAAGCGAGTTTCTCGACGAAAACAGCAAGCTTATGCCCGCACCCCTCGAAGTGCACAGCAACCTCCCAGGTATCACCACTCAGCTCCTCCTGCTTCACTTGCCGGGGCAAGCGAGCGGAGCGATGAGCCGAGGAGTCGCGCTGCACGGCGAGAGTGGCGCGGTGGTTCGTGATACCGTCGTGGGTTGGAGTATTGGATGCGGTGGCCCATTCGCGCGGGATGTGGCAGGGGCAGTCATTTGGACCAAGCGTGAGGCCTGCGAGGGCGGATGTTGTGGTGCCGATTCGGTTGGGTGAGCTTTGTACCGGATGGTTGACCTCCCATGCCTCGCGGTTGTCGCCTGGGCGTCTGTATGTTGAGAAACGGTAGAGGTTGCCTGGTGTGTCTTGTCGTGGTGGCGAGGTGTTTCCGTTTTCTGTGGTCGGCGTACTGTCCGAACTGCTCTCACTCCAGCGTGAGGTAGGCTGATCGACCGCATCAACGTTTGGTGGTCCTGGCTCTGGTATCGACAAGAACCCAGTCGACAAGTTGCCAATCAAAGGTCCCCCTGGAACTCTCCTCGGCCGAGGTAGCATCTCTTCAAAGGCACTTGTCCGCCCAGCTGCTCTTCTCGGTCCAGGACTACTCCCCTCAGCTGCGCCAGCCCAATCAACCTCTTCATCAGCTGCGCCATCAATCCACATCCTCGTCCCATTCGAGTCCCCAACAATGGGCTCCCATCGGCCTCCTTGCCTCTCCAACTCTCCAAGCGTTCGGACGACGTTTTCTCGCAGCTCTTCCGGAATCGTCGCAAGGATCGGCTGGCCACTGAAAAGGAGACCTCTCTGGTCAGGTGTCAACCCTCCCTGCCCGTCCTGTGCCAAGATCCGCTCTTCCGCTTCACGAGCTTGGACCATGATATTCCTGTTCCGAGCTTGACGAGCCAGTACACGTGGGCCAAGACTCGGTGGGTTGAGGGTGAGGTGACCCGGACGGAATGGCTGCACCGGCTGCAGTCTTCTCGGTCTGATTCGTTCTCGAGAGACGGGCCTTTGCGGAGGCGACGGGGTGGGTTCGCGTTGGACTGCGCCGGACATTGTCGTGTCGTCAACGACGAGATCCCTGTTCATCGGAGAGTCACGCCTCTCAACAGCATAGTCGCCGAGACGCCCATTCGCATTGTCTGCGGCTGACCTCGCTGCGGCATCGCGCTCATCCAGCCGCGCAACAACAACTCTCGCGCGCTCAAGTATCTCCTCCGCCTGTTCCGGGGTCATGCCACTGGCCATATCGCCTATGGGCTGATCTCCGTCTCCGAAATTCCGAACCACGACGATTGAGCGATTGGATGCTTGAGCTGACGAGCCGTTGGCTGTTGCAGGTGTTACGTCGTCACTGCCGCTATCGTCCCGTCGACGACGGCGCTCGAGCTCGCGAATAGCTCTACGTGTCTCTTCCAAAAGGCCACGCTCGAAGGTGGTCAGAATACCGCCTTCTTCTTCGCTCGTGGCTTCCTGGCCGTTCGAGTTGGGCGACAACGCATCGTCGAGATCCATAAGATCATTGTCGATGATCAGGACCTGCCTCCTTACCTCATCATCAACACCGTCATCCTCTTCTTCCTCATCGCCTGCCCCGTCGGCAACATTTCCTGCCTCCACACCATTCCTATCCACACCATTATCTCCCCCACCAGCTTCCTCTTCCGTTCCGCCATTGCTCTCCACCCCACCCATCGCCCCATCACTCGGAGCCAACTCCATCCCAGCAAAAATCCTCCACCTCCTCACTCCCCTCCTCCCACCATCCACACCCCTCCCCAGGCCCTCCAAATAATCCACATCCCCAATCACCCCCTCAATCTCCTCCTCCAAACACGCCGGACACTTCCTTACATAACTATGCGCGGCACCCCATTGAACATCATGGCTCCGCCAATCCGCCGTGTCCTCTCCATACCTGGTCGTCTCCTTCTCCAGAAGGGTGGTAGGGACGTAGTTCGGGTGCGTGACGCGAACGCGAGTCGTGTTCGTTGGGGAAGGTTGGAGTACTGGGAGGAGGATGTGGAGGATGATGATTGCGACCGCCGAATTGAGGGGTCAACATGGCAGTGGTAGAAGTGGAGGTTAGTGTGCCGGCAGGGAATGTAGTGCTGGAGAAGGGTGTGGCACATCTTTGCTTGTGCATGTGAGTGCTACCGGATCGAACGCCGGCGATCTGGCGGGTTTTGGGACCGTCCGTCTCGCGGTCCGGGCGGGCGTTATGAGTATGACTGACGCAGAAGTATCGAACATATGCGTTGTAAGCATACCCAGTACACATATCGGCGCTGCTGCTCGAACAACGCATAACTTGAATGTAGGCGGATGGCGAGCTGGCGTTTGTCTCCGCCTGCGATCGCCGACTGCGTCCCCTTCATGACGCTGCTCACTGTGCTTGAATACATCACGAGGAATGTCACATCCATTGGGAGTGGATGCATTAACAAGGAAAGGATGACTGGCCTTGAATCGCGTCACGCACCTACCTTCCAGCAACAGCTGGCACTCACAGGAAGTGGTGTCGCTCGAGCCTTCCTGCATAACATTGCTGCCACGAGCTGCCCGCTCGCACTAAGAGGAATCACATACTCCAGCTCCCGCGTCGCTCGTAGCTCCCGTCGCCGGCGCAGTCGTACTCGCGGCAGGAGAGGCAATCAAGGGCCAGCAAGACGAGGGCATCGTCGTCGGACCATGCCTTCGCGACCATTGACAGCGTACGCATCAGAACTCGATGACTATGGTCATGTGAACCCGCTTCGCCTTTTGCCGCACAGTCATTAGCTGGTTGAAGATGATGCGTGGACTGTAGACTGCAGTGCCTGCCCTGCAAAACGAAGAAGGCAATTCCAGCTTTGGGCGCGAGGTAACCACCCTTGACCGTCATCCGGCTTTGACTTGGAGCAAATCTAGTCAACCGGCGTCAGTCACAGCGACTTGTGGTGGTCATCCGGTCTGACTTCAGCACCCCTATGGGGACAGACGACCCGACCCATCCTCAACCTTCTCGACGATCGCCATTATCATGTGCAAAACACGTGCATACAGACTCACTGGACCGTCGTCTGCGTCGCTGCCTTCCTCGAAGCCAGCACGTAGCTCCAGCTGCCGTGATGGGTGACCGTGACTTACCCGAATATATTCGTGGTGGATGAGCCGTGAATAGCAATGCACTTAGACGTCGGATCACGAAACAGCAATGAAGAACACTGGTCTTTGGAAAAGGCTGTTCTCATCGAGAATAAGAAGTCTTCGACTGCGCCGGCCTGCTTGCTAAAGTCTAGCCAGCAAAGAATGAGTCCAACAACCGGCCGCCATTTGAGAATAAGTCATCATGGTCTTCATCTCCATCACACCCCACCAAACGCTTGCTTCGCAAAGGCAGAACGGTGTACGCCTTCTTGCTTACTGGCATCAAAAGCTCTTCCTCCCATCGAGAGCCACCGAGTGTGTGCACAAGCACTACACATGCTAGTCATTAAATCGTTCACGGTCCCCCTCCACCAACTGCACGATTTCGCTGCTACTCCTGCAGCTCATCTCTCGTCTTATCGTTACACTTTCTCGAGTCGTCAAACATGAATATTCATCGTCAAAGAATGGTACGCCTCGAGAGGCTCCTGATTTGTCCCATTCCAAAGTCTCGGTCGCACACGAGACCGCACCAATCATCCATATTGGTTATCTCCAGGATCTCTCAGGCTATCGGGAGTGGACGGGTAGAATCGAATGCTCCAAGTCCAGCGCTGGCCGGATCATATTCGTGGTGCCCGTGCTTGCCTCGTTCGAATGCCTTCGTCGTGTTGGATGGCTCAAAGACATTGTCGAGACGTGATCTAGCAGATCTGCGAGGTTTTAGTGTCTCTACCTCGACGTCCATGTTTAAGTCATCGTCCATAGCAAAATCGAAACGCTGGCCCCTGCCGAAGCGGAACGAACCAAGCGAAGGAGACGAACTCGCTGGTGGCGAAGAAGAGAAGTGCTCCATGTCCAGCTCCTGTGACAATACGGCTCGTGCAGAGGGCGGAGGCGAGAACAGCGATGGCTTAGCCATCCGCCGTTTTCGACAACTGCTAGTTGCAGAATCTGGCGAGACTGCCTGAAGTTCGACGCTCGTGGCAGACACGTCGCCCAAAGCATCATCGCCATTGTGGACACTTACTCGGCGATGCCCCTTCCGGCCTCTGCTAGAAGCGGAGTCCAAATCGCTTTCCTTGAGCATTTCTCCGGGACCCTTCACGACTGCTCCACCAACGGCCAGCATTATTGCCATGCTGAACTTGCCCCATAGCATGACGGTCTTGCCCCAGCCAGGCTTTCGGCTCTCTTGAGGCGGACTTGGAACATGCTCACCAGCACTTGCATTGTCAGCATCAAAGTGAACCCTACGTTCTTGCGAGTCACCACTCTGCTCCTGGAGGAGAGGCTGCCGTGCTTCAGAGCTTGCTCCACAATGTCGGTCCGCGATCGCCTCGCCGTCGAAGTCATCCCAGTCCCAGTCTTGCTCTCGATCCTTAGTCGAAGAACCAAGAAACAGGCCCAGCACCCACCAGCTTAGCTTGCCAAGGACCGCCCAATTGCAGCGCCAGGCATTTGCAATTACCCGTCGAGCAACAGCAAGGGGATCTCTTCTAAAGTCTCGCATCATAGTCGTGCACCTTGATAGCGTCCCGTAAATCGTCTTGATAGTGACCACAGCAATTGGCTTGACGCCAAAGTTCTTGCGCGAGAGCAGCTCCAACGGAGTCCTAGACCGACGTGGCGACAACAGAGACATAGATGTCGGCCTCGATCGGACCATTGGTGTTTCGGTGCCACTCAAAGATCTTGCATCAGTGCCTCTGTCCGTAGTCTCGGGCAGAGCAGTCGGTTCAGCCTCAGCTGCCACATCATTGTCCTTGTCAATATGACTTTCATCATGGGCCTCGAAGGCTGAGCTCATCTTCCGACGCTTTCGAGCGTAGCCGGCCAAGACCGGCAGACCATGGTTGTCGATATCGTCGTGGGCGCTCAATGAGGGCAGCATTGGCTCATCGGTGGGCGCAGCTTGCCGCATGGATGTAGAGAACAAGGGCTCCGGAATCTCAACACCTGAGACTTCGCCAGGAGATGAGTACAAAATCAATTGCCCTGGTCCATCGTTAGGGCCGTCGCCGGGAGCTGACTGATGATATCTGGGCATGAGGGTACTATCGGCATCTTCGCCCGAAGACATCGAGCGCGGGCTTCTCAGTCCATCCAACGCGTAGCCGCTGCGCGGTGAGATTACCGAGGAGCCGGCACGAGCTGTGTTACTGATGAAGCCGAAATACGACTGGCCGGCATCAGTATCACGCGCTGTGGTGTCATCGCTGCCATCCAATACACCCTCAAGGCTTTGATATGCGAGACTCCGAGCTGTTGTCTTACTCGCTGACTCCGCGTATGGATCGCTGAGAACGCTCTCCCCGTCGAAGTCGTAGCTTGCCGGCGATTGCGAGATGAACATGGTAGTCGGATCGGCCGACTCTTCGGAGAAATCTCGTCTCGGCGTCTTGCTGGGAGACACCACTGGTGTCGTGGTGCTCAAGGCACCATATTCGCTCGTCAGTGTAGGTAGCAACAATGGCTTCAGCTGCGTTGATCCGTGCATTCTGCGCCGCCTCCGGTTCGGATTTGGCTTGCCGCTGGGGTCGACCGAGGACGATGCGGGAGGTTGCTCGGATGTCGGGCTATGTGATATATAGCTTGCAAGGGTCGATGTCCGCGAGTGAGACCTACCGCCAGTCTGCATAGATCGGGACCTGCTCAGATCGGGTCGATAAAGGGGTCGGGCGTGATGGTCAGGACTCAATGGTGAGCTCGGGAGGACTCCAGGAGACGAGCTTAAGGCATGATTTGACGCAGGCGAGCCTATGAGGCTGCGCGGCCGTTGTGGATGTGTATGTGTGGGAGATGAAGCCACCCGAGGTAGCAGCAGTGACTGGGGACGCTGGCTTTTCGATAGTCTGCGCGGAGCCTCGAGGTCGAAGTGCTGGGGTTTCGTAGGTGAGAAGGCCAGCAGATGCGACAGAACTTCGTTTCGTTTGGACATACTCTCGTTGCTTTGTTCCAGACTATGGTTTTCTGCTTCGAGCCTCTCAATGGTAGCTCGCAGAGTGTCGAACATGCCTTGATCCGGGTGTTCATGCACCCGCTGTGATTGAATCTCGCGAATAGTGCTATTCTTCTGCTCGACCTCATCCTCAAGAGCCCGAATCTTCCTCCTAAGAGCGAGCTCTGCGGCGGTTTTGTGCTGTACAGCCGTCTGGACCTCAGTTTCGAAGGTCGTCTTGACGTCTGCGAGCTCTTGTCGAAGCCGCTCATTCTCTTGCTCGGCTTGTTTTAATTTGTCCTTCCATGAGCGATTACTGTTAGGCGAATATACTGAGTTGTTGGCCAGCTCGAGCTCTTTCTCGATGCGATCAATGTACTCTTCTGAATTGAAGCGCGAGGTCGTAGTCGTCTTGCGGCGACGGATCGATTTGCTATCATTGGTCCCAAGTGGGTTGTCGGTCAAAGGCGACTTGCGCGCATTTCCGGAGACCTCTCTAAGGCCCATTGTGAATGAATCTTGGATGTGCTCGAAACGAAAAGGGGAATCAACTGGACTGGACAACGAATTTCTGTACACAGGTGGGGAGGTCGTTGGCGAGGGCTCAAGCAGACCCCTCTCCGGATTGTCCTGGAATATGGGAATTGCCTGCCGGCCTAGCAGCTCCCGTTGACGTACTCCCAATGATGCGCTTCGAACCGAATTAGAGATCTCTGCGAGTATGCCGAGGGAGGATGTGGTGTGGTATTTGCGAGGCTGAACCCTGGGATGTGCGACGACGACGTTCTCTTGGTTCCTCTGTGGTGGTGATCCGTTCTCGGCCGTCAGGCCTGAAAGCCTGGAATTGAGGACTGTCCCGGACAACGACGACTTCGCGGAGAAATTGTCATTGCGCAGCTTTAGAAGACGTTGCTGGCGACTAGAAGGCGATGGATACGGGGCGATGGTGTCATGGGCATCGCTCGGGCCAGGTGGGTGCCCAAAACCAGGGGCCGGGGGCGATGTTGTGGGCGAAGGGCGAGCATTGTTCATCTTGATTCCACGAATGTTGTTGTTATGGGGGTGACAGCCCAGTGAACTGTGGACCAAGGCTCATGTGCTATAACGTTGCATTCTTCATTGGTCGGAGACTGCTGGCGAGGCTGAGGGTTGGGTAGGTGGTCGTTGAAGCTTCCGACGAATGGGAGATGCTGTCCGCAGATTGCATTCTTTGGGCGGCAAGATATCGACGATACTGTATGCCAGATACAAGTGAAGACTGTTGGCGGGTAAGGACTGTAAGAAGCAGATTCTCGTTGCGAGTTGTGTATGCGATTGACGCCAGAGCAAGAAAAGAATCACAGCCAGGCACCTGCCACTTGGAAGTGCATGAGCATTGAAAAGGAAAGGTGGTCGCGATCGTCTTCCCCAGTCGCGACTGTCTTGTTGACACTTTTCCTAATTCGTCATGCCGAGGGCCGATTCTGCGACTTCCCGAAATAATACTTTTATGAATCTCTCGAAACCACACAGGGCACTCCCTGGCTGTCATTTTCCTTTCCTCAAGAAAGCGACCGCGGCGTACCTGGAGCTGCATCTACTAATCTTCGGTGCACAGCGCGTCTGCCTGCCCTTGGAGGTCGCTGACCCTGCTGGCGCTGTAATACGCAGTGGACGTAGAGAAACCGAGATTTGGTCTCAGTCGAGATCGGGCAGATTCGCGATGTCGACTTGTGGGACAAACAAAGATACTCCACGATAAACAAATATCCGCTGACATGATGTTGACATCTACAGGATCTCGAGCGGGCTGATCAGTGACAGCCACGGCCTGCCGATGTGACATGCTCAAGACAGCGATGGCCTGAGATGCGAATTGATGGCAGTGATCGACGAAAGTGCTTCATGTCCCTTCAGTGAATCAATGTAGCTACAGTACTGTTCTGCCTTCATTACTGATAATGTGATTAGGTCGAGACGCTGACGACAAAGCTGGTAAGCCTATCGTCATCTTGCCCTGACTTCGCTGCTCGAGCATCATCGCAATAAATTCTCGATTCTGTGTCACCCGAGCCCTCGCGATGACTGACCTGTCATGCGTAGCAACAGACAATACTGTCTATATGCTATTCAGCGGCGGCCTTACTCCAAGTCAAGGACTAAGGTCACCGAAATAGTCCGGTCCTTGTTCGATCCTGGCTCATCGACCGCTTTCTCTACTGGTGTGCCTTCCATAGTAGTATCTGCCTGAACGTCCAGCTCTTCCTTTGCCTCCCATTCGCCATCTTGATTCACCAGGATCGCCTTGACAGACTGAAGCTTGCCCTGCTCTTCCAATGTGGCTCGCACCTTCTCCAGAAATCCATCAATTATCAGATTCGCTGGTCTTGCGTCCTTCTTGCAATGAGGACACTTGAACTCGTCAGGTGAATAAGGTCCCTCGTGCACTTTGGTTCTGCTCTTGAGAAATGTCTCAAGGTCGAAGCATTCTCGATGCAGGCAGTACTTGCTTCTCACAGGAATCTTCCAAATCTGTGCAGTGAAAGGGTCTATCACATCTACCGACAAGGTTGCTCCTGCAATCACAAGGTCATCGTCGTCGATTGGCTTGAGGCGGTTTGTGATGTCCCGAAGAACCGAGTCTGCATCTAGGCGAGTGATAAATTCGCGAATCCTCTTATGACTGAGGCACTCCAGGAGCTCGACAGCTATCCAGAATTGCTGCTTGCTTGTTGCTTCCTTCTCTGTCTGATCGTGTGAAATTTCAAAAGTGTTGTTGCCGGCTTTGACGTTCTTGGTGAGGTAAGCCGGAAGGCATCTGCCATAGTGAGGCTTCCGTCTGAGCTCGATGTCTTCATTGTTGAAGGTGATGAACAGATGTTCAGGCCAGGTCGTGCTAGTAGCATAGAACTCTGACTCTGATGGCAATTGCACCGGGTGCGCGGGTAATGCATCTCAGCCGCCACTGAAGAGCGCCATCGTGGAAGACTTGTCGCTCTGGGTCGAATGCTGAATGCCCTGCGGCTATGAACCGTGTCTTGTGCCGTAGCGACAGTGCGTCGATCTCGAACGATGATTTGAAGTACCTTGTTTTCTGTGTGAGGAGAGCAGGACCCAGAACAGGTTTCGTCACGACCTGGTACAATCGAAGGTCTGGACAAGGTCTGTCCTCGTCATCTCTAAGCTGCGGATTGGCTGGACGCAGGTGTGCTTGGTGTAACGCCACTCTATCTGGATTCGGGTTGACCGCCTGAGCCAGGTGAACCCCTTCTGGAGGAAGCAAAGGGTGCGCCTGTGGAACCTGCTGTTGCATTTGGAAGGCCTGGCCGCCCAAAGCCGATGATAGGCGTGGATCAGGCCGCACGGCTCTGTTAGTCTGATTCAACGTTGGTGATTGTATCCATTGAACTGCGGCTGTCACGCTATTCTGTGGTAAGAGCGTGGTGGCCGCTGAGGAAGCGACCTGCTGGCCGTAGGAAACTCGGCCAGGTGTTGCCCGATTCTGTGGAGATGGCGTAGCAGCCACCGAGCTAGTAGCCTGCTGGCCGTGAGACACTCGCCTAGGCGGAAGAGATCGTTGCTGCAAAGCGCCGGCACTGCCTGCCGGATGCTTTCCAATTGCATTCGCATACATTTGAGCCCATAGCTGAAGCTCTGCATCCATGGTGATGTTCTGTACGAGGCGATGTCTCTGCAGTCCCTCAAAAGCTGCTTCTACTTGATCTGTATTCTGCGCGCGAAGGCTTGGTACACTCTGTATGAGTGCCGAGCACAACGCCTTCTGCAGCTCCGGCGAAGATATGCGAAAAGTTTGGCCAACTTCAAGCGGCGAAGGTGGTAAGTTACGCTTTGCACAGTACTGCTGCATTGGATTCCAGTGCCGCAATAGCAAGTCCAACGATGTCTTCATCTGCTCAATGCTGGGCCGAAATTTTGCATGAAGGAGTTCTCCACAAGGATCTGGGTAGCTGAGAAGTGTGACCGAGAACAATGGTGTCAGGGCAGTGTTGTTGCCGAATACATACTCGAGCAGCGCCATACTGTCGAGATGACTTCTGCTGAAGTGAAGGCAATTGGTCAGCCAAGACAAATGATGCGTTCGAATCATGAAAAGTTGGTGCAACAGAATGCCCTCCAAATCATTTGCGATGGCGCAGCGGCGAATGAAGGCCATGCGTCTGTGGTCGAGACTTGTTGCGCCATTACGTTGTGCAACAGCGAGAAGTCCCTCCAGTCTTTCGATTGGACCAGACATCTGAGATGCTGAGACTACTTGGGCCTGTATTGGTAGCGTTGTAGGAGCCGTCGCTATTGCTGAGACGGAATCGACGGCTCCGCCTTGTACCGGTGTCGCACTCGGTGGCGAAGATGCGGGCGGCTGAACAGCAGACCCCTGTCGCAATTCAGAAGCACAAGATACGGAGTACTTCTTGTGGTCCAGGAATTCGCTGGCATTTTTGTACCTTCTGTGGCAGAGTTTGCACTGGTACGACTTCTCTGCCTCCGGGCTCGGTGGTGGATGGTCGGGGTCTTGCCTGACAGGTCCAGAACTGCAAGGCACAGAGTGTTGCAGGTGGAACTTCAGTCCAGCAGGGCTTTTGTACGTCTTTTGACAGACCTTACACTTGTATGGCTTCTCCTTCTGCAAGCCCGAAGTTTCAGGACTGCTGACCTCATCCAATGCAATAGTCACAGGATGCATTGAAGCTGTTTCTTCACTGCTCGACGCTGCAGATGGCATCGCAGACCAAGCAACATCAAGCGCCGTTGCCTTTCGCGGCTCCGAGGCGCCTGTCGCCGATGCGGCAGTTGCGATACTTGTGTGTGTGGACGCATCAATCGCTTCCGGAGATGTGACCGGACGCCGCTCTGATACTGTCGATGACAGAGAAGTAGAAGTCTCTCGTCTTGGCGCCCGGACTTCAGTCACGGCTTGGTCGTCACTTGACGAAAACCAATCATCGCGAGTGACTGATCGACTGCCAGGGCTCTTGGACGGGCTAGGTTTGATAGTTGCGCGTAATTGCGTCGATCCCGTAGAAGTCGCAGTTTGGGGCCTCGTCTGCGCCGTTGCCAGGCCATCACTCCTGCCAGTCATCCAAACTCTGGCAGCCTTGCCTCCAAGAAAAAGATTGGTAGTCGAATTCGCGTTGGCAAAGTCTTGAACTGTCTCATGTTGCGAGCGCTGCCGTGGCACACCCGTTGGCTTCGTCGGACGTGGCATTGCATTGACAATTCTTGAGTAGCTTTGTGTACGGGCCAAGGCGGGCCGTTAGAAACGCGTTCTCCGATACCTGACGAGTCTGTAATGCTGCTCATGGTGTAGATGATAGAGTTGTTTTATAGTCGCAAAAGAGCCGAATGTTCATTCACCTGACCCTAGAGCCTGAGGCTACAGAGAGGTCCAGAAGTCACTTGAGTCGAGGTGAATATTCTTTTCTTGAAGAAAAGAAATGACCACCATGAGTAGGCTATAACATAAGTATTCACATCAATGAGGTCTAGTACCGAAGACCATTGGTTGACCATACAGCATACAGAGGCTGGGAACGCAGTCGACCTAGGATGGAAGGGCCTAGAAAAAGCCAGCTCGACACAGCAAGATCATCGACCAGGTCCTACTACTTCCTGCACTGTTGACTATTGACACCGCGACTGCTTGACAGGGGCCGACATCATGCACATGGACGAAACTTGAACGCGACTGCAATCCGGCTGCGAGCGACAACGATGGGACATGCGCCACGAAGCCACAAATCTGTGGCGGTGCTTCATTGGTGGAAGTGATGATGATTTTGGCGCCTAAAATCAGGTTGAGGCCCCAGGAAGGGCCCTACAAGCCTGAGTGGCAGAGATCTGTGCTCCAGGGCTCTCCAACACGCGAACCTTGAAATAATGACATGACATCTCACTCCATCACCCACTTCACTACAACTAAATCTGCGTCTTGCCTGTCCGCAGTCCATAATACGCACCCCGAGACGCCATATACTGGATAGTGTTCTCAATCTGAGGAGTGACGACGAGCTGTTCCCGTCGTACTACCCCGTCGCCAATCGTCCAATAGTCCCCGACTCTCGCTTCTGATACGCTCCAGCCATCTTGCCGGAATCTCGCATTTGTCTCGCCAAAGCTGCGCCAGCGACCCGGTTGCACAAGGACCTCCTTGATCCTTGATCCAGAGACCAGAGCATCGACCACCGACCTCTCGAAGAACTTCTGTCGACTCCTCGAACAATGCCGATTGCTTGAATGTCTAGTCACCGCCCTCGCTGGTCTCGGATGACTAGGATAACAACACCGTTGTAGCCGAGTAGCATGTGACAAGGTTGTCCGGCAACTGCAAGTCGGGCTCTCAATCTATAGTGGACATCATGGCGGAAACATTGCAGCAAAGGACGGACCCTCTGCAGCCGGGAGACGTCTTGGTAGTTGTCCACGATTTCGATGCACGAAGTCCTGATGAACTCACATTGCGCAAAGCCGAGCGGGTAGAGCTGGTCGAACTCGATGAGGGCTTCTCAGATGGATGGTACCTCGGGAAGCATCTGGGCAGAGGCGCGACGGGTTTGTTCCCTGGAGGTAATGTGACCCATCATGTTTCCGCAGTCACTTGCTAAAGGTGACAGTCTACACTGCAAAGTTACCCGCAAACATTGCCGCCATTTCATCTCCGACCACTCAACCTCAACCCTACGTTCATGCGAACGTTCACGGCCATCCTCTTGTCCCATCACAGCCTTACGAACAATACCCTGGTTACAAAACGCAGGACGCGAGACCGCTCTCCGATCAGCCATCGTCCTTCAATCAGCAACGATCACTGTCGAATGCTGCTCGATCGTCTGCGCCCCAGATGTCGTCCATGTACAACAAGCCGTTGCCTATGGTGCAAAGGAGTATAGGCGAGGCGCTCAACGATCGACAGGATTCCCCAGTCATGAACGAGACACTAAGCGTCATCGACGAGCACATCACGGATCTCAGTACGCCTCGACAGAGCCTAGCTCCCCCACATCCAATCACGGAAGACTCGGACAGTGAATATAGCAGCCATCTCGACCGCGGATCATACCTAACAGGGCCTGAGACTGATGAAGAGGATAATGACCGTTTCACCAAGGAAGAAGTCCTTGGCTGGGATCATACACAGGTTGCTGCTCAGCTGCGATTGCTTGGAGTCGATCCTCGCCATTGTGACATATTTGAGGAGCAAGAGATCTCAGGCGATGTCCTCATGGAGATGGACCAATCGTTCTTGCAGATGAAAGAATTCGATTTCGGAGTAATGGGTCGCCGCCTCAAGACCTGGCACAAGATCAGGGACTTTCAGAACGAGGTACTGGGTGCCTCTCGCAAGAACAGCGCCACGCCTGTCACAAGTCATGACAGTGCTGTCAGAGCACCAAGTCGGGCTTTGTCGGGTGGCTCCGTCTTACCGAGAATACCTTCTCTAGCTGAGCGACCTGGACTCACCATTCGGCAGTCCAAGCAGGGTCCTCCGAACGCGATACAGCCAACCTCTCCGGTCACTTCAACCAATGGTCCTGCGCGTTCTGGCGGAAATGGCACACCTCCTACCTCCTGGAGAGCCTCGATGGGCCCAGACAGTCCTGGTCGGCATATGTCCTCACAGCTTCGAGACCAGGGCGACTCGCGGCGCCACTCGTCCATCGATTTCGGCAAGGCACCAAACCTCGAATTCGGGTCCAACTCGATTGCCAGCACGGCGTCGCCGCATAAGAAGCAGCCCTCGTTCGACAGGGAATGGCCTCACGTTCCAGCTACACCGACAAGTACCAATATCACGAGCCCCTCAATATACACGAATGTGGTGAGAAAACAGGAAAGTCTTGATATGTCTGCCAACTCGCCGCTCCTCACTCCAGGACCAAATTTGGACTTGGATCGAGGTTACTTCAGTGGGAATGAGGTGGACAATCGCAAAGCTCGATCGACGCTCAAGAAGCGGGAAAGCCATGAAGTCGCCGGTCATTCGAGACAGTCTTCTTTCCTGAACGATCCGCGCAAAACTGCGCCTTTCGCCAAGAGGCACTCGCGCATCAGCAGTGTCGATACAAGCCGAGATCACTTCTCGACCATCACGTCGCCCGCTGCAAAAGCTTATCACAGCATGAGCTACAAAGGTCGTTTCCGTTCAGCTAGTGCTAAGGGTCCGGCGCTGAAGCACTCAAGTACAGGCCACTCGCCAACCGTAACCAATTTGGAGAACGAGCAAAACTCGAGTGCCCCTTCCACTGGTACAGAACAGTCGTTTGCGTCGAAGATGAACATACCTGCAAAAGCAAGAAAGCTTATGGGTCTTCGAGCTTCCTCGGAAGCTGTGACGGACACGGAAAAGGCCAGTGCGACTTCATCGCAAAACATTCTCACCAGCCCCTTGGAAGAAAGTCCGACGATATCTCCTGCTGATGGCTCTAATACACCATCTGCAACGTCCCGCAGCTTCGACTTCGAGGGGACAGATGCGTCATCCAAGACGACAGATAAAATCAACTCTGGGTTGACGGTGACGGCTCCGCAACGGACGCGACCCAAAACCAAGCAGCAAACCTCCGCATACACCAAAGGACTTCTGAAGATAACGCCAGAAGAAGCACGAAAAACAGCTGACTACCATGGCTGGATGAAGAAGAAGTCATCTGCTCTGATGACCAGCTGGAAACCAAGGCTGTTTGTGCTTCGCGGCAAACGACTCTCATATTACTACACCGAGAGCGACAAGGAAGAGCGCGGCATCATCGACATATCCGGCCATAAAGTTCTCGTCGCCAATTCCGACCCCATCACAACCCTACACGCCACGATCACCGGCTCAAAGACTTCGGCCTTGCCAAGTCCGACATCGAGCGAAACAAGTCCTTCACTCCCCAAGTCACCTACAGGCCAACCATTCTTCTTCAAGCTCATCCCACCGAAAGCAGGCATGTCTCGTGCTGTCCAGTTCACTAAGCCCACGGTCCACTACTTCCAGGTCGACAGCGCAGCAATAGGCCGAAAGTGGATGGGAGAGATCATGAAGGCGACCATCATGCACGACCTGAGCACTTACGAGACCACCAACAAGCAGAAGACGATCAGTCTTGCTAAAGCCAAAGCGCGTAAGGAAAGACCGCCCGCGCTGAAGAACGATGATGGCGTCCCTGAAGAGGAAGAGGTCAAGGACGATGAAGAGAACGAGGACAATGATGGCTTGAACATTACTGGCATCATCTACGACCCGGCAAACGATGAGCAGCCAACCGCGGTCAATGAGAAGGAGGTGGTAGAAATGTCTACGCCAGACGCTGACAGTAACACGGCTCTGCCGCCAGTCGCTCAGCAGCCAGCAGTTCGGCAATCGGCCTATACAGCCACGACAACGTCAGACTAGTGGTCGACGTCGGCTCGGATCCTTGCCAGATGCATGGTTACGGGGAAGTGTAGCAATATACATCGCAGAAGATAATTCGTAATGTGTAAATTCATCCTGCACGTGCCTATTAACTGTGAACCGCCCCTGAATACCTAGTTTCCAGGCTAAGGCCAAGGCGAACACCGCAACCAACGATCCGCCCGATTTCTCCTTGGTACTTTCTCTTCGAACAACCTCGTCTCCTACTCATATACTGTAACAACATACCTGTATAGCAGCACGCGCTTCTGTCGCACTTTTCTAGCGTTCTCATTGTTCGATTTCATTTCCGACCGGGAGCCCTCCAATGTATCGATGACCCTCCCGTCCCTCCGCAGTCCACTGCATTCCCTTCAGCGCATAATTGTCCCTCTAGCCATCGTCTCGACGCTGTACTTATACCTCTACCCTGTCTTCCACGGCTGCGCGTTTCCGAGCATACAGCAGTATGGAGTTGCGGATACAGCAGCCGTCGATGGGACCGCGGACTGGGTAGATCCGCGCCGCAACCCACATAACGCGCCGCATAAAGCAGGGCAGTTGGCGAGGACTTATTGGGATACGCTGAGCCTGCACCTGCCGGGCTTACTTGGTGGCAAGGATGTGGATGCACAAGAAGACGATGATCTGCTAAGGAGGAAAAGAGGGAGAGCGCCATTCAGGCTACTTGTACTGGCGGATCCGCAGATTGAGGGGGACAGCAGTTTGCCCAAACCGGAGGAGGGGTTTTGGAGGAGGTTGAGAGAGCACTGGAAGGATGTTTGGCGGGGGAGGAAGGGGAGTGATGAGGAGGCCGGGCAGGGTCAGCAGGCACAAGAGCGGACGGCGGATCATGTGGATCTTGGGAGCTGTGAAGACTCGGACGAGGCTGGGTGGACTGATTGGCACGAAGAGGAGGAGCCGGGAGTCGCCCAGGATGTAGTTGGGTCCGACGCTGAGGCTCATCATGAGGATCCGGAGGAAAGCGGTTCTATTTTGCGCGAACATAGTGCCGCGGCGGAAGATTTGACTGTGCATACGGACGCAAATGCCACAATGGCAGACGAGCTACTGGAATCTGGTTGGGCCGACCATGCCAACATCAACGATACGGAGACACCGCCACAGGCTCCAGCTTCGGCTGAGCCAGATGCAGCACCGTCGGAGGATCAAGCAGAGGAGAACTCGGAACGCTCTGCGGACGATCTAGAGGCCGAAATGCATCAGATAGATGACCACCATCATGATCACCCTCCTGCTCCGCCGCCAGGCAGAACCAAGTTGGCTATCGACGCCTTACAGATAATATTCATCGAAGACATCCCTCGCGCCCTGTTTGGCCTCCGCAAGTCCATTGACCTCTTCGGCAACGACTTCTACCTCGCCCACATCTACCAAACCCTGGACTGGTGGACCATGCCGTCCCACGTCACAGTCCTCGGCGACCTTATCGGCAGCCAATGGGTCAAAGACGACGAATTTGAGTGGCGCGGCTGGCGGTACTGGAATCGAGTCATGGCCGGCGGCGAACGCATCGACGAATCCATCACGACCCTTTCCGATGACTCCCAGGAGCGCATCTTCCAAATCGACGATCCCGACTGGCAGACCAGGATCATCAACATTGCAGGCAACCACGACATCGGCTACGCAGGGGACATTTCACCCGCTCGAATGGAAAGATTTGAGCGTGTCTTCGGCAAGGCAAACTGGGACGTCCGCTTCGAATATCCTCCCCAGCCCAACAATAATTCGATCAACGAAACGCCACCATCACTGCATCTAATCAACCTGAACAGCCTCCTCCTCGACACACCAGCACTGTCGGAAGATCTACAACAAGAAGTATACACCTACATGAACTCCATAATAACCCACCGCTCACGACCCGTGGAAGACACGACCTCTTTCACCCTCCTCTTGACTCACGTCCCCCTCTACAAAAAAGCCGGCATCTGCGTCGACCCTCCCCACTTCGACTTCTGGCCCAACGACGACGGCGGCGGCGTCTACCGCCCCCGCGGCCTCAAAGAACAAAACCACCTGAGCCGCTCCGCCAGCGAACCCGGCATCCTAGAATCCATCTTCGGCATGAAAGGCGACATCGCCGCCGCAGGCCAGGGTAAAGGCCGGCACGGCTTGATCCTCAATGGGCACGACCACGAAGGGTGTGATACCTGGCACTACATTCACGTTAATCGCACCTGGGATTCGGCCTCAGGAGAAGCAGATCCTCTGTCGAATAGGAAGACGCAATGGCATGTTTCGCGGACAGCGGATGCAGATGCGAAAGCTGCACATACTGGAGTGAGGGAGATCACGCTGAGGAGCATGATGGGCGAGTTTGGGGGTAATGCTGGGCTTCTCAGTGCTTGGTATGATTTCGAAAAGGGGAATTGGGAGTATGAGTTCCAGACTTGTAAGCTTGGGGTACAGCATGTGTGGTGGGCGGTGCATATTGTTGATCTGATCGCGGTCGTTGTAGTGGCTGCATGTTTCTGCTTTCCGGTCTCGAAACGGGATCAGCAGGCCGCGCCGAGGGTCGGGCAACCGGGAAAGGGTGGTAGCAATGGGTCAGTATGCAAGCAAGGTTGAGTACTGTGATACTGTAGTGTATAGTAGAAACCCCAAATGTCGCTTTCCAGGAACGTCTGCCAAAACCAGGCAGCAGGTTTTTGCCTTGCAGCTGCGAACATGAAAGCACTTCAGTAGCCGCTGTTACCTCCCGATCACCTCGAGAGTGCTATTGGCGAAAACCGTTCTTAGGTGCAGGTGTGCCAGGCTATAGCAAGGAACGAATCATTCCGCAAGACCGGCGCAGGAAGTGTGCCTCAAGTTGACAAGGACTGCAGGTACAAGAGCATGATTGGCACCTGGGATGTCGACTTGCACTACCTCTTGCTGCTCAGATACACAGCACTCCGGTCTGTACAGTCCACGATGAGTTCACACGATTCGGCAGAGCACCAGTGCGCAAGGCCCCACTAGAGGGTCAAACGAAAGGTTTTGTAATCCGCTCTTTTGAAGTTCCTGATACTCCCAGACTCGGAAGCAGGAGAGCAGGTTCAATGATCCTTTTCTACCGACCTGTACTATCTACCTGATTCATCGACATGTCGGGACGATGGTTGGGTATGATCTGGGCCGTATGTGGGATATCAATCGTGAATGATGTGTGCCGTGGGGTTTATTGGTGGAAATAGAAAATGGTATCAAGGATACATCCATGCCCCAATTTTCCTCGCGCCAATTCTGGTTCCGTGTCTCAAAACATAAGTTGCTCGTGGAAGCGAAGGCCTCTGGGCTCGCGGGATGAGGAAAGGGGAGCGCTCTACTCGGCCTTGGCTCTCGGGGCAGTCTCAGCTGCAGCGGGAGCCTCCTCGGTCTTGGGAGCCTCGGTAGAAGCACCAGCGCCGCTTGACTCCTGAGGCTCGGCCTCTGATGAGGTCCATAGGGTCTATCCAAGGGTTAGCGATCGACCTAATGGTCCCAAAGAGATCAACATACCAGGTTGTCTCTGAGCAATTGCATGATGAGAGTGGAATCCTTGTAGCTTTCTTCGCTGAGCGTGTCGAGCTCGGCAATCGCATCATCGAAAGCCTGCTTGGCAAGGTGGCAAGCCTGATCGGGGGAGTTGAGGATCTCGTAGTAGAAAACCGAAAAGTTGAGGGCAAGACCGAGGCGGATAGGGTGAGTGGGAGCAAGATCAGTGCTAGCGATTTCGGTGGCACTCTTGTAAGCCTCGAGAGACTGGTCCGCAGATCCCTTTCGCTTCTCGGAGACGGCAAACTCGGCGAGATATCGGTGGTAGTCACCCTTCCTGCGAGAGTTGTAAGTATATGCTGCCTTGCGAACACGAGACCACCTACATCTTGTGATAGAAGACCTTGGACTCGCCAGTCTGAGCAGAAGCGATCAGGTGCTTATCCAATACATCAAGAATGTCCTGGCAGATCTTTTGTAGCTCGCTCTCGATGGTCTGACGGTAGTCCTTGATGAGCTTAACCTGAGCCTCGTTGCCCTTGGACTCTTCCTTCTGCTCGATCGAGGTGACGATTCTCCACGAGGCACGGCGGGCACCAATGACGTTCTTGTAGGCGACGGACAGGAGATTTCGCTCTTCGACGGAGAGTTCTTGATCTGCGGAGGCGACCACCTTCATGTTCTCGACCATCTCTATATTGGTGATTAGCTATGTCGGCAAGTGTGTTGGGATTGGGTGGGAACTCACCTTCATAGCGCTCAGCCTGCTCGGCGAGCTTCGCTAGGTAGACAGATTCCTCGACGCCCATTTTGAATTCTTGCAGGGAGCCTTCGATGTCCTGCACGAAAATTGTGTTAGCGACAGCTCTAGAAACAAGCGATGCATAGCCCAACGAACTGAGGATTTATCGACGGCCTTGCCCTTGTCCGGAGGAGGGTCCAGCTTCTCTTCAGTCAGCTTGAGGTGCTCGACTCTCGTGCGAGCTTCTTCCATGGCCATTGAGGAGCACGTGTTGTCTTTTGAGGCTTTTGTATGCTATGTACCCAGCTGAGGGGTTGACGTCAACTGCAGGGGCTGACAGCGAACGCGAGGCGTGTCCAAGGTGATCCGGCTGCAGCAGTATGTTGTCGACATGTTCGCATCGACGATAAATCGACCATAGATGAAATGCGATCGAACTTGCCGTAGTTGTCGGTTGTAGCTGAGGAAGGAGTGACTTGGGTCCAGCAGGCCTGGAGCAGCGTGGGGCAGGAGCGCAGGCGCAACGGACCCCTGCTACAAGTACAGAACTACAGAGGGAAGTCGCATCTTACCTGGAGTGTGATCGTTGGATGTAGTGTTTAACGAAAGACAAGCTGCGAGATGCTCGACTCTCGGAGTATGGGGTTTAAGGATGGTGGGTATGGAAGATGGAAAGGTAAGGGACTGCGGGATCTCGAGAAGATGTTATTGTGTTGTGCGTGTGTTGAGAGGGAGGCAGGGTAGAGATGAAGCCCCAAGAAGAGCAGGCGTCACTGGGGTGCCAATAAAGCTGTTTCGGAGTCTTGAGCGCTTCTGCGGCTTTCCATGCCTAAACACGGCTATCGCATCTTCAGCCCTCCCGCTGATCAAGTATCTAATTTTCCCCTGTGGCGCCCAATCAATCACCATTCGCTTGTCGCTTCACTTGCATGTTCGATCTGACGAGCTGCAATTCTACATCATTGACAGTGCTGTCATATCTTGCGAAGAAGCACGCGAAGTAGCTGAGGCTGAGCCAGCATTCCGTGTATGTAGGTGTAGGCTGCTACAACATGCGAAGAGTCACGTATGCGGCTGTGGCTGGTTCTTTGTCATGCGAGGACGCCTAATATGGTTCGACGCGGCAGAGATTAAGGATGGCGGTCGTGCCGACGACGTGCTCACATTATTGAGATCAGTCAGACTCCGTCCTCCCAAGGGCCAAGGCCGTGTTGCTGCGCCCAAAACACCTGTCTGATCTCTGTTGGCCGTGTAGATCGTAGCGTGCGTACCTGGTCCGTAAGTACTTAGGTACGGACCAAACAATCTGCTTGTATATGCAAGCCAATTTTCTCGTCCAGCGATATGCAAGATGGATCTGACTCCATCAGCATGGACTTGCCAGTCCCATCATCTGGGTCCAAAAGTAATGCAGGATCTCTCGCATGGCATCCAGAACTGCTCATGCTGATGGAGGGGCCGGAGGGGCTCTCGTGGCAGTCGTGAACCCTGACTCCAGTGCGTCTCTCTCGCCCGCCGGACAAGCTCCAATCACGTGCGATATCCCATGTCCAACGTCACTTCAAGTTGCACTTCAGTACCTCGTAGTCGGCAAGCTCACTTCAAGTTTGATCTCTCATCCAAACAAACACATTCACCCCATTCCCCCTACCTCAATCACCAAAATGCTACGAATCCAAGTCGTCAAGCTCGCAAGGACCACCCCTTCCCTCCGCCGCAACCTCACCGTAACAGCCATCCGTGCCGCCGAAGGCGATACAGGCGCAACCCGCTCCGGAGGTGTGAAGTCTAGCGACTCATTCAACAAGCGCGAGGCAGCAGAGGAGTCACGGTACATTCGTCAGAAGGAGCTCGATGCGTACGTCTTCCCACCAATTCCCCATAGCACGTTCCGCCAGCCCCAGCGTGATGGGATTTCTGGTGCCCTGTACCCAAGCACCAACCCGACAATGCGTTTGGAGCAAATGGCTGATTATAATTTCACAGGCTCAAAAAGCTCAAGGAGAAGCTCCAGCAGCAACGAGGCCACCTGGACGAGCTCGAGAAGCATATCAGTGAGCTGGAACAGGAGAACTCGCGCTCGTGAGTGGACCACAACACGATAGCAGGAGGGCGATCGGATCAGAACGTTGTGTCATGGTTGGAGGAAGCGACCGAGTCTACTCAATTCTCCGCGATGGCTGTGAAGCGCTACTTTTGAAGCGAAGCCGAGGACTCGCATAGTGTCTGGCAAGCATCAATACAAAGCTTTCTTCGTTCCTCTCCATACGAATACAGGTTGCCAGAAGGCCCTATCCAGCCATGAGCCAACGCATGAATACGCTCGGCGCGCTTTGTTTCTGCATCATTACCCATGTCCCCTACTACACTCGAGCAAGTCAACTCCAAAGATCATCACTTTTCTCTTCAACATTCGCCCACGTCTCATGAAACGAGAACTTGTTTCCAGGATCATCTGATGTATGAGAATATGAACATTCTCATGCGCTGTGACATGACTGAAGTTGCCGCCACGGACGATACGGAGCATGGACTGCATGGTGGAACCTAGTGCTCTATTGCAAGTGGAAGGGATGGACTCTCGACTCGTAGTCTTTGTTGATCGCTCGTAGAAGGCGCTTGAGGCTGCCTCGGAGATCCGGCTGTCCCTGAGTTCACCGCCTTCCCATGTAGCTGCGATAGAAATCATCGGACGCTGTAGAGCCATTGCCGTGATGACCATTCAAATACCCCACGCCTCGAGCGGCTTTCTGTGCCTCTGCCACCTTTGATTGCAAGACTGATGCACCATTGTCGATGGCTTGCAGTTGGTTGAGATGCTGGTTGAGAATCTTGACAATTTGTGTGATCTGCGACGGTATTAGTATGCTTACAATTCAACAGCCGAGGAGATGACTTACCGGCTCATCAGCCTTGCCATTCTTGCTAAGCCCGGCATTGACAGCATTGACCTCTTCAACCATAGACTCCAGATTTGTCCCCATTTCGTCCAATCGCTCCGACAATTTCTCCGCCAGCTTGTAGGTCTTTTCTCGCTCCTGATCCGGTCCGCCAACATCCACGGGATTCCCACTCTCCTTCTCTAGCATGCCATCGACTTCGGCCTCGTATTTCGCTAACCAGCTCTCTAGCTCTGCCTGCTGATTCTCAACGGCAGTAAGCTGCATCTCTACGCTCATCGTCTGCTTTTCGCAAGTTCTGGTCTTGACGTATAGCTTGTCGATCTTGGAGCTGTTCTCCACAATCTTCTGGTCCCAGAGAGCAAGTGTCTCGGCGTGGGTCTTGAATTCTTTGGTGTATTTGGTCAGATCGGTAGCCCATCGAGTGAGTATTTCGTCCATAGTCTTGTTCTTAAGCCGAGACTGGGAAGGGGGTGCTGGACCTGAAGTCGACTGAGCACCAATGGTGCTGGTTGCGGGCGCAGCTGTTTGCGATGCGGCGGGTTGGGTTGTAGTCGAGGTGCCTCCAAAGGAGAATGATGGTGCGGCTGTTGTGGCTGTGGAAGTTGCTGGGGCCGGTGCAGGATTGGAAGCGGCCGTCTTCGGGGGACCGAAGCTGAAACCTCCCAATGACGGCGCAGCAGCAGCAGTGGTGGCGGGGGCTTGCGATGTTTGCGCCGATCCACCACCCAGTGTGAACCCACCTGACGTACTTGGTTGGCTGGTGGCTGGTGCCGCAGAACCTCCAAATATTGATTTGGGAGCCTCGGAAGCGCTAGTTGCTGCTGAAGTAGGTGGTTGCGGAGAGGCGGAAGGGAATGAGAAGGCAGGCTTTGCAGTGTTGGCTGAGGAGGAAGAGGATGGGGCGGACGGGGCCGTGAAAGAGAAGGCTGGCTTTGAGGGCTCACTTGGCTGAGAGGCCGGAGGATTGCCGAATAATGTCGACCCAGTTGACTGAGCAGGTGTAGCTTGTTGCGTAGACGGTTGACTGTCCGCAGGTTTAACTCCAAAGAGGTTAGAGGTAGTGTTGCCACCATCCGAGGGAGCTGCTCCAAACAATGGCTTGTTGGTGTTCGATGCAGCTGGAGTACCGCCTAGATTGAATAACGACCCCTGAGATGCTGGTGCTGCCGAAGATGATGTGGCTTCTGCCGGCTTAGCTGCGCCGAAGAGAGGTGCTGTTGGGGTTGCTGTCGCAGGTTTAGCGCCGAAAATATTACTGCTCGGTGCCGCTGATGTGGTCGTACTAGGTGCAGCTGGTGTCGTACTTCCTGCATTGCCAAAATTGAAACCGCTGAAAGGCTTCGCAGCATTGTCTGCTGTCTTGTTCTGATTGCCGAAAAGATTGCTGCCACCCGTGCTGGCGCCTAGTCCTGAGGAGCTCGGAGGTGGACCAGCTGGAGTTGTGGAGGGATTGCTGAACAGACTTGGTTGCGCCGGAGTGGTAGACCCGGCACCGGATGACGCTGGAGGCTTCGCAGGCGTGCCGAATGAGAATGTAGGAGCGGCGGCATTGCCTGTACTGTCGCTCTTCTGTGCACTTGCAGCTGCGCCAAAGCCACCGAAGCCTGTGCCTGAGCTTGCTGGAGTATCTGCTGGCTTTACGCCGAAAGAGAAGCCGCCGCTCGGTGTGGCTGTGGTACCTGCTGTAGACGAACCACCAAACAGACCTCCTCCGGACGAGGTTGAGCTGTTCGTGTTCTGGCCGAATGAAAAACCACTACTGCCTGTGTTGCCGCTACCAAAAAGACCACTACCGCTTGAGCCTGAGCCCGCGGTACCAAACAGGCTGCCACTCGAGGCACCAGAAGATGTGTTTTGGTTTGACCCAAAATTGAAGCCGGACATCTTGAGGGTGCTGCGCTACAGCGCTCGGAGAGGAGAGTCCTGAGTCTCGCGTTCAACCATGGATCAGGAAGGCAGAATCCTTAGAGTCGCTCAAACAGCCAAACCAGTCGTTGCGCAGAGTGCTTATTATGTATGGCTTGGTAGCATGCAGGAAATGTTCAATGCCGCAGTCGCGAATGAACGCGCCGGTCTCGTACTAAACCTAATTCGGCCGCGCCTGACTGCAGTGCAGTGCCCAAGCGAATTTCAGGTGAAGGACCACATTGCACCTACAGCTATTCACCCGTGTCATCTGCCATGTGCATAGACACCGGTCGTTATGTCTCGACCAAGAGGCGCTTCAAGCCCACGACTCGAGATACCAAGGAAGAGTGTTGAACTTGAAGATCCGGGAGCCACCAACCTACGTATGGCTCTATAACCCTCCCATTTGGCTCTCGCTAACAGGGGTGGAAGAATCTTCGGAAGACGAATACTTCTCAGACGCCTCAGAGGGACGGCGCCGGGCATCGAGACCTCAGACGCCGGCCTCACCCATCCCGCGAACGAGAATTGAGAGGGTCGATGACACCCCAGCTTACGGAGAAGTTCCTGGCACAGCAGCATACGCACGCAGAGCTCAGGATGCCGTTCCTGATGAGGTCGAAGTCACCGGAAGGTTGAGCAGGCGATCGAGCCAATACCTTGAGCCACCCACTACGCCGGGAGGCACTCTCATTCCCCGCACGGTTGTTGAAAAAGTAGACCCTTCGTCTCCTAGCTACGGCGAGGCACCTGGCAGCAAAGGCTTTTCTCACCGTAAGGCCGATTCTGTTCCTGACCTGGTTCTGAAGGCTCCTGAGCCCGGAAAAAGAAAGGGCCCGGAACACGGGACCTCGCCTTCAAGTGGCCAAAGTCCACCAGTACCCGAGACCATAGTCACCAGAGTTGACAGCAATCCTGCTTACGGCGAAGTGGACGGTACCAAAGCCAAAGAACGCCGGGAGAAGGACGCGGAGCCTGATGTCCTAGAGGTCCAGCATGAGTCAGGTAAGCCTCACTTTACAATTGTTCACAGGGACAATTGATCTGATCAGAGGTCGTTGACAGGCCAGTAGACGACTCGCAACATGAAGAAGATGATGCCGACGACGCCGACGATGGCTTCGGCGACGATTTTGACGACTTCGAGGAAGGCGCACAGGCTGGCGCCGATGATGACTTTGACGACTTTAACGACGACTTTGAACAGCCTGGGATGCAGGAACAAGCCGTACCCGAATCAACGCAGCACATATACCCCTTGATCGATTTTAACGCTCTCTCTGATCTGCCAGAGCTTTTGGTCGCTACCCAACAACACCTCGACGCTATGTTCCCATCAACAACAGAACAAGCTCTTGCCGACCTCCCTACGCCTCCGCCAATTGACAACGCATCGCCCATATTTCCCTCCGAACGGTCTCGATCGCTATGGAAGCAGCTTGTAACTCCACCACCTCTACAGCCCCCGAACTGGACGCAATCACGAATCAGGCGATTGTTCCTAGTGAGCCTAGGGGTACCTGTAGACCTGGACGAGATTCTACCACCTTCGAAGCAGAAGAAGCTGGTGTTGCCTGACATCAACCTTGAGCCTCCACGGAAATCTGAGTCGGAGAAGCCGGGATCGATTGCCCGGCTGAAGCAACAAGCTGCCAACGACTCAACAGCATCTTTGGACAGCAATCAATCCGGGAAAGAAGGCAAAGCTCGCACAAGAAGGACCAAAGGTCCGCCGCCACCGCCAGATGTTGATTTGTTTGCTGTGAGGCGCCTGGCCGCCACCACGGACGAGAAGCTGGACGGTCTGACACAAGAAGAGCTGAACGCACATGTAAAGAACCTGAAAGCAACGACAGAAACAACTGCGGAACTGCTCGAGTATTGGCTAAAGCGAAGAGACGGGCTACGAAAAGAAAAAGAGGCATTCGAAGGTGTTATTGAGAACCTCATCCGACATATGAGGAAGTAGATAGATACCCGGCAATAAATTCATTGCTGTTGCCTCAAAATTCTTGTCGTGTAACTGCTTCTCATCCGGCATCAAAGTACGTAAACCACTGAAGTGACAAGTATGTGGCGGTGAGGCCAAAACGTGAAGACGATGGCCGCACGATAGAGAACACGTCGCATGTCAGTTGAGACGACTTCTACCGGGGTCTTGGGGATGCGCAGCGTTTTCGGTGCCTGGAAAACGCGACCGGCTAGCTTGCCTCTTTAGGTCACGCCGCAACGACATCTAACATCAACGCTCTTCCACATCTCGCGACCACGTCTCTTACCACATCCACCACAGATTGCTGACCCATCTGCGAGAGACATACACATACAAAACCATGTCTCTCGATTCCGCCCTCACCGCTCTGCGCAAAGCCGACAAATCCAACGCACACAACGCCCTCTCCAAAGCCAAAGTCGCCCTCCTCCAATCCAACGCCCTCGTGCCCTCCTCAGCAGTATCCCCCCAAACCCTCGCCACAGCGCGCTCCGTCCTCGAAGCCGGCGCCCTCCTCTCTATCCGCTTACAAGACGCCGACTCCTTCGTCCGCTACTACTCCCAACTCCAACCTTTCTACGATTATCCCGCTCTTCAGAAGTCACAATCACGAGAAAAGTCGCAAATCACGGGGTTGTATCTACTGCTGCAGTTGAGCCAGGGCGACTACGCGGGTTTCCATACCCTGCTAGAGGGGTTGATCGTGGCGGAGAGTGAGGAGGGGAGGAGTGTGGAGGATGATCCGTACATACGGTATCCCATTGAGTTGGAGAGATGTTTGATGGAGGGGAGCTATGATCAGGTGTGGCGGCGGACGACAGGGAAGGAGGTGCCGGGGGAGGAGTTTGCGTTGTTCTCTGGCGTAAGTGTCTCGCCTGGGTAGGTGCTACAGTATGTGCTAATCTGGCGGCAGATCCTGATCAACACTATCCGAAGAGAGATCGCGTCATGCGCTACACGATCATACACGTCGTTACCGATTCCGTCGGCGAAGAATCTGCTGTTCCTGGACTCGGAGGGTGCTGTGACCGAGTTTGCTCAAGAGCAGGGTTGGAGTCTACGGGACGGGTGGGTGTATTTCCCAGCTCAGGATCCGAAGAAGGGCGAGGAGGCGGACTTGGAGGGTGAGCGCGAGATGATGAGCAATGTGGTGGGGTACGCGAGGGAGCTTGAGAGTATCGTGTAGACTAGCAGTGGTCTGAGGATCTGAATATGCATTTACGGGAAAGACAGCCTGGCGCAATGGGTATTAGACGACAGGGGTCCTCAAGTCGAGAAATCTGCGAATTGCAAAGGATGTCGTTTCACCCGGTTAAAGGTCTTCCTGCCGCGAGCTGTCGATTTACGTTATCGATCGACCAGAACATTTCGAGCGCAAAATTGGTCTCGGAGAGCATAAGTCACGCGAGGTCGACCAGGACTGACACTGACCGGCCATCCTACTGCATCATCGCAAGTGAAGGTATGCGCTTCCTTCTCAGAACATCCTCACTTCCGCTTTACCGCTAGCTTTGACAGGCACTTTCCTTCAAGAAACATTTCACTTTCTCGACATGTGCAGTCACTAGCTAAGAAGGCATGCAACTATATCAATAGACCACTGCACTTCACACAACGCTCTTGCTCTTCGCAGTCTCTCTATCGCTCGCTCTTTGATCTCCTACAATGCCACAACGCACGAGTGCTGGACTTCATCAACGAACTCTCGATCGTTGGCTCCGGCGAAGCTCATCTCCTCATGTTAGCACAGAGCTCGGTACTACATCAACAACATCAATCGAGAGCAATGGACTCATGCAGCTGACGGATCTGCCCACCGAACTTCTTCAGAAAATCCTCAAAGAGGTGTTCTGTGGCGTACGTCTAGGCTGCAAATATCGACCTTCCACTCACACAGTCTTAATAAGATATCCCTCTCATCTCCTGGTATCAACGACATATTTCGCAGAGGCCAAGATTGCGCTTCTTGAACAAGCCACCATCAGTCTGCCATATGCGTATTTTCCAGTACTCCAGCTGCCAATTCCCCCGGATTTCTCTCCCGATTTTGAAATTGTCCAGCGATTTCAAGTCTTCAACATCTGGAAAGAGACCTTCGCGCTAGACTGGTCGGGCGATCAGATTGTCCTAAACACTCACGAAAGGGATGCACCGCCTGCTATTGAAGTGGCACCACTAAAGAACAGCTTGACGCTGGAGATCAAGCCTCCAACCTGGTCCAACCACGTGCCAGATACGTGGAGACTTCTACGTGAATCAGGAGAAGCTATGACTGAGCTTGCCGCTCATAAACACCTTTACCCGGTAGAGATCGAAAATGCGCTGAGAAACTGTTTCAACAGCTGGGCCGGGAGTCTTGAACTGTTGTTGCAGCGAGACAAGTCTTCCAAGCTCTGCGTGGAGCTGGACTTGAAGGGTCAATTCGCAGGCTCTATCAAGACTAGGGCGCGTTGGGCCAGCCCCTGGGCCGTTTTCACACGAAACCTCGACTGTGTGTTGGATCTTTCGGTATGTGTAGCAAGTCAAACCAACAGAAGCGTCCGTACTAAGTTCTACTACACAGACAATCATCCCCAGCACGCGCGCCAGTCTTTTGCGCTAATGTCAGACAAGGACGAGGCCTACACCTTGAAGGACGAGCCAGCGTTCAACAGTCCCATGACACCATCATCCTTCGACAAACTGGTTGACAAACATGTCCGCTAATTAGCGAGGGGTGTCAGCATGCATATGCGTGTCCTGTGGAACGAAAGCTGCGGATCTTAGGGCAGCTTTCTTCCAGAATCCATGATTACTGGATCGAAAGTGCAGATGTGCTTCCTCAAAGAGTCTACCGGGTGTCAGGATCCCAACATAGCACACAATCCGGTAATGACGTTGTCGACCACACATGTATTACTATGCCTGAAGCGCATATGAGCGCTACAATCCCTCTGATGAGTCTAGATCCCACATTATCCAGTAACGCACGCCCCTTTTATCCAATTTTGTTCACGTGATACGTGCGATAGATCCCCTCGAACGCCTTGCGAAAAGCATTTCTGAATGCTGCAGTTTCTCCCAGAAGCTCAAACATAACCTGTCACTATCCGGCAGCAGCACAACTATCCAAGAACTCCAGCACATCAAGCCCCTCCAGTCGCCGCCTATCCCTCCATCGCCACGTACACATCTGCCGATCGTAGAACCCGCAGCTTACGATTGTATGTTTGCCCACCGTATCCTCCCAGCTCTGTCTCTGCTGCCAGTCTAGGTGTGTTCTCCAGTCGTACGTTCTCGCGACTGTGCTTGCTGTGTCGGCTTTTGCCTTCGCCACAGTGCTGCTGGTAAAGGAGCCCGTTCCGCTGCTGTGCGCTGTCCTCGGTCTTTGCGAGTCTTGGGCTTCGTGTGGTCGTGCCCATGGGATGTCGACGCGGACCTTGTCTTCGTCAAGAAGATTGTCTACGAGGATGGACTCTTCAACACCCCACCTTCCATCGCAATGATCATCCGCCACACCTCCCGTCTCCGTGTTGTAGGGACTCGACCAATCTCTTCCCGAATCCGCCGTATACACCAAGCTCCCATGACCCTCTTGATAGTACGCCTCGAGACTCATCGTCCAGTTAGACGTGTTCTCCTTGTCGGTCGTGTACAGCAGCTTTTCGCGCTCTATCGTGGTTGGATTGTCGGGGTTGCGGAGCGGATTGTGTGTCAGGCGGACAATGCGGACTGCGGCGTGCATGCAGGATAGGAGTAGGATGTAGTGTGTTTCGTGGAGCGGAATCTTTTCTGTGCTTGGGGTGGAACTATCAATGGGGATGATGTAGTGATCCATCAACTTGATCCGCCACACACCGCCGCGGCATTCGTGCTCGGTGTGGTGTTGGAGTGGTTCGCGACGGTAGGTGTGCGGGTTGAGGGTGAAGAGGCGGAGCTTTTCGTCGTAGCTGCCGGTCAACAATGGGGCGCTAGGTGGATTTGACAGGGCGGATGTGGGCAGGGGTGGCGGGAGTGGGAGGATGGAGGTCACGCCGTAGCTGTGAGACTTGCTGTCGGTCCAGAGAGGCGTGACGGGTGCCAGCAAGTGATCTTCTGGGTGTGTAGAGGTATCGACTTGGGAAAGGGCTGTGATGAGCTTGCAGTCGTCTCCTCCAGACAGTAGCACGTTCGAGACTATGCCAGAATTGTTGATGTTGGTCATTGGTATCGATGCGACTGTCCATGCCTCATTCTCGTGATCGTGGATCTTCTCGACGTCAAATGCCAGAGCCGCAGGCTGGTGTGCTAGACGGTGGTCGAATGTCGATCGGATGCCCGGCAGCTTGACCTTGACCGTGAGTACTTCAAAGGCTGAAGTAGTCGCAGCAAAACATGTTGTGATGTGATTCGTCCCTTGCGACTCTGAGCCACGCTCATCGTACATATTGAGCCAGTGAAACTGAGTGACAAGAGGTGTGAGACCATGTTGATCAGGCCCAGCGATCTTGACATGTCCAAGCGGCAGCAACTCCGTGACAATCCGCCGCGAAAGGATGTCAGCTCGCTTGACGAAACGAAAGAAGCGCACTTCGCTATTGCTCAAAGCAACGCCAAGCAAAGTCAGATCTTTCGGGTGGAAGTGCATATCCAAGACTGCGCCGGCCAATCTATACTTTGCAAGTACAGGCTTCTGCTGACCAGGAAAGCTAGGTTCGAATGATGGATTGACAGACTTGACGCTGATTGTGCCATACCGGACTTGGCTTGGTAGTCAGAAGTGTCGGTACGTTTGACGAGAGAGTAAGTTCCGGCGATGAAGAACTCTGGTGCTGTTGGACAAATGGCTATGATGTCTGTGTCGAGTTGGAGTGGTTGAAATTGATAGTCTTTGACTTCGAGCTTCGTGAGTTGGGCTCTCATGATGTGTAGTCGCTTATGTCTGTACCGGTCGCTTCAAAATGTAGTTGTCGGTTTATGCAGATATGACGTATGATGGGATCTCGCTGTAGGCAGACCGATCGCAAACTAAACAATTCTTGCTCGTGCTGGGGAACTATGCTTGAATAGCAGAGCCAACCTTGGTATCTCGTACAACGATCGCGTTCGTATCGAGCCAACGCCTTCTGCCGAGACTGTAGGACTTTGGCAGCCCTTGACGTTGGCATAGTGGATTAAGATCTTTCGAGCCAGGTCGTGACAAGGTCGAGCCGCCGTGAAATAGTTTTGGTTTTTGGCAGATCGCCTTGTGGAGCCCTGCCCGGATCCACTTTCACAATGGTTGCCTTGCGGCACACCTCAAGATCGGCAGGCGCGACCCGACGGTCGCAACTTCCAAGCTATGATTAGGCTGCCGTAGCGTTCCTTCGCATCGACTACCACTCCTTCTTACCATGTGATGAAAGTCCTCGTCGCTGAGCCAATGGCTACTGAGCACACAGCTTCAATGCCGTCATCGTCATGATGAAACAAGAACTTGTACCGTCTCCTGACGACCTGCTGAGTGATGCTTCGAGCTTCTACGGTAAGTCATGTGCACTGCGTTGACTATCTGTACCAATACGTTAGGTGATGACGAGACCAAGAATGCCTATGCGAAGGAACTGAAAGAGTTCAACGTGCTTGATTTCTGGAGTACCCACGCCGTCAACTACCAGTTCCTCGCGATTCGCGAGAAGGCTGGCTCGCCTGCTGTCGATGTGAAGAAGCGGTCTTCCGACGATGACAGCGGGAAGACAGGCTCGAGCAAGAAAATCAAGTTGAGTCCAAGTAGTAAGCGTGTCAAAAATGAAGACGCTATTTCGCACAAGACCACGAAAACCAGCGAGGATAAGAAGGCGGTATACTTCCACAACCGCCTCGAAGGGACCGCCAGCGGCAAGCAGACCTCTGAATCCATCGATGACTTCATCTCGCGCCTCCGTCCTTCTACGCATACCATCATGGACGTCGGTGACGGCTGGATCTGGTGCGCAAATCCGCACCTCGAAGCGCCGCGAGAAGCCACCAACAAGGAGGACTTCATAGAAGTTGGCTACCAGCTCCTCGAGGATCTAACGCAGCAACGAGCCAAACTCGAAGAGAAACATCCCGACAAGCCGCCCGGCTCGATAACTCGTCTGCTCAAAGGACCACGTGAGTTCACGGAATCCGAAATCGCCGACGCCTGCAAACGCTACAATGTAGTCCATGGGAAGTGGATGCTCTTCCCGCACCGTGACGATGTCGATCAGGTCTGGCACACGGTCGCGCAAGCCACGTGGGATGGAGAGTTGGGCGACCTGGCGAAAGTCGCGCCGTATGATCCCCACGACCAGAAACAAGAGCAGCTGATTTGTGTGTACACGAAGGACTTCTCTGACATAGATGACGTCAAGCGAGTGCTGAAGGCGATGAGGAGACTGGGACTCGTCAAGGGCGGAGACACATCGAAGGCAATCTACTATAAGAGTGATGCGTACACGTATCTGGGCTTGACCAGTGGGAATGAGTGGAAGATCAAAGCGAGCTTGTACAGTAGTCGGGACATGTTCAAGGAGATGGGTGGGCCGAAGCAGAGGAAGATACGATGAGGCACATCGTATTGCGGATGTCCAAAGGAATGTGTGGGAGGGGCAAGCGTGATCGAGAATTGTTTCCGTGATGTGAGAGGAAAGCACCAGGCCAAGTTTCCGAGGAGTATGTCAATATGTCAATAGTCGTCGTTCAAGATACCCAGCAATGGTAGCCGAAAAGGCGAGATAGATCTCTACCGTATCTATGCAAATGCATCTTCGAGTCATGTCACTCATCGCGACCTCCAGCCAACGTTCGTGCCTCAGTATCGTCCGGATATCGTGTGACAGTTGCGGTTCGCCCACTTGCCAGCATCAGGAATCAGCACTCAAGAGTAGCATTTCCCCAGAATTGAGACCACACGCTCTCTCTGCTGCCACGCTCATTTTTTCCCCTTCCCAACCTTCTTCCCCGCCGCCGCCCCTCCCATCGCCGCCTCCCGTTTGCGCGCCTCCCGCTCAATCCGCTCCTTATTCTCCGCCGCCTGCGCGTCCTTCTCCTCCTGCTCCGCCGCTTTCCTCGCAGCTGCTTGCTCTCGCTGCTCCTTGATCAGCTTCAGTCGCGCCAGATCCGCACGCGCCTCGTCCGTCTTTCCCTCAGCATGCAACTTTTGGTAGCGCTCTTTGGCCTGCTGTTGTTGGATGGCTTCGCGCTCGCGACGGGAGAGGTTCTTGCTGTCACCTTTCTTGCCTGTGGTCGGTGCCGCGGGTGCAGCTGGATCTGCGGGAGGCGCTACAGCGCGGAGGCTTGCTTGCGGGCTTTGGCGGTGTGGTTGGGGTTGGCGGGCATGTCGTCATCTTCCGACTCGTCCTCGAACTCCTCCTCGGAGTCGGTGGGGAGGTCGCCTACTTCAGCGACTTTCTTGTTCTTCTTCGCGATGGCGGCTTGTTTCTTTAGGCGAGCTTGCTCTTTGCGCTGTTCGCGAGTGAGTTCTTGGCCGGCTGCTGCGGAAGATGTAGATGGTCCTTCGTCTTCGCTGGACTCTTCTGAGGACTCCTCATCGGAAGATTCTTCCACGATCTTGTCTTTGGGATCACGCCACATGCCAAGGGGGTTGCCTTCTTTGTCGAGTGGTTGGAGGTCGCGCGAGAAATGCTTGCCGCCTGCGATGGGAGATCAGTACGACAGGGAGACGAGCAGGGGCAAATGGGTGTGGCATACCTCCTCGCTTGGCCTTGTTGAACTTGCCTCCGCGGCCGCGTCCAGACATGGTGGTGGGTGGTGCGTGTAAAGATGTGGTTGAGGTGGGATGAAGAGGCGTCTTGCAGATAGAGGTGTTTTTGTTGGTCGATGGGTCAAAGGAATGCCTTTGTTCTGCGCCGAGACGTAAGGGTGAGCGCTATCTATTTTCGATCTGTGAAGACGTACATGTCAGGTTATTTGCCCCTGGAAGAAGGTACTCTAGGGGATTCAGAGGAAATTGAGAAATCTTTTTGGGAGACTTGCGGTCTTGCGGTATGACGTCGGTAGGGCAATGTTTACCTTCTGAATGGGCCGAGTGGGCAAAAAGGACAAACAGCAGTCGAAGACAGTGAGGTTTCGTTCGAGTCAAGCAAAGATTGTAAGGTATGGGCTCGATTGCAAGGAAGGTCAGATGCAAGAGAGGGCTTGGTGAAGTAGTATTTATCCAATTGACCAACGCATCATTGGGCTAAGTGAGCAGGCGGGCAGGGGTCTTTGCCAAGACATGCTGGTGCCTTGGGGCAACAGCCTAAGCGCCAGCCTACCTAGGTATGATACTACAATGACCATGACTCACAGGATCGGTCCGCAGCTGCCTACCTAGGTACTACAGTAGTAAGTATCCAAAGTATGACTTCGACCTTCGTTCTACTCTAAAAGCGCATGGCGATGTCGAGTCATTACACAGGTAGGTCCTCAGAAGTGTTTGTTATGCCAGTTTAGTGTGCTGTCTATGCTCACTGGCAAGACACATGATTGCGACTGGCATTCAAGGCCAGCGACTCTTGTGCTTCTAACGTTCAGTCTATTAATCGTGCTACATACATTGGGAGCCTCACATCGGCGGCTTCTCGAGGGTTATAACAAGGACGCGACCCAGCCCATCAGCGTAAGTCCAGCTCGGTGCTGGTGCGGTCTTCGTGTTGCCCCCAGAAAACTTATAGAAGTCGACCAAAAACTTCTTGAGATACTGCATCCGAATATAGAGGTAGTCGTTCGGCACCAGTGGCCGATTGAGATCCTTTAGGTGGATTCCATAAACACACTGGACCTGCTTATTGAGTCCCACCACTTTGCTGGGATCTGGCGAGACTTGGTCCAGCTTGGCGACGCCCGACGGCAGGATGATGCTAATGACGTTGTTGTCGGCGTCCAAGCCGGTTTGGGGCGTAACATCAATGGGCATGGAACCGCGACGATAGATGCCGGCATAGATCATTCCCACCAGATCGCCTTTCAGCCATAGTTGCACGTTAGTGCCATGGGCATTGTGCATGTTGTTGATAGTGTTCGCGACTTGCTCGGGTGTTTGGTTCCATACGAGAGTTGTCATTTTGGCAGCATTGAACCCGTCAGGTAAGCTGGGATCTGGAGTCTGGATTCGCATATAGCAATCCCTGAGGAAGATTTGCTGCGGTACTGGCGCTGGTGCTGGTGCTGGCGCTAGGTGCGACATTTTGGCAGTGGTGTCTTGTCCGAGATGCAGTGTGGACGGACAGAGGGACAGTTGCCTGGGTCTGAGTCACTGAGTGACTGAGTGAGTGCTTCTATCTGACAACTTGACTGGGTCTTGCCTTGCTACTTATGTTGCAGATGCGGCCGGTTGTCAATGCTGGAAACGGGACCTCGGTGCATGTTTAGCCCTCGCGTCAACGCTGTCTGGCTCGTTGAGCTCGTTCAAAGTGAATGGTACATTGTTTTCCAACATGGTGTTGGAATCGCTGAGTGCATACCACCTGGACAAGTAATTCAGCTCGCCGCCACAGTCGAACCGGCGCACGCGAATCGGCCCCACGACTCGATTCTGTCAGAACTCCTGGGAGTATACGAAATAACTCAGCTTGCCGCCAAAGTCGAAATCGCATATCTGTTGTATGCAATTTAGCCTTTAGGGCTCGATTATCGTCGCGAATCAGGTGGCTTCTAAAACATGGGGTCATTCAGCTGAAGGTCCGTGGCTTGCACGTGCAAGTAGAGGCCTCCTAAAGTCTGCCACAGCCACTGTCGCGGCTTCGTGTTCGCCCAGAACCTGGGATTCTGACCACGATCGAAGGTTTGGCAACCTAGATTGGTAATTCCTACACCGCTACGATCTAGTTCTTGCAGGGAGCATGCACAGGAAAAGCTTCACTACATGCAAGCCTCCCTTTATCAGCGCTATGGGTACTAACGCACGACTGCCGACTTCCAAGCTTAAGCTTGGATGGACGAAGCTATAGTGCAAGAGCTGTCGATATTGACAGCCATGCGACTGCCAAAATATGGTACATGGCTTGAAGCTGAAGTGAATAGTGCAGGCACCTGGACAAGCCTACATCGGTCAGTATGAGTCTCACAGCTAGCCACCGACCACGCGCACATGTGCTGGAGGAAACATGATCATCAAATTCATCGAGGTCGGCAGATATATGTTCGAGGTGTATCCTCGCCACAATCACCCAAGCAGCAGTCATCTCTAGCAACCACTACCTCAAATTTCAACGATTGTAACCTTCTCACCGCCACAGCCACCACTACCACCATATCCGCCACCATGGGCAGCACAGGCACAGCAGTAAATCCAGACGCGGCAAGCTACATAGGAAAGAACTTGAACTGCCTTGCAGCAGGTGAGCTTCACACTGTTTGACCGTGGACTTGTTGGCTGACTTGAGGCAACAGTCGATACACTTGATGTCTCCCAACTACTCAACACGATACCGGCTGGTGCGCGAGCTTTGAAGCTCAGTTCTACTCAACAGAACACTCCTGTGACCTTCACTATCGCCAAGACTGATCAAACAAGAATCTTCAGCGGCTCTGAGGACCTTGAGATCGATGTCAATGTCGCTCTTACCGACCAGCTCAAGATCTGCAATTCTGGATCTGCCGCCAGCTCCTTCCTTCAAGTGGATGCTTCTGCCTCTGCCTCATATGGCGGTGTTTCCGTCTCAGGCAACACGTCCTTCTCCAGCAATAAGAAGTACTCGGAAAGCTCCATGTACGCCTTCTATTCCTGGGAGGAGTCATGCTACAAAGTTCAAGTCAATCGACAACCACAGCATCTGCTTCATCCTGACCTGGTGGATAACGTCTCTGAGCTCCCAGCTTGGGATCAAAATGCCTCCGATGTGGTTCAACAATATGGTACGTGACCCCTGCACGATTCTCAGCGTCTGCTGCTAACATTATTTACAGAAGATTTCTTCTCGTCGAATGGTACACATGTTATTACAGGCGCCAAGCTTGGATGGCGATATCTTCTGACTGTGCAGTGCGACAAATCAGATGCAGACGTAAACACCGACTTCACAGCATGTGTCAAGGCCGAGTACTCTGGCGTCGGTTCCATGTCTGCCTCCGCCGGTGTCAAGAGCAAAACATCCTACTCCAGCTACATGAGCAAATCACAATCCACCTGTTACGTCCGTGGTGGTGACCTGACCGCCAATTCTGATGCCAAAAGCACAGCCGACCGCCAGAACGGCGGTGAGCCAGGACCAGAGTTCAGCAAGTGGGCCGCCTCTACCTCCAACGGCACGGGAGAGCAAATCCTGAGCGTGAGTACGATGGGCCTGCCGAACGTCCTACGCTTGAACAAGACCACCAAAACTGCAGCCGCCTCGCTCGACTCTGCCCTCAAATATTTCACCGCCAAAGTCAATACGCACGTCTTCAACGGCCGCCTCTTCGGCAGGAGCGACTGGTTGAGCTTCACCCTTACCAACCCAGCCCCAACCACCAAGATCGTCGTCCCGAATCCGCTACCAAGCATTTGGACCCAACGCAACGCAAGCTTCAGATTCGGGCGTTTCGACGCGTCGGGCGTTCAGATGAGAGCCACTCAAGACCCAACCTGGCAACACGTCGATAATGTCAGCGTGCCAATCCAGCTACAGCTCGCCCACGCCACCGATCCCATCAGCTTCGATCTCGACCACGGCGCAGCTGGGGGTTCTAGTGACGACGACCACTACAGCCAAATTGACTTCTACGGCGACGACGGCACGACCGTGATTTTCAGCAGGAACAATTGGACACATGATAACAATAACAAGCAATCTTTCAATGCCTTGCGCATTCAGCAGCCATCTTAGAAGCAACGACTATGAAACGCGCGAAATAGCGTCCTGGAAGCAGACACATATGTATCCCCGTCTTTCTACAATGCTTAATCAGAACATACATGCGGTGCATATTGCTGTGTATTCTAATGACAATCATCAGGTTGCTTGTATACACATCAGTTGGACAGGGCGACTATTGTTCTGATTTGTGAAACGACCCTGCCAGCAAATAATCCCAGGGAATAATGCATAAGGCCATTCTCTAGCGACAATTGAAGGAGACGTTTGCATGCTGTCTATATCTCTTATCTCTACGGGCCGAACATTGTGCAAGCTAGCCAACGCGGACTACACGTCCTCAAAAGACCGAGCACCTTCAACATCCCCCTAGATCTACAACTGCCCATCCTTCCCCTCCTGCTCCCTCAGCAACCGCCAAATAATCCGACAATACTCAATACTCCTCTCATTCCCAATCAACCCGCCCCCCATCTTATTCATCACATACGTAAACGTCACCCCCCTATGCAAATCACACACCCCAAAACTCCCTCCCCACCCGTTCCAGAAACACATCTTCTCTTGCGGCAAATAATCAAACGACTTTGCTGAACCGCCGCCACCGATCGAGAACCCGATCCCGAAGCGGATCGGCATGCCGATGCACAGATCCACGCCGTCGGACTGCTCACGGAAGATCTGGGAGATGGTTTCTGGGGTGAAGAGTTTGGCTTCGTCGTGGGGAGTGCCGGCGAGAGTGATCGCGCGGAGGATCCGGTTTAGGCCCAGGGCGGTTGTGTGGCCGTTGACAGCGCCGATCTCGCCTTGTCGCCAGATGTCGGTGTTGGCGACTAGGGCGTTCATGCTTGGATTGATGAACGTCTTGCCTGCGACACTGTCTGGGTCGATCTTGAAGTCGGCTGCTGGTGGTGGAGGTGGGATGACGGGGGCAATTCGCGGCCAGTCGCTTTCGATGGCGCCGTATTGGAAGTTTGCGTTCAGGGGTTTGGCGATTTCGTTGGCGATGAAGTCCTTCAGGGTCTGTCCGCCGCTGGCTCGTCGGAAGACTTCGGAGAGGGGTGCGCCTTGGTTCGTGGCGTGGTAACCGCTGGCGGTGCCAGGTTCCCACCAGGGTGCTTGGGCCTCGAGTTTGGCGGCGGCGGTGGGTGCGTCGCAGAGCTCTTCGAGGGTGATGCCGCCCTCCCAGCCTGAGACGCCGGAGGTGTGGCTGAGTACGTGCCGTATGAGGATCTTCTCCTTGCCGTTTTGGGCGAATTCAGGCCAGTATTTGGCGACGGGGTCGTCGAGGTTGATGATGTTGCGTTGGTGAGCTAGGAGGAAGGCGGCGGCGGTCACGGTTTTGGTTGAGGACCAGACGTTAACGATGGTATCGGCTTGCCATTTCTTTGTTTTTTCCTCATCTGCGTAGCCGCCCCAGATGTCGACGACATCTTTGCCGTTGATGTTGACTGTGATCGATGCTCCTAGCTCGGAGTCATCGTTAAGCTTTTCTTGGAAGAAGTCTTTGAGAGCCTTGAAGGCTGGGTCGCTTTGGCCTTCCACAGTCGCCATGATTGTTGCTGAGGTGTTCAGTGGTACGCAATGGGGCAGTCTGGTGGCTCAGCGGTCAGTGATCAGTGTTAACCGTCTCAAGCCTCTGTGGTCCGGCTTGGTGCAATGATAGCAAAGTAAGCAGATGTCGTCCTATGATATACCTACGCCTTGTTGTTGACATCTTAGAAGTCAGGCAGTCACCAAAAGACCCATCAGTAAGAAACGATGCATAAAACGTCCGAATCCTGCATGGCTCGCAAGAGCTTAACAATCCAGACCGCCGGGCCCGCCCATGGATGGCTGCTAAACGAGCCTGGAGGCCCAACATGGCATTGGCATTGTGGGGAGGACTCGAACAGATACGGAAGGACTGCGATACCTGCATTTAGCGAATTTGACAGTGCATAGAAATTTGAGTTCATGCCTCGGCACCGACTCTTAGTGCCCACTCTACTTACAGAGTCGTGGTCGCCTCTTCGAGTTTGACGGACGAAGTTGGACCGCTGACAATGCACAATGTCCCATGCTGCTCCAGATGGACCTGGCTGGTGCAGTGAGTACGTGACAGCGAATCTCTGTGTCTACATCGGTTCAGATGTAGGTGGCTGACGTCGCGTGTTCGATGCCGCTGACTTCAAGGCCTTACAGCGCTGTCCAGTGTGCTCTGAGAGGGACTTGGCCTCAGGCTAATCTCAACGCTTCGTCGTCGATATCTTCATTCACTCGACATGCTGAACCATGCGACATACAGTGAATGCGTCTTGGCCGACTCAATTGGATGATTCACTCCGGGGTTTGCCCCGATCTCGATTTCGTTGATGGAGTATAAGTAGTTGCTTTGCCCTTATGACGACTTCTTCTTTTTTTCCCAATCGGCGGGAGCAACTCCCAACACTTCGCCATGTCAAGGTAGCATCTTCTGATGCTATCTGATGGGGCGAGCTTCTTCTGAAGGGTGGCAGCGACGGTACATTTGGGTATCCGACAGGTGCCGGTGGTTGCAGATGATCTTACTGCGTTCACTTCGTCCCTTCCCACAGAAGCTTGCCTCGAGATGGCATGACTTCGTAGCACAGGTATCGATGTAAGCGAGCAACATTCTAATTGCTGTCACGGCGTTCTCATCTTTTCTTCCCCTTCGCACCACCGGCTTTCTTCCCTGGCACACTAGCCTTCAGTGCAGCATGACTCGGATTGTCTTTCAGATGCTTAAAAAGCTGGGTCTTCGAATCAAACTCGTTTCCGCAGCGAGCACAACTGAATTCTGAAGCAGCCGCCCTCGACTCGCCAGCAGCGGCTTGTGCGGCCTTCTTGGCTCGCTTTTGCTTTGCTTTGCCGAGTTTCGACTTCGCGCCTGGCGTGCCATCTGTGTCTGAGGTTGCTGGCGTTCCCTCCAGTGAGAGATCTGTGAGGGTGGACGAGATGCCATTGGTCGTGTTGCCTGTAAGGCGGGCCTCTATGGCGTCTCGCGAGGCGTAGTCGTCGTCAGAAGCAGACGACTCCATGTCGTGCTTCGCAGGAGGTACGTCAGGCCCGGGTTGGGACTCGGAGAGTCTGCCATCATCTGCGTCTCCGCTTCCGCTCTCTGCATAGCCGGTCGGTTGCTGCGGGAGCGTGGTCTTAGCGTCCTGCTCGAGATTGTCACCTTCGCCTTCATCCGATTGCGCCCTCGAAGTCTGATCTCGCTCTTGTAGGTCTGCGTCTTCATCCTTCATCGCTCTCTTGAGCTGTTTCAACAACTTGACATGCTTCTTACTTCTCTCGTGAGCTTGGAACTGCGCCTCGCTTTTGAACGTCTTGTCACACACGACACAATCATACTCATGCTCTTCGATGTCCGACTCACTGGAGAAACCTCCTTCATGCTCGTCCTTCTCTCTCGACTGAGCCCAGGCCGGTACCGCATCCATGTCACTCAAAGCATTCCGTAACTGCGCATCCCTCTGTGCTCGCGACCTGGCTGCTTGCGCCGCCGCCGCATCTCGTAAAATCTTCTGTCTCTCGGCCTCTGATTTTTGGTTATCCTGCACTCTCGGATCCCTTTTGCGCACGAATGCGATCAACGATCGCACAGCGTCGTTGTATTCTTGAATAGCCTCGTCTCGAACCTTCTTATTCTCCTTCTCCATAAGCCTTCGTATCCGCCGATCCGGAGCGTCCGCTAACCGGTAGGCGTCTTTCCATGAGAAGCTCTTCTTCGTGGCGAAGCTCGTCCACGCTGAATAGAATGGCCTGACTACATCTTCGTAGTGGTCGTTTTTGTGCCCAAACTCGGGGTAGTCTAGAGAATCTAGATCCTCCCACTGGCAAGCAATATCCTCCTCCTTCGCCAACTTCTCAAAGAAATCATGCAGACCACCGTAAAAGCCATTGGGCGCATCGGTGAATTCCATGCGGCCGTTGAACTTGAGCATCAACTGCTGCACTTCTACTGCAGTCGTCATGCGAATGTTGTAAGAGAACTCCTCGCCATCCTGCCCGGGCTGCTCCCCACGCAGGAGGATGTCCTTGTGAGAGTCGTACCATGCTCGTTCCTGCGGGTCAGAGAGGACCTCGTAGGCGGTCTGGACTTCGGCGAAGAGTCTGGTCGTCTCTTCGACGTTGCCATAGTTGCGGTCGGGGTGTAGTTCGAGGGCTTTGCGTCGGTATGCCTTCTTGAGTTCGTCTTCTGTTGCGGTGCGCTCGACGCCGAGTAGTTCGTAGTAGTCGGTCTTGAGTGGTGCCGCTTCGTCAGCCGCCGGCTGTCCTGAAGAGGACTGTCCCTGGCCCATGGCCGGGCTGGTGGGCTTTAAGGTACGATCGCGTGAAGGTTTGAGGCTCAAGAACAATTGCCATCGGCAGACACGACAAAATGTTTTCGTAGTCCCGTCTAGTACCTTAGGTTCGTCGCGTGACGCAGCCCTCGCTTCGCCCGCAAATCAGCCGCAAGGGCCTGGAGAACATGTGCATGGAATTTGCATGGGCCAAACTCGTCACCTCTCAGCTACCAGTAGGCATTAACTTTCGACGGAATTAGGCACTGACGCAAGCACCGAAGCAAGAGGCTCGTGTTGCCGAACCGTGCCTTAAGTTTTGCAAACGTACCAGCCTTGAGGAGAGCCGCGTGCCAGTGAATTCGGGCAGGTGGCGAATCTGGGGACTGCCATTCGCTTCGCAGAGGGACGACGAAGTTTTCTCGGATCTAGATTTCGATTTCGTGCCCCAACATGCTCTTTGTCACCAGATCGGAGACTCGTGTACCCCGGAAAGGCCTTCCTCAATATCACTATTGCCTCTTCCTTCTTGAGCGAGAGGAGTTGATTTACTCTTGCAGTCCTACACATTACTAACGATACCATGGGCCACGCCCATCGACCCAGTGAGAGATTCTACGAGTGGCTCAGGCACATGCACAACATCGGAGATTATTTTTGTCGATCATTATGAAGTTTGGACAAGACTACCAAGCCGCGCTTCAGCGCGAAGAATTTCCTCAGGATTGGGTCGAGTCCGCCATCTCTTACAAGAAGCTTAAGAAATGCATCAAGCGCGTGCAGCAGGAACTCAATGGTCTTGGGTTGGATCAGGATACGCTTAATGCTCTGTGGCAACATGTGAGCACGGGAACGGAGGCGCTGTCGGATGACAATGTCGCGAGTCGGATGCTGCATTATACGTTTGATGGGAATGACAAGGTCAGGTTCGTACCGAAGTTGACTATCGCGTTGGATCCCAGGGATGGCTCGCCGATGGATGCATGGTTGAGTCCGAGCACGAGGCGACATCTGCGGCGTTTGTCGAGGAATTCGAAGCCACTGGTTGACGTTGAGGAAGTTTCGCCTTCTGCTCCGAACGGGGGCGATGCCGATAATTCAGAGACCGACGCAACTGAAGCGACAGACACGACGGAAGCATCTGAGGAACAGCAGCATTCAGAGATCGAGACAGTAGAGATACCCTTGACCTCTGACTCGGAATTCTTTCAGATCTTGAGACGAGAGTTGCGAAGTCTCGACGGACTCCAGCACAAGGAGCAGCAAACCATCAGTGACGATATATCGCGCCTCGCTCATCAGCTGCAAGATCTCAAGGCGTCCAAGAAGAAGCGGTCCAAGCAAGACATAGAGCAATGGCGCAGACTCTTTGAGCTCTATGCCGAATCGGAGGTCTTCCGGTCCTCGCACGAAGCCGACGCAGGTGCACGCGATGTTGAACATGCCCAGAAGCAATTGCAGCTCTTCACAAAGTCAGTCCAAGAGCAAAGAGTGAAGGGTGCGCTTGTGTCGAAGGAAAGCAACGAAGCCATGGACCGTTTCCTCAAGATCAACATCGACCTCCTGCGGCTCATGCGCTTCCAAGAAATGAACCGCATCGCGCTATCGAAAATTCTGAAGAAGTTCGACAAGCGGACAGCTCTGCATGCTCGGGCCGCGATCCCAGAATCGCTCAGAAGTGGTGCTGCGGTCAGCCAGGACTTGGCACGAGGCACATGTTACACCATCGCCAACGAGCTGATGAGCGTGATACCCCAGGTCAACGACTACCTGTGCCCGGTCTGTTTCAGTATTACCTACAAGCCTGTGCGACTGGCTTGCAACCATGTGTTCTGCATAAGGTGTCTTATCATCATGCAGCGGGAAGAGCAGAGTCACTGCCCGATGTGTCGAGCAGACGTTGTGCTGAAGGCGGATAGTGGTAGGTCCATGCAACATATCAGAATGACGAATGAAATAAGCTGACAGACAATCTAGACAACGTTGATCAGAAACTAATGGCGTTTCTCGAAAAGAACTTCAAAGCGGAGGTCAAAGAAAAGCAGAAGGCCAACGAGATCGCTGCGGCTATCGACAGGTTCGGGGAGCCGTACATGGAGCCCCTGAAGTGTTCAGTAATGTAAAAGGTGGTAATTCATGTCTCATGAGACTTTCGATTCTGGTACTTCGGGTTTGAGCTCTTCTGTGATGTTTTTCTCGTCCTTCCATGCAAAGGACACGTATTTGGTGTGGCTGCCTCGAGCAACAATTTCGTTGTCCTTGTTTATAAATTTGACTGATGTGTAGGCCAGGGTCTTGCCGACTGAGATCCGTCAGCTGGGGCCTTCTATCGAGACTGAGCTGGCTTTACACTTGTCACAAACTACCTCACCTCGTATGGTGTCGCCAACCTTGCCGCCAGAGTTGAGATATGTGACATTTATATCCGTCGAAACGCCTGTAGAGTATAGTCCTCGCGATGCCAGCGCAAGAGAGCCGCTGGTATCAACCATGGTGGCTAATGTAGCTCCGTGGAGGATGCCGAGACGGTTCGTGTGCTGCTTCTCTATTGGGAGCTCAAAGTTGACCTTGCCTGGTTCTGCTGCTGTTATACGCATCTATGCAAGATCTCAGCTAGTGGCTCTAACTTTGTGAGCTGCAACTCACACCACTGATCAATCTGATTACAGTTGTCAATGATCGCTCGGTCGGACACATGGTTGTTATGGCACTCACCTCGGCTCAACTCCCGATGTGGACAAAAAAGACTCCCATACCTTTCGTGGTCAGTTCAGATGGGCGTTACTGCAGGCTAGCATCGTACCGAGCGAACAAACCTCAGAGCAGTCATCTTGGCACAGAAAGACTGCTATCACTCGGGGTCCAAGCTCTAGGCTCTTCGTAGAAACGGTTTCGAATTTCCAAAGGTCCTGATTACGGATGTTGTGCTGCTATCTAGGCACCTGGAGGGTACGATAATCGATCCACGTGCCGACCGACAGTGCCGTCCGGATCTGAGCGACTTGAAAGCTGTTTCACTTCTCGACATACGCTCACTCGGGACTCAAGAACTTGAAGATGTCGACGGGTTTGATAGAGGCCGGAAAAGGCATCCGGGGCTCCGCTTTTACGCGGTTGCCTTCTTTGCTGTCAATCATCCATCGTGTCTTCATCATTATCGTGCATCAGTATCGTGCATTTTACCTTCATCGCAGTAAGGTCATCCGAGCGCAAAGCTCCACGCATCGCTGTCAGGTCTGATCTCCGCATCAGGCACAGTCAAGGGGAATGAGTCTGCTCATTGACACGAATCGATATCGGTAAGGATGGCGGAAGGCCTGCAATCATGGGACTTCCTGGAGACACTCCCAGGAATAGATTTCTTCCGCTTGTACAAGAGTCCTTCCTCAGCACTTGCTATCTTCCGCAAGAGACTCTCGTCCTTGGCCAAGGCCTTCGTCATGGGCATGCTCTATATGCCCGCACCAATGCCGCTGAAACACTTCGAAATTATGGTCAAAGACGGGAGTATTCGAGAACGCGACACGGCGATCAATCTCCTTCAACGTTATCACATCTTCAAAGAAATAAGGTCTGCGGCCGGGAGAAGCTTCTCGCTGACGCCAGAATTCGCAAAGTCCTTACGTGTGGCACTAACTGGTCGAGGCGAAGGCCATTCGTTTGGCAAGATCACGTCTGTGCCTGTCGGTGAGCAGGTCGACATCGATTTCCTGGATGAGTATGCACGACGACAATGGGAAGGAATACTGGGCTACATGGTCAGCTCGTCTGATAATCCGATTGAAAGTGCAGAGCCACTTAGCCGTCCTTCAAGCAAAATTATCGAGCTTCTGCGAGTGGGTGGTCTGGTGGGTGGGAGAGGCAATCAGGACATCACGAAGGAAGGCTTCTCGTTCGTGCTACAAGATCTCAACACACAGATATGGTCCCTTCTGTTCCTGTATGCAGAAGTCGCTGATCAATTCGAGCTGAACACCATCGACGTGCTGAGCTTCTTATTGCACCTATCTTCTCTCGAATTGGGTCAGGCCTACTCAACAGAGAGCCTAGACAGCACTCAAATGCAGTGTCTTGATGATCTTCAATCTTCGGGGATTGTCTTCATGCCGCTCAATAGTGATGGAACCCCGGCACCATACTTCTATCCTACTCGACTGGCAACAACGTTGACTTCCGACTCCCAGAGTACTATCTCGGCCACGAACGCGACTTTGGGATCGTCTCTATCAGCGTCTACCCCAGGCCAAGGCTTTGTCATTATCGAAACCAATTATCGAGTCTACGCGTACACCGACTCACCTCTCCAGATCGCCCTTCTAGGCCAATTCGTCAGACTACGCTCTCGACATGCAAACTTGGTCACGGGAAAGATGACCAAGGGCTCCATCCAGCGTGCCATATTCAGAGGTATAACTGCGGACCAAATCATCTCTTATCTCACCTCTCATGCTCACCCACAAATGCGCAAACGAGCTCAACAAGAACAGGCTCAGCTTCGAGCACGCAACATCGATCAAGGCAAGACTATTCCCATAATACCGGCGACCATACTCGACCAGATACACTTATGGGAGATAGAGCGCGAACGAATGACAGCGACGAATGGCTTCCTGATGAAAGACTTCGACAAGGACGATGAGTACAGAGCGGTCTCGACCTATGCCGATGAAATCGGCGTGCTCATCTGGAAGAACGACAGAAAGCGCTTGTTCTTCATCAGTCGAATAGAACAGGTGAAGACCTTCCTGCAAGAGAGAAGGGGCGGTGGACAGAGTTCGTCCAGATGATTACCAGAATACGACAAGTCTATCAGTGCTGTTGGTACTCAAAACGAATCGATGAAGTTTCAGCCTACATTGCCGTCCTATGCCCAGCAACCTCTCACCACAAACTCGAGCGCGGTCGTCATCATGCGCCCTTGTCCGAGATAGCTCTTCCGGCGGCTCGTTCAACGCTGGGCGAGCGTGGAGTCCTAGGCCGCTGCCTGCTCGTCATTGCAGTTGCGCCGTGCTCTTTCCGAGTCTGCGCCACGTCGGACTCTCCAAAAGAATACGGATGGTTCCGATACTCAGCACTCCCCATCTCTCGGGCCCATGCCTGCGAGTCCTGGACTATATCCTGCAACTGTGCAATATTCAGAGTCCTCCTTGCGCCAATAATGTAACCTTGCTTGCGTCGATCTTGTGGATTTGTCGCAGATTTTATTGTTGCTGTGTCGTCTATAAAGGCTCTGAGATATGCTGCGAGCACAACAAGATCTACCTTTGATGATGGAATCCAACATTCGATGTGAGAGATGTCCTCGTCTTCGGAGTCTATGCCTTCGCCAGTGCTGCTCCCTCTCCTCACTCTTGCACTGTCGTCATGCCTCCTCGTGCCAGCCGACATAGAGTCACTCTACACAGCGCTTTTGCAATTAGGCCCAGTCATCTTCGGGAGTGTCGTTATCGTTGAGTCAACGCTCACTATGTCACAGAGATGTGTGCTGCGAAAGGAGATCAGACCAAGTTCAGAAGTTCAGGCACGAGGTAACGACGACCAGAACATGTGACATTTCGACAGGGCGACACATTCCCTCTCAGCCTATGGACCTGCATTAGCGTTGGAGGGGCATCATTCTGGCATCTTGGAAGCATTTGGGGTGGGTGTGACTGTCAGAAGTTCCGCTGCTCGCGTCAGGTCTTTGGCCAGATGTCACAGAGCCCGCCACATCCCTTGAAACATGTTGACGCCTCTGCTTTGCGCCAGTCTTCGCGCGGCCTATTTGACCTACAGCAATACTTAGCGGATATGACCGCCATTGCGCGCATTTGCGCAATAGTCGGCCGGCCGTACGAGGTGCTTTGCAAGCTGGAGCTGACGTCGCAGACAATATTTAAGCAGCGTACTCGCAGAACTTCAACAATCGCCGTTCATGGCAAGCCGTACTGCCCCATAAAGCATTGTGCCCCCCGCGCCTGCGATAGTGTCGCCAGAGGGCGCAAATTTCATGATGAAAAGCATCATCGGAGTTCTCCCCAGAACTTCCAGCCAATGATCAGGCTTTATAGGCGACAAAGATGGAAATTCAAGGCCCTGCATGACGCCCATCACCGCGTATGCGGAGAAGAAGAATTTCAATCTCCAAGGCGGCTCATCGGCCGCGAACTCGGGTTGTTGAGCCTCCATGTCGACTTAAGACCTTACCCGGACACAAAATGAACTGACCGCCAGACTCTGGTGGTATTGATCAACGCCTGATGTGCAGTCGAGTTGGACTCTTATTCCCTGGAGCATTTGCAGGCGGGCACATACTTGGACCAGCTACACAGTGATTTATGGATCGACGTCAGTACTCTCATACGCCACTAAAACGAGCCCGTAGCTCAACATGGACACTACCCTTACACGCACGGTGACCGCAAAAGACGCCGAGGATGTTCCTCCAGCATTCGCGACCTTGAGCCACACCGACTCATTTGTCTCTCCCGTCTCACATTCTGAGCCAGCATACCACCCGCCAGCAACAGAAAAGGGGCTTACACAAACCACAACCACCACATCCCAACGCACCGCGGCAAACCGCGTGCTATCACGCTTCCGCACCGCCGACTCGATCCCTTTGACACCTCCACCAGATGGCGGCGTCAACGCCTGGATCATGACCTTCATGGCCTGCCTCGTCAACTTCAACACATGGGGCTTCGTGAATTCATTTGGCGTCTTCCAGACCTACTACGTCAACACCATGCAGATCGGTAGTCCTTCCGCCGTCTCCTGGATCGGATCTGTCCACGTCTTCCTTGTGTTCGGGATTGGCACATTCTCCGGACGAGCCACCGACGCAGGTTACTTTCACCCAGTCTTTGCGATAGGGAGTCTGATTTACTGCGTTGGTATCCTGTCGCTGAGCTTCTGCGACCAGTACTGGCAGGTCTTCCTCTGTCACTCCCTCACTGTTGGCTTCGGAGCTGGTCTAGCCTTTGTGCCCAGCATAGCCGTTGCAGCGAGCTATTTCAGCCATGCAAAACGTGGCGCCGCACTGGCTCTGGTCGTCTGCGGCTCGAGCGCGGGCGGATTGATCTTTCCTGCAGTCGCTGAACAAATGCTTCCCCGCCATGGCTTTGCATGGACCGTGCGGACCATATTCTTCATCGAGGCGACCCATTGCGACCGTCGCAGCGTGTGTCATGCGCCCACGCCTCCCACCACGAAGAGCCGGTCCCATCATCGAATGGACAGCGCTCCGCGAGGGACCATACACCCTCTTCCTGATCTCCATCTTCTTCTCCTTCTGCGCCCTGTACGTCGGATTCTTCTACATCGGCAGCTTCGGCCGCGACGTCCTGGGCGTCAGCCAAGCAACTGGCATCCAACTCCTCCTCACGATGAACGGCGTCGGCCTCGTTGCGCGAGTCATACCGAACATCATCGCTGACAGGGCCACTGGACCACTGAACCTCATCATTCCGTACTCGATCATCACGGCCGTCGTCTTCTTCAGCTGGTTGGCTGTGGATAGTGTGAGCGGGTTGTGGACGTGGGCTGTTGTGCAAGGCGTAAGCAACGCCGGGATACAGGCCTTGTTCCCGGTGGTGTTGACGAGTCTGACGGATGATCCGAAGAAGATGGGTGTGAGAAGCGGGATGGGTTTCACGACAGCGGGCATGGCAGTGCTCATTGGCCCGCCTATCGCTGGGGCGTTGGTGGAGAGGCTAGATGGCGATTACATGGGCTTGCAGTTGTTCGGAGGATGCATGTTGGCGTTGGCAGCCGCGTTCCAGATAGCGGCGAGGTGGGCGAAGGTTGGATGGGGTATCAGGAGGAAGGTATGAGGAATCGGCAGACGTTTGCTGCACTGGCGGGAGTTGCCTCAGCACGTGGCAGCCTGGTCCCATATAATAGCCTGTGAGGCTGGCTGATATCACGAAGTATGATAGCGATGAAACACGTGCCTGCCTTCCTCATTGAGTTGCATGCATTGCGTGGCTTTCTGCAGCCGCACGAATCGTAGGCGCGGGCCGGATCACACACAATCAGCTTGAACGAGAAGTTTAAAGCAATGTCACTAGATTTATTTTGTGTATCTAGAGCATTGCACGAGTAATTAGGTAGGCAACAAACAAGACTTGCTCGTGCTGTCACCGATGCAATCTGGTAGAATATTTGAGGAGTGAGCCAAAATGCCCGCATTCGCTAGTTGCTGCACGGTGTGGTTTTGCTCAGAGGAAAGTCTGCTGACAGAACAGACCCCAGACCAAGTCGCATGATGTCGGTTTTAGATGACGTTGCGAACACCAGCCTTAAGATGTCCCAAGATGCCCTTCTTCTTCCTCGCCTCCTCCATCTGGGTAATAGAAGAACGTCGCTGGTCCTCCGGAACGTCCAAACCGCTGATGACGCTCTGCTCATCCCTCATACCAGTGTACACGTCGATATCCTTGATCTTGATCCAGATCGGGCGATCCTGGGGACGCGTGAACCAACTGTACACCTTCCACACGACGTACAGGAAAATTAGGAGTGGTCCGGCGAGGTACAGCTGGAAGAAGGTGTTTGCATCCAAGTTCGGCCCGCCGACGGGGTAAAGCGCGACGTAGAACTGCGCGATGAGGGCGAGGACGGAGATGAGGACGCAGACGTAAGAACCCCAAATGCCGAAAGCGGCGCGGAAGGGCAGTTCAGCAACGGTGTGGCCCTGGTGCTTCCACGCCATGCGGAAGCGGATGTGGGCGAGGGCGATGCTGCCGTAGATGAAGATGATGGAGAGACCCGAAAGGGCGAGCAGCCAGTTGAAGATGTCGCCTCCGTTGCTGGCCAAGTTGATGAAGCGAGGCAGCCGAAGAGGAGTTGGAGGATGGTGACAGGCAAGGGGCGGCCTTTCTTGTCGATGTAGGCGAGAAATTTCGGGGCCATGCCGTTCGCGGCGAGGGCTTGAATGGTGCGGGTGCTGCCGAAGGTGCAGGAGTTGGCGACGGACATGACGGCGATCAGAATGACGGCATTGAAGATTGAGGGGAGCACTTTGATGCCGGCGAGTTGAATGGCGATAACGAAGGGCGAGTGGCGGGAGGTGGAGCCTTCGGCGGAGTAGAGCTCACTGTCGGAGGGGACGATCAGACCCACAAGGAAGAGGTTGACAATGTAGAAGATCAGGATACGCCAGACGACCTGTCGCGAGGCGCGAGGGATCTCCTTGCGCGGATTGGCGCTTTCGGCGGCAGCCAGGCCGGTGAGTTCGGTACCGGTGTACGCGAATGCTGCAGTGACGAAAACTCCGCAGAAGCCGTGGAAGCCGTTCTTGAATGCGCCCGGATTGTGCCAGTATCTTGCGCCAATGTAGCCACGGTCGTCAGTTGGGACACCTCCGGTGTCGATGATTATGCCAAGAATGATGAACCCCGTGCAGGCAATGATCTTGATCATGGAGATGACGAACTCGACCTCGCCATAGCCTCGAACGCCAAAGTACTGGATGACGATCAATGCAACCAAAAGGGGCACGATCCATGCAGCATTTGTGATACCCTCGGAACCGGGCCAGTAATGAATGATGTTGCAAGCGGCCGAGATTTCGAAGGGCAGGACGGTCAGCCAAGAAATCGCGTACTCTGCATAAGGTCAGTTAACTGCCCGTGTTGGAGATCACAAAGCCGTGACTCACCCCACGCGCAGGCGAAGCCCCAAGACGGATCCACAAATCGACAGATGTACATGGTGAATGCGCCATTGACAGGATAGACGACAGACATCTCAGCGAGAGCCTGCATCATGAGATACACTTGAAGACCTGTGTCTTGTCAGCATAAATACGGTCTATCGTGGGGGTGAACGAACCAACGATCATGAAGCCAAGAAGCACTGATCCTGGTCCGCCGCTCTGGAAAGCACCGCCGGAACCGATGAATAGACCAGCACCGATTGCACCTCCGCTAGGAAATGTCAGTTCTCCAAAACTTCGAAACCTGCTTGCGAGAGTACTCACATAGCAATCATCTGCATGTGTCTGCCCTTCAGGTTGCGCTTGAGCTCATGCTTGCCGCGCTCGTCCGCCTCAGCAGCGAGACCAGCTTGAGGTGCGACATCAGTGAATGCGCCTGGCCCCGAAGGATGGCCCTGTTGGACCTTCTTCTCGTTCTCCGAACCGGAATGTTGGTCACTCATGTTGGCGGGCGCAAAGAGAGTGAGACGAAAAAGTAGTCTTGCGACGCAAGAACCGCGGGCGGCCACGCGGGAACACACTTTGCTTTTAAAGCGTCAAGCTTGAACCAAGCCTGCCACAAGCCTGCCGAGGATGTGCAAGCAACCCTCGTACGTCTGGGCTGTTGAGCTTATCAATTAGGCCTGGCGTTGGCATGCCATCTGGCGGGTCAGTGGCGAGAAGGTTGCATCGTGTGGAGTGGATGTGGCAGCGAGATAGCCACGACTCCACGAATCAAAGCCAAACAGAATCCCCAAGCTTGCAGTCACGCCAAATAGTGTGCCTAAGCCTGGTTAAGCTCCCTCTTGGTACTCTTGAGTGTTACCACGCTAGCATGGATACCCTAATCCCCTCGCTTCTTGAAGTTATTTCTCTTGCTTCGAGTTGTTGCCTCGATCGAACATTTCCATCCACATGATCGTGGGAAACCTTGGGTCGCGTGTGGCATACTTGCTCTGGTTCCTGCATATGCCACTTGCGATTGAGTGAGCTTACTGCAGTCTCTCGCTGGAAACAATTAAAAATCCGAGCAAGGACCGCTGCTATCAGTGTCCAAGTACCTTATTAGGTAACAAGAGCGGATGAAGGCGAGCGCGTCTCGCCCCCGGCATGGATTACGAGACGCAAGTGGATTCGGACGGGCAGAAGAGGGTAAGTCAGGCTATGTGATTGAACCATCGATCATGCCGCTCATTTTCCAAGACTCCTCAGTGTCCTCACTACAGCTCGGAAACAGCAAATAGTGCGCGAACTGTCCAGTGATAATCCTCACGACTATCTCGCTGCGAGAAAGCGGGCCCGAGAGCCGAATACGTGTTTTTCCACACGGCTTCCAGAAGCATTCCTCTCTGACTTCGTGCTGACGCGCTGACAGTGGTGATCGCGGCTCGCGGCTCCTCCGAGAGCACAGATGTGATGATCGCCAGTACTTCTGGATCTTGCTTCTGTGCATCGTCGCATCGACTTGTCATTCCTGTCAGCCAAGTCGGCCGCGCGCAGCATACTACTGGAGAAGGGCATCGCCGTCCGAGACGGCATTTGCCACATCCTACTGGTCGCGAGATGCAATTGCTGTCGCTATCAATTTTCTCATTGTACCGGTGGAGCAGTATTTACCGGCCACGGTATAACATGGTGGCGAAGTGGACTGACCATTAAGCGATAGCGACTTACCTTCTAGAATTCCTGATTCCATTTGGCCCGTTCGCTAAAGGTCGAGAGACAGCTTGATAGAGGCAACACCCCACGGAAAGCCTGATGACAATTCCCCAATCAGTCCACGAAAAGCCCTCCGAGCATCATCTACGACAGGGTCAAGTAGTCTGTTGCCAACACGAACTCACTATCGCTGATATACATGCGAAGTACGCCTCACGGAGCCAACGTTCATGACAATGACACGACCCGGACGTCATTGCGAACTGATGATCGTTGCCCTCTGATCATCGCTAATATTCACGTAAGCTGGCTCGTCGTCACTTATACTGACCGCCCAGCCATCTCGAGTCGCCTCGCTCAACGTGAACACTCGCCTAGTAAAGACGTGTCTCGAGAGTCATCAACAGCGCTTCAGCTTTGCCACAGTCTGGCCACAGTCACGTTAGCATACGTTGAGCACTATACAATAACGAGTCTGACGACAAATTGTAGTGGCGGAAGCACCGATCTGAAGGCACTTACACGCCGCAAGATATGGCGAGACGCCTTCACTCGGTAAGATGGTGCATACACAGCTCTTGGCCGCCTTCATCAAAGCATATTGCTGCTTGCGAATGTTATGGGTCGTTAGCTTGGTCCACCTGGGCAGCACGACGACAGCAAGGCGAATAATGGGGAAGGATAGGCAGACAAGAGGCACCTTGAAGGAAGTCTGCCTTCACGGCCAAGGACCTCCTCATTGCTGTGACACCGTGAGGTCCTTTCCATGTTCACTTGATGCTTCAACAGATTGTGCACTAGCCCAGACTCAAGGTATTTATTCTCTGAGGTTTCTCCAACGTAACGCGACATTCTGCGCGTTCTTTGTCCACGAAAACCACATGGTGTACAGACAATTCGACGACCACCTGATCAGTAGCAATGAGGGCAGAATGGGAACAGATCTTCTCGGGGCCATCATCACGTTGACCAGATGCAATTGCTGACAGCCACAAGGCGTTAGCACAATCAACAGGCGACCAGGAGAACTCCATGTCGCTGACTACCGATTCCAACGAAGCACTACCTGCTGAAATACTGCTTATGGTCTTCAGAGCATTCTTCGATGGCATTGTCCTGTTCCCACAGGCCCGGTCCCAGGACGCCTTCAATGCCGATTGTCAAGACAGAAGGTTTCATGAGTCGCGGCTTGCGATGCTGTTGCTGTCCAAGTCACACTCTCGGATGGTTCAGGACGCTTTATGCGAATGTGCAACCGTGCGGACTTGGTGTCCGACAGATCTATGTCTCCTCGACCTCGGCACGTACCCTTTGGACAGAATAGAGAAGCTTGAGATTGACATCTCTGATGAACGACATCACGAGCCTCCCTTTCTTCTACTGAGCAGAAGCATCAGAAAGCAGCCCAGACTGAGGTTGATCCGTTTCGTCACAACTGGTGTGGACTTCACCTTTTCGCAATGCTCACTGCTTGCGGAGACACGCCAGACCACCTCAGAGCTGACCAGTGTTGCACGAAAACTATCTGATTCGAGAGGTACGGGAGGCCAGGCCATGATGAAAGAAGCTTGGCTGAGAAAACTTGTGATCGATGCATCTCATCCTTCTCATGCGCTCAACATCGAGATCGAGTTCCAACTCTGCAACTGGTATTTACCGCATGTCCGGCTACCACGCGTCCGTCTCTCACCAGAGGCTGTGGGCAATCTCGAGGACTTCGATATTCCAGTTGTGTTCTCTGCCAAGCGTCAGACACTCACTGGAAAGCACGGAGACATCTGTTTCTCGGTACCACAACAGCCTCTGTTCCAAGAAGAGTTCCAGCAGGACCAACATGGAGACTTCAAGCAGACCCAACAAGACATTTTCTCGGACAACTCGGATGCAGAGACTGGAGTCTGGAGCATAGTTGCCGAACGATTCTCTGATATCGAGCTCACTGCAGAAGCTACATCACAACTGTACAGCTTGATGGCAGATGAACCGCACCCATCAGCCAACAGCATAGAGCCTGAAGATGCCACGGAGACTAGGGATCAAAGACTTGCATGGAGTGTTGGGAAGATCTTATATGCATATCGCCACAACGATTGCAACGAATGCGCGTGGGACGACCAAATTGCAGAGCCTGAGTTAAGCCCAAGACAGCTGTACAGTATATGGCGAAGAGTGCTGCAGGTGGAGGATGAGGAAGTGCTCAGACGCCCATGGCGTGAGGCTTATGACTTGGTCACCGATATTGATAGGGATGCAGAGGCGCCAGGTTACATGCACTTCGACCAACAAAAAGCCTTCTTCACACGCCTCTTTGATCCTACACGAAATTGGATCTCGAAGAAGAGGCCCAGCAGAGGTCTGACTTAGCAAGTCTACAGCCCCACGAGGGCCACTACGTTCATGTCGGCCCTGCATTTGATGACCCTTTTTCGGAGAGAGCACGACGCGAAGGCGGAAGATGACAATGAATTTGGAGGTGGCCTTCACGATGCCTGGTCCTCCAGTGTCCCATGGGTCGCAACAGGAGTCAGACCGAATTGCCGGATTGTCTGCATAGTCGTTGGTCCTGACAGAAGAGGCAACCTTCCAGTGCTCGAAACCATGGATGATGGCAGAGCGTCCTTCGTCCAAAGCGAGGGGGAGTGAATAGCGAGGCAGCATTGACAGGACTCAGCAATTTCGCAGCAAATGACAATCCCATACTTCACCGACTTACTCACCGTGCTGAGAGTAACAGCAAGGGCTTCTGTTTCTGACTCGGATTCTGCCTGGCCCCTGAAAGGGACTAGCTCCATAGGCGAGGCAACCACAGCCCCATCTGCAGGCATAGGTACAGTAACCTTACTCATTAATGCTTTCTTAATATCAGAGTCATATTTGCGATATAAAAGTTCAGCACATCCCTTTGCTGTGATTCCATGAGGGATCATAAAGAGCAGATTGATATCACCGACTGGCACTCGAATGAGTGCAACAGCAAGCAACATCGCCAATATTGCAATCATGGCAGCCGGCATAATCGTGCCGCTGAGGCGGCCCTCACGTAGTCTTCAGGAACAACAAGACCTTACCAGTGCCGTCATATCGCAAAGTGAATCACAACTCACGAGTCTCCCTTTCGAGATCCGGCTGCAAATATGGGAACACTTGTTCAGCTCTGACACCTATGTCGGTACGAACGTCCTCTCGCTGGCCGCTCTGGCACGCGATCCGCTTCTTTCGCCGCTCTTCGCTTGCAAGCAAATGTTCAAAGAAATCGGCGCAATCATACCATCATCCATCTTCATCGGCTTGCGTCGAACACCTTACACTGGGTACAGCTTCCCCAAATTGCACGAGCTTGGTGCCTACACTTTACTCCTCCCAGAAGATCTGAGAGGAAGCAGAAAGCTGTGCCTCAGCACCTACCCGTCGGCGGGCGTAGGACACTGCAACTCGACAGTGCCTGATCTGTCGAGGTTCATATCTCAGTTCAAAGACCTCCGTGTGCTCAAATGGGTTCCTCAACTGGGCTCGGGCTGGCCTAATCCACGCCTGATGTGCATCAAAGGGCGGTCGCATTTCCAGCACATAAAGTATAAGTGTTGGCACAAGATCCTGACGGGCGTTGACGAGGACGATCCGGGCGTACCGGTTCCTCAGAACCCGAAGAAGATTTGCGACGCGTTGAGTCTGATTCTTCGCGAGCCAGCAATGCACTGGCCGATGCATAAATTTGGCTTACTCCGAGAAGTCGCAGGTACGTTGCAGGGGGCTTCTCAAAGCCATATGTGCCAGTATCTCGTCGAACTGCGCCTGCCTGTCGGCGATTACAAGTCCCCTCCACCACGGCTGAATCTTGCGTATGGCGATCTCGATAATTGGATGGTAGGCAATTCTTGCCCCTATCCTCACCTATGGTACACTACTGACAGCTTCAGGTACTGACAGCAGATGTCTCGACGTTTGAGTTCGAGTTGAACTACCTTGGACAGACATGGCAGATAGATTGCAGGAAGTATGGCTCCAGGAAGTTTCTCAATATTCTGCAGAACAGGTTCGCTTTGCGTTATATCTAGCACTGTAGCGACGTCGATCGTTCCGCGAGCCATTTGCAGCCGCTCGTCGATCTCAATCGAGTTACAGAGTACTTCTCAAGAATTCCTGACAAACTCTTGTATTGGTTGTGCCTGAAAGCATCTTCTGTTACAGGCACTGATCCGTCTCCACCCGGGCCTGAAGTTGACGTCTTAGCACTGGTAAGAACTTCATTCATGCTCTTCGTCCCTTTCCTTTCTATGTGATCTCACAGGTATACGATAACAATGACTACCAACGATCAAGGCCATTTCCAGTAGGTCACTGCTTGCCATAGAAACCACAATGGCAGGCACGAGGGGTAGTGGACGTGATTTACCCCGTTAGCCAAACAAAGGAATTTATGTGAACCTATTGACCTATACTCACTGGCACTGCCATGAATTCATTGCCATTCCAACTCAATCGTCCACTGCTCTCCACACAAGTCGACTGACTCAGTATCGAGTCCCTCCGCTGAACGTTATGGGGGACACTCGATGCGCCAACCCGGAGTATCAGTTCGACGTTGATGTACTGATGCTCGAATATCTGCTTCACCACGCGATCAGAGCCCACCTGGTGGCCGCGCAGCATCAGCCGAACGATATCATGGGCGAATTGATAGAAGACGAGTGTGGTGGTTCCCATGAAGTAGAGGACGAGGAGGGAAAGGACAAGGCGTGGGCAGCGACACGTACCCGCACGGCCTTTACGCAATTCCAGCAGAAATTTCAAGGTTTACATCCTGATTATCAGCCGGAGCCAGGAAGGGCTTTCGACGGTATGCTATTCGAATCGCTTCTCCTTGTCGAAGCAGCAAAACTCAGTGATGTTGGTGCATCGGTAATTGCGCCACAATTCGACGACACCGATGAGCTTCGACAATGTATTGCTCGGCGAACCAAGATCACGGACCTGGTGGCTGTCACAGCCGAAGCCCGCCCTGACGTCCAGATTCCGTCCAAGGCATCCACTTCACCACAGAAAAAGTCACAAAAGCGCCACCCTACCTTCCTACTACTCCACCGTTTCATGATCCTGAACGCCAGATTGTTAGAGCAGCTTCCGGGCAAGACTATCACAGAGGAATGGATGCAAATCGCTGGCAGCCTGATGCAGCTTGCGGCTCTCGAGACTATCGATGGTCTGAACGACTCAGCGACCAACTCAAGCAACAGTGTCGAGCAAGTATGTCCAACCATCATTGACTGCTTTGCGTATCACCATGTCCCAGTGCTCAAGCAGCTCAAAGAGCCGGGCGGGGTGGATATCTCGGAAGACTTCGGGCTCGATTGTTGGCTCATGGAAGAAGAACAAGCTATCAGCGACATGTTCAGATCTTGCGAGGACACCTGGGGCATCATTCGCCAACGATACCTCGACGAGCTGCCCACTGATCCAGTCGGAAACTTAGCGCATCGTCAAGAGGAATACCACGCAATGATGGACAAGGTCATGAAGAGTGTGTATGACTGTCTTGCTGATATCTTTCGCATCAACAGCTTGCCGGAGATCAGCGGCAAGCCTGCTTTGGTACAGATTGAGGAAGGTGGACTGACAGGCATGAGTGGGGAGGACTTCCAGATGTTTGCAGAGCGGGTGGGCTTGGCGAAGATCTACGAGCCATGAGCTTGAGGTGATATTCCTCAGAGTCATCGATGAACCTGTCTACGTTCCGGTCAACGGCTTGCCAGTGCCGCAGAAGCCTCCCTGGCAGGATGTGTGGACGCAGTCAGCAACAGAATCATCTTCCAGATGGACCATGACCCGATGGGTCTAGCGCAGCACTCAACTGAAGGATCCCCTACTTCAGTCTATGAACGTTCAGTATCTAGTCTTCGTCAATCCTCCGGGTAGCTCTCTCGGACATTGCTGACGAAGACACCTTGTTCCCTGTCAAACCTACGGAACCAAATCCCAATCTCGATCGGAAAACTGTCCTCAGGCTTACCCAACTCTTCCAGCTGCTCCCTAGTCAAAAGTATGACATTCTCCTGCGCCACATAGCGCGTTGTCTCGTCATCGACCCTACCGGACAACGTCAGCAAAATCGCTTAGGCGCAGAGGCAATGGAATCACTTACAAAACATTGTAAAAAGGCTGACCCCTCCCGCTTCCTAATCCATCAACGCCATTCGCCACGATCCACTGCTCGTCCATCCGACACCAGCTATCCCACCCGTATATCACCGCCAGATACCCCCTGATCCGATGCCGAAAGACCTGCCCCACTTTGAACTTCACAACCTCATTCCCCGCGGCAGACCGCAACTTCGGTACTTGAGGCGTCGCATCTCGATTCCTTAGGCGCTGCACCAGCGCACCGTAGGACGTCGCGTTCGCTAGCCCGCGAGCGACGGGCAGGACGTGTTGGGAAAACAACTCGACGTCCCGATCGAAATAGTGCGCAAAGTGTTGGGTGACGATGGAGAGGTAGTGTGAGATCTGGGCTGGGTGCACTGCGGCTCCCGGCGCGGGGGAGGGCAGGAGGATGAGGGCTAGCATGGCGCCGAATGCTGCGGCGTGCATGGGGATTGGGAATAAGGGGGCGCCGTCGTAGTGGTTCGGGGCGGCGAGGACGTTGTGTGCTGCGCGGATAGTGAGGGCGCGAGCGCTGGAGGGAGAGAGGTAGGCGGTGATTTGCTCTGGGGTGGAGTTGGGTGCGATGAAGCGCAGCTGGTTCTGGAGGTAGGTGCCGGAGATGGGGTCCGCGGTGAGGAAGGGGTCCATGTAGAGGTGGGTGAGCGGGGAGAAGGGTTCGAGTGGAGTGTCAGTAGGCAGCGGGTTGCCGTCGAGGTCTGTGGTGGAAGTCGGGGCCGGCTGGATGAGGGCGTGGACGTGGAAAGGGTAGGAAATTGGGGAGGCCCGGAGGCCGAATTTGCGGACGACGTAGCAGTAGATGATGGCGGAGATGAGAGGGACAGAGTTGCGGTTGCTACTGAAGAGGGCGATGCCCAGGAACATGTGGTCTAGGGCGTGGTAGTTGCGGTTGTCGGAGATGCCGATCCAGTTGTGTTCAAGGAGATGGGCTGCGACGGTGGTGGCTATTTGGCGTGGCGTGAATGTGTCGATTTCTGGGTTTGCTTCGCGGACTGAGGTGGCGTATGAATCTAGTCGAGCGAATATCTGTCATCGACTTAGCAGCTGGCTTTATGCAGAAGCAAGACGCGTACATCATCGACGTCGCCTTCCACCCGCTCGCCCAGGACGAACATGTCCAATGCGGCAAGCGAACGTTCTGTCTCGTTCGGTATGTCACCCTGGGCTTGCCTCAGATAGGCCCATTCCTCACATGCCATGAGCCGATGGAGACTTCCGAGCACAGCGTGAGACCAGTACCTGATGTGATCAATACGAGCATTCATGGCCGTCCGCTGAATGTCCGACTCACTTCTGTGCCAAGAACATCTCACTTGACTCAGCGTCTACCCATTGCGAGAACAGCATATCCTTTGCATCGTAGCCAAGGTCCATCACATCCTTGATGCGATCCAACCGATTGGTCTCGTCGCTCATCAAACCAGAGAGTGCTCTTTGCACATTGCGACTCGAAGTGTAGCGGGTCGCTAACAATTGCTTCCAGTCACCGTAAGATGGGTCGTTCCGCTTCGACTCAAGTTGGTGATGTTTGTCCCACCACCTGAAAACGCGCAGGCACTCGTCCTGCCAGAGCAGCGGGTCTGCTCCTATGCGCTGAAAGCGGCGGCATGTTTGCTGGAGTTGAGCGAGTTCGAGTGCTGTGACGTGTTCAAAGACCGAGCGCAGGAGCTCGTCGGGTAGTGATAGTAATCCCTGCGGCGTCTCAGTCGACATGGCTGTTGTCAAGGGCACATCACCGTCCGTTGAGGGCTACAGCATCTCATCTTATATGCATCGAAACCCGAATAAAGGTGGCGACTTGGACGATAATGAACGTCATCTCAATGCCGAGGCTGCAGCTGATCCGAAGCCGGATGACAAGGCTCTTAAGACGAGCACCACGAGCTGAACGTACACAGTACACCTCCAACTCGTTCTGTACAGCTTTTCCAGGTTCACATCACATTTACAACTTACATCCTGGTCGCGGCCTTAGCAATCTTGACTCAAGCATGATGCAAGCAGGTATGGGGCCCGCCCGGACGCGCTGACCCGATCAAAAAATTTCCTCCTCGACGACAAACGCGTCCGAAGGCTACAGTTTCACATCTGAGCTGGCGGAGTCAACCGGTCTTGCGAATATAATTCGCGGCTAACGGAGCCTGCAAGGGTGCGTCTAAGAGTACAAGGCGTTTCAGGACGTGCTTGTGGGTTCCAGGTCAGGAAGGGCGCTGAGGTGCTGATGCGTAAGTTCGGTGATCATGTGGCTGATTCGAGACGTCAGTTGGTAGAAAGATCTGATCTGAATTTTCCTGACCAGGGCGGGCGCTGAGCGGAATCACACCTAGCAGTCATTCGTGATCAAACGCTTATATTGATATGCTATGGATAGTGTTGTCGTGAGTCATTAGGGGCATGATGGTAATAATACCAAGCTCGTCAAGACCGTTATTCCGGAGGCCTTCCTGGAACTGCTTCCACCACTTCAATTGTGGGTGCCGTGTTCCCCGATATGAAGATGCAGACCGAATCTAGCACCATGCTAGTGTACCTCACCGGTCAGATGTTTCAAGTGGTTGTTGAGCTCGGATGGCTTCTCGAACACCGTCCAGTCAGAAGACGGGATGTCCTTGAAGGCCTTCTGGAACCGCTCGTCCCGATTCTTCTGGTCCATGAAAGGTGCGTCAGTGACCTTGCGGATGTAGATAGCCTTGATCCAGCCAGGAAATTCTCGATACAAGGCGGCGTAGGACTCGGGATCGGATTGCGTAGAGTCACCAATGCAGATCACCTTCCGTTGAGGAAGCCAAGAATGAATCTTCCGCAAACGGTCGGTCTTGTATCTATTCAGGCATCAGCTTGTTACGCAGTAGGACACAGGTGATCGACTTACTCTTGGACTCCTTCTGTGAGGGATTGCAACAGTCCAGCAAAGAACATCCAGGACTTGTCGCGCAATATGATCGTGCCTTGCTTGAAATTGGCGTTGATGAACTTGCGAAGGAACGGATAGAGATTGTAAGGCGATGCAGAGAGGTAGAACCAAGCCGGGCTGAAGTGTTCGTCGATGGTTCGATAGAGCTCGGGCATGCCTTTGATGACTTCGGGCTCATCAACAAAAGTTGACTTCAAGACGCCCAATGGATCGGGGGTCATCGTCCTCTGTGACCATGGTTAGTGGCATACCACACAACTAGATTCGGGGATATTTTGCCTACCTTTATTGTATCATCGATATCCGAACAAATGAGCCATCCTTCGGGAGCCACGAAGGTCATGGTATTGGTAGTCGGAGGGTAGCCCTCTATGGATGTACATTGAACGGTCTTGCCGTTGGCGTCATCACCACCGCCAGTGAGTAACACCTGGCTGCTGATTCCGTTGGGATCGCTGGGACCAAGCTTGCGGTCGATGTTGAGCCTGATGGGGAAGGAATACGACACTCAATGGAGTGAGCCGGACTGATAGCGTGGACAAATGGCTTCAGGCGCTCCTCGATAGTCTTGGTAACTGCTGGGTCTTTGCCGAGTTCTCCATCGAGGCCGAGGGTATCAAGGAGTTTGCTGACATCCTTATTGAGGTCTTTTCGACCTTTGATGAAGTAGGCACACACAAACTCGGCTTGCCATGGCTCGAGCTTGCCAGATTTCGTTGGACGGTAGGCTGTGTTGTCGAGAAGCCAGACTTCGTTCTCCTCGGGCGTAGCCTTCTTGCCGAAAGGATTGTTGGTGCCTAGAAAGCCTTGTATGTGTCAGTGCGTTGCTAAACATGTGTCTACAGGGTAGGCTCTGACTGGTAAATTTGTCAACCAAGCTCATGTCGCCGTCCGAATACTTTTCGAAGAGACTCTTCTCGACTTCTGGAAAGTTGGCAGCTTTGCGAGACTCGGCCTCCATCTCGCTTTCGCGAGTCTTAAAGGGAGATGCCATGACGGCCGCCTGAGAGACGTGTCGTGTGATGTGAAAGGCTCTGCTGATTGTCTAGACTGAGTACGTAGGTATGCTGGCCAATGAATGCTTGACTGAAAGAGTATGTGGTTAGGTGGTTGAAAGAGAAGAGAAGAAATGATCACAACCTTGGAAGTCCGGAGCAAGAATGTGCCACTTGCCGAGAGGAAAGTACACAACACGAGCTCCTTCCTGTCAAGGTAGAACCAGCAGCCAAGGCAGCGACAAAGGACTCCTACGAAGGCTGTCTCACGCGCAGCAGGTCACCTGGCAGGCGAACCTGGTTCGCTCTTGCTGTCAGTCAGAATCAGCACGCAGCCTCCGTACTGTGACTGTCAGGCAGAACATGCGTGTCATAAGATCAGCCTGCTCACGTCTCAGGCGTGTATGCTTAGCCTACCTCATGCCGCCGTCCCCTCGATGAGATGCACGAGATCGGTGGCTGACGTACATATGCCGAGCGGGAGCCTCTTGGCCTTGGATGACGTCCAGAGCCCGAGAATACGGTAGTCCTTATCACACGCTGGCTTCAATTTACGTACGCGACGCGAACGCGTTTACCCCAGGATTTCGTCCTGCGGGCACGATTTTGAGGATGGTCCTACATTGAGTCGAGTATCCGTGGAACGACTGCAGGCTCAGCAGGATGGCCTCACGGCCCGATCTCAAGGTAAGACTGCCGTTAATGATGTCTCACGCGTACTGACAGCTACCAGGTCGACGATGAGGGCGGCTTCATTCGGGCGTACCGGCAGATACCCGCCAAATTAGATCCCGGAAACACCATTCGAGTGCTCGATCGAGGCGACTTCTACAGTGCACACGGAGAAGATGCGGATTTCATCGCTCGCACTGTATACAAGACGACCGCAGTCATTCGAAATCTGGGTCGCAGCGATAATGCCTTACCGAGTGTTACGATGACCACAACGGTCTTCCGTAACTTACTGAGAGAGGCTCTATTCCGACTAGGCAAGCGTATAGAGATATGGCTGTCGCAAAAGGGAACATGGAAGCTCGACCGTCAGGCAAGTCCAGGCAATCTGCAGGGTGTGGAAGACGAGCTTGGTTCGGGCATGGACAGCCAAGGCGAGAGCGCGCCCATCATCCTTGCGGTCAAAGTCAGCGCGAAGGCATCAGAGTCTCGGGTCGTTGGTGTTTGCTTTGCAGATGCCAGTGTTCGAGAGCTAGGCGTCAGTGAGTTCCTCGACAACGACCTGTACTCCAACTTCGAGAGCATGCTCATCCAGCTGGGCGTCAAGGAGTGCCTCATTCAGACCGACAACTCGAAGAAGGACCCCGAGCTGACCAAAATCCGTCAAATTTGTGACAACTGTAACATTGCTGTATCAGAGCGTGCTGCAGCTGACTATGGCACAAAGGACGTCGAGCAAGACCTGGCACGACTCCTCAAAGACAGCGCAGGAGGCCAACTTCCTCAGACCGACTTGAAACTCGCCATGGGAAGTGCTGCAGCTTTAATCAAGTATATCGGGGCTCTGAACGACCAGACGAACTTTGGTCAATACCAACTGTATCAACACGACCTGAGCCAATACATGAAACTTGACGCAGCAGCATTACGAGCTCTCAACCTGATGCCGGGACCCAGGGACGGGTCTAAGACAATGAGCTTGTTCGGCTTGTTGAACCAATGCAAGACGCCCATTGGAGGCCGATTATTGGCTCAATGGCTGAAGCAACCACTCATGAGCTTGGCTGCAATTGAGAAACGGCAGCAGCTGGTTGAAGCATTCGTGACAGACACAGAACTACGGCAGTCCATGCAAGAAGAGCACCTTCGGTCGATACCAGACCTCAATCGAATGGCGAAGAAGTTTCAGCGCGGGAAGGCCAACCTCGAAGACGTTGTCCGCGCCTATCAAGTTGTGATCAGACTACCTGGATTCATCGAAGCATTAGAGACAGTTGTTGATGAGCAGTATCAAGTGCCGCTCGATGAAATATATACGTCGAAGCTGAAGAACCTGTCCAACTCTCTAGGCAAGCTAGCCGAAATGGTTGAAACGACTGTTGATCTTGATGCTCTTGATCGACACGAGTTCATCATCAAGCCTGAATTTGATGAGCAGCTGAAGGTCATTCGCAAGAAGTTGGATCGGATCGATCGCGGGATGAAAGAAGAGCATCGACGAGCCGGAGATGATCTTGATCAGGAGCTGGACAAAAAACTGTTTCTGGAGAATCACAGAGTACATGGCTACTGTTTTCGACTTACACGGACAGAGGCCAGTTGCATTCGAAACAAGTCTGCGTACAAAGAGATCTCAACTCAGAAGAATGGCGTGTACTTCACCACTTCCACATTAATGGACCTCCGACGAGAGTACGATCAGCAGGCAGCCAATTATACCCGCAAGCAAGGATCTTTGGTTGCGGAAGTTGTTCAGGTAGCTGCGTCTTATGTGCCCGTTCTGGAGCAGTTGGCGACCATACTGGCCCATCTCGATGTGATCGTCAGTCTTGCACACGTTTCGGTCCACGCACCATCCGGCTACGTCAGACCGAAGATGCATGCTCGTGGGACGGGCGATACAATCCTCAAAGAGGCAAGACATCCATGTCTCGAATGCCAGGACGATATCAACTTCATCACAAACGATGTGGAACTGAAGCGAGACAGCTCCCGATTTCTGATCATCACTGGACCAACATGGGCGGAAAGTCAACGTACATCAGGACGATCGGATGCATAGCTTTGATGGCTCAGATTGGGTGCTTCGTTCCCTGCACAGAAGCCGAGTTGACAATCTTCGACTGCATCCTCGCCCGCGTTGGTGCTTCAGACTCGCAACTGAAAGGTGTTTCAACATTTATGGCAGAAATGCTTGAGACAGCCAATATCCTGAAAAGCGCTACGAAGGACTCACTGATCATCATAGATGAGTTAGGCAGAGGTACGAGCACTTACGATGGCTTTGGGCTTGCTTGGGCGATCAGTGAAGAAATTGTGGCTCAAATCGGCGCCTTCGGCTGCTTCGCCACTCATTTCCACGAGCTGACCGCACTGGCTGATAAATTTCCCGATGCTGTCCAAAATTTGCACGTGGTGGCGTTCGTCGGCGACCAGGAAACCAACGGCGACACAGACATGAGCTCAAACAAGAGACGCGAAGTGACGCTGCTGTACCGTGTTGAGCCAGGTATTTCAGACCAGAGTTTCGGCATTCATGTTGCCGAGCTCGTCCGCTTTCCTGACAAGGTAGTGAAGATGGCCCGGCGGAAAGCAGAAGAGTTGGAAGACTTCTCTCATGTTGACAAGTCGAAGGACCAAAAAGAAGAATTCTCCAAGGAAGAGGTCGAGGAGGGCAGTCGCCTGTTGAAGATTATGCTGAAGGAATGGAAGAAGAAGGTTGAAGAAGAAGAGATGAGCAAGGACGAAAAGTTGAAGCTGATGCGGACGATGGTAAAGAGCGACGAGAAGCTCATGGCGAATCGCTTCTTCATGGACTCGATCAAGGCGCTATGATGGACGCGTATGACCTCGATGGGAGTGATATGCTACCGTGTTAGATGGGCTGCGCATCAGCCGCGGGCTGACTCTAGATGGCCCTGTGATGGGGTGCTCGTGCGTGGCCGGGTTGTAGATTAGGCTTGAACGAAAATTCATCGGCCCTTTGCTCTGGACCATGTCAACTTTGGTGGTTGTACTGCCTATGTCTGCATGTTGTCTTCAGGTCTTGAGTGAAAAGGCATCCAGCACAAGTCCATGTGCGGTCGTGCGCCATGAAGTTCTCATCCAGGTCAAGGAGCTTTCAGTGGGGCGCTTGGCGTTCAGGCCTTGTTGACGCGCCGTACTAGTAGTAGTGGTTTTAGAAGAGGCGACCACCCTTCTTCGTGCCTGCCATGTCGTTCACAAGGTCTGACCGTAGGAAGCATCAAGGTCAGAAGCCTGGTCCTCGTCACGGCGACGGTGGCCTGTACATTCGCGCAGCTATGTTAGCAACTCCGGCCCTCGCGCTTCTTATCGCGCAAGGCGTTAAGGCAGCTGCAGCCTCTGGCTGTGTACATCCAGGCCTGTCCTGTCCAGCGAGACTGCCGCCAAATCTGGACACTTGTTGCGTCAACCACCCGAGCGGGCATTTTCTGTTAACACAGTTCTGGGATGCTTCTCCACCCCTGGGCTCGCCGCAAAATTGGACTATCCACGGACTCTGGCCAGACTACTGTTCTGGAGGCTTCGAGCAATTCTGTGACAGCGAACGAGAACATTCCAATATCGGCGCGATCATTGAGAACTCATCCCCTAATCTTCGTTCGTACATGGACCAGCATTGGCTCTCGTTGAACAGCAACAACAATCACTTATGGGCACACGAATGGAACAAGCACGGGACGTGTATCTCTACGCTAAATGAGGAGTGCTATGACTCGGCAGCCGACAGTGATGAGGCTGTAACGTCGTATTTCACCCATGCTGCATGCTTTACGCGACTTTGAACACATACGACACATTGGCAGCTGCCGGCATCGTCCCTAGCTATGATCAGACTTACGAGCTTGAGGCAATTCAAGCGGCGCTAGCATTGCCACACGATGGCTTCCCAGTCACACTACGCTGTCACGGCTCCTATCTGCAAGAGATCTGGTACCACTATTCTGTTCGGGGACCACTACGCCATGCTGAGCCGTTTGACGAGTCCTCCGAGGTCACTCTCAGGTCCAACACCGACATATTCGTCCCGACTGGACCTGATATCTCGAAGTCGAATTGTCCACGCACTGGGATCCGCTACATGCCGAAGGATAGCCAACAGCCTACGCACACGACTTCCCCGCCGCACAAGCCTACCCATTCTGCCAATCCGACTAGCACCCCAGGTCGGCCGTTCTCCGGTCGTGGTCATCTGATTGTGCGACCAATCTCCACTGCCCCATCAGACTCTGGGCCCAAAGCTCCGGTGGAGCAGCAACCTCTAGCACTCGGGGCTAACCAAGACTTGCAAGCTCTCTCCGAAACGAAAGGCTGCCTCATCCGTGGCGGCCTCTGGTACGCTTCCGGCGGCTGCGCAACTTACCTGGCCAAGACCGATGCTCCCCATTTCGAGGACCAGTCCTCAACCACCCCTGGAGAGCCAAAGCCACATCTGTTCACCCTCTCCTCCCTGTACTTCCCATGTGCTGTGGTGCAGGACACTGCATTCAAATGCGCGAAGGATCTTGGCGTGCAGACGATCTTCGAGGGCATCAATGTCACCACATCGACGGAAGATGGACGAGACGCCACCACACGTGAAGTGCTGGCCTGGCGAGGGCGGACGACCTTCTATGCGGATAGCATACCAGGGAGGTTTGAGAAGGTCGAGATCTTCGCCGACGATGACGCTGGGAGGAGAGAAGTGCAGCTGGAAGTTGAGTGGGCGGAAATTTGAAATCCTGAGGAGACAAGGTGTCGATCATTACTGGCAGAGCTCCCTGATTCCCATCAATGGAGCACCGTCGTTGGGGAAAGTTCGCTTGCTGCCCACGCTGGTGCTCGAAACCAGTCTTCACTGGGTCTAGAAATGCGCCTGAACAGAACTCCCACAGCGCTGTCTGGACCGGTTCCCGCCATCGCGACGACTCGCTCAGCTGATGCGTCTTTTCCGGCTGCCTTTGCATCAAACGTCGGATCTACTCCAAAATGTATGTCACTGAAAGGATTGACACTCCACTGGAGCACAGACACACTTCCGGCTGGCTCAGGTGCCACTCTATTTGACGGACGGACTCGGGGTAAGATCTGCATTGCAGGCATCGGGCCTGGTTGTGCGGCGAGACCCCAGGTGGGCATCGTATTTGGTCTTGGACTGGGCGTACCGACCACGTTGAAGATAGCAGGCACGCCTGAGGCTGTCACGGCTGCGATCTGTACATGTAGTGTATTACTTGGATTCGGCTGCGAAGCCGCAAGTCTACTGTGAGCAAAGACCTTGTGGTCAGGCACGGTGCCGAGCTGTATTGCTGCAATCCATCTGTTAGAGGCCACGCTGTGGACGAAGAGCGTCAATAGGAGTGTGCGCCGGTGAACACCAAACACCAATGTCGTGGACGGATGTGGCCGTATGGTAGCTAGAGCGCTTCCCAGACAGAGTTCGCCAAGGATTGTTTGCACCCTGGCCTTCTTGAGAAGGTTGCCAGCGGTCGTTGGCTCGATGTACGAGAACTTGGCCGGTGGAGCTACGCTTGGGGCAGATTGTGGTGTGAAGTCGCTTTGCGAAAGCAGCCCCTCCACCGAGACGTGGAAGAGGCTTATTGTTCGCCCGGACCCCGGCGCGGGCACAGCAACAAGTGTAGTGAAGCCATGTACGCGGTTGTCATGGAGCTGCGTCGGACCTGTCCACGAAGCGACCGCGGATGACCGCGATACGACATGTAGAGTTTGATCGCGAGCAACGAAGAAGACATGAGTCGACTGGTCCGACAAGGTTGCGCCGGCCAAGGCACGAGCCCGCCTCGGGGTTTCTTTAGGTGTAATCGATACTATATCTGCAAAAGGCGACCAGGTACCGGCATTACTCCGAATGGAAGATACAATGCTCCCGGAGTTGCCAATTGATACGATGGTCCTACCATCCAAGGATATCAGTGGGGCTTCGGCTTCCAGGTGGACCCCTTGGATGGCGGTAGCCAGGCCGGTCCCAAGAACTTCAACAGACATCCGTTTCTCGAGCTTGACGTAACTCCCACGGCCAAAGGCTCCGCTGACAGGATCTACGAAGAGCCTTGGGCTTGCTTGGGGGTATCTCGGATCACGTACTAGACTCATATCCAGATCCCACGGAGTCATTGGGAGAAAGTTGCTCGTGATACCCCTCCGAGGCAAATTCGGAAGATTGTTGTACTTGGGCTTCGCTTTGGGGTTTGAGCCGGCGTCGATCCAGTCTTTGAGCTTCTTTGCCGCCAATGTATCTTTCCCATAATTCAGCAGACCTTGAATTCCGATGGGAAGTAGACCGATCACTTCACCAGATTGCGTACGAAAGGATGCTGAACGAATCGGGAACTTCGCCGGCTCAAGATACAGGAAATCGGCGGTTTCCTTAGGAATAGGGTACAGCTCATTGTCATTCTTCCGCACTGCAACCTCGTCCAAGCGATGATCCAGCCACCAAACGAACAGGTCAGGATGAAGTCTCAAGAGCTCACAGGAGTTGGCACCCCAGGCGTATACGCCAGGTCGAACGGGCTGGCACTCCTTCGGCCCGGGTTTCCGCAGCTCGTCGTACAAAGCGGTGTAGTACTTGAGAAGGTCGGTGTCCAACGCCAGTCTACCACCTTCATTGTCCAGGAAGACGACCGCTCCATCGTTGTCAACACCATGTTTGGTTTGGAACTCAGCGATGGCCGTCTTTATATGCTGTGCATGCAGAATGCCATAGAACTCAGGCTTGCCAGGTTTCCCGAAGTCCGTTGGACGAATGTTGTGTTCGCTCTCCGAGCCTCGTGCACCTTCTTACCGTTGATGACAATTGTCTTGGTGGTATACCCGGCGTATATGAAGACAGCCCCCCAACCTTGTTGTAGCAGGCCAGGCCAGCTGCTAGTCCAGTTGTTGCCGACATGAGCCGACGTGTCTGTGTATGAAGATGCTGGGTTCGGACTGATAGGTTTGTGAGTGATGTAGACGCCGATGGTACTTAAGTTGGAGTGGGAATAACAGTCCATGAACCATTTGTCGTTTGGACCGCCGCTGCCCTTAGAGTCCTTGGCGCCGGGGCGGGCCTTCCGGCTGCGATCGAGCCCTAAGAAGGGAGTCGCGAATTCCACCAATGTTGTCATGTTGATCAATTCTCATCAAGCAATTGCGGTGATCAGAGGATTATCTTGAAAACTCGGAAATCAATGGCCCAACATGGAGCTACCGTGCATGACGGAGCAGCCAGAGCTGGCGACTCGTCTCAAGGCAGACTCACCCAGAGTCTGGAGTCTGCCTTGCACAGGAACCTAGTTACTGCTGGCCAGGCAAATGAACCAAGCAGCTCGATGTCAGGTCGCGTAGCAGACTTTGACAGTACTTGGCAGTGACAGTGTCTCGGTCCAATACGTTGTGATTTCTTTGGTATGGCCGCAATAAACGCCACTGCTGAAATGGATTGGCCGGCTCGTTGCTAAACACGAGGCAGCTGAAGAGATACGAATCCTCGACCTCAGACATGCATGTTCTGGACCTCCGCCAATCCGTACCTGACATTCGCTGTCCTGCAGCCTCAGTCATGCCCAGACAGACATACGAGATGCCTAGGAGCTGCTTGTCACACGGGGGGAGATTTATCATGGCACAGCGTCGCCCACCGTCATCCGAACGATCGTCTCATGCCTCCTGGCCAGGCAACAACAGACATACACTATGTCCGAAGAGCTGTTTCGGTTGTGCTTGATTCGTCCGCCGCTAAGACCTAACCCACGCTATGCACCTATTCCACTGGCCCAAGACAGCGACTTTCAGGTCAAGCTCGGCAGCGCTGTGAGTAGCAATCCTAACGATCCGCGGCAAGGCCTGGAGAATGCGGCAAATCAGTATGTGGCGTCCGCCGAGTTCGCTGGCATCAATGCTGTTGATGCGAATGACGTATCGCTGGAAAAAGCGTCGAAAGCTATCAGTGATTTGATCGAAGGCAAGCGAGCTGCTACAACCTCGGGACCTGCAGGGACGAGTACCACTGGCGAGGTGGTGGCCGCGAATCACGGCACGCTGACCGAGCAGATCGAGGTTGCTCTGTCCTTACCGGATCTTTCTGCTGTGCCAGCGTGGTTTGACCATCTCGCGAAGAGACTCAAAGATTCGCTTGTCGCTCTCCGAATGCTGGGATTTGAGTCAGATACTGGGACGGTCGCCATCCTCACGCTGAGACTTCGTACCATAGAAGTTGTCCGCAAGGCCGTTGCGGACCCGAACTTTCCCCTCGATGCGCTCGATCTCCAGAAGTATAGTCTCCGGCCAGTGGTGGCGCCAACCTTCGCTGAGCTCAAGTCAATTCTCTCTACGGCAACTGCACGTCAAGAGGCTGAGCGCGCGGCCGAAGCTGCACGTGTCGCAGCGCAAGCGAAGATCGATAGCCTGTTCATTCAACGACAGCGATTCGTCAATGCGCTGGACGATATCATTCGACTTCCTAATAGCCTGCGTACCACAATCAAGCCCAAGCCTTTTGCACCAGTCGCACCTCCTGTGGACCTCACGCATGTAGCGCTCGCTGCACGACATCAGGATCTGATTCAAAACCTGGCTAATTTGACGCTGAAGTCTTTTGAGAGGGGTCTGCAATCGCCAATCGTGGTCAGGTCCCTAGGAGAAAATGCAGCTGCTTCGAGAGCCGAGACACACGACACAGCCCTAGCTCAAGCATCTGCCATTGTCAACCCTCTGGTGAATATGTCTAAAACTCTGTTGGACACCTTCGGCCAAGTCGCATTTCAGCCACCACCGCCTCCCGCACTGCCAGAAACACAAGAAGTCCCATTTAAGTTACTACCTACAGCGGTGTCTAGTCTCAGAAACGACACGCTGAGCGTCTTCAAGGTAAGGCATTTCTCACAATCGCCTCGTGTCTACTCCATCTGATGCCGTCACTCCCTGAGGAGAGAGTTGCTCACCACCCTGTGATTCTGTCTGTGGCATACTGGTATCTTGTCGGGGGCCATGTACTGACGAATGGACTAGGATTTGTCAATCAGGCTGGACGAGAAGCCAGTGGATGTCAACGTCGCAAACCTAAGATCAGCGCTCAGAGACAACGCGCAGCAGCTGGACTTGACCTACAAGCCCTACGTCAGCAACATTGCTAAGGTCCGTAGTGTGGGTGCCATGCGCGTTCAATATCAGAAGCCTGCTGTCAGCGCCTGGTATGGAGACTTTCTTGCCGGGCTCAAAGCACCTATTCTGCCGGCCCCTCGTTTTCTTCTGCCACGGCTCACTGGGCGCGTCAACGTTCTGGGAGTTGCTGACCTGCTTGTGGTGAAGCAACAACTCATTCGGTACGAGGGAGGTGATGTTGCTTATATCGAGAACGTTCTCAAGGGTGAGACGAGAAGCCGTGAAGTCAATACGTCGACGGTCGAGGAGACCGAGACCACGACAGAATTGGAGACAACAGAGTCTCAAGAGACGGACACTACCACCGCAGAACGCTTTGAGGTGTCTCATGAGAGCGCCAACACTATAAAGGAAGACGCCTCAGTGAAGGCCGGAGTGACCGTATCAGCGAGCTACGGCCCGACCGTCAGCGTGTCAGCCAATGCAAGCTTCTCCAACGATCGCAGCAATACTGAAGCAACCAAAGAGGCTTCTCGGTACTCAAAAGACGTGACCGCCAAAGCTGTCGACAAGATTACTAAGAGAATGCTGCAAAGAATCGTGAGAAAGATTAGGACTGAAACCTCGACTAAGGATCTCCACGAATTCAAGAACACATCAGGCCCCGACAGCAGTCACATTGCGGGTGTATATCAGTGGCAGAATAAGATCTACGAAGCCCAGACCTGGAACTACGGCAAGCGTACCATGCTTGACTTCATGATACCCGAACCCGGTGCCTTTTACCTGGACAAGCAGACTGATCCGAACGATGCAACGGATACACTGGTCATGGTCCCATCATTTACTGCGCTGCCAGAGTCGCTGGATGTCAAGACTTACACGCAGTACTTAGTGCAGTACAACGTAGCAGATCTGACGGCCCCTCCACAGGAGATGACGAGAGCACTGCATCATACGCTGCTGGGAAAGACGAGCCTCACTCGAAGGCGGACAAGATTGTGATCCCGGCAGGGTTCATGGTCACAGGGATTTCTGTTACCGCCACCGGAGTATCACAGCTGGATAAGAACCAGAACTGGGTCATGGTCACTTGTGTAAGCCGTCCATGAAACCGTACTCACCTTCCCAATGCTAACACTCTCTCTACAGGGCTCATTCCAGTGGGGTTGGGACCCCAAGAAAGCTGTCATTGGCACTGTGACAGTCACGACCGACTACATCTTCTTCAAAGACAAAACCACAACCAAGATCATCGGCCAAGGCGCCCTCAGCGGCGTCGGCACCGCCGACGAGGCTGACATCACGAAGGAACAAGGCGAGATACCCTGGTCTGTGACTGCTGCTTACATGGACAACTTCGCCGTGACCATCGAACTCTTCCTCGACCGCACCGATGAAGCACTCCGCAACTGGCAGAACACAACTTGGGCAAAAATCAAAGCCGCCTCCAACAAGATGATCGCCGACCAGAACGCGGCCATTGATGCCGCGAAATTCAACTCGGCCTTCCAAGGCCGCAATCCGGACAAGAACGCCGCCATCATTCGCAATGAGATCAAGAAGAACTGTATCTCTATCATGGCTGATTCACACTTCGACGAGTATGGCGCCGTCCAGCCAAGCCGTACACTGCAACAACCCGGGAATCTACCCATGTCGGAGATCGATCTGGATAAAGCCTTCCAACAGGGCCCCTACGTGCGCTTCTTCGAGCAAGCTTTCGAATGGCAGGAAATGACCTGGATTCTTTACCCCTACTTCTGGGGCCGCAAAGATCACTGGTACCGTCGCGTTGACTACCAGGACGAGGATCCGGAGTTTGAGAAGTTCATCCAGGCGGGTTATGCTCGCGCAAACGTCCCTGTGAGGCCGGGCTTCGAGGGCGCACTGGAGCATTTCCTCGCAACGGGTAAGGTCTGGATGGGTGGGCCGCTGCCAGGGATTAGTTCACCGTTGTTCTTACCTATCGCAGCGGAGATCCAGGAGAGTCTGGGAAAGGGCGCAGAGCAGCCTACCAAGTATGGTGATCCGTGGGAGGTCAAGGTGCCGACGAATCTGATCCGGTTGAGGAGGGACGATCTGGCACCGGAGTGGATCAAGGATAAGATTACTGGTGAGTACAAGGCTGTGCCGGACAGTGCAGACTCCGCTATGCGAGCGTCGGAGGCGCGAAAGATTGGTGCACCGCCACTGGCGGCCACCGAGAAGCCCGCCGCAAACAACATAGCGACTACTGGTGCATCGCAGCCAGCAGCGACAGAGAAGACTGCCCCGCATACTACACCGAGTATTGGCGCCTCGCAGCCAACAGGTACTGGGGAGACCGCCACATCAGAGACACCCAACCGTGGAACCTCACAGCCAACAAGTGGTGAGAGGAGTGGCTCGTCTAACACACTGAACACTGATCCTGTTGTCGTTGAAGCTGAGCCGAAACCTGCAACGTAACACAACGGCCGTGCTACATGTTGTACATCTACCTGATGGAGGGCATGCGAGACCGGTTGAGGAGGTATCCTCGCAGCTGTCAAGGACGAGATCCACGTGTCAGTCATTGGCATGACATGTTGCATTGTGCCTGCTGACGTACATATATACTCACGAGCGTTCGCCAGACCGGATGACGTAAGGCTTTCTTCGTCATTCCTCACCCTTCAACGTGATTACTGGACTGATTCAGGTCACAGAGCAGCGTCGAATGTCGAAGTATACGGCGGAATGAGCGCTTTTGATATACTTGAGCCACCTGACCTGACCTAACAATGAGTTGACAATTATGCCCCATCTCCCACCACAACAGCCTCAGACATGGAACGACATGCTCTCTTAAGTTCTCTGCTCGATAATCATCAACAGATGCTGATCTTGAACAACACATCCCCAGCGCCAGCATCGCTGACCGCTACCACAGAGTCGTTTTTCCCGTCCAAATAGATGAACATCTGCAAAAAGTTCGTGGTATCTTCTTCATGATTTCGCACTTGGTACACCATGCAGCTCCTCACCACTGCTCATGTACGAGCTCGAGCCACCAACCCGCTTCCCTTTCACCTTTCTCACGGTCGAGTCCCAGATCTCTTTCATCACATCGCCACTGCTTCTTCTCCGCCCCTCTCTTCTTGACGACGATGTAAAGGATTTCTCGTCGTCGAGCATGCTGACCCTATACCTGGGTGTCACTGGCGGGATTGGACTCGGCGGACGAGGATGGCCACTCTCCAGCACCGATACATTCGCACCGCTAGCTACTTCATGGAGTCGTTCGGAACCGAAGGATGGGGTTCTGCAGTGGCACGGTGATGGTCTTCGAGGTGTTGTTGGATTCAATGGGTTTGCGTCACAAGCCAGAGTGCTTTTCGAGTGTGAATCACTATGCTGATGAGTGAAAGTCACTCTCGGACTGACCACGGCGTTACCCTTCGATTGGATGGATGAGGGCAAGGATGCAACTGTGGTGGAAGACTTGCGCCGGTTATGCACTGTGATCACAGGCCTTGTAGACTGCTTTCGAGTAGCCGACTGGTTGGCCAGGGACCGAACACCAGGATCCAGAGAGCTCAGGTCACCAGTGGTCTTGCTCTTTACCATTCGACCTAGGATGCTGGGCAACACATTGTCAGGTTTCGTCCGCTTCTTGTGTGATGGGTCAGGTCCTTTGACCGTGGTGGGTTTGGACAAGGACTTCAAACGTGGGCTGTGCAGAGATGCAGGACTTGTCTGCTGCTGCTGCTGCTGCTGCTGCTGCTGCTGCTGCTGCGATGCATGACACGTGGAATAAATTGTGGGCTCGCTTCGACAGTCTGATGCTCCTGCAGTAGTTGTGACTTGCGTCGCGAAAGACTCAAAACTCTGCAGCGCCCTAGCAGTTTTGCAATAGTCACGCAGCTCGCTCAGAACTGCGGCTTTGATTTTGCGCTCGCCAGCTTCGAAGGACAACTCATTGACTGACATTGCAGATTTGTTCGGAGGCACTGCCGAGAAGAGCGTCGCGGTCATAGCTGCTGACCTGTGTCGATCACACAGTGCTACGTACCGACCCAGCCAGTACGCCTGATCCTGGGGAAAGTATACCTAGAGCACTTCAGTGGTTGGACGTCACAATCATTAGTGCTCACTCACATGTTTTGGATCGACTGCAGCGCTGTCGTTGCCACCGTCGCTGCTGTGTGTAGTCTGTGGGACAGGCCGGATGGTAGCAGAGTTGGCTAGCTCAGTATCGACGGTCAATGATTTTCTGTTGATGTTCTGCTTCTTCCTGACCGGAGTTGAATCCTCCCGGCGACTCTGCATGACGTTTTCGGGCTCGATTTTGGCTGCATGCAACGAGAACGTTGACGTCGAAGCTGACATGCCGGCACTGTGGCGTGATCTGAGTTTGTCTCGATTCACCAAGGCTTCCTTTTGGACTTGATTAAGGACTTTAATCTCGTGGGCTGTCATCCGGCTTTCGAGTATTGCATCCACTGCCGTGACACGTGGCTCGCTGTCATGTCTCGAGAAGATCTTCCTTGCGGGCTGTGCGGGTGATGGCGTCGGTCTACCTGCTGTGAAGCATGACGTGTTGCCTAGAGACTGACTATGTGGTAGAGGTGGTAGTACAGGCTTGAGCAGATGACGATCCGGCATTGTTTGACGGCGAAGCTGAGACGAGAACGACACAGAAGTCTTCGATTTGGGCAGCTGAGGACGGCTCAGCGCTGGAGTCTGAGCAGGTACAACTTCGGCAGGACCGTCCAATGACTTCATCGAACTGTCCAACGTCAGCGTGGTAATCTCCAAGGTGGTTGATTGACCTCACAAGTTGCGAACATTCAGTTGCTGGCGGACTCCTGAAAGATCATCTCCAGGGCGTTGCTTGTACGGAAGCATTAATTCGGATCGTGGTAGGGAAGGAAGAGGTTTGTTGAGGAGTGCAAGCGTAGGTGACGCTTTACGAGAGGTTCCCGTCGACGGTGTTGGAATCAGCGAACGCCGTCGGTTGTGTTGGTCATGTGGTTGCCCATCATGACGATTGGTAGACGACATGTTGCCTGAAGCACACTTAAGTGTCGAACATGGTGGGTGCGTCTAGTTAGTCAACGAAATGAACCGATGCGGAGAAGCAATGTAAAAGGAACGAAGTGGAAGGCGCTACCAATATCGCAGGAAGGCACGGGTGATGCAGGAAGTTGCGGTAGCCGTCGGATATGGCAAGAGCCTGAATCACAGTGCCAGGTCGAGAGGCGTAGAGTGCGGGCGCGTTTGCTGGACTAAATCAGATCCAGATCAGTTGGAACCTTCGTGGCGGTGTGTGCCAGTCACTGATCTTTGTAAATCACTTGCCAGCTGGTACCATCAGCATCACATCATTCATTCCTCTGGCGACTTCCATTCAGGTACCATTCTAGACGGATTCTTAACGCCCATGGAAGCACGAGTATACTTCTCTTTCCATCCACTGGAGGGCGGTGCTTTTTCAAACCTGGATGCCTTAAAAAGGCGTCCTCAAACGCCGAGGACCTGAGTGCAGTATCATCAGACTACCGCATCTCGTCCTGCTTACTCGACAACACCTGACTGCTTTGGTCGTACTCCTTCCCACCCAGCCGGCACGCACGGCGCTGGGTTCGCACATCAGGACAGAATTTCGTCCACATGCTGCTGACGCCAAGACGCCAGCGGCGCCCAAGTTTCGACGAAGCATGAATCCACCCCTCGTCTGTTGCGCGGCGAGCATGACAGTGCATGCCTACTTGAGAATTTTCAACCTTTGTTCGTGGTTCCAGATATTCCAGATGCTCTGTACACTCGTCGGATACCTTCTCCGTTACATCATGGTGACGCCATTTGTACGTGATGTCATGTCAGTGGTTCCAGAATTACAAAATTTGTGAATTGCAGTGGTATCTTTCTGTTGACCGACTAGAGACACCTCGACTGAACTGAAGCTACACCGCCGCAATGTCGAAAGAATACGAAGGACAAGACCTGTTAGATATCGCCGCTCGCGCTGAGCAAGACCTCAACGATCCGAAACACAACTCCGGTGTTCAAGAAGGGACAGGATTTGGTGGCAAGACCGTTGGCGGAGGAAGTACTTCGACAGAGGAATCGGGCATCGACCAGTCAGTCACCAACAAGTTCCCAGGAAGCACGGCAGGTAAGTCCGAAAGGTTTCCACCGACCATCATTGGAGTAGCTGCTAATGACCGCGAAGAGTATGGATCTACGGTCACAGGCCGGACGATCCCTCCTGAGCAAGGTGGCGACTTCCAGAAAGGTACGGGCAAGTTAACGAAGGCTGAGGATTTCGACCAAGGTGCCCCGGGAGAAGGTCCTGAGGATGTCTTGAAGCGTCGTGAACAGGATGCTGGAGGAGATGATGACGTTAGGAGCAATATTCGACAGCACGCGCCGCAGAAGAGGACCTCATAGGTCTCGAAGAACATTCGTATGTCGTACATGATGCGACCTTCCAGCAGCAACATGGAATTCGTTGAATAGGCCATACGCCATGCCAACCTTGCATTGAAGCACAATGGACACCTTAGGATCGTAAAGGCCCTGTCCAGAATGTCCAAACTTGATTGAATATTGAAAGTCTGAGTTGACACATGATTCCATGCGGACTTCGGGGCGTTTCTGGCCGAACCATGAACAAGCGGTTGTCCCCCAGTTTCGCGAAAATGCCTCCCTAATGTCGTGCAGACCTTGTTTGCACAATTCGCTTCACTTCATCAATTCTTTAATGTCGCCTTTTTCCGCATGCAAATTGACCATGTGCGCAATGAATGGTCCCCAGTCTTCGCGAGTACGTCGCATGTTTTCGATCTCCGACAGATCGCCAAGGTTGTCCTGCTTCTTAACCAGAGACATCAAGGAGAACTCAAAGCCAGATGCTTGAGCTACTTGCATCTGATTTTGGAGGTCGGCCGCCGCTACCCATAGCCAGCTCTCATTTTCAGCTTCCTTCAGCTTCCTCGGAAGTACTTCCAAGCCATCCATCTTCCATAGCGTGCCACGGCAAGGAGCGTACGCCACAAAGTGGAACCCATTCTCTTCTTCGTAATCATCCGCTGTGATTGTCTTCTTTTTGCCAAAGGTCACCCGTCTTCGCTTGTGGCGATGACCATTGTTAGTCTTATTCTCTGCCTTGACCTTGCGCTCCCACTTGGCTACCTCGTCTTTAAGTAAATGCTCTACATTGAGCTTGTCTATCTCTGTTGCGAATGAGTTGTGTGCATTACGCACAAAGTCGAACGAGTCCAGAGCGGTCCCCCTGTCCTTTGGCGTCATGTCTTTGGTCTTCTGTCGGAATTCATTCAAGCTGCTGCCAAGATTGAGGTCTCGTCTGTTGTTGATGATGTTCATAATGGCAACCGATGCGCATGAGTAGCTCGAGACTTGATTTGCAAACCATAGGTCGGCGGGTACGTCGACGTCAGCGTTCTCCTCAGGAGCTACCCACCTCGCCAACAAAATCAGTCCATAGACGTCGTCCGATGATCTCGTCAGCAGATCGTCCAGTTCGATGATCTCCTGCACTTCAACCCCAGGCACACCCCATTCGCGAAGGAGAGTTGAGAATATGGCCTGCTAGAGTGTCAGGAGTGCGATTCGTTGTTTTCAGGATTGCCACTCACTGGATCATTCTCTAACTCGGCCCATCCGCGCCAGTTGTCGGGCACTTCAGGTTGCGACGATTCTGGTGACTGGCTGCGCTTGTTGGCCGAATCAGTGGATGGGGGCCAGGAGAGATCGGAGGACTGGGCGATTGTGTCGCTGGAGAGCATATTGTGCTCGTGGCAGATAATTGACAGATGCTCATGAATCTGTGCGTACTGCACGAGCAGCTCACAGTCTGCTTCAATAGTACGGACGCAAGAGTTCCATGGGAGAAAATGAAGACATGGAAAAGCAAGAGCTTGTTAGCGTGTCAATAAGGAAGGACTAGCAGCAAGGCAGCTGTAGAAACGCGACTTCTCAGGTGACACATTGTCGCAAGCCTTGTGCATCAAATGCAGCGTAAGGCATCCACTAGATCAGGCTGAGAGCGTCAAACAGTTCAAATGTGTACGCAGTAGACATGCACCTGGAGAGAATAAGAAAAGGCAACAACAAGGCAAATCACTTGAACAAAGTCCTGGGTCACCCCGGAGACCGCCTGGAACTGCCTAGGACCACCCCCCATTGAGTTGGTGACATATGCCAAGCTTTCCGGTCTTTTGGGTCGCGACCTTCAAAGTTTACGCGTTCTCTAGACAGGCCGAGCGCATTCAAGTCTCGACATCTCCCAAATAGCAGTCTCCGCCTCATTTCAGGAGCGCGTTGCTTCATACTTGGTCTCCGACAGATGTCGCCATGAACGGGACTCCACGACTGCGGTCAGCCTTCCCGAATACGCCCAAACCTGATCCACGCCATCGAAGAGCATCAAATCATGACCGGACGAGTTCTTCACTACTCGCTTCATCGCCGCTGGCGAAGCCAATACGGGTGCTAGCAGCGCACTCGAAGAAGCCAGAAGAGCGATTGATACCCTTCGATGTTGTCGATGCGCCTACCCAACGATTCTACATAGTCTCAGCATACATCTTGCTATGGGCATGGCGATTGTACAATGCATACTATATTACTAGCGATTTGGATTCGAGTTGGTACTTCTTGCAGTGGTCAGGCTTCGACGCTGCTTTCTTCATTGTGCTGAGCTGGCTTCAAATACCATGGCTGGAGTTCTCGATAACGACATCGACTGTGCTATGGATTTTTCATACGATTGCGAATGCTTTCCTTATGTTCAAGATACCAATACCAATACTCTTCTGGCTAGGTAGCCTGACAAAGGTGTTCTACGACCGAGAGCTCTCCATTTCCGAGCAAATGGTCAAGCCAGCCAATATCCTGCAGAATTCTTCCATCATACTGGGGCGGCAGATCATTCACATCCTCCCAGAAGGCTCTGCTATCCTCAATCCAGAGAAGCTGTCATTCTGCATTGATACAAACACTCCATATGTGGATCTACCTCTTCAGATCAACCAAACATCGCCCATATTGATCGATCTCATGCGATACGATTTGGCCGGCGGTGTCGACGAGCACATCGAGATTGGGAACAAGCAAGCCAGGGCACTGAAGAAGGAAGCGGACAAAGGTCACCCGAAGACAGACTCAAGTACCCCTCGGCTCTTGCGATATCGTGTCAACAAGACTGGTCTTTACCGACTGGAAAGAGTCATCGACGAATCCAAATTGGAGGTCAGACGGAGGAGTCACGACATTGCCGTGGTAGACTGCCCTAAAGCACTCGTTACGAGCAGTGCCGAACATGGTTGTACCAACGACTTCAGTAAGACCTCTATCGGTGTCAATGGGGTGCCCCCTTTCAGGGTCAAGTACAGCAAGAGAATCAACCGAGAACAATTCAGCTCGATCGTGCAGAGCATCCAAGCACCTCAGCTACAGGATGGCCTGACCTCCGATGGGACCGTTGCCACCACCTCGGACCCCTCGCGGCCACCGATGGGCCGCATACAATCGGCCAGCGTCTCTTTCGACATCAACGAGATACTGAACCAGAATGGAACCTGGACGTACGTCGTCGAGGACGTTGAGGACGGACTGGGCAATACCGTTGTCTATGATACAACCAGTGAGAAGGACATGGTCAAGGCCAGACGTGCAAGCTCACTGACTGTCCATCAACGGCCAATCCTTGATCTGGTGAACTGCAACAGTGAAAAGCCTCTTCGAGTTGCGAAAGAGGACAATGTTGCGCTGCCAGTTCGAATCCGACCCATCGGACAGTATCCCGCATCAGATTGGCCAATGAAATTGAAGTACACCTTCACGCCGGAGACTGACGGTGATGTCCCTATAATCGAGGACATCGTGCATGAGCTCTCGAATGGAAAGGAGGCCAGTCGACCGCGGATAAGTCGTGCCGGCAGATACAGCCTCGATTCCATTGAGTCTCAGTTCTGTCTCGGTGAAGTCGTCGAGCCATCATCTTGCCCATTGTACAATCCGCCTAAGCCTGCGGTCGCTCTCAATGTTGAGAATCTGTTCGACAAATGTGCAGGAAATCCGATTGGTATGACAGTCAACCTCGACTTTACGGGCACACCGCCGTTCAAAGTACGGTACAGCGTCGAACACAACGGCAAAGTGACGCCCAAAGTGCAGACCTTTGACAGTCTCCGTGGTCAGATCGAATTCAAAGAGAAGGCTGCTGGTTCCTATGCCTATCGCTTCCTTGGAGTCGGGGATGACGTCTACTCTGATGTCTCCCTCAAAGAGCTCAACAGAGAGCAGGAAATGCACTTTAAGCAAGACATCAAACCTCCATCGACTGCCGCTTTTGCAGACGGCAAGAAGCTACAGGAGATCTGCTTCGGAGAGACTGCATCGTTACCAGTGCGATTCTCAGGAGAAGGTCCTTGGGACCTAGAATACGAGATCGTCCACAACGGCAAGCGGAAGAAGCACAGCAAACACTCGGAAGAGGACTTCAACTTCGTCGAGATGCCGGAACAGCCAGAAGGAGGAGACTACACAATCGTACTGACTGGTGTCGAAGATCGATTGAAGTGCAAAACCACTCTACAGGAGCAACGCAGCATTCGTGTCCGTCCCGAACAACCACAAGCAGCCTTTGGTGATATCGACGGAAAGCGCATAGTCCGTGCTCTTGAAGGCAAGACTGTCAGTCTACCGCTACGGCTGCGAGGCAACGCGCCCTGGACTGTACAAATCAAGAACCTCGATGATGGCTCGCGTGCGACTGAGCAGACGTTCAAACACCCAAACGACATCTTTCACGTCAATCGACCCGGCACCTACGAGATCATGTCGGTTCAGGATCAATGCCCGGGCGTGGTCAACGTGAAAGCCAACACCTTAACGGTAACAACTATTCCACGACCGAGCGTAAAAATTTCCGATGAAAGCGTCCATGAAGAGCGAGCAAATGCTTACCGCAAACCGCCAGTCTGCCAAGCGACGATTCCAGCCTCTCAATAGCATTGACCGGGAACCCGCCCTTCAGACTCAAGTACTCTCAGAAATACGAGCCTGCGCGTGGCGCCTCCGCCATCAGCAACAAACCACTATCCGTCGCTGGAGGCGTAGCAACCATCAATCTCGATACCAGCAAAGCCGGTGAATACACTTACACCTTCAACGAGCTCAGTGACGACCGCTACACTCACAACAGTCGCCACTTCCACGACATCGCTGTGAAACAGCACATTCACGGCCTCCCCACCGCAAAATTCACCAGCCCGGGCAAAACATACGGCTACTGCAAAGACGACCCATCCTTCGACACGACCAACCCTGAAACAGAGTCCATTCCTATCACCTTGACCGGCACTCCACCATTCTCCCTCGAAATCGCGATACTTCACCACGGCGTTTCTACCAAACCCGAAATCATCCGCGTGCGAGACATCACCTCCACCAGCTACGCCTGGCCCCTCAGCCGCTCCAGTCTGGACATCGGCAGCCACAACGTGCAGATCCGGGGCATCAAGGACGCCCACAATTGCCAGAACTTCTTGGAGTCGGACTCGAGCGCCGTACGCATCGCCGTCTCCTCACCGCCTACAATCATTCCGCTCGAGTCCCAAACGGACTATTGCGTCGGTGAGCATGTCTCATTCAGCCTGTCAGGCCAAGCCCCCTTTGAGGTCTTCTACAACTTTAACAAGAAAGAGCGAAAGGCCAAGATCTCCAGTGGCAGCGAGTTCCGTCGCATCGCTGAAAGTCCAGGCGAGTTCACCATCACGGGCGTGTCGGACAGCGCGATGGGCCGGGGCTCCAGTCCTGGGAAGTCCTGTCGCGCAAGGAAAGACATCACGAAATTCATCCACCCGTACCCCTCAGTCAAGATCAGTCACGGACGTACACTCGTCAGCGATATCCACGAGGGCGGCGAGGTGGAGATACTGTTCGAGTTCACTGGCACTCCGCCGTTCGAGTTCACCTACACGCGCTCAGAGAACGTCGGAGTGAAAGGGAAAGGCGCGGGCAGTAGAGCCAAAGTGCTCGAGACGCGCCACGACACGAGTTCGGAGTTCAGCAAACGGGTGAGGGCGAGTGATGAGGGCACGTATGAGGTTGTGGCGATTAAGGATCGGTATTGTGCGTATGCGCGGGATAGTCAGGGGAGTGGAGGCGGCGGTGGTGGGAAGGGGCAGAAGTTGCTGCAGTACTGATTACGCTTTGGAAAAGGTAGGTAGGTGATGATTGACTTGAGCGACTCTGGTCTCATTGAGCAGGCGTTGGTGTAGTACAATACTTCCATGCGAGACCTGTCACGCTTCCTTGTCGTTGCAGCATCACTGAGGTTCCTTGATTTCCACATCCGATCAGTACATGCAGTGTCTGTCACACTACAACAGGTGCAACAATTCCGAGGACGGAATGTTTTGTCGCTGGCATCGGATCAAGCCAGGAGGGAATTTGGAGCATACATGATAACGCCTATCAACAGATTTTTGTGAAAAATGGCCGAGACTGAATCGAAAGGTCTCAGAAGGAAGACAAAGCGACGCAGGATCCACGGTGCCCGATGACTTTGTTGCAGGTTCGCTTGATTAATGTGTCTTGAGTCCCCGAATCATGGAACTGAGACGTGGTTGACTTGTAATGGACATCCCGACCACGTTGTGCAACTTTCGAACCAAGACACCTGTGTCGAGACATTGCTGAGAGAGCTCCAATGGGTAGAGCACTATGTCACCGAGAGACCTGTGCCGAGACAGCCCGAACAAGGATCCAGTCTGAAGACAAAGGACTGCAGAGACATATTCCTTCATGCTGTTTTTTCCGAAGGACGCTCAACGAGGAAGAAGCCGATGAACTAAGGACCGGATCTGGAGGCTCAGGCAGGTCTCGGGCAGGTCTCAGGCAGGGCACAAAGAATCGTGTCTTTCCATGCCGGTGTCGTAGAGCCATCCAACAACCTGCAGGAGGCGCCTGGGTCATGGCTCGAGTGGTATATAGCAATCGTCCTTCCACCGCCATGAGCTGCAAGATTCAAAACACTCAACAGCTTCCAATAGCTACCACTCCTCCCAGCCATCAACACATCTCCTCGCCAGTCAACACAACAACACTTCACTCACCTTGACCGAGGCCATCAGCAATCAATCCTACGCTTTCCACTAAACCCTGCAACCACAACAAACACAACACTCACCAACATGTGCCGCGTTCAGACCCAATGCTGCAGCTGCAGAATCTCCATGGGTCTCCGCCGCCGTTCCTGCCAGTATCGGCCCAAGCACCCGGTCCACAAACGCTCCGTCTCAGGCTGCAATGTCATCAATCGTGGCATCGACCTCGTGGGCCCCTGTGTTCGCTGCACCAATAGACGTGTCCAGAACCGACAAATGAATCGCGGCAGGGAGAATGAGAAGACTCGGCGGGCTTCACGTGGGAATTAGGAGGGATGGCTGGTGTATTCAGACGTTGAGCTGCTGTAACACAGTGATGGCAGAGATGGATGGTGGTGAAAGAACCAAGAGACATAGGATGAAATTGCTTGGGCAGCTAGACTGAGTGCTCACTTCTATGTATTGGGTGCTGGTGGAGGTCAATGGTCGATATTGTGGAATGATGCGATATACTGTACCTTGAACAAAGTCCGCCCTGGGTTCACGTGTCGCGGATTTGACGCCTTGAGCACCGGATAGCAGTATCCGGCGCTAGTCCCATAGTAGTTAGCGCGGACAGGTAGTCGGGGGCATATATCTTGCCGTCGCGCATAGGAGTTGTATTCGACTCCTCAGATTTACAACTTGATCAGATAGACACACGAACTACTCGTTCTCCAACAAGATGACGAACATGAAATCGGAATACATTCTGACGTCGAAAACCTGCGTAGTCTTGGCCTGCCCAGTGAGTTTCAGGCTAAACCACAAGTTGACCAGGTCTGGATGGAGACATCCGCAACCCTTGCCGTGGCATAGAGTTCTATCAAGAATTCGTGCCACGCTCACATATGTGCGGTACAATTATACTTTGCCCTCCATTCTGCACACCAACCCCTAGCGTGGCGACAGAAGGACCTGGGACTGTCAAAAGAACAATGTCCCACATCATGGCTGTCAGTAGTCTTTGGACAGCTGTCAATAGCTGTCAGCGACAAAAGACCGGGACCTTGCAAGATGTCTGGCATCAAGCTCTGGACCATGTACCGCCGATTTCCTGTCCTGGCAGGTCTGATCAGCTTCTTACGACAGCTGCTGCGAGCCACCGCCACCTACATCATCGACGTCAGCTGACAAGTATCAGTATATCGACTTGCCCAGCTCCAGTCGAGACTGTCACTGTGTACGTCCAGACAGTGGTCTATAGCGGGTATCTTCCTTCTAATACTGTTGTTAACATTGGCGACGGCGTGTCCATACAGGTGACTAATGCTCCTACGGTTGTGGTCATAACCTCTGTGGTTACAACAACAGCTTCAGGTCTTGATGCAGCTCTGTCCAGAACTGTCGGATCTGTGTCGTCGGCCGCTGCGTCTTCTTCTGTGTCAGCAGGCCTCAACAATGCTTTAGCAACAACGATCGGCAACCTGCCGATTTCATCGACGTCGACAGATCACTCCACCAATACTGACGATGGTTTGGCGTCTACAACAGCCATACTGCCCTCCAGTGTCTCGATGACTACGGCGACCATCGAGTCAACTTTCACTTCACCCGCTAACAGCGGCATCTTCGTTGACATCGGATCGTCCAATAGCACCAGCGAGGGTTTCGGGTCAGTTGTAGGGCCCAGTAGTGTCAGCAGTCTACGCCGACTCACTCCAGACTCATCAAGCACTGCGCCGGGGATGCTCACGTTGAGTTCGATTGCACGAATTAGTGGAGGTGATGGCCCTGAATTGATATCAGCTACATCAACCTCTAGTGCTGCAACACCCACAGCTTTTATGGCTTCAAGTTCCTTTTTGGGCGTTGGTGGAGGCGTCACAGCCAGCGCCCTTTCATCTGACGCTGTCAATGAGGTCGCTAGTCCAACGTTCAACCTAGACAGTGCTGGCGGCGCAGGCAGGCCTGCTTCTGCCTCGTCGAGCAATGCGTTGAATGCATCGATATCGGATTCAAACGTGCAAAGCAATCCGGGCGGTGGCTCGGATTCAGTGTCCGCCACACCAGCAGCCACTACGTCAGCATCCACAATTGCTATCGTTTCAAGTTCTTCTTCAAGCGTCGCAGGTAACACAGCTGGCAACATTTCCTCTGATGCCATTGGCGAGGTCGCCCGTTCAACGGTCGACCCAGGTAGCGTCAGCAGCATAAGCAGGTCTTCTTCTGGCACATCGAGTGGTGCATCCGAAACACGGGTTTCGAGTGCAAATTTGCTAAGCAATGAAGGTGGTGGCTCAAGTGCTATATCAGCTACACCAGCCCCAACTATTTCAGCATCGACAACTGCTGACGATTCGACTTCCTCTTCAAGCGTAGGTGGAGGTGCTTCAACTAGCACAAGCCCATCTGTTCCAGCTAGTGGGGTCGCAAGTCCGACTACTGATCCAGGAAGCGTTATTCGTACGAGTACTTCTGCTTCTGGCTCGTCAAGCAGCAGCTCTGGAGCGATCTCAGCGAGCTCAAGTCTAACAAGCAATAGCGGTAGCTCGACTCTGTCTGGTATTGTTTCTTTGGCGACTGGGTCGAGCAATATTGGCCCAAGCAGTCCTGGTGCGACCTCATCGAGTTCAAGTCTAACAGGCATTGTCGGTGGCTCGGCTCTGTCTGCTACCGTTCCCACTGTGACAGGGTCGAGCGGTGATGCTCAAAGCAGCTCTGGACTGATTTCAGCAAGTCCAAGTCTCACAGGCAGTAGCGTTGGCTCAACTCTGTCTGCAACTGTTTCTTTCGCGACTGGGTCGACCAATGCTCAACCAAGCAACCCCGTGGCGACCGCACCGAGTCCAAGTCTGACAGGCTCATCTCTGTCTGGCACTGTTTCCACCGTGACGGGGTCGAGCAGTGATGCTCAAAGCAGCTCTGGAGCGATCTCAGCGAGTCCAAGTCTAACAGGCAATGGCGGCGCTTCGAGTTCGTCTGACTCTAGTGCTACAAGCAACACTGTAGGACCCACTTTGTCAGGCCTTGACTTGAGCAGCACCAGCATGACATCTTTGTCAGAGACTAGTACATCTACAGCTACAACCTTCTTCCTTCAACCCTCAGCATTGCCTGCATCAGGTGGCGTTCGTAAACGCGCGTACGACAGCACGCTGGACTTGATATATCTGGACCGGGTCACAGGACTGCAGTTTCTTGATGCATCCACAGCTGGATCATTGAATCTCCGTCCACAGGCCTTTGTCCTTAGTGGGCAGAACCTCGTCACATCCAGCCTTAGTCTGCGACTAATAGTCAATACTGAGTTACAGATCTATGGCGCCGCTGGCATCCCGCTATCTGACTTGTTTCAGTGGGAGTTCCACCCAGATGTGAGATCTGCAGAGATCGCTTTCGTTGCTTCCGCGCCGGAATACTCAAATCTAGCCAACGTTTCATTCTACGTGGAACCAAATTGCACAATAACGGACGGCCAACTTCTCGCATGCGCATTGTATGAGCTCGGATCAGATGTTTCACAGATGCAACTCCTGCCAAATTCTCAATCGATGTTCATTGGGGCACCGGGACTTGGTCGGCAGGCACAAGAGGTTCACATTGTACCGACGCAGGACGTTGGGACTGCCGGGAACATCACTTCTACTGAGACCAGCCGAGGCAGTGGCGACACTACAAGTTCGTCGACTGCAACAATATCTTCCATCAGCTCAGTCACAACTCCCAGCATTCCCCTGCCGACTCCGGAAGCACCTGGTGCATTCTGGCTATACGCTCCTAGCTATGCGGGAGGCTATTACGTCAAGCTAGCGAATTACAGCGGGTATCAAGTTCTTGTACTGTCCGAAACTCAGCAGGCAGCCCAGCAATTTGTCCTGCATGACACTCAGAACAGTTCACTGCTTACCGCGAGCAGTAATCTCACGCTTATGGTGCAAGGGTACCTCGGGAATGATGGGCCTGGATGGCAAATGTTGTTCTCACCTAGTACTCAGGCTGCTAATGCGGCAGCTTTCAACCCATCCAGGTCGAATTACATAGAGAGTGTGTGCTCGGTGTCAAGCGATGGCCAGCTGATCTGTTCAGCAGCCGTTCAATCTCAGGCTCCTGTTTCAACTTCTGTGGTCTACGACGATTCAAGCGATGGATATGTGGTATATCTTGGACCAGGAGGCTCCCCAAACACTCAAACGCTCGATCTGTACATCGTGTATGTTCCCGAGCCAGCAAACAGCAGCGCCGTCACCACAACGCCATTCAGCCCATCATCAGACGCGAGCGCTACCGAAACTACCCTACAGACCATGACCATAACCACCATTACCTCGACTGAGTATATTGCGTTATATGTGACCTTCGATCAGACACTCTCAGGCGGGACTGTCATTCCAACATCTTCCCCAGCTGGTACTGAGACCAACACTTTAACCCGCACTTACACAATCACAACCGTCACCTCAACTGATACGGATGTGGCTTACACGACTGGAACTTCGACATTGTCCGGCGGAACCATCATAATAACTTCTTCGCCAACTGCTACTGCGTTCAGGACTACTACGCAGACCTTGTACCTCACCCCTGTCACCTTCACAACGACTATTTTCTACTACACGACTGCTCTGGGCTCAGACGGAACATACTATGTGCGGCCAACTTCTGATGACGTTCAGACTGTGGTGCAGACCCTGACTGTCACCCCTGAGGCAAGCTCCGTAGCAACGACTGCAACGTCCACAGCTGGGTTGGTGTCAACGATCAGCAGCACCGTCACCACCATACCACTCAGCTCGTCGTCTGACGCGGACGCTGCTCCGACCACGACCGGCTAGTGTCTCCATTGCTCAGCGACCACAATGGGCCAGATGCTGTGGAAAACTTGGGTTGCCGTCGGCTAAGGAGATGAGACCGGCTCAGCCTGCGTTCATACACTTATGACATGTTGGCAGCCATTACTTTTCATACGCCGCATCACTACCATTGGAGTCGGTTGCCTCGCATTCGCAAACAGTGCGCTGTCTACAGCCATCTCTTTAGAGGCCCGTTGTACGCTGGAAGTCGAAGTCCACCCCACCTTCGAAGATGGGGATCCCCGCAAAGGTACTGATGGCGTCACTCCTCGCGTAGGCGGGTCGGTTTCCTTTTCCCACGAGTGCTTCACCATATCTCCACCGATTTTGTCAGCCATATTTCTGTGATACCTATCCATTGAAGCAACACAAAGTGGCACAAAGAAACACCTTGTCGAGCCGTACCCTGTTCCACCATCCAGGACCCTGAAGATGGGCATGCCAGATGCCGATATCTACCCATCTGCGACTGGGCTCGCGTCGCACGTTGTTAAGGCCCACGAAAACGCCCAGGCAGAGCATGTTCTGTACAGCGGATGGTTTTGCGTAAGCATCGCCCTGCTATTCTGCGCCTACATTCACTGACCAACTGCAGCCATTCGTCCAACGTGCCTGGATCGTGCTCGAGGAGAAGTAAGTCATTGACATGCCATGCCATCACTCCCAAGACAGCCATCTCACCAACATCCCGTGAAGGAAAATCCCCTACCGCTACAAGGAAATCAACCCTTACCACAAGGAGCCTTCGTTCCTCGCCCTCAACCCCCGCGGCCTAGTCCCAACCCTCGGCTGCCCAACACCCTCCGGCGAGGAACCCCTAATCGAATCCAACATCATCTGCGACTACCTCGACGACACCTTCCCGGACAAAGCCCCCCTCTACCCATCGGACGCCTACACCAAAGCCAAGCTGCGCGTGAGCATCGACTTTGTCACATCGCGCATCATCCCTGCGTATCATCGGTTCTTGCAGCACACGCCGGATAAGGCATACAGTCTAGAGGACGCCCGGAAGGAGTTTCTGGGCCATTTGTTAACGTGGATCAAAGACGCCGACCCAACGGGACCGTATTTCGCGGGCAAGGAATTCGGGATGGGCGATGTCGTCATGGCGCCCTGGGCATTGCGGTTGTGGGTGTTTGACCATTTCAAGGAGGGTGGGTTGGGGATGCCGGAGGAAGGGAAGGGTGGAGAGGATGAGGAGTTGTGGGGAAGGTGGAGGGTTTGGGCGGATGCGGTGAGCAAGAGGGAGAGTGTCAAGGGGACGATGAGTGAGCGGGAGCATTACTTGCCGTTGTATCAGCGGTATGCGGATGATACGGCGCAGAGTGAGATGGCCAAGGCTAGTCGGGGTGGGAGGGGCGTGCCTTGAGCGGCGGCCCTTATCGGGTGCTGGCTCGGGACCATGGACGTGAGCTCAGGTAGACTGCGGGTGGAACATTTCCATATGATATGGCTTGACCTTGCACTTTTTGCTGGCTTGAGTCAGCCTAGCTTAGTTCGCAAGAGCATATATTCGGTCCAAATCTTCGCCGTCCTGCATCGCATCCCACCCTTCCTTTGCCAGTCTATCGATGGCGGGCTCGATCTCCTCCTCGCCCTGCAGCAAGTCGTACCAGCCACTGACATTGTCCCGCTCAAGCAGTGCTGCCGCGACACGCGCTACGTCTTCACGAGTCACGTCTCCTCGGGCGGAGGTTTTGCCTGCGAGAGTGTCAGCACAAATCACGTCCCCAATTCACGCCGAGCATAATTGGACGCAGCTTACCCAAGTTCACCTTCCCGGTAGCTGGCCCGTCCTTCAACGTCCCCGGCCTCAGATTGATCGCCTGAAAACCCTTCCCACGCTTGTGCGCCAACGCAGCCAAATGCTCATCTGCAGCAACCTTGGCTTGGTAGTAGGCCGGGAGGATCTCGGTGTTGACTTTGTCGGCGGCGGCGCGGTCGTCGGGGCTCCACCAGGAGGGGTAGCCGCGGCGGGAGGCGATGTAGCTGACCATGAGGAATTTTGTTACTGTGGGGGTTGCGATTGCGGCGGAGATATACTGGCCCGATCATGTTAGTCAGCTGTAGTGGCACGAGCTTCAATTGGCTCCCGGATCTAAAAATCAGATTCTGCAGCAGATCGTGACATACCGTCTTCGCAGCAACGCAATCAACAGCGTTCGTCCGCTCCTTGCCACCCTTACCACCTGCACCAGCCGACCAGACCACATAATTCGGCTTGACGCGGTCAATCACCTTCTGGGCCTGAGACGCCTCTTTGACATCGTCAAGCGACTCAATAAGGACATCGATCTTGCCGGGTTGGTTTTTGCCGAGTGCCAGAATCTCGTCCTGCTGTGATGGATTGCGGATCACTGACGTGACGGCGTAGGACTTGGCGAGAAGTAAGGGAGTCAAGAACAGGGATACTTTGCCATGCCCGCCTAGGAGGAGGACGTGAGGTCGTGTTGCCATTATTTGCGGCGCTGTGTGTAGTAGACGAATTTCTGATATGGTCTGCCGATTCGCTTGTAGAGATTGGCTATGGTCTGCTCGATCGTCCCAAGCGGTTCGCGGATTGATGCTTGGGCTTTACTTGCGTGAAAGTGCTTCGGTCGTGTCGGGTCCGGGTTGCTAGCATTTATATTTGATTCACGCTTTGATTGAGGAGTTCATACAGTGACGTTGACCACCTGCAATTAGCTCTTGCACCGTGCTTGCAAGTACACCATATCTCAGCACGCGAAACCCGCAGCTGTGGCTTGATTTGGCAGTTACTTGTCGTCCATAACAGGTAGGGAGCCCGAATGTCCTGGGGCAAGTGCAACACAACGCGCCAAGTCGTGCCTGCCAATGGCGTCATTTCTGAGGAGTTCTCCTCCCGGAAACACCTCATGGCAGGTCCAGTCCCGCACTTGTCGGCAATGACTGATCAATACTGAAGCATGCGACATCGTCGTTCTGGATTGCGTGAGTACAAATGCGATTGCCCTCCCACCCTGATGCTCAATGTATGAATGACAATCATGGTTCCTGTACACCTTACCTAAGCAGCTCCGGTGACTCGGTTCACGACATGGCGGTTGAGAATTTGCCGACATTCGCACAGTATCGACAGATCCTGTGAAACTTCTCGTGACGTCTTGACGTCTCGCACTTCTCGTCTCCAGTACGTGGCACCACTGGACACGGATATCGACGAAGCCTGTAGATCCAGGCTCTCCTCCGTGAAAGGTATTTATTGCTCTTTTCTACCATCTCATGTCCGTTCAGGCCGCCTCTATGTGTATCTATGTACGCACGCTTGTGTACGCCCGTTTAGCGAGCTTGGCTGCTTGCACTTCATAAGCATCGATCGCCTGAGCCAAGCAACTACGGCCGGGCACTACTGTTCCTCAGTGGATCAGTCGCCACTTCCACACATTCTTCGAACATGGGATGGCAAATATCTCAGCACTTCTACTGTATCAGGGCACAGTGCAGCGATAAGCGAAGGTTGGCCTCGCGCGTACTGCGAAGTACTGAGTCATCTCGATCGCAGCCTTTCTCCGCCAAGTCTCGAACACTGTCCCTTTGCGGAAGGTATACTCTGCTTTTGTTTCCCACGCACGATAGCATGGGATGTCGGTCCAGATTCAATGAACGACGTACGTGCCGCGGGTTGTCGAATTGAAGGTGCAATCGTACTAGAACCCAGAAGCTGGCCGAGTGCTCAAAATCTCACAAAGGGATGTACAGTACGGCATCCGCGCCCTGAGTATAAGAGAAGCTTGCTGGTGCGCATCGAGAGAGTCGTATGAATGGCTTCTTCTTTTCCGCGATGAATAGCACTCCAATCTGATGGGCGTTGTGAGGTGGGATTAATAGCAACATCTCAAATTCATCGCAAAGACCAGCCTTGCGAACAGAAAGCTACCTTTCAATTTCCGACCGCCTTTCCAGCTACCTCCATTGTAATCGAGATCATGTGAGTTCACACTCCGACCCAGTCGATGGCTACCGGCATGTAATGCGCCACATACAAAGAAATCTGACCATCACTCAGGGGACAAGATCACACGACCGCTCCAGTCAAACCTGTACGCTTCGTCAGCGGATTCCCCATGAGTGTCGATGAGAAAATCCAAGCCCGAGGAGTCATCAAGTCTCATGCATCACGACATCGCTGGCCGAACTACAGAGATGTCGCCGAGGAGGCGGCAGCAAGATCCGAGGTGGGCAGAACGCAGGCGCTCTCCATCACATCGCAACGTCGCAGACGATCCAACATGGCATTTTGCACCGCCAACGAAAGCAGTATCCACGATTGCGAGGCTGCCGCTCACAAAGCAACTAGCAGCTGGTTCGATACTGTGGATCGCAACGCACTCCCTCCAATCTTCCCGCTGGTCCCGCTGGAACCTCCGTGTTCAGCCGAAAGGCTATGGAACGCGCTCAAGAAAGGTGGCCGTCTCCAGCTTTTCCTTCAGGACCTTTTCCAGTCCTTCTGTCTTCGGGCCCTGCTGACTCGTGAATAAGTAAATGAGGTCTGGAAACAACTAATGCCATCCGAGGACTTTGTCAACGAACGAATGCACCAGATCGTCACAGCGAAGGAAGTCTTTTACAGCCAAATGCTCGTCTTCCGCGTCTGGCAGCTGCCATCGCCGCAGACTGGCGTAGCGAAGGCCTCCGCACAGATGATCCACCTATACTCACAAGCAATCCGGCAGATCAATGACAAGTTGAGTCAAGATGCAGAGGTGGCATGCAGCGACTCGATGATATTGGCCGTGATGTACCTCTACTTCGTGTCAACCCACCCGCTCGACCTCTTCGCGAAGAACGGAGCAGCAGCACCGAGCGCTTCTCGAAGAAATACTCGGCCGGATGTTCACCAAGGGCCGTTGAACGACCTGAGGGCACTTCGACTTGGTGGTGGGCATGTCGATGCTGGCAACGAGCATCGAAAGGGGCTGGAGAGGATGATCGAGCTTCGCGGCGGTGTCAAAGCGATCCGTGCCCCCGGCATTGCCCAGAGCTACTGCTAGTGAGTGCTTCCCTCGAGACTCTCCATTACGCCCACTTTGATCGAGCTGACTGTCTGATTAGCGGCGACACAACGGTCTCTTCTGGCCTATTGCGTGTTCCTCGTTCTGACTTCGTTCCATTCCTGGATCCTGATTACTTATGGAATAGTCTCGCGGAGGGCCGTCGACCAGATCACCCGCTGAAGTCAATGGGCACTGCATTCACTGAAGCACTTGCTCATCAACAGACCAACCCAAGCAAGATTCTTACTGAGGTCAGCAAGTCACTCGAGAATCTGGTATTGTATTCCCTGCAAGCCGACGACTACGTGGCCGGCAAACGCACCGCGCCAACGCTCGACGTGATGGCTGACCAGCGAAACATGATTCAGCACAGACTCATGAGCCTCATGCACATACATGACACTCCAGAAAGCACATCACCACTCATCAGGCTCTGCCATCTGGCTAGCTTGGTGTACAGCTTCCTCTGTGTGTTTCCGGTTGGCCATGCTCCATTCCGGGCACTTGTCTTCCGCATTAGATCTGTGATAACTGAGGCAGTCGGAAGAGCCACATGCCCAACAGCAAGACAGTACCTAGTGCTGTGGGCTTTGTGCCTGACGGGCATTGTGGTTGAGCCTGGGACCGGAAGTAGCACGTGGGCCCTCACTATGTTGGACGAATACTTGGAGCGCCTCGAGATCATCAGCTGGAAAGCATTTAGAGATGCGATGTTGGGATTCTTATGGCTTCCGATCACCAACGATCAAGATGGCATCCGTCTGTGGTCTGAAATTGTTGCTTTCCGGGGTGAACGCGCAAGACGGCTTCGGTCGCAGTCGCGTGTCGCCGACTCACCTTGAGGTCATGCTCGGTCGTCAAAATAATCGGAGCGCTTGTCCATGCTCGTGCCGACACAACTCGAGACTGGGTCGCAGTCGAAAGCCAAAGGGAAGTCATACTTAGGTACGTCGTGGGAATCACGAAGTACGATCTGTTTGCTTGCACTTACATACGACAACCAACGCCAAGACAATCACGTGCCAGCTCGGCGACTGCTGAAGCCGAGCTATCGCGCCATTATTCAGCACTCGCAACAGGCGGGGATGCGCTTTAGATAAGCGTTACTTCGGACCCCAAATCTCAACGCCGACTGCTCATTGGCATTGACAATACTCGAAGATGTCGCGCCTGCAGGTTCCCTGTCGAAGAGCCCCGACGGTGCTTGCTGCAGCACATGCTAGTGCTCTGGGAGGTTGGGGTGGTGGCGAATATCCCGCACTCCCTTAGCGGCTCTCAGACCATGATGCATAGCCTAATTCTACCACGCTGCTGGCGCGGTGGGCGTTGTATAAATATGACCTGAAGAGTGCTTCCTGATACATGGAGTCTCCATCAACATCCTCACCACTACTCATCATATCATCCAGATCAGACAAACTATCCACAGATCAGCTACCATTCCGATAACAGACACAACAACTTTCATCATTTCAATCAGCAAGATCCAACCACCGAAATGAAAGCCTGGACATTTTCTCGGCGAGGTCACCCTCTCACCACCCTTGAACTCACCACAGTCCCCACCCCAGAAGTGTTATCATTAAAGGACGATGAAGTCCTCGTGAAAGTCTCGCACGCCTCACTGAATCTCTTCAGCTCGCTTCTCGCCTGGGTCGTGCCTTCATTCGTCCGGACAAAGCCCTCAGTCCTCGAAACCGATTTCTCAGGTCGAATTGTTGGCGTTGGCAAATCCATCAACCATGTCAGCGTTGGCGACGACGTCTTCGGCGTGCTACAAGGCGGTCACCACATCAAGCAGGGTCGCGGCGCAATAGCAGAGTATGTCATCGCCTCGAGAGACGAAGTCGTGGCCAAGCCAAGCAACATTTCCTTCGCTGAAGCCGCTGGTCTAGGCACAGTCGGCGTGACTGGGTTCTTCATGGCAAGCAAGTCCGGGCTGAAGACCGGCGACCGTGTCTTTGTCAATGGTGGCAGTGGCGGTGCCGGGCTCTCGGTCCTGCAGGCCGTGCGCGAGCTCGTCGGCCCCGAAGGCACGATCGTCACTACCTGCTCCGCCAAGAACACCGACCTCGTCAAGACCTTCGGCGCGGACGAAGTCATCGACTATACACAACATGCCGACCTGCCTACATACCTGAAACAGCAATACAGCAGCAAGCCCTTCGACGCCATTCTCGACACAGTCGGCACAGGACAAAGCCAAGCAATCTACAACAACTCACCCGCCTACCTCGCCCAAGGCAAACCCTACCTGACAATCGGCTCACCCATGGGCGATGGCTTGACTGTCACGAATCTGCTGAAGAACATCTCAAACCTGCTTCAAAACAACGCCTGGCCACGTGTCCTTGGCGGAACGCCGCGATACTGGGAGTTTGTGGACTCGTCGGGTGCTGGACCGGAGGTGTTGAAGCGGTTGAGTGCTGCGATTGCGGATGGGAAGCACAGGGGGCAGATTGATCAGGGTGGGAAGGTGTGGGCGTTTGAGGATGCGAAGAAGGCGTTGGAGAGGTTGGTGAGTCGGAGGGCGCAGGGGAAGGTTGTTGTTAAGGTGCAGGAATTGTGATGGTGATGGCGGGTTGGGGGTTTGTGGTGGCCGAACAGTGAATAGGAATTTCTGGGCCAACGTCGTTTGACTTCGAAATCACAGACACGCTGATGTGGCAGCTAACAAGAAAGCATTAGCAATGTTCTTTGTTACGCATCGCTTCGAATCTAATTCGACGCACGCTCCCTCGAGTCACATCCCCATCATGGTTGGGAGTCTTCTGTTTGTGCTGATGACGGCCATAGCTGACGACAAGGTAGATGATGCTGCTGCTGATCTATATAGGTCCATTTCGGGCTGCTCACTGGCCACGATGGATCCATATCACCCGAACTGTTTCCGACCCACCAGGCCGAAGGCAATACTCGACCACAAGAGCAGTCGCACCTACTCTGACGAGGAATCAGTGAGTCTTCCGAGATCATGGGTCGATGCGAGCGCTGCTATCTGAAGGGGGGCAAATGTGGACAAGAGAAGCCAACTTGTGCGTGGTGTGAACGTGCCGGTGCTGAATGTGTCCCGCGAACGTCTGGTCAACAGGGACTCGGCAGGCCAAGCGAGGAGGGTTACTCGGACAATCCGTGTGAGCGCTGCTACCGCAAACAAATACGATGTGGGCGACAGAGACCGGTCTGCGACAGGTGTGCAAAGGATGGTGTTTCGTGCGTTCCACGAACCCCGATGCCGAACGATCGTGGAAGAGCCGCTCGCGCGAAGAGACATGGAGGCCCCGCTCCGGACGAACGAGGCTCATCTGATGATGGCGATGACAGCTCCGAAGTCGAATCGATTGGCCCGTTTGATGAGGAGCACGCCCAAAGTATGGGCAGGCGTCTTCTGCCCAGACACGCTGGGCACGACCACTCACGAGACGCAGAAGTCACCTACAGGCTTTCCGAAGAAGCCCGAGATACTGACGGCGCTGAGCGGCACGCCGACACACGAGACGAAGAGGCTGACCGAAGGGAGCAGGCTCGCCGGCGTGAAGCTACCTACAGGGCTCTCGACCAAGCCCGAGAAGCTACCCGCGCTGCCTTGCCGTATCGTGGGGGCTACAGGGGAGGATCGCGCCATGAAGACGCACCCACCAGTAAGATTTACTTTGGTCAAAGCTGTTCCGCGCGTGCGACTGCTAACGTACCTGCAGCCGCCAGTCGGCCTAGCCCAATGACCAACCGTGGACACGGACGCCATGCGCCCGAACCCCAAGGCGTGTGCCAAAAATGTGGAACGCGGGAAACTTCACGGTGGAGACCGGGTCCTAGTGGCTCAAAGACGTTGTGTAATGCGTGTTATCGGAGGTGGGTCAATCAGGGGAGGCCGAGGACGTTGCCTAGAGCCGGCGACGAACAAACATCGTCCGACAGTGACGAGGATGGCATAGACAAGCACCTCAAGGCCGGTAGGCTTTATGAGAAAGCTCGCGCTGGTGGAGGAGGGAGCAATTTCTTGTACAACGAATACCAGAGAGAGCAAGCTCGCCGGCGTGAAGCTACTTACAATGTCCTCGACCAAGCCAGAGAGGCCAATCGCGCATATCGTGAGGGCTTTACGGGTGAATCGCGTCGCGAATCTGCATCCACCGGCACGAGCGACCCATCGACCTACGTCACAGCGTCAACCACAGCTTCGAACTATCAGAATTCGCCACCGCTACCTCGCACTGGTCCGGGCTATCAGTATCAGGAACCTCGCTATTGGTTCAACACGCCAGCTGTCGGCCCCTACGCGAATGCATATCAGTCGAATGCTGGTAATCCTTACGGACAGGCATCCTCGCAAGGGCCAGCTAGCACCGCAGGCGGTCGTACACAAAGCTCGTATTCTGACAGTACACGCGCTACGTCTTCAAGCAATCGAACACTGACCTCTCAGGCTACTACGACGGGTGGTCACGCGGTTGTTGGTATGTACCATTATCACAGGCTTCCGCCACGAGTCCCAAGCCCTCGAACACAGAGCTCACGCGCCGAGAGTACTTACTCTACTGGACCAAGCACTCAGGCAGGAAGCACTTCCACGGACAATACGCAATCTACGGCCCGGAGCCATGGAGCACAAACCACTTCTACCGACAGTACATCTACCACTACTGGTCCGAACCATGGCCGCATGGGCCCTCCGCCGCGGCGAGGTAATGGTAAGTGATTTATGGAAGTCGTGGGTCTGAAGTCAGACTAATCGCGATACCAGGACATGCATCTTCGAGGCACACTGACACGCAGCCAGCTCCTCGCGAGCCGCCTCGCGACTACTACGACGAGCACGGCAACCGTCGGAGTGGGTGGCATAGGGAGTTCTGGCATGGACGAGGGCAGGGCAGGTGAACAGAGTTGACTGGTAGGCTGAAGTGAGGTATCATTATTGCATGCATATCACAACTGGAGAAGGTTTTTCCTTGGGCGTTTTATCATAGGCGGCATATTATTATGGTGAGCATTAATACTGCGGGCTATCATCCTAGGATTCGGAAGGCAGCAAAGAACCACACAGCCTTGCCAAGTTTTATCAGTATCTAGGTAGATTTCCTTTTCCCTAGCAACGTGAAATAATGCACCCTCCAGAATATCCGCGCAAATGTCAGCCACAAATGCGTGGTTTGCTTTTGGGATTACCGGATGATCAAAGGCAGTCTTCTTCCTGCATGTGGTGCTTGAAGCTAACAATAAAACCTGTGGTGATGAAAGATCTTGCACATAACCCGGCCATCTGATACATACACGCCTTCTAAGTAAACAATGGGTTCTCAGTGTAATCATGAGCAGAGCAAAGCAAAGACGATCGATTCTGAACAGGAGAGTTCATTCCTTTTTGCGTTCTCGTCCAGCAATTTTTGGCTAAGATTAGGAATTTGTGAGTTGCTGTGCAGAGCTCAGGCAATAGTCACGGTGTGAGGAGGCAGCTCCAAGGCAGATGTCAGGCAATCAGCCGTTAGAGAAGCAAACAGAACATGTAGGCAGCGTCCAGTTTCAAAGTATTTCATAGTAGTTCATGTGTTCCCATACTTCTTGATCAAGCGCTTGAGAATGTTCATGGCACCACTCTTATACCCACCTCCAAATATGCTGTGGTGGTTGAGGTGATGATAGCTCTCGTACAGCGCGACTCGGTCCTGCTCCTTGTCAGCACAAGCCGCCCCCGCAGCGTCCTCGCTCACCTCGTATTCCTCGGCTGGTTCAGTCTTCGGCACGAGCTCATGATACTCCTTGAAGTGTGCACTACCGAAGCCACCAAACATCATCTGAATTCCAATCTCATACTCATTGTGGGCATAGACCGCAGAAGGATCGAATACGACCTCCTCAACAGGCCCGGGCTGGTCTGGACCCGCTCCGTCACGACCGACGAACGACCCTTTTCCTTTGTTGCCGGACCACAGATCACCATGTACTACAACAGGCTTAATTCCTTCCTTTCCACCCAGGTGGCCCTCGCCGAGCAGTCGCGGCACCACCTCCGTAGCTGTCCGTTCCACAACCTTCCGCAGTTCTGCGTCCTTCCCGTTATTCTTCTCCGACCTCTGCAAAATCATCAGCAATCTGTTCTCCGCAAAGAAGTTTGCCCACGACTCCCGGAACGAGTTATCCTGTGGAGTGTCACCACAGCACGTCGTTACTGGAAAGCCAAACATAGGCATATCGTAGCCTTCAGGAATAGGCGCTGGTGTGGAGTGCAACTTCGCCATCTTCTGAGCTAAGCTCAATCCACTCCCATCAGAAGTACCGGATGATGCTGTGGTCAGCCGACGTCCGCCGAGATCGAGAAACTCCGTCGCGAGGAAATAGCCATCACGCTTATCCAGCTTTCCCCAGGCATAGGCCTTTGGACACAGTGACGGGACAGCGTCGTGGATCGCGTTTAAGGACGCGTGCTCCCCTTCGAACATCACCGCCGCGCCTGGTGAAGTCGCTGTCTTCACGAAGATGGAGGTCGTCGGAGTGGATATCCGGAGCGTTTCGGCGAATCCTGATCCGCCATGTTTCGAGAGAGTCGCAGCGGACTGATCGATCTTGAGGGTAGTCTGCAGGGCTCTCAGGATTGCTGGGTCGATGTCTAGGGGCATCACTGATATCGCTTGTCCTCTCAACCAGATGATGATGCCCTGCTCTGGACTTTGATGGAGGTAATATAGCCAAAGTGAGCTAGTTCACATTCGGAATAGCGCGACATGGTGGCAAGCTGTCGCGACTTCCCGGTCTTGCACTCATGAAGTCTTCCTGGAATTCTTTTCGTCTGCTTTGCGAGACCTTCATATGGCGCTCTTGAGAACGTCCCATCATTGCCGCGTCGGACTGTTCTCCGAGCTCTCAAGTCATCCCGACAATGTTCTGACCTGACTTCACCGGAAGATTCCTCAGTTCATCCCGATTGCTGACCAAGTTATTCGCAGACTTGCAGACAACTGCCGGATTGCGCCATCTAGCCGGGTGACATACTCTGTGCTTGCTCTTCGACATCATGTAAGTTCGGCTGCTGTGATAAAATGATACATCTGCTACAGAGTCCCCCGTCGGCCGAATTAGGCAATGGAACCGCATACTCGGTGATGTTTCGTCCGAGGAGTTTTCAACCGAAAACGTGCGCGTTGCACACAGTGCTGTCTTTGCGTTGACGTCGCTGTCCAATTTCAAAGAAGTCGCAACGTGCACGCATCGTCCTCAGGACCTGACTAATGTCCCAGATGTAACACACAGAACTCGGTGTCAATCATGCCGGTCTTCAGAATCGGTCACGAGGTACATAAGGACGTTTGCCATGGCAGCAGCGTAAGTGTATCATCGTGCTGCCCAGACCGGTCCTCATCTTGTTTCATTCGACATCTATAATCATGACGACGAAGCTGCTGCCTCTCAAGCTGTACGGCTTAGCCGCAACCAACCCTCCAAAGGTGGCATTCGTACTCGAGGAATTGTCCCTTCCATATGAGATCGTTCCCGTCAGCGTAAGTTCAGGCAGCATCTCCCATGAGCTCCGTCGATGTGATGACTGAGTCCGCAACTAACATCCACTCCTTCGCCCTGCACAGCACGCTACGGTCAAAGACCCGCCATACCTCGCAGTGAATCCCAACGGCCGCATGCCCTCCCTCAGTGATCCTAACAACAACGATCTCACCATCTGGGAGTCCGGCGCCATCATCCAATACCTGATAACGACTTACGACACCGACCACAAGCTCTCCTTCTCACCAGACTCGCCGGAAAGCTGGCACGCCACGCAGTACCTCTTCTTTCAAGTCTCAGGCCAAGGACCCTACTACGGCAACGGCTTCTACTTCGCCAAATTCGCGCAGCCTCCCAATGACGCCGCCGTGGAGCGCTTCATCAAGGAAGCAGAGAGAGTGACTGGCGTGCTCGACGGAATCCTCGCCAAGGCGGAGGCAGATGCGGTCGGGCGGAAGTGGTTGGTTGGCGGGAAATGTAGCTATGCTGACCTGGCGTTTGTGCCGTACCAGTTGATCGCGAGACTCGTCTTCAAGGACATGGGATTTGATGAGGGGAACTTTCCTGAGGCGAAGAAGTGGGTGGATGCGATGTTTGTGCGGGAGAGTGTGAAGAAGGTGCTGTCGATGACGGAGCCATGGAAGGATATGGGGCTCTATGCTGATGCTGATGTCGCTGCTTAGGCCTGGACCACCGACGCCGCGGAGCTCTGGGGACTCCTTGGCGCTACAGGTCTTCTTCACTCGTGTCAAAAGGACGCCTTGCGTTTCAATACGAGACCAACACGAGAGCGCGGCTGAAGAAGGATTGGCATGACTCGCAGGGCCTTGGAACAAGGCTTGAATACGACATTTGGCTTCATCGTACATGCAGCGACATAGTACAATGCTATGGACCTTCAAAGTCTGCCTAACGAATAACCACCAAATACGCTAGTCGACCACCACAATGCCTTTCGTGAATACCGGATCTCGTCTCTCGCTTACATGCTTGACCCCGCTGACCTGCAAGGTCTTCAATTACCTGCCAGACCGGATCAACCTCGTATGTTCGACCACCGGACGCCGTCTGCGAAGCAAGTTTCGCAAATTTCCAGGGGCATGAATGCCGTGCTCCCATACAGATGCCGGATTTCATACTGCACCAACGCGATGACGCCGTAATGGTATTGCCATGGTGCCACAGCTCTGTTGATAACTTCATGGCGATCATGCCGTGAGGAGCATGTCGTGAGGACCGTGCTGTGGTGATGGTGCTATGATGCCCGTGACCTTAATTTCTTCCCTCAAGCCGGCTGCTGCATTGAACAAGCAATAGAGCGATTTGGCCGTGGCCATCAGAGACATGGCATCTGGGCTGCCACAGATGCAGGGCTTGCCACACGTATGCCGGGGCACTTCTAGTGTGTCGTAGAGCACCAGAATTTGCTCAAAGCTTCAAGGCACTCCAGCGTGGACTTGCTGACCCGGCAGTGGAGGCTGCAGGAAGTCTTCCGGAGCGTCCTCTGGCAGCTGACGGACTCTCGCCCATTCACGGATGTCATCATAGTTGCGGCACTTATGATCAGTGTTGAAGTCGACGAATGCTGCCGGCGTGTCCTCAGGCGTTGCTCTGTACCACACCTGCCCGAAGACACCAACGTCAGCTTGGCACATCAATTGCTGCCGAAGGATGTCGATGCAGTGGGAGACATGGAGGCGGACGATCTCGTCGCTGTTGGTGAAGGCACCTTTGCCCTTGGCGCGGTAGTAATCGATGTCCCAGAACGTGGCCTGGCGGACAAGATTGAGGCAGTGCAGATGGTGGAGGCCTTCGACATTGGCTGGGTAGCCGCCGCCGTATTTCTCCTTGATCTGGACGTGCTTGTCACTCAAGCCAGCCTTTTTGAAGTCCTCGGGCGGTATGCGTAGCGGTCTGTAGTCGACGCCAAGAGCTTGCCATGCTGCGTCGACTTCCGGTGAGGCTGGTCTGCGGTAGATGTCTTCTTGCATGAACGACCCATTGAAAGGAATGGTGTCGTATTTTATTGTCAGATCTTGTAGCAGTGGTGCTACAATACAGCTGATCAGTGACAAGTTCTCGGGAGCCAAGGGCATCAACTTACTTGCTTGTGTCGTTGACTCAACACATTGATTGTATGTTGGCTTCGACACGAAGTAGACAGCACTCAGTCCTGCCACCACACCTACTAAGAATGTTGCGGATAACCACAATGCTGCGTTGCATTTGCTGATGCCAGCAGTCTTTGGCCGCCGTGTGCCCGTAGCCTCGGCCCCCAGAAGGGCTTCACTATCACCAGCACTGTCGAATGAATCGCTAGATGTCTTCATGTTTTGCTGAAGATTTTGAAGTGTGTACCTGGAGTGGCCGAGGATGCCTGGTGATCTTTAGGATGCGAAGTATCCCATGTCATCCAGGTCTTCTCAAGAGCTTCAATCCGCTGTGCTCTCACGGACGCATGTAGCTGCTCCAAATGGTCAGCCATTCAACAATGTAACCCCGCCATCATGCCCAAATAGCATCTCTTCAGACATGCTTCCGTAGAAATTCAGGATGGTGGCCCAGGCCGGGCTCATCTGCAGCCACGTGAGCTCAAAATAGAGCACAAAGTGTCAGCTGAAGAGTCATGCAGGATGCACGAAGGACGCTCAGCCCCCGGGATTCGGTGTCGTTGGTTAGCTTCAGCCAATCGCAAATCGCCCTGCTGTACCCCGCAGAATTGCCTGAAAACCTATGGCAAACTTTAAACACACGTTCTTTCCGACTCTTTTCTCTTTCGTTCACCGGTGCTGCGGACTTCTATTTTGCTTACGTTCCAGAAGCATCACTTCGTATGGGCGTTGCTGAATGACCAACACTGTTGCTTTGAAGAAGCTGCCCCGCCCGAGCTTAAGGGCAGTCGCAGTAGCTTCACTGGTGTTGAGCTCTATGGAGCTAGCCTTTTCTGGGCGCGGTGAAGGCCATTCTTGCATTGATGTCGTGCGCAGAGCTTCGAGACTGTGTATGATTGCCGTTCCGGGCTCTCAGAACTCGGATGAACGTTTGGCAGTCTGTATGCGGTCCGAGGCGTTCTGTCTCTGAAGCTACACTCAGCAGCACGCAATGAAGCTTCCTAATCACGCTGACCGAGTACGAGAACCCATTGGACGCCGTCAATGGTAGGTCAACTCTGCTTCGAGTTCATTCGCTCTGTGAATCCGCTGCTAGTTCTGCTCTGCCTCGGCCTATGCTGCCAAAGACCTCCATGCATACACGATAGCTTGCGAGTCGTACATGTACAGTGTGACTCCGGATGGGGCAAGCCGAAGCAACCAAAAAGCCCCATTTGGCAGCACCGATACTTTGCCAGGTCAGGCTGTGCACCCCATACGAGGAAGAGGATGGAGAAACGTGGACTCCAAGACACAGCTGAGAACAGTACGCCACCGCTATTGCTACCCACGACTCAGAATAGCATGCTGGACGGTCACGGGGTGCCTCACGCACGTTGCCCCTCTCCTCGACTTCTCTTCATAAGCTCGTGTTCCCAAGTCACTCTGACATCTCTTTCCTCATCACCAACATCGTCATTCTCCAGCTCAACACCAAACCAGAACACAAACACACAGCAACCATGAAGTCACTCGCTATCTTGGCACTCCTGCCTCTTGCTCTGGCAGCTCCTGTCGCAGCACCAGAGCCCGAGGCTGCTCCAGAGCCAGCTCCCGGCTATGGCTCTTATGCGCCGTACTCTGGCTATGGCACCTACCCAAAGCAAGCATCATATCCAAGCTACGGAAAGTACCAGAAACGTGAAGCCGAGGCTGCACCAGCGCCAGCTCCTGGCTACGGCTCTTACGCTCCATACTCCGGCTACGGCACCTACCCCAAGCAAGCGTCATACCCAAGCTATGGAAAGTACCAGAAGCGTGAAGCTGAAGCTGCACCTGCACCTGGCTATGGCTCCTATGCCCCATACAGTGGCTACGGTAGCTACCCGAAGCAGGCATCGTACCCATCTTACGGAGAGTATCAACGACGCGAGGCTGAGCCGGAGCCAATGCCGGAGCCGGAGCCGGAGCCGGAGCCAGAGCCAGGCTACGGATCCTATGCCCCGTACAGCGGGTACGGCTCCTACCCCAAGCAGGCATCCTACCCGTCGTACGGCAAATACGGCAACACACGTCGTGAGGCTGCTCCCGCCAACTATGCACCATAGTGAGTACCACTGTGCCTTCTCATCTTGGCCGATGTATCATGCTGACGACTATTCACAGCTCAACCTATGGAACCTATCCCAAGCAGCCCAGCTACTCACCATACTCAAACTACGGCAAGGTGAGTCATTGTGTCTCCGTCCATGACTTGTGCCAGGCCACGTGACTAACAATGTTTCTAGTACCCTCGCGAGGCTGAGCCGGAGCCAATGCCGGAGCCGGAGCCAGCACCAGAGGCCATGCCGGAGCCCGCTCCGGAGGCGGAGGCTGCTCCTGAGGCTGCTGCTGAGGAGTAAGCATTTGGTGCCGTGGACTGAGTCGGACTAGCCTGCCCGAACACTGTGGCGACTGCTGCCTGCTCGGTCGCTCTCGACATGGCGTCTTACCACCATCGTTAGAAATTGCTAATATTTGCTTGGGGATATTATTTCTGCAACACTTCCAGCCTGAATCAAAAGCGAGCACACCGTCTGAACTGATTGAACCATACGCGACCATATACTGTTGATAGTGTATAAAGCTAAACTCCTTACATATACCCGGATGCAAACGAACTTCCGCGCACGCCCATGAAGCAGTTCCATGAGCCGCCTACTAGGTAAAAGGCCCATCGACGAAGTCTTGCGGCGCCATTCATCGCTTCCCGTCCCAGTTCCGTCGGCACGACAGGCATTATAACGGAAGTCGTGGGATCAGGCTTCGCTATCGCTGCTTGACGCATGCCTTCCTTGACCACGTCCACTGCTTCGCGTGGTCACACACTCCTCACCAGTGGTGCCCCTGCTCCGACGTGATGCCCTTGCCCGACCACGTGGGTCTCCCCTTCCCCGCTGCTGGACATCAGCGGGGGTGGAACTTCGAGGCATGCGGACACTCGCGTTCGATTCCGTGTCTTCGTCCGACCACTCACGGTTATAGTCCCTGTACAAACGCCTGTGTGGCCTGGATCGCTGTCCCAGTCCGACATGCCCTCTGCGGGGAGGAGAGCCTGTTGCGTGGGATGCACCTCGTCTGTGGCCTCTACCATGGCCCGTTTGATGGATCGGAACGTCGCGAGCGCGGGAGGTGGTGCCTCTTAGCCTACTGATCTCCTCGGCTTCTCTCTCACGCGTTCCCATCTGGAATCGTGTTCCACGACCACCGTATGGCACGTCCCTGCTGTCATACGTGTTGGAAGTGATGTCAACTTGCCTGAGCACAATGGATGGACGTCTCTAGCATGCGCCGTGATCCGAGGCCACATCGACACGGTTGCGCTACTGCTTTCTCGTGGAGCAGACGTCGTCAATGCCGTCCCGCCCGCCAACTGCTTACTCTCGGTAGCGATTCGTCAGAAGAGGAAGGACATGATCGAGTTGCTCCTGTACCTCTGTTCTCCCAACGCTGTTGACGAGGATGGCTGGTCGCCGTTGGCATATGTAGTGGAGAACGGAGATATGGAAGCATTGAATTTCCTTCGAGAGCGATAGCCGAGTCTTGGAGGAGCTGCGGCTGAATGGTCAGTCTTTGCTAGACTTTGGGCCACGAAGAACCTTCAAGACCTCGTCGCCAAGTGCGATGCATGCTCAGGGGTCTATGACGGAGGCAGCGTATAAGTATCTGATGGGTATTCTCGAAGATGAAGAGGACGGCCTACGAGATTCAGATCCAGCGTTGCTGGAAGAGCTTTACAAGGTCCGCGATGTCGAGCCGAAGAAGTTCTCCGATCCTACTACAGCGGCTTGGGAGAAGACTGCGCCTAGTCGGACCGGTACGGGCGCTCTGGAATGAGCACATTGTTTGTGACTGTTATCTGGCGTCCTAGCGACTCTGGTTATTCTGGAATCATACATCAAGTCGGTGCAACGCATGTAATACATCTCCATGACGGACACATCCTCGGCGCAATGTTTGCTTCCCAGTACTGAGGCGGCCTGAATCGGTGGCCTGGCACAACCCAGTATCATCTTCACTCGGTAGCAAAAACATCGACATCGAGACACGACTCTTCACCAGACTCAGGCTTCACAGCTGTGCCCTCCACACGACTCCGCAGTTTTTCAAAATCCTCCTCGTCGTCCTTCACCAAGAACTCGTCCTCGAAGCCAGCCATACGAACCCATAGCGCCGCAGCATTGTCCCGCGGCTTCACAATTTTCGCAGCCAGGGCATGCGCGAACAGAAGCTTACTACTATTGCATGCGTCCCATGGTCGTTCTCTGAGTAGCTCAAAGCTGCTGCTGAGAAAGCGCACAGCTGTCGCGCGAAGCTCTGTTAGAACCGGAACGGCGTCTTGTGCAGTCTTGCCCCTGCTACTGGCGTCATCGGTGTTGACAGCTTCGGCGGTCTTGTCGCCGTCGCTGGTGTCGATTGTGTTGCTATCAACGGTGTTGCCCTCGCTATCGTGGGCGTCGTTGATGTTGACCTTGCCAGAACTGGCGTTGACGGTGTTGTCATCGTGGACGTCCGCATCGTGGACGTTTGCAACGTCAGTTTTCGCAATGTCGGTCTTCGCATCGTCGGTGTTTACGTTGTTGGTGTCCGAATCTCCGACATTATTGTTGTTATTATCGCTCAGTCTTGCAGCGGAGATCATCAAGCTTCCACCGTTGTCTGAGTCGGCGACGATGGGTCCTGGAGGTGCGACTCTCGGCCTCTTTTTCTTCGGAGGTGTCGCCCCGGATGGTCTGCGGACTATGTAGCGCGCGGAACTCATGTCGTAACCCGACTTTACACCATGCCAGGTCGTCCAGATCGGTGGGGAGCCACCCCTCTGCCGAAATCCATCACTTTCGCGTGGAACGCCAATGATCGTTGCTCGAGGGATCGAGGGACCTTGGACCACAAAGACTCCCCACAGATGCGCACGGCGTCCATGACCTTTCGCGGCGCACGTATAGAAAGTGCCTTTGAGTTGCTCGCCGGTCTCGGATAAAACGAAGTCGGGATTTCGGGACCACGCACCGTGTCTCTCTAGGAGCCAACCGGAGCACGAGTTCTTGAGAACGGGTTTGCCTGTCTTTCTCACGAGTTCTTGGAGTTCCGCAGGCATGACACTGTCAGAGCGCCACTCTGGTTCCACATCTTGTGTCTGTGACATCGTGTCCGTGTTGTCGCAAGAAGGCTCTTGGAGGGTGTCCGTGGTGTAAAACTGCTCAACAGCTTTGCCAACAGGGAAGTGCAGTAACGCGTTGCCTGGTTACCCTAGTGATGTGCCAAGATCAGGACCTTTGCAGCAGGTTCGTCACTTGCGGCTTGTTCTGCGGTGACAGCACTCGTCACACTTGAAGCCTTGCTGTTCGGTGGCTTCACAAAAAGTAGTGCGCTATGGAAGACGAGTCTGCTCCTGGGTTTAGCTTCTATATCGATGTCCACCCCAGATTGTTTGACAAGATGATCCGGCTCACAGTACGGCTTTCTTGCTGAAATGTTGCACCAGATCTCCTGGACTATTTGCCTCCCCGGGCATTTGCCTTGGGCCAGTGATCTCCACATTTTCAATATTAACGTCGCTTTGTCGTGCCGTGCCTTTGGCTCCAGTCAGCTGGAGCAGAAGGACAGCTAGGTCGGCTTGCGTCTTCCAGTATTTGATCTCTGCTTTCACCTTTGGCTTCATACTTTTGTGGTCCTGCGCTGCACCTGTCTTCATCACCTCCGCGCCTTGCCGGTTCTCGCCTTCCTCTGTCACTTCAGCATCACTCACAGCAGCGTCCTTCTCAGTCGCAGCTTCCTTATCTTCTTCTTGCTCCCGCTTCAGCAACTTCTCAAGCGCGTACCCCTCCCTCACCAGAAGCAGATCACCGGTGTCCAGGCTTAGAGCGGGGCAGTAGTCGTTGAAGCCGTCTCCCACGTAGACTGTCCTTAACTGCTGACTGGACGCCCCATTCAAGCCAAGGTCGAGCTTCGACTGTATCAGAATAGTGGACTTGCACATATTCGGCGCGCAGCGGGTGCAGTCGTGTGGATTTGAGGGGCTTTGGTAGGGCTGGACGTCGAGTATCGGCTTGTCCGCTAAATCAATGGCAGTAGGCACACCTTGCTTCGCTGTCGTCCGAACTGACTGATCGTCTGACTGCTGCAACTCGAGATCGAAAGACCTGAGGATCCCCTCGTCTTCTTCCGTGAGATTCGGCTCTGAGACCCACTTGGCGCGGTTGGTGTAGATATTTTGGAAGATGGTCGGACTAGACAACCCGTTGGCGTTGAGAATCGTCTCTATGAAAACGTTGTTGGCGTCTGATGCGATCACCATTTCTACAACTGGCGCTCCTGAAGACTTCGAGTCCTGACGCGTGGTCACTTCATTCTCACCCTGCTCCGATTCCTCATCGCGATCTCCTAGTCCAGCAGCTGATCTTCGGTCACTCAACCGACTCCGCGCACCCAATACCTGCAGGGCTTTGACCAACTCCTCGTCCATCCTCACAGCCCTCATGCACGCCTCCAATTCCGCCCTTTCGTACCCTTCTCGCCGAGACAACGCCGCCAGCCCGAGCCGCATCATGCGCGTCCATGACTTAGGACCAAGTCGTTCGATTAGCTTGGGGATTTGTGCTGATAGCTGAGTGCCATAGGGGAGTGTCTCAGGTGACTGGAACGGGAGCAGGTCGGAATTGACGTTGATGAGGGTGTGGTCAAAGTCGAAGATCAGGAGGAGGATCTGGCTGGTGTGGCTAGTAGGAGATGGCTGTTGGTGATAGGTCATGGCTGTGATTGTGCTCGTGTCGTGGGTCATCATGTGTCTACGCTGAGAAAGTAGGTGGTCCTGTCATGGGATTTACGTTGTCACCGAAAGCACAAGTATGCGGTGGATCTCGAGAACATGCTGAAGCGTATGGATAGACGTTCGAATGTGGCACGGTTCCTCAAGGGTCAAGGATTTATTGACTTGCACATAAAGTCTCCTGTCTCTTCTCCTAAAGCAGGACGTACTTCGATGACACTCATTGGTAAAGGTCGGGCGGCTCTCCCTCAGTACGGCAGACCAAGAGAACGGTCCAGTCACTACGGTGGCTCACATATGCCAGGACCTGCAGCACCTCGTACAAAACTTCACTCCGCCTTTCCCATGCTCCCCGTGACATCCCCATCACTTTCCCCTATGAGAAGCGGAGGAGTAGCACCATTATTCGATTCCAGATGTCCTTGAGCTCAGGGTGGCAGAAGCACGGAGCAAAAATGCAATTGCGCATCTTGAGGTCGGTGGATGGACCGATGATAGGTGTCCCAAGACCACTGTCGGCTGTTGAGTGACGCTCAACGCTCATCTCGCGCAAAAGGCTCAAGGCCGTCGCTGTTGAAACGGCTTGAAACCTAACCAGGACAAACACTTCCTGTAGACGCGCACAAATGGCCCAGCCACCGCGGTTGCGCCGAGCTCTGGCGGCCCTGGTTCCGAGTACCACAGGCCTCTGCAGGCTTGCTTGACAATGCGGAACCCCCAAGAATCTCGGCACGTCTCATAGGTGACCACGGTCGTCGAATACAATTCGTACTTCGGAAGCTCCCACAGAGTCTTGGCGGTGGGAGGTACAGCGAGCAGGGATGTGCGGATGGTCATACGCTCGAGCCCAGGAAACTTCGTCATCATTCTCCCCATCATCACTGCAGGTTTCTGGCTGAGAGTACTTAATATCATGTGTGTCGACGACGATGTGCCGTATCCAGGGGAGAAGTAGTGGCCTTTGGCAGGGACATCTGAGCGAGATATTGCTGTCAGGACTCGCTGGAGTTGACAATTCGACGGTGAGCTGGCTCATGAACATCGACAGTAGCTCGTATCTGATCAGACGGCATGTGCTGGCTAATCTGACCAGTGCTTGTGTGACTGCTCCACTAGTCTGTCCGGCTATCATGGTCGGCTCCGTTCCCCATTCCGTCCAGAACCGCACCTGTTTCGCCTGAAATCGCAGGACTTTGAATATATCGTGATAAACCTGCCGGCGTAATTCGCTTGGCAGACGCAGAAAGACGCTGTCTGGCTGCTCCGGCTGCTGATCTGTCATTTCGATGGATTATGATGTGATGCTGACGATGAGGATGATACTGATACCGCAGTGCACTGTTCCATTATGAAGTGGACTGATGAGTCAAGAAGGAAGTTCCTTGACCATGCGAGGACACCCGTGTCCTCTTGTCGCGCCTGTTCAGCCGCAAGAATAAGGTGCTACAGAGTACCGCAGCCTTGTGGAACTATCTCAGCCTTTGCGCATCTCAGCTAGCCTCGTGAGGATGTCATAGTACTCCCGACTGACACCCCATGAGCTTAGCCTAGACCGCAGCAGCTTCGCACCCTCTAGCAGCACTTTTCGCGGCGTCTGGCAGATGTCACCAATATTGGAAATATGCGCCGTCATATTGTGACCATTCCGAACGAATTGCTGGATCATTTCATCGTCGCAAGGACGATCGAGATAGATCAAGTCAATCTGTGCAGAATCAGATCCGGATTCTGATGAACTGTCTGAACCGCGGTCGGCATCATTAGGAGGTCCACGCCTGTCATGCTCCGCCGTCTCCTGACTTTGCAGCACATCTTGTACGCGAATCTTACGCTCTACGCGAGAAGGTTGGACGGCTGTCAGATCGGCGTCGGGACCGCTTGGGCCGCCAACGGGCTTCGCGTTTCCATTCGCAGCGTTGCGTTCGAGGGCAGCGGACTTGTACGAGCCATATGTCCACAACACCAGGCTGGCAAGGTACACGGCCACGGGCTCGTAGAAGCTGTTTGAAGAATATCGTCGAACGTGCCAGAAGACCGACCCCGCATGGACCATAGCAAGTCTTGCTTTATGTTGGTCTTCTCGCAGCCAGCGCCAGGTGATTTTGCGGATCTGTGGCAACTTCGCCTTGTTTCTCGGCTGATAGCTGCCGTCGTGGACGTAGAAGCTGGCTTTCGATGAGTCGTCGACACGGCCAATCAGAGAGAACAACAAGTCCTGGATCTCCTGGAACGGAGTGAGAAGGATGATACGTGCCAGGTGGAGGTGTAGCATCAGACTGTGCTCCTTGCCAGATGCTTTCGCGACAACGCTAGCAGCCTGCCAATTGATCACATCGAGGCAGTCACATCCGGAGTTGCGCCAATTCGCGTAGAGCGGGTACAGAGGCAGCCAGAAATCATCCTTGGTAGGCGTGTTCAGAAATCCTCTTGCTTTTCCAGTGGGCACCCATTCGCTGAGCGGCTGCTTGATGTGCGTTCCGACTTCCCATGTCCGCTGAAACAAGGCATTGACGAGCAAGATCTGGGAGATGTCGCTCAGACCTGGATACACCGCTTTCTTGTTGTACAGATGCTCCAAAGCCATGCACAGTGACGGCATCTGAGCATGCTCAGGAAGCTGGAAGTGCCATTCGTCTGCACTTTGGCAGTCCCAGAGATCGTCAGCACAAGGAAGAGGTGTTCTTGCATCATCCATGTTGCACATAGGGCGAATATTGGCCGTGTAAGCCAGTGACGTGTCAAGCAACCAGGTCAGCAGGCCGATACGATTGAGAGACTCGGTCCATATCCAGCTTTGCCACATTTGAAAGATCTGTGTCGAATTACTGTGGTTCGCGGTCGGTAATTCCTGAGCAGACCGCTGCAGTATACCAGAATCAAGGCACCAGTGGGATAATTCGGCGTGGTAGCGGGCTGTAAGAGCTCTCAGGCCGTCGTCTTCGGCCTGCGACAGACTTACAAGATTCAGGATACGAGCTTGACCGACGGCTGCGTCCGCTACGCCCTCCACTGATTGTTCGATACATTCCGACACCGCTCTACGCAGGAAGTCTTGGAAGGCTTTCCTCAACTCCAGTGAGTACGAAGCCTGAACGAAGTTGCTCCCAACTGTAGCAACTGCAAGTAGTAGAAGCCAGTTCGACTCGGGCGCAAGTGAAGGTCTGTGGATCAGAGGGAAATTGGAGTGGAAGTGCTCGAAGTATAGGTCGATATACCGGTTCAGACCATTGAGGTCGGGGAAACTGGACGTTTCAAACGGCTGATGCTGTCGTGATTCTAAGCAGAGCCTGCGGAAAGCACTAAGGATATTGTCGAAAATCGCAGGAGAGCAGTACTCTTTTGGGTGAAAGTCAGGCTGTTCGGAGGAGGAGGATATATGCAGCGGGAACGATGAGCGATTCCGGGACATACGTGGCTGCAAGAAATTGTCGACGGCGCTGGAGGACTTCCGCCTCTTCTTCCTCGCCGTTGGCAACGTTGACTCGACGGCCGATCGACCTGATAGATCATTGCTCGCCGAAGACGTCGGACTTTGGGCGAGACCAGTGAAGGCTACGGATAGCTTGCGATTGTCCGGCAAGGACTCTCCGTGCGTCGACGTAGCAGATGGCAATTGATATAGGTGTGATGTGTTGTCCAGGTGCATTGACTGACCATAGTCAAAGTCTATGTTCGACGATTCCGATAGAGGGGGAAGCAGGAAGGAGAAGTCGTGTTCAAGCTCTCCATCGTACGGCGATGGATAGACGCTGATCGGAATCCAGTTCAACGAATCGTCCCAGGCGGCGGGATATCCATATTGTAAGCTGGCAGGATCCTGGTGCGAATCCGCTCCCGAATGCAAGTCAGGATGCGTATAGCCGTGGTTTAGCAGAGGTATAGAGCCATGAGCGGGCTCTTGTCGCTGCGCATGCCAGCCGCGTGCGGTAGACACGTCCGGATACTGTTGCTGTTCAAGCAGGTGTCCGGGTCTGTCTAAGGCGGCCGACTCCTGCTGCGCTGTCGGCATATTCGATGGACTATTGTCCTGTACGCTGTAGACATTGCCAGCAAATCCTTGAGTCTCATGACTGCGGACTGATTGGGCTGACGATGGCGCGACAGCTGCTTGGACGTTGGCTGGTCCTGAGGTGGTAGTTGATGGCAATTGAGCAGCGGTCGATCCGCTGTTGGTCGAGATCCGGAATTCATTGGTCTCGAGACTGTACTCATTGGCTTCTCGTGCACCTTTGCGACGCTTGTTGGGATACACGCATTCAATGCTGCGTACACTGCAGCGACCACATGGACTACCTCCAGAGCATCGCGCTCTAGCTGCTGCGCAAGCTAGACATGCACGAAAGGTGCCGACGGTCACGCGATGCAGCGGCCCTCTGTCCTCGGTGGCGTGGTGACTTTTCTGATGGCGGAGAAGTGTATCACTTCGTGCGAACTAGAGGTATCATCAGCTGTCATACTCGGCGTCAAACACCGGATGTTCGCCCGATCGAGCAAATATAACCAGTGAGATCGCGGGGAGACAAGGTGGTGCGACTTACCGTTTTGTGGCAGACCGGACATGCTGCTGAGCGTCCAGAAGCGCGCTCTTTCGCAGCAGCCGTGTTCGCAACGTCCATGGACCTCAAAGCATGTTTTGTTGAGATTGTATAGGAAGCGTGCGAACCAGCAACTGGCGACAGGAAAGAAGATGCCCCCGGCCAGGCGGGGAAGGAGCTACCCCGTAAAATGACAAGCAGGCTAATTTTTTTTACTTGTCCCCGAGCGCCTGATTCGCTGCTCTCACTCCTTGTATACCTAGGTGCAGACCTTGGGAGCGATGTCAACGCGCGGACTCTTTTGAAAGGTGCTGAACAGAGGACTTCTCTAGGAAATAATGATCGTCAATGGATATTCAATTCTCTCAACAACGTGCAAGTCTCGTGGCGACCTTTCCCCGAGCGGCCAATGGAGAACTACATTCGTCGATCGCATAGCATTGTATATTCTTGTCAACCGGCTTGCCCAACGACGTGCACAGTACTCAAGCAAGTCTCTGAACGGCGGTCAATCTCCCTCACGCCGTCGGAGCCGTCGTGCCTTTAGAGGGAACGAACACGGTGTGACCGATCGGAAGCAGATCACAGTTGATGTCACTGTTCGCCGCGACAAGGTCACCCGGCGCGATGCCGTTGGCATTGGCTACTTATAGAGTAGCACGTGTCACCCTGCTTGACGACGTAGCTCCCAGGAGTCGCACCCTGTGTCTGTGTTGACGCAGAGGTTGAAGGAGTCGCGCCTTTGCTTTGACTCGTCGTATTCCGAGGTGGAAGTGGCTTGTACACCAACTGCATGCCGCGAAAACCTTTCAGTCCCTGGGCCTTGCCAATACATGTATCGAACGGCGTTTTTGGGCCGTTGATAGGCCACATGCCCTGGTCACCCGGTATAGGGATGTTGAAGTCACTTGGGACTGTAGTACAGTTTTTGTCATCCGTCAGAATCAACATCTGAATCTCGGTTAGTACGTGATACCACCTGGAAGTCCGTTGAATGTGTGCATCTGGTTTTCACTTACGGGCAAGTACTTGCCCTCGCCGTTCACCAAGCACGCACCGGGGATGTCACAAGCTCGAGACAGACATTCAATGACTCTGGCGGTAGTGGGAGATTTAGCTGGTGTGTACGAGTCGGCCAACAGTAGAATCTTCAACGCCCATCACGCCTATGGCGCACAGGCAGGTGTAGACCGATCGTCCCCTGTCTGGCCTCCAAGCAATCAGAGAGAGTTCCGTGTGACGTCCTTCGCCGTACTGGGAATTACCGTGGCTGCGAGCGTCCAGTCTCTTCCGGCGGCTGCAAATTGCCTCTTCTACCTAGCCACGAAGAACCTGTTCCCCTGTCGCAGTGCTCTATCATCTACGGCACCAAAGGCTTTGCACTATCAGTGTTGGTCAACAACCCCATCACTCCTGAGTCACAGCTTCCTGAGTCACAGCTGTATTGTACTCGACCTTTCTGACATCTTCGACTGCTTTTCCCATTCAGGGCGCCCTTCCTGCATCCAAAGTTTTTCCTTCACACGGCCTGCTTCTTGGAAGGAACCACCAGGGTTGAACCGATTGGCAGCAAATCCCAATTGGTGCCAGGGTTCGCTGCCATAAGGTCAGCCACTGCAATGCCATTAGCGTTAGCTAACGCCCAGCCTGTGTCGCCGGCGCGGACTGTGTAGCTTCCAGTAGGAGCACTTCGAGTTGTCGCCGTAGAGGTGGACGTTATCGAGACTGTACTTTGACTTGTCTTCGGCGGTGTTCGTATCGGCTTGTAGACTAGCTGTATGCCATAGAACCATTTCATGTCTTCGGCTCTACCAAAACATGCTCCGACCTTATCCTTGATCGCGTGGACTCTGTCCGCTGTGATGTTGAACGAATCTCCTTGACATGCCTGATTTGCCGTCGGGACCGCCATCTAGAACATGCTCAGCATCTCGTTGCACTGTTTGCAATGCTTGTGAACTTGGAATGCTGGGGCTTCACTTACCACTTCGTACTTATCCTCGCCATTAGCTAGACAAGAATCATTCGTCAACTTGAATGAAGTGTAACCAAATCCTTTGAGATTTTTCGGAGTGACGGTCGACTGGCAGCGGGAGGCAAAGGGTATGTAGGACTTCGGGATATTGTTGGGATCGACACTCTTGCCCTCAACATCGACTAGCGGTATATGCTGGCCAAGCGAGTCTTCACCACCAACGTGGAGATCCCATATCGTATTGTCTTTTGTGTCTATTTGGCACTCCGGTGTCGAATAGACCTCCCAGGTGCAGGCCTTGAGTTGCACGGCTGTGACCAGCTGGATCAGCAGTAATGTCGACAGGCACGATTGCGCGACCACCATGGCTGCAATACTGACGCAATGTGTCCTGATATGGTTTGTACTTTAGTATGCCAAACTTACGGGTAGAAAACACCAGTCTGCCTGAGGTTTGAAACATAGTGGCTAGATTTTCAAGTCATCTCTGGTCGATAAGGACCGCATCCGGCAAATTGACAAAGCCACCATTAAGTGCATGTCAAAGATTTCGCATGGTTGCAGCACAGACCATGCGAACAATGGTCTTTGCCAATGTGGTCTGAGGTTGCTATGCACAATGAAATGTCTGCATTGCTTTTGCAGACCCTTGGCATCATAACACCTCGATACTACACGGCAATATCACTCCCGACAACATCCCGCTCCACAACCTCCCCCTTCTCCCCCCTAACCCCACCATTCGCCACCGCCGCATCCAGACTCCGCCAGCTATTCAACTCCTTCTGCTTCTGCTCATCCACCGGACTCGTCGCGAAGATCGCCTTCTCCCGCTCACCCAAACTCGGATAGATTCCCTCCTGGATCAACAACTCCGCCAGATCTCTCTTGGCGCCACTTTGCTGCCCGTTGCTGCCGTTTTGCCTCTCCTCCAGCATTCCCTTTGCCTTGATCAACATCTCATGATAGTAAGTACTATGGTTGATATTGCAGATCGCTACGGTCGGGTGTGAAGGCGAATGGTGGATAAGGCAGAAGTAGCGGCTGCAGAGGAGACATGTGTCGAGGTGTTTGGTGGTGGGTGAGAAATCGCCTGGATTTTGCTCGTCGCAGAGGTAGCAGGCGGCGTTGGTGGGATTGGTGGAGGTAAGTGAGTTTGAGCGTTTCAGAAGCCCGCGGATCGTGGGTGTATGTTGTTGTGAAGGGTTCTGGGTGGCTTGGGTAGTAGTCGGTGTGGCCGAGGAGGTGTCGAGAGCTGTTGACGGTGTTGCCTTGGGCTTCATGATGCCGTTAGCCACTGTGCTGGGATCGTTGATAACGATTGAGGGAGGAGCGACGGCGGCCATGTTTGGCTGACTGATCTGATACGGTGCGACAACAGCGTTGGTGTTGGCTAGGTCTTGGTCTGTAGCGAGCTATTTCAATTGATTGATGGTCAATGTTGTGGCAAGATTACAGAAGCGTTTTAGTCTTCAGTACCTAGTACTAGAATCACAAAATGAGTGTGTAGACCAACAGGGCCATTGAACGAGGGTCTGCCATTCTTATACGTTACGCAGATTCACTCCCACCGTCGTACACCATCGCATTCCAGGCCAAGAGACATTGATGGACGCATGATATCACTGGTCTTTCCGTGAGTGAGTGGCTTGCCGCGCCGCGCCTGTCAGGGGTATTCCCGCTCCAGGGTCCGAATTGGAATGTGCTGCGAGCGAAGCTTTTTGACGCCTTTAAAGGTCGGTTGGTTGCCTTTTGTTTTCGGGGTCCGAACTCCTACCTTCCATGTGCTGTGATCGCACTGGCCTGCACGAGCGCTCGAGATGCAGCCATAGCTGTATTCACAACTCAGCGGCTTGGTCGAGCTCTTGCCCGACTGTAGTGTGACATCTCTCTCACTGCCATGGGGGAACTGCAGGAGTCAAGGGATCGACGCCGTCGCTTGAGATTGATGCCAAGATTGATAGTGGTGGAACACGGAGGTTGTAGATCCCGACATGACGTATGGGCGTCTTGAATCACAACAACTGAACGCAAGCAGGAGCAAGTTTTGGGTCAACACTTTTAGTGCTTCTGAACGAGCACGCGCCCGATAACGTCTCTCTAAGGGAATCAGTCAGCCCGTCATGAAGCGAGACCCTTGCACCGCCGCAAAAATGCGCCCTCGCCGGCCAGAACATCGACCCCTCTAGTAGCCAAGTCTCGCTTCCCTCATAGAATCACATCGTAGTTTCCACCAAAGACATACATTCCAACATCATAAACACTCAACAGCTTCCAAGACGCCCATAGCGCGAGCGCCTTCCTTCTCGAAGACGCCGACTACCCGCTCCGCCTCGTGCCTGAGGTCACTTTCAGCCAACTCTGCCATGTATTCGATCCACTCTTGCACAGTCATGTTTCGTTCCTTGTCGCTCAAGCGCTCTGCTTGAGCTAGATCAAACAAATTCGAAGCAACTGCTGGGCCAGGTGTACCCGCAAAGACGAGATCTACGTCTACTGGACTCCACACTGGGGCGAGGTGAGTTCGTGACGGCGTCATCTGAGGCTGTGGCGGGCGGGAGGACGGTGGTAGTGAGGACGGAGGCGCATTCTCAATGTCAGATCTTGCCGGCGAGTGCTGCGAGGGCGACTTTTGCGGCGATCTCGGTACTGCAGCCGCTAGAGGCGATGTATGTGCGTGTACGACCAGCGCTGGTGAAGAGCGGACTGCGTACGGCGACGATTTGTGTTGAAGCGGCGAGCCTTCAGTTGCGCGTTCGAGATCAGGTCTTTGTGGCTGCTCTGGGAACTGTGGCGGCTCGTCTCGCACAACCGATGACAGCTCGGGTTCTTCCTCGTGTGTTCCGGCTGGTAGATCTGCAGGCTCGACCTCTTTCGCTGCTGTTGTTTCTGGCTCCTGTCGCGGGGCTTCAGCAACCTCGGCTTGTATTGTTGGCTCATCGTCTATTACAATCGGCTCCACAACCGCCGCCTCGGGCTCAGGTTCTGGTGCATCCGCCTCTGCTTCGGCTTTCTTCGTCTTCGCTCGTGTTGTTTTGCCTTTCTTAGTCTTGGTCGCTTTAGGTCTTCCTGCTTTCTTTTTGCCTTTCGTGGTAGCGGTCGACATGGTTGACATGACCGACACGGCGCTGTTCTCTATGGTCTCGTCCAGAGCTGTCGCCTCTGGCTCTGCAGGCTGAATCATCTCGGGATCAAGGACGGGCTCGGGCTGGGGTTCGGGCTCAGGTTCAGGCGCAACCTTGGCCTTCTTTGCCCGACCACCTTTCGCAGTCCCTGCAGCTTTTCTCTTGGTCTTGCTGGCCGTGGAAGCCAGTGACAGGTTCGAAGATATTGAGGTTGTGCTTGTATCGATCGCATCGTCGAGGTCGGCGATGTCAGACTGGACCGTGAGATTCGATTGGGTTGACAGGCGAGCCGAAGCTTTTGAGGCTGTCGATGTCCTTGACGTACGTGAGGCGCAGCCCTTCTTCGCCTTGCCTCGCTTCGACGGTGCTGTGGTGCCCGCGAAAATGAAGAAGGCGCACTCTGGATTCCGTCGGTAGTGTTCGTCACTTTTATGGTCAGCTCGAGCCCCGCGTACCTAAGCGGTGAGACTCACAAAGGGTTGTCTTTCGGCTCCCAACCATCCAGACTGAGCTTGCAGTACGCGCAAGATGCATAGTCCTCGCTGCTTGCAGTTGGCGCAAAATGCCAACCAGCCTCCACCATCTTCTCGGTTTTGCAAACCCAGCCTCGCTTGCCGTCATGAGGCCATCCAATAGCAAAAGTGGCTGTGCGGGCTTCCACCATAGCCGTGCTCGTAGGATCGTTCATCTGGCCTGGATCAAAGTGTGTTTCCCGGGTCAGACTCATCATGATCGCGTAGCCGCAGTCTGGCGAATGCCTTAAATGTTCCTGGATTGGGTCGTCATCTTTCTCCCATCCGTCTAGTCGTCGGTCGCACATGAAACACGCGACGTTGTCGTCGCCAGTCTTATGTGGTGCATAGTAGAATCCGGCTGTAGCTACGGCTTCGGCTGTGGGTGACTTGTGTGGCCATCCTGCTTTTGAGCGTTTGGTGGGTGGCTCAAACGATTTGAGACGCGATTCCTTTGTTGCGTACTCCATTGTAGCTGTTGCTGATCCGTGGAAAAGGCTTGCACTGTTGGGAAAGTGGTGAACATCGAAGTGCAGATCATGATGCGTCCGGGCCGCTGGATCGGGAAAGGTAAACAAAAGGCTTGGCATTCTCGAAACTGGGCTTCCAACTCGACCTCGATCCATACCATTTACTTGAGCATCGTTTCATGCATCACTGTCTGTATCGCGTTTCTCGCCACGACAACGACGAAGCCGGCATTGGCGCTACGTCGTCTACGGAGAACTCTGCGCCTTCTGCAGACTAATCATACGATGTTGCCTTGCACCGAAGACTACCTACAGTGCCATTCATTTTACGCGTGGTCACGGCCTAGCTCCCGACAATGACATTAGATCATAGCATAGAATATGCCACGACAATGCCGAACCAAACACGGCATCTGAAGTGGCGAGAACAGGACCCGTGGAAGTCAGGTCTCTGCACGCCCTGCGAAAAACCCCGGAAACGACTATGAACTACATGCCTTGTCGCGTCCAACCTTTACAGCTCTTGCATACGGGTACGTCGTTTGCTACATTATTGCCCGGCTGTTTCGTGCCTTTCTCGTGACCTACGTGTTCAAAGTCAATGACCGATCCGGTTCGGCACATCAGCGATAATGCCAGTCGGGTGAACATATGGTAGAGTATTGCGGTAGGGCGCAAGTCAACGATCCGAGAATCTCTAAAGGCAATTCTAACCTGTAGTGGCGTCGAATCCATTGATTAACGATACGCTGTCTCTCCAAAAGGAAGGCTGATCTCCTGCCAAGACCGAACACGTTGATGTCCGCGCCGGTCTGTGGCTTTTCTTTATAAGTGCATCACTACCTGGGTCAGTTCGGGTGTTTGTGCCTGCTGTCGGAGCTGAAGGCCAATACGCGAAGAAGTGCACCAAGCTGCAAAGCATCATGGCTTCGACATTACATCCATTCGACCCACTGACACCAGAGGAGATTTCGCGCGTAAGACTCTCGAGGAGCGGCTTCCGGGCTTCATTTTCTGACATAACATGCATTATAGGCAGCACGAGTAGCCCGCCCTCACTTTGGCAGATATGCACCTAATTTTCGCGTCATTACTCTACAGGAGCCGCCGAAGGATCAGATGGTCGGTTTCCTTGAGCGAGAAAGCCTACGGCAACATTCAGGAACTCCACCAGTAAGATGTGCACGCGTCGAGGTCGTCGTGAATGACGAAATAGGAGACACCCAACTCTTTGACTTACTTGTCGACCTCGACAACGACAAAATCTTGGCTAAGCAGCATCAGCATGGCAAGCATTCATACATTGATGCAGCCTATATGAAGCAGGTCGAGCAAGCATGCCTTGCCAACGACGATGTTCAGGCCGAGATCAAGCGTCTATTTCTACCCGAGGGAGCCAAAGTCGTGGTAGAGCCGTGGGCGTATGCGACTGATGGGCAGAACGACATGAAGTCTCGTGTGTCAATGGTGAGCCCAAGCCTCATGATCTGTGAGTTTTGACTGGGAGTGCTGAAGCCGTATCCAGTGCTGGTTCTACTTGAATGTGTTGGGCAGTCCGGACGCCAATTATTACGCCTATCCGCTGGATATCTGTGCTGAAGTGTCGGAAAAGCTACAGGTCACCAAGATATACCGGCTTCCGACTAATCTGAATGAGAGCATACATAACGAGCCACGTCCATTCGATCGGCGCAGAGTCCACCCGTCGTCGCTCAGCGAGTATCACCCAGACCTTAGACCACCGCCGAGAACGACTCTCAAGCCGTTACATATTCTTCAGCCCGAGGGCCCGTCGTTTGAGGCTCATGGAAATCATGTCACGTGGGAGAAGTGGTCATTTAGGGTAGGATTCAACTACCGCGAAGGATTGACATTACACGATATTCGGTACGATTGTCGTAGTCTCTTCTATCGTCTCTCGCTAGCCGAAATGTTCGTCCCGTATGGCGATCCGCGTGCGCCATATCAGCGAAAGGCTGCTTTTGATCTGGGCAACGACGGTGCTGGTATCAACGCAAATAACTTACAGCTTGGTTGTGACTGCCTCGGTAAGCCTAGGTCGAGACCCACTGTACACAAATTGATGACAGGCAGGAACGATCAAGTACTTCGATGCCTACCATAATACTCCCGAAGGCGAGCCACTGCTCCTGCCCAACGTCATCTGCTGTCACGAGCAGGATGACGGCATACTATGGAAGCACACCAACTTCCGAACACAAAATGCAGTCGTGACCCGAGCCCGAATCCTTGTTCTGCAGACGATCATAACAGTCAGCAACTACGAGTACATCTTCGCGTTCCACTTTGCCCAGGACGCATCCATCTTCTTCGAAGTTCGTGCTACAGGCATTCTGTCCACTGTTCCTCATCAGATTGACTGCAAAGACAAAGTTCCTTTCGGGACAGTCGTAGCTCCTGGTGTCCTGGCGCCCTATCATCAGCACCTCTTCAGTCTCCGAATCGATCCTGCCATAGACGGACAAGACAACTCGCTAGTCATCGAAGAATCGAAAGCACTACCAATCGACGATCCGGAGGTACATAACCCCTTCGGCATAGGCTACTGCACGGAATCTCACATAGTAGAAGCAGAAGGCGGCTTCGACCTGGACATCAACAAGGCGCGTGTCTTCAAGTTCATCAACGAAGAGAAGATGAACCCAGTAACCAACTCGCCCGTTGGATTTAAACTGCTCGCATGTCCTAGCCAGATGCTCCTCGCCCACCCAAACTCCTACCACGCTAAGCGATCCGAGTTCGCCAAGCACGCCGTCTGGGTTACACGCTATGAAGACAACGATCTATTTCCAGCGGGACGCTACACAATGCAGTCGTCTGGCGGTGATGGTATCGCTTCTGGTATCCGTAAGCGGCAGTTGGACGGTACGGCGAAGCCGGTCAGGAACGCAGACATTGTGATCTGGCATACCTTCGGCTCCACTCATAATCCACGCATCGAGGACTGGCCGGTCATGCCGAACGAAAAGATGATGGTTGGGCTGAAGCCTGTCAATTTCTTCACTGGTAATCCGGCGTTGGATGTGGCGGTGTCGGCACAAGAGAAGAACAGAAGTACACTGTATGGGGCTGGACAACAATCGCGGAGAAAATGTTCCCATTTTACGTCGCAGCTGTAGGGACGCAGTAGAGGGGTACAGGACTTCAGGACGTTTGTCAATAACTTTTGCCGTACGGGCGCCTCTGGCTAGCTTTTCCGGAAGCGGACCGAACCTGTCCAGTACGATAAGGAGTTGACATGGCGAAAAAATAGACAAAAGAAGGTCGGTAGACTACACATGTACGGGAGACTAGAGAGTGTGGCTGTGTTCTGGAATGAATTGATTTGTGGTCCTTTTCTATCTATCATCACGTCTTTCTCTGTCGTCGCGCGACCAGCATGAGAGCCTCAGGTCTGCGCTTGTCTGTTCTCGGCGCCGCTCGCCCGGTTTTGCAGGATATCGTGTACCACTGTCGTGGCTGTTGAACCGTGGAAGTGCGATCGTGCCTCATGTCGCATGAACGTAGTAGAGCAAAGTCGTCTCGGCTAGGACTCTCCCCGTTGCGTTCTTTGTCGCCGTCGGTCTCAAATGGAGCTGAATGCGCATATTCAATCGGAATATGGCTGTGCCATCATCCCTACAGCTGTCAGAATCAGAGCATAGTGACAGTGTGTTAGGCAACCCCTGAGATCACTTACCTATCCACCGGTCGAAGTCGAACTTGACGCAAATCCAAACAAGCCTGATGTAGAAGGAGCAGACCAAGCTTGCTGCTGAGCTTGCTGCTCAAGGACGACACTATTATCTTTCTCCTTCTGATTAAGACGGATAATGGGCTCTGTATCACCAACACCATCAACGACTCTGACCTCCACTAAGCGTCTTCCAGCCTTAGCTTCGTCTTCCCACAGCGTGGATGGTCCACCATGCAAAGCTGTCCAGTACTTTGAGTGGTCTGCGAAGGACGGATCGCCAGCATTCTCTGTAATTTTGGCTGGCCAGCTCTCTGGGGTCGCATGCTTGCGATTCGTGGCCCAGTCGTGCTTTGCGCCCATTGAGGAGGTCTTGTAGTCGTCAGGGAAGCGGGAGCCGGTTGTGGTGGTGTGCCAGGATTGGCCTTCGACCAACTCTTCGACGTCTCCCATGAAGCCTGCCACGTCGCAGATGTTGCTGGGATCAGCGCCTTGGGGGTATCGAACGAGTATGTTGAGGTAGCGAAGCGTCTGGACAGGACACGACGTGGTTTTACTCGTCAGGAGATCTCTGATATCGAATTTACCGAGTTGCATGCCGGAGGATCCTGTCGCATCAACGACGACTAGCTTCTTGAGATTGCGGGATGGCAGCAGCTTGGTCGACATACTGGTGATGAGGTCGTGCCAAAACTTTCGAGTGTCTGACTCATTGCCCGAAATTGGAATGCCTTGGTTCTTGTCGTCGCATCTAATTGTGACTGAAAAAGGACCGCGACCTGCACCTAAGCAGATGACGCATGATCTGAGAGTCTTGGAAGCAGCGATGATCTCGGGGCACATCACCGCTAGTCTCAGTCGCAGGTTGATGAGGCTTGGAATTCGCTGTGCGATCGTGTGGCACAGATGCTCGCCAGTCTCGCCATCAAGGGCTCGATCGTAGCACTTGGTGTCGATTTCGAGACTCTCCAATGACTCCGGCAGAGATTTGACGACGACCGCTAAGGTGTGACGTGAGATTGCGGTACTATGAGCTCGAAGCTGACCATCTTGGATCTGGATGTAGAAGGAGAACGTTTTCATCTTGGTCATGAGTGGTAAGATCGTGGCCAGATCCTTCAGCGTGGAGTTCAGCTGACGACAGGACTTATTGACATCCGGAGATCGATAGCTTACACCAGCAAAGAGGCTTCCAATAGATGGTATCTGTTCATCGTTGGTCTCCTTGGGTGGCTCGGAAGTGAATGTGAGGCTTGTGATGAGGCCAAAGTTCGACGAAGCAGGCGCTTGGACGAAGCGAGCGAGCTTGTCGCAATCCACGACAATGTCGGACCAGAGGAGTCGGAGGCCTATGTCGCGCCATATAGCGCTGACGCAGAGCAAGTTAACGATGCTTGTGCCGCGTTCGCCGTTGCCGTGTATGACATGTTTGAGGAAGATCTCAACGATCTCGGCCGGAATAGCGCGCACCATTGCGATGGTCCAAGCGGCTGAATTGTCAAGGCTAGGTTGTTTGGAATTATTTTGTGAAAGGAAAGCTCATTAATGTAGTCGTGGTGGCCAGGCAATAGCCTTGGCATTACTTGAAGTCACTGTATGAACACGTGAACTGACTTCGGGAATGTTGTTTCGTCACCTGATGGGACCGGATGTTGGTTCACTTTCACCTTGTCCGTTCGATACATCCGCAAGCTCGGCCCAGACACCCCAATACCGTCTCTCATCAACCTCGCCCGTCCAGAAATAGTCCTGTATCGCAGACAAGTAGTCCTGCCATGTCAATGAGTAATGAACTCTAGCCCATCGTAGCTGATTGATGAAAAAGTCGTGATCCGTCGTCGTCAACACAACGTTGGGCACCACATCACTGGGCACAACATTCCCGCCCAACGACGGCATGCTCGCAGTCGCGCCAACGCTCAGTACCCAAAGCAACAACGACCGCGAGAAGAAGAACTGCTTCATCGATGCCGCCGGTGATGGCACGTTACCGTCTGTGGCAGCGTAGCGGAGACTCAGACTAGTTGTATCAGCATCAGTGCCAGACTCGGAGCCGTGGCCGTCCATTCGAGCATCGAGTGCACCGCGCAATGATTTCGTCCACACGCGGAACTGCCGCGCTCGCAAGTCCGTCCCGCGGAGGAAGTGGTGGATGTAGATAAGTGCAGTGAGGGCGATGCTCTGCCAAAGCGACGAGTTCCACGTTGACTTTCTAGCCTCATTCGAGAGCAGATCACTGCCTGCGGCGGCGAGGGCGTCAATGGAGGTGATGATCCTGGTCAGTCTTGTCTCCAGACTAGCACACATATCCGCTCTCAGCATATTCTCGTGCTCATCGAGTAGTGACAGCCGCGGCTTCTCCCGCTCCGCCTGGCACAGACGGCGAACGCCCTCGAGAATATCGACGACTTCATAGTTGTCGACACCCTCCGACCATAGCCCTTGCGGAGTGTAGCAGATCGGCGACCCTGGAATCGAGAACGAGTCTAGTGTCTTCCAGGACTTGTCCCACAGCTCCAACGCTGGAAAGTAGAGTGGTGCGTGGTAGACGTTGGAGTAGACCAGTCCGGTCCAGCTAATCAGGCGGTAGATTAGTTGCTGCAGGACTGTTGCAGTGCTGAAGTTAAGACCACCACGAAGTACGACCAGACGGCGCAGGCCAGAGATGTGGTACGTTGCGGCCTGGTAGGAGCCGAAGATGAGCTCGAGGTTGGCAAGGGCGGCGATGGAGGCAAGAGTTGCATCACTGAGGGAAGCGGCTGTGTTGGAGAGAGACTTGTTGATCAGAGTGATGGCTTTAAGCTTGTGGGTGAGGACTTCGGGGTTGTCCTCGAGGAATGTCACTGCTTCGGAAGGAGAGGCGAGGCGGTTGCGGAATGCCATGCTCCATGCGTACAGGGTGGCGGAGAAGAGCATTTCGTTGGTCATGGCGAAAGTGGACCACTCGGACTGGCTCCTGACTGGACACCATGGCCATTTCTTGTTGTGTGCGAAACGGGCCAGGAGCGCTGAGTCCCAGGGGGTAAGGGAAACAGGAAGGGTGTGAAGTGGGTCGATGCTGGATGCGCCGAAGAAAAGCAGGGGCGATGTGGACAGAGTCAGCAAGCGCTGTTTCTCTTCAGGGGATATATCGCTCAGCCTGAGTTGGCGAAGCCGGCGTCCAGCAGCCCCGTGATCTCGCGGGATCTGATTGGCGGCAGAGTCGAGCTGGAAAGCTCCATTTGCCGATCCGGGATGCCTTTCTTCTACATCGTGCTCTGCTTCCAGCTCCCTCCGCAACGAAACCTGGGTCGCAATTGCTGTCCCACCACCATCTCTTCCTCGAGTGCCGTGGACCAATCGTGATTCGTGAGTTCCTGCATCAGATGTAGGCAGCCGAACGTTCTCATTGAGTTGAAATGTGATTCTGCCGGCAGTATGATTATTCAGTGTCGGCTGCTTCTCGTTCTGTTTCCAATGCATACGAGCTAGGTCCGCTGGTGACTGCTGCTGCATGACATGCCGCCGGCGCTCTGCAGTATGCCCTGGCTTTTCTTTGCCCGTGCTTGTTACGAAGAGGAATCTGGACGGCATTGCGGCTCTCAATACAGCCACTTGCTGTTCTCTTGACAGTAGTCAACATAATGACGGGTCCTCACTGGGCTGATGTCTGCCCACAGCATCTTGAAAGCCCACCTGGTGCGGTCATTTGTCAGCATCGATATCTGCGCTTTTCTCAGTATCCGGGCACTACGCGGCTAGCGGCTGGTCTTTGTGCTGCTCCTGTCAGGCAAAGACGATTGCACGTAGATGAAGGATGTGGTGAAGTCCAGACACGAAGCCAAGCGACGTACCCTGACGTACGAGCACCCTGATCCGGTGATTTGTGGGCTACGAGAGCTGGTCTGATTGGTTGAGCACTATGCCTTCGGACGAATCTTGACTGGCTGAGAGCAAATGTCGTGCGACAATTCGGGTGACCTGGGTCATGGCTTATGCGAGGCGGGCTTCGTAGAAGCTACGATGTTTAGTCTTGATGAGTACCGTCTATATCGGCAACATACCACTGCACACGAAGATGGCAGCAAGGGTGGGTTTTGCGTGCTACTCAGAAGTCGCTAGCAGGTATTAACCCGTTGCAATGATTTGAAAGCCGGCTGCAGCGATGCAGCATGGACATACTGTAGCATTCAAACGCCTGGCTATAAAGTCCTCAGAACGGAGCGTCCTAATACAAGTCAGCATCAGTCGAGCCTTCCATCGGATTCTCACCTTTCAACTAGTTCTCCGCAGATCGTACAACCATCATGCATCATTCGTCAAGATCCATCGCAAGCCATACGAAGCCTTGCAGTCCAGGATCGCGTCGAAGCCCCTTGCCGGCAAGTCTGTGATCGTCACTGGCGGCTCGCGTGGAGTAGGCCTCTTCATCGTGGAGGGTTTCGTCGAGGCTGGCGCAACCAAGATCGGACTCACTGGTCGAGATGGGGCGCGCCTACAAGCAACTACGTCCAAGCTCACGAAAGCACACCCTGGTGTAACTTTCGCCCCCTATGCCGTGGACGTTGTCGACGAGAAAGGCATCAAAGCCATGTTCTCCGACTTCGGCGTCCCAGACATCCTCGTCAACAACGCAGGCGTCTTCCCCGACAATGGCCTCTTCCTCGATCAAGATCTAGAGAAGTGGTGGAACGGCATCGGCACAAACGTGCTCGGAACGGCCAACGTAACCCAGAAGTACCTTCAAGCAAAAGGCAACGCGCCCGGCATCGTGCTCAACTGCTCGAGCATGGCCTCTGTCATGCGCTTCCCTCTCAAAGGCTGGTCCGGCTACACGACCAGCAAGCTGGCGCAGGCACGGATCTTCGAATTCCTCCGCTTCGAGCACCCAGAGACACGCTTCAACACGATTCATCCGGGCGAGATCGAGACCAATGGCTTCGAAGTATCCGGCGCGCCGAAGCACGATGACATGACTGACGGGAAGCTCACGGGGTTGTTCTTCGCTTGGGCGGCGACCGAGGAGGCTGCATGGCTGAAGGATCGCTTTTTGTGGGCGGAGTGGGATATCAATGAGCTCGCTGGTCGGAAGGAGGAGATCTTGGAGAAGGATTTGTTGCTGACCACGATCGACGGATTCAATAAGGGGTTCTGATGCTAGAGTGATGTCTCATCCAAGATCAATCTGATGGATCCGCTACTTACAAGGGGCTCATACGTGTCTCAATTTGACTTGAGATCGCCGTCGGCTTTGGCTCGTGCTGGCACCTATCTCAAACTGTGTCCACGATCAGCACCACAGCATTCATGCTTCATGAACCGAGATCCTGAGCCTCGCTTTTGTGCCATCTCTTCATGTGGTCGAGCTAGAAGCTTTCGTAGAAGCAGACCCCCCATGAAGCTCAAGGAACTTCAGTCCGCGCTCGATGTCGGCCTGCTTTGCACGAGCCCTAGCGCGTGATTCTTGAATCCTACCAGGACTCCGAAGCCCATCGATCTCTCCATTGCTGTCTTCGGCTTTCAGCTCTTGGCGGATTTGGTCCTGTTCGACACGACTATCGTGTTCCCATGACTCACGTAGCTCTTCGGTGTAGTCGCGCACGAAGTCCGCACGTCTGAAGTCAGTCGGCCAGCCGTAATCGAGCAGCATCGTCCTAGTCCTGGTATATACATTGCCGCGGTAGTCTGAGAAGTTATTAGCACTGGTACCGATACTACAGCAGATCAGAGTCATTACCAAGGTCCTCTGTGAGTATTTCCATCTCTCCTCTTGGTGCTGGTATGTGTTCAAGCAATTTATATTTTTTGAGAAGCTCGCCAAAGTATTGCTCTGGTGTGTCGGCAGCAACGTCAGAGTGACCGTAATCGCAATCGTAGACGTCTAGCATTCCTGTCCTTGGTCAGTCTACCCATCAGTAGTGAAAAGCAGGATGACATACCGGTACCTGTGTCAAGTGCGACTATCATTCCCGGACGCTCAAGGAACGTAGAGACAGTGATGCGACCGGCAGGGATCTCTTCGTCGTCAGGTATCCCGTCTCCATGATGTCCATCATCAGGCCAACGAGCCGTTGTTGAGACGTGATCTTCATTGCTCCAGTTGACGGCGTACGTCGTTTCGTCGATGGGCAGATAGCCATCCCCCTTGGGCCATGGAATCTTCCTCAAAACGTCCAGAGTGCTATCTGAAAGGCCATGCGTGCGGCACATCGACTCATTCAGAGAGCCATCTTCGTGGGGCGGCCAGCTTATATCTTGCGCATCGGCGAAGCCCATCTCGACAAATAGCTGGTACAGTTCATTCAGGTACCGGACGGCAGCATCGTTCTGAGCCATGATTGATAATGATCAGGACAATCTCGAAGGGCACAAATGCGGTAAGTTGACATGTATGGGGTGACAAACGGTGTAATCGAGAACCGAACTCGATTAAGTAGAGTAGAGTCCAGTCTTGGCATTAGGCAATTCCAGGCGCCTGTCACCAGGTACCCAAGTACTTAAGTAGCAGTAGGTGAGATATCGCCCTCAACACGCCGTGTGTTAATGCATTAATCTGTCGGTAGCACTTCAATCTTACCGCGATAGTTCAACAATTGGCTGACCAACGCAACACACCCTTGGGCACCACGCAGTAGCCTACCGTGCTATAGCACCTTCCTCTACTTCCTCTGACCAGATTCCAGATCTGCGCCGAGGTGATCCATCGTCGCCGAGCCACATCGCAAGGATTTCGCCGTCTGCACCCGCATGGCGCTCCAGATCTCAAGGTCAAGCGGCCTACACGTGCTGCCTACAGGTAAGGAGCAGATTCCACCGGCGACAGGTGCATATCCTCATAGTTGGCTATCAGAAAGACCCAGTTAGCTCTGTCACCAGGCTTACTACGCGTCTGAGTGGAGATCGATAATAAGGCATGATTTCATGAGAAAGGACGAGGGCAAGCCAGGACCGCGACATGAAATATACGCGTGAATCTCGGGCTTGGCATTTCTGACCTCATAGGAGCAGGAGTTGGAGCAGCGAACATCCTTAGAAAGCCAGCAGTCGCTCGCATGACAATGGAAATGGTTATTAGAGCTTCTACCTCTGGCCGCGATGAGTTTCTGACATTTCTCAGCATGCGCAAGCCTTCGCGATGACCTTTCGGCTTGTGCCCAGCATCTTGGGCAAGCGGAGCGCCGAGCTGCCCGCCATCTGCTTTCGGCGTGTGCGTGTGCCTGTCGATCCCGCAGGCTGTCTTCATTCGCGCTACCGGTCTTACGCGACTGTCACCGACGACAAGAAGAGTGATACTGCGCACGATGGCAGCTCCGCCAGATCGACGTCGAGTTCGAGCGAGGCCTCCCAATCGACCTCTCCTCGAAGCTCTTCCCATAACAGCAGCAGCAGCGGCAGGTCGGCAGGCTCAAGAAGTACAGACATCAGTTCACGAAAGAGTTCCGACTGGGAGTACAACCCTGATCTCAGCATCTCCGAGTTCTCTGAGCTGCCCAGCCAGAACTTCGGCGTCAATCAGCACATGATCATCAACGAAGAGTTCAAGGAAGCCCTACGGCAAATCCTTTGGCAGTTTCGTGCGCCTATACGATATGCTTTCGCCTACGGATCCGGCGTCTTCTCCCAGACCGCCTCAGCCTCAAGCGGCGGCTCCTCTACCCTCCACCCGAGCCCTCCCGAAGCCATCACAAAAGTGCAAAAAGGCGGACAGAAAATGATCGACTTCATTTTCGGCGTCTCCTACAGCCAACACTGGCACTCCCTCAACCTCCAACAACACCGAGACCACTACTCCGGCCTCGGCTCGCTCGGCTCCTACGCCGTCTCACGAGTCCAAGACGCCTTCGGTGCCGGCGTCTACTTCAACCCCTACATCACCGTCAACGGCACCCTCATAAAATACGGCGTCGTCAACCTCGATACCCTCTGCAAAGACCTCTCCGAATGGAACACCCTCTACATCGCCGGCCGTCTCCAGAAACCAGTCAAGATCCTCCGAGACAACCCCTCCGTCCGTCTCGCCAATCAAGTCAACCTCATCTCCGCGGTGCGAACCGCCCTCCTGCTCCTCCCACCCACCTTCACCGAACACGACCTCTACTCCACGATCGCCGGCATCTCCTACATGGGCGACCCCCGCATGTCCGTAGGCGGCGACGACCCCCGCAAAGTAAACAACATCGTCTCCAACCAGATTACAAACTTTCGCCGTCTGTACGCGCCTCTGATCGACAACCTGCCCAACATCACCTTCAACGACCCCCGCTGCAGCAATCAAGACTGGATCCTCGACGACACCATAAACGCGAAGCTCGAGCAAAACATGCACCCCTCCACACGAGGACACATGGTCCGCCGTCTTCCTTCTGCCTTCCGCAGCAAGCTGTACTTTGAATACCAGTCCAAATTCCGCATCAATAGACGCGAGTTTCGCAAGATGATGGAGGAGACCAAAGACGACGACGCGGAGTCGATACGAAGGCGCGAGGGCGGGCCTTTTGAGCAGCGGATTGCGGCGGACGAGGAGGGTGGTGGTTTGAGAGAAGAGGTCAGGCAGGTAATTACCAAAACGATCCAGTGGCCGGCCACGACGCAGAGTCTGAAGGGGATCGTAACGAGCGGGTTCGGGCGGAGCTGGAGGTATATGCGAGAGAAGCGGGAGAAGGGGAGGGCGAAGGCAGTGGAGAAGCAGGAAAAGGAGAAGTCCTCCTAACAGATAAGAGGAGCATGAAAGTGGCGGCTTCGGAACCGCACACGGTACTTATTCTATACTCTGTATACACGATCAGCAGCGACAGAGAATCCAAAAAAGTCTGATCGACACAAAGAGCATCTCAGGTACTCCGCGACTGGAGCTCACTCTGGTCCCATCAGTCTTCTTCCGAAGCAATGGCGGAGAGTCGTTCCACGAGAGCAACATGCGCAGTAAGAGCGTGCGTGCACTAGCGACTGCCAACTTGTCAACCGGTCTCACTAGCCAGCGAGACATCTTGGTCACCCGGACTCGTGAAAGACCCGCCTCTCGCTCATGTCATCCGGCGTCAGTTGAGCCCCGACGGACGCTCCTTCCCTGAGAGTACTTGCGCTCACGTGCTTGCTCGCTTGCACGATGTCTCGATCCTTCGCAGCTTCCTGTAGCCTTAACACTGCTTTCAGAACAGGCAGTCGCGCTGAACGGGCTTGTTGGTCGGTCGGGAAGGAGCGACTTCGTCCAAATATGGTGCCAGTCAGCCGGTCTCGGCGGCTCCTTGTCATCCGGCGTAGCGTATGCCCAGCCGTCAACCGGTCGTTCTAGTGCCCTGTCATCCTTGTCATTCGGCGTCGACCGGCGGAGCCCGATCAAGCACCGAGTACATCAGGTGTGCTTGACGAGCCGCTCCCCTTCATGCTGTGCTATCACGCTGCTGCCGCTGACTGGATAAAATTTCAACATGCCTGAGAATGTCCTCCGTTGGATGGGGCCGTTGCTGTTAGGGTTGGTATCAAATTCACTAAGCAGCTACGAAATATATTCGCTGGCGAGAACCTCGGCCTTAGTTGGTTCCAAACGGTAGTACGAGACCCACGAAAAAACGCCGCGGCATGAGACAAGTGTGGCAGTATACAAATATACATTGTTGTATCATGGTCTCGGCTTTGAAGCACGCGATCCATAACGGCCGTCCACTTACTGCAGTGCCAACCTGTGGCCAGCCAGCAGGATTGTACAATATCACGCTTCGACCTTCTCTCTCTCTCTCCCGCCAGTCAGCTCCTTCTGCATATCCCTAGCCCGCGTTCTGCTCTTTGCCACACTGTCCCGACTCCACTTACTCCTCCCTCTTAGCCTCTCCCCAAACTTATATAGCAAGAACGGTACCGGAATGAGCGCCATCGCAAAAAACCCAAATATGCTCGTGCCCCAAGGCACCCCAACGTTATGATACAATGGTGTCACCGTCAACGGGAAACCCGCCGCGAAGCAACTCCTCAGAAATGTATTCGCCGCCACCGCACTTGCGCCGTATTTCGTGAAGGTATCCACGAGGTAGTTGATCGCGCTCTGAAAGATGGTTGAGAAACCAACACCCACGAGACCAATACCAAGTATGGGTGCGACAGCCGGTGCATTTTCGGGCGGGCCGCACCAGCCCACAATGAACAGCCCCCCCGCAAAAGCGACGGAGCCGCCCATCATCGGAAGGAGGCGCAGTTCTGGGTTGATTGTCCCAGGGGCGACGCGACGGTTATAATACATCTGATTGAGAGTGTTAATACCTCCAGCTATGCACGCGCCGACGAGCATGCCCAGAAACGGTAGGGAAGAGGTGACGGGCGTCCAGTGGCGCTTCTCTCCAAAGATGATTGGTATGGCGCCCAGATTCATGTACAAGATCCCGTAGCAGAAGCTCGCATACAAGCATATCGAGAACCCGATGGGCGTGGTAATGATTTGAATCGGCCGCACCAGGTACTTATGCGCAAGCTCCGTCAACGAAATGTCCCACTCCTCGAACTTTGCGTGCAGTGCCCAGTTGCCTGACGCGATGCGCAGCTTGCGCGCCTTGTATACTAGCAGTTTGGGCGGGTACGTCTCGTCGCAGAATATGACGTCCAGCAGAAGGACAGCCAGCGTGAGGATTGCAGAGAAATACTCGGTCCAACGCCAGCCGAGGGACGCATTGGAGACGAAGGCCGCCCCGATAAGGGGCCCGATCGCAGGACCTGTCACGACCGCTATGCTGTAGCTCGCTATGGCGATTCCGCGCTGTGACGGCGGAAACAGGTCGGCTAGCACGCCGCCTGTATTGGTGACGGGCGCGGAGTTGAAAAAGCCGGCGAAGAAGCGTGTGATCATCAACGTCTGCACGTCCTTAGCGACCGCAGTCCCAAAGGTCATGCAAGCAGCCACAAACACAGGAGGAAGGACGGCCATCTTGCGTCCGTAGACTTCGGAGAGTGGCCCCCAAAGTAACGGGCCGATGCCGAAGCCAACAAGGAAGAGCGAAGTTGCGAGCGTGGCGGTCTGTGAGCCGATGTGGAACTCCTGTGAGATTTGGTTCGTGCCAGCGCTGATGGTGGCGGACGCGTAGGCTGCGGTCATGGTAGTGAGGGCATAGAGCAAAGTGGTCGTGCCCTTTTTGTGGAGTGGCCAGTTCACTGGGTGGTAAGGGTCGGCGCTAATGGACATCTGTCAGACCATGCGTACTTTCGCCGTCATCTAGGCTTGTTTCGTATACATCGCCGGAAGGAAGTAACTCACGGCCCGTCAAAATCCACCAACTCCTCAATCGTTGTCTTCTCATGCTCGAGCGGATGCGTGAAATTGCCCACAGGAGGTCTGCTTCTTATTCTTGAGAGCACAGTTTGCGTCCTTCGTCTCCGGTTCGATCTTGACACTGATCGTGACAGCGAGGTGCTAAGGCCAGCATCGTGACTGGACGACGCCCTCGTCGGCGTGGAATTCTCGTCGCTGTCGTCGCTGATCAAGTCGCCTCTATACGGATCAGTAGTCGTTCGTTGCAAAGCAAACGACTCGTTGGGTTGAGTCAATTGCGCAAGTCGTTCTGTGTCGTCACTTTGACCGGTAGTGGCCATTTCCGTTCGATACTATAGAAGGTACGTAGGGTTGCGGAATATCGATCTTCTTATTAGACGACCTTGTCCAGGTTTTTGGGGTGAGTGAGGTGAGCAGCATTACGTACGCTACGTGCGCTATCCGATGACAGGATGAAGGTCTTCGAGGTTCGCTGCCACATGTGAAGTGCACAGGCAAAACATCGACTTGCTTGCGTCAAGACTGGGGCGGCGTTCCGGAAAAGGCGCATATGATTTCAAACGTCACAGGTACCCTCGGGCGCTGATAGGGCGTCGGCAGACGACCAAGCTCCACTGCCCGCGAATTTCCCTCGAAAAGGCAACCTTAGTGGAAGTCCTTGGCCTGATGGAGTTTCCATCTTCGACAGTGAGTAAGCGACGAAAGTTTTTCTTGGTCTCATCGAAGATACGGCACACGCTTGCCGTCTCGATGAGAGGCCGTGGCTCGCACCAACCACCGGCCGCAAACGCGATTGACATGGTTCGGGCCGGAAGCTGCTGACATAAGCGAAGGCTGTATAGCTTTGCCTACCGCAAGCACATCAAGCCACCATCAATGCTGGCGAACAGACAATCGCGTCGGACGTCGCTCGTCGATCGAATGCCAGTCCGTGTATACTTAGCATACTCATATGGACCGAAAGGATAGAAATGAACAGAATGGTAGGTCATTCGAGGGAGTCCGATGCGGTAGGTCTCGATGTGGTTGCCAGCGGAGGAGTGGTAGCCATCAAAGAGTCAACAACGTCGAAAATTAGTGTCGATGCTGGTGGATCATACACGCGTCACTCTCAAGCCGAGTTGAAGGCTGCAATCAGTCTATCACAACCAACCAGGCCCTCGCCCGCCAGGCACAACAGTGGGTAATGTTTGTGTAGACGACGATAGGATATTCGTCGTCGACGGTCTGTGGAACTGTGGTCGCTCAAGGCCCTGGCGTGCTCGCGTCATAAGTGGGATCCACCAGCGAGAACTTCCAATTTGTGATCTCATCTTGGCCGTCTTGCTTCAAGCGGACATGTACTTGTCCTGTGCGTGCGTAGAAGTCTAAGCCATGTATCTGCAATCTCGGCAATCTTGGCCGCGATGAGCCGCCATTTGTTTCTCCTGCAGAGTTGCCAAAGAAGAAGTCGCTCCAGTTCTCGCCTTCTGGAGGTCGAGGGGCATAAGCTGCCTGTTGGACCACGGCTATGCCATCTCTCTTCGCCCTGTCTACGATATCGGCGACGTTGTCGTGGATGTCGAAGACCTTCAGGAAGATTGTACGTGATCCTGACATCGAAAAGTCGCCGCGGTAGATGTTCAGCAACTCCCGGAAGATTGTGAAGCAAGCATCGTAGTCGCTCGCTCCACTGAGGTAGTGCGCCGCCAGTAGACATGCTGAGGCGAGTCTCGAAATTTTGAGCAGATTCAGTGACCGCGTCGACAATGGATGTAAGCCTGAGTTCCGAGAGAACATGTCCACCGCACTAAGCCACTGATGCTGCAAGACATCGACCGAGGGGATGAAAGCAACATCCTTCTTCCGTCTGAACGACCAATCGCAGATGATTTGCAGACATGCCTTTGCCTGAAGCAAAGAATCGAAGCTGCAGGGTACTAATGGTATCTCATCTGAGCTGTCGCTTTCGGAGCGGTCCTTGACAACCGACATCGGACCCAGGACCAACGTCAGTCGATTCATGTATCGTTTCATCATGTCCGTTGCCATCATCAGAACTTGCATTTCGCTGTTTGTGAACTTCAGTTGGCTTTGTTCGTGTGCATACCTGAGAGCATGTTGTAGGGTGTTATATGCCAGGTCTGCATTATTGAAGATCTCGATGGTAGCGATGACGACAAAAGCTATTAGATGGAGCGGAAGTCGTAGCTTCGAGTCTACCTCGTAGCTCGCCTTGTAAATTGCTCCGACAGCCTGAGCATAGTGCTCGTGAGATGTCACTCTTGCAACCATACGGTTCGTGGGCTCGATGGATGTCAAGCTCTCGTAGTAAGCTCCAAGGCTGGTCAAGGCGTGAAAGACAGCTTCGTGAGAGTTGCTCATCTGCAGAGACGCCCTCCAGAATTTCTGGTCATGAAATCCTGTGCTTTCGGCAATTATCATCTGCTGGAAATAATCGTACGAGCGAGCGTATCGGTTCGTGTCAAGCTCCCTGATGATTGTTGGTGGAGCTATTCCATTTGGCGAGTCCGGCGTAATTGTGTCTGGCGTCTGTGCTTCAGGGACATCTTCGGACGGGTCTGAGTTCTCGACGACTCGTCTACGCACCACAGCTTTTTGGCTACGCTTGTCATGCCTGACATTCTTCCGTGTTCGATTTCTGACACCGTTTGGCTTTGATGGCGTATAAGTCTGGTCGAAAGCTGCCTCTTCCTTGAGTGCAGGCTTGACCATATGACGGCGCACATGTCCATAAATGGTCTGCTTCTCCGGGCCTTCGCTACTTGTCAAGGACTTCGAATTGGCATCCTTGTTGACGAAGACGAACTGTGGGTTGAGAATGTTCTTTGTGGGGCCTTTCCCCATGGTCGGCGGAGATCACAGTCAAGGCCTACATACATTTGTAGTGCAAGATCTTGTTCGCTTATGTCGACTTTGCTGACGCTGCTGATATGGACGGTAATGTATGAGGTAGTTTGTCAAGTTGCTCTTCCTGCGGAGTCGAGATCCCATTTCCATTCGATGTTACAATGACTTGAGAGAAGGAACGATCCTCGTGATTCTAGACCTGCTTTTGTGTTTTCCTAGGCAGGTACGTGTATTGCTTGGCGACATGCGCGCCTGACCTTCAGGTTCGGCAACCATGCAGGCCCCTGCAACCCCGAAGTTTCGACAGATAGAACGACCCACAGACGAACGACGCGTTTCATCATCCGAATGCGCGTCTTCAGACGTCCATAATGCGACGGCCGCTTCGTTTTAGGAAAGTGCAAGTCGGCGAAAGGTGGCTGTTGTGTCCGGCCCGGCTTGCGCTCACCGACCCTTACGTTTCAGCTCTGCCCACATATATTGGCTGGTATTAGAGGAGAGACAGGACAGGAGAGACGACCGTTCATCATGTTTGTTCATTGGGTTCTCTTCTACATCACGCCGCAGAAGGATTGACTGGCTTCCAAGTAGTCCTTCCATGTAACGACGTGAGTCGCTCTGCTACGTCGAGAGTCTGGCTATGTACATTAATCTATTTGCCCATATTTCAAAACGTGTGGTCATTCATCTTCGCACCAGGCTCCTGGGCTGACTCTCATCTTCAGCGAGGCGCTGAGTTGTCATTCGCTTCGAGGCAGCCCCGAGAGCAAGCAGGTCTGCGATTGACAGCAATGCCTGCTGACTCAGTGCATGTGACGCTCTCAATTGTTGGTGATGCCTTCTGTTCGATCGCCATCGTGGTGGGTTCTTGTTGGTATGAGCATGTCCTCGGTGCCCTGCTGTATTGTGTGGTATTCGTGATCGCCATAATTTCGGCGCGTTCGCCTTGTCTGCAGCAAGTCTCCGGGGGGGAGAATATCCTTTTTGTACACAGTTCCCACATTTTCATTGCCCGTGCGTATCGTATTGTCGGAAGAGCGCACGCTTGCTAAGCACCGCGCATAATCCAGTCCTCCTGCTCGCCGACCACAGTCCTAGAGTCGAAGACGTGGTCGTCCTGCACAGTCTTGATTGGCCGTGCCGTCTTCTTACCAGCATCATGACCAGCAGTAGCTGAAACACTGATATCGAAGCCAACCAGCTTACCTAATGTCACTAGTTGTCCACATGCCGTGATATCGATCTTGACCTGCGCAGGGCCTCTCCGCTCATTGAGCCAGAACCATTGACTGAAAACCTCACGTACGCTCTCCAGCTTCTTGATGTACTGCTGCAGAACGGCAATCGAGGGGTCGTATGCATTACTGGCAGCGATAGAGGTGGCTCTTGTATTGTGCTCCTTGATCTTACGTTCTGTGTCGTCTGCGGGGCCGGGGACATTGGGCGACATTGCAGCGGGAGCACTGAATACGCTCGAGTGGGCTTCGCTTGAACTAGGAAGGGTAGCCGTGCTTGGTGACGGAGCGGGTAGTCGAGCATAGACGTGCAGGAAGTAGTCGCGGACCCAGTTCAGAGTCTGAGTGGTGTGCAGCTGGAAAAGCGCTTCGGTCTCGTCAGCCGAGAGGGGCAGTGGGAGTGGTGGAGCATTGCCGCCGCTGGATGATGGCTCAGGCAAGTCGCCCTCGGCGAATGTCGTGTCTGAAAGGGGTGTATCGGGTAGTTGAGCTACAGTAGTCGCACCGCTGAAGATGCTGTCGGTTGGAGAAGGAGTGAAAACTGTGCCAGGAGGTGAGAAGCCGTTGAGATTTGTGGGAAGCACGGAGGGGTCGTTCACGAAATCCGGTCCGAGGAGGGCTTCGGAATCTGCGGTGTTTGCATCAGATTCGAAGGTGAATGCGGCTGGAGTGAAGCATGTGCGCTTGGTGTCGAGATGGGTACATGAGTCGAACAGTGTACTACCGGACCACCGAAAGCTGCTGGATGCAGAGGGAATATCGAAAGTTCCATCAGTACCACCAAGAAGCTCGAAATGTGTGCTACTGTCATACTTGGGTAGCGCGAAGTCGATGATGTTGCTCTTGATGACAAAGTCATCAGGCTGCTCCTGGAAGATATCGGATTTTACAAACGATTCGTAGCTGACATTGTTGGGAAGAGCATCCATCAAGTCACCAGGAAAGTAATGATTGCCCTTGAACTTGAGTGTGATCTTCGGCTTTCGCTTAGCTGCTTCCTGCAAAGTCGGCTTCTTGCCCATGTCGTTGAGCACCTCAACATTGGAAGGGAAGGGCGACGGTGTCATGTACATGTCGGTGAGATGCGACAGATACAACTCAAGCAGACGCGTCATGCCATGACGAATAGCGGCGTCCATCTTGGGTAGGAGATCGTGGATGTTCTGGTTTTGCATGCAGAGATAGCCATGATAGGCAAAGAAGACGGCCTCCGACCAAAACTCGTGACCGTCGCGGCGCCAGGCGCGCAATTCGGACGCAATGTACTCGAGCTTCTGCGCTGCGCCGATCTGACTGTACTGCGTGTCGTACACTATTTGAGTGAGGTTGCTGGGCGTTCGTAGCAATAACCAACCGTTGTAGCTGAAGCCGTCGACGTTGATCTTGCAGAAGTTGGTGGTCGGAATGCGCCCGTTTGGTTTGGTTGTCCACGGTCTGTTTGTCCACTGATTGTCGTGTACAGTTTCGACGAAGGCGAAAGCGGCACATTGCCTCCAGCCCAGAGAGAAGCCATAGTCTGGTGCAGTGATGGGTGGAATAATAGTGTTATTCATATTGTTGCCTACAAAGCCCTGAACGCGTTTATTATTGGCTGGATGGGTGCTGCCTTAAGTGTTTGAAGTGCTGTGAGGCAGTGATGTCAATGTCTCTGAACAAGCTAAGTGAAGTCAGTTAGTGGTGGCTCGAAGTGAATTCTCGGGTCGCTTCGGGAGGTCTTCATGCTGTGGTCGGTTGTCGTCTACGCGCATCAAGTCGTTGCTATGGTGCTTGTCAATTGCCTTGTCAGTTGCCATGGTCCACGTTCCATGTTATGTCGACATACATACCGCATCACTGAGTGCCTGAGGGCTTGGTCAGATCAATCTGTGCGACTGTGCTTGGTGAAGCTGATCGCCTGTCATGACGCTCACTCGCTTCCTATGACCAGGTCAGCAGCAAAACTACAGGCGCAGTCGGTCCAGAAGATCCAGCAACAGCGGCAGATCGGATGCAATCTGTACATTTTACTACCAGCTAGTAGTAGAGTGTCGATAGTCTACAGTTCAAGTCGAGGAGTATCCGCTACCGCCCGTAACCCAGTCACCCTTCCATTCCGGAACGTTTCTATCTGCATTACTGATTGGCGTATGGCGAATCTGTATCTCCCGGATATAGGTCCTCCTTCAAGTTGATGCCGAGTTCCTCCCGTAATGGCTTAAGTTCATCCAGATACTCCTGGTATTGGTGTGTATTCTCGACCTTCGCTTTGATGCCTTGACAGAACTGGTTAGCTACAGTCGAGATCCATTCGCCAGAGACCTTACCTTCAAATATCCTTACTGCTGTGGGGAAGTCGTTTACACGACGGGCAGCCTTTAGTGCAGCTGTAACAACACCGGGCGATGGGACCAGATCGTATGCAAACGCATTGTTCAGGTTTCGCTGCCAAAGTCAGCCTTGAATCGCAGTGTTCCGTCAGCTCGGTTTCCTACCTGAAGCTCAAAGACATCATTCACTCCATCGAACTCCTTCTCGTATCTGTTTCTGCATCAGCTCCCATCCCTTTGACTCTGTCTGACAACCGAAGCAGGACTTTCTGGGCAGTTGTCGTACCTGGCAGAGAACTCTTCGAATGTCTCCTCCTCGTGACCGCTGCCGCTTCTCCTTACTGCGCAAGAACTGAATGCTGATTTCTGAGCAATTGTCTTTGTGGTAGCTAGGGAGGAAGCTCTCGAGACCGGCCGAGCTGCGGATCGGAGGGCGGATGCGGATGACTGTCTAGCTGCCAGGCGGATGACAGCGTGGAACGCCATAGTTCGGCGTGTACTTTGCAGCTTCACAGGATGTGGCGCGTGAGTATCTACAGGTGTTCTGGTGGTGTGAGAGACTAAAGTTGTGCTTTCAGGTCCGCATGATTGGCTACAGCTTCAGACAATGCGACGCCAAGAGGAGCTCTTGAGGGTTAGGGCTAGACGAGGCTGATCTGCACGACTGGTAAGGCTGCAGCTGTCAAGCAGGATGTTAGGTATGATGTCAATGTACGGAAGAGTGCAGATCGGCTGTTCCAGGAGCTGAATCATCACAGACTACCCTCAAGAGACGACATGCTTGTGTAGTCCTCTGCAGCCGGGCTTTCACATCTACATCACCACCTATCCTACTGCCACAACTTCAGCGCCGTATCGAATACGATCGGCAGCGTATTCCTCACGAGGCAATCTGCGGCTTCGCGGCACAAGCCAATAGGGTTCTCCGGCACTTCAAGCTTGGCAGGTCCCGGCGGTGCCCCTAAATTGTGCTGGGAATTTGACTGCGTGGACTTGTGATATGAACTTCGACATCGCATTCCTTTCTGTCGAGTCCCATCACTTCCAATTTCTCGTGCCACCCACCTTCCTTACGCCAGACCAGCGACCTTCTTCTTCACTTCGACTTCATCAGCATTTGCTGTGATTTGTTTCCTTCTATCGTCCTTGCAGGTTCTTTGGCGCGTTAAACATTCAAACGCGACCGCGAAAAGCAGCCCAAGATGGACAGTCTCAAGGTCGGCGTACCCACGCTCGACCGGCCCTTTGGCATCGAGCTATGGCCTATCTTCTCAACATGCTACAAGACGCTATTTGGCTACGTGCCCGAGAATTTCCGCTTCACGCCTGGCTACACCGTCCTGTCAACACTGACGGAGACGTTGGTCGCGCTCGTAGCATACTACATCATAGTGTTCGGAGGACGCGAATTGATGAAGAACCGTCCGGCATTTGTCTTGAACGGCCCTTTCATGGTGCACAACCTGTACCTCACGATTATCTCTGGCGGTCTGCTGGCGCTCTTTATTGAGCAACTGGTACCTGAAATCACGCGCAATGGCATCTTCCACGCCATCTGCTCCCATGACGGAGGCTGGACCGACAAGATGGTCATTCTGTACTATGTAAGCCCATCTTTGCCTTACCAGCGGTATACGAGCTAACACACGACCGCAGATGAACTACCTCACCAAATACCTCGAGCTCATCGACACTGTCTTCCTCGTCCTCAAGAAGAAGCCCCTCACCTTCCTCCACACCTACCACCACGGCGCAACCGCACTCCTCTGCTACTCCCAGCTTGTCGGCCACACCTCCGTCTCATGGCTCGTCATCACCCTCAACCTCACCGTCCACGTCGTCATGTACTGGTACTACTTCCAAGCCGCACGAGGTGTCAAGATCTGGTGGAAGAAATACATCACCATGCTGCAAATCATCCAGTTCGTCATCGATCTCGGCTTCGTCTACTTCGCCTCATACACATACTTCACGCACACCTACTTTCCCTGGATGCCCAATGCCGGACAATGCGCCGGAGAAGAATTCGCTGCCTTTGCCGGCATGGGTATCCTCTCATCCTACCTCCTGCTCTTCATCTCCTTCTACTTCGCCACATATCAGAAGCAAGGCAAGACCGGTCGTCCTAGGAGAAACACCGGTCGCGAAGCTCTCATCGCCATGAAGGACTTCCCCGCTGACGCGCAAGAAGTCGGTACCCTCGCGAAGGACAGTGCCAACGGTGCAGTGACTACTGGTCGAAGCAACGGTCCCGTCACCCGATCTCGCAAGGCTTAGGAACCCAGCTATGATCAGGTCGACGATTTCGCCATCTCCCGCTTTCCGGCATGGCGCTTGCGCAAGTTGCCAACCGACGAGATGTGGTTCGAACCGCTTGCGAGCCCCAGAGCTTGGTGGGAAGGACACCCGGAGAAGAAGGCGACTTGGAGGAAGCTCTGATACGGGCCGGAGCAGGTCGCAATCGTGCCCAGATCAGTCTTAGTACACAAGACCCCGGGTCTGAGATGGCCATATTGTACAAAAAGAGCAGAAAACAGCAAAGGGGGCGGAACGGATGTTTATGACAAGCATGCATGAATATGGTGGAAGGCGCAAGAATCCCGCACACCCACGGAGGAGACTATATGGTAATTCCAGCAAGATTTGCTATTCGTCCATGAACATTGTGTAGTTTGTAGATAATCAATACATTTTGATCACTGTTCTCTGAGCTCAAGATCTACCTAAGGAGCAGACTCCAGTCCATACATAAAGTCGATTAAACATCAATGCCCATTACGCTCTTTTGAGGGAAATGCATAGCGACGGACGCAGACCGAAGAGCCCACTTGAGAGACAATTGCCGATGGGTAGAGCACTGACCCCAACGCAGACCGGATGACAAGGTTTCCTCAGAACCGGGTGACAAGACACTTCTACCCAGCCCGGATGACAGGGCTTCATATATGAGACCGGATGACCATGCCTCAAACGAACGCGCCTTCACTGTTACCATCTCGACCCCGTGGCTTCCTGCGCGACGGACGCAGAAGGGAGCTCCCATGTGCAGAACAATCGGCTCTTCCCTTGCTTACCCGAGGATTGCACGCAAATTGTTGTCGCTCACGGTGTCTTTGGATGGCATCTCTGGTTCCGAAGCCTTTCCGGAGCATTTATATTCTCACAACACATCTATTTGCACTGATGGCTCTCTCACCTATCATGATCCGTTGATTCATGACGGTCTTATTCTACTACTTTCCGCAGAAACCGGCGCTCTAACCCTTTCCCGCCAGTCCGAACTTGTAGCACTCACAAAGCCGTACACCGGAGCCCTCTCAGTCTGTGGCTGCGACTTGCCGTCCCTTCGATCAAATCTCAACCTCTCAGCATCATCAACCAGCTGTCCCCATACAATGGGGCCCTTCACCATCTCCTGCCTAGCTTCTGGGCCCAAGCTAATGGGGTCCAGTCCACCAAACCCCCCGGTTTCCCAATTTACGCGACAATTCGCCGCGATGGCAGCCGAGCAGCTTCCCACAATGGGCATTCCCTTGTCCATCGGCAGATAGCCCGCGACAGCTAGGATCAGAATCATCGTGCCGCCCACCATGAGCACAAAGATCATTCCGATTGGTGAATAGCCGCAAGTGGCGATGGCAAAGGCATCGATCAGCGATCCGTCAATATCGTACTCGCTCACTGCTGCCAGGAATATACTCTGAGAGATCAGCCAATGCAGCAGGGCACTGAGTCCGATCATCGGCACAGCGAAACGGAAAGGGAGCTGCAAGAAGTATGTGCGCTGCTGATCTCCAACAGGGGCGCTCGTTCGCAGCGTTCGTGGCTGATACTTATCTGCCCGTGAGTACGAGAATCGAGTCCATTCGCGTGAGCTTGCCATCAAGGTGATCAGCGTATTTATCGCGAAGTAGAGAAAGCTCAAGGCGAGTTGAGGAGTGTTGGCGATGAGAACGGATGCCACAACCTGATTTTGCACTGAGTTCAGATATTCGATTGACCAGCCACTGATAAGATGGTCGCTGTTGATCTTTCCCAAACCGACTTTATAGAGTGCCAAGAAAGATTTTGACAACGGTGCGCGACTTGCGTCCTGCGAGTACGCCAGAGAATAGTCTAGCGCGTAGACCAGTAGCGTTATGATTGCCACAAGGCACAAAATGAAATAGATCATCGTCCCGAACCATCGTCTACCGGAAGCCGCCGAGACGAAGCGAATCGTCTTGGACGTAGGCTTCCAAAGCGGTGGATGTGTGGAAAGCCCGCAATCTATTTGAGACTCTGAGGGCGTGCTTTGCGCGCCTGGAGGTGCCAACAAGTATGCTGTAGCTGAGGACTGAGGAGGGTTCCCCAAGGCCGCAGTCGTAAGCGCTTTCTGCCGCTTTCGAAACAAGTGGATCGAGGTTGGGCAGAGTCTGGACATCACCTCGTCAGGCTCAGCGATGTAGGAAGCCATTGCATCACCAAGTGTCATCAAAGGCGAATACACGACGCCTTTGCCGAAAACAAGATATGCCATCACGACAGCTTTGACGATGTTGCAGCTGACCACAACCCATATGATAGCAATGTTCGCGTAGAAGCCACATTGTTCTTCGACCAGCTGACTCAGGCACCCGGATGCAGTAGTGTTCGCAGGCTCCCAGGCGTCGCCGGAAAGAGTGCCGGCGTTGATGACATTTGGACAGTATCGGCTGCCGTATTGGATGTGCTTGTACCAGTTTACGCCACCGTTGATGTCGCCACTAGTGTAGGAATAATTGCGACATGCCCATTCATTTTGGGAACCGTCACCGCCGAGACCTTCCGACACCAAGTTAGCAGGCTCGGCTGCCAACACAATCCACGGGCTACCATTGTCGTCGACCCGGTACTTGGGCTCGCGGCCGTCTTCTGTCACTATGATCAGACTGCGTCTATCGGTTATGTAGTCGGTGTTGTATCTGGTCAGGCACTCCGTATTGGTGAGGTTCTCGAACTTATCAGGGTTGGACGTGTAGGCTGAATACACGAGCCTGATAGAGGCATCTTGCGTGATCTCTTCAAACCTTCGCTCGCTTTCAGGGATCTCAACTGCTCGCGTGATGTTCATATCGGGTTTGAGGAACTCCGGTGTCGCCATCACCACGGTGTAGTCATTTGCGCCAATAGATGCGAAGAAAGCGGAATTGAAGCTATGCCTTTGTCAGTATTTGCTCCTCTGGATAGGCAGCGGCTCACAGCAAGTGCAACGGAAGAGATGACAGCGCCAGAAGTAGCCATAATATAGTGCGGCGCCAATCAATGAATTTGAGATTCCGAATCGAAGGCAGACCGATATCGAGCCACACGGGTGGTGACTGCCTGTGTGCGCGATCGACTTCTTCGCGGGTAGGAGCAACTAGACATTGCATGCAGTAATTCGATCCTGCCAGTAGACCGGTGCTCAGCACGTTGATGGCAAGATGCGACCACGTGTTCATGGTCGTCGCTTCCTCGCATGAGCCATGGAAGACCTCGACCAAAATCCCAGCATTGAAGATGCTGCCATTTCCACGTAGCGTTGCGGCCCATACGCCGATCGAGAAGTTGATCAGCAGAGTGAGCAACGCCGTGGTCGCTGCGATTCCAGCCCCGAAGCGCCATCCGTCGGCGTGAAGTGACTTCGCGATGTTGTCTTCGTTCCGCTTGGGGGACAGTCTCTCCGTCGTGGCGCCGATTTCTGATGTATCATATAGGCTGGTCGTCGAGACCGGTCCTGACTTATGTATAAGCTCGATGTCCGAGGAGTCCTCCTGGGCTAGGGCCATCATTCCCGCAGTCGGTCGCGCTCGCAAGGAGCGCGATATTCCGAAGTCCTTCATTTTGTGCGATCGTCATCTTACCAGCTAATCGACACCTACCTCGAAGAGCAGATGCTGTCGTTGAGGACAGCGAAGATTTCGAAGCTGCAACTTTGGCGGCTCCAAACCATGCTGTTGTACATACGGCCCCCATGAGATTGCAATCCACCTGAAACAGGGATGGGGCATCATAACAGTTTAGACTATGCTTAGCGAGCATAGATCGATCAAAAACCCACCAACTGGATGAATCGCTGCCAGCGTAAGGCGGCACGCGGTAAAGTCTACCGCGCGCCGGCCGTATGTTCGCCTTGACATCTCGAGTCGTTCTTGTGTGACGAAGGAGTGAAAGCATTTGCGGAATTACGTGCTAATCGCCTGCCGAGCCCTGGATGCCAATTCTCGGCATTCCAAGCGCGATTCAACGCCAATCGTGCCAATGCTAAGCCGCCCAATGATCGATGGCCGCTTTTGAATACGTCGGGCAAAATCCACCACGTCCACTCAGCAGACGAGCGCACCGCCTCTGTAAATCCCAGATGGCAACTCAGCCTCCACTTCTATACATCTGTGCTGCCTTGCGGCGCTATGGGTGCTTTGGGCTTGTCTGGGAGGCGATGCTCGTTTTCCGGATGCAGAGACTCTAGAATGGGTGCAATGACTATATAATGGATGGGATGGGCACTGCGGCCTTGGAGCCCCTCTGTCCTTTATCTACACACGCGATAACTTCAAGATACATCATGACCCAAACAATGCAGTCCCAAGCGTCAACAGCGACCGAAGGATTCGAACTCCCGCGGTGGCGCGGCCGTGGAAAACAGTCCAATGCCACCCACAACATCATCCGCCAGCCCTCGGTCGAGACCCAAGAGAGCCCGATACCTCAATTCTCACCAGCTCCGAAATCAGATCGTACCACAACCATGACAACAGGCATCGCCCCGTCACGCACCCGCCACGCCGTCTTCTTCACACGGTCCATCCTCTTTTCCGACCTCACTATCACCTCCACTACCGACCCCTCAATTCGCTACCACGCCTCCACCCACGAATGGAACTTCACCCTCCCAGACATCATCCTCTACGCCTCCACAACATCCTCCCAGAAAGCCACCCTCCTCGCCGCTGCCCACTTCCGCTTCTCCCGGCACGCGCGCATGGGCTTTCTCGCCTCTCCTGCAGCCTCCAACGACATGGGGTTGAGCGCACTAAACGGCAAAGATGCCCACGACGGTCTCGTCTCCTGGGAGGAATGTCGCAACGTGAGCGGCTTCTGCGGTTACTGGATGTATGACTTCACCGTTCCTTGCCCGCCTACAGCACTGCATCCGACTGGTAGGCGGAAACTCAGACTGAGCCGCACGCGCAAGGAGGTCGATGGGGTAAGGGGATGGCTGGGGTGGGCGAGTTTCCGGAATTATCGCATTCTAGATCGGGAGAGAATCGAGGAGAGCGGTGCTGAGAATTGTGAGAGTGACGTAGGTGTGTTCCTGAGTGATGACCTGAGGAGCTTGACCAAGGTTGGGGAGTTGAGATTGTACGAGGATCTGGGAGAAGAGGTGATTAGGGGAATTGTGATGGCGTTAGCGATTGTGCTCGAGAAGGCAACAAGACGTGCCAGAAGGAGAGGAGGCGGCGGTGGTGGTGACGGAAGTGGATGATCGGGAGAAGCTGATAAAGCTTCAAGTTGTTGTAGCACTGCCGCGACGATAGAAAGGACTGCTGCTCAGCTTAATCGAAGCTTCATTACATGTCGGAAATTACTGATCTACCCAACGCCGTGGGTCGGCTCATCCAACCCAACGTCTGGCGCTCTGGAACAACCGGATCCAGGGATTGTAGTCTCCCCAATCTTTGCTCTCCTCATCGGGCACCCAGCTGGACACTCCTCGCAGGATGACACGCTCCGGATGAGGCATCATGGCCAGAACACGGCCATCAAGCTGCGCACAGCGGCTATGCCCTCTGGACTACCGTTGGGATTGAACGGATAGACAGTGGTTGGCTGCAGACTCTTGTTGTCCACATATCGGATAGGAGCAAGGTGTTCTGCGCCCAATGCAGCAGCTTGGGTTGCATCATATTGTTTCTTCTCAGTAGGCAGCGAAGGCGACTTCGTGAAGCTAGCTCGTCCTTCTCCATGTGCGACTGGGATCGGGAACGAGGAGCCGCTCATACCGTGAAAGAAAACACTGGGTCTCATGTTGGCAGATGTAGGCGGATCAGTGATCTTGACCATGGCGAACCGCGCCTCGTACTGCTCCGACTCGTTTCTCTCGAAGCTTGGCCATTTCTCTGCTCCAGGAATCAACTCCTTGAGCTTGCTGAGCACCTGGCAACCGTTGCAGACACCAAGTGTGAACGTGTCAGGACGCTTGAAGAAGGCCTCGAACTTTGCTCGAGTGGTGGGATGGAAGAGGATGGACTTGGCCCAGCCCTGGCCGGCGCCTAAGCAGTCACCGAAGCTGAAGCCGCCGCAGAGGGCGAGACCGGAGAAGCTCGAAAGGTCAACTTGAGGGCCGAGATGGGCGCGGTTGGACTGTGGAGTAAGCAGATCGGACATGTGAACGTCAATGGCGGTGAAGCCGGCGGCGTCGAATGCGAAGGCCATTTCGGCGTGACCATTAGTGCCTTGATCTCTGAGAATGGCGACACGAGGTCGAGCAGATGGTCGGATCAGGGACAACGCGGAGGCTTTGTAAGTACTGATGTTCTCTTTGGGACTGAAGCCAAGGTTATACGACAAGCCCGGGTCGTCATCGTTCTGGATGCCTTCGTATTCCGAATCGGCGCAAGATGGATTGTCTCGTATGCGTTGCATCCAGTAAGATGTATTTGACCAGAGTTGCTGTAGCTCAGTGCGGCTTGCTCTGTACACTAGCCTGCCGCCGTGGTATATTGCCATGTTCTGGGACGAGTCTTTGGTCGAAACGCGCCCAATCTTATGTATGAGCCCTGGCGGCGGGCCGCAGGTGGCGAAGCATGCCTTAAACTTCTGCTCATCAGCTTTGCGGACTTGGAAGACAGCTCCGAGCTCTTCGTTGAACAGCGTTGGGATGACGTCCTCCAGATTCGGTGAAGGACAGATTTCGTTGATCATGAGTTCCAATCCGCACCGACCGGCAAACGCCATCTCTGCTAGCGTAGTGAAGAGCCCTCCGTCTGAACGATCATGATACGCAAGAACGAGATCTTGCTCGTGCATCTTCTGTGTCGCATCAAAAAAGTCCTTGAAAAGGTCAACCGAGCGAATGTCGGGTGCTTCATCTCCAATCTGCTTGAATGCTTGGGCCAGTATCGAGCCACCCATCGCACGATGTCCGAGGCCTAGATCAACGAAGAACAACGTGGTCTCACCCACTTCTGAGTACCTGCGAAGCTGTGGAGTCCAAGTCTTTCGCACGTCAAGCACAGGAGCGAAAGCCGAGATGATGACGGACAGTGGAGCAGTCACTTCTCTAGCCTCTTGGGTTTGCTGGTCTTTCCATCTCATCTTCATCGACATGGAATCTTTCCCGACAGGTATGGCGATTCCAAGCTCAGGACATAGTTCCATGCCAATAGCTTCTACCGCCTCGTATATGGCGGCTCCTTCACCGGGAGTACTAGATGCTGACATCCAGTTTGCGGAGAGCTTGACTTGGCGAAGTCGATCTGGCAGATCCGCAGCCGTCAAATTCATCAGCGACTCTGCCACGGCCATTCGAGCGGAAGCGCCAGCAGATATCAGAGCGAGAGTCGGTTTCTCGCCCATAGCCATTGCTTCGCCAGTCTTAATGCCGGATGTCAGTGACGTCGCTGTCACCGACACGTCTGCAACAGGGGTCTGCCAAGGACCAACCATCTGGTCTCTCGCAGTCAAGCCACCAACAGTCCGGTCACCGATGGTGATGAGAAACGATTTGCTGCCCACAGCCGGGACTTGGAGCACACGACTCACTGCCTCGTGCAGGATTGCTTTCTCATCCAGGCCGGGTAGGTACAGCTTGAGCGTATTGTCCAATACTGGTAGACGCTTCTGCACACTGGTGTCCGTGCGGCTCATCTTGGGTGGCTTTCCGAACAGCACTGACATGGGCAGATCTATTGGCGGCTGAGCATCGTTACGCTCATTATCCCGATCACGAAGGACTAGACGATTAGTATCCGAGTTTTGGACGCCCTTTGCCTGTCCGACAACGGAGTAGCGGCACCTTTCGCGGTCTGCAATGGCACGAAATTTGTTCAGGCCTTCGTCCGCAACAGCGAGGACGTATCTTTCCTGAGCTTCGCAGCACCATATCTGGAGCGGGCTCATCGAGCCGTCGGCATTATCGACGTCGCGTAGTTCAAATGTTGCACCAAGACCAGAGTCGTGGACCAGTTCCGGCAAAGCGTTTGACAGGCCTCCAGCTCCCACGTCGTGAATGAACAGTATCGGATTATGTGTACCGAGCGCTGCACACGCATTGATCACTTCTTGAGCCCGCCTCTGCATCTCGGGGTTGCCGCGTTGAACGCTTGCAAAGTCCAACTCTGCCGAACCTTCGCCCGAAGCGATACTGGAAGCTGCACCTCCGCCAAGGCCAATCAACATTGCTGGGCCGCCCATAACGATCAGATGTGAGCCGGGTTTGACAATAGTTGGGTCCTTCAAAGCAAGCTGTGGCCGCACCGTGCCAACTCCACCTGCAATCATGATTGGCTTGTGGTAGCCTCGGACCTCATTGTCAACCTCTGTGAGTAGTGTTCGGAAGTAACCAGTAGTACAGGGTCGGCCAAACTCATTGTTGAATGCTGCACTGCCGATGGGTGCTTCTATCATGATGTCTAGACTGCTCGCAATATGGTTTGGCTTCCCGTAGTCGAGCTCCCACGCTTGTTTGTGATCTGGTATCAGGAGATCTGAGACAGTGAAGCCACAAAGCCCAGCTTTAGGCTTCGAACCACGACCTACTGCACCTTCATCGCGAATTTCGCCTCCTGAACCAGTGGCGGCACCCGGAAATGGCGATACAGCTGTTGGATGGTTGTGTGTCTCGACCTTGGCGAGGTAGTGCACCATTTCCTTTGTGGGCTTCCATTGCAACGAGTATTCGTCTGGTGTCCACTGACTGCCCTGGAAGCCCTCTAACACTGCGGCATTGTCGCTGTAGGCGCTGACAGTTGACTCGGGATGCTTTCGATGTGTGTTGCGGATCATGCCAAATAGGGTGTTGGGCTTATACTCGCCGTCAATAGTCCAGCTGGCGTTGAAGATCTTATGTCGGCAATGTTCTGAATTGACCTGAGCAAACATGAAGAGTTCGACATCCGTAGGTGGTCTTCCCACGGGACCGTTCTTTGCATAGGCCTCCACAAGGTACTGGATCTCTGATGCGTCCAACGCGAGGCCAAGCTTGACGTTGAGCTCCTTCAGTATATCGACGGGTGTCCGGTCATTCCCATCGAGATCATATACTCCGAGCTTTCCCGGAGCTTGTTGAGCGAAGGTCAGCTCGAGGTTGGGCTCAGTCTCGGATATTGTTTCCGTCATGCGATCGTGGAGGAAATCCAGCTTGGACTTGTCAACGCTTTCTCCGTCTTTCAAGGTAACGGTAACGCGTATGCCTCGCTCGATTCGTCTTACAGCTGACTTCAGCCCACAGACATGAGTTATGTTGGTGGCTTTGGAACTCCATGGCGATATTGTGCCCGGTCTTGGTATGACAAAGAACGTCTGGATGTTGTCCGTGTTATCCTCCTGCGGTTGCTCTTTCACCCCATCAGTCAGCAGTCGCTCGAGTAAAGCCTTGTCGTCCGGTTGCAGCGGTTTAAATAAGTCGACATAGTGCAAGAACTGGCCCTGAACGTCCTTGGCTCCTATTTGACTAGCAAGACCTTTGCTCCGGAATTCCGAGAAAGCTGCAGCGCCAGATATTATTTCAACAATGGCCGCCATGGTACCGACAAACTATTACCCTCAGGTCACCGGACTTGCCAGACAGCGTGTTCATACTGCATCCAGGGCCATCCTGCACGAGGATTGGAGTGTGATACTGGTTCCTCGCGGCGTGACTGTGGTCATATGATATGAATGGTCCGCCCATAAAAGGACTGTGACTGACAAAATTTTTGATGCCTCATGGGAGACGAGGGGCATTCGGGTTAGGCGATATGCACCACGACGTCAAAACGTCGTTGGAAAAGGCTTAACTTTTGCCAGGATCTTGGATAACACCTTTCCGTTCTTGTTCTTAGCCGTCATTTGAAGGCTCACCGACACCCGATAGGAGAGATGAAATGACCATGCTGGCTGTTCCTGCTTCGCACCGGGTTCAGGCCGCATTCCCTATCATCCATCCCATCGGATTGCTCTATCATTTCCAATATTGCAATGTCACTGCGTTTTTTGGATCTGGGCAATTGACTACTACCTAAGCGACAAGGAGCACCGAGTTTTATGCCAGCAACATTCCTCGTGCCCCACTTCTTTCGCAGTCCGCCCTCAGCTCCCTTCTGCTCCCATTCATTCGCTCCGGCGTGCAAGCCGCTCTGACGTCCCCAAGGCGACGTCCCCAACTTCCACTATCGGATGCTGCCTTTGCATCCCGATCTTCCACCGGTCCTGTTGCAGTCTGTAGAGCTGGAGTGTAACCGTTTGTAACTTCTGCACTTCCTCATCCTCGCCAGGTCATCCTCATCGGTCTGCTGAACGGGTGGTCAGCCGATCGCCCTTACCTCCGGCAAAATTAGTCCATCTCGGCGAGACCGTCCCTCTACACTTCATCGGCGGTCACTGTCTTCTCGCTCGCACGACGATCCAGACGAGTCCACCGCATCCGCAACAGTGTCTCTGCCGAGAGAATCAGAGAAAGAGAAGCAGCTGCGGCGCAGTTCATATTCTTCGGCGACCCCATCAGACGACTTCTCGTTGTGGAGTGATACTGGTGATATTGCAGAGCAACTTGCCAACGAAGAAGACCCATTCCGAATTGAGCTTGACCCGCTCAATCCTGAAGGCCAGAGTCTTACAGGGCGGCCCGGTGGAGGTCGAAGGAAGAGAGTCGCTTTTCAAGGCCAAACCGGCTCCGGAGCATCAAGTGCTCACGGTGGCATAGATAAAGAGGCTGTCCGCATTCCTGAACCTCCACCGAGGTACATCTCGAGAGCAGAGAAGATCCTCGCAGTCATCATGTCTCCAGGCGATCCGCAGACCGCCCGGTCGAGGGGCTTGGTCGGTAAGCCGTTGCTCTATTTCACGAGCGTGTTTGTGTCGTTAGGCGTCTTCCTGTTTGGATATGATCAGGGTGTTATGTCAGGCATCATTACTGGAGCTTATTTCCGGGACTACTTCAACCAGCCCTCACGCGCCGAGATTGGTACGATGGTGGCTATCCTTGAAGTCGGTGCTCTTATCGCCTCGCTTTCGGTCGGGCGAATTGGTGATCTCATTGGCCGACGCAGGACGATTTTATACGGAGCCATGATCTTCTTTGTTGGAGGTATGCTTCAGACATTCGCCAATGGCATGCCAATGATGATGTTGGGAAGAATCATTGCCGGTTTGGGTGTTGGTGCTCTATCGACAATTGTACCGGTGTACCAATCCGAGATCAGCCCGCCCCATAACCGCGGTAAACTCGCGTGCATAGAATTCACTGGAAACATTTGCGGTTATGCTGCCAGTGTTTGGGTCGACTACTTCTGCAGCTACATCAAAAGCGACTTTGCTTGGCGCATACCTCTGCTAATGCAGTGTTTCATGGGTGCACTTCTGGGCTTCGGCAGTCTGATCATTTGCGAGTCACCGAGATGGCTCCTTGATAACGATCACGACGAGGAAGGTATCATCGTCATTGCCAACTTGTACGGGAAAGGCGACATACACAACGACAAGGCTCGCCAAGAGTATCGTGAGATCAAGATGAACGTCCTCATACAACGGCAAGAAGGTGAACGCAGTTACACAGACATGTTCAGGCGATACTACCGGCGCGTGTTCATCGCCATGTCAGCGCAGGCGTTTGCACAGCTGAACGGTATCAACGTCATCTCATACTATGCACCATTGGTATTCGAGTCGGCTGGCTGGTATGGTCGGGATGCGATTCTCATGACCGGCATCAATTCCTTCACTTATCTGGCTTCGACGATACCGCCATGGTATGTTGTCGACAAATGGGGCAGGCGCCCGATTCTGCTCAATGGAGCGGTGGCCATGATACTCTCCTTATCGGCCATCTCATTCTTCCTCTTTCTCGACATTCCGTCAACGCCTACTCTCGTCGTCATCTTCGTCATGATATATAATGCCGCATTCGGTGCCAGCTGGGGCCCGATCCCATGGTTATACCCGCCAGAGATCCTACCTCTCAGCATACGAGCAAAAGGCGCAAGCTTAAGCACGGCTAGCAACTGGGCTTTCAATTTCTTGGTGGGTGAAGTGACGCCAGTCCTGCAAGAGGCGATCAAATGGCGTTTGTACTTGATGCATGCATTCTTCTGCGCTGTCAGCTTTGTCCTTGGTAAGAGTCCCTTATTTCCTGCGACGACACCATAGCTAACACATGAAGTCTACTTCCTATATCCAGAGACTGCGAACGTGCGTCTCGAAGACATGAATGCACTCTTCGGTGATGCAACGACTGCGATGCCTACACCGGTGTCCCAAGCGCAAGAGCACGACGCTCATGGGAATGGGATCGCCATCTTCCATCGATATTCGACAAGGCGGACGTGCGCCCGGTGGCTTTTCAGCCCAGGACGCTATTCCTGGTCTCGACATCGACCCGCCCAACCTGGAGATTGGCCCAGATGGACGTCCGATGGAAAGCACTAGCCGTGGCAGGCAAGCGGAAGGAGAAGGGCTTGGAGGCTGGATCGGTCGGATGGTGTCGCGCTCGAGGCGAGATCGGAGTGATGACGGAGGCAAAGGGCGGTATGGGAAGGTGGGACAGGATGACGATCAATGACCTCCTCTTCCTGACCGTGCTGGATGAGCTGGCTGCTTGGACGGGTCGTTGTTATCTGAATGAGATGGGAGTTAAGAGGGCATTCTTGGTCTTGATCTACGCATGTGATAGCAAGTGGTGGACCACATGCGCACCACCTATACCCGAGCAGTGCGCACAAACAGGCTAGCTCTGCAAAATGAAGCAATTCGACCAAGCCCCCATCGGGGATCGATCAAGTCTCGGGGAGTGAGAGCGAACCCTGCCAGAACAAGGATTCAATCCTGTCTGCACGGTTTGTTGTCGTGTGAAGCATAGCCTGAGTACTTGCGCGACAACACACGTATCAGAACTCCCGCCAAGTCTCTGCAACGAACGCCCCTGGTCTTTGTTGACAACAGAATGGCCATGCGAACCATTCCTGACTAGATCTCCATTGGCTGAAGACGCGCCTCCGGTGTTGCGACCGCATTCGCGGGCGTGATCGACGTCAACACACAAGCTGATGGACGCGTCCCGCCCAATCAACAGCACCATCTAAAGCGTCTTGTCCGAGGCAACAGCATCGACGTTTATTTTGTGCCGGAGAGAAGATAGTACTTTGCGTTCATCCAATGCTAACTCCACCAGCAGGAATCAACTGACGCCATTGACAGTTTTGTACTCCTGTTCTGGCAACGGGTCGCGGCGAGCCGTAGTCTCGGCTCTTTGTCCTCTTACACCCAGCTGTGATGGAGCCAGCATTGGTCGCGTCAAGGGACTTGCGTGGACGCTATGCCAGCCAAACAAGCTAACAGATCGTGTTGCTGGCAATGTATCGCGCTACTCCATGGTCCGGGTACTTCTTGCTCGTCGCGATTTTGAACAACTGGGATCGACAGGTCGGATTCCGACGAGGCTTGCCTATGCACGAACACGAGTGGCGGTCCATCGTTTGAGCACGTGACTCAGCAAGCCACAGAATTGTCACAATGATATTCTACATGCTACGCGGTTGAATATAGGAGATACACACTCACCAGCCCACTGTTGGAAGTGACATTCGACGCAGTTCTGGCCTGCAGACAATGGATTATGAGTCGGTGCAGCTGAACCAGATTTAGCAGCTCTTAGGTCTCGCAGCTAGACTCACAGTTCACTCTCCAGTACAGCCTTGCCCTGGCACAGATCACTGCCATATAATAGCTGCTTGCTTGGTACTCCGCTCAGCAGTCGAAGTCGCAGAAGGCGCACTGGGATGTACGCAGGATGCGGCTAACGGCGGAGGCATGAATCAGAACTTTCGACAATTACGGCACACCCTGTTCGGGTGGCTGGCCGCGCTCGCCTGCCCTACAGTGGCACCTATCGCATTCGGTATCTGAACTTTGCTGCCATTACGACGTCCACCGCTCAGCTATCATTCGAGGGCAGCCCCATGTCCCCAGCATCAGACATGCCATCCAACGACACCAACAGTCTCATCGACAGGAGCATAAGCACTGACGAGACGCTGCAAGCGTGCTATACTGCCATCTTGTGATGTTGTTTGTTTTGGGTGCTGTAACAGGCCCCTCAGAGACTGGAATTACAGCGCTCTGCAGACAGTATAAACATCGAAGCAACGCGATCTGGCGCCCTCCTCTGATATGATCCTTCGTCTAGTACCTGAATACCTTGGTTACCATTTCGCTACCTTGAAATGGCGAAAGTTCAACGGGATCCGTGCGAGTGCGAAGACTGTGGTAAAATTCTCTCGTCCCGTTCCGCTCTGAAAGACCACAACAATATACACACCGGGGAAACGCCGTACGAATGTCGCGAGCCGGGCTGCCTCGCAGCATTTCGCAACAGACAGGCCAGGATCAACCATGAGAACAGCACGAGTCATGGTGCTGAGCGTCGACAGACCCTCTGGGACGCGCCTGCTCACGGAGCCGAGCAATCTCCTGTACACCTCAATGCAGAGATTCGCGTCCCGCGTCAGGTTCACAGCAAATCGCGCACAATGACACCTACGCCGGTGAACAGTACATCCGACGGCAGATGGGACGCCCGCTACCGCCCAATCAAGCCGAAGCTGCAGTCTCAGTCCCACGACATCCCCGAATCTGCTCCAGATAACACGTCAAACACATTTGCTGGCACTCAGGGGACTCCCACTCACGTCCATCCCGGTGTTTCCCAATACCTTCATTCTCAGTACCGTTCCGCCAATGGGTATGGCGACAACACGGTGCCAGATCCATACGCCTTCGATCCAAATCTCATGCACCCTGCGGCCTCGACACATGTTGGTCACAACAAGTTCACTGCCTACGGGCTGGCCCAATTGCGACACTATCCAGCCAGTCATCGAGCGGCTGAAGGTACTTAGTCGGATGCACCGAGACCAGGGGTTTGATCACCGAAACTGCCAACTCAGAACGCCAAGGCAGTGAGTCTCTTCTACAACAGGGTCCGTGCTGGCACGACTGTATGCCTTTCCGGAAAAGGTGAAGCCTTAGTTGCCGGTCTAAGGTCTTCTATAGACTCAGAAGCGTGGCAGAAATCGTTTGGAGTGGACGCAGTCTGTGCTGGGCATCGGTGACTGTATGAGGACGCATGCTTGCTTGCAGTAACTAGAATGCCGGACATTCTGTTGACCGTAGATCTGTTATGAGTATATACATACAATTGGCCTTCTTTGCCGCTGTGTCTCCGACCCCCATGTCAATGTATTGCTGGTACGTGGAGCTTGGTTGAAGCCACGGCTTCAGGATGACTTGAAGGCGCATTCGATTGAAGGGTAGTCAACCGGTCCAAAAGTTGAGGCCCAGTCATCCGGTCTAGGTAGAAGCCACTCGTTACCCGGTTTAGAGGAAGCTTGTCATCCGGCTTGGGGTCGATGTCGGTACTCTTGCTTGCGGTAAATGAACAGTCGGGTAGATCGAAGAAATATGATACATATCTACAGAAATCATTTGATCAGATCGGGTGATTAATGAGCAGGACGGGCTTCGTCCGCCAGCCAAGAATGTATTGGTACAGCGATATGTTGATGCGTTCGTTTTAGTCCATCCGGAACACCATGCTGCTCCAGAAATGCCACACAGTACCATCTGTCTCAGCTTCCCTAGACTGTCCACCACAGCCATAACAAGCCTTTGAGGTATTCTGCGATCTCCTCACCACCAAGCTTACTATCACCATACAACCGATCTACAAACGTAATCGGGCACTCCTCGACCTTCATTCCCATAGCCTTGGCCCTCGTCATCATCTCCATCTGAAATGTATACCCTTTTGACTCTGTCGTCTCAATAACCTTGACCAGCGCCTCCTTCTTATACAACCTGAAACTCCCCGTCAGATCACTCACGCCCGGCGCCAACAAGAAATCCGCCAGAATATTCGCTCCACAACTCGTCAACTTCCGCTTCGCGTCCCATCCATATACACCCCCGATCAGTCCCCTATTGCTTCGATACCGTGTCCCCGTTACAATATCGCAATTCGTTTCCTCCTGGATCTTGATGAAGTGCGGGATGAACTTCGGATGGTGAGAGAAGTCGGCATCCATGATGATGACGTGCGTGCCGGTCACGAACTGTAGGCCGTGCACGTAGGCGGTGCCCAGGCCGAGCTTGCCGGCGCGGGGCTTGAGGATGATATGCGAGGAGCCGAAAGCTTTTTGGAGTTGTTTGGCGCGGTCGAGGGTGCCGTCGGGGGAGGCGTCGTCGACGATTATGATTTCGTAGTCGATCTTTCTGCGAGGGTGTTGTTAGTGGATGGTGTGGAGGATGGTGCTATGGGGGATGCATACTCCTTCTTGAATACATCGTCGAGCATCTGCACCAGGATGGGGAGGTTCTGGCGTTCATTGTAGGTTGGTAGTATTACCGAGTATTTGTTCTTTTTGGGCGCCATGTTGTCTGCGGGCGCTGACCGATGAGCTTGAACAGTGGCTGCAGCGAAATAGCAAAAGATCAGAGCCGAAGGAGGAGCAGCTGAACATGTATTCCATTCACGGGACGTGGTTCTCGCGTTGGACTTGGCAGGAGCATATCCCCGACAATCTCCGCCATATCCTATGGGTCGACAACGACGACCATCCTCAGCACTATAGACCCATGGCATAAATGCTGGATGATGCTATGAGATGGCGTCTCATGCTCGCAAGCCATCAACGCGAGCGGCTCTCCCTCGACGTAGTACACGAGGTCCGCTTGACGCCGAAGATGATCCGCTGTCACCAACCTCGTCTCTCGCCAGCTCTGCTGTGAGGTCGCCAGTCGATATCAGGTCCCATTCACCGCTTCCTCCCGCAGCGATCACTACCAATACTGAGACTGCTCCGTCGATAGCAACAGTCACACAGTTCGATGGCGCCAATGACTCCGACCAGCCGCAAGATGACCGCGACCTGTCCTTCCTCCTTGAGTCAAGCATTTACCATCCACTATCTCAGCTGGAGATTCCAAGTCCTTTCCGGAGGCCACTGCCGCCACCGCTCCCATCGACTGCGAAATTGACGGAGGCATTCAAGCAGATTGATCACTTGTTGGCGGAGTGTGACTACCTCCAAGCGGCTCACCTAGCTGGTCTCGTCCTGATCTCAGGCGCTGTAGCACCCACGGACCAGAGATCCATCTTCCGACTACTAGCCATACGATACTCCTGTCTGGAGCTATCTGGCAACGTCGCTCTCGCTGCGCAAGAATCCAAAGCGCTAGAGGATCTGGGATCTACGTTTTACTACTCAGATCTACCGCCCGAGGCAGCAGGTGATGGCGAGAATGCGGAGACGTCAGGGGCTAGGTCTCTACCAAAGCACATTGTTCCCTGGCATCTACGAATACAAGCATTGCGACTGCAAAGTATAGGCTTCTCAGACCCTAGGAGGGGCGTGTCTGCTCTATATGACTTGGCAACTGAGTGCAGGGATTTCCTCGCATCGCCTTCACTTTCGGAAGCGGAACGGCAGCTTTGGGGTACACGGCTCGAGGAGCTTGGCATCCGGGTTGTCAACGCTTTAATCGATATGGGCGACCTAGACTGTGCGAGACGCACGCTCAACTCGATGAAGCCTGCCGAGAATGGCTCTGTCGCTGCATGGACGATGCGAAACGCGATACTGTGTGTCCGAATGGGTTTGCTAGGCGAAGCAAAAAAGGCGGTTGACAGTGCCCATTGTGGTGATGCCGAGAAGGCGATCTTACAATCACTGCTTGCTGTAGCTGAAGGCCAGTTCGACACAGCGATTGAGCTACTCCAAAGCCCATTAAACACGTCCAGCAACTTGGCGGCGCTGGCGAAGCAGAATCTGGCCGTGGCGCTCCTCTATCGGAGCGATATTCGGAAAGCTAGAGAGGTTCTGGAGGGTTTGGTCGACGAAGGCTACTCTTTCCAGACGCTGACTATCAATCTTGCGACGATCTATGATCTGACTACTGACCGCTCGAGAGAATTGAAGTTGACGCTAGCCGATAGGATTGCACAACAACAGCATGAGGGACAAGGCCATGGCAGGATATTCACTAATATTGATTTCAAGCTATGAGCCAAGCAGACAGGATCCGGCAATGCTGTGTCGGTAGTCAAATGCTTTAAGCAACCCTATGAGATGTGCAGTTGCCGCAAGGACGACCAATACGTGGAAGATCTGGTGGCTCGAGCCGATGAGATCGTACTTGCCTGGTGCCGTCCTCTCAGGCCATCGCATCTGTCTCAGATCAGCATGTGTAGTCGCTATCTGTGTATAGGAGGCATACCGCGTACAGCCCGGCGCCTAGCACATACAACACGCCTTGAGTCACCAGCCAGGACAGACCTATCTGGAGTCGCATCTGATGAAAGCCATATGACAGCAGCCCGTCAATTACCGGAATGACAGCACTCAGACCCATGCAAACGAACATGCCTGCTCTGATAGGCCTCCAAGCAGGCGTTCGGAAGCGGGACATTACAGATACTGCAGTGCAGGCTACGCCCAGCGAGCAAATCTGTGGTAGGTCAACTTCCATTCACAGAGGCCGCCCCGGATCGAAGACTCACCATGGTCCAGTACAGTCGCTGCTTGAACGCGTCACAGAAGAAGCCATAGTACACGCTCGGCACGAAGCTGCCTGTGATGAGCATGGCAATCCCGGCATAGTCAAGCTGATTCCAGAACCTGGCAACTTTGGGAGAGTGGTTCGATACAGTATGATAAGTGGCACTCATTCCCAGACACAAGGCGGCCCCTGCGAAAAAGCAGCCCATAGCCACAACGTCTGCTGTGGTTGCTCGATCGTATCGAGGCTTCAGGACTGAGTAGAGGGCCCACCCGGAGGGAAGACTGATCAGACCTGGTACTAGATGGGTCCAGATGTTGACAGTCTCGTTATGTACATGGAAGATGCTGGCGAATGAGCGTTTGTAGCTGTTGGACGCCTTCCGATACGATGAATGTATGTGGGCGTTGTCCTGCAGCCATTTTGGGACGTCCTCCCAGCTGACTAGCGAAGACCAGGAGTCCTCCAGCAGTGTATCTTTAGTAGCTTTGGAGTCTGCTCCTGACGTCTTTGTCCCCATAGCGGAATCGTTGCCCAGCCAGAGTGAAGGCCGCTGCAATTTGTTCTCTCTGATCAAGGTGGATTGCAGAGTGATTTGTCCTTGCGCAAAGTCGTCTTCTGGTCGAGGTCAAGAGATCAACCGCGACGTAAGGCCGACTTAGATATGTAGATCCATTTCAACAGAGAAAAAGATTCCCATTATAGGCTTTTCGAAACCGTTGAGCTTTAAGAACTGGACTGGAAGTCGAGGAAATAGCAATACGAAATACGGCTGTGGAGGATCGTCCCTTCTTCAGGTATGGCCCCGCTGCCTTGCGGTTGCCTCATCACCTGTCTCCAAGGGACGGTCGTTCCTGTCGTTCGTGGTACGATGTCGAGTATATGAGCAACTACGGAGTTCTCACTTTTCCTTTGTTGGAGAGCTCATCACCTCTAGCGGGCAGGGTATGCGATGTCGTACTCGCAGCCCCCGCTGGGCCGGAAGTCATCCGCGCCATGGAATCGCCTAAGACCAGTAAAGCAGGACCCCTTGGAGGTTATGGGTTATGTGTCAAAGGGCGATAACAGGTCAACCAAGTCACTTGTGTCCTTGACTTACGGCTAACAGAACCACAGGCTACTGGACAGCAAGGCGCAAGAGTCATTCTACGACAAAATTGTCGCCCGTTATATGCAATTCTGCTCACAGCACTCGAAGGATCTAGACTCAGCCTTTGCGTCGCTCTCGATTGCGCCAAACAATGATCACAACGACCGCAAGGCTTTGCTCCCGGGTGAGAGCAGACCTCTGACACCGTCTCCACCCAAGGATGCCAACCATTGGGGGGCGTCACCGCCGCAAGAACTTCAGCTGATCTTGACTGCACTTCGCAAACTGCGGGAAGGAATACTTGGTTCGTCATCGACCAGAAGCTCACCTGTCTTGGCACAGCGAGTCCATGTCTTCAATATCCGAGTGGCGATTTTGGCTCATCATTGGGAATCATACCTGCCGTCTCTGATATACCTGCTATCGCGTCTGCATTCTCAAGAGTTCCCACTCCCCAAGTCGGAGCTATTTGAGATGACATCGTATCTCATCCTGGATCTGGGCACCCGTCAGAACAATCTCGGAGCTGCCTTTGCTCTGCGTCACAACAGTCGCGTCAGGTTTGGATATGAGAACCGCAGGGTCGACGCCATTCTCCACGCTGTAGTCACCAACAATTGGATTGTTTTCTGGCGCACCCGCAGGATAGTGGATGGTTATTTGCGAGCAATGCTACACTGGCACGCCGAGACGATCCGCAAGCCTGTACTGAAGGCCATCGGCCGCACATATATGGCTACCGATCTCCAATGGATTCTCTCCAGCACGACTGGTAGCGACGGTAGTGACATGAGTTGGGAAGAGCTTGTCCAAGCGGAGGATGTCGGCTGGGCGCGCGACGGCGACAAGGTCATAATTCGGAAGCCAAAGGTTCGACCTTGAAGCGATTTCCTGGAAGTCGGCCGTTGCGAACATCGACATGTGCAAGTTGCATCCAATAACAGCAATAAGTCTAGACCTCGATGTCCCGTCTCACGCGAAAAATGGCGAGGCTGGAGGCTGGAAATTGGTAAGGCTGGGCTGAGTCAGCCAATGAGAGCCCGGTTATCTGCCAAGGTCCGCCGGATGCGTCGCGTCAACCTCTCAGTTTCCCATCAGCTCCGACACCCTGATCCCAGGTTCATGCGCGCGCAGTGGCGCAAACTGCGCAATCAACCAGCCTCTCAATGATGGCGAGGCAGTACGGTTATGAATATCAACAGGCAAGTCAAGAGAAAAACGTTGGAATCTCGCTTATCCCATCCACCTTGCTCGTGCTCATCCAACATTCCCTTACAACAACATTGACCGTAGTGAATCGCTTGAGGGTAGAGGACTAGACCATCCAACTGCTGATCTAACATTCCCTCCTCATCCTGTCGACAGCCTTCCCACCACCTCAATACATATACAGAATAAACATGAGATCAATACTATACGCCAACCTTGCAGCGACAGCATGCGCCTTTCCCCTCTTCGCACGCCGAAGCACAACATATAACGTCGTGTCTGTGGACGGCCACGACTCATTACCACAAGATCTTCAGATACGCAACCCAGAGCCTATACCAGCATCATACTCAGTGGTACCGGTCGACGGCGGTCCAAGTGCCAACGTACCGAATAATGCACCGCCTCCGCCTCCAACAGCGACACAGACCGAGACACTCATTGCCACGCATTTGGCCACGATCACAATAACGGACCAAGAGACACCGGCAACGGTGGTTGTGACGGTGACTGAGCCTGCAGCAGCACCCGCACAGCCGACCGTCACGCCGCCACGAGAAATCGTTACGGTGACCGATACTGTGTCTGCGAGTGGAATTCCACAGACAACACCGTACGACAACGGGATGTGGCACACAACGTATTACTACACCACTGTGATACCGACGCCATCGTCCACTTCAAATTCAACTCCAAGCCCAACACCTAGTACAACACAGCAGCAAAACTGGCACAACATACCTGCTGTGCCAACATCATCTCCATCGTCACCACCCGTGGCCGAGATTCCGCAACCTGCGACCGATGCAGATGCAGACCCGGCGCTTGCGGGTGTTCAGCTGATTGGGGAGCCAGTGATGCAGCCACCGGCGGACTCGGACCGAGCGGCGTGGCTAGCGGGTGAGTGGGCACCCTGGGCTCAGGGCGGTCGTGGGAAGGGTGGAAGGTCGTGATGAGGTCGCTTAGTCGAAGAAGATCACGGATTTGGGTCTGAATTATCTGGCTTATAGCGATGGCGCTGACGGGATTTTGTTCACCACTTTTTTGTACATCGACTTGCCTGCATGGCTTCTTGATCGGATGGCTTGTGAGTACGAGCCTGTACGACACTTCGGACGGGTCTAGAGATTAGCTACAGATAGATAGATCCCTTTCGGGACGCGGGAGACAACTTGAACTTCAGGGTCTCGACCTTACTACATAAGGCGTCCCACTGAAACCTTTCAATCGACCACACAGAATACTGTCTGCACTTTCTCTTCTTCTAAGGCATGCTTGCATAGATCCTGCAGGATTCCTTCGCTTTTGCGCGGAGGTTTACAGGCCACGAGGTAAGAGATCTGTCCGTGGGTTGCTAGCAAGCTTTGTTCTGGACGCCACATCCCTGTGCTTCTGTCGCTCTCTTGTGCTACATCTTACACATGTCTTGGAATCAGAGGGACTAAGGAAAGGCTTCGACATGTCGGAATTGTAAGACGCGCAAATAGGCCACTTCGAAGCTGTCTCGAAGTTGCATCGTAGCGGACGTGCAGGACATCTTCAGTTGGGTACTTTGAGGGGCCTCACCCGCAAACATCATGCTGGACTCACTCGACCTTACCGCCATGACCACCATCCTCCAAGAGACACTATGGCAATACCCACGCACAACCCTCCTCACAACCCTCATCCTCCTGACCCTCCTCACCACCCGCCTAATCACCACACTCCGCTTTCGCACCCAAACCACCGCCATCGCCAATGCCACCCACCCCATCTCCCCACCAGAAATCCCCTACACGATCCCCTTCCTCAAAAACGCCACCGTCTTCCTCAACCTAGGCCGCAATGTCGCCTCTATCACCCACTCCAACCCCACCGCGGCAATGTTCACCCTCCGCGTCGCTAACTCCCGCCACCACTTCACGACCTCGCCCTCCATCTCCCACCATCTACTCACCACCCGAGGCGTCGCCGACAAGCTAGACCTCTCGCCCTTCGTCTTCCGCGTCATGTCTCACTTCTGGCTCGACGGCGGCTACCACGAGAATATGCCGCGGGAGAAGTACCAGACGCTGCATAAGTACCTCGCTACGATGATGCACTCGACCGTGTTGAATGATTTGGTGCCGACTTTCACGTCGGCGTTGAGCACGCAGACGGCGGATCTGTGCTCATTTTCAGACTCGATTGTTGATCAGCATCCCTGGGAGCGCGCTGCGAATGTTACGAGCACCTCGGCTGGGTCAGCGGTGGCGGATATGGCGCTTTTGATACGGAATTTCGTCGCGTATATTAGCTTGACGCGTTCTTCTCGCCCGATCTGGCGCTGAATCATCCGACGATCATCGAGGATGATTTCTTGTCAGAGACGTATCTGCAGCAATGGCTCGCGGGGTTTCCGCCACAGTCTTTTGCTCCCAGTGCGGTACGTGCACGGGATCGGATTGTGACGGCTATGCGCGAGCACTCACTCGCGTACTGGAAGCTCTCGAGGGGAGAGGATCCGGGGGCGGTGTGGGCGAACGTGGGACAGACTTGTAAGCCTATGGCGGAGCGGGTGTTGCTGTATGGCTCTGAAGGGGATTTTGATGAGGTGAAGCCTGAGTGGGAGCGAGGTTTGAATGCGGCCAAGGGGAATGCGGCGATCGTGCAGCCGCTGCAGACAAACAGTCCAAGGTTGGTGTTCTGGATGGTATGGGAGATCATGCGGGATCCTGTTCTCCTGAAGGAAGTCCGTGATGAGATTGCTCCGTACGTCAGTATCGAGACCAACTCCGGCGCAACACACGGCGGCATACAGGAGAAGCCACGCCTCGCCATCAATGCCCAGTCCCTCCGAACACAAACGCCCCTCCTCCTCGGTGTCTTCCACGAAGTGCTGCGCATGCAGCAGGACAGCATGACCTACAAGCTCGTCACTGACGACTTCACTGTGACGGAAAGCGCCGAGGATGCGGCGCGGTTCGGTGCTGCACATCCGAGGACGTATGCGATCAAGAATGGTGATTTCGTGGTCATTCCGCATGGGTTGCATAATTATGATGGGAGGTATTGGGAGGATCCGGAGAGTTTTGACGCGCGGAGGTTTTGGGTGAAGAAAGGCACGAAGGGTGGCGTGGCAGCTCCTGACGTTGGATTTGAGAAAGAGGAGAAGTCCGAGGAGTTGGACAAGATCGAAGTGGACGTCTCCTACCTGACAACGCACCCCTGGGGCGGCGGCGCGAGCGTCTGCAAGGGCAAGAACTTTGCCATCATCGAGATCTTGTTGGCGGTTGCGAGTATCATCACGCTCTGGGACTTCTCACCTGTGAAAGCGGGACTGTTTCCGGGGCTGGATGGGGAGAAGAAGTGGGAAAGGACGAACGGGTGGAAGAGCTTGGGCGGGAGGGAAGGTGGGATAGCTGGGAAGCTGCCTAGTGTCATGGTCGAGGTGCGGCGGAGAGGTGTGTAAGGATTCCGCGTGGACACAGGGCGCCGATCAGCGCTCTCATCTATACCGATACTTTCAAGCAGGGTGTGCGGCAGTTCTGTAGCTCTGTTGATTAGAACCAACGAATTGTGTGCTCTGCCTCAATTTCTGACATCAGATTCTGGTCTTCATGAGCAGGTTCGCACGCCGAACCCTTGCTACCTGACTATCGTGTAGGCCGTAATTCTTGAAGGCAATAATGACAGCACAGCCTTTCTCTCTTAAAATCGACTGCTTGTGCTACTTCTCGTGCGAGATCTCTGCTGTGCCGTCCCTTCTATCCGCTGCAGGCAGAATGAAGAGTTTTCACCAGCCTTCCCGCAGAGCAGTGACGCACATTCGGCCGCGTTCAAAGTGATTTTGCTGTGGTGCTCGACATGAGACCACTGGCATGATCAAGTTGGCCAAACCCAGCACGCCCGCTGCCTTCTGTCTTTTTAGACCGCCGGTTCCATTACTCAAACTCGGCCCAGCAGTGAGTCCTCTTATCCACCCATATTTACTAGGAGCACGAAGTACGCAAAGTCCGATCCAGTGCCTCAAATCCCCCATGGCGTCCACAACTCCTTTCCCGTTGTTCTCTCGAACTCTGCAGTGGTGACGTAGATGCCCCCAGTGAAAGAGCCCGCACACCGAGACAACAGCTTCCCGTGAACCTCGTGAATCAATTTGGCACTTCTCTTTCCCATCCGCCAAGCTCGACCATCATGTTGCTCGATTACTTCGACTGCACCCGACGCTTTTTTCAGTATGTGTTGGTTCCGCAGGCACAACATGGTTGTCTCCTCTCGGAGCTTGACGTCTTCGGCTTGAGTGACTTTGTAGATATGCTCGAGTATGTCGGGGAGTGCTTGAAGTCCGGGGCCGAAGATTTTGCGCTTGAAGTCGGCAAAGAGAACCCCTTCCATCTGACCGAGAAGATATCTTGCGACCGCGTTTGCAATGTGCGAAACGAGCAGACGGTCCGCGAGCACATACACGTTGATCAGCGTTTTGAGCTCATCGTAAAAGTGGGTGGACAGGTATGTGTTCTTGTGCTCCTCGCTTGTTCCTTCGTACACGGGGAGCTTTAGCGCAGGCCACACCTCGTATGCCCGATCCAAATTCTGACCGTCGTCGCCACTGTAGATCATAAGCAATAGTACTGCGACCGTGAGGGGCTGAGTGTCTTTCAGGGTGACCTCGTTGGTGTTGCTCTCTTCGAAAGGACCACCAGTGATCACTTTGAAGTAGCCGGACTGCATCCATAGAATAGATTTGTGGACTGGGAAGCTGACAGCGTCGCATCGAATGGTGAAATCGCTGAAATGTCCACTGCTGAGAAGGTCTCTGGCGTTTGTTGCGGACTGATCGGACAGGCCTAGCTTTGGAGGATGCCTCACATTGTCGCCGAGAAATTTGAGACGCTCCTCTCGTGCCTTGCTTAGAGTGTCGAGGTCCATCTCAGTGTCTGGAGCGGTCCTCGCACTTGTTGGGATGTGGACAAAGAATGAAACTCTAGCTAGTTGAGGAGAGCGACATTGGCGATAAGGAGAAGAAGAAGAACCGATCTCAATTGTCGTTGAAATAGATTGGAAGTCGACAGTGAATCGTACCTTGCGAAGAGGCAAGCAGTGCAATTAACAAGTGAAGTCACACTGGAATGTGAAGCGGCCACGATTTTCAGTCGAGAGTCAGAGGACGAACCTCGTCCGAGGAAGTTGCACCTCAAGCCGAGTCGGAAATCGCTCCTGCAAGATCGCCCACGAAATGGCTCGGCTAGTGTGATGTTGAGCAGTGGTTGAAGCTCCTGAGTTGCGTGCGGGAGAGCGAGAGCGATGAGGGTCAGCGGCAGGCAACGGATGTCCTTTCCATTGCTGTCAGGTCATACTGAATTCTATTGTTCAGCGTGGCAGCGGGTTCACTTTGAGCGAAAGCGCTGCTGTGACTGCCTTGTCGGGTGGTGCGCACACATTGAGATAGACAGGTCCTGAGGAGGCCTTCGGCTACTGCTCTCCTATTAACGATGTGACTGCACCATACAGACACAGAGAAGTAAATGGTCCTAGTACCGCACAGGCATTAGTGAGCCAGCCGTACTAAAGCGTCGGTAAAATCTTCAATTCGTGACGCAGCCCCGGTAGCCGATCCATGGATGGTTTTTCTCGCCGTCTCCGACACTGCTGTCAGCGCTATCGACACCACGAATGAGCAGATGCCCATTTATCTCTTGTCAGTGTAGCGATCGAGCCATGCTTGAGGAATTTGCCAGCCTCCTTGTCTGCATTTCCTCCCACCCTTTTGATCTTCGCCCATCTCAGAGCAGCTCTTGCAACCTGCACGGCATAGCTCTTTCAGAGGAGCGGGCAACTGCCATCTTCCACGGGTGTTTGAGCGTGCCGACACTCCTGCTTTGGCAGGTGATCACCGCTCACACGACCATCGCGCAATCCTATGACTGTTCTTCCATACCAAACGACTTCCAAAGTGTTGTGTCGAGAAATCGTGACCAGTCATGTCTAAAGTTCGCAGCATCAGGCCAGCCGCTTCTCTTCCAGGCGTCTTCCCAATCTTCTGTTACAAACATGTGGTGCTGTTCCTTTACCATGGCGCAGATCCGACCGCTGAGACGCCAGCCATAAGGATCGTGGCTTTCAAGAACGTTGCCAAGAGATTCCGAGATGTGAAAGCGTTTACGCATGCATAGAACCGTTACCTCCTGTCTGAGTAGCGTATGCTCTGTAGCCGTGTTGCTGAAGATGTACTCTAGTAAGGGTGCGGTATGGGTCTCCAGCACCTCTTCTCCAGTAACGAAGTAATCGTAATCAATGTGATTGACGATGTGTTTAGCCAGTGCACCTTGGAAGTCGTTGATCATAAGCCTATCGGCGAGGATATAGACGTCCACAAGATTCCGCAGCTCCGCACTGAAGTGCTCTTGGGTCGCGTCCTTGCTGTCTTGCGAGTCCGTGCTGCTGGCCTCGGGCTTCAGGTCGGGCCACACCTTGTAGACTTCGTCGAGGTACAGCCCGGGCTGACCGGCATACATGATCAACAGAAGCGTTGCGACTGCGAGAGGGGTCGTGTCTTCAAGAGTGACAGAACTCTCCGCGCTCTCTTGGAAGCCGCCATCGATGATCGATTTGAAATAGTCGGATCGAGCGTAGATCTGAGAACGATGGACTTGGAAGACTCTCTCGCCGCAACAGATCTTGAAGTCGCTCAGTCCGCCTGATTTGAGAAGGTCGACTAGTCCTGTATTGGGCGCATTGAGCGAGGTGAACTTGTTTGCCGGGGTCCGAGACGCAGCTTCGATGGCGGCGACTCGCTCAATCCGAGCTTTTTCGAGCGCAGCTATTTCCATCTCAGGCATATTCTTGTTGAGCACCAAGTCGAGAAAGACTGTGACCATCAGTACGGATACTAGAGACACTCCGCGGTCCACAGATGGCGACTGGCAGATCCTACTGACCTTGAGGTGATAAGATTCTTCCGAGAGCGAAGCCTTTGCAGTGATCCTAATGACTGGATTGAGAAGCGAAGATCTTTCCATGAACATGATGGCAACTCCAATCTGATTGTGTCGGGAAGTCCAAGACAACAAGGCAAGCTTTTGAGACGGCCAAGCAACCGGACAAGTGAAGACAATGCTCCAAGCACAAAAGTCGCCAAACATGTCAACAAGTGAAGACCACGATTTGCAAACGAGTCGCTAGACAACGCGCTAACGTGTGACTTCCAGAGTCCAGGACAGCATTCATTGGCCAGCCATCCAGAAAGAGCGCAAGTTGCGATCGCAGACCAAGAAGGTCGGCTTGCAGGAAAGACTTGCGATGACTACCGTAGACTATGCACATACCTCCAAACCAGCTCGAAATGCTCCAAGCAGCCCCTTATTTACAGCGCCATTCGCCATGCTATCGAGGTTGCCACTGTCTCTGTTGACAGTGCTCCTCTGTATATACACACAACCTCATCCCAGTGCTCTCAAACCTCATCGCCCTCTTCCCCAGGCGGCCGCCTCAACCCACCCGCAGCGTCCCTCAACTTATCTGCAACAGCCTGCACCATCAACTGCGCCTCGCCTCTATCCCCTTCATCAATCGCATCTACAACCGCTGGAAACACCACCCCCTTCGTCGCATCCCACTTCTCTACCCCAAAGATCAAACTTTTATACTGCTCTCGCCCCTTCAGTCCACCTCCTTCGTCAAGGTCCAACAGGTCTTTCTCGAACTGCGCCACGCGATCATTGTGCAAGATTCGCATGACACTGTGCCGCGCACCCTCGAAGCCGCCATGGTTGAAGACGTGCCGCGTCCACATCTCCTCCAGCTCGCGGGTTTGTCCGGCGACTTGTTGGAGGAGAGCGATAGCGTCTTCGAGGGGTTTGAGATCGAGCTGCATCGACACGGTTTGCGCCTTTTCGTGCAGATTGGTGACCGCGCGGCCGAGCTCATCTGCCATGGATTGCAGGTCAAAGGGTAGGAGAGGCTTGTCGGCGAGTTCGAGGATGATGAGCGCGAAGATCTCGCCCAGGGCTTTGTGGTAGGAGAAGCCGGGGTCGACGGTGGTGATCCAGTCGTAATTGTCGTAGCAGCTGCCAGCTAAGGAGCGATTGCCCGAAAAAGCGACGTTGAGCGAGGACATGCCCGCGAAGCTCTGGAAAGGGAGAGTATCTTCGCGGCCAGCGGGAGTGATCATATGACCTCCGGCGTCGTGCCACGCGTCTTTGACGCTCTTAGCTGAGTCTTCGTTGTCGAAGGTCGAGGGGTCGCGGAGTCTACCAGTCGCTTCCATGATAGGTCGTCGCAACAAAGGCGAGCCATGCACAGTGAAGTCTGGTCCAGTGATGGCGGTATCGATGTTGATGTAAGCGATGCCGTTCCGCCGTAGTTCCTCGATCCTGTTCTCCACATGTTCCGTACTGCCTTCTAGGTTGAATGCAGAACTATCCCAGCTGGCGAATTCGATCGTTCGGAGCGGTCGCCAACTAAGCCGTCGTAGCTCACCAAAGATGCGAACAACATCCAACATGATAGCTGTCCCCGTTGCGGGTCCCGCGCCTACGCACCAAGCATCGCGCTGACTGCCAACAATAATTTTCTTGTCTGGCTGCTCCCAGCCCGTGATCTTGCCTAATACATTGTAGATGCCCTGTCGAGGCTCCTCATCCTGCTCGACCTTCACGTGGACCACCGGTGAGTTCTTGTCTCCAGTCCAGTATTCGAAATCCTTGTCGCCTTGCCAGTCGCGGTTCATCTGCTTGCCGAGACCTTTCATTGATTCGAAGAGATGTTTCGCGTCCCACCAGGAAATCGGCAATGAAGGTATCGTGGTGAGTCCGGTAATGTTGCTGGGATCTATCCGATTCGGCTCGCCAGGTGTCGAGGCCCATCCAGGGCTGAGTATATCACCGACCACCCAAGACTGCAACGACACAGAGTCACGCTGAACACCGTCCTCGGGCAAGAATTGTCCTTGAGGGAATGTTTGTCCTAAAACGTAGCCAATGTCGCCAGGATCCGAGTACAGCACTGCGCCGACTGCGCCAGCCATCTCCGCTGCCTTGATTTTCGCACCAGCGTCCTCTGTCGTGCCGTAATACCTCACCAACACCACTGCGCCCTTGACATCGATCCCCTCGTCCTTCAACTTCTTGAAATCATCCCTGGACCCATAGTTCGCGTATACAATCGGTCCCTTGACGTTCCCACCTCTCCCATGCCCGTGAAACACACCCACAGACTCTCCGTTCTCCTCCAACGGCGCCACCCACTTCATCTCCTCTGGCTCCACGATCGCCACCTGCCGCCCACCCTTCCGTGGATAGTTCATGTACACATCAAACCTCTCCATGTCCACTCCCTCCAACTCTGCCGTCTTGAACACCTCCGCGATCCACTCAGCCAGGACATAGCTTCCCTCCGACCCAGCCAGATGCGGAAACTCAGTGATGTGGTGGAGGTACTCTTGCATCATGTCGCGGTTATTAACATGTTTCTGCACGAATACTCGTATCGATTCTGGATCATACATCTGCCCTACATTCAATCTGTTGCGGCCGAAGGCAAGTATATCCGTTGCTATCAAGCGTAGACGAGGCCCAAGATGACGAAGATGCCGAAGAGCCGGCCAATAATGATCGCGCGGTGGGAATCGATCGACTCATAGTTGATACGTGGGAAGGAGATGGTGGGTATGAAGTACCGCCAGGAGGGGAGCTTCAGTGAAGGGACTCGGAAGGAGGTGGTCCAGGAGAAGTTCTTAGCGAAGCCTCTGCGCAGGAGGGAGTTGGTCGAACTGCTGGAATCGGAATTGAGGGGATCCTCGATGTCCATCTGCTCCATCTCGCGGCGCCGTTGGGCGGGCGACGATGGGCCGGAGTCAAGGCCATCGAGAGAGTCGAGGCTCGAGCGTGCGGACTCGACGGTCGGCGCACGGTAGGCTGTTTCGTCTTGTTGGTGGAGGAGGCCTTGCCTTTCGGCGTCATTGCTTATTTCTGAGGGTCCTGTTCGGGATGATGCTGGGTGGGAGGAGACGGCTTCTTCGTAGGTAGGTATGGGGAGGTTCTCGTATTGAGATCTATCGATGTTCGGCATGTTGGGTGGGTGTTGAGGCGGTCCCTGAGGACACGCTCCTGGAGGATGTCGCGGTTATCTTGCGAGCATGCCGTGATGACCAAACGAGCGCCGTGATGTACCTCGAAGGTGTATCCTTTGTTTCACATAACGCTCGCAGCGCTGTAGGTATGTACAGATAATGATCAAATATAACTGCGGATCGCAGAGACAGCTGCTCGTATCCGAGGATCGAAGGATGCTGATGATCCTCAAACGTGCCTGCTCCTCCGGGGGTGACCTCTTAGCCCCAAGCCGGAACATGCGCGGCTTCCATCTCGGCGGACGAAGTGACTTCTTGGCATGCTACTCCGCGGTGCTGTAACGAGGAATACCATTGCAGGGGACAATGTATGGTTCTATGTCGAGCTTCACATGGATCAAGTCACAGAGATGTACGCCTAGAGTCGGAAGTTGATTCAAATCAAATCGCTCGTGAACAATACAACATGGTAGGTATCAATCATAGGCGGTCCCTCGCCTGGATGCCAGCAAATATATTCCATCGCCCAGCAGAGGCAGCAAGTCCGCCACGGCCGTCCCAGATCTCACAAACCGTGCTTGCCGCTCTCGTTCTTTCCACCTCGCTCGCTTCTGGTAAACACTTCCTTGCTCGTCAAGTTGCCAACACCCTCAAGCACACCGCCCTTACCCAATTGCCCAGTGACACCTTCATTCACGCCATCCTGGATGGCATCGACGTTCTTGTCGCCAGTGATCTTGGTCTTATCCATCTCGCCTGTGAGGAGGCGTATCAGCATGATGTAGGAAAGTAGTCGGGGTACGCTGTAGGTGGGCAGTTTGCAGGCACATCGATTGCCGAGAGTCCCTCTAGATGAGTGCGACGAGTGGGCTGAACAGAAGCGGAGGTCAGGCCTTACCTTTGGCAACGTAGCTGGTCTTGTTCTGTCCCATCCATGCCAGATACTTGTCCTCAGCCCATGGCACCCACGACTCGTACTGGCGGTTGTAGAAGTTCTTGGCTGACTGCATGGTGGTTGTAGTAGTGGTGATGTCCGCGTTGGCGAGGTGAGGACGCTATGGACAGACTGTGCTGTAGATAGATTTGATATGATAAGTGGTATTTTGACGAGATCAGTTGAGAGCAGGCAGCAGACGCGTTCCTTCTTATCACAACTCACGTTCGAGCAGGGCCACTTGCAGTCCTGCCCACAGCCAGCGCCCAGACGAGCAATGCGTTCATGGGCGGGCAGTGGCTGATGTCACAAGCTGTGGCTTGCACGACAAACATCCTGGTCAATTCGTGTCAAGGCCGGTCATAATTGGGAGCATGTGCGTTTTCACTGGTCAGCGGAACAACTTTGCAAAGAAGCAAGAAACTGGAGGTGTCTGAGATGTTGGAAGGAGAGGGTACGTCATGGGCAGGGGTGGCCCTGGCTACGAACGTGGTCGTAGCGATCGGGGGATATCGATGATCATCTGCGTCGTCAATCGTGATGGAGCGAATTTTTGTGGGTGTAAGACACTGCCCAGAACGTGAGCGTGCCTGCTGTCGACCCCGAGTTTGAGAAGGCAAGAAGAAAGTCCGTACAACGGTGTTGGGCAACAAAAGCTTCAGCAACGCAGGCTTGGCGGAAACTGTTCGATCGATCATGACACCGAGCACTATACATCGTAGCGATACCTCAAACAATATACCGCGTTTGCTATTGGAGATCCTGCAAGAATTGAGCGACAACGTACGAGCATGGTGCAATTGATGCAGATGGTAAATGCTTGCGTACTGAAGCCCGCCAAGTCTCAAACCATGAAGTTGCACATCTCTGAGTAACTTTGGAAGCTACATGCTTTATAGACCAAAGTCTTCAGCCACCACCAACATCTCCTGCCAGTACCCAATACTGCTCCTGGTTGAAGAGTGCCGTAAACGCCATGCATAAGTCTCACATACTTGATCTACAATCTCCTCACCTCAATAGCCCACAAATTATGATCCCTGAGCGATCCTGCCCGCCTGCTCATCCGCAACCGACTCCTCGAACCAGTGCCTTATCCGCTCCGCCTTCTGGGGGCTGCGAACCTTGACATCCATCTTGAATGGCAGAGGACCGCCAATCAAGTTAGGTGTGAAGTCGTAGCTCGGAGGCGGCATTGGTTGGCCGTTCTTGTCCTTCTCGGGCTCGAGAGTGAAGCAACCAATAATCGATCCACAGGCAACGAGCAGCTCAGCTTCCGTGACCTCAATACCAGGACACATACGACGACCCATGCCGAAGCCGTGGTGACCCATGAGACGCGGGTGCTCGGTAAGAGGCTCCTTGTAGGTTGGGAATTCGGGCTCGAGCCAACGCTCTGGATGGTAGTTCTCTGCATCGGGGTAGAGTTTCTCGTCACGGGCAAGAGCAAGGTCGATGGCGTGGATGACGGCACCCTTGGGGAGGTAGTAGCCCTTGTACTCGTCGTCCTCCTCCAGCAGGCGGGGCACACCGAGAGGGACCGGTGGGCGCCAGCGGACGCACTCCTTGATACAGGCACGAAGGATAGGCAGGTTGGGTGCATCCGTGACCTCGACGACACGGTCGCCGATGACTTCGTCGTATTCTTTGCGGACCTTGTCTTGCCATTCGGGGTGGAGAACCATCTATGATAACATTAGTACTGCGATTTGACTGTGGTGTTTCTAATGTACTCACAGTGAGGAAGAAGCAGTAAAGAGGGCCACCAATGGTGAAGATGGCCACAGTAACCAACATGCCGACAGCATAAGCAGCCTCGTGGTCATCAAAACCGAAAGACTTCTTGCCAGTCTCGGCTTCCTTGCGCTCAAAGTATGTCTTTGCGTATGAGATGGGGGCGTTGCCTCATCCATCTCCTGGCGCACCTGCTTCATGAGTCCTTTCCAGAGTTTCTCTTCCTTCTCACGGCGCTCGCGGACCTTGCGAATCGAGGGATTGATCCATTCGGGAAGATTACCGAGGAGTGGCACGAGATTCGTAACGGAGCCTGAGGGAGAAATTTGGGGGATGAATTCTCCCGCGTCTGGATGTAATTAGCATATGAGATATTGTAGACTCCAGTGTGTACTGACTCTTGCAGTGGGCAGCAGACGACTCGGGGCGTCCATAGCCGAGACGAGCAGAGATGCGGCCGCAGAAACGATCGGTGAGCGCGAAATGATCCTTGGGGTCGATCAAGAGCTTGTATAGGAAGCGCTTGGCTTCGTGCGAGACGTAACCGTAGTACTTCTGGTTGAATCCGGCGGTCAGGACGGTGTGAGCGAACTTGCGCTGGTTGCGCCAATGGTCTAAATGTCAGGTCAGCATATGCATTCGTGCTCTCGCTTCGATTCGCCATACCGTCATGAGCCAAGAGAGGCAGATATTGACCCTGAGAATCACTGCCAGGAACGGCAGGGACCTGTGGGCGAGACGAGTAGATGCTGGCTTTCTTGCATAGAAGGTCGTACGCGACCTGTGCGTCTCCAACCCAAACGTGCATCTCACCACAGATAGTGGTTCGGAAGACGCCGTTGAATTCATCGGAGAACTTCCTCATCGCAAACCAGGGGCAGTTCGGATCGACGTCGTGAACGCGGCCGAGCCATGGAATCGTGCTTCGTGGGCCGGGCATGAGCTTCAAGCCCGAGCCTCTCGGAGGTTGGTCATGGATGAAGAAGTAATGGAAAAGGCGGACGGAGGCCACGAGGGCGAAGATCATGGTTCCGATCAGCCATTTGTAGCTAAAGATCGTGTTTGCCACGGTCTCTGGTTGGAACAACGCGTCGGTGGAGATATTATGAGAGTTCATGTAATCATGAACCTGGGTCATGATGACCGACGGCGAGATAGACGCCGCCATGATTCCTGATCTGCGGTGTCACGTTCGTGATCGTGCAGCCAGAAAGATGAGAACAAACAAGACAGGAAGAGAATGAATGAAGTACAATCAAAAGAAGCTCGAAAGGGGCAGGGCTAGACGTCGCTATATCAAACTTTACCAAAGTATAGAGCGAGGGGCGTTCCACACAACGTTCTCCTGCTTCGAGCAGTCCAGGACCCCGATCGTTGGCATAGCCGAAACACGGTTGGCTATACCGCAGCATTAGACCCGAATCAGTAGTAAACGTTTGAAAGGCGCAGCTACGTAGGACCTGCTGGGACACCGAAATTGAGAGGTTGTCCGTGGCCAAGGTGAAAGGAGTCGATGGAGTCGGATAGAGTAATTTCAGGAGGATTTGCCAGAGATGTCGTAGATTTCCTACCAATCAGCAATCTGGCGGAGAGTCCAATCCCAGCAAGATCAGCCCCGGACTGGACAAATTTAGGTCCATCGGTGGTTCTCCTGTACCACTCCGTGAACAATGTCACAGATTCTTTCCCGCATCAGGGCTTCAATACCCGAAGCACAGGTCTCACCCGACGATGCGCGTGAGCACATGATGTACAACGAAGTAAGCAGTCAGTGCCGTTGCGCCATGTGTTTAGGTGAGGGCAGCGAACAGTACGAGAGATGTTGTCTCTATGAGGCGACTTTGAAGGAGTCCGGAGAGCGTGGGCGCAGGGCACTTTGCGCTTTCCCCCTTTGGGACGATGAGTCCGAACGCTAGCATCGACGAATCATCGATGAACCTTGTCGGTCGCATAAGGCGACATGAGTACTGTTGTACAAGACCACGAGGCTCCTGTCTCCGTTGCAACGACAGACGCGATGCAGTCGTCTTACTAACGAAAAGGGCAACAGAAGTGTTCCGCGAAGCCGCCGACCAAATCAAGTACTTACCGTGGACTGTAGGTGAGACTGAAGCAAAGCTGCACAGGGCAGTTCACTCCATCTTCATCGGTACCCAACGCTACATTGTGGTCGATAATCCGATGCTGCAGTGACTGCTACTCGAAGAGGAACAGGACCGTCCGCTGATTGCTACTGAGATCAACAAAAATTCTTCTGCTGACATTCTTGATGGATAGTTTGGGTTGTCAGTAATAAGTTATCACTATGCTGATTGCCGAGGCCAAGAACTATCTGCAGAATGAGTCTGACTACCAACGCCGCTACAGAGCATCCGAGCGGAAGATGCGCTTCACACTTGACATGCGGGACGGCGACGTCGCAGCGGCAGGCGTCGAATGAGGTGACGCCGGCGAGACCGTCCCTTCCTTCTTCGTTGCCTCCTTTTCTGGCTCCACCGATTCCGTGCCGAGAGCAGTCGGTTCAGACGCAGGCTTCTCTCCTGGTGCGCTGTCGCTGGGCTTCCTGACGCTGGATCTGACCTGGCTGAATTGTGTCCGTTGCTCGACACTAAAGGCGACGCCATTCTCCACCATGTCTTCTGGATCCATATCAGCTGGGCTGCTGGGTCTGTAAACCTTCCGGATGACCACTGTTGTGTACAAAATGACGACAAGACAGGCCATAATTGCATATAAAATAGGAACGACCCGCGGCCAAGGACCTTTGCGCATCGGCAGCTCCTTGTCAAGCTTGGCCGAGTATGCGAACCCGAGGCCGCCGTGAATCAGTCCAACAAGCAGGAGAGTTCGACCTTTCCAGATGTGTATGTGCCCAATGAACTTGATCTTCGGCCATCGGCGGTAGAGGAAGTAGTTGATGAGCTCGGTGAATGGTTGCAACGTGAAGCCGGCGAGTAGTATCATTCCCATGATCGGGTGGAAACCAACAAGCTGGTTTGCAATTAGCATGACGCAAGGATGTCAACCGGCAAACTCACCTTTTTCTCTACAGCACCCATATAGATGCCGATGGCAGCAGCGCCCAAGAATAGCAAATAGCCCAGCATCTGAACTGCCGCGTGGACCCAGACGTTGTGGTAGTGATACCAAACGCGATGGATCATACCACCGAAAGGGAAGACGAATAAGAAGGCCGTGGCGCCGAGAGAGAAATGAGCAATCCTTGCGGGGGGAATAGTTGCCACCCATTCAGGCCACGCGGCGCCGGCCCACGCGCCAGCACCACCAGCACCACCAGCGGCACCATTCCATGCCCCGTTCCCGCCCGCTGCACCTCCTGCGCCAGGCCAAGTACCTGCCGCACCTCCCGCTGCACCTCCTGCGGAAGCCCCTGGCCATGTACCTGCTGCAGTCGCAGGCATACCTGCCGCGCCATTGCCTGTCCAGGCACCGGTCGCTGCCGGCCAGGTGCCTTGCGCGGGATGGGTCACACTGGCGGCTGTCGTATACGGTCTCGCGTTGCTGTCCGACGTGTTGAAGGCGACCGGCTGACCAAGAAGAGTTTCTCTAGGCTCGATTGCTGCGCGTGCATTTGCGGACACTGTATATCGTCAGTATTGACCTGGTGCTTGTCCTGTTCCAACTTACCAGCAAGCAGGGCTATCGCAGCAAGTTGACATCTGCCCTTCTTGGAGCTATACAATGCCACCATGTTTGCGCGCAAATCACTTAGTGTTGAGGGTAAGGCTGATGCTCCGTATATCCGACAGGATAGCCGTTTGGTTGCGGCTGCTGGGGATATGCCGCTGCAGGTTGTGTTGGAGTGTCTTGGGGAAGGCCTGACTTCTTTGCTTGACGCTTCTTCCACCAGGCCAGAAGCTTTTTCGCAGAACCGATAAGGTGCTCGATGTCCTTGATCTTTCGAGTAAGGGACATGGTGAGAAATCGGAGATGGTCCGGGAGACGACACAGGTGTATGTTGAATCAAAGAAGTGGTTGGGCAGGACTTGATTTCCGGGAACGACATTAGTTGTTAGCCGTCGGCAGACGACGTGACCTGGGATGGGTGATAAAGAGCACGATGCGACGGATGCGGGCAGATGGTAGCAAAACAACGAAAGAATTCGGTCGTCATGGACAGATACGAGAGCAGTCTTTGTTGCATGCGGTCAGTGGCGGTCGCGAACGACCACAGCAGACTCACAGACCACGAAATGTTGGCGATGACTGCTTTTGGATGCGATGGCTCGTGCGCTTGCCTTTATGGCGGTCTGTGCTGGACGACACTGGTCGTTGGCAGCGCCAGAAGCAACCTTTGGCCATGAAGCAGCATGAATGTATCTTCGCGCGTGCAGCAAGAGCCTATCGAACCATATCAATTCATCTTTACAGGTCACCAACAAAGTGGCTTCGCTATTGGCGTAACCTGGATCTGTCAGCTACCTGATCGAGAAATGCAGGACGATGCTGCGTGACCAGGGGTCGTGTAGGCTGCAGACTCGCGGCGTTGATATAGTTTCGAGAGGCGAGAGATGGTGACATAGAGGAAGGGAACCTTTGAAGAGCAAGCCTGAAGTACGTACCGTAGACGTTCATTCCCATAGGACCAGGAGTGGATCTTGCCCTGTCCAATCAACACGTAGGAGTTTCTAACTACTGCCCCTCTATCAGAGTTGCACCGTGCGACACGATTGTCTTTGAGAAGCGCTCATGAAGTCTGTGTTTATTTCGATAGTGTTCAATCACCACAGTTTTGAATACGATACTGCAGTCAGCATCGCGCAATGGGCTCCATCTCGCAACCTGCCATAACGGCCAAGCCTCGCTTCGTTGTCATCGGAGGAGGCTCTCGCGGGGCGGCTTATGGCAGGGCCGTCCAGGCGTCGACTAATGGCCAGATTGCTGTCATAGCGGAGATAAATCCCTTTGTGAGGGAGGAGTTCGGTCAGAAGTACATCTGGGGTGAGCGCAAACCGGCTGATCACGAATCATTTCCAAGTTGGGAGGCCTGGCTGGAATGGGAGCAGGCTCGGCGTAAGAACCCTTCCATTGTGGCAGATCCAAATTATGTCCCAGTCACAGGTGCGTTCATATGCACACTGGATGAGAGTCATGTCCATATCATCAAAGCTATCGCCCCTTTGAACCTGCATATTCTTTGCGAGAAGCCATTGGCACTCTCGCTCAAGGACTGCTTGGACATATCGACTGCTCTGGCTGAGCATCCAAACAAGATCGCATCGATTGGCCATGTTCTCAGGTACTCACCACACAACATCGTGCTCCGGGCGCTTTTGCTGGAGCAGCAGTCGATTGGCGAGATTGTGTCTATCGAACACACGGAGCCCATCGGATGGTGGCACTTCAGTCATAGCTATGTCCGCGGCAACTGGCGTCATGTCAAGCCTGACGGAGTCGGCTCGTTGCTCACCAAGTCGTGCCATGACATTGATTTCTTGATGTGGCTTCTCACTTCGCCATCGTCTCTGACCGGCGAGAAACCACACCTCCCTTCGACTATAACATCAACCGGCCACCTAACGCAATTCCGAAAGTCTCGCAAGCCCCGGCGAGCGGGCAATGCGACGAATTGTCTCTCTTGTCCAGCAGCGGATGAATGCTCGTATGCTGCTCAGAAATTGTACCGCGACCACTGGCTCCGCAAAGAGCGGGACACGGGCTGGCCTCTGAAAATCGTCGTCCCTGAGATCGAAGACATAGTGGCAAAGTCAGGTTGGGACGGCGCAGAAACAAAGCTGATGTCCCGTTTGGGCGAGGACTATGACACTACCATGCCTTCTTCCGAAGTTGAAGAACGAGGCTGGTATGGTCGTTGCGTATACGAGTCCGACAACAGTGTTGTGGATGATCAGACGGTGGTCATTGGTTGGGAAGAGGACCCCGTCACTGGCACTCCTTCAGAAAACGGATATGGACGAGGCCCCAAGACGGCCGTCTTCCATATGACCGCTCCAACCGAAGCACAATGTGACCGCAGGGGGAGAATATATGGCTCTCAAGGCGAAATAAGCTATGACTCAAAGAGTATATCTGTATACACTTTCGCGGACCGCAAGACTATTACTCATGTCATTCCAAAGCAGGCACCGGAGGTTGAGAAAGCTCATGGTGGTGGTGATTGGGGTCTAGCTGGAGCATTTGTGAGGGCCGTTGAGGAGGTCGACAACGGAACCTTGGAAGTCGGTGAAGCACAGTGGCGTTACGTTGGATGCGGCTTACAGGAGATCATCAGAAGCCACGGCGTGGTGTTCGCCGCTGAAGAGGCAAGAAATAAGCGTGCGGTGGTCGACTGGAAAGACTTCTGCTCGAGGACTGGTTGTCCGGTCTAGTCAAGCCTTTCATTCCTGGCGTTGGAAGCTGCCGGACCATGCCACTGTCATTGCTACGAATCTCATGAACATACGGAAATGACTGACATGGCAGGAGCAAGTGCAACTGAAAGTCGACCGCCGTTGGCTCCATACCTGACCGACCCGATGCTTCATGCTCCCCGAACCAAATGTGAGTCACCAGCGAACGAGGCAGCTTCCTCTAGTTACTTGCGGCAGGCAGAGATTCACGTCTTTATATCTTTCTACGACCAGATTTTGGGTCAAATCAGCGCACAAGCGTCGAGATCCTCGTCGATTTCGATGTACCTACAAGTTTCCGAATTGGTGTAGTGGTAACATCCATGACTCTCATCACGCTGTTATGCGAGGCCTCATGTGCCACGGGTTCAATTCCCGTATTCGGAATTCCCTTTTTGCTCTTCTACTCCTTGGTCATCGATTTTGAGTGGCCGAGGTCGTCCGAGTGAGGCAGCAGCGACACGGCACGCAAATGAGGATCCGCTAAGGACAGTTCGACACCTCCAAAACCAGCCGGCTCACAAGGCACCTTCCATGAGGTCAGAATCGAAGACAGACCACGAGTTCCCTGGTTAACAGACTCCTAAGACCGATCAGAACAAAGAGGCGATCGCCTGGGGGGTTTCTAGCTGCCGCTAGCTTCACGAAGGTGAGATGAGAATGATCTGGTCCGGTTCGCTTTCGCGTCCTGAAGTAGCACTGGGCTTGACGTCGACGGACAACCATCACAATGTACATATAACCTCGGATGCCCTCAACCTTCTTGCTCGGATCTTATGGTACGAAGCGGCTTGCTAGAAAGCGCTTGTTTCTACCTGGTGCAAATGTTCATGTATGAACAGCTGCCGCTTTGACGTCCGAGCATTGACCACCGGCCGTGCTTATCTGACGTCAATATCAAACATGGTGGTAGATCATGCCCAGGCATATTTAGCCTAAGCTGAGCTTCCCCAGCCTTGGCACATGGCTCAAGTCCGGCCCCACCACAGTAACGACCAAGAACCAACCACTCTCAACACATCGTGCACTGTACTTGCATCTAGTACACCTATCCTATCTCAATCAGGCAGGCCGTTGTACCTCAGCACTCGACCCCAGACCTCGGTCTATTGAGCCAAGACGGCCGCTTCGACCTCAGTCTCCGCATGATCACATTAAGCCGGTTACCGTACTGGGCGAAGTCGGCGACCGGATCCTACATCATGTTTGCGAGCATGTAAAGAATGAATTCTGGCTATTATGCCGGCGGCTTGATGACTTGGTATAGATCCAGCTATATGTAAGTGCCCTCGTATAAGACGCAAAGGTAGGTTGGAACTCCGCTACCCCAATTTCTTCGAAGAGCGGTCGAGGCAACGCAGAACTCGCCATCATGCTGCTCACCACATTCGCTGTACTACTAGCCAGTGCATTGGCACACGAGTATCCAGACTGCTCGAGTGAGCCACTCTCTAACAATTCAGTATGCGACACTTCGCTCTCAGCACGCGAGCGTGCTCAAGCTCTGATCGATGCCATGACCATCCAGGAGAAGCTGAATCTTACACACAACAACTCTCCCGGCGTACCGAGACTGGGTCTACCAACCTATAACTGGTGGGGCGAAGCTCTGCATGGCGTTGCTGCAGCTCCAGGTGTGCAATTTGAGGACTCGGGCGAGTGGTCATACGCGACCTCATTCCCTCAGCCATCGTGATGGCAGCAGCATTCGACGATCCGCTCATCTACTCAATCGGTGAGGTCATCAGCACGGAAGCAAGGGCATTCAGCAACGCGAACAAATCTGGTCTGGACTATTGGACGCCAAACATCAACCCGTTCCGCGACCCGCGCTGGGGACGTGGTCAGGAGACGCCGGGCGAGGACACCTACGTGGTCAAGCGGTACATCGAGAATATGGTGACGGCTTTGCAAGGCGGTCCCGAGCCCGAGACATACAAGATTATCGCCACTTGCAAGCACTACACAGCATATGATATGGAGTTCTGGCAGGGCAACACCCGCTACGGCTACGACGCGAAAGTCAGCGCACAGGACATGGCTGAGTATTACATGCAGCCGTTTCAGCAGTGCGCAAGAGATACCAAGGTGGGCTCTATCATGTGCGCCTACAACTCAGTCAACGGTGTGCCCAGTTGTGCGAACTCGTACACCATCGAATCCGTGCTTCGGGGTCACTGGAACTGGACTGCCGATGAGAACTACATCACTTCGGACTGCACCGCGATCCAGAACATCTATACAGATCATCATGCTTTCCCCGACCGTCAGCAAACAGTTGCAGCGGCACTCAACTCTGGCGTCGATATTGACTGCGGCTACTACAACCCCACCTTCCTCCCATCAGCCTACGAGCAAGGCCTCTTCGAAGAAGCCACCCTCGACCGCTCCCTACTCCGCCTGTACACCGCCCTCGTCAAATCCGGCTACTTCAACTCTGCCGAATCCCAACCTTGGCGCTCACTCGGCTGGTCCAACGTCTCAACCCCGGAATCCGAAGACCTCGCCCTGCAAATCGCCGAGGAAGGGCTCGTCCTCCTCAAGAACGACGGCACTCTCCCCCTCTCCCTCCCTTCAGAAGGCAACCTCACCGTCCTCCTAATCGGCGGCTGGTTCAACGCCACCTCCGAAATGCAAGGCATCTACGCGGGTCCCGCACGCACACTCGTCTCCCCGTGGATGGCACTCAACAACATGAGCAACATCAACATCGAGACTATCCAGTGGTACGAGTCTCCCCTCATCAAAGCGAACGAGCTGCAACCAGACGTCATCGTCTGGATCGACGCCACCCACGAGGGCGCCGAGGAGACCGCCGACCGCAACACGATCAAGTGGGATCTGATGCAGCCTGACGCCGTCGAGTCCGTCGCCACAACGGGAATCCCCACTGTGGTGGTGCACATGGGCGAGCAGTGCGACGATAGCATGTTCTTCAGCAATGCGAACGTAAGCGCTGTGCTGTGGGCGGGGTACCCGGGTATGTTCGGCGGACAGGCGATCATCAATACCCTCTTCGGTGAAGTCGCACCTGCAGGGAGGATGCCGATCACGCAGTACCCGACCAACTACGTGAACGAGGTTGCGATGACGGATATGGGTTTGCGACCTGACAGTGAGACCGGCAATCCTGGGCGTACGTATAAATGGTACGACAATGCAACCGTGGAGTTCGGGTTTGGGCTGCACTACACCAACTTTACCGCAGAGATCATCGCCGTCGAGACAACATCCTTCGACATCGCCCAGCTCGTACAGGGCTGCGACTCATCCAGCCTCACGCACGTCGACCTCTGCCCCTTCCTTCCAGGCGGAGCTCCTCGACATCCTCACTCGAAGTCAACGTCACCAACACAGGCAACACCACATCCGACTACGTCGCCCTCGCGTTCGTTGCCGGCGAGTACGGTCCAGAACCACGCCCACGAAAATCACTGGTCGCGTATCAGCGGTTGAAGGGCGTTGAAAGCGGCGCGAGTCAGACGGGAGCATTGAACATCACGCTAGGTGCGCTTGCGAGGTATGATGTGAGTGGTAATGAGATTCTGTATCCGGGCAGCTACAGGATCCAGATTGACGTGCCGGTGTTGGCGACGTGGGAGTTTGAATTGACTGGAGCTGAAACTGTGTTGGATCATTGGCCGCAGTCGTGAGCGGACTGACACAAGCCCACGAATCATCAATAAGCCGCGAATGTTGATGTAGGCATGAGAAGTAACGTAATTATGCTCGTTCAGCACTGCTCGTGAGCCTATTCTTCCTATGAATATGGAGTGATTATCAACTCGCGGAATCCTACCAAGGCAAGGCAGCTTTCCGCTCCTCGCGGCCGCCCCATCGCCTCACTTCTTCGGCGGCGAGAAAGCACTTTGCACACTCCCATACCCCTGCGGACACTTCCTCCCCAACGCCACATTCCCGGACCGCATATAGCAAGCTCGCGCCTCGGCACACTCGATATTCGTACAGTTGGGGCTTTTCACACTATGCCTTCCCTGCAGCGTGTTCTGCAGACTTCCCAGTTCCGTGTTCTGCTCCATCTCCTCACTCAGCAAATGCCAGAACGTTGCGTTCAGCGGCGCTTCTTTCGGCCAGGAGCTGTTGATGTACGGGGTGTAGGTGTCCCTGGTGGAGTACTCGAACTGCCAGACGGGACCGGAAGACTCGATCTGTGGGACCGTGGCTGGAGCCGAGGAGAGGTTCATGTAGTAGGTGTAGGCTTCGTAAACTTGGAAGTCGCCGGTGTCGACCATGTACATCCTGAACGAAGGGTTGACGTTGGTGAGAGGCGTCATGCTCGGTCCGATCCAGCCTACGGTCTGCGCTGTGTCTGCTGTCTGCTTGGTGGCGTTGTTGGCGTAGTAGATCATGAGTTCGTCTTCGTGCGTGTGGCCGAAGAAGATATTGGCGATCACGTGTGGGCTGTATCGATCGACGATCTGGTAGAAGAGATCTGTGGGGTTGGGCACTGGGTTTGTGCCATCCCAGCCTGTAAGGACGTGGCCGATGATCCAGACGCGCTCGCCGTGGGACTCAGCGTAGGCGAGCTCTTGTGCTAAGAAGAGCAGAATGCCGCTGTTGTCTGGGTTTGTTGTGTTGATGAAGTTTAAGAAGTTGTTGCGGTACCAAAAGTCTGTGTTCAGAGTGATGATCCGCAGCTTAGAGTATACTGGATGGTTTATGGAGTAAGCACCATAATGAGTCCGCGCTTCCATGGCCGCCTCCGGCGTGATCCAGTTATTCTGTTGCCAGAGCCCAGACACATGGTCAAAGTTCCAGCTCTGCTGTTGACCAAGCGGGCCAGGAAGATTGTGTGGGCTGTCGATAGCGTCCGGATTCGTGTCGTGGTTCCCCAGTGCTGTGAAGATCGGCCCAGACGGCATGTAGTGCTTCAACATGCTATAGACAGAGGCCTCTGTGTACATTGTATAGTTGCGAGAGAGCATGTTCTGATCGTCGTGCGACACAAGATCTCCGGTGTATATCGACCATGCAAATTGATGATCGCATGTCTTGTTGTCGTGGGTGGTGCCGGTCAAAGGACCGATTGCTTGTAGTCCAGACGTGATCAGATAGTATGGAGCATCACAATTGTAGTTTCCATAGAGCGCAGCGCTGCTGGTCAAGTTTCCTGACTTGCTCTTGGACTGTGGACGACAGCACAAGCCTTCCGTACAACTGCCTTCACTACCAACATCATAGCGTGGATCAAGATGGAAGTCGGAGCCGTGCCAGACCTTGACCAGTTGCCCACTGGGCTTTGGTGCTTCGCAATTATCTGGCTTTGGTCCGAAGTATGCTGAAGTGTCCGAGGCGATAGTGAAGGGCCTGGGACAGAACGTCGAGCTCACACGATTGCAGATAGCTTGGCCGTCCTCATCCATCTTCGCTAGTCCAAGGACCTGTGTCCATATGGACCCAAAATCCTCAGCCGTGTACTCAATTCGACATGATTCGTTGGACATGAACTTTGTCTTCTGACACAGAGCGACCAGTAAGTCAGGGACTTGTTCGGGTATGCGTTGCGCCACATATCTATTGCAGCCAGGTGATCAGCAATAGGCGATGAAGAGTGAGCTCACACGACGAAACCAATGCCAACCATTTCTCGATGAACCATGGACCGAACAGGGAAGTCCGCAGAAGCACTTACTGTCCAACCTTCAGCGCCGACACACACTTGGTACAATTGCTCCCTCCACTAGCAAAGATCTCCTGAATCTCAGCCCGCGCCTGAGCAATAATCGCCGAACCATTTTTGAAGTCTCCAATCGGCTCAGGAAAGTAAATGGGATCATCACTCTCCTCAGGAATGGTAGCAGGGTCAGTCAGCTCTAACGGGAAGGTGTATCCAAGGACATCGTCGTGGATGATAGGCTGGGGCTCCTGGGTTGGTGACGGCGGGATGTAGTATGCTGGAAATAGAGACGTGGGAAAGCCTGGCGGGACTGTGTATGCAGCTACCTGGCTTTGAGCAGATTGAGCCGAGGCGTGCTGGCAAGTGCATGTCAGGACTGCAAACGCAGAAAGTAGCAGTCCGCGAGCCATGTTGAACAGCGAAGACGAGCTTTGCAGTGGCCGGTTAGTCGAGAGCTCATCAAGTCCCGAAGAAGCGGTACATATGTACACGCAGACCCGCGGCATCTGGTTTACGAGACCCATCACGATGATCTCCGCCATGCATAAGTCTTACCGGGAACATGACGTTGTCGTGGGTGGTCACTTTGACTAGCGCACGCAGCTCCCGCCGGTAAAAGAGGCAACTTTCTTGGGAAGGAACGAATAGCGTAGGTCTGCCAAGCACGTGCCTGAGAACTTAGCTACACCAAGCTTGTTTAAGCTGAGGCTTGAGCTGCACTATGTTCCGAGAGGACGGGTCTAAACCATTGTCTTCTTGCCTCTGAGACGAGAAAATGAGTTATTGCAGCTCTACAATGACGGTTACATAGAAGTGTGGGAAGCAATTGTTACTCAAGGAATGCTTTGAATGCTCTCAAGGAGCCGAAGTATGTGCCTTGGCGTTATCTCATTCTGGCAGGATTTCCGCCCTCCAGATTGCTTACACAGTCAGCTCGTACCAGAGCGGAAAATGTTGCTCGCTTCTACGAGTCCGACGGACAGTCGCCGCAATCTCTGTGCATAGCACAAGCATCGAGCCAGGTTTCCAATGTCAACCATCCGTGGGGCTGGCTTGGCGTGAAGCAGCTCTGCTGTATCCGTGGAAGTATCATGCTATTATGAAGACCTCTCGCGCTCATGGCGGGTCTTCACCAACTTTCTGGGCCGTGGGTAATGCGATCTGATCTCCAAGAATATCTAGGACCCCTGGGCTCCAGTCAGTGTGAAGTGACCTTGCAGCGGTGCGCAGACTTGTGTTGACGCGGTCAGACCTCCGTCCTGCTCGCAGTCTTCATTCCGTGATAGCCCGCCAGTGTGGTCGCTCCACTTACATGTGCTGTTGTGATCGATGGAGTACTGGTACGTTATCGTGGGTGCAGCCTGGGAAGACCTGATATGTGAGGCTAACCAGCATGCCTGTCTATCCGATGCGGAAAAAGCTGGTTCACGTTCGTCCGCGGTTTTCATTCGCCAGCATTGTCTCTCTCTCGCTCCTCCGCCTGTTGCGCCAGCAGCCTGTCCCTCTCCCGCGTCGCTTGTTCCAGCTCCCGCCTCGCCTCTTCTAACTCCCTCCTCCTCTCGGCTGGACCATTACTCCACATGGATATGGTCGCCAGATCCAAGAGACCCGTCCAGTGATCCACACAGCCAAGCTCGCCATCAACAAGTATTTGCTGATTTTCGGCCACGGTATGACTCTACCCCGCCAAGCCAGCAAAACCCGGGAACGGACAGGTATCAGAATCGAGATCGCAGTCAAGAACATCAGAGGCTTAATCAGGGTCTCGGCGGTGACATAAGCGTACATGAGGCGGACGACGGAACTGGGCGAATTTGTTGAAGGTGCTCGTGTAGATCTGGGTGCGGGCGCCGTCGTGGGTGTATCTGTGGGCGTAGCTGCGTGTGCCGGCTGAGCAGTGCCATCTGCTGGAGGGGTTGGTGGTGGCATCACGTAGGTGTGGTGCGATAGCAGACGTCGAGTCTAGATCGGACAGCAAGCACTCTGTGAGGTCGCGGAGAGCTAGCGGATCTTCTGCGGCTCGATTTAGCAGCAGTCGCTGGAAAACGATTTGACTGACCAAGCCAATTCAGAGAGAGCGTCCGATGTGCCAAGAACAGATGGGTTTGAATGATGGACGTCGCCTCGGATTAATCCTCCAACACGGTAGGCGTCGATATCGTTGAGTGATCGAAGCTTGCTCTGCACGCACAAACAGGTCGCGAGGAATCGGTGACTTCGATCTGTTCTCACGTGAAGTGCGCCTTTGTCGCAAGAGAAAGTAGGTGCTGTAACCAGGATATCGAACCTCGAGTTCGTGATGCAACGCTGGCAAACAGAACACTTCGAAGGAGACTTAATCGACTCTACGCACTGTTCAAATAGACATGAGGCTCGCTGCCGGGAATTTCGAAACACAGCTACTGTAACAATCGGAATAACGAAAAAGATTGTGGAGAGTAGCAAACACGTGTTGAATGACTTCAACAAGGTGAAGCAGAGCCCTCTGGAAGTCGCAACGAGGCGGCAGTGACGCTGCTCAAGATCCACTTTCAGGTGCTCGAACCAATCACCACCGTTCGAATCCTTCACTTCAAGTTCAAGTGGAAGTTGGTGAGAGAACTATATTGATGGAAATAGCGACCCACCGATAACACAGATAAAGGCACACTGGCGCTTCGCACTGTCGCAGGAGGTCACGCTAAACTCGGAGGCAAGGAGCCAATATAGGTTAGGCAGAGGAAGGCAGCAGAAGTATGAACTGTACATCATTCATTTCTCAACGAAACCACAGGCTTTCTATGACAAAATGGTATAAAAGTCTTTCATCTCCGCTTGCTGACACGCTGCGTAGCCAAACAAGCATGACCGGATATATCGTACTCCAGATCATGCAGATCCATAAAGAACACCACCACAGGCGACAAGTGCCAGACTCCGCCTCACCACCCGAAACCTTCTTCTATCAGGTCGACGTTCACTGACCGTGACAGTAGTATTCTCGCTGCTCGTCGCACCTCATCTGCCAGACCACCGCCCGAGCACACACTGACGCCCAGCGCGCCCACCTTCTCTCTCGCTTCCGCCTCCATCAGAGACTGCACGTCAGGTCGACCACGGACCATCTTCACTGTCTCGCTGGGTGACTTGATTGGCTGGGTGAGGCCTGCTCTTGTGATGTAAAGAATGATCTTGAGAACATCTCGGCGGTTCTCGATGCCGAGGATTTCGTGCATCCATGGCCGAATCCATTCCAGGCAGTCTGTTGATGTTACAGCCCAGACGAGAGTTACTCTGCGTGCGGCGACGGTGCCATCGTTGTAGCCCTCGAGAAGCTGCTTGATGTACGGAATCTGATGTGTGATGCCGACGCCACTGGCGAAGAGCATGACAGTGCCGTAGCTGGCCATGCTGCGATCACCACCATACGGGCCTTCGATGCAGGCATTGAAGGTCATCTTGCCCGGGTCTGGGCCATCATTGCGAGCTACACGGTCGTAGAGTTTGCCAGTCATGCCGGTCCGAGCTTTGATGACAAGCGAGTATGTAGCCTTCTCCATCTCCTCAGGCTCACGACCCCTGACGATAGGCCGCTTCTCGTCGTCGCTCCAGACCTTGGTGTTGCTGCGCTTAACAGTCTTCGATCTTGACAGGCCATGGTCTGCGTCTGACCATGCAATGGAAAAAGGATGAGCAGTGAAGAGCCCGATGCTTGGAATGGTGAGATACATTGACTGGCCAGATCGATACTTCCATGGGCGAGGAGTGGTCAGTGTGACTCGCATGGCGTCGCCTGGCAGAGCTTCCACAGTAGCCTGGCATCTTCCACGACCTCCCCATGTACGGTAGGCCAGGGTGGCAAAGCGCCATGCTCGCATAGTGGCCCAGACAGCGATCGTGGCGATGAGGAATCCGAGTTGAGGGAACTCCTTGAGATGCAACCAAAGGAAGCCGAATGAGACAAGGACGAGGAAGATGTGACCGTACAAGAAGACCTCGTACGCCCATGACCGAACAACCTTGGGTGCTTGGAAGAAGATGATGACGAAGCCGAGAGTGGCAGCAAGTCCACTGTAGATAAGCTGACCATGCAGAGACTGGTTCACCCCCTCCCAACCCTTCTGCTGGACCTTGGCGATCGTCCAACAGAGAGTATGAGCCACAGCTTGGAGGATTGACAAGCGTCCGAGCCATCGGTGCATCATGTTGAACGTATCATATGAGATATCGAGGAGCTCGATCAATGGATTCTTGATGGTAGCCATGACGAGAATGGGCACTAGGTTGGCCACCGAGAGAGTGCCAGTTCGGTTGCGGAGAATTGGCAATACTTGAAGCTGTTCATCTTTCCAGGGGACCTCCCAGCAGCATGCAAAGACATTGACGACGATGACGGCAGTAATGAATAATGTCTGGAATCTGGTAGCAAGGCGCCAAAGTTGAGGAATCGGTGGAATTGAATCTCTGTGGCTCGCTTATGCCGAAATGTTGGTGCATACAGAATGTGATCTTTAATCCAGTTGACTCTGGCGTCGCCGATAGCGAAGTATTTTTGTGATTTTGCAGACAAGCTGGTCAGATGTCTCATATGAGCATGTATCCGTACCGCACTTCGGTATATGAAGATGACTACCGCGAATGCCGCCAGTGACCACGCATATCGCTCGCTGAGTTGCCTGTTTAACCGTGTGAGGTATGCTTGCGTCTCGGAATTTTCTTGTTGGTACGTTCCAGTTGCGGCCGCTGACACTGTTGTCGCTAGAACGAGCCACGGAAGTATCTGCGACATCTCGTGTGTTGTGTCGGAACTCGTGTTCGCACGGCTAAAACCGTGGATCGATAAGGATCTGACGCAGAAGCCACCAGCGAAAGAGTGTAGCTGGCTGTGGCTGGCTTTTTCGACACTTCAACAGAGGCTCCCAGTCCAAACGAATGACAAAGGTGAGGTGGTGCTGGAAGTGTGCCTTGTGTGTAGAGGACGCAAAGGGAAGAGGTGAGGGACAGAAAGCAGTAATGAGCAGCAAGAGAAGCAGGGCGGAGTGCCTTAGGTGGGCGGATGGCTGATTGCGGTGGAGTTCCCAAGGGCAGGCGAAGGAGCCAAGCAAGCAATGGAAGCTGGGTGGCAGCCTTGGTCTTGCGATTTTCTACTTGCGAAGTCTGGGCCTATCTCGCGCAGGTGCCGATGCTACCTCCTCTATATGGTCTTTGACTGTCACTGGCCAAGCTGGTCCAAACAGAGATATGCAGATGTCTTTGCAAGAAGGTGACGAGGCAGGTTTGGAATGCGAGAGCTGCATGTCCACAGAAGGCCGGATAGACGAGCATCATGGTGCATACGCCTGCATCGATAGCGGAGCAGCAGGCACCGCGTGTCCTTTGGCTTTGCTAGGAACATCGCATGACAACCAAAGGGGCGATGGCCGACCGCCAGGGCGAGAAACAAGGGGATCGACCTGGCAGGAGACGAATTCAGACGAGGTCGGAAGGGCACCAATCAAGCAGCAATGCCCCTGCCAAGCGAAGTTAGAGTTGATTAGCCAGGAACAACCGACTCGTCCGCTCATCGTTGTTGTTCGCTATCACTGACCATCCACTCGTTTGTGCTTCCCTGTCGTCTGCGAACATCGTGCGACGGTCTGGACCCAAGCAGGACTCGAGCGTCGCGATAGGTCTGCTTATAGGCCTCCTCTGGCTACAGTGATCTACACCTTCGGCTATGCTATGCTATGCGCTCGACCCGTCAGCCAGCCCGAGAAGCTGCTGTGCCACAGCATATGCATGGGGCCGCTCCCAGCAATAATGAAGGCTCGATACTCTCGTGTGCCATCGGACATCGGTACTGCATCGGCATAGCCTACATGACCCCCGAGCATTCCAAGACCCGGGTGTCTGAGAATGGATGTCTTTTGTGGACATGACGACATGAAACACCACTATTCCGGTTCGCTTAAACTCTATCGGTGATTCTCCCGTATCGAAGCCACACGACAACGGCTGGGCGTCGATATCCTCCGACAACGATATCGATGACGACGATCTTCTGCGACAAGAACTACGTACACTTCACAGTCTGTTGTCGACGACTCTCTGGGCATCTTCTCGAGACCGTTTTATCGCAGCTGTTTTCGAGCAGCAGCGGGGAATGGATATGGTCAGCAAATGCGACCCAGCCAAATCCTTGTAGGTGTGTTTCATAGTGAACTCTGTGGCCCTTGCGGCGTTCATGTCAACGCTTTTGCGAGCCTTGCAGCGAGAGGCGCAGATTGAGAGTCCGGGGCCATACGAGATGGTGCTGGGTCTCCTTTGCGAGGCTGCGAGGTATTGTATCATAGAGCACGGTGCAAGACCACCCTCGTGGTCCGTTCCACAAACATGCATCCTACGCGAAAAGTGTCGTGCGTACGTCGGTTTGGACGATGATGTCCAAGATCATTTGCGGGTCTATGCACTGGCCGATATCCTTTACAATCGCCGGAAGGTACCGAGCAGTACTTCTTGGGCGCTTTCTTCGACGGCGCGTCGGGTAGGTCGTGCTCAGAGCACAAAAGAGACAGTAAGCATTCTCGCGACTTTCGATGGGATGGTATCTACAGCGCATGGCCTGGCCCGGACGATGAATACTGGTCATGTCCAAGGACTGGCTGTATCATCGTTCTATCAAGGGTCGCCTCGACTTCCGAAAATGGTTCGCTCCGCTCTGCTCATTTGCACCTTGGCTAAGTGTCGTGATCACTTCTTCAGGGCTCGCACCGTCGAAACGACGAAAACTCATATGTGAATCAACATCGCTGTCTGGCCCGTGTCGTGCAGTGCTACTTCGACAATCTTGGAGCGTACGCAATCACCCAGCATGATGGCCTATGCTTGCAGACATGAGACAGATCTTGTCTCAAGTGTGACCAGATCGGATCCTCGTCTCGGCTGAAGTCGACATTCTGTTCTCGCCTGTTTGGAAGCGATTCCAGCTGTTCGGATTCCTGGTTGGTGACAAGATCTTCGGTTTCAAAACAGAGCAAAACGTGGTCCAGACAAAAGGAGGCCGTCGTTGTGAGATCGTGCATACATGGGCGTCGTCAACAGTCTTGGCCATCAATCCGAATCGGAGGCACTACCAGTTGGTCCATCATCGTCGTCATCAGCTTGCGCGCCCTTCAGACCCTCGTTCATCACATATTCAGCATCCCGCAGTGCTTGTTTCAACTCCTCCGTCCGTGGCGTGCAGAGCTCGGCCGCTTTTCTGCCATGCGAGTCCTTCACGCGTGGATCGCCCCCAGCATCTATGAGCATCTTGGCCATCGCTGTGCCCAGCTCGACTTCTCGCTCGTTCGCGTACTTGACGGCGCTGTGGATCGGTGTTTCACGGTCTCGTCTCGTAAGAGGGTCGCATTCTAGGTACTCGACGTTGAGCAGTTCATCCATTACATCGTCTGTGGTGTAGGATTAGTCTCGGGACTGCCAGGGAGAAGCGGAGAGGGCATACATGATCCGTAGCTTGCACAAACGTGCAGCAAATGGTTTCCCATCGTGTCTGTCACAGAGTTGAAGAATTCTGCAACCTTCTCCTTTGACGTGCCTTTGGACGCAGTCGCCAGGACCTCGTTGAACAGATCGACATTGTCTCTGCGGCATGCCTCGAGGATCTGCTCTTTCGGCGAGGCGCCGTCTACTTCCGCCATGTTGTTCCCTAGGACCTCAAGAGGGTCCCTTTGCTTGCAGACCGATTTGTGTAAGATAGGACAAACGTCAGATACGCCGCGTCAGATGAATGGCTGTGCCTGATGGGACGGGCTGGTCTGATGCTAGGTAATGCGCCGTGGCTAGAGATGTCTTCTACGCGGGCAAGAGAACAGTAATGTCTTTGAGATCGGACTTTCAGTCGCTTCTAGGTGTATAATGGCTTTATTGGCGTTGTCAGTTCAATTGTGAAGGAGCATGCAACCCGTGAAGTCGGCGTCCGGCCGCTTGGAAGCGCTTGCTTCCAAGGTTGTTTTATGCCAAGCTTGCGGCCCTCTCCGCGGAACGATCGGCGGGACTTTTGGTCACCCAGTCTTTCTTCCCTCGTCTTCGAAAAGACGGCGCACAAATTGCAGGCTGACGGCGTACGAGCAGAGTGACCGCGGAGAGGAGGTGGAGGCGACGCGGAAACCCAAGTTGCGCAGTGCAACGACTCTGACTACGTTCAGACGCCATGCCACCCTCATGTATGCCAAATCCTCTCTTTCAGACATCGTATATCTAATTGGTAGCAGTCTGCCCGTACTGTTGCAATTGCCTCACCATAGCACGAACAACTCCCACCGCCGATCAACCGAAAGGCCTGAATGCCTTCACATGTCGCACATGCCCATACCAATTCGTCCTTGATCAGCCCTACTTCGATCGGACATACATGAAGAAGAAGCAGAAGGCAGATATTCTTGGGGAAGAGCAGACGGATCTACCTATCAATGAAGGTATGGAAAGATTCTCATGGCAAGCAGGCCGACCGCTGACATGAAACAAGTTCCTGGAGGCTGCCCCAACGAGGAGTGCAACTCGAAGCGGGCATACTTCTACCAACTGCAAACGAGGAGTGCGGATGAGCCGCCTACGTCGTTCTACAAGGTCGGTCATATCTTCTGGCTTCGACATCGATCTAACTTGTATATATAGTGTGTCGAGTGCTCGAAGCAATGGCGAGAATACTGAGACCTATCAAGCCTGCGGCGTGAATGTCGATTCAAAAGCAGTCTTCAACACCTAAGACATAGGCTGCGACTCGGGTCAGAGTCCGTCAGCCATCGGTATCCGGCACAGAAGCATTTCTGGCGACGCAGTCTGTCGCTGCGACCATAGAGCCGTAGCAGCCACGAGGCAGCGCCAGCACGCCCACTGATGCAGCCCTGCGCGAGTGGTCGAAAACCGTACAGTGCTCGGTACGTAGACACAGGTCCCGCCCTGTGTCCAGGATCATGTTCGCTGTACAGCTAAATGCCAGACCGAAGCCGGACAGAACACCTCGCATAACGGGGGTTGAGTCCTTAATAGACTCGGGCGATGCTATGGTAACTCATGCAGCATACTTGGCTGTTTTGATGCCTGAGGAACATGCAGTGGGGGCGAAGGCTAGCTCGGGCTCATATCTGTGACATTCTGTTTTCCATGAGTCAGAAAACGAAGTCGAAGTCACGGAGACTTGTTGTTGTGAGACGGTGAATGAAGAACCGGAAATCGCAGGATAGGACACGTAGGGAGGCCAGAGGACTCCTAGGCGATTTTGGTACTATTTAATTCCTCCCAAAATGTCCTGAGGGGCAGTAGCGGGGCACTCTAGGGCTTCAAGGAGCGGTCATGCAAATTTTGCAGACTTACAAGAAGTCGATTCCTCTTCAGACACAAACACCGACAACAATAAAATAGCCACTGTAGATGCCCCAGCGCACATGCCTTGCAGTAGACTTAAGTGCCCGTCAAATCACAAGCGAGGGCGCAAAAAATCTACTTCGTAACTTCGTAGTTGGGTGGTCTTGGTGGGGCAAGCGCGATGACTCCGTGGCGACGTGAATCATTGCGAGTGCCAAGCCCCGCAGCGCCTGCCTGCGGTCGAAAAGACTACAAAATTCGCACAAGCCTCCAACATCTACCTCTTTTTCTCTCCCTTGTCGCTCAGTGAGTTTTCCCCTACTACCCACATATTTATCGATCGCAACTCGTACTGACATCTCTCAGCACCTCTACGCAAGCTGTAGTACCTGAGCATTCATCGCGATAACTTCAAGTATCTGCCACAGAACTTCAAGTCTATCAAAAACCACATCTTCACAACACAACCGCAACCATGGGGTGAGTTCAGCATCAATCGAGGCATGCGCTGCCAGCAATGAGCATCGCTGACGATAGCGCCCAATAGTAAAGAGAAGACTCACGTCAACGTCGTCGTCATCGGCCACGTCGACTCCGGCAAGTCCACCACCACCGGTAAGTTGCCACGAATCATCTACAATCGTATCGAAATACTCACAATTTACAAGGTCACTTGATCTACAAGTGCGGCGGTATCGACAAGCGTACCATCGAGAAGTTCGAGAAGGTAAGCGCAGCCATTTTACCACGTCCTGATCGCCGCTTCCTCGTCCAAAAAATTTTGGTGGGGGAGAGGGGCACACATCACGTGATTACGAATATCCGCCTCCAAGAAAACACCCAGCACTGTCGCCGATGACCTTTATGGTGTACATTGCTGACTCTCAATTACAGGAAGCTGCTGAGTTGGGCAAGGGTTCCTTCAAGTATGCGTGGGTTCTTGACAAGCTCAAGGCCGAGCGTGAGCGTGGTATCACCATCGATATCGCTCTCTGGAAGTTCGAGACTCCCAAGGTACGCCAGCCTGGATTTCTTGCATTTCATTCATGCTGACGAGCGCTTAGTATTACGTGACTGTTATTGATGCCCCAGGTCATCGTGACTTCATCAGTAAGTTCCTTCCATCGCAGCCCGCGCGGTCCCAATATTTCCCTGAATTGGGCTGACCACCAAACAGAGAACATGATCACTGGTACTTCCCAGGCCGACTGCGCTATTCTCATCATTGCTGCCGGTACTGGTGAGTTCGAGGCTGGTATCTCCAAGGATGGCCAGACTCGTGAGCACGCTCTTCTCGCCTACACCCTGGGTGTCAAGCAGCTCATCATCGCTGTCAACAAGATGGACACCACCAAGTGGTCCGAGGATCGTTTCCAGGAAATCATCAAGGAGACCTCCACCTTCGTCAAGAAGGTCGGCTACAACCCAAAGTCCGTTCCTTTCGTCCCCATCTCCGGCTTCAACGGCGACAACATGATCGATGTCTCCACCAACTGCCCTTGGTACAAGGGTTGGGAGAAGGAGTCCAAGGCTGGCAAGGCCACTGGCAAGACCCTCCTCGAGGCCATCGATGCCATCGACCCTCCTTCCCGTCCTACCGACAAGCCTCTCCGCCTGCCCCTCCAGGATGTCTACAAGATCTCTGGTATCGGAACAGTGCCAGTCGGTCGTGTCGAGACCGGTATCATCAAGGCCGGTATGGTCGTCACCTTCGCTCCCGCCAACGTCACCACTGAAGTCAAGTCCGTTGAGATGCACCACGAGCAGCTTGCTCAGGGTGTTCCCGGCGACAACGTCGGCTTCAACGTCAAGAACGTTTCCGTCAAGGAGGTTCGTCGTGGCAACGTTGCCGGTGACTCCAAGAACGACCCTCCCAAGGGTGCCGAGTCATTCAACGCCCAGGTCATCGTCCTCAATCACCCTGGACAGGTCGGCGCTGGATACGCTCCAGTCTTGGATTGCCACACTGCTCACATCGCTTGCAAGTTCTCCGAGCTCCTCGAGAAGATCGATCGTCGTACCGGCAAGTCTGTTGAGGCTACTCCCAAGTTCATCAAGTCTGGTGACGCTGCTATCGTCAAGATGGTTCCGTCCAAGCCTATGTGTGTTGAGGCCTTCACTGACTACCCTCCTCTCGGTCGTTTCGCTGTTCGCGACATGCGTCAGACCGTCGCTGTGGGTGTCATCAAGTCGTAAGCACCTCACTGTTGCTCCTCACCTTGACGTTTGCTAATTTCTTCTAGGGTCGTTAAGTCCGACAAAGGTGGCGGCAAGGTGACCAAGGCCGCTGTCAAGGCTGGCAAGAAGTAAGCGGCTCGAGGAAGTCATCAAAGAGCTTGTGTTCGAGTACCTCTGTGTCGGCGCTTCTGTGGGACTCCGTCTCTAGGTCTGCTGCAAGGATTGCTTGAGCTGCATGGCTTTTGCTACTTCTACCCGCTGTCTTAATTCTTGATACCAACAACCTCAATCTACCGATAACCGAGATTTCGCGATCTTTGGTGCAAATACGGCAAAGGGACATTTTCACGACAAAATGTTTCCTACGAAGAGACAATTCGTTTCCACTGGGAGTTCATACGCACTTTGACGGGCTTCCGACCATAGATGGAACAAGAGGATCAAAAGCAGATAGACAATGACAATACTTATGATCCGATCATGCCGTCTTTCATGCTCGTTGTTTGATTCGTGCATCTCATACTGTTCATACCTGATGTGACCTATAGGAGAACATGAAGAAGATCGAAGGCTACGAGCGTCAATGAACTTTGATGGGGCTCGTGAATGTAAAGAGGTATGACGGGCTTCGTCCATCCTAGATGCTGGACGCAGCTCTTATAGGGTAAGGACTACACCAGCGACATAGGCAGGACTCCGTTAGGTTTCGGCGGCGAGCTTACACAAAGTATCGTGTCGTCCGGTCTGCCGAGACAACCCCACACATAATCGTCCTTTCCCCAGCAGACGCAAGGTTACTCGCTCCGCCTTCTACTTGCCCCGACTTCATGGCACTCGAATGTTCTGACCTCGACGCTATCTGTGTTACATCGTCAAGCAATCACCAACTTCAACACGAATTCTTGTACCGAAGCTCAAGTTCTTCTGTTCATTTCTTTTACTTATCTTCTTTGTTGCCACTGTCTTCTCGTACTCGCGCATCAGCAGGACTTCGAATACGAAGCCAGTGGCAGGCCTCAAATGCGCTCGAGACATCATCTTCGAAAGATGAATTCTTAGTCACAGCCACCGTGAGGAGGACGAGCCGTCAGCAGACTTCACCGTCGTGAGCTCACTCTCGCTATTTCGTCACATCGCTCTCTCCGTTTTGTCAGATTTCTCTGCATGCCTCGCCGCATTGCTCGCGCCACCTCGTCGAATCACGCTCTCTGTGTCGTCAGGCTCGTCTCGGTACTTCGTTGGGCCCATTATTTCAGTCCTAGTGCTTCAACTCTGCTTCTTCGATTCTGCGTGTCGCCATCAGCTGTCTTGATCGTCGTGAGTCCGGCCATGCGAAAGATCTGCAGGTCCTGCCGTTGACATCACTCTACACACTGTCCCTCAAGTCGAGCAAGGACCTCCAGCAAGATGTCTCTCCGTGTCTTGTTCGGATTGAGCACATTGCCCCCAGTCTCCCAATGAATCGTCAGCAGCTTCTTGGACAGGTCTTTTGTGACCTCTTTGTATTCGCTGAGCTTCTCACGCAGCGCCGATGTCACCGCAGCCATTCTAGCCGGTGTATCGTACCTCGCAGCGATATACGGATGTCGACCGCTTTGACTCGAGAGGTCTTTGACCAACGCAGAGCAAAGTAGTGTCTCGGTGAGCAGACGGATCAAGTGGTCTGCGATCGTGTGGAGAAGCTCTTTGTCGAAGACAGCGACGTCGTCGAGGGTGGTGGTATCATCCATGTATGCGTCGAGAAACCCGAGGACCCAGTCGAACTCGTCTTCCACCCGAAAACATGTTACAGCGGCCAAGACACCGAGGGGCAAGAGCTTGGGTGCGGTGGTGGAGTCTGTGGTGTCGGAACCGGGCTTGGAGGAGGACCATCCAAGCAAATCCTCGCTTGAGATCTCAAGTTCGATGAGGAACCGTCTGAAAGTGGACTCCATCGACGCGGTAAGGGAGGCTGGATCAGAGCCAACATCCTCGCCTAGCCACTTGCGCTGTCGCGAGATGAATGTTTCGGGCCAGGAGAGGTCGCAGTCCTGAACATACGATGCTAGAAGGTCTTCGCTGCTCGGAAGCAATGCATTCGACGCTGGGTCTTGATGCAATTCTGCCACAGTCGGCTGCATCTTGTACAAATGTATCAATTCTCCAGATGCCGGGGAAGGTCTACGCTGGCCTTATTTGACGATATGCTTGAGATGCTGACCCGGAGGACAATACTTCGACGTTTTGGCCAGGCTCCGTATGTGAGAGGAAGCTAGGATGACTTGTGTGGTGGCATGAAGCTATATCTATCCTCCCGAGGCATCTTCGGACGCCTACGATGCTGCCTTGAGCGCCTCAATGCTGCGTTCCGGTTGCGGTCTAGGCAATGACACGGGAAGCTGTCAAAGGTCCCCCAAAACACGCCTGGACGCCTCACAACGATCGTCATCGGCCATGGGGCAATCGTCACGGGCAACAGGCACGTAGGCGTCGAGTGCCTGGGCTACGACAAAGGGCTCGGTCACGGACAAAGAAACTGCCATCAGCGAAGACGAGCGAAGTAGGAAGTGGCGTCGGGAGTCCTTGTTTGATGAGTTCTAGGTGGACAAAGAGATTGTCAAGCGATAAAGGAAAAATTAATGAGGATTGGCACCTACTCGGAAGCGACAAGTACGGGACAACGACACGTTCAGATGCAAGGCAGTAGTGTTCGGTAATGGCAGTGGGCAGTCGCAAATCGACGACGGACATTGCAAGGTGCAACTGTGTCTGATGCAACATGCTCAATAGCGGCAGTGACACTCGATGCCATTATTCTAGGAAGGAGCGGGATGCAGATGCAACGTACATCGCTGCTTCCATTAGCAGCCATCGAATGAGTGAGTACAGGTCAACATCCCCTGGGCGTCCTCTAAGGCCGCGACTATGGATGTCATGTGTGGCACTCAACAGCGTAATTCTAATATCAAGTCTGATTTGCGTACCAGCCGGATGGCATGCACAGGCCGCCTACAGAAGCAGCACGGATGGAGCGAAAGCACTCAGACATCGATTCGTAAGGAGGACGGAAGTGCTGCGCATTTTGTTTCGATTCGAGGATGTCTCGCTGCTGCTGGTCCTATCTATTGCACATTCCGCATTCCACAACCCTCTTGATGCTGTCCCTCATGTCCCGCACTGCTCTCGATCATCTACATGAAATTGCGTTAAGCAGCGTCTCATGAGGTCTAGTCAGACATCTCACTGCCGCTCTACTCTGCGTTTGCATCGCTGCGTGGCCCCTTGAGAACGTAAGCACTGGGAATGCAAGTCTTCTCGATGTCAGCAGTCGCAGCCCGAACCGCTTCACCTAGCTGGGCGAAGCCTTTGTCCTCATTGATACCCAACGTCACGATAGCTCGTAGTATCCGCGGCTGGATGCTCGTCATTGATGCTAGCCCAGACAAGAACATGTTGCGGAGAATGGGTGCCAGGATAGTCATAGGAACCGAATTGTTCGAGCCATAGGTCTTCTTGCAGTAGACTGAACGCCGTATGTTATCCTGCATATCGGTGAGGAACAGCTCCAGCAGCAACGAGCGTTCTAAAACCGGGATTAGCTTCTCCTCAAGCGCCTGACAGATCGCGGAACCCTCTTGTCTGGGCGTATGCTTCGTCAAAATATCGTGTGATCTCATATTCGCCAAGTCTTCGCGAGCGTTGTCGATGGTGGATCTGAGCTGACCACACAGACATGATAGAGAAGCAATTGTGGTGTCTGTAGTCGGCGGTAGGCTCAAAGCCTGCTTGAGAACGGCTTTGGAAGAGCGTCTGTAGGTCTCCTCAAGTTCCTCTAGCAAGTTTTGATACGCTGCGTTCATGTCGCTTGCCGATACACCGATGTTAGGATCGTTGTAGTAACTCTCTCCGAGCTCTTCCATGGTGGCAATGACTTGAGTCAGGCCTGCGTCTCGGCAATATGCGGACAACAATTCTTTGTTGTTCAGGTCGATAGTGCTGAGAATTGATAGACCTGAGTCGACTGAGGCTCGACGATCAGCCTGAGCAGAGAATCAGGAGGTCCCCGAACCGGCCCGCCACAAGATGGGGGTGGAGGAGGCCCGCGTGGTGTCGTGGAGAACTGGCTGGCTTTTGGTGTAGAGGCATTTTCTTCGTCCTGATCCTCGTTGAGGACGGGCGTGGCGCCGGACTGCTGCTGAGCGATTGAGTCTATCGTATTGATGTTCTCTTGCGAAAGCTCGCGCAACGCCGCGGAGACTCGCCCTGGTGATGGTTGATACGTTCTCGCGTTTGAACTCTCGTTGAAGTCCTCATGCATTGCATCGAGCTGCTCTTGCGACAGTCCCTTGAGATCCTCTGGCGTAGGTCCTGGATCTGGCAACGACCAGTGAGACTCTGCTCCGGGAGAAGGATTGGGTAAGGGGTGTGGGCTCACAGACATCCTGTCTTTCAGCTTAGTGCTTCTCTTTCTCTTTTCTTTCTCGTCGGGGTTCTCAAGTAGATCGAAAGCCAGCTTCAGTCTATAGGTTGTCGCAGAGACGATGGAGGGATGCCGAGAAGACTCGCACCATACGTACAGATATGTAGACCTCGACAAGGCGACCGGTGCCTGCTTCTTTGTTTCCGATGCCTTGAGGCATACCCAGGGCAGTCGGTACTCTTGTTGGAAGAGACGGAATGCTCATTGACCGTGACGGGCGCAGACATGGCTAGCTGCCTCGCAGCCTGTGAGCCGATCCGTCCTCCGCGATTGCTTTGTCGCTCATTGACGGCGACAGGAAAAGGTGCAGCTCGGCGCTTCGTGTGATACGGGTGAAAGAGAGTAGATCCGTTGGGTGGGAGAGATGGAAGTAGATGCAGAAGGGCCGATGGCGCATCGGATCTAGCACCAAGTCGCGTGGTAGTCGGCAGAAATCGAAGCAAGGAAAGGTTGGTTGAGAATGATTCATTGTGCTTTCCGCGCTAGGGAGGCCTTCGGCCAGAAGGTTGTTGCTGTGATTGAGATAGAAAGCGTCATGCTAGTCGTCGAGAGACGGCCCCTGGTCTTCATTCTCCGCGTCCTCCTCCCTTCGCTTCCGCTCCTCTCTTCGCTTTTGGATGGCTTTGGTACGCTTCAGCATTCGCTTGGCGAAGTCTGGAAGGTTTGGATTGCTTCTTGGTAAAAGGTTGTATTGCTTTCTTGTTGCCGTGTTGGTACCGTCGCGCAGCTTCTTGATGTCGTTTCGTAGGTTCTGCCGGGAATCCATCTTGCGGTTGTAGTACTCTTTTGTGATGTGTCCCTGTAAGACCCACTGCCACACCAGACTATCAGGAACCAGATGCGCTGGCCTTGGTCGCTTTTCCCCGTGTTGCTCTCTGTAGTGCCGACTCAACTCAGCTTCGTCGGCGAGAATGAAGTAACAGCCTTGGTGGTGGCAGGCCGCGAAGAACGCGCCGTCGTGGCATAGTCTTTGTGGCATTTTGGATCCTTGAAATGCGATTGTTAGACTCCTTAGACCCAGAGAACTGTCCACAAACATACCTCTTCTGCAGAGTAGACTGCACCAGTGTTCGCGATTGATTGTGAGTAGAAGTTGGTAGCCAGAGAGAGTCTGCAAACCAGAGTGCGGAGACAATAAAGGCCATAGCAGTGAAGTTTACACGCTAGCACTTATACACGTGACTGCTCTCTTTCTTCTCTTCTTCATCTGATTGTCGTCACTTGAGCGTTATAGTTGGCTCCAAGATGCCCCTGGCTCCCCCTTCCTTGAGCCTTATGGCTAGCTCCATGTTGCCTGCCAGTCCCGTCACTCGAGAGTCACCGGCTAGCAACTCGCTCATACCAGCCCGCAACACCGAGGTAGCGACGAGCCAAAAGATTCATGGCGAACAACCAGGTTCAGGCCTTGTACTCTGATCGAGTAGTCCGTCCAAGAGGCAGTATTTGTTGTATATCATATAGCTCTGGCTGATGGTGTTTCATCGACGTCCAAGGACTGGCAGCCCACGGGCAGCCCTGAAGGATCAACCTCACATTGTTTCCTGAACGACCAGAATGTGACTGAGAAAGCCTCCAGCCTGTTGGACGATCTGATATATCCTATACCAGGTCTCAGGCCTATGCAACAAATGATTGTGCCTTAGCGAAGGAGCTGCTTAGAAAGATGTTTGTCCAACGACTTTGCTTGCTCTCCAAGCTGCTACCCGGCCATACGTTAAGTCCAGGACATGTGCAATGTTTGATGGCCCCAAGCCGTGGCTGGCTGAAGTTCCATGAAAGTCATCGAGCTTTCCCAAGCTGCAGAAGCGGCTCCTAGGCACTGAGCTCGATGACCAGCACGTCGGAAGTGGAGATGAGTAAGTCACGCCGCGCAGGATGCCATATTATACGGGCAGAAGCAGGAGACCACTCGATGCAGGGGACCTGATTTGGTTGTGAGCTTCACGAGGAACACATTGACTTTGTAGAGGTCAAAATATGGTGTGTAGGATAGGATACCGACCGTCGTTAAGATCCGCAATTGCACCAATGAGCTTTCGGCCCGAACCCGCCCTGGAATCTGCCCGGCCGCACATGTGCACTTTTCATCCTGTAAGCTCCGTCCCCAGGCTATCATCGCTCTTTAGTACCATGTCGCGATCGAACACGCGTGCCGTCGACTGATACCGTCACATAAGTCATATACCATTGTTGACAAGATTGAGATGTATCATATGCCCTGAATGCACTGGAACCCCTACGAGGTCGCTCTGCAGAGAGAGCAGTCTCACTATACAACGGCAGGCCCCAAAAATGGTAACCATGCCCAGGTTTGCGCTCCCAGCAATCAGCCATTAACCAAAACGGCAGTCCACGTTGCCGCACAACTTGCTTCTGAAGTCACTAAAAGCTGCTGCTCGCGTCCTAGCATGTTTACGCTGGAGGCGCTACCGAAGCGTCATGCAGGCCCGGAGAGGCCAGAACATGCCAAGGCGGCACGATTCGAAGCGCCTGCATAGACGATCATGTCGGTTAGCCGCGGTGGCTTGCTATCAAATCTGGATCAGGCATGAGCTCAGGGGTCTCCGGTCGCATTGTTGTGCTTAGCTATTGCCGCGACTTGCCCAAGAAACTCGCGTCGTGATGCTTGTGCTCACGTCTCTATACAAGGCTCCGAGCTAATAACGCTACCACATTCTCCATAATGAAGAAGTGGTCATGGCGATCGAAGGACAAGGCTGGCTCGAATCCGCCCCCGACAAACGTGACAGCAAGCACGCCTCTCCCTCCGCCAACTACGACGTTTCCCGTGCTTTCTCAAGCTCCGCCAGCCACTGCCAATGCTTCGCTGCAACAACAGCCAGCCGCGCCTGTGACCGCATCACGTTCTCCTGGACTCGAGAATGTGGTTCCGCTGTCAGCACCACGACCAGCAGCAGCATCGAGGAAGGCGTTCCACACGGGCCTCAAGCTACTTCACGAGCGCAAGGATTCCGCTCTCGAGTAAGCTATGCGATGAACTGCACCCGACTTATAGCTAACTGCTCGCCAGCATCATTTTGTGAGTCACTTTTCGAACTTGGAAGGGGAGTGAAGTGGAAATGAAGGTCTCGGAGATGTTTCTGACGCCTTTGTCTCGCGCTACCGTTCCGTTTCCTCCTCGAATCCAGTCTTTCACTTCCCACGCACGTCCCGATCCAAGCTAACATAGACCGAAGCGTGCATGGTCTGACGGGTGATCGAGAGGACACATGGAAAACCAAAAGCGCTGTTGATCCATGGCCGACGACGTTATTGCCAAGCCGGGTCCCCGACGCCAGGATCCTGACCTTCGGCTACGATGCAAACGTGAGCGACTGGCGTGGTATGGTATCCGAAAACAGAATCGGTAATCATTCTATGGACATGCTTACCGCAATTGCGACACACAGAGAGGACGATGACTCTGTGAGTGATCATGCTGGCTGTATGGTCCTCCGCACTGATGAATGCAGAACGATCGCCCAATCCTATTCGTCTGCCATAGTCTAGGTGGACTCGTTTGCGAAGACGTGAGTACACTGTCGCCAATTCACGGCAACGAGAACTAATAGGAGAAAGGCCTTGGCAATAGCACAACAACGACCTGAGAAGCACCTAAAGCAGATCTTACACTGCACACGGGGCATCGTGTTTCTCGGCACTCCTCATCATGGAAGTGGTCTTGCTCGGTGGGCCGAGAGCCTGGCAAAGACTATCGGCCTGATCAAGCAGACCAACCCAGAGATGTTGAGTGTGCTGAGACGCGACTCGGAAGTGCTTGCTCGTGTGCAGGATGGCTTTCACACCATGATCAGGTCTCGAGCTCAAGACGGGTTGCCTCCGATTGAGATCACTTGCTTTTACGAGCAATTACCGCTTCCAGGTGTGGGAACGGTATGCATTGGGACTGTTTCAACGAGGAGCTCACTGACATGTCAATCAGGTTGTTGCCTCAGACTCTGCCATCCTTCCAGGCTACACGCCCATCGGTATCCATGGCAACCACATCGACATGACCAAGTTCGACGACCTCAAGGACCCCGGCTTCGTAATGGTAGCGGGTGAACTACGACGCTGGTCCAAACAGCTGGCTCAAACCCACAAATCAACTGCACCTACTCTCTCACCACCACCTCCACTCGCCCAGTCTCCAGCTTCCAGCCCGAACATGATGTCCGACGCACAAGCCCAAAACGCTCTCCTCGCCGCCTTCGCCAAAATGTCCACGCCAGCCCCTCAACCAGCCGCCCCGGACCCCGTCCTCGCGGCACCAGCACAACCAGCCTCGTACAATGGCGTCCCAATCTCCTCCATCCCTGCGGAATTCGCCCAGCACATCCCGCAATCCACCATGGGCCCGCTTGAACAATCCCTGCTCAAAGCAGCCTCAAAGGGCGACATCACCAGTGTTACCTCCCTACTTTCTTCTGGCGTCAATCCATCGGCTATCAATGCTGAAGGCCAGTCCCCTCTCACCCAGGCCATCAGTCGCAAACACAACGCTGTCGTCAAGCTCCTCCTTGAAAAGGGCGCTACCACAGACTATACCGGGTTCCTCGTGCATAAACCCCTACATGTCGCCGTTTCATCCGGAAACATACCAGCTGTGGGAATGGTGCTCGACGCCGGCGCAGACATTGACGAAACTACAGCCATGGGCTCTGTCCTCGGTGCCGCTTGCAAGGCGAACAAAACTGAAATGATTGATGTGTTGCTGAAGAGAGGGGCGGATGTCAATCTGTTCTCTCATGCGATTTACGCACCATTGCTCAACGCGGCGATGAGAAGGAATGAGACATTGATGAAGAAGCTCTTGAGGTATGGGGCGAATCCGGAAGTGTTGCATGATCACAACGATATCCACATGCGGAATCTGACGGAGGGGACGAAGAAGCTGGTGAGGGATTGGGAGGAGGGAGGGTATATGGAGGTGGTGGAGAATGTGCGGAGGGAGGCACGGGAAGGCGTGGATGTGAATCAAAGCTCGAATACTCTGCAGCAGGCCTTGCAGCAGGCGCAGGGAAAGGGTCAGCAGGAGGTGCATGGCGTCTTGAGAGAACTGGAGCAGGAGATGGCGAAAGTGGCCTAGCAGAAGAGGTGACAGATTGGGTAGAGAGCAGATGAAGTTTGGATGGAGACAGGCAAGGTCGATTAAGGACCTGACGCAACGCCCAAACTTGGAAGACTTCAAAGCGACGATCCCACGTTCCCTGCGAATCCAAGAGCCACGCGGTCGTGCCCATGTCCGCTATGTGGACTGGGGAGGGTTCGGCCCACAACACGGCTTGAAGATCGGACACCTGGGTAGTCAAGCACAGGAATATGGCTGCAACGATACGATAGGTGGCCTTGTGGCTAACCATTTCTCCGACAGCACCTATAGTGGAGCACGAGCAAGGGCCCGGGACGACTCGCTACGAGAACCCTGAAGCATAATCTAGACCTGGAGCTTAATTGCACCGTGGAATCTCAAATCCTTTCCAACAACCTGGATCATTTTCGTCGATTGGTACGCGATCTTCGCATGTGGGGCAGCTGAGCATCTCTTTGACCTGTCATCGAGCGATTCTCTGTCTCAGTGGCTGATTTGAGCCGCAGCTGTGACTCTAGACGGCCAGAACGAGCCACGAGGCGGTTGCCAGGATCAGTGACCGTCGCAAGGCTCAAATTCATCACAATCTTGGACAGTCTCAAGAAGGTGACACGTATCATATCGAAGACCGAGCACTGCGTAGGGACTATGCGTCGTAGATATGAAGAGGCAGGGACACCGTCATGACCTCAGTAAGTGGCTCTCGCGAGATAAATTCCTGCCATACAGTATTCATGATGGCGCAAAGAAGGCGGCAGGCCGTACTGGACCGCATCACGATGCTTGGTCTGGACCGTGTGAAGAACCAATCACCTGTTCTCCATGTCTGCACATCCCACGCGCAAGCCGCGCTTCATGCAATTTTCGACAGTAAGGCTACAAGCAGCACTGCAACCACACTGACCTGCACACCACGCGCGTACTTCCTGTGGCGGTCAATTCAATTGTGTTTATAAGGTAAGATTCGGCTGACTCGAGAGCCGTCCTGTACATCAAGAGACATATTTCTAGCTCATGCTTTGGACGGCCACGTTCTGCTATGTACGCATCTACCTTGTCGAGGCTCAGAAAGCAGTCGAGACTACCGTCGGGTACCAAAGAATGGAGGCCACTTTCACTGAGGATCCCGTCTCTCTTGGCGCTTCTCTTCGTGGAGTTTGGGCTCATCATCACAATCATCAGTCTCATGGTGGTGTCTTCCAGGAACAACGGCTTCGCAAAAGCTTCTGAGGGCTCATTAGGCTCGTTCCTCACGGTGCCGCTCGACAAGAGTCTACTCTGGACAGGTTTGCCACCGTTTCTGGTGGCGTTCTTCGCAATGTGGTACGGCGAAACACTTGCTGCTGCGGCCGACCGGCAGCCATACGTCGATCTGAATCATGATGTCGGATCGGCACACGATGTCCGGCGCACAATTTTGTTGGAGTATTCTGGATACCATGCGTTGTACAATTGGTGGGTCGCGTTGCGCAACAGACACTACCACCTCAGTATGGCCATGCTGGCGCAACTGACTGCCAATTTGATCCTCGCCCCACTTGTGTCCAATGTCTTCGCCGCCAAGCCAACGTGGATCGATGTACATCTTATCAGCCCGGATGGTATGAATCTTTCGGCTTTGCTGAATGCCGATCTCCAGCCTGCGCTGGATCTGACGAGTGCCATGCTAGCCTACGGTGCGGCTCCTCCCATTTGGATGCAGAGTAACGCCAGCGTAGAGCCGGTCTACATTCAGCCTAGCTCTCAGACTGGAGAAGTCAACTTTACAGGGCTTGTCACGGCTGCTGAACCAAGATGTCAGATCATCGATTCCACAGCGCTCGAGATCATAGCATACAACAGCAGTGCCTTCGGCTTTGGTTCGGTCGGAGTCAGTTTCGAGGATCGAGGGTGTAGTAATATCCGTTTCGAGTACCCAACAGAACCCAATCGCAGGATCTACTCGAGGACGTGGTCCCAGACCTGCGGAGGTGACGAAGATCCACAAGACCGTGTTGGCATTTTCGCCGCCGCTTACTCGCCCGACAGCGAGTATTTTCTAAGTGACGTGACAGTCATCTCGTGCTGGCCAAAATACTGGAATACCAGTACTAAAATGACTGTGGCCTTTGACGCGATCGGCCCTCGCGAGCTCAAGGGCATCGACAAGGCAATCGCCACGTCGGGCCCTTTCACGAGTCTGTACTTGCGCTCCCTTCATACAAGTCTGGAACACTATGCAACAATGTCCGCGATTGGGGTTGACCTTGATGCGGATAGCTTCGGTAATATCGTGCATGCGTACGCCCAAAGACTCTCGCCCGGGACAGACGTTGACCCGACGGCGTACCTCAACGCCACGATTAGAGCCTACAGCACCTTCTGGGCCTCCGTGGCATCGACCCAACTGCTGAAGCCTCTAAATCCGCCTCGACTGGCCAGCGGTACACTGACATTCGCCACAAATAAGGTTCATGTTGTGAAACCTATCGCTGGAATTCTCTTGGCCCTGCTCTTCTGGATGACAGCTAGCACCGCCATCCTCCTCATACACGTGCTGCACACCTGCTCGATACTTTTCGAAGATCCACATGGACTTCTGGGTCAGGCGCTGCTTCTGCTGAAAAGCGACGTAACGCCCTGTGTTGAGGGCATCAAGAACGCCAATCCGACGAAATTGAAGCTCCTAGAATACATCAAGAGCAAGCACGACACAAAGGAATCGATGTGCTGGTACGACTGGGATAGTGGAGCGTCGACTGGTAGGATCCGCCTGCACGGGCTCGATAAAGCTGTTTCGCCAAGGCCGACTTGGTGGAGTCGTATTCGAGCTCGGATCTGGCCTTCTCGGACATCTTCAAAGTAACACAGGCGATGTTGTTCAACATCGATGAAGCTGCACTCGCTAGTAGTGTGTCGAAACCTCATGGGGAAGTCTTTGTAGCACAATCTGCTTCACTCTGATTGCGGTCCTCAAGCCGTTGGAAGAGTGTCTGCGGCTTGTCATCCATAGCGCGCCTTTGCAGTAATCTCATCAGGAGGAATGTTGTGGCTCGTGGCTCCGATCTCCTGGGATCCATGTTTCAATCACAAATCCTCAACGAGTAGATGGTAGTAAGTGGGTCCATGCCAGGGAGTCGATCATCGTAAAGGTAGACCCGCACCTGAACCGTATCATATCCGGGGTATCGCACCTCGATTGTGTCCTCGTCGTTATGCCAAACAATGGCGTGCTCGTCTGATGGCCATCGGACCGGTTCCTCCCGGAGCGTGTCGTGGAAGCTCCCATCGTGCAGCGGGTTCACTCGGTGGTGTTGTGAGACCGTCAGCAGTGGCTTCGTAGACTTGGCTTCTTGATAGCAATGTACGTCGATAGTGGCAGGCGAATTCCGCGCCTTGAACCTAAACGCCACTTTGATAGGATATGTGTCCCAGTCATATGTGCTCCGTCGCAGGAGGACTCGATCAGTTACGTCCCAGAGCTCATCGGGAGCGACCTGTATTAGCTTCCAGGTGTCGCTCTTGGGCACATGTATTGCACGAGATCTGAACGCCTGCCAAAGAGTATCGGTGTGACGAGATGGGTCTGCGACGATATACGTACGAGGACCGGCTGGACTGACGCCAATCTGATTGCAATGAAATCGCTGCCAGAGTCCAAGGACGGATAGCGATCTGCAGCGCTGGAAAAGGTGAGGTCCAATCTTCCGCAGGTAGATCCCCCCAGGAATCTCGCCGGCTCCTACATAAATGCCGTAGATCTTCTTTCCGGGCCGCCCGGGCAACGAAAACAGCCTTATGAGCAGGTCTTCGGGCACCAAGACACCCTTGTTTGTCAAGGAGAAGTCGAAAAAGTCATTCCTGAATGGGCTAATATTGCCCATACTGGCGAAGAAGTCTGGCGAGTCTGCTAGAAGAGCAGTGCCGGCACGATCGATTCCGCCATCGTAGGAGTAGATACTGTATGGACTACTCCACGCGAATATCGTGAGATCATTCGAACGTTTGATGATTTCCTCTTGTAGCCGACGGAATGCTTTGCTCCCCTCGCCGTATAGCATCGGCATGAACACGCCAAGGATACCCAGTAAGGAATAAGCACGATCTTCGATCCGTGAAGCATTGCGGGAAGCAGCCCAGGAGAGCCTCGCAGCCACCGAATGGTCAGACAGCTCCGACTCCTCTGTCAAGATGCTTTCTGACACGCCAGTAATGGCGGACAGCGTGGGAGCGAGCTCGCGCTTCTGGCCGACGGGCGTCCAAGCGCCATCGTAGAAGGTTGTCTTCTCAGGGGCAATCAGCTCTTGCAGGTCCATGACCTCGTGAACCGATTTAATCAATGAGCCTGACTGCCTTACAATACGTGCGCGGAGCCTCGACTTACCACTTGCAACTGCTCAGCGCTTCGACTCCGGGCTCAGCTTCAAGATGCCCGAGGTCTGACAGGAATACGAAGCATTCTTCACTCCTGGCATACCACCGATACATCGAGTTGATGGCTTCCGATAACTCAGCACTAGAGGACTTGTCAATACAGCACGTGTCTACCCAAGCCCAGTCGATGCCCCTTTGCTTTGATAGCCGACATGTCTGCACAATTTTGTCGTAGCCAGGCTTTGCCAGCACGCGTTCGGGGCGTGCGGCGGTAGGTCCGCACATTTCATGGAAGCCGACTTCATCATCGTCGCTGCCCCAGGTATGCGAGAGAATGGCATATGGTGGACAGCCTCTGTCTCGGAAGCTTCTCAATTGGAAGGAAGTGGTGTCGATTAGCCACATTCTGATGGCATTTGTGATGGCCAGACGCGAAGACCTGGGATGAGGCTCGCCTGTCTTTCGAAGGCAGCCATGCTTGGCAATCTTTGCCGAGCGACTGCGCAGGTGCTCTGCGTCTTGCGAGCGAGACTCAGACCAGTGGCGGGCTGGTCGTAAACGTGGTGCACAAGTGCAGAGTCTCTTGCCATGATACGCCGGGCAAGCACGATGCCACAAAGTTTGCGCTTGGAGTCCGCACAGTTCGGTCACTGGTGGGGGGTGGGGCGCCCTAGAATGCGGTCATACTGTAGGTGTTGGTATACCTAAATATACAGTACTCCCTAGCTATTTACCTAGGCAGGTAGTACGCATCCAGTCCAGCTACTTCAGCCGTGGCTGCGACACATCCTATTACCTTGAACCACACCCAGCTCACGGGACCAAGTGATTTCCAGTCGAATACCAGAATATTATCGAGAGCGTGAAGCTACGTAGACTTGGTCTGATTGAAGTCCCCCGAGTTCTGAAGCAATGTCTATAGACCACATAGCTTACTACACACCGACCTCGGTCTTCAAGGATGAGATTGCTTTCTTGACTGCAAGTCTCAAACATCTGGACATCGTCGAGTTGGTCCGAATACCCGGCATGGACAATCTCGTAGGGTTGGGCAAAGGTCAGAAGGCGTTTCTATGGGTGTCCGGGCTTGACGAAAACAAGAGAACCAAACTGGGAGACGCGATGCATGTCGCATTGGCGGCAGAGTGTGAGTTTCGATCTACGATGTTTCTTGAGCATCTGTCTAAGCTCTGTAACAGCTCAGGAACAGGTCGACATCTACCACCGAGAGGCACTCAAGGCGGGTGGCAGATGCAATGGGCCACCAGGGATCAGGGAAGTGTATCATAAGGGTTACTACGCAGCCTTCGTTCATACACCGGCTGGCATGAACTTGGAAGTCGTGTACCATGACTTCGGGTGGCTTCAGAAGTAGCGATGGCAGGTGCGACCGACAACCCACCTCCTGAGCCTTGCCTTGGGGTGAATCTTTCAGCCTGGGCGAGCACAAACTTCCTCTCACGTCACAAGAAAAGAAGTCCACGTCGTCAAACGCTGATCGGGATATGTCTGGACTGTACAGAATGTGAGCTACTACAGCTTCGACTTGAGAGGTCGTGTCTGCAAGTTCCGCCGAACAATCTTCCTGGCCCATGGATGTGTATCTCCTCTGTAGACATATGGATCGAGCTCGCTCGTGTTCAGCAAGCCCGGGTGTGCTTGATCGAGCGAGGTGATTCCGATCATCTGCATGGCTGTCTCTAGCTCATCGCGTATTACTGCAGCCATTATCAGCGAGTCGTCAGGTCAGGTATGGGATCACTCACTCTCAACAGCGTGCTCGACACCTTCTTGACCATATCCTACGGCATACAAAAATGGCCGACCAAGACAGACAGCGCTTGCTCCCAGACAAATCGCCTTCAGCACATCAGTGCCACGACGAATGCCACCATCGATGAAGACTTCCATCTGCTCGAGCACTTCTGGACAGTTGGCCTGTATCTCCAAGAGTGTCAGTATCGAAGGCTGTGCAGTATCGACGGCTCTGCCACCATGATTCGAGATGTAGATGCCTGCACAACCGTAGTCCAGAGCCTTTCGCGCATCCGCTGCGCATTGGATGCCTTTCACAAAGATAGGCACATCCGTGATCGACTTCAACCAGGTGATGTCTTCCCATTTGAGGTCCGGGTCGATGAAGCTTCCAGTGGCTCGTGCCAGACCTGAGCCTTTATTGTCGCGTTTCACGTTTTGACTTTGCATATTTTTGCTTGCCTTGTAGGTAGCTTCAATTTTCACCCGCTCGTCGTCTTCGCGTTTGCCGACCACAGGTAGATCGGCTGTGACAGTGATTGCTTTCAGGTTGGGGTTCTTCGACACCTCCTTGATCAGGTTTTCTGATATCGATCGATCCTTATTCATGTACAGCTGATAAAAGATTGGATGATTTGCGGGCAAAGCTCCCGCTATTTCAGCGAAGGAGTAGCTGGCATTGGCGCATGCAATGATCGTGGATCCGGAAGCCGCTAGGCCACGCGCCATGGCAAGCTCGCCTTCTGGGTGGGAAAGCTTCGCCAGTGCTGCTGGTGATGAGAAAATGGGCAGTTTGAACTTTTGTCCGAGGACAGTGGCCTGTGTCGTCGCGTTCTTGACGCCAACCATGACTCGCGGCCGAAACCATATCCGTTTGTAGAAGTCTGCGTTCGCGTCCCGTGTGAAGCAATCATTAGCAGCCGTCATCTGGAACGCCCACGTCTTGCGTGAATGTGTCCGTTTGGCAGCTTCTTCGAAGTCGTGGAGGTTGATGATGGCGTCCAAGGGCGGTCGACCTTCCTCTGGAAGTGGCGTTGACCCTTCATGCTGGTCGGCCTGCTTCGAGCGCCACTCATCCGTCACGGTCGATTCGTCGAGACGACCCTTGTTCTCTGATGCGTCCAGATGCTTCTCAGCAACGCTGGGACCATGGACCTCATTGTACGCATTACTGGCGTCCCCACCAAGATACTCGTGAATGATCTCTGAACCCCCAGGGTGCGTCGGCGCGAACTTGGTCACGTCCCATACTGTTCCGTTGATGACTATCCAGGCATCATCAACGGTGTTGTGCTTCGACAACTCCTCCACCGATATTTTGCCCATTACGCCCGCGTATATGAGATCGTGAAAACACGAACGGAGCAGTCGAAAATACCTGTGCTGGGATTGAGCATACTTATGATCACCTCAACGCTTATTGGATCTGGGAATCCAATTGCTCAAACAGCCCCGTGGGGTACTGGATTTAAGGGACGGTGCCCTTAGCCGAGGGTATCCCTGAAGGCGCGCGTGAGGTGACTTGAAGAACGTGGTGACGTCCGTTCCGTCATGGTAACCAAGGTAGGCAAGTCCTCTATTTTGATGGGCCAAGAGAGGCAAGAACTCTACCAAGCGGCCGTACGAAATATGGAGAGAACGCCGATATCACGTGATGTACTCGAGGTGAACTTATCTCCGACTCCTTGGCCGTCTAAGCCGTTGCGTTCCCCCCCCGGAGCTTCTCCAGAGTGATGGACGTGCGACGCATCAACGATTCGGCGCATGAGCTCGATATGCGATGATGAATGCACGCCCTAGCGAGTCTCGAGCCTGGACCAAGATGACTGAAAGGTGCCTCATGATGCTGTGCTAGAGTAAGTCCTCGGCGGACGTCCGAAGGGGTCGGTTGTGTCTGCTGGAAGCCTCCACTTAGGGACTGGAGTCGCGTTATCACAACCTCCAACTCTAGCGTCTAAAAATGTAAGATGATCTCTCATTCCCTCCTTCTTTCGACATGAACCCGAAGGTCATAGTTGAGCTGGAGCGTGAGTGGTAATGAGCAGCCAAGATGCTCACGTGGGTGGCACAGCGTCCACCGCACCAGCCGCTGATCACACTGATGTGCCCTTTCTGACTGATGATGTCCTCATTCGACATGAGTCTCGCAAGGAGATTCGGAGAGGGGGTGTTCTGTCGAGAATATGGGAGATAATCAACTGGATGCCGCCCTGGTGCCGTTGGGATGCAGCAAACCCGCCACAGTTCAGTCTCGGTCTCAACATTCTGTTCGGGTTTGCTGGAGCCATCACGGTCGCTAATCTATATTATAACGTGAGTTACGTCGATTAAATGAGCCAGAGCGCACAAAATTATCATCCTTCGACTGTCCACTCGATACTCGCACTCCAAACAAAAGCTGACCCAGATGTGCCATAGCACTCAATTCTGAACATTCTCGCACATGATTTCGATGTACCATACTACACTGTCAGTCGAGTGCCGACCCTGGCTCAAGCCGGCTACGCCGTCGGCCTGGGTCTAGTCTGTCCGCTGGGGGATTTATTCCCGCGTCGACCTTACACGCTTTGCCTGGTATTCTTTACAGCAACGCTATGGATCGGCCTGTGCGTCACCCGCGATTTCAATGCCTTTCTCGGCATAACTTTCATTACCTCGCTGACGACCGTCACGCCACAAATCATGCTCCCTTTGGTAGGCGAGATGGCCCCACCCAACAAACGAGCTTTTTCGCTTTCGATTGTGGTCTCTGGAAATATGCTGGGCATTGTGCTGGCGAGAGTGCTGTCCGGCATAGTGACACAATATACGTCCTGGAGGAACGTGTATCTCCTCGCTCTTGGTTTGCAGTACCTCATCTTTGCGGCACTGTGGCTCTGGATGCCCGACTACCCATCCTCGAATCCGTCTGGAATGAATTACTTCAAAATGCTCTGGACGATCGTCACTCTATGCAAGAAGCATGCAGTCTTGGTCTATGCAGGCGCAGTCTCTTACTGCATATCGGGGGCCTTTATGAACTACTGGACCACTATGACCTTCCTGTTGTCGTCACCGCCGTACGAGTATACTTCTACGGTCATTGGTCTCTTCTCCTTGATTGGACTACTCGGCATGGTCCTTGGACCGTTCTATGCTAAATACATCATTGCGCCCATCACGCCCTGGTCTGCAGTCCTCATCGGTGCTGCCATAAACATGACGGGCGTAGTGATTGGGACATATGCTGGTGAAACTACAGTCGCAGGTCCAATCATAGAGGCTTTCGGTCTGGATGTTGGGATGCAATTCACACAAATTGCCAACAGAGTCGCCATCTACTCAGTCGAGCCGACTGGCCGCAACAGAGTGAACACGGCTTTTATGCTGATGTCATTTGCCGGACAACTGTCTGGCACGGCTGCTGGAAACAAGATCTACGAACAGGCTGGTTGGCGAGGAAATGGCAGTTTCGGTGTGGGCCTGATAGGATTCATATTTGTGCTCTCCTTTATGAGAGGTCCATGGGAGCCGGGATGGATCGGTTGGAGTGGTGGCTTCAGCATCAAGAGGAGAAATGGTATGGGCAATGCTGAAGATGTCAGGGCTGCAAGGGAGAAACAAGAGGCAGAGGATTCGGTACAGGTAAGTGACGAACAAGAAGAGCTTCAGATCGTGCAGGCCGACCCAGAGAAGGGTGCCACCGCGGAAAAGAGTGCTACTGCGAGGTAGCTAGTAGCCCGAACTGAAGTCAGCTTGGATACAGCCATATGAGATGCATGGATCTGCCTCTTAACGAGGATGAGTACAACGCGTAATCTACGTCTGCAATACATGTGCCAAGCGCTATCTCGCCCGGACGGTCTTCCCCACCTCGACGATCGTCACTGCTTCACCAACTCCTCAGTCTGATATGGCGTAGCTACTTCTGAATTACCACATCGCTGTGGATGATCATATGCAACGTCGCCGAAGCTTCTCCAACGTCGCTAGTAAGTATGTGGCCGTCCGGTCGAACTCACATTCCTTCAGTGCAACCTTACAGCATTGGTATTCGGATCAACGGCCGCGTACATATATCTGAAGAACTGTCGGGTCAATGGGATGGAACTACACGATTTGTCCCGTCGAATCTACCATGCGAGCCTCTCAGCTACTGCTGAGCCTACTTGGTGCGACACCAGCGCTACCTTCAACACCCTCACGTCTTTACAAGTCGCACTCCCCTGACCCCCATGACTTTGTGTAACGAAATGGCACTCGACTCTATGACAGTTCCGGACAGCACTACCTGATGGGGCTGAACTGTCGGGCTTGTATGAACCTGCCGCAGACGCGTCAGTTGCCGGCAATGTACTTCAAGTCAGATGAAGACAAGGGAGCGTACGTCGGAAGTTGCCCATGGGCGTATGGCGGGATCTGGCGGCCAGAGCCGGAGAAGGTAGACTAGTGGGGAGAGACGATGGGCGTCATCGCGGCGCAGCAGCGGGAGGTGGCGAACCTTCTGCGCTGTCAGGGGAACGAACGTTAGTCGTGCCTTGTGCAGTCCTTATTGATAATATACAAGCTTCTAAGCCGATGGAACCCCCACCTTTCGCAGTCACTCGAGGCTAGTGCTCCGAAAGAGGACTACATGCTTCTCAGCGCCTTATGATCTTCACAGCATCCCTATTGCCAATATAGCTCAATCCACTCCACACCGTCGTCGCACTCACCAGCGCACACCACCCTTCGAACACTCCCCACAAATTCCAACTGCTTACCAAGACCTCTGGTAATACTGGTAAGATCATTGCGTTGCCAATCAGCAATAACTGCAACAGCGTATTAATCTTGCTAATCTCAGTCGGATGCACCTCCGCACTCGGCAAACTGAAATCCCAGTACCTTGTCATCGTCTTCGGCGGCGGCAAGCTAATCCACCTCCACCAGATCGCCGATATGGCAAGCGCGACGTCCCGGCCAATGATGATTGTTGCGGCGTAAACCGGGAGGATGCCGGTGTAGGAGAGGCACAGGGTGGAAATGGTCATGAGGAGCTTGTCGGCCATGGGGTCGATGACGGAGCCGACGACAGTGAATTGCTGCCAGCGGCGGGCGAGGTAGCCGTCCACGAGATCGGTGACCGCTGCGTAAGCGAAGAGTGCGAGGGCGTAAATGTGAGGAATGTGAGGGGCCAGGAGCAAGTAGCCTACGGCGGGGGCGGCGAGGAGGCGGGTGAATGTTAGGATGTTGGGGACGGTGTAGATGTTCTCGTGGGTTGGAGTCAAAGACTTGAGTGAGGTGAGTGGCTGTTTGATGGGTTCCGGGCTTGTGGTGGTTGCTGGCATGGGAGTCGGAGGTCCTTGTTGTTGTGATGCGAATAGTATTGAGGTTGAGGTGATGCGACGCTTGGCGAAGGATGGCGGAGTGATGCCCGTCACAACATGCCGCGGTCGGTGGAATCGAGTACCGGGAGTTGTGGTTGATGATCGGATCGATTGCGCGCCATAGCTGCGAAGTCTTGTCCCCTGAATACTTGCGGTGCAGAGGTGAGATCTCGAACGATCGGGATAAACCGATCTCGCTGCCGCTAGAGCGCGTGCAGCAGGTACAGAGCGACCATCTGCTATACACGACCGATGTAACGAGCCAGTCCAGACGTGACGCGTGCCTGGACACGCGATGCTTCCGATTCCACCAATGCCGGCGCGGGTCGGGCCAATGCCTACAGAACGGGCTGCTATCGTCGCCATGACATGTTGCAAGGCTATCGATCTCTATGCACAAAGTCTGATGACGACAGATGAGAGGTGCGACACTTCATGGGACGTCGAGTTGTGATCAGGTCTTGGCATGCGCAACGAGATGACTAAGCAGAGGATTGGCCGGTTTAAGATGAAGAAATGGCAGAGAGCGGAAGCGACGCGAATGCTTCCAAGGCCAAGGTGTCATAGCCCGATTAATTATACAGTATGTACATGTTCCATGTTCATGGCGTGGCAACGATTGCGTCGTGAGCTCGTTGCCGCCGGATAGCATGATCATCAAGTTGAGGAGCGTCCTCCATCTCCTCCACAAGTGCACCTGCTCGTCTTTGCTTGTTGGTGCCGTGGACGTACTTCAACAGCCTCAAGGCACCAGCCGGCGTGACGCCCTCAATTCTCCGCGCCATGCCGATACTCTGTGGACGAACTAGTTTCAGTGCCTCTTTCTCGCCCATACTCAGGCCAAAAACGTCGTCATAGTCCACGTCTAAAGGCAACTGCAGTGCTTCATCCCTCTCGAACGCTGCTGCGGCTTTCGCCTGCATCACCACGTATGGCGCATACAGGCTTTCTATCTCGACTCTGCGCCGTATACCTGGACTGAAATTGGTGATGAGTGGGCCAAATCGGTCTGGCATCTTTTCGGCCATCTTGTCGATAGTCATGTCTGCAAGACGCAGGAGGTCCAGTGCGGATCGCATATTAGCGTCAGTCCGTACACTGAAGCCTGCAGCGCTCCAGCGAGGGCTCGACATGATGTTGTTGGAGAGTTGCGTCTGTAAGTCTGCCATCTCAGCCTCATCTTTCTGGTACCGCGACCAACGTGTGGGGCTGACCACTCCAGCCTCGTATGCCTTCGCCGTGAGCCGTGAATCTGCGTTATCGGACCGACAGCTCATACGGAACTCGCTTCGCGTAGTAAACATGCGATAAGGCTCTGACACGCCTTTGGTGATGAGGTCATCTATTAGAATGCCGATGAATGCCTCGCTTCGGCTGAGGGTGAACGGTGACAAGCCCAGTGCAGCACGCCCAGCGTTGATGCCGGCGATGATGCCCTGAGATGCGGCTTCTTCGTAGCCAGTAGTGCCATTGATCTGGCCAGCCAGGTATAATCCATCGATGAGCTTCGTCTCCAGTGTGGGCAACAAATTTCTGGGATCGATGTAGTCGTATTCAACGCCATATCCGGGCTGGAGCATTTTCACATTCTCGAGGCCTGCTACCGTTCGCATCAAAGCATACTGTGCGTCCGCTGGGATAGTCATGCTAACGCCGTTGGGATAAATGACCTTATTGGGCGCAAGACCTTCTGGCTCAAGCCAGATCATATGCTTCTCCTTATGTCCAAAGCGGATAACTTTAGACTCAAGCGAGGGACAGTAGCGTGGACCACGCACAGTCTCCCGGATGTGTATTGATTTGTCCAAATTCTCCCGGATGATCTGGTGGCTTCTATTATTCGTATATGCGCTGTAGCATGACAATTGGTCTTCGGTAGGTATCTGCACCCTTTCGTTGAGGTTAGAGAATGGCGCAGGCGGCGAGTCTCCGAGTTGTTCCTCCAAGATGCTCCAGTTGATCGTGTCTGCATCGAGACGTGGCGGCGTGCCGGTCTTGAGTCTGCCCAGCTCAAATCCAGCATCGCGTAAAGACTTGTTAAGGCCGAACGTGGCCGCTTCACCCATGCGGCCGGAAGGATATGCTTCGAGACCAATGTGAATCTCGCCGCCTAGAAAGGTGCCAGTCGTTATGACGACTTTGGAAGTAGGGATGACTTGTCCTCCTTCCAATCTGATGCCTGTGATACGACCCTGTGAGATGCCACTGGTGTCTTCCTTTGAGACGACAATATCTGCGACTTTCCCCTCGACAACACTGAGTCCGGGCGTGGACAGTATCTCCTCCTTCATATATCTATGGTAGAGATCTCGATCGATCTGGGCTCGTGGACCCCATACAGCAGGGCCTTTCTTTCTGTTGAGGATGCGGAATTGAATACCAGCCTTGTCTATTATGCGCCCTGCTACGCCATCGAGCGCGTCGACTTCGCGCAGCATCGTGCCTTTGCCTATTCCGCCAAAGCTCGGGTTGCAAGAGCATACTCCGAGGTTCGAAACGGAAGGTGTGATGAGTGCTGTCCGCGCACCTGACCGTGCAGCAGCAGCGCTGGCTTCTGTGCCCGCATGACCGCCGCCGATGACTATGACATCGTACGCACTGCTCCTCGTCAGTACTGCCACAATGGAATTGGAGCAGGAACTCATACGGAACAGAATCCGCCACAGCAGCAAATTGACGCCGCTGCTGTGCTGACAACCTTGTGCGAGGGGTATGACCCCAGCACAGGAGTCTCGCAGACCGAGTTGACGGCCGCATGACTCTCGTGCAAGATGATCCTGTACACGCTCAAGATATGCGTCGAGTTCAAGTTCACTTCTCAGAAAGACAGTCGCGGCGGACTTAGGCAGCTATCTCCTTGGAGCACATCTGCTCACCATTCGTCATTGATTCGGCAATAAGTTGCTCCTGACTTATTTGTTTCATACTACCCAGTGACTTAATTGAAGCTGTTTCGCAGGTGCACCTCAGGCTGCGGTACCTGGATTGCCCAGTCCGCCACTAACAAAGACCACGAGGACTGCCGTATATGCTGCTGCAGCGCCGAATATCTCAGCGCGTTTCGCCTCTGTTAGGACCGCGATCGACGCAGAGAAGACGATCGTGTACGCCGTCAGTATGCCCAGTCTGCTTCCCTCGTTCTTAACATAGTACAAGTTGAAGATTGCGCCGAAAAGCAGACCTGCCACAACGAGAACGTTGATTGCCGAAACAACAGCGTTGATCCGATACTCCGACAATGACACCACTTGGCGTGATGCTTGCCACCGTCTTCGCCACAGTCCATGGAAATGACCTCGAAGCGTCTTTGTCAGGGGATCTTCGAAGCGACGCAGAGCTAATGTCATGAGTTCATCGCGCTCGCGTTTCTTGCGTGCATTGTTCTCCTTAATTGACAACTTGCCCGGATCTTTGCCATAAACGTGCTCACATACGCCCGTCAGCATCGGAACGCCTTGCTTCTTTTCCGTGGCCCAGAAGTATGCCAATAGCGCGTCATGGACGTCTCCTGGTACACGATGGAGTTTGAGGACTTCAGAATTTCTCAAGACCGCTTCCTCTGCCCAATATCAGCGTCCGCCATGGAGAAGCTGTGATACTCACGGTACTCTTTCAGCTTCTCTCGGATTTCCAGAATCAAGTTCCTACGTCGCGTCGCAGATGGCTGACCAGGCCTACCAGCTGCACTGGTATCACTGCGATCGCATAGTTGCTGCCAATTCTTCGCCATTCGTCGCTCTTCACTTCCACCAGTTGCATCCTCCTTGTCAAGGCGCTCTAGTTGCTGCTCCAGGTCCAGCAGCTCGCTCTGCATATACAAAATGTCCCTGGCTGCAAGACTCGAGAATCTGCGAAACACGAAGCCTGAGCGCTCCTTGTCGCTGCTCATGAACCCAGACAATCCGGCGAATCCTAGTCCCCTGTCCAGATGTTGGGCAGACTCCACATCGCCTTTCACAGCCATGCTCAGTGGCTCTGCCATGTCTTGAGGAACGGAATACTTCTCACTTCGACATTGCGGTTGTACTCACGCCATCGTGAATTCGACAGCTCTCATCTTCAGAGAACTTTCGTTTCACGGTCTCAGCCGTGCGAAGCAGAGCTTGGCTATGCTGCATGAATACGAGCTTGGCACGCGTCTGTAGAGGAGCAGCCTGACCTGACACCGCAGCTGTTCCACTATCATAGACATCCACATTCCGACATATATCTGAGGCGCCATGGTCTACTTCAGATCTTACTTGCGTCCATAGTCCAATTGTTCATATCAGAGTTCAACGCGATGACTCCAGAACGACCTACGACATGGCCAGAATGGCCTAATTTCGAACGAAATGAGTACGATGCTATCAACGTACGCTGTAACGCATATTTCACGGGCGGTCCGATGCGTGCGAAACTTGCTGATGGACGAATTGTGCAGCTGCCGCATGATTCTGCTCAAATTGTTCTTGCTGAATTACTTACTGTCGATCTTGTACCATTGGAGAGGGATCCGACAGCGGGAACTGGGTCTGAAGGGTCTCCATTCCATGGCCATGAGCCGACAGGTATATCTCGTCACTTGCTGGCGCATGGGCGCATTCTGCGCTCTTGCTGGCGTTCAACCGGATGCTGACTCACATTTCCAGACGATCAACTGCTCCGGATAGACATGGCCATTTGCAACGTGGATCGAGTGATCTCCTGGTCGATGGCTGTCTATGATTACGAAAAAGCAGACGCAAACCTGAGGGCCGAGTGGGAGAAGCGCATCGACCAGGAGGATATGATGAAGCGTCGTCAACTGTCGTCCAACCAGATTCGTCAGCTATGTCAAGTATATGCGGCGGAACAGGAGTTCTTGACAGCCATAAGTGCGTCTAGGGAAGCGTTTCCCAAACCCAGACTCACAAAATCGTTCGTCATCTCCGACGATGATGAGTATTCAGTCGAATCGACAGGTATGTGCCTTCACAAAATGCGAAACAATTGCGAACATAAGGCTGATGCTCGCTCATAGTCTACGACATCGACGGGCGCGAGGATGCCGCATTGGCGGCGATTGAGACAGAGACTAACCAGGTGGTGAGAGACCTGGAGTGGTCCAGAAAGGCGGGTGATACCGATGCTGAGACAAAGGCTAAGAATCGACTCAGTAAGCTAGAGACAGAACGGTGTCGCATCATCGCAGACCATGAGTTGCAGCGTCAGAAGCTGAAGGACTCTGACGGTATTCTCTGAATATGGTGGAAAAGCCTCCAGCATGCAGAGCAGAACCGGATGATTGACCACAACCTGCCTATATGCATCTCTCCAGACGCTTTCGACGAGCCACATGCAGCGCAGCCACGGTGACAGACTGTCAAAGTGGTCCAGCACTTCGTATTGCAACCCATGATCTTGCACAGCCTCAGCCACACCGCCCACGGAATACGAGGTCAAACAAGCCGAGCCTCCCGGATAGATGCACACATACAGGAACACTATGCCTCTCTCATATCAAAGCACTCTCTTGTGGACAGAGAATCTGCGTCTGCGTCCGGAAACCTCCCAGAGGCACTTTTTAATCACACTGAAAATACGTCAACATCATTTGATGATGCAGCCTGACACTTTGGCCGTTGGCACTTTGGCAGTAGGGAGCGTGGCAATCGGGAGCCTGGCTATCAGCAGCATCCTCCTGTCGACACGTGACCGACTGCGGCATCTTTTCTCAGGCAGAGCCCATGCACGGCAGTCGAGAGGTGAGTTAAGTAGTAAGTGTTGCCGCAGAGACTCATCTACCGGTTTTCGCAGATGTCCCGGACTGACAGGCTTCGTAGCTTACGACATCTCCTCGCAAGAAGACGCGGCTCTGGCCACCATCGATGAAGAGATCAGGAGGCTCTGTCGCGAGGATCATCTCGCATGCCACACGAAAACGCAAAGTCTGTGCATCACAGCCAAGTCCAGGCGTTGCAGGCACGAATCCTAGATGTTCATCGCCGCTACGAACGTCTGAGGACCGAAAAGCAGCAATCCTCATCTGTCGACAACGATGACAGTGGCTTGTCTAACGTGTGAGACACACAATTACAATGCGGCTTCTCCAGAGCGTGGGCCTAGCCCGTGATGAGCTTCTGAGCCGCCGCGAAGATGAACGTGTGAGCTCTCAGATGCGATTGAGTGTGGACCACAAGAGATGAACGCTTTGTGCAATTGAGTACAATCACACTCGACACTCGGGCTTTGGCCAGGGTTTTCGATCAAGACCACCCGAAGTCAACGACAAATTACCATATCATGCCAAGTGATGCAGCGAGCTCGTATTCCTGTCATTGATGCAGGCTCAGCCTCATTCGCCGCAAGCCGGGTGTTTGTAGCAATCGTGGTCGCCGCAGATTATGCGATATAACGTGATACAAGTGCACGACGTGAACCACTAAATTGAGGATCAAAAAAAAATGCCACGGACAAGACGCACTCTGTTGAAATGCAAAAGCCCGGCGATCATGTCAGCCATTTGCATAGGCCCAATCCAACTGGCACCACGAGCTATGAGCACAAAGACGCTGCTGATGTCCTTCGGACAGATCTACAAGTGGCTTCTCACGCTTACCAGAGACTAGTAGAGAAATACTGCTTCGTAGGTTGCTGCGAAAGAGCCCAGGCCACCCCGTCCAAGGACTGACATGGTCTCAACAGTCCCAAGGACCCTCACGGCTCTATGGACCCGAGCGGAGAGGTCCTGTCTCAACAATGTCCTTTGCGTCAACGATGAATTCCGAATGCAGCTTCGATCTGACAGGTAAGCTTTATGGTATATCACTTCCGAGAAAGCATACTCACTCCCAACCACCAAAGATCAAGATCGCCGCGATCTCCAAGACGCTGAGCTAGCTAGAGAAACTGATGAGCTCCGGTACCTCCGAGAGGATGCACATTGGACGCAGAACGACGCAGTACCTCAATCCAGTCCGTCTGCTGGCACTACATCCAGGATGTCTGAACAAGGGTATCGTCGTCGTTGCGAGGCACCAGGCGTCGCGAAACTCCCACGTACTACAACGGTCGATGCTCCCGCGCCTGCTGGGAGCCATCATGTAGACGAATGTTGCAGTAAGGCTGTATCGGGCGGAGTTGAGTGCAAGGGCAAAGGCTTGCGCCTAGGAAAGTGTAAATGCCTGCACGCCAATCAGAGGTTGCTATCGCTTGCGAGTGGGAACACGTGTAGCCAGCATCGGCGCAAGAAGACTACAAAGCGTCGATCGTGGCTCGCACGCCTTACTGACAAGCTGAAGTAGCCCGATTGCAGGCGACGTGGACGAGCCTCATGCTAACCCCCGCGTGACTGCAGTGACGAGAAGATGCGGGACGGAGGCCCGTGGCTACTACATATGTGAGTGGTTGGCGGAATCCGCTCAGAGGGCCGAACACATTTGGGTGTTCTCTTCCTTGCTACACAGACTCAGCCACCGAGTTGGGGCTGCGAATACGAGGCCTTCTCGGGCCCCTTCCTGCCATGAACATAAACTTCATCATAATCGATTTCCCATTCTTTGGAGTCTACACCTCGCGGCAGTACTGCGCTTCGTCCAGCAGCATTCACTCGGTAGGCAGTCATGGACAACAAAAAAGACACATATCCCGACAGTCGCCATCAATATCAGTCGAAAGAGCTCGATCCGACACTAGCTGCAATGCACCCCAGCAGTCTACAGCAAAGCTACACAGGCAAGCACTTTCGCCGCAATGTAACTGCCCAGTCGTGTTCCTCATCGAAGGAAATAGCAGCGCGAGAAGCAAAAGAGCTCGCGGACATCGACAAGCAAATCCAGGAATGTCAGGACAAATACTGCAAGCTACAGCAGATTCACGATGCACAGCCGACTCAATCTGCCATCTTGCAGCACAAGAGCCTAATGCAGGAGCGAGATATAGCATTCAAGGAGCTCAATGCAAAGCGTGACGCGATCAGGAGACACTTTGACGGTTTGAGGGCGAGATCTGCTGACGTGGTGCGGCTATAGAGATCGATGGTGGCGACAAGGGCGGCAAGGACACACAGAGCGCGCAGACGAAGGCATATGAGTCTGGGAGGAGAGGAGAAGGAGGCAAAAGCGACGTACAAGTTCAAGGAGCCTGAGTCTGACAGCGTGCCTGCGAAGGTGCTCGAGAAGGGACGAAGGGGATGAGATCCTGGCATACTTCTCCAGAGAATGTGTAGCTGCAGTTTCTGGCGGCTCTTTGAATGCCTTCAACGGGTTGTGCTCATTGCAAGTGGGACGAAAAGCAGACTGTGCTGGGATCGACTACTTTCAAGCGGGAAACAGCCTCACTTTATGAATCATTTACAAATCAAGGCAATCAGCAGGCATTAACTTGGCTCATATTCAGCATCGCATGAGTACTATGGCATTCAATTTGTCCAGATCTCAAGCCACAAGAGATTGTGACATTCATGCCTGATCTTCTGAAAAGCCACACGCTTTTCAGCCTGATGGGGGCTATGCCATCTCGAAGCGAAGGCTTGGCATGCAGTACGGTTAGGCTTCAGGCAGGCCACGCCTGGACGGTCGCCATGGGGAGTTGTCTCGAAACCATTCGAGTCACAGGCGTCCTTCCGACCTCAGCCGCCTGGCGTCACATAACATAGCTTCGGAGAGCATTGGAGCTTTGAAGTTGGTAGATTATGTAGAGCAACATACAATCCGGCCCATTGCTGATCAGATCCGTGTCTGCTTCCCAGAACCAACGTCACTGAGCGGCAAGAATACTGCTACAACAATGACAACTCCTAAGAACTACATTCATCCCAAGACACTGATACGAGATCTGACAAGAAAGTTCGAAGACGTAGACTACACCAGTAAGTTGGAGGTCGAAGCCGTTCCCACAACAATGCCTTTTCCTGGAACTCCCAGAAAACCCATTGCCTGGGATGGTACAGGTCCTGACTCTCTGCTCCATAGACTCGACCATTGAAAAGAACGAAAAGTATGAACTCGCCCGGCTTGAGGCCGAGATCAAAGAATGCCGCAAACATCGCGACGCCTTACGCGCTCTCGGTCCCACTCAGATGACTGTTCAGGATAGCGACTCCCTGGCTTACTGGGAAAAGGAGTTGGGCGAAATGACGGCCTTGGAGCCCAAGTTGAAGCGCTTCTTCCAAGGGTTGCGTGACAAACTAGCAAAGACTGCTGCTGCGAAGAAGGCTGCCTCCCAGCCGAAGAAGGTGGTGAAGGGTGAGGAGGGGAGGGGTGGCGTGGGTGACTATGGAGCCAGCCAAGGACGAGGGATGGGTGGAAGATTAGATCCGAGGAGAGGAAGTGCTGACGGTGGCGGCGGAGGAGCGGGCGTTGAGAGCAGAAGGCGGTGAGCTCCCCACAGAGGAAGCTGCCATCGTGAAAAACGATCCACGAGGTCCGTTCCTTCCATTCCCTGATCACAGATCATCGTCCCAAACATCCCAACTTAGCGCCGTCTAGCAGTGTGTTTCTCGAACACATGATCTTGAATTGTCTCGTCCGAGTAATCGTGCCTAGCAAATTTACTGTCACAGCCCTCAACAAAGCAGCGTTTGTGGTGATGTTTCTTGGCGTGGTCCATGTTCTCCATGCCTGGGAAACAGACTCGGTGAGAATCGCATCCGGAGTCCTTGCGACGTCGATGACGATCGTAGCGCTCCTTTGACTCAAACCATGTGAAGCAGCGCTCGCATTTGGTTCGCGTGCCTCGACTGCTGGTGGGCCTGCTGGGTTTGGAGGTTGATGGTGTATTCTTTGCCCGTCGTGCTGGTCGACGCCAGCTTGTGGACTGTGTGTTGTGATCAACATAGTACGTGCGGCCGAAGTCGTTCTCTCGCCTTTCCCAGCCTTCTGGAAGCCCAGCCTGCGCGTCATTGGCGAATTTATCGTTCTTGGCAGCAATGCTGTAGTTTGGTCTAGTTGTTGCGGATTGCTTGAGGCGGGATTTTGAGTAGGTCTGGCTGGAAGAAGCATTGGCGACTGTGGGAGCATTCCAGTCTGGAGGAAGTCAGTATCCAAGACCATGCTAGCCGGGAGCCGGAAGAATTGACGCACCATCGTCATCTTCGTCCTCTCCGTCACCATCATCGTCGTCAGTATACTCGTCCTCTTCTTCGTCCCAGCCACCAGTCCCGGCCTGTGCTTGCCCTTCCCCTTGTCCACCTCCTGCGGACGGATTGCGAGTTGGATGCCAGTGCTCAGGGCAGTCAACATTTATTACACTCATGGCCCCTCCGCAATGCGCACAGTATCTGTGCATGGCGGTAGCCAGAGGGGTGCGACCTACAGAGAAACAACAGCTGCTACAGAAATGTAGGGTAACATATTCCGTGTGGACGCTCTTGTGCTCTCGGCGTTTGCCGCAGTTAGCACAGAACATTGCTGAGATTGATGAGCTAGAACTGATCGTAGATGGGCAAAGATTCGTTTTATCAGCACTGGTGATGGTCACACAATTCCGAGGCCTCCAGTGGCATTGAGGCAGGAGGATCTCGACAGCAGGGAAATACCACTGCATCGTAGCAGACACTGCTCACGGTCCAGTACATCCCGCCCAGCAATTTCTGCCTATGAACTGGTGAGACAGCGACGGCGTCGGGCGCCTGTATGACATGCGAGGCGTTTGTGATACCAAAGGACATCTTCGTTTGTAGAATCTGCTTGTACAGAGTCAAGCTACCCCCCGAACAGCGCTTATGACCTCGTCTCCCGATGTCAGACGCCTGGATCTTCTTCAAGTCGGCAATGGATGCACATGATTCCGCCCTCAGAGCTAACGCTGTGGTCATACACACACTCGGACGCCCTCAATCGACTGCGGAGACCCTCAATTGGATCGTATTTGCCTTACGATACGCTGGCGTTCTCCTGCTGATGTCATAGATGTACGGCGAGGTGTATCGATCGGCGCGTTTCGTTTCCTAACGTTCAGAGGCCATAAGTTCCACTGACTGTCAACATCCGGGTCTCCTGATCCCACTTGGCGTTGATCATGGCGCTGGTGACCTTGAGGCTACCGTAGCGAATGGACGCGTCGATGTGACCGACACGCCGCTCAAAGTCCTCGCGAGGGATCTTCTTCTGTTTCCAAGCTTTGCCTTTGCCGTTCTCTTCGGGCAGTCTGAGGATCTTGTCGCGGACTTGGTCGTGTGGTACGACTGTTGTGTAGGATCATCGACTTGTGCCTTGTCTGCACGAGGGCTGTTTGCGAGACAATTAGATATAAGGTCCTGAAACGTAGGCCACGACGGGGAGGGCGACGGAAGGGAAAAGAGGGCGCAGAAATGAACAATCAAATGACGCATGACTCACCTGCCACTTCATTTGCTTCTTGATCTCGCGATACATTACCTTTGCGATCTTCGAAGTTGTCTCGCTGATCTTCTCCTTCGACCACTCTGTAGCGGGAACAGTGGCATTTCCGTTGGGCTTGAGGGCTTTCGTACTCTCAGCCTTTGTGGATTGTTGCTTCGAAAAGTCGAGCTCAGTGGTGAGGGAGGCCACCTATAGGCCTGTCAAAAAGTCAATCAGTCAATCTCGTCTGGAGCTCACCTGCAACTCAAGAGTTACTACGCGTCCAACAAGCTCTGCTTGTGACAGCTGCTCTAACTCCTGTCGTTTGGCAGGTGAGACGTCCATGGCGTCTTCAGCCACAGAGTCGAGCTTTCCTTGGCTATGGTCAGCCGTCTCCAAGTCGCCTTTGACCTTGGATCTAGTTCGAGACTTACTCTTGGTTGCCGGCATCGTGGAGGTGAGAGCTGTAGTAGCTGTCTCTTGCGCCTTCTTCAATACTGAGTAGCTGGCTAACTGCTCAATCAGGTTGATGGTCGATTGTACGAAGCTCGCTAAAGTAGGATGGATGACTTGAGACGAGTGGAGGTCGAGAAAGCGTGCCTGCTTGCGGGTGCCAATGGCACCGCAAGTGGGACTAGTCTCTTGGCAAGACTCTGAGCACCCGGGAAGGAACTGCCTGCCCCTATGCCTCGCTCCTGCAGTTTCACTCATAGGTATCGCCGAATTTCCAGCCTTCCAGAGTTCTTATCGTTGGCTCAAAAGCTCATTGTACTGATACCATGCATCGGCGCAGTCACTATGGCCCCAACCATCTTGCCAGAAATCACCGAACACATCTTCGACTCCTGCATCATCGACTCCTACCACTCTCTCATTCCGTTTCAGGCCGCATACCGGACAAATATAGCTCGCGTCCATGCCTCCTTGCTCGCTCTTTAGCATTTTGACCGCCATGGGCTCGGACAACCTCAGCTTCGTTTCTTTGGGCAGAACGACGTTGTGCTTCCGTAACGCGGAAGTGAGAAATGAGAAACGTGCGTTCCACGCTGCCACCGTTTCAGAAGCTTCGCGAGCTTCTCTTTGCGTTTCTGACTTGGACAGCGACGAGAGCTTCATGCCAGAATGTTTGTTTCCTAAGGACATGTCTGAGATTCGCAGAGATTGGGACAGCAGAGTATCTCTGCGCCAACGTTGAGCTCGACCGGCGACAATGCGCCCTGACAGACGATGCAATTGAAGGATAGTGGCAGGAGTGGCTGCTGAGGCCCAAGAGTCGAGTAGATCTTGGCGAGCATGGAAGAAGTACTGAAGGTGGCGGAACGTTGCTCGGACGTGATCTCGTCGGCCTGTCAACAGGCACGACCTTCGGCACTGAAGCAGACGCCTGCTGTTTTACAGCTCCAGGCTGATCTTCGAAGTCGTCCCAAACATCCTCTTCGGGTTCCTCCTGTACGGGTGTGTCCGTCTTGCGAGCAGCGGGAGACGCGAGAGCCTTGCTTGAGACAACTGTATGCTGTCTTCGACCTTCCGTGGCGTGAAGGCCGGATGTATGCGCTGGTCCATGCTCGAAAGCGTCCCAATCAGTGCCGAAGGTCTCAGATCCACGTACAGTCTGGGCGTTGTGATGGGCCCTGTCACCGGCAGAATGCCGTGTATCTGTAGCAAGGGTTTCGGTCGGCCTTTCGAAATCGCCCCACGAGTCGTCAACAAATGCATTTGAGGACGTATTCTTGAGAGGAGCGGCGAGCATTGTGCCCGTGTCTATGGCATCTATGTCGGCTCTCTGACCCTGAACTTGGCCCTCATCGAGTCCGAGGAGGTCAATCGACGCCTCTGTCCGAGCAGGATTCCTCATTCCCTTAGATGGCCGTGTCATGACTGATGGCCACTCAGCAGGACTAGGTCTGCTGGCATCCTCAAAGTCTCCAAAGTCATCGTCAATTCCATCTTGGGTGCCCTCATCTCCTGCGTCGAAAAGTACATCATTGCCTCCTTGCACTGACCTCCACAGGGGCTCTGCGGAAGTCTCTGGTCGCTGTGGCGAACGAAGAACTGTTGCGGCTGGAGGGCGCGCGGTTGTCTTGTGCTTGTCTAATTTCGTGGGAGATCCCGTGGCAGGCGTGGCCGCAGAGCCGCCAAAGGCTTCGAATAGATCAGCCGACATATCTCAGACGCAAGCATTAATGCAGAAACGCCGAGCCATAAGCATCAGGTTGGCTATCTGGATCCCAAGGCGCAGAGGTGCGACCGCGCCTGATATTGAGGCGCCAGCAGATAGATGAGCTTCAGACGAGTAAAGCACAGGCACAGAATGCTCTTGGCTTGATTCCATTCACTTTACAGTGCAACATGTTCCGCGTTGTCTCTGAATATACTCTTGGAGACATGATCAAAAGGGATGCTTCGTGAATAAAAATGGTTGACGAAGTCAAGTTGCCAGTGTGTTTGTGCTTCCTTGACGGCGTTAACCTCGTGCTTATCGCCTAGCGCTCTCCGGCTGATCACCCCACGCTGGTATTTCCGGCGCCTTCCAACGTTATTTCGTGGTCGTGCCTTCGCGCACAGCAATGACAGCTGACCGCTATGCGCAAGGACATACTGTGAGTCGCTTCTTTACTGCTGGGGAAGTAAGACTGACAACGAAGGACACGTTGGAAACTCATATTCGAGGAATCACTGGGACTTGATCTCCGTCAAAGCGTACGCGACGGTGACGGGATTGATGGGAAAGACCCCTGCGAGGATGGTCTTCGCTCAATTTGCTGGAAGGCGTTTCTGCTGTATGGGCCGGTAAGCAGAGCGTCATGGCCAAAACAACTGGCCGACTCACGAAGCACATACACTTCGTTGAGGTAAGCATAGTCCGAGTCTATCATTCCAGAGACTAGGCACTGAATTAAGGTGGAGGGACCATTTCCTTCGTTTCATTGACAACCCCAATGACTTGCATTCGAACGCAGATCCTTTGGACGATGACAATACGGTAAGAGAGTTGCGCCTGTATTTGGACTGCCGCTGATACGTGAAGTCTCCATGGGCGACACTACGACAAGACGAATTGGCGCGGGAGGAGATCTTCAACGATGTTACGCGCTGTATGCAAGACAACTTTTTCTTCCGAGAGCCAGAAACCCAGAGAATGCTGCTTGACATCCTCTTCATATATGCAAAACTCAATCCGGATCTAGGCTATAGACAGGGTATGCATGAGCTCTTGGCGCCACTCCTATGGGTAGTGCAGCAAGACGCGGTCGACCATGATACGGTAACAGCGGAAGACCGGCAGGCAGAAGGTTTCGACTTCATGATTGAGGTCCTTGATCACCGACAGCGTGAAGCCGACGCATTCAGCCTGTTCTGCGCGGTTATGCAAACAGCTAAGAGTTTCTACGAGATGGGCGACAATAGGGACTCCTCGCCGATAATTGCACGAAGTCGGAGGATACATGACGATCTGCTCAGCATATTTGACCCAGAACTTGCGCTTCACTTGCAGGTAGCAGGTGTGTTACCGCAGATCTATGCCATACGCTGGGTCAGACTGCTCTTTGGTCGAGAATTTGATTTTGCAGACGTGCTTCGATTATGGGATATATTGTTTGCCGAGAAACTTAGGTCTGATATCATCGACATGACGTGTGTGGCCATGCTTCTTCGGATGCGATGGTCGTTGGTAGAGGCAGACTATTCAACGGCGATCACCACACTGACGCATGTGAAGCTGCCAAGCTCCGAGACCGAGCATGATACGCGAGGTCTCGTTCGCGACGCTTTGCTCCTTGACCAGACACGCAGGCCCGAGATAGCGCCGAGCTCATCCAGAAACACAGTGGGCGGAAGCCGAAGGTGCAATCGGCGCAGCCTGACCGAGCAAGACTTAGTTTGGACCAAATTCGAACACCGGAGCGGCGAGGGTCCCGCACACCACAGTACAGGCCGTCTCCGAACCTGTCCCCTGCGCGGTTCTCTGGCCCTCAAAGGCAGCTGGAGTCGCTTTTCAACGATGTCTCTGGCGGAATCAAGAATCGGGCTGAGGGCTGGACAAGCGTTTCTAAGGCAGTGCGTGGGGCTGTTGGTGAGGTTCGGCGAAACATGGCTCAATACCAACCGAATCATTCACGCGAGGCCAGTGTTGATGTGCCAAGGCAGCCCTCGTCACAAGCAATAGCCGACACCACCGAAGGCAGAGCGTTGCTGCAAAAACTGAGCAGCCTTGAAGAGCGGAACAAGGCCTTGGCTAAGATGTTGGACAGCGCGCTCGAGTGTCTTCGGAAGACCGAGGGATCAAACGGCAGTCCGGAGGGTGCCCTCGAGACCTTCAATGTTTCGCTGGCGAAGATACAATTTGTGGCTGTTTACCTTTCGGACTCCGATATACCCATCCCTCGAGAAGAATTTTCGACTAGTACTGCCGCCGAGGTGGTGAAGCAGACGGCACCTAAGGAGGCGAGCACGGCTATGGCAGCGACCGATGAGATAGAGAAGGTCTCAGAAAACATTAGCTCACCAGCAGTACAGATCAGCGAGCCTGCATCAGCAGCGACCACGGAGGCTCTTTCATCGTCAGAGCCGGTCCAAAAGCCCGCAGTGCCGCAGCAAGCCGAGAAGGGTGCAGCAGAACCGAGCTTGGATGTGAAGTCCTCCCCACCCACACGGCCCTCTCTCCAAGACGCCTCGTTCAGCTTTATGCTCGGAGAAAACCGACACCGGTCGAGCTTCGTGACTTCCGTGAATGCATTGCCGGAGCACCAACGAAGAAGTATTGATCAGCCGGATGCCCGTCCCGGCAGCAGGCGTGGGAGTGAAGTCGCGAAAGATTCGGTCTCGAAGGGACCAACAATTGACACGAGTAAGCAGAGCCAAAGACCCGCCAAGGGCAAACTGAAGGGCAAGAAGGAGGGTAATCAGAACAGTGATGATGAAGACGGCTGGAGGATGAGTAGCTTCCGTGGTGGGCAGGGTGGTCCACTGTGACCGTCAGGAACCGTGTGAATGTTCAGGCATCCAAGTCCTCGGGACCTGACTGATCTTGAACACCTCCAATAACGACTCATCTCGGCGTATTGTGGTGTAGATCAGTCATACTCTTGACCATCATTTTCATCGGCCCGCTGAACCGGCGCGCGAGCCTTACCCTACTCTGTCGATGATGAGAGGATGTCGAATGATTTCAGCCAGAACCATCTGCTATAGGCTGCAATCCGCTTGTATATTGACGGCGTGCTTACATTCAAACACGAACCTGTTGTTTCATGTGGTCGAAAACGAAGAGCAATCGTCCCAACAAGGTTTTCGGCTAGTTTTCTGGCGGAGCTTTAACGGAGTTTCGCGACCTCCAGGGCTTGAAGCGTCTCTCTCCCTTACAACACTTTTACGACAACTTCCAGCTGTGTCTTTCTACAGCCTGGGCTGTCCGTTGAGCTCGAGTTGCGATTGCATCGCGCCCCGACCCTTGTCGTGATCCCGGCATGACTTGCGAAGACTCGGCTACCCGACACGTGGTATTCTCTTCAAGTTTATCGGTTTCGATGCGGAAAGGTGAGCCCCCTGACCACTGTCAGCAATTGGAGACTCCCACCAGTTCAGTGCCCTCAAAGAGGTGTGGATGTCATTCGATCATCACATCACTGTAAGTCGAGATGCCCACGAACGAGAAGATCACTTCCTCATCCGAACGAGATTGATCGGAGCCATTCTGCGCACGCGACTGCTTGCCGGCAGATTCCTGCTGCAGGTACAGCCAGGAGCATGCGCAGGGTCACTGGTCTCCCTGTTAAGCGTTTCCACCTCCCCGAACATGGTGCACAAGGCACCGCATCTAACCCGTCGCATTCTTCGTTCACCTCACCCTCAGAGTCTAGGCTCGAGACATTCACTTTTCTTCCACAACCTTCACCTCCCAATCCGTGCACAGTGACTTCGGGTGGACACTGGCTCCGGAGAACCGCAGTCTTCTCCAGTTGGGATGTGTGTATCATTGTTACACAAGTCAGACTCCATGTTTGCACTCTTCAGTCGACCACCAAGCGTCCTACCATCTCCAGACGTACTCCCGAACCGACCTTGTTGTTACTGACGGCTGCATGACAGCACAACATGCCAAGCTCCACCTTGCACCGTAAGTCGATGCCTTGATCAGATCCTTCAGATCGAGTGTCTTTCAGGTTCTGACAATAGCACAGCGCCACCAGAGATCATAGCAACGTTCCCGAAGCCAAATTATGTGAATCCCGAGACACACGGCCCCGGCTTGATGGTGGCATCAGGGCTTCTCTCCGGAGTCGGCATTATCGTTGTCGGCGCTCGTCTGTATGCCAGGTTCTGCATCACCAAAGCGCCCGGCATCGATGACCTTCTGATCATACTGGCACTGATCTTCGGCCTCACCTTGTCTATTCTAGTCATGCTAGGCAATCAGATCTACTACAACGGGTATCATGTTTGGGTGCGTTCGACCAGATGTCGTCCTTCCATGTCCTCATTAATCTCTTACACCACTAACAGCCACTAGGACATTCCGGTAGACTCATACGTCCCTCATCGAATCAACGTCTGGGTCGCGCAACTATGCTACACACTCGCACTCACCAGTGTCAAGATCAGCGTCCTGCTGTTCTACCGCCGCATGAGCGTCTCTTTCACGAGAGGCTTCCTCATCGCGGTTTGGGTAGGCATCATCTACAACATACTCTACTGCATAGCCTTCGTCCTCGCCCTATGCCTTCTATTCCGTCCCCTGCAGGCATACTGGCTCACCTTCGATGCTGCTTACTACGCCAAAGGAGATTGGTCTGCTGGACGGGAAGAAATAGCCACGCCGGTGTCTGGGATGTTCAGCGTTGTCGGAGACGCATACAGCACAGTGCTTCCGCTCCTTCTTATTAGTCGTCTTTCGTTACCTCGACGACAGAAATGGGCGCTGTACGCGCTCTTCAGTCTTGGCGCTGCAACGGTTGTGTTCTGCGCCATCCGTACGTACTACATGTGGGCGCTGTTCAGACACTGGGACTTCACGTGGACATTGTGGAAGGCTTGGCTGTTCGGAGAGTTTGAGCTGTGGTCTGCCATTTATGCTGCCTCGGCTCCTGCTCTGAAGCCATTCTTCAAGCGGTTCTTCGATCGGAAGTCGACTGCTGAAGGAGACTCCAGGGGTGGCGGTAAAGCAGTTTATGTGGTCAGAGGCGACTCCCAGGGGAAGTTGGGCAAGGTCGAGAAGTACTGGCCGAGCAGCAGGAGTCGGCGCTCGGCTCCACCAGGATCGCTGGAGGATGAGGATGTTGAGCTGGTGGGTGTGCGAGCGACGTCAAAGGGCAATGGTGATGAGACTCACGATGGTGGGAAGGTGGGATGGGCGACCTTGAGTGGCAATCACATTATCAAACATGTCGAGTACGACGTTGAGAGATGCGCGAGTGCGACTGGAGATGCGGAAGCGCAACCAAAATGGGACCAGAGGTGGCGGAGAGAGAGTGATCTACAAAGATCTGGGACATTCAGTATAGCTAGCGGGCCGGCATCGAGAAGTCCAAGCTAAGGTGTCTTTTGGTGCCAGCTTGGTGGGTTGGACTCGGACTACCCATTCATGTTAGGTCTCGACAATCTGCGCAGACGTCCGCATGATGACGACGCGTTCCAATCGCGTTCGAAAAGGCTCCGAGTGACTTTCTTCCGAGAACCATGTAAGTCAATAGACTCTGATTTTGAAGATAGGCATCAGGCGCTGTTTTTGGCATTGCCTTGGCAGTTCCCCAGGCGTTCAGCTCGTCTTGGATGATCAACTGAATACATAGCAGCATATTCCTCAATAAGCCCATGATCCGCCAAGCATAGTCAGCCAGAATGCTGACCATCCTTCGTATGTGGAATCATCGAACAATGTCTTGTGAAACGACGGGAATCTCTGCACTAGTATTACGCTACTGCCACCTATGTCAGCGGGGTTTAGGCGGGATTATAGCGGGCAGTGGCTTGCTCTGATGACCGTTAGAAGGTAAACGGTGTGGAGCTAGGGTAAGTCAGAAGTGCATTCACTGCATTGAAACGTGCGATCCGGCACTGATTCGTACAGACACAAGCCTACAACAGCGAGAATGTTTTATCAAGTGTAGAAAACATTGCGATAGACGAGCGCTTCGGCGGAAAGGCGCGAAAACATATCGAAGGTGGTGTTGATGGTGGGGTGATCAGATCTTGAAGCAAGCTTCGCGCCAAGAAGCTGGACTCGAAGGAGGGCAGTCGACAGTGCGGGCGTAGTGCCGCTGCCGTGGCCTGAAAGCATGCGAGTCATCAACTAGCTGTTGTTGTTCCTCCGAACTTCGACCTCGTCTTCTTTGCATTGGACGTATATTTTTGTGTAGCTACGAGCTGTGACCGTGACTGACGATCCCAGGACGTGTCGTCGAGTGGCACATACACTTCGGCACTCCTAGCATAAAAGACAATACATCTCGAACGACTTCGAGATCTCCCGGTGGTACGGCATTCATCGCTTAACTCTACCCTGCCCTGGATCGGCTCGTATCAGTTCTCACACGTGCGGTTCCCGAGATCGACCCTCAAAAATCGACTGCTCAGCCTTTTCTGCTTGGCTGTCAGTCTACACTGGTAGAACCCAGCACAGTGACGACGGCGTCAATACTTCCAATGCAATAGCGACTTGGACGCCCTTTTATCCCGCGAGGCACACGCGCCTCTGCAAGACTACCTTCTCCCCAGAGCCATGACTGAAGGCGCGAGTGGCAGCAATGGTAAGCCCTGTCGTCACCGTTTGCATGGCATCCAAAGCACCACAACGTGTCCTATCTGAGGCCTCTGTATACTTACTGCAACATCGCCAGAATCCCAAATCAAAGCAACACTCTCGCCCGAGCTTGGCTTCGGAACCTCTCCTTCCCAGAGCCCCGATCTGTCGATACGAATACCAAAGAATAAAAGCACCGGCAATCTTCTCGCGGTGAGAGACGTCGTGTCTGCTGGCCCAGAGAGGACCAGATTCTCTTTCGACGCCGGGTCGACCCAAGACGTAAGGAATCAGAAGAGGTAAGACACATGCGGCGTGCACATGTCCTGTTCGTGGCATGTGACCTGTATAACGTGACCTGACTATGTTGACTGCAGACCGTTACGACCCGAGAATGACCTTGGCCTGGGAATGTCAGGTCTTCGCCGCATCAGACGTCCTCCAGTGCCCTCGAGGACCCCTTCGTTAATCGTCGAAGACGTTGATACGGACTGGACTGCGCCTGCGTTGCAGTATGCATCTACCCTGCCTGTCTCACGCTCCTCCTCGAGGTCGATGTCACGCTCCGCCTCCTTCGGATATCTTGCCAGCGGGCCCAGCTCGCCTGTCCTCGAGGACCTACACCGGTTCCCCGCCGAATCACTGCATTCGTTTTCGTTCAGCAAGCAATCAGAAGATTACCTGCACAGTCGTCAGACTATAATACAGAAGGCCGGTGATTTTGTCAGAGACCGCTCAGCATGGGTCGCCAATCCAGCCCTCGCAGATGCGCGTGCACGCGTCAGTGGAGACGTCGAAATCCAAGGCATGATGGATTTGCTGAAGAAGGCAAACATTATACCAGCAGACAAAAGGGAAAATCATGGCTTGGGTTTGGGGCCGATGACTGGACCCGCTGACGTCGACCGCAATATCTTTGACAGGAGTTTCAGTCAGAGTCTTGAGTCTGTAGAAGAGGGCGTTGCTGTCCTCAGCCCACTGCCCCGGTCGCCTCAACAGAGCCCGCCTCCACCTCCACCGACAGACACGACGCAGGTGAGGCCACCTCTTGAAAGAACGGCCAGTAACGAAGAGCTTTCGCCGACAGCACCCAGAAGAATTGGTCTTAAGAGGACTTACACTGATCTGAATGCCATGTCTTTGCAACAGCGACTCATCGATGCTCTTGCACAGCCTTACTCGAGCGAAGAGCACATTGGATCGAAACCGAAGTTGATGCATGCCGCGACTGCTGCAGTGGCGCCTTCGACGGCTGCATCGGCCGTTCACACCCACAGCAGCAAATACACTCCAGCTGCGCAGGCGGTCTTTCGGACCGGCGGTGAAGCGCCTTGGACGATATTGGCAGCAAACGATCTCGCTTGCCTCATTTTTGGTGTGACTCGTGCAGAAGTCAGGTCACTAAGCATATTGGGTATCATCCAGGAAGACCGAAGAGCTTGGCTCGAAGAGAAGCTCGGTAAGCCAACTCCAGAGCCTGAAATTCAAGTGCAGCAGTCGACACAGGCAACGGCTGCTAAGTCATCACTACTAGGAGCAAAGTCAGGCATCACGGCCCGACTACTCAGCAAAGCACCATCAAGAGTCACAAAGCCTGCCAAGCGGGCGCAAACAGATGACGGCTCAGGTGGGTACTACCGGCAAACAAGCAAGAACCACCCTCCGACGAAGTCAAGAGGCGTGCTTCTTTGCGGAGATGTCATACCCATACAAAGACGGAACGGTTCTGTTGGCTCAGCCAGTTTCTGGGTCATGGAAAAGAAAGGGGGTCTTATTTGGGTTATCGAAGAGATTCGAGAAGATGTTGCGCATCTTTCGCTCGACTCTGAGCAGCGTGTGACTGTGGCTTCGGGCGCGTGCGAAGCCATTTGGGGAACTTCAGTGCCAGAAGGCACCCTTGTGAAGTCGTTGATACCCACAATCCCGGACGAGATGTCGTTCTTCGAAAGGCGGACACCAAGCGGGCAGGCAGCAGTGGGCCACTTCACAGCGCGGACAGCCAACGGCGTCAATATACCGACAACCATAACCAAAGTCCTCGGCAAAAGTGAATTCCGGGTCTCGAGTCTGCCACACATTGCAGGAATGATGGTCCTCGATCCTGAAACACTGAACATCAAGAGCTCCAACTCGGTATTTTCAGCTTCATTGTTTGGATATGAGCATCCTGGAGGACTATCTATGGCGACACTTGTCCCACGCTTCCAGGATATATTGGATGTCCTCACCGAAGAGAACGGAGTTGACTTGGCTGACGGTCTCGTGGTTCCAGAGCACAGCTTCAGAAGAGCGTATTCACTCTTGTCGCTACGTGACGGAGCTGATAATGCAGCTAATGTGTTCTTAAGACCATCTGGTCTGCCGGCTAAGCATCGCGACGGCACGGACATCATGGTTGATATTCAAATGAGGGTGGTCCGAAGCGAAACAGTCTTCCCAGTATCGGACCAGGTAATCAAGGAGCAGCCCGACGCAGAAGAGCAGGAGGAGGTAGCCGGAGTCGGGGTCGTGGAACTGGTCTTCGCTCTTTGGATCACCTACTCACGTCAGCTTCACGCTGCTGGTCAAGCATCAACAGACGAGTCGCGCCCCTTTACGCCGCCTCACCAAGTAGGGCCAGACCCAGCTCATCATCTGCCGTCGCCACCACCGCGAGCCTCGTCGGAAGACACTGTCCCAACTAGCAAATCCGCCGACAGCTCACAGATGTCACTACTCTCTCCCACCACCACACTCGAGGACTCCGAGCCTCTAGAGCATCCTCCGCCCAACATCGCTTACGTTCCACATGACAAGAAGACCATCGCAGACTTCACGATACTCGAAGAAATGGGCAGTGGTGCCTACGGTCAAGTCAAGCTCGGAAGGTACAGGAAAGGTCGCTCCCGAAAGGTCGTCCTCAAGTACGTCACCAAGTCTCGCATCCTTGTAGACACCTGGACTCGCGACCGTCGCTTGGGCACTGTCCCGCTCGAGATTCATGTAATGGACTACCTTCGCCGCGACGGCTTTCGGCATCCCAATATTGTTGAAATGATCGATTTCTTCGAGGACAACGTCAATTACTACATTGAAATGCTGCCACATGGCATTCCTGGAATGGACTTGTTCGACTATATCGAGCTACGCAGCGATATGGCCGAAGACGAATGCCGCAGTATCTTCCGACAGGTCGCAAGTGCGATTCACCACTTGCATATCAAGGCTGCCGTCGTTCACAGGGACATCAAAGACGAGAATGTGGTTTTGGACGGGGAGGGCAAGATCAAGCTGATTGACTTCGGCAGTGCAGCGTACCTGAAGAATGGACCTTTTGATGTCTTCGTGGGAACCATCGGTCAGCCCATGCCCTCGAACAGAAGTGACACTATGCTAACGCAAAAATTCAGACTACGCAGCCCCCGAAGTTCTTCAAGGTAAGGCATATGGTGGCAAAGAGCAAGACGTCTGGGCAATGGGGATTCTCTTGTACACGATTGTGTACAAGGAGAATCCGTTCTACAACATTGGTGAGTAGCCGGCCGACGTGCGCCTTCTGGGCCGTTGTAGATTGCTAATGATTCCAACAGACGAGATCCTCGATCATCCTCTCAGAATACCCTACAACCCGTACTCGGACGAGTGCCTGGACCTAATTCAGAAAATGCTGGATCGTGATGTCGACGAGAGAATCGACATCGAGGGGGTTGTGGCGCACCCTTGGCTGGCTGTTGAGAGCTGAGCAGGAGGAAAATCTTGGGGCGCCACGGATAGGGAAGTCCGCGAGCCATCTACGAGCGACATGTATGCATTACTACATTATGATAACATGATAGCATGTTAGCATCTTTGGACGCATGGCCCATAGAAAACATACGCCGCTTAACGGCGACGATCATCTAGATTAGATGCAAGAGGAGAGAGGGCAAGAGTCAGACCATAGTAGCATAATCATAGCGATATGATTCAGATCTCAAAGGCGAGGCTATCACCCAAGTCATATGCTCAAATATGGGAGCCTTGACAGTAAATTGCAGACGTGGCTTCGAAGCTATGAGAATCTGATTACGCACGAGGACAATGGAATGCACCAGCTTGCTCGTGGAACCACAGATTCCTATGACACACGTTCGAGGTCTCACGTATAATTTTTGGGAGCCGGCAAGATATTGTTTGATTGCTGAATCACAATGCGAAGAGTCAGTGGATGCAGGATCTAGTCGAGCAATGCTGGGGTACATGAGCTGTCTCCATTGAACTCAGGTACAAGCTCGGCTGGAGCCAGAGTTGGCCTTCTGACAGCTGCTGTGTGGAAGAGAGTGCCGTCTGGGCGATAATTGTGCGTGGGATAATTGTGGAGGATTAGTACACTCTCCACCACATTGGGACGTTGAAGGGGTGCAGTAGTGAGAGCGCCGAATCCTGTGTAGCAACTGCCTTGGACTATGTTGGTGGCTATCATCATTATTCAAGCACTGTGCAAACCAGAATTTGACTTGGCCCGTAGTGACGTGCTCAAGCACAGACAGTGGCTGTACGCGCCAAAGTTCAAGACATGATGCCACTCAACCAAGCAGGAACATGCACCGTGTACATGTCTCTGATTGCGTGACCAAGAGGGCAAGAAGAACACAGCCGCGTGGTCAACCGCAGAAACCGACCTCGGGAGATGCGTACTGCAAGATAGACCTCGAGGTGCGTTCTTCTCGGTTGGTAGTTGCGAACTATGGAGCATGGGATCCACGGGCTGCAACCGTGGAGCTGGTCTAGGCACGTGTCGATGGCAAGCACAGTTTGTCCTCCAGCGGCAGATTCTTATCTTCATTCAATGTCACTTGCAACAGTGAGCTGATGTATATGGTCTCGCACGGGTGCTGATGAGGGCAAGCGTTGACAAACTTGTGTGGTTCCTCGACTGGAAGACCTTCGAGAAGGTCATGCTGTAGACGAACCGAAGTAGGCCCTGCATGACCAGCACCCGCAGGTTCGGTGGTGGCTTGAAGCGAATAGAGCCTACGAATCAGGCGGAGTACTGGCAGATGCAGGGTCTGGGCCCCCATGTTCACGAATCCTCGTGGTGGGTTTGCCGACGCCTGTTCTGATCTGACTGCAGAGCCAAGATCAAGTAGTCCGTTCCGAATGTTGCATGCGCTGGACTCTGGTCGCGGATCAAGATAGAAATGGGCAAGTGCGCCAGGAAATGATTAGCCACTGAAAATAAGTGAAGCTTTACGGGCGAAGATACGGGGAGAGATAAGTTGTGTGGAACGCAGAGTGGGTGTAAAACGAGGGAACGGAACTGCAAGTGGGATGCTCCTTCGATTTGGCCGAACTATAACCACATTCGCCGGCAGGTGGAAGGTAGCACCGAGACTGACAGGAACGACCCGAGATACTATACCTGCTGATATCCTCGCAGGTCGCGCTTTCGTTCGTGTGACTTCACAACGTCGATTGATGACCTGCCAGTCGCAACAATATCACAGCATCATCAACTCGAGAGCAGAGCCCCCTCCTTCCTCGGTTCCCCAAGAAGATCTTATCGGTGGTATCGATAACAGCGATAGCTTGTGCTTGGGGCCGAGACCCCTCAGAGACCCTGATTGCTCTGTCACCAGCTCGAGGCGTGGCGTCCGTCGCTTGAGTTGTACCTCTACAGTACACTTCTGCTGTCAAAGGGACCAAGCTCGCATAATCGGGGCAGGCTCCGGATGCTTTGGAGGACTACAGCATACGAGTCGGTTGTATAATCCGGCGAGCATTGCAGCCCACCCTCGCCCACGTTCACTTCTTCGGCTGGATTCCTGTGGACCGGAAACTCATCCTACACTTTTGCATAAGCTCGGCCGCTGTTTGCTTTTCCACTTCTTCAGATACATCGAATACAGCAGCATCGTATATATTATACGCTTGTCGCTCAGCACAGTACCCGGCCATTACACGACTCAGCGAATTCCTTCGTGACCGGATCATGTGCTAGGCGAGTCCCAGTACCTGCCATAGGCCTGGGTGCGGGGGTACCCTCGAATCACGCGCTCATCCTACTGCTATACACGATCACGCCTTACGTTTAGCCCATCATGGATTCTACACTCGCTGTCAGACCTGTACATACACCTCGTCCTGCAACACCGGTCTCGCCAGAGATCGATGCCGCGGATGGCCCTCCAGCCAAGTTGAAGGGCCGCCATAAGCTCATTCAGAGCCTGCAGAGGATGTCTTCCTCTCCGTCCCTAGCAAAGCTGGGCCGGACGAGGTCGACTGAGAAGGTTTACCGGCCCAACCACAAAGCCTCGATATCATGCACATCCTTGAACTCCGCAAATACCTCGAGCTCATTCTCACCACCGAACTCCTTCTCGTCACAGCTTTCCTATGGCTACTCAACGGCGCCGACCACGCCTGGCTCGCCTGGCAGTCAGCAATCCTACTTCGACACGAATGCCAGGCTGAGACCACTCGACTCGAACGAGCTGTCCTCCGTGTCTGTGCCTATCGACATCCGATCCTCTAAGCCGATCTCGACCACGTTGCATGAAATACCAGAAAAGCCCATGCCCAGACGGCAGGACTTCAACTTCTGGAGGGATCTGCCACACGAGATTCGGGTACAGATATTTGGTTATCTGACCCCAAGAGAAGTTATCAGAATGTCCGCAGTCTCCAAGCACTGGCACGACATGTGCTTCGATGGGCAGTTATGGACAAGTCTTGATTGTCAATCGTATTACACGCAGATCACATCCGAGGCACTGATCAAGATCATGCTTAAGGCAGGCGGGTTCGTGAAAGACCTCAATCTGAGAGGCTGTGTGCAGCTGCGAGATCAGTGGCTAAGTCTGGGAACGAGAATGACCAACCAAGAGTGTCGAAATCTGGAGAACCTGGTTATTGAAGGCTGCAAGATCGAGCGAGCAAGTATTCACTTCTTCCTACTTCGAAACCCGAAATTGCTGCACATCAACATGAGGGGTATGCAGAACATCAACAACTCCACCATGAGGATTATCTCCTCGCACTGTACACAGTTGGAGGTCCTGAACATCGATTGGTGCTCACAAGTCGACTCCAGAGGACTTCGACTCGTTGTACAGTCTTGTCCAAATTTGCGAGATCTTAGAGCTTCAGATGTTCGAGGTTTTGATGACCTTGCCTTCATGAAGGAACTCTTTGAGCGCAATAATCTCGAGCGTCTGCTTCTACAGCATTGCGATACTCTGACAGACGAAGCCTTGGAAATGCTGGTGCATGGCGAGGATCCAGAAAGAGATGTTCTCAGTGATCGACCCTTGGTACCTCCTCGACGGCTTCGGCATCTCGATTTAAAGCGATGCAGAAACATCACAGATCGTGGGCTGAAGGCGTTGGTTCACAACGTACCCTTCCTCGAAGGCCTGCGTCTGTGCCAAGACACTGCTCTTACTGATGACTCGCTTGTCGCGCTGCTCCCAACGACACCACGGCTTACACACCTCGAGGTCGAAGAAGTCGAGAACCTCACCAATGCAACCCTGATCGCTCTCGCTGGCTCGCAGTGCGCACGGACGCTCGAGCACTTGAACATCTCTTACTGCGAACAGATGGGCGACTCTGGCACCCTACCACTGCTCAAAGCTTGCACCAACGTTCGCTCATTGTGCCTCGACAACACACGTGTCTCAGATCTGACACTTATGGAAGCAGCCGAGCTTATACGAAGGCGAGGCAGCACGACCAAGAAGTACCAACGGCCGAAGAAAGGTCTGGAGCTCGTGGCCTTCGACTGCGCAAATGTGACCTGGGCAGGTGTGCGTGAAATCCTACAGTCCAACTGCCGCGTTATGAGTGGGCGGAAGAAATCTGTCGTGACGATGGTAGCCGCTGAGACAGGAGAAGCAGGCGAGACTGAAAATGATGGCGCCGAGGTCGAAGAAATCAAGCGCATCATCGAGATCTCCACTCTCTTGTACCCGTCACAGATCATCCACCTCAAGGCGTTTTATGGCTGGCAGCAGACCGTTGAGGAGCACTACAAGCGCTGCTCGACTGCCCGGTGGGGAGCAGCTGCGAGGCTGGAACACAAATGGGCAGAATGGATGGTTGCCAGTCAGGAAGTTGGTTCTATCGGTGGTGGCTGGAGTTCCAGGAGACGGAGAAGGCGAGCAAGGGAAGCAGAGGACAGAGTGCGTGATGAGAATGAGCATGGCGTGGACATGAACGCGGATCCCGGGACTGACAGGATGATGACACGAGTTCCGGTGTCGACACGCCGAATGGTGGAAGGCAGCATGGACGCAGAAGAGCGAGAAGCGGCGGATGCAGTGTTATGTGAGGAGACACCTTGTCGTTTGATTCCGACTGGGTGATGTATATGAAGTACGAGTGATGACAGCATTTTGGATGAGCGCGACACGACGACTTCAGCTGGACAACAGCACATATTGAGAGCTATGACGAGGAACCAGGAGACGGACGTGGCAAACAGAGCATGATATAGGACAGACGGTGGCCTCTTTTTGCATGCAGATATCGACGCATTCGCGGGTCCCATGTGGCATGAGACAGGAGGCGGGCTCCAGGGTTTTTTAGGCCCCTGTGAATTGGGCTGGATTCTTGCCAGACTTGGTGGGAGTTGGATAGGTGCTTGGTCAAGACTTTTCTGGTTGGTTTTTTCAACGGGGCTTTGAACACTCTTTCCGTACTATCATAGCTACTTGCATCGCTATATTGGTATTGACCCGCCATGAGATGCGACGTCTATCGCCTGAGTCTTCCCAGTACCTTGCTTAGACGTTGCTGTGTTCTCATGCCACTCTCGAAAACGCATCGCCATGCTGTCTCAAGTATACTCACAACTCCATGACACCTCAACCGCTGAATGGGCTACTTCATCCGCTCAAATAAATCCTCCCCACCACTATACCCCCGATCTCCCGCTTCGGCATACCGCGCCTCGATCTCGGCCTCGAACTTCCGCAGCGTCGGCTTCCGCGACACCGTCCCCTTGGCGCTACGCTCGAACCCGCCCTCTTTGCCCTTTATATCGTTGACGATCAACACATGCCTCTTTCCCACCCGCCCATTCCTGGCGCCCGTGCATTGACGCGGGAGATCGACTCCCGCCATAGCTTCTCGAGCACTTCCTCCTCATTTCGCTGCCCCGCTACACCATCCGCCCCATCCGTCGTTCCCAAAGCCTCGGGATGAAGCTCCAACAAGAGCAAAACCTGCCGATGCCCAACCCCAGCCAACACCGCAGATCTTACAAGGGGATGTTCCGCATGCGCCAACTCCCAATCTGTCGGATGGAAATTGCTCCCGTCCTTGAAGCTGATCAGATCATCCGTCCGCCCAATGAATCGAAAGGTGAACTTCGCTTTCGCGGGGTCTGGGTGTGCGAGCCACAGATCACCCGTGTCGAATGGCTCCAAGGTCTCTCGTGCCGGGAGGCGCGTGAAGTATGCTTGTTGCGGGAGGGCTTCGGGCGTGGGGTCGAAGAATAACTGGTAGATTACAGGTTGGGTTGGGTCGGTTGAGGGGAGGGGTTGGAAGCGCATGCCTGCGGCAACGAGGTCGAAGGCGTTGTACGCGTGGTCGGAAGCAGAGGTGAGGAGGTCGACGGCTTTGCCGTTCTCGGTGACGCCCCATTGGTTCTGTAGGTTCGTGTACTTTGCCGCGGTAGTGGCGGCGGTGGCGTTCATGGCGGCGCCGCCGAAGAAGAGGGTGCGGATCTTGGAGAGGTAGGTGCCGGCGGAGGGGTGGGAGACGATGTCTTCGATTATTGCTGGAGATAAAAAGGCGTCGGTGATGTTGGCGTGGTCGAGGATGGAGAAGATGTCGGTGGGTTTGGTGAGGCGGTGGCGCAGCCCGGGGACGTAGACGGCGCCGTGGAAGACGAATGCTGGGGGGAAGACGATGCAGCAAATCCCATGAAAGGGCAAAAACGGGAGGAGAAAGCGCGTGCCGGGACCGGGATTGTTGGCGAAGCGGCGTTGTTGGCCTGTGTGCGGGTCGATTGATGGGAGGGAGGCGATGTTGTCTAGGCAGGCCATGGCGGCGTGGTTCACCGTGATGGGTTTGGGGAGGCCGGTGGAGCCGGAGGAGTGGAGGACTAGGTAGTCGTCGAGTGCGGCTTCTGAGAAAGTCTTTGAGTATGGGTAGTGTTTCGTGGCGGTTGGGGACAGGAGCTCTTCCAGCGAGGGGATGTGGAAGTGCGGGACGGGTCGAGCTGCAAGAATGTCTGACACGTCAACGCCCGTGGCAGTGAACATTGCTCGGGTGTCGGTTTTAAACATCAGGTTGAGATGTGCTTCCGTTGAATGCATGTGACTGGAGAAGAGCACTCGCTTTGAAAGCTTTGCTGTTGCCATCGACATTATTTGGTATCGTAGATCGGGCGTGCCTATGTAGGTATAGGTGTGGAGGTCTGAGTCTGTACCAAGACACGACTGAATATGCCATGCTAGCTTGTTGATAGCATTTGCCAGGACAGCGAACGTGATGTCCTCGTAGCCCTTTGAAAGGTTGTCATCGTCGTATGGCAGCGAAGCATATGGCCTGTCGGGATCATCCCAAGCAATTTCGTCAATAGTCACGTGTAGCAAACGCTTGCCGTGCTGTGATAATGCAGCTATAGAACCCATTTTGGCTTTCGATATATGTCAGGTTGGTTATATGGATGTCAGTGGGTGTCCGTCAGGGCAGTGTTTCGACCCATGCCGCGTGCTTTATGTATACCTGACAGCCCGCCTTACCTGCGTATACAGCACGCACTTATTGTGTGACCTACCATTCTGAGTTGAATCTACCTGAGGTTTTCCATTCTGGCGATTACCTCATTGGAGGCCGGGCCACGGGTACGGGTAGCCTTGAAAAGTTTGCGAGAACGCACCGGTGGAAGGAGTGTACGCATTCGCAGAAGGTAATCGCTTCTGCGATTGCTACTCGTTCCTGTATACAGAGCTGACTTACCTCGTAGCTTAAGGAATCGGGTGCTATAGTAATGGTCAGAGGTCAGGTTGCGGTAGCCATGCCAAGAGTATTATGATATCTGTCAGGATTGGATCCCGCATATGATGACAAGCAGCCAGAGTGTTGAAGTCAGCTCTTGCTTCATTGAGCTTGCAAGAGAGCAATCGGTAATTTCTTGGAGTAAATTCTTCAGGTCAAAGAATAGTTGAGCCGATTTGAGGCACCGTCCATGGTCGTCCACACACGAGAACAGAGACGATCAGGGGCAAACTTCTCGGGAACTGTCTCGGCTGGCGCGTTGGCCCTCGCTGTGGCTTTGGACAGAGGAGCATCTTCGTCCCTGTGACAGCATGCATAGTTGAGCAGAACCTATACTGAGCATGGACAGAAGGAGTGGACAGCGCAGATCGCACCTAAGAGTTGAAGCCCTCTGAAATCACGTGCTCAGCTGAGTCATTCAAACGACTTGGCGGAAGAACGTGAAGCTGTGGCTGTGCTTGCAACTTGTGGAGTTAGTTCAAGCCCGAACCCTAAGCGAAGGCTGGCACTCGTCACTGTGTGGCGCAGGATACATCTCGCGGGTTCGTTCAAACAAGGAAATGAGTGTGTACTACGTCCCAAGCTTCATGTCGTCGAGAAGTTTCTCTGAACCACTTATACCTTCGGAGGCGTCATTGCTTGTGCGCGATCATGTCGACATCATTTGAGCAAGGTCGCGAAACGCTCGAGGGCCGTAGCTCACCCGTGCCCTCGAACCCAGCAGCCGACAGAGACTCGCGACATGAGAACGACCTGCCCCAGCCACCTCAATCTCAGTCTGAAGCAGGACAGACGCCGCCAAAGAGCGAGCCACTGAGCTCAGAAGCTAGGGAACGCTTGGAACACGTCTTGAACTCGGACATCGGCCTGACGACGCTGCTGAACCGCCTCAAGCAGAGCATTAGCTCGGCTCGAGACTTCTCAGGATTTCTGAGAGAACGTGCGACTTTGGAAGAGAAGCACGCTCAAAGTTTGAAGAGACTAAGTCGAAGCACACATGAGATCGTCAGGAGGCCGGAGAGCAGGAGTGGCTCGTTTGCGACTGCATTCGAGGAGTCGACCAAGATTCACGATCGCATTGCCGACAATGGCCTGCAATTCGCCCAAAGCTTGAACAGCATATACAATGAGATTCAAGAGCTGATGAACAACACTGAGCGGAATCGCAAGCACTGGAAGCATACCGGAATGGAAGCAGAGAATCGAGTTTCTGAGGCAGAGAATGCTATGTCAAAGGCGAAAGGTCGGTACAACAACTTGGCAGATCAGTATGATCGGGCAAGGACGGGCGAAAAGTCAGGCGGAAAGTTTGGCATCAAGGGTCACAAGTCAGCCGCCCAGCAGGAAGAGGATCTGCACCGGAAAATGGAAGCTGCAGATGGAGAATATGCGGCCAAGGTACAGGCTGCACAAGCTGCTCGACAGGATCTGATCAACACGCATCGACCTCAAGCCACACGAGCCCTCCAGGCCATCATCAAGGAATGCGACGGAGCTCTGAGCATGCAGTTCGCCAAGTACGTCACATTGACGGAACGGTTACTGCTTGGCAACGGTCTTTGTGTCAGCCCGCTCAAGAACGCAGGCAGTCCAGCACGAAGTCTTCGCGATGTTGTGCATGCTGTCGACAACGAGAAAGACTTTAACGACCACATCTTGAGCTTCTCGGCCAAAGCCTCACAGCGAGGGCCAGAGATTCGCTATGAGAAGCACCCATCAATGGGCTCCAAGCAGCAGATCCCACAGCAACCTCAATATGGCGGCAATCCAATGCAGGGTACTCCGGATCGGATCAACACCGGCTTCAACGGGCCTAACGATCACAATCGCCAATTCAGTCACTCAGAGCAAATGTCTGGCGTGACACCATCAGCAGCAGGCTTTTCTGCTACGCCTCACTCAGCACACAGCAACCAGAACTACTCGCAAAGTCCTTTTAATAACTCGCCTCTACCACAACTGCCGCCCATAGCGCTGGATGGTGACAACGAGCACAAGCCGGAGAACGGCACGCCAACCAGATCGCCTCAAAATCAGCAATTTGGTGGAGCTGGTCGACCAAGCATGGATACGTACGGCAGCAGTTCAGCATCAGGCGGAGGTCTCCAAAATCAACAGTTCGGTGCAGGTGGCCGTCCGAGCATGGATGCGTACGGCAGCAGCTCAGGTCCGGGTGGTCAACGGCCCTATGGTCGTCCTTCCATGGATGCATACGGCTCTTCGCAAGGACCACCCAGCCAATTTGACCCGTCGAGGTCTCAAGGCTCTCAATTCGACCCAGCAAGATCACAAGGCTCCGGCATGCCTCCTACGATGTCCGGTGGGCGTGGACCATCGATGGACGTATCTCGGACATCGCAAGGCCCTTCAGGTCAATTTGATCCGTCGCGGTCACAAGGTCCTACCTCATCTTCCGATCTGCCAAGCAGTCGTGGCCCGTCAATGGGGCAACCAGGTGCCCCTCTGACGGCAACTCACCCGGCATATACTACACAAAAGTTCCAACCGTCACCACCTCAGGATCAGCGCACCTTCTCTGGAGCTGCAGCGGGGCCTCCGACGCAGACCCCTGTGGATGTTCGTCCAGCCTCAGGACCGCAGAACGGCGTGACATCGCCCACAGTTGCGGGTCCTTCTGGCGCCTCAATGCTGCCAAGCGCACAGCGGAGGACAGACATGCAGCGGCCTAACTTGCCACCTCTACGGCCAGTCTTCGGTGTGTCACTTGAAGAGCTGTTCCGCCGTGACGGTAGTGCTGTGCCGACCATCGTCTACGAATGCGTCAAAGCTGTAGATATGTTCGGCCTCGAGACTGAAGGAATCTATCGCACTTCTGGCTCGGCACCCAATATCATGCAGATGAAGGCACAATTCGATCATGGTATGTCATGTAACCCCGCTCGAGACTAAACCTTGCTAATACACTGCCACAGATTCGTCACAAGTCGACTTCAGCAACCAAGCAAACTTCCATTACGATATCGCCTCAGTCACAACCCTCCTGAAGCATTTCCTTCGCGACCTGCCAGACCCCCTCTTTACCAACGCCGCCTACTCTCAGTTCATCCAAGCTGCCAAAGTTGACAACGACGACCACCGTCGCGACTCACTGCACGCCATCATCAACAATTTGCCAGATCCCAACTACGCGACACTACGCGTGTTGACACTGCATCTCAATCGGATAGCGGCGAAAGCAGCTCAGAACAGGATGACGCCTGCTAATCTTGCTATCTGCCTTGGACCGACCTTCATGCAAAGCGGCGCTGGTGGAGGTGGGCCGACAGATATCAAGGACGCGGGCTGGCAAGCGCGTGTAGTTGAAACGATACTCAACTATACTTACGAGATCTTCGATGATGACTGAGCGATATGACAGAGCGTCCAAGTCTGCTTGGGAGATATAGCACATGATACCCAACTTCTAATGTCATCTGTGCGTTTACCGATGTCGATCCCTGAAAATCTAACATGATCTCTTCTCTGTCTAGATCGCAATTCCGCAATCTATAACGATATTCTGTCCAGTTATGCTCTTGCTCATCACCAGTGTCCTGACTTGCTCCGCCACATCCACCGGATCAGCTGTGTCCTTGAGTGCCGACTTCGCTTTCGTGGCCTCAACCTTTTCCTTCGGAAACCGCTCGCCCCTGTGCACATAGCGTCAGTCAGGTCAGGACTGACGATTCCTCTACAAGGTGCGCGCTCTGCAGTAGGCAAGGCAAATGTGAAAGAAACTTACCACTCAGTCATCATCAATCCCGGCGAAATAGAATTACACCTCACAGCCTTCCCACAAATCATCGCCAACCCTTTCGTCAAATGAATCTCCGCCGCCTTCGTCACACTATACGGCAGACTACTCCCACTCGGCCTCACCCCCGCCAGACTCGCTACCGTCACAAACGCCCCACCGCCCTCACTCTTCTCCAGGTGCGGCTTCGCAGCATACAGCAACCACAAATGACTCTTCACATTCGCGTTGAAACAACGATCCCAATCCTCCTCCCTTACCTGATCATCCAAATCGAAGAAGTTAGTGAGTCGAGTCCATCCATTGTTGGAGACGACGACGTCGAGCCGGCCCATGGCGGAGACGGTTTCGGCGACGAGGGACTCGAGGGCTGGGCGGGAGGACGCGTCGGCTTTGATTGCGTGGAAGCGGGGTTCCTTGAGCTGATAAAGGGGCTTGGTCTCCGAGGCGGCTTTGATCACGGCTTCGGCTTTCTCCTGGCGCGAGAAGTAGTTGACTACGACGCGGTAGTGGGGGGCTAGGGCGTGGACTATGGCGGCACCGAGGCCGGCGGAGGAGGCGGTCACGAGGGCGACTTTGGCTGGTTGCGCCATGCTGAACTGCTGGTGGACGGTGGACGAGTGGACGAGTGGAATGTTTTTGGTGTCAGAGGGGCCGACGATGTCCTCTGTACCTACGAGGAGAGGAGACCGCTTCAAGAAATTGTTTAGTAGCGAAAGCTATACGTTGTCGGACGGTCCGACATTGTATCTTGAGGACGTGCCGCTCTTGTGGGGAAGCGGAACCGGAGCGCGGGGCCCTTTCCGCCCTCGAATGAAGCGAGAGGCTTCTCCCTCACATTGTTTTGATCACCATCTACAGACCCCGAAGGCATCCACATGTGTGTACGCTACTTGAAGCGGAGCTAGGCCGGGAAAGTACCGTCACCATACTCTGCGGCGCGGTGAGGGTCATCATGGCCAAACACTGATCTCAAGTCGGCAAGGCAACCAGAAAAGGCGTCGAGGGCGCTTCACCAGGCGGCGTAAAGCACGTCTTTCTTGGTCCGTGGGTTCAACGAAACCGGAGCCAGGCAAGCAGCAGACTCGAATGGGACACGGCGCTCGATACAGGTTATGATAGCACAAATATTCATGTTTTCAAGTATCAGAACCCCAAAGCCATTCCACTACCCAACCAAATATATTCCGCCAACGCTGATGCTGGTGAAGGTAGCTAATGCCTGAACTGAAAGCGCCCTAGTCGCCCAAATGCTCGGCATCACAGCTTTGCTCTCCCACCGTCGATATCTGCCCAGCTCATCTCGTTCAACGGCACATATCGTTCGCCTTTCACATCGAGCCAATACTTCTTGCCATCGGAAACGTCCGACCAGAGCAAGGCTTTCACGATCTGCTTTGCGTGCTTGAATGTGTCCCCTACCTTCACCTCGTCCGTGATGGCCACCAGCCTCGGGAAGGCATAGTGTGGCACACCCTTTGCCTTCAGCCGAGGATACAGCCCATCCATAAATAGCGCCTCCTCTTCTCTGGTCGTACACAATAAGCTCAAAGCAGCCACGCCAGCTTGCCCATCATATCCTTTCAGCACCTTTCCGACGACCACTGCGTCCTGGACCTCGTCGAAATCCGAGATAAACGCTCTGATCTCTCCAGCTGACACATTCTCGCCCTTCCATCGGAAGGTGTCGCCTATCCGGTCCACGAATCTCACCCAGCCGTCATTTTGCACAACCAGCAGATCTCCTGAGCGCTGCCAGACATCGCCCTTTTCGAAGACATTCCTCAAAAGCTTCTTCTCTGTCGCCTCAGCGTTGTTGTGATAGTCCGTATAGGTGGCCATACTCGCGATCTTCGCAACCGCTTCGCCTGGCTCATCTCTGTCCGCCACTATACAGAAGCCGGTCTGAGGATCCCTTACAGGCTCTTCAGAATCATAGTCGAATCTCAGGATGGCCTGTTCCTTGACCTCCCGCTTTCTCAAAAGTGTCCCACGGTACCCTACGCGTCCCGCTCCTGTGTAACCCTGCCTCTGGAAGTGCCGATTATCATACTTGACCAAGCCTTCCGTACTCCGGTAGAACTCTCTGATCTCTTCCACGCCAAAGCGCTTCTGAAATGCAACCCATACATCCCGCTGCAGACCATTTCCACTAGCCACCTTGACGTTATGCTTCCGATCATACTCGCCTTCCGGTGTGGCCAGCAGAAACCGGCATAATTCGCCAACATACAGAATCCGGTCCGCACGCGCCGCTGTGACTTCCTGCCAGTAGTTCCTCGCACTGAACTTGCGTGAGATGCAGAAGCAGCCTGAACTCCCAACAGCCTGGTTCACGCCTGTGAAGAACGTCGTGCCGTGGAACATCGGCATGCATGAAAAGACACGCATTGGTGGATACCTCGAGTCTCTGACGCCGTACTCGCCAGGTTGGTCCCAGGGTGAGGGGCACGAGGTGACCATCATGAGAGCATTCTTGACGCTGCAAGCTTTCGGCTTGCCGGTTGTACCGGAGGTGAAGATGAAGGCTGCACGGTCGGCCATCGTTTTGGGAGGTGTTGTGATGTCGTCGATGATTGGGCCAGAAGGATATGGGAACATCTCGGCGGAGCCGGTGTCCCCTCCAGCAGTAAAGGAGCCCAGGTTCAAGCTGAAGACACGAACTTGGTCGGAGCCAGACTTGACCCTGGAAGCAGCGTTGGCAGCATGTGTCGCAATGTCTGGTGTGCTGATCACCATATTACTGTCGGCAACCTGCACACAATGAAGCAGAGTGTCGTCGCGGAGGTTGCTGTTCATGAGAGCAGGGATCGCGCCAAGTTTGGACAGAGCGTGAATGGTGAACAGCATCTCGGGCGAGTTGGTCATGAAGACGCCCACTACGTCGTTATTCTTGACACCTTGAGACCGAAGGCCAAGCGCAATAGCTGCAACCTCACGCTTCATCGCGGCATAGGTCCAGCTGCGACCTTCGAAAAAGACAGCGTCCGCATGAGGATCGGCGAGCTCGAGCAGTCGGTAGAGACATGTTGCTTGAGGTCCAGCTCGCTGGATGTGGGCGGTCAGGAGCTTGTTGAATTGCTTGTTGAAGCGAATCTGCGTGATGTCTTTGCTGATGCCGAAGTAGGAGTTGAGGCCCAGTCCGGCAATGAGGGCAGTTGCCGCCGCCGTCGCGACTTGGCCTGCCTGTGACGAAGCCATGTTCCTGCTGTCGACCAAGAGGAGCTGCTCGTGATCTTCTTGTTGGGAGTCGAAGAACAATATCAGACACCAAACTTTGCGCACACGGCCGTACGAGTCTAGCTAGGTGTCTGATCCGGAGCCACGAGCGGCAGTCGCGTCCGCTCTCGTGTAAGATGATGTGCCTTCAGGCCTTCCTTCCTGACGTGTACAAGCTGACTGAAGCTGTTGGTCGAAAAGTTCACACTGTATGCAAAGAGCCTACTGACACTCAAATGGCTCTGGCTAAATTGTAAGACACAACTGACATACTAAGGTAACGCGTTGCTCTTTGATATCCATGAACGGTGACCAACAGCGGAGGTTTAGCTCCGGCGGCCCCAATATGGGGGCTGCACTCCCACATCCGGGGCCGCAGGAGCTCAAGAAGCTCCCCACAAGCTTAGAACAGGCCTTTAATTTGCCCTGGAGCTCCATAACGGCATTTGAGATCGGTATACCTACGCCAAGACCACATACCGAGGCTTGAAAAGCGCCCATGACACGGCAGCGTGCTTCCGATGGACCACATCCAACCAGGTTCTCGTGCGTAGGCGTGGCAAAAGCTGATTATTATTCCAATCACGGGCGTCCGTGACAACAAGACGGAAAGCAAAGCAGCTTTGAGAAAATCCTCGAACATACTTAGGTATTGTCACCAGACCTCGAAGCAGAGCGCGCAGGCTTCTACCGACCAGACAGAGACAGCATACGCAGGACCAGCTCTTCGCACCGCTACAGTATTGAAACGATGACTTCTCCAGCGGCGCAACGCCTCGGAGCACTCTCTTCACAGCTCTCACCTGCCAGCGCTCAGTCTGCCAAAGACCGCCTGCTAGCTCAAAACCCAGACGACATCGTAATCACAGACGCCATCCGCACACCCCTCACCAAAGCCCGAAAAGGCGGACTCAAGGACACGCCAGTCGATGCTCTGCTGGTCAGTCTATTGACATCTGTTCGTGAGCGTCTCGGGTTCGATCCAGCTCTAGTCGATGACGTCTGCGTTGGCAATGTCCTCCAACCTGCTCCAGGCTTCGCCGCCCGGAATGCTGTTCTGGCAGCAGGATTCCCTGTTGGGACGTCTGCCAATGTGGCCTCACGATTCTGCTCCTCTGGACTGCTGAGCATTCAGAACGTTGCCACTGCCATCATGGCTGGCGCGATTGATGTCGGCATTGCAGTGGGAGTGGAAAGCATGTCTCAGAATGAGGACAAGCCGCCCACGTCCAGCGATGTGATTGAGGCGCATCCCATAGCTCGGGATAACAAGATGCCGATGGGCTGGACGAGTGAGAATGTGGCGAAGGACTTCGGTATTACTCGCCAAATGCAGGACGAAGTTGCAGCAATGAGCCAGCAGCGAGCAGACAAGGCGAAGAAGGAAGGCTGGACCAAGGACGAAATAGTCGAGGTGAAGACCAAAGTGAAGGACGCGAAGAGTGGGTCTTGGCAAGATGTTGTTGTGAAAGAGGATGATGGAGTAAGAAGCGGCACCACAAAGGAAGGCTTGGGCAAGATCAAGGCCGCCTTCCCGCAATGGGAGCCGGCGACGACGACTGGTGGCAATGCGAGTCAGATTACTGATGGAGCGGCCGGCGTTGTGTTGATGAGGAGGAGCAAGGCACAGGAGCTGGGTGTCAAGATCATTGGCAAGTATGTGTTGAGCACGACGGTTGGTCTCGAGCCTAGGATAATGGGCATTGGCCCAAGCTTTGCTATTCCGAAGATCCTGAGTCGAACGGGGTTGAAGCAGGACGATGTGGACATTTTTGAGATCAATGAGGCTTTTGCTTCGGTGAGTAGCAGCCATGCTCCAGGGTGGAAGGTACTTGCTGACCACTGTTCCCAGATGTACGTTTACTGTTTAGACAAGCTACAGCTGGATAGAGAGAAGGTCAACGTCCGTGGCGGTGCCATTGCGCTGGGTCATCCTTTGGGCTGTACCGGCACAAGACAGGTCGTCACAGCTCTGAGCGAGTTGAGAAGGAGGAAGCAGAAGATTGCCGTCACTAGCATGTGTGTTGGGACTGGAATGGGTGTAAGTATGCTCCTCGCTGCGGAGACCGTGATGCTGACATGGCGCACAGATGGCCGGTGTTTTCGTCAACGAGGCCTGAGTCTTCGCATTTCGAGATGAGTGACCGTTGTGTATATACCGACTCTCCACAAGCTTCATGGCTCTTTCTTCATCTTCATTTCGTCGTCCGAGACTCCAATGGTGGCAAAGTACTGCATCACACTGTCAGCGAGTTGCAAAAGAATCTTTCATGACCACTGGTCCGTAAAGGAGTCTTGAACATGTCCGGACAAAAGCAGACGTGGAAGCGGACAACATACAGCCATGGCCTTGCGGTTCATCTCGGGATTCATCGGCTTCCCTTGTGCACCCATGGTGGCCAGCATCTTGAAGTAGTTGATGTAATGTGCAGGCTAATTGCAATTTTAGCTTTCGCTGCACACGATCGATAGCACCTTACCGTATAGGTATTGATGAATACTGCCTCCTCGTCAAAAGGGTTGCTGAACGTATGTGGACTTCTCGTTGGAACGGTCATGGTGTCGCCAACCTTGGCGTCTATGGTCTGGCCATCAAGTGCATGAAAACGCACCGTGCCTTTGGTCGTGAAGAACACTTCATCATGCATCTCATCTGGTCCGTCATGAGTACAGGGTCATCGCGAGGCTCCCGAACTCACGCCAATGTGCAGGTGGTCCTGATGTACGGGGCGGAATTGTGAGCTCTGCTACGCCGATCCTCATATCTGTCCGGGAGCCATCTTCAATGACGCTGGGAAGCTCATTAGCCCGGTGTACTAAGGGAGCGCCCACGCGAGTGGACTTGCCGCATGGTGATCGTCCCCAGATGTAGAATATCCCCAGCCTTAGCAGGAACAAAGTTCACTGAGACACGGATCAGCAGACCGCTCGGTTTTCGAAGACCTACATCAGCGTCCAGCCTCGAGCTTGACAGTCCAGCTCCAGCACAAAGGACTTCCAAGACCTGGTGACTTCGACGTCTGCAGTGAATACTCACCTGGTACATTTGGTGTCTCCATATCGGTCTCTTTCGCAGGTTTGTACTTCAGGGCCTCAAGAGCAACTCAGCCCTCCACGTGTACAGTATCGGGCACGGAAGCAGAGGGGCTGCCAGTGGTGAACAGAAGGCTGATGAAAGTTCCCGTGTACGTCTGCTTTATACCTCAGATCATCAAAGATCAGGCCTACTAGCCATGCGAGCAAGTGTCCTTCGGTCTCGGTGTTCCTGTCGTCGGTGCTATCGACTTGGGCCCGGGATTAAGAAGGCAAACTCCTGGTGATGTCACACAAGGTCTCGGTCGAGTGATTCATCGCTCGACGTCGACAATTTTCTGCCATGTGGCAGCTGCCAACGATGATGGGCGACATTCGACGTCATTGGTGTGTCCCACAATGGCAGCTGCCTCGTCACCGAACGCCTAAAGCATTCGAACCATTGATGCGCGGTTCCCCCTGCTTTTGACGGATAGACTTCAACGCTGGCTCTACCATAAGTCAAAGCGTATGTACTGCGAAGGAACTGTCTTATCACCAGCAACAAGCGACACAGCCGTTTCAACTGGTGGCTTGAGCTACGAGGAATACTGAACACGGATCGTGTTGATAAGACCGAATAACAACGTGCTATGAGAAATGCCTGATGGACCACAGCCCTTATGCAGCTACTGACAGCAGCTTTCGAAGGGCAATCTCCCCAGGCGAGATCTTCCCAATCTACAGGCGCATCAGTCCCAACGGCTTATCATGCGTTGTGCATATGACACCCGTCTGCCCCGTTGAAGAGACGACGAGAGTGAAATCCAAGGAAAGCGTGCGAGCAAGCACCCTATTCTGGGCCTCTCTTCAGCGACAGATGGTTGTCGCATGTACAATGCAGCTGCCTGCGAAATCTTCCTTCCCGATAAGGTGGTGTTGACACGTTATGGTTGACGAGAGGCACGTACACTGTGTCGGTAGTTCCGTGGTTCGCTATTTCTCCAAGTGTTCAAAAACCCTGTGACAGATGATGACTGGTAGGTGAATGCAGGACCTGCAACTCTGTGATCAGAAACGGTGGCGTACGTTTTGTTTCCGCTGCGTCGACAAGGCTCCTGTTCCCACAGGGACTGTGGCAGGAAGGCCGTCAGAACTCCTTCATCTGTTGGGGAATACCGTTTTGGCCGGTTTCGATCGGAGAGTGGAAGCCGCTTAGGTCCCGATGATGATGATTATGATTGTTGCGCTTGCGACGCCATAGTACGCAGAAGATGGCGGTGATGATGACGAGGGTGGTGATAACTACCGCCAGAATAGAAAGGATGATGGTGAGCCTGTCGTGCGCTGTTGAAGAGTTGATGGTGGTAGCGGTGGCTTCTGGAGTGGTTGGCATGGCGGTTTTCGTGGTGGACATTGTCGCGGTAAGAGCGTGAGAGGTGTGGTACTGTGGGCTTTGCTAACACACTGAATTGCTGAATCGACTCGGAGTCCTTGTTGGTTGACAATGGATGATATAGCTGTTGCCGAGCTACCAAAAGGCTCCGCGACCATCTCTTATACACGTCCGAAGCACGGCCATTGCTCAAACCCTCTATACGGCCGACACCTACACAGAAACTGTAAGGCAAAGCGACACATATCCTGTCACTCAGTGGTGTACTACTATCCGATGATACGATGCTGGATGCCGAAAATGTAATGTCGATATTTACGCCTGAGCCGTCACACAGGGTGAAGCCGTCATCACAACTAGTACATGCTCCAGATTTACTCCGACGGTACCTACAAGGTCTTCTGCTCTGAGCTGATCGCGAACACCATCCCTGTATCCGACCCTGGCACAGCCTGCATTATAGAAAGGCCAGCGATCAATGTCAGGAGGCTATCCGAGAGAGGAAATTACCAGGATGCCAACCGACGGCCTTCTCACAATCAGCGCAACACTCTGGAGTCTGGAAGCGTGTCATAGTCGCCACCCATCGCGAATGAGCCCTCATTGCGTGCACGGATACCTTGCTGTCGAACATGACTCACGTCGGCTGATGAGATACAATAGTCGAACATGACTCACGTCGGCTGATGAGATACAATTAAGCACTCCTTGATAAGGTACGCCGGTCATAAGGCTGGAGATATCGATATAGCCGCTTGATCAAGCACGCAAGTACTTCATGGCTTGGCTTGATCGCAACAGCTCTTGGCGAAATCAGAGGGTATTCCGATACGTCGTATTGGGAGTTCCTACGGGCCAGTTGTCTAACATCTGCATATCGCTCGACTGGTTCAGGCTCAACGACCAATACGCTTGGGACAATATGCATTTCCTATTTCGTCGTCGGCCTAACGGCGCAACTCAGAACTTCGTTCAGAGCTACCACCTGGCGGCCAAGCCACCTTGACGCTCGCTAGGATCCACAGGGGTAACAGACCCGCGCATCCGCTCCCTTTACAAGAGTCTGCCTTGCCAGACCTCACGACAGGCACCGCTGTCACTATCTTAGTGCCTCAGCTTGGCGAACCGTTCTCGCTTACACCATTGACAGCAGGCAGCTTGCCGATGTACTTGCCAAAGATGCCTTTGAGCTCGAGGGCGGAGCGCTTCGGATAGCGAGTCTGGCCGTTCTCGTAGCTGGACATGCTTAGCTTAGGGTCGTCCGCGATCTCAGTAGAGCACTTACTCGACAAAGGTAACGCCGAAGCGTGTCTCGTAGCCTTCTGCCCACTCGAAGTTGCTAGTGGTGGATGTCAGTTCACACCATGTTGGTAGATTGATCGAACGGGAGGAAAACTCACTCCATCAGACTCCAGCCCATATACGCTCGCACATCAATGCCGTCAATACTGCACGCCTCGGCCATCGCCTTTACGTACTCCGAGAAGTACCACACTCTGAATTCATCATTCAGGATCTCATCTCTGGTCTTGTCGTTCTCGCCCAGAATACTCGTACCATTCTCCGTGACGTAGATCTTGGGATGGCCATACCTCTCACTCAGCCATACCAAGAGCTTCCTGAAACCAATTGCACTTGGTCTCAACCAGAAGCTCTGGGTCACAGGGCCAATCTCCTGACCGGCTTTGTTCACCATCAAGATCTCCAGGTGGCCGGCGTGATCATTGGGATCGATCGGCTCAGATGTGGGCTTGTGCTTGATGTAGTTGGCGCAGTAGTGATTCATGCCGTAGAAGTCGTTGGAGCCTTTGATGAGGGCGGCCTCTTCAGGTGTGAACTCCGGCAGACGCGAGCCGAGTTGCTTGCGCATGCTGGCAGGGTAATGGCCGAAGTAGACTGGGTCGGCGAACCAAGAGATGGCGAACTCGATCTTGCGGTGTGCTGCCTCAACATCTTCTGGATCTTCTGGGTCCCATGGCTCGGCCCAATCTCCTGTTTGCGAAATCCAGTCAGCGGGTGAAGATGTACGTTGTAACGTGAAATCGAGCTGGTGGGCTTGGGCTTGCTTACCGTTCAATGTGATGCCGATCTCACCACCATTCTTGGGCTTGAACTCGTCCCGATACACTTTCACCGCCTTTGCGTGTGCATTCAAGATGCTGTGTCCCACAATCCACGGCTCGGTGCTCCCGTCGCCTCTGTGGAATATCTTTCGGTCACTCGTGTGGCCTGGCGCAAAGACACCAAAGTTGTGACCCAATACCGCACTGCAGAATGGTTCGTTGAAAGTGATCCAGTGCTTGACCTGTGGTAGCGCCTCGAACATTACCCGTGCGTACCTTTCGAAGTCTAGCACGAATTCCTCCTTGTTGAGAAAGCCATCGTAGCGCTTGTACAGCTCATCAGGTAAGTCCCAATGGAACAGTGTCAGTAGAGGTGTGATGCCGGCGGCTAGCAGATCGTTCACTAGCGTGCGGTAGTACTGGATACCCTTCTCGTTGACTGGGTCGTTGCGCCCACCCAAGGGAATGATGCGGGTCCAGGAGACGGAAAAGCGGTAGGCCATGGCACCAGTCTTCTTGAGGAGCTCGATATCCTCCTTGTGGCGATGATATGAGTCGCAAGCAACGTCGCCTGACGAGCCATCGGCAATCTTGCCGGGGATCTTGCAAAAAGTGTCCCATATTGAGGGACCACGGCCGTCTTCTGTTGCACCGCCCTCGATTTGATACCTATGATGTAATGAGTTGATGCTGAATCGGAGTTCTCAGGACAAGCAAGACGCACGCTGCTGTTGCGAAGCCCCAGAGAAAGTCTTCTGGAAGGCCCGGCTGGGCTGATGGATCTTTGACCATGACTGTTAGTGTGACGTGACTTCGATTAGGATACTTGGCGTTGGTGTATGAGGCTGTAGGTAAGGAATTTGTGGGAGTAGTCTGCACAGAGTTCAGAGACGTACCACCTCCGGAAGCCATTCTTGCAAAGCACGGAACTCTTGTGTATATATACCTGCACGCTAGAGTGATACACTCAACGTAGCCCCGATGCAGTCACGATGATAGTTTGCTTCGTGCCGACCAACACACAGGGATCCCGCGGATAGTACTGGTCAATAGGATAAATCTTGATGGGCTTAAGCCAAAAACGTGGCGACTATGGAAGCAGGGCAGAGTTTCCTCCTGGCTGGAAATCGTTAAAGACAAAGAGTGTACCAGGAGGGGGCTAGCACGAGGGGTTGCAAGAGCCGCTTTCCAGTGTCACGGTTCAACGACGGTAGAATAGTCCGCTTTGGTCAACTCGAATGAACATCAGTGAACACAAACCTCTGTCGTTGAGTCAAGGACCCGTGCATAGTCGATCGGTCGGGTATTCCGTGGAGGTAAGCCCTGTTTGATACCGAAGGACGAATCCGAGCACGAATCGAGTTGGAAGAGGTCGAGAATCTGTGGGGTGAGTGGCAAGGCCTCCACGTCGGATCCTTGTCGCCCGATATTTAGCCTGCTTCGCCGGAACAGGGGTATCTGTGCTCATGGACGGCTTTTGGTCTTGTCCTTCTTTCCTACATGCTTTTGAGGACTGCTCGAAATGCGGGTAATACGAGCAGATCATCAGTAGAGGCCGCCAGTTCAAGTTGAGGAGCATTGGAACACGATTCAGATCTTCGAGAAAGGTCTTTGTATACTGTCGAGGCGATCCTGTAAAGGTTTGCTCGAGGAGATCTGGTTGATGTCCGGCTAAACTGGTTTTGACAGCGGATGTGGCCGGGCAACGTTCCATTTGTGAAGAATCACACTCGAGTCGGACGGCCGATGGAGTAAGCAGAGGGTGTATATCCTTAAGTCCATTGCAGGGTCAAGGTTGTGAAGATCTAGACCGACTTCTGCATATCGTGGCAAGCGCAGTCCAGTTCGACGAAGTATTTACTCCGCCGTGCACTCAGCTGGGTCGGCAGTAACGACCTCCGGTAACAGATGGGACTTCGACGTGCCTACCTACATACTAATCACTGGCACTACCTGCAGAGGAGCGACTTGTCTGCTGATCGCTCACATGATACCGTACGAGACAGCCAAGATACAATCCGTGATACTCTTGCGAGTTCTGTCCCCGAGTAAGCAATTGTCTGGTAGCGTACCTAGGTACTCGGGCGCATTCTGGCTATACGTCGGATTCGTCGGCTTACCCGTTTGGCTCTAGGCCACAGGTATACTGAAGCGTGAGTCTATAGGGTACGGATATGCCACAGATTGCCTGTTAACACCACGACTATCACTACTGATCGCCCGCACTCACTTGTGCGTATCTACCGTTATCATCTTCTTGCTGACCAGGTTCCTGCATTCTCCATGTGATAAATGCCGCACCCAGGGCAGCAACTCCTCCAATACGCAGTGTCCAACCCACGCTAGCATCACCAGGCTCGTCTCGTGGCTTCTGCAGTGCTTTGAATACGGCACTACATATCAAGGTAGACAGGATTTGCGGTGCACTAACCGCAACATTGTGTATGCCGAGCACTATCCCGGCCTGATCGCTACCATCCTGTCCGTTGCTATCGACGTGATGATGCCATTCTTCGGTGGGAAGCACTTTCTTCTGTCGCTCTTTCCGACGACGCGCTTCGTCGCGAACGGAGATCTCGGCGGAGATAAGAGCGAAAGGCGCCCACAGAGTGAGTGACCAGGTTATGCCCATGATGGCGGTCATAACGGCGGCTGCCTGATAGGATGAGATGAAGAAAGTACTGAACATGCATAGGGCGAAGAGGAGCTGTGATCCGAGCCATGCTCGCCGTAGCGTGAGTCCCGGTATTTGGAGAATTTTCAGAGCACGCTTGATGAAGGATGGCTTTGGCGTGTCGCCGTGCATTGTTGCTCGAATCAAGCTGTTGGATCTGCCACGAGTCAAGCCAACATGAGATGACGTACGGCTTATTCCGATGGGCGAAGTGGGTGCAATGTCCTCACCTCCCTCGTCGGGCCTCTTGTAACTCGGGACTACCAAAAATGGCAAGATGATGTTCGCAGAAAAGGAGGTAATGGCGTAGGCGAGCAGCGCAAGAGTGCCAATGCGAGTGGCTTTCTCCCATAATTTGTCGACCTCGTCGTCAGACAGTCCTGGATGCAAATCCGGATTGACGTAGAGCTGACCGATGTATGTGGTAATGTAGAACAGGAAAGGAAACCAACCGATCCACTGTACAAACTGGATCTCGCAGACTTTACGAATCTGAGGCGGAAGCCGTTGGACAGCCTTAAAGACCTGTTTGAAGAATGCAAAGAAGCCTTGATTTGAAGGCCCTTTATTCGGAGAGTCGAGCAAGGGATTGCGCTCCTTGATAAACAAGACGCTAATACCAACGGTCGTAGCCAGTGACATCGATGCTATCGTAACCAAGACTTTGAACTGGCTGTTGCCAAAGAAGGAAAAGTACTGCGGTAAGTCCAAGTAGCCGAACAGGTATCCAAATACATTGCCGACACCCACTATGCGCGACGCCCATGCATTTGCTGCTTCCTGCTGATGTGCTGGAGCACCATCGCAGATAAATGCTCGAATTGCTGCCTGAACAACGTTGATCGAAAAGTCCAGACACCACATCATAACGGTCGCGAAAATGATGGTCATAATTCTCCAGCTGCCCTCATACTTGGCGTCTTCGCCCAGACCGCCAAAAACGCTCATGATACTTTTCGAGTACGCCAGCAAGAGAGACGTCGCTATTGTCCCAAGAGTCCCGCCAATCATAAACGGTTTCCTTCGACCCCACGAAATTCGACATTGGTCGCTTTTCAAGCCAATGTACGGCTGTACAAGGACACCGGTGACTGGTCCCGCTACCCATACTATGGCGATTAGAGCCTTGCTCATGCCTAGTGAGAGCAAGAACGGGGTGCCATTGGAGAGCTCAACAGACCATACGATCTGCAAACCGCCTATGGCAAGGGTGAGCAGGATCAAGTAAGGAATGCTCTTGCTCTCCACCGCGGGCTCATCGACGGCGAGCGCATGTTCGGAGAGTGGATCAGATAGCTGTGATATTGGCGATATAGGCGATATGGGTGAGATTGGACCTGCCAAGGCCACCCCTTCGATAGAGGAGGGTACGGGACGAGGGCTTATAAGTGGTGATTGTTCGTTAACGACATCCTCAGACTGTGACCCGCGGCGCGGCATTCGAGCGCGCGGGTGAGATGTTGTCGCAAGTCACTTTGGTCGTGCCTGTCAGAAGGTGAGAAGCGTCGGGAGATTGCGGATTCGTTCTGTTCGAGGAACCTTTTCACTATGGCAGCGGAAGAGTTGAATGTCGAGGGGTCCTTTTCGATTTGATCGACGACTTGTGATATATAGCGTCTGCTGAAGGTATCGGTGGCCTGTAGGATGATGTGAGTCTGATTGATTAGGAGATCAGGTGTCCAAGTCAGGCGTACGCGACTTTCGGCCGTTGTCCTTGGCAGGTCGATTCCATGCAGTTGGGGCTGATCTGTTTTGATTGGTCAGCCTTTTGCAGCCTTGGTGAGTCGAGTGATCCACCTCTGGTCGATGGTGACGGCGGTCGATGCCATTCTGCGAGTTGGAGGTCACCAAGGCCTACTGCCCTTACGCAACCAAGGCGATTGCCAGCAGCTGCGACCAAGCTGAAACACCAGTATTATACCTCCACACATCCGCCTAGTCTCGACATACAAAGATCGTCGCACCAGTTGAACCCGGCAATACCATACGCCGCAGCCTACCTACACATCCTCGAGACAACGCAGGAGATACTGCCCAGCATGAAGCCCGTAAGCTGCTTTGATACCATCAGCGAGGACGTTGCTGACATGCACAGGTCGTATCGGCGTTCAATGCGTGGTCGTGGTGCGTTAGCTCGGCTCGACGTGTCACCCAATGCAGACCCGTGTACTGACCGCATGTGCAGTACCGTTATCTCGATCTTCGCCGTCATCATCCTGTCGATCATAGGCTCGCTGTTTGCCGTACGTATGACCTTCACCCTCAAGCGCTGGCCGATTTCGAGAAATGGCCCCAGAATCCTAATTAGCAGCGGATCTTTGATGGACTCGGAAAAGCAGTTGCTGACAGAAAGGCGCGATAGAGAAATCACCATACGATGATGGGCACAGAGGAAGATCCCACAGATGGCAAGGCGGTAGCGAGCAGTATATTTATTGCGGTCGCGGTTTATGGCGTATGTGCTCCTCGTCCCCGTTCCGTTGATCAACACGAGAGCCTCACAACTGCAACTATGGCGCTCCACATGTGCACTGGGGGGCATGACTATATGTTCCAGGTCAGAGCGGTCAACGACTCTGATCTAATTGCCGATAATCGGGAATCGAAGCTAATGTGTGGTTTTCTGCAGGCCTTTATTGTCTTTTGCGGTTCACAAGCTTGGCTACATCTGCGGGCAAGTCGCAGGGGAGCAATTTCATTATAAGAGATGGCGGTTTGAGCAGCCCGTTCGAAGCCTCAAGAGCCCGCGGCGTTTGGTGAGAATGCAAGATACTCATGCTAGCCTGCAAGTATTGATATCATCATTGTACATTTCCTGCGCCACTTTTTGCGCTTGCTCTGTGGAACAGATGTCCAAACGTCCAGATCAAATTGTCGCTGCCTCTCAGCGAGTCTGCGACCTTGGTACGACACAGTGCCTGCTCGCCGCGCCAGGAGCATAAACGTGGCCACAAGGTTGTACCCATCGGCTTGAAGTCAAGGCATCAGGTTTCTCCCACAGACTTCGAGCTAGAGTGGTAGTAAATATCCTCGTCGCATCTCTTCGATACAGGAGTCCTGACATAAAGGTTGCTAACCAAGCTAGACCACAGCGTTTCCTCATTCGCTGCAAGGCCAGGGGACTTTGGCTAGCCGCAGGTCTCGTGTTCCAGAATGCTTGGTCTGCCGGTACTTTGGTGTGGCTGCGGCTCGGCCTTGACCGCTGCTCGCTCCCATTCGTCAGAACCCAGTGACCGCTTCGATATGATGCTCGGTCTTGTGATGGATATACACTCGACACTACATGATAAAGCTCATCTCCGTCAAGGTCGGCGCTCGATGCCACTGACCTGAAGTGTGATGGTCGGTTTGTCTGATGCAAATCATCTACTGTCACTACTGAAGGACATCCTATCAGCCAAGGCAGGGAACAAACGGCGGTATGCGGCTACTCAATGCGGAGACACTTGAGATCGAATCGTTCACCGGATCAGTATCAAGGGAAACGCCTTACACCATCTTGTCTCACACCTGGGAAAACGATGAGGTCTCCTTCGAAGATATGAAGGATTTATCGCTCGCAAGAACGAAGGCTGGTTTTGCCAAAATCGAGGCGGCAGCAGCGATGAGCGTCGATCACGGCGTCAAGTACATCTGGATCGACACATGCTGTATCGACAAGAGTTCCAGTGCCGAGCTATCCGAGGCCATAAATTCGATGTTTCGATGGTACAAGGATGCTTCAGTCTGCTTTGCATTTCTCTCGGATCTCAAGATCGCAGAGCAAGGCAAGGACCTTGCCGGGTTCCGCGACTGCAGATGGTGGACACGGGGATGGACACTCCAGGAGCTGCTCGCCCCCGCCGAGGTGTTGTTTTTGGATGAAGCATGGACGCTTCGAGGGTCGAAGACAGAACTCGTGGACGCGATTCAATCCATTACAGGCATCGAAGCGTGGGTGCTGGTCTCATCCGCGTCATTGTCGACTGTACCTCTAGCAAAGCGCATGTCTTGGGCAGCGAATCGTCAGACTACTCGCGTAGAGGACATGGCTTACAGCCTTTTGGGCATTTTTGACGTCAACCTGCCGCTTATCTACGGAGAAGACTCAAAAGCTTTCATTCGTCTTCAAGAGGAAATCCTGAGGACAACAACCGACCTGTCACTATTTGCGTGGCATGCAGGCCCGAACGCGACTTTTCGAGGCGTGCTTGCGCAATCTCCTTACGATTTTCGCAGCTGCAACGACATCGTCACCAGTGATGACCAATTTCGCTTCCGTGATGAGATCGTCAGGACCAATAAAGGCATCAAGGTGAGAGTCCCGCTTCAAAATACGTCTAGTGGATTGTATATCATGGACCTGCATTGCTATAAACAAAACGCGACTGGTTCAGAAGCACGACAGGGAATACTGTTGAAGCGGGTGATGGACGTCTACGTTCGTGCTTCAGCAAATCAAACCGTCGAACGCGGTGGTCCGCCTACCGGATATGGTCAAGTGATATATCTCTGCACTGAAACGGACGACAACGCACTAGCCTCGGGAATGGCTGATGACCGGGGACAACACATCCAGTTGACGTTTCCTAAGAACAGCCCTCGCTATAAGATTGACGACGTACGGGCTGTTCCCGAAGTTTACTGGCAGGGGGACGGGCACTATTTCTCCTATGAGGGTCTACGACATTTTCGGTGCTTTGTGCGTTTCCGAGTCACCTCCCGGACATCGCCAACGGAGCTAGCCTACGGTGCCATTAGTGAAAAGAGCTCACGATTCATATTGTTTTGCGAGCTCGGTGGCTCTAATAGTCTTCGCACGAGTCTGTACGCGGAGACTGGTTTGCAGTCTAGCCCGGCGCCAGCGGGATTCATCGATCCCTTTCGGAATATCGATCAGTACGGACCGCTGGGAGATCCTTTCAGCCTTTCTGTGCTGAGTCCCGGGGGACGGGAGGACAAAAGCGTGCGGATGATCCATGAGAATCAACGACACAACTATACGGTGTCTACCCATCTTGTCGACGTTCAACAGAGTCCACCCTTTGATGTGAGCATACTCATCACACCTTCTGATGAGTACGGCACAGTGTTCGGAGCACAATATGCTCAACTACAGAACATTTCCGATCGTCCGACTGTCGCAGTGCCATCCGCGCCAGCACTCGGCCCTGGTGGTGCCAACCGGCTTCTTCGGGCAGCGTACCTTCCCTTGGATCAGTACGGTACCGAAGACCCATGGCCTGATCAGGGTGATATCGAAGACCCATGCTGACTTCGTGCCATAACCGAGACAATACAGTACAGACCAATCACGGTGGGCATGGTCTACCTCCTGGGCGGCTATTTACTCACGTGGACCCTGGGGAACCGGCCAATTCGGCAGCAAGGGAGTACGAGCCTCTTCACAGGTAAACAATGGCGGCACTGCGATCGCATCTACGTACTGACACGAGTCTGGATCGCAACACAAGTAGACCACAATTATGGCCACCCATAGGACCACTTGTGAGCAGTCTCCCTCGACAAGGTCTACGAGCTGGACGCGCAGCCTTGCAGACGAATGAGTAGTCCTGACAACCTGAGTAAATTCGACCAGACTTGGAAAGAAGCAGGACACGCACGGCGCTCCAAAGACTACCCCCTTTGCGGCCTGGCATAAGGATGCACATCTACGTTCATGGCAGAAGGCGCGCCCTGACCATAGTGCTTTTCGCCTCGATCCCGTCGGAAGTAGGCGTGGACGTGGTGCGGAGATTCGGAAATAATCTACGTATGGATGTGGCACAGCCCGGGGTGCGAGCCGGTACGATGGTGACGGCAAGGTAGTCTCCATTTCCCTAGCAGCAGTCCAGCATAAGAATCAAGACTGCATCGCCTTTCACATTCAACGGATATCCACTGCGGCCAGGGTACACAAAGCATGGCAAGCCAGCCGTTAGCAGCTCTGACTCGGTGCACCAGGAGCAACGTATAAGACATGAATAGAGATAGAAACCAACTCGCACGACCAGACGCTGACGAGCAATGAAATACTAAGTCAGTCAAGCCGTCGCACCGAAGTGTGGCGACCTGATGGAGGCTGCACGCGATGATCGTCTGAAGCTGGACCGGTTATGAGCATTCTTCGCTAGCTAAGAAATATGCACACGAAGGTTGAGAAAGGTCTCCTTTATGCGCGGATCAGAATGGTGTGCTTCCAGCTCAAGGCTTGACATCGACGACGAGCAGCCTAAACGCTCCTCATCAATACGCGCTTCGCTCGAATGCCCCAATAATAGAATTTGGCAGTCGAATAAGCTCATATCAAGTCCTTCGCCACGAATTGATCATACAAACTCTTTCCCAGCGCCGCTGGACTTCTCTCGACCTTGACACCGGCGCCCTCCAGCGCAGCAATCTTGCTATCCGCTCCTCCTTTCCCTCCAGACACGATCGCACCTGCGTGACCCATCCTCCGTCCGGGCGGTGCCGAGATGCCCGCAATAAATGCGACAGCCGGCTTGTTCTTCTTATTCTCACTCTTCAAGAATTCCGCAGCATCCTCTTCCGCCGAGCCACCAATCTCGCCGATCATGACGATACCCTCGGTCGAGTCGTCTTCCAGAAAGACACGCAGACAATCGATGAAGTTAGTGCCAGAGAAGGGATCGCCGCCAATGCCGACGACGAGGGATTGGCCAAGGCCGATCTGGGAGGTCTGGTTAACAGCTTCGTAGGTCAGGGTGCCGGAGCGGGAGACGATCCCGACGCGGCCTTGCTTGTGGATGAAGCCGGGCATGATACCGATCTTGCAGATGCCGGAGCGAATGAGGCCGGGGCAGTTGGGACCGACGAGGCGGGTCTTGCTCTGGGTCTTGAGAATGTCTGCGGGCGATGTCAGCAAGCTGCACCAGCTATTCCCCTGCATTGTTGTCCTTTGCTCGATCGATAGCCGTGACTCGACACCTGTGCAGCCAGTCTCGATCGATTCGAGGTCGCGTTCGAGGTTCGGAGATGGTGAAAGGACTTACTTGTTACTCGAACTGTCATAGTAGATTAGCACTCGTCTCTTGTCATGTCTTGAGCTCTGATCAGACTCACCCATATCGTGCTGCGGGATGCCCTCGGTGATGCACACCACGAGCGGCATCTCCGCCTCGACCGCCTCCTCAATACTCTTCGCAGCCAACGGCGGTGGCACAAAGATGACCGATGCATTTGCACCCGTCTCTTTTATGCCGTCTGCAACCGTAGCGAACACCGGTCGGTCGAGATGTGTCGTGCCGGCCTTCTTGGGGTTTGTGCCACCGACAACGTTCGTGCCATAGTCGATCGCACCCTGCGCATGGAATGTGCCTTGCTTGCCAGTGAAGCCTTGGACGAGGAGCTTCGTGTCTGCGCCCTATTGATCGGGAGAGGAGGTATCAGCATGAGTGTGGTTTGATAGCTTGTGTTGTGATCGAACGTCGGCATGCAGCCGTCGCCCACGTTGCGGGACCATGGCTATGCCACGAGCTCAAAAGTACCAAGCTCTATCCGCATGGTTGCGGGACCTGAAGATAAACTTACAATCATGAGGTTCTTCGCGGTCGAAGCATAGGGAGAGCTCGCGGCCGAATACGACCGTCGTTGTGTTTGCCGGAGCGCCGATGAGGCACCATGTTTGAGCGCCTGCATCGTTGCTGGCTATGTGAGGGAGTGGTAGGCACAAAGGAGCAGATAGCAAGCTGCGCCGTTTACTCGGGAACACTTGGAGGAGGTCGGAGCTGCTCCGGCCGCGCTAAGCTCTTCAAGAAGCAAGTTGCGGGCATGTGCTGCCCGACTGCTTCAAGATTAGGCGACGAGACATTTCATCGTTCTTGCCTCTTCATCTCGACTTTCATGCTGATCACCACTTCCAAGCAACGCATAACGCTACGATGTGCCTTCCTCATCTCTATATTGCTCATCAGGATCAAGAATTGGCCGACGTCAATTCAGACACGACCCTAACTGAACCAGCACGTTCTCTGCGATTCAACTCCAACCCGTTGACTTGTTGTTTACCGTTCTTGCCACCTTCGTACCCGATCTGAAGGGTGCACAACACCTTGAGACGGTTCCCAATCCCCAGAGCTTCCTCAACAACCTGCTGCTGCTCAAAAGTCAGCCCACTGACATTGGCCAATAAGCCCCTCTCCTCCAACAGCAGCACCCAGCTCTGAATCTGCATGCCCATCGATAAGATGTCGCCTTCCTTGGAGATCGTATCTCTGGCCACGACAGCGATCACCGTGGCGTCCAGGAAACCTGTCGGTAAGGCTGCGCTCTCCTGGGCCTGGTCCGAGAAGTTTGCGAGGGCTTCCTTGAGTGCTGCGAGTGCTGTGTCATGAACGAGTGTGACCTGACGCAGCTTGGCATTCGTGACAGATGGACTACATTGTGCGATGGCCAACGTCTCCTTGATGGTCTCAACAGCAGCGGTGTCCGAATGCGCAAATGCAGGACTGGATTGAGGCTCTTGAAGCAATTGTTCGACTGTGGTCTTCCGTTTCTCGCGCTGGTCATGCACTGACGCCAGCCGTGCGGCTGCTGTGGCTCCAGCAGCAGGTTTGGTCAGCCTCATCTGTTTCGATGCGTGGTGCACCGGCCAGGCCATCTTGAACTTCATGTGAGTGGTGCCCAAGGCTTTCCACGTTGCAGCGGCTGTCCGCGGCTTTACTCTGCAGCTACGCCTTGTGTCGCTATTCCAGTCTCTCCGAAAATCCAGTTGCCACTTGACAAGAAGCTCAGCAGCCTCAGTGTCCACACAAAATAGGATACTATGCACTCAGAGATCGAATACTTCAACACAAGTGAGCAGCGCAAGAACGTTCTCAGGCCAACGTCAGCCTCGTCAGGCATCTGCCATAGCTTTATACAAATCTCATCCTACAGCCCTTCGCTTCTTTACCGCCTCTGTCATGCCATCGTATCATACGAAGTCGCGGACTATAGACAGCCCGTCTCACTGGGTTTGCCTGACGTCTTGGCAACGAGTGCATCTCATGTTTGCCTCGCAGAACGCCAGGTTGCGCTAGTCTTGCCGAATTGTGCTACTACGCTTGATGAGTGAGCCAAGATCCGAAGGCTATGCAGTCGTAGACAAAGAGCATATTCCTACTGTTGTGAGAGCGACGCGAGATGTTGTCAACCGGCGTGACGAAGCCTCGAAATATAATTGCTGTGAATGAGTCACATCTCATGATGCAAGCCTGGAGAGTCGTAGTAAGTGCCCTCGCACACTTTGGTCAACCGGTCTTCTCGACGGCGGCCCTACAACGACTGCGGAAATCTGCTCAAGACTTCAAAATCCACAAGAATTTGAAGGGTGTGCGCTCATACAAATGCGTCTTGCTCAACATTGCCATAAGCCCCCACGACACCCGCCATGCATCACCCACAACACAGTCCTCTGCCTCCCAACTACTCCCGACTCCCAACATAGCTTCCCTCACTGATCAAATGCGTCTCCTCCCTACTCAACCCCTCCCCATGCGCTCCATTAACATCCCCTCCCCTGACCGGCTCAACCCTAAACTGCCACCTAGGATGATGGATCCTAACTTCCACGCCACCCTCGCCCTCACTACTAATCACTGCCTCCTGCGTCGTCAACCCAACCAATCTCCCCACATCCTTATGATTAAACCCCGTATCCGTCGGATACGCCCTGACCTGCTCCCCACGCTTCAATCCCGTCGGATCCAGCTCATCCACTTTGGGCTCCTTGTCACCGAACGGACCTTTGAGGATCCTAGGAATCGCGACTTTAGCATCCTCCTCCTTCCTCAACCCCGAACTCTCCATATTTTTCAACGCCGCCTCCCGATCCTTGCTATACCTCTGATACCAAGCGTGAACTTTCGGGTACACACCCTTCCCAAACACATCCTCTGGCAACGCGCCAGGCATCTCACTCAGCCAGACGAAGATCCACGCAGCGTGGATATCGGCAAGAGTCATCTCTTTGCCGCCGAGGATCCAATCGCGGCCGTCCTCAAGGAGTTCGTGCTCAAGGAAGTCAACGTTAGCGCGGAGACTGACGAGGGCGGCGGGCCGGAGGGCGTCTTGGTTGCTGACGGCCCAGTCGCGACCCCAGAGCTCGGTGCGGTCGTCGATGAAGTTCTTGTCGCGGATTGCTTCGAGGGAGGTCGGGATCGCGTCTGCTGCGTACTGTGAGGAATTGGTTAGATCGAGGTCGCTCGGAGAGAGCGGTTCTGGTAAGGAGCAGTGGAAGTGAGACTCACTTTGAAGACAACCACATCAGTCCACTTCTCCAATAACTTCTCCAGTGCCCTGCTGTTCCCGTCTTTGCCTTTCCTCGGAACTTCGCCGTCCTTGTACGGGAAGAGCTCCTCCAGTTTCTCTAGCATGATCAATGTGTCGCAGTAGATATCGCGTCCGATGCTCATGACTGGAATGCGGCGGTAGTTTACGCCCAGACGCTTCTTCAGGTCTGGGCGTGGTAGGGTGACAGGCTGTTCGCATGATATGTAGGGGATCTGACGGAGAGCAAGGTACAGGGTGATCTTTTGGGACCATGGCGAGAAGGGATAGTGGAAGAGGGTGACTTCGGGTGTGGGGCGCGACATTGTGACTGTAATTGGATATCCAAGATGTGATCAATTGATAGTTCAGGGTCAACGTGGTCGAAGAGCCGTTTTGAAGTACTGCTTCATCTTGACATCCGGCCTACCTTTATATCATCATGGCGATGCGCGCCGGATTGGGAGCATATGGAAAGTCTATGCATGGCAATGTCGCGTCCAGGCTTCGACAGCATCGATTTCCCCGCAATCGAGAAGGATGCTGTCACCATAGAGTTGCTGCCCTCTCCGCATTTCGCTGTATGGCTCCTGAGGGTGAGCTCATGTCGATCCAATCAGCGCATACCTCGAAAGACGTTCATCATGCATTTGGAATCATATGACGATTGATGCACGATTCGATTCGGCCCATCGCCGTTGGAAACTTTCGGGACGTCTGAAGAAAGTTGAGAGTGAAGCAGGACAAATAGTGGCTGTTCCGAAGCTTGGCGCCGATGTCGGTTTCGTTTCCGTTTCTTTCTCCTGGTCTGACTGGTCAAGTCCTCATCTGTATCTTATGTTCATGCCAGCAAGAGCTGTTGTGAACGCGCCATTGGGCTTTATGTCGACTTCTGCTATAGGCTTTAATGGTAAGAGCTGGATCATCGCGGCGGCTCAATTCATGGACACCATGCATATAGCTCACAATTGGAAGAGTGGCTGATGAGAACTGTCAATATTCGGTCAAGCTTGCCAGCGAGCCACAGCATTTTGCGGACGGTACAGGAAGGCGCGAGGCTTACTCAGGCGCTCAACGCGCGAGGCAAGTAAGCTCGAGATCAAGGCAGGTGCGAGTTCCGAATAGTTGTGGTGGAGTTTGAGGTTGCAAGTGTTACGCGGATGAGAGAATTACGAAGTGGCGCACATCAATATGATGTATCTGAGCCGGTGGCACCTTCCTCATGCTTACCGCAAGGCGTTGACCGTGGCAGAAACAGGACATTCATGCATCAAAGCGGCAAGTGTTCAAAGATCAAGGACATCGAAGTGACACTCGCAAAGTAGGGAGGTAGGCAATCGAAAGTCACATGCAACCCGTCGTCACCCACCGCAACAAGCACAAAGTCTTGGCAGCACTCGCTCGAGCGTTATATATTACTGTTCAACAATTTTGGTTCGACAATCGAGCACAAATCAATAGCAACGAGAATGCCGAGGCCCTTCACTTCGGTGTAGAGTACTTGATAGGCGAGTAGTAGGGTTCTCTGACTGTACTTGGTGAGTGTTCGGTTGTCTTTTTCGATTTTTGGCTGTGTTGGTGCTGTTAGAAGACCTGCTGCGTGGATGTCGCGATAGTGCATGTTTTAATGGTCAATTTATCGCATCCGGTCTACTTTTTGCGGTCTGCGTTGGAACGGAACTTTTACATGAGGGGACGAAGATCACAGAAGCACATGGCAGGAACGAAATCAGTTTCATCAGCCTATGGGGTGCTAGCTAGTTCACCGTCGCCTGTGAGAGGTCTTGGATGATGTTGGCACCATCGAACAAGCCTCCATTTCCTGCGATGGCACGGCAAAGCGACTTGCCACGCTCAATGACGTTGTTGTCGCACTCCAGATTCGACTGCTCGACGCAGGACAGAGAACCGCCGCCTTAATAGGGTCAGTCGTAAGGAATAAACGAAAGGCGCTCCAACACTCACATGCATTGCCACCTGGCACACACCTTCCGGTTTGACCGTTCGAGGCAGTGCATGTATCCTGCTTCAGCGATGTATTCGCCACACAGCATTGACCTGAGGGCGTTGGGCGATTGCCATTCTGAGGTGCTCGAGGCAGCACGACTGCGCTGGTGAGGGTGAGGAGGGTTGCGATGATGGCGATTGAGAACTTCATGTTGACGGCAGTGCTTGATGAGAGCTTGTTGGGTTTCACGGCGAAATAGGAGGGCTGATGAACTGATCCGGACCTGCGGAAAGGAAATGGAAGTTGTGTTTCTTTTATGATCGGAGCACTGCTCTGGTGAAAGAAACCCGATCTGTCGTGACCCAGCGGCTTTATATACAACGCACGATGCCGTTGAAGCATGGAGTGCCCTTCGGGTCTTCCTGCCGTCATACCCAGACGAGACAGGGGCGTCATCATTGTGGGCAGCTCGAGGCTACGAAGACAAGGCAAAGACCCATCTGCGGCGACACGTGAGGCAACAACATGTCTCGCCCTTGTTTTCGAGTGCTCTTCGCTGCGCTTGGTGCCGCACTTGAAACGTTTCAACGGTCTCGTATGTGTGCCCACAATTCTGCCGGCTCTCGGCGAGCAGCTCACGTGACGTCGCTTATTACGTGTCGATTCAAGTTGTCAAACACAGCTCCAGGAGAGGCTCTTCGGACGTCGTCCGAAACTTCGGCTGCCACCTCCTCAAGCAGAGGGAGACATATTGATAACGCCAAATGCACACTTTACATCCTCGTCGACGCGCCTTGTCACTTGCACGGACGTGTCATCGTGTTGTACGAGCTTCGCTAAAGCTTGAGCCCGCTTGGCCCGCCTGACGGAGTCCTGGGTGTCAGCACTTTGTATTGCGCACTGCGGGCGTGGCTGGCCGACGAGAGCTTCGCGCACTCGAGTTCACCCGTCATCGGAAGCAGCGTACCAGCATATAGGTGCGGCGGAAGTGCGATCTCCAATATGACCGATCTTTGCGGCTTGTTCGGAATACCTTCTGCGCACCGCACCGCCTTCATTGGGTAGGTGTAGCAATAGAAACTAATGCGAAATATCAGGCAGGCGATGGTGAGCGCACATAAGCGATCCCCTTTTGTCGACATGCCCAACCACCGGCTGGTCTAGGGTCGGCGGTGAGACTCACCAGCTTACTATGTGCTGGTAAGTAACTACGAATCGCACTATCTAGGTAAGCTCGACTTCACATCCTGAACGCTCATCACAATGCCTGCAACCCAGCTTGACGTCCTTTACGACACTGTTATGTGCTTTCGGGACTCCCGTGACATATCACTATTGCATCTCAAGACATTGGTCATCCGTCCACTGCTCAAACTTTTCTCGTGGTTCATCTCAGTCCACGATGGGCCGCTTCCTCCTACGACGCAACAAGGCGATTGGAACCCCAAGGGCACCTAATAATACAGTCCAACAGCACACACCAGCGGAAAACGCCTACGCCGCAGCTCTTGGCATCGACCCAGAGAAAGGAACCACATCATTCGACGAACGCATTCGGAAAGAGTACCGCTTCCACACCCTCCAGTACTGGTTCGTCGCCTCACTTGCCAATGGCATGCTTTGGACACAAATAGTCATCGGCGCCGCGTTAACAGCTCTGGGCGCAACACACTCGCACAATGCGCAAACAGCGACTATCTACCTGGGAGCAGCCACCACAGTAATATCGGGATTTCTAACGTACTTCAAATCCCGCAACCAGCCGAACAGATCAAGGCAGTTCAGGGAAGCACTGAGGAAGGTGAGGAATCTGATCGACGACAATGCGAACGATCTGGTCGGGATGAGTCCAGAGGAGGCAAGGGAGGTCGCGAAGGGTATCGTGAAGCAGTATAACGAGGCTCTGGCGGAGGCGAGTGCCAATTACCCGGATTTGTGGATTACTTTGGGCGACCTGAAGAGGTTCATGCCGAAGAATCCAGAAGAGGACGCGCAGAATAAAGTCAACGATAAGGACGAGGAGAGACTCGAGCCCGCCAAGTTGGACGGAGTCCTAGCTAGATCGCCCTCGATGCCACGGTCATCAGTATCAACATCGCTACCCGAGAAGCAGCTTGAGGAGCCTGTGCAAGACGCCGAGGCAACGATGCACCAACTGCAACAAGACGTTCATTCAGGTAGGAATGGCGCAGAGACCACAGATCAGACATCGGACGCGAATGCGCCGCCATCATCATTCGAGAGGCCTTCCCGGATGCGATACTCGATCTCCAGTCGCGACCGTTCCGCAAACAACACCTAGCATATCATATTGTCTTCTCGACCTTCCGACAGATCAAAGCACAATCTCAAGCCTTCTCTACCAAGCTCGTCCACCAGTCCGCCAGCGCCTGCGGAGCACTAACATTCAACACATGGTCTTCCTTTATACTCGTCACATCGACTTTGCATCCCGCCTTCTCGAACATTTCAATTTCCGCCCTCTGAGTCTTCGCAGGAATGCACTTGTCGTCCTCGCAGACCAGATACGAGATGGGTACATGCTTCCAACCCTCGTAATGCAATTCGTTGCTGAAACTGACAGCCGAATGGCGGGGGAACTTGGTTTCCCAGGGCTTGCGCTCTTCTTCGGTCATGTTGCTGCCACAGATCCGCATCATTCTGGGGTAGTCGAGATGGTACATCCAGCCGTTTTCCTGTGGAAGTGGGTCAGTATGAAAGCTCACAAATGCAGTGTGCGCTGGAGTAAGACAGGCAGACACTAAACGCTCGCAGCTGGAGCACCTACATCAACGCCAAAATGCATCTTATCCTCCTCCGGCGCGCCATCCAACGCCGTCGCAGCAGCGTTGCCAAGCTCAGGCACCAACACCGTCATGTAAGCGACTCTGATGACGCCACCTTTCTCGCCCTTTGATTCTCGATCAGACTTGATGAGGCCCTTCTCCTTTGCGAGGCCCAGGGCTTCAGTGGCAGGCACGCCTCCGTACGAATGCGCGATCAGGACTACGTCCTTGCCTTGCTCGACGACTAAGCGTTGTAATTGCTCAATGATGAAATTGGCATCGTCGTACATGGTGGGAGGTGGGCCAGGGCGGCCTTTGTCGGTGTCCTCGCCGACGGTTGGGAGATGTGGGAGCACGAGGTCGACATGTTTGGGAAGCAGCTCCAAGGTTGGGTCATAGAACCTCGGGAGGGCGAAAGAGCCTGTGACGAGGAGCAGCGTTGGCTGTGTTGTGCCGACGGACCCCATACCAGCGTGCTGTGTCTGTTGGAATGCTGTTAGTCGAGCCGGGAGTATTCTCTTCTGTGGTCTCGCTGCCTGGATGTGATGGCTTGTAGCAATGTACTCAGAAGAGCTTCCTGTGTGACTTTATATCTTCGAGGAGTTCGTCGTTCAATATCACTGTGCTCGCTGGAAGCATAGCTCTCGTGTGGAGCTTTCTGACATTCTGACATTCTGGTAGCGGAAGCTGGATTGTGGGGGGCCCCTAAGTCGCCCTTCGGCCGAGGCACGGACAAGCCATTTTCTACATCAGATTTCAGTGTTGCGAGCAATCAGGCAATGTCTGCACCAGTGGCGCGCGACCGTTGCGGTGATCGAAAGAGGCAACGTTGCCAGTCGGCACCGACTTGCTTTGAAATGCTCGAAGGCCTGATACCACTGAGTGACCGGAAACCACGTGCCAAGGCCGAGCATTGACTCCTCCCTTGAAACTTTGAGCTTTATCAAGATAGGTGTTCTGTCCTACCACATCGCATCGGTCGAACACTGCAAGGCCGGAAGTCATGTCGAAAGCTTTCCATTGAGTGCAGCCTCACTCGCATTGCTGACAAGTCGTTGCGTCGGCTCGAAGATCGCGTTTCTTTCCCTTCCGAAGCCATGGCTAGCGATCTCTGCCGGGACCCAGGCCTACCGGTCGACAATCCAACTCCCTCGTATTGGCAGCAACCAGCTAACACAACATTCTCATCGAACAGTAAATCACCACCAGCCCAAGCTGTTGGGCGAGACATTGTGATCATTGGGTCCGGCATTACAGCCGCAAGCGTAGCCTGGCATCTTCTGACGCAGTCACCTGAACTCAACGTCACGATCGTCGAAGCGAGAGGAGTATGTTCGGGAGCGACAGGTCGAAACGGTGGGCGCATCAATGCTACCGCAGTACAGGACTTTGACAAGTATACCAAGATCTTTGGACGGGACCACGCCATGCAGATCGTTCGTTTCGAGCTAGCTCACTGGCGGGAGATGTGGGAGCTCGTGAGAAGCATTGGACCTGAGCTGATAGAGAAGTCAGAATACCGATATATCAGCGCTTTACTAGCAGTCTTTGAAGATGATCAGCTGAACGAGTTGCGAAGAATGCTGATTTCATTCGAAACGTCGTTTCCGGATGTGCGAAACAAATGGAGGATAGTTGAGAAGCAAGAAATGAGAACGACTTACGGTATTGGTAACGCTGTAGGTGGGCTGCTCGGAATGGCAGGGGCCGCATGGCCATACAGAATGGTGACAGGCATCTTTGAGCATCTCAAGAACAAATTTCCGTCACGGTTCTGGATCCACGAGAATGCTCCGGTGTTTACTGTTCGTCGTGATGACAGCCAGACGCCTCCGTATACACTCGGTACTGCCTATGGCGCGATTCGTGCAAAGCATGTTATTCATTGCACGGAAGGACATACAGCGCACCTCGTGCCCAAACTCGGGGGCATTTTGGTGCCTCGCAGAGGCCAAATGACTGTCCAAAATCCTGGCAAAGACTTTCCTAAGCACAAGCTCCAGTCATGGTCATTCTACATGCAAGGTGTCTTCGATTACAGCACTGCCAATGCGAAGACTGGAGAAATCTTCATCGGAGGCGGCGAACCGGAGAATAGAAAGTACTCAGCTGGTGTGTCTTCGGATGCTGAGAATGAGCTGGGGGCACTAGCACATCTTGATGGCGTCCTGCCGACGGCACTTGGGATTCAGAATTGGGGCAGCGACCAAATCGGCAAGCCACGAGTCAAAGCCGCCTGGACAGGTATCATGGGATTCTCGCTTGATCATGCGCCATTCGTTGGACCGCTTCCAGAGGCCTTGCTGGATCGCCCGCTTGGAACAAGCGACTCACGGGAATGGATCTCCGCAGGCTATGGGGGTTATGGAATGGTCAATGCGTTTTTGTGTGGAAAAGCGCTGGCTATGATGGTCCTTGGCAAGAACGATCAGGTCGACTTACCTCGGCCATACTTCTTGACAGAGCAGCGCGCAGGAGCCTTGCTTAAGGAGCTCAAGAGAGTCCAGGGCTCGAATGAGGAGCACATCAGAGCATTACTCTGATGTACTGCACCGATCAATGTCCCATGCGCTCGATCATGTGCAAGTTCGAGCCACATACAGTGTCATTGTTTCCGCGGGCCCGTAAGAACACGATCTGTGGTCACAATGCGAACTGGCAAGTATCACAAAGTCACACTGTGGTCGAAGGACGATTGAAGACACTCACCGCCGCCATAGTCGCCTACAGAGGAAACGCAATGCCGGCACTTCAGCAATCCGGCGGCGCGTGCCGTTGGATCGCAAAGTATTGGATCTCATGGTCGCGCTACTGCACGGAACCATCAAATGTACCTCGCCTCTGCACGCCAAGACTACAAAATGCAGATCATCGCCGGATCAAGAGTGGACGATGTGCCAAAGTTCACAGAACTGAAGCACTGTACACGAGATCTGGCTGCGCTGTTTGACGACGATCGTGTAACTACTAGCAGCGAGAGGACTGATGCTTAAATGATGGGGTAGGAGATCGAATTTACAGTTAAGGAACAGGAGTTCGTCCCCGTTGAGCGATCTGCCATGCAAGGCATGCTACTGCAACCTCACCCGCATCCTAGCGTGCGGAAGTGTCACAGGATCTGCCTATGGCATACTCCCCACCGGAATTGAGCCGAGGCGGCCGCGTTGGTCGGGTGGCTCTACTCGATGGACGAAGATGTGTTCATAACTGGCACCTATCCGGCTTCTGACGGACCTTGCTTATTTGACCTGTCTTCCTAAAGCCCCTTCCCAGTGACAGGAACTCCAGCATGACGACCGAGGAGATAGTCCCAGGAGACGTTGAAGACGGTGACTCTGCTTATGGCGATGACCTATCGACTTGGACACAATCGCTTCGCTCATCTGTGCTCGCTGGCGTCAAAGAGCATGGTCGCCAATATCACAGCTATCAATCAAGCACGAATTACTTCATGCCGGAAGACCAGGACGAGCAAGAACGACTCGAGCTACAACACCACGCTTTTCTTCTGACGCTGAATAATGAACTCCAGGCTGCGCCAATAGATCCTAAAGACATTAAAGAAGTCTTGGACCTAGGAACCGGCCCAGGCCATTGGGCAATCGACTTTGCCGACGCCCACCCGAGCGCCAATGTGACCGGTACAGACCTAAGCGCTGTCCAGCCGACCCTGACGCCTCCGAACTGTCGCTTCATTGTCGACGACTTCACCAAAGAGTGGCTGCATCCGCAGAAGTTCAGCTTTATCCACGGCCGGATGTTGAACTTGAGCTTCGATGAGCCACCCGGCTTCTTCAAAAAGGCCTTTGACGCGTTAGAGCCCGGCGGGTGGTTTGAGATGCTAGACACGACTCTTCCGATAGAGAGCGATGACGGTACAATCCCTGAGGACAGCGCTGTGCAGCAATGGTGTACCGCCATGGCTAAGGCCATGAAAACCGTTGGTAAGGACTGGGACTGGTCGAAGCACTACGGGGAATATATGGAGCAGGTCGGCTTCACGAATGTGAGTGTGAAGTAATCTTGTTCGCACTGTATGATCGGAACGGTACTGATGAGATTGAGTCGAACAGGTCAGACAAACAACAATGAAATGGCCCATGAACGGCTGGCCGAAGGACGCGAAATACAAGATGCTTGGCAAAATCACATATGTGAACGTGCTTGCGGGCCTTGAGGCGTTTTCCTACCGACCTTTGGTACGTGTTCCAAGCCCTCTCCTTTCCTTCCTTGTTCATGACTGCTTGCTTTGGTTATAGCGACTGAGTCGTACCTGATATGATCGTGTACTGATCGCTCCTGCTCAGATGAATTTCCTTGGCTGGTCGAAGGACGAGGTGGACATACTTTTAGCACGAGCGCGGAAGGAAGCCAAGGACCATACTATTCATGCGTACTATCCACTGGTTGTTGCATACGGGCAGAAGCCCAAGGTCTGATGGACACCAACGCTACCATGTCAGTTCTGCAGTCGTGGAGGCTGGATAGTCAAGTCACTCTTATCAGTCGAGGAGCCATTGCAACGATCAGAGCTAGTTTTGTCCCTTCCTGAGCCAGACCGCAGTAGCGCACCTGCCTTCGAGAGCTCTTTCCATTATGCTGCCGCCAACAGCTGCCCAGGCTGTGCCTTCCCACGAGAAAGTCTCGACTCGTTCCTTCCAAGCTCTGAGTCTGGCAAGTGACGCCTGCACGACTACATCGAACGGGCCCGAGTCCAGACCTGGTGACCATCCTTGCGCCTTCTATCGGCCTTTGCGTAGCCTGGTCTGGCCTCATGGAACACAAACGACCTGGTGTTCTGGCCGCATTGACGGCCCTTCTCTGTTGACATAGCCCATCGGCCGCGCTCAGGATTCGTTCACTCCAGGAGAGCCCTCAGAAGCATAAGTACCTGGCTCCTTGCCCCCCCAGGAACGGATTTGCTCCTCATCCAAGGACCATCCTCAAAGCCTCCAAACCAATAAACCTCAAGTCCCAAAACGAAACCCAAAACCAAAACCAACCCAGACCACCTATCCAAGATGTCATCCTCCGGTACCAAAGCCCCCTCAAACACTCCCGAGAAGCGCCCAAGCAAGCTGTAATGGGCTGCTCAAACCCGAACCATCCAAGTCTCGTCTTCTCAGCGACGGAACTCCTGGTCACGAACACGATATGATCCGGACGATCGACGGTCGACCCCGATGGTGGTTGGTGCCGAAGCCTGAGAGGCAAAATGCCCGCTAGATCAGGAATATGATAAGATCAGCGTGGCGACGCTCCTTATCCAAATATCCGGAGGCGTCCAGTCGGCTGGTTCCGATAAGGTTGTCCTCAGATAGTTCAATGCATTGAACCAACCACTTACCTTGCCTATTACTCCGTAGGGAAAGGGCCGTCGTCTTGTGACCATTCAGCCACGTTCAAACTCATCAACTGCGCAGCCTACTTCACCAATCCCGGCCTCAGCCTCCACCCTCCTCGCACTCCAAAACCCCCTCCCATAACTAACCAGAACCTCCTCTCCCTTGGCTATCCCCTGCACAACATTGCTGTAACCACCTTTCCCTTTACCAGTCTTCTTCTCCTTCTTCGCCGGCTTAACGAACACCCCAACGTGTCTCTCAAGCACCCCCTTCCCAACCTTCACAAGCACATCCCCAAACTCCGCGTTCGGCCGCTCAGCCACGCCTCTGTAGTCGTTGATGAAGCGTGCTTCGTTTCCCATCTTCGCCGCATCGATGGCAAGGCCCAGATCGCGGTCGAGGGAGAGGTCGTAGTCTGATTTCACCTCCGCGGCGCTCTCACTTACGTGATCTCCCGTAGTGCCATGGACTAGACCCATATACAAGCAAACAAACTCCCCAGGAGCGTGAAGCCTTGTGGTGAACAAGCCGGCCTGACCACAGGCAGGGTGGGTGGGATCGCTGATGGGTGTGATACGAATGTTATTGTATGGCGTGCTTGGGGATGTCATAGTCGGGGTATTGGCCTCGAGAGACGGCGACTGAGTGACATTCGTGGATGAAAGAATGTTGCGTGGTAGTGATGGTCCAATTTGGGGTGTTGTGAGGTATGGTAGGGGAGAAGGCCACTTCTCTGGGATGGGTGCTGAATTCGTTGACTTTAATTTTGGCATGATATTGCATGCTCGAGAACAAGGGACCACATTGACGTCGGCGCACGGTGCATACTAGTACATCTGGACTCTGGCTTTCAACGTCGGCTACACAGATTTGCACAGCAGGAATCAATCTGAACCCAATTTGATCACACATTGCGAGGTGGAAAAGAAGTATGATGCTTGGCGGCAGCAACACTCAAAGTGAGACCGGTTGACAGCGATGATTTTTGTCAGCCGGTCTCACGTGGAGTCCCTATCAAGCCGGTTGACAGCTTGGGCACTCGCGGAAGGTGCCAGGCATAACACCTGCCTCTTGTGGCGTCGTTCAGGAGTATCGGTAGGATGGAGCGACCGCTACGTGCTCCTGCCATGGACAACTCCTGGAGGCCCAACGGGGCAGTCGCTGCTGCGAGTGCGGCAATATCAACCGGTCTTGCGTAGAGCTCTGGTCATCCGATCTCGCAAACACATTTCATGGAGGGGGGCGTCCTGGATTGTGCATGACAGGAAGCTACATCATCTGAGGTGCGGCTCCGGTGTCACCGACTGCTGAAGCTTTCTATCTAAATGGATTCTCCCGTGCACGACACAGATCATCTTTCGCTATCTGGCATGAGGAGCTCGCTGCACGAAGGCCGCAAAGGCGATCACAAGCCTCACAGCTCTTCCCTAAAGACCTGTGTCTTGTTCTCCATAACCCATCTCCACATGTTCATCGAGTGATTGACCCCAAACACAGGATCTGGATCAGTGTTGCGATACTGAAATGGCGTGTACAGAGACGATACCATATCCGTCGCGTTAGCCTCTCCAGATAATGCCATGTACCTCGACAGCGCAAGATCGTACGCCTCAATGCCGATTTGCATCGCTTCTTGGTCGTGGTTGCCTGTCCGGTCTCCCTCCATGCCCTTCAATTGCACGATCCACGAGCGCCAGATGATGGTGTAGAGTAGGATGGCGTATTCGATGCTGTGATCGACGAATTCACGCAGCTTCCGATCCTTGAAGTGGACATATCGCGCTGGGCCCGGCAGCATCTCCCAGAGGTATACCGCCAGCGCTTTCTCGGACAACACAGCATCCACCAGCCCTTCGTTGATGATAGCATTGAAGTCCGCCTTCAGAGCCGCGTCCGCACCGCCAATGAAGAAGTCTCGTGTCCAAGGCAGGTTCATGATCTGGTGATCGAGAGAGTAGTGCCCCAACAGAGTTCCCCGGGCTGAAAGCAATGCGATCTCTCGTAGGTTGCGAGCTGATTCGTAGTCGAGTCCCAGCTTGCGCTGCACCCAGTAGAAGAACAGATCTTCCTCTTTCTCGTTGGGTCGCTGCGCCCATCTGGCCAGCACTTCAACATTCATGTCGATCCAGAGCTCGTTTGCAGGGTACGGACCATGCCAGCCGCCACCACGTGGCCATGCAAGGACGCCCTGGAAGAGCTCATTGCCACGCAAGTCTCGCAAGCTCTTGGGACCATCATCGAGCACATTCTCGTCGAAGCCTTCGATGACGCCCTTCATGACGTAGTTTGGGATGGCACCCTTTCCTTCGTACTCCCGCTGGCATTGGATCTCGACCATAAAATCATGACTACCAATTCCGAGAGTAGGGTTGAAAGGCAGCGTCCTCCAGAAATCACCCGCCGTATGCTTGATGACCATGACCAGGCGCTTGTTCGGCTTGATCGCATCAGTCACTTGACGATAATAGTAAGGATCTGTGTGGAAGCCATCGAAACTCCACGTCCGGTAGAAGACCATCTTCTTGTGCTTATGGATCACGACCTCCTCCAAGATCTTCAGGAGCTGTATGTGGCTTTCAGTACCATTGGTGATCGGGCTTCTCCCGCGATGAAATGGCACGTCATGGGTATAGATCTCGCCCGTGCGAATGACCAAACCATCGAGATCTGGGAAGCGCTCAAAGACAGCGTCGAACATGTACTTCGTGATGGCGATCATCTCAGGTGAGTCTAAAGACCACCTTCCTTGATCGTCTTTCAGCATCGAGCTGTACTTCTTTATGAGTGACTTGGGCAGCACAAAGACGTCGGACCAGTACATTGCTTTCATTCCCGATTGATGAATGGCTTTGATCTCCTCATCAATCTCAGCAGCTCGCTGCTCGACCCAAGCGCGACCATCAGTGCCATTGGGGAAGATGTCGGAGTCAAAGCTGTCCCAGGTGATTGCAGTATGCGGAGGGCGCCCATCGTTCTTTACCATCACGTTGAAGCCAAGATCGCGTATCACTGCCGGATCCGAGTACTTCGTCTGTGTCAATCCTTCACCTGGGTTGTTGTGCACCATGCTCGCGCGCCATTTGAGCGCCTTGCTACCTTCTGGTACCAGCGGGATCGGCCCGTGCCGGGCGGCAACCTCGAGCCTCGTATCACCGGCGTGGAAGAATGATCCCAAATTCCCGATGCCTAACGCATCGGACGACAGAGCTGCCAGCAGCCCTACGAAAGATATCAGCAGACGCATGACAGCTCGTCAGATCCATTGCAAGTCGACACCATATGCCAAGGCAACACAAAAGACAGGGAAGACGATTCGATGATGCCAACCAGAGAACCTCCCGTCCGAATCAGGCTAGCGTGAAATTGTAGACATCACGACTGCAGGAGTGTTTACCATACAAAACTACACCCGGCCGCCCCTACCGCATCTCGCACTGCCCCAAGCTTCCCCTGTGTCAAAAGCGGGGCAGTAGCACACCGCCCAAGATGGACGTATTTTCAGTGTCGGGGCGCCGATGCGAAGGCGAAGAATCGAAGGTTGGCGACCAGGCGCCGCCGGATGAACAGATAGAACCTGTTTTGGGAAAGAGAGCTTCCAAATCGGGAACGTTGCGTTCAACTTCACACGTACTCAGGCGGACTTCCCTTCTCACGATCTCATTAGCATAGGAGCGCCTACGAAGTACGTGTCCACAGTCGTGCTGGGGGCTCAGCAACTGTGGTGCCAACGATATGTGCAGTTTTATGGTGAATGCAGATGCCACTCGCACCGTGATGTCGTTTACGAGCGGACGCGGCTACCAGTACAACATGTCACGCAAGCAATGATGATGCAAATAGACAGTGGTCGAGGTAATTATTTCTCCATTCCTGATTCTATGTCTCAGCAACTGCCCGTTTTGCTCGCTGTTCGTTGCTGACGCTTTGGATCTGCACTGCTATGTTCATCACGGCGTGCTGTACTGGCGCTTTCGACCGCCTAAATGCCTTGGCACTTCCCTCTGACACACCCGAGCTCTCGTGGCCTTTGGCTTCGCCTTCTTGCTCACGAGACTGGCTGGCTTCGACGGCGCTTTCTCCGAGCCGACTCTCCATGTCATGTTCTCGAAGACGCGTCTTTTTCTCCCGACTCCTGCGGCGCCGTTCGTCCCTCGCCTTGACCTTCTGGCGTTGGCCGAGGTCATGTTTCGTGACCATTGTTGGCTGACTGCACTCCACTTCTAGATCGTGTATGTTGTGCTCGCACCTATGTCCGACCCTGACTTCCAAACATGGCGTTGTGAAGGCCGTGGCCTTTCTGCACCATTCGCTCAGTAGGGACCTCTCACCTCCGTCTTCAGAGTGTACTTGCTGGTAGCCTCTTGGACGTACGAGATCAGAGACTCGTGGACATGCTGCCAACCCCGCTCTGCTCTCTCCTTCGAATCATCGACTTCCGGGATCCAGTTGCACAGGAATACCAGATTCTTCTGGATGTCCAGGGCCTCAGCGATGCCAGTCAGTGCGCTGTGGTGCAGCTTGTTGAAGAAAGCACCGCCGAGATTGAGGTATTGTTGCTTCATCCACGATTCATTCTTCATGTCGAAGACCAGCTGGTGAAAGCATGCTGCATCGACTTGAAGGTCGGCGCAACATTTCTCGATAGTGTAGACTAGATCACACAGATCGAACCGCTCTCTCATCATGAGCATCATGACGAAGTTTGAGGCGTCAGCAGCAGCCTGAGTCGTTGCATGCGTGCGACGATTAGCGAAGACTTCCAGCTCGCCATAATGGTTGTCGTAGCTGAAGACAGGGTCAATCCGCGGGAGAAACCCAGAATCGAGGCTTAGTTGACCTAGGGTCTTTGCCAAGAAGTCCTCATATTTGACTTTGACAAGGGCAATTTCCTCTTGCGGGTTCTCCTTGGTCTCTACCGACAGCTTGATGTTACCGAGCTGAGCGGCCAGTTGATCGATGCTAGACGATGCAACATATTTCGACACAGCCCGAGAAGGAAGATTGGCCGCAGCCCCGATCGATCGGAGCATCAGCTCAAGGGGCATGGGTTGCCGTTGGATAGGTCGAGGGATCTGGCAATTGGCCGACCAGTGAAAGACGAGACTACGAGGCTTTGATGTGCCTCTGATGGTGGTTCGGTACGAGTGGCGACAGAATCAATGGCGGGATTGTTCTGAGAAGGAACCATGACCGTGCCGTGTTCTTGGACGTTCTCGATTGAAGGGAGTTGGCCGTAGCCCGTATCGTATGTTGCAGTATACAGTGTCCAAGCGTCTGCCTCGGACATGGCGGGTTCCCCTGATGTTGAAGCAGCACCTGATATGTGACTAGGATTGCTCTGGCCAGCCAGCAGCGCTTCGGCTTGCTCGTGGTTGGCAACGTACCCATATCCGCTTCTGATGAAGTCATCAAGATCGTGTGTCCACTCAGCAAAGCTTTCGTTGTAATGGTAGGCAGCCATGGTTTCGGTGTCGATGATGAGGTTGGCGACGAGAAGGACTGGTGACAGGAAGGACTGGTAACGAGCAGTGTTATTGACGAGAAGTATCGAGTTGAGGATGGTCACCAGAATGAGAAGAGCTTGTGGAAGTGGTGCGGGATATATCACTTTCCACAAGGCGACTTGCCAGCCCAGCGAAGGCAACGAGGGCACAAACAGCCGTCAGAGTGATACGCAACAAGCAAGGCGGTACTGCCTCGTTCGAACAAAGAAATCCAAGGCGCCCGAAAAGAAGCATCAAGGCAACGTTCGAAGGCGATTGTTGTTGGTGACATGCCCGTACACGGAGCATTGTTGGTGACGGTGACAAAGGTGTGTGTGTGTGTGTGTGATGGTGGAACCGGCTGTGGATCGCCCTGACATGGCGGCGCTGCCTCGTTGGAACAAAGAGATCCGAGGGCGTCCAAAATAGGCATCGAGGTAACGGTCGAGCACGGTGTCTGTTGGTGACATGAGAGCACTGTCGATGATGGTGACAAAGAGTGTATTGCGGTGGTCTAGGCAGGCTGTAGTAAGACTATGGACCAACGTACATGGCCTCGAACTCTCCAGGATGGTTGGAGAAGTTTGTGTGGATTGCATGTCGTGTCGTGGTACCTTCGCCAATCTGTGATTTTCATGCGGGCGACAGCGTCAAACACTGAGCTCTTTCCGACACTCTGTTCACCCGCAATGACGACCTCGACTGTTTCGTTCGGCAGGCGTGGAGGCGAGTGCTCCGAATCCTGGCTGAGGGCGTCACTGCCACTGTCTGTGCGCATTCCTGCGACAGGCAAGCCTACCGGGAGGATCGCGCTCCACGGATCAGAGTTGTTGTCGAGATCTGGAACCCCACTCATGAATATGGCGATGACATCGGAGGCAGCCTCCACTGGTTGGAAGTGTCTGACTTGACGTCCGCGCGTCTAAGTGTCTGCTGCCTCAGACCGTTGATGCGACCATTGGCGTATTTCTGTAGCCGTTGCAGACAACCCAGACGATCAAGCATATTCACGTCGCCGTAAGTTTTCCTGGCACCCAGCTGCTTGTGCCTACCAATTCAATTCGCCCTGCTCGCACGAGACCGGCCGGCATCGATGGGGCTCTCAGTGAGCTCACTCCGCATGTTGCGTTCAAGAAGGCGTCGCGATCTGATGGGTTTCGAAACGTTGAACTGCATGAAGCCAGCTAGGCTGCGGTAGACGGCGATTGTCATGCTATCGATGCCAGTCGCTGCTGCATGTGATCGAGCAATGTTGGACTAGTCCGCAAAGCGCGTGGTGGGGAAGTTGCTCGCTGAGCAGACAAACCCCCCGATCGCATGGACGCATCTGTGTATATATATAGTTGGGCGAGTTTACCGTCATCCCGAGACAGTGGACGTGTAAGTAGCGAGTCCAAAGAAGCTCCAAGATGTTGCATCTCGGATGTTCCCGATCAATGTGTTGCAAGAATTCGGCTTGGTGGATGAAGCCCAACCGTCGTCTCAAGCATTGTACCGGGGCCGTGATCCCAACAGTGGACGTGCTGAGGGATGCGCAGTTTCAATGGTGTGAATAGAATAGTCCAGAAGACCACGGGATGACTGAAGAACAACGATCGCTGAATCTCTTCGGCCACTACGCCCACCCTTGCCTAGGCCTTTACGAGGGCAGGCTGAGTGTCGCTGTGACTGCTGACAATGCGGTCGTCGTCAAGGGCGGCGAGTATCCAGATGTGGCTGAGACTGCCAAAGCGTGCTGTGCCGAAGACTTGGTCGTATTGCGGTGCGGTGTAGCTTCTGTCGTGATTCTCTGTTGGGAGCTCGTCGTTTCAGACATGAGATCAAGGACTCTGCCCCAGGTTTCGGCGCTCTGCTTCTTGATGATTTGCGATCGTCCGGTGAGGAATCTCAAGAGAACATCTTTTGATCGCAGCCGACGCTCCCATGCTGATATCAGCAGCAGTTGTATAGATAGACATGTTGAGGAGGTGAATGTTGTAGTTTGGGATTGTGATGAGACTGTTCAGTGTCTGTCGGGTGACCGCAGCCATGGCAGATGCGTGTTGTTCGAAGCCGCTGGAAATGCCGGCCACTGTGCGATCGAGCGTGGCTCTGTCGTCTAGTAGTGCGTCGCATTCCGTGGAACCGACGGGGTCTGTACCAATGATGAGAGTAACATCGACCTCAGCACCTCTCTGAATGCCCTGCCGTAATCGCTTAGCCAGGAGGCGGCGGAACGCCTAACGGACCTGAAGCAGGCCGGCTCGAGCTTGTTGGCGGCATCGATGACGGGAAGCAATGCCTGCACGGTCTTGTAGGTAGGGTGATTGTTCTGAACATACTTCAGAAGCTCATCAGAACAAGAGGGGCCAGACCGTAGCGAAGGTGGCCTTTGCTGCTCGACTGCTGACGTGTCTGAGCTGTTGGGAAAGGTACGCCATCTCGTAGCGTAGACGACTCAGGAGAAGCTGAGCTGAGAGGCCGAGGTTGCTGAGCAGCTCGTCGATCGCTACCCGAATTTTGTCGGAAGCTTGTCGCTGGCTTGAGAGTGTTGTGCGGTCCCACGCTTACGGCGAGGAGTGCAAGCAGCCGAGGTGCCTTGCCGAGCTCGCTCTGATTGACCCACTTCCGATACGCCTTGCCTCTCGTGCTCGGCCGACGTGACTGCCGGAGCGTTGACATCGCTGTGGTTGGCGGTAAGACGTTGCAATCTGCCCGCGAGGACCCAAAGAGCGCAGTAGGGTGGTGCATGCTGATCAGCAATAACAGCAGGCTGTGCAACAGGATGTCAGCGTGCGGAAGCAGCACATGCCGAGAAACCAGCTTGAAGTCCAGGGACCAGCAGAGAACAGCGTGAAAGACCGATCTCGACAGGAGACCAGAAAGAACCGAAGACGGGTCGCTAGGTGCGTGAGGAACTTTGTGCACACCGTTGACTTGATAGGAAAATCGAAGTCGGCCACAGATCGAATTGGGATTGGTAGGCCTTCAAGAGTCGTTGTAGTACAGGATATGGTGCTGTTGATTCGATGCTCGCTGGTGACGAGCTCGAGGGTGGCAAAGAATGATCCATGGTGAGAATTTGTTTTGGAGCGGCTAGCGAGGTAGTATGGGCGTTGTGAGAGCGCAATTCAGGGCATTTGTTGGATGTGAAGTACGCTTCTCAGCGAAGTACGCCACCACACAGAGCAGAGCGAAGCCAGCTTGAGCTTCTCATCAAATATCAAGCCAAGAGAGCCGCCCGAAGAACCAAGCCGTAGCCTAGCAACATGACGAGGTCGACGCCTGTGCACAATTGGGCAAGCGACGCTTAGTGCCCTAACCCGTGCAAATATGTGTATATATATATATGTCGTTTCGATACCTATGAATGACTCAGCAAGTATCTGAGAAGAGGGTATGAAGAGGCAAGTGGATGGGCACGTGAACGCATAGGAAGAGCCGAGCATGGGAAGGAGCAGGCAATAGGTTGACATACCTAGACGACCTGGCCACCTCGAGCGCAGCGCCTCCCAAGTTCTTGCCGCCAGGAGGAGCTGCGCTCGAGGTGTGAAAAAGGAGACGAAAAAGTTGGTGTTCAGCGGGGAGAAGATGTACCCATCATTTCGCCAAGTAATCCATGATTTTTGCTGGCCCTTTCCGGGATGCAAGTGAGCAAACATTTCAAAACGTGCGATTTCGATGCCGACCATGCAATTTCCGCATGTCCATCGACTAAGGAGATCGAGATTTGCTTGTTGAACCAACCACTTGGGATGCCATACCTCCTCCATCCCTATCTCGGTGCGTCAGAGCATGCTTCGCTGGCAGGCAAGATGTCATTTCCCGCATGCTGAGATGCGACCGGCTCATCCATGCCAGTTGGATCAATTCTGCGTGTTCTTAGCAATCAGCTGCACTGCATACAGGCTCTCCCGTCCTGCAGAAGAGTCGTCTACTGCCACGTCAGTCAAGCAATATGCTCATCGCGCAAATGTGGCTTTTTAGAACAGGACTTGCTCCGAAACATTGATCTGTTGAGGGCATAATGATACCTGAGTCTGTACAGAGTGTCAAGACAGTCGGTCCTGCCGCTGATACAGATACATATGCAACCAAAACGCAGTATGGTGCAGTCCTTCAGTGACCGCTGCCGGTGGGTCAGCCACTGCTGCTGCTCTCCCAATCAAATCTCACATGCTGAACTAGAGCACTCCACACGTGTGACAGACCAGCACCCACCAAATCGTACACGATGCCGAAAAGGCAGTGTTCACTGGATCCACAGGTACCACAGGTACCACAGGTTCCACAGGTTTAACAGGTTCAATAGGTTCAACAGGTTGAACACCCTTCGGTCTTTTCTAGAGTTCCTCACGTGGGTCCTTCTCGGGCTGCTGCACTTTGCAGTCGAAATGCTCATCCGTCGCAAGTTCCTTATCAAAGTCTTGCGTTCCAAGAGTGTCAACAATGGTGTCGTTCAAGAATTTCAGGCCGTCCATGGCTCTGCCATCACAAGCGCGCTCCAGAGTCAAGAATGCGAAATGGCCTCCAATAACGGGTCTCGCCATGAAGCGCTGGAACGAGCCACCATCTCCATTGGTCCAGTGCAGATCGGTCAGGGGGTCCGTGCTAGCGGTCTCGTTGACCCATAGTGCTTTCGACTGCAGGATCTCAGCGCGTACCCGCGGTGCCGTGACCGCCATTGCGAAGAACTCCCAATCGGTCTTGGTGTACCTATGCCGAGAATCGAGTGGAACTCCGTACTTCTGGCGGACTGTGTAATACCAATCTGACTGCATTTGGTAGATGTGCTTAGGCACAAAGCCGTCATGGTCACCTTTTATTGGGCTTGGCCTCGGCTTAAGAGGCTTCTGCTTGTCGCCGTGAATTACGACGGCGGGCGTATGATCGGTCCAGCCTGCTTCAGTCTTGCCATCGCTCTTACCATCGCCGAGATGGAAACACAGCAGGCTGTCGGCGTAGAGGTTGTACAAGATGGTCCAGGAGCCGTACCAATTGTAAGACAGCTTTGCATGGGTACCGTCCCTGGAGATACCGTACTCTTCCCATTTCTTAATGTAGGTCGAGGAGATATTCGTGTATATCTTCGCATCTACATCCTCGTCAATCATCTCAGCCAGTCCAGCCATTGCTTTGATTCCGATGATGCCCTTGAGGGCCAAATTGGTCTGTAGCTCGAGCCAACCAGCAAAGTCATCCGTGGACAGCTGATTCTCTGGTCGGAGCGAATAATTCACGAGATAGCCTGTCCACTGCTTCCACAATTTGTAACTTCTGGAGATCCACTGCTTGGCCTGATTCTTGCCGAGTTCGCCTCCCCGCCAAGGTGCGTCGATGAATTGCATGCCGCCGGCATCTCCCACATTGAGCGAGACGATTCCTTCTTGCTGTGGCGTGAATCCGAGATTTGTAGGAACGGAGACAGTCTGGAAGTTAGCCGGAGCAAGATGTGTGTCGTCTCGCATTGCATTGGCCAAGGCAAGGCCCATGATCAGGATGTTGCCGCACTCCTCGACTGGCATGTATTCGTCGTTACCGTCTGGATGCCCATCGGCGGTCGGGAACACGCCCAGGTCATGCATGGCGTATGTATTGGGGTACTGTCCGCTCAGCATGTGCTCGATGAGCGGCTCAAGCAGGTACGCCAACCATTTCGGTTGTGTGTAAAGGAAGAAAGGAAATGCCGGAAAGATGACGTCGATGGTCTGGAAGTCGCCGTTGGATGAGATTTCTTTGAGAAACAGGATCGGATCATCGGGAGTACCAGAAAACTCGACGGCCCCAAGCACTTGTCGAGCCGAGACTGCCACGATGTCCCTGTAGTCGTCAGAGCCCGATTCAAAAGCATCGTCGGCCAGTCTGTCGGAGTAGAGGGACGCTAGAATGCTGGCATGCTCGAAATCGGCATAGTGAAAGGTCAAAACATCAGCGTTACTGGGGAAGTAGGACTTCCAAAGAGGTCTCATCAAAGTCGAGCCCCGAGCTGACGCAAACCTGGCCACAGGGTCGCGAAGATGAGCGAATGTGAATGTGACCAACTGAGGGTTGCCGTTTCTGGTCTCGTTTGCTCGGAACCGTTCGCTGAATGCCAACACGGGCTCCTCATCCATAATGCCACGGAAGTGGGAGTCGATCTCGTTCTGTAAGGTACCCGTTCGCGAAAATCTCTGGCGAAGCTCAGCGGATGTGCCAACCTCATGGCGAACGTTTGCTGGACCTGTGAAGTACAGGGTGCCCCATTCGCCCCGGTCTTCAATTTCCTTGAGAACCTCCTCATGCTCCCTTCTCATGTATAGACTCTTGAGTGCGTGCTTGCCGTCGAGGTGGTGGTCGTCCAAGCCCCAGATCACGCTCTTTCCACGATCGCCACTGACCCACTGCCCGTTAACATCAGTGTAGATGTCAACATCGACTGGGCCAGACACGAAGATAGTGAAATATGAAGCTGGGATAGCCTGTCGCACCGTTGAGTCTGGTGTGATCGGGGACAAGAAGGACAGCGTAATCTCGATACTCTCGTTTGCGTATGAGGGCGAAGGCAGCACATACGACAAGTTGGTGGTCGAGGCGTCATACTGTGCTCCCTTGTAGATTGGATATGAAATCCGATACCTGCGCAAGTCAGCCTCCGAAGCCCAGGTCGGCTCGCCCGCTTACCCATCATCGTCGCCCCTCAACGAGTCCTGCGGCCGTCCCAAAAGAGGATATGACGTTCTGTCCCCAGGTACACTGGCCAGAACAGAGAAACCAACGCTCGCCCCGGTCCAAAATTGCGGCCAGTGCTCCCAGGGATCGTCTCTTGCATGTGAAAGCCAGGTGCTCAGATATGGGTTCCGGACCATCAACGGCAGCACTGGCGGAGTCAAGCGGCTGCAGTTGGCTACCTGTAGCACAACGGCAGCCAGTGCTACCAGGATCGAAGTCGACCGCATGGTAAGCGAGGGCGCGCTGCAGACGTCGTTGTTGTATTTGAAATCCCCGCAGTGGTCTGCAGATAGTGAGGATGGAGGACGTAGTGTATGCTAATGATGTTGCTGTCTTCCAAGAACATCAAAGGAACGAGTTCCAATAACTATACCAACACTAACATGCGCGAGCCAGCTCACGCGATATCATCAGATGACCGACAGAAACGCGGCTTGGTTCCTGAAAGTGTGCGCCAAAGCTGCAGCTCGACCTCGTGGACGATTGCATTCTGTGGGGAAGCTTTTGGGGCACGCCTTCCGCGGTCCACCTCGGAAGGCGCCCAGAAATTCCAAGGAAACAGGCCGAAAATGGATTGCCGACTTTCCAGCGTTCACCTCACATCTTTCATTATTGTCGAAGCAATGCATTCAAGCGTTGCGTCTCGAGGTATCATTCTTAGTATGGCACGTCCAGCCTCTCCTATGTACACCAGGCCTGAGACTCACCAACAATTTGCAGCTGCGAAGGGTTGTGCTCCAACGCTCCTTCCACCGCCTCTCTGGTTGTAGCGGCAGATTTGTCAGGAGCGTCAATCGCGGGATCTGGCTGGTGGTGCGTCCGACCTGCCTTTCACTCCTGCCATTTATCTGCCGCACACCACTTTCATGCCGAGATCATGTCCCGGCGCTTTTTCATCTGTGTCGACGTGACTTCGCAGCATTCGATTTATAACAAAGCTGTGCCTTTCCAAATCACATCCCTCTCCGTCTGGATCTAATTGTCTTCAGCTATCTGAATCGCTTCCGAACTCTACAGGAGCTAGTGTGTTGCATAAGCAATGAAACACGACTCCGCGGTCAAGTAGATGAGGACGTCATTGCAAATACCCAAAGCGGCAATATCGTAGGCTCACAGACCTCGCCGTGGGACGACGTCTTCTCGAATTATCGGAGACGGTGCTAACTGAATCCAAATGCTGTTGGACGCACGACGGTTGTAGTGAAGCGCCGGCCTGCCCAAGGGTAGGTAGCATTTGGTAAGCCGACGACATTGATGCTAATGGTGCGAGGCTATGTTCTCCTGTACCAAAGTGCATGCTTTTGCTTATACCCACGGTCTGTTGAACATGCTATATTAGGAGGTGCCGCCCATCTGTCTCCAAGAGAGTCAGCCAGACAGCACATCTTATCTGCATTACTGACTTCCAGAGCTCAACTCCCAACCCGCCAGTACTTCCAAAACCACCCAGCCCACGACCCATCGACACTGCACTCACAATGCCCGACCAGACCAAGTTCAACAAGCTCGCCTCGACCCGTGTCTCATCCTCGGCGGCTCCTCCGGCATAGGTTACGCCGTCGCCGAAGGTGCAATCGAGTCCAACGTTGCGTCCCTCATCATCTCTTCAAGCACCGATCCGAAAGTCCAAGACGGCATCTCCCGCCTTAGGGCAGCATACCCATCCAAGTCCACCCAGATCACTGGGCACACAACTCAACTCAACGACTCCGAAAATCTCGAAGCCAACATCATCGCCCTCCTCGAATCCGCTACCGAAGGCCGCACTAAACTCCTCGACCATGTCGTGCACACGGCTGGGGACTCCCTCAAACTGAGCCTAATCAAGGACACTACCACAGCCGATATTATCCAAGCCGGCATGGTGCGCTACTTCAGTGTCTTCATGCTCGCGAAGCATCTACCCAAGTACGTGAATCCGGGCGCGAAGAGCTCGCTTACTGTCACGACTGCCGTGATCGCCGAGAAGCCCAACAGAGAGTGGACTGTATATGGAGGCTACTATGCCGCGCTATTTGGACTGGTCAAGGGTGCGGCATTGGAGTTGGCGCCTCTTAGGGTTAATATGGTCAACCTCGGGTGGACTGACACCGAGCTCTGGTCTGGCATGTCTGATGAAAAACGCGAACAAACCCGGCAGTACATGGCACAGCACCTTCTCGGCAAGCGCGTTCCCAAACCCGAGGATGCAGCCGAGCAGTACCTGGCGTCCATGCGTGATGCGAACAGCACGGGCACATTATACGGAACGAACGGTGGTGAGCTGATAAACAGGTGAGGCAGAAAAGCTGCAATAGTCGAATCATAGATGATGTGCGCGGCTAGAAGGAGGGTCTCTCTCATTAGTACACAGAGCTATCGAAACATTTCATAACGTTCAATACAGTCGCGGCATCGACTTTCCCTTCTGCGTGTAGCCATCGGTATCAGAGGTATAGCCACCGGGTGAACACATCCAATCCGTAACAAAGACCCCTTGGGCTGCTATTGTAGGCGCCTTTGTTCGTCCATTACTAGATACTTTACTATGTCATGTACGGCAATCACAGCCAATACTATTCACACAAGACTATCGATCCGAGAAGCTCATTGTCAATCTGTGCCGATGGCTCGTTGGAAAAGCTCTGATATCCTTTCAGTATCAGATCCAGACCAGCGATCATCATTTTCACTTGTTGCTCCCGTGTCCCTGGTACAGGCTCATGCGGCTGTCGGCGATTGTACCATCCGACTACGCGTGCGCCGGTACGGATGGCAGCTCGAGACATCATGGACGGGCTGACCTTGCCGTACCTTCGACGAATCCAGACATGACGGCTCCAGCATTTCTCATGCGGCATTTGGCCATTGCCAATGTACGAATCCTTGAGCACAGTCCAATACCTTCTCCCCATCCATAGCCCAAACTACCGCTCAACCCCGAAATCCCCCCTTCTCACATAACACAACAATTCTGCGCCACTCGACTCACGACCTCGAAGTATCCCGGCTCCTCTGCTCCTCAACCTCCCCATTCGGCCCAGTCGGCGGCACGCCCAACTTCCTCCGCACGCCCGTGACCTTTATCTTCTGCTCGCCCTCCCCGTGCCACCACTTCAACATCTGCATACTCTCACCCTGCACATCCCTCAACTCAATCGCCCACTTCCCTCCACTGACCTCAACGTGTGTTTTCTCCGCCGGAAAGTGGAATTCGGGGAGGAAGACCTCGGTGCAGAGATCGTCCGTGCAGGGACGTTCGGTGGTCAGCGTGAAAGTGAAGATGCAATTGCGCAGGTCGAAGCCGTAGGAGAGGACATCGCCGACGGTCAAGTGGGGGGAGGGGCGGATGAAGGCTTCGGCAGCACGGAGGCCGGGAGACTTGGTGTTTGTGGACGAGTTGGTGGCGACCTGGCCGGCAGCTTCGGTTGCGGAGGAGGCGGAGATAGAGGTGCGGGTCTTGAGGTGTTGATTTAGGTTGTTGGGGTCGATGTAGGGGCGCCGCCATTGGTGTTGGTTTTATCGAGGGAGATGGTGGATTCGGACATGGATGGTGGTAGGACCGAGACGCGGCTGACGGGGACAGTGTCGTCTTCGCAGAAGATGGAGAGGTCTTCGCCGTTCCAGTTCTCGCCCCATTGGTGATTGTTGTGGCCGGCGTAGGTCCAGAGGGTGAAGCCGTTGGCGCCGCTGCCTTCGAGGGCGAAGTGGTTGGCGTCTAGAGCGGCGACTTGGCTGCTGAAGTCGCCGGTGCGGTAGGCGTAGCTGTCGTCCATGTCGTAGGGGATGCCGATTTCGGTGAAGAGGAAAGGATGTTGGCCTGTCATTTCGACGGCTTCTTTTTGGAGGTACGCGAGTTGGTCTCGGAGGCAGTTTCGGATGTTGGTCTCGCCTATTTTCACGGCGAAAGCTGGTGATGAGTATTTGCCGCGCATGAAGCCAACTATGTCGAAGTTCCAGAATTTGTTCCAGTGCTTGTTGAGCAACGTCACCCCATCGTAGTAGTGCGATGCATAGATCAACCGCTTGTCGTCGTCTTTGGTGTCTTTGATCTTCGGCGGTATCTCTAGCACTGGTCCCTCCATGAGAATGACAGCGTCCTTGTGAACCCCTCGGATAGCATCTCGGTATTTCCGGAAATGTTCCATGTAGTGGGTATTGGTGAAGAGATCGTAATCTGCCTTCTCTCCTGTTCTAGGTATCTTAGAGAAGTAGTTCGGTAGCAGCAGCTGATCCTGGCTTGGCTCCCAAACGCCTACCTGTGCCCATAAGCATTGACCGAGTTTCCAATTCAGGTCACGTTTCCAGCTGTACCGATCGTCAATGGCTGGATCGGCCCAGGCAGACGTGTCTTGAGGATCCACAAGCTCAGTTCCCGTCTTGTGAGGTCCGAAGCTTCCAAAGTCGTACACATCGATCTCAATTGCTCGCCCGGAGCCTGTGAGCAGGGACTGCCACGGTGTAGGCATCGTCCCCTTGCGCATCTTCAAGTCGTCTGGCAGGACGTTCAGATCTTCCCAGCCGACCAGGCCTCGATGAGGCTCGTTCAGGGTCTCCCACCCAATGACACAGACGTCCTCGAGGTCACCTGCCGCGTGGATGCCTTTGGCCAACTCGACGCAAGCGTCCACATAATGGTCAGTCAGATAGTCTTGTATGTTCTTGCCATCGATGATCGCATTTGGGGCAAAGTCTCGGCCGGCGAAGAAGAGGGTGAATGTTGTCTCCGTTGCCAGGCGAGTGTAATTGGTAGGCCACAGCATCTTCGGGAAGTCGGTGACGTCCGACCAGGTGTTGTGCACGACCGCAGCCTGTGTTGAGTGGAACTTCTCTGGATCGAGCCCACAGGCATGGAGAGTCCATAACGGGGAGCCCGAGCCTCCAGTAAAGCGCGACCAGACGTCCTGATGGGGATCCATAAAGACGTAGAAGCCATAGCTTTTGGCTATCCTCAGTATCTTGACGGTATGTGCAATGAAGTCGTGGTCGTATATGCCAGGTCCCTCATGTTCCAATGCCTCCCATGTGAAGATGTACCTGATGACATTGTAGCCCCATCTCTTTAGCCTGGCAAAATGTACATGTGCCTCCTCTTCATTATACGGTCGGTCAACAAATGAAACCTTAGGATCGAAGAAATTGTCCCGGTCGTGAGACGTCTGTATCGGATGGCGAGGCAGCTTGCAGCCAGCGTCAACGTTGATACCCCGGAAAGTAACTTCTCGGCCATCCGAGTCCCTCAGGCGTGTCCCATCGATGGTGATCGGCTTGTTCGCCATGTCCGGGTGTTGGCGGTAGAAGCTTCGGGTTACAAGGGCCTCAAGACATCGCTAAGAGGCGGTCTTATGGTGTTGTGTGACCACTGTTAGAGGTGTCTAGCACTTATGTAGGGACATCGACGAGCATCCAGCTCGCGTTCCGCTTCGATAAGGATGAGTGTACACCAGCATTCAATGAGGTCATGCGCATGCCGACACGTCTACCTAAGCCTCTCCTCTAAAGGCCCTAAATTCGTACCCCTGCATTTTCGGGGCGATCGAAGCACCCCGGCAGCCTGTTCCGGCCTCAACATGCGAACACCATGCGAGATGCAGCGTTCAATCGCACCAGCCACGTCGATAGCAGGAAGCAGGCAGGCTTTTCGCTAGACGGTCGATTGTGCAAGACCGAGCCTGGTGCTCCAAACGGAATGTGCAGCGGCCGTACCAGGCTCGGCCAGGATCTCCGTCGCGTGCAATTAGCGTGGCTGCCTCGTCTTGAGATCTAGAAGGCGACCACAATTTCTTTAGCAAACCTTCTCCCATTCAACACTGCCATGGTGGCGGCCAACAACACTCGTCATGCCGCCTAAATCGGCCCTCAAGTCCATCAAAGCACACATAGACAAGTCGGAATTCGCACAAGCCGTACAAGAAGCGAAAGATCTGGTCAAAGAAGACCCACAAAATCATACAGCATTTCTCTTCCTTGGCTTCGCCTACGAGAAGCAGAATGATCTCAACGCCGCTGAATCCGCTCTGGAGGCCGCTGCGTCCCTGAGACCACAAGATGTTCAAGCTTACAAGGGCCTCGTCACGCTCTATGAGAAGCAGGATCATGCCAAACTAGACAAATATCATCACGTCACACTTGTACTCGCTCAAATTTATGCCGATCAGGACGACCGGGAGCAGTGTCAAAACGTTGTAGACAAGTATGAGACGTTTGCAAAACGACATGGCTCACCCCCGCAGTATCGTCATGCTCTTGAGCTGATACTGCCATCATCACCACTGTATCCTACACTCGAAGGACGAGTGTTGAAGCCATCGCTGGCATATCAGCGAACACTGGAATCTGCAGAGGCCGAAGAAGAGGGATGGATCAAAAGTCAGGTGTCCGAGCGGAGAACCCGCATTGGTGCCAGAGTTGATCAAGTCACTCTCGAAGTCAAGCGCGAAGCCATCCCGAAATTCTTGATCGAGGACAAACTGACCGCACTCATCGACTGGACCCAAGACGATGATAGACGCCATGAACTTGAACAGAAACGGTTTCAACGAATGTATGACAATTTACTTGCACTACCAGCTCAAGAAAAGCCGACGCAGAGGGACAAAGTAGTCCAAGCCGCGAATGGGATCGTCATCATAAAGCAGCAGTACTGTCCTGGTTGGAAAGTGGCGCTGGAATGGGTCGATGCAGAAGATTTATTCGATTGGGATCCAAGTCTATTCCACGAATACATTGGATACTTCCCGGACGACGGTCTGAGTAAAGTGTTGAATGGCTTTCTTGCGAGCGATGCCTCGCCATTTCCGCAGCCAGAGCCAGAGAAGGACAGTGAAGCGGCACCAACAGTAAAGCTCTCGGAAGCCGAGCAAGTCATCATGATGAACGAAGGTCTCATCGATTGTTCAGACTCCGCATTTGCGCATCGGATCGTCGCCCATACTTATCTACATCTCGGTGAGTGGCAGGACGCTGTCACTTTAGCAGAGAAATCTCAGCAATTGTATCTGGATGCCCAAAACAAATATGCACTTGATATGCAAAACAGTCTTGATGGTGTTCGGCTGACCTTAGCCAACGCTCTTATCCACTACCAATCCCCACGGCATCACCAGAAGTCTATGGCCGTTTTCAAGGAGATTTTATTGAGGAAACCCAAACTCACCGCAGCTCTTCTTGGAGTCGGATTGATATACGAAGAGGACGAACAATACGCAGAAGCTACGAGCTTTCTGGAGCCAGCCCTCGAGAGAGACCCGCAAAACCTTCGCATACAGTCTGAGCTTGCATGGTGCAAAGCCAAAACTGGGAAATACTCTGACAGCCTTTCAATGTTGCAAGACGTCCTTACAGCTGCTCAAAATGATGCACCAGACGATAAGAAAATGTTGGCCGAACTACACTACCGTATCGGAGTTTGCAAATGGCACATCGACAGCTCGAACGCAGCACGGAAAGACCGCGACGGACCCTACAGCGATTTTGTTGCAGCCATTCAAGCAAACAATTCGTATGCTCCTGCTTGGACGCACCTAGGAGTCTACTTCCAAGACTACACCAAAAAGACATCCAAGAACAAAGAAAATGCCGAGCACGCCCTGCGAATGGCCTTCGAGCTCTCTGCGTCGGAGCTCACAGCAGCAGAACGACTGGCGAGCCAGTACGCAAACACCAGTCAGTGGGATCTGGTGGAACTTGTGGCGTCCAGGGTAATCGCCTCAGACTCCGCAAAAGTGTGGCCAGGATCCAAGAAGAAAGCCCCGAGCTGGCCACACGCCGCATTGGGCATCGCCAACATCAACAAGCAGCAGTACTCACAAAGTATCATCTCATTCCAAGCAGCGTTACGCATCAATCCAAGCGACTACCACTCGTGGGTGGGCCTGGGCGAAAGCTATCTGCATTCTGGCCGATATGTGTCTGCTGCGAGGGCTTTCTCGAAGGCTGAAAGCATCGATCATGGCCTTCCACCAGATCAGACATGGTTCGCAAAGTACATGCTCGCCAATGTGCAGAAGGAAGTGGGCGACTTCGATGCAGCGATTCTATCGTACGAGGGTGTTCTCGAGACAAAGGTCGACGAGCTTGGTATGCTGTTGGCGCTGTTACAGTCGTTCGCCGACAATGCGTGGGCCAAGATATCTCAGGGTCTGTATGAACAGGGCAGAGACTTAGCTCTTCGCGCCATCGACGTTGGCATGAACATCTCGGATCAGAAAACGGGCATCTTCAACCTCTGGAAGTCTGTTGCAGACGCTTGCTCAGCTTTGGCGCACGTCCACGCATTTGTCTACGCCGAAAAGGTCATGGATAAACTTGAATCGCTGCTCCAATGCAAAACCTCGAACGGTGAGCTCGAGCTCTTTGACGAGCACGACGGCTTGTCCATAGATTTCGTCGAGTCTCGAGCCTCAACAGCGCGAGGAGTTGTCTCCGATCAACTCCTCGTTGCAGCAATCCTAGCTCACAAGCGCGGAATACATGTAGCTTCTCACGATGTCCACGCACAAGCAGTATCCTGGTACAACCTAGGCTGGGCCGAATATCGGGCAGCCTCGTGCGCCGGCCCACTTCTACAGACAAAAGGCCAGAAGCCCAAGCGACTCCTCAGAGCTTCCATGCGGTGCTTCAAACATGCCATCGAGCTCGAGGCCAGCAACCCAGACTTCTGGAACGCACTCGGCGTCGTCACTATGACTCTCAGCCCGAAAGTCTCCCAGCACTCACTCGTCCGCAGCCTGAATCTGAACGACAACAGTCCTCGATCATGGACGAATCTTGGAGTCTTGTACCTGCTCAACAACGACACCGAGCTAGCAAATCAGGCATTCACAAGAGCACAGTCAGCAGATCCAGAGTATGCTGAGGCATGGCTCGGTCAAGGTCTCATCGCTGTCCTGACAGGTCATTCACACGACGCCCGGAACTTGTTCACACACGCCTTCGAGATCTCAGATGGTAGCCTCCACGCATCGCGTGGCCTGTACTCGACCTCGATCTTCGACTTCATCTCCACGCACGCAAGCAAAGCAAGCGATCTGGTTGGCCTCCTTCAGCCCCTTCTCGCTGTCCGACAATTGCATAACCTAGACCCAATCAACATCACTGTCACACACCTCATGGCGCTCTACGCCGAGCGCGTAGGCGACTTCAGCTCCGCGGAAAGCGCCCTCCGAGAAGTCTGCGACGTCATGGAAGCAGCATACGAAGAGTCAGAATCCGACGAGCACCTCTCTCGGTTCGTCCAAGCTAAAGCCGACCTCGCTCGTGTGCAACTCGGCACCCAGCAATTCGAGTCCGCGATCGAGAACGCCAGCGTCGTGCTGGACCTCACAGAGGAAGCCGACGACCCTTCTGGGCACGCCGCCGAAGCACGCGACCGCGCTCGCCTATCGGCGCATGTAACCACCGGCCTCGCGCAGAGTCACAGCGGCGTCGTCGACGCCTCCATCGCTTCCCTCCAAGCTGCACTCCAGGTCTGTCCCGATAACCCAGACATCATCTGCATGCTCGCGCAAGTGCTCTGGGCCAAGGGCGCCGGCAGCGCTGCTGAGAAGGAGGCGGCCCGGACACAATTGCTTAATGCTGTTTCCGCGCACCCGGGACATGTGCAGTCCGTCTGCCTGTTGGCGGTCGCGGGTCTTACAGAAAACGACACCGAGCTGCTAGCTGCGGTAGTCGACGACCTCGATGCGTTGCAGAAAGACAACGCCGTGTCGGACGCAGATCAGGCGCGCGTCAGTGAGCTGCTGGCCGCAATCCAGCTACAGAACATTGAATCCACGACCGCATACGACGCGACCCGGAAGCAACTGATGACGGCGCAAGCCACGGCGGATATCATGCTTGCGCCGTGGAAGCCGGCGGGGTGGCTGGAGCTGTATCGTGCGACAGCAACAAATGATGAAGATGATGAGTCGAGGTCGTTTGCAGGAGAGATGGCGGTGGGCAATGCACTGAGGGGCATGCCGCCTGGTGGGGACATGCGGGCGGAGGATGTGGCGAAGATTTTGCAGGCGTGGAAGGGAGCGAGCAGGTTGGGAGGATGCTCGCGCCTTGGTTGGATACTGAGGCAGATGCGTCGGAGCAGGAGGTTGACAATGGGCCGTAGATTGGCCCTGTTGGACCTGTTGGGAACGCGAGCGCCATCCGTGATCCGTTGTACACCAGTCGGCAGATCGACGCGATCTTGAGGACGATTCGCGGTATTGCTGATTTGCAGGGTTGGTAGTGACTGACGGTCAGCCTCGTCGTCCGACTGGCTTCACTATTGTCCAATTGCTAGGCGTATGGATGCTGGAAGACCACATCGACGGATCGGTATTCATGGTTCCGTCGGAAGTCGTAGGTGCCTTCTCGGCCCACACATACTTAGCTGCTCATTTCCCGCCCGATATAGCGAGCGTCGCTGCGACTCCCCACCCTGCTGCCTTCATCACGTCAACTTCCTGCTCTGACAGGCGGGTTTGTGCCTGTAACCCCCCGGATCAGCCCCTCCTTCCTCCCCCTCCGCCACGCACGATCCCAACTCTCGATCTTCCCGCCCAGAATCTTTACCGTCTGTGGATCCAACATGACCATCCCCCTCCTCACCAACGTGTTTGGCTGCAGGAGGATTTTGGCGCCAATGCTGATTCCCTCATTGTTATTTGTCGGGTCGTTTGTGATGAATAAGCGCGGAAAAGGATGTGTGTGCTCGAAGGCGCGGATCTGCGTGCCTGCTGCGTCGGCTAGGAGGAGTTGGTGGGGACCCTGGGAGCGTTTTGGTGTTGCTGCGCTGTTGGCGGGAGCAGTAGATGAGGCGGCTGTTGCTGCTGGCGTGGGCAAACCACGTGTGCCGATGGTAGGGGCGTGGCCGTTCGTAGCAGTACCAGTAGTTGACCCGTCATGCTCCCCATCGTCGTTCAGTCCAGGCACAGTCCTAATGACTTCTCGCCCTCTGACCTCCTCGCCGCGCTCGACTCGCTCGATCGCCTCCACTTGGCTCCATTTCGAGCTGCCGAGGTCGCGGATGTCGAGGACCTGGCACGGTACAGCGTGCGTCAAGCGAAACTCCTTCGTCGAGGTAGAAGAGGTACCTGGCGGAAGAGTCGTCGACGGTGACGCGAGTAGAGACGTGGTGATGTCTGAGGCGAGGATGCGGAAGTGTAGTGTGGATGTCAAAGCAGGCAACGGCGGCAGGGGCTGCCGAGTGCTGGAGAGGAAAGTCGTCAGATAGGCTGGAGCTGGCGTTAGGGAGTAGCGCGTTTGGAGGGCTGTGGTGAGCTGCGTTGAGAGGGCGGACATAGTGTTGATGCTATTGGTGCTAAGTGCCTCGAAAGAATCGGTAGCAGGGTGACAGAGGGGATGCCTCTACCTGTAAGTAGTTCAATGCCGGCTGTACCTCCTTCTCGAAACCTGTGAATCTGGCGCTGCAGTACACATGTTCGCGGCAGGCACGAGGCAAGCTGGATTCAGGTAGCTTCCATGGAAAGCCTGGTGTTTTTGAATTCACAGTAAGCTCCTCCCATCTTTATCGCATTCACCTCAAGCAGGAGCGAGTCTGAACTAAATTGTCCACATCACACGTTTTTCCACTCTTGGCGAAGCGCGCTAAGATGCTTGTTGCCTTATGTGTAAGTGGACGCCTTATTACAGGTCAGGTTGTCTACACGGCCGAGATGTTTACTAGAAGTGCGCCACATCTGACACTGTACGAAGATTACACTGTGGGTTCACAATACTGCGGTTAAAATAGGAACCGCCTGAGGAATTTACCAGATTTTGGTGAACATTTTCTCATGGGTTCAGCATAAGATATCTAGGCAGATATGCTTGCGAAGGGCGTTCTTGCCCATAAAGCCTTGGCCATCGACTGTTGACAAGGTGAGGCTGGCTCTCACGACCCAGAAAGCATCGCATACGAGAGCATCCTGATTTTAACGGCCTCTGGAGGGACCACCAGGGACCGCTAGAACTGCCTCCAACAGACAGCCGTATCTCGGGCTCTTGGCTACAGATGGTACCCATCTCGCTCCAGTATAGCCATGATCTTGAAGCATTCGTGAATCGTATGCCACATCCACTGCTCTGACTTCAAGCCTTGCAGGTCATGGAACTCCTAGTTCCTCGTCTCCCTCCTTGCATGATCCGTTCCATGATCCTGCCCCTGGTGATACGCATTGCTCATAAACTCCAGCTCCGCATCTGTCGCCCCAAAGTTCATATTCATGTTTGGATTGAACTGCATATTCGGATCCATCCCCGAGAACTGGTCGAAATGCATCAACTGATCCAGCGGATAAGTCGGATACTGATTCGGCCCACTCGTCTGAAACATTTGTCCACCGCCCCAATTCCCGCTGAAAGCAGGCTGGCTAACTCCACCCATCGCCGAGTCGTGGTTTTGGAGCTGCTCTTCATGGCCAGGCGGGTTCTGTGGGAGGTCGTTGATCTCTTGGCCGATCTTGCTGGCGGCGTCGTGCAGCATTCGGTTGCACATGCTCCATGCGCGGCGGGCAGAGAGGTTGTCTTCGCCGAGGGCGTGGAGCCAGCGGACGCCTTTCTTGGCGGCCTCGAGGATCGAGTGTGCTTCTTCGGGCATGTGGTGGACTCGAAAGGATAGTTCTAGCATCAGGACGGTTGTGGCTTGTACGAGCCAGTGCAGGATGTTCCACCATGGTCCGACCTTGATCAGGCCGACCGCGTTGGGCTCGTCTGGAATGAGACGCAACATATCTTTGGCGGCGTCGACACACATAGTGGCCGAATTGCGGTTGAAAGCGAGAGACTTGTTCGACTGGTGAGGGATTTTGCGGTCGAGACGGCACAGACATGGACGATGGGTCATCATCTTGCTGCTGTAGTAGGCGAAGCCGAGACTCAAGCGGTACTCGTAGAACTCGCGGTCGCGTTGGTTACGCTTTGGATCGAGAGATGGAGGCAGATTGCGACACCAGGCTTCGAGCGACTCGTCTCGGCCTTGAATAACGGCCTGAATGTCGGACCAGGTGCCCTCGATGGCTGTGGGATTGTACAGCTCTTGGAAGATGTTTTGTGTCAATCGCATTAACTGTACCAGATGCAGAAAGTACAACGAAGCATTCGGCTGGACTTGACTGGCCCATTGTAGATCACCATTCTTTTCCTTATTAGACGGCGACTGTCCTTCTGATGGAGTGCCTTTGCCCTTCGTGGTGGACCGTGATCGAGAAGCAGAGTTATTGCTGCTACCGCCATTACTCGGGGAGTGGGAGTTGGCAGCAGGTGCGCGGGATCGTTGCTGTGTCTCTTTGCTGAGGAGGCCGGCTCCCTCATCCGTATCAAACATATGCTCCTCCAATGGTACAGGAAGTGGCGTTGTGCAATGATCGTCCAATATGCAGTTGACACGGCCAGTCATAGAACATAATCGGTGCTCAAGTGAGTACAGCGCCCACCATACTCGATAACGAATCTCCTTCAGAGAGTTTTTCAGCTCAGTACTATCGTTCCGCATGTTCAGACCCAAAGCAGTTGCCCATCGAATCGCCAGACCAATCATATTCCAAGCGCGATTGATTTGGCTGATGCACATGAGATACAGAGAAATCAGACCGATGATTTGAATCGACTGCAAGTCTGGATGCTGAAAAAGCGTGTCGCTGGAAACTGATAACAGCCTCGCTCTTGTGAAATAAATGAGATGATCGCGTTCGTCGCCCTTCCACTCTGCTTGCGTCAGGTGTGAATACTTGGCTCCAATCGCGAAGATCATGTTGATGATTGCTAGCCATTTCTCTGGCGGTCTCTGGACCTGGCCAGAGACAAACTTGTTGAATTGGGTAGTCAGGTTCGCCTTACCGACTATTGGGAAGGTAGGATGAACGCGTGTCATGTATGCATTGAAGAGGTGACGAGCGACGTCCGGAGTAGGGTACTCGTACGGGTCGACCGCCTCGAAGGTGGTGACAGCGAAGTCATCGAGATGATACGAAGTGTCGCCGACCTTGTAGCCGGTCTCGGTCTCCTGGAGTGGTGCAGAGTCGTCTCCAGGGTTCTTCTTAGACCCAAACAGTGACTGGGCTTCGTCGCCAGCCTGATTCTCGTACTTCAGCCGCTGCAGCCAGGTAATCTCACTGTTCTTGCCCATAAAGCCCGTCCGCCTCGCCTCCTCTCTCGTAAAGTCTTCATCCGTTCGATCTAGCGCGCCAGTCGATCCAGCGTCGCCCGAAGCCTCAGACTCAGCACCTGACTCCTCGCCATCAGGCACCGGCTCAATGGACTGCAATGTCGAGTTTTGTAGGCTATTGAGATCATCGGCCTCATATGACGTCTCCTTCTCCAGCGTGCCTCTGATGAGCTTCGCATCAGCTTCACCGACCCGGGTGGCAAGATCTTTGAGCAGCTTCTCGTAGTCGGCCACCTTCTCGGTCATAGACCCAAACTGCTTCTTGACGCGATCACGTTTGCCATCGGCATAGTAGCACGCGATCTTGAAGTCCTGACAGTGTCTACACACCGGTCGTTCGCCACTGCATTTCGTCTTGCGATGCCGACATGGCTCACAGGCATGGTTCACTCGGTGTCTGCCGCCTACTCTTGAGCTGGTTTCCCCTTGATCGTCTACGGTACGTTTGAGCCTCGGGATGGCGACTTTGGCTTGTTTTGAGGCATCTTGTGCTCGCTGTGATGGCGACTCGGGTACTCGGAATGTGGTTTGAATACTCGGCGACTGGAAATCTGGCGCTACAGTCGAAGGGTCGGTGGTATCAGCCCCAAATTGCGAGGAGGAGGTCGATCTCGAGGGGTGGCCACCAGGTGGCGCAGGCCGTGCTCCGTTTCCTTGTTGGTCGTTGTCGGATTTTGTGGATGGGCGCCGGCCAGTCATCGTGGCTGAGGATATTGGTTCAAGACATCCAATGTCTGTTTGGCTCTAATAAGCCCTTGCGTAGGTGGCGAAGACTACACAAATGTAAACCTGAAGCAGCTTTTGCAGGAGGGTCAACGTGATAAGTCAGGTCCGCTACAGATGTGCCGCGTAGTGAAAGCGGGGTGCAAATTTTATTGGGAAAAGCAGGAATATTCATGTGAAGTTGTGCTGAGCAACGTGCCTTCTGCTGTACTGCATGAAGGAACTGGATCTCCGATTGGGAAGAGATAGGTTTGGCATCATTTCAACTTTGGTTGGTCGTTATCTTAAACTCAAGCAATACTGTGCAGTAATATCTGCACCAGCTAGAACTTTCCAGCCTCGAACCAAGCTGGACATCCTTGCAGTGGCTTCCCCTCCTCCGCCGTGCCGTCTGCCTGCCTATACAGGAGCCACGAAAGCCGAGAAGCGCATCCAAAGCATGGAACCGTTATGCAGTATGACATGGCCAAAGATTGCGTAAAAGTCGTGCCCCAAGCCGAAAGCGTGGCCTCGAACATGGTGGATTAGGCGCATAACATCATCGGCGGAGCCACGCGAAGATCTTCGAACATTTGGTTCCTGATGATGCTCTTTTCGTCGCTCCATGCATTTGGCATTCGCTCTGTGTGCCTCGAAATGGTGGCCGCCCCGATGTCCATACTGGCTCAATCGTATAGCGCTAAAAGACTTCCCGTTGCCCTCGTCAATGCCATTTTTCAATGTCGACTTGGAACTGCTGTAGTCCGGAGCATGTGGGGAGCCACGATATCGATGGGGCCCTTCCGGCTTAGCACACGACTGTCAGCGCAAAGGATATTTGCATCCGCTCCAATGACAGGCCCTTTATCTTATGCCGCAATGCCGGTCGTTGTGTTGGTAGAGGCTTAAATAGCTGAACAGAAGTCATAAAATGAAATAAGTCGATGTCAGAATGTGAGCTGGGTATCCAAAAAGCATATGCAAGCAATACCAAAGAACGCCTGTTGAGAACAACGTGGACGATCATTCCTCTGAGCAGCACCTCAATCCAGTCGCTGTCTTTTGGCACCAGGTTGTGCCCATTCTCCACCGAAACCAGCCTGCTGGTACATGGGAGCACCGAACTGGTGGCCTTGGAATCCTGTGTTGGCAAGAAGTTAGTACTCCACGACATTGATGCAGAGATTTATCATGGATAAATACCTTGCATGCCCATACCGGCCATCATTGGATTCATGCCCATAGCTGGCATCCCCATGGAGCCCATCATCATAGCACTATTCATAGCTGCGCCTCGTCCTCCGCGCATATTCATTGTGCCCGCACGCATATTACCCGCTACCATTCCACCTCTGCCGGTGAATGCAAAATTACTTCCTGCGTTCATGTTATTACCATAAATGTTGTTGTTGCTGTTGAATCCTCCATTCGTCGATGGACCCGAAAAGTTGCGATTACCGCCGCCTCGATCATAGCCTCCTCGCCCACGGCCACGGAATGACCCTCGATCCAAATAGTCGCCTTTCGAATGGCCTGTGTTGTTATACGCTCCTCGTGACGATCGTTCCTCCTTTGAGCGAGCCGGCGCGTCTTTGGGCAGCGTCTTAAACGGATTTGAAGAAGGGTTGCTGAATGAGACACTGAATTTGCGGTTTTGGCTCGTCCCGTCTGTGAGAGTCTCGACTTTGTGCTTGACAGCTGTGGACGCGCCCGCTGAGCGGAAGAGAAGGTAGACCTGACCTTTGCTCTTGCCATTGACCTTATGCTCGGAAAAGGACAACTCCTTGAGATCGAGTTCTGCGTTGACCTGGTTAGTCCAGCTACGGATCTCGTCTTCAGTTGTCCACCAGTGTAAGTCGGAAATTATGAGAGCAGTCGTCGCTTCCGGATCTACAGTTCGCTCGTCCGACGTGCTCTTTCTTTTCACCCCTTGCGGCCGCTCGGGAAGGCTCAGCTGAGGAGAAGTGTTGTGCATCGTTCCCTTTTGCGACATGGGCGAGGGTAGCTGGTTCTGTGGCTCAGGTTCAGGTTCGTCCACTGTGAAAGTGTGTTCATCATCGTCCAAGTCGTCCGCCGACTGAATTACGTCTGGCGCATGCTGTTCGAGGTTGTCACTTGCCGCGGCTGGCTCGAACCTATCTTGTTCCGAACCCATGACGCAGATACAAGTGCTTGCAGGCTATTTGCGATGAGGGTCTCGGAACAGGTATTGGATTTGCTCTGTCACATCATCTGCAGGCCTTGAGAGATGGCAGATCCGGGAGGTGTCGTTGTCTTATCTTCTACGCGGAGTCGGGCGTGTCAGATCGGAGGCGATGCTATTGAGACTGGTCGCAATCGTGTTCTTGCGAGCAGTCTGGGTAGTTGGTTGCGGATCTTAGGTCAATATGTCGCGATGAAGGATATTTTATGTACGTATGATTGATGCGATGATGCTGCGACGACACGCGCAGGCGATCCCGTTGCGAATGGTTGTCGATATACGCAGGTGAATTGGGAGTGGCGCAACGATCGACGTCGACGAGCGAGAGTGGCCGTAAAGAGCAATGTACCAATGTAAAAGAGTGATGTATTCAGGAGGGCGCCTTTGCTAAGCCCGTACTATCCTGGGTGAGATGGGTGTTTGAAAGAATGACACGAGTCCGGTTGATGCTGACACTCCCCAACAGAAGCACACGAGGGAGGGGAAGTCACGAGTGCGAGAGAGCGAGCCTCGATTACTGCAGGATCACGCGAGGGAGTGCCTGCGAAGGCGCGCCCCGTCATTGACGCGAAGGCTTCTTGCGCCGTACCTGCAGATATCGGCACGCTCCTCACCCCATTCGATTCCACCTCCCGGGCTCAATCTTAACCCTGGAACCTTGACGCTTCGTAGAATTACTTAGCTAATCACAGCCTAGAGCGAAGAAGCTCCAGGTATGCTTGGGCTTTGATCTAGGCGCAGGCTAGCCCCGAATGAATTGGGCTCGAGTGACTCCAAGTGCCAAGCCAGATTTATGGCGACGTTTCCTGAACCTCACTTTGTCGCATTGCCATCGGCTGCTCCCGAACACGCAACAAATCATCTTACCACACATCTCGAGCCTCATACGCGACCTCTATATAGCACTTCGACAGGCACCACACACCTTTTGAATATCAAACGAGTCGAACGAGCACCTTCTCTTCCGTCAAAAATGTCGGACGCTGCCGGCACCTTCAAAGAGCTGGCCGATGTGCCAAAGGAGTTCATCAGAGATGGCACACTATTCATCAACAGATGCACAAAACGTAAGATAGCACTTCCATACGTTTCTATACCTCGTCTCGCGCGCGCTTTTGGCATGCCGCCATCGGAGTCCCTACACCTATCAGCCCTTGCCCAGCCGTAAAGGAGGATACGACCGTCCGATTCATGGGATCGTTGCTGCAGCCTGGCTTCGAGGGCGGTGCTGCGTTGCGGAGGAGAGTATCAATTTGTTCATCAGATCTCCTTGCACCAAATTCGGCTCTGGCGAGCCGGGAACCTGAGCGTCACTCCGTCGACCCAAGTGGTCCGCGGGACAGCAGTCTGAGAAGACACAACTGCTTGACGAGAACGTGTCACAGCAGCCTCGTCGCAGCAAAGCACTGGAAGGCAACGTGCGATCACTGTCTGCAATCTTCTGAGCCTTGTCTTCGTTGCACGTCGAACCTCTCAGAATTCCATCCGCTAACATAAATGCCACAGCCGACCGAAGAGAATTCATGAAGATCTCGCAAGCCGTCGGAATGGGCTTCCTCATTATGGGCGCCATTGGCTACTTCATCAAGCTGAGTACGTCCACACCTTGCGCAAGCAACGCGACCTGCTACTTCAGCGGCACGATTGCGCGCACACGACCATGGGGCGATCAACTGGCTAACCCATACAATAGTACACATCCCTGTGAACAACGTATTAGTCGGATAGTCGATTCAAAAATACAAATCTCCATCCTCCTTTATCCCTGTCTGATCAGCATGCCACCATTGGACCGACTGAGCTTCGTCCCGAGACAGTCAACGGCCGAAACGCCAAACCTCGTCCAGAAAGCATACAGGAGTTCCAGGGCAAAGCCAAGGATTCGAAAAGTACAATATATCTCACGGAATTTGCCCAAGCTAGAACAAATCTGCAGAACTGGACTGCCAGGACCGAGAAACTACTATTGCTGGAGGTCCGGAAGTATTGCATGATCAACTTTCTTGGAACTTTGCTGTATCAACAATGCAAATGACCATCGGTCACATCAAAGGCTTCCCTTCCATTGTCTCGTGAGGACATTATTATGCCAATCTCCCTCATGAATTTACAAGTGCCTCCCCGGGACCAACCGTTCTCTATTCTCGTTTGAATCGTGCTCTCGTTCTCGGCCGCAATCAATGTGCTTCACTACCGCCGTCCCAACCCGACCGCCCCCATCCCCCTGTTCAGTAATTGCTACCAACCCCCACCACCGCCACCTTCTTCAACGTCCCTATCCATAGCATGCCGCGCACTTCTCCTCGGTCCAGACGGCACCGCATGACTCCTCACCCCTCCGGCATTTCTACCGCGATCCCAATCTTGCTTCCTATCCAGTCTTGCGTTATAGTTCGACCCCATCGGCGGATCCGCATCATCCTGCTCCGCACCATCTGACCACGAGTGCAGCGAGACAGTACCGGTGGACATGCCGTAGCCGTTCCATGACGTCGCTGTGCGCAGTGTGTCAGTATATGCGAGGAGAGTAGAAAAGAAAGAAAGAAACAACGTACCAGCAAGCACAGGCGCAGTAGGACACCAACTCGCATCCCGCACACAAGTCTTCCACCCCTCCGTGCCCCTCCGCCCCATCTCATACATGAACATCTCCTCCCGCGCACCGTCTCTAGGTCTTGAACCCCGTGTTGCTTTACAGACGTCGACTTCTGCTTTGCGCGTTCCGTCTAGATTCCAGATGTACACCTTCCCGTCCTCACTTCCCGAGTACACGTATCTCGAGTTGCTGGCTGTAGGCGGCGAAAAGTGGCAACGGATGAGTGTTTTGAGTACGCTGTGCCCACGGAAAGTCACAACGCTGCAATCGTGTGGGTTAGGCGTGTAGTCATCGCTATCATACGGCGCGAAGCGGTAGTCGAAGTTTGACGTGTAGTTCGCTAGGTTGATCTGACTGAATTGTTGTGGGGACATCATCTTCCGCAAATCCCAGAGTTTCATCATCTGGTCTTTGCCGTTGGAGAGGACGTACCGCCCGTCGCCCTTGGAGTCGACGTAGGTGAGGCCCTCGGTGTGTCCGACGAAGACGCCGGCTTCGCGGCCGTCGGCCATTGAGCGACGGTCCCAGACGCGGAGGGTTTGATCGTCGGAGCCAGAGTACAGGATGTGTGGGGAGGAGGAGTCGCCGAAGCAGACGGCGTTGACGTCGTCGTCGTGGTTGGAGAGTTTGACTGTGGATTGGCGGGTTTCGAGGTCGTAAACGACAACGCTGTGGTCGGATGTTCCGGCGACAATCTCGCGCCCGTCCCCGGAGAAGCGCAAAGACCAGATGCCGAAAGCACCGTGGCCGCGATAGCCTAGGTGACCCGGGCGGGAGCGGGAGCCGGTGAAGGTGGCGCCCTGGGCGAAGTTGGTGAAGTCGAGGAGTTGATAGTCTGAGGTGTCCATCGGGTCGGTGGAGGCGAGGCAGACGGTGTGTCGGATCGAGGAGTAGGCGAGCCATTTGTTGTCTGGGGAGAGGGTGGCATCGGTGATGGTCCATTGGCCGAAGGGGTAGTCGACGGTCTTGTAGTATTTCCATTCGTAGGGGTTTGAGGTGTCGTACATGCGCACTTTGAAGTTTTGGGTGCAGCTGAAGAAGAAATTGCCGTCGTCGGAGAACTGGCCGGAGTAGGCACGCGAGTCGTAGTGGATTATTTTGTCGGCGGTGGAAGTGCTGGGGGTGAGTTCTTGCGCGATCAAGTTGTTCTGGCGGCGCATGCTGGGGCGGCCGGGGTCGAGGCCTAGGCGCCGCCACATGAGTCGTTCGGACATGGTTCGTCTTCGCTTTCGACGGATGTCGATGAAAGAGTCTCGGGAGCCATAGAGGCCGGAAGTCATGAGTTCTTTGCCGGCTGGGTTAGGGACTGGTGGGAAGCGATCAGCGGCAGGTTTCACTGGTCGGCGGCGGTGTCTGCGGCGGTAGGCGTGGTGGTATGCGTGGTCAGGCTCGGACTCGTCCTCTTCGTCGTCGTCGTCGTCGGATATGATCAGGTGCCGTGCACCGCCGCCGGTCTGGTTCTGGTAGGACTGCATGAGAAGACGGCGGAGAGGGCCTTGACCGCCTAGTATGCGAGACAGTTGGGCTATCGTCACTGTGAGGTGTAAGTGAATGAGCAAACATGAGCCTTTGTCATGGCAAGCATACTGGGTATTCCTTGACGAGTTGGCTGACCCGCATTGGCCTCGGTCTCTGTCTGTTCGCCTTCTTCTTGCTCGCCATTCTCGTCTACACCTTCAAATATCACTTCGATCTCAGGCTGTTCTTGTGCATCTGCGACCGATCAGTACCCAGCGAATGCTCCTGTGGAGGCGTTGCGAACCTGCGAATTCGACTTCCTCCTCGTCCTCGGCCGTTGAGGCAGTCATATCGGTCTCTTCCTCCGCGGGCTCGTAAAGGTCATTCTCGTCGTCCTCGTCGTCTTCGTCATCGTCGAGGTAGTTCAGTACATTGCTTGGGGAGGGGCTCAGCCCTTCTCGGTCATCCTCCGGTCGAGACATGCTTGTGGTCTTCTTGTATACAGAAACTCTTCGAGTGACAGCTGGACCGGCCAGCAGTCAAGACATGCTCAGGATATCTACACGAGTAGTAATCATCACTTGCGGACTCCAAGTGAATGGTCCCGCTTTTGGAATCCCGTCATCGATGGGTTTACCGCTAAATCCGGTGGGGTGGAATCCCAAATACCGAGGCGCGTGGGGGGGACGTCCAGGGGCAGCATTTCTTTACTGTGTAGCATGCAGTACATAGCGTAAGACTTTAGGAACAAATCCTGTAACACGACTTGCACGAAGAGCAGTTATACTGCAATTATGCAAAATTGACTGCGTTCATTGGGAAAGGAAGTGTGGGAGGAGAACTTCATGTTTCCCGTCGAGTGATTGGAGTCTGTGCTGGAACACATATTCGAGGCATGACTACCTAGTAGCTACCTAGGTATGGTGCTTAGGTAGAAATCCGAGGAATTTGGAGCAGTTCTACGGCTCAGTCCAGTCGACCTGATCTGTGACAGCGCCTGTAGTATCGCCAGTGTAGCTGATCTTCAGACGTAGCCTAAGCTTAGGTGGGAGAGCCTATATCAATCAGCACTGAGCCAAAGCATGAACGTGGTGAAGACTTACCCCTGCCGCAGCGACGATTCTCATACCCTGCGTCGCTTCATCTCCAGCACCGAGTGTACTTTTGTTGATGGCTTGCAATGTCAGCTTTTGGCTCTTTGGCACAGCGGCTTGTAGGCCAACACCAGAAAGTGTTGACAGATCTGTCGTGTTCCGAAACCTGGCAAGTGCTTGTGCGCCTGCTGCAGTTCGAGAAATTTGCATTTCTACCTGGAGGCCATTTTTGTTGTACACTGAGTGAGACGGCGATCCGGAGCTGGCTGTTGGTTGTGGTTTCGGTGCTGACGCACTACCATTGCCGAATAGATCCATGATCGAATCAGTATTGGACTGAGTTGGTGGAGGCGATCGTGTCTGCGACTGAGGTGAAGCAACGTTGCTGCTGCCGCCACCAAGAATATCTGCCAGCAGATCGGCAGTGTTCTGCTGTCCGTTCGTGGGACTTGTTATCGATGTAGGCGCGTCTGAGCCGCCCATCAAATCTAGGAGCATGTCTTGCTCAGGAGCCTTTGCTGCGCGCTTGCTCGTTTTGTCCTTCAAAGCAGCTTTCCGCTTGTCCTTAGCAGGCTTGGTCGCTTCACCGAGGACTCTTTGATCCTCTCGGATCTCTGGCGGAGGCATCTTCTCTAGGACACCGCGTCGAATGCCATCGTAGCCGAACATGTTGCCGTATTCGACCGCTCGTTGCTGTATTTCGATGCTGAGGTCGGAAGTCCGTGACGCCATCAACCTCCGTATTCGTTCGATTTGAGATGGGTCAGACATCCGCGTTGTCAGCTTCATTGATGATGTGACAATGTATTCAGTCACTATTTGTGAGGCGTATGTTGAATCCAGTATGGTCGTGTACAGGTCAACAATATCGGATTCGTGGACTTCTTTGACTAAGTCTTCGTCTTCGTAGGAACCGCCACGGAGAAGTAGATCGCCGTATTCTCCTATGCACCACGTCGCAGCCAGAGTCAGGGCCTCTTGCGTGATGTCTGCCTTCAGGCCAGAGTATAGCTTCTGCGCAGCGTAGGTCTGTTGGTCAGGTGACGTAGCTATCAGTCGAATGAACGACGAAATGATCTGTTCTTTGACGTAGTTGCCCGCCAGCTTAACAATCCTGAGTAGGGTGTCAATGTGCCATCTTTTGCTGGGCGCGTATCGGTCTGCGGCAATGCCGATCTGGGTTGTCATTGTAGCTTTGAATTCGTTGTCTGCGACTTCCAGGAATGCAAGCAACTCGCGTATTAGTACTCTGATGTTGTCTTCGCGGATGAGGGTGAAGCTCAGATCCAGCGCTCTCCGCCTGATCGAGATATCGGGGTCTCGTAAGCATTCCAGAATCGTATTGCGATGTCTCTGCACCGCGTTTGGCTCAATGGCCACGACTTTCAGGAGCGTATTGAGCGCAACATAGCGGATATTGTTGTCCTTGTTGGTCAAGAACTTTCCAAGAATATTGACACCTAACACTCGCAAGCCGGAATCTGCCTCGATGTCGAGAATGGTCACAACCGCCTCGTAAAGAATAGCATTGCCGACATTTTTCGAGCCATCCGTATTGGTCGCAACCTGGGCCAGAATGTCGTTGATCTGTTCACTGACTTCCGCGTCGCCTCGGCCGAGCACACGCAGTAGTTTCAGGATTTTCACCTGCAAGAATGGATCTGTGATGTTCGAGACATCGTGCTCTGGAGTATAACCTGAGCTCTGCAGATTCTTGAGTATGCGGACGAGCGAAGGCACGACTGGTTTGAACATCTCGATGACACCCTCGTCGCCCTCCTCCATCTCTTCTGCTTCGCACATGCTGATCACCAACGTCAGGCCACATAAGAGTACTCCATGGTTCCTATCGTTGAGTAGCGCTTTGGCCTTCTCAAGGAAGTGCTCCTGGAGATCTGGCACTTTCCGGCAGATTTTCATGGCGCACAGCGCAGCTTTCCGGCGAATGTATGGGTTTGCGGTAGAGACTAGGTTCTCGATGTCTGGAAATAGGTCCCTGCTCATCTCCACAGAAGCGATGTTGCCCATCGTGCACAACGCAAGTCCCACAACATATTGGTTCGAATGCTTGAGATCATTCTGTAGCGAGTTCGTGACAAGTGTTAATACCTCTTGGTTCTCGTCCAGCAGAAGCATCGTCCCCAAGTAGCCCAGTCGCTTATCGGCGAATCGAGGGGAGGCGAGCAGCTTGAGACATTCGATCTGTCCAAAATGTGTCCGCTCACCCAATGTAAAGAGGTAAAGCAGTTTTGCGACGTTGTTTCGCCTGACGTTCGAATCATTCGACTCATCTCGAAAACTGGCTCGTATGGCGGCGCTCTCTTTCTGGACGACTGCTCGCTCGTCGGCGATAGTCTTGGAGGCTCGCACATTGCGGATGAATGCTTTTAGGGAACTCATGTTGGCCGACTATGCTTCGGAGGGGCTCGTGAGATGACTGAGCAGGGGGAGGGCTATTGAATCAGCGAAGAAGGGCGGCGTAAATCTGTCTGGTCCCCATCATTCCATAGGAGACCAACTCAGCTTTATCGTCAATGTTCGTAAAATGATGGCTGCCTGCGTGTCCTGGCTGAATCCCTTTGTCGTTGTGCTTTAAATTGAGTTGGTCGTTCCCCAGATTCGCAAAAGAGGCCGCACCGTAGGGTGAAGGTCACGCTCCAAGCCCGCAAGGCCCGTTGGGTCGAGTGCCGGCGGTTCGGGGCTGTCAAGGTTCACAATTGACGTATTTGGCGACTTTTCTCTTGGATTCGGGAACCTTACGACTCGAGGACAGGTCAAGAGAGTAATCTTTATGCCTAGACCCGAATGATGTATGACTACCTCGCTTCGCTCCACGGTTGGCGCGGTGCTAGTATTCATATCTCAAGTCAGCTTATGACCTCCTTGTCTCTGCACCACTGACCTCGACGTCGCCCCCCAGAGAATATGTCCTCAGGGCGCGATATTAGCCCCGACCAGATCCTCCGTCCACGTCCGAAGCGACCTGGCGAGACCTCAATCGTCAACGGCAACAGTTCGAATGGTTACATAGATCATCCGCCTTCCGGAGTGTCTAGTGGACGGTCGACACCTGTACCACAGGATGCTCCTCCGTCGAAGCAGTCCATCTCATCTGCACGCAAGCACGCTCGTGCGCAGGCCAAAGCAGGCCGACTCTTCCACAACATAAGATACACGGCGCGGGTCTCACACTTCGACCCGAAGAGCGAACATGCAGACTTCCGCGGCTTCTTCGTGCTCTTCTGGGTCGGACTGACCATCCTGGTCGGCACAACGGTCCTGCGGAACATCAAAGAAACTGGCTACCCATTACGAGTGCAAGTGTACCGCATACTGTCCAAGAATGTCATTGCGTTGGCGCTTTCCGATGTTGCCATGGTCGTGAGCACTGGACTGTCTCTGCCCTTCCAGAGGCTCTTCCGCAGCGGTCCGAAGGTACTGCAATGGCGCAATGCAGGCTTCTGGATACAGTCGATCTACGAGCTTGGGTGGCTGGCACTGTGGACACAACTGCCTTTCCTGCTCAACTGGACATGGACAGCTCAAGTCTTCTTCGCCTTGCATACGCTGACCTTTCTCATGAAAATGCACTCGTACGCATTCTACAATGGCCATCTCTCCGAAACCGAACGCAGATTGCACGCATTGGACGAGCCTAAGCCAGACGAGCAATACGATGCCGCTTACAAGTACCCATCGTCTCCTAACCGGATTGTGGAACTCAACGATGCGATAATTGAGAAGCAGGAGTCCGACGAGAAATTGACAAAGTTGCGAAAAGACCTGGCCTTCGAGCTCACATCGCCAATGGGACAAGTCACCTTTCCACAGAACCTTACTGTATGGAATTATGCCGACTACACCCTCTGCCCGACGCTTTGCTACGAACTTGAATACCCACGCACTTCCGGCATCCGGTGGTTGGAGGTCTTTTGGAAGACTCTCGCTGTGTTCGGCTGCATCTTCCTGATGACAATCATCTCAGAAGAGTTCATCACACCCATCTTGGCGGATAGTGCCATTCGCCTTAGGACCACGGATCGACTGAGTGATCGGTCTCTGATTCTGGCGGAAACCGTCAGCTTACTCCTCTTTCCTTTCATGATCACATTCCTGCTCGTATTCCTTGTCATCTGGGAATATGTTTTGGGGGCCTTCGCGGAGCTCACTTGCTTCGCCGACCGTCACTTCTACTCGGACTGGTGGAACAGCACAGACTGGCTGGAGTTCTCCCGAGAATGGAACATACCTGTGTATCACTTCCTTCGGCGGCATGTCTACTTCAGTATGTTGAACTACACCTCGAATGGCGTTGCAATGGCGGTGACTTTCCTGGTCTCGGCGCTTGGGCATGAGTTGATTATGGGCTGTATCACCAAAAAGTTGAGAGGCTATGGCTTCTTTGCGATGATGTTGCAGCTACCGATCGTGGCTGTTCAACGGAGTCCATTGCTGAAGGGGAATTGGGTGCTCAACAACGCCGCTTTTTGGTGTAGCATGGTATTGGGACTGGCTATGATGTGCAGTTTGTATGTCCTTGTTTAGGCGGGGTGTTTGAAAGGTGTCTCGAGTCAAGACGGTACAGTCCTGGGAGGACAACTGCAAAGGAACAGGTCGTCGAGGAAGCCGGACGACAACAGGGCGTATTGCTCGGGGCCTGATGTACAGCACTCTCACCTTCTCTTATGTTCGCCTGCTGTTGCGCTCACAGCATTTGATACCCTTTACATAGGTACAGCGAGCGCGCTGCTACTCATCTAGACTCTACTCATGCGGTTAGCCATGTCTATAACGTTGTCGATTAGCATCGGGAGCACGATGGCATTTACGCCCGCCATCAAATTAGAGTTCAAACCATGAAGCACCCACCTTCCTTCCGCTCGTATTTCAGTGCCCTGAACCCAGCACGAACCACGGATTTACCGACAGCTATACTCGTTTCAAGCACTTCGGACGTCATCAAAGCCTGCATTAGTCCCCTGGGCGTATTGCTTCAACCAACTTCATTGCAGAACCCAGGTACGCCAATCAACCGTGGTGTGTTTTCTGAGGCGGCCTCTGTCATGCGCAAATCTAAAAGCCGTAAATGGCACCATGCTGCGTCCAGGAATGTAGGTAGTCGTCTCGATGTCTCGGGTGTCGTCGTATTGAGACCCGATCACAGCATGACTTCAAACGGTCGGCTTAATGACTGTCCATCCCACAGCCGTTCGCTACCGTGCTAAAGAACATATATGATGTCTGAGCTTCTGCTCGCCACTGACTTTGACAACAGAACTCATTCTATGACAGTACAACTCAACGCAGAGGTTTTAACTCTTGACCTGTCACTGATTAATCAGCCCAGAACACCCACAACATAGCCAGCCATGGCGCGCTTCCTTGTCCTCGGCGCCACAGGCGGCACCGGCGCACACTTCACCGCCCACGCCCTCTCCCACGGTCACACCGTCCGCTGCCTCGTCCGCAACCCCTCCAAACTTCGCTCCCCGCTCCCGCCCAATTACGAAGTGATCCAGCTCCATCACCGACCTCCCCAACATCAACTTCTCCGCCTTAGTCAAAGACGTCAACTATGTTGTCGTCATGCTGGGCGACAAATCCATCCAAGTCAACGGCTACCAACCCGTCACGCAGTTCATGAAGCAGCTCGTGCCCGCGATGCGTGAGCACGGTGTGAAGCGAGTGCTGTACCAGGCTGGGGCGTTTACGCGGCCTGCGGGCGGCTCGTTGAGTCCGATACTTTGGTGTTTGAGGTATACGATCGCGAGGGCGTTTGAGGGGCAGCATCAGGATAATGAGGCTACGGGGGAGTATTTGCTGAAGGAGTGTAAGGATATGGAGTGGAGCGTGCATCGGGCGGGCATTGGTGGGGATACGCCGTCGAAGGGGACGTTGGTTCGATCGGAGACGGATTTCAATGTGGGGAATCATGTTGATTGTGCGGTGTTTAATTATAAGACGGTGATGGACGACGGGGCGGTTAGGGGCACGTGGTTTAGCTATTATGCGAAGTGAGGAGTTGGTTCATTGGATGGATAGGGTTGGGCGGCAGGACATCTCGGTTTCTTCACGGAGTTTTCTCACAATGGCAAGCGGATGAACTTCTTCCCCGGTGCTCTGAGCATGTCAGAAGCAACAATGAAAAAGAAAGGGCTGTCGTCCACGTCTCAGGAATACGCGGTCCTCTGATGCACTGTTGGACAGCGCGAGGGTTGGAAGCCCTGAAGACCACCATCCGTCATCAACACAGACGACAGCGGAGCAGGTATCTCTGGAGAACAGCCACAGCCAGCACCCTTACACCCTCAGAGAGGAATCTAGCGTCTCTCTGGCAGAGCGCAAAAGCACCAAATGCAGCCCTCTCTCGTCCTCGAGACACCTGCTCACCGGCACCCAGCCCACTGATCTCTCGAGTTTACCGCAAGCCCGCGCCGAGCCGATCTCTTCATCAAGGTCGGTAGATTGGACGAAGCCAATCCGCTTGCCTCTCGAGTATACCACGAACGCGAGCCGGGACGATCTCTTCCTCAAGACCAGTATTGGATCGGGAGCCGGCACCACACCCAAACCCAACCGCACCCACACCCTCAACAACTCACCAGATGAAAACCCGCCACCAAACCTACACCTTCCACCGAAAAACCACCGCCAGCCCCAACCAACCGCACCAAAAAGGCACTCCCTTGGTACCCCTAATCCGAAACCACACACGCCCCCAGAGCCCGCCCAACACGCAGACACCGAAAAAAAGAGTCAAGAACGAGCGGCGCGCACCTTCTAGCCAGGCTATATTCAGCTGTCTCGGTCTCCGAAATGACCTCAAGCCTCCTTGCTCTTTCCAAGCCGAGTGGTTCTTTCATCTTCTTCCGACGCTTTGTGTTAGTAGGTTGTGAGGTGTGTGGGGTTAGACTGAGGAGAGGAAGGGTGCCGAGACACGAAACGTGTGCGGAGAGAAGCCTGGTAGCTTTCTGAGGACTGGTGGTTGGAGTGGTGGTGGTATGCGGAGAGGAAGGTGTGAGTATGGTGTGCACGCTATGTGCTAAAGGGTGTACTGTTGGGAGGAGTTGAGGGGGGGAGATGTGGTTGGGTGTTGGGTGTGGTTTGAGGAAAGGAGGAAGGAAGGAAGATTGGGGAGGGAGTGGGGATTATATGCCTGCTTGGAGGCACTCCAAGAGTGTCACTGTGAAAGAAGATGTTTGGAGGCAACAAGGCAGTTCAACTGTCTGGGGCAGCCGCGGTGACAAAGTGACAGTGCGAAAGGCAGGCTACTGGCGCGGGCTTTGTTTAATTGGTGGAGTGACCTGTCTGCAGGCGATACTGACAAGGGTTAATTCAGTCCACGGGCCAAGCCGTCAAGTGTCATGCAGACCTGGGCGACTCTGGACTCGTGAACTCGGGGTCGGCTCAGTCGAGCATGCTGAAGTAATCATGGTCGAGCGTATCAAGTTGGATGAGTATCTCGCTTTTCATCAAGCCCGAATTTTGATACAATCCGCGCGTAACGAAGACCGCTAGAAAGACCCTACAATTTCAACAATTCGTGTCAAGCATGCTTCTCTTTCCCCTCCATCGCTTCCCACCATTTCGGCTTGCCCTCGCCTTCTTCGTCGTCATGCTCCGTGCCGACAACATGGAAGCTAAAGTCAACTGCAGAACATCGTTAGCACACCATTCCCTTTGTACGGGAAAGAACGGAAAAGACTCACCCTCCCCAACCAAACCCCTGACCTCCCTCACCACCCTCCTCAGCTCTGCACTCACAAAAGCACTCGCCACCTCTCCCACCGCAAACGCCGCGAACGCCGGATGACTGACATGCTGAATATCCAGTAAATCTTCTTCTTCCTCCCTGCCCTCTCTCGAGACCGTCTTGACCTTCCTCCCACCCTGGTCAATCATGTCCGGAAACGCGGTCGAGGCAAGCGGTTTCGGCGGCTTGAAGTATGGTGGTAGGGGCTGGCCATCCTTTATTGCGGCCGAGAGGAGGCAGAGGGTGGATGTTAGGCTATGTGAGGTGACGCGCTGAAAGGTCGAGGCGGCGAAGTGGCGGAAGGAGCGGAGCCAGGCTTCTTCTGCTTCTGGTGATGAGGCGTACTGTGATTGTGGTGCTGTGCCGCCTGCTGTGTCTTGGGAGGAGTGAGAGTCTTTGTCGTTCTTCTCGAGGATGTCCTTGTCGGCGGCTGGGGCTTGTTCGTGGCTGGCCTCTGGGGTTACGGCATTTGAGATAGACGTTGATGCGGCGGTGCCAGTTTCGGTCGGTGCGCGGGACAGGCGGATCTCGTCTGCCGTGCGGATGTACGCGTTCGAAGAGTACTCGATTAGTGAAATGTAGGCAAATATCCTTTCCATACTGCTGATAAGGTCGGCATAGGCCTTGCGGGGGAATTTGCCGCCAAAGGGTGGCTCGAATGCTATGAATTTCGAGTGCGTATGCAGTCGATTTATCATCAAGAGGACCTTGCCAAAGACCTTGAGGCGTGCTGCGTCGAGCTTCGATATTGGGTGAGATGGAGGCAAGCCACTCGCCGCAGGACCGAGGTGGAGGCGTGCGTCCATAGTGGTGTGAACGCAGGAGTAGTAATTGGCAAGGATGTACAGCGTAGAGCCGACGTCCTTGCGCAGAGCTCCATGTGTGGTGATAGGGTAGGGGCAGTATGTCCACACGAATGCAGCGAACAGGCCGGCGCAGACAGCGGTAAGTCGATACACGGCCAGCAAGGCAATCGAGTAAAATGCTTGACCGTTACTTGTCGCGGCTTTCAAGCCAATGACATGAACCTGGAGTTCATAGCCAATGATGAGAATCACAGTTATACTGCTGATCATGCTTATCATTGATAAGTCCATTCGCTTGAGCAGGACCGCATTCCAGCAGGTCATGTACACCCAGAAGACAGGGATTATGGCTGCTGCTTTGTGGTCGCATGCGTACCAGATGGCGATGGATGCGACCATTGCGACCACTGTGCCGGCAATGCGGAGGACAAAGCCAAAGACACCTTGGCCAGCATGAGGGTCCATACTGATGGCGACCATAACTAGTGCCCAGAGACCACGCTGTTCAAGGAAGAAGGGACGTGTCTGACGGAGGTAGGCCAAGATACCGATTGAGATCGTTGCAAGGGCAGCGCGAATTCCAAACTGGGAGTGGCTGGAGCGGAGAAAGGCTGGTATTTTTCTGATGTGATCGGTCGCTTTCTCGTAGAAGTTTGTTGGCGGAAGGTGCTCCGGATTTTTCTTTTTCTGGAAGGCATCGCAAGGTAGATGTTGTTACCTCCATTGTCGTCGGTTGCCAGTGTTTGCGCGTCTTGAGGCAAGACAGCTGCTGAGAAGAGCTCCCTGATTCGCGTCCAGCTTGGGAAGATGAATCGTCGCTTCTTCATCGTGCCGTCTTCCACTAAGCCATCTGCGGTGCGGACGAGCTTCAAAATAGCGCGTCCAACTGCGATGTTGAGAAAATTGAGATACAGCATCATGTATAGTTGATGCTGATTGATCTTCTCCCGTGCCATAGTAGTCTTCATTCTCGTTATCCCTGGCCTCTCAACGACGTTGCGCCAGAAATGCTTTGGGATATTCAAATTCTTCGCCTTTGCCCAGTCTTGGATGATCGCAACCCGATGCTCTGCGAACTTGGAGAGCTCATCCTCGAGATGTCTAGCAAAGGTCATGGTGCCGGGCGCCGGAATCTGGTCTGCGTCTTTCTCGATGTCTGCGTTGCCTTTCACTTTTGGGCGCTTCTCGAACTCGAGCTGTAATGCGGCGTGTTTGAGCCCTGCGAGCAAAGCCTTCTGGTAGTCGGCATATGCATCTTTTGAGATAGCGATAACTTCCTCCCACTCATCAGCCTCTAGGCGCTTGACAACTGCCAATGCTTCTTTCAAAGATGGATCGTCGGCATACGTGACTGTGTGCTCTCGGAGAGATGTGACAATGCCCAGGAAAGTCGTCATACCGTTGACTGGCAAGAACACAGCCCGTAAGTCTGCAAAGATCTTTGAATAGTGTTCTGGCCGTAGCTTCCCAAATGCCATCTCCCGACGGGCGAATGTCAACTCCAGCTTCATCTTGCCCATTAGCTCGTTTGTTTTTCCCAGCAAGCCTTTGAGCTGCCCAGCTGCTGCTTTCTCTTCTGGACTTGCTTCCCCTTTGAAATCAATAGTGTTACGGACGGACCTCATGTAGTTTCCATGCGCCTGGAGGCAGCCACCGAGCAACTTGGTGAACCCACCCATCTGCATGGTAACTATGCCCCTCGAAGTTGTTGGGATAATAAACAATGAGACCGCAGTGGCTAAGGCGTACCCGGTCAGGAAAGTGATGAGCAGTCGGCGAACAAAAATTAGACCAGCTTCCATGGTTGGAAAGTTAGGCGCGTAGATCGAGCCTACAACCACGAAAATAGAAAACTGTATCATTGAAATCATCAGCTGTGGGCGAGCAGATTTGAACGTGTTGGCCAGGTACACCCAAAACATCAAAAAGACGGCAGAAGTCGTGTTTGCTGATGTATCGTAAATTGGCGCTTCCGGTGCACCTGACTGGCCTGTACTACCGGCAGGATGAGAGGCTCGAGCAGACACCACACATCGGACCTGTAACAACACCAGAGCCGCTCCCAAACATGCCGCAAATACATTTGTGATGAGCATCTGAAGGTACTTCGCCCTTGGTTGAAAGCAAAGACTTAGAGTGCCAATGATCGCAACAAGATAGCCCAGTGTGGTATAAATCTCAGCCCACCCCTTTCCCTGATATGCTGCCAGTGCTATCGTCGCCGGCAGAGCACCCTTTGCGGCCAGGAGAAGCATGACCGGTGCTATGTCGAGCTTCTTCCATAGTCGAATCGCGATGTTGGATCGCTTCGCCAGGCTGGGTTGCTGCTGACTATCCGCCATTCTTGCGGTGTTGCCGTTGAGAGTCGAACAAAAGGGACTACGGACGCCTCTCCTAGTGCCAGGATCAGACAATGCCCATCGACAGCATCTTGGTGTCAAACAGCACTTGATTCGGTGTCCAAAGTGTTGTGTGGCAGAGAGGCCTGTCGAATCCAAAGTAGTCAGTCAGGTATTAAGAATACAAGGTCGACGGCGCCGAATTTTGAGCCCGGCATGCTGCCAGACAGATGTCTAAGGTTCACCCGTGTAAAATAGTTGAGCCCTGATCCTCGACATAGCAATGACTCAGCACGCTAGTGCCGCCACATGCTCGCATGGCACGAATCAGAGGTATGCAGACGGATCGTACCTGCCGTGCGTGTTTTGGCCACTTTATCATTCCACGTACCGCTCCCACACACACTGGATGTGTGCGGCGTGTTAGATGTTCAGCAGCAGGCTATAACGATGGTCCTTCTGAGGTGCAATGCTGGCCAAGATCCCTTGTACCTAGGGCCTCGGCAAAGGCATCCACGCGATCTCGTATGCGATTCACGAGGCTAGGCGATCTGCAACACTGCACTTGCAAATATCACGCCAGGGAACCATGATTCCAGAGATTATAAGTTTTACATTATATATACTCATGCAAATTATACACAATCCGGATATCAGGTTTTGCGTAAAGTCGATACAAGCAGACGCCGACTGAAATCGTGGGAAACATAAACGCCTGTGGTCGCACTGAGGCTCAAAGGCCGTTTACAGACCGTTCGACAAAGTTCGCGTGATGTCGACCTTGCCAATGCTTGCCCTCACATCGTCGTGGAGGGATATGACAGTCATGATGACTGGGTTGGTTGATTGTTTTCAGAGCTGCTGGCTCATGTCGAGTACTCCTTGTTGCCATTGATGAAGCTTCCGCGGCTGCGCGTGCTGGTGCTGCGCTTGCCCTTAAAGAAGTTGCGGCGCCCTGACGAATAGGTCTTGGTATTCTTGTCGCCTCGGCCGCCAAGGCAGAAAAGGATCGTTGCAAGGAGGAAGCAAGCTGCTGCTGCCCACTCAAAACCGAAGGCATATTGACCAATCTTCGCGCTCCGATCGGCATCACGGAAGTTGTTTCGGCCTTTGACGTAGGCGGCACTATCGATGTCAGTATTCGTTCCTTGTCTGATAGACTGGAGTACCCACGTCATTAGGGATGCCTGGATGAGCTGGAAGAACAAGGCGATGAAAGCAAGAAGCCCAGATAGATATGCGCCGATGCGTGTGCAGAGGGCCAGCAGACCAGTGAACAAGGCCATGACAGCAAAGAACAGCGCGATGAGCATGAATGCGAACATGAACCTCGTCAGGTAGAAGTAGTAGCCGTGATTGTCAACGAAATTCTGGGGAACGTTGACAGTCGTGTCGAAAGTCCTGTGGCTAGCCGGATCCAGAGGGAAGGCAGGGTGCACCTTCTCGTAGTCTGCGTCGCCGCAGGCCGTTCGGTCCCCGTCAACGGGGCAGACGTTCCAGTATGACCATCTTGCAATACCGTTCGGCGCATTCGGGATGCCCGACACATCCGCTTCGAGGAGGTACCAGCGATTAACCGGATTCCCGTCGATGGCTCCGGCGAGCAGGATGAAGAGCATCAGCAGGACACCGCCTGCGATGAGGATGAGGGACGCAAGCCCAAATAGTCCTCCTAGTAAAAATGTTAGCACTTTGGACTGTCGCAAGTCGCAATGTACGCACTGCCTGCCATGACGCTAATGCTTTGGCGACGCTGTAGATGTGACAGGGAATGGCGACGAGCTGCCCTTGATGTTGACGATGGATGTAAAGAGATGAGCTAGAGATGCGAATAGCTGGGCTGACGGGGACTCGGAAGAAGGATATGCCTGCAGCTGAAGACCAGCCAGGGTATGAGATCACAACCTGGACTGGCGTAATGATGGTGTAAAGATACTTTGAGCTTCCAAGACTGAATGGCCTGTTTATTGCATCACATGGCAGCTGGTCGTGTCAGTGTGGTTGTGGTGTAGCAGACGAAAAGAAGAGGCTGCTACGTCAGTCAACACCGCTGGCCCCGCTTTTCACCAGCTAAGGTGGAGCTCAGCCAGTGAAGCTTCGGGATCGTCGGCTGCTGCAACTTGGCAATGCCAAAGCAGGAGGGTGTTGACTTATCATCCTACGTGTCCATGCTCGATCAGTGCCTACTCATCATCTAACAGCCTGGCACCGCCTTTTCAATGCGCCAGCAAGCAACATCAGCCTGGATGCGTTCACGGAAAGACTGCTGTGGACAGGTGGATGTTGCACCTGCATGTGAGGTCGCGTCGTACCGATCTCGAATCCGTGTCAGCTGTAATCGACTCAATGGGTTTCACCGAGCTGTCGGGCTGTAAGTCACTGGGTGAGATCGACTAACGCCCGTTGAGGTCGAATCCAAGTATACCCGCGACGTGATGCACGACGATGGCTTCATAGGTTGGATCGACTCTCCTGGCTATCACTTCTGATCAACTCAGGGTACTACCGGTCACGGCAGGCATGCTGAACGTGACGGCCACCCCTGAATGTAGTCGTGATGCCAGGGCGATTTCACATTTACCAACAGGCAGTTTGTCAGACTCATTGAAATGCTCAGGCTCGACCTCAAGAACTTGTCCGTCGCTATGGGCTCAACGACCACAAGGCTACTCTACAGCTCGACGCCGGTATTACTTGTGCTCCTGAAGCCCCTCTCGCGAAGCCGAATTTGAGGTGAACAATGAATGCACGATGAAACTGGTCAGATTCGAACAGGTAATGGTACAATTTATACAACATTGCAAGACCTAACACTACTCCCGCTGGAAGACAGATCAAACAAAGCTTCGCCCATCACCCGCCACAACGTTCAACTCCGAGTCGCTGCTCTCATTCCCTGACTTTTCGCGCGCCAGAACATCGCCGGTGCTTTGCTTGTTTTTGTTTCGCATCTCTGGGGAGGACCTCCCGGGATGGAAGATCGTGACCGCCAACAAAGCGATGGCCATCATAGTCGCGTCCAACACCAAAAAGGCAACCTCATTTCTCATGATCTGGTTCGCCCAGCCTCCAGCCATCTCCGCCACACGATAGCAGCACCTGATAATGACACACAGAAACGCCACCGCTGCGACAATAGCAAACCAGGTGAACCTCTTCTGCACCGCCGAATCCACCTCCTTGTCCTGGGTATACCTTGACGATGCAACATCTCCGCTCTTCTTCGCAGCCTGATACCGCCGCCACACCGACAGCATGATCCCAGCGGTGACCAACATATTCGCAATCTGAAAGCACACACCACCAATCATCAACCCCTCGCCAACCTTCGACAACGACGAGCCCGAGTTGGAGCTGCCCGAGGTCACAGCCGCAATAATCCCTCCAACACCCTGAATACAAATGCTCACAATATCGGTCCCCACAAACACCCATGGAATCAAACCCGGCCGCAGGATTGAGTACTGTGTGCCCGCATAGTGCAGCATGTTCTTAAAACAAATACTAATCGCCGCAGCCACGAACGTCGGTCCCCACAACAAACAACAAATGTTGAGCGACAGAGTAAACATGTTCCAGGGGTTGAAGTGCATGGCGACGCGGCTGACCGAGCCGAGTATCTGGAACGCGGAGCCGAGGAAGATGAAGATTGAGAAGGAGGTTGTGCGATAGCGGATGAAGTAGTAGATCTGGACGAGGAAAATCAGGAAGAAGAGGATGCTGAAAAAGAGCATGGCGGGGAGATTGAAAAGGGCGCCGTAGATTGTGTATTCGACTGAGCATTGGTCGCTCAGGGCGTGGCAATTGCCGTAACCTGGCTGTTCGATGGTAGACATCTTGATGGGTCGGCTATGACATATATGTGTACGGCAGTGTGCTGGCTCAGCAGGGTTTGCCTCGATGCTTGGGGAGTTTGCGGCAGTACTTCTGAGTGCTATTGATGAATTGTATGATTATGATGAAGAGGAGTATCTTTTTTTCGGGAACATGAGCTTCCTCTATATACACATCTACATCCTTCAATATCCTCAGACCACGATAGCTACATCATAACACAACGCCCATCCTTCGTGGCAGCAACAACTCTTGGTAGGTTGCGATTGGCTACCCAAAATACCAAGCCAGACAGATGTCCTTAGCCCCTGGGTACAACACACGAGAGCCGCAGCAAATGGCACCGAAAAAGGCGTCATGAGCATTCCCGCTAGCAAATCGCAGCATGACGTCTGCGCTTTTGCCGAGTGGTGGAGTTGGAGATCTGCCAGATTGTCCAATCGCAATCGAGGAACGCTTCGGGAAAAGTGCCGATCTAGAGGGATCTTGCATGTTGCCTTGATCACCAGCTTGATCGGGGACTCTACCAACATGACAGCCGTGATGCTCATTCGAGATTCTTATGAGCCATGAGGCATGCGGTGGATGGACTTCAACAGGAGGACGCACACGAGACACGAAGAGAATGGTGGGTAGGGGACATCTGGTGGTGTGCATTTATATTGAACCCCTCAACTACTACTACTGAAGGTCCTATCAATAGTGCCTTCGGGTTGGTCGACGGTGATGCTCGCGGCGCTCTCTACACCGCCAGCAGCAGCATGACTCCCTGCCCTGTCGTGAGCGTCTGCCTCCTCCGTCTCCTGTTCATCATCCTCGGCATCACTATCCCCATTCACAACATCGCCCTTGTCCTCGTCCGCACCCTCATCGTTGCTTTCGTCATCTTCGACCGCACCTCCGGCTTTCGCAGGACCAGTCGACCCATGTTCCTTCCGCTTCGCTCGCTTCTCCTTCTTCGTCAATACAGCCCCTTTCCGCTTCGGCATAACCTGCTGCAACGCGGCGCCCCAATCCCCGCCATTCTCTAACCACCGTAGCATGATCTCAACCACATGGTTCGTCGCCAACACAGACCGACTTTGCAACTGCATGAACTCTCCGATCGGCAGCTTCGCTGTCTTGATGCCTTTGGAGAGCGCGAGGTTGTAGCAGAGGGACTTGTGACGATTCTTGTCGACAATTCCGCCGATGATGTAGGTGCTGTAGGGGTGCAGGTGGGTAAGGGTGTGTGGGGAGTCGGCTGTCAGGTAGATCGTCTCTCGGGGTGGAAGTGGTACCGATGGACCAGCAGTGGAGGTTGATTCTTCGTGCCCATTCACTTCACCGGATGCTTCGCTGTCCACGCCCGTTTGCTCGTTCGGGTCCTCCTTATTAGCGGCCTCTGCTTCCACAGCATACCGCGCAAAAGCCCCCTTCAACGGGTTCCTCCCCTTCGCACCATCCGCTCCCTCCATCCACCCCTTAGCCTGCTCCGCAACCTCCACAAATCCCTCTTCATGAAACGTCATCCCTCTCCATTGCTTATAGTGTCCGCTCAACACCGTATCAAATCTCTCCTTCAGCCTCCCTCCCCATCCGCTGACCGCCAAATGCGCCTGCAATGTACTCCTTGAGTTGTCCGAGTACGCCCGCGTCAGCTGCGAGCCTAAGGAGATGTACTCCTTCTCCATCATCAGCTCATCGAACCCACAGTCGATAATCAGTGTAATTGGGAGCTGGACTGGGTTACGCGGTTTCCTGGGCTGGAAGAGCGTTGGGTCAGGAGGTGAGGTGCCATTAGCTGTGGCCAGGGCGGCTTCTTCGTTGGCGAGTTTCTTGCGTTGACGTTTCTCTTTAGTTTTCTGTTTTCGTTTCGCTTTGCGGAAGTCTCGTCCGGCTTCCCATTCGTCGCGGCGTTTTTGTTTCTTGAGTTGGTTCTTGGATAGGGGTTTGGTGGTGGTTGTCGTGCCGTTCTCTGGTCCGGGTGTTGAGTCTTGGGCTACTGTCGGTGGCTCTGCTTGCTTGGATTCGCCATCTCGAGAACTGCCCTCATCAGAGACAATGATCTCCTGTGAGTCGATGTCGCTCGATGAGTTTCGTCGTAACGCTGCCGGCTGCTCTGCTCCAGATGGGTGTGAACGTTTTCTGATCTTTGCCGGCCTTTCGCTCTCCTCGGCTACATCCCTTTCCTCCATGTCGGGAGGCTGCCTGCAAGCCAGGCCGCTATTTCTAACTCCAATGACCGGGTTGCTGAAATCCGTAACGCTGGGCAATGCTCATAGTACGAACCTCATGTCCGTAGAGAACCGTACTACATTTCGACATTGAACATACTAGCGGCTTGGCACAAGATCTGGGGAAATTCACGTGACCAGTGAACCTCGAGCTCCAACGCACTGCACTCGCGGAGTGAAGCAAGTGCACCTCACGAAGCTCGACGCGCGACCTCCCTCCCTCCGTCGTCGTCGCAGGCTCGACAACTATCGTCCACCATGCCTCAGGACCTCCCTCCGACCGGAGGCTACGAGGCCGTCCAGTACAAAGTACGACCTACCGATGCAGCCCCCTCCTACCCACACCCCACGACCTTCCCACGACACAAAGCAGCGGCCTCTCACTAACATTCTACAGCGCAACATCCCAACCCGTGGCCTCCGCCCAGTCTGGTACCTCGCCATCATGGGCGGCTTCATGTCCTACGGCTGGTACCATCTTTTTCACGGCCAGCGCGAGAAGATCGAGTACGGCCGCGAAAAGGCCTGGGCGCGCATACATTTGACACCAGTGCTACAAGCAGAAGAGGACCGGGATCAGGTCAGACGGTACTATGCGGATCAAAAGCGGGAGAGGGAGTTGTTGGGTGGGAATACCAAGGTTTACAACTCGGATCGGTACGTCTGGTTTCCTTTGCTGTGTTGCAATATGTTGTGTTGGGTGTGATGGAGGGAAGTAGGAGGGTGCCAAATCATTTTCCTCCGGAGAATTCGGTGGTTCTGCGTTGGGCAGGGTCACACGCGTGGTCCTGGGAGAAGGCAGAGCCGCGGTTTCGACAAAGAGGTTTACAGTACACAGCTGCAACATCTGGGAGAGGCTGAGAGGACCATTGTTGGACATAACTTGCTGACATGCGTGTGCTACAGATTTGTAAGGCCGACGTTCGCTGCTGCGCCGGCAAGGACGCAGGACTGAGGAAGGCATTGTGGTGGAATTAGCGAACGCAAAATTATACACAACAAGGAAGTCTCAGAGACGGCAGCAGTGACCGTGGCTACCTCATTTGATCATGGCGCAAAGATAGGGATCTCATGAAACTCATGCATCAATTCGCAGTATCAAGCTGAAAAATAGCGACCATGTCAATCTTGACCGGGAGCTGAGTAGTGTTCGTGAACAGCGACATCAAACTCAGCGGTCAGACTCCTTGTTATTTCGAAGCCAGAGTGCACCATCCACTGCTCCCAAGGACATGTTGAATAGTGTGACATATCGTTGCGGAACAAGTGACAATGGCGGCCCGACCTACACGAAGACGATGCAATGTCGTGATCAGTCCGCAAAGCTCATTTGTAATCAGCTCCTGACCTCGGGATGACGAAAGCGTTAATATGCCTCCTACTATGTAAGAAACACCGTCCGCATCTCGATTCATTCAGAAGTATCACACGCATACAATCATGCGTCTCAACCCTTCGCCGTCGTCGCTGGCGTCGGCCCCGGAACAGGAGCCTCTGTCGCCCGTAGATTCGCCAAGGAATACCCCGTAGTCCTCCTCGCTCGCAACGAGAAGAACTTCAAAGACCTCGCAGAACAGATCAACAAGGACGGCGGCAAGGCAATCGGCATCAGCGCGGATGTCTCCAACCAAGACAGCCTCAAGAAAGCTTTCACCGAGATCGAGAAACAACTGGGCAGTCAATGTGCCGCTGCGGTATTCAATGCTGCAGGCGGTTTTGTCCGCAAGCCATTCCTGGAGGTGACGCAGGAGGAGTTTGCTTCAGGGTGGGAGGTCAGCCAGTACGTGCTTCTTCGCCAGCAGAGAGCGCACTGCAAACGCTGACCCGTTGACCACAGGAAGGGCGGCTTTCTGTTCTCGCAGCAGGCCCTCCCCTTTCTACTGAACCACGCAAAGGACGCCTCGGCAAAACATCCGCCGACACTCATCTTCACTGGCGCGACCGCAGGAGTCAAAGCGAATGCGAAGATGGCTACCTTTGCTTCTTCGAACTTTGCCAAAAGGGCTCTTGCAATCTCTCTCGCAAAGGAGTTCGGCCCGGAAGGTGTCCATGTCTCATGGGCGAACATCGATGGCCCGATCGATATCCCAGGACGTACTGATTACCGTATGCATTTGGCTACAGAGGCGAAGATCGACCCAGAGGATATCGCGGAGACCTACTGGAGTCTACACAAGCAGAGTAAGCGTAGTTTCACGTTTGAGGTTGATATCAGGACGAGTATCGAGAAGTGGTAGGATGGTCGCGTGCGCGACGAGGAAGGCTCTGAGACGGGCAGCAGTGACTGTGACCACCTCATTGCACCATGCACAAGACTAGGCGTATCCCATGCTTAATGCAATTTCTCGAAACGCGCCATCGTCCATGCCCTCTAGGCTGCGCCAAACATATCCGCAACGCCTCCCAAATCCACCCCGCCCCCATCATCCCTAGCCCGCTCCTCCACGCCCTGCATGCTCAGACTCTCCCGCTGCTTATACTTTTCCAGAATCCTACTTTGCTGGGCTCTTGTATCGATCTTTCCCAGGTCACTGATCCTCACGCCCCTGACCCCTTCTAGTAAGTGCATCACGATTGATCTGAGCTTCCTCGGCTTCGCATTCAGGCCTTCCTTGACCAGTGCCGCCGCAACAGCGTCGACCTTCTCCTCGGACATGTTGGGCAGGCTCATCAGCACATTTCGCGGCGTCTGTGTGAGTGCGGGGCGTTCGTATGCTGGCTGGCCATTGGCGGCGGGAATATGGCTTGGCAGGCCGTATGAGAGCCATATCATGGCAACCAGTTGGGCGTAGTATTGCTGATAGTCCGCAAAGTAGCCGTCGTTGACGGCCGTGATGGCGGCTTTAAGCATTTCCTCGGAGATATATTCACGTACCGGCGCGGTGGTCTCAATGGGGAGAGGGTAGTCGGTGGCGAAGGCGGCGACCAGTCGCTGTGCGGTGATGATCATGGTCTGAGTGGCCTTGGTGTCCTTGAAGGTGAGTGAGCGAGTGGTAAAGAGCACAAGTGCTCAAGGATTTGTTGGTTGGACAAGATGAAGTCGGCCATCGATTGTGAGGTATTGCCGTTGGTCAGGTGAGCGCCATTGACGATGGACTTCTTGACGCTCAGCTGCAGCTCCCTGCGTGGGCTGAGCCATAGTGAGACCATGTTGACGGCCTTGTAGGTTGTCTGACGCAGCACCGAGTCTTCACGCATCTCGTCGTTGAGGTTCTCCCCCTCTTGTGCATTTTGTTTGCGATGATCGATCTTGTCCCATTCGCTTGAGAGCTTCGAGGTGATTTGGTGGAGGAGCGACGCAAGGATTGGAGTAAGGAAATGCTGGCGATTTTCTGGTGGGCACTCCTCAATAAGCTTTGGCAGCATCAGCAACAGTGTCGAAAAGTGGTGTGGACTGAGAGGTCCAGTTGTTGATAGCATAGCTTCGGCGATGCTTTCGGGGATCTGTGGCATGCTGTAGAACCGTTCACCGAGCCTGCCTAACGTGTGCACAATGCTATAGCATTGCTCTAGATTAGTCCGCACCTTGCCCCTGACCGACGATGCAAAGCCCTCCAAAGTCGTTTTCGTGTTCTTGACCTTGGAGTGAAACTCGTTCATGGAGCCCTCTGAGATGCCAGACTGCCAGTAGCGATCACGCATCAACCGTCGTACCACTGGTCCCAGATCAGGCGGCATGTTCGGCCACGCTGATGGGTCGTGTAATCTATGATTGAAGCTCATAATCTGAAGCACACCATGCAGGATCTGTGAAATCAATGGGGTCCAGAGATCGCCGATGATCCTATGCGTGACAGAATTCTGCTCCAGTCGATCAGTTGAAGCGCTTAGAAGCACCCTTGTCTCCCGGAGTGGCAGGCTAGCAAAGGCGTCACCCATCTCCTGCTGCAATCTCTGGCCTTCCTGACTCGTGGAAACGGTAGTCCAGTCCTCAATATGTGCGGCATTAGCAGCTGACAGGAATGACCCGATTTGATCAAAGCCTTGCGAATGACAATAATGCTCGAACGATGATACTGCGTTCTGAGTTGCTGTACTGTTCCATGCCGCAAACACTGGCTCTAGAAAACTCCAAAGCCGATCTCGCTGCTGTTCAATGTCAGCTGAAGGTGTGCGTTGAACAATCAAGAACAATATCGAATTCATGTCGGTCCGGATCCGTGGCTCGAATTGTATCCTGCCGACGAGCTCGCCGAACTTGCTGCTTAGTTGGTCGTAAAACGTCGCGAAGTATTCTGTATGGCTCACAACAAGACGCCGAAGCTCTTGAATACTGAAGCCATACAAGTCCACTACAGCATCCGAATAGGCCGGAAACTCTGGACGAGTGGGCGTGAAAGCACTCAATATGAGCTCCATTACGCCAAGAGCGAAGGCCTTGTCGCTTTGTAGAGCTTTGTTCGACACTTCTACAGCCAACTTGATCTGTCGTTGTGTAACTGAGGGATCATTGAACCGGAGCTCCAAGAGCACGGACAGCAGCCATGTTCGGCATTTATCCAAACCACGCTCGCCAGTGGCACGATGCTCTTCTGCAGCGGTGCTGTGTCCCGACATATATCTGTCCAGGCCTCTCAGCATAGCTTCTGCGATGGAGCACTGAGACTCGGCTCGAAGTTGGAGCGGAGTGATCCTCTTGTAGGTGGAGAAATCTAGTCCAGCATCTGCTTGTTTTATGGAGCTCATGTTGTTGTTCAGCTGTGTAAGGATGAAGTCAACGGCTTGCTCAAGATGAACATAGCAGATCCATTCGATGATGGATCCACACAATCTTCGGTAGTTCAGGAAGAATCCTTGACGCTCGGGGAAAATCTCGATTTCTTCCGTCACAAAGAGCACAGCAGGCTCTTCGGTATCGTCCGGCATCTGATCATACTGGATCAGCCGCGGGAGAACGACGTCGAGCAAAGCCGGTACGCAGTTCGAGACAACATCTGTTCGCCGCCAAGACTTCATACTGAGCAGTCTATCCCAAGAATGCATGGCTGCGATCGACACTATCAGACTGTCGTGTTTAGCAATGCTTATCAGGAAGTCCAAGAACGACGAGACGTCCAAGCTGGACATTTCGGGTGGTGCAATCTTCGTCAACAGGTCCGACAATAGCGATATCAGCTCTGCCATTTTCTTCGAAATTGCATATTGTTGGCTGATGACCTCTTCGAATCCAACGACTGACCACTCGTAGACTTGGCGCAGTATGCTGACGCTTCCTGGCTGGCACAGAGGGTAGACGAGACTACGAATCTCCCCGTCTTGAAGCGACTGTCGATTATACAAGGCGATTAGAGCATCGACGGCCGCCATGATGATGTCTTCATCGTTCTTGACGAGACAGTTGCAGACCACCAGAAGACAGCCTGCTTCTTCGATAGCAGAAGCCATTATCCAGCCGAAGGCAGATCGAAGCGTCATTATGGCTTTCGATATCGTGATCTTCTCTTCGGCCTCGTGTGTCGTTTTGCCTAGAGATGATTCAAGGAACTTGGTTATGCGTACCAGCCAGCCTTCATCGCCATGTCGCATGTGATGTACAGTATTCCCTATCCTGATGCCGCCATCGTAGCTCGATCGGGGAGTGTAGATCTCGACCAGTGCCGTATTGAGATCACTTCCTCGTAGAACGGCGGTAGGATCCTCGCGTACAAACAAGTCCTCCGAGAGGTTCTCTAAGACCGCCAAAACAAAGCTTTTGTAGATATACGTTTGCTCCCAGAACTCGCATAGTAAGAAGTCCAGATCGTGCCAGTCCAGTGCCCAGCTTCTCTTCGCCAATTCGACCCATAGTTCTGAGATCTTGTTTCGAATGAACACCGGGTCGTCGTTGCTGATGTTCCGGCCAAGATCAATTATACATGCTCGTAGTTGGTCGTTTCGGGCATCATCGAATTCGTGCGACTGGTGTTTGACCGCATATTCCAGCAAGGACAAGCCGAAGTGTCGGACAAGTGGTTGCTGCGACTGCTCTGCCGCCAGCTCCAAGCCGCGTTGCAAGGCATGCTCACTTGATCTCAGGCCATCGAGGTATTTCGAGGCCTCTTTCCGAGTTTCGTTCTTGGTAGTAGGGGTGTGGATTAATTCGAGAGCCTGGAGAACATTCGAAGTGCTGTAATCGGATGGCACCTGGCCGCCACTGCCCTGCATTGCCAATTTATCCTGCCCGAGACTTACGACGAGATCTTCTCATTGCAGATCGCAACTTGACGGAGGACAACTTCGAAGTGGCTGGAAGACTTCATCTATCAGCCACAAGATCTTTTGAGTCCACCCTGCCCACGTGTCGGGTATAAGCGGAGCCCAGATGTATGAATCAGTTGTGTGCTTGCTAAAAAAAACACAATCTGCTGCGAAGCTGTTTGCTTGCAAAGATGCTGTTTTGCGATTGCAGAACTTTGATCGCGCGACACTCGATCTCTTCTTTGAAGTGACTGCTGTATGGTCAGGGATAGCCTGGACGCGGTGCCTCAAGCTTCGGCGGAGAGTGGCTACCCGAAGTGTTGTAGAACGCGTCGACTTCCAGATGTTGCCTTGTAAAAGTGATGCTGCCTGGGTTAGACACCGCTTATATGGTAAGAAGGCAGGAACAGCTAGCGCTAGGCCATTTGTGGACTAGCGTAGGCAAAGGTAGAGGCTGGAAGTAGGCAACTGTATTTGAGGCAACGCTCGATACCGCTCCGGCTCGGCTTCAGTCGCGGGATCGAGTGACCATGCGAACGATCAAAGAGGATCGAAGGAGACACGATGGAGTGCAATGATGTGTAGCGTAAGTGGGCCTTCACTCTTCGGCAAAAAGGAATATTGTTGTTCACTGAACCAGTCTCCAGCAACTTCGTTGTCAATAACACGTCTTGAACGTTGTGTCATGAAAACGGTCTGACTAGAGCGAGGCTATATCGAACGAGACTGCAATAGTCTTCTCTCATGGTGCAGCACCTCCCATGCCACGCCCCATTTTCCGTGCTCGGCCCTCACGTCGATTGTGATTCGCTCGTCCTCCTCGACCCCGTCCTCGACCTCTGCCTCGATCAGTCGGTGTGTCACCATGACTCGCCATGCCGCCTCTTCCACGCCCACGACCTCTAGTACTGTTGCTCGGAGAGACTCCTCCGCTGCCGGCGTTCTCATCGCCAGTGTCTACCTTGTGATCATCCGATTCGTCCATCGAGTTCTCTGCCGAGGCTGACCCGCGCCAGCTAGTCGAATCGACCTTGCGCTGGTTGCCACGGAAGGTGTTCACCGCCGAATACTTCTGCTGCAAACGTCGCTGCATGGCCGGATCCCTAGCCAGCATGATAGCCCATCCCTCGATCTGCTCGTCACTCATGCCGGTTTGTCGCTTGAGGTCCTGCCGCACCGGACTGATTCGTGTCTTGCTGTCCCTGGCAAAGATCGTGGTGTTGCCTCTCCATGCTGCATACAGGATCTCCTCGAATTGGCCCTTTCGCTCGTCTGTATCGACACTCTGATCTACACTGCCTCCAACGTCAACTTCGTTATACGTATCATCTGCTTCATCGTCATCAGTCTCGAAGGCCGCGAGCGCGGCGAGGGTCGCTGCTTTGCGCCGGTTTTCCTCGTCTGGCAATGACCCGTCAAGGTCCACTTTCCGGCGGCCTTTGTGCAGCTGTCTAGGTGATATTTGCAGTCTGTCGAAGTCATCATTATCGAACTTGTTCTGTCTCTTTGGAACGTGTGAAGGTATTGCTTTGGTTTTGGCTTGAGACGGCTGGGCTACAGGCAACTCCGGGGTTTCGGCTGTTGCGTCTTGAAGATGAGGTGGCAACGATGCCGGCTCCAGTAGTGCAGCAGTAGTCATTTCAACGTCATTGCTGAAGTGGTCCAGCAATCGCATGATGTAAGCCGCAGGCAAGTCAGGGAACAGCTCGTTTATCTGCGAGACCTGCGCAGCTTGATGAATGTGCATCTCTTCACTGTGGTCAGCCTTTCTTTTGCCCTTGTCAACTTGCCGTTTGCGTCGAGGCGGCACCGGGAAGAGCTGTCGTGTCTGTTCTCGGTATGCCATAAGAGCATCCAACATATCTTGCCCCCGCTTAGTATCCATCACCGCCGGATCGCCAGCGAGATGACGCAGAAAGTTTGTCGTACAGACAAGCTCACTCAGAAGAGTTCTGATTTCTGCTTTCTTCGCACCCAATTGATCTGCATCCGTCCTCATAACGTACAGCTGATCGATCAGAAGCGCCGGATGTCTGGTCTTGTCTGACATCAGGCTTCTGAGACACTGAAAGAGGTGTTCGACTATGATGCGGCGGTGCGTGTCTGCCTCTGAAGATGTTGTAAGGTTTCGATACAGCTCCATTACAGCCTCGAGGTAGTCGGCCCCAGCCATGAGTTTGAGGCCGCTTTCGGGATTAGCACGAAGAAGCCCGCTGATCTCTTGCAGCGCATGCATAGACTCCGGTTCATTGCTGCGACTCGTAAATCGTTTGATACCATTGATCTTCCATGACTCGATTCCGGCAGAAAACTGTTTCGGGTATTGTTTTGCTATGGCCGCCACCAGTCGAGGAAAGTCGCTGACATTGAATGTGGAACTCGATCCTATGACAATGTCAATGAAAAGCTGTGAACCGCCATCAACAATTATTTGGGTGCCCAGCAAAAGGCGCCTGAGCAAGAAATATGTTCTCTGATGGACTCGTGCTTCCTTCGAACCTGGTTCCAGTTTGGCTTGCTCTGGGCGGGCTTTCAAGTACGACTTGACGAAGTCGAGGTCGCTTTGCCCGAAGCTTGCCTCCAGAGTGCGAAAGACATCATCGGACAGCCGTAGTCGATACTCTAAACCGAGCAGCCAAACATCTAAACACGCCTGCCATTCGTCTGGCGGCAGACTTTTCCATGTCTGGATGTTGGGAAAGGCGATGAGCGGTCGTTTCAGCCTCTCATCATCAGCCATCCTGTCCACCCGTTCCCTGTCGACTCCCACCAATATTTCGAGTTAGCGATACTGAGGCACTTCCAACATCAAATTGTCATCGTTATTTCTTCCTCAAAGTCATAAGGCTACGATGCAGCCTTGACCAGATCTTCCATTGTACTAATTGGGACTAGTCACTAGTCACATCGAAATCTTGGCATCCCACTCCGACATGAATATCTGTGCGAACTGCGCGAACCATTTTTGTTTCTTCTCTTCAGCCTTCATCACTTTGCCGAGTAACACCGTTGCTCAAGTCGTGTTGGCGCATCCGACGAACTCATCCGATCTTCCTCCATCATCCACATAAACTACACCACCAGTCAAAATGTCCTACCAAAAACCCGAGAAGGATTTCGGCGGCGAGGGCCCCAAAACCCACAAGATCCGCATCACCCTCACCTCGCGCAAGGTCCAGTCCCTCGAGAAGGTCTGCACCGAGCTGCTCGAGCGCGCCAAGTCCAAGAACCTGCGTGTCAAGGGCCCCGTTCGCTTGCCTACCAAGGTCTTGAAGGTATGCTGAGATGGTGAAAGCGCTCGCAGGCGCGCATATGGGGAAAACCTTGCTAACTGGTTGTGCTAGATCGCTACTCGCAAGACGCCTTGTGGTGAAGGTTCAAAGACTTGGGATACCTACGAGATGCGCATCCATAAGCGCCTGATCGATCTCACTGCGCCGACCGAGGTTGTCAAGCAGATCATTATCAATATTGAGGCTGGTGTTGAGGTTGAGGTCACGATCGCTGCATAAGCGCAGCCTGTATGGAACTGGGACCTTACGCCACAGAAGATTCACCCAGCATGTTGACCGACGCTACGAGAGTCGCGACTTCGTTTCCGGGGTAGCACGTACTCATGGAGGCATGAAGACGCAGGAGCCACGATACTGCCGAGAACATTTGTCAATGAAAATCACGGCTTCTCAATCACATCTATTGCACATGAACCGTTGTCAGATTGGTGAAATATCTGTCTAAGTATAGCTCAACCTTCAAGAGCTGTCCAGCACTCGCGCTGCCACCCTGTCGTGGCATCTGTTTGGGTATATCGAGCAAGGTCTTGGTACAATGCCTCCGTTTTGATCTTACATCGTGCGCGTGCCGTAAAATCCTCCTGCGACTGGGCCTAGAAGTCGTAAGCGACCCAGGCCCTCATAGGCGGCACCAGCGGCAGCTTCCCATCCCTGAAACCACCCGTCTCGTACAAATGCCTGTACTCATCCACTACCGTCTCCGTGTAGTCCTCTTCCTTGGCTTGGATATCGAACTTCTTCAGCTCGGCGCTGAGCGCAATCAGCGCGGGATCATTGCCAGCCTTGGGGTGCCAGATCTTTTCCGGCTGCCTTGTGTCCGGACGCGTATAAGCAAGGATTGGTTCCTGTCGCACGGCCTTACCGTCAATGGACTTGTCGGGTTGTGATTCGTATGTTGCGCGCTGTCCACGGTAGGAGGAGAGTCTGCCACTAGAATCTGTTTGTGGTGGCCTTGGCGGCAGAGACTGCGTTACGTGGAGTGGCGCGGATGGTTTGCCTGTAAGTGGGTTCGGAGGGTTGAGGGTGTCCAGCGTCGCGTCGCCAGCTGGTCCTGAACTTGAAGACGGTCGGCCGAATGGGTTTGCTGGAGGCTCATGCGTGACCTTCGCGCTTGAGGTCTGACCTGGAGTCGTTGACGCGCCGAAGCCTGAGCCGCCTTGACCGAACCCAGTGCTGGCAGTCGTGCCGCCGAAAGGGCTTGCCGCTGGCTGCGCAGGCTGCCCGAAAGCTGTTCCAAACCCTGAAGAAGGCTTAGCAGGTTGACCGAACGGAGATGCTGGCTGACTCGATTGACCGAAACCCGCCGGCTTGCCAAAGGCGTTGGACGGCTGGCCTTGCTGGCCGAAAGGATTCGCGCTCTGCGTATTTTGGCCAAACGGATTTGGAGGCTGCTGCTTTTGCCCGAATATAGAATCGCTCTGTGACGCTTGACCGAAGGCAGGTGTTGTTTGCGAGGCCTGTCCAAAGCCAGACGTCGGTTGTGAAGGCTGGCCAAAAGCAGTTGTAGGCTGAGGCGCTTGTCCAAAGCCAGAGACTGGTTGTGAAGGCTGGCCAAAGGCAGTGGTAGGCTGAGCGGCCTGGCCAAGTCCTGAAGTCGGTTGTGAAGGTGCGCCAAAGGCGGGCGTAGCCTGTGCTGTCTGCCCGAAGGCACTCGTGCTCTGACCAAATCCACTAGATGCGGATGATGCTGCGAACGGATTCTTCTTTTCTGCTTGGGCTTGTCCAAACCCTGTGGAACCGAAGGATGGGGTGCCAAAGGAAGGTGCACTGTTACCACCGAGGGACGGCTTGCCGAATGCGGTAGCACCAAAGGCAGGAGTCGATGACTGGCCGAATGATGGTGTGGCTGCCTGCCCAAACGACGGTGCGGAATTCGACCCTCCAAACCCTGACTGCCCAAAACTAGGTTGCCCGAATGCAGAAGGGCCTGTTGGCTGTCCGAACGTCGACGTTGCAGGCTTGCTGAATGGGTTCGAGTTCGTGTTCTGATTCTGTCCAAAGCCACCGGTGCTATTCGTAGCGCCTGTGGAAAACGGTGAAGGATCCGCTCCAAATGAATTCCCTTGACTGCCACCGAACGTTCTCGTGACCTCCTCGCGACTTTTGCGGCCGTCGAAGATCGACACATCTGAGAGATCCAGCCGATTCGGTCGCTTCTTCTCTGCTTCATCCATGAACTTTGAGACATCACTGACGTTGTTCAAGATGTTCTGATAGTCTTGCTCGATCTTGGTGAACATCTGCATAGCTTCCTGATCGGCGGAGGTGCCTTGTCCAGTAGACGCGGCGAGGTAATACCGCAATCTGATCTCTTCTGTGCTGAATTCATTGTCGGTCATGAGCGATGCTGGCGCTGTTTTCGTTGGCGCATACGCGGAGAAGATCCATTTTGGTCGAGCCTTATTGCCGTCAAGATCGACAGGTACATCTCTCGTTATCGTGCTTATGTCTGCACAACGATTAGCAACCATTGCAAAGTTCTTCATGGTACAAAGCGGATGGATGATCGAGAGAAGAACTCAAGGCATTGCGCAACACTCGAAGCCTTGATGCAACGGAAAGTCTTGAGGCTCGTAAGCGCCAAGACAGCTGTGAAGTGAAGAAGTGAATAGAGCCGATAAAGGACAGTTCACTCAGAGGCCATTACTTGCTAACTCTGTAAAGCCATCCCCGAATCTTCTCGAGGAGCCGCGATGTATATCTCTGATAACGCGAGCCAAATTGCTTACCTGATCCTGCGGTGCTGCCAGCACGGTTACTGTTGGCATCGTTTCCGGACGAGCCATTGAATGCCCCGAATCTGTTGTTGCTCTGGCCACCACCCCTAGCCGACGCTGGATGTTCATTGCGACAATTTTCTAGTCCACCATCAGAGTTGTAATCAGAAAACGGCTCAATCGTACTTACGTCCGAACCTGCAATGACCTTGCAAGAAGAACTTGCAGACTACCATTGTTCCTATACCGTCGTCACCGCCCCGTCGCTGTCATCCTTCACCAAGGGGGCGAGCTGCTGTGTTGGACTGCTTGACGACCAGGAATCTAAATCTAGCACACCAGAATAAGTGTTCGCGAGCAATTGGCTTTGAGCGTTCTATAATTACGCGTGTTTCTGAGATGAATGAACCATCCTGGGATTCATGAGGCACGATCCATGAGATGAAACGTGTTGATATTGAGGGATGTCGCACACGGACTTAGCACACCTAACTCCGCTCGCACATATTGGTACTTGATCAGGCTGTCCGATCTAAGATACCTTACGATACATCAGAAAATCGAAAATCTGCGCTTCGCAAGGCCACTTAGTCGTAGGCCTGCATTTACAGTCTGGCGTCGAGAAGGCCACGAGAGCATTGACGCCGCATGATCGGACACCTTACAGAAGATCACGACAAAGAAGAGATTCCGATTCCTAAGTTCTGGCTTGATTCGTCTCGCTGACCAGCTACATTCAGCTTCAACTCGCGCAGAGAATACTCTGGTCAAGGGACAATGTGCGCCGCGATTCAATCCGCGTCGTGATCACTATGAAAGGTAGGAGTGAGGTCTAGATTGGAGGATTATCGGAAGAGAAGATCTTTCAGATTGCTAAGTCCCATTCGTAACGACATAGTTGCCATTATTACATTATTACTTTGTTTCCTGATTTGGGCCCTGATCCTACCTTATCCTGCCCTGACACCTTCGTGGGCCATGGCCTGGGCCGAGCCATCCCAAAGATGTCGAAAGATTGGTCGCGCTGATCAGCTACTCAGCGAATAGCGACTTACTGCAGAATTGAATGCTAGAAGACTCCCGCCTAATTCGCGCTTGAGTCTTCATCCATGCCGGAGAGATGAGAATTCCTCGCCGTCTGCCCAGGGTCGTGAACTAGCGACGGGGTTTTCCAGGCTTTTGTGGACCTTTGACGACCGGCTTTGGCGGCGCTGGCGGCGGCGGTACCTCATCGGCACCTTCGACTTTCCAAACGAGCTTGGCACTGACACCTGACATATCCCGCTGGAGATCAATGCTCAGGATCTCTCTCTGACCGTTGTTGACCCGAGTTGAGTTCAGCCAGGTTTGGATGTACTCTCCCCAGCTCAACAGGATCTCCGTGTCGCGTTGAAGTCTAAGATCAGCCTGGATTCTGGCTTTGTGGATCAGCAGATATTCATTTCGATCTCGCTCGCTGTCGAACTCCTGTACTGCTGTAGCAATAAGCTCCTCGAATTGTTTGTTCTTCTCTGTGGCCCACTTCTCATGAGCAGCTCTTGACGATTGTTGTAAACGTGGACATCACAGTCCCAGCAGAGAGATGGCTGGTTGAAGACATGTTCTTCTTCGTTGAATTTCGTGTTCGGATTGTGTGGTGCTGGACCGCTTGGCTGTTCGAACTTGTGGGGACAAGAACTAAACATGATCATCGGCTTAGGCACAAGCACCTCCTTCTGTTCCTCGGGCACAGGCGCGGCTTTCGGTTGCTTTGCTGGAGGTGTGGCCTTCTGTTGCTTGGGCGCCACCCGACCCATTGGTCGTTTCATGGCAGGCTTAGGTGGTACAGGCATCGTGATGAGTGTTTAGTCATGAGAATGAACGACCAGGAAGCTCGGTGCGGACTGCTGCATGAAGACGACATTAAATGGTTGCATTTAGGCTGCGCATCCGCCAACAAAGGCCTCGACAACAAGGACATCGACAACAAGGACCTTGTACAGTGAGCTGGCTGAGCATTTGTTGGGTCGACCAGACCTATTCATCGTTACACTAATTGAGTGTTGGTGACCTGGCCAGACACGGATCAATGCCAAGAGCTTCACAATGACCAGGCGTAGGTCTATAGTCATTGACATGGGCAGGCATCTGACAGGCAAACTATGGCCAGCGCCGACGACGGAGCTGACCGCAATGCCAACCGAAGCATCGATGGTTATCGCTTGTGATGGTCTGATATCCGACTGGTGATTCCTGATGTGTCAGCAATCGCGTTCAATTCTTCACTCCTCGGTGCTACTGTTATTTTTACGCTTTCAATGGCCGAAGATGCTGAGTGAACGAGAGCTTATACTTGGAAGTACGCCTGCTCGGCCGGGAGCTTCTAACCTGAAAAGCATGGAAACAGCCGGTCTCATCTCAAGGACTTGGGCTGCGAGCTTCGAGGCTTGACAGATTGACACGGTACTAGGTCTTTGACGGCCATATGGCCATCAACAGAGGCACCCGCGAGCGTGGACTTCAGAAAGCCAGCCCTGAATATTTGCGCCGCTCGGGCATCGCAACGAGCAGACAGCCGTTCGACGATTTTATATTGGTGTACGTGTAAGGCTGGCGATCCGGGCAATAATCACGAGTATTCCCAGGCATTCTCGGTGTACTTTGCAACTACTTGTGCTCGTAGTAGCCCCAGACATAACGCCCGGCCTTGGCATTGTTGATCGTGAGGTGACATGACATGACATCACCTACGTCTTTTCGTCGAGGAAGCATCTCCCAAGACCGTGACACGCGTTTAATATCCGCAAAAAAGATGCGAACAAGAAGCAGTTGCGGAGGCCATGACGTACTGTGTGTCTAGCACCGATGTTGTCTTACTGCAAACAGTGTAGGTTCGATCACGACCACTGCCAGGATTACCTGTGCCTGAAGAAAACCTGGCAGGCCAGTACATTTTTAGCTTTAGGGTGGCACCTCAAGCTCCTCTCGGTCAAAGCTTGCGAATGAGCTTGTTCGGAGTAGGAAGACCGGCACATTAAGCGAGACATGGCGTCAGGTACAGGATCAGATTTCAGTTGCCGTTAAAGGTCCAATGCCGGCCAGGTAGAGAGTATCTTGCTTCACGTCCAAGCATCCACGAAGCCAAGATGCCATCGATACTGACCTTCCTGGTTCTCGCCGGCACAGCCAAAGCAGCCACACCATTGTATAGCACTTACGAGTTCAACCCACTGCAGCATCTGAGCGGCGTAGCGCCGTACTTCGAGCCGGCAGATCCACCGCGGGATCCAAATCCACCAGAAGGATGCACAGTGACCAGGGCTGCTTACCTTGTCCGCCATGCTGCTATCAACGCCAATGACTTCGACTCCGAGGAATACATCGACCCATTCCTTGAAAAGTTAGGCAACAAGTCAGTAGACTGGTCTAAGTCACCTGCTCTCTCATTTCTGAGTTACTGGATACCGCCAACTATAGTCGAAGAAGAACAACTGACGAGGACCGGCAAGCTGGAAGCCGCCCAACTTGGCCTGACGGTGTCCTATCGCTATCCAGGCTTGCGGCTGCCTGAACGTGTCTGGGCTTCCACTGCAGAGAGGACGGTGAAGTCTGCACAGAGTTTCATTCGTGGATTGGAGGTCGAAGATGACACGATCAATCTGGTAGAGATCTACGAGGGCGAGGAAGACGGTGCGAATTCGCTGACCACGTACGAGTCTTGTCCGAAGTACAAGTCCAGCTCGGGATCTGATCAGGAAGCAACCTACCTTGACAAGTACACTGCTCCAATCATTGCTCGATTCAACGCGAATGCGTCTTCATTCAACTTCACCTCAGACGACATCTTCGCCATGCAGTCCATTTGTGGCTATGAGACGGTCATTCGGGGGTCGTCCCCATTCTGCTCGACGGAGATCTTCTCGCCTGACGAATGGCTCAGCTTTGAGTACGCGAACGACATCTTCTACCACTACAACACTGGCTATGGAAACGACAACAGCGGCGTCATCGGTTTCCCTTGGGTCAACGCCAGCCTCGGTCTTTTGACGGCGGATCAAGCAGACCAAGATATTTATGTCTCGTTCACGCATCGTGAGCTACCACCAACTGTCTTGGTAGCTATGGGTCTCTTCAACAACAGTCAATTCTCCGGCGCGAACAACGTCAATGCCACTATGCCTTTGGATCAGATCAACTACAACAGGGCCTGGGTGTCATCGTACATCTTGCCGTTCCTCACCAACATAGCGATAGAGCGCATGAATTGTAGTGGACCAGAGTTCGAGGACTCGGATGATTCCACGTACTATCGCGTCATGGTCAACGCCAGTCCGCAGACGCTGCCGGGATGTAGCGACGGACCGTTGGAGAGCTGTTCGGCGTCTGGATTGCAAGACTATCTGAGTGAACGGGCGGCAATGTTTGGCGGCTTTACGGAAAGGTGTAACGCGACATATTCGAACTCAACGGACGTAGTCAGCTTCTATACGAATTCTAATAATGGGACCAGTGTGGGTTGAGGGGCTTTTGGGTTGTGATGCACGGGGTTAGTGTTCTTGAAAGAGCTCACGAGCGTGATCGTCGATATGGTAGTCAGACCATTTGTCGGGTGACGAAATGAGGAGAAACGATTTCGATATTGACTGTAGGTGGATTTCGCCATTCTCTCAGTACTGGAAGTTCACAGTGCTGTGCACTAGCCGCTGCAGCAAGCCTTGACGTGTTCGCCGCAATTTCAAGGGAAGGAGCAACCCGGACGTCAGGTACAACTGCCGCTTTCAACCACATTCGTGCAAAACAATTCTGGCCCTAGTCTGCTCACTCATCCCATTTTAGTCCTGCCGGTCTCATCACCTGAATGGACTGCGAAACCCACAGCTTTGCAGCTTTTGCGGAAGCCTAAGTCAACGACTTTACGCCGAGCTTCGAGCAATTCTCAATTCCTGTCACGTACTCAGTCCTCATGGCGGAATTCGACGACCTCCCAATTGAAGTCCAAACAATGATCCTAAAGGCGGCGTTACCCGATGAGATTCAGCTGAAGCTGCGGCACGATATCGAGACTCATGTCTATGCTAGGAAGCGTGAGGATCACTATAAGAGCAAACCCAAGACGGCTTTCCGTGAAGTACAAGCTCTACGACAAACACCTATCGTTCATGGCAAGAAGGAGATGGTCAGCCTCGGAAGCAAGGGAAGGTTGAACCACATCCACACTCTTGTATGGACACCGCACTGGGTGCCTAGACTTGCTCAAATCAACAGATCTACCGCACAACAAGCACAGTCGCTGATAGTGAAGGCTGTGGCGGTTGTGATCGACGAGAGCCTCGTATGGGAGCACAGCCCTCGGATGGGAGGAACACGCCTGGGACGCCTTCGGAGAACAGACGTTTTCGCTCGAAAAATTCCTCCTGTGAAGCTGCAGCTTCTTCCGCGATGGATTCGATCCAACATCAAGACTTTGTACATGGAAGACTTGGCTGAACGCTCCAATCTTCATCCCGAGCTGTTGCCGTTCGCCTTCGTCGACGTATCAGAGTTCTCGAGACTCACAGAAATTATGCTCTCGCCTCAAATCATGCAAAGGATGTGCATGGATGAGATCCGCGCCCGACTTCGCCCACACCCCGGCACACCTCGCGCCTACAGTGTTCATGCAAATGTATTCAAGACCAGCGATGACAACTTCGGCTGCGCTGTTCCTACAACAGACTGGATCAAGCAAGACCAAGGTCTGGTCAAGGCACTCGTAGCTCGTCATGTGGTGGACAAGGTTCGAGGCGAAGGTGCCGCGGCCGCAGAAGTCGTTGAGAGAATCTATCGCGACAGCAACGCGCTTGCCTAAGACAACAACAGTCGCCGTCTGGATTCAAACCAGTACGAGTGTTATGTTGTCGATAAACCGCCGAGCCAGGGACATAGGCAGAGGCCACGCCCATTCTCGTCAAGAAGCTTTGCTCTGTTAACACTTGCGCCAGAGGAATGTGCGTATTCACAAGTATTCCATTCCATAGAATGAGTATGATTAGAAAGTACAGTACTCCGAGATAGTCTTTTATGTAACCAAAAAGCTAGCCATCAATCTCGATGATCGAATAATCAACAACGCAATTACATAAGCATCCCGTAGGATTGTAAGGTTTCGAAGCTGCTTCTGGGCACACGCCTTCCTACCTAGTATGCAAGTCTCACTTGCTACATTTCTCCCGAACAAAGTGGCTATTGAAAGCTCAGCGGCTTGCTGGCTGCTCAATACTTTGGCGCAACCCCGATGACCTCGAGGTCGCATGCAATGTGCGCCAAGATGACCACCACCTTCTACACCGGAAGCTCGTGTGTTGTGCCAAATGCGGAACCAGGTCTACGCTGTATCAATGCAACCACTTTCCGAAGCGCTCTAGATCACTGCCATGCAAAAGGCGCAACTATACGCACAGAAGCTCGGCTAGCAGATCCTTTACGGACACCAGGACGTTGTCAGGAGCTTATGAAGAGTAATCGGATTTCCTTGCGCTGACAACCTGCACTAGTCGGCAGGGCCTTATTATTACCGCACCAATGCATATCAGACGGTAGGACAACTTCGAGTCCCTCATCCTACTCAACTCCCTTGCAGCATAGATATTTTCCAGCGCCTGATACTCAAGTGAATATCTGCTATGTCACAAATGAGAACCTGAGACGAGATAAGAGAGGGTGCCCATTATCAGACAGACTTCGACGATGCGTTTCTTTAGCCTTCCAGCTGAGCTTCATTTAGAGATACTTGCACTCGCAATACCCGCGAATACAACCCTCAATGTGGTGCATGAGCTGACGACGGAAGCACAAGAGGGTCTAGCTAACACCCAGCAACGTCCAGTATACCGAAACGACGTCGTTACGAAGATTGGATGCTACAGTGGTACTGGACACGTACGTGAGCTATACACGGCCGCCTATCGACTTTCCTGGGAACCTAGCTGGGTTCCTGAGCTCACGTTTGTGAGCAAAACATTCACGCCTCTTGTTCGGTCGCTACTCAGCAAGACTGTGCAGATTCGTGTCTCGGAACAGTCAGTTCGAGAGCCTGCCACCAGCGGTGTTGGTATGCTCTCCATTTTCGACCGTCGTATTGAAAATAAGGTTCCCTGGGCTGGGCAGCTGCCGAATATCAGACTTGGAGGCCTTCCCACCTGGATCACGTTGCGCGCAAGAACATTGGTGATCGAGGCCCTGGAGCCAGAGCGAGCAGCCCGCAGCTTGAGCTTCCTCGAGCTCGACCGCTTCGCAAGTCTCCGAGAGGTCACTGTGGGACTGGGAAACGTGGTCTCGGTGTCGGACACTTCATCATACACGAGCGATTTCGACATGCTCGTGAAGCTGGAGAATGTTTGCAGTAAGGATGGTATCGACATCCCGGTATATCATTGGAAGGCTCGGTCCGACATGTCGTTGAACAGGTCACTGCAGCAGGTGCTCCTGGGGGCTGATCGACAGGATAAGGAGCCTTCGACGCGATATACTCAGACAATACTGGGGAAGTGAGCCAGACCTGTCGGTGAGTTGAGACATGCCGACAGCTGAGCAATAGGCTGCAGCGAACGGTCCAAAGCATGCGATGAACAAAGTCCGCTGGTGAGCCACATTCGAAGCGAAGTAGCAATATTTCGGATTGCAGGGTGGCGTCATCCTCGTCGAATCAAATGAAACACCATTCTGGGCAGTCACCGCTATGAAGCGCTTTCATCGCACTGTCACTACTACACTCGTGCCGCTGGCGAGGTCCCGAAGGTCCATACCTCAGACACTGGATCAGACGTTCTTTGTCTGTCCCTTTGTCGGTTCTTTGACCAGCTCAACTCAAGCTCAAACTTCATTGAGGTTCTTTGTCTCGCGGCCATTGATTACGGGGCCTTCAATCAATTTCTCTATTTAGCTCGCTTTCTGCTTGACCTAATCTGAGGTCGGAGGCCAAACGACGACACTGACCTGCTGACTGAAGAGAAGGAAACCCCGCAAGAGAAACTGTCGCTCAGAAGTCGTCGACCACAAGCGGCCGAGATGTCGTCCTGGGCCGATCTCCCCGTAGAAATCAAGACCAAAATCATCAGTCTCACGCTACCAGATGATGGCATCACTCTCATAGCAGAATATCGGAAGGCAGACGAACAACCTTCTGATGAAGAGATCGACGCCGACAATCGGCAGCTGCAGCGACGCCTTTGCTTCAGCCCCGCTGAGGTTTCGGATCTGTTGCACATCGACAAGGAGATCTCTGGCATCGCGAGATGGCTCATATCGAAAGCCACAACCACAATTGCTGTCGATCTGAAACCACGCCTCTTGACCTTTGACGTCAAGTCGCATCAGGCCTACCCCATCAGACTCGGACTTTTGCCTCCATCGATGATATCCAATGTCAGAAGACTCGAGTTCGTTACCGGAACAGCCAAGCCTGCTTTCATGGCACTCGACGTGTCTGAGCTCCCACAGCTAGAACACATAGTCTTTCCGCGATGGCTGTTTCCATGTCTCGAAGAGGAGTCAAAGCTCTTACTGCCACATGTGCCACAATCATATGTTGCACTTAGGCTCCGGCGTCAGATCTTCGACTTCTTGGACGAAAACGAGGAGGAGAAATTGCTGATCCCAACGGCAGACTATCTGGCGCAGGGCCAAAATGACAAAGGACTGATCAAAGCTGCTCATACCCAGCTCAGTGCGCTGGCTCGTCGTATCGACCCAGTTCGAGCGGAGAGCTGCGACTGGACTTGGCTCATGCGGATATCCTGTCCCGACGAGGTCTGTGATTGTGGTTACGGTCTTCACATCGGTGGTCACGCTCGTCGCAAGCGGATATTCGCAAGAACCGTGGTTTACCGGTAGAGAGTCAACGCTCCAAAGCAACAACGAATTTACACACCTCCCAGATCATTTCGTACATAAAGCTCATGTCTTCACATACCAGCTTTCTGTAGACCCCCAAGCATCACGTGCTATAGAGCAGAATTGTGACCATGGCTCAGCTGACTTCAGCTCACAGACGCAGTCGATGTCAAGATTGAGTATGTGTACAAATGAATGTAGACCGTTTTGCACTGTGTTGCTTGCGCCGTAGTATGTCCCTTAGTTGCGGCCACTTTGTGACTCAGAACGTTGATCCCCAAGCGCCCGCTCCGCCACACATAAGATCGACGTCATCTGTTGCCAAGGCTGAAGCGGAGCCTCACGCGTGGTCACCCCGCCGGCCTCCGCTGGGACTCTGACTGTCGCAGGATCTCGTCAGAGAATTGGCGCAGCCTGACAGCGTAGTGTGTGCGAATGTCCGCTTTCTGATGGCTGCGAACTCCGCGGGACCTCCGCCAGTTCACTATCTCCTAGACGTCCACTGAAGAGGCACATTCCGCTGCAAGTCCGCACGTGCTGGCTGACATACCTTCGCAACCATGACCTCTTTCCTCCGTGGCAAGCAAGCCGGCATCTCCGGCGACCTATCCCTCGGCATCGACCCCTCCACGATCCAACTCGACGACTTCGCGCGCTATGGCATCAACTCCCAAGTCTCTACCTTCGCCTACGACCCTACACACTCTCTCCTTGCGGTCGGTACCAACGACACGCGCTTCGGTCGCGGACAGATCTACATCTTTGGTCGAGGCCGAGTATGCGTCACCTTACCTCTACCACGTCAAGGCGCCTCTGTCCGCGAGATCCAGTTTTGCGGCGAGAAGCTCGTGGTGCTGGACAACAAGAACGATATCAGCATCTTCAGTCTAGTGGAGAAGAAGTTGAAGACTACGTATGCGCCTCCGGGGCATGTGACATGTATGGTCACGGATCCAAGTCTGGACTATTGCTTCACGGGATTGAGCAATGGCGAGGTGGTGGCATACGATCTGGACAGGGAGGGCATGACCGCGTATAGGATACCGAATCTATGGAGGGAGGGAGGCATGATGGGCCCGGATCCACGGCGGGCAAGAGGGGTCGTTCCGGTGGTGACAATACAGTTTCATCCGAGGGATATAGGGAAAGTGTTGATTGGGTATAGCGATGGGGCATGCACGTACAGCTTCAAGCAGAACAAGGCGCAGGTCTTCATGAAGTACGAGGTGCCGCGTGGCGCTCCTGGTGGAGACGGGAATTCTGGAAGAGACGTCAGGTCTCCGAGGTTGACGCATGCGGTCTGGCATCCTACGGGCGCGTTTGTCCTGACGGCGCACGATGACGGAAGCTTAGTGTTTTGGGAGCCTGGCAGTGGGCGACTTTTGGCCGCCAGGACGATACAAGACATCGACATCAATGTGCCAGGTAGCAGACGCGCCCCAACGATGATCCCGGGAAGTCCGCTGGAGCCGACGAGTCCTGGCGGAAGTCTGCTGAGAGATCCGTACAAGCGGATAGTGTGGTGCTCGAAGGAGAACCCAGATGACACAGGCATTCTGGTTGCTGGTGGCTCGCAGGGGAGTAGTCCTACCAAGGGTCTGAGCTTCATCGAACTCGGAGCTACGCCAGTGTATCAGACATCGAGTTGGGATGCGCTGAGTAATCACTTCCGCAATCCGAGAAAGGTGCATGTTTTGCCCACGCCACCAAATGCTGAAGTGGTGGATTACCTCCTCATACCCAGAACGAGTCCATACTACAACGGTGGGCATGATCCAATAGCGGTGTTGGTAACCATGACAAGTGGCGAGCTCCTGACGATGAGTTTTCCTAGTGGACATCCTATCAATCCGACGACGCATCTCAGCGTACATCTCAGCTTCTTGCATCCTTTTGTCACCAAAATAGCATTGGCGTCGTTTGACCGGACTAGATGGTTGGGCACGAGGGAGTCACGACAGCATGGCCCTCTGTTTTTGCAGGGCGGAGTGGAGGGCACAAGACCAATGAAGAGATTCGAGAACCGGAACGTGATACAGACTGCTCATGCGGACGGAACGATACGAGTCTGGGATGCTGGGCACGGCGATGCGATCGAAAATGGTATCATCGTTCAGGCGGACCTCGGCCGGGCTCTCGCTAGGTGGGACAATTTGGACGTCGCAGCGATGTCTATGTCCGGTGCGTCCGGTGAGCTCGCCGTAGGTCTACGATCAGGAGAGCTAGTGGTCTTCCGATTCGGCAACAACAAGGACGCCGGTCGTCCCTCTATAGACGAGGACAGGCAGGGTCCTCCGCCTGGCCAGATGAAGGATGTCTCGCGACGAGTCGATCCAGCATTGAAAGCAGGACTCTTACCCATGACGATGTGCAACGATCAACAAGGACCAGTGACGGCGATAAAGCAGTCAGATGTGGGCTTTGTGGCGGTCGGGTATGTCAGTGGGGGTTTGACAATCATTGATCTACGAGGACCCGCGATCATTCACACGCAGATGTTGTCAGATGTCAAGCACGAGAGAAACAAGCGAATGAGTGTCAGAAGGAGTAACAGCGACAAGCCATCATCTGCAGAATATGCTACGGCGCTTGAATTCGGCGTGATGACGCTCGAGCATGATGGTGAGTTGAGCCTTGCGCCTCAATGCCGACAACGTGACTGACGATCATCGCAGACTACTCCTCGATATGCCTATTCGCCGGAACGTCTCGAGGCAGAGTACTGACTTTCAAGATCTTGCCCTCCCAGTCTGGGCGCTACTCAGCTGCACAAGCTGGGGTCGCTCAGATTTCCGACGATCGCGTCGTCTCCATCAGCGCCATAGATGCTCGCTCCGGCAGCCCCGCGTATGCCACGGGCCATGCGGTCGGCGGCCTTGCTCAGGGACTCAGAATCGACGGCTCTCTCGTCGTCTGCACCATGGGCTCAGCACACATCTTCAAGCCCGCCTCGAGCAAAGGCGCAAGCAAGACCTTCGACGGCGGGTTCTGCGACTCCGCCAATGTCGCGCAGTTCGAAACCAAGGGCTTCGCCCTGATAGCACTGTTTGGTGATGGCACGGTCCGCGCTTTCTCGCTGCCTGGTCTCAAAGAGATCAATGGCCAAAGAATCAACCATGTCATGGACACGAAGCGCTTCAGCGATGCCATCATCACAGGTACAGGCGACATCATAGGCTTCAGTGGACCAAGCGAGATTGCTGCGCTGAATGTGTTTGGAACCGGACTGACACTGCCATTGAGCTCGGACGTAATCTACGATCCGGCGAAACCCATCCCTCCACGGCCGACAATTAGCAACCTGCAGTGGATTGCAGGAACACAATACATTACGCCACAAGATCTAGATTTCTTGATCGGCGGACCAGACCGGCCGCCTTCGAAACGAATGCTAGCCCAGATGCGCGCTGAGAAGGATGCCGAGATGCAGCGCGCTAGAGACGACGCTATCGGCAGGCGGAGAGGTGGGACACCTGATAGTATGTCTGGCAGCTCGGGTAGAAACCGCACAGCTGGAACACGGAACGAAGGATGGGGCGAATATATGACAAGACAAATACAGGAGCGGACGGAGCAGCTGGGCTTTGCGGAGAGCAGTATGGATCGAGCCGCGAAGGACAGCGAAGATTGGAGTCAGGGAGTCAGTAAGTTTGTCGCGAAGCAGAAGCGGCAGGCTGCTATGGGGTATATTGGGAAGCAATTCGGGCTTTGATCATGAAGCTGTCTTGCCGATGAATCAGAGCGGACATTTTGGACGCCAACCTATGAAGCACACTGGGAAGAAGCGATGTAGCATGTGTACCTGATGCCTAGGTAGCGTAGAACCAACTGGGTGGGATCTAGCGCTGCATCGCCAAGGGAAAGCTTGATGGCGATTGAAGCAGATCTCTCACTCCTCGATCTGCTGCAAAACTACGCATTCTACAATTGATTGGGCCCTTCACCTCATTGCTGCAGTACGTAACCTTTTCTGCCTACGAGCTCACAGGCAATGCAGGTACGAAGATGACTCTATATACGCGTATTTCTCGTCTGGACTAGATCAATCCAGTCGTGTTCGGGCCCGAGCCGGAGTTAACTTTACCGAGCAGCCTTCAAGTTCTGCCTTCGCCGTCATGACCGGCCAAGAGGCCAATAACAGGCGCCCAAATTCTGGCCCGAGTCACAGATGGAGATGGCATCTCCTTCCCGTACTCGAAGAAGCTAAAGGACGGCACAGTGTCGAGTGTTTAGGTCACCGCCGTGCCTCGTGCCAGTGTCGCGCCTTCCAACTCGAAGTCCCATCCTTCTTTCCATAAGTCAAACGCTCGCCATAAGTCAAAGACTCGCACGGCAGGCGCTGCGAGACATCCGTCGGTTCTGCGAGCAAAGTCAACAACGTCTTAAATCCGGACACTTCGCCAACTTGGATCCTCAACAACGATTGAAGTCTTGGATTCATAGTCCAAAGACCCGTCATCTGTGTTCTGGCATCGCTGCTTTGCGTACAGCATGACTTCGTGAACCTGGTATCTCACCTCTGTGCCACAACAGTTGCGCGTGGCGACCCTCTGCAAAGTGTCGACGCCAAGCAGCATGGCAACAGAAGAACCAGTACCACCAGCAAGTCCGACGAGGAAGGCCCACACTTTCGCTTGCGTCCGCTGCTCGGAGAGAAAGGTCAAGTGCGATCGTCAGGAGCCTTGCGTTGCTTGTGTGCGCCATAGCGCAGAGTGTATCTTCAAAGCGCCCAAACCGCCACGTCGGCGGAAGAACTATTCCAAGGAGGAAACTGTAGAGCAACTGAAGCGTTACGAGACATTACTTCGCGTTAACGGCATAGATCCAACTTTGAAAGATCATCCTTTAGGTCCACACCAGACCTCAGAGGATTCCGTCAAGGATGGATCGCCGCCGATGGTCTCCCCTCAATCCGTTGAGCAGGCAATCAGTCAAATGCCCACACCGGCATCCGTGAGTTCCGATGTGAGGTCCTCCTTCAAGCCACAGTTGCTGCAGGGCCAGAATGGGATGAAATTTGTCGACAATAGCTTGTGGTCTCGAGTTGCTCAAGAGATCCGGGATGGTGGAGTCTCACTGGAGGACGACTCCGACTCTTCACATGAGGGCAGCGATACTGAAGCGCCTCATCCAGATTTCATATCGGTTTTCAGCCACGCCTCCCCGGTCGTGGCCCCGACTCATCCATCGCCTCCAGAAATTCGGCGGTTATGGACGCTCTTCGCCGAAAACGTCAATCCAATATTCAAGTTCATCCACAATCCTACCTTCTCGAAAGCTCTTGAGAAGGCTATTGCGAACATTGATCGCGTTCCTCGCGGCTTTGAGGCGCTCATGTTCAGCATCTACGCTACGGCCGTTATCTCTCTTCCAGCCGAAGACTGCAGAGATGAATTTGGCGCGAGCAAAACTAGTCTAATCAATCGCTACGTATCAGCCACTCAGAATGCCTTGCTCCGGGCGAAGTTCATGGGCACGACGAGCCTGGTCGTTCTACAAGCGCTGCTGCTACACCTGGTAGCTATTCGAGAATCCTCTGAGCCGAGAGCTGTGTGGAACTTGACAGGATTAGTGATCCGCATAGCAGAAGGTATGGGCATGCGCATTGATGGCAAAAAGCTCGGCCTGCCTCCATTTGAAGTCGAGATGCGACGCCGTTTATGGTGGCAGCTTTCCGTCCATGATTTTAGGTGCGCTGAAATGGCCGGACAGGCTAAGTTCAGATCTGTCGATGCTGATAAGGGCGCGCCAGAGCCACCCACGAATTGCGACGACTCAGCACTTTGGCCGGGCATGACGCATGCACCTGAAAACGCAACGGGAGCGACTGAGATGTTATGGGTCATGTTCCGAACCGAATTGTCGGGATTCGCGAAAGGCCAGATAGCTCGGATGAAGAAGGCGGGCATCAAGGACGATGTCACGCCAGAAGAGTTCCTGATCATGGATGACCTCGACCATAAGGATCGGCTGGTGAAGCAGGTTGAGGAGGTCATGGAGACTCGATATCTGCGGTATTGTGATCCGACACAACCACTACATCTGTTCACCCTGCTGGGTACACGAGGCGCCATCAAACTCATGAAATTCATGTGCCATCATCCTCGAAGATGGGCTCATCTCGATCACGTCCCAGAAGAGGAAGTGCAACTCATCTGGGATTTGACCAACGGCATCTTGGAATATTATCACGCAATGCAGACCAATCCGAGCATACGGCGTTTCAAGTGGACTGTGTCGTACTTCATTCAATGGCATGCTGTTATCCACGTGCTCGATACACTACGAACAACACCGATGCGAGAAGGCGCAGAAAAGGCATGGACGCTGATTGACTCGATCTACGAGCTCAATACTCACATGATGTTGAGCACCCATCGGCCGGTGTTCATGGCTGTAGGTAATCTCTGTTTGAAAGCGGTCGAGTCGCGTGAGCAGGCCTTGGAGAAGGAGGGCAGACCGAAGCGAGATGGCCCGCTTATGTGGATAAACTGCGCCAGCAGCGTCAAGCAGCGAAAGTGCGGCGAGAAGCCGCTACCACAGCGAAAGGAAGAGATGGCAAGCCGATGCCGCTCGACGAACTTGCGAGGGCTACGAACCCAGCATATGGCAACGCCCCCAAGACTAGCGCTGCGGGAGGCATGGAAGCTCCAGGCGACCGCCAACGAACAATCCCAGCACGAGTTACAGTATCCCACAGCGACCACTGCAGACTCCTCCGGACTCGACGCCGAGCTCCACGAATACCAACATGGGCCCTAGCAACCCAAATCCGGCATCATGGCAAGCTTACAATGCGCACTCTGTGGGCTCACTCATGCAACAGACATCCTTCGACACCGGTCCCTGGCCAGACCTCGCCAGTGCCACCGCTGGCCAGCCTCAAAATTTTGATCAATTCAATGACAATTTCCTCATGAACCCAGGCCTACAGCCCAGCATGAGTATCGATACTGAGATGCAAGATGCGTCCTACTTCGATGCAGACGCGATCCTTGCGCAGGGATACTCTCTGGACACGCCAAACGGGCAGGTAGTTGATTGGGCACAGTGGGACAACTTTTTTGGGACGACAACGGGGCCGACATTGGGAGTGGGGGCCGCGAGTGGTGTTGGCTGGGATATGGGTCCTGCCCATCCTGGAGGCGGAGGACACGTTGGATGAGTGCGCGCGACTGGAACCTTCCTGGAAAGGACATGGTTGCTACACTGAAGATCCAAAGCGTGTCTTCCTTAGCATAGAGAGATGGTGTGACAGACGTTGCGAAGATGTCACTGAGAAATGGTGAAACGAATGTTACGGTACCAGATCGAGGCTCAGACTCTCTCTGCTCAGTCATTCCTGTGCGCGGGATCGCGGAGCGGCTTCATGTAGTAGGTAGTTCTAAGCAATACGAGAGTGACGCAACCTAGGGCTTAGGCTCACGACCTCAGTGTCCGTTCGCATCAGCAGCGTAGCCATCCTTTTCGCCAGACTTGCCGTTGGCGTGCCCATTGCTGTCACCGCCATCGGCCGATGCTCTTTCGCCAGCTAGATACTGGCTCAAGCTGACGCTGTTGGTCGGATCGAGGAATGGCTTCTCACCATAGACCGCGGTACGCTTGCCTTCCCTCTCGGCAGGATTATAGCCGCCTGGAACGGCACGATGGGCGACAACACGATTGTCCCAAAACGCTACACTACCTGGCTCCCATTTCCAGCGCACCGTCAGATCGTCTGCGGCGTGGAGATGTCTATCGAATGTCAGCAAAAGCCGGGCACCACTCCAGCGACAGCTTACTCTCTGAGAAACGCTAAGGTATGGTGCGACTCCGCCCCCTTCAAGCCCTCCAAGGTCAACACGAAGGATGGGTTATAGAATAAGGATTTCACCCGCGTCACGGGGTGTGTCCGGACTAGAGGATGGCTTCTCCTGACTGGCCCACGGAATGGCGCCCCTCCACCGTTGATCGAGTTGATGAAGGTGTGCTCTGAGGTATGCACGGCGTCCAGCTTCTCGAACAGATTCTGGAAATGGGGACTGAGTTTGTCATACAAGGCCGCTTGAGATGAGAAGATGGTATCGCCACCCGTCTCCGGAGTTCGAACAAGGCGAAGCATGGTGTACGCTGGTGGGTTTGCCTCGAAAGAGTGGTCGGAATGGAAGTCTGCTCCGAAGTTGGCGGCAGCACGAATATCACTGCAGAAACATCAGCGGTCAGACGTTCAGATGCAAGGCCCGAAGAAAGCATCTACCCATCGCGACCAAGAATCGTCACATGACGAGGGTCAACCTGATTCGGATCTCGGTCCTGAAGACCGAAATGTCTCGTCAACTCATACTGCTCGTCGATGGTGATGTCCTGATCACGGAAAAAGACAACACCGCGTTCGGCCGCTAGTAAAGCCAGCTCATCCTTCTGCGCATCCGTCAACTTGCTGAGCTGCACGCCCTCAAGATGAGTTCCGATATAGGGCGTCAACTTGGTGATCTTTGTGGCTGCTTCCAAGAGGCTTTTCTTGGCAGGATCTGCGAAGCCTGCGCGGTCGGCTTCGGGCTTGAATTCTTTGACCTGCTCGTGAGGAGCTCGATATTCCAGGACCTTATCGGTCAAGCCGGTGTGGTGGATGGACATGTTTGGCAATGGTGCGTCGATGTTCATCTGCTCAGGAAGTTTGCCTGTGTGAGCGAGAGGCTCATTTCATGCCTTTCAACGAGCCGAGGATCTTACAGCGTCCTACGCTCTACTCCGTGCTTACCGATCATACTTCCACGAAATCCGCGTGGGACGCGACCCTTGAGCACGACATCCTCAGTATCGAATGGCATCAGCGTGTTCGCCATAGCTGTATCTATGGCATGATAGCCAAAAGCATACCTGTGATTGGGTGGCCTGACCGTTACTAAGGGTCCAGTCCCCTGAGGCTCGCTACTTGGCGCATGCCACGACCCAGCGGCTTGGTCACAATTACTACATCCGGTACGTTAGCAACGCGTATATAGCTAGGACGACAGCAAGAATGATTTCTCAACATTCGTGGACCGCGGCGTGCTGTATACGTGTTCGACGAGGGCGGAAGTATACCTATACACCGAGCCAGATAGCATGGCCGCAATATCAGACCCGGTCGCCGCTGTGCATGGTGTCGTCTTCGACAAAGACACGGCAGCAGCATACCGAAACGGCGATAGCAGCTCCGAGGAGATCACCCTCAAGCGGGAGGTGTACGACAGCAGCCTCATCGACCCTATATTGGCGAAGAAGATGGCGTTGGTCAACAATGCCATCGATGAGATCGGCATGACTCCTTTTCAGTGGAAGCTGTTCTTCTTCAATGGGTTTGGATATGCCGTTGACTCGGTATGTACCAGGAGGGCTTCGTCCAGTGTTTGCTGCTAAGAACGCCCATAGCTGCTCATCGTCTGTCAGTCCATCGCTCAGCCCGCGGTAGATCGCGAGCATGGAAGACCGAACAAACAGATCGCTGGCATTGCTCTGGCTTCCCAGGTCGGACTACTCGTGGGCGCTGCTGTATGGGGCTTCTCGGCCGATATTATCGGACGGAAGCTGGCGTTCAATACCAGTCTTTTTCTGTGTGCTTCGGCTGTCTTGATTGCTGGTGGTATGCCAAGCTATATCTCATTTGCAGCTCTGTAAGGCAGAGTCCCTCCGTGGCAGACAGAATTCTGCTGACGATGCACAGCGTTGCGATCTATTCCGCAGGCGCGGGCGGCAACTACATCCTGGACGCGACCAACCTCCTGGAGTTCTTGCCAGTCACTCACACCTGGCTGGTGACGTTCATGTCTATCTGGTGGGCCGTTGGCTATACCATCACAGGACTCTTCGCCTGGGCTTACATGTCCAACTTCACCTGTGCTCCCGATACCACACCCGAGACCTGCAAGAAGTCCGACAACTGGGGATGGCGCTACCTCCACTTCACAGCCGGAAGCCTCGTCCTAGCAGCCTCCCTAGCCCGCGTCCTTTTCATCCGCATGAAGCAAACCCCGCGCTGGCTCATAGCCCAGAACAAAGACGAAGAAGTCTACGGCGTCCTCCTCGGCCTCTCCGAGAGGTACGACCGCCCACTCACCCTCACCCTCGAGGACCTCACCTCCCAAGGTCGCGTCCTGCACACCGAACGCAGCGCCTGGTCCGCCCTCCGCCTCCGCAAGCACATCACCGGTCTCTTCGGCAGCAAGATCCTCGCCTACTCCACCGTCATGATCATCCTCAACTGGTTCGTCATCGGCATGGTCTCCCCCCTTTACTCAGTCTTCCTCCCTTACTACCTCGCCTCCCGCGGCCACGACGTCACGGGGTCAACCTCCAACTACACCGTCTGGCGCGACTACGCCATCAACAACATCGCCGGCCTGGCCGGACCCATCATCGCAGGCATTCTCGTGGAGACGAACTTTATCGGCCGCAGAGGCACCCTCGCCATCGGTGCCGCGGCCACTACGGCTCTGCAGTTCGGGTACACGCAGATCAAGACCCCTGCGCAGAATCTAGGTGTCAGTGCTGCGATTTCGGGCGCGAGCAATATCTACTATGGCACCATCTATGCGTACACGCCGGAGATCCTGCCAAGCGCGCATCGTGCGACGGGCTATGGGATCTGTGTGGTGGTCAATCGGGTGGGTGGCATAGCGGGCGTGCTCATTGGAAGCTATGCGAATGTTGAGACGACGGCGCCGTTGTGGGTGTGTGCGGGGCTATTTGCGTTGTTGATCGTGTTGAGCTTGTTGTTACCGTTTGAGAGTAAAGGGAAGAGAAGCTTTTGATGGGTGGGTGGTGGTGAGTGAGACGAGAAGTTGGGATGTCTGTATTTGCGAATGACGTTTCCTGATGCTAAGTCATGCTGGCGACCCAATCGATCATCATCTCTCGGATGAGCTGTCATGGCACACTCACTAGGTGTCTGTTGTCGAGATCATCCGAAGCTTTTGAATCTAACCTGGCCAAGAAATCCAACAGTTGCTCGAATTGCGATCTTGCGCGGTCTCGTATGACCTCGTTCTCGACGTTTTGAGCAAGCTCGAGAAGCAGACTGCCGACACGCCGGATACGTTCGACCTGGATGGGCGTTAAAATACTGCGATCAGCATTGTGCGCTCGGAGCACTTCGAGGGACGAAATGTAAACTCACCCCAGCCTCGCCCTGAACCTTGTAACATAAGAAAGGTACGGTCCGAAGCTCATAAAGGAAATCCTGCACGATGTCAACCTTCTTGATCGCCCATGAGAGCGGCTGTGTGCTGAGCCCTACGATCTCGAGGAGATCGTGGTCGATGCATTTCTGCAGGATCACCAGCCTAAGGCAGTGATACGTCGTCATGATATTGCTTCTTAGGCACCAGAAGGACGTTTTCTGATACGCCGCCACCCTTGGATCAACAGCTTCGATGCTGTCGGGATCCTGTAACCATGGCTCGAGGTTAGATGTGAGTGTAGAGAAACACAGGTTCGCCTCAATCATAGCCCTGTACGCTGCATCCACGTCTTTGCGGGTGTTATCTGAGCCCAACTGCTTCCGCCAGCGCGAGTATGACTTGATGTCTGCGACCAACTTTCCGGCAGCCGTCCATATACGCGCCTTGAGATGAAATCCAAACACAATTCGCTGTTCTAGCGCTCCTTGCGCGAGCTTTTTTGTCTCGTCGAGGAGAGGCTCGTGCTGGTCGCCCTGCTCGAGCAGAGTCAGGTCGTCCTCGAAGAGGTGCTCGCCCAGAATTGAGGGACGGTTCTCCAGGGCCACTGCGGCCTTGTCTGACTGATAGAGTAGCCAGAAGTTCGCACGTAGCAGCCGCGATTCTACCGCTGAAGGTCGACAAATGGCTTGCTCGTCGTACAGTCTCAAGCGCAGCGCCAAGACGGAGGCTTCGGTGTGATAGTGCCATGCCGCGCCGGCCTTGCCCGTCATGTTCTGGATTGCGCTCGAGTACCATATGCGGATGGTCAGTGAAGTTGAGTCGGGATGTTGCAGATCATGCTCTTCATACAGTCGGAACATCGCTTTGGACGCCTGGTAGAACGGCCCGGCAAGCTCCTTGCCTATAGGTAGCAGCGAGTTGGGCATTACAGACATGACGAAGGCGCAGAGCGCAGTGATGAGGGTGAAATTCTTCGCGAAGGACGTCTGGTCCTGGCCATCACGAGGTCTCATGGACTCCGGTGCGCGTAGACTATGCTCTGAGAGGAAGAGTGAGGCTCCAGCGCGGAGTGTGCGCTCGTGGGCGATTGGTGTGCTTGGAAACATATACTGTAGAAATAGGTCGATGCATTTGTTGACCAAATCGACAGCAGCCGTCACACTTAGCTCTGCATCCCCCGAAGCAACGACGCTCACAACCCTAGCCACTAATTTCGAGCGAATCTCCTCGGCGTCATATCCAAGGTTCAGACTGTTGACGAGCATCCCTGGGCCGGCCGCGTGATTGCTGTGCGCTGCTGCCAACTCCGGACCCGGCAGCATCAAGGATGTTTGCTCAGGCGATGATCCCCTTTGCCTTCTCGCATCATGGGGTAAAGCCCCTCTAGCTCGCTCCGAACTGGCCCGTTTCGACGGTCCAGCTGTGTAAGGCGTACTGCGGACTGGTAAGCACGGCGCCTCTTTGCGCAGGATCTGGCATTTTCTACTTTCGAGCGCAACTAAGATGCGTTGCAGGCTGCATCCGCAGACGAAATTGTATCATCCCAGGGCCATTGCCATTGTTTCTGGCCCTCGGGCCTCGTTTCCGAGGCAAGGTGCTGTGCTCGCACCGCAACTGAGAGATGCAGCAGTTGGCGCAGGGCTTTGCGGCGTCACATTTCACCTTTCTTTGCTTGCAAGCATCGCAGGCACGCGAAACATACATCGTAAACTGCAGTAAACCGGTCTGTTGTCGTTGCTTGGGTGTATTCGAGACCAAGGAAGGGAGGTAAGAGGTCCACGGAATAATTCGACGGTCTCGGGATGACAGCTACTTACCTAGGTCCTTGTCACTTTGGCAGACGACGCTACCGTCATATGACCTACACACATCGGAGTGGTGATGTCGTAGCATGGTCAAGAGTATGCAGGTAGCATGATGTAGGCCTGCGGCCTATAAGCTGTAGTGGGTCATGCCTGCCGAGGGCCTAAGAACATTCATGTTGAGCTCTAACTGCTTGTGGATAGTTATCCCACGGAGTCTTGGCAAGAGATGTCTATGATCGTCAGTGGCGTGCTGTCAGTGGCCGCTGGGTCCAGGGGATAGTCGTATGAGTGAGTAGTGAGTGGCGCCAAGTGGCGCTCGCCAGGCCTCATCCCGTGGCAGTATATCTAGTCATGTCTGAAGATGTGATTAGAACTGAATCTGGAACGAATTGATCACATCTTCATCGCCCATTTCAAGTCCTTATATCTCGAAATGACTTCCAGCACGACAGTTGTCACCCAAGCAAAGCCATGGGCGGCCAACTCGATCAGCATCGGGTCAGTCCAACCATCGTACAGAACCAGCGAGAACGCCGGGTTCACCAGATCTTCGTATCAACCAGTTCGGCTCTTAGTCGATGACTACCTGAAGCTGAAGCGAGATGGCTTCCTCAAGGTAGAAGGTCTAATCCCACAGGAGGACATTCGCACAATGTCGACTCATATGAACCGGGTCATCGAAGGAGCAGAGACGGCCCCGGGCTTCCCGGCCATCAACCCAGATATGCCCGAGGCAGAGCGTGTAGCCAGGTTCTCACGGATTCACAACGCCCATCGTGTTCACGCTCTGCATGAGCGATTCCTACTCCACCCTCGCATACTCGATGCTATCGAGCAGCTCAATGGCCCTGATGTGTTGGCGTTGCAGAGCATGACATTCTTCAAACAACCCGGACAGCCCGGTCAGGGGTTAGTAATCCTTTTCCTTTTGGCCAGACAACTTCTCTTTCCCAATATCATGTATCAAGGCGGGCATTGGAATAAGGGATTGGAACTGACACAAACCTGTTCAGGTATCATCAAGACTCTTATTACATCCCCACGCTGCCCAACACGCTCATCGCAGCCTGGGTTGCCATCTCCGAAGCCACGGAGGAGAACGGATGTTTGCGTTTTCGTGTGGGCTCACAGTCCGAGCCGCTGTACCCACAGGCTGAAAACGAGTTCACGCACGAATCTCGCAATTTGGCGGGTGTGTTCGACAACTCCACGGCCTCGTTCGAGGACCCGGCGGCAAACCAGCTGGCAGCCGTTGCTGAACGCTATGAGGAAGTTGCGTGTCCCGCCAATCCGGGCGATGTGATCTTCTTTGAAGGCAACGTATTGCATCGCTCGGACCCAAACAGAGGTACGACCTCGCGCCGCGCCTTCGCTGGCCACTACTGCGATGCGAGAAGCTTTGTGCCATGGAATACCGGCGAGAAGTGGGACGGCATGGACGCAGGGAGACCAGCAAATCAATATCACGTGCTGGCTCGTGGCGACAGTCACATGGCCTTTGCGACACCGAGCTTCGGAACTCCCTGTGCAGCGTTGGAGGAGAGAGTCCCGCGCCTTGCGGGCTTGCAGGTTGAGATGCCTATGGCGGACGCTGGGAAGCTAGGTTCGGGTCCTGTGAAGGTGGTGCGACAATAAGGTCGGAGAGGGCGCAACGTCGCGCGTACCAGGTCGTTCGTCGCCCAGGGAATGAGATGCGCTCTTCGTCCCATCGTCGACTATAGTTACTCAGGCCCAGCCGGCTTCGTCTTGCAACCCAATGAAAGTTCCTTTCCAGAACCGTTATCTCCTGACTGACTTGAATCGCACACTCTCTCTAGCACCTACGTCACCATGCTCAATTGCTGTAGTACCACAGTGACACGCGATTGTCAGAGTCCCAACCTTCGAGAAAGGCAGGTTTCTCGAACATCAAAATCGAAGGCCGGCGAAAAGAAGGTTTTCGGGAAGCTCGAGATCTGGCACTTGGCCTCATTGGGGCAGGCGCGCCAGATTCGGGTGGCTGAAAAGTGGCGGGTACGAGACGCCACAGGGCTACAGCCAATGACGTTTAACCAACCCTTGGAAATTGGCGAGGCAAACACGAGCTAACTGCTAAATTGGCGAGGCAGGTGTCCGCCTCTATGATTTTACACGAGCTGCTGCACGACTTGTCTGATACATAAGCCCGTCGTAGCAACACTCAGAATGTCTTCTCGCCATCGAACCATCACATCCTCAGCAACAGCAAGCATTCTCCTACGAAACCGCAACCAGAAAGGATGAGCATCTCCATCACAACCAACACTCCTACCCACATCACCATGCCTTCCTCAACAACACGACTCATCTTCAGCATCTCCCTCCTGTCCTCCCTCATCACAGCCCAAGAAGTCACTCCATCTCCCTCAGCAGCAGCCCCAGTCGACTGGGCCACCGTCGTGACCTGGCCCGCAGGCTGCGAATCTTGGGCCAACCCCTGCCCCGCTGGCGCAAAAACATCCGGCGTCGCACCTACCCCCGCAGCGTCACATGGCCCGCCGGCTGTCAATCATGGGCGAACCCATGCCCAGCTTCCGCCATCATCAGTGAAGCGCCTGCCACATGGAGCTCCGACCCCAACTACACGAACGGATTCACAAGCTACCTCACTGAGACGGACAGCAACGGTGTTATCACTGGCATGCCGCCCAAAGCCACGAGCGCGGGTGGACAAGCCAGCGTACTGTCCGATCAGAGCTCGTGGCTTTCTGCTTATGGGTCGACAACGCTCAGCACGCAAACTACTAGTGAAGAGTCGTCGGCGGCTTCAGCTACATCCAGCCAGTCTGGTAGCTTCGTGATTGCTACCAGTACGGCCACGAGCACTCCATACCAGGGTGCCGCGAACACGATCGTGGTGAGGACTGGTGCGGTCATGGGTCTTGTTGGAGGAGTTGCTGCTCTACTTCTGTAGAAAAAAGAAGTGATGGAAATTGGATTTCGCGCATAGCATGGCGTTCGTGCTGGCAAGCACATTGGAAATGGGAATGCCTCTGATGGCGATGATTACACAGTCATGTCCAAAGTTGACGAATGAGAATGTTTTGAACATACAACTTGCATGATCTCCCTTGTCTTGATTCGTTGATGACGACTCGATGGTCGTAGCAATTCAATTAGTATTATGTCCCGAACTATCTATACAAAGAAGCCGTGCTCGACCGAAAAGTCCATTTTGTACACTGATACAGGTTGCCATAACATGTTACTTCGACCTTCGTTCTGCCGCTAGCGCTTCTTGTTCATGACCTTTGTAATAGCATGCCGGATTGTAGTCCCTGCCTTCTCGACCTCCTTCTTCGTCAGCCCAATGGTCATACACACCTTCAGCGCCGGCTGCTGAACGTAGATCTGGCCCCTTGAGCCACTCGGGTCAGGCGAAAGGAACTTGACTCTGTTGATCAGCACGCCTTGTGCAAGTGCCTGTCTCAATTGTCAGTATACCACTCACTCATCCCGACTTGCATAGAGATACTGACCTCATCAACCATCTCCTGCAACAACCCCTGCACCTCCCCATCCCCCAACCGCCTACTCGCCACAACCTCTGGCTTCAACGTCAACAACATGACCGGATTCTCCTTCGCACTCATGCAATAAACCCAATCACTCCTCGGATCAATCTGTCCCCACATCGTCTTGATATTCTCCTTCAGCTGCGTCTGCAGATCCGGCTGCGTCTGCAACATCATGACCGTTTCACTGACCGTCACCGCCGCCATAGCAGGCAGCGCAGCCGAGAAAGTATACGACGCGGCCGTGATGCGCTGATGCTCGACCACGTCATCGGAGCCCGCGCAGAAGCCGCCTGCGCCAGCGAGCGCCCCCGCCATGGAACCGACGATGATGTCGACTTCGGCGGAGTCGACGTGTTGGAGTTCGGTGATGCCGCGGCCGGTGCGGCCGAGGACGCCAAAGGAGCAGGTTTCGTCGAGGATGAGGCGGAATTTGTACTTGGACTTCAGGTCGATCTGTCGCACACGCGCATTAGCACAGAGTCGTCCACTGTTAGGGGCTTCGTAGCAAGACAATACTCACAATCTTCGGAAGATCAGTCAACTCCCCGGAATTCTCAAACAGCCCCTCCGTAATGATAAACCTCCTCGTCAACGGCTTCTTCGCCTGCTCCTTGGTCACCTTCGCCAGCACCCTCTGCAAATCCTCCATATCGTTATGTTCAAACCACCGCACATGACTCCGACTGATCTGTATCCCCTTCCTGATCGCATAGTTCGCCCCCTTGTCCGCCACAATAATATCCCCTCTCTTACTAAACGCCGGTATCACGCTCGAAATCGTACTGAAAGCCTGCGCGTAGATAATACACGCCTGCGTTCCCAAGAACGCAGCAATATCAGCCTCAACCTTCATATGCACATCTTGCGTCCCATAGAACCCCGGCGGTCCACACGGTCCCACACCATACGTCCTCAGCGTCTGAATCGCCCTCTCTTTCAAATGCTCATTCGCCGAAAAATTATAAAAGTTCAGACTCGCAAGATTCGTAACAGTCCGCCCGTTCGCAAGCTTGACCCTCGGCCCAGTCGGCCCAACAATAACAGGCCGCTTCTCCAGCTCCGCCTCCTCGAACGCAGTCGTTTTGCCGACCAGCGGCTCCGGCTGCCACTCCTCGACGAGGTCATCAATCTCTTCTTCCGAAAGGCGTACCAAGCCCGGCTTGGTGCTGTATTTCGGCGCCAGCAAATATCTAATCGCGAACAGCACCAGGAACAGCTCGACCGCTGACCGCACCGGATCATTCTGGTAGGATGACTTCACATATCTGAGGAAAATGGCTGAGCCAGGAAGTTTGTGGAACTGTTCAGAGGCCGTGTTGAGTGCAGTCCAGAAGTGTTCGGGAAGGTCGGATGTGTTCATGATGGAAGATGAGGATGTGATGAGGGCGGTGGCATTGTTGGTCGCTGGGTCCATTTGGGGGCATACGCGAGGGTCGGAGGAGGGAATGCTGTGATGGCGGCGAGGTCTCGGTGTCAATGAAAGGGAAAGTTGTTGCGGTCGCAAAAAGGTACGGGACGTTCAGTCAGGCACGTCAGGAAACTCAGGGACAGATTTCCGGGGTGCATTCCAGTCTTACTCAGGGCCGCCGCCCTTTGGCTGGATCACGTGCTCGCGCGTCGAAATCGTGAATTCCATATCCATCGTCCTCATCCAGTTCTCGAGGGCTATGCGGCGAAGGATCCAATTCTTACAGCAGATGTGCAGATTCGTGTTCGTTTCAATGCTTGATTGATCATGTACATATTTTGTAGTGTCTACTGTGTGAGAATACCCCATCCGTCCCTTTGCAAACGCCAGCAGTGCTATGATACTTGCTCAAAAATAAGTGCCCCGAAGAAGTCACCCAGTGACATTCATGGGAGTCCTCCTCAGCGGCCTCGAATCTCTAATCCGTTCCAGTCATTAATATATTGGGCATTATGCCACATGCTTTCCTCCCTAGCCGAGCGTGATGATCTCTTTTGAGATCATTGATATCAACTTCGCCATGTTTACCATCTGACGAAGCGGCCGCCGCCACCTCCCAGGCCAAATGCGCCAGTTCCGAATGCATCGTCCGCACTCGCAGTAGCAGTGGAGTCACCACCGCCGCCGCCACCGCCGCCGCCAGTGCTGTCGCCGCTGCTGCCAGTAGGGTCGGCACCGGCGAGACCGGGAACGAGGACAGATCCAGTGACGGACGGAAGCGTGTCGTTGTTGTTCTGTCCTGTTGGCTGGAGGAGACCAGCTGGAATGCCACCGAGCGTAGGTGAATCCATGAACTTGAAGACGATGACTGGGCCAACAAATAAGATCAAGAACAAGACCAGAAGCACGAAGTAGAGCACCGCATAGCGGATCACGCGTCTGCGGCGCAGGCGAGATTGCTTGATGGAATAGATAGGTGGCCGAATTTGACGACTGTGTGACAATTAGCATGAGTTTGATCGAGAGCAACAAATGAAACATACCTTGGACGAAGCCAGAAAAGCATAACCGAGTGGAACTTGTCCACGTAGGGGATGCAAAGAGCCGGCAACATGATGAAGAGGATGATGTGACCGAGGATGAAGTCGGCAGCGAAGAAACCCAACTCGGTGATCTTGCAGAGATACTCACGGGCCGGCTGAGAGATCGAATGCCAGCCCATGGCGTACCACTTGCCAGTCCACCAAGCAATGTTGGCGGTATCAGACTTGAACTCACGAGTGAGAGCAAGCGCAATGATGAGCTTGAAGAACCATCGCTGAATGGCAACGACAGCGATCATGCCCAACAACGCCTTGTGGAATTGCCATCCCTCGAGGAAGAACATGACTTCCCAGAAAGCCAAGAGCATGAAGACAGCCACGCCGTGAGCAATGGCAGCCAAGACGGAACCAAACTTCTTGCAGCACATGCTGAGGACTGGACCCATGCAGCAAGCCATGGCGAACAGGCCACCAAGAACACCGGCATTAACGGCGATGGGACCGAACGCGATGATGCCGACACGAAGAAGCGATTGAGTCGCAGGCTGAGGATCCTGGACACCGGTCTGAGCGTTGATGTAGAGGTAAGGCACCAGAGTAGCCAGGACAACAATGAAGGGTCCCACGATCTCGGCGAAGAAGACACTAGTAAATCTCGCCCGCGGGACATCGCCAGACAACTTCTCAGAAGGAGCGCCGAGAACCTTGCGCTTGAAACCTGTCAGCCGGGTACGAGACAGACGGCAGAACGCAATCCAAGAACTAGCGTGTGATCGCGAATTGCCGCGAGACAGCCAGCGAAGGTAGTCGCGATAGTCGATGAAAAAGTCGTTCCAGGCAAATTGGTGGGGGTTGAAGATGAATGGTGAGATGACCAGACCGATGATAGAGATCCAGAACCAAATAAGCCATGGGAACCAAACTGTCATCGTTGCGAACAACAGCATCATCAGAGCTCGAGCACCGAGATAGATGGACGGACCAGCGAAGCGAGAGTAGAGCACGCCGAATGGAATGCGGGCTGTGGCAAAGCCACGTCCAGTACCAATGTAGCGAGCACCACCGAACGACAGATCCTGCTGAATCGAGCTGGCATAGATTTGACAGACAAACACCTCGAAAACTGGAGATGCTGAAGCGAAGTGCTTTGCCAGACGAGTTGCCGCACGCCAGAAACCACGCTCCATCAACTCTTGGACCACCAGGGGCAAGAAAGAGATGAAGAAGACAATGAAGATAGACAGGACACAACGCTCGACCCACTCCATAACGGGCACCAAGTTCGTGCAGCCGTTTGGCTTGAGCGGATCTGTCAGCGGCTTATCGCGGTCGTAGTCGCAGGTGATTGTCTCGGCCTTCAAGGCGCCCAGGTTGATGAGTACTATCATGAACATCTGGACAGACAACATAATGAACATGTTGTTGACGTGGAAGCCGGGATGAGCGTAATAGAAGGACAGGAACCGATCCAGTGGTAGCTGAGTGCCGAGGTAGTAGTATTCGCGAGATAACATCTGTTCGCCCATACCAGTGCCGATCTTCGTCGTGAAGTTGAGAATCGATCCGAAACCAAGATCACGACCCTTACCACACTGATAGTACTCGCAGTGCTTTATGCGACCGCCACGGAGCAGGGCATTCATACCAGCGTAGATATCTTCGTTGAGATGCAGACCCTTCTGAGCCTTAGAGACACCACCACGAGTGGTCATGAAGACACCGTTCAGGAAATCAGGATGACCATAATGGAGCTTGCCACCAATTTGAGCCAATGTTCGAGCGAAGAGAGTACCGAAAGTCTGTTCCTTGCCAGCAGCAACGTCACCAAGCACACCAATATTCTCAGAGAAGATGTACTCGCGAGCACCGAGAATGGCGACTGGGTTGGTCTTGACTGGAGCCAGGCCGGGAGTGTACGGTGAGACATTATCAGTTGTCATCTCCTCAAACTCAGCAAGAACGCTTCGGATCTTGAGACATTCTTCGAGATAATTGTCTTGGTTGGCATCAATAAGCTGGATGTATTCGCCGCGGTAGAAGATGATGGCATGGTTCTGGTTGTCAGACTTGCCGTCACCGAGGATAGGATTGCCGGAGAGCTGAACACGGAACTTCGGACGGCGCATACCGTTCTCGAGAAGCTCCGAATGACCATCGATGAGAGCAGAGAAAAGTTTGGGCTCCTCACCCTCGTTCGCAGGCGGCTCTTCATCCAAGTAAGCAATTTGCAGGTCGGGGTACGCGCGAAGCAAGAACTCGGTGTTCTCACGCTCCTCCTTCTTGAACTTGGCATAGCGCTGCATGGAGACCACTATCTTGAACTTGCGGCGAGCCATGCGCTCAAGCTCACGCTCGAGTTTGTCGGAATTGCCACCAAACATCTGGACGACTTCAGGATTTTCAACACGATACAGCAACTTGATAGCGCGGCTATAGTTCATGAACCCAGAAATAGTACGGTACAGCGTCTGAGAACGAAGCGAAGCCCAGATACGTGTTCGCAGAGTGTACTCAGGCGCAGCAGACTTGAAGCCAATGCAGTAGAATGGAAGGTCGTCGATCTTGCTCTTTGCCGTGTCCTTTTCAGATTTCTCGTAGTCGCCATTGAATTGAGAGGTCTCGTCAGCCAGAATCTTGGTATCCTTAACGAAGCAGTCCCACTCGTGAGGGTGCAACTGCTTCAGATACTCCAGAAGGGTGACACGGGAGTATGGCTCATCCTCGCGAATGATTTCGCGCAGAGAAAGGAGGATTTTCTCGCTGTAGTGAGGAATCAGGACCGTGAAAGTTGGCATGTTGTCAACTGGCAGTGGCTCAGGAATGGGCGTAGAGAGAGATTGAGCAAAGAAGGAGATACGACGCTCGGCCTCGCTCTGAGATGGGAAGAACTCGGTCTTGAAAGAGTGATCTTCCTGAGAAACGAAGAATGTCGGTGCTCGCAAGGTGCGTTTGCCCTCCTGCTCGGAAGGAACCTGGTGGTAGAGAAGCTTCTGGACATGGTCGATGGCAAGAAGATGCTCCCGATACATCGAAATGACGATTGCGTTCCAGACCTGTGAGATGAGGACCTTCGGCTTGTATTTGATCTCCATATCCGTCGTGGCCAACACCTTAGAGTAGATACGCTTCGGAAGTCGGGAGAAGATGTTTCGCCATGGTGTCCATATAGATACACCGAGGTAGAATGACCGGAAGACCGAGAAGACGCAGTTCCAGATGATGTACCACAGGTAGGTATCCAAGAAGAACAGAATCAGGTCGGTGAAGAACATTATTCCCAGCAGAATCTGAGGTTGATACTTGCAAAGATAGTCCTTAACCAGCGCGTCACCGACACAAAGACGAATCTTCGTATATGACAGAATGCGGATGGGATCCCTGAATGAGAGTGTCAGGAAGAAATAGGATTCGGCCATCTTGGCAGCGAAAACCATGACCCATAGACCGTAGGACATCCACATATCGTTGCCAGTAAGACGAGGGTATGAAGCAGTGAACGTCTGCGATGCAACGTACTGTCTCGAGTTCCGTGTTAGGTAGCTTCCGAAGAGACCGCCGAGCGGCATGATTGAGAAAAACAAGAACGTTGCCAGCGCGATGAGGAACTGTACAACACCGATAATCAAGGAGATTTTTCCTGTCTGCTTGAACATGAAGATGTACACGCTGGGACCAGCGTTGACGACAAGGACCAGAATCAGGAACAACAGGCGCTTGGTCAGATGCTGAGCACCAGCCCAGCTTCTGGGGACGTACAGCCATTCGCAGAGTGTAGCGAGGATCTGGATGACAGTTGCAACGGTGCCTCCCAATGCGACAGCCGACCATTGGGCTGCAGGATTGGGCTGGTTGTTGATTTGCTGCTGGTAGTTCTTCGTGTACAGAGTGGGCGAGTTGAAGGCAGTGTAGAACCAGAAAGCTGAAATGTGGATGACCCAGATGCGGTTGAAGTTGGTGACCAAGTGGAACCATGATCGAGTCTCCTTGTACGTCTTGAAGAAGCATTTCTTCCAGTTGACCTCGGAAAGCTTCAGGAATCGCTCGGCAGGCGGCAAATCGCACAAGCGGCTCTTATCCTGCATGACAATTCGCTCGATGCCCTCAGGGTACCAAAAGAGCTGATTGATATCATCGTAGCCAATAGTGTTCTTGTGGTCGCGCTCACGTCGGACATATTTGCCATCCACTATTTCGTAGCATTGGTCCCGGATGTAGCTGTACAAAGGCGTGATGATGTTGTTCAGGTATGTGCACTCCTCAACTGGCTCGACACGGTTCTGGCAAGCCGGGGTGTTGAGATAGTCGTCTGCACACTTGAAAATGAAGCACAGGCACTCAGGCATGAATCGGACCTGGTTGGCTTCTCCCCAGATGAGAAGATAGAGGGCGATCTGGCGAGCACGCTCGTGTTGTGACATTCTGTTCATGCGTGTTTTCCAACGGTACTCGGCAGCCTCGAGAGAGTTGTCGCCTTCAAGCGCCTCGAGTGTCTGCTCCTCGTTCTGAGGATTCTGCTTGGCCTTCTTCGCAGCCGCTCTTCGGGCCTTGCGGGTGCGGCGGTTGGCCTTACCAAGCTTCATGTTGGCAAAACCAACAGCATCGTCCAGGTCGAGGTGAGCTGCGAAGTACCAACGACGGTAGTTGGCGTTATCACCACCGATGTAGTCGGCATGCAGAGACAGAAGCGCCTGGTTGGGAGTCATGCGAGATGCACGCGAGTCGAGCAGTGTCATCATGTGGTCGTACATGTTGCGCATGCTGTCGCGCTGGAAACCAAACTTGGCTGTGAGATCCAAAAAGATGTCTTCGATCTCTTCTTTCGACAGTGGAATCTGAGCATCTGATGTCCAGGCTGGGTAAGGCTCACGGGATCGCTGACCAGCAGGTAGAGCATTGTTGTAGTCCATGCCGTAGACAGGTGTCGATGCACCAGAAGATCGGTTGCCGTAGCTGATCTGGGAGGAGGGAGGACGGTAGCCGCGCTGGTCGTACCCACTATTGTAACGCTCATCGCCGCGTCCGTAGTAGTCCATCTCAGCGGCACGAGCCATGTCGGATCTCATGGTGAAGTCGCTAAATGTCTCAGAATCTTCCTCTGAGTCGTGGCCACGGCGTCGACCGCGGCCCTGATTGTGCTGCTGGCCGTTCTGATCGTAGTACTGGTTGTCATAGTAGTCATCTTGATAACCGTTGTGACCTTCATAGTAGCCACCATCTTGATGATACGGATTCGAGGCATCAGCGTTATAGTAGCCACTGGATATGTTAGCGAGAAGCAACAGCCGGAAGAACGCAATCAGCACTTACGACTCATCGTAGTAACCATCGCGACCACCGCCCTGTTGTTGCTGACGGGGGTCATAGTACTGGTCATTGTACCGCTCGTCGTAGCCGTCTTGATAGTATGCATCGTTTCCATGCTGTTGCTGCTGCTGGCCATAGCCATCGCGGCCATAGTCATCATGACCGTAACCATCGTCATACTGCTGGCCGCCATGGCCGCCTTGAGGATGATTCGACATGATGAGAGTGGAAGACTGTACACTTGATAGGAGTCAGTTTACAGGCTTTGTTTACGTTGGTTCATGGTTAGAATTTACCTCAAGATCTACCCATCAAAGCCAATTAATGAGTATATGCAAGTATTGGTGTTTGTTTCCAGGAATATGCAGGCTGCCAATCGTTTGATCGGCAGGTGAGATATTAGGAGGTATTTTGGTAAGAGTCGATTAGAGTCGGAAGAATGAGCGTCAAGCTGCAGGCGAAGATCGAACTCTTTGCCCAAATGTTCCGAGCACAATACAAGACACGAATGTCTGCAAGTTAATCTTGCAAGCGGAGAGGTGTGTAAGAAGGTGTTGGGTGAGGTTGAAGCGGTCGCAGGTTGTTGTTGTGAAACGAATGAAGGGGTGAGGGAGCTGGTTGCTCAGCCAATGCGGAAGGCGCAGTGGTGCAAGACGCGACTGCGCGGCAGGTGCAGACCAGATTTCAATTGCAAGGCTGGTCACTCGGTGCCACGAGTTTCTGTCTTTCTTTGTTTTCCTCCTTCTTCAAACGAATGTAGAAGAAGAGGGGAGGCCGGTACAAAGAACAAAGACAAGCGATCGTGAGACGAAAGGCTGGTAGAGGAGGGAACCAAAGTTGAGTAGACAGAAAAAGCTGGGATAGGAGAAGGCAGGAACCGACTGATTGAGTTTAGGTGCAAAATGTAACGGGAATTTCGATGAGACGGACGAGGTGGACGCCTGGAGAGGAGCAGTTCCAGGGGAGAACACGGGAGATGATGGGTTGATCTCGGTGTGGACAAGGGGTCGGGGCCATATCCATGGCATCCATGCAACCCATGCTTGTTCTCGCAGAGTCAATGTGCCTGGTTCTGCAGCCAGCCGAGCCTGCCGACCAGTAGCGAGACGAGTGATAGGCTAAGCTTTGCTCCATCTGCAACTCAAACATGCATTTCTCACGGACAAACTTGCATTCCACCGACTATTCTAGAGCATCATCAACGACCATATGTTCGCAGACTCGCAGTGCACGACGCAGTCAAAAGCACCTGGGTACCCAGTAGTCGCTCGTGGACTCGACTGCTGAGCGACCACGCATAGCTTCTCATGGTCACATCCCGAGACGCAAGAGGAGGTGCAGGAAGATGGTGGCGATCTTGTTCTATTTGCCGTACAGAGTAAAATTCCCGGGCATCATTATCAGGTTTACGAGCCACCCAAAACCAGATATGATGAGCCCAGATGTCTCTGTTCGCGCGGGGCAAAGAATCATGGTCACCAATACTCGTCTTGCCCAGCAGGCGATCTCACAGCGCTTAAGCACTAAGGCATCGTAGACGCCTCTCTTGGACTATGTTATCAGTGCCTACGTCGAATCGTGAGGCTGTGCTCGCTCGGACATCGGCATTGTGGATCCTTTTCGTTCATTTCGCGGAGGTCGACTTCTGCAAAATTCCGTGTTCATGCTGCGAGACCTCTGCATTGCGATAGCAAAATGCACCAAATTTGCTTGATCGTCAGGATTCTTGTTCCGTGTTCGCCGCTTCGGTGGTCTGCCGTGCATCGATGATGCGTTGACGATGTTTTCCTATCAGCATAAGGCTTGGAAACACTGATAGCACAGCAAAAATCTGTTCATCTGTGGCTCATGGAATTCCTAACCAGCGGTTGATAGCCGTTAGATGAAGAACACTGGTGAAACCTAGCACTCCGTAGGTGGGACCATATCGACGATCTGACTGTGGCGAGTGTCTGGTTAAGGTTGTTTCCATATTCAACGAGTGACAGGGTCAGCAAAATAGGGGGCAAGCTGGTCCGGCTAATCAGCCTATGAGTGTTCTCAACAACTTCCAAGCACCGCAAACCAAATTTCCAAATCCCAGCAAATGAGATGACCGTTCTCGTGCCGCTGCTCGCCGCGGGGCTCCATTTTCGAGACATGCATAACATCACGTTCAGTGCACTCAGTGCACTCGTGGCAGCATTGCACTCATGATAACGTGGACATGCCCGAGGACACATTGGACGAAGCGGCAGGTTGAAAACAACAAGTACACAGGACTTCCTCTCACCACAGTACAGAATATGAGAACGTGGTGCAAAGAGTGTCAGATACTTAGCCAGCACGTTGTTCGAGATCTTTTAACCATTAGTAACCGCCGAGACTCGCTTCGCGCCTCAAGCGGTTCATGTAGCCATCTATAGCAATGTAGCATACGAGGCATAGCAGAAAGTGCCCGACTATGCAAGACTCAAGAGCCATACTTCTTCGTTGAGTCCCTGGTACCTGAACGTGCTTACATGCTTCGCGGGCCATACTGCGGGACACGCATTAACAGATCGCCTCGCAAGCCGGCGTATGTCTCAGAATGCGCCAGCAGCATACCTACACGGCTCAGCACTATGTACGCGACAACGGGTTCCCGCTGGTGTGGATGTTCCGATGCTGTTTAGGCAGAGCAACTTCCGGAGCAGCCGTTGAGGAAGAGGCGCGAGAACATCATCTACATCACGAAAATAGCCGACAGGGCAAGATCATCGGGAAGCCTGCCCATCTTCACACCTCCAATCGCAAATCAACTTCTGCGCAAGCATCTTCGACGCCGGTAAAATTGGCACCGATCGCACAGGACGAAGAAACCACAAAGCATGCGAATGCCCAAAGTAATGTCGAGCAACGCAAAAATTCGATATCATGATTTCCGGCTGCTCCGTCCACGCGTCTGCGACACGAATCCCGCCAAGGCTGTTTCGAACCAGAGATGGTCCGAGCGAACCAAGTCCTACCAAGCATTGACAAGCACAAAGACGAGCGTAGTTGATAGCGCGATAAGACACGATCGTCAATGGGCCTCAAATAGAACAATTCGCATGATGACGAGTTACACCTGAGAAGATCTCAATTGAATACTTGAGGTTCTTGTTGTTCTCGTAATTTTTTGGCAGGGATCCTTGGCTCCTCGAGCACCTGCATGATCAGGTATATAGTATGCAGAAGCGCAGGGTCTCGTGCAGGTTGAATACAGTCGATAGATTGTGGCGATAGGAGCAGCGTGGCACAGCCCTCGAGTAATACGCAATGCAGGGAAAGGACAACGATGGTGTTCCAGAAAGACCCAACACAGAAAGGAGAACGGAACCAACGGCGGAGTAAAAGCTAGTTGGCTGGCTGGTAGCCTCTCAATAATATTGAACGCGAGAAAATAAATGCTACGAAGGCTTGCCTGACATTCCTGACAGACTGCGCATCATCTTGTGTTTCCTGCACTTCACTTCAGACCTTTGTCTTGCACACGGACTTTGTTGCTTTGCAACACTACAATCGCTGATTTTGTCGTCACTGCGTCTAGAACTGATTAGACTGTCTTGGAAGTCTCTCACTTGATAACGGAAGGAACGTGTTCCTGAGCGCGTCCCTGAACCCCTGTCTCTACCAACTTCGTTCAACCTTCAACCGACTGCAGGTTGTACTACAATAAAATTGCTACGTCTCGACAATGCAGATCGCCGGCGTTCTATCAACTGCGCTGGCTGCCGCCGCCTTCTTCGCCAAGTCGGCCGTCGCAGCAGATGTTCCATCTATCGTTATCAAGGTACGCCATGCCTCCCAAGCTTCGGTTCCACCAACGCTTAGCAGTACTGACATCTTGGGCAACAGGGGTCAAAGTTCTTCTACGAGAACAATGGCACGCAGTTCTATATGAAAGGCGTCGCCTACCAGCAAGACTACATTGCCAACGTTACTAACGCGGCAAGCTCGAACGCGAGCACATACACCGACCCTCTCGCCGATACCAACGCCTGCAACCGCGATATCCCATATCTCGTCCAGCTCGGCACCAACCTTATCCGTGTCTACGCCATTGATCCGACCGCAGACCATGACGGATGTATGACTGCTTTGGCCAATGCAGGCATCTATGTCATCGCTGATCTGTCCGCGCCGGGTGACTCTATCATCCGAGATAGCCCTTCGTGGAACGATGACCTCTACGAGCGATACACCTCGGTAGTCGACAACATGCAGAAGTACACAAACACTTTGGGCTTCTTTGCCGGCAATGAGGTTTCAAACAACAACACAAACACCGATGCCAGTGCTTTTGTCAAGGCTGCCGTCCGGGACACCAAGGCGTATATCAAGCAGAAGGGATATCGCACTATCGGAGTTGGCTACGCCACCAACGATGATGCTGGCATCCGTGAGGACCTGGCCAACTACTTCGACTGCGGTTCTCCCGAAGATGCTGTCGATTTCTGGGGCTACAACATCTACTCATGGTGCGGAGACTCCAGTTACACCGAGTCTGGCTATGACCAGCGTACCAAAGAGTTCGAGAACTTCAACATTCCTGTCTTCTTCGCTGAGTATGGCTGCAACGAGGTTCAGCCTCGTATGTTCACTGAAGTGGCGGCTCTGTATGGACCTGAGATGGAGGGAGTGTGGTCCGGTGGCATTGTCTACATGTATTTCCAAGAGGCGAACAACTACGGTAAGCATCTCCAAATCCTCTGCAGTTCCCAAGCTAATATTTTTCAGGTCTTGTTACCGTTGACGGCAACTCTGTCTCAACTCTCGACGACTTCAACAACCTCGCCACTGAGATCGCCTCTATCTCTCCGACGGGCATCAACTCAGCCAGCTACACTCCCACTAACACCGCTGCTGCCTCATGTCCTGCAGTGGGCAGTGATTGGCAAGCAGCCTCGGCTCTCCCACCAACCCCTAACGTGGAGCTGTGTGACTGCATGTACAAGGCCTTGACCTGCGTGCCCAACAACGTTCCCACAGACAAGATTGGCGAACTCTTCGGAATCGTCTGCGGGCTCGGCGATACTGTCTGCGAGGCATTCAGGCCAACGCTACAAGCGGCGACTATGGCGCATACGGCATGTGCAACCCGCAGCAGCAGCTCGGCTGGGCGCTGAACGTCTACTACAACCAGCAAGGCGCCAAGGGCAACGCTGCCAGTGCTTGCGACTTCTCTGGCTCCGCAACTACTCAGTCCGCGACCAAGCCAACCGGAAACTGCGCTGCGCTGGTCTCTCAAGCCGGCCAGAATGGCCAAGGCCACCGTGACTTCGGCACCTACGGGTACCGGCTCCAGCGGTGGCTCCGGCGGCAGTGGTAGCTCTGGCTCAGGCAGCGGCAGTGGCAATGGCGCAGCTAGCATTTCGCACTTCAGCACATTTGGCTTCACACCGATTGCGCTGTACCTGGGCGTTGCATTTGCGTCTGGCATGGCCATGATCATGCTGTAGATCCTTTGAGAATACGCCAGAGATGGATGGTGTTGTGCATGGAAGGGAGCATTGGGCCTTGAGCTTTCAGCCATGGATTGGACAGGTCTCCTTAGGACACTTCATTAGCGACTTCGCAGTATGTTAAAAATGCGCATTTCTTCTTGCTCCGTTGCCAGCACCTCTGTTTAGTAGACTCGATGTATCGCATTGAGGCTGTCTGAGATACATACCGCACGACTAATGAATCAAAGTAAAGCCGGTTGACGCAACCTATCCGTCTGGCCTGGGAAGGCAGAGCACACTGACGTGCGGGCTTGGTTGCGAATATATTTCGAGGCATTCGACCGACCGGTTGACCAGCACGTTTTCTTCGACGTGGCTCTATGCAATCGTTACATGAACACGGGCTGCCCGAAACTTGAACATGGTGGTACATGTAGATTGACGTACGAATTATGCACAGAACATATATACAGCTGAAGCAAACGCAAATGGCACACTCCTCCGTTGCGATCTTTCCACAACTGGAAGCACCTGGCACCACCAGCACTGTCAATTCGCAGAAAGCTGAAGCCAACACCAACACCCATCGTCGATTGCGTCCCAACCACCCTACAGCGCCAAAGGTGCCGTAGCATTCGCCCACCTAGCGCTCTTCCCGCTCCCACCACTCCCAACGCTACTCCCACCATCACCCCCATAATTCCTCGGCGGTGGCGCCCTCGCCTTATTACTCGGCCCCGTCCAATAGCTATACCCTCCTCCTCCCGCCGCACTCGTTGTCGTCGCCGCTCTCGGCTTCGGCGGCGACGATCCCAACCCACCAGATCTCGCAGAAGCTGCCTGCGCCGCTATCACCGCGCCGGGCGTGTGACGCGGCCGGACTCGCTCGTGCGAGATCGTGCTTTGCGGTGGTGGTCGAGTGCGGCGCCCTTGATGCTGCTGATGGTGTGGATGAACATCATAGCTATCGTCGTGATCGCTGTACCCATATTCCTCGTCGTAGGGATGGCCATGATGCGGCGAACTAGCCGCCCTCTGCCCTGCGGCCTTCTTCCGTGGACGACCATTGCCAGTGGCAGCAGAGCCCGGAGGCGTGTGCTCGTTGGGGTCGAGAGTGTAGACTGGGATGTTTGGGATGCGCGGTTTTGAGGATGGCACGGGCGTGCAGGCGAAGTAGGCGAGCGGGGTCTTCATGAGTTCGGCGGTGTCGACGGCGGTGGGTTTGCGGCGGCGCGGTGGTGGGACGCGAACCCAGCCTTTGCCGTCGGGGGCGAGTGCGAGTGGCATTGCGGTGTGTTGATTTTCTGGGGGAGTTTGAAACAGGGCCGAGTGGTTCAAAGTGGGTGTTTTGTAGTGCAACTGCAGTAAGTGATGTCGCTTGCAGTGGTGCTGTTATCTCTGGAGATGTCGACAATATGCTTGGAATCGAGTGTGCTGGGGTTTCGAGGACGACGAAGCACAAGATGAGTCTTACCCAGGATCTTACCATGTTGCTGATACGCGTGCGCAGCAGCCCAGCCACCAGGTTGTTCCCATGGTCGGGTGGTTGGGATGCGGCATCATCGTCCCGACCCGGTAGGTCATCACGAACTTACCTTTCAGGTTGCTGTAAACTTTGAGCAATGGCAGAGCAGCACAGCCAGTTCTTTGAGCTGCGTGGCAGTCCGTGTTGTGGGTGCAGCTTCGAGGACAAGCATGTGGAAAGTTCACTGCAATGCAGTGCCTGAGGCTGGCCCGAATGGGACTGACTACGGCGCGCGGCGGGAGCCTGAAGCGCAGCAAGGCATCTTGACCTCGCCTGCAATCCTCGCTTCCTGAGCTGCCTTCGCGAACCCTGGGGAGGTCGATTTCTCAGCGCGGACGACCTGTCAGCACACCTCTACAAGCTGTTTGCTAACTCTTACCTACTCGGAGTGCCTGTCAATGTGCTAGCAGAATCCCAAATTGCTAGGCAGCAGGCGCCAAGACACATGCTTTCGAGACTGTGCTTTTCTGTTGGCCCTTTGACTCAGTACTAAGTAGGCAACGCTCGCCAACTCTCATTGGCCAGTAGAGAAGCACGATGAGCAACTGATCAAGTGCATGAGTCGATTTCGTGGCTGACTAAATCCTTTTTGCGGTCCTCTGGTATTGCTGCCTATCGCAGACTGGACATATAACTCGTCCTACGACTGCGCCGGGAGTGTTGGGCATTGTCCTACCTGAAGCATAGATACTCGGGGCAGAATGACTTCCTTCGCCACCCACGACCTCTACGGCGGCGCTATCACAGTCGACCTTCCAACCACATACATCGACGCCAGTGACATCCGCCAAATCCCCGATCACCAGGAAGTCTTCCTCTCGAATAAGACATTGACTTCACTGATCTTCGAAATCAACGAATACGTCCAGCAACCCGATCCAGCTGCCCTCTACTTCCACTTCAACGATGTCATTGCGCCACCTGATCGACTGAAAGGAGAGCTGAATGCGCTTCCCAGGCCGGCTTTTGCGAAGGAGAGCCTGTCTAGCTTTCCGGCATACTTGGTAGAGGGAAGCATCGTGACACCCGAAGTCGACAAGAAGGCGCCGAGTGCATTGCCGGTCGAGTGGCAGGAGACGCCACAAATGAAGGAAGTGGTCACGAAGTCTGGCAGCTGGTCGTCCGGCTCGAGAAGTATGGCACTGACTTTTGTGTTCGGTTTAACATGCCGCTGAAGGAGCTGGTCGAGAAGGAGAATGTGGATGCGGAGGAGAAGGTGGTGCAGGAGGTCCTGCAGAAGATTGTGGCGACTCTGGACATCAAGGACTTTGGCCTTTTCGGTATGGAGTGAGCCGTCAAATCGGGCGTTTCACCACTGGACTAGCTATCCAGCCCTCGCCGCCGGAGCCGTCAAAAAGAACAACGATAGCAGCACAGCAGTCTCTGCTGACTGAACAGTATCACAATCTGCCACGTCATCCGGCGTATCTGAGATGACACAACACTGATCGTTCTCGCCCACCGATGTGCAACGCAGCGCAAACTTCCGTCCCATTCGATAGGACATGCCGCAGGCAACATTGGCTTAGATCTGGTGACAGTATCTCGAAAGCACCTCTGTGAGCGTCTTTCCTTGAGTTGCTGGGTGCAGTTGCAACACCGCCTATTTTGCGACGAGTTTAGACTATGGCATTCCGATGACATTGCCTATTCGCTCGTTCTCCTTCAAGTCCTTGGACTCAGCATTCACGCCTCCAGAAAGACAGCTTCACTGGATAAGACCCTTCATGCTACCCGCTTTCAAGCGGCAGCAGAAGAGGTATATATCTGTTTCTAGTCCCGGCCTTCAGATTCATACGTCTTCCTCGAGAATCTAGTCAGTTTCCCGACTATCGCAATATGCAGAACCCTATGAAAATTGATATCTCTGACGGGTAAGTCCTCCCCTGCTCTCCTGTGTCAATATGCTAAGGCGAATCCAAGTCTGTGGGAGTATGGAGCGACATCCTCAACCGTTTCAATTACTTTCCGGGGTGGGAGAACCAGGACGAGGTGGGCGATCTTCGCGTGTGCCGAGCTAGCTCTGCGGATGACCCGGCCATGAAGTTTTGCTACATCATAGCTGCAGGACACGGGGCCGACGACAAGATGTACATGGTGACCACAGCATACTACAATTCAACTGAGTCACAGGGATATGACTATGGAAAGCCGAAGTTCAATGCAGGCAACGACTCATACGTCGTTGGTAGCGCTCTTCTGCGGCAGCCTCCGAAATACTTTCACGGCACGACGGTCATCATTGAAAAGGAAGGTGTGGAGCTTCCGATGATCGTCCATGATATCAAGACTCGGGACGACTCCTATGTCTACACTCTCGGAACTGCTTGTGGGCCAGAGGTAAACGAGGAGAAGCTTTTCGCGATCGCGAAAGAAGTCATCTATGATGATGAGGAATAGTCGGCGACTGTTGTTGGCTGATGTGCCAATAGGTGGTGTTCAAGCAAAGTCACGGCCTGCTCTGAGCGTCTTGTCGTCGGAGAACAACATCCGGCACTGGCGAAATACCCTCTGTCTGTGTCCTGGCTTCCGACCAGACCATGAGACTTACGTGGCCATACAAACCCATGCCATGATCCTCACAGGCTCCGATCATCATGAGTCGGGTCCGGGTATCGAATAAGAAAAGTTTCCCTACATCAAATCACTGCAAGCTCACTCTCCTCTCGAATTCTAGATGACATCTGGTTCATTGGATGGCTTTCATCTCAAGGGCGCTTACGGCCGTGGCTATTCACTGGCATGCCTTGAATAAGACTCGCCTCTGTCCTATATATACCTTCCCACCTTCCTCGGCGTGCATCTCAACATTCCGTCTCGCATACGAACATCTTTGCTCGATCCATATCACACGACTACTGACCGGCGTCGACTCAACGAATGTTTTGGAACCATGCGTCACCACAACGCCCCCGTTCCGAAGAGGTACCACCTAGCATTCGGTTATCGTTCATTATACTGACCTAGACACAGTCTCATGAATCAAGCTCGCACGGCTCTGGAGGCGCTTGGTTACACGTGGAGCTCTTCAACGAAGTGGGCTTCCGGTGATCTCGTGTTGAAGGAAGACGAGCCAGGATCGCATAGCGGAAGTTACTTCTTCGTTGTCGCAGGAGGTACTCGAGACGATGACAAAACGGATGAGTTCTACGTCTATACACAGTCCGCCAAAACCAAGGATGGATCGTACCGCATTCCCAAGGAGAACATACTACGGACTTCTAAGGGTGCCAAGTGGGTCGAGTCACCGAAGTACTTTGATGGCTCGATCTTAGCAATGGACGTGGCGGGAGTGGAGCTAAGTATCGAAGTACGAAACGTGTGGCGCGACGAGGACGGTGACAAGTGGGTGTATGAGATCATGGATCACAATCGCACACAGGTCTCTGAGGAGCAGCTCGATCGTATGGTGGGCAGAGTGATGATGCTGTGATGCTTCGCGCAGACACGAAGTCACAGAAGTATTGGCGCTTGGATGGCACGGATAGCTCACTCGCTGGATCACCAAGGGATTCTGGAATCGCAGCGACATGCCCCTCAGACGATGACACTGTGGTGGCTTTGGACCGGCTTGGATCAATGGAACTTCAGTTCGACGCTTTCAGGCGCTGACGCCACTTCCTACAACCTTAGGACTCGGGTTTCGGCGAGCAATGAGTTTCGGAAACTCGCTTCCTTCTTCACAGAACAGCCCTTTTGGCCTCGTGGCAATCAAGGACCATCTGAGATCTCAACTCATCAGCTCACTTCCCACCTGTCTGCAAAAATCAGGCTTGGTATACCAGCACGCGATGCCACACTCAGCTGCCGAGTTTCCAGCTTCGTGCTTTATTTGTGTTCATGCTCGATCTGCAACACCGTAAGCCTCGTTCAGAAGGATGGCGCGGCTTTGACGACAGTGCAGCTCACCCATGACAGAAAGGTGTGGTCGTATGGTCGTCAGGAGCAACCATAGTACCGGAGGCGAAATTTTTTGAGTCTCAGTTGACAACCTCAGCAGGACTTGGACCGCTTCAAGTTGTCGCTGGATTATTCACCGTGTCTTCTTCTGGCACCGATCGTGACCGACCTTGCCTTGTTTCGTCTGCGAACAATTATCTCTTCTTTCACGCCACTGGAAACGTCCCATCCTCTCACCCAAATCATCGTCACGCTAGTCGCATACACATGAGAGATATCGATCCAAGTACCGAGATTGCGTTGTCGACTAAGAAGACTTGAACGAATATGGCCGACAGAATCGTTGCCAATGGGTCGGAGAAGAAGTACCACAAAATTGATATCCCACCAGCGTACGTAACTGACACTTTCTGTGGCATGTACAGCGCTATGAAGCTTGAACTGACGATTACATAGCCTTATCCGCAAAGGAAGAACGCTATTCGAGCACCTTGGGTACAAAGTCGACGATCGCAGCCTTGCCGACCGGAGCGGCGACACTTGGAACTCGGGTGTCTTACGCTCGATCTCACCCGAAGAGTATTACTATGTCATAGTCGCAGGAGAAAGTAAGCAGAGTGGCGCCGCCGTTGTGGTGGTTGCCTACGCAGGTCGCTCTGATGATGGATATCCACTTTCTTTGGACGACAAGTCTGATCTTCTTGTCGTCTTCGATGACGACCTTCAGCGCCCACAGAAGTACTTTGCAGAAACCAAACTCGCCATCAAGACTGCAGGATCGGTGTTACTGCCTACCATTGTACACTCTGTGGGATTTGAGAAGATGGACTATCAGTATCAGCTACACGATGGTGATGGCCCAGAATTATCCGAGAAGGAGCTCGACGAGATTGTGGATCATGTCATCAGCTACTGAGTGGTCTCCTCGGCGGCTGCCGGCACTTCTGACGGGATTCATGAGATGTGCGGGAGGAGCCGGTGCACCGTCTGGCAGAAGCGCAATTACAGCACTCGACCGGCCACGAAAGGACTCTGAGGTAGGAGCTCATCAGATCGATCACTAAAATCAGTCCGCAGTCGGCCGCCCTTTGTAACGCCACGACTACGTGACTTTCGATACGGCGGATGGACGGTGGTCGATTTGGACTCTCACGAGAAAGACAATGGAATTCATTTGAGACCAAAATGAACTTCACTATGTCCTGCAGTTGATTCAGTGCATCTTATTGTGCTGTCACTGTGCTGTCACTGTTGGGTATTCATGATAATCATGTCTTCCTTCGGCCGGACTGAGCATAAATAGCTCGTCCGCCCGTCGATGTTGCAGGTTATCTTTGACTATCACGACACAGTTCACCCACCTAAATCACACCGAAGGACAACCCCAGCTCTTTCGAATACCGAAATGGCTAGCAAGTTGCACAAGATCGAGATTCCCCAAGTGTAAGACGCCTCATATGTCTTGATCTTGACGACGTCCAATACTCACAGTTCGCAGGCTCAAAGACAAGGGCAAGAAAGCTCTCGAGGCGCTCGGCTACAACGTGGAAACTGCTACCGCAGGTGACCTGGTCATGGGGAACCCGGCGCAGAATGACATGACGCATCGCTACATAGTATTGGCAGGCTACAGCGACACCCTCGATGGAACCGTGTATGTTCTAGCTTACGCAGGTTTCATTGACAACGGCCCGCCACGGCTGAACGAGTCTGAGACATACCTTCTCGTCACGGACTCGGACGAAGTACGCCCGGCACCAAAGTATTTCGTCGACACGAGTCTCACCATCAAGTTCACCGCCAAAACAAAGCTTGAGTTGAGTGTGGACGGATTGCGATATGACGACCGAACCGAACGGTATTACTATCACTTGGAGCGTATGGAGGGAGAGTTGGCTGAGAATGATCTTGCGGCGATCGTGGACAGTGTCGATGAGTGGTAGAGATGTCAGTGGGCCGCGGAGCATCGCTTGTCCAGTTGCCCAGCACGGATCGGCATCAAATCGACGACAGATCTCGACTGAGGAGGGCGCTGAGATAAGCTCAGCAGACTTGGAGAACGACAGCATCGTGATAATTGATAGGGAGTCTTGATTGAGACAACGACATTCGCCTCGGACCAGATCGAACTCTCAATTGAGCCGAAACTCAAGTTCAAGAACTGGACCACATTCAGATATAACTCACTACCTTGCAAAAGCTATTCACTGCTTCTGCTTTCGCTATTAACAGCAGGACCTGGCGGGCTTCACGATGCCAGGGCCTGATCGAATTAAGTCTATATATATCTCAGCATCTCCCCTCTCTCGAAGTTCATCTACAGATACTTCCATCCCCAACCCTTCTCGGACCACGACGGTCGCGAAGCTAGGCGACATCGCGGAGATTATGGCCCCAAGCAGTTATCATAAGGTCGATATTCCTCAGTCGTAGGTTCTCACATCACACTATCTTCGGAGCGCGAATGCCACTGACATATGAGCGCAGCCTCACTGAAAAGGCAATTCAAGCCTTGGAATTGCTCGGCTATGATGTCCTCGATAACGCAACAATTGACACTTACAAGCCCGGCGAGCTGGCTCTTGTCCTTGATAACGTTCGTGGAGTGAACGATCACTTCTTGGGCTATGTCATAGCGGCGGGAAAGAAACCGGGGTACTATGTTCGCGTAGTTGCTTCAGCAGGTTTCTGGTACTGTCATCCGGACAAGGTCTCAGACGGTTCAAACGTTCTCATCGTGCCCGAAGTATGGCTGGAGGAACCGCCAAAGTACCACGACGGGACTGCGCTCAAGATTCGATTCGAGGCCGGGATCGTTGATCTCGAGCTCTACGACGTGACAATCGATGTGGACTCACTCGAGTATCGCTACCAGCTGGGGGGCAGCGACGGACCGAAGCTATCTGAGGAGGAGCTGGAGAAGATCGTGGACAGCGTGGACGATGCCTGAAGAGCAGCGACATCAGCTCGCACATCTGGCAACGATCTCGAATTGTCAAAAAGCATCGCCCGAAGCACGACACGCCATCATGAGCACACCCCAGATCTCGCATGATTACATCATGTCCTCCGGAGGATCAAGTCGCATCCCATCGGCAGACCTCTGCTCATGATGCATCAGTCGCTCACTGCCTCTCGACAAAGCACACAACACGAGCGAGAAATAGGCACAGAGGCAGGCAGGACAGGACAGGTCTCAGGAGTTTCGTTATTTCGCCCGCCGCAATCATAGGCAGTCTGAAGGACTCCTGCACAGTAGCTAGACTGCAGTGATTTCGATCAACTCAAACATTTCAAGACCACACCTGCAGAGGCCTCCTGAGCCGTACAAATCGTGACCGTCGCCTGCGCCCTCGCTCAATCGATTGCTCAAGTTCTGTATGCCAGTATGCCCATTTTGATCCCTTTCCACAACACCAGAGTATGCTTCAAATCTGAACAAGTGAGGTCTCAATAAGCTTTGTGCTCGCCACGGTGATGGGGATAAATTCCTATTGTGGTAGACCAACGCCCATAATAGGCAGACACCTCCTGTTCTGAACGTTAGCAAGCAAACATACTGCCAAGACTGGACGCACAAAGATTTTCTGGCAGTGGGTGGTTCTCCCTGCTCATTGTGTGCTGCAGACAGGCTTGCAAGGCCGTTTCGTGGACAGCAGTATGCTGCGAGATGCACCTTCAGTCACTGAATGTCTCTTTGAACAGTAGTGTCCTGAACTGAGCTGTAATGCTTCAGTCGCTGAGGTCGATCACGTCGACCATAGCATCCAAAACACCTCCCAAGCTGCCCTGACTGCTGCCGCTGAGGCCGCGCTCCTTCTCGCTACCACTGCTCTCGGTTCTCTTCGTGATCTTGAAGTTATCGACCATCTTCTTCTTCGGGCTCGTCTTGCGCGGGAAAGGTTTGACCTGAACTAAGAAACCTCTGCACGTGCCACAACGCGACTTCTCGGTATCGAGACTCTTGCTGTGCCGTTCGTACTTAGCGCCACATCCCTGCGCAGCCGGGTTGGGGGTGATGTTGAGGTATTCTTGAACAGCAGAAAAGACTTGCGGATCGCGGCCAATGCAGACCCAGACATATTTGTAGTCGATTTTGTAGTTGTGGCAGGTAGTGATCTCGACATCGCGCCAGGAGGGGCGTGGAGTGGGAGCGTAGTCGGAACTGTTGGTAATGGTGAACATATTGGTGGTGTCAGGGACAGGAACAACAGCGTTGCGCAGGCATGCAACGACTTGATTGGCCCAGAACCAGAAGTCGGGTCCGTGCTGATCCTGCAGTTGCTTGCTGATGATGTAGGATGCCATGTGACAGAACTCGTGAGATAGAGTGTTGACAATGCGTTCTTCGCGATCGATGACCTTGACAGCGAGCTCGATGTTGAGATGATAGTGGACGACTGACTTGGTGGGGGAAGCTGCGACGATTTCGTCTTTGGTGATGACTCTGGCGCCCATTCTCGGACTTGATGGTGGCGATGGCGCGATGCCAGGCTGGACCTTTTTGAGGTAATTGGCGCGACCTGCGCATGTGCGCAGAGTCTTTGACCAAATGATGCGGACGCCGCCTGTGGAAGCGCTCGCTTGTTTGAGCTTGCCTCCCGTGATATTGTTGTCGAGGTAAGTTAGGAGATCATTCGCGACTTTATCCTTGATTGCATCAAAGGCAACGCGCTTGGCTTTCTCAGCTCGCTTCTCTGCAAGTCGTGCTGCTTGAGCCGCCTTCTCAGGTGACGCAAGAGGCTTAGTAGGTGAAGCGCATGGGCTCGGAGGAGAAGAGGAGGAGGAGTTGTAGCCAACCATCTCGTCTCCGTCGGACCAGATTGCGAAACGAGCAAGAGGATTCTTTCGTGGTGAATCGATTGGTGCTTTCTTAGGGCTGTTGATGTCGACCCAGTCGTTAACTGTATGCAAGTCCCAGAATGCGTCGGTGGATTGACGATGTGGAGAGCGGAGGTTGCCTTTCTTCTTCGATGGAGACAGAAGTTTTGATGGAGACTTCAGGCGAGGTGGTGTTCGCGGCCCAGTCGGCGTATGAGGTCTCTGTTCTACAATGGCACTACCAGTCCTATCGTTCATATGCCTCTTTGGAGACAATTCTGGATGGGCAGAAGGAACAGCAGAATCTGAAGATTTTGGGGGCGAGAGTCGCAGAAGTGAATCGAAAAGGGAGGGCAGCTTCTGTGGGAAGGTCGAGTCGCCACCAGCCTCGACATCGTCTCCACTATCGGAAGAAAATGGATCGCCCATAGGAGGGGGTCGGGAGCCAGGACCCACTTTCGAAATCACTGGCGACGGTGAAGTCAGGTCGATGACTTCCGGCGTTGCCTTGCCAGCATTTGTTCTCCGATTCTCGCCAACACGTAAATTGTTCAGTGCGCCTGCCAGCTCCGCTTCAGAGTCATTCTCCTTATCCGACTCCGAGTCAATGATCGTCCGGCGTCCACGCTGAAGACGACGTCGTGGCTTTGTTGGTGGCTTTGCCTGGTATTCAGTGTCGGAACTGTCTTCAGCCGTCTGGTGAAAGCTCAGCTCAGCATCATCGTCGACGATGAACCCACTGAGGTCTGTGTCTTCGTCTTCATTCTCTGCTGTATCGGAATAGTCGTCCACACAATCTGCTTCCTTCAATACAAAGCGGCTAGTGTAGTGTTGCTGTGACCGCACTTTCACTGCCTGGACGCCACGTCGCTGCGAATGTCCTTTGCGGCCGTCCCTACTTGTAAGAGAAAGGCTGTCCAGCTCAGAAGCAATCGCATCAATGTCGCTCGGCGGTGGCCGTGCTCTCAGTCGCTGCGCACTGCTGATGACTGTCTCGACTTCCTCCACGTCGCTGGTGTACGGCAGACTAATCTCTTGGAGTCCTGAAGTGGCTGCCGACTTTGCTGTTTTCCTCACAGCATTGGTGGTGGTTCGCGATGTTTTCCGAGCTGCCGGTTCACTTGACCGCGGAGTCGGTTCTGGCGACAGCTCTCTGGTCTGTTTTCGTACAGTGTTTGCCTTCTTGCGAGGCGATCTGCGCAACCCAGCGCTGTTGTCATTGTGTTCACCTCCCGCAACCAACTTCGCCGCAACCGCCAAACGTGCCATGTCGTCTTCTATCAATCCTGTACCTACCCGATCGTTTCCTATGAAATTAATGCTACAAAGACGTCTCGATGGACGAAGCTGATTCGTGATGAGGTTTGGGGAAGATCAAATCAAAGTTTGGAGATCGAGTCGGCAGGGCAACCGCGACCCGCATACATGGATTTGTCACGTGATTGTCAGGACTTCTATCCGAGTCGAATTCAAGTCGCAGCGGCATTGCTTTCTGGCGCCATCGCAGCATATCCGTCCGTGGGACGGCATCCATAGCAGCTGTGGCCATCTGGAGCTTAGCGAGCAGCCCAGGGAGTAGCAACGGACGCAGTTAGGGGCGACCAGTGAGAAGCCTAACCAGACTCACGAGTGGCCAGGATATCGTGGCTGTCCGACCTACCAGAACCTCAGATCAGCTTCTTATCGCTATCGTGCATGCTTGTCATGCATACGTCTTGGGCACGAAGAAGGGCGGTCAATCGAAATAGATGTGGTCCCTATTTGCGACAAGTAGCTGTCCGCGCTTTGCGTGCTGTGTTGTACCAATGAAATGGCATTGAGCTGCTCTGGCCTTTGCGGAACGGTTCGATTCACAGCCAAAGTCAAACGGCCAGGAGGAGCAAACTTCCAGTTGCAAGCTCGAGTCGGCACTGGTACAAGTTCTCCTCAAGAACGTCAGAGCCTGATCGACATCAATGCTACAGAATATATCGGCCCATGTCAGTCAACGAAAGCTTTCATGTATAGGTGCTCGCAGCGCAGAGTGATGACTTCTTCATCTTGCGATACAAAGCGATTGTCAAGAAAAGGTTGGAAAGGGACAAGTTCACTAGTAGTTAAGCTTAGCACTTAGAGGCGCTTACTCCCTCTGTGGAGCAGGCGGCAGGCCCGCGAAGCCTGATTGAGAGCCGAGAGCATAGCGGTCATACAGTACAATTGAACTGCTCCCATCATCTTCCATCTGCCCCAGTCGCCTGCATCTCTTTCACGACAGCGACTGCGGTGAACGTTCTTTGACACAAGTTCATCATCGTCTCAGGCCGAGTTCTTCGTCCCGAAATTGCAAGCGTTGTCGTTTGTTTCATCGCACCCAGTGCCGCGTGGCTGGGATTTTCTACACTTAGCCCCACCAGCCTCACAAATATTCACGACCACGAAATATCGTAGACATCGATGCAGTGACACCGCCAGGCACTGCTTGCAACCTCGACTATTCATACCACCATTCAACCACCACAAGCGAGATCGACTACGTTGGACTGTCAAAGATCGGCTCGACCGTTTGCTATCGAGTTCCCTTACTCCTCTCGCCTGCATACATCAAAGTCAAGACTCGCAGGTAATACCGCTGCGCCCCTGACTCGACGCACTCAACGATATCTTTCTCATCGCAGACTCTCAAGAGCTCCTGCCCGACCACTTCCAATGACGAGCACGACTTAGTGCTCACCCAGACATGGGCCTGAGCGACCGACGTCCAATTTTGCCTGCTCCAACAGACTCTTCAATCGGCGCAGCCGACGAAGCACCACCATCGCCGGAGCAAGACGTTGCAACTGACCTCTCGAGGCTCACCGATCGTACCCACCACACCATTCCAGACGACGGAACTCCTATCACCATCCCGACATCACTGAAGCACCTTGGGAAAGGAAATCCTGCGCAGCAATCCCAAGCCTCGTTACTGATCGAATACTTCGAGAACAATTCCGACCCCGAACGAAAACCTAGCATAAGAGTAAGAGTTGCTCCTTCTGGATCGAAGAAGCTGCAGCAGACGCCGACAGAGCACATCTCGCTACCGGCCACGCTGCGACATAACAGCATTTCTTTACACCGACTGGGCTCAGACGACTCAGAAGGCTACAACATGACGACACAGCGGTTGTCGAGGCCTTTCGAGCCGGAGTTTCAGCAACCAAGCGAGATCTCGGTCCTGAGTGACTCACCGCCAACTCGATTCATGGCTCCAGAATCTGATGTATCCTCAATGCCAGCCGATAGCATGCTGGGTGTGTCCAACACAGCCATCGATGCGACAAGATTGCGAACCTCCGGCAAAGAGAACCAAAAGCCAACGGATCGCAACCCTATCAGCGACCGGCTGCTTACCCAGAAAGTCATTGAGAAATTGGCGGCGAAGCCACGATCAAGCGGGCTGAAGACTACGTCGGAGGGCCGACGATCATCTGCCAGCCACGAGATCGATGCAAGCCGGCCCCGGAGAAGAACAGCCAAACACATCGAGGATGACTCGATCACAGGCTCGAGCATGATCAGCGGTTCAGCTGTCTCAGACATGCCGAAATCCAACGATGGCCGATCCGTTCGCTCCGGTCAATCCCAAGTGTCCTCCACTAATCCTAGACTCATACAGACTGTCGAAAATGCCATTCGCAAACTGATTATACCTGAGTTGGAGAAAATAAGAAGCGAACAAAAGCACGCGACGCATCGAAAGCATCGAAAGGAGTACCCGACAGATCTGTCTGAGAGCAGCATCTCTCGAGAAGAACTCTCACAGCGAAAGAGCTCTGGCAAGTCTAGGCGGCGGAGCAGCACTAAGGACGAGCACCGTGTATCTTCCAGCTCCAGAAGACATGAAAGAAGTCACAAAACTGTCGACGACACACCTTCCGAGCGGAGCTACGACAAAAGCGAATCTATCAGCAGCGTCAGTGTCGAAGAAGATCTGAAAGCCCGAAAGTCACGGAAGAGCCACCGTGCCAGAGATGCAGCAGCAGCAGGTCTTGCTGGAGCAGCTCTGACTGCGGCTGCGCTGAAGCATCATGATTCAAGTTCGAGTGTGGAACATCGCGAGCGACGAAAGAAGCGAAGCAAGAGCCGGAGTACACGGACTGAGAGCATCGCCGAGGACGAAGAAGTCTTCTACAAGCATAATGTACCGCCGATGCCATTCCGCAGCGAGGTCGACTCGACCCTGACTCGCAGTTCACTGCTGTCTTCGAACACCGCTGGTACAATGACTCCCACTCGTCGTGATGTCCGGCGGGTTGCCCGTGGCTCTCCTGGCGAATTACAGTCTCCTGTGTCAGACTCCCCATCGCAAACACCAGTGGAGAAAGATCTCCCACAGCCAGCTCAGAGTATACAGACGGGGCTCGGCACGCATCACGGGAACTTCTCTAACCGCGATTTGTCAGGGTCTCGTGAAGACGTCGATGTGGATGAGGACGATGAAGAAGACAGTCATTTCACTGGTGGTGGCTATGGTCTCGTCGGCCATGGTTTGCTCACAGATCCGGAGCGCGCCAGAGCCTATGAGCGCAATCTACATCAGCAGCATCCAATCCGCCGCGGCTTGAGTCCGATCCAGAGTGTAGCTAGTTACGCGACCACAGAGCCTACACGAAACTCACTTATCCAAGCGCGGAGCCGCGAAACACTGTCCTCGCCGAACAAAGATGTAGGACGTGTAGACGACATCTCGGAGGTGTCCTACTCGTCGGCCAACAGCATTGACTTGATCAAGGCAGCTAATCGCCCACATGGCCTAAGCTCGAGAATCGAAGCGAGATCCTACAGCCGTACAAGGAGGAATCGACGTCAGTGACCAGAGACGTTGGGGGCCTAGACTCGCTCGAAGATGCGAATCGCGACTCTTTTGCTAGCAGCGACGCTAGAGTCTCGCAGGCTCGATCCATCCGAACAGATGACAGCATCGACTCTCCTTACATCGACAAGGTAACAGCAGGTCAACAAGTTGGCTACGGCTTTGCTGCTAACCCAGAATTCATTAACGGCTCCGAAGGTCCAGAGTCAGCTGTCGCATCTCTCGTCGAAGCGTCTGTGCTAGAGTCAAGAGCAGGTTATTCGCCGACAACAAGCTACAAGGGATCTCCCGAGTTGCGTGGCGTGATGACCCCCGGCACTGGCAGACGAAGCGGCAGTCCTTTGAGACATGAACACGATGTCACAGCACACAGCGATCCGAGAGATGTTACACGTGGCATTGTGCCGCCAGTCGTCTTTGCGCAATCGCATCCGAGAAGCTCTGAAAAAGTTGCAGTCATCCCAGTCAAGACGTCCCTGCCCGCAGAAGCCACCAACGGTGAGGCTCAAGATGCAACTTCTCCAGAGTCCGAGATCACAACGAATCCGTCTGTCATTCAGGGACCAATGGGCTATACCCCAGGCGACACCAGTCACTGGCCATATGGTCCCACACCTCCTCCCATAGAGTCGCCTCTGGCTCCAGGAACGGGCCGTTCACTTGGCGTTACTGCTCCTGAACTCGTGCCTGAGCCTCTGTCAATGAGCCATGGCCCCGAACAGAAGCGTGATGTTTACATCAATCGAGCCATGGAAATGACACCGCCAGGTGCTAAAGACGAAGGCTACGAGACAGGCGCAAACGCTCCCTCGCCTGCGATCATTCCTGGCAAGCAGCAACTCGTGCCGAAAGGTCTGCCATTTTCGCAAGAACTCGCCTACGAGGATGATGCGCTCGACAATGATCCCTTCACGTCCCAGAAGCGCGATCAATATGCTAGTGGACTCTCGCACGGCATGTCACCGCTATACGATAACGCTACAGGTCGTGCTACTGACCGGATATATGACAAGGATATCAGAGCTCTGATGGATCACTTGACCGTCAGAGATGCTCAGCGAAATGCCCGAGACACGGAAATCTTGATCACATTGGTTCGCACGGCAGCTGAAATGCGCAACTCCTTCGAAGATATGAAGAATCTAATGGCTGAACAAGGAGAAAACATGCTCGAGGAGAACTCAAAGCAGCATCAGCAGACACAAAAGGCGATTGGTGGTCCACGGCCTCAGCCTGCATCGGCGCGAGTCACTCGAACACCGACGCTGGATGAAGAAGAGCTTTCCACCAAGCGGCGAAGCGTGTTCCGGCGAGTAATGGGCTTGGGCAATAAGAATACTCAAGAGCTGCAAAACATCGAATCAATGCTTGTTCAACTGCTTGACGGCTTTGAGGATATGCGAGCTCAACAGAACGGTCACGTGGTTGAGCCACGCCTGACAAGCATTCACTCTGCTGATAACGCAAGAGCACCTACGGACACTGGGTATGAACCAGAAGGACAGGCCGGGACGTCTTCAACCGGCGATCGATCTGGTATGCACTCCAACAACTCGTCCCGCCAAGCAGACTACAGAGGCTATAATATCCGCCATGAACCCGGCAACCGAGTCAGCACAGTCATGGAGCGTGAGGAAGAGTATGACTACGACGATGCCTATGCGGAGGATCAGCAGAGAACACCGCTTGCGGCCAAGTTCACCCGAGGCGCGTCTGAGCCGGTACATACCCCACCAACCATGCACGATGCGAAACAGGGCACGCTGAGTAACGAGCATACTCCACGCTTCTCGAACGACACATCTTCGGGACGTAAGCACAAGTCTTTTGCCTCGTCGTTGCTGCCTAAGATGGTGTCAAGATGGTCGAAGACGACAGCCTCTTCTGGGGATTACCGTGCGAGTACCCTTCAAAAGCCACGTTCATACTCTCAAGTCTCTCAGTCCGGCTCAAACGTTGGAGGCTATGACTACGACCCGGCTGGCGAGGACGCTCTCCTAACCAGCGATGAGCGCTACCGCACTCAAGAGAACAGACCGCCGTCGCCGCTGATCCCAAGTCAGGTGTCCGACAGTAGCCCCAAGTATCAAGGCTTCCGCAACAGCGTCAATCTTCAGCACCCTCAGCCACGCGCTGGTCCGACTGAGCGCTATCAGAATCATCTCAATTCAGTAGCCCAGTACTACGACAATAACGATCCAATCTCGCCGGGGTCCGTGTCGTCTTCGCAATGGGAAGCACAGGCTGCTATGACAGGAATGCCTGGCGCAGATCTTCACCAGGGGTACCAACATGGCGGACAGCTCAGTCCAATTTTCGACGACGGTACCAGTCAGCGATCGAGCAGACAAGGACCACCTCGTCCACCGAAAGAGCCTCAGGACGACCCTCTTGTACCTCCTCGACCTCCAAAGGTCGTTATGAGCCTCCAAGTGGGAGCCGACAGCCGACTTATGTCGATCATGTCGCCGCTGCGCGAGCTGGCAGTCCGGCTTTCGATAAGGTAAGCACTCCACCCCGACTTCTCCAGAAGGAATAACAAGCTAACAAGATGTTTCATTAGTCCCCAGTTGCGGCTATCAGGAACTCACCTGGTCAGGCACGGAAGCCATCTGGTCCTCGACCACTGTCTACGTCAGGACAGTATACCAGCAAGAGCTACAACGGAGATATCAACTCCGTTAAGAGAACGCGATTCAGAGGATCGCCAAATCAGATCGATAGTGATGAGAACTTGGCTCGTCAGTATTGATCACTTACGGAGTGGCTCTCGCGTGCTCAACAGGGTGGGAGGAACACGACAACGAGTTCATTGTACAATATTCGTGCAGCACTTGGAAGCCTTTGAGGTGCGTTTGGAAGGCACACCAAGTGAGTGGCCCCTTAGGTGGTCAGGCTTGGGTACACTAGGTGGAGACAGCTATTCGTGCAAACAAAAGTTCATCGCATTCTGATCAGGCCTGCTGGTGTCAGGCTTGTATGCCATGGGGCTACGTCCTCCTGTCGGAACGAGATGGCATAGTTGAAGTGTCAGGATATCGCAGATGCTAGGCTAGGCTCAATGAATGTAACCGACCTGCTATGGGCAGCTCAACACGAAGAGATTCAGCATGCAGTGACCGATACTGATTGTTCCAGTAGGGCACGTGGTAAAAGTGTAGCATAAATGTGTGTGTCAGCTCCAGGACAAGCTTGAGAAATCCTAATACAACGCCGGATGACACGACTCGGTTCGTGTGCTCCCAAATATATATGTAAAGTAGTGCGACGCCTTCATGAGCCACAACCATCGTCTTGTCAAAACACCGACAGCCTCAACATGTGTATCCCATCTGCTACCAACACTATCGTAAGCCTTGCCCCCCTGCCAACCGATCAATCTCATCGCCTCCTGTAAAGCACACAAACTTGAAAGCCCTCTTCACCCCAGGCCCCGTATCCCCCTTCCCCGTCTCCCTCAACCTTGCCAATCGCTTCCCACACTCATCAATCACCGCATCCATACACGCCATCGGAAGATGACCAAATTAAACCCCAACCCCTGCGCCTCCTCCACCGAGAATTCTGGCGTCGCACCTCCCGCAACCACATTCAACAACACAGGAACATGCCGCCCCGCCTTTTCCCTAATCTTCTTAATCCCGGCGATAACTTCCGCTGCCTCCTCCCTGGACTGGATAGCCTCGAAAAAGACCCCATCAGCACCACCCTCCAGCACAGCCCCCTCACACCGTTGCATCGCCTCCTCAAACCCCATCCCCTGCCTCGCATCCGTCCTCGCAAATATCATCATCTCGCTCCCTACCCCATCCCTCGCCCTCACCGCGGCCCGTAGCTTCGCATACCACACCTCCCTCTCCACCAACTGCTTCCCCAACAAGTGCCCGCAGCGCTTCTGCTCGACTTGGTCCTCCAAGTGCAGCGCCGCACACCCGGCCCTTGCGTAAGCAGCCACCGTTCTGCTAACTTGGACGGGCCCGCCGTAGCCCGTGTCGGCGTCCGCGATGATGGGGGTGGTTGGAGATAAGCTAGCGATCATGGAGAGTTGGGAGAGCATGGTCTCTTGGGTGGTGAGGCCCAGGTCGGCCCAGCCCAAGCGGGAAAGGGAGGTGCCGGCGCCGGTCATGTAGAGGGCGGTGTGGCCGGTGGAGAGGGCGAGGCGGGCGGTGAGGCCGTCGTAGATGCCGGGGGCGAAGACGACGGAGTCTGGGCTGGCCAATTGCTTGCGGAGGGTAGCGGCGCCGGAGAAGGGTTGCAGGTAGGGCGTTGAAGTGATGTGGGTGCATGAGTGCCGTTGGTGCCGCTGTGGCCGTTGACGCCATTGGTGTCACTGGTGGGAGCCATGATAGCTGGAGTTCTCCGGGTGAGTCGAGTGTACGGCTTGAGGCGAGTGACTGGGTATGTGTACTTTTGCGGTATTATCCCGAGTTTGTAGTACGTGGGCGAAGACTGCGGGGAAGTCCTTTGGGGTACTACTAAATGTTATCCGGGTGGGGTTGTTCCTTCTGTATGGGGTATATCAGAGTTGTAAGCTGATAGCGCCCGACGCAAAGCTGGCGAGTCCAGATGCAGGAACTCCGAAGAGTAATATGTTTCAAGTCCTAATGAATAAGTATACGAGAATGCTCAGAAGTAAATGACACTTTATATGGATGTGCGTAGAAGCCGACCTCGGAATAAGTTTTGAAGATGGAGAAGGTGCATGGCCCTCCGATCGCAGGTACCCACATTTGGAGTATAATACCAAGACGGCATGTTCATGGCACTCCGGGAAATCGGTCCTGCTGCTTACTGGTTGCGCATATGTTCACAATGACTCGACTCAACTTCTGCGAGAAGCAATGTGCTCTCAGTGGCGCGCATGGCCGACATCGCGATCGCTGGGCGGTCACGAGCCGTCACTCTGGCACCGCGTAGTATCTCTTCCCCTCCGTGCTCAGCAGTACAACGACGGAGTCCTTGTCAAGTTCAAGAGATGACGGATCTTCTCTCACGACTTTTCGCAGTCCTGCCAATTGTGCAGCACCGCACGGACCGGCATTGATGCCTTGCTTCTGAAGGTACACAACGTCTTCATGACACTGTCTGTCGCTCACGGTGACGCTGACATCGACCGCCTCCTTGAGGACGGGCCACGAGAGCACGCCGACTGTGCCGCAATTCATGCCATCCATGATGGTCTTTTTGGTCGGAATTGTTTCATGCCTCCCCTTGTTCAGGTTGTCGTTCAAGCACGCCGCCGATTCTGGCTCTGTTGTGAGAACTTTAATCTTTCGACCAGAGGATTTGCAAAATGTAGCAACCGCGTGTCCCAGTGTTCCAGCACCGATCGGTGTCGCAATAACCGATGCTTTCAGATTGGACTCAGCCAGCTGAGATTCCACCTCATTGACAAGCGTCGAGTAGCCCTCAATGATCCATTGCCAGACATCGGTGTCGCCTTCTGTGGGCAGATCTTGTATCAGCAAGCCGGATGGATCAAGTTTGCATGCTTCTTCGGCTGCCTCTGCAGCCTGATCAAAGATTCCTGGAACAGTGATGACTTCTGCGCCCTCGCTGGCAATGTTGTCCTTGACCGGCTGGTCTGTGACATCGCCAGGCACGTAGATGTTCGCACCAATACCCAGTATCTTCGCCATTCGTGCGACGGCCCGTCCATGGTTGCCCGCAGTGGCTGTGTAAAGACGAGCCTTCATCCTTGGGCGGCTTTTGCGACTTGTTCTATACTCGACTGAGGTGAAAGATTTGCACGCTTCGTGACCGATCTGAAGGCACCCCAGGACGCCCCCAGAACTTTATAAGCAGGTAAGCCGAGACGGTTGCTTTCATCTTTGACGAATACGGCTTTGACGCCGAGCTCGCGGGCGATGTCTTCCAGGGGCACGAGGGGCGTGGGTCTGTAAGCTGGGAGAGTCTTGTGAAAGTTCTGAACGAGTGTGAAGTCTGGTGGAGTGTCGTAGGTCCAGTTCCTGGCAGCTGGGTTTGCGTAGATCTTTGTTGCCATCTTTCCAGTACTTGCAGTGTGAGTAGCTGTCAGTGAGTTTCAACGGTTTGCACAATAGTACGTGTGAGAAGTAGTAGATGCGACAAGTTTATAGACCTTCTAGAAGGTCGAGAGACCCTGAGACTCTAGTCTCGTGGAAGGGCGTCTCCAGCGCCTTACTTACTCAACAAAGTGACATCAGGATGGTCCGAGGTAGTGTTCTTGTGAGGCGACCACCTCGCAAGCGGCGACTGCGATGGATTCTACGGCAGGAGTACCTTGACGTACGTCTGTCTACCTGAATGGAAGCTGTGACACGCCTTTTGATTCGATGTCTTGGCACTCGGGAGATAGCCATCGTTTTCCAGTAATCTCCGGGCTACTGGCATGCGTGCCTGGCACGCTCCCAGCCGCTGCAATTGCCACCACAACAGTGTCGCTAGTGAGGTAGTGGCGCTGCTGCTTCATTCATTGTATACTATTCGAGATCGGTTTGACACCCAAGAGAGCTGTTACTCGGCTTTTCAAGTCGCCTGCACCTCGCCACGTTGACTCATGCCATTGGCCGCTACCAGAATCTGGCCTTTCAGATGCGGTCGAACCTCGATAACGCAACCAATAGGGCCAGACGGACCCCATGCTTCTGTGCGATGCTGATTGAGGCCACTCTTGATTGGTGAGTAACAAGCTCACCAGCGCCCAAACTCTCTGCTGTCGCCATTCCGTTTCCTCGCCACTTGCGAGATCTGGCGTCGCCGGCGCGAGCACATGGCTGAGGACGACGTCGATGCCAGACCTCGCCGCAGCCATGCCAAGTCGAAGCATCGACGTCACAAGTCCCGTAAAGAATATGTGGTCGAGGAGAAATCTACGACTGACACAAAATTACCCACCTTGGACGAACTGCGGAAGTCTCGAGTCGAATACTTCTCGGCCCCAGCGACCGAGCACCGGAGGACCATGAAGTATGTGTACGATGCTCCAGTAGCGACTCCGAAGAAGGTGGTGGCAAAGCATGAGTCAAGAGTCGATGCGACCAAGTCACCTCGAAGGAAGCAGAAGCGCAGAAACAGTGATGCGAAGAAGCATGCTCGCGAACACGAAAGCGACACCGATAGCGACAGCGACGCAGATAAGGTGTATGTCATGCGAACGGAGACCAGAAAGACGGACGGCGCTGGTAGCGTTGCGAAGGGCAAGTCTGTAAAGAATGCAGCTAGACGGCCTTCAATCAAAGTCGCGCCGAAGCCTCGATCAGTTGCTGAGCGACGAGCCCCACAGAGACGGCACACTGTTGCCGCAACGCTCGAGAACGAGGCTCCATGTCCCCCGCAACAGAAGAGCCTGAGTTCGACTGATCTACAAACAAAGGGCTCGAAAGTCGATGCCCGACCAGCACTCAAAAGAAGTGCAACGACAGCTGTAGCGAGGACAGAAGTGAGTCTGGCCAAATCCACTGCCACTACACGTGGGGACAAGAAGGCGCCGTCTGTGTTCTCGTCCTTCTTCCAGTCAAAGCCGCCGTCGCCAGAAAAGAAGGTCTCATGCCTGACCTGCGGCGACGACGCTGTGTTGCTGTCTAAGTCGGCGAGGCTACCGTGTAAGCACCGCATGTGCCACTCGTGTCTGAAGCGAGTCTTCAAGATGTCAATCACCGATCCTGCTCACATGCCACCAAGGTGCTGCACGGATGATCACATCGATCTGAAGCACGTGGACAAGCTTTTCAACCAAGACTTCAAGAAGAACTGGAATCGAAAGTTTCTCGAATATAAGACCAAGAACCGAGTCTACTGCATCGGTAGGAACTGTGGCGAATGGATCAAGCCGAGTCATATCACAGTCGAGCATGGCCGAAAGGTAGGCAAGTGCAAAAAGTGCGGCACAAAGGTCTGTGCCATCTGCAATAACAAGGCTCACTTGTCCCGAGACTGCCCCAAAGATCCTGCTACCAAGCAGTTCATCGATACTGCCAAGCAGAAAGGCTGGCAGAAATGCTTCAATTGCTCTGCCATGGTCGAGCTGAAGGAAGGTTGTAACCACATGACCTGCCGCTGTAAAGCTGAGTTTTGCATGGTCTGTGGACTGAAGTGGAAGTCTTGTGACTGTCCGTGGTTCAACTACGAAGCCGCGGACGCCCATTTGGGCAACCCACGAAGATATCAGGAGGAGCTCGATCGGCGACGTGACCAAGAACAACGAGATGAAGCACTCGCACAGCGGATGGAGGTCCTTGGGATAGACGCAGAACAGGCTGAAGGAGGCTTTTTCGGCTTGGGTAATGGCGCTGGCCATCACATGAACGCAAATTTTATCCAGCAAGCACGTGAGGCGCTGACGGCGAACTACCAAAACGCAGAGCAAGCGGCAAGAGGGCTGATCAACGGCTGGTATATGGGTCGAGAGAACCGCATGCCGGACGTTCCAGAGCATATGAATCTGGACGACCTACCTCGGATCCTGCGTCAGCAGAGCCAAAGGCGAGCAGCTGCCCTACCTGATGCTGCCGAAGCAGATGGGGGCCCACCGAGACGGAGTCGGGCTGTGAACAGAAGGAGGACGGCGCAAGCTCAGGGAATTGTCAATGGCATTGGGAATAATAGTCGACATCAGGCAACACCAGAAGAGCAGGAGCAAAGGATTAGAGAGTGGGCAACGGGCGTTCATGGCTGATCAAGTCTATGCGTATTATTTACGGCTTATGAAGTGACGTGCTCTACGAATATCAGAAGCGAAGAAAAGCGACGGAGTCCAAAGAGAAGAGACGGACAGCGAGATCCCACCTAGTGTGTACAACGCAATTATCTTTCCTGCTAGCAGCAATCGTGAACATGCATGTGCGGACCTCGTAGCACGATTCTGTACACCTAGCTGGAATGGATCCACTGTGACACGATCAGTGATTGATGATCAGGCGTCGAGGCGGCCAATTTGCCCACACTCTCCAAATGAAATCCCGACATCGGATTGAAACTCTGTATACATCGATCACTGCATACAGTGTGACTGCACGTAGCCCTCATCCCTTTCGACTCGCATTACCAAGATCCTTCATCCTACGTTGAAGAATCTGTGGGCTTGAATAAAGTTGCCGATCAATATGCCGGCCTACAATATAGTCGTCTTTGGTGGCGACTACGCCGGTCCTGAGGTAAGTCTCCCTAATTTGCATCATCCCAGATCTGGAAGGAGAAATCATGAGGTGGTGACCGGGTCATGTCTGAAATGTGTGCGACCTCCAACTTGTGGCATGTGTACGGTGCTGTTCGTCGTGGGTATGACTGAGGTCACTGGCGCGAGCGAAGATGAGCTCATGCTCAATGCTGCGCGAGGAGTGGCCTGGGTGGGCCTTTCCGGCAGAAGACGACACTCGATCACTGTCCATACGGCACGCGAGAAGGGTCTGATCTACTTGTACAGACTGCTGACACATTCTCGCCCGCCAGGTCATCGCCGAAGCAGTCAAGACACTCAAAGTGATCGAAAAGAACAGGCCAGACACGACATTCAACTTCCAGGATCATCTGTTCGGCGGTGTAAGTCCTCGTTCTCGATCATCTAACCCATCTGTGGGAATTATATCGCTAACACACATGACCAAACAGGCCTCTATCGACGCACATCAGAATTCACTCACAGAAGAAGCCCTCACGGCCGCAAAGAATGCCCACGCTGTACTCCTCGGTGCTGTCGGCGGTCCCAAGGTATGTTCAGAAAAGCCGCCGTGTCCCTTCTGTGCTTCCCTCAACGTCCAACAATAATTCCCTCCCAACCCTCCTCAGCCCGAACTTCAACACCAGCACCCGCGACAACACCATTTGACACCCTCTTCTCCAGTACGGCACCGGCCCCATCCGCCCAGAACAAGGCCTCCTCCGCCTCCGCAAAGAAATGGACACCTACGGCAACCTCCGCCCCTGCTTCTTCGCCTCCCCAACCCTCACCTCCCAGTCGCCCCTGAAAGAGTCCGTCTGCAAGGACGTCGACTTCACCATCGTCCGCGAACTCACCGGCGGCATCTACTTCGGCGAGCGCCGCGAAGCCGACCCGGCCAAAGACGGCCCCGACGAATCCGCCGAAGACCGCGAACCATATTCCCGCGCAGAGATAGAACGAATCACCCGGTTGGCAGCACATTTGGCGTTAGCCAAGAATCCGCCTTCAAAGGTGTGGAGTTTGGATAAGGCGAATGTGCTGGCTACGTCAAGACTGTGGCGCCGCGTAGTCACAGAAATCATGTCCACCGAATTCCCTCAACTCCAACTCGAGCACCAACTGATCGACAGCGCGGCCATGATAATGGTCAAAAACCCGCGCCAACTCAACGGTATAATCGTTACATCCAACCTCTTCGGGGACATCATCAGCGACGAAGCGAGCGTCATCCCAGGCAGTCTAGGCCTCCTCCCGAGCGCGAGTCTGAGTGGTGTGCCGGATGGGAAGGGGCTATGTAATGGAATCTACGAGCCGATTCACGGGAGTGCGCCGGATATTGCGGGGAGGGGGGTCATAAACCCTGTGGCGGCGATATTGAGTGTGGCGATGATGTTGTTGTATAGTCTGAACATGCCCAAGGAGAGTTTGTTGGTGGAGCAGGCGGTCAGGGTGGTGATTGAGAAGGGGATCACGACGAGGGATATTGGCGGGACGAGCTCTACGAAGGAGGTTGGTGATGCTGTGGCGGAGACGTTGGAGGCGTTGATGAAGCAGACTTCAAGTTGAGGCAGGAGATTTCAGTTGCGGTGAGCTTTCTATGGTGGTGCTCGCCAGCGGACTAGTACCTCGGTTGGACTCGTACTACTTTTCTGGCTGACTCAGATAACGATTCGATCCCCGTCCAGCATTAAGAATGTGTCTCTTGGAGCCACGTTCATCATGCGACGTCTGCAGTCCTCGTCCTCGCCTCAGGCGCATAGTCCATCATAATCACACCAGTACCCCGTCCACCATGACCGTGCAGCCATCGGCTTCGGCTCTTCAGTGAGGTTGAAGTGGGCTGTGATGTTCTGTACCGACATTGTCACTGTGGTAGCACTAGGCTTTCCAGACCACCACATGTTGCCATCGGCCCATAACTTAAGCTGTAGGTTGCCGCCCGGAAGTGGAGGACGAAGATCTTCGTGAACGAGTGTGCCGTCAAGGAAGTATTTGACGTTGTCCTTGCTGTAATCGAATCGATACTCGTGGTATTCACGGATGTTGGTACCGTTGAATTTGGGATCTAAGGGGACACGTACAGTCGCTCCAAAGATCGGGTTACCTAAATCATCGAGGGAAGGATGTGTAGTCCAGTTCATGGTGTCGTTGACCAGCGAGGTGCCTCTGGTCACGATCTCGACATCAATCTCAGCACGGTCATCCTGATAGCAGGTCAGCATAATCGCAACATTGAAAGCAGTGGTGGCCTGGAGAGGAGTCTGGTGAAGATTTCTCGACTAGAGTCTGTACGACTGTGTTTCGATAGCCACCGAATACGGCCTGGACGCTTTATGGGTACGAGGAGACCTACTCTGTACCAGAAAAAGCTCGCCACCGATCCTCCATCATCGCCAGTGACCTTGAAGACAGTAGTGAAGGTACCGTAGCCGATGTTCAGGAGCTGACTTTGTATGCCTGCCATGCTGACTTTGTCATCTCCCTCTTTCCAGCCTTTCTGTTCCAAGATCAAGGCCCCATCCTTGATTCGAACATTTTCGTGGTCGTACTTCGCATCCACACGAATGGTAGGATTATCGGCTCGTTGCCAGTAGTCATACAGTTGCCAGTCGTTGCGGAAGTCTTTAGCCTTGTCATCGGTCAAGAGCTTGTCGACGTTGTCTTTGTAGGTGCTGAAGTCATGTACAATGGAGTGGGTGTACTCGTCAGACTGCGAAGCTACCAAAGAGCCGAATGTGATGACTGACAGGAGCATCAATACAAGGCTAGCCATGCTGGATAATTCTGTCTGGTAAAGCTTGCTGAGAATTTCTGTTGACTAGAAGATGTATGTCAGAGCCCACCTCGAGGTAGAGAGAGATCGAAGTGTTTGACGGCCAGGAGTCGAATGCGCCTGCTGATGAATGTGCTTGCTTATTTGGGATAAAGCAGCTGTGCAAGTGTGAAAGGGCAGGAGCGCCCCAGGAAGCCGTACAAAAGCTTCACTCCTGTCAGGCAGGCACCCGGTAGTACTGAGTCGTCCCAACGTGATGGTAGCGAGGACAGACCAGGGTCAGTATGGCTTGTAGCGACCGCCTTCCTTCTTCGACTTCCTCGAGGAGGTTTCTGAAGTCCCAGCGGCCTCTCGGAAGACCTGAATCTGACCATCCTCGCCGGCAGTGTAGATGAGGCCGGTCTCATCTGAGGTGAAGATTGAGCGCACAATCTCTTCGCTATGGGCGCCTTCGAGGACAATACGGTTCTGCAAGTCGAAATTGCCATCTGGCTGAATTGCAACAAGATCGACCCGCGACTTGCTATGCGAGCCGGTCGCAATGGTTGCTGCCGTGCCTGACTTGACGATGTCCACGACGTACTCACATGGGATGAGTGGTCTCACATCGCCCATATCAATCGGCTTCGGCTCTTCGGTGCGTGTATCATCGAACACAGGATGCAATGCCAAATTCTGGTCGGAGCTAAGAGCGTAGAATGAGGATTGATCGAGAAAGCCTGCTTTGTGGACTGGGCCTTGGTTGAGTCCTTGGACCAGACTGTCCTCCTCTTCGACGACAGTTGAATCGAAGATGCTCACTTGTCCATCGTCTCCCCCGGCGAGAAGTAGGTTGGTTCTGCTTGGATGAAAATCAATGGCTGTTATGTCGTCGTGATTCTCGGCGTTCTGCCACTGTGGCTTGGACAGCTGCCGGACATCCCAAACACTGACGACGGCCTGATGGTTGACGTATTCCGTGCCTACCGCCAGAGCAGAGCCCGACAGTGACATGGCTGTCACTCCTTTTCCAACATTGACTTTGCCAGCTCGCTCTCTGGTACGAACATCGTAGAGAAAGACATCCCCAGATCCACCAGCGCAGATGAAACCGTTGCCATCTGAGGTAGTGACTAATGTTGAGATAGTCTTTGGAGGTCCAGGTAATTGGATGACGGTCCCGCTTCCGAGCTGTCCATCGACCAAGAATAATTCGTCCGCAGAAGTTATGCCCGCGATCTTCGAATCTGTGACGGGCACTATCTTGTAGATGTAGACATCTGCTTGCGAGGATGGTTTACACTGCGCAACACTTTGAAAAGATCGCGACATACCTACCAATTAGTCAGGCGTTCGTCATTCAGCAGAGGCTGTGGTCGAGACGTTGTGATAGTCGTATTCAGAAAGAAGGTACTTGATATAAAATTTTGCCTGGAGAAGCGGCCTTCAGGATACTAACTAGGTAGTGCAATTTCAAAGCCTACGACTTCTGCCTATGTCGGTGTGCTGCTTACAAACAAGATTCAAAAAAACACAACTATACAACGGAAAATGGGTGAGGGTAGGTTGTGCTGCTACTTATGGCACAGCAGAAAAGTTTCAGTTCAAAGATGCGAAGGATGTGGTAATGTGTGGATTTTTCAGAGTATCGAATGAACCTCGAATGCCTGTCATAATGCTCTACGCTCGTCTCTCTGACCAGACTGTCAAGCAGCTACCGCTGGCGCATGGCGTGACGGTCGAACGACAGGTTTGTCGTCCCTCTCCGCGCACTCGACGTGTAGACTTCAGCACTCCCCCATGCCCACGACTGAACCTTCGCTAAATTCGACAACAGCTTTATGCGAACGTGCTGGGTCTCGTGGCAGAGAACAACTTCTTGCTCTTGGCGGCGCGGTGAGGAACAGGGAACTTGAGATCTTTCGTGACGAGTTGCTTGATGTATGGGCGGCGGATGGCGTTGAGATCGGTGACTTCGACGACCTTGAGAATCTGTAGAGGCATTTAGTAATCTGATAGCATGTTGCAAGCTGTGCTCGACGTACGTGGATGGTCCTGAACCGAGCACGATGTCTAGCCGCCATATCCTTGTACAGCGCCTCGACAGCATCGGCCCTCGTCATCTCCCGGTACTCCTTGTACATGTTGTGTGTGCCGGAGCGAGAATCGTATCGAATCCAGATACCGAAGTTCTTTACCTTGAGAGGACGCTTCTCGTGGATCTTGTTGAGAGCGACGATCTCGCCGTTGGCCTTCTTGACTTTTCGCAGCTTCATCAAGAAGTACCAGAATCGGGACTTGGCTACGACATCGTTGGTAGCAAACACTCGCATGCGGTAGAGTTTGGGTGTCGGGTTGGCGTCAGTCGGCAGGTGGCGGCCGATGACCTGATATTCCTGGAAGCGACCTATGGTTGCTGAATTAGCTGATGTGCATCTTCATATGTCGTCCCTTCGTTTCCGGCATGCGAAAAGTCCACCTCGCTTTCGATTCGGCATTTCATAGGCCCAATACGCATTGCCACTCGTTACAACCTCTTCCGACCGATATGCGGGATACTCCAGCCTCTACAAACGTCTCTTGCTATTGTCCTTGCTCTTCTTGCCGACCAACTATGTATCGCTTGCGAGGTGGAAGAAATTCGGGGCCCAGTGCGCAGAGTGAAGGAGCAGCTTACCCATCTGTATCGCCAGTCAGTAACACGCCAGCCTCTAGTAGTCACAATATAATACTTACAGTGTCCGGTATGGTGTGGTCGCGAGTTGATGTCGAAAATACAGACCGGACATTAAGCGCAGGTGATTGAGGAGCATCGCACGGAGTCCAGCCAAAGTGTGGTCTTGGCGAAAAGATTTCGCCTTAGTACCAATCGGGATTAGGGGCTTGTCTGCGCCAAGACTCCAGCCTTACAATGGCAACGACGACGATGTTCCCTACTACATGTCAAGACTTGGGGCTCTGTGATGGAGAGCGTCTGAGACGACAGCGTTCGTATCAAATGGCCGAGATCTTCTACGACTTCCGGGACGCGCAGAAGGCCGGCAACGGCATCCTGTTAGCACGATGTCTGGCACCCATCAATACTTCTCAACAGCCGCGTCGACTAGCCTCATTTTCCCAGCTCACAAACTGGCAATCCGTTCAGTCAGACATCAGACAGTACCTACTCGGAGCCTCAAGTAACGTTAAGCTCCCAAAGGACCAAGGAAGTGCGTGGGTGGATATTTTCGTGGATCTGTGGACTTGTATCCGGGAACTAGCAAGCATCGAAGCCGGCGTAGGAGGAGACTGGTCGAAGGCTTTCAACGCATACAAGGACCTCTGCAACCATCTTGTCCGAGGGTATACCAACAATGGCTTTCCCGCCTGGACGATACCATGCCTCCAAACCACAGGCCAGTACCTGAGAAGAATTGCCATCAGAGCAGACCGCGAATCACGAAACGTCGATGGCAACGACATCGCAGACGGCCTCTCCGACGACATCATAAAGACACAGAAGAACGAATATTTGGAGCAAGCCGCCTGGGTCATCAACCGCATGTTCTCCATCTGCCTCAGCGACCGCTCCGACCTCAGCGAGTCACGCAAATGGGGCATCTACAGTACCACTAACCTCCTCTTCAAAACCTACTTCAAGCTCAACTCCATCTCCCTCAACAAAAACGTCATCCGAGCCCTCGACGTCGCAGCACCCGATCTACCACCCATCAACCTCTTCCCCCGCCCACAGCAATGCACATTCCGCTATTATCGCGGCGTAATCGACTTCCTGCAGGAGAAATACGCCGACGCCGAGGAGCATCTCACACAAGCCCTCTCCCTATGCTACAAACACTCAACCCATAATCGAGAGCAGATTCTCACCTACCTCATCCCCGCCCACGTCATCAACACCAACCAGCTCCCGACCAAAGCCTTCCTGTCCAAACAGCCCACCATCTCAATTCTCTTCCAACCCCTCTTCAAAGCAATCAAGCAAGGCAACCTGCACGCCTTCGACGTCGCCCTCTCCGAAGCGGAAGGCGAATTGGTCCGTCGCCGCATCTACCTTACCATGGAACGCACACGCGAATTATGCATGCGGAACCTCTTCCGCAATGTGTTCCTCTGCGCCGGCTTCGAGGACAACAAGGATGCCAAAGGCCAGCCGATTCGGCGGACTAGGCTGAAGATGGAGGAGTTCGAGGCTGCAGTGAAGGTCGCGTATCGTGGCTCGGAAGACACGCTCATCGAGCGAGACGAGGTGGAGTGCTTCCTAGCTAACATGATCTACAAGAATTTTATCAAGGGGTATATTGCCCGGGACCGCGGGATTGTGGTGCTCAGCAAGGCGGGCGCTTTCCCTGGGACAGGCGTGTGATATGAGTCATCCTTTCAGGGAGACGTTCAACAAATGCAATAGGCAGACCACCCTTGCAGGACACCACTACGAGCAGGAATGTGCGTACGAAGCCAATCTTGTTCAGAAATCACCATTCACGGCCAGTATATTAGCTGCGCAGCCATTTCTGCCGAGACTGCGGAGCACCCCAGATGTTGCCTGTGAGTCACGCCCACATCGGAACAGGCAATTTCCGACAGCGGCTCGGTCCATCCCCATGGGTATGAAGCGAGCCCTAGCTGGGGGAGGGTATGCTGCGAACCAGCTTGAGCTCATTCGCACAATAGCCTGAGCGTCCCAGGGATGATCAAGCTTGGTACTCAGGCATCCATTGCCTTTGGTAAGCATCAAGAGCGGTGTACATCGTACTAGGCATCGAGAGCACATGCATCTCGCCGAGTCAGCTAGCCACCCAAGGTGTGCTTCTAAACCAGGCACCAAGGCATCAAGGCAGCAATTGGAACTTTCGACACAGATCGGCAGAAGTCGGGGAGAGGAGGTCATGCGATATCATGTCGAATGTCAAGGCCCATTGAGAAGACGTGATAAAGTACATGATGCGGAGAGATGCCCATGCTAATATCAACGTCGAGTAGTTGGAAATGAAACAGTGGCGAAGCACATCCCGAGACAGTATCGTTCGCGGCAGCGGAAGAGAAGTCGTCAGACAAGAGGCGCCACTTGAGGTCAAGGTCTTTTTCATTCTAGCAACAAGACAACAAGAGACGTCAATGAGACAGCCGTTACATTCAGCAGATAGTATGAGCGGCATCTTTTGGCCAGCAACCGCAGCGAGGGCGATATCTTTTCTCCTCGCACCAAATTCGTTCCCGAGATACTGTACAAGATAGCATCCTGAACTCCCCTGTTTCCAAATTGATCAAACATTTTCGCTTGGAGTTTGCATTTTCTTTCTCTTTCTCGACATCCATGTCTGAGAACTGGGCGTGGTTTTCTTTTGGTTCTGATGTACACTTTGGAAGCTTGCAGAAGAGATCTCTTCAAATAATAAGGCATGTAGGCCGTGAGCTTCCGTCTGGGGCATGTATAGATAAACGCAACTCGCCGTTGTGCGTACACCCCCATTCATCGTCAGGGGAGCAAGTAGTTGAGCAATTTCTTTCGAGGTCGAGCAGCGACGGTGACGGCATGTTAGACCCTTCTCGCGGTCGTGTTACCCATCTTTCTCAACGAGAGAAGGGCGATCGCACAGTCTGCAGATCGTCCTAGAGCAGGATCCGCCGTCAGCTTCAGCCATCAACAACAGGGACGAGCAACAACCTACGATATGGTTACACATAGCAACAAACAAGTCAAAGAACAGCTTCCCTCCCTCCTCCATCTCGGTCTTCATGGCACTGCTGCGCTTGAACGTGTTGCGGCTGCGAATTATCAGAGCGAGGTAGTGGCCACGAAGCTTGGAGTCGTCGTCTGGGGTGTGGATATATGCCCATCTGGCGGAGGCGAGGATGGTTGAGACGGTGACGTTAGATTGCAGGCCTTGTTTGCGGAGGGCGAGGCGCTTGAGTTCGGAGAGGCCGTAGCGATCTGCTGAGCAGCTGGGGGCCAATCAGAATGTGTCTGGAGGTGAAGAGGTATTGATCAGGGCTTACTAAATTGCGGTGTCTTTGAGAAGCGGGCCTTTGACGGCATGGTGGACAATGGTAGCTTCGTACTTGTCGGCATCTTCGATCTCCCAGGTGTCCTTACGCTTATTGTGAATGAGGCGGGGGGAGTAGTCTTGCTTGTAGAGGAACTCAAGGACGGCGGATACTGTAAGTTGTCAGATCAGTTGAACATAGGTGCACAGAATTGTCACATACAAACTTCAGGACATTCGTCTGGCAGATTGATGCGTCGTGCTGACCCATCGTAGAATTGTCCACGGCAAGCCTTCTCGAAGTAGGGCGAGCGACAAAGTATGTCTTCGTGGCCCGCGAATAGGCGCTGCTGTGGACCGACGCAAAGTGTGACGATGGGTGAAGTCAACGTGCTTGGATAGTCAGCGATGCTGTATAGCTTGCTTCTTGAGACACTCACCTCCCAGCAGACGGACTTGTGGTATGCTTCGACGGCGGCGATCTCACAGAGTCACCACGTCTGAGCCCTGTTTGGAAGGATGTTTCCTTGAATGATTTCTTTGGCTTCTGAGATTTGCCTGCGCCATATCGAGACGAGAAGCTGTCAGATTGTGCAGGTCTTCGACCGAACATGATGATTTGGGCTGTCGAGTTGTGATCAACTTCTGCCGACGGATGCAGCTGTGTGCAACGTTCGCTGTTTCGAAGGACGCCGCAGGATCGAGGAAGCCGTCGGAAGATTCGGGAGTTGAGCGATATAGCCTGTAGGTAAGTAGTATTCAAGAGATAGATGAACGACAACTACATTGATTGCAGTGAGCAGATATAGGCTGGCGATGAGGTTACTGCCTGACGCTGGCAGCTCAGGTTAGGCAGAATGGCCGTCACATCAGAAGGGGAGACAAGAGCACAGAGCAGCCGGGCGAAGGTGCTTTTATTCGGATTGCGGCCGGCAGGCAGCTTAGGAGTCATCGGAAGTACCAGGCCAGGATCCTAGAGGTGTAGTGGTTGCGGCTTATCATGCCTGCAGCGATGGACATCGGGGCTTGGAGTCTGGTCTCAAATTCGAAGTCCAGGCTGAATTGAGCAAGAACGCGGTCAGACGCGTGAAAGTTACACGCTTAGCCCACGCTAGCATGTGATCAGTGGAGCACTTTCAAGCCTATCAGCGCCCGGAAGACCACTTTTCCCGGGCTGCTAATAGGCTACTAGGCGACCTACCGCTACTGCCGGCTTTGCGGCAGGTTTGCTGGTGAGCCGTCAAAGAACCCTTGCAGCTTGTCATTTGGACCGCCTGAGAATCTCGGAAGTGACTCGAATCGCCACCGGCACTCGATCCTCGGGGCACAATCGAACACAGGATTCTGCCTTGAATCAATGATCGGACAGTGCGAACTTCTGAAGCTGAATGCGCCATCACTCACAGCCTAGATCGATGGACGTTGAAATAAAGATCATTGGCGCTACTCAAGGCAACCATTGTCTTCGTACTGCGAGGTAGCTCACCAGGACTGTTGCCTGAGGCACTGAGCTGATGTATCACCACCAAGAGTGGAGTTGGTCGATCAAACATCTCGACTCGGAGTCTTCTCCCTCAGATTCAGACTCCCTGTCTTGCTTGCTAGCTTCGTCCGTTCCTGCATACATGCGGCTTCCGACCCCTCAATGATAGTAGCGTGAGCTGCGTTTATCTATGATTTGCCACTCCTCCAAGGTTCGTGCCTGGCCCCAAGCCTCTTCCATCTTCCGCGACCCTCCTCCACGGGAAAAATATTGTCAGTCGAGACCCTTGAGTCACACATCAGCAGACTCCCTTTCCGACTGCTCGGTTCCTCGCCAAACTCATAGCCATTCAGCGTTGCCCAACGTCAGCATCCACGTTGACTAGTGTGGGATGCTTTCTGAAACGCTTGTCCATGACCATCGCAAGCTTTTGCCCAGGTTGACGTCCCGATCGAGGTGGAATGCCGTACTGTATTACGACGATGGTATGTGGGTTGCTTGCGAGTTCCAGTTTCGGTGAAGCTCGCGGTATATCGCTAATGCCCTCAACTTGCATATCAGATATTGCCCTCATAAGAAGACTCGTCTGGCATTATTTGGGTGACTCTCTACCGGACAGTAGGGACACTTGAATTTGGCGCCTTTGCTCAGTCTTTGCATACTTTCCTGTGCAATGACATGACCACAGGGCAACATCATCGGAGGATTCGCGTCAGTGGTCTGCTCCTTCGACACCGGGCAGACAAAGATCGAATGAAATTGATAAGCCTGTGGTAGAGGCGTCTCGACCGGCATCTCGCCCACTGACGTCCATTCGGTATGCTTCAACTTCTGAATCTGGCGCAGCTTGAGCAGCTGTGGAAGGGCAATCGCACCAGCTGAAGCTGCGAGGTACAATGGTGAATCAGCTGATAACTCCAGCAGTGAGCAGAACTCTTTGGAGAATGCCTGCGCGACTTCGTCGAATGATGCTGAATTGTGGAAGCGTCCTGCATACGGAGAGTCGGCTAGATTGGACGCATAAGCCTGAGCAGCCAACATCTGTGATATCTCCGTCATATAGCGCCCTCGGAAGTTCTGGAAGTCAGTTTGAGCGTAGATTAAAGCATGAGCTGGGCTTTGCTCGACAAAGAGTATGGTGTACTTCAACCTACACAGCTCGAACTCCAAATTGCTGCCCCTGTCTTCGAGCACCTTGCTGTTCTGTCGCGCCCAGTCGATGGCAGGTTGCAGATTGTGCTTCTCCTTGAGATCAACCAGGATATGGTACATCTTGATGAATTGTTGCTCCATGCCCGCCGGAAACGATTTGTCGAGTCCGAGAGGATGATCCATAGGCACATCTGTACCATGTCGCCTTGCTGTATCCTGCTGCGCCTGATGCTTTGCATCTGTTTCTTCCGCAAACGTAGCAGCAACGTCAAAGAGTCCTTCTCGTAGCATGTGCAGGTAGATTGCTCTGTTGACCAGGGCAGGATGTTGGGCAATAGCCTCTTCTTCATCGCCAGGTCTGTCTTTGTCCCTGAAGATCCGATCGAGAGCTCTTCCATACTTGAGCTGTGCGGTGTTCTTCTCCTTCAGACCTTGCCCCATAGCGTCGAACGTGGTCTTGATGGGGTTCTGCAGCTTCGCTAGTGTCACAGCAGCCTTGCTTGGATCCTCAGCGATGGCATCCCGGGCCCGCTGAAGGGCATCGATGACATCCTGAGCCTGGCCTCGAAACTTGGACTGCCGGGCATTCGCCCACAACCTATCGTGGTCCTTCTGAATGCTCTCCATCGTGGCGGTCATCAATCGACAAAGCAATCATGAATATGTCACCGGCAGATAGCGCTGGTAGCCCCCATCCCTGTCTTCACTCGGAGATATGAATGCTGATAATGGTCATGCAAGTGAATTGAGTGCAACGAAAGCAAGATAGACTGATACCAGAGCGTGTGGTGACATGATGGTATCGTGCATTCGCGGCGCATGATCAGCGGTCAGATCCGTGATGAGATCTGCCGAGCCAACCTCCAGGTCTGGCGTGCTTGTACTTGAGGGGCACAGGGGCACTCATTTTAAGCATTAGCTTACCCGCGTCTAGTGGAACAGGCGGTACCTCTAATGGTCGATCACCTGGAACTTGGGTCCGCTCGGAGCGCCGCCAGCGAGATGCTCACCCAAAAGATGTAATTCAAGCCCTACAAACTTTCAATGTGAAAGCTAGTCGTAGCCGTCGTTCAGAACAACCTTTCCGGGCGGCCACCATCAAAATGGCGGGCACAGCGCCCTTGATCACACCTCATGCTCACTACTTGACACCGTCGCCCCAGGAGTTCAGACGCTTCTTCCCAGAAGCTGACGACATGGGCGACGCTGACACCGTCACGAATGGCATATCTAGAAGTTCTACAAACGCGCCAACGTCCGCCGACACCACTACGACACGGCCGCGCGGCACAACCCAAGGCCGTCAGAAACTCGTCTTCACGGATCCTGTAGCCTTTAGATATCTGGAGGAGGATCCAGACACCATCGTGCTGGACCGAAGGCGACGGCTGGAGGGCTATGAGCTGTACATTGTTGAGCAATGGGCTTGCTCACGGACTCACCCAACTTTCCTCATTTGTACTTATACTGGAGACACGTCGCGGTCGGTCATAATTAACGTGCTGAGTGTACCTTCTGATTCAGCGACATGGTCGCCTCGACTCCGGCTCTACTTTGATGCCATGTCTCAATACCATGCCAAGCCGAAGGAGACACCTTATGGCGATATCATGGTCACCAACCTAGCTGGCTTCCCTGCAACACTGACCGTGATTGCTGTTCCGGATGGTGATGTCCGGAAGCACAGGGAGGACTTCATCGTTAACGAGGACCTAAAGCGAATGAACTGTGCCGGCCGAGGCGCAATGAACGTTCAGCCGCCCCAGCAAAGCACAGTGGCCAAATTTCATCAGTTATACCGCACGAGTGAGAGCATCGGAATCTATCAAGCTGTTATGGAGCTGGTGAAGCTGTGCCAGAAAGCGTTGCTGATCTATGGACGCCTGCAGGAGGCCTATACTGACGGCCTCCTGTGCGATATTACCGAGAAAGCCATAGCTGACTGGTGGACGGAGGTTGGGGTCTACTTCTACAACATCGAGCCTGGAGATGGGATACTCGGCCCGACCACGGTTGCAGCTCTGCTGGGTTTGCTCATCGGTGCCAACAACCGATTAAAAGCTTACGGCGCCCCAGTGGGAAAGGACATTTTCGACATCCCCTCCATGAAGCGGGCAATTGGATCATTCCAGAAAGCAGCTAAGCTCGAACGCACAAGACGTCTGGACCTGAAGACTCTAGATAAGCTCCACCGTGCAACAGCAAAAACAGCAAGTGGAGAGGGATGGACTGTGTCACGCGCGGTCAAAGGCACGCTGGCCGAAGTGAGCGGCAAAGGCGGCGAGATGGTCATGGGCATTGTGGGTGGCAAGGACAAAGCCGGCATCTCGGAAGTCGAGACCCTCGACATCGACAGATTTGCTCAACTTGTCGTTGGACCCAGAATGAAGTGGCTGTGGCTTGGCAAGTCGAAGCCCGTGGAAGTGCAGCGAGAAGCAAATGAAGGCGCTGAGCTAAAAGGTCAAGTGTTTAGCACCGACGACCAAGGTGGCTTTATCTGGACGAGCAACAAACGAGATTCCGTTGCACATGGCCTCGAAAGGTCCGACACAGCAAACAGTCTGGCGCCGCACAGTGCTACCGAAGGCCGCTCTGGCCTTGGCCGGATACGTGAAGCCGTTGGTGGAAAGCTGCATAACCAAAGACCCGGTCACGAGCGAGAAGACACAGCACTTGACTTCGACTCTAACAACGCCACACCAAGTATCTCTGCGGTGAGTTCGAATATCTACCAGCGCCCAACCACGCCAGCAAATGAAGAAGCACCTCCCCTCGGCTTAGCTCTCAAAGAAGCCTCATCATTCGGTCCTGCCCGCCAGGTCAGTCCGCGACAAGCCACAGGGCTGCGCCCAGGTATGGTGCGCTCAGCAACCGACCACCGCGTCCCCAGCTATCGCAAACAGCTCGCCCCAGCGCCTCTCGCCGAATCACCGCGCAAAAGAGAAATCGCGTCCAGTCTAGAGCGCATCCGCAGAGAACTGCAGTCTCCCAAATATGTTGAGCTGAACAACCTGTTCGAGAACTACTCCGGGCCTCAAGCACCTGGTCTGCGCCGCTCCCGCTCCGCCGTTCACACCGTCGGCACAATCTTCGAGAACTTCCCCCGCCAGAACCGCCCTCCCACGCCACCCTCTCCTTCCTCCATCGTCGAGACCTCAGTCCTCACCTTTCCCGACGTCATCCTCGCCGAGCCTCCCCTAGCCCTGAACGAGCAGAAACCCAACGACAACACCAACGCAGCCAACAAACCGAACGGCACGACCACAGCAGACTCCGCAGCACCCACCAAACCACCACCAACGAAAGCAGAGCTTCTCACCGCCCTCTCAACACGCACTCCCCTCCTAGTCTCCGCCCAAAAACGCCACCGCCGCATCACCCAGGTCACCCGCGGCCTGATCCCCTACACCGAAGACTGCGTCTCCCACGTCGAATCCCTCGACCGCGCCGCGGGCGCCAACCTCTCCGATCTCAATACCCTCTACTACGCGAAACTCGAGGAGTACCAAACACAAAGAGCGACGAGTGGGGATGTAGTGAGTAACGAGAAGGGGATGTTGGGGGAGAGTGGTCCGTAGGCTGGAGTGTTGGGGGCGAAGTTGGATTACGAATTGAAGGGGTTAGTGGGGCGGGTCGGGGAGGTGGAGGAGGGGGTCGAGGACTTTGAGAGGCGGGTTAGGGGGGTTGAGGCGAGGGTAGGGGAGTTGGTTGGGGGGTTGTATGATCCGATGCAGGTGACGATGGGGCAGAAGGGTCTGACGGGGCAGACGGAAGGGGCCAGGTGAAGAGTGATGGCGGGGCTGCCATCATCAATAACAGCAGCGTGACCGGCGAGACGTGGTGGCAGCGGGTGGTGAACTTTGTGGGAGGTGCGACGCCTGGGCTGCAGCGGCAATGATAGACGGCGATGTTGGGGAGCTTTTGCATAGCGATTGGTATGATCTTGTCCGGATTTGGATTCATGGGACGTCTAGGGAATACAGCAAGGCGTTGGTGGAGGAGATATATCTTGGTCTTGTTGTTGACTATTTTACAAACCGTTCACTTATATATGCATTCTCGTGAGTGCACATATAGTCCAGCCGAGTGATCCTTTGTGCGGTTAGATTCGAATGTTGATAATGATACAGTCGCTTGGCTGTACTTCTTGCTTCAATCCAGCTTGTGTGCGCAGAGAGGCGATCTGCCGCTCATGTTGCGCTTCTCCTCCGCAACAGACTGCTCTTGTATGCCACGCACGCTTGCTTGTGATCCCGAGAAGTTGACAGCACAATGTGCCGTCCAGATCGACTTCTTGACCAGGGAGCCGTGTCACGAAAGCGTCTTGTCTGCCTCTCCTCCACGTGTGGAATTCAGCAAGCGACATAGCCAGTCCCTTCGCGAGAGCAGATCGCATCGCGCCCGCTACACATCCCCATCCTTCTCACGGGCTCGACCACGCTCACTTCTTTCCACACCGAAACATCAGCTCATCATTGTTGAAATCGCACTCTACATCCCAAACATGCCCCCACCACCGCCACCAGCCTGCGCGCCTTGCGCCGCATTCTGCATCTTCTCGCTGACCTTCATGTTCACCTCGAAGAACTTGGCCACGCAGCGATCGATGCACACGCTCTCGCCTTTGTTTAGGTCGCCTTCGCGGTAGTCGGCGGGGACGCATTTCTTCGTGCAGGAGTTCGATAGTCTGTAGGTTGAGATTGTCAGAAGTGGTGTTGGACAGGAAATAGACGTCGAAGTCAAAGCATGCATCGATCGCGTACGCCGGCAATGCAGAGGCAGAGGCTATCGTAGAGGCCTGCTAGCATGGTGTGTACGTCGCTCGTGTTACGGAGCACATTGATCCTATGACGCCTCGCGGGACCAAAAGAGAAGCAACAGGACGTACCGTTGGAACATGTCAGTGAAGAGCTCGATCTCGGTTTCCGCAGCGGCGATGCGCTCTGCTGACGACTGTTGGGGTCGACCCATGCCGAAGAAGCCTGACATGCTGGGCAGTGAGTACGCTGGTAGGGGAAAGGAGGATTGTAGCACGCGGCCTATGAGGTTGATACTCGATGCTCTGATCGTTGGCATCCAAAAAGTTTAGGCATGCGACAACTTGAACCCATGAGAGGTCATGGGTCCCGAGAGCGGAAAGTTAGGCGAGGCCAGGCGGCGGAATGCTTGTTCCGCCCTCGACCAGGAGCATTCAAGTCTATGGCACGCTGGCCTCGCAGAGTATCATGCTTGCACAAATGAGCCTCGATGGTTACGCTATCGTTCTCTCGGACGGCGACGTGGAGTTCGCAGCTGCACAGCATATGAATTATGAGTTCGCAGCTGCCGATCTCACGGCTGTACTCGCGGGGCAGCATCAACGCAGTCAGCTGCGGCATTAGGTAGAGCTCCTGTCTTTATACGGCCACAAGAATGGTCCACAGGTAGTGTTTGACTACGCTTGACCTCTTGCTACTAATCTAGCAAGCCTGAATCTGTCGCCCATCACTGCAAGCCGGCGCATTCTTAGGCGCATCTCGCACCAGAATCGCCCGCCGGACGATCCACAATTCCAGCCGGTACGTTCGTCGCTGTAGAAGTGCCCGGCCAGGGAGAGTAAGTCTCGGCACTGATATACGGCTAAGGAAAGCTCTTATGTAGAAGTATCCGACACTCGTTCACGGTTGCCGTTCAATCATATATGTCGTTTCTGCAACACCTCTCGAAGATCCTAATGTGACAGCGATTCGTGCAATATAAGTGCGTGTATTGCCATCGCCCCTTCAGATCCCCTTGGCACAAAGACCAGAACCCTACGGTATCAACTGCAGTGAAGGTAAGTCGAGCAAAGCCAGGAATCTCTACAAAATTTTGTTAGGCGACACCTGGGAGGTCGGACATGGCGTCTACGGAAGAGGACTGGAAAGCGAAGGTCGCTCGAAAGCAAGCATCACTACAGGCAAAAGTTCCTAAAGAATGGCGCCTGCCAGAATCAATCACATCCCTGCTCAAATTACCCCTGGCAGAGCACCCCAACCGCCTCATCGACCTCGACATCCCACGACGCTCCGGTCTGCTCAGCGAGCGCGAGCTACAGATCACGGAGAAGTACACAGTGAGATCGCTCCTGATAGCGCTACGCTCAGGAGAAATATCTGCCGTTGAAGTGACGACCGCCTTCTGTAAGCGGGCCTGCGTTGCTGGGCAGCTTACCAACTGTTTGACTGAGACATACTACGATGAGGCGTTGAGTCGAGCGAGGGAGCTGGATCTCGCGAGAGAAAGAGGTGACGCACTCGGTCCTCTGCACGGACTCCCTATCTCCCTCAAGGATTCCTTCCAAATCGCCGGCTCCGAGGCAACGATCGGCTACGTCTCCTATCTCGATCGCAAGTCAGAAGAGAACTCCGCGCTGGTCGACTTATTGCTCCAGCAAGGCGCCATCCTCTATGTCAAGACCAACGTCCCCCAGACGATGATGACAGCAGATTCGGAGAACAACATTTTCGGGCGGACGCTGAACCCACACAACACGCTCCTTACGGCAGGAGGCTCGACTGGTGGCGAAGGAGCGCTTGTGGCGTTTCGTGGCTCAATACTGGGAGTTGGCACTGACGTCGCTGGCTCAATTCGAATCCCTGCGCTATGCGATGGGTTGTACGGGTTCAAGCCGACAACATCACGTGTGCCGTATGGAGGACAGGCTCGTGCGGGTGATGCTGGCAACTCGTTCTTCCTTGCGGCTGCGGGACCATTGGCAAACGATCTTGAGGGCATCGCTGACTGGATGGAGGTGGTCATCGGTGCTCGACCCGCTAGGTTTGATGCGGCGGCTCTGGATGTGCCATGGCGGCAGCTACAGCCAAAGCAACAGCTCAGGATCGGCGTTCTGGAGCCTGATCCATTCTTTCCACTACAGCCGCCCGTACAGCGGACCTTGCATGAGGCTGTAGCTCGTCTCCAATCACAAGGTCACACGCTGGTCACACTTCGAGCGGACAAAACAAGGATAGCAGAGGCTACTGTAGTGTCATGGGCAATGTTCGGTCTGATGAGCGACGGATTCGCTCGACTGAGAGCCAGTGGAGAGCCTTTCATTCAGTCTCTGCAGGCTGGTGGAGCACTCGCTTCAAAGCTGGCGCAGCAAGCGATACCGCGACCGCAATATGACAGCTCGATGACCGACCTTCAGCGTCTTGCTGCAGTGACGGTCCATCGAGATGCGCTCAAGGAAAGCTGGCGCAAGTTGTGGAATCTACACAATCTCGATGTGGTGATCGCACCAGCAGCGCAATGCACGGCGCCTCTCCACGACACTTTCTCTCTCCCCGCATACACCGTGCTCCTGAATTGTCTGGACTATCCGGCGTGTGTGATCCCCTTTGGGCAAGGCTCCAGGGATAAGGACGGCCAGCCCTTCGTGGTGAAGCCGGAGCAATTCTGTCCAGAGTACGACGTCGATGCCGCAGATGGGGCGCCATGTGTCATTCAGGTTTTCGCGAACCGAATGCAGGACGAGGAGTGCCTGCGAGCTGCGAAGGTCATTGATGCCTGTCTCAAAGGCTGATATGGCCTTTCAGCCAGGTACCGAGGTTTCAGAAAAGGACGTACGACGATGCAGATACCGCGTTAGGTCGTACCAGTATACGCCGGAGTAAGAGGCTTTGGCGTGCCAGACCTGTTGAAGCTGATTCCCGATCTTGATGCGGGCAGGTTCTGAGAATCTCAGATGGCTCGAAAGCTGTTGCAGTATGGCGCGTTGGTTAGCAGCGTCTCGAATCTCAAAGCATGCGATCAGGAACGCCAGGTCCATTCCCATCGCAGCCCCGCGGTCCAAAAATTGGAGCACTAAAGCATTCTCGTCGATGATGCTGTCAGACAAGGCCAGCGCTTTCTCATCTTGGATGCCATATGGGTAGCGTAGGCGGTGCAGCATAATCAATGCAGCCTGCTTCAAGCCCTTGAGCTGCGCAAATATCTGAATGACCTCGACCGGAAAGTACGAGTCCGGAAATCCTTCCGGCTTAGCTGGCTTCCAGGCTCGAATCTCGTGCTCGAGCTCCTCGGATCGCCGCCAGACGTCAGCCGCATTCGGTGTCCGACTCGTGGACAAGTGATGAGAAAATACGCAGAGATCGTAGAAGATTGACATCAGAGGCGCAGCTAGGCCCATGTATCGATCGACGTGCCCGGCGGCTTTTGAGAACGCACCATATCTCATGATGGGTACTCTAGAGTGCGGTACGCAATCGATCAACTCGGTATAGAAGAGTGCAATGAGGTATGCGTGTTCGTCCGCAGCGAAGACGACATCTGGTGATCGATAGAATGGTGCGATAGCATCGAGCGTGTATGCGCAGACAGCAGCCGAATCACCATCCGCCACGAACAGACCAAAGGTTGAGATGACTAGACTAAGAACAAGAGCTGTAGCGACATCTTCACGACCATTGACCTTGAGTGACCGGAGTGCGGACACACTTAGTGCGGCTTTGTTATTGCAATATGGTTGGATCTGCTGAATCAGATCGGCAGCTCGATCTTCTGACTTGCTGTGCATCAAACAGGCGACCGAGATGAAGGCGTCCTTGAGCTGTGGAAGTGCACTCTTGAGACGATAGAAGAGATCCTCGGCGTGTCGCCTGCAGAAGGTTGGTCCTAGAGTCCACTGGCCAGCAGCATCAGTGTCATGGAAGCAAATATTTAGCAATTCGCTTTCCCGTTCATCCACGCCATCGCTTGTGGTGAGCTCCTTCAGTTTGTCCTCGGAGATTGGACGCCCAACAGGCACCGGACGTGGGTGAGAAGCATAGCTCTGATCAGAAGGGTCTGACGACGATGCTTCTACTGATGTGTTGCCAAAGCCTCCCAAAGTCTTTGGTTGAGGATCTTCGGGCGTGATAGAATGGTTTCCAGAGCGGCCTCTGGGCTTCCGGCCTAGTTTCTGGACTGGTCGAAGAGTGACACATTCGTGATTTAGTCTTACACAACGTTGACAGGCGTCGGACCCGATCCATTGGCATCGTTCCTTGATGTTGTGGCAGCGATCACAGGCTCGTCTGAGTTTCATCTCACCCATCATGGTGGATGTAGGAGCAGATAAGGCCAATTCTCTCACATTATGATCGAGCGCTTGCCGAGGACGCGCGGGTCTATCTGCCACAGCTTCCTAATATGAGGCATTCTAATTACGTCGATCACGCGACGAACCTGGCGTGCTGTAGCCGCCACTGATATGACCAACGCAGACTCAGCGCTGATGCCTTTGCCAACATCATGCTGAGTGCTGGTGACGGTAGCTTGAGTCTGATGAGGTGCATTTGAATCGATGGGGTTGGATCGACCGGCACGGTTCCGTAGCTGCCGCTTAAGCAGCGAGTTAAGCTTTGGCAGGACCTACCTGCTAGCTTCGAGCTCTGCGGCCGACGCAGACCAGTAACGTAACTTTTTCAAATTCACAACGCAGTACCTCCGCAAGGTATATCTAGCTAGGTACCAGTCACTTGCGCTGTGCTTCTACTCTGCTACGTCTGTGACTGTATGCGGCTCCATGCTGTCAAGACTACGATGGCGGACCCGCATACAGAGTCATGATCTCTTCGCCTTGAGGTACGTTCCCGAAGTCCAGGATTCTGCCGCGTGAAGAGACGAATTGAGAAAGAACCGCTGCGAGTGATGCTGGCTCCTCGAGAGTGAGCACTTGATCACGACCACTCTAACCATGAGACTGACGGCCCTTGTAAATGCACGACTCAACAGTATTGTGAATGTACCCTGGCTGACGAGGTAACTACAGCACAGCTCAGCACTTCTGCCGCAGACCTCCACCGGTCTGCTGTCGCTGGAACCACAATGCCACATCAGCAGCACCGCCCGAATCGATAGCGTTCGAAGTGTCAGACTTCGTAGAGAACGCAAAAAACGGCGTCGAGGCGCAGCCAGTGCCGGAGGTACCGTCCTATCCACGGTGGCAGGCACAAGATCGGCTCAATACAATCGCACAAGTCCAGGTTGAACCTGGCGTTAATGTGCCCTTGCACGATTTTGCAAAGATCCAGCAGCATGCGCTTAATCCACCCGAGGACAGCAAGGAAGGCAGTCAGATCTTCCGTGTTGCAGGCAGGGTCCATGCCATTCGTCGCAGCGGCGCTCATCTCGCCTTTGTAGATATCGTCAACAGGTCGTCCATCGGCACAAGGCATGTCACCAAAGACGTCTTGTCATCTGGCGACGTGGTTCTGCAGATTCAATTCAATCGGAAGCAACTAGCCGCCAAGTATACCGAAGAGCACATCGCACACGCATTCGGACGGCTACGGCGTAACGACCATATCTATGTCCATGGCGTTCGAGCGACCCACGCCAAGGACGAGGATAAAGTACAATTAGTTGCTCGTGATCTTCCAGTCGTCCTCACCACCTCACAGCAGCCGCCGCCAGAAAAGAAAGACCCGAAGCACCGCGACACGGACAAGGAGTTCACAGCAGGCCGTCATGTCGAAATGCTTACTTGGCCTGCTATGACCATACCGGTAGAAGTGCGATCAATCATTCTGACCAGTCTCAGAAAGCATTTAGTTGAGCACGACTTCATTGAGGTTCAGACACCCATCCTCAGCGCTCATGCTGGAGGGGCTACGGCCCGCCCCTTCATCACTTCCGCCCAAGAATTTCCAGATCGGAAGATTGCCTTGCGCGTAGCCCCAGAACTGTGGCTGAAACGTTTGATAGTCGGCGGGATGAATCGCGTATTCGAAATAGGCCCCTGCTTCCGCAATGAAGGCCTCGATCGGACGCACAACCCAGAGTTCACCACTTGCGAATTCTATGCCACCTACCTCGATATTGATCGCCTGATGTACTACACCGAGCTGATCCTCGGCAAAGTAGCAATGGCCGTTTACAGCAGATACAGCCGCAAACGAGGTACCCCAACCCCATATATCGACTATGACACGCTCGACATATTTTCTCAAAGTGCAAGTGGCAAATGGGGCGGCTCTCTCGGCAACAGCTGGCGAGCGAGGTACCCCAGAATCGACTTCGTCCTTGGCATCAACGAACGGCTTCACACGCCCCTCCCAAATCTAGCATCTTCAACAGCGCGCGACGAGATACTGGCAATATGCGAGCACCACTCCATTCCCATCCCGCACCCGCCAACACTTCCCCGGCTGCTTGACAAGCTGTCTCCCACTTTCTCGAACCGCAATGCGTTGGTCCGACCTGGATTACCAACATCCCCGAATGCCTGTCCCCTCTATCAAAGTCCTTCATCCATCCCACCGCCCCCAACGATCAGCCCGTCGCCGCCCGCGCTGAGCTCTTCTTCAATGGCAAGGAACTCGTCAACTGCTACGAAGAGGAGAACTCGCCCATTGAGCAGCGTCGCAAGTTCATGGACCAGCAGCGCTATTCGCGCGATCCGGCAGATGATAAAGTTGTGGATGACGAAGCGATGAAGGTTGACGAGGACTACATTCGTGCGCTGGAATACGGGATGCCGCCAACTGGCGGATGGGGTTGTGGGATTGACCGGCTGGTCATGTTGATGACAGGGATGGATCGGATTGGGGATGTGTTGAGTTTTGGGAGCTTGCGGGCTGTGACAAGGGGAGCGGAGAAGTGGGAGAAAGCTGCTGCTCATGGTCAAATTGTGGGTGAGGAGGCTGCTCCAATCGCGTAGGCAAGCTCTACGATCGGCACAGAAGAAGAGGTGATTGTACAAAAGGGAGGTGTAAAATATGTCAATCTCGCGGCCTAGGGTACACAGCAGCAAGAAGGTCAACGATATGTAAGAACATTTGTCACTCCACCAAGCTCTTCATGAGACCCACGTGTTTGGTTCGCCGCTCGCTGCCTCTGCCAGGAACCCTGAATTTAAAGTCCGGAGGCGGACGGCCACATCCAGTCTCGCTATTCAAGATCAATGACCACGACTTGCGATAGCCTCATCTTACACACTTCCTCCGCTGCCCTTCCTGAGCTCAACACAGCCATTGATCGCCAACACAAATCCTCAGCACGACTGAAGATCGCCCGATGTGATGATGCACATCATGACATGCTCTGCGAGGCGTCTAGCAACGACGACTAGCTCGGAATGAATTATGGCTTTGTCAAGTTCTTGGAGCTGAGATCTCAAGACGCTATACCACGAAGCTCATCTCCGATCCCAGACAGAAGACGAAGTCCATAACCAAGATGGAATGGAATGTCAGGCTCAAGGCAAAGTGAAGGTGAAGTCACGAATGTGAAGGCACGGTCTGGTACTAGCATTTTATCTGGACTGAGAAGTCGTCGATACTTGGTTGTCACTCGTAAGGGCGAGTGAGCCTCGAAGAGTCGAAAGGTGATAGGCAAGAACAATTATCCGTGCCGACATAGCATAAAAGGTGAAAGGTAAGAATATTTCTCTATGCTGGCAAAGCTATGAAGCTGTCGACTGTGTCATCTGATCCCGGATTTGAGCTCCATTTGAAGTCTGTGAGAGCACCTGAACCTCGAGCGCCCTGAGCTTCTCGCCAGTCCTTCCAACTTTCGGTGCTCGTCCAATATTTGGAGGTATCAGTGCTTAGCAACGGTCTGAATTCTGAATGCCCTGAGCTCCAGCCAGCTTTTCCGACTTTCGAGGTAATTCCAACCCCAAGGAGTTCTCGTATGAGCGCAAAGCGTCCCTTCATCGGCTTTGACCTGTTCTGAACGGAAACGTCCTGATATGGCCGGATTCGTGCTTCCCGCCTGCTTACTGAGCTCTGAGTTCGGTTTCTGCCTTCCCAAGGTAGTCGCAGGTCTCTGTCGCTCAAGCTCAACATTGCTGGCCTTCAGTAGTCACTCGTCGCCACTACTTGCGCGATCGCTTCACCGAACGGCTTGAACCTGCGTTCTCGCCGCCAGATGGCTCTCGGCGTTTCTTCGTCCCTGCTGTTCGTGGATTCGACGACACAGCGAGCATACCTCTTAGCGCTCCTTGCCCACGCAGTCTCACCATCTTGAAGCGATAGATCTGGCGCTTCTGCTTCAAGCAAACCACGTCTTCCACACGGTAAAGCCCATCATAGCGAAAGCCCTTGACTGGCTTATTTGGAACGATCGGTGCAGCCTTATATGATCTGAAGACTCTGACGGGCTGTCTGGTCTCGTGGCTGATCATCAAAGCTCTCGCGCCAACGGTTGCAGTCTCGGGATCGACGTACAGTGCTTCATCCTCGGGGTCGAAGTGATTAGTTGGCGGGTCCTGATCGTCCTCCTTCAATGGGAGAGCCGTGCTGATGTAGTAAATGGTGTCGCCACAATCGACGTCTGCATAGACCATCTGCTTTGACGGCTCATGAAGGCCCATGACGACACTATAAGCGCCGTCTCTGGTGTTCCCCGATATGCCCGCTTGTGGGGGTGCATGCGCGCCTTCAGAGGCCATGATTCTGCGATTCTTGAACGTCTGTCCATTGACAAGGTGACCGTCACCAAAGAATCTGCCGTCTCGATGGTTCCAATTCGCGTTTCTGATCCAGCGACCTTTGCCGTCGCGCACAAAAGCACGATGTGGAAGGACACCGAAGTCACCACGCTGCCATTTTCGGAGCTGGATCGTCAAATCCTCCTTGATGTCATCCGGCAATCGCTTGGCACGACCCGTCATGGCGTCGTAATCTGAGAGGAAGTCGTCGATCCGCTGTATTGGATCCTCGGCGTTAATGTCATCTTCACGAACCGAGAACATTCGCATGTTCCATAGCCAGACTCTAACATCGTTGCAGACAGCGTCAATGGATCTAGGAGTACCAAGTAAGTTGGCCAATTCGTCCAGTAACGGGCAGATGGCTCTGATCGCTACCGGGGTCGCGAAGTTCTCAATCTCGTCTTCTGGTATCTGCCTGCAACAAGTCAGTGGTGCAGCTCAAGAATAGGGGACTTCTCAACTTACGCCCACGGGTCAACTTCGCGTTGAGCTTTTCTCCATTTCTCCCATATTGGAACCAGGATTCGACAATCAATCCAATTATCATCTCTGACGCCGCAAGTAAGATGAATTGGGCATTCGCATCTCTTGGGACCTTCGAGGGCTTTTGCATCTGGTACCGGTGGTGGAAACTTAGCAGGGCTTAAATTAGGAGGCCGGCAGTCGGAAGCACGACCGTCTGGGCGACGATTTGAGGAGGCTGAACTCGTGCGCGAGCTATGGCGAGTGGGAGACAGGGACGGGAACCGACGACGTTCAGAGATATACTCTATATTCTCCTCATCTGTAGATCGTGATGAGTGAGAAGAGCCTGTACTGGCGTGGGAATCGTCTGGTCGTCTTCTGGTCCGCGGATTCCTCCTCCCTTCGAAATCACCATAGATGCTGGTATTCTCCGCATTTGTGTCCTTCCGCATATCAGCCCGACTGACCCGATCATTCTCTGCGAATGCTGCCTGGAGAATCCACAGGGGGTGACATGGAGGAAGTCGTAGTGCCGCGGGCTCGGTCGGAACTTCACCTGGCTCAGGTGTTTGATGTGGGGGTATATCGTGGGACATGTGCCGGCTGGAGGAGGCGGTGGATTCTCCATCTCGGTCTTCCTCTTTAATGCGGACCATCTTGTAGTAATATGAAGGGACTGCTCGGTGAGAGAGAAGGAAAGCGCTTCGTTAAGGCGGACCTGGAAACAGTTTTGAGAGGCTTGGATCGAACAGATCTGATTTCAAAGATCAGACGGATCGACGAATTGAGATTGAAGTCTGTTCGCAGCGAGTCAAGAACGAACCGAAAAAAGCATTGACAGACGAAAGGCAGATGTCGTCAGAATGACCATCCTAGTGCAGACGCTATGCACTCAAGCTAGTGACTCGACGCGGCAGAACGACAATAGGACTAAGATCTCCGACCAAAGCGGTGGCAAAGACTGGTTGGCGGAAGAGCGTAGTGCGTGCACCAGCGGCCACGCCGAGGAGTTAGTTGACGACGCGGCACACCCAGTAAGGCCAGGAGTACGACAGTACTCAACCCTGAGAGGGATAATGTAAAGATGGAAGAGAGTTCGAGTGTGATAGGATATAAAGAGAGGAGAGGTTGCGAAGGGTAAGGACGACAGAAGATATGGGAGGACATCATGCCGCTGCACTGTCTTGACGTGAAGACTGCTCGATGCAGTGACTGTTGTCCTGCGATGGTTGCGAACACCTTCAGAGCCATCTCACTTATGGCTCACTTGTCTTGTCCTTCTGTAGTAGTTCTGAGACTGTCGATGCGTGTGTCGCTGTTCATGAACCAGAAACGATGTTGTTTGTTCGAACGGAGCGAAGCCTGGCTCCTCTGGGAGGGTGGCGACCATCTCACGCGGCCAGCTCACTCATGATTCACTCAGCTCGACATCTCGACTGGAATGCTACTAAGAGCGTCGATGCATTGTCCAAGAACCAGAAATGGTGAGGCTAATGAAAAGGAGCGAAGCCTCGCTCGATGACCAAATGAGCTAAACCAAGAAAGGCATAGCCGCAATTTCCCCGGACTTCAAGGACTTTCGTGACGTTTCTCACTGTCCCGAAAGCCTTCACTCTCGTCTCAGTAGTCTTTTCGATGTCGTTGAGATAGACCGGCGTAGTCCATGAGGAATGCTGTGCTACGATCGGCATCGTGGTCGACGTCGAATCATTGTTCTGCATCCGAATTAGCGAGCAGATATGCATTGTTTGGGGCCTCGACACCCGCCAGGGACAGGCGACGGTCGTGGCCCCTTCAGCGTGCAGCCGCGCGGCGTCAGATCAGCGCAGATGCTATCATATCAGTGTTGACACCGCCAACCGTATTTGTCGGCCTGCTTGTGACGCTTTGGACGTACAAATGCATGATGATGATCACATTTCAAAACAAGATCATCTATATGCCTTCAGTGCCGCCATTCTCGAGGTCTGAGAAAGTGGCCGACTACGAGGGAAAGTGCAAACCTGTTGTCTGGAAGGAGCACGGAGTTCGATCCATCGATGGGACCCAGATCAAACTTCTGGAAGGCGCTTTCTCTGATGCTCAACCTGAGCAGGAGCGACAGAAGATCGTCGTGCTGTACTTTCAGGGCAATGCTTCGTCGTTGCCTCCGCGGCTGCCATACCTTTCGCGTATCATGCGCTCAGTCAAAGATCAAGCATCAGATCGGGTGGCTCTGACATTGGTTGCGTTGTCATATCGTGGCTTTTGGACGTCCAGTGGCCGAGCAACACAGCCTGGACTTGAGCTGGATGCGGAGGCAGCTCTGGAATGGGTGCTGCAACGGTATGGCGAGGACCATAAGATCATCATCTGGGGCCAGTCGATTGGCACGGGCGTTGCCAACCTTGCAGCAGCCCGGCTTTGTCGCAATGATCCCAAGCAGTTCAAACGCATATCCGGACTCTTACTGGAGACGCCGTTCGTAAACATGAGAGCGTTGTTGCTTGGAATGTATCCACAGAAGTGGCTGCCTTATCGATATCTCTCACCTTTTCTGCGGTCCACATGGGAAAGCGGTAAAGCGCTGGAAGAGATCGGCAATCGCAGAAGTGGCATCAGGATGATGTTGCTACAAGCTGGCAATGATGAGATTGTTCCAGAGGGGCAAGCTCGTATTCTCGAAAAACTATGCGTCGCTAAGGGCATATCGGTCCAGCGACAGGTCGTTAGTGGTGCGCTGCATCAAGACATCATGACTAAATCGCCTGGCAGGGTGAAGATCGTGGACTTCATCTGCAGCTTTGCGACAGAGTCCTCCAGGCAGGCCAGAAGGTAGCATCGTAAGCTCGTGTCGGTAATAGCATTGTGTATGAGTCAAGCTCACGACCTCATACACCCCTTGTCCCATGGACATGGTCCGCTGCAAGGCAACTGGCCTGGCGCCCCTGGTGATCCGAGATCCGTCCTTAAGAAGTCGGGCGTAGCTTTGGAAAATACGTTGCAGGGCGAACCATGCTTTCGGCTGCCTTGCCTGGGGTGGTCCGTGCCCCTGTCAATCTCGTCACTCGTCACTTCAGCACGTTGCCAAATCCATCGAGAAGCAGTAGTCGGGATGGCGATGACGGTAACGGACGCACAAGTGCCATCTCTTCTCTTCCAAAGCTCTCGAGGCTCATCTGTGTCGAAAGACGTCGGTAGATGTGGCTGTGTAACGGCGAGATCTGAGATCTGTAGCTTAGATAGAGAAGCGAGCAGCTATCGCACATCCCTAAGTGGGCTGTGTGGGAGACTCCTCAAGGCCAAGACAGCTGATTCTCATCCGGCACAGCGACTGCCAATAGCGAAGGAGTCACTGGAGCGCTTGAATGGGCTCGTTGAGCTCGTGCTAGAGACGGAAGGATGCTCTGGACTGGCCGCCGAGCGAAAGCCACAGCAGTACCGGATCGAATAAGCTTGGGGCTCGGCATGCAGCGTCCAGTAGAGTTTGTATGGCCTGCATCGTTTCTGCCATGCCAACTGGATTGAACAAGCGGTGTAGCGTCACCTGCATGCACCCCATTGTGCTTCGATCACATTATGCTAACCATCTGATTGACGGGAGTGATAGACTGTCGACTGATTGATAGCATCAAGCCATGTGCGACCTGCACGCATTGCTTTCTCCTCACTCACTGTCCTGCATGGCGCTATCGTGCTCTACATCTTGAGGCCTTCTATGAGAATCGCATTGTCGCTTGCGCTCCGCCTCAATGGCTCAATGGCGATGATCGCGCAACGTTGTCTACACCACCAAAGTACACCGCTATAGAGCGACATGGAAACGAATGGCCATACGCCTGGCTTTCGGTGGGAGTACTTGATTAGGCCTGACAAGACTGCGACACCACAGCTCGAGGAATTGTGTCTAGGACTAGCAAAATGCATTGTAGGTCCATCGCTGCTGCCGTTCGTGATTAAACCACTGACCGCGCCTTCAGATCGATAATGAGCCCGGCGTTGGCGCTGAATTGACACCTCAAAGGCTCGCTGCCTTCTACCGTCGCGTCGGCGGCAACTACGACGGTCTCTTCCTCAAGTCCGGCGACCATGGCTTGTCCTTCACATATCGCACCTTTGGCTGCTATCACAACCTGCAGCCCTCACACAACCCGTTCGAGATGCCCAGCATACCATGTCTGACATTGAATGGCTTTGCGCGGTGGCAGACACTACAACTACTGCTGTCGCCAGATGAGAGCGTCAAGTTTCTACAGAAGTCGGTGGAGTTGTATCGCATCCCCCGCAAAGATGGCGGCTGTTTTCCAGGGCCGATTCCGCGGTCATGCTTCCCACAAGAGGCCGACGAAGAGATGGAGAAGTGGTATACCACCGTCTCTGGCACACTGAACCAGGATAATTACATGCGCCGCCTCAAGGCTTCACCCTACCAGTCTCCCCATACCGATGACCGCATCGACGGCTACTTCCACAACGGACACGCGTCACGAAACAGCTCTTCTGACGACCAGGCCCGGATTGCTGCTGCCAGGCGCCGCAGCAGCGTACCCGACGTTGTGTCGCCCATGCCTGTCCCAACACCCGGTGACAGGTCTTCGCATTGGGATCGTCAGAACCGGCAAGGTCGAAAAGCACGAAGTCACTCAGACCAACGGCCTGTCCAACACACCCGTCAAAGGTCGCACACCACCTCCACGCCTGACAAAAGCCCGCGGCAACCACCACAACGTGATCTTCGGCCACCCTCACAGCAGTGGGCTGCTTCACATCGACATCGAATATCCGATGGTCGATCCCCGCACTCTCGGAACACTTCGGCCAGCGATGCCAGTTCTGATACGTCGCACAGCGACCACAAATCACGACCGTCGCGGCGAGATGAATCGCCTAACGTCGAAAGAGCTCGTTATGGCCTCCGTCATTCTTCAAGTCGCACAGGCGACGCCACTCCTCGGACGCTGGCACTAAAAAGATAGAAGCGGCTCCACCAAGACCACCAGTCCCCGTGCCACTCCGGCCCGAATACTATCACCGCAAACCAACACTGTCACAAGTCCCATATGGTTCGGCATTACCAGTCTATCCTGCTCCTCCCCAACGTCCCCAGAACGGCCAAAATGGTGTGCGATTTCGCGACCACATTTTCGACAATACGAACCGTCCACCTCCCATTACCACCACGGCACCCACTCCACCGGCTCGATATCCTGACCCACGCTCAACACATCATGACCCACGCTCGCCTATGCATCATCCAGATCCCTCGATGCAAGTAGCAAACCGCGACAGCAGTAGCGGCAGCGACCGAAGGCACCCCTCAGACTTCGACCGTGCCCAGCGCAAAGCAGGCTTTCCTTCTCGAGTCCACACGGTGAGTGGCGTGGGTGGCAGGCAATACCCTGAGCCACCAGCCAGGATGTGTACCCGCCTCCGACTCGTGCCAGAGGCAGCGCGCCGACGATAGTGAGATGATGTAACGAAAACGATAACAGAATTTTGACGATGCGCACACGAGAACCATGACGGATTGGACTACCTTGGCATTGTTGTACAGAACGTGATGCAGGTACAGCAAACTGGGAACGGCAATCGATTTCATGGGCCTTCAACCATGCGGAGTCGATGATGGAGCCTTTCGGGTGGCACAGCAGCGAGTAGCACACGCCGTGCGACAGTCTCAAAAGGGCAATTCTGGCCCCAACAGCATACATACAGCAAGCGCGCTGAAGCCGCGAGATGGTGGCTGACGAAATGATGGTTTTTCCAGGACAGCGATATTGACATCAGCTCAGCCTTCTTAGACATACTTTGAGATATCAATCTACTCATTTTGATAAGCTAGTCGGTCCACAGGCTGGGGTGTTCACCGCCGCGAGCATGACTCCCGCGCAAGAGCAGTGAGGGCTATCTGTGGCTCGTTGACTGCCACGATAAGCGGCTCTCAATGCGTCCACATCAAGCTCGACGTCAGGTTTTGCTAACGGTACACTCGTGTGTTGCTATAGCTGGCCGTGCCTTCACTCGCCATTGCCCTGAGCACAGCACATGAATCGTAGCATGAACAAGTACCCGAGCTTGGCCATGAACATACATGTGAGACGGCAGCGTCGACACAGATGACTCTGTTCTTGCTCGAAGGCATCCAAGCAGCAGCGTATCTAAATCTCGCCATCATGTTTACATACTCACTGACTGGATACATACCCTCTGCCTCCAGTCCAGTTGCAGCCCTTTCTTCACCTAGTCAGCAGGCTCCGAGCGAAGACATACAGCCTCCCATGCCGACTCGTCCCACCAGGTAGCAGCAGGTGCGACCAAGGCATGACAATGGGTGGGTGGACTTGCTGTCATAGCTAGATGACGGTAGAAGAGAAGCAGACGAAGCACGGGGGCAAGAAGACTACTTACAGGTTTTCGACAAAGGGACGCTCCGAGGCAACCTGACACGATCGCTTCACTGACTAGGATGGGAGGTATTAACTGATGTTTGAGTGACTCAACGTTAGTTGCTGCCTTCTATATTCACTTGGATCGGATATGCTCTTCGTGACTGAGCTTACGTGGACTTCGCTTCATCGTGGAACAAGCACGGCAACCGATGTCTGGGAACGTGTGAAGGTGGACTAGCAGTCGAGACCAGCTGGATTCCAATTGCTGTACATACGTCGACCACGTTATCCAAGGAGCAATTCAATATCTTCGTCCGACCCCTAGACCCCTGCGACATCCACGAGCTCCTCCCCTTTCCAAGCCCATTCTCCTAGAAGGCGAAGTACGCCTGACTCAACGGCAAGCTCTCACTAGGCCCCTCCCCAACCCGCACCCCATCCGCCTCAACCACATACCGTTCCGGATCGACCTTCATCTTCGGCATGCTATCATTGAACTTCATGTCCTTCTTACTGACCTTCCTACATCCCTTCACAGCTTCAATACGCTTCTTGAGGCCGAGCTTGGACGGGAGGTCGGCTTTGACGGCGGCGGCGGAGGTCCAGGTTATGGATGTGCTTGCCGGGGTAAGGGCGCCGAACATGGGGCGGGAGAGGACTGGTTGGATTGTTGGGATTGAGGCGTTGGGGTCGCCCTGCGAAGAGGATTAGTACCAGGTCCGATGGTCGAGGTCATGCAGATGAAGGCAATGGAGGCTGAGTCAGGGAACACAGGCCTCAGCCCTGGGGGCACGAAGAGAGAGAGAGCGATGTCGCCACCGGAGCAGATGTGCTCATCCTCAGGTCGCTCAGAGTCGTTGGAATCCCTGGCTTGGTGCGCAGACGATCTTCACGCCCCGCGTACAGCAGGTACGTCAAAACGAAGCATAGGCCGGTATCGCCACAATCATAGCATAAGACGAACAAGAGAAGCAGAAGCAGAAGTGAAAGCAGAACAACTTACCATCATACTCCACGAAATCATTCCCCCCTTAACCACCAAATTTGGCTTCACCCCAAAACTAGCCGGCTTCCACACCACCAGATCCGCATACTTGCCCACCTCCACACTTCCAATCAAATGCCCCATCCCCTGCGCCAGCGCAGGATTGATCGTGTACTTACTCACATACCTTTTGACCCGGAAATTATCCGCCTCCCCATCTTCTTTGTCCTCCGGCAGTGGTCCTCGTTGGACTTTGTTTTTGTGTGCGGTATGCCACGTCCGCAAGATGACCTCGCCACACCGACCCATGGCTTGGGAGTCAGAGGACATCATGCTGATGGCTCCCAAGTCGTGCAGGACGTCCTCGGCGGCAATGGTTTCGGCGCGGATGCGCGATTCGGCGAACGCGACGTCTTCGGGGATGTTGCGAGATAGGTGGTGACAGACCATGAGCATATCAAGATGCTCATCCAATGTGTTGTTCGTGTACGGTCGCGTGGGGTTCGTGCTGGAGGGCAGCACATTCGGCAACTCGACGACCTTGATGATGTCTGGCGCGTGTCCTCCACCGGCACCTTCGGTGTGGTAGGTGTGAATGGTGCGGTCTTTGAAAGCCGCGACGGTGGATTCGACGAAGCCGGACTCGTTGAGTGTGTCGGTGTGGATCATGCATTGGACATCGTACTCGTCGCAGACACTCAGGCAGGCGTCGATGGCGGCAGGGTGCGTGCCCCAGTCCTCGTGGAGTTTGAGACCGCATGCGCCCGCTTCGATAGATTCGCGGAGCGGGATTGGACCGCTGTCGTTGCCTTTGCCTGTGAGGCCGTAGTTGAGAGGAAGGGTGTCGATTGCTTGCAGCATTTGGTACATGTGCTGTTTACCGGGAGTGCAGGTTGTGGCGTTGGAGCCTGGGAGGGGCCTGTGCCGCCAGCGAGGTAGGTCGTGATGCCGGCAGCGATTGACTCGTAGGCCTGTTGCGGGCAAATCAGGTGGATGTGCGTATCGAAGCCGCCAGCAGTGACGATCATGTGCTCGCCGGCGATCACGTCGGTGCCGTTGCCTACAATCATGTTGGGAGACACGCCTGGCATGACGTCTGGGTTGCCGGCTTTGCCAATGCCGGCGATGAGCTGATTCTTGATGCCGATATCGGCTTTGTAGATGCCAGTCCAGTCGATAATGAGAGCGTTGGTGATGACCGTGTCGAGGACTTCGGCGTCCGGGCGATTCGAGGCCTGGCCCATTCCTTCGCGCAGGGTCTTGCCGCCGCCGAACTTGCATTCTTCGCCGTAGACCGTGAGATCCTTTTCGACGCGGACCCATAGGTCGGTCGCAGCAAGACGGACGAGATCACCGGTGGTGGGACCGAACATGCCCGCATAGTCTGCACGTGTCATGTTGAAGGTAGAGAGGCGCGAACTGTCGGTCTGAGGGGAGGATTCGTGGGCGAAGCCGGCAGCTTGTAGCTTTTGGAGGATCTCATCCGCGCGTGAGAGATCAACAGGTCCGTCGGCGAGTCCGTTGCCGCCACGAATGACCTTGTGTCCTGCTATCTCGACCAGTGTGACTGTCTTGGTGTCACCGGGTTCGAACCGCACCGAGGTTCCTGCAGCGATATCTAGGCGATAGCCATATGCCGCAATGCGGTCGAAGGAGAGTAGTGGATTGGTTTCGATGAAGTGATAGTGTGATCCGATCTACGCGCAGAATCAATGATGAGCAGTGCTCATGTACGAGTGGACTGCCTCTCCCTACCTGTATCGGTCGATCTCCCTTGCTGGTGACCTTGAGTTGGATCCTCTTCCTACCTTCATTGAGCTGAATATTAGGGCCTTTCTTTACTATGACGGCTCCCGGCATCTTCTTCTCCTCGTACCTGCATAAGAGTCAGCATTCCCGGCCCATATCACCAGAAGACCGGCGTGAACAGACTCGTGAGCCTCAAATGGGGGAAAGGCATCCTTGCTGGGAACCGGCAGAAAGCTGCCATAGAGGGCTTTCTCCAGGTCACCATCGTCCGAAGCGACCGGGTGGTGAACCGTGACAAGATATGTCCCCGTGGTGAAGGTACCTTCGACCTGGAGCTCGGTGAGGGTCGAGATCACAGAGGGAAGCACGTGTCGTCGGCCCAGCATCGTCTTGCCAATGGACATGAGCTCGGCGACGGAGTGGTTGCCATCGCGAATGAGCTAGGATACAACGTTTGTTTAGTATATATCCCGACCGGGTATTCGTTGTAGAGTTGGTAGACGTACCTCTTGGAGGTTATTCGCGATCAATGCCTGCGAGAATCTCAATCAGACCGCGTACGTGATATAGACAACAGTGCTCTTACACAAGCCTCAACATGATTCAGCCTGACACCTCTGGCCAGCCGCCGCTGTGCTAGAAAGCCAAGCTGTGAAGTAACGAGCTTATCTAGCTGTGGTTAGTAGCGTCAGCTGGTATATCCGCGTGGATGCCAGGTACGCAGCGAGCAACTAACCTCTCGTGGAACGAGTTGCATGGCTGCTAGAAGTGCGTTACGTTAGCTTGGCATATAACATCAATCTGATACAAAGCGCACAGGAACCACTCCATCTCGAAAGCGAACTCGTCTTACGGCTGATATACCTTCCGGCAGTCACTATCTCGTCGTTGGATATGAGCGAATCAAATGTGTCAAACCAATTGCGGGGATTCTGTGTTTCGGGGCGATGACGGTGTGGGGAACAACGCCCGAATCAGAGGCGGCGAGGTCGTCAGGCTGAGGCAACGAGGGGCAGGTCAACGTTGGTCACTGTGCTATAGTCAGCGACATGAGAAACAAGTGCAGCATGATGCTTCGCAGGGCACGATAGTGGAAGGCAGTTTGAGACAAGCAGTGACAGGATTGTATTGATTGGAATGCCGTGAACGCCATTTACGAGACGTGCCGTAGAATACTCACAGTGCCGTCCTCGACGCAACCGTGATCGTACCCCAGCGCTAGTACGTGAATGCTAATGTGCAAATGAATGTAGGTACAGTACACATCGACAAAACCCATTGAGCGCTGAACAGTTACCACCCTATTTACTCCACGACATCAGTCCGCGGGCTGGCCCTCAGATTTCGAGGTTTCTTGGCTGCTGGGGGCGCCTAGGCCTTCTTGGTCTTCTTCTTCTTCTCCTTTGTGGCAGATGCTGGAGCAACCTTCTCGGGCTCTGGTGCAGCAACGGCGGCGGCGGCAGCTTCTTGCCCTTGCCCTTTTTCTCCTTCTCTGGCGACTTAGGAGCAGCGGCCTCAGCCTTAGCTGGGGTGTCGGTGGTCTTTCTGCGCTTTGATGCCTTTGGTGCTGGTTCAGGAGCCTTGACCGGCTCGGGAGAGTCCTCCTCTTCGGTCTCAGCAGCGGCATCCTCAATTGCGGCAGGCTCTGGGGCTTTGCCAGCTTCGACGAGTGAAGCAGCCTCCTCATCGCTGGGGACCTTCTGACCAGCTTTGTAAGCGGCCATCTTGACGCGATAGGCAGCTAGATTCTTTTGATATTGCTCATCCCAGATCTGTAAAAGGTCAGTCGAGCCAAGAAGAGTATGTGAGTACGGGAGACTTACGCCTTTGTCGGTCTGAGGCATTTCTTGCCATCTGCGTGTGCCTTCATCGGCGACTTCCTTGGGCTTTGCCTCGCTGCCGAGCTCTTTGGCGATTTGAGCACGAGCACTCTGCATGTAGAGGAAGTAGGGTGTCAATGCGCGCTTGGGAGCGTTGGGGTCATGAGGGGTCCTCTTGCGCTTCTTCTTGCCGCCTTCCTCGACAGCAGCGCCAGCAGGAGGGGCTGCAGTGCTTCCAGTGGCGAGCAGGCCTGACTCGGTGAGGATGTTGGTGAGATTGGCATCGAGTGTGCCCCCGCTTCCTGGAGCCAACACAGTGTTGGCATGCTGGATGTATGCTCGAGAAAGATCTTGGACTGAGGTCTGCAGAGTTGCTAGGGCGACAATGACCTGGGAAAATCGTTCAGCAGCTGTCTCTTGACTGGTTCTCTCATTGACAAGGGAAGTGAGTTGAACACAACGACTGAACAGAGCATTGACAGCGAGGATGTAGTTGGTGTGATCGCGAATGAATTGGGCCACACGCTCATACGGGGTTGCGATGACGCGTTGCGACATGTGGGAGACTATGTCGCCTCTGCAGCGGCAGAATAGGCGTTGCTAGGCGATGATGATGGGCGAGACTGTTGGGGTTGCGGTTGCGATGCCGAGGGGCGGAACTTTCGCGGAGGTTGCAAGGTGTTTGTGCATGGAGGGGTAACTGTTGTGAAGACGCGCGAAGGAAATGGTTGAACATACCGAGTCTCTGGTGCGCTTGAAGTCGGCCACGTTCACATCGACTGTGCCAGACTCGTCGGCCGCAGCAGGAGCTGATGCAGCAGCTTTCTTTGCCATGGTGAATAAGAGTAGTGAATACTGGGTATGCCTATAATACTGTCGAACGCGTTGGGAATCACCCGAAGCGAATTAGTTAAAGCTCGTCGAAGGGTTTAACTGGAGCTCAGGTGAGGTCGGAGACGAAGTGAAGCTGAGAAAGAAGAAAAATCGGCGGCAGGAGGGGCGAGGCGGGCGACACTTTAACCCTGAAGCGCCGGGCGTCGTTGCAAAAAATCAACCTGATGACTAGCTGACTAGGCTCCACTTCATGCTGCAGGCACGCCTAATTTTCGACGCCTATTGCTTGATTTGCTGCAACTTAGCCAGGTAGTTACGGGGGAGGTTGCCTCCAGTACGACTATGATTGAAAGCTGATCGGTGATGATGCCCTCGACTTCCGTGCCTCTCTGGCAGTCTTCAGGTGCTCTTGGACGGTCTGACAGCCCATTTCGTACTTGCCCTTCGGACTTGCTCTAATTAAAGCAGCCTGAATGTTTGCTACTGACCTCCTAGATGGCCATCCGTGTTTCAGAACGCGCTTGATCTGTCGTTCCCTGGGCTTGCTCGGATGCTCTACACACTCGAGCTTTTGCGACAGTAGCTACGATTGCTGCGACCGAACGTCATTGATATAGCTGTTTTGCATGGTCTTCGCAAGAGCACTCTGGCTGTGTACTTTGACGAGGTCTTCAACATACGGCGTTGTAGGCACGAGTACTTCTATTTGCGACAACGAGCTGCTGTGTACATAGCTTCAATGGTTGTGCCAAATCGACGCGTTCAATGTTGTTGTTGATGCTGACATTAGTGGCTTGATGGCCTAAACTTTAGGCGTGTTTGCACCTCCGCTGTCGCTGCTGCGGCAGACGATCATGCCGACGAAGGTGGGAGAAAATGGTTAAAGCAGCAGTGTGCTTTAGGTAGACAACTGCTTAGCCGTGCCGAGAACTTTTTGGTCCCATCCACTACTTTGGAGCTGCCCGTTGAGCTGTTCCAACCTTGGCTTTCGGCATCCTCCCTTTTGGCTGCTGCTTCTTCGACGGCGACAATTATTCTCGGTGTCAAATCGTGCCGAAATTTAGGCGCACCTATATTCTGCCCTTCGTCTGCCCCTAATTGCCCGCCTAGAGCATGCCCTTGAATCACTTACTTGAAGCCTACTGTGCTTGTAGGCCGGAGGGTTATAGGCGTCATCGATTTCGGCATCACGCACACCGTCTTGCAAATAATGGCCTCGTGAACGGGAATCTTTCAGAAGCCCTGCACCTGTCCCAAGTTCTTCGGTTTCGTTTCCCTTTCTCAACCAGATCGTCTGGTCAAGCTCTCGGCCTTCCGTGACGGGGTTCCAATACAGGTACATATCCATGTTTGACCGTGTTGTCTGGAACCTACAGCTGCCGTGCTGAGGCAGCGCTTTTGGAGGTGTCTCCATTCTGGTGATTCCAGATGTCCAGCAGGAGCCTGGAAACAGTAGCCCCCGCTTGGTCCAATGCCAGGTACAGCACTGGGGCACACGAGCAACTTCGCTACATCACAATTCCTCAGGAGGTCTTAAGCGCAGTCGTGCACTGTGGAGATCACTATCACGAACCCGGCGTCCTTTCTAGCTGCGCGCCCAGGTCGATTACCATACCTATGTGTACACAAGGTCTATCTAGAGTAACCAGAGATCACATACGTCTTGCTTTTCCTGATGCCTCTAGAACTTGTACACCTGCTCCTTCGTATATCCCAACTCCTTCAGGATACCTCCCAGATCACCCTGATCAGTCGGGCTGACCTTTGGGCCACTAACAGCCTTGTACAGGCCTGGAGGACCGCAGACAAAGACCTTGATGTTCTCGCTTTTCGCATCTGGCACCACTTCCTTCAACACCTCTTTCGTGACATGGCCTTTTCCACCTTCCCACTTATCCGACGGCTTGTCCAGCATATGGAAGACCTTGAATTGCTTAGGGTTTGCTTTCTCGATCTTGTCGAATTCTTCTCGCAGTAAAATGTCGTCCTCAGAGATATTGCCGAATACCAGGGAGACCTTCGTCTTGTCTTCAGGGTTCTTGAAGATGGTCTGGATCAGCTGGTACATGGGTGTGATACCTGTACCGCCGGCGATGCAGGTGATGTGATCGTGCTTGTTGGGCGACCAAGGGTACTTTGGAATGGGCCCCTTCATCGAGAGGGTGTCGCCGGGCTTGAGAGAGTGGATGTGTTCGGACATGGGACCGTTGGGGTATTTCTTGACGAGCAGCTCAATTGTCCCTTTTTCATCAGGATGGCTAGTCGGAGTGTATGGCCGGATGGTGGGTTTTTCTTGGTCCTCGGCCTTGTACTTCGTGATGACGGCGCTAGCGGTGTTCATACCGGAGATGTGGTCAGGCGAGGGAAGCTCGAAGATGAAGGTCTTGGTGTTATGGTTGTAGTCTTTTGCCTCTTTCAGCTTGAGGTCGATGAAGCCTTGGTCACCACCGGTGAAGGCTGGCTTGGTGGTCTTTTCGGGCTGCTTGTCGGTGGTGGGTGCAGCTTCGGCGCTGACTTTCTTGTTGCCGAGGAAGGAATAGCCTCCAAGTCCGGCACCCACTGCTGCTGCGCCGACTATCCACGGCGTGTATGAGCCGCTTTTGGGAGCTGCTTCACTAGCATACGAGCGGGCGCTCTGGGAGTTCATGAGCTTGGGAGCTGCGACATGGGGGTGAACAGAGCTTACCTGGCGCGCAGGACCAGAGATCCGCAGGATCGAACGTGCAAACATGTTTGCGATCGCGGAACAGTTGTGATTGAAGGAGATGCAGAGTAAGGTCGAGCAGGATAGGCTTAGAAATTCATCTGGAGCTTCGTCGCTGTAACTCGAGGTACCGATTTCATGGGCGTCTTTCAATGGCGTCACCGATGAGCACGACTTAGCGCCGGGAAAATTCCGTCTAAGTGCCGGCAGTCGCGGCTTCAGGCAGACCAGTAGGCGACAAGGCAACCACGACCGACCTAGATGCCCATATGTTATAGATTGATGGCTCGGACTGTCTTGTCATTTCCTCCTTGCCACGCGGCAGCGTTATGCTCGTGTGCTAACCCAACGCACAGCCACCCGTGATCCTGCAGCCTCTGCCTCATCAACGAAGCCCTGCACCTGCAGCGCGTCTTGAGAAGAACACGGTCACAGACTGCCATTATATGCGAAACACTTCAGGACTTCGACTATCCTTCTTGACCCGTGGGGGACATTTGCAATGTCAAGGAAGTGATGACTTGTCGACCGCGGGTTCCTCACTCTCGTCGGCATCATGTCGACCTTCGACGGCTACGTCAAAGAGTTCCCTACGATCAGGATCGACTATTTCAGATCGGACTCATCACTGCCCCATCCAGCAGCATGCTTCCTCAGTCACGTTCACAGCGACCACCTGCTGGGACTGGAGTCACTGAAGATGCCATTCATATTTTGCTCAGCGACAACGAGGAGACTACTACTACGTATGGAGAAGTACCCTCATCGCATCAACTTTCAGAAAGGCATACTGGAGAGTCGCAAACAACACTGGAAGCACTTGAAGAAGCTCCTAAGAGCACTGCCTCTGCATACTCCCACGATGATAGAGCTATCGCCGAAGCTCACCATCAACGTAACGCTAATCGATGCCAATCACTGTCCGGGCGCCGTTATGTTTCTCATCGAAGGTGACGGCAAAGCCATCCTGTATACGGGAGATGTGCGAGCTGAACCGTGGTGGGTCAATTCGCTTGTACAAGTCCCAAGCCTGCTGCCGTATAATTGCGGACTCAAGCGATTGGACTGCATATACCTCGACACGACTTTCGCGCCTCACGATGACAAGTACAGACATTTCCAGACAAAGGCCGAGGGTCTTCGAGAGCTTATAACAAAGGTCCAACAGTGTCAAGCAGAACGATTAGCACAGAGTGGGAAGCCACCAACATACTACTTCCGCGCTTGGACACTGGGCTACGAACAAGTCTGGTTGACATTAGCAAATACACTGGGAACCACAATCCACGTCGATCCTTATCAGCTGCGGCTTTTCGACTCAAAGAGCGACGAGGTCGCCAACGCTCCGGGCTACCACACATTCGAGGGACCGTCCCTTACTGGATTCGAGGTGGGAAACAAGATCCAAGAAGGATGCCTGTCGACAGATACGACCAGTCTGGTACACTCTTGCGAGCCTGGCATGCCTTGTCACAGTAGGCTAATTCATGAGGACATTGTTTGGGTCACTCCTATCATTTGCAGACTATCCGACGGAACGGAGCTGCTCGAAGTTGGCGCTGGAGGTGGTGGCGGAGATCTATACCAGACATCAGAGCTTGAGCTCACTCAAGACCTTGACCTGATCTCAGCAGAGCTCATCTCTGACCCTGACACACTTGCAAGATTTCGCAAAGCAATCCAAGCCGCAAGAGATGCTGGAGATCTGACCTTGCCGCTGGAAGGCCTAGGCCTGGACAACGACTCTGAAGTGAATCTGAAGGACTTCATTCAACTGCTCTCGAAGGGTGGGGACTGGGCGTCGAAACGAGGGCCAGGACCAGGAGAAAGGAAGTACAAATGGAAAGGCTCTACCATAACCTTCCCATTCTCACGACATTCATCTTTGGGTGAGCTTCGTCATCTGGTTCAGGCTTTTCGCCCAAAAGACCTGTACGCCTGTACGGTCGAATTGCCATCGTGGACAGAGGAATGCAGTATGCAGGCTCTCTTTGGAGACCTATGCTCGGAGCAGATCTTCCACCACGATGTCGAAGTTCGCGAGGAGGTCGCAGCTTACCGAAAGGCAGCGAGCCTGAAACGAAAGAGAGGTGACAGTAGTCCGGGGCATGGCAGCCAGCCGTCACAGCACGACGAAGCTTTCGAAGCGCCCCATCATCGCCACTGAGACCTAGTCAGAACGGGACAAATGCTAACGTGGATCTCGCTCAGGAACGAGACGATCATATAGCAGACGATGAGACCGAGTCTGTAGTCTCAGATATGGACGCACGAGTGTGGGCAATACGGGCAGAATTTGAGCTCAAATCTGGCGGCTCTGAGTTCATCCTCATCGACGACGACGACGGCTCCATTGCAGATGGCGGCGAAGCAGGAGAGTCTCAAGTCTCTCTGACAACTTCAGCATTCGCGTCCCAGCGAAATGAAGACACTAGACCGCGAGAGCGAGCTCCGGATCACGCAGAGAGAGCCGCGTCGACTCGGCCAGCACCCAGAGCTGATTTACATCGCAAAGATGCATACGAACGAGCTCGTCAGAGCCTTCGAAGTAGTCATAGCGGTCCATGGGACGACTTGGGGATTCGTAGTATGGGTTCGAAAGGGCACTCTGAGCCAGAGATAGAGCTGTAATATCGGAGGCACCTCCATAGATATGCACAATTCAAGTTCATGATCTAGGCATTGGATTAGGCAACGCGGCTCTCAGCTCCGCCTATCGAGAACCTGGGTAATTTGACAAGGACCAGGTCTCTAGGCTAAGCGGTAAAGCCCGCAGGATAGACTTGCGTGATTAGGCAGGGTCTACTGTGCTGATCGCCTGCATCTCGGAATATGGTGGCTTCAATGATTGGAAGACGATGATCCGAAGACGCAGGTCTCGTGTTTGCCTGCGGGCGGTCACCGCGTACTTCGTAGTCCTCTAGTTCGGGCCAAGGCGAAGACGTAAAAGGCGGTGGCCTGTAGTGCTGCACACCTGGCATGATTAGCACATTGATGGTGTTGCCACGAGAAGCAGAATAATACAGCTGCCTTGTGTCGAGGTTGCCGTGTTGGGACCGCTTGCTGCGTCACTTCAAGCCCAAGACAGGGTCCCACGCAGCTTATAACGACGGGCGACGCAGTGTGATCAAGGGGCCAACATCAGGTTTAGTGGGTACCTGCAGTGCTAGTTTGCGCCTGGGCTGAGTGGCTGAATGGCACATTGAAACCTGCGCTGCGTTGTCCGATGATGAACTCTAGATAATAAAAATGGATTGAGAAGCCGTCAGGTCGCACCTCTAGTCAGCAGCGACCGACCGACGAATGTCCCTTCCTTGCTCACCAATATACCTCAACCTTCCACCCACCATACTGACAACTATCTTCTAACAACATCGCCCTCGTTGAAAGTCCCTTTCTACTCCATCAGCATTTTAGCGGATTCGACTGCCGACTTCTTAGGTGAAACCAACTCGTCTACCGCTTAGATCGCACTTTCCCCCAAGCAATCATTCACTCGCTGTCATCTGAAACCGCTCCCTGCGCTTGCCCGTTGGCCTTCACTCTTCCGGCGGCTCCGTTCTGTCATCCATATTCAGCATCAGCATTGGCGGCGAGCTCTACCAGATCTGCCATTCGCTACTCAGATCTATTCAGTCCAGCAGTCTCCGAAAGCCCGTCACATTCCACCAGCACATCTCTTCTCGATCCGTTATAGACACAAGCATAGCCCACATTCACTTCAACATCCTGCGGCGTACTTCACTGAACGTCCGTCAACCACCTGTCGGTGCCGCGATAATTGGATACACTACATATCACAGTATAACAACCAGCGCACGCCTGCATGAGGTGCTAGAGCAGGATCCTACAAAATGAAGAAGCCCTCGGTCGCAGAGACTGTGTTCCAGACACTGTCTCCGAGCAGCAAACAGAACGGCGCCCCGACATGGACCCAGCATGTTCAGCGCAACTTAGTACCTGAAGTCAGAGAAGAAGGTGAGTCCTCACAAAGATCGAGATCTACCCATCTATGGCCTGCCTGAGTTTCGCACTCACCACAACTTGCGGATGCAAACTAACTCTCACTGCAGTACAGCGATATTTCGGTAGGATAGACTGTGTAGAAGCACAATATCCCGGACTCGATTACACATTTGCTCCCCATCGAAGGAGACTAGCTGGCTTCCAGTGGCACCGCCGACTCTTCCGAGCCTTCGACAGTCTGAACTTGACAAGGGATGAGATATTGAGCTTGTGCAACTGGGAAGGTACCAAGGCAGCCAAGGACCGCTTCGAAAGAGAACAGCAAACAGTCATAACCTCCACAACGCTCGACGGTGTGGACTCAGAACCCGCATGTGGTGGGCCTCGTGGCATACTACACGATTGGAACGATTCTAGTCAGTCAACACCACAACGTGCGCATACGCCGGCTAGCACACCTGCAAACAACTACGAAGGGGTGGACGCTTCTGACGAGGAGGACATTGATGACCGTGCTGGAGTTCAATTAGCTCAAATTGCTCCTCATCAAGACGTAGCGACTCGAGAAGTAGGCGACGTGGCTCAACTTGATGCACAGTGGGAGCAATGGATGAAGGATGCTATCGAGCGAAACGAGCTGGATCCGGAAACCATGAGAACTATCATGAGCCAAGGTCGCCCATCTCAATCAGTGCCTCCGAATACTTCATCCGGCGTACAACCACTACCAATCGGATCAGCTACGCCGATCGACGAGCACGCCGCATCAACAACAAGACCGCCCACATCGGCCTCCTTGGGACCTCAGTACCATCGACTCAGGGAAGCCATGGATGAGCTAGCCACCACTAGTGCTAGGATCACAGCTGATACGGCTGATCTACTCGGAGATGTCCAAACGCCTGCTAGCAGTACTGCAAGACCACGAACGAGATCGAGTACTGATCGGGATCGAGCTAGGCTCTCGACACTTGTGGAAGAGCTGAGCACGAACAATGCCCGGATGGACGCCGAGAATTCGGCTTTGCAGCATTTCTTGTCGCGGACGAGGACAGAGACTGCGAGATAGCGTCTGAACAGAATCAAAGCAGGAGCTGCGAAATGGTCGCGGAAGCTTACCACAGGCCTCATCAAGGGTCGTCGGAGGCAGCCAGAGTGAAAGCCGGGCAGAACCGACTCCGCAGGCGAAGATGCGGAACGAAAGAGCAAGGGTGGGCAGGAAATTGACAGAGGTCCAGCTAGTAGTTTTTTACAATGGGCACAGTACGGCGTTACGAGGGATGCATAGCATATCAGTCGTTCAGCGAGAAACACACAGGCAGGTGGCAATACACTGCTCAACTATGAAGATGGTTTCGAAATTGAGGTCTTCAGAAGTTTCAAGTCCTTGACTGTTTTGTTCTCTGATCAGTCAAAGCCGCCTTTCCGCTTAAATTTGAGTGCTCCCTTCTCATATTTTCCACCACCACCACCATAGCCCTGCCGCCCATTCGGCGGCTGACTCCCGTATCCTCTCCGGCCCTGGACTTTCTTGTTGCGCTGCATCGAGCTGCCGAGCTGGACGTCGACGCGTGGCGCCGAACTGAAGCCAAATGATTTGGCGAGTTTGGTCAAATCGAGCTTGTGGACGTCGAAGACGGAACGGAGCGAGTGGGATGCGTAGGCTTGGATGTAGGAGCGGTAGCCGTCTTTTGCTGACTATAGCGGGGAGAGGTGGTTAGTGTTTTGTGGTTGGGGGCGGAGGGAAAGAGGAGAGGCATACCTTGTTGAGATAGTAGTTCTGGTTAATGAGTTTTTCCAATTGGGACTGCACATTCATGATCTTCTTGGCGGGGAAGTCGAATTCGACGACGGGGACGCGGGCTTCTTTTAGTTGCGAAAGAAAGCCGACTTCGTGCGGCTGCAGGAACATCAGGCTCTTGCCCTTCCCGTTTGAGCCGCGGGCAGTGCGGCCGACGCGGTGGATATAGTCTCGTGGGTCATCCGGCGGGTCGAATTGGACGATCCAGTCGACGGCGGGGATGTCGAGCCCTCGAGCAGCCACGTCTGTGCAGATCAGTGTGCCGGACTTTGCGTTGCAGAACTCGAAGAACGTGTTTGTGCGTTTCTGCTGCTTCAGGTTGCCGTGCAGCTCGAGGACGGGCAGGTCGATGTAGTTGAGGAGCTCGGCGTGGTATTTGACGCAGTTGCAGCTGGAGCAGAAGACGATGACTTTCTTCTTGGACATCTTTTTGAGGAAGGTGAAGAGGAGGAGGAAGCGCTTGTCGGTGTCGCAGATGACGTAGCCTTGTTCGAGGCCGGCGACGGTGGAGTGCTCTTTCTTGTGGTCGACGTTGATGTAGAGGGGGCCGGGGCGGAGGGAGATGCGGGCCAGGTCTTCGACTTTTGTGGTTTGGGTGGCGGAGAAGAGCATGGTTTGGCGCTCTTCTTCTGGGGAGCGTTTTGACAATTTGGCGCATCTCGTCTTCGAAGCCGACTTCGAGGATGCGGTCTGCTTCGTCGATCACGAGAGCTTTGACGTTTTTGTAGACGAAGCCTTTGGTGTTTTGGAGGTGGTCGAGTAGGCGGCCTGGTGTGGCGATTAGGAGGTTGACGCCTTTCGTCAGTTTCTCGGCTTCGGCGCTGCGGTTGGCACCTCCTATCACGATGCCGAAGGTCTGGCTGTGGAATTGCATAAGTTCGCGGGCGACACCGAAGATTTGCAGGGCGAGTTCTCGGGTTGGGGAGACGACGATGACGCCTGTGCCGTTTCGAGGCTTGAAGCGTAGGGAGGACAGCATTTCGACGGCTGGGATGAGGAAGGACAGAGTCTTGCCGGAGCCGGTCTTCGCGGCACCTAGGACGTCTCTTCCGGCCAAAAGAGGCGGTATGCCTCGCTGTTGTATCTCGGTCATGGTTTCGAATTTCATCTCCTCGATGGCCTTCATGGTCTTTTCTGATAGGTTGAGCTCTGAGAACTTTTGTGGTGCTGATTCGATGCCTGGCAGTGACGGTGTCGTGTCTGTAGGGAGATCATTGGCTTCCTCCTCGGGCCCGTTGCCATCTTGCACATTCGCGGTTTCTTCTAGGTCGGTGCCTGCCTCCGAATCGTCGTCGGCTTGCGACTCAGCGTCGCTCTCTGATGACGACGCCTCTTCCTCAGCGTCAGATACATCAGAGGAGGCATCCTCTTCATGCTTCGTCTTCCGTCTCTTCGATTTGCTCTCGATAGGTATTACGGGCTTGTGGCTGCTGGGTTGTGGTCGTGCAGCGGCGGCAGGCTCTCTTGAAGTGTCCGTTCGTTTCCGCTTCGCCTTCACTCCATTTAATGAACTCATGTTGAGCGAATGCAGCAATATCAACCGTGTTGACTGATTTTGCAGTCCTGCTATTCGGGGGATACTACTAGTTGTGATCGTCGTGAACGGGATGGCTGAATTTCGAGTTGAACTTCGTCAGTCAAAAAAAGTATAAACTTTTCGGCGGGACACTTTCTCCGAATTACATACTTCGTAGCAGGTGGAGCATTGAAGCCAGCTGCGGTTTTCCTCCGCCCTACCAGGTCTTGAACCCTGCATCTTTGCTCTTTATTAGGCGGATCGTTTCTCTCACAAAACAACGTATGCCCTCGATGTCGCGGTGCGCATTCGCAGCGCAGTGAGTGACACGACAACCCGACAGGAACGACTACAGCTATAGATTCCCTGACACCCACCTGGGCAGGCAAAACTTTACCTTCATAAATCTCGAGGCATCACAGCCCACAACTTGAGCTGATCGACCCGGTCTCCCTGCTATGGTCGTTGTCAGAAGGATCTTGTACACCAGAGACCTCAAGCGACGATCGTGTGATCGCAGCGCTACCCAAGCTGTCGTATATCAGTGAATTCGGGGTGCTACAACATGCAGGCTTTGCGAAGTGCTCGGAAACTGTTTCCATAGCGTGATCCATCATATTGCATGAAAGCAGCATCCCCACTGCATCGACTGCCGTTCTTCACTATCAGGCCGCATTGAAGCACGCGAGCTCACCCACCAACGTTCCGAAACGAACGGTTGTCGCAGTCGCATTGCGCGCCCAGCGAGCGAACGCAGCTTGAACCTGATTCTAGAGCAATCTCGCTCGAGAACATCAATTTGACATCCTTTTAAATATGAAGGGCTTTGACCACCAGGGCGTCTCGCGGTAACAGTCCGTGTCTGACCCGGGAAGTTTCGACCATAGGCAACCTGCGCCTGCGCCGCCCCTGCCAATCTTAGGTTGGTGTACGCAGGTAAGAACGATCTTCAAAGATTGGCAGTACTGTAAAGGCAATCGCGACTCCGCGATCATGAAAGCTCTTTATATGCCCGGGGATCTAGCCGCCGCATCATTCGATTAAGCTGAAGAGTTCCAAGTGTCCACTCGGCTACGGTATGCGTGAACAGGATTATAGAAGCATTTGCATTCTTTTGCCATGCCGATCAAGCTCGTATTCACAATTTCACCCTCCGCAGAGAAACAATAAGGTCAGGTACCTCAGGTGAAGACTGGCCCCCAGCTTTGACCGACTCAGCGCGCCCTGGACCGATTTCTCCTTCCACATTAAATTTGAGCTATCGCTTCTGTACTGCCGACTGCTCCTCCACTCCCACACTCCGATCTGGATTTAAATTCCGGTTGCTTTCATCTCAACGCTTCTTTCTATCATCAACCGGTATCCCGATATTGCTGTCGCCATGAATCAGCAAGGCATAGACCCACCGCCGACGTCCATGGCTGGCCCCAAACCGTCCCTGCCTATCGCGCGCTCAGCTGGCACCCCTTACGAACGACCAGAACGTGCCAGAACTAGTCACGCCTGCGAGCCGTGTCGGTAAGTCCTATCCTAAAATTTCCGAGATTTCCATCGCTGATTGTTCTGCAGAGAGCGCAAGACCAAATGCGACGGCGAACGGCCATCGTGTCGTCGCTGCCTTCATACTGGCACTGGATGTCATTATGGCTACGGTAAAGGGTGGAGAAAGCGAAAGTATGGTTGAGTGCCTTCGAAATGTGATTAGGTACTGATCTCTCGATAGGACTGCTGAAGATCTCACGGCGACGTCACGGCGACTGGCTCGATATGAGGCGCTTCTGAACGACATCATGCCGCATGTCCCTCCTAATGTCAAAGCCATGATCGAGGAGGCTCGCGAACAGGTATGGCGCAAACCACTTCATCGAAATGTTGACTTCGCTGACCACTGCAAAGGACGCAGCTGCTTCCTCCGGAGGTTCAGAGACCAACGAGCCAATGGACACGCCCCGACATATGCCACCTCTCAGCGCTGATGCATCAACGAGCAGCGGAGGTACTCCTCGCGTGTCCTTACCACTTCCTGTGCCAACTTCTCTTGGAGGTCAAGGTCCAGCTCCTCTCCCACCACCTCTCGCAAGGCCTTTCGAATCCATGTCGCCATCCCACACAGCCAGTGGTCCAATGCGACCTAATTCTGCCTCGACCGACGACAATCCTCTTATGCGGCTGCCCTCAATCACACCTCATGGTCTCTTAGTTGAAGCCGGCGGCGACGGTCCTTCCATGTTACCACAGATGAAAGCCGAAACTTCGCACTATCCACCGCCTCCAGATTCAGGAGATTCCCCGCTGATCACGAATAAGGGCCTGACGGCGTTGTAGGAGCAAGCGGAAAGTGACCTCGATACAGCACTTTGTCTAACTCGGATGCGAATGGGATCTTGAGACGCTTTCGGCACTCTGGTAGTCAAGAGCTCTTCACAAAACCGGGCCTTCTACCTCCCTTCTGATCGAATACCAATCACTCGTTCATGGCAATTCTATTTACGGCTGTCTGAAGGCAGAAGTATGTCTACAGAAGTCGACGACTCACACGGAGAACGTCGACACAGCATTGTTGCGGTCGCTCACGCACCACTGCTCTACTACTGGACATCCACTAATGACAGCCTGTCCTCGACAGTCTGCACGTGCCGTTACAGCACATAGCTGTTGTCCCTTGAGACGCTCACTGGGAGTGCGACGAGCACTTGAAGAGACGATCTAGAGCTTCTGGACTTTCATCTGGCTGGGTCTATCAGCCAGCCCAGGTCCATAGAGGACGCCCGGTGAAGAACCCTGCGGTACTGTCCCGCATCCAAGGTATCATTAGACTCCGGTGGGGGCCGCGAGGAAGAGAGAGGCACGAAAAAGCAAAAATTGCAATGATACCCTCGGCTCTTGCACACATTTCACAAGGAGGGTTTCCGGTAAGCGAAAACCCGCGAAAGAGTTGCATCAGACGAAATTCGTGCCCGTTCTCGGTCGGAACAGGCTTTCCCGGACAGGTCTAGCCTGAAAGACACCGGGAAAAAATCTCCGTGGCTTCGGAAATGACAGGCTCACGCAGAGGCCATGGGTATTACGATCAATGCAAGTAATGAGAACCTTCGGCTGACGCATCGTCCCACGAAGTCGCCCAGTGGTTCCGTCCATTCTCGACCTAGCAAAATACGCTGAGATCGGCACTGCTTGCGCGCCTAGCATGTCCAGGCATTGAGTCGCCCTCAGAAAAAAGTAGGTCTGGTATAGGAATAATAATGGACACACTCAGTGCCGCGACGACGATCCTGTGGTCTCGACATGTCCAGCATTGCGCCCAAGCAGCCTCAAATCCAATCGGAGCAAACCATGCGGCGGAGATGTCAGCCGCGAGGTGTTCTGCCGCAAAGCTGCTTGGCCCTGATCAGCACAGAGAACGAGAACATGCAAGCTGAGCACCGTCCACAAGCGGAAGGTTGACATTTCTGTTCAACCACGAGGTCCACCTGATCGTCCCTGCCGCAGATCTCAGTGCTCCAGAATCCCAAAATGATTGTGCGCTTATCACAACGGAAAAAATGCCACGAAAGTATTCCAAGTGTACGGGTCCTTCATGAATTCTTGCTTTGGCGCCACATGCTTGGGTTTGGCACCCCGAACCAGGATCTACCCGAAGTGTCTGCGCCTATCGAAACGACCTCACCATTAATTCTGAGCCCTGACGGCGATTCACGCTGTGGATTTCCTGACACCGCCACGTTCTCTCGCATTTTGCTCTCGCCATATGTTGTGCGTACGCTCTTGTACTCCTCGCAGAAGTCACGTCGCCTGCCTCAGAGCTGAGCCAAGGGTATGATGACCCGCCTCGTAATCGCAAGGAACGTTCGTGACCCCCTGCAGTGATGGAATCACCTGCCCCCACCACACGGATTTTCACGGAAGCCTTGGCCACGGATTTGAAGCCCGACAAAGAAGCGAAGTGTTACACAAGAGTTCCATGCGATCGAAACATAACGGCGTACGGGCATGGTGGGATAACCTTGAGACCCTGCAGTCCCGCAAACCTGGTCCCGGTCCCTGAACGTCAACTTCGTATTGCGCCACGGGCTCCAACAATCAACGTTTGCGTGACTCGAGCAGCTTTAACCATTGTTACTGACGTCGCACAGCGGCGGTCAAGACAATGACAAGGTCGCCACAAGTGGCATTTGGCTCCTGTGCCTCGTTGCGTGGACCTAGGGGACTCAAGAGCGGCGCCTACCAGAACTTGACGTCAGAGAACCGTGGTTGCGGTTCCCATTCACAATCCGCCAGCTTGCGCATCGAGGAGGACTCGAAGACATCTTGCCTATTCGCTGTTAACACACCTAGTGACCCAGCTGCGCGTGAGCTGGTGGTAGCTAATAACAACACATGTACGCCCGCATGAACCGGCTACAACGCCGATGCCATCTACATTCTGCCCCTCCAAATCTCCAATCCCTGCATCGCTACCCCGCGATCACTTGAACAGCTCGCGGGGAGGCACGCGAGCTCTCCGAATACTCCTGCAAGCCTGACAATTCTGCTCTTCCTACTGGCTCAGTGGTGAATATGGCGGAGTTCCAGGCGCGTTTTTGCTGTGCCCAAAAGTAAGGCATGGCGTAGTGCGGTTCAACGATGACTGTGAAACGTTCAATATTTGTCCTTGTTGTTGAGCCTATGACCCTTCACTCCTCAAGGACCAGTCGTGTCAAATTGATATCAATGAGTTCAGGGCGATCTTGAGAGTCGTCTACCGTTCAAGTCAATCACGAACTCCGCCAGAGTCAGATTCTACGGGTCAAGCATCTGATCACCCTTTTTTTCTCAGATCCATCTGCGAAACCGAGACCACTCTCATTGATCGATCATTCTGGCGTGATAGTTGCTTGACACAGGTTTACCAGCAGCTCAAAGCACAGCCCATTGATTCAACATGGCAGCAGTCGACCGCATCGAGGCCAAAGGCGGGATTGACATCACCAACGATGAGCCCGGCGAGACTCGCTACTTGGATTTCCCACGCTCGAACGAAGTCAATGGCACAGATGGCAAGCCCATGCTCAATCGCTACAGCACTTATCTCACCCGCGAACATGACTTCCCCGGTGCTCAGGCCATGCTCTTCGCAGCCGGCATCCCCGACCGCACCACTATGCAAAACGCACCGCACGTCGGCATTGCCAGCGTCTGGTGGGAGGGAAACCCCTGCAACATGCACCTCTACGATCTCGGCAAGGAAGTGAAACGCAATGTCGAGCGCAACGGGGATATGTTGGGATGGCAGTACAACACCGTTGGCGTTTCGGATGCTATCACTATGGGTAATCAGGGCATGCGGTTTAGTCTGCAGACTCGCGAGATAATTGCGGATTCAGTGGAGACGGTGACATGCGCACAGGCGCATGATGCTTGTATTACGATTCCGGGTTGCGATAAGAACATGCCGGGGTGTATCATGGGGATGGCGCGGCATAATCGGCCTGGGTTGATGATCTATGGGGGCACGATTGATAAGGGGTATAGTAAGTTGTTGAGGAAGCCGGTGAATGTGGCGACGTGTTATGAGGCGTTTGGAGCGTATCGGTATAATAATCTGAAGCAGCCGAGTGATGATGGGGGGCCGACAAACGCGACGCAGGATGAAATTATGGAGGATTTGGAGGTCAGCGCGTGTCCATCGGCGGGGGCGTGTGGAGGGATGTACACGGCGAATAGTATGGCGACGGCGATTGAGAGTATGGGGTTGAGTCTACCGGGGAGCAGCTCGACGCCGGCGACGAGTCCTGCGAAGATGAGGGAGTGTGCGAGGGCGGCGGAGGCGGTGAGGGTTTGTTTGGAGAAGGATATTAAGCCGAGGGATCTGTTGACCAAGAGGTCGTTTGAGAATGCGCTGGTGATGTTGATGGCGTTGGTAGGGAGTACGAATGCGGTGCTGCATTTGTTGGCGATGGCGAATACGGCGGGGTTGGTGCCGGAGTTGACGCTGGATGACTTTCAGAGAGTGAGCGATAAGATACCGTTTCTTGCGGACATGGCGCCTTCGGGGCGGTATCTTATGGCTGATCTCTACGATATTGGTGGGATTCCGTCGGTGCAGAAGTTCTTGATTGAGGCGGGCCTGTTGGACGGTGGTATCCCGACGGTGACGGGCAAGACGCTGGCTGAGAACGTCGCGTCGTGGCCCAGCCTGCCGCCTGATCAGAAGATCGTGCGGGCTCTGGACAATCCGATCAAGAAAACAGGCCACATTCAGATTCTGAAGGGGAACTTTGCGCCTGAAGGTGCGGTGGCGAAGATCACAGGCAAGGAAGGGCTGAAATTTGAGGGCAAAGCGAGATGTTTCGACAAGGAGTACATGCTGAATGAAGCACTCAACCGTGGCGAAGTCCCTCACGGAGAGAATCTGGTCCTGATCGTCAGATATGAAGGGCCTAAAGGCGGTCCTGGTATGCCTGAGCAGCTCAAAGCGAGTGCAGCGATTATGGGTGCCGGATTGAAGAATGTGGCCCTGGTCACTGATGGCAGATACTCAGGCGCGAGTCATGGCTTTATCGTTGGGCATGTCTGTCCGGAAGCGGCCGTAGGCGGGCCAATCGGGCTGGTGAAGGATGGTGATCGAATAGTGATTGATGCCGAGAAGAACGAGATCAGCATGGACGTTAGTGAGGAAGAGCTGGCAAGAAGAAGGAAAGAGTGGATGCCGAAGGCGAAGGATGTGACGAGAGGAGTGCTAGCGAAATATGCTAGGTTGGTGGGTGATGCTAGTCATGGTGCTGTCACAGATCTGTGGTGAGGACGACGGCGGTAAGGCCAGTGGTGCTAGTAGTGGCGAGCTGCCGTTTGTTCGGAGCGTCGGCCTCGACTACCGCGAACAGGCACGTGCTGTTTCCGTGCTGCCAAGCGGTTGTGGTTTCCGTAGAGGGAGGCCAGAAGTGGAAGCAACGTTCGATGTTGGGCAGACGCTACAGTCTTTGCTTCTGCCGGGCATTCTGGAGACCTGAAACTGGCTACCGCCATCCTGTGGCGAGTAAACTGAATGAACAGCACTTATCATCCTTCCTCGGTCCTACCTGGCATCCATTGGATGAATGTTGCATACATTTGACCCCAGATCCCCGGCTGGACGGCCTGAGAGCACGGTGTATTGCTTGGCTTCTCGCTTCTTCGACTTTGAATGTGGCTCGAAGGATGATTGTTGGCCTGGAAATCGCCTCGTGCTTCTGCACCTGGTGTGTAATCTGACTCGTGATCCAGACCATTGCGGGATAACGGTCGCGATCTTACGCCTATCGTCGTAGCGAATACTGTAGATAGACGGAGCACAAGTGCTTACTCTTCTCGCGATGCCCGCCTCACGACAACGCAGCAGCGAGCCAGCCAGCACTAGCCAGGCCTTAAGCTGCATTGATACTGAGTCCTTCTGTGTGCACGAGCACCGGCGAATTGTGGCTAAATGTCACCAACAGCAACCTGCCGCACTCACCATGGCGGTACCTAGAAGCTTTGCTTACGGTGCCGTTGTCTCATTTGACATAAGTTCTGGAACTTGCATGAGAAGCGCCGTTGCACATTCGAGCCTTCGAATCAAAATACCCGCGAATAGGGAAGCGGCAGGCGTGCATGTAGTCTTGCGAACCGTATGGTCGCGCAGGCGAAGTCGCCTAGATTATCCCAGATCTGCCCAGGTCATCCCGGGGAGGCGTTCCCTAATGACAGGGCTGTGCGTTATCGATTGGCGTGGGTATCCTCCGGACTGCAGGCGAGTTGGCCTGGTGGGGGCTGATGAATATGAATTGCGGACACCACTTGCTCGAGCCGGAGAAGCATTGTAACGACGGAGGGTATGTGTCACTCATGGAGTGAGCTGGGATATATTCAGACCTGTGCTAACTTACGAGTGACTGAGTCGGGCAAGAAAAGCATTGATCGAAGCACTAGCATGCTAAAGTCATTCATTCCCATATCTTCGACAAAGCATATCAACGGCCCGCTCGTGCACTTTTGTCCATGCGGTGCCTTCTGCATATGGCAAAGCTGTCTCAAAGACCGTTGAACTCAGCCCCCAACCCAGCGGATGGGGTCGGCGCTTCTGCAGCACACGCTATACTTCTGTACGCACCATACTATTCGCCGACTACATGCAACAGCGGCTCGGGCATCGGTCTGAATAATATAGCGCTAGCCTGGGATACTGGATTACTTTCTGCCTCGTACCTATACGCACAACGGCTCACACCCTCTTCGCGAATCTCATTGCGCCTTGATCTCGCCTCTATATCCACAAGCGGCCACGCCAGCCTTCTGGTCAGCACGAAACAGATAAGCGACTACTGCGCTGCTGTGCTCGTGCAGAAGAGCCGGTGGGCCTGAGTACTGCCACACCATAGATCGACCACAGATGGACCGTTCTAGCGTGCACAACCTGAATCCAGAACTGCTTCTTTTGGTAAGACCATGCATGTTGTATGGGGGCTGAGGCCTTCCCATTGCTGCTGACCAGTACAATGTCCATTATTGCATGAGCATGACCTGGTCGTTATCCTTGATCCTGCATGGTGAAGGTCTGCCGAAGCTACCACGCACTGCCGACTGAAGAATGGCCAAGTTTCTACACGAGGCGAGATCGTGCGAAGTCTCTTCGATCGGGCCAATGGTGTGACCAGTAACATAGAGCGTGCTGGGATGCGACTGCGACTCAGGAGAGATGTCTATGGCCTCTATCGTCGACTTGCCGGAGAAGTGCCCAACTTGCCGATGGTCCTGGTCCGTGTCTTCGTTCTATAAGAAGGCCCCCAGCGTCCGCCTTGACGAACTGCCGGATCATCCTTGAGCAGTTCGACAGCTAAGAGATGTCCAGGTATTGAGCACAATGCAAATCATCCTGCCTGCCAGCTTCAGCAAGATCATCTCCAAGCTTCGATCTAACAAGGCCAACACAGCAGCACTGCCAACCTACCAATCGCACAGTCAAAGCACTCTCTTCGACGACCTCCCGGAGGGTGAGAAGCAGGCAGCACTTACCAAGCTTCACGATCTCGCTGCCGCACAGCCTGGTCAGACTAAGAAGAGGACATCTCGTCGTTGCTTCAATTGGTGAGTCGTTCTTTCCTGTCACCGATCTCGATAGAGGCTAACAGCATCGCGCCAGGAAGACAGCAGCCATGGTGTTTGCTTTCCTCTCTCTGGTGGTGTTGGCCACTGTTGCTTTAGTCAAGGCTGTGGACAAGGATGTGGACCAAGACTTGGTTGCAAAGCTCCGCATGGCTAACACCAACCTTGATCGCATGGCGCTCCTGCCCAACGATGACGACTGGGTGTACGACTTCACCAAGTCAGACAAGTATACATATGCTCCTGGTGGCGTGATAAACGCCAACGCTGCGACCTTCCCGGCGACCGTTGGTCAGGGCATGACGATGGTAAGAAATCGCTCTCAAATCATTGCAGTTGAGCCGGTCAGCTAACACCAACTTCAAGGCGATGCTCAACCTAGGTCCATGCTCAATGCTGCCCCCTCATCTGCACCCACGAGCTACCAACTACGTGGTCGCCATCTCGGGAGAGACCCAGACCTACATGATCAATGAGAACGGTGCCAGAACCGTCCAAGCAACTCTGACTCCAGGAAAGATGACCATCTTCCCCACTGCGTCGGTTCATACCATGATGAATGTCGGCTGTGAGAACGCACAGCTGATCTCAGCGCTGAACTCGGACGACACTGGCACCATGAACTTGGCCAACGCGTTCTTCTCATTGCCAGCGAACTTCACCCAGACGATCCTTGGTCCAGACGCGAACCTTCAGGCCCTGGGTGGTAACGTTCCGGCTGTTGGAACTGGTGCGGCTGCCGGACCAGAGGCATGTATTGCAGCGTGCAAGGCCAAGGGCAAGCTGGTCCGCAGGAGCTTCTGAAATGTTTTGTGATCATGTGGTGAGATTGAGTACTGTAGCAATAGTATACGCGGGTAAGCAGGGGAGGAGGTCAATGTTTATATATAGCAGCTTCATCTGTCGGTCCCTCGCTTAGCTCCTGCCAATCATGTTCTTGCGGGTCGTGGCTTCCCCACTGGCATCTCTCGCGTTCCAGTTCCCTTCCCTGTGGAATGTCGCACCCTCTGGCGGGCAGCAGCGTCTCGTATCTGCCATATTGCGCATTGGCCAGTTGAGGTTTGTAGGTGAATTTCCGTCGAGCACGTCGACTTTCCAAAGTCGTGATTCAATCACAGGCGGCGTAGTGTAGTATCCATTCGAACGTCCTAGCCTATGCCGACTCGCCTCTCGCGGGGATACTGAACCTTGTTCCGCGATTACCAGCCATTGCCTAAGCCGCTTCGTCGATCATCTCCTGCGTTCCGGTACCCTCCAACGTGGTGCGCACGTGGTTTGGGACCACTCCGATTAAGGGACCGCTCGTCGGGACGTCTGCGCTGCTTCACTGCAGTAGTAGACAGGCGGCGCAGCAGTCATTTATTGCCATCGAATCGCCCTGTCCTCCTTACTGGAGGCGCACCCTTGCCTGCGACTCAGGCTTTGTTGAGATATGGCTGGCTGAACGACGACAAAATCCGCCGAGGTCGATAAGCACGGGCGCCAGACAGTTGTAGAAGTAGCGGACCACACATATAGGTCATGGTTTCGAGCGGTGCCGCGATGGACAACCAACACCAGCCCTACATTCCACCTCCGCCGCCGTTGGGTCAGCAGAATTCAGGAAACACTCTACATCTACCGCCTCCGCCTCCACGATCGTACCCGCAGCAGAATGCCTCGAATCTCCCTCCCCCGCCGCCGGGACCTCATCCTTCCTCCCTGCCGCCCGGCACCGTATATGGCGTCCCCAACTCATTTCAGAACAACTGGGCGAGAGCAGGCACGTTGCCGCCTCCTCCTCCACTCAATCAAAATGCTTCCTACAATGCCAATCGCCAGCAAGCCATGAATGTGCCGCCTCCACCGCCACAACAGCAGCGACAGTATAGTCAGAGTGATCAACCCTTCGTCAGCGCAACATTTATACCTACCGGCGGAGGCTCATTTGGCCCTGGAGTTGGCATTCCATCATTTGATGACTTCTCTACCTTTGCATATTACGATGTCCCCATGACGACCGAGCCCTCGACCCGGAAGCCAACCGAGCAGCGATACTCCGACGGCACCTATAATCCCCATAGCTATAGCTACCCTAATCCCGCCCAGCCGAATCCAGATATTGCCAATCGAGAGAACCGCGCTGCTTCTGCGTCGTCGAAAATGCCGCCAGCATATCCATCAGCGAAGCGCGATTTCTCTGAGCCAGTCTCGCCAGGTCCTCCAACTGCAACCCTGATCAATCCGCAGATCGAAAATGCCAAGGACAATGCGACACGCGCCCGCGCTCAAAGTGCTACCACAGGGTCAAGTGTATCGAGTGCATTAGCTGCGCAATGGCCGATCGAGAAGGTCCTGCAATGGCTCGCGGCCAACAATTTCTCGCCGGACTGGCAAGAGGCGTTCAGGCAATTGAAGATGGATGGCGTGGACTTCCTCGATCTTGGCAAGGCTGCAAACGGACGTGGGAACCTGGGCATGATGCACTCACGGGTCTATCCTCGTTTGGCGAGGGTATGCTCCGAGAGCAAGACTGGCTGGGATCAATCGCGTGAGCGTGAAGAAGGCAAAAGGCTCAGGAAGCTCATCTCTCGAATCGGAGATGACGGTCCGCCGAGTGCGGGCTCTGGTCACAGGAGACGTGAGTCTGGCCTGATCAGTGCATCCACTGAGGGCACAGTCGAAGATTCGCCGCATCTGTCACAAAGTGATTTTGCGCAACCAGGTTCAGCCACTAGCTTTGGTCCCAGGGGCTCGCAAGGGCGAAGCAGCACGCTTCCTGTTATGCCAAGAGCGCCTTCATCAACCTCAACTCCAGTAGATGGCAGAGGCGACTATACACGAGGCATTCTGTCAAATGTCGGCGTTGGGAGAGGTCGGCATAGTCCTCAAATGTCCGGCGATGCCAGTAACAATGGCCTTCCAGCACCCAAGTTCGAGGCGAGTCCAAGCAGCAGTCCTGGCCTGGGTCAAGCCGTGCCAGCAAAAGGACCTGGAGATCCGCAGCGACCTCAGCATGCAAAGACTCTCAGCACTGACTCGACGGCAAAGAATAATCGATCGGCTTTGGGGTTCACAGGACCTAGCATGTCCGACACTCAGATTCCCACTGAGCGCTTCTATGAGCAGCAGACGCGCCGAGATGGTCACGATATGCCCAGACCTGGAATGCTGGATACGAGCCGGACTTACAGTAATGAACAGGTTCCCGTCAGTGCCAAAGAAGGTGGCAAGGGTTTCTTAAGCAAGTTCATGCGCAAGAATAGGCACGAGCGCGATCAAGATGTGGACCATCCGCTTGAATCGCCCACTAGCCCAGGGCTGCGATCGATATTCAGCAAGCCTGCTGCTAATAACAGCGACTCAGCCCTTGCACAACGGCCACTGTCAACGGCTGCATCCGAGAGCGCTGTCCCGACTCTGCGTGAGAGAAGGCCAACGTGGGCAGCCAGGAAATACATCTTCGTCACGCCGGACAATTGGAATTACCGCCTCATCGATGTCACCATGGTCACTTCTGCAGAGTCGCTCAAGAAGCTCATCTGCGAGGAGCTGGCAGTCTCGCTTGGAGATACGGTGACCTTCCACCTCACGGAGCCAGGTCAAACTGATCATGACTACGCCTGCTCAGATGAAATCTTGATGAGTGCGCACAGTCGATCAGACAGCACAGCCAATGTCAGGATCTTTGTCGCAACGCCGAACTTCCCAGCATCACCGAACAGAGCGAACGGTCTTGGCATGTCATTCTCGCAGCGGAACCAGGGTGGCACCGCGATGTTGAAGTCGGCTTCTGCTACAGGGGCACATACGTACAATCGGACGCCAAGCCCAGACTCACTACGTAGGGCGCAGGAAGAATACAGGAAGCAGACCGAAGCCAAGCAAAGAGCTTACCTGCAGAGCCGTCTTGAGCGTAAGGAGCAGAGCAAGACCAACGTTCACGATTTCGACAGTCCTCGAGCTTCTCCGTTCGAAGAAAAGAAGACCGACTCGTTTGTGCCGGTGCGAAGAGCGCCAACAGCGCCATCCGAGTCAAGCACGCTCACGAAAGTCAACTCGCTTCGCATGGCGCGTGGAGGATCTGGCACTCGTAATTCTCTAGAGGCACTCAAGCGCAATCGGGACTCCATTGTAGAGGAGGATGCTCGCAACAAGGACGGAAGGTCATCGCCTGGCATTGGTGCAGCTCTAGCTGGCATGGGACGGATGGCTGGCTCTCCGGGCATGTTCAAGGGAGAAGAAGATGTCGGTCCAGGCTTCGCACCCAAGTTCCGCTTGCAGCCCGCGCCAAGACGACAGAACACATATGGTCAATCGCCAGACATCAGCCCAGCCACGGAGAACTTCCAACGCCCGGCCTTGCATTCAAGAAAGTCGTATGGTCCGGACTTTGAATTTCAGGAGACGAACGTCACATTTGCGAACTCTCCTCACCCGCCTCCGCAAGTTACAGATGATGGCTCGGATGATTCCGATGATGGCCTGTTCGCCATACCTCTAACGAACAAGTCCCTGCCTGCGGGCGAGAAGCCGACGTTGAAGCTTGACACTGACCAGACTCATGCGCCTAAGCCTAAAGTCGCCTTCAGGACGCCACAATCGTCCGGCGGCGTGTCACTGGGACGCAACTCGGCTGATGGTAATGGCAGCGCCGGCGAAGAACGAAGCTATTCTGATGGGAGCTTCTCAGAGTCTGCTTCGGCATCAGCGTCAGCATACTCGCCAGGAGGTGGTCTCGGGCGACGCAACTCATTCTTGCACAGTGACATCTGGGCTAGTCGTCCGACTGTGGAGAACGTCGTGGAGAACCTCGATGAGTTCTTCCCGGGCGTCGATCTCGATAAGCCGTTCATGGAGGAGGCAGGCAAGGGTCAGACGCCTGTAGAGACTACACCGTCGTTACGGACTCGAGTAACATTCGGATCGGACGACCTTAACATCGACTTTTCGAAACAACGGAGAAATGAGTCGGACACACTCGGCTCAGACGAGTCTACGCTGAAGGCTAGAGATCAGCAGACAGTAACAAGCATTGCTCAGCGGCAGCTGGGGAAGTCTGGCGGACTCGGCAGAATGAAGTCCATTCGTGAAGTCGCTCAACGGCGGAACGTAGACGGCGTTCAGCGTGCATCATCAATCGCTAGACCCGGCCCTGCCGTCGAGCCCGTTGCAGCACAAGCCTCCGGCCTTCAACGCCGGAAGTCCACCAAGCTCTGGGGCGCGAACATCCAGATGATCAAGCCTAAGGCCGGCGCTCGACTAAGCACACTCGACCCGATCCCGCAAGAAGATGTGCCCAAGGAAGACCAGCCGCCCAAGCGCTCCACTACCTTCAAGATCCTTCGCGGTCAGCTCATCGGTAAGGGCACCTACGGACGAGTGTACTTAGGCATGAACGCCACGACAGGCGACTTTCTTGCGGTCAAACAAGTCGAGGTCAACCAGAAGGTCTCCGGCGGGGATAAGGACCGCATCAAGGAGATGGTCGCGGCCCTGGACATTGAGATCGAGACAATGAAGGATCTTGAACATCCTAACATTGTGCAGTACCTGGGCTGTGACCGTCGCGAGTTCAGTATCTCGATCTACCTCGAGTATATCTCTGGTGGCTCTGTCGGCTCCTGTCTGCGCAAGCACGGCAAGTTCGAGGAGTCTGTTGTGCGGTCGCTCACTCGCCAGACGCTGGAGGGACTGGCATATCTCCACGAGGAGGGCATCCTGCATCGCGATCTCAAAGCTGACAACATCCTGTTGGACACAGACGGGACCTGCAAGATCACGGATTTCGGCATCTCCAAGAAGTCAGACAACATCTACGGCAACGACGTGACGAACTCGATGCAAGGCTCCGTGTTCTGGATGGCGCCTGAGGTCGTTCGGTCCCAAGGTCAGGGCTACAGCGCGAAGATCGATATCTGGTCGCTGGGCTGTGTGGTGCTGGAAATGTTTGCAGGCAAGCGGCCTTGGAGTCGGGAGGAGGCGATTGGGGCAATCTTCAAGCTGGGAAATCTGAACCAGGCGCCACCTATCCCAGATGATGTGAGGGACTCGGCGAGTACCGAGGGGCTGAATTTTATGTTTAATTGTTTTGAGATGTGAGTTGACCCCTTCCTGTGATCAGTGATGAAGAGATGCTGACTTGTTGCTATAGTATACCAGAAGACCGACCAACAGCGGCTACACTGCTCAACAACAGCGACTTTTGTATACCGGATCCGCACTATGATTTTATGAATACTGAGCTGGCGGCGAAGTTGAGGAGTGCGGGTATGATTTCACTGGGAGAGTGATCTGTATTGGAAAATCAAGCTATCGGTTGGCCATCGCTTCTCGCTATCTAAATGCTTCGAGCGGGCAGGTGCCCTATGGATCGAGCACACAACAGGGAAGGCTTTATGTCAGGTTTACACTATCTCCAGATTCATGCTGTCACGATATCTTCGACACTTCAACTGAAAACTTGGTATCTGCGGGATGTACGGATGAGGTATCACCTGGCTCGCTCCTTCACATGGACGTTACTAGCACTTTAGCCATATTCTTAATCTACGATCGGAGGCTTCAAATTTCGAATACTTGTCAAGACTTCGACTCGTCCATCCCCTATCCATATGGCCACCCGCGCGGTCCAATCGTCAGCGCGGACGCTTTGTTTGCGGCCTGCGTCAGTCTATACTTGTGCAACTCGCTGCTCATCGTCCCTTTCTTGGGTAAAGAAACTGTTTCGGCCATCGCGCTAGACTGCCACCACTGGACCGCAGCCACTGGCCAAAGGCTCATCGCTAGATTCAGTGCTCGGCAAGCGCTACATAATTGACGGGATTCTCCAACAGCGATCTGCGGCGGGAAGGCTTTGGTGTGTGTATCGTGCAAAGTAAGTCTACATGCCTTTAAAACATTGTTCAAGACTTGCTATAGGCGATTGAGAAGCTGATTCAACTATAGACTCGAGGGCAAAAACTTCATTCTCAAGGATATCCTCCCTGGCGACTTCGACGACATCACTCAGCTGCAGAAACTCGTCGAGCACTCTCCTCACGTACGAACAGCAGTGGACAGCATTCCTGCGCGGCAGATCTTCGTTTTCCCGTACCTCAAGCACGTACTTCATCATGTCCGCACTATCGCCCTTGATCAGCCCGCGAGAAAGGCGATCATCAGGGATGCCCTCACTGGCCTCGCTGATCTGCATGACCAGAACATACTACACACAGGTCAATATTATCCTCTGTGCAAGCTTTCTATGCCCGGACACTGACGTGATGTACAGACATCAAGCCCACAAACGTCGTTATGAACGCCTTTACACGGCCAGACGGCAAGCCCGGCTGCTGCGATGTCCAAATCACCGACCTGGAGGGCGCCGTGGTGCTTCCACCCAATGCCAAAGGCTTAGGGCACCTTCTGTCGGGCAACAAATTCTGGAGAAGCCCGAGGCCTGGGCCCGAGGTATTCAGAACACTCCATCTGATGTCTACTCCTTCGCCATCTTGGTAAGTCCATGACATCACATTGGCTACATGAGTCTAAACACCATCCAACAGGCAATCTTCGTATGGACCGGTCGCATGATCTTCACTCCCAAAGATGCCATCCACGCTTCCCCAAAGCATCTTGGCGAGGACGACCAGATCCTCCATCGCCACCTGTCATACTTTGCTGCCGACACGAAGGACTTCGAGGGCTTCGCCGCGTCCTATGGCGGAGACGACAACCCATGCGTCTTACGTTTCAAGCAACTGCTCTGCTATTTCAACGAGATACAGCCGAGATACCCATTTGTTGGGTGGCAGCAGGTAGACGCGCAGTTCCGGGACCTCGTCTGTCGCATGACCTATATGGATCCTTCGCGCCGGATCACCGCGCGTGAGGCTTTGGGGCACCCTTGGCTCAAGGCTGCATAAGAGGAGGGGTTGATCTTCTTAGCGGCTCGTGGGCATCAGCATCGACCATCACTCATTTCACCTTGCACCCAGGCAGGTGTGTAGGTCGGAAATCACACCTCAGTCGCCAAGGCCAGCGTAGAAATTCGCAAGCAATATGGTGTCTGCCGAGCAAGGAAGAGCGACCGAGTCGTCGTGAAGAGGGAGAAGGCGCGATGGCTTCAGCAGAACGGGAAGAAGGTGCGACGCAGGAAGGTAAACAGTGTCAACAGGCAGGAGCGAGGCAACGGGACCGGCAGGTGCGAGGGAGACCTCAACGCGAATGCTCCGAGACGGCGAGCGCGACTGTCTGTTCAAGACAAGAGCGAGGGATGAGGCCCGGTACACCTTGGCGATACAGGCACGACCCATCGCACAAGTGAGACGTATGCACGACCGGTTGACAAATGCTTTTTGCAGGGCCGGTTGACTAGGATATAGTAGAGAAAACATGTGAATGTCTTGATCACTCTGATCCGACTTGCCCATAGTAGACCATCACTATCAGCCTTCGAGCATGCCTGTATGTCAGCGGCTCCGATTTCTGGTGCGAGATGAAGAGACGAAGATTGAAGATCGTGTGAAAAGGACTCAGGCGCTGGAACACTGTTCTGTTCTGTACATACAACAACCAGCCTCTACCCAATGCGTGGCCATATCCCTGGAGCCAAATTCTGATCATGGTCTCATTACACACGAACGATCCTTTGCGCCACATGGTCCTCTCATTGCGAGCTCTGCTGCTGCGTCTTCTGCTGCGGGACCTGGCTCGAGCCTAACGACCCAGCCGTGCCCGGTCTCTGCGTTTGCGTCTGCTGTTGTAACGCCAATGCTCTCGCTTGTGCGGCCCTCGCAGCCCGTAAGCGCTCCTCGCGCTGCATGCCCAGGTAGTCTCTGTTCTCCACCGTGACGCTCTTCGTCATGTGGTTGACCTTATAGATACCGACTAGTCGCTCAGCGAGCTCGAACATGTTGTTGCGTAGGGAGATGACGATGAATTGGGCGTTCTTGGTGCGTTCTTTGATGTAACCGGCGACAATTGAGACCTGTCGTCGTGTTAGACTCGTGGTCTGGGGAAAAGGAGTATGTTTGAGGGGAGGACGTGGATGGGATAGACTTACATTGCGGAAATCCAAAGCGGCATCAATCTCATCCATGACATACAGTGGTGTCGGTCTGTATACATGAAGGGCAAACACAAGGGCGAGCGAAGACAGCGTCTTTTCCCCTCCAGAGAGATTGCCAATATTCTTCCAGCTCTTCTTGGGCGGCATGACACTGAATAGGATGCCTTCCGAGAACGGATCGAGAGAATCGACCAGCTCCAGCTCGGCGTTTCCACCCAAAGTAATGAGCTGATACATGCTCTTGAGATGCTGCGAGATAGTGGTGAAGCCAGTCATGAATTGTGTGAGACGCATCGACCGAAGATCTGTGAGGCGATTTTTCGCACTATCCCTGGACTTCAATGAGGCGTTGAGGTCAGTGTTCGTGACGCGACTTCCTGGCATCGACGTCGATATTCTGCAATAACCGACAGATCGATTCCAGAGGCGTTGGAGACTTTCTCCTCCAAGGCAGCAATTGATGCGACCAGGTGGTCTTTCGATTTGTCCTCAAGTTCGTCTCGAGTGTAGATTGGTAGTTGTCTGCGTGACTGCTGTATGCTGGTATCGTGTTGAGAAGGCGAAGTAGGTGGCGCCCCATCGACGTCCATAGCGTCGGCATCAGCACCGAGTGCTTCGACCGCCTTGGTAGTTCCTTCCTCAGCCTGGTCAACGTCCATAGCGTTTTCGTCAGGCACAGCAGGTGCTTCTACGGGCACCTCCAGGTCGGCAATGTCGTGCAGCTCCAGCTTCGAGAGCTTCTCTTTCCAGTATCGATTCTTCTTGCTATTGTCGCCGAGTATCTTCTGGTTCTCCTCCAGTTTGTTGCGCATCTCGATTTCCGCTGCTCGAGTCTCATTCAATTGAGCCGTTTGCTTGTCCAAACTCGACTTGATTTCAGCCAATTCATCTTTCTTGACACTCAGCTCATCCTGCGCAGCTTGAAGCCGCTGTTTCGAATCCGATGTGTTTGTCGCCTGAGCAGCGACGTCTGCTTCAAGCTTCTCCAGATCGGTAGCCAGAGTCTCGAGCTCCTTCTCCGCGTCCGCCCGAGCTTTCTCGTGCTTCGTGTGGAGCTTGGTGTTCTTTGTCTTTCCCACCTCAGCAGTAGAGATGTCCTCGTTAAGCAGGTCGATGCGCTCTTTCAGACCATCGACAGTAGCCTTCTGGCTACGGAGCCGAAGTCCGCCAACTTCCATGATCTTGTTCTGCAGAGCTTCGATTTCACCTTCAACCATGGCGGTCTCCGCTTTCAGCGAATCAATCTCTTTTCTTGTGTTGGCGATTTGCTTCTCAAGAGACTTAATCTGGGCGTCGTCTGCGGACGTGTTGTTGAGCTCAGCTGTGAGGTCTTGAACGCGTTTCTCAGCATCCACCAAATTACGTGAAAGATTGCTGACGTCCAGGTTGCATTTCTGTATAGCCGTGTCCACCTTGGGCAGCTCTTCTTGCTTTTCCCTCAGGCTATTTTCCAGATCACGCTGGCGTTCCAGGAAGGCATCGAACTGCTGTTCTATTGCATCTCGTTCAGCCTCGTACTGCTGGACCTGCTCTTTCGTCGTATCGGAGCTGAGTTTGGAAGACATTGCGCCCCGAGCGACCCGCGTGCCACCGCCACTCATTGTGCCTGAAACGTCGATCAATTGTCCGTCCAGAGTGACAACGCGCCAGCGCTTGGCGCCGTAAGCAATCCTGTTGGCTTGCTCTAGGTTCTCGGCAACGAGTGTATCGCGCATAATGCTGTAGAAGGCAGGCCCAAACTTCTTGTCCTTTGCCTTGATGAGATCGAACAGTCGAGGCACGTTCTCGGGTGTCTTGATCGGGGACAAGTCCTTTTGGGCAAGTCGGTCTAGAAGAATGAAATTTGCTCGTCCGAGATTGTTCTTCCGGAGATGCTCGATGCACTGCTGGCCGGCTTCGACAGTGTCGACGACCATATTCTCGAGAGCTGGACAGGCGGTCGAGATTGCGACATCGTATTGCTGATCGATCGTTCCAAGATTACCCAAGCGACCGTGAAAGCCATCAATGCGACCCGTGTCTCGCAAGCGTAGCAAGCCTTTCAACACGTTGCCTTGATTCTGACTTGTCTGAAGACTGGCACGACCTTCTTCAGCCTTCTGGCGAGCACTCGACACCTGCGATCGGACCTCGGGCTCACTGGCTGCCAGCTTTTGGAGCGCGTCCTGGTGCTTCCTTATGTCCTTCTCCAAGCGGGCTTTCTCCTTTTGACGCTGCTCGATTTCTGCAGCCTTCTCACTCTGCTGAGTCTGGATGCTTTCAATCTTGGCTTGGGCTTCTTCAATGGCTTTCTGGCCAGACTTTCCCTTCTCAAGTAAAATATCGAGCTCTGATTGAAGAACAGCAGCTTGCGACTGCTTCTGGTTGACCTTCTCGTTCCAAGGCTCCAGAGACTTCTGCTTTGCAGCGATCTGGTCTGAAAATCCCTGAGTCTTGCCTTTCAAGCCCTCACGGATGACTGCAAGCTCTTGTTCTTCCTTGTGCATACTTGCTTCGAGCTCTGCAACTTCCTTTGACTTGCGCTCGATATCATCGGTGTGCTTTTCGACAGAATTCGCGGCATCAGAGGCAGCGAACCGACTGGATGACAACGTCTTCTCCGCTTTCTTTTGCTTGCCAGCGATGAACTTGCGCTTCTCGTCAAACTTCACGCTTTCCTTGTCGTGCTTTGCGTTGTCCTTGGCCAACTCCTGCGTTGCCTTGGTCATGGCCTCGAACTCCTTCGAGCCTTTCTTGAAGGCTTTCTCAAGCTCATGTATGCCGTCTTCCTCGCCTGCATGCTTTTCAAGTTCAGCATTCAATTGAGCCTGCATCTGCTCGACTGCCTCCTCTGTGACTTGGGCATTGTCCTCGCACTCGGCGATGTAGATCTGATAGAGAGTCGACTGCTTCTCTACGAGCTCGTTCTCGTCCCGGATGAAGGTCAGGGCCTTGTTCTTCTTGTCCTCCAAAGCGTTGCGCTCCTTCTCAACATGCTGAACACGTCCTTGCTTCTCGATACAGACTTCGTTCATATTCTCAAGTTCCACACCGGCCTCCTCGATAGGAGTCTTGTATTTTGATGTGCCAATGATGTCTTCCAGATATTCTAGAAGACCATCGTCGTGCTCGTTCTGTGCCTTTGGCTTCATCAATGCAATTGACTCGACCTCGCCTTGCAGAATGAGGAAGCGCTTATGGTCAAGATCAATTCCCTTGTCCTTCAACAAAGTCGTGACAGTTGTAAAGTTGGTCGTGCGTCCGTTCAGGTAGTAGTTGCTAGAGTTGTTCTTGAAAGCTCGTCGTGATACAACCATAGCAGTGTCAGGAACTACCTCGTGCTTGCCTCCGGGAAGATCAACGATCTCTTGAAAATGAACTTCGACCTCACAGAAATCGAGATCTGGATGGTTTGCTGAGCTATGAATCAATGCTGATATCTTGCCCTGCCGCATTTTGCTCGCCCGGAAGCCGAACACGAAAAGCAGCGAGTCAATGACATTTGACTTGCCTGAGCCGTTGGGGCCCACGACAGCAGAGAACGAAGCGTGAAACGGACCGACGGTTTGACGGCCAGCGTAACTCTTGAAGTTGGTCATGACGAGCTGGCGGATGACCATACGTGACTTCGGTCCAGTTGGCTCCTCCACCACTGGCAAAACTTGTGATCTGGCGCGAATAACGATATCCATAGGCTTTTCCAGCACTCGTTCGGGCTCGACATGTTGGACCGGCTTCACTTTCGTAGCGGAGGGAGGAGGCCGATTTAGTGCTTTGGAGGTGATATCGGCCAGCGGTGTAGAAGGTGCCTCGAGCTGGATGCCAATCTCGGACGCATCATCTTGCGGTGCGGGCGTGACTGACGGCACCGCAGACGATCGTCTGCTTCGCGTGGGCGCCGCGCTCTTCCATTTTCGCGGTGAAGCGACTTTCTTTGTGGGAGAAGGTGGTTCAATGCTTGGGACTGTTTCCTCGGCGTCAAATATCTGGGAAGGTTCGATGCCCTCGCTGGCACGCGTTCGACGTGTTCTCGTAGACTTCTTAGGCGATGGCGCTGCCTCTGCAGAGGTCTGTCGTCGCGTTGACTTTCGTGGGCTGGCACGCTTTGGTACTGGAGCAAACTCTTGATCTGGTTCTTCTTGCACCATACTCAGCTCATCTTCCGAGTCCTCCTCCACTACCACATTTCTACGCGCAGCTCGACGCGTCGGACGAGCTGGAGAGGCCGACGCCATGGCGAGTGGTTGCTGTCGGTTAGTCTGTCGTTGTTGAGTGCGCTCGTACATGCGATGGAGGCAATGTTTGTACCGCGGCTCAAAAGGGAAGGTCATGGTGGAGTCAGCAGTTGACGCATCAGCGGTATGTGATTGGCTCAGTCAGTTGCGACCGTTACCTTTACGAAACTCCCCCAGACGCTGCAGAGTGCCTGGATCACTGCGCCGGTGCTGCACACCTCCATATCGTTCAGCGGCGACCACGTTGTTGACCGTCTGTGTAGATCTTGCGGTCTCAGAAAGTCGCCGGAATGTACGACTGGCAAAACTTCGACGCCGTCTTCCACACCAAACCCGACCAGTCCCCCGACCAGAAGCATGCAGAAGCCGCCCTCAAGCACCGCAAAGAACTAGGCGGCGAGCTCTTCTTCGATCGCATGTGGACGGCGCTCCGTCTGCCGAAGCCAACCAAATCATACCCACCAAAATCCAACGCCGAACTCCGCGCAACGTGGAAAGCCATCCTCAAAGCACAAGCTGGCGACGAGCAAAAACTCGCGCTCCTCTACTACCTCATCCTCGACACGCGCAAGCAAGCCCTGCAGCAGACATTCGCAGAGCGAAGCTTTATTCCGCAGAAATATTTGGTCTTGGTCACAGGGTTATGGCAGCTCGATCAGTGCCATTTCCCTCAGGCGTTGGAGTATTTGACTGACCCGTCACTGATTCCGCTTACATTTAGCGATGAGGTTCTCACGGTGCTGCTCAAACACCCGAAATGCGATAACGCGCTCGCTATGGCGTTCTACTTGACCGTGCGTCCGCCCTTGACGGACTCGAGCGCGCTGTACGCTTACTTCGATCTCCTCGCTGGGACCAACACCACCGAGGCCTACTACTTCGCAAAGTCGCATCCACAGCATAAGAATCTCTTCGAGAAGCTCATAGCGCACGTATACACCTCAAAAGCAAGCGACGAGCGCACATCTGCAGCTCTGCAGCTGATCAGCCTATCGTTCACGACTGAGGAGGAGGCGTGGTTCGAGGAAGCCCTCCTACACGGCGAGGCGTCCAAGACGCCTGGCGCGAAGGACTCGATCATGGCGCGACGATTGGCTTACGGTAGACTTGTGAACGGGTCCGATGCGCTTTCTAGGTACAAGGGCAGCAAGCTCGACGGGGTGGACTGGGAGACTTTGCGGGGTATTGCTGGCGGGTGAGATTTGCTACGCAGCTGAGGCTTGTGAAATCAACCTGGACGAATGAATGCGAAAATGCTAGACATCAATCATGTTAGAAGTCCAAGGTCCCCCTGTGCTGGACGATAATGACGACCGTTGGTACGCAGCACGATGTGCCGCATCGAAGGCTACCAAGCAGACTATCGCGAAGGGTGCCATTTAATCAGTCAGCTACATTGCACCACGGGAGGACCCAACATTAGCAGATGCGCTGATGTGCACCACCGACGCTTCAAACAACACGTCGCGTCCACACCATGAGAAGAAGGGCTAAGGCACAGCCTCTATGGTGAGATCGAAGCTGTCCCAGCAAGACAGGACACGACATGAGGCTGATGGCAGCGAGCTGAGCACCGAGCACGAAGACATTTGGAAGCTTTGGTGGGAGTAGTACAGGACGAACAGATTTGCATTACTCTCCAGGTGCCTAGAACGGGGCGCAGGGACTTCAATAAATACAAGAGGATCTGCACATTTGTCCGTGTTGACAGCTTTGTCTCGCTTTCCAACTCCGACTAATTGCTCCAGCATAGGCGCCTTCGCTTGGTATTATGACACTTTACACGATCCTGGCACACGCCTCTTCTCTCTTTTTCGTGCCTCCGAATCATACATGTAAGTCCCCAGCTGTACCCAAAATATGTTCTCAAAGAAATGGCGGCTTTGAGATCGAATAGATCGTGGTGAGATTTGTGAGGTTGTGAAGGGGTATCTCTGGTCGACATGAGGTCTGTGCGGGAATCCAAGCGTCCATGCCTGGCCGTTCGCATGGAACCGTCACACATTTACAGCATCGCAACAGCAGCAGCAACAGCCACAACAACGCTGCCAGCCCTCAGGGCACCTGCGCCAGACGCCTTCTGCTCATCGCTACTGGACCCAGTGGCTGAACTGCTGGAAGCGGTACTGGTTGTGCTAGCCTTCTCATCAATGAACTCCGCTCCACCATCCCCAGAGCAGATCTCGCCCTCGGGACAGCAGCCGTACTCATCATTGTCGCCTTTCTGGCACAACTCGTCTGCCTTGCACCCGCCCAGCTTGTCCGGGCAGCAGGTGTAGCTCTCCGGGATGCAGGTCTCGCCGCAGACGATGTCGCCAGACTCGCAGGTGATGTCGGCGCGCGCGAAGAGCTTGGTGATGGGGATAGCGCCGAGTTGAACGTTGGCGGCCGCGAGGGAGAAGAGGGAAGCGGTGGCGAGGGTGATTGAGAAGCGCATTTTGGTGGTTCGGTTGGGTGTTGGTGCTTGTGGTGAGAGTTCGAGGGTTCGTGGGCGAGACTTCTACGTGAAGGTCTCGGGAGTTGTTGTGAGCGGAAAGTGTCGCGTTTGAATTGCTCGGAGGCTTGGTATAGGGCTGGAATGCGAGTTGACTTCGTGCGGTATGCAGATCAAAAGAGAGTGGACAGCCCGTTGGGTGCTGAAGGAATCAAGCAGAACGACGCTGCTGCTGGAATGGGAATGAACGAGTGACTGGTGGCAGCGAGTACAGAAGTGCTGGTAGAGAGGAAGACGAAAGGGAAGAGGGAGGTTGATACAGGGGAAGTTACAGAAAGAACGACCGACAAACGTTCCTTCCTTGGGAGACCCGGGGCGGTAGCCAGGCAGGCGAGAGACCTAGAACCCTAGCAGCCATTTTTGGGGCGCAAAGCCTCACGTTGCTAACGTGCTAGAGGTTAGCGAAAGCACCTCGTTATGCCTGCAATTCACCCATTTTGCTTGAGCTGCTTCTGTACGAGGTGCTTGCAGAGCGGTTTGATATGGTGGAAAGCGCGACCCGCAACAATTTCCCAGGGGCTCCGGGGCCAATCAGTGAGGGCAAGCTACCAAGGCAATCTCCTATTTTCTCTTGGCCTCCAGCTTGAGCTGCGCCGTCGGTCTCGACCACAAATTGCTCGACATGGGTTTCATCCTACCGCATGTTCGGCAAGGCGGGCTCGCGGAGAGAGAGCACGCCGTCGTCAGGTACAAGTGGTCGATATGCGCAAGAGCGGCGCTGTCTTAGACAGCTTGAACAGTAATGTACAGGATCTCGCTATAAACTTGTTACAGTAATGTCAAACAACAGCATCGGCTGATCACAAATGAACGGCATCCAAGCACACTAGGCGAGCGTTGAGAAACCGCGCAATCGACGTGTCTTCAATTGTCTTCATACCCTGAATCGACAGTGATGTCCAGGGCTCGCTGAGCAAGAGCATCTGCTTCAGAGATCTATCGACGGACAATCCTCCAGAATCGGACGGCCATGTACTCTTCCATCTCAGATATGGCGCGATGAATATCGCGAATGAGGTCAAGATGCTTGACTGGTTTACCGTCTGACTTACGCCCTCCATTCATTTCCCACTTCCAGATGTGAGTACTAAATGCCTTCGCAACATATTCACTGTTGGTCTGAATGACCAGCTCCCGCCATCCGTCGAACTCGCCGTTGGCCTGCCGCTTCAGAAAGATGACGATGGCATTCCGCACGGCTTCGAGCTCAGCCCGGGAGTTTGTTTGAGGATCCCTTGGGTCCAACACACCGCAAGAGTTCCACTCACAGTTGTTGCCGAAGAAGACACCAAATGATGCGCGAGAATTGGGATTAGATGAGTTGTTGCCACGACAGGCTCCGTGGACCGAGACTACAACCGACCTCATTCGAGGCCGTAAGTGAGACCCTCGGTACGGGAAGTTCATCAGCCTTTCATGTCGCAACTTCGGACTGTACTTGACGAGTTCGTCTGCTGGTAGCGTAGGGCGACCATAACGTGCTGTTTTTTGGGATTGAAGCTTCGACGTGGCTGGTCGTCTTAGTGACCGAGACCTGCACTGCAGTTCCTGAGAGACTCACTGGTGTTGTTGCTTTGACTCGGCCCATGGCGGGCACAGCTTTGTGCTCTCAAGGTCGATGCAGCTGTAACTATAGTCTTCTCTCCGACATGCCGGTGTTGCGGGTGCTTGGGAGAAGGCGCTACGACTAGTTGAAAAAGTGAATATGTAGTTCGAGGAATCAAGAGGAAACTGCCATCTGAGGGTCAAGGCCAGTGCAGAGAAGCAAAGAATGACAAGTCATATCCGAGGTATTGGTCAAGAGGATTGGTTGCTTCATGAATTTGACAGGAGACATGGTACTCCCCGCCTCGAGCCTTACCGTTTCTTACCATTCGGACCTGATAAGCAAAGTTTCAGGTTCACGCACAGCTCAGGCTAATCACAAGACCTGTTCCTAGGCTTGAATGCTTACAGTACTCACAATAGTGAATCTCGCAGAGTTAGAGTAGGTAGTGTGCAGTGTACATACTAGTGCAGAGCAATGAGAACTTCGATAATGTCGGGACAGGGCAGGCGTGTACCCATGCCCGAAGCAGCTAGCGTAGCTTCCTCTTTAGGACATTTATCTGTCCCGCGCCAAACTTGGTGGAGTGCTTTTTGGAAGCTGGTGATGTAGACTTTCATTTTGCAGAGGTCGACTTTGGTTCCTCTCATCCAGCCGCAATCATGATCATCAGACAATTTTGCGCCCGTCACGGTGAGTTCCTCTTGGTCTCAAGGTCTAGGCTTACTGACACCCTCGAAGGGCGAACAACTATAGCAAAGTCATGGAGACCGAAGAGTGCCTGCTATGCGACCACCATCAGCGGCAACGAGAGGAGCTTGCAACCTCCAGCCGGCGAGTACCAGGGCCAGACGACTTTCCCTGGACATCCAGATGAGGCTTCAAGCATGCTAGATACCACCGGTCTTCCTCCCACCCCTCGAACAAGAGCTGTCCTCGAAAGCCTGCAGTCATCTCAATCCTCAATATCAGCAACACAGCGCGAAGTCGGTGCCTACGTATCGGCTGCAACAGGCGGCGTCACCGCAGATCCAACCGCTCTGGTCCAAGCACCTCCCGCCAAGAGCAGCCGTAGAACAAACCGAAAGGCGCTCCAAGCAATCAAAAAGCAGAAGGGTGCCGCGTCTGCCCCGAACCGGGTGGGAAGCCATCTCACCCAAACGTATAACCCGAGCGACATCTTGGAACGTCCTCCGACACCAGAGGCTTTGACACTACCCGATCTTCTCGCTCACCAGACCCATCTCGGCCACCACACATCTCTGTGGCATCCCGGTAACAGCAGCTACATCTTCGGCATTCGAGATGGAATACACATCATCAGTCTCGATCAAACATTCGCGTACCTCCAGCGCGCAGCCAAAGTCATACGGAACGTGGCCTACCGCGGTGGTCTAATCCTCTTCATCGGCACGAGAGATAACTTTGCCCCGATAGTCACCAGAGCTGCGCAAAGAGCAAAGGGCTACCACATATTTGACCGCTGGGTGCCCGGAACCTTGACAAACGGCCAGCAACTGCTGCGGGACTGTGCAGTCAAAGTTGTCGACGTCAACGACAAGCAAATCCCAAGCTACGATGACTTAATTTCGAAGGGGAAACACAGCGTCATTCGTCCCGATCTCCTCGTTTGCCTGAATCCCCTCGAGAACCCAGTTTGTCTACACGAATGTGGGCTCAACACTGTACCGACCATCGGCATCATCGATACCGACGCGAACCCTGCGTGGGTGACCTATCCGATCCCGGCCAACGACGACAGCTTGAGATCCGTCAGCTTGATCGCCGGCGTCCTATCTCAGGCGGCAAGGCAAGGTCAGGAGAATAGGCTGGCAGAGGCAGAGGCAACTCAAAAAGCGACATACAGTACGGGGCCCGTTCGGGACTGGCTCGCGAGGACGCAAGAGTTGGTTGAGATCGACGTCAGTGAGAGCGTCGGTAGACAGGAGGAAGATCAGTCCGGGACTAGGAAACAGCCAACGAGTGATTGATGTGCCGACTTTCGCAAATCACTTGACGACACGTTAGGATGTACTCTATGTACTTGTACACAATCTACGACCTTCTTCGGACTGCAACAGATCGCTTGATGCACTGCCACTCTTGCCACGCTTCTGGGCGAAGCACGCAGACACACCCAAGAGAAGGGCATCTGCTCCTGTTTCCATTGCTGGGTGCGCCGTACGTACGTGCCATTCATCTGCCACACACTTCCAGCCGGAAAAGTCAACATCAGCTGGTCGCTTCTTCGACCGTCGTCTCGCCCCATCGACTTTCACATGCAAGTCAAGAAATATGCTCAAGCTGCTCACATACTTTCCGCTCCGCCTGTGACTACTCGCTTGTAGGTTTCCGCTGATGTTTCTCAACAAGCCTGATATCCAGTTTCGAGTCATCGGAACTGAGTCCAGCTATCCTTTTCTCAACTCTTTCTGGCTATAAAGCAGCCTTCCCGCCCTCACCTTCCAGATCTTTTTTTCTCTTCCGGGGCGGCTTCCTCCGTCCAAAGCCGCCCCCTATCTGTCACTCTTTCTGCAGCTGGTCTGCAACCACTCTACCTCCAGGACCAACACCTCCTATGCCCGACATCTTCGAGCCAATTCATTACAGGCTGTCCATCATACGAATCGACACAGTCCACCAACATTATCACTATCGCTCCAACATTTATACCACCATCACTATCGCTCCAACACTCACACCACCATCACCTCCACAAAACAAATGAAAATCCGAATCAATAAACATGGCGTCTTTCCCACCCAGGCCTCAACGCCACGGGGACAAACGTCCCTGCAGGGAAATAGGGAGCCACGGATAAACGATCACCTGTACCCATCCAGGATGATCTCGTGCGTAATGCATCAGGGCTGCCCGTTATAAAGAAGAGAGGCCAACACAAAATAATCCAGGCAAACAGCCTGGACCTACCCGAGGACTATGTACCTCGGAGGCTACCACCATCCGGAATCCTTCCCGGTCGGTGGTGCAACACAACTACTACAACTACAACAACAGGACATAGGAATACAAAGATGAGTTGGCTGGCGAAGAGCCGGGCAGGCAGCAGCTTGTCATAGGGCCCAATCAACTCAAGTTCCATGTTCGTACAATGAAGTATCCGACATACTAAACCCAAAAGCGTCAGGCACGCGTGGCCTTTATTGTCGACCACCCGAGGACCCAAATACTCGGAGGCCGCCAGTGTCAAGGGGATGTACATCAGGGCCATCCGAATATATCCTCTTCTGCATGGCTGGCTTTATTTGATTCCCCTGCATGAAGCGCGCAGGTGGATTTCTGATTTAGTTCCACAAAACGGTTATAACGAGTGGAGAGATCTTCGAATCCAGGGGTGGGTGCACGGGAACGACAATCGCGTAGGATACCTCCCCGACGCAGGCCGCGGGAGACTTGGGTGACAACGGTCGCAAGCTGGCTCGTCGACCATTCACAAGAGACTGTGAGGCAGACGTGGTTTCATGACATGTAGGACGATGGAGAACCATGGCCGAGTCTCGAGATCGAGACAACCACTCTGGATGCTTTCCCAACTCCAGACTGCCACCAGCTTTGTCGCACACGACAGCGGGTTCAGAGCGGCAGTGGGACCATCGCTAGAGACCACAACTTTGAGGAAGCATTGGACCTGGGGATTTTGTTTCCCGAGTGGCTGTCAAGGCTGCGCCCACAGACTCACCATAAAGTACTCGAAGCTGGAGAAATTCAGCGCTGGAGGAATACTGCCGCTGCAGAATCGCAAATGTCAAACGTCGAGGAATGGCAAACATCGAACGCGGAAGGGTGGCAGAGATCGAACGACGGAGGATGGCAGATGTCGAACGCTAAAGCCTTTGGCGGAGTCTGGCGTGAGGAGAGCACGACGGTGCCGTGCATCTCACTGTGACTCCAAATCTCGGGAGTGGCTCACAAAATAGCTTACCAGCGCGCTCGGGGGGGCCAAGCATTAGTCGAGAGACAGGCGACTGTTGCTTGGTAGATTCGCGCGCATGGGAATGCAATGCTGGAGCTCGCTGAGCCGATAGTATGTGGCAGCAACTTGCCTCGCTGGCTCGAGGCCGACTAAGTGCCGGTCCCACAGACACTGAAGCAGTGTCGCCTCGCACCGCCGGCATTGATAGCGGCCTCACAGAGCGACCGGCGAGCCAGCGCCGCCTATCCGTACCAACGACGTCGAGAAACATCGATTCCAGCCAGGATGGCCGCATCACGTCACTATACGCCGACAGCAACAAGCACTCGCGACATAGCTCATCATAAGTCACCCTAAGTGCACCGAACAAGTCAATGACGCTCTACGACAGAGGCACATGCTTCCGCGCTCCCCGGCGGACTGACTCCATGTGACTGGAAGGCAGAGACTGACCTCGGCTCATGAGCGGGAAATACTGATGCGTGAGGTTCTAACAGTGAGTGCTGGCGGAAGCTGAGTGTGCATTGCGATGATGGCCGCATCTTAGCGTCCGGCGAAGGTTGGAAGCTGGGCGAATTCGTATGTGTTTCGGTCAGGGACTGTGGGTCATCGTTGTGACGTTGGAATGGAGATGAAGAGACGACAGATGGACAAATTGGACAAGACAAGGGTCGTAAAAGCGAGCTGTACATAAGATGGTTATGTACATTGTACTCGTACTCCCCAAAGACGAAATCTTCCTGTATCATCTCGTACCGCTTGACTGCATCATGAGGCCTCGCGTTGACGGTACAGCGGAAGTGCCACAGCAGTGGAACGACTAATAGAAGGTGGTCTGTCGTGTGCCGCTGTTCAGCAATATCACCTGGGCTGGTTTGAAGAATTTTTTGGCAACGACATCCTCATTCGTTTTGAGCACGATGTTATCATTTTCCCATTCCAACGATGCGGCACCAACCTGCAAATATGTCCTGGGATATCTCTTCGTCGACTCTCTTGACCTACCCATCGTTCCCGACACGGCAGACCTCGCCAAGTGGCGCCGCAGCCTCATGTCCTTCGTTTCCCGTTCTTGGGCATCTCCTGCTGCTACTAACACGTCTCTGCTTCAGCTCTTGTGGCCGTGAGATATATTCAAGCAACGTCGTGATGTTCCACCTAATCAAGCGTTGGTGTGCTCTCGCCCAGCGGCGTGAGTGATTTCACACACCGACATGCGTTGTTTGCGTCCTCCCGTGGCTGGCTGGCGCAGGTCCAGAAGCTTGCCTTCCATCCGGTAGACAGCCTGCCTCTTGCGCTGTCCCGACCTCATATCAGTGTCGGAGTCATTCGTGTCTTGTCTGGAACAGTAGGAAACATGTAATGCACATCCTGGTGCCATATGCGACCGAACGCATACTCTGAAGATCGCTCATAGAAGTGAGTCCAGCCGTGTGAAAACGCTCAGGCAAGCAGCGACGACCTGTGATAGTCAGCATCATCATCAAACATTTCAGCATGATACACACCTCAATCTGCAACTCCTTGTCCTTGTTATTTTCAACCTCCTCCGTAATCGCCTGCCCAATATTCGCCCCAATCCCCTGCTGCCCACCAGCACGCTTACCGAACGGCCACTGGCTGTACTCGGCGAGCAGCTCATCAACCTGCGCAAAAGCCCTCTCCCTCGACTCATGCGTCATCGTAACCAGCGCGTTTTCCAGCACATTGGCCGCATACGCGGCACACACCATGCTTATCGTCCGCAGGTATCGGAAGTCCATCTCTTGCGGCAGGAACTGTGAAGCCGGGAGCACGACTGTCCGCTGGGAGCACACTCTTTGCACACGCTTGCGGATCTCGTCTTTTGCTGCGGTGTCGACCACGGGATGTGTGGGCATGTCGAAGAGAAGGAAGTTCTTCTTCTCGGTGCGGAGGATGCCTTTATCCACGAGGCCTTTGGCGAGGCGCTCGCGGACTTGTTTGAGCTGGTAGCCGATTTTCATAAGATTCCACGTCTCGCCTGGTTTCCTACAATTAGTTGTTGTTTCGTTGTCGACGCTGTCGAGGCTGCAACCGCGTGCGACTTACCGCTCAGCAAATCTATCCACGAGCTCACGCTCATCTTCTCGCTCGACTTCATCATCTTCAGTGTTTCATCGAGGAGGACCTCGCCAGTCAAGGTGTCATCTATCACCTCGATCGTCCTGTCGGCGAGCGGAAATCGTCGTCGGGCTGAATCGTTCTGCATACTTATCCGGCCGCGCAGGGCCAGCTCGATGACGATGCAGCCTCGTAGTGCGTACGATATGTTGTCGTTCCAAAATGACAGATAGCCCTTCCTGCATTAGTGTCTCACATCTCGAGGAGTTGACCATGTCATACCTGTTTATCCTTCAAACCCAGCAGCAGCACATCCTCCATCAACGTCAACTTGGGCTGTTTCGACCGCTCGGCATTCTCAGAGATATCTCTGGGGTCGTATGCGATCTTGTGGCCATTCTCGCTGGCCTCGTACGCTGTCTCAGGTGTCCGATCTGTGTAGTTGGGTTTGGTTGTTGGTGATGCAACGCGACTGGCTGTGTCATCCTCAGCACCTCCCGCACCGCCGCCTCCTCCTGCACCGCGCCGTCGTGTAAGGCCTCCTTGACTGGCCATGTATCAAGCACGCGGTGACGTTCGCAGGAAATATGTTGTAAGAAACGCAGGAAGGGATGGGTGGGTCTTTAAGCTTGTGTCTTGTGCCCGCAGTCAGACAAGCGAAACTATTCGTCCTATCGTTCTCCGTCAGGCCAGTGATGCCTATGGATGGAGTGGTCGAGCAAAAGCGAAGTCGTCTGGGCGTCGATGTGTTGGCTGCATAGGCATGTGCAAGTCAAGTCTGGTCATCTTCAAGATCGCGGAGAGACGATTACGATCCCTATGGAGGGAAGTCACCGCAAAGAACGCCAAGCCTAACCCTTGGAAGACGAGGCGCTCAACAAGGAATCTATCGAACGTCATATCAGCCGTGTCGATACCAGATGGTTCAAGTATGTTCATTCTAACGCTGGATACTTTTGCTCAATACAGCTCTTTGTCGTGACGCGACAGTGATATCCATATACGCCGTCGACTTCGCGTCCCGGGGCCACTACCAAGTGCCCGGTATCCTCGATTTTTCCCGCCTGGCCCTAGAATCACCACAATAGCAGTCCTCCACCGAAAACCATTCCCAAGACCACAACCGCGCAGCTTGCAAGACCTTGCCACTGCATTGGCCGAGCCTGCACATTGCTACTAGCAGCACCACTCGAGGTAGAGCTTGAGCCTGAACTTGACCCAGTCGCCGAAAACTTGAATGTTGCACTTCTCGATGTCTGCTGTCCGGACTGGATATCACCCGTGGCTGTGGCTTCTTGCGATTCTCGTGGAATTCCGGTGATCGTCTGAGCAACAGACGCCGCAGTAGCTGTGGAACTGACGCCCGGAATCGCGCTAGAGGAACCTACCACCTGAACGTTGCCACTACCTTGCTGAGCCTTCGAGTTCAGCTGAGCGAGCGCAACCTGCTGATTTTCCAGATCGTACACCACATACGCACTTCGGAGGAAGGAGTCGCCGAAGAGGATCGGAGCCGAACCAGCAGCCTCCATGGCAAACTGGCAAGCGTCTTTGCCGTCATGGAATTTTGGCGTTTGCCCATCCGAGGTCTCCAGAGGGACAACGAATTCAGAGAGTGGCACCTGAATAGATGGTCCGCCCTCTCCGCCGAAGGTGAATGTGAAGGTAAGGTCGTCGTTGGCCAGCTCACAAGGCACGACATTTCCAAACTTTTCTGTGGTGGTCACACCCACACCGTTGAATATTTGCTCGGCAATGTCGTCTGGTAGAAGGGTATCGGTGGTGCCCGAATCAAGAATCGCCGGGGCTGGGCTAGAGGGAGACGCGTCGAGGTTGTTGCCGCTGCCATTGACTTGAAGACCTGTCCATGCCACAGTGAACGAAGTGATGCTGTTGGACTGACTGTCGAGCTGAATCGGAAGCGCCACAAGGTTGCCGGTGTACTTGTCGCTGTCGACACCGCCAAAGAGGATTGATCCAGTATTCGACTCCAGATCATCGAGCCACAGCGAGTACACTCGAGACTTGATGAACCCTTCGCTCTGGAGCACATCGATTATGTTTGGGTAAGTGAAACCCTGCGAGCCTTGAGCGCCAGTAGCGCCTGATTCGTCTGCCCTGAAACCTACGCCCATAATGCCCACTCCCAGACTGTTGAGATTTGTCGCAGCTGCCATTGTCATGTTTGTCAACTGCGTGTTGCCGAGACTGAGAGTATCGGAAATGTATGATCCAGTGATTTGAGTGCCGTCAACGTATTCGATCTGGAATTCAGGAAGTTGTGGATCCTTGTATGTACTTGACGCCTGGACGTCGTATGTGCCGACTGGGCAGTTGTCTGCGCTTTCTCGGCAGACGTTGGCATTGTTGGTTGGGAACCAGATATCTGACGAGCCTGTGTCGAGCTGCAAGGAAAAGTCTTGGCCAGGTGTGCCGACAGTGACATTAATCAGGTAAAGAGAAAGCTCATTGTCGAGACCTGAGAGGACTGTGCCGCTCTGTCTTCGTCTGAGACCTAGAGCTTGCTCGCCACTGACAGTACGCTTGTGAAATTGAAAGCCGAGCGTGCCAGGTTCGGGAACGGCGAGCGCGGTGTGTAGTAGTGACAACAGAGGAGCTATTGCGAGGATTGAGGTACGTGACAACATGCTCGCGAGCGCGCAATTGCGGAAGACGACCAGGTAGGAGATACAAGAGCAGGACCAGAGATAGGAAGTAAATAGAGAAAGAAGGGAAACGTCACGGAAGCTGGAGCTGATTCACTTTGACTCGCAAGCTTCAAGCAGGAAGTAGCGTCGATTATACAATATCGATCAAATCTTGCATAGTGCTGCGGCAACCACGGATCATGACACACCGCGCAAGCGCTTCCTGGAGCGACACGTTTAAGAAGGCGCCGGGGGCGAATTCAAAGCCGATTTCAGCTGCTTCGTGATGCCATGGGTACTAAGTTGAGAACTTTATGGTGACGAAGCCACCTGCGGACGTGGCGCAGAAAGAGCGGGACAGATTGACAGGTCGTCGACGTAGTGCAGGATCCAGACCTTGCTAAAAGCTTGCCATCGCTTGTCCGCTCTAGCGATTGCTTGTCAGTGAAAGTCCACCTCCGTAGACGATCCACAGCAACCCGCGCTTGCAGGAGTCTTCGGGCGCTATCGAGCAGCAGGCACCGCCGCACCAATTGACAAGTTGTTGGAGGATCAGTAGTTTGAGGCGCAGATAAAAAGCCTGTTGCAGGTCTGTTTGAACTGTTTCAAAACAGCCGACACCGACTAATCAACTGCATCTCGCTTGAGGCTCCCATGCACTTGTCCGCTGAAAGTGGGACGAGAAACGGGTTATGTGGCTCCATCAGCATAGGACGAGTATGCTGTCTGCGTGGACTTGCCACAGTCATCAGCAGGGCGAGGGTGTTGGTGACGCAACGGTGCCCGCGATGCCTGGACCAATGGGCTGCCAGGCAATTTTGCGGACATTGATTTTGTTGTAGTTGCCCATAATAGCCGGCACACGCGATCTACAGGCATACTGTCTCTTCTGCAGTCTTGAGCAACCATTTCTCGCCGCTGCGATACTCTTGTGACCACAAATTATTCTGGTAGAGGTGCCAGGTTCCATGATCGCACGTGATTTTTGCCAAGCTTTGAGTTTCTCGACTTCCGAGTCGATGTTCCCGTTCTGTTCGCCTTTCTCATCAGCTACCATTATACCCAGCTAAACTTCATTGTGGATGAAAATTGGGCATAGATCTGAACTGCACCGAATCTGATGTTGGGTTTCGCCACGATGGACAAAGATACTCTGACACGACTCACAAAGCTGCTCAGGTAGACGGCTGTGGCAACACCGGTCCCTGGGCCGGGTTCTTCAACTCATTCACGTTCATCACGAGTAGGTAACAAGATGCGGAGCTATCGTCTCGGCACGCGCCAGCAGGGTCGCTTGGATAGCCAGCCTCGACAACAGGCATCGTTGGCTGCATATGATGCAGAAAGTGGTCAAATGTTCACAGAGCATTCCGTGCAGGTTCGATCAAGGCAGCATTCAGACTGGATCGGTGAGCTAAGAACTCCGTCTCTTGCAAAGAAAGCTGGGACACCGGAACAGATTGGCGCTCGATCTCTTGTTGATGCGGCTGTTATCATGGTGGCAGAGAAGCTCTTTCGAGATCTGGGAGAGGAACACTTTTTCAATGTGCCGTGGAATCTGGCCGAGAGGGTCTGGCAACATGTCCTAGCAACACATCGAGAAAGCTTTCATACTTGGAGAGTCTTAGCAAGCACGTATGCAGAGCAGATGTCCGCGAAGCATCACAGGTATCACATCGAAATACGCCAGCCTTCGCTGAGCCTTCCAGATTATTTCTCCGGGCTCACGTCACGAAATTGGTTGGCTTGCCTCCGCCTGTCGCCCAAGGAGACGCGTACAGCCGACTTGATCAATATCTGCGAGATCACCAACCTCGCAGTGCTAGATCTATCCAATGGCCAGGTCAGCTTCGGCCCTGACAATGTCAAATCGCCTTTCGATGAACGTATACTCAGATCTTGGGCAGAACTTGCCGCCACAGGTCAAGCTTTTGTGCGTCTGGAGGCTCTCATGCTTGGCTGGGAGCAATTGGGTCTGTGGCTCTTCCAGTACCTGCCATGTTTCCCAGCCTTGACGAAACTTGTGATCACAGACAGCTCCTATCTCCACCAGAAGAATCGGAAGTCATGGGAGCCTGTCGCTCTGAACTACGGCTGGGAGGCTCGGCATGCAAAGAGGAGTGCTAAGTCGCTCCGACCAGTATTCGATGAGCCGGCCTTCCACAGATTTGCGGTTTCGGGAATCTTGTCTCAGTACAGTGACGCCGAGGATCTGCCTCGAAACGAACAGAAGACGAGCGATTTGCCTGTGGTCGAAGCCTGTTTGGGCATGCCGAAGAAGTGGGCTCACATTTTGGACGATTTTCCCGGGTCAAGGACAATATACCTCGAGCGGGTGAAGGTGGTCGACAAATCACGATGTCCTCTAAGCTCATCGGGAAGTGATTCTAGCAAGCGAAGTCTACATCCGGAACGCTCGCCTGGGTCTTCTTCTCTTTCCGACAAGCGGGTGCCGAGACAAGCTTCAAAAGCACGCCAGAGAGCCATTGACTTTGCAGAAATTCTTGGATAGAAGCATCCGAGACAGTGATATAAGAGTTAGCATAGACCGAACGCTTCATGACTAGTGCTCCTACAACCCCGTTACAATGGTGCAAGTGAGTGACTTTGGTGCTTGCTCATAGTCTCAAGGATATGCAATATCAGTAATGAACGGAACGGGAAGCATGGTCTCGTGGTAGCGTGTCGAACTGTCGATGCCTTATTTTGTCCCGCTTTTCATGCTTGAGCTCGGGGTGTGCCATTCCCGCCCGCCGACCATTAACGTCACTTCCGCCATTCGCATTATTTTCCCATGTGACTACCTAAATACAATTTCCTAAGCACACGTCCGTAACAACTTTGCCGCGGTACTCAATTGGAGCACGACCAGCAGATCAATCCTGATATCCCTCATTCCCATCGCGGTCTGCTCGGTGCAGCAGCATCGCCTCTGTGGTCAGCGGAGCCGCATCGGGGACACACCGTTACCAAAAGCCACGATAATCAGACTTCAGGTCTTGAACCTTAGCACGCAGGTACTGATGCGCTCATCGAGCATACCGCAGTCATGGCATCGCCGAACCTGAGCCACGTTTCTCCAGCCGGGTCCTCCGACTCTTCTCGTCCCAATTCTGCAACCGATACACAAACTCCTCCCAGAAGAAATCCATCGCTACGAATATCGCATATGCCTAGCGCGGCTTCACAACATCGGCAGTCGTTCAACGAGCTGAGGGGCGCACCGGGTAGTCCGCGATCTCAGAGGCAACCCTCGCTTTCGTCAATAGCCGTTCAAGAACTCATAGACAACCCACCGCAACGCGGCAATCCTGATCCTCGTTTCGCAAATCGAGATTGGCGGACTATCAAGGTCCAGGAACTGACCAGTCCCCATGACTTGAGATTCGTGCAGAGTGATGTTCCCGTGGAGGCGGCGACGAATGTGAGTGCTCCAACAGTGTAGCAAGCACATGTACTGATAGACCAGCTTCTCATATCATGCGAGGCTCCCGTACTTCTGATTCGAGACGAGGAAGATGGGCCAGTCGTTGGCACCTTCGACTACAGAGATCTCAATGCCTACTTGCTGATGAACATTGGCCGTCTTCAGCCTGATGAAGAGCACATCGCCGATTTTGCCGAAATGGTGCAGAAGGCCCGCGAAGGCAAGGCAATCCCGCTACGAGACATCAAGGACTGGGGCAAGAAAGAACCACTCACGTTTCTCTCGGGCAATGCCGACCTTGTTCGTGCCATCGATGTCTTTGGCAAGGGGCTACACCGCATTGTTATTACCGATGACGCGGGAGGAGTGACTGGTCTGTTGAGTCAATCTCGACTGATCCGCTTCCTGTGGGAGGAAGGTAGACACTTCCCAATGTTGGAGCAGCTCCATGGCTACTATCTGCGAGATTTGAAAATTGGCTCCAATGCGGTCATATCAGTCAAGTAAGTCGACTGCACCCGAAATCATGTTCAGGCTAACTCGATGGGCAGTGGGGACACAGAGCTCCGCGATGCACTTTCACTCCTCCACAACGAAGGCGTGTCATCGCTGGCCGTTGTCGACAACTCATCGAACGTGGTTGGCAATATCTCTGTAGTCGATGTCAAGCTCCTCACGAAGTCTACCTCATTACCCTTACTCCGCAACACCTGCATCCACTTCGTCTCGTACATCCTCTCAAATCGAGGCATGGAGAACGGCAAAGACTCTTTTCCAGTCTTCCACGTCACACCAATGAACACTCTCGCGCACATTGTCGCCAAGCTCGTCGCAACCAAGAGCCATCGTCTGTGGGTAACAGAACCAATCTCACCGTCCTCCTCCGGTCCTCCTACACCATCACTCCACACAGCAACTCTGGTCCCAACATCATCACACTCCTCGTCACCCAGTTCCAGTTCTGGTCAATCGTACCCTGTCGTAGCTCCGCCAGCACTGTCCGCGGATCCTGGCAACGTTGCAGATGCATCTCCCAAGACACCTTTCATCTCACCACTAGGTCCGTCTATCTCTGCCAGCGCAATGCCTGGTGCCCGCATCAGTGGCCATCTCGTCGGCGTGGTCAGTTTGACAGACATCCTGATACTGTTCGCACGCGCTGGAGGTCTAGACGCGGCGGATCCGAACGACATTCGAGCCCGGCGGAGACGATCGAGTTCGTCGAGTGCAAGACCGAGTGTTGACCTGGGCATACGACCGAGACCGTCTATGGACTTGCAGCGGAAGGCTTCTGGGGGCCCTTGAGCAAGTTGAGCCTGGAGGTGCGAAGTCTCGGCGTTAGTAGACCAGAATGACCAGTACGAAATTACGCAAGCGAACGGCGCATATGGGCGAGATCACAGGCACAGCGGATATGAAAACGAAGATTGCGAGATCCAAAATGCATGTACGGCGTCTTTGAGGTTGTTTAGTGGATGAGCAAGGGTTCCAAAACATGGTCGAACTCAATGGCCAAAGAGTTCAGACTACATAGCGAAATCAACTCCTCTTAATATTTCTCACGACCTGAATCGCCTTCCCATGCAAGCGTGACACTGCTCATAGTCAACCAGCGATCGATGCTGGAGATCCTGCTGAGACCGAATGATGTGCGGTTGAGTCGGATCCTAGCAAGCGCGACGATGAAATTATTGCACCTGACTCTTATATTTGGGCATCTACCCTAGTCTCTAATCAAGACCGGTTGACTTACTCAAGCCTTAAGCACTTCGCCGCTTCCTGAACAATTTGTGTTGGCATGCTACAGTTGAAGCTCTGCCGGCCGATGGTAGCTCTGGGTCATATATAGCGGTCAACGTGCTTCTGAGTTTCGAATAGCAAAGACCTCCCTGACGGTATGGCAACGATAAATATGGTAGCAAGCTCAATGTCAAGAATCTCTGCCAGGGAGGCCTCTGAGTACCAAGAGCTTACAGCCTGAGTACTTGTGCTGCTTCCAGAGTGACAAACAAATCATGCGACGCTGCTGTTTGTTAGAGGTGCTGAAGAAGCCCAGGTCATTCTCAACTGAGGCTCAACTCAGCATACTCCCTGAGCTGTACCTGAGAACTGTGTCGCCTGGTCTTCACACAACTGTGACTGGTGAGGGTCAAAGCAACCTGTTGCTCTGGACACAGTCACTGTACACAGTCACTGTAGTGCCCTCCCCAAGCCTTTTAGACCTCAAATTTGGTAGACCAACAATAATTTTGCTCACGTGATCTACATACCAACTCCTGACTTCACAACTATCTCCGTTTACCCCCTGGGAGGCCTTCACGATGCCCAACTTCCTTCGCAACCTCGTTAGAGGCCGCCAGACCGCCAGAACCACGATCACGAGGCCAATAACAGCCATGTCGATCGAAGAGCTTCTTGACGCCCTCCCAACCATGAGCGACGAGCTCGTGGTCGAGGTTTGGCTCCCACAACTGAAGCAGAAGGTCATTGAGTTGCAAGAGGCCAATGCTGATGAGGGTAGCCGTGCTCTTGACGAGCTGAACCAGGTAAGCCGTCGTCAATAATGAGAACGTGCGTTCGTCCGCTAATCGCCCTAGAATCTCAACATCATTGGTACGCAAGCAGGAACAATCGCCGGCATCTACCGCGACGCTGTCGAATCGGCAGAGATCATACGCGAAGAAGAACTTCGCAATCCCCGTGCTCAGGTCGCCGAACTCCAGCAGCGCATCGTAGACACAACGACCGAGCGCGACCAGCTGCAGTTTCAGCTTGACACGATTAAGTACACCACCCAGACGCTGATGCAAACGATTCGTCCAGCTGTGGCATTCTCGCTCAATGTTCCAGACCAATTTTCGCCTGTCCAGCGTCAAGCTATTCGTCAGGTACTCAGAGACTATCCAGAGAACGAGAATGGAGCCTCGCAAGTTGGTCCGTCCGTCACGGTTCCGCAACAGCAGTACTTCCAGCAGATGAGCGACCTGCAGAAAGCCACTGATGCTGTGACCGAGTTCCAGGGAGTCGCCAAGGAGCAGTCAGGGATCATCACCGACCAAGAGAAGCGCATTGATGCCAATGTCAGAGTCATCGAGTTGTTCAAGGACAAGATTAAGGCCAAGGATCACGAGATTCTGCTGCTCGGTCAGCGCGTCAAGGAACTCAGCGATAATGCTGCTCGCTACAACCAGAGCCTTAGGCAAGCCAAGAATGATCGCGCAAAACTTGAGAATCTCGCCAAGGAGTACGCTGACATGGCCAAAGACAACGAAGAGCAAATCCAAGCCAAAGAGCACGCTATCTTCGAGTTGCGCAAGGAGTTCGAGAGTCTGGAGTACAAATTGACCATGAGTCAAGCCAAAGTGCGCGAGCTGCAAGAGTCCGGTGAGAATGGTGCCGTCCAGCGACAGGGTCCTCCTCGTATGACTGCCAGCGCTAGCACATTCGCTCTCGGTGTCCAGAACCTCACACGCGTTGCAGCTCCCAGTGGTCGTCCGCAGCAAACCTACCGCATTGTCGCGCCTCCAGCTACTCTTGCCGCTCCCCAGCAAGCCGAGGTCGCGTCGATCCAGTCCTCTACCATGGCTCGTCCTGTATACAACCGTCGCTTGTCCGATCCATTCCGCCTCGCTCCAGCTTTCGACACTCCTCCTAGAGCCGAAGAGGTCCCAGAGGTGCCTAAGCTTCCGGTTGCTGTCTCTCAAGATCGCAACAAGCCGCTTCCGTCTCCTCCGGCTGTTGTTGCTACTCCAGATCCAGGTCGCCGTGTTTTGACAAGCATTACAGAAGCCTCCCAGGAGGACTCTGTAGCCCCATCAAGCACTACAAGCAGCGATCGCGAGGCCCTGCGCCGCAGCATCATCGCTTTCGACGCGTTGAACAGCCAGCGAAGCCCGGTTGTTGATGTCAGCCCCTCCCAGGACGCGATGCTGGTTGAGCGTCGTCGTGCCTTGCGCAAGGTGGCATCTGATGAGCTCAGCATGCAGCAGCTGTATCATCACGGGCGTCGTCGACAGATGTAGAGGGTTTGTGGAGCTCGAACCGGAGTGGTGGTGTTGGGAAAGGGAAACGAAACGGGAATCAGAGGTCGAGAAATGATGAAGTTTGAATAGGATTCTGGTTGGGGCGCCCTCTGTGGGTCTTTTCGATAGGTGGGGGTCATGCAGGGATCGCGGGCTGGAACGACGCGAAGTGTGCCTGCGAGTACCTACGGAATCATAATTACCGCGCCAGAGGCCTCCCCATGACTGATTTCGAGTCAGCCACTACGTAGCCATGGAACCGCGTTCTAGTGTATCATTGAGACCTCAACGGTCAGGTGAGCAGCACTCGCTAGGCCAACGGGACCCATGATCGCCTGAGTCACTGTTCGATCCACTCTCCTAGCCTTGACACGTGCTGCGCATCTATCACAACTTCACCAGTGCGGCCCGCCACGGCTAACCAGAACTACGGTACCAGCAGCATGTCAACCCAAGAGTCGCTGCCCCGCAAGAGCGGCAGCCGGAAGTTACAGAAACGTAGGCCACAGATGAACAGACTACCCTCATCAAAGATGCCGGACAGGCTCAGGCTAGGTGACGATGCGCAAGACGATGTGACAGCGCCAACTCGAGGCACGCAGGTGCCAGGGCAGTACATGAACCAGTCTATTTTCTCCATGATCGCGGCAGCCGGCTCCAGGACAGACTTCAACACGCGCTTCGACGACTCAAGCGACAGCGATGAAGATGCCTTGCCGGAAGGCAACGAACCGGAAGAGGAAGTCCCTGCACCGAAGCAATCGAGCGACGTGGCCTGGCGGGAAGAGAAGAGCACTGTTGCCAACAGCAACGACAAACAGCAGAAAAAGAAGAAGCGCCTCTCAGACCACAGACTCATGCAGTCCCTGCCCAAATTGTCACTCAGCATCAACAAACAGAGAAAGCAATCGTCCCACCGAAGCCCGCCCTCGTCGGACGATGCCACCTCGAAAAGCGATCGCAGCAATCCGAGAGATGCGCCCGTCATGACACGGCTCTTGACGGCCGAGGCTGAACTCGAGGAGGCAGAGCTAGACAAGGATAAAGGCCTTGGACAGTCAAGGAGTCGAGGTGAATCATCTCCTGCGACTTTGCTGGCCAGTCGCTTGATGCAGATATTTGGCTTTGAGTCGCCCGAAAAGGTGGTCGCGGAATACCCGTGCTGGCTGCTACAGAGTGTGCTTCTGCAAGGATATCTATACATCACGCGGCAACACATCTGCTTCTACGCATATCTGCCAAAGAAGTCAAATACAGTTGCGAAGAACGGCTACTTGGCGAAGCGAGGGAAGACCAATCCTCGCTACAACCGATACTATATGATACTGAAAGGCGACGTGCTGTCATACTACTCGGACCCGTCCGCCCAGTACTTTCCTCAGGGCACAATTGATCTTCGCTACGGGATCTCTGCAACGCTTTCTGCCGAGAAGGATAAGCAGAAAGAATGCAAGGACTTCTCGGTCACGACCGATCACCGGACCTACAATTTTCGTGCTGATACGCCAGAGAGTGCGAAGGAATGGGTGAAGTCGCTACAGAGGACAATCTTCAGGTCGCATAATGATGGAGACAGCGTGAAGATCTCTCTGCCAATAGAGAACATCATTGACATTGAGGAGAGTCCAGTCGTTGAATTCGCCGAGACAGTGAAGATTCGCGTTATCGAAAACGATGAGTCCTACGCGATCGATGAGTACTTTTTCTCCTTCTTTGAACACGGGTCGGACGTGCTCAATGTGCTGTCGGGTCTCGGTGCTGGCAGTGCCACACCGGGCGTTCAAGATCTGGCTTCGCCTCTATCTGACGAGCGAAGAGCACGGTCGCCTGGTGCACGGCGATCACTGGACATGCTCTCACACACTCCCAGAGATCGATCTACCACGCCACTTCGGGATAGCGTCAGAGCAACGCTCAAGCCCTACGCTCTGGGTGATGATGGCAAGATGTCGCCACGGATGAGCGGCGAGTTCTCCCGGCCTAGCAAAAGTCCGGGGCGTCAGAGCTTCGATCAGGTTACTGGAGACTACAGTCGGGCAAGCTTCGATCGAGGTCGGAGGAGTCCCAGTACCAGCGGCCTTGACGTCGCACGTGAGCGACGAAGCGGAAAGTCGCCTCTGGCAAGGACTCAAGAGTCTCCCGAATCGCATGCTCGATCCTTCGACAAGGAGACCGACTCATCGGTGCCTCCACTGTCACCCAAAGCCGAAGCACATATGTCAGCAAGCCAGATCTTAACCAGAAGCGACGTGTTCCACCCAGCAAAGGTCAATCGAATGGACACAGTGGCTTCTATGTCCACAGAGCCTACTGGACAGTCCTCGGAGATCGAGACCACTCAGTCGACGAGTTCACCGCAGCAAGAAGCAACGCCGCCTATACCTATCAGAACACGTCCTTCGATCAGGCAGCGTGTCTTGTCGCAAGATTCCGATTTCTTTGAGGCTCAAGAACAAGCCGGGAAGCAGACAGGGTCACCGACCCTACAGGACTTGTACAAAGCCGGCTCCTACCCATTGCAGCGAGCTGGAGCATTTGCTGGGTACCTCAAGAACAAGTCCAACAAGATGACAAAGCTTCTGGCAACCGAGTCCATGTCTTATTTCGAGAAGGTCTCGGGCATGTGGGCTGGCAATCGGAAGCACTATGGCGCCAACGAAGACGTCTTGTCTGATGATAGAGACGTCGATCCTGAGGATGCAGAATCAAATGTGCCACATGGAGATCGTTTCCGCATGCACTTCGCTCTTCCGAAAACAGAAAAGCTCCAGGCTACGTACTTCGTTTGGATGCATCGCGTGCTCCCACTGTATGGCAAGGTCTACATCAGCAACCGGAAGTTCTGCTTCCGTAGCATGGTGCCAGGAACCAGGACCAAGCTCATTCTGCCTTTGAAAGACGTTGAGAATGTCGACAAGGAGAAAGGCTTCCGCATGGGCTACCACGGCCTTGTACTAGTTATTCGTGGCTACGAGGAGCTTTTCTTCGAGTACATGTCTGCCGAAGATCGAGATGACTGCGCGATCACCTTGCTGCAGAGCCTTGAGGCTGGAAAATATCTGGACGATGATAGTACCATCCTTCCGACGGACGAGGACAGTGCCGCACTTGCGAAAGACGAGCATCGACTGCTACAAGAAGCACGGACGAGCACAAGCAAACGTGACGCCAATGTTGTGGTGCCAGAAACCAACGAGACTGTCTATTCGCATGATCAGCCGATACTTTTCGATGATCCCAAAGTGTCAATCATCAACTTCAGACCGCCCACGGCGTTGCGCATCACATGCTTGACTATTGGCTCAAGGGGAGATGTGCAGCCGTACATTGCCCTATGCAAAGGTCTGCTTGCTGATGGCCACAAAGTCCGAATCGCAACCCACCGCGAATTTCAGCCGTGGATCGAGTCCCACGGCATCGACTTCAGACCTGTGGAAGGCGATCCAGCTGAGCTCATGCGCATCTGTATCGAGAACGGCATGTTCACGTACTCCTTTCTCCGGGAAGCTTCGACCAAGTTCCGAGGCTGGATCGATGAGCTGCTACAGTCAGCATGGGAAGCATGTCAAGAGTCTGATATGCTGATCGAGTCTCCAAGCGCGATGGCCGGCATTCATATCGCCGAGTCGTTGCGGATACCGTACTACCGTGCTTTTACGATGCCTTGGACAAGGACCAGGGCGTACCCTCATGCCTTTGCCGTTCCTGATCACAAAATTGGTGGCGCTTACAATTACTACTCATACGTCATGTTCGATAACGTGTTCTGGAAAGCGATAGCGTCGCAAGTCAACCGGTGGCGGAAGAAAGAGCTCGGTCTCCGATCGACATCACTGGACAAGATGCAGCCTAACAAGGTGCCATTCCTGTACAATTTCTCACCATCGGTTGTGCCGCCACCACTGGACTATTCAGACTGGGTACAAGTCACCGGCTACTGGTTCCTCGACGAAGCCACGGAGTGGACGCCCCCAGCCGACCTAGTGGCCTTCATTGAGAAGGCTCGAGCTGACGGCAAGAAGCTCGTCTACATCGGGTTTGGCTCGATAGTAGTGTCTGATCCAGCAGGTCTGACCAAGACCGTCGTGGAATCCGTGCTAAAAGCCGATGTGCGGTGCGTGCTTGCTAAGGGCTGGTCAGACCGTCTGGGCGACCCTTCAGCACTCAAAGCCGAAGTCCCTCTGCCGCCGGAGATCCATCAGATCAAAGCAGCTCCCCACGACTGGCTCTTCAAACAGATGGATGCCGCCCTTCATCACGGCGGCGCAGGTACGACAGGTGCAAGTCTACGAGCAGGGATCCCGACCATCTGCAAGCCTTTCTTCGGTGACCAATTCTTCTTCGGCAGTCGAGTTGAAGATCTCGGCGTAGGCATCTGCCTCAAGAAGGTCAACGTCAGTCTCCTTAGTCGGGCCCTGTGGGAGGCCGTCAACAGCGAGCGGATGATCGTCAAGGCGCGTGCTTTAGGCGAGAAAATCCACAAGGTACGTGCTCACACTCCCCTCACTCCACGTTGCCATTACTAACCACCACCACAGGAAAACGGCGTACAAACCGCCATCCGCGCCATCTACCGCGACCTCGACTACGCCAAATCGCTGATCAAAGCACGCGCAGAACTCCAGGGCCAACCCATGCCGCTGGGCGACGACGAAGAGGGAGAGATAGAAGAAACGTGGACTTTCATAGGCGACGAATCAGACCCAGAGCTCATGAAGAAGATGCAGGATTGGGATATTTCCAAGGGTGGGAGGAGCGGGGGCCCGAGGGTCAGTATGGATGGGTTGAGGCGGTGCAGGCTGCTGAGCCGGGAAGGATGGCGAAGAGTGGTGTGTTTCGGTAGTGATGATCCATGGTGATGATGACGACGGAATGCTTTCTAGCAATTGTCGAGGCCATCAAAGAAGACAGGAGACAAAAGAGCTTCTAGCGAGGGAGGCGGAAGTGCCCACGAGGGCTGTGACGAACGGCATGACAGCGACGACGTTTACGAAGAGCAAAGCAAGGCGCAGTGGGAAGTGGTCTGCTGCATGATGAGCAAGCAGACTCTGATTATGGAAGAATGAGAGTAGGATAGATTGAACGATGGTGCGACGGCGGTTCTGTACGGCACCGCAGGAGCAGGAATAGCACGGCTTTCCGGGGCAGAGATGATGATAATTCCTAATAAGAGAGGTTTCGTCAACAAGATCGTTTCTGATGATCGTCGTTCATTTAGGCCATGACTTGGGATATACGAGTAACGAGACTTTTTATGTTAGTGTTGCGGTGATCTGTCTAGCATACGTACGAAAAGCGAAGCAACAATGCTCGTATTACACTTCCAAATTCAGGCGGTGATCATGCATGCGATCTGCGAGCTGTGGCTCGTTGATCATTGTGGGACAGAAGAGCCGCGGTTTGCGAGAGGCGCGAGCGAGCGAGCGAACGATGAGGCCGCCCGAGCATGAGTTCCAAGGTTTTGGCCCCCGAGGAGTTGCCAGCGCACTGGCTGTGTTGGGGGCCGTATCTCGCATTTGCTAACTATTTCATTGTACTTAGGTAGGGTTGTGGATTGGCTCGTATATATTACTGTGATCGATCGCGAGCGAGCCGTGGAGTGCTGGTGAACGAGATCTTTGTTGCTGTATTGGGACGGGTGCGGGCGCTTAAGCTGGGGTGTGCGAGTGGCTCAGGGTAGCGAGGTCTGTGAGTTGACGGGAAATGGTTGGTGTTGCGAGAGACTCTGTTGATGAGCCCAAGGTGCATGACACGAGCCGATTGTAATGAATCGGTCAGTCTGCGAGCAACAAAGGGTCATGATCGTAGGAGTGGCTGCAAATTGGCAAGAAGTGTCATTAAAATTCCCCATGGCCTTGCCTATCCCCAATCGCTATATACAATGAACCCGAAAGGGTCAGGACAGAAAGCGTCTGATTGCTGTCAGTCCATTCTCAGTCCCTTTGCGAAGCATTCCAAGCCTTCCTATCATCAAAAGCACCACTTGTCCGCCTCGCCCGCTCTCTCCGTCGCAGCACCTCCTCCCAGCTCTTCTTGTCCTGCGCTGCCTGCTCCTCTCTCCGCTTACGCTCCCTCTCTTGCTCTGCGAAGAGCGCAATCTCTTCCGCTTCACTCATGATCTTGGGCTCCTGCACGTAGCTTGGCATTGGTGAGGAAGTGTGCTCTCTCGCGGCATCGTGTTTCGCGTGGCGTGAATCGTGGCCGAAGCTCATTTCACGCTGGTGGTGCGAGACATAGTTTTCGAGGTGAGGGTGAGGGAAGGGTATGGTGTGAGAGCGTTCTGGGTGATCATGGGCAGTATGACTGTTGTGACGCGATCGTTGGTGTTGTTGTGGTGGGTGTGGCGGGAATGTTGGCTCATCGTCGGATATCGAGTCAACCTTGCTTAGATTTGGTGTCGTTGAGGCGTGGTGTGGCAGGTGAAAGCCAGCGGGCGCTGATGAGTTGGCGTGAAAATGTTTATGGTTGTCCGAATAATTTGAACCGTGGGGTTGGTGTGAGAATAACCCGTGCTTATTGTGGTCTGTTGCTGCCATGGCTAGTCGTTAGGTCGGTGAGGTTTGTATACGATCTTGCTTTGCTGGGCCGATACACATTCAGATGTCGATGGACGTGCTTTCCATGACCCTGTGTAAGTCCGGGGTAGAAGTGTATATACCTTCTGAGGGATAATCGAAGTAACATGTCACCTGCGAACAGAAGCCGGAAGATGGGCAGATCCTACCTCATAAACAGCAAGCGGTTCGACACTTCTGCTGACACATACTACAAGGCTCCTGACAGAGCTGGTTCCTCCGTATCTATGCCCCGATGGATGGCGGGAACGGCTTAGCGACTCTGGCAGAGCCATCGCGGGTCGGGGGTTTCAACTCATCCTCGTCACAACCATCTTAGGGTTCGTCGGGAGAAAATGATGCATAAATCAGACAACTTTGTGCTCTGCAAACCATAGCAAGTGACCCGGAACAGTTACAAGAGAATTGCTAATGTCTGTTCTGAGTGGTTTAGAGGGATGAACATCGTCATAGGGTCCAAGAATTGAGGGGCACGTGTGGATGAGTAAGCCGTGAGAGACTTTCTGCCACCCACACAGAACACGTTTGTACGAAATCTCGGGCACACGCTAGGATGCCACGCGAAGAGAGGGACCCGGAGAATGTGATCCGATCGGGATCTTGCTGCCAGCGTCAGCGTCTCAGAGATGCTTGAAGAGCTCCAGGGCGCTCAACGGCCCGCTGGACCCAACCGCGGTGCAGACTGCCGTTTTGAGTCGCGCGTCCGAAATCTGGGGACGCACGCGGCACAGAAGGCTGAAGCAGTGTCATGCCCGTGCAGCGCCAGACGCTTGGCCCAAGGAGCGAGCTGCGAACACAGTAACACAGGCCGCGTGTGCAGCAGGAGCCGATGCGAATGGACCAAGAGCCTGCGACGGGAGCATGATGATATAGAAGGAATGCACTTTTGCGGCGCATAGCGTCGGTGCTGTGAACTCAAGATAGTTGTCGTCCGAAAGAAGCATGAAGGAGGCGCAGCAACCGCCTGACGTCCAAATGTGTACACACGACTGCTTGATAGGGCATCATACAGCGGATGAATGCGGTCAGCTCTCTGGCACCTGCTGATGGTATTGGAGGCTCTGGTCAGCGATCTGATGCTGCAAGTCATCCAAGCTGAGTGCTTACGATCTGCAGCCTGTATGGGCAAAGATGAGGCCCGACTTCTCAAATACAGTGCTTCTGATTGTGTAAACCGTAATTGACCTCTCGCATGAGCATCGTGGGTCGCGAGATGCCTACTCCGGATCGCGCATGAAGACCGTTAAGATGACATTCGCCTGTATGCTACAGTTGGCATTGTCGCTTGTGCACCTTCCTCAGAGCCCCCAGACAAATGAATTGTGTAATACCCTATGCGATTATATTTAGTATACGTCTCGCTAAAGTGTGGGCATCGGATTTTCTTTGTGCCATGACCTGTTACTGGGACTGTCAGAAAACCTGGACACACAGCGAGTCTGTGTACACATCGGCAAAACCGACAACAGGTTTGAGCGATCGAGATTGAAGGGACATTGGACTGTCTTGTGTCGTAATTAGCTGCGAATTGTATCTTCGGTATGCGCGATGAGCTAACGGAGGCTCGGGGCTTGCTTAACGTAGATGTAAGGCAGAATCTCCAATTGACAGCACACCGGTATTGACCAAGCGCAACCTTGAACGGCAACCTTCATGATCTCCATGCTGAAGATCTTGTCCCTGTTCTATGGCGGTGTACGGTACAAGCCACTTGGCTGGGGAGGACTCGGGACCTTTCGGTGGGATTTTTGCGACATTTCAACGTCTTTGACAGATCCTGCCATCATGGTGAGGCAACAAGGTACCAAGGTACAGTACCTGCAGGGGAAGCTCCGTCCGCACGCAACAGAAGACCTTTTAGCACGGAAGATCTACGGACAGCTGGGTCAGATCCTTGCTAGTGAGAAAGTGAAGAAATGGTAATTGCCGATTGCCCGATCAAATAATGGACACACGAGTATCAAACGAAGGATCCATGTTAGCATGGTGATTTCGAGGCAGACACTTGTCGCATCTCGAGGAACGCGTGAAGGAGATCCCCAACGGCTCCTTCCCAACTCGGAGGCGGGTCAGCTTTGCGTGATTGGCTCAAGCCCGTGTGGAAGCTCCAGCACTTTCCCCGATAACCCCTAGCACAGCACCCAAAATAAACTACGCTAGAACGCTTCTGCAAGAAGTGTGATTTGACCACATCGCCGCAGCTAAATCCAGTATCCTGACACACATTGGCTTGAGGCGAAGCACGATCTTTGGATAGTGTTCCTGTCCCGTGTAAGCCCACGCTGCATTCTACACGTTGGTCCGGACGGATATTGGTGGGTTGGCAGTCGCAAAAGACGTTGTAGGCAGTAATAGCTGTGTTTTACGTTATTGTACGAGCTCCCAAATCACCACGACCAGGATCTGTGTGCCGGCACGAAGCTTGCATTAGTTCCCGCAACGCGATCCAAGTACATGGATCTCGCAGCCTACCACAGCACGCCTTTTCCTACATGTCCTTTCACATCTTTCAACAGGCCTGTTCGATCCTGTCGCTACATCCATTCCAAAAAGACACCATAGTCAGCGTTCGGTGCTAGAGCTCCGCTCTATCTTCCTTGATCAAAGGAGGTCTATATTTTGTCTCCGGCCGACCACGCTATACCGGATTGCACAAGGCTGCCCACACAGCCGCCTTATGCTCATTCGCCTTGGATCGACTGTTGTTTTTGTCACCATATCCTCAAGGAGTATCTTACGCCTCCTAATCGACTAATCTCTCCCCTGCATCTCCAGTCTAGCACTGCATCCCGGACCACTTGCTACTGGCCCAGAATAACTCCGGCAATAACATCCAAGAACTCAGCCCTGCCAATAGGGATTTCGACTGCTCTCTCGTCTATCCCTCTCCTCGTCATCCTTTTCCCATTCACTCTATTCTTTTCGACAAGACCCATGCATCGACATCTTCAAACAAATCTAAGCTTTGCTTGAGGCTCAGAAGGGGGCGGAGACACCCAAGCAATCGACAGGCTCCACCGTGAAACCTTTGCCTGGCTACTTCCACTCCATCACTTGGTTCGTTCGTATCTTTCTTATAGTCCACATCTGGCCATCGATCAGCTATGGCTCCCAAGAAGAGGTCATCACCGCTCTCTACTCAACAACCACCAACTTCAACTTCACGTCACTACCTGGATCACCACACTCCTTCTACCATATCCTCAGCTCATCAGCAACCTGCCGAAGTACCTGATCCTTCAGGGTTCCGGCAGCCAAGAAACCCTCCAGGCACCTCGACATTCTTTCACTCTTCTTATCAGGCAACACCCGTAGATCCAGCTCTTCAGCCCAAGGTCCCGTTGCCGGTTCACCAGTTCCTTCTTCTGAGGGAACTGCGCCCGACAGCACTTCTCGCAGACAAAGCACATCTTCCACTATGCGCACTTCTTCGTTGCCTCTAGAGGGCGGTCCTACCTCAACACCAACAGGACGGATCAGCAAAGCGAAGAAGGGCAAGAGAGTGCACGCATGCTCATACGAAGCTGCGGAAAGGTTGGTCGCGCCAGCTTTGGATCTCTTATGCTCTACTAATATCTCAAAGGTCTTCACCAGAGCGGAGCATAAACGAAGACATGAGCTCAATCATAACCCAGATGCAATGTTTCATTGCAATCGCCCGGGCTGTCGCAAAGCATTCCATCGGTTAGATCTGCTTCAGCGACACCAGGAGCGACAGTGAGTGATACCCTGAGACAACAGCGTTTGATCTGACGACTCGCAGTGAACTAGAGCATCAACTAGAATCACAGACGGCTCAGAGCCATCACATCAACCCACTTCCAAGCCAAAACGAAATGCCTTCAAGTATGCCGCCGTCAAGTCTCGCAAGCCCGCAACCCGGTGCTGCTGGGCGTGCTTCTGCAGGCATGTCCATTGGCTCGCTAGTACATCCCTCGAGTCAAGGCTATGATCGCATGGGCACACCAGCGTTGTATCCTTCCTTCAACCGACCTGCGGTTCCCTTTGTGAATGGCTTTTCCACGTCTGACGATTCCACGTTCTGGACTCCCGAAAGCAGTCAGTCCCCAGTCTCTGATCAGTACGGAAGACACCATCCACATCGTGGAAGCATTTCATCCTCTTCTTCTGTCGCTTATGACACTGTACAAACATCTCCTATGGTCAATGGCGCCAATATTTGGGTGCCTTCCTCTGCCCCTCCAAACATTCTGCCCAACAACATGTTTGACGACCAGACATATATGACCGTAAGCGATCTTTCATATTGTTCCTGCATATTTACTGAGACTGATCAGTCCCATGCAGAGTCTTCAGTACCCATACCCCTCACAAACCTGGATGGAGACGAGTTCGAATACATACGACGAGAACTATCCAATGCTCCTGGGATCATATCCACAAGTCCAGGAAGTGACCTACCAGGTGGTATAAGACGCGATGCCATTAGATGGGATTGTTTGGAACACTATTGGCAACATTTTGATCCATATTTTCCCATTGTACACCGATCGACATTCTTACCTACGAAACCAAGCCCGCTGCTAGCAAGTGCTATGGTCGCAATTGGGTCCCAATTCGATGACAGAGAGGACGCAAAGCAGTATTCGATGATACTGCTGGAACTTGCGACTCGACTGCTTCGGCGACGGGACACCATCACAAGCAGATCCCGGCTTGCAGATTTGCAGACAGTGTTTCTACTCGAGGTGCTCAGCAAGTACTGCGCACGGCGAATCGAGGTCGATATGTCTGCTCGCTTTCGACAGCTATTCGCAAGCCTGGACCAAGCCAAGAGAACATTGGGCACGAGCTCGCTCGCAGTGTTCCGTACGCTGAAAGCAAATCCCACCAAAGAAGAGCTCAGCAAGGCACACAAGTTCTGGTCGATCATGAAACGCGAAGACGAATCTTCCAGGCATTTTGTGTCATGGACATGCAGCAGACCATTATCTTCGAGCAAACGCCGACGATAGTACATCACAGTCGCACGCGACTAGCAGCTGGTGTATCCAAGCTTACCATGTCCCTCCCCTGCGGAGACGAGTTGTGGTCCAGCAGTCCCATCGAAGACTGGAAAGAGCTCGCAAACGTGCACCAGCATTTAGAGCAATCCAATCTCGACCTGTGCCGCAACTCCGGTGGCGAGCGACAGCTGGACTACTTTCAAGCACACACCTGGCTGCAGTCAGACCGACCGGCCTTGCAACAGTTCTGCTTTGAGAGTGATTCAGATCTGCCTCATTCGTTCGAGAAGGGCCTGCCAGGGATGGAGTCGTGTTCAACAAACATGCCCTGACAATGGCCAAGCACACGCCTCTGAGGGCTCTGCTGCTTGTAAGCGGCGAGTCGTGGATCTTTGGCAAGAAGCTCGAGCATGAGTCTGAGTTCCAGGAGTCCAAGCAGAAGCTCCGTGCTTGGGTGAACATGGGCGCGGATAGTCTGGTGGCATTCTGGCATGCTCTGAAAATCCTCAGGGGTCAATTTGGGTTATCACTTAGCGAACCTCGTCGACCAAGCACCGATCTCTCGTTTGCGCCAACAACAATGCTACACCAACCATGGACGATGTATCTGGCTGCGCTAATCTGCTGGGCACATGGTCTCTGGCCATCTATCTCTTCCGGCATTGCGGCTCATCAGCGGTCCCGAGCCGGATCGGTTGCAAGCGCAAGCGGGTCACATCATTCACACTCCAGCCATACATCTGGGCATCCGCAGGTACTCAGCAATGTAGAGGCATCTTACAATGCCAAAATATACCTGCAAGCTACAGACGTGGACGAGCCGACGGATTTGGCACAAGTCGATCCTGCCATGATGGGCAATTTCCACGGTCTCCTGGAAATGGTTCGCATCCACAAGATTCAACCGCTCTTAGGAGGTCTCATGAATGAGGCAGAACGAGTTCTCTACCGCTTGGTGGAGGGCAAAAGCAACCTTTCGCAATTCTGATTGCATTACGACCAACCATTTGATACGATTACGACCTTTACGATCACAACATTACAAGGCTTTGTCCTCTTCACTTGCTCTTTGAGATACCACTCAGCTTCGACATTGGTCTGGCGAAGGTCGCCAGAGGGGCATTAGACATAGCATGATTCACCGGCGTTTTACCATCACGGTTCTCATCAGTGGAGAGATACCATTGCATGGCCCCAGACTACATGTAAATGTTTGCTTATGGGCCAAGTCCATAATTCAGGGGCAGCATTGTACAGAATCAAGTCACATACAAGCATTACCACACTACAGTCACGCACTTCAACAATGTTTCATGCGCCTCATCTGTGAAACTCAACGCTATGCATCGTTGTACTAAACCCTCATCGCACGTTGCAACCAGAAAGCCACTAGCCACGATTAGCAACTGCACTAAGCTCGACGATACTTTTCTTCTTCAAGAGCGCCAGATGCCGAATTACCCAAAAGTGGACACGAGTTCACGACTTCCGTCCACCCCTGTGCCACATGCAGTCGTGCCTGGCGCGCTTTCCCTTGTGCAGTAGTAGGCATGGGGAACACCCAAAATTCCTGTGCTTGGCAGAAAGTATCTCAAAGCTCCATGGGTGGCCTGATCGAAATTGCGACAAGCGCGTCGACCTGCCTGTGATGCCTGTGGGCATCATTCGGTTCCATTTCGCCAGCGTTATTGTGCAGTAGGATCACAGAAACCATCGAATGCCTATCCTGGAGGCTCTTCAGCAGACCGTCGATCCCATGTCGCTACTGCCGTAACAGCGTGGTCCCGGCCCATGAATATTGATGATCTGCTCGACAAGCGAGAGTGGTGCGTTCGCGACCGAAAGCTACACCAGCAAATGCGGAAAGCGCCACAGGTACTGACATTGACGCGCTCTATCATGTGTCATAGCTGGAAAGACAATCCCATCGTTGTGGTGCAAGATTGATTTGCTTCCCGACGGAGAGTCTATCATCGTTGCATTCTGCACAAAGGTCACAGCGCTGCACTTGATCTATGGCGTTGACTCGGCAAATGGCCGTCGTTGTTCTCTGCTACCAGTGTGATCGAGTATGTACGAGGATCAATGCATAACCCCTACACAGTATGAGCATCTGTCGATCCGTTTGGACCGGAGGGCAAAGTCAGAGCACTCCTTAGTGCGGGGGAGAAGTCCGTTACTTAGTACCTCTGGAACTCTCCGTGCCGTTGCAATCCCTTGAGTCAGACCGGTCTGTCCTCATATCAAGAACAATCGCTACTTTGCCCGGTAGCAGCACGATCTCTCACTGTGATGGACGGGCCATTCTGTTGTCTGACAATGCGCACCAGCAACTTGTCCCACGCGGTGCAGGTCTCTCCACATTCGCATGGACAAAACGAAGTTGACGTCCAAATTCATCAACGGAAAGTCCCACATCCCGCACCTTTGATCCAGATTGACGGGACCATGAGCTTGCACCCTCGGAAGGCAGAATGTTGATGCTACCTCAGTGGACCTTCAGATGGGAAGCGCCTGCCCGCCCGGATGTCAGCACCTTATTACTGTCAACTACATTCGAGGACGTGCAATTCGTTGAGCCTTGGAAACGACAATCACTCTCAGATCTCGTGCTCAGGAGAAGCGAGTCTGCCTTGGACGTATATACCATAGTACTGATGCATTGAGGTGCCGTTCACCCGTCAGACCTCTCCTGAAACGTGTGGCGTTCGATATGCCGCTACTAACGGCTGCATCAGTGCCCTGCACCTGCGCGCGGAAAATAGCCAAGAACACGACATGTTGGTAGCTCGTAATCTGAAACAGCCACTCTTCCCAGCCAATCGCGGAAGCACGCGAGGCGTGCTTCATCACATCTCTGCTCTCGTCCTCGCGCATGCACGATTTCTTCAAAAGTCACATCGCTCCTTCTGGATATTGTCCAGACTGTGAGAAATGCCGACGCAGGGGAAAGCACCAAGAACACGGCTTGCAACGAGTCAAGTCATCCACACTTTATTGCTGACAACATTAGTAGATACAGGGTTCAAGGACTATCGCGGCTATTAGTGTACGAGAAAGTCGCGTCCACTTTCCACCCAAACCCGCTAGGCATGATCGTCGTGCGGAACCCGGATTCTGGATAGAACTTGCCGTCCTTCCATGCAGCAGGGATGCAACAATTTTTTTGTTAGCAGCCAGGTTCTGTGGTCTCTTGTCGTACATGAGACAATCAACGGCATCTTGAGGAAGTGTTTCAAGATTGAGGTTCGTCGCTTTGTTTGCTAGCTCGAGACATTGATAGAAAAATTGGGCTTGCACTTATCGTTAGTCCACCTGCAAAGTCTGGTCCGATCGGCAGCTCTCCATCATCTCGGTGATACCAAGGAGACGCTCGCACATTGTTCGGATATGCCGCACGACAGGCAGGAGGCGCAACGACGACGCCGACAGCCTAATGTTATGGAGAAATTTCGCCGTGGTCCCCCAGACCATACTTGTCAAATGCTATCAGAGCGGACAGGTCTCGAGATTGATCGTTCCTGGAGGAAAATAACAAATATGCTTACCAGATTCCTCTGTACAGTCTAGTGATCTGCGGTTTCAGGGCATCTCGCAAACCAGAAGTAGACTGACAAACCGGATAAAACTGCTCAGGGATTGAACATGAAAGGTGTGTGTTTGCGTCCGATCAGTAACTTATCACCGCAGCCACGACTCAATCAATGACAAAATTGGGAAGACCGGATGACTGGAGCCACGTAGGGGTACTCATTTCAGACCGAATGACCACGGGTGCCAGGCCAACCCGAAGTTGGTAGGCAGCGCTGTCAGCGTGACTATTCGAACCATCTGTTCATTGAGCTACGTCGATTCGCGGAAATAAGAAGCCCAGCGCCCGGCCAGATGGGTGGAGGGGAGGGGGAAGAAGACGTCAGAAAGCATGAGGCACCTACAGAATTGGAGATGATCAAAATCATAGGCAGGTATGGTCCCTAAGGCAAATGCAACGACCATAGTCTATATTCAATCGTATCAGAACTCCTCGAAGTTTCTAAAGGGTAAGACCGGACAAAGACAGCGAAGTCATGGGCTTGACATTGATCTCTGCAACGCCGTAAGTTGCTGCTCTCTGGTGGATGCCCGCCTCCTGCCCAGCTCTTCCCGAAAGCATCCCAATCAGCAGAAGTCCACCTCACCCAAGCTCAAAATCAGTGCACAGCTCCCCATACGCCCGCAAAGTCCGCATCTCTCTCCACGAGAAAGGCATCCCATTCACACTCCAGACCGAAGTGCCCTGGGACTCGACCACACAGACACCCCAGCACAACCCGCTGGAGAAGCTTCCCGTTCTGATCGACGACTCCGGGAAGGGAGAGCCAACGTCCGTGTACGAGTCGCACTTCATCCTCGAATGGCTGGAGGCGTACTACGGCCCGGATCAAGGCTACAAGGGCATACTGCCCAAAGGGAAGGCTGATGAGCTTTTGGCGAAGCAGGTGCAGGTTGTGGCGGATGGGGTTGCTGATGCTTGTGTTTTGATGTTTGTGAGTAGTAGCACTTGCCGTCCCAAGTGATTCTTGGCTTTGGACACTTGCTCTTTCCCCGGAGCATCGCGTACTAATGACCGCTTTCCCTGCAGTTCGAAAAGCAGCGCGACCAACCCTCAAAAGAGTGGATCGCACGGCAGGAGCGCAAGGTCAATGGCGGGCTCAAAGCACTGTCGCGGTGGGTCGGAGACAAGGAGTTCATTGTAGGCGATGAACTCTCGCTAGCTGACATCGCCGCGGGCACTGTTTTGGGCTACATGAAAGTCCGGTATCCAACGCAGGACTGGCAGGAGGACTACCCAAATCTGAAGCAGTATAGCGATCGCCTGGAAGAGAGGGAAAGCTTCAAGGATACAAAGCCTTACCCTCAGAAGATTAGCGACAAGATTGTGTAAATAGATAGTGATTTTCTGCCAATGGCGAGAACACGAACCCAATTGGCAAAGCTGTGTTCACTGGTAGTCGGCATGCTTGCTATTGATACTTTCTCGTTCATAAGAAATTTTTATGGACGCTATGCAATGCTCTAGCAATATTCATGCTGATTCAATCAATGCTGGCCGTCAGTGCCTACTGTTCCGACTACGCCACGGTTGGCTTGCGATGATCCGGACGAGGCCTGACTCTGAGACTGACTCTCTATATCAGTCCTTGGCGTGAGCTTGCCCAAGCTGACGCTTTCTCCCGTACTGCCTACATTCTGGCGCTCGTCCTCCGTCAACTCTCCATATCCGCGGCCGTCGCCAACCAGGAGTCCAAACTCATGCCCTTGACTTCGAGGTGCCCATGCCCACCCGTTGGACAAGCTGATCGGCACTTGGTAGAAGCCGAAGCTGATCCAAGCACAGAAGATACCGATGACTGCTCCAGAGATGATATCGAAGCCGTGGTGCCGATAGTCGAACCAGCGCGAGAGTGAGATGAAGAAGGCAGTGCCGATTGGTACGGCCGCCAAGAGGACTAGATACATCGGAGGAGCAGCAGCTTTGTGGCGAAGCCCCTGCGGTACGCCGCGCTCGGCATTAGTGGTGGGAAGAGTCGACTCGGGCACCAATGCAGTAGCCGGCGCTCCTCGTCGACTGAGCAGAGATGTCCACACAGTGGGAATCTTGACGCCAAATTGGCGCAGAAGTACAGCGTTAGGTACAGCAGTCCTGCCCAGCTGGTACTAGCATGGCCGGAAGGCCAGCTTGCGAATGCATTTCTCATCTCGTCCTTGTCTTCATTCCTACAGATCTGCCATGTGACGATGATGGGAGCAGTGGCTGTGCTTAGATCTGTGCCGCCTAGACCGCCCACCCGCCATTTCTCGATGGCATCTGAGCTGAGATCAGGATCGCAGACCGACAGCAGATGTGGTCTTGGTTTGTTTGCAGCCGCCTTCAAACCCTCGGTGATTGTGATAGCGCTGAAGACCGCCAGACATATACCAAGCCACCCAACGTTCAATTCCCAGACCTTGCGGCGCCAGAGCGATTGCCTCGAGCGAAAGCTGCGAGCGGCTGACCATCCAGGAACAGCAAAGACGCAGATCAGCGCGATGATGATTGCCGGAAGAATGATAGAGGTAACGTAGAGCACTCCATTAGAGACCAGATCTGGCTTATGTGGAAATGATATGTTCGGATCCTGTAGGGAGAATGCATGGCGCGTATTCTTTGCGTCAATAGAGTTGAATGCGCCAGCAAGGCCAAGGATGAGGAACACAATTATCCAATCGAGAACGTAGCTCAGGATGAGGCGGCAGGGTAATTGACGGATCCGAGCAGTGATGGAAGCCATCCTGGGGCGCCGGCGAGGTTGCCGATGCAGTTCCTTAGCATGCGCTCGTCGAAGAGATACCGCTGTCTTTCAAGCAACCGTGTATATGATCTATTTGTTGAAAGTGGCAAAGTCCAAGGCTTCAAGCCGATCTCATGGTGCACTGGAAGGCATGCGCTCCAATGAGTCTCAGTCGAGTATCGTGGTACGCGCGATGTGGACATCCAAGAAGACCGATGACTTGGGAGGACGCTGACGAAGGAGCTGATAGTAATATGAAAAGTCGCGTGCTCTTCAAGGGTAATGAGAAAGGTAAGCAAAGGGTTCTCGTAGATCTCACAGACACAGCCACAGTGTTGTCGTCGGCTTTCAAGCCAATCGTACGAGTGGATCGCCTATCGTGTGGAGTCAGATGTGGCGTCGATCCCCCGGGTCTGAACGCCAGTAGCCGACGGAATGATGGTAAAAAGGCAGTGCGTGAGATCTATTATGAGGCTCCAGCTAGCATAAGCTGGCTGTGTGTAATGACTTCGTGCGTAGTGTATCTGTAGGTCGTAGGATTTGCAGGATCAGAGCTGCCTCTACTGCCTGCTTGGGTTGCGCCTTTTATAGTTTGACACGATGATCACCTGCAAGTACCTGGCGCGGGACTTGCTGCATGCGGATGCGGGAAGAGTGGTTATCACAGAAGCAGCAGCCCGCAAGGCTTCTCTTTGAAGATACTGCATAATGCTTCTCCGTTGACGATCGTCAAGGATATTGGTTTATGGCTAAAGAGCAAGGATAGATGCCCAGGTGTCTGGCACCTATCCAACACGACGTGGAGCAAAGGTCGCTTCATCCACATAGCTCACGACGTAACTCTACAACTGCTAGTTCTCTGACTAGACAGTCTTTGAGATACCCTCGGAGCTATCCGTGCCATTCGAGTTATGTCCATTTCCCTTCTCGACAATGCCATTACCATCACCAGCCGGAGTGCCAGTAATGGGCGCTTCCCCTTCAAGATCCATACTTCCAGGTCCTTTGAAGTGAGTCCTTCCATAGACGATGTACCAGATTGCAGCCACCACAGCGAAGAAGACGAAGACAACGCTGGCGTAATTCATCGTCGAGGGTGTGACAGGAATCGCTACTGGCATACAGAAGATCACAATGGCGAAGAATATCCAAACAATCGTCACGCCATTGATGAATGGCCCGAATTTGCCGAGAGAGTAAGACGACGACTTGACCAGTTCGCGCTTGCGGATGAGACTGACCAGGATCGGGACGCAGTAGCTGGCAGACAGGCAAATAGTGGCGACGCCTGTGAAGGAGTTGAAAGCTGCCGAGGATCCAAAGTAGATACACGCTAGGGCGCAATTCACTAGGGCAGATAGGATGATCGCGTTGACTTGAAGCTCGAGCTTGGGATGAACTTTAGCCAGAAGGTGTGTCCAGGGATGGCGCCGTCTCGAGCTAGAGCCAGGTGCAGCGAGAAGCCGCGGTCAAGGAGCCGATGCCGGCAAAAAGCCAGATGCCGAGAATGAGGACGAGCAAGCCAGCTCCGCCAGCCTTTGATCCGGTGACCTCTTTGAAGAGTAGACCGATCGGTTGGGAAAAGCCGAGCAGATACTCGACGTCTGGAAGGGTGAAGAGAATCGGGAGGATGTAGACGATGCCAGTCAGTCCAGCAGCTGCCACGCTAAGTACCATTGCCTTGGGGACCTCGCGCTATTTGAACTGTCAGTGCTTATGTATTTTGGGACAGCCAATTTAAAGAAATTGTGTCTGCGCCTGGCTCAGGGTATTTGGGCTACGTACCTCCGGATGCTGCACCTCTTCACACATGGATGCAACCATGCCATAGCCAGTCAAAACATAGGCCGGTTGAAGCAAACCAACGAAGAATGACCAGCCGTCACCCCATCCAGATGCGGATGCATCGTAATGCGTGAAGACATAGTCGGCAGAGTGTCTTCCAACATCGGCGGTGGCAGACAACGTAATAAGGATGATAACCATGGATGCCCCCGTCCACCAAATACATGCTTGGTTGATGAAGTCCAGCCACCTGACGCCAAAGATGTTGACCAACACGCACAGCAGAGTCACGGCCCAGAACATCAGCACAGTCTGCCATGGCGTCGCGATGAAGCTTTCATCGTAGATCGTGAGACCACTCAGGATGAGTTGTGCTCCACCGAAGTTGATCGACAATGTGACGGTCCAGTTCCCGACTAGTGTCAACCACCCATCGACGAAGCTGACCACGGCGGCATATTTAGGCGTGCAAAGGATCGCGGACCAGTGATAGACGCCACCAGCCGTCGGATACACCGCACAGATCTCTGCAAGGGAGGCGGCGATACACAGCGAGATGAGAGACACCAGGATCCAGCCCCAGATGATCGAGACACACTGTCCGTTCGGCAGCGTGACATAAAAAGTCGTTGAGAGACCATAGGGAACTGCCATAATCGCAAAAGATAAGCCGAGGACGCTTATCATGGACAGGCGCTTCGGCAGCGCCTTTGTGTCATAGCCAGAGCGCACAGCATGTTGCTGGATAGAGGCGCGGCGCGAATCCATGCTTGTGATCGGAGACTGCGGCGACGTCGTGCTGTACTATGCTATCGCGTGTGATGTAAAGAAGGAAGACTCAAGCTATGAAAGAGGGTTGCGAAGTGTCAGCTAAAGTCTGTTCGCTAAGCTAGGGCTCGCCAAGGTTGGTGGCTGTCTTAGAACACCTTTGGGTAGCGAGTAGCTGAATTCCAGACTTCGGACAATGGAGAAGTCCACGTGCTGAGCAGCGCTGCAACCCTCAGCACTGGAGCCTTGCTGAGCGGTTGTACCTGTCAATAAAAGCACACGATCGGCGAGAGTTTGGGTTGAAAGAGAGAACGCGAGAAGAAGGGAACAGGAACGTCACAGGCTCACAGCGTGGGATTGGAAGCGAAAGTCTATCATCGCAATTCCAATCAACAAAAACATATAAGCTATCTATCAGGCTAGCAGCCATGGCATCGTATTTACTGATAAGAATCAGAGATCGTGTGCCTTGAGAGGTCTGACATAATAATGTTGGACGTCAAGCATCCTTAAGCGTCGCTTTTCGGAATACTTCCTTTGCTTCGGATGCTCTTGCCATATTTGTAGAACAAAAATGGAATCGGAAGCAGGGCTATTGTAACGAAGCCGAGCAAACTCCCAGCCCATTTAATCGTCAGGCCCCTGAACATCTGAACTGCGAAGAGCGGAAATGCTGCACCACACGCATAGCGAGCTAGGTTGTTCGCACTCATTGCACTCGCGCTGCCCATAGGTCCGTACACCGATGTCAAGTATGTCGCAGCTGTATCAAAAACGAGTTGGTTTCCAGCGCCGAAGAAGGCCAATGCGACGGTGGGAACGATCCAGTGGATATCGCTTCGAGCAGACCACGCGAACCAAAAGAGGGAGATCGGCAGAATGATGGCACCAAGCATTGAAGCGTACAAGCGCTCTTCTGGTGGCACTGACTTCTCGCTGCCTTCGCTCCTCAGTCGTAGCGCCTGGGGTCGGTATGTGACACGATCAATGAATATGAAGACGCCTGTGCCCAAAATGCAGCCGACGCCAATCGCGATGAACACCAGTCCTGCCTGGCCAACACTGAAGCCGTACACAGTGCGGAAGACCCACGTGACTCCTGGAAAGAATGCAAAGAGCACGCCAAACGTGAAGCTGCAGTAGACTGCAAATGCTGTGCAGATCGGTTCGGTGAATAGCATGCGAAGCGCACGGAGGACCGTGACGTTGAACAGAGCCTTGACTTTGGCAAAGCCAGGAGGCAACGGATCGTGTGGTGGAGGAAGACCGTACTTCTTTGCTCGATTGCGCAGGATGACTTTCTTGTATGTTTCCTGTTGAAACAATGCAAACAGCCAGGCGAAGCCGCCTGCGCAAAGTAAGAGCCATTGACCCCATCTCCAGGTCCCTTTCTGAATAGGATAACCGGCTGTGGCTGGGCCCAAGGCAGGCCCTAGGAAGGGCGCAAGGATCCACAGCGAGGCCGCAGCTGCCCAGTCGATGGGTTCCCACACATCTGCCGTCGTTCCTGAGCCGACCGCAAGTGGTCCCGATCCTGTCACACCGGCGAAGAACCTCGTGATCAGAAGCGACGTGATGTTTTTCGACAGCCCAGCACCTAATGTGAACAACAACGATATTGGCGTGCACCAGATGTATACCGCCTTGCGACCGAAGGTCTCCGACATCCCGCCTGCAACCACCGGGCCAAATGATAGACCAAGGACGTACAGACTGAGACCCAGAATGGCAACTTCTTCGGAAACGTCGAGGTCCTCCGCCACCTTTGATATACCTGGAGAGTATGCGCTGGTGCCGTATGTGACGACGAAGGACAGGAGCGCGGTCACGCCGCTATGGTACGCCCTTTTCCAAAGAGGCCAATTGCGTGGGTTGCCTTTGTCGTCCGGTCCATCCCAATCTTTCGCTGATGTGTAGACTTTCTCAAGGCCGGGTGTCGCAGCATGGACAGACGGACTGTCGGGAGAGTCTCGATGCTCATCCGTCTTGGCTTTCTCGAGATTCTTCTCGATATCTGTTGGAGTCTGAGCTTCCGACTCGTTGCTAGACGCCGTGGTTAGAGGCGCTTGAGGAGAGGTGGACCCCATGTCTGGCAAGCGTGGGTGTTGCTATCAACCAGTATTTCGTGCTCGAGGACTGCCAGATGGGAATCGCATGAAAGTAGAGAAACGAGAGCTATATGTCGCATACGAAATGAAGATTTGATGTATTTGTTGGCCTCTTGCAAGCTCTTGCCTTAATTACTGATCGCAGCGAATGTAACAAACGAGCCGACATGAGTCAAAGTACTGACTTTAAAGCACCGTCGGACCCCTCTCAGACGATTCGACATTGCCGAGCTTAATTAGTGATCTGAACAAGGACGCCCACAGGAGAGATCATCTGCTGCCACACGGAATTCCTGGATAATGTACGAGCCGTCCGCAAGAAAGTCAACAGTCCGACAATCAACACCAGACAACGTCGCAAAGCACCGTGGCGCGTGTTAAGCTCGCAAGCCCATCAGTGTCGACAAATGAGAAGTCCGTGACATGACGCGGTAGGTCCTTGCGACCGCTAGTGTCCTCGGTGCAATGGCCTTGGCAGCACCGATTACTGATCACTGAGCTTGCGCTTGCGTGTGGACCATTCCCCAGATTAGTGAACCGGATGTTGATGATGCTTTATATCTTGATGCCTCCTGACAGCGATGTGCCGACTTACCGACAGCGTACGTACGAGTGCACAAAACCGTTGAGGACTTATTGCGCCATTGGCGGCCATATTGCGTCTCTTGATCAGGTCAAACTGCTGGGCATTGATCGCAAAGCGTGAACATTTGGTGACGTGCAGGCATTTGAGTCTCGGAACAAAAGAACACTTGACAGCCGAAGTTTCAAGCAATATCTGTATGTTTCGAGGATCTAAGGTCGACCTACTAGCAGTTGATGAAAGGCTGGGGAGGTCAGGTATATTTGTACCCAGTATACAATAAGTCTTACTGGTCATCGGGATTTAGGCCATCCACCTCACGATTACTCGCTACCTCGCTCACCCCATCCTCTATTCTAACTCAGGGTGATCACTCGCGACTGAATAGGGTATAAGCGCTGCTCGCTCATAGCTTCGGTTTGACGCCTGAAGGCAGTGGTCTCATTATGGACTGCTGAGATTCCATAGCAACCAGCTGACCGTGTTCATCAAAGAGGCGAGCTTCGGAGTATGTGCGCCCTCCTTGACCGGCGATCGCCTTACGCTCTTTTATGTGCCACTTCGTGAAGTCGAAGTTGTTGGTGAACAGTCGTAAGGAGAAGTCCAAGCTGCTACACGCACCAACATCTTCGAGGTATTTGTGGTCGTGTATCAATGGAATGAAGGAAAGTCCACCGTCCATTGCCCACGCGAGTGAGGCCATCTGGTCTGCTGTTGTCGGCAGACTTCCTTTCGCTCTGTGCCATTCTGCGGAGAACTTCTCCGTAATGTGAAGATGGTCCTGGTCCGTATTCAGATGCTTAGCGAAGCCCATACAGTTCTGGCCGGATACCCCTTCTGGAGCAGGGATCTGGTCAAAGTATTTGCCTGACAAGGCAAACATTGTGTCTAAAAGAGCTCCAGTCTGCTTGTCGATCTTGCCTTCTTCGACATACTGGTCGCGAAGCTGTTGCGTGGTGACAGTAGGTCTCTTATACTGCCGTTCAGGCGGCGGATAGAACTCCATAGCACTGGCCGGCTCTGCAACCTGAAAATCTGCGATGAGCTCCAGACATTTGCGGTCCGTCCCATTGTCAAGCATCTGCGATACGACGACTCGCCGCGTCGCAAATGTTTTGGTGTCTCGACTGTGGTAAACGAAGCACTTCACGCGCCTATCGGTGACAGCCGGTCCCAGAAAGTAGCCCAGCAGGGAGTACATGTAAAAGCCCGGCTTCACAGTTTGACATGCAGCGTTGACGGCCGCCGCAGTAGTGCACCCACCATATGCTATCGGCGCTACACATGGTCAGTATGGACACAATGACAGAAAGAGCCTGAAATCTTGCTTACTACGATTGCCCATGGAGGCAGGTGGTACTTTCGACATGAATTCATGCTCGGCAATCTTTTCTACCGCGAAAGATTCCGCCAAGGTTTCTGGCAGAGTCGATGCCGCCATCTCTGACAGGTATTGGACGAGCTGGAACAGTAGGCTGATTATCGTCTACAGTACATCAAGATCTTGCGAAGCTCTATCATTATTGAAAGTACCTGCTCGAAGGTGACTTTGATCAGGGTTCAATTCCGGTCTGCAAGAAGCCGAGGTTGGAATTGTCATCCCTTGGCGGCCTTTGCCGCACTCCGGAGCTGCTGGAGTATCTAGGGTATCTAGGGATCTTTTGAATCCAGTATCAGCAGTGTTGTAGGTGGTCGCGGTATTGCGAAAAAGCTACGACTCCCCAAATTAGCCAAGTCGATCTCTGCTTGAGATCCGGATGCAAGGCTTCGCGAAGAAGGCGACAGGCATTCCACTGATTGCAGATCTGACGGGATTTTGGATTACCTGGCTTAGGATCTGCGGACGGAAAGCAGTCCACACAAACCCCGACAAACCATAAAAGTATACGGCGACGAGATTGCGCTGTTCGGGGCGTCGAACAGAGTACGATGCCATCTTCATTCGCCTAGATTGTGAGCACTGCAACTACCCGTCTACATATACGGTTCTTGGACTGGTGAAATATTGCACAATGCAAGCCCGTTTCAGCTGTTCGTGTTCCTTGAGAACCAAGTCAAGGCAACACCACCAGAACACCGAGATGGCCCCAAGCACCCAATCGCACCTGGAGAGGATCAATCCGGGCCAGTGAGCTGCCGAAACTCTGTGGAGTTTTAGTATTCTTAGGCCGCTGTGACGACGCAGACCAAGCACTCTCTGCGGCCACTGCAAGGATCGTGGCTCAGCGGAAACTCTGGAACTATGCCCAGAACGCTTTCGCAGCGAAGTGCCGTCAGCTGCTTATTACAGAGTACGATCGGTCAGCCACTAGAGTCTTCCTTCTCTCTTCAAGTCCTGCGCAGCCGTCGACGAGTAGAAGGAGCATCCATTATTCTTCTCACAGCGCATCAACTTTTCGCGCAAAGAATTACCAGAATCTAGTAGTAGCGACCCTGATCAATCCGGCCCCGCTGTACTCGAACACTGATCACCGCTTGGCGGTTGCATCATATCCGTGGCTCCCTGGAGCCAGAGGACCCTCCCGTTGCGACCGCAGTTCTGACAAAGTCGAGATATCTGGTCGTCCACCAAATTTGCGTCTCTGAAACATTGCTATTGGCATCTTAGACAACCCTCATCCGTCAAGATGCCGCGGAAAGTCGCATACACTCAGATCACGCCAATCCCGTCGCACATACCTCGCCAGATGGGCATTGACCTTCTGCACAGTCATGGCGAACTCATAGAACTAAATCCACTGGTGTTGGAATACCACCAAATCAAACCTCCTCGAGATGCGCCCGCGGACGAGTTCTTTTCTACTTGGTACGAAATCACAGAAAGGATACAAATGGTACCAGGATTGGGGAAGCTGGGATCAGGGAAGATCAATTTTAGGGGCGTGTACCATGACATGCCATGGGGACTTCAAACACACGTATATCCGCCCGGCGGCATTGACCTACGTGTGAAGTACTCGATCAAAGGAAATCAGCCGGGAGAGCCACCGGAGCCACGAGAGCTGGGAAGTGCTGCCCCGGCTGAAGGCTTGTACCTTCGTGAGGATATTGAGATCAAATGCAACTTCACAATGGTTGGATTTGTGAAGAAGGGCATGAAGGACGCCTCGAAAGTTATGATCGACCGACTGATCAAAAAGGCCGAGCTCATTGACGCAGAACTATTGCGACAGATGATGGACGCGCACGGCATCAGCGACAGTCAGAAAGGCGGCAGTATGAGTGGGCACTCACCTCAACCACCAAACTCACCTGGCTTGTCGGCCGTCGGCAGTGGTGGTGGAACACCGTTCTCCCCAAACCCAAGCGCCGATCAATTCAAGCGACATACTATGATCGCAGGGTCCGATGTCTTGCGAAAACGAGAAGATGCCATGCGGGCAGCGATGTATGGCAATGGGTACGCGCCACAACCAAGCCCTAGTCTGCAGCACCCCAACATGTCAGAAATGATGGGTTCTCATCCATCACAGCAGAGGCAATCGTCACAATCATCTTACAATAATTACAGCAACCCAGGTCTGGCCATAGAAATGGAAGGTGATACGCACTTCAAGCGGTCTCCACAGCCTTCGCCGGGTCTGGGTGCGCCTCGACAGTCAACATACTCAGAATTGTCGGGAGAAGGAGGCAATAGCCACGCTTCCCGGCCTTCAAGCGTGGCGCAAGGAGGGGGCACAGAGATCAGTTCTGGCTGGGGCGGATCACAGACCAGCTCAAGCCCGCGAGTCGAATCCCACCCAGGGCAAGGGGGATACAGATACAATCCGAGAGACTTCGCACAGGAGTTGCCAGCGAACAGATGAGGCAGGAGTGTCTGATGTCCATGATTTCGCGAGCGCTAAGCCGCTGGGGTTTGCCCTTTACTGCAACCGACCTCTGCCCGGTACGATGACCACGAGCGGCAGGAGGTGACGATGTTGAACGCGCAAATGCATGGCGTTCGGAGGAGTAAGTCAGAGCTTGGTCAGTTGGTTTGATGAGATGTATACCCTTGGAGGATCGAATTAAATGTGGTACAATATTCAGTGTCTAAATCTGTTCCATCTATTTCACCTCCTACTGTCCAGTACGGCGCCTCGGAGTAATGCGACCTTCGAGTCGTGGCATCTCCTGCCTCGCACGAGTTTCGACGAGACATAGGTTCGCGCAGCACAGAGCAGCCTTCGGCTGTTGCAAGGATGCTGGCAATTGCAGATGACTACCGCAGTTCATAACAGCCCTTGCAACTTTGAACCTCAGCATCAACGCATTGGTTCAGTAGCCGCGTCCGCCTGAAACGGCCCCAGAAAATAGGGCTCGCATGTAGGCGCCGGCCCGCCGCCCCGCGTTGTCCCCGAACTTCAATTCTAACGAAAGCTCAAATGTTTCGCACCTTCCAGTTTGTTGGTTCTCGTTCCTGCTCCAGTTCCCTTTTACCCTCCACACCTCTGCTGTTTACCTATTGCAACACACTCTTCGCGCTCCCACAAGCCTCCCTCGGAGTAATCTCGACTACGTTAGTCTACATGCCAGCCGGCCCTTTGCGGACAAGACTACTACACATCCACCTCACCCCACGCATCCCATACACGACCTCTCTCCTCATCCAAGACCAGCTTCTCAACCTCCACTGGCAGCATCGCGCCGCGCTGAAATCATCCACACCCAGCCCATCCTCACCACCACCACCACCAATCCTCCTCTCCTTCTCTACCCACCCAACCTACACAGTCGGCCGCCGGCACCTCCTCACCAATCCGCTCTCCTCCTCACAGATCTCCTATTTAACAGCCAACGACGCTGCGGCCTTCCATCCGACCTCACGCGGCGGGCTGCTAACGTATCACGGTCCGGGCCAGTGTACGGCCTATCCGATCATTGATCTGAGGAGATTCGGGCTGAGTGCGCGGTGTTATGTGCGGCTGTTGGAGAATGCGGTGATCAGGACCTGTGATGGGGTGCTTGAGCGGGCGGGAGCCAAGGCGAGGACGGGGAGGAGTGCGACTGATCCGGGGGTTTGGATGCTGAAAGATGGTGCTGCTCAGCCTCGATCGGACAGCAACAGCTGCCAGCCAAGCACGGAAGAACAAGCAGACAGCGCACTACCGGCTGTAAGCGACCGCAAAATCTGCGCCCTAGGCGTCCAAGTCACACGCGGCGTCACCGCGCACGGCGTCGGTCTCAATGTGCGAGACCAGGCTATCGAAAAACGTCTGAGAAAGCTCTACTACGATACAGAAGATATGACCGAGAACAGAAGAGCAGGTTACCTCTCCTACGGCTTCTCTCGCATCGTCGCCTGCGGCCTTGAAGGCAAATCCACTACGTGGCTGAGCCGCGAAGGCGTAGATGCTGGAGACGTGAACGTGCCGTGTGTAGCGAGGGAACTGGCGGAAAACATTGCGGTCGGAATCGAGGAGACGGGCGAGAAGAAGGGGCTTGTTGATGGTGTTGAGACTGTCGAGTTGGGCAGGGGGGACGTTGAGGCGCTGAAGTCGGGAAGCGCTCAGATTGGGGAGCTATCCACGATCGAACGAGAGTTGCGACGGAATTGGCAGCAAGTTGAGGTCTCAGTAGACCGAACTCACTGAACGGAATCCCCTCAGACATTCAGCGCACAGTCATTCCCATCGCCCAAAAAGCAAAAACCAACACCCCCGAAGGGCCTGTTGGAAACCTAACTGAATAGGTTTTTTGGATTATGGGTTATGTTATTCCTAAGTACCACACCTTTAACGCTATCGATCGATCGTGAGGAGGATGAGGAGGTGTTCTTCGATGCCTAACATAGCAGGGTGGCCCAGATTGAAAGGGTTATGGTGGTACCCAACCCTGCTACCCACATGGACGGCGGTGGCTTAAGAACTCGATTCGGTTGCTGAGCAATCGCTTTTGTGGTCGATTGTTGACCGAAAATGTGGAATATCAGTATATAAAGGACCGTTGTTGGTAAGTGCCAAGACTGGGTTACGGCGCAATAGGTGACCAACGGCCATAGTCTGGTAAGGAGGTCTGACGGTGAGGGTGTTCCGATGAGGTCCGAGTCAACGTCGGAGTGATGGAGGCTTGCATTTGGAACACGACTGCTTCTTTCTCTAGCATGTTGAGATTATCTACACATCTCGTGCAGATCCAGGTGGGACAAGCTCCAAGACCGGTCATCGTGCAGACAGTCAAGCATATACAAGCTCGCCCCACCACTAAGCAGCGGTTGCTAACATGGAAGGCGTCGGACTCTGCGAGTGCCTTGGTGGTTGTTGGACGCGGAAGAAGAGAAGAAGTCTGGGGCAGAACAGATACTCGTACCTTCTCCTCAGAGCGCAGACCCGGCGCAAACCGAAACAATCGCTTCACTGACTCGAAAGAGGAAAAATTCACTGCGGGTAAAAGATTCGAGGTCAAAGTCACTGTAGGTAGGCAGGCAGACAGCATCGTGCACTCGCAGCGGCCGGGACAGCCAGCCCAAGCCGGTTCTTAATCACACTATCCATGCGAAGTCAGAGTCGCAGCACCATCACCAGCATTTCTCTTGTGAGGTCAAAAAATAATCAACGGCTGACAATAATCACTGTCACTTATCAACACTTGCGAAGCAGCAAGACGTCGAGTGAAAGCCTCCGTAGGACTGAGGCCCTCCTCATTTGGTGTCATCTTTGAAGTGCATTGCACAGCTGCTGAACCGCAAGCCAAGACGTGCCAACGGTGCATTGGGAAGCAGTCACGGGGTGATGGTCAGAGACAGCCAGTCTACGAGGCGGCCAACATGGCTGCATGACGAGCCCTACAATTTGATTGGGCAGTATCGCTAGTAGTCAGGAATCGGTCCATCGATGTGCATCAAATAAAGTAAAAGACTACTCAAGCATACAATCGCTCAAGCCTCCCGAAATGCGTCTATGGTAGTTAAAACGACGCGTTGATGCAGCCAACCATTGACCGGAAAGACGACCGATGACTGATGCAGCGATCTGAGTCCTCCGACAGAGTGACAGGATGCCTTCCTGCGAGGACTCGGACAGCTGGATGGCGACGACTTCATGAGACAAGGTCAGAAGTGTCGCATTCCTTTCTGTCTCCATGCCCCTCCCATGCACGCGCAGTCGTGCTAGGATCTCCATACAATTTTCTGAAAACGGATGAATGCAACTGCCGCGAACTCCAAGCAATAGTCAAGGGCGTGGCGGCCTTTCGGCGGAAGCAACAGAGCGAGCAAGGATAGGCCACGTGCGTGGCCAGGCGTCGGATTGCAAAGCCGACCAACTACCTTGGCGGCCTGAAAATTGGTTGAACTGCGCCGATGGTGACTAGCGACACGCGAGCGGTGATGTGGTGACGAGGCCTCATGATAAGGGCCAAAAGTACATGGTCGAATGCGGAAAAAAGGATCGACGCGCTTCATTCTTTGAGTATGATGTCCGTATTCCCCGAGAACTAGTGTGGTGCTTATGCAGGGCAGTATCACCTAAATGTTGATAAAGATGCCGTAAATGCCTAGTCCGAAATGATCCGACGAGGTCCGAGCTCAACGTCCAGCGTAGAATACCCGCGCTCTTTGGCAACGAGTCAGGAGCACTCCGAGCGGACAGATTCCAGGCTTTCATGGTGGAAATGAAAGAGCCGCTGATTCGCCCAAAATAGCGAGGAGCCTGGAATGTAGATCATCTCCCTTGGTACATGTGTGGTGTAAAATCACTGTGTGAATAGTGCGCTGAGTCTTGCGATGCCGGACCCCAAGCGCTCTGATCAAGCGGTATCAGAGTGCTATGTGGGTATCTCATCGGAGCCCGGATGGCAGAGCTGTACTCGCTATGTTTGAAGTTATCGGATGGTGGCGCTGCTGGGAGATAGGGTTGGTTCAGCGATGTTGGAGGAAGGCTGGACGTATTGGCTGGTGAGGACGCCGGCGTTGCGTATGATTCTGTGGAAGGGTGGCGGCTGGCTGAGGACATCTGATGGCTTGAAAATTGGTCGGATGGGGCAGATATTGGTTGATTGGGGAAGTGTTGCGGGCTGTACTGCTCCTGAACATATGTGGTATCGTAGCTTGCAGGCTCAGTATATGGGACGGACGTGTACGGAAAGCTCTGCGAGGTTGTCGTCGCGTAGCTGTAGGGCTGATCGTATTGAGAAGCTGTGGTGTCAACCGTGCTGAACTGATTCGAGAAGAGGTACGAAATCACATCCTCTGCATTTGACTGGTCGTCTGTCATGTAGTTCCCGAATTGCTGGAAGTTGTCCTGCGTTGGCAAGTCGTTCGCAAGTAATACTGTGTACGCTTCGTCTCTTTTGTAGATGAGATCGTAGTGGCCACTGGCGATTGTTAGCTTCCTAATTGTGATCAGCTGGAGTACTCACGGCCGGTATAGTAATCGAATAGCAGGCTTCGAGGCGGCGTTTTCAACGAATTCGTGTGGTGTGACTTCGTCGCCAGCACTTCGATCGAGGTATAGAACCTCGACCGCTAGACCAGCTGGAGCGATGACACCAGTGTCAATGCCTGAAGCCCAATCTGATCGATCTCTTGCTGAGTCGGATCTATGCGAGTCTGTCGGTATTGATCGAGGCTCATCTCCAGAAATGGTTGGAAGTCCTCCGCACGCAGAGCCATGTAAGCACTCGTCATCATCTTGAAGTGATAGACTATAGCGTTTGACCGATTCTCGTCGTTCAATGCTCTGGTGACAACGTCGTTGCTCCTCTGATTCTGCTCGAAAGCGCTCAAGATCTCCTGGAATAGCGTCCAGGTCTCGTCGAACATCTCCTCAACAAGACTGTAGTCTATGCCGGCCATCGTCATGGTATCTGCGAAGGACTTCAGGCGAGTGAACTCTTGCAGAGCGAAGTCGCGGTTTCCAGACAACCATATGCTTTCAAAGTAACCGAACACAGCGCCTAAGCACGATCAGCAGGGCCAAGCGTTCAAGCTGATGCCTCATACCTCTCCATCCGCATTGTCCATCGCCTTTGACCCGTCGATAGGCTACGTATCTGCTGGCAAGCGCCTGTAGATATTAGCAGTGTGGCAGAAACATTGCGAGAAAGATCGCACATGGGTCTTGGCAACGTAAGTTGGATCGGCTTGAGAGTACTCAGTGACGAGTGCGGACATTGGTAGCTTGTCGCCAATCAAAGGACCCTACCGATGTCAGTGTACTGGGACTTGGTATCAATGGCTTTGCTACCCACTTCCAATGAAGGCTGATATCTGTCTGATAACCTCTGGAATTCCTCCATCTCCTCAGCATTTGTCGACCCCATGTTTGCCGAGAATGTTCTTTGCGAAGTGCGTATTGGCAGGAAAGTCTGTGAGACATGATGCGAATTAACACTTGTCTGCAGCTGAGGCGAGAAATGGTGCGGGGCTGCGTAGAAGGGACTCGGATTGCGACGGGAGGGATTGCGTGGGTGGTCGTCAAGGACGGCAAAGCGATTTGTTGGGATGTGGTTCGCTATGCTCGATGATCGACAATACATGTTGATTCAAGTAAGGCGGGTTGGGCTCGCAATGTGAACCGCCGACCCGGGAGGATTGACATGATATACAAAACTTACCTGAGACAGACGTAATATGTCGTGTTCTGATCTCGATGCAGGAACGCAGCTTCCAAGCACTAGTCAGATGGCTCGAAGTACGTGAGCCTGAAACCATGAGCCTTGTCTTGCCGCGGTATGGTGGTGCTCTGCACCGGAGCCAGGTCGAGCCTGACCGCCAGCAACGGTGAAAGGTCTGGTTTGGAGGGTTTGCCTCGCTAATCGTGCGTCACTTGCAGGGTGGGTGACTTGACAGCTGTGGGGATTCAGCGTCAGAAGAGCAAGGCTGTCGGTCTGCGGCTTGCGGGAGGCGTAAGTGACAGGCACGACGCTAGTTCATCGATGACTGGAAGTTGCCTTGAACCATTGCCGCGGGGTATGGAAAGGGCCAGCCAACTAAACCTTGAGTAGCCTATCCAGCGGCAGATGCTCTAGTCGTGTCGGTGAAGTCAAGGATCCGCGCACGGCCCCGCGGCGTACGCCTGAACTGGATGGACAGGCGTGATGGTGAGCGATAGGGTGAATTGGGTGTAGTGAGCAAACACTAGTGAGGTGCGAGTGTGAGGTGAAGTTCAATTCTCCGGTCGAGGAATGCTTGACGCGATAGCGCAACTTGAAAGTATTAGCGAGGAGTAGCGAGGTGTGGTGTGTGGACTGACGAGAGAAGTGCCGGAAGCAGAGAGGAGTAGGTGCGACCGTATCAACGATTTTGAAGGTTGTCAGTGGGTTGTTTCTAATGCAGAGAGGATGCTGAGCCGTCCGACTCGTTCAAGGGTTGAGGGATCCTCGTCCGATTGGCTGCCTACGCTGGCCGGCAAGTAAACCAGTGCTGCAATCCCTTGCCAGTGGCTACGCCTATTCTTCCGCCATTGATCGACTGACCGGCGGGCAGCTGGCGGAAGTTCTAGTGCGAACAGGGTCGAATTATGAATGACGAAAGAAGTCGAGTTCTGATACACGCGAACTAAGGAGGCGCAGAAGCTCCACAGCCGGTCCCAATAGACAGGTAACTTGAAGTGTCTGCTCTTTAGCGAGGATGGTACTCGGGCGACGTGATGGAATTACTGGCGGTTTGTCATGATTGCAGAAGGAGCACGATCACATACGACGGGCACTGTGCGCACTTTGCCGTTCTGTCACTGCTTCCGTTGCACACCCGACTGTCACAAGCGCAGATGACAGGTATCAAACAGACCTACCCGTCCGAGACCCGTCTGGATTGGAACCACTCGTGTTCAGGGCTCACTGCTGCAACTTTAGACGCGCGCTATTACCATTTCTCAGCGCACATCGCTTGCAACTTATTTAGCGCGATGGTCCAGACGCACGACAGTCCCTCCGAATCTCGATCTACTCTTTTCGGCGTGCGGAGAGGCGTCATAAGTTGTTACATCAAGAGAGGTAGTGGCTTGGGCATGTTGAATCCATACTTCGTCTGTACCGGATAGGTTCTGACACGAACTCTTTGGCAGCCAAATTCTCGGATGTTGCCATGGCCTGAACTCTGCTGAGACGTCGCAAGTTGGCTCAAGCTCAAGAGCACGTTGGGCAGCAGGCTCTCTGGGTCCACAACTTCTCACCGCGTCGGTCGCGAGACCAGATGCGTCAACCATGCTCTGGCGGCAAACTCAGAGAACTACCGACGTCTCTGAACTTGCACGTTATCTCGAACCGGCAGTGGCCAGAATTCCCTGAAAGGATAGACATTGGCAGTATTGTAATTCGACCTGCCGCGAAAGCTCGTCGGGGCTCCAGACAATGACAGGCATGCTAGAAATGTCGAGGTGCGGTCTCGTAGAGAAAATCGAACCTGTCACATTTGCAAACATGATGGCTCGTAAAATAATCTCCACCTGCAGGGTCGAAGACCAATGACGATTGCTTCAGCCACTACCACCGCATGAGAACGTACAGCCAAGAGGCATTCCCAGTCGCTTGTCGTCCCTGCTGCTGCCATCCTTGCAAATATGTAAGCCACTGCCGACGACTTAGGGCACCTAAAAATACTAGGTTGCCTTCGTGGTGTCACAAGTCCCCTTCAGACTGGTTTGAAATTCCATTATCTTGTTCTTGAATTCTTCAGCAACTGCCTTGAAGTATGTCACATATGACAGCTGCATCGAACCTTGACCGCACTCTGTGTAAGGTTGACGTGGTCTCATTCTCAACCAAGGGACAGGGTCGTGCATCTGAACAGCCACAGGCCTGAGAGAACGTGACCAGAAGGTTTGGCTCAGCCAGCCCGCAGTCAACAGCGCATTGAGGCAATCGGCCATGACACAGCGAGCAAACACCCTGCTCAGACGCCTCATGACCGTCGACTTGACTTCATTCGGGCGACTCGATTGACGACGATACCATTGAACTGAAATTTGTCTGAGATCCGTAGGTACGGAAGGCTCAGATTGGTCCGAAGCCTTTTGATAAGAAGTTCCCCCGGCCACGACCGCCGCCTCCCACTCGTTTCTGACCTCGACTCACCATTTGCTCCATTGGTCCGCCGAGAGCATCGTAAGAGCTTGACGTCGGACCGACCTGACTGTCGGCCATCTTGAAGCCGTCCCCGTCATTCAGTATCGTGGTGGCAAGACTGTCGACAGCTGACGTCCACTCTCGAAGGCGTTGCAGTCGTTCTGAATTCTCAGCTGCGATCTCTACTGTGCCGTTACTCTGATCGATCTGGGCCTTAAGCTTCCGATCGACGATCAGAACGCCGAGGATCTCCTGGACTTCTCCAACAGATACTTTGATGTGCTTCGCAACGAATTGCAGCGTAAAGCGGGAATAGGGTGCTATAAGCTTCAAGACAGCCTTGCTTCGCATGTTTCGGCTAACCTCATCGATGTTCTCGGCAATGAAGGGGTCGTCGAGCAGGTCTTGATTGTCCCGCAGAATCGATTCGTATCGATGAATGTCGTCTCGCTGGTACGCATCGACCAAATCGGTCATTGCTGAGATGCGAGGATTGTTGCGGTATGGCTTGGTTTCTTGTGAGTCGAAAGGATTAATTGTGGACTTCATAAGCATGGTCGTCAAGACCAGATACTTCAAGACCTGAATGCGCTGCATGGAGCCGGCTTCGTCATAGTTCTTGAATGACTCGAAGAAGTCACTCTGTGCATCCTTCCAGTTCTCCTCGCTCATGTGCATCTTGCCTCCACATTCTCGGATGACACCTTGGACTTTTGGATGCGGCACGGCAGATCTGACACCCAGCGCCTTCTGGTAGATCGCTTTCAGTCGCTTGTTGTTCTTCTGCTCGGCGTACATCTGAATCTCCAGGGCATATGCTTCTAGCGAGTAGGTGCCTTTGCCTGGATCCGTAGTTCCGTCGTCTCTTAAGCATGCTTTGTGAATTTCTTGAACCTTTTTAGAAAGCTGTTGATACTCCTTCTTGTCCAGATACAGCTTGGCAAGCTTGACATTGGTCTTGAGAGCCAACCGCTCGTTGTTGGTGGCCTGGAAGGTGTCGAGTGTAAGCGAAAAGAACTCTTCCATACATTGGTATGCTGTCCGATCTGATGCCGTCTTCTCAATATAGTCTAGCATGTTGTTGATGGACTTTTCCGAGTAATTTCGTGTGACAGCCGACTTGACGTATGTGAGTAGCTCTTTGTAGTGTTTGACTGCATCTTCATATCGTGCGAGGGCGAACTCGAGCTTGATAGCCTGCTTGAGTCCCTTGAAACCCCAGTCCCCTTTCGTATCTTCTAGACTAGGCACGCCTAGGAACTCGTCGATGGCTTCTTGAGGGTTGTCGGCTTTCATTTGTTTGGCATTGTAGTATTTGTTCTCGACATCCACATCACCACCCTCAGGCTCATCGTCGTCTTCGTACTCGAAGTCATACCTAGGCACGTTAGCACAGCCTCCGCTCAAAAGTGTCAGGCTTACTCGGCATCGGAGTCTTGCATGAAATCATCGTCGTCGGACATGTTGAATGTTGCCTCAAGAATGCCCTATGAGATCGAGTGTTTCGGACAAACTGCAGCCTGCTTTCCGAGATTATGCTTCTAGAAGGAAAGACAAGCAAATTGGGTCGCCGAAACCGCAAGACACGTGAAGAACGCAGAGAGAGAGAAAAAACGGAAGATGCGCAATGATCAATGGTGTTGAGCGAAGTCTACAAGGCCCTGGTTGTTCGTGACCTCAAGTGACTGTACCCATGATGGGCGCGATTCTTATCGATAAGGGTCAACCAAGCTTCCCCGGAGGCACCAGGCGTCTGGGGCTTAAACTTTTCTTGATCTCAGACATCACCTTGCCTTCCGCCTATCACCACTTCACACGGGTGATTTGCGTATCATCTCAAGGCATGACAGACGGCTAACACTGCTCGAAACGAGGGGACGTGATTATGTCTCCATAAGTATGAAGGCATATCGCTATGGAATGGCCTCTCCTAGTCCTGAGTTCTCGCCATGCATCATTTTGAAGAGCGGGTCCCAGACGGTACACGCACGTTTCGTGTAACGTCCATTTGCCAGTGGCGGATCTTCTAGCAGGAGAACCTTGTCCACAGAACACTCAGCAACCTGTCCTGTACGCGACTTATCATCAAGGAACATGTTGTACGCACGCACAATCGTCGCCGAGGGCGTCATGCTGGGTATTCGTTAGCGGTTCAGAACCAACAATTCATCGTTCCGGACTTACCAATCCGGGCTCACTGCATCTTTCATTTCTTGAGGGACGATTGGCGTGTCTACAATTCCTGGCAATACGACGTTGATGGAGATATTGTCCTTGTCCTTGATGACTGGTGCGACAGTTCGACAGAATTGCAGGACCTATGTGATCATTAGCTCACTCACGCGTCCTTCCAAGGCGGCACATACTGCAGCTTTTGCGCCACAATACTCTGGATAGGTGCTGTGCGGATGGACCGCCGCTATACCTGGACTACCGTCAGCATCTAGCGATGGCAAGGACTCCGATAAGATCGAGAGCTGCCCACTTACTTGCTGTCGCCACGATCTGTCCTCCCGGAGTTGGATTCTGGCGCATGAAATGAATTGCGAGCTGTGTGCCATACACCACGCCGAGATAATCGACAGTCGTTGTGGAGACGTCCGGCGCCGGTGGGAGGGCTTTGCTGTTTCGATGTCCGAGGATATAAACCGAGCTGCGATCGACAATGCCAGCATTGGCTAAGAGGGCATCAATTCTGCCCCATTTGTCAAACACAGCGGCGAATGCGTTGCCCTGGCTGTCATAATCTCCGACATTGCATTTCACAAATAGTGCTTGGTCGCCGTAGTCAGAGACGAGCTTCTGGCCCGCCGCCTCATTCAGGTCAAGGCAGCCGACCTTCCAGCCTTGCTTGAGTAAGTCGCGAGCGAGATCCGTGCCCATCCCCGACTACCCGGATATGAGCCTGGGAGCAATCACTGAGCAGTGCTGGACTTACCGCCGCCCCCGTCACAATCGCGACTTTGCCTGTCCCTGGCCCAACACTTCCCATGCTGCTGATTTTTAGAAGGTCACGGAGATCACGAGCAATTGATCAAGCGATGGTTACAATCGTTCCGGAGCAGCCGAATCTCTATCTGGAGAGAATCTTTAGACATGTCAAACTTACAAGATCGGTTTACTGACCCTAGATTCTGAAATTTGAGAGCCCAGCAGGATGTGGATACAAATACTGGACGTTGTTAATACGTGCTCATGATTTTCCACTACAGGTCAGGGACGGCGCTCAAGTTCTGGTGTTGATTCGCTGATCAAACGGCTGATTTTGAGACGAGCCTTGTTTGAGCGTCAGTTAGTAAAAAGATCGGTTCTCAATTTCCTGGCCAGGAAGGGCGCTGAGAGGACTCGACACAATAATACAGGTGTCAATGGACTTGGAGAAATCTCCCAGTAAGTAGTTGCGTCCACAGCCTGCCTGGCGACATGCCGCTCCTCGCCGCACAGCTTTGTCCGTGGCTTATACCTCGAAAGGTGCACTTCTAGACGGCACGAACTGGCGGAAACATCACAACCTCGACAGACCCGGCACTACGAAACGCGGGGAAACTGAAGTTTATTGACTCGAACAATTCCGAATTGATGGGGACCCCGGAAATGTGCAGCCTGTGCAAGACCCCGGTCCGGCTGGGTATCCATCAACGAAGCAGAGGGCCATCCAAAGTCTGACCCAAGTTCGATACCCCATTGCTGGCCATGACTGAGTCGCGCATCATGAAAGGGGTGTCAAGCGCTCCATTGTCTCCGCGTGTCGCCACACAGCCAGAAATGATGGCTACAAGTGTGGGCTCTACGCTTTCGGCGAACGACATGCAAGTCATCCGGTATTCAACGAGGTGGTCGGAGTGCCCTCGAGTCTCAGCTAGTAATATCTAGTCTCAACATCCGCCGACGAGTTCAGTCAGTGCAGCGGAAAGTTATCCAGGATAGCGCCATCGATACTGCCTCCTGCAAAATCGTCAGCAATGTCGTCTTTCGTCTTGGTTGCGAATGTCAATTTTGTACCAGGAGGATATGATCCGGCAGGCCGACCTTCCATCGCATGTGTACAATCGTTAACATACTATAGTGGCAAGCGGCCTACGACAAGTTAGGGGACTACGTCTGGAAGCACGAACACACGACCAAGACATATTATTTTGGTCTGCCCTTACAGTACTGGACTCACAAGTCTGATACCAATCACATGTTTGCTTTTGAAATATATGGCAAGCGCGAAGACCTGTACACGACTCACTTTAACTCTCCGGCGATGAAAGAGTTTCTCCCCGCGATTCCTGACACCATGACAACCGGTCTCGACTTGCGACATTATGAAAACGTGGGCGGCTTCTTGGACCGGTTCAACGACAAGCGCGAATGTGAGATCATGACCGATGTGCGCATCAATTGTAAAGCAGAGGCCAGAGACAACGTTCTGTCGAGGCTCAACACGCTAGCAGAAAAGATCAAGAGCGACGGCTCAGACGACGTTTACACTTTCTTCGTTCTCAAAGGTCTAGACGATGATCAAGGCGTGCGCATATTTCAACGCTTCAGAAACTGGGACGGCTCCTCGTCTCTGGCACGGCATCCGACCGTGCTCGAATTTTGGATGTCTTCGAAAGAAGAAATACTCAGTATGGAGAGTCAAACTTACTTTCCTAACGGTAAAGGATGGCTGCATCGAGCTGATAAGTCAGAGACACGCCTTAACATTCAGTGAGATGTTTTGGGGGATTCACAGCACAAAGAAAGTCAGATGATACTTCCAAAGACCCTTAAGATGCCTATTTGCTGCCAGGGTTTACAAGCCCACCAATAAGAGCGAGTACCAAATCTGATCAGTATAAGGTTTATTTCCAGCTGTCTGGAAAACGTTTTCCAGGCCAACTTTGCCCGCCACTTTGGGAATGGAATGTTACAGGAGAGTTCTACCCCGTGGGTGGACTCTGGGGAGCTGCGCACCAACAGCTCGGCGCAATCCACAGAGAAGGCTTCGCACTAAAGGGGTCACGAAGAGGGCGACTGATGTCGATATAACTCGAAGCAGCCCTCTCCTTCCGGATACTAGCACAACGCCTCATTTCCATCGCTACAGCAAGCCAGCTATAGTCGTTGCTCACCATGACTAACATTGCCAACGAAAAAGGTGGCGACGTCGTCGCTGAGGTCGACCACCACGACCATGTCACTACCCCTAACGAGAAGTCCTCCCATGCAGTACCTCAAGGCGATGCTCATGTCACGTTCAAGGTGTGGATTGTCGTCTGCATTGTAGGTGTTCCTCTCACGAACTCTCACAACACCATCGCTGATCAACGCTTGCACAGATGTCATGGGGCTATGGCCTCTCGTTCATCCCGGTTCCTTTATTCGCCGCGGTCGGCACAGAAATCGCCACAGATCTAGGAAATGCGGGCGATAGCGCGTGGTTCATTCCCGCGTGGATCATTTCCATCACGACGGCATTCATGATTGCAGGATCCAACACCGATATGCTGGGTCGACGCTGGTTCTTGATCACAGGCCAAGTCGTGTGCTTCGTGGGCCATCTCATCACGGGTCTAGCCAAGTCAAACGCGCAGATCATTGCTGGCATGACGATAGAGGGCTTCGGTGCTGCACTGTGCCAAATGGCTGCATTCGCTCTACCGGAGCTACTGCCGAATAAATGGCGGGCTATTGGCGTTGTCCTGGCGGATTTTGCCGTATACTTGTGTACGTATATTCCGATCATGGGTTACACAGTATGCCGGTTGAGCACGAATGCTAACCGATGCTACCATAGGCATCACGGTCATTCCAGTCACAGCCAGATACGGCTACTTTGTCGGAGACTGGCGAGCCAACTTCTACTCGGCAGCCGGCCTCCAAGCTCTCTCAGCTGCGGGCCTCTACTTCTTCTACTATCCCCCCGCACACCCGCTTGGGATTCCATTCCGAACGGCGTTTAAGCAGTTGGACTACTTGGGCATGCTCCTGTTCACTGCTGGCGCGGTACCGGTTATGGTAGGAATCGTGTACACCGCTTCCGTGCCTGCCTCCGACCCGAAGGTTCTGGGCACGCTAATTGCTGGATTCATCATCCTCGTACTGTTTGGCGTCTGGGAAACCTTCGGCCACGCCAGACACCCGCTGACGCCGCCAGCGATCTTCCGAAAGGGCAGAGGAAGAGACTTCACCGCGCCGTGCATCGCGCTCGCCATCATCAACATGTTCTACTATTCCTCGTCCATCATCTGGCCCACGATGATCAACGCCTTCTACACGGCCGGCGGCCAGCCATGGGAGCGCGCAGCCGTGCTCTCGCTACCGCAGGGCCTCGCCATCACCGGCGGCGCCATCGGCCTCACATTCCTCGGTCCGCTCATCAAGCACTACCACTGGCAGCAGACGGCATCGGTCACGATGATGGTGGTGTTCGGGTCCCTGCTCGCCCTGGCCACGCCCACCAACATGGGCCTGATGTGCACCTTCGTGGTGCTCTCCCTCTTCGGCTACGGCTGGGCCATCTACCTGTCCATCGCATTCACCCAGCTCGGTGTCGACCAGGAGAATCTCGGCATCAGCGGCGGTCTGAGCGGCTGCGTGCGCTTCGCCGGCGGCACCGTTGCCCAGGCCGTGTACCTAACAGTTTTCCAGAACGACTTGAAATCAAAGACGCCGGCGTACGTGACCAAGGCCGCCGAGGCGGCCGCGTGTCTGCGTCGCAGATCCCAGATCTGCTGATGCTGCTGGCCACGCCGAAGGAGCTGGCCTCGCAGTTTGGCGAGAGTGTGGCTGGTGCTGTCGGGCTGGCACAGCAGCTAGCGATTGCGCATGGCATCAAGTTGATTGCGCTGACGAGTCTGGGGTTCGGCTGTATCGGCATCGTCGCATGCTTGTGCTGTCAGAATATCGATTCACGCATGGACAATACCATCGAGGTCTTTTTGGAGAACGATGAGTTTGCTGATCGGAATAAATTCCATTGACCTGGACGAACTCAAGCGGGCGATCAGCTGATGATGGTATGGTAGGGTCGGGAGGTTTTGAGAAGAGAGGAGCGGGCGGATATAATGTATCTTTGCACGTGTGTGCTGAGGGTTCATTCTCCTTCGTTGAAGAGTGGCGCATGCAGAGGATAGAACCGTATATATACATACATGTATACACCGCTCCGTGGTAAGTAAATGGCATATAGCAATCGAGTCCCGAATGATACGCTTCAGTCCACCGAGATGTCGTTCCTGGAGACTCTATAATCAAGGACGCTCTGCAACTAGAACGCTGCTACCGATAGAATGAAGAATTCCAGTGCGCGGGTGGCGATTTTCGGTGCTCTTTGGCGCCGGTCTCAGCATCCTTCGCACCTGGTTGTTGCATAGAATGACCAGCCCAGGACGAGTTGGCATGATCCCGCTGGCTACAGGTAGCTTGCCCCGAGCTTGTGCCAATACACAACGGCACAGGGAAGCCTTTCAACCTCAACGGCACCACCGTCGACACCACTGCCGAAGCACGTGTCTGCCTGCCGATGCACGGCATTCTAGGCGTTCTGAGCCTCCGACTCCTCCCAGCCAGTTTTGAGCCACTCTGTAAGATAGGAGCTGGTCGGTAGACTGCCAAGAACCTGGTATTGACAGAGCATATACTCTGGCTAGCAGGCTACCTCTGCTACACAGGCAATGTTGATGACCAATTTGCCAAAGTCGTCAACGTTTGCCATCCATCCCTCCAGCAGACCTGATCGAGCACAATCAAGAGTCTCATGGTGAAGCAGCTCGCCATAGTATGGTCGCTCATCGCCCAACGTGTCGTAGCGCTGCGTCCATTCAAGTTGCGTCTCTGCTTCCCATAGTTGCTGGCTGCATGGCAAAAGCATTGCGCTCCACAGAGCCAGGCTATTGCATCGTCCATGGATCATGCCAGGGCTGATGTCGAAGAGCAGCTCGACGATGAAGAGCGTGGCAATGGTTCGTCGCAGAGACTCAGCGATGATCCAGCCACAGGGATCTGGTCTCTCTGGAGAGGCAGGATCACAATATGCTGTGATAATGTCTCTGACTCTCAGCGACAGTTGTGTCATGGTCTGAATGAGCGCAACATCAAAGTCTGTGCCCTCATCATCTGTTGAGGATGCTCGAAGGAGGAAGTAAATTGTGACAGCTTGTAGTGCATTGACGGCAGTTAGGTCCCCATAAGTAGGAATGTCTTGCATCAGGCGCTCCTGCTCCATTCTGAGTATCTTCCAGAGGTAGGTTGCGTTTTTGGGTGTCTTGCTCTGCCATAGCTCTACTATACCTGAGCATCGAGTAAGTGGTCCAGGCTCGCTGTTCCTGAGGCACTGGTAGTGTATGAATGGCGGCAACGTCGTGTATGATAGCATCATGAAAGGATATTGCCGTATCGTCTGTGCTACCCACCTTCCGAGCAGAGACAGTGATCCCCAGGTCGCCGCTCTGGGAGTAAATGCCCTGACGGGCTGTAGACTCAGCTGCGGACCCAGCGCATGGGGATTCGACATCCAAAACCACTCATCTGGGTCGTTACGAGGAGGAAACCATTGCGCCAGACCAAGACTCTGTACCCTGTCGATAGAAGAAAAGCCAATCGATGCGTCGCTCAAGTCAGCAAGCGAGATGTCGCCTTGCGAGTGGCTCACTAGGGCTAAGGAAACGTCGGTCGCTTCGATTGTAAGGTCGGATTCAGATATGGTGGTGACAGGCCTCTCCCCTTGCCGGCCAGTTGCGAGCTTGCATTCGATGCCCCTGCCTGTGCATCTTGTACAGCATGGGAACGATGCAACATCGCAATGAGTCTTGGCCTTGATGCATGCCAGGCATGATCGCTTTCGTGGCCTCGTAGGTCTTTCGATCTTCTTGCGACAATAGCTGCTATGGCGAATATGAGCCTCTCTGCCGTCAATCAGCCTAACGCTCATGCTTGATAATCACAATGCTCACTGTTGTTGGAGATTTTGCGGCACGACGGACAGGTTAGGTCACTATTCATCGCCAGCGACTAGCAGATGTGAATCTGTGGTGTACAGCGGTGCCAGCGCTGAGCTGTGGCGGCAGATGGGATCTCTCGCATCTCTCATGGTAGCTGAGTTCCACGCAGGGAAGGGTGACTGGGATTCTGCTGGACGAAGTATCAAGACATAGCAGGTCTCGTAAGCAGTCCTACGGAATTCCGTAGCATTCTGTTGTGACCGCATATTGCCGAGCCACACTATTGGCCCTTGCCTCATTCGCGTATGTGAGCTTTATGCGCCTTCACAGCTGACGAGCTATCCCGGAGGTCCATCGACATGTCAAGATCAATCTTGACGGTCAAAATCTCATAGGTAAATTGAAAGGGCACTTTCACTGATTCTCTCTCAAAAGGCCTAAGTACACAATGCGGGCGTGCACAGCATCAACACGAGGGCCTCTCACGAAATTTTCACTTGAGAGGACTTCCTGGTATTAAGCTGGTATCTCAACTCAGGAAGGCCTGCGGGCGCTTTTTCTTAAGAAGCCAAAAGATAGACGAACTTCGTATGAGAAGATAGCTCTGAGCGAGGGCATTCCTCCAAGACTATACTCGCACTATCTCAGCCTGTAGCCATAAAGCGCGCCTGAGAAGTGTAATTCCAGCTATGATATTTTGAACCTCACGATACCAGCTTGCATTAATCGTCCAACGGAGCTCCGCAAGTGCTCTCCACCCAAGTTTAATCGCTCTTCATCATCAGAACGCTCAAGGTATGGAGCTCTAGTGTACGACACAATCTGCTTACAACAGGTATAAAGAGGAGGTCGTCGGAGCACAATGGGACTTCATGAACATCTGAGCAGGTCAGAAGCCTTTGACTCACCACAGTGTACCAAACCGCCATCTTCAAAATGTCTGCCTTCAAGAACGAAGCCGCCTGGATCATGGTCGAGAAGGCCAAAGAAATGGGAGTGAAACAAGGTCCAGCACCAGATCCAGCAGCTGATGAGGTCGTCATCAAAGTAGCATACGCTGCTATCAACCCATCAGACTGGAGAGTCAGTACGATCGCTGCAGTCTGCGCAAAGCTGACCCGTCTCAGATCCAGGACGATCCATTCCTGAAGCTCCCCTATCCGTTCGTCCTCGGCAACGATGTCTCAGGCACAGTCGTGCAGATCGGCAGCGCCGTCACAAAGTTCAAGATCGGCCAGCGAGTGATCGGCCACAACGACGCCCTCGTTTCTCTGAACGTCACACATGCTGGCTTCCAGACCTACAGCACAGTACGAGAACGTGTCGTATCTGCGGTGCCAGACTCCCTACCTCTCGCCAGCGCCGTTGTGCTGCCCCTGGCCGTCGATACTGCAGCTACAGGGTTATACTACGATCTCAAACTTCCACTACCGTCGCTTAACCCAATATCAACAGGAAAGACCATCCTGATCTGGGGAGGAGCATCATCTTGTGGCAGCTGCGCCATTCAGTTGGCTGTAGCCAGTGGGTGGCGTGTCATCACTACTGCCAGTGAGACCAACTTTGACTATGTCAAGAGCTTGGGTGCATCAGAGGCATACGACTACCGCTCACCGGATGTTGTCGACCAGCTGAAGGCCGCCTTGAGGGAGAGAGATCTTGTCTTCGACTGCGTTAGCATGCCAGGCGCACAGTCCGCATGCGCTGAGATTCTCACATCAATTGGTGGCACTCTTCTACCAACGGTCCTGAAAGCAGAAAAGGACCTGCCCGGCAATGTGGAGGTGCGACCAGGTCAGTAAGCTCAGAGTCAGACTACTCGATCACTGACATAATCACAGTCTTTGGCTTGGCACCAGCCTTCTCGGCCATCGAGCGAGCCAGTCTGTCCAATGCTTGGGCAGTAGGTGATGCATCTGATGTCGCCACAGCTCTTTGGCATGACTTCATGCCCAAAGCACTGGAGTCTGGAAAGTTTCAGGCCAAGCCTGATCCGCATGTACTCAAGGGTGGCCTTACAAGGGTGCAAGAGGGTATCGATATGGTCAGGAAGGGTGTCTCAGCTAAGAAGGTTGTCATTGAGATCGCTGGTGAAGTCTGATACCGAGTAATGGAATTTGCCCTCCCTAAAAATCAAGGCTCGGTTGCAACGATAAGGGCCGGCCAGCCAGTCAAGCCCTTCTGAGCGCTTGTACGCTTTACAAAACATAGACGATGCTTCAAGTAGTGTATAGGGAGTGGGAACGCAACAACAGAAGACAGTGCTAGGGGGAAGGGGCCTTTATAGATGTTAAGAATGGCGAGCAGGCGCTAAACCTATCTCGGTGGGACTTCGCCTGCGGAGCCAGCACTGGAGTTTACCAGGCACCCTCTGAACCGCCATTATCGATAAGCTCCAGCCTGTTGCCATCGCTTTAAGATCCCTGCCCGGAGCCACTAGTAGGCCTTTGGTGCCTAAACTTTTCTTGCCGTTAGACTTCACTCTACCACGCAGCCATCACCACTGTAGACTACAAGACTTGCATACACATACTACTCTGCCTGCGAGTACCCTCACAAACCCCTGCGCAGGCCAGTCGAGCGATCGCCAAGATGGGTGGCGATCTCAACCTGAAGAAATCATGGCACCCGGTGTTAATGAGCAACCAGAAACGGGTCTGGGAAGAAGAACAAAAGGCCCTGGAGGAGCGCAAGAAGATCGATCAGATCCAGAAAGAGCGCGAAGAAGAACGACAGATCCAAGAGTTGCAGGACCTACAGGAGGCAGCCGGCGGCAAGAAGCGACTCAACAGAGTCGAATGGATGTACAACGGACCCTCCAATGGCCAGGCTGGGACTACCGAGGAGATGGAGGGCTACCTATTGGGAAAGAGGCGCATAGATGGTCTGTTAAAGGGCGATGAGAATCAGAAGCTTGAGAAGAACTCCAATGAGGATTCTTTCATGATGGCTCAGAACGCGAACACCCTGCGCGATACAGCCTCCAAGATTCGGGAAGATCCGATGCTGGCGATAAAGAGGCAGGAGCAGGCAGCTTACGAAGCTATGATGAACGATCCGGTGAAGAGAAAGATGCTGCTGAAGGCAGCTGGGCAGAGTGAACCATCATCGGCGGACAGAGATGCGAAGCGCCGGAAGCACCATCACCGTCACCACGACGACCGTGACCGGCGGAGAAGGCACAGATCACGCGACCGCGACGAAGGTCGACATCGACGACATCTATCGCGGGATCGGGATTACGACGATGACAGATCGAGTAGGTATATAAAGCGAAGTCCGGCGCCTCGCGATTCAGAAAGGCAACATCGGTCAGACCGCAGGCGGCGGAACTCTTCTAGCCCCTCTGAATCGCGGTCTCCTTCTCCTCGCCGAACAAGACGATCCCCGTCTCCAGACCGACGGAGGCGATCGGACTCGCCCGACTACCGGAGACGGGACAGATCACGGTCGAGATCACCATATCGTTCAAGAAACGGTAATGGTCAAGGGCCTGTGCGAAAGATGCAAAGCTGGCATTCATCTAGCCGCGGCCCAGATCTCCCATTAGTCACCAGAACAACGGAGCGAAAGAGGATGACAAAGCTGCTCGATTGGCGGCCATGCAGCAGGCTGCTACAGAACTGGATCAACAACGAGAGAAGCGCCTCGCAGATCTAGCTGTGAAGGACAGAGAAGACCGAGACCAGGACGATGCAGCCCGGGCGAGGAATGCGAAATCTTTTGGAGGCCGTGCTTCCTTTGTCAACGACTATCACAAGAAGGCCGGTGACATGAACTTGGGGGATCGTATGAATCGTAACGGTGGCCACGCCAAAGGATCGGAGGAGGACTGAATCGTTCGTCCGATCGTCGGTGGCGTCTCTGAGCATGTATTCCGAGCGCCTCTGTGTTACTCTCACGCTGGATTACTATGTGGTGTACATAGATTGGAGGATAGATTAGCTCCAACACTGGGTGTTACACAGCATATGACGGGGTTGTTTCTGACATGTAGCATCCCACTAACACAACCTTAACGACTTCCTGAAGCCACGCTGACGCCTTACCATTCGGCCGCGCGGACAGCATAATGTTGCAGCCCATGTGCGCTCATCATAGTGCGCTGGGCACCATTGGCGTCCCAGATGTACTTTTCTTTCTCGGGAAGCGCCATGCGACCTAGCGGCATCGGATATGAAAACCGACACCTAAGCTTTGACCATGGTCCCTGAAGGCAAGGATTAAAGCGAGAAATACGCCATCTGACCCGCGGCGGGGGCCCTCAAAGAGGGATCCTATCCGTCAAATGCGAATGCTACGGTGGAAGAAAAGCTGAGGGTGATTTACTGGGCGTTGCTCATTTACGTGCCGATATAAGGCAAAAGACGAGGTCTTTCGCAGCTGGCTGGAAAGATCTCTTTGTCAAGTGCTGAAGAGGGGATCCGCACCTGCGTTGGTAGTCGCTGCCCCTCTTGTTCCTCAGCAGTGACGTCCCCTTCAAGCACACAACAGCAGGATTCAGCAGCAGCTAATCAGCAGGCTCTGATTTCCGCTCCGGTCCTGTCTTCATCAGATATCATTATTCATCATCTTGCCGCGCATGGGTTCGCCAGACGGGCAACGCCGCAGAAGAACCTCTAGTGCAGAACGCCGCGCTCCCTACACCAGCCCTGCCGAATACTACGACAACGAACAAGATGTGCGCGAGCAACTCCTAGGTGCTTCGAACCGGAACATCTCATCCTACGTCAAGCCTGCTCGCCCTCGTGCCTTCAGCGCAACAAAAGACTGGAAGCACACGAGACGTGCTAGTCATGATGAGTACACACAGCAGAACCAGGAGCTACTGGTGAGAGTCGACCAGACACTGAAAGAGTTGCTGGAAAAGGAAGACATCGACGGCGACCATCAAATCACCGTCGACGATCATGGACCGAAGCAGATCGCCCTCGGCACCCTATCATCTGCCGGCTACAAGAGTGCCGACATTCGGGGGAATTACATGATCAGCAACCTCCTCCAGGAATTGACACTGGCAAAAGCCCTGGGCAAGACCATCGTCAAGATCCATCGTTCTCGTCTCAATGAGAATCCGGTCGACCGGCTGTCCAGGCGCATCAAGGAAGAGTTCTGGAAGAACCTCGAACGGCGACTTGACAGCGACCTTATCGCGAAGGCTGGCAAGGACCCCAAAGATCGTACAGCGAAACCGAGACCACGAATTTACGTTCCGTTCGGCTGTCCGGAGCAGTATGACTACTACCGTAAAGTATCGGCTGAGAATCCTGAAATCAACTTGGACGTCATCAGACTACCTGAAAATGGCGTGGACGATCCCAAATTTGTACGCTCGCTCAACACTCAGCCTGGAATTCTAGCGCTCTCCATGAACGTGATCAAGGAGAACGGGAAGGAGACATTCAAAGGAGAGCCTTTCATCGTTCCTGGAGGGCGCTTCAACGAGCTATATGGCTGGGACAGTTACATGACTTCTCTTGGGCTGATCGAAGATGGGAAGGTCGAGATGGCCAAGTCGATGGTCGTCAACTTTGCGTTCTGCATAAAGCATTACGGCAAAATCCTCAATGCGAACAGATCCTACTATCTGACTCGGTCGCAGCCTCCGTTCTTGACAGACATGGCTTTGAAGGTATACGACAAGATCAAGCATCAGGAAGGCGCTCTGGACTTCCTGCGTCTCGCTGTTCTTGCTGCGATAAAGGAATACTACAACGTATGGACATCAGAACCTCGTTACGACCCCGTCACTGGCCTTTCACGCTATCGTCCTACTGGCATCGGGATTCCACCCGAGACCGAGGCGTCCCATTTCACTCACCTACTTCAACCATACGCCGACAAGCACGGCATGACTTTCGATGCCTTCATTGAGGCATACAATAGTGACGAAGTCGACGAACCAGACCTCGACGAGTACTTTCTGCACGATCGAGCCGTACGAGAAAGTGGTCACGACACGACCTACAGACTCGAGAAGGTTGCTGCGAACCTGGCAACGGTGGATCTAAATTCTTGCCTGTACAAGTATGAAATCGACATCTCCTGGTGCATTCAGCGGTACTTTAAGGATCGACTAGCCATTCCTGTCGAGTTCCAGACGAGCGCCAACCGCTTGGACGCACTCGAGACGAGTGCTACATGGGATCGTCGTGCTAAAGCCCGCAAGGCCCGCATGGACAAGTATCTTTGGAATGAGAAGAAAGGCATGTACTTTGACTACGACACGGTGAGGAAGACACAAGGCACATATGAATCAGCCACAACGTTCTGGGCCATGTGGGCAGGTGCATCCACACCGCGACAGGCCGCGTCCCTTGTGCTGAAAGCCCTGCCAAAGTTGGAAGAGCGTGGTGGATTGGCAGCTGGCACAAAAGCATCCTTGGGTACCGTTGACCTACACGAACCGAACAGGCAATGGGATTGGCCCAGTGGTTGGGCACCTCAGCAGATGCTAGCTTGGGGAGGTCTGAAGCAGTTTGGATACAATGACGAGTGCCAGCGGTTGGTCTACAAGTGGCTACACATGATTCTGACATCGTTCGTTGACCACAATGGAGTTGTCGTTGAGAAGTATAATGTCACAGCCAAGCGAGCTGCGCATCGGGTTGATGCTGAATATGGGAACCAGGGAGCTGTAAGTCAACGATATGCTGTGGCTTGCCTACTCTACTAACAACACACCAGTCTTTTAGCGGCGCTCCATTGGAAGGCTTTGGCGTAAGTGACCCTCAGGTTCACGAAATATCATCAGCTAACACCATAGCAGTGGGTCAATGCATCGTACGTTTATGGTCTGACATTGATCAACTCGCACATGCGGAGAGCTCTAGGGACTTTGACCGAGTGGGACGTCTTTGCGAAGGCAACAGAGGTCAAGTTGGATGGGTTCAGTGCCATGACGATCGACGAGGCTGCAGAGGAGTCTGCTCGTACCGAAGCTGCTGTGGAAGAATTTGGCTATCGCGGCACCAGCGACTCGATAGCTGTTCAGGACAACCAGTAAAGACCCAGGATACGGATGAAAGTTGGGGGCGATAGAGAATTCTGGTGAGGGAAGACTTCATAGTCCTTGGACAGGATTCTTAGTCCTCGAATGGTCGACATCTTTAATTTCACTTCAACTCCTTCCTATGACAACGTCTTTCGCGTGCTGGCCATTTCAAGAAGGAGCGGCTTGCCAGTGCATGCAGTGCCACCGGCAAGGCCGCGATGTGTACGACAATAGGAAGTCCTCTGTTGGCCATCCTGACCATACTGCATAGGTGCCTCGAGCCTTCGATGTGAATCTCTCGGTCAATGTCCGTGGATGGTGTTTCCGACTTTTGCCGCACCCCGGCTTCTCCCACACCTCTGAATCCGCCAAGCAGCTGGGGAAGACACGGTTCAGCTGAACCTCGGCAAATATTGATCACGTCCATCGATCCATGTGAGCAGCATCCCTTCCAAGGTCCTAAGCCAGCACAATGCGCGATAGGTCTCAGGCAACTGCGTGAAGCATACAGTATGCAGTACAGCTAACGGAGCGTACAAGTACCCAAGCACACTCCAAGATACAATCAAGACGGACAAATGGAGATGTCGTTCATTTCGTGAGGAACAACGTCATGCTAAGAAAAACGCGTCAAGCACATGTAGCGGAAAAGCTGAAGAGCCCCTTCCCCGCGAAATTCCTCTCGCCGAGGCCAGACCTGTCATCGTGTGATGAGCTTACACTTTCTACAGTCATGCCGGTCCAAAGGGCTCCCTGAGTGTCGCCTTTCTCTCCACATTGATCTGTCATTGGTTCAGGTAGGTCGGGCTGGTGCCGGGAGAGTTAGGACACATGTCATCGTGAGGTTCGTTTCTTATATGTGAAATGAATCAGAACCATTTCTTCGCATGTGCTATACTACGACCATCTTCCGACCTGCGCAAGACTCTGCTGCGGACTGACCAATTTACTGCCACTGGTATAGCAAAAAGCAGCCTGATCTCGCCGGCCTCACTCTTAGCCACATAGCTTGTACAGCTATCCTATGACATCTCTACTGAGCAAAGTCGCAGAAAAGCTCAACATGGGTCACATCGACGAAGAGGAGCAGAAATACCTGCAAGACGTCGAGGCCGTCAAGAGCTGGTGGAAGGACAGCAGATGGCGCTTCACAAAACGACCATACACAGCTGAACAGATTGTCCAGAAGCGAGGGACCATCAAAATCGAATACCCCAGCAATGCACTCTCAAAAAAGCTATGGAATATTATGGAGCAGAAGTTCGCCGCCCGCGAAGCCAGCCCAACATACGGCTGCCTCGAGCCCACGATGCTCACCCAGATGAACAAGTACCTAGAGACAGTCTACGTTTCCGGCTGGCAATCGTCCTCGACAGCCTCATCCACTGATGAACCCTCGCCCGACCTGGCAGACTACCCCATGAACACCGTACCCAACAAGGTCCAACATCTCTTCATGGCCCAGCTCTTCCACGACCGCAAACAACGAGAAGAGCGCCTCACCACACCCAAAGAACAGCGCTCCAACGTCGCTAACGTGGACTACCTCCGCCCCATCGTCGCCGACGCCGACACCGGCCACGGCGGCCTGACCGCCGTAATGAAACTCACCAAACTCTTCGTCGAAAAGGGCGCCGCAGGCATCCACATCGAAGATCAAGCCCCCGGCACCAAGAAGTGCGGGCACATGGCCGGCAAAGTCCTCGTCCCCATCTCCGAACACATCAACCGCCTGGTCGCAATCCGCGCCCAAGCCGACATTATGGGCACCGACCTCCTCGCCGTGGCTCGAACAGACTCGGAAGCCGCAACACTAATCACCACGACTATCGATCCGCGCGACCACGGCTTCATCCTCGGCAGCACAAATGCCAACCTCCAGCCCCTTAACGACCTGATGATCGCCGCCGAGGCGCAAGGCAAGAACGGCGCCGACCTCGAGGCCATTGAGTCCGCGTGGATGGACTCCGCGAACCTGATGCTCTTCGACGACGCCGTCATCGCCGGCATCAACGCTGGGCGTACACGTCGACAAGGCGGGCCTGATCGAGAAGTACAAGTCCTCCGTGAAGGGCAAGTCCAACTCCGAGAGCCGCGCAATCGCCAAGGGCCTCACGGGCGTGGATATTCACTGGGACTGGGATGCACCTCGGACGCGAGAGGGGTACTATCGCTTCCAGGGCGGCTGTCCTGCGGCTATCAACCGTGCGATCGCGTATGCGCCGTACGCGGATATGATCTGGATGGAGAGCAAGCTGCCGGATTATGCACAAGCGACGGAGTTTGCGGAGGGCGTGCACGCTGTGTGGCCGGAGCAGAAGCTGGCGTATAATTTGTCGCCTTCCTTCAACGTATGTGTCTTCCATTCCTCTAACCCTACCGATTCCGATTCCTCCTTCGAACCTGCTTCCGTACTGACATCGTACGCCCAAAACAGTGGAAAGCAGCCATGCCCTCCGCCGAGCAAGAGACCTACATCCAACGCCTCGGCCAGCTCGGCTACTGCTGGCAGTTTATCACCCTCGCTGGCCTGCACTCCACGGGTCTGATAAGCGACCAGTTCGCGCGAGCGTTCGCGAAGCGCGGGATGAGGGCATATGGAGAGTTGATCCAGGAGCCGGAGATGGATGCGAAGATCGATCTGGTCACGCATCAGAAGTGGTCTGGGGCGAATTATGTGGATAACTTGTTGAAGATGGTTACGGGTGGGGTTAGTAGTACGAGTGCTATGGGGAAGGGCGTTACTGGTGAGTCTTGCTTTTCCTTTCGTGTTCTTGGCTTGGAGGGTACGCTGACGAATTTTGTGCAGAGGACCAGTTTCATTGATGGTCGAGGGAGCGCGGGCTGTGAGTAGGTGTTGCGAGGACTGTGCCAGTTTGCCGATGTGGCTGCTCTTGGGACTCAAGCAAACGGTCGGGACGGGACTGTGACGAAAGCACGGTGAGAAGAGTGTTTTTTGATGCCAGTGGCTCGATACGGCCTTTCGCCGCTGGAAGGCAAGAGATGGGGTAATGACACATCGTATCGTCGCCTGGGCCTTGACGAAGTCGTTGGGTACATGTAGGAGGAAAAGTCCGCATAGCACACGTGTCTGTATCGAAGTTTTGTTCGTAGGCCTTTCAATGGAATCTGACCTGATCCTCCTGGCAGGTTTTGTCTATCCTTGACCTCCAACGCCGCACACATGATTCTTCATCTATTCCAGAAAGACACTGCCGTACTGGCACATCACACAGGTCTTCTAGCCCATGGTTGAGACCGTAATGCTCGCCGAATCTCCGTCGCTGGGAGTCGTCTTCCTCTTCGCCTGAGCTTCCTGTTCTGCTTCCCGTCGCTGCTGCGCAGACCTTGCCAAGTTCCTACATGCTCGGTCCACTCACGATCCTCAGCCCACTGCCGCCAGCCTTACTCCTTGTCTCGTCTACGACCGTATACGCCAGCCAATACCGACTCGGATGCCACGCTACAGCTGGTATACCCGCTCCACCCGTAGGGACAGTGTGCACCACCTCACCACTCTCGGCATGATAGATTTCGAGCCCCTGAGCCTCGCCACCACCACCGCCCACAGCTCCGCCCGAACTAGTCACCTCCTCGCTCGCCCCAACAATATACCTCCCATCCCAACTCCAGCTCAACCCCCTAATCGGCCCACTGCTTGCACTACTCACCGTCCTTCTGCAAACCCACGTCTTCGTATCCCAAAGGCTGATCATCGCGTCCGAGCCGCCCACGGCGACGTAATTGCCTGCCGGGGAGTAAGCGATGGCGAGGCAGGATGAGGTGTGTGCGCTGAGGGAGTGGATAGGATGGAAGGAGGGGTAGTCGAGGATCTTGATGGTGCCGTCACCTTGGGTGATGAGGAGATCGGAAGGGGGATAGGCGTTGGAGAAGGTTGTTTGGTTGGTTTGGCGGTCTTGTTTGTGTGATGGGAGGAGGGTTGGTGTGCTAGGGGAGCGGGTTTCGATGGGGATGAGATTATCGTCCTGGATGGTCGGAGCATGTCAGAGGTGGTTTCATGGGGCTTGTGGTGTGAAAAGGGGAAAAGTGAACGGACCTTGGTGCCAGCCATGAGACACTGCCATCAGATGACCAGGTTAGAGTGAATGGGTCTCCGTCAACAGCGAGCTTGGAGATGCAGGCCCGACTCCGTGTGTCCCAGAAGCGGACGCCATCGGAGGAGCATGATGCTAGTTCGAATTCGCGTACTGGATTGAAGAGCACTTTGTCGGGCGAGTGGCTGTGGCCCCGAAGTTCGGTTTGCGATTTGGTGGATGCTCGCTCTGGGTTCCATATCCGGATGGTCTTGTCATTGGCGCCGGTGGCGACGAGGCCGCCGGAGGCATTCCATGATATTGTTCGGTGGCTGTTGCGTCAGTTTGTGAATAAGTGTAGGGAAGGAGTATTATTACCTGACTCGTGGAGGGTCATTGTAAACTTGTGTCTTGAAGGCACCGAATTGGGCTCCGAACTTATCACGTCCCACGGGCTTTCGAATCGGAGCCATCGTGGCTGTGCTGCTGAGCCAGAAGCGGCTCTACAACTGTTGCTATAATCTATGAGGCATTATATGGGCTGGGTATAACAGTGCTGCTTCATGTGAATACGTGTGAGGACAAGCCCTCACCAAGGCTGAGGTGCGCCGGAGTTTAGCTGGGTGTCTTTTCCGGGCCCGAAGGACATCGCACCCGAGAATCTAAGGAAACACTTCCAGGCACCTTGTTGCGCCATCTTGCCTTCTTGTTCACATATGTCTTCATGATTCTTGCTTTGGTGATTTCCTTCCTGTAACAATACTAGCCCACTTACCCTCCTAATCCATGGAGTCTTTCCACATAATGCAGCGGAGAGCCCTCCAACAGCTTTTCCGCAGCCGACCACACCTGCAACAGAGCTTCCGTCAGCTTCACCAGACCTCGAGACAGCAGTTCCGCACGAGACCGGTACAGACACAGCCATTGAACCAATCAATTCCCTGGCGCCAACAGAAACGCAACTTCACATTCCGCCGCTTCGCCTCGACCTCGACAGAAACCGAAAACTTGTCACTCGGGCAGCGCATGAAGAAGCTGTCGCGAGAGTATGGCTGGTCAGCGGTCGGCGTGTACTTTGCGCTCAGCGCGGCGGACTTCCCATTCTGCTACCTGTTGGTCAGATGGGTAGGGGTAGAAACTATTGGGCACTGGGAGCATGAGATCGTGACGTGGTTCAAGAATCTGGTGTCGTGGCCAGTGTCAGAGACTGCTGGGGATGAGGTGAAGGCGGGCGCGGAGCATGCGGTTGAGAAGGTTGAGGTGGCCGTTGAAGATGCTACTGGAGAGGAAAAGAGGGTGTTGGAGGAGGATAGTACGTTTGTGGACCATGGGTATCGGGAGGCGGAGAAGGCGAATATGGGCGCCAATGCTAGTGAGTATGCATCTTTGAGGGAGAGAGCACGACTGACGATTGGACAGGCATTTGGACACAGCTGGCGTTGGCATATGCGATCCACAAGTCGTTCATCTTTGTGCGGGTGCCGCTCACGGCTGCGGTTACACCTAAAATTGTAAAAACACTTCGCTCTTGGGGCTGGAATATCGGGAAGCTGCCGAAGAAAGGCGCCAGCGCGTCGTCTTCGAAGACGGGTGTAAACACGAAAGGCTCGAAGGTCAAGAGCGACGATTAGTAGGACAGCAGTCCACCCGTCGATATGTTCGAGCGAACCGCACATCCTCCCTCATATCAAGGAGACGCACGTAATGAACAAAGCACTCCGACTCTCAGACCGTCATTGCAGATAACATTGTGTCTATTCGACGACCTGATGAACCTCAGGCTTGCCGCCCTCGCCCGCCTCACTGAGCAGATGAACCACCGTCCCATCGCCCATCTTCAGACTCCATTCTTCCGTCTGGAACGCACCCTGCTTATTTCTCCGCCTTGCCACAAATCTAGTCTGCCCTTGTGCTCTTGATCCTTTGACCCAGAACTCGATCTCGATATTGCCATGTAGTTGATTCATCTGCCCGCTAATCCACGGTACCTGGCTGGCAAAGTAGATCTCGTCGCCGAGCAGGTCTCGTGCGGTCGGACTAGTTCGTAGGGCGTAGAGTATGGAAGACACAGTCGACGAGGAAGCTTTCTGGTAGTTGAAGAATGCGAAGGCCGTGCCGGTGACGCCCAGGAGGAAGAGTGGGAGGGTGTATAGCCATTTGTTGCGCGTTGTGTTGATGTCGGGCAGGTCTCGATTGGCTGACCGGGACAGGAGAGGGCCGGAGCCTTCACGAGGTGCTGCAAGGAAAGGCTCGGCTGGCGCGGAGGTGGTAGCATGTCGGTGTGGTATGTTTTGGTACAGAGTATTGCTATGAACGAACTGTGAACGCCAGACTGCAGCGCGCGCCGATGCTGGCAGTGCGAAGAAGCTGTTGCACAGTGTTGACTGCGCTCGCCTTGTGGAATGCATGTCTTCGGGCGCACTCGCAAACGTTTGAAGACTGTCGCAATGCTATGATGAGTGGTACAGTTGACGCATGCATCGAATGAAGCTCTTTCGGGGTCGAGGCAGATCTGCCAAGAACAGGCGATCGACCGAGTCAAATTCAACGCCTCTTGCCACTCTCCTTTCTCTCCCCTGATGAAGATGGTGTTTGCCTGCGCCGCACCCTTGGCCAGTCTGGCAAGTGTGATGGCAGATGATGAACTCAAGCACGTCTCATCTTGAAGGAGAAGATTGCATCCTTAGTCTCGTCCTCTTTAGCTTGACCCTGTTCTTCAGTCTCGCTTCCTTCCTCCACGTACCATGCGACCTTCGCCATGAGCTCCGCGTCAGTATACCATTCGACGCGGCTCACCAATTCGTCGCCATCGCTCAGCTTGATCTTGACTTTAGACCATTCCTGGTCTTCGCAGGACTCCCACCATGCCTGAAAGCTTTCCCAGTCGAACGCTTTCCGACACATTCTGAAAAGCTCCAGGACCTCCAGGTTTCGGAAGTTGCTCATGTCCTCCCATCGCGCTGCAGGATCCTCGCTCGACTCCACGTACAGGATGATCTCGCGATTGAGGCGGGGATTGACCAGGGACATGTGTGTGACGGCCAGGTTGACGAAGCTTTTGACTGTAGATACGCGTTAGTCTCGTCTCAACGGTAAGGCGAAGAAGTAGGGCGACTTACGCTGAATGTCAACTTCTACATCCAACTCTCCGTCAGCATCATCCTCCTCCTCATCATTGTCGGAGGACGCCAAAACAACAGCCGAAGGCAGGCGCGCGGCAGGAGCCACGGCACTTGAGGTCACGATACCGATCGTCGCAGTAGCGAAGGCCGATGTTGGAGGTTGCGGGCCGGGGGCGACGGTAGGAGCGACGACAGGAGCGACAGGAGCGACAGGGCAGCGGGCGCCACGACTGGAGCGGCAACCGGCGCAGCAGCTGCAGCAGGAGGCATCCAATTCGGATCGCGGGGCGTGTTCGGAAACGGCGCCTCCGGCCAGACACCTCCACCTCTGCGCTCGTGGTGAGCCAAACTATGAAGTGGTTAGATATATATGTGAGTCCACCATAAGGCGGGGCTAAAGATTCTATGCCACAGATGGGAAGAATGGCTTAAGTATGTTGAAGAGATACTAGAGGTAATCTGAAGCAACAGCGGCAACAAACACAAAAGATAGGCAAGGCAAACTCAAGTCGCAAAGAAGCAAAGCAACAGACTCAAGTGACAAGAGACTTACCGAGCCGGACCAACCAAGGCGAGAGCTGCTGCTCTGGTGATGACTCTGCAGTTCTGGTAGTCTACCTTTCTGCCAGCCGCAATATGCGCCGCAGTATGCTGGTTGGCATAGTGTCTGGAAATTTCTGGAGCGCGTGAGCTATTGTCTGAGGGAAAGCATGGTTGTGAATACTTACCTCTTGCCTCTCTGTTGACGAAGCGGACGTTGCTGGGACCACAACCTTGACCAGTCAGGTAGGTGTGGTGGCAGATGATGAATTCACCATTTGGAAGCAGTGTGTGGTTGCCTGTGTAGTTGGCCATTGTTTGATTGTTGTGAAGTGGCAAAGATAGTGTCAAGAGTCTGGTCTTTGTGGTGCAACGATAGGCGCAAGACTTTCTTTTAAAGAGTGGTAAGGAATTTGACGATCAGAAGTGGGCGGGCTGTTTAAGTCTACGAAAACAACATCACAGAGTACAGTCACGCGTCTGGAAGAGGAATGGTGCTGGGGAGATAGGCGGAGAGAAGAAGTTGCCTTGTTCTTGGGTGGCAGCAGTCACCCAGCACGACCAGGCCAGTTCACAGTGTCAAGCGCACACAAACAGACCGGAACCTCAGGTGAAGCCACACGAGCAGGAGAAGGACTTGGTCTGCATCTCAAGACGCAGCACACGAGGTTCGTCCTCCTGATTCTCGATCTATGAGGTCTCTAGTACCGTCACAGTTGCTGGGATCGAAGCACAGGGCGACCTCTGGCTCGTTAGCCTGCCAAGCGCACTCATCGTCGCAGTTGACCCCGAAGTCAGGGAATTGAAGATAATAGGCGGGCTCTGAAGCACACTCGTGGAGCAGATCAGGTTGCCAGTACATAGGTCATCCAATGCCATCGTTTCTCCCCCGTCGCCGTCTGTCACTATATTGCAAGCCTCATCGATATTTCCTGACTTGAGACGTCTGGGTCAACTTCTCCAGCAGGCTGCGACTTCCAGGGGGGAAGAGCTTGGAGAACACACGCATCCCCAATCTCCACCACCTGCAGCCGACAACGGCTTTGGAGAAGGGAGTAGACTACATAAGTCAGGTACTGTACCTTATCGTGCTGTGCTTCCTCTGAGGTCATCACGCATTTTAGATCACCTGTACAGGAACATTGTATCCATCGAGGAAGCACATATCAGGCCAACACCACCCGACCAGCAAGACTCGTACAAAGACCCCCCAAACATGCCGACCTGCACAGTCATAGCCAACACCACGGCCTCCACGACCAAACCTTCGGAACCCTCCAGCATCAAAGCCGCCAAAACCTTCACAGGCGACGTTTGGCAAGACAAAGTCCACCAGGATCCCGCAACAGGCTTCAACGTCAACCACGTCACCTTTCTTCCCGGTGCTCGCACCTACTGGCACACGCACGAGGGCGGCCAGATCCTGGAAGTGAAGGCGGGCTCTGGATGGGTATGTGATTCGGGAGAGAAGCCAAGGCGGATCAGGACAGGTGATATTGTGGTGTGTCCGGCGGGGACGAGGCACTGGCATGGGGCGGATGATGGTAGTATGATGATGCATTTGGCGATCAGTTTGGGGAAGACGAGTTGGGAGGAGGAGGTGCCGGCGGAGGGGTATGAGGGGAGGGGAGAGAAGACGATGACGGGAAAGGGGAGTGGCTGAGATGGCCTGTCGACGAAAGCGACAAATGCTCGTTCTGGGACAGGTCCGACCGAGGAAGTCAGTACTGATTCGAAGTCGACGTGTACACATTGTCCCATGCTCACGACTGCCTTGCAGCGGTGCTGGCACTACTAAAAGGCCTTCACAGCAGAAGTCACAAACAGCGTAATAACAGAAAGCCAGGTAGACAGGATTTATTACACAGCGAAGAGCGGAAAGTGCATGTGCATTACATGGTCTTTTCAGCATACAGCGACTGCCTCCGTGGCAGCTTAAAGAGCGTTCGCTCCTGTGCTGCTTCTGTGCCCAGGACGCATACCTCCTGCCGCTTTTTGTGTCCTGCACTCCAGGGCAGCATCTCTCGAGCGTCAACCCCACTACTACCCCGCGAGGTTTAGAATTGGAGAAATTGATGGGCGCCACGGCCCCAAATTCTGAAAGTCTGAAAAACATTTGGGGGCTGCGAACTTTTTGCGATCGACGACTGATTTCACGGTCAAGTACACCAAGTCGACGACTAACCTCGCCTACAGCCCAAATCGTCCCTAGCACCAGGCGCACTATCTTCTCAGCAGCCGTCTCCTCGTCCACCCTTGTCCTACACAATCCGACTCAGCCATGGCGCAAGGCGCAATCAAAGCCAAACCGAAGCCCTCGTCCGGCGCAAAATCCTCCAAACACACGCCGTCCGGCATCACAAAGAAGGGCTCCCTCCAGATGAACCCGCGCAAAGCGAGACTCCAAAAGCAGGCGAAGCTCAGCAAGAAGCTGACGAGCGGGCTGACGGCGCAGACGGAGCGCATGTTGGGTGAGAAGGCGGGACATCTGGAACTGCTGGGGAAGGGGAGGGACAAGAGCGGTGGTGGTGCGAAGGGGAAGGAAGGTGGAAAAGCGAAGGGTGGTGGGAAGGGCGGGAAGCAGGGTCGGAAGGGATAAGTCGAGGTACAGGCACCCATCGGCGAATGGAGCGCCTTGTTCATGGAGCTCGATGGCTGAGCTGTTAGCAGGCCAGATTCGAAACGCGAGAGAATCGAGCTTCTCGCTCATCAGACAGGAATACGTGCTGAATGGTCGAACGATAAGTGATTGCAGACTACGAATACGTCTGTCTGCGAAGGTCATCCTCCTGAGCACGGCCTGGCTCCACAAAACACCAGTCCTGTATGCTACGCCAAACGGAAGAAGGAAATCTCACAGGCCAGCTACTGCTCTCGATGCCTCACCGCCACCAGCTTCGATCACATCCTCTTGGCCAGCATTAGGCCTCAAAATCTCCTTACCTTTCCTGGCGCCACCTTCACCGACCCCCATCCGCTTCGCGACATACCGCTGTGCAACTACACCGATGGCCAGGGTCAATGTCTCCTCTACCCATTCACTGACCCATTCTCTGGGATCAACGCCTCCAGACCCAACGATCTCCTCAATCGACTCCGGCAAGGTCCCCTCACCTCCGCTTGGCGCGTCGAGCCACTCGAGCCATTGCGCTGGGACGGCTTGTGAGAGCGCTTGCAGAGCGATCCCGTGTATCGGATCGTGCAGGTAGATGGCGAAAAGCACTTCCTCTGAGTATCTGTGGTCGGGCGATTCCTTGACCTGCGACTCCTCCTCCTTAGCCGAGCTGCCTGCGAACAAACCGTCCGGCCTCGCCTGCGATATCGCCTGGATCGCAAGGAAGATCTCCGAGTCACGAGTTGGGTTGCTGGTGTTCAGCGTCTCAGTGGCCTTCTTCGCAACCTCTTCCACACCGCCACGGCCAGCCATGTGATCTGAAGCATACGACTCAGCAGAGGCACGAGCGAGCTTGCTACCCTCGATGATGCCCTTGACAGCATTAATACTGCGCTGCTCGCCGCTCCGCCACCACGGCCCATCGTGCCACGATCCGAAATCTCGTGATCGATCACCTGAGCCTCGTCGAGCTGTGGCTTCTTGACCTTTTTGCACCACCATCAGATCACCGCCCTCGACCTGCGACATAACCCGCGAAAAGACCTGGTAGATTAGCGGATCGAGCGTGGGATAATTGGTAAAATCATGAGTGATGTGGACTTGTAACCGTTCGTGCTGCGATATGGGCGGCGCAATCGTCTGGAGGATATTCTGGAACGTCGGCATAGCCATCGACCTTAGGTCACCGCCTATCACAACATGTCAGCATCTTGCCCATCACTCTCACAATAACTAAACCTACCAAATCCTCGAATGACGCCCACATTCCCCCTCACGCTCTCAAAATACTTCTGCGCATCCTCATTCTTCTGTATGTCCTGCACTGCCTTCTGCGCCTGACTCACCGCCGCCGTCGCCGTAGACAACAGCCCTCCCCACCAGCCCCCGCCCGCCGCAGGCGTAGGCGCCTCTTGAGGCTCGGCGACTCTGCCTCCGTCGTAGTCGTCGCAGGCGTGTACGCCGGCTGTGTCGACCGCGAGCTATCGCCTGACTTGCGCTGGCTGCGGTCTTCTCCTCGCTGCTGCGCCCTGGGGGAGGCGTGGCTGTTGAACTGCGGCTGGGGACCGTGCGCCTGTTGTGGTGGTGGGGTTGGCTCGTAGGGAGGGGGTGCCGGGGCGGCTGGAGGGGCGTGCTAGGTCGCCGAGGGAGTTTAGGAGGTCATTTTCGCTTTGAGAGGTCTTTGTTGTGGAGGCTGTGGTTCGGGGTTTGGTAGAGGGCTTGGGTGGGCGGGCTGTGGTGCTGAGGGTGTCGAATTGGGCGAGGAGATCATCGGCACTGGGACCGGTCTTCTTGTTGGACATGATGTATGGTACGGAGTATGGTCGCAACGGTGGCAGATAGCGAATGTGACGCTCAGAGGGAGACTGGACGTTTGGAGTCGGTGGGTGGTCAACAGCGAGATGACCACTGTGCAGAGCACGGGGTCTGGTGCTAGGCGCGAATTGAGCTTAGCGCTGCTGGGACGGCAACGAGACCAACGCCTCGAAACACAGGTGCAGGCTGCGTGATCACAGTGGTCATCAACTCAGATTGTCACAAACGATTGTCCTTCCTCACTGTCCTGATACGAGGGAATTTGTGTCAGGATGGAGTTGAGAAGAACCCTTCCAAGGCGTAACGCTTGAACACAGATGCCTACAGTACCAATGCACAGCTTCCCGATTTCATCACCTTTCCGCCATTTTTCATGGCAAGTCCAGCCTCGTCCGTACCTTCGTGGCGGACGTCGGGATAATTGTCTATGTATTGCTACTACAGCTTTGGCTTCATTGACGGCCCACGGATTACAAGCCCTAGCATGTCTTCGTGGCTCAAGGAGTAAGACCTCGGACCTCTTGCTTCATATCTACGGAGACTTCAATAGGTCGCGTCAGCACGATTGGACCGACGTCCGCTCAAAGATTCGAATTGTCTTTTGACGAAGGCGCGAGTGTCGACGTTCACCAAGCGTCCTTGTCTCAGGAAGCAGAGCAATGTCGTATGCTCTTGTACTCTGACGATGGCGCAAACATGTAGGTCTTGGTGCGTACCGCATTGTCATGTCATTCAACTTCGACGATCATGTCGATGGACACACCTATCCTCTTTTCATGTGGGATGAAAGCGACGACACCAGCTTGCAGATTTCTCCCCAGGACAATGCACATAATAACGCGTTGTTTTTTCGGAATGCCCCAAGTCAATACCAGTAACGACGGCAAGCGCGCGGCCATTGATGCTGCTGCTTGTGCTCTTTCATACGGGAGCACTCCCAATGTGTTTGTGAGCTGACAATGCAGGTTTGCACTCTTCTAGTTTATATAGGAGATGGCAGCTGGTCTGAGGACAACCGTGTCAGTGACATCTGTGGTAACCTGTATCGACTTTCCCAATCATGTGCAAGTTCTGGGCTAGTGTTGCTATTGTCTTGTTCGCGCTCTGGTCCTGGGTCACGTTCAACCAGGCCATCTCTCCTGCGGATGAATTCGCGTTAGCTAGACTGGACTGGGCAAACCAAACCTGCGTCAACCTCTCAAGCATCGCTGAACAGTTTGCTACTTTACGAGTCAACATCGCCGACTTTCAGACTGCCACTGTCCGTCACAATGAATTGATCGCACAGTACAACAGCCTCCAGCTAGAAGAGATCGACTTCAGCTTGTACAGAGCAAGCATTGAAAAGAGAGACGCGCCGGCCTTTCATATCAAGCAGAAGATCTACGAGTCACGCGCTTCGATTGCATCGTTACTCGAGGAGATTGTCGAGATCCTGAAGGATATTCGACCGCGCTTGAGCAAGCATGATCAATTCTGTTCGGGCAGAGCGCTCCGCACTCTGCCGCGAATCGTCAAATTCTTCAGAGGTTGGGGCTACGACAATCCAGGAATGCCGCCTCCTCTTAAGGCCCCGACAGAGGAGAACGTCAGCGCCATGAAAGTGGAGGAGCCTCTCGATAACGATCCATCGGATATGGCAGCTCTCCTCTTCTCGCCAGCCATTGATGTCGATCCTCCGGCACCCCAATTCCAAACATGTGCCGCCCGCAACATCGACGCTGACACAACTTCGCCAGACGCCGAGAGTACACCTCATCCCCGTGCCACCTGGGTTCGCTCACGACCTCCATGGCTGCCTCCCTGGGCATGCCAGTTCTCGGTGTACGACTCACAGGGTGATCTAACCCATGTTTTCGAGGGACACTGCGGCCAGCACGAGAGTGTTCGCTACAAGATGATACCCGAGACCTTCGCGCAATGCATGAAGCACGGGGCCGAACAAGGTGGAAGCCATGCCATCACTGCGGACGAGCATCTCGTAAATGGACTCTTCGACGACGCCATCAAGGGTCTCCGCAGCAAGATACCGCCTCGGGCATCCGAATCACGTTTAGAGGACAGTCCTGAGGAGGCTGCAAGACCAGTCATTACTACAAATGACTACGAATGGGTGATGTTGCGCGGCTGACACAGGTTGTGAGGAGAAAGGTGTCATGCTTGGTGGGAATTTGATGCGATTCGATTTGTTGGCTTAGTTCGCGTTTTAATATCTGCTTGGGCAACTTGGATGGAACATGGATTCGGGTGACGAGGGTATTGCGCGGTGTGGGGGTTTGAGCGTTAGCTTCTTGGTCTCCTGGTTTGCGAGCATGGATCAGACAGACTTGATTCATTCTGATGAACCAGAATTGCTGTGGGAATATACTTGCGTGCAACGCCTGCCATGTCTCCGCCTGTCCTTCGACCCTTGCCGAACAAGCGAACCCTTGTCGTAGTGACGAACTCTGTGATCGGCATGCATGACCTAGTATATCACTAGCTGACTCGTAGGCGTGGCATGCACGATCGAGAAAGCCAGCAGCGTTGTTCAGCAGGTACTCCCAGGTTCCTGGAACGATCTGGTCATCCGGTCTCGCGAAAAGCCTCGAAGCGATACCCGGTCATCCGGCGCTACTTGTCACACGATCAACCGGTATCATGAAGAGCCATTCTGGCGGCCAGGCATCCATCGCCAATAGGTAGTGGCGTATTCTACGGCAAGTCGATTCGTCTTGCGAGGAGTTGTGGTCCAGCTGGTATAAAAGCTTCAGCTGGCTGCTAGAATTTTGCATACTGTGTTCACAGTCGCACTGGCAACTCGGTGCCTCTCTTACATGTCTATACAAGAACCTGGTGCAACAAGACCAGTAACGTACTCGGGAGGCCTTCGATCATTCTTGCTACTCCTTCCCATCGAGTCCCACGTAGAAGTTGTAGCCGAAGGAATCACTTGGATCATTGAAGCGCAGCTTCCGATCCAACGAATCAATCTTCCCAACATCCACATCCTCAAGCACGAAGTCGCCTTCGAGATTCAGCTTGATTCTTGACGGCGTCTTCGACTTCGGAATGACGCTCCTGCCCTTGGCGATACCCCAAGCGAGCGCAACCTGAGCGCCATTCTTGCCATATTTCTTGCCGATGTCTGCCAGCATTGGGTCATCGATGAGCTTGGCGATGTCCTTGCCCTTGGAGTAGACGGTGTTTGAGTTGCCGAAGGGTGAGTATTGGGTCACGTGGATATTGTTTGATTTGTGGAAGTCGGCAAATGAGTGCTGCGCTAGGTAGGGGTGGCATTCGTATTGATGGACAGCGGGTGGCGTTTTGGACTTGCTGAGCAGACGTTCGACTTCGGTCTTCGAGAAGTTGCTAATGCCAATGGACTTGGTCTTGCCTGTGCTGAGTAGGGACTCCATTGCTTTCCAAGTGTCAAGATAGTCGATGTTATCAGTCAAAACCTTTCCGTCTTTGGTGGGTCTGAGCACAGGACCGCTTTTGAAGGCACCTGGCCAGTGCATGAGATAGAGGTCGACATAGTCGGTCTTCAGATCTTTCAAACTGGCGTCAAGGGCGGGCAGGACGTCGTCTGGGTGGTGAGAATTGTTCCACAACTTGGTCGTCAAGTACAGCTCGGATCGTGGCACATTGGCGCGTGCAATGCCCTTGGCGACAGCTGGCTCAGTGCCGTAAACACGTGCAGTATCGATATGCCTGTAACCAGCATTGAGGGCATGATAGACGGCGTCCTCTTGGGCATCCTTATCCTGCCATGTTCCGAACCCTAGTGCAGGTATCTTCGTATCGTTGTTCAACGGAAGTAAAGTACGCGTATAGTTCGCAAGATATCTCTGCGCGCCTAAAATGCTCGTGTTCGCGACTCTCGCAACTTGCCGGCGGCACTGAGTACGCCACATCTCCGGAACTTGTAAGTGCTTCCGCGCCGATGTTTCTGACGAAGCAAGTTGTGTCCGCCTTGAAAATTCCAGGCTCAGGAGCCCGCCATCATGGCAAGATTCAAGCCGAGGAAATGGTCTCTGCTAGATTGAGGATGACTTCATCGTTGTGGTTGCTCTTCCGGCCAATCAACGGGCGCTTGCGCAAGCAGAGCTCCTCTCGTTTGGGCAGGCGAAACTTTGGGGCAAGAACAGGGGTCAACCTCGCGCCAAGTGCCTGCATTGCCATCATCTCATCCATGAGTATCGAGCTTCATGCTCCTCCTACACCAGGAGGTCCAAAGTCAAATGCTTTGCCCCAGTAGCGCATCGTAGACTAGTGGCAGTTCCCTTTCCCACATAGCGCTACGCCTGGACCTTGGGGGCCTGGGAGGAGTCAATCATGCGGACCACATCGTTTGATTTATGTCAGCAACGACCTGCGAGCGGCCGCATCTCGCCCCAGAGCGATGCATTTCGAGTGTGAGTATAAGTTTCTATGCAGCGCGTCGACAGTCAAGGGCGATGATTTTGTTCATGTGAGTCTCTGCTTCTGTGTCCATCACATCATACAATATGTCGGTCTCGCAAACGTGTGGGTTCTTAGCATTTGCCGGGGCTTTCTCCCATTTGTTATACTTTCGAAACGGTGAACATCTACGAGCATCGCCAACTTATGTAGTCTGCGCGGCGACGGCTCCTACACTGATATGGTCGTATCTGGTATATGGCCACGCAACGTCATGGACTCAGGCGTGCGTGCAGACGGCCGTATACTACCTTTCGTTCGTGGCCGGTCTTTTTGGTAGCATTGCGGCATATCGAGCGTTTTTTCACCCGCTTCGCCAGTACCCGGGGCCTTTCATGGCAAGAATTACGCAATTCTGGCTTCCTTACAACGTGTCAGAGCGCGCAGATAGCGCTTGGTTCATCGACAGACTACACAAAAAGTACGGAGAGTATGTGAGGATCGGGCCTAACTTGCTGTCGATTGCGGACCCAGACATGGTAGAGCCTATACATGCTCCAGGGACTAGGTTCACCAAGGGTCAATGGTACGACGTCGCGAAGCCATTGACCACTGTCCAACAAATGAGAGAGAAGCACATGCACGATAGACATCGCAAGAGCGCTTGGGACCCAGCCTTCACCGCGAGTTCACTACGTAACTACGATCCACGAATATTGAAACATGCGAACAAATTGATGTCCCACCTGCGAAATACGTCAGGTCAGTCGGTGAATGCGACCCAGTGGATGAGCTTTTTCTCTTTCGATGTTATGGGTGAGTCCTACGATGCGTTGATGCAGTTCCTACTAAGCCAAGACAGGTGATCTCAGCTTCGGAAAGCACTTCGGTCTGCTGGAGACCGGAAAGCCACATCTATACATGGAACTTGTTCATACCAACGGCAGAGCATTCGGTGTTTTCGGCTCGTGCGGCTGGCTCTTACACACCGTTATGGCTCTCATCCCTGAGGAATGGACACCTATGAACAAAATGCTTCTCTATAGCAGAGAAGCTATCAAAGACCGGAAAGCGTACGAGCCAGCCTTGCCAGACATCATGAGCTCACTCCTGAAGGTGGACAGATTCATGAGTAGCGCGAAGGACGAGGACCTGCTACTAGAAGGCAATGTTCGTCTACTCATCATTGCTGGCGCAGACACGACTGCCACGACCTTATCATTCGTTGCCTATTATCTAGCCAAGGATAAGTCAGTGTCCAGAAGTTAAGGCAAGAGCTCGTCGAAAATGGCATACGCGACGATGACACGTTCGAGGTCTCGAAGGTTGCCAAACTTCCATACCTGAATGCTGTAATTGACGAAGCACTACGCATGCATCCTCCTACTCCCGGCGGACTTCATCGAAAACCTCCACCAGAGGGCGTCAGACTGGGCGATCATTATATTCCTGGTGAGATCCAAGTACTGACACCCACGCACTCAATCCAGCACTCAATCCGAGCCTTCGTGAAGCCAGACGAATTCATACCTGAACGATGGACAACCCAGCCGGAGCTTATTCTCAATAAGCAAGCATTCTTCCCATTCAGTATGAACAGCTGGGGATGCATCGGCAAGCAACTAGCATACAACGAGCTCAGGACCGTGGTTTCTAAGCTTGTGCTCGGGTTTGACATGACCTTCGCACCCGGAGAAGACGGGACTGATATCTTGACCAAGAGCCAAGATGTCTTCACGGTCACCTGTGCTCCCCTGCACCTCGTCTTTACGCCCGTCGAGGCATGAGCTGACCACGTGGCTATGGAGAGTGGGGCCTCTGGGTGATCGGTGCGCAGGTTGTCGCCCTAGATACAGTCCAGGCATGAACAATGTCTGTGCGTTGACGAACGCAGACGAATCGAGGCCTTTGTCAACAAAATCTACCACGCCTCTCGTGTCGGAAAGTGTCGAATCCGGGTACTTCAACACAATGAAAGCGCCTGCATCACGCGGCGCGCTGGTCGAGACGACTAACAAGCAGTCTTTCTACTTGCTCCAGATACCTTTTCCTTCTACCGCATCCTTTTCGCGTGCATAGCTCTGCTCCTGTCGCGCTCCAGTGCTATCGATCAAGCCGGCTTGTGCCACCAACAGCAGTCATGAAGATGGTCACTACCAACACCAGCGGCACTCCGCATGTGATTCCGATGCCACGATGGAGCTCCATCATTGGCATCGCTCGCCTCGTGCTTGCCGTGCTGGTCCTCGCTTTCGTCGCAGCGGCAGCCGGGCTATGGGGAGATGCTTCGTATGCGGCTTTTGGGCTAACGCTGTTCACGGTACGTACTATGGAACAAGCTTGCTTGAGGATCTGCTTGAAAGGAGCCCTTGCTAACAGACTGGCGAACACAGGCATCAGCGACGCTGTTGGTCTTCGCCTACTACACCCTGTCGCTCTGTCGCTGGCCACATTTCTACTCCGCCTGGGCCGTACTTGGCCTCGAGATCTTTGGCGTCATCTTCTGGCTTACTTCATTCGCGCTCTGCGCCGAGTGGACTGCTACGTTCAACCATTCGTGGTGGACGCATGGAAGCTCCACTGCCACCAACTATGGATTTTGGAACGCACCTTTCAGACCTGAGGATATAGGCCTACAGAGCCGTGGCATTCCTGTGATCAAGAGAGCACTTGCCAGTGAGAAGAAGTGGAAGTCAGCAGTCGCCCTTATGGGCACAGCGGCCGGCTTGGGCGCAGTACAATTGTGAGTTTGCTCCGGAAACTGGCACATGAGGAGTCTTGAACGCTAACGAGTCGCAACAGTGTGCTCTTTGTGGTTACGCTCACCTTCTTCGGCATTGGACTGCAGAAGCATCGCGTCGCGGGGAAGCCCTTCACCTTCAAAGCAGACACTTCTGCAGCAACTCCAGCCGTTGCATCCGCTCCCGCCGAAGAGAAAGCCGCGAGCACCAAAAGTGTTGACCAGCCGGCTGGGACTGCTAGTGCCGTCTAAGCTTGGGTAAATGGACGACGATCTTCAGTGCTCGCACGATGTGCATCTGGAGTACAAAGCCGATTCTGGATGCCGGTAGCAGAAGGGGAAGAGATCGACACGGAGAAGACACCTCTGTTGGGGTGTGCTGACAGTCTAGTCTGATAGTCTCATAGTCTTACGATGGTTGGAAGTGAAGCGAGCTGATGCCTTACCTCCGGCGGACCTTGTCGTGTCTTAAGGGCTAGTGAAGAGGGGACCTTTAGGTAGAAAATGCGGCCCTACGTTTATCAAAGACTCGTCAAGGCCCGATATCTGTTTCATCGTCCATAGCTAGTCCGAATAATCGATATCGGTATGGAGCTAATGCAGGTCCCAGTGGTGATCATCAATCTATAATTCTCCACATCCCGTCGTACCCAGCTCCTGAATGCGTCCTTCGGTGATGTAGCTGTGCGTGCTGCTCATGCTCTCGTCACAGCACCGTGGGGGATGACATGGACGGTGTCCTTGCGGCTGCTATGTAATGGGCGTGACTCGCAGTCACTCAAAGATCCGCGCGCACAGTGACAGTCACAATCTTTGTCAGGAGCGCTTGGTGAGCTCGAGTCGGATCCGAAAGGATTTGGTCAAAAACCCACTCCGACACCGCCAAGGCCACCGAATTCAGGTTGGTGTCTCGTAAGCGAAGGGATAGTGTATCGTCAACGGCTGCCATTTCCTACTTTCTCCTCTTTTACGCACTTGGGCTGACCAGCAAGCGCAATCATGATTCGCTCTACGGATCAACATGGGCAATTCCGACACGCTGGGTGCCATTTTGCATGGGGGTTTGCATGGGCATGAGGTCAGAAAGGTCAGTGCTTCTACCCTTAGCGTCGCCATTCGACATTTTAGCAATCGATAGTCAAGAAATTCCTAAACTACCGGCGTTGCTGCGGATGGACTCCCTGCATCGATAATGCATCATCATACTTGTGAAGCGAGTCAGCACCATGATACAGTAAGTCTTGGTCCGGTGCTGCGGACGGGGTACGTCGACCTCGACGAATGTCTTATCCATGACCATCCGTGGATATCTTTCTCCGATATCCTGTTGGTCATCTTCTCCGAGTCCTGGTCACGATCTTCATGCTTTACAACCAAGCCTGAAGCATTCTCGATATGTCATGACAGTCACAGGCCATGTGCTGAGTAGTACAAAGAGGAGTGGCGTGACGAACTACAGCGTGATGCGACAACCCTGACAACAAGAGCACACCAGGGTGCCTTCGACGGCGGTCTCGGACGTCTCTTAACAGCCAACCCCAATGAGACCCAAAAGATACAGCGACATGCTCATCAGACCACCCAGCAACGAGCCATGGGCGCTGCCTCCCCCGGAGCATCGGTTCAATCCCTTTCGGGAGGACGAAATTCAGCCAGCCAGCCAGGATGAGGTACACCGACATGAGAGACTCGACTCCACGGTGCGAAGTATCGATCCGATGATAGAGGAGTCCATGGAAGCTCGCCTCGCTCGCCTTGGAAGAGAGCGTCCTCCAATCTTCACGTCAGCATTCGCAGAGGTCATGTTCTGCTTCTCGATCCTGATGAGCCAAATCCTCTCCGAGTTCTTCGTGTCAGGTTTCACTGTCATTGTACCTACCTTGATCGAGGAGCTGGACATCCCGCAAAACTCGAGTGTCTGGCCCGCAACAGCATTCTCGTTGGCCATCGCGAGTACGCTGTTGGTATTTGGTCGCGCTGGAGATATGTACGGAGGATGCCCAGTCTTCGTTGCCGGTATCGCCTGGCTCTTGGTCTGGAGTATCATCACCGGTTTCAGCATCAATCCGCTCATGCTGATCTTTTGTCGTGCGATCCAAGGCCTGGGCGCGGCTGCGTTCCTGCCGACTGGCGTCATGCTGATCGGCTCTATGTACCGACCTGGTCCACGCAAGAACGTCATATTCGCCTTGTACGGAGCTTGCGCGATTGTCGGCTTCTTTATCGGCATCTTCGTGGCAGGCCTTGTTGGGCAGTATCTGAAGTGGCATTGGTACTTCTTTATCGGGGCCATCCTCTGCGGTGTCACACTCCTCACGTCGGTGTTCTATATTCCGAACGATGGCGAGCAGAGACAGCGGGGCAACATCACTATGGACTACTGGGGCGCAGTAACGATCATCTGTGGTGTCGTACTTGTCGTATTTGCAGTCACCGAGTCAGCGCATGCCGCAGACGGTTGGCGCACACCATATATCCCTGCTCTCTTCTCTGCTGGGTGTCTATCGCTCATAGCGACAGTATACGTTGAGGTTGGTTTCAAGCTTGCCTATCCTACCTCCGGACATCTTCAAGGTCGGACCACTTGGCCCTTTGGTTGTCGCGCTTATGTTCCTGTACGGCACAATGGGCATCTTCTTGCTGTACGGCACATTGCTCTTCCAGGACGTCATGGGCGCAACACCTCTTCAAGTCGTTGCCTGGTACACACCGATGATCGTCGGAGGTTTGGTCATTACCGCTGTTGAGGGCTTCGTTCTCCATCTGGTATCAGGCCGTCTACTGTTGATCATATCCGGCATCGGAGGCATAGGAGCGCAACTTCTGCCGGCCCTTATACCAGTGGGCGGCAACTACTGGCTTATGTCTTCCCAGCATGTATTTGCGGCACCATCGCCATCGATATCAGCTATACAGTGATGACAGTCTTCGTGACGACCTCTCTCCCATCTGCTCGACAAGGTCTTGCAGGAGGCTCATCAATTCAGTGCTGCACCTCGGAATTGCCATCATCCTCGGATTCAGCGACATCATACAGTCGTGGACTGTAGAATCGCAAGGCATCCGTCGGAGCTACCAAAATACGTTCTGGTTCGGAGTTGCCTGCGCGGCCCTCAGTCTCGTGCTGATGGCTATTTGGGGCGACATACCGAAAGCTAGAAGCGATCTTACTGCCGACGAAAAGGCTGAGCTCGAGCTGGCCGATAAGGAGGACAAACGTAGGAGCTATCTCAGTTTCACTGGACAGTGATTAAGTGTGCTCCGAAACAGAACGGTTGTCTGGCAGGTGATGTCGAGGTCCTGACTACCGTCTCAGGAACATCATCTATCTGACGCATGTGAACATATTGGGGGAAGTGGCCGATGAGGCATGAATAATAGCATCATTTACGATAGCATACTGACGACATGATACCACAGAGCAAATGGCTCCATCTCATATATATGTACAACACAAGTATCACTTACAAGCATTATTGCATATTCTGAACATGTCTTCCGTACAAGCTGTCAGATATTGCGAGTTGTGGTGCTCATCTTGCTTCTCAGCCAACTGTGAGAGTGCCGGGCAAAAAGGAGAAGAAGCCGGTCCCCAAGACGGCCTGCTCCTAGCGAAGGCAGCAACGGCCTTGCAGCGACCTGGAGCTTACTTTCACGGCGTTGGATTGTCGCAAGGCAGTCACGACACTTGCCGCAAACTAGCAGAGATTACAATGATGAGGAACTGCATGCTTCGACCACTTCAGAAGCAAAGTTCCCATTAGCTGCTTCCCCCACAGTCGGATCATTGGCCCATGCCCCTGCCAAATTCGTCCTCGATCCTTGCACCCTGTACTGCAAGGCAGTCGACAAGGCAACTTCAACCTACATTGCACTACAGATAATCTCGAGCTTATGTTGGACTATGAATGATGACTTCTCGACCTTTGTTGAAAGATCTGAGACTTCGGCATCTGTGAATCTATGTTGTCCCAAACCCCAGACCGTGGTAGCGGATTTCTAGGGGAGCCAGCGCCGTGAAGTCAGCTGAGAGGCTGAGCTGCACATGCAGTCCCGTCAGCGCTCAGTATGCCCGAGTCCTGCGAGTCTGTCTCTCAGCATAACAGCAGCTGTTCTCGCGCTTGCGGTCGCTGCATACTTGTCTGGCAACACTGTATACGACCTGTTGCCATCAGCCACCAGTCGTCAAACAGAAAATGAAATGGTCACCACAGCAGGCACTGGACATGCCCAGGGTTCGATAGCACGCTTATACTCGACTTGTTTGTCCTTTATGAGACAGTCACGGCAACCGGATTTGACAATGGCGCAAACAGATCCGCCCAAGCCTATAACATCGCAAAGGTCACAAGGTGAGCACACCAACCAGATGACACCACCACCAGAAACAACACTTCCTGGTTCACGCTCACGAGCCCACTCAGTCGGAGCAGACTCACAACTAGCAACTATGGCAGATTCGAATCTGTGGAGCGTTGTCTCGGACGAGTCCTTCTGGAAGCTGCCGGAAGACGACGTGATTATGCTAATCAGAAACGAGTTTCCAAATGAGATGGAACGTCTCAAGCACGCATACTCAGTGCGGAACTCTGGCACAGCCCGGCCGTCTCGCCCGTCTATCGCTGAAAGATTATACGACGGCGAGAACTACGACGAGATCAACAGAACCCTCTTGGGGATCCTAGCCCTCCGCTGGATCGTCAACAACGACTACGACAGCTTCGCCAACGGCCAGCCCCCCGACATGCGCCTAAAACGCTCATCGTTCACATGGCTCCACAACTTCTACTGGACCAACCTAAACACCCCCGAAGACGCCTACACCCTCATCCTGTCCATGATAATCAATGACCTAGGCAAAGACCCCAACCTCGCCACCGACTACTCCGCCCTCACGGGCACCGACATCTCCAACGTCAACCACGACATGATTCTCCTCTGCGCCGTCGAAGCTGGCATGGTCCCCGCCCTCGACAAGCTCTCCCAATCCCACCGCGACACGCTCATGGATGGCATCCGCCTCGGCTCCGAGCTCAACTTTGGCCAGCTGGCGCAAGCGGAGAACGCGCCCGCCGCCTTGATTGGTCTCGAGGATATGCGCGGCAAAGACCGCGCGTTTCAGATGCGGTTCATGGAGCAAGTCCTCGACGTGTCTGGCGCGAAGGGCCATGAAGATTGGACCGCTGCATTAGTCATGATTGAATCCGTCTTTCAGAGCTATCGCAGCGTCTATGACGTCGCTAGCGGGATCATCGCCGGGAAACACACATTACGTGAAGGCTTTGACCTCATATTACAGCGCAAACTCGACCTCCTCAAGGCCGCAGGCTACACCCTGGCCAACGCCCTAACGCTCCGAAACCCACAACATCGCGCCCTCGCCCGCCTCTTCTGCCTCGGCAACACCAACAGCGCTTCCACGGCCGAGATCTTCCGCATCGCATTCCTCGAACGCATGCCTGAACCCGACCGCATTGATCTCATCCACGGACTCAATGTCGATGGCTCGGAGGAAGAACCAGCCATTCAGCCTACGTATGCGCCGGCAATGTTGGCGAAAGCGCTGGGGAATACGGTGAGTGGGACGACGGAGGAGAAGGTAAGAGCGTTGGTGGCGATGTTGAGGTATCTGGCGAAAGTGTTCAGGAGGACGAGGACGATTACGGAGGGCGTCACGGTGGTGGAGAGGGAAGTAAGGATTGTGGATGGGGTGGTGGGCGGGGAGGAGTTTAGAGTGAGGCCGGAGGTTGTTGTGGGTTGTGCGGTGCCGGGGGATCAGGTAGCGAATCGCGTACGGTAGAGGCGCTTCTCGAAGTGAGCACTGGTTGACGTTGGTGTTGGATAGGACATTTGGTTCATTGGGCGGCGTTCAAGGTTTCGAGGCCATGCACACGGTAGCCTTACGTTCGAGGAATATTCTACCATTTCTGACGGTCTATGCTACAAATTTGCAGGTCGCCCAAAGACCCATCACCAATGCCGCACAGTGACCACAACTGCATCTCTTGCAGGATCTGCATTTTGTCTCATGTGTGCGTCTTGACTGCTTGTCGCGCCTCGATCGTGCACTCCCGTCGCCGCAGCACCAGCATCGCTCACCCAGTCCAGCAGCTCAACAGTCTTCTTTCGCTTCCAGCCTTCCCGAATAGCTATCCGCTCGAGCGCTTCCTGGCCGTTGAAGTACTTGGTTAGTCCTGGCCAGGCGTCGTGCAATTCTTGGCGTTGTTCAAGGGTGAGGTGTTGCCATGGATCAAAGGGATGCTGGCGATCTGCGTCTTTATCTGCTGATGCAGGCTCGCTATTGGTGGGTGCGTCCGGGTCTGATGGAGACTTGTCTACCACGGGCGCGGCATGTGGCACGAGTGATGCCTGGATATGGTTCAGCCACTTGGTCTCGAGCGCCGAGGCACGAAGTGGGGACACGACGAGGGACGCGTGTGCAGGGTTGTGCTGAGGTCCGGCCTGTGTGACACGAGTCGCTGTAGTGGTGGTGGTGTTGGTCGAGGACGACCCTGGGCGAGACAGATGTGGACGGTTACGCAGGTAATTGCTGCTGCTGTAAGATGAGGCAACAGAAGTGGACGGTACAGACGTGGAAGGCTTTGGCTGAGAGTGCTGTCGTTGATGGCGCTTTGCTTGTGGTTGCAGGTTGAGTCTTTCGAGGTTATTTTGAGCGGCATCGTGTTTCTCTTTTTTGTCCTGCTCGCGTACGGCTTTCTTGACGGCTGCAGAGACTCGCACGTAGGCGAAAGTGCGGAGTTGAGTGACCCATCCACCTCGGAGAAGCCAGGCTAAGACACGATAGTATTCCTCTTTGTGGTCTGATGATGGAATGAGGTTGCCAAAAGGTGCGGGCGTACCTGAAAGTAGGGCGAGGAACCGTGGTAGAGACGGCAGCATTGGAAAGGTCGACTCGAAAGACTTGATAGCGGTCGCTAGCTGGGATAGGTCGGCATTCGGAGACACAATATACGTATCCTGATGATGCAGAGGTGGGATTGCCATTGCTCGGCGCCAGCTGATCAGGTGCCGAGATAGCAATTGGATGTCACCCAAGGGCAGGCCAGTTCGCTGAGAGATCTTGTAGAAGGACTTTGTCGGTGTCAGAGATGTGATCAAGTTCGCTAACGGTAGAGCCAGCGGCCCCGAGGTGCCTTGAACATCTTTGAGAATCTTATGAGGATTATCGCGAAGCAGCAACGTGAAGGACTTGGCCAGTTGGAGTGCATTGTCAGGTTTGGCGGCGTCGAGTTCGAGGTCAGACTGCCCGGAGATAGGATCGTTGGCTGTCGTGAGCCAGATACCTGGCGGTATGGGTGGGTCAGTCAATGATGGTAGATACGATGTGGATGTGACAGGCGGAATTTGTAGAGACAGGGAAACATCTGGACTGAAAGTGACTGCCGCTACACGAGATGTGGATATCGTCCGATAGATGGTCGCAATTGCCGTGGCCAAAGAGGACTGCTTCAGTAGGTCGTTGTAGAGGACATTGGTCGATGACCGCTGGGCATAATGAGATGCTTTGATGCTGTGTACTAAGTCGGTCTGCGTCCAGACATAGTCATTATTGGCTTGCTCCCATTTGAGGACTTTAGCTAGCTTTTTGATGACATTGTCGTACATCTCCTTGATCGCTGCGTGTGCTCTAGGGCTGGAGGATTCATCACGAAGACCAAGTGAAACATGGTGAGCGCGCTCTTGTCGGAGGAAGCGTCGACTTCGGCTTCCTGCTCATCTGGCGGCGGCTGGTCCTCCGCCTCCGAAGTCGGGTCTTGGTCAGTACCTCCAGCATCTTCCTCATCGATTTCAGTATGCTCTTCTAGACGATTGTGATGTCTCCGGCGTCGTCTTTTCCAGCGCCCACTCTCACGCACGTATACCGGACGCCCGACTAAGACTAAGTCGTTGATGCCCAGTTCGAACTTGCGCTTATGCCATGCGCGACCAGGAGCCAGCAAGCTAACAAGACCTTCTTCGCCAATTCCCAGCAAAGGCTCCCATGAAGGCTTCCAGTGTTCATCGCTGCGTACACGGCTCAACTCATCATAGGTCTCGTCATTATCTTCGCCATGAGAAATGTCTGTGGCCTTGGAAGTTGTGATTTCATAGATGTTATCGTCACTGGACGATTCGCTGCCTGAGTCACTGCTGGAGCTATCGTCTGCAACTACCTGATCTGCGTCCTGTAGATGCTGCTCATCCTGGGCTAATGGATCAGGTGGGTAGTGAAATAGAATTTGCGCTCCTGTTCCTGCACGAGTCTGTGCCACCAGTATTATACCTAGAAGACATGGGTTCGGGCCAGCAGCCATCAAGAAGAAGAACTCCTTGGGGCTACTTTTCGGGTGCCTACAACCGCTCCAGGCGGGCACATACCCGAGTTCGTGGCCTCCTCGACTCGATGTCGTACGTACAACAGGCACGACCACCCAGGCGAGAGACACTGTGACTCACCTGACGGCAGATACGAAACCATGCAGTAGTTTCAAGGCAGTCACCTCCCAGCTTCACGTTAAATGTGATGCCCGGGTTGCAGTGGGGCAGCACTGAACTCGGCACGGGCAGGCTTGGCGGACATGAGGAGAAAGCCTTCGGCCCTGACAACTTTAGAAAATTCGTCCTTGACTAAAGCAGCTTTAACTCGCAACCTCTTCCGTTCGCACTTTCTTCCACGATTTCTCTCTCTACCGCAGATATTCTGGGCATTCTTTGTCTGTATCTGTACCTGGCCAGTGATCGGTCCCGCCGCAGTCGAGGCGCGAGTACACGCTCGAAACCAATCGGACGCTCGTCTTACGGCAGGACTTTATTCGCGCAGGCAACGTCGCCCGAGCGGACCTGTTAGTTCTGACCTCGATCACTCCGTGCCTGGCCTGTCCCACGTTCCAAATCCTTCTATTCGGGATTTACGACAAATCGATCCAAACCGCACGAACTGTGAATTTGGGCCACTTGACGCACGAAGAAGAGGCATTTCTCGGAACACAGGTCAATCACTTGTTAGTCGAGTACCTCGACCCAGTCAGGCGCGTTTGAGAGTTGTAGGAACGCCTCCACGGCAATCAATTTTCCCCATCTCTGCGACAGCATTTCTACGCACTCGATTGCGCCACAGCTTCGACTTCTTCATTACACGAAGTTCAACACGTTCACCTGGCAAAATAATCTGCCACCCCGCACCGCAGCGAGTACCTTTCTCGAGCCTTTCGCAGTAGCGATCGCGCAACACTGTCCGCTCTTGCCAGTCCCTAGCGCGAACAATATCTCGGATCGTTCGAGAGCGTGAGCAAGGCGAGCCTTCGCAAATCTGACGAATACCTTGCGGGCATCTTCTGCTGCTTGGTGAAGGTTCCACTTGATCGACCGGCTTGGAGCTGGGGAGAGAAGCGCTCTTGTGAGCAAGAGGAAGGAAGCAGATAGGAAGGGTGGTCAGCACACACAGTGACAGTGAAATGTCTGCAGCGACAAGTCCAGCCATGCCTGCATTTTCGTATGCTCAAGCAGCCAAAGGCCTTGCGCCTTCAGCTGCCACTTCGGTCAAAGAAGTCAAGCCTGATTCAGTCGAGCAACAACAGTCATCAAATCCTCAGCCGAAGTCTGATACTCCAACGCAGCCTGCTCACAAGCCGTCCCGCAGTGCCAGCCGAACGGAACAGAACGACGCCAAACCACCAGTCAAAGACGAGAAATCAACAGTCCTGGACCGCGAGGTGCCACAAGACAAGGACACCACTGCGTCAGCTCGACGCCCTCAACAGAAGTCATCAGGGTCCAGTGTGGCCTCTCCAAGAATACCTGCCGCCAATGAGTCCGGGAAGGAGACCACAGTATCATCTGCGCCTGTCGATCTGCCAGAGAGCCCCGCAATCCTTGACCGAGACTCCAATGCTAGCGACAAGGGCAAGAATAAGGAGAACGACGATGATTGGGAAAAGGTCTCCATACCCTCAAACGCTGCCGCAGACAAGGAGCTAAAGCCTGCCTCCATTCCGGTGGTTAATATCTGGCAAAAGCGGAGGGAAGAGCAGGAAGCCAAGAACCGTGAGCTTGCGGCTCAGAAGCCCGGTACTACTGGCGCGCCCGTTGCCAAATTGGCTGAAGATGCCAAACGCAAGCCCGTACTTGACCGAGACTCATCGCGAGCTGCCAACAAACACAACGAGCGTGCGGAGTCGATTGCACCAGCTGCACAGTCAGCATCTCAGGCCGGTAGGCCAGATGCCAAACCACTTGTCGCCGATACGACCGCTTGGCCGACTCCCGAAACTGTCACTGTTGACGACCGGAAGAAGTCTGTGACAGCGGAAAGAGGCGCGCCACAACCGGAGTCTCGTAACAACAAGTCACATGGCAAGCAATGGGTCCAAATGCCTTTCGTGCCAACTGCAAAATTCGAGACACAGCTTCCAGCAGGGGCTGCCAAACGCGGCGGGCGATCGAGTCGCGCTGGTCGTGATCCCAACGGGCGGGGTGGTCAGACTAACAACACTGATCGCATTGACAATGCTGGGTCCATGGCTCCACCGCCGGTGCCACGCGAGGATCGCGGGCGTAAGAATGATGCCAGTCGGGGCGGCCGAGCAAGTTCTCTGCCAGCAAATAATCCTAGAGCAGCAAGCCGGGAAAGCAATGTGGCTACGAGTCGAAAACCTTCGGCTCCCGTGACCAAAGATAGTATTCCACTCGCAGCATCCGCCGCAGCACCGTTTGTTCCTGCCTCAGAAGCCATCAACAGCAACGTCACGTCTCAGGACCCTTCGAGATCTTCATCAAGCCAGAAACGCACAGGCAACAATTCGCCGAAAGCTGCAAATAATGCTGCTTCTCAAAGCCTCGAATCATCTACGGAAGCTCTGAGCCAAATTCAGTTGACTGAAGGTACAGCGCGTCACAACAACGTGTCTGAGAGAGCCAGACCGTCTCAGGCAAGCTATCGCTCGAATGACTATCCCAGACCCGAACGCGGCAGCACCGCTCGAAAAGACCGAGAAAATGCAAGAGAAAAAGTAGAGTCGTGGAGAGATCGCGAGTATTCAGGCGATGGACAACCGCGCTCGAACAGAAGTGAGCGTGGTCGTGGTAGTGGTTATCGTGGCCGAGGAGGCAGTTCCTTCAACCCAGGTTACCAAGGGAATCAGTCATACACCTCGCCATTGCCGCAAGGAGGTTTCGATGCTCCGAAGTCCCAACACGAATCTCGGTCAAGACAGTCATCGCAGCCCTACGTTCAGACTGCTGCATCTCAAGGTCGCAACCCGTCTCGTGCGCAATCGATACCCATGCCGCAAATGTACCCTCCACAGAACTACTATGCCAACTTTCCTCCGCCGCAGCAAAACATGGCACCTTTGCAGACCGACATGCAGCCCTATGGGATGGCTCCTTCGATGCCCATGCATCAGGGCATCATGAGCGCGATGCCGTACAACGACAGCTTGAGCTCATATGCGGTCATGTCTCTTGTTGCGACTCAAGTCGCGTACTACTTCTCCATCGACAACTTGTGCAAGGACATGTTTCTCCGCAAGAACATGGACTCACAAGGCTGGGTACACCTGCACGTCATTGCTGGTTTCAAGCGAATTCAGGCTCTGACGGAAGACAAGTCTTCTTTAGAAGTCGTTCGCGGCGTCTTGTCAAACTTGCGTGCTGACATTGAATACACCGTCACCCAGAACGGCGATGAGCTAGTTAGGCGCAAGGAAGGATGGCAAGACTTCGTCCTTCCGATGCCCGAGCGTCTGCCTGCAGCCCAGAACGACGGCCCTGGCTTCGTGGCTGACTTTGCGCCTCATCAGTATCAACAGCTACCTTATGGGAGCGGTGATGCAACGCCGTTCGTGCCCAATCAGGTTAGAAGTCCTCCTGCAGGCACGAATGGTATGTACCATGGCCCTTCCTCTCCTCCGGCGTTCAGCATGATTCCGCCATTCGACGGTATGGGTGGAGATGAACGCATCCAAATGCCCCAGAGCGCCCGCTTCGATCAACGCGATCCCTCCTTTGGCCAAGAGCCACTTCGCCGACAAGAGTCAGGACGCGGTGTGTCAGCCACGCACCCGAACGGTTCAGCCGTCAACGGTCACCGCCGGACCGTCTCCCGAAGTTTCACAGATGAGAACGTGTTCCCCGACGAGCAGATCTCAACAGTGCACGTTCTGAAACGTGCGCTCCCTGAAGCTGGCGAAGATAGAGGCATGTCCACTGTTGCACCTGTCCGGTCAAACGAAAGCCAGAACTCGCGTGGCGGCATGGGTCGCAAGCCATCTGAACAGTAAGTCCTTCTGACGCACAACGATTTCGTCCTTCTAACGCACTTTACAGACTTGGTCTTCGCTTGCAAGGCTTGAAGTTTGGCTCTGATACAGATGCTCCTGCAGTGGTCACAAAGGATGGTCAGAAGATGCGTTTGCCCGACCAGCCGTCAGATGGCCACTATACCCAACCCTACCCTGTCGCATACGCGGAGGCAATTCAAGATCGCGAACACGGCATCGAAGACGCCATGGATGGCATGTACGCATTCTGGCCGTCGTTTCTAGTCAGTCAATTCAATTTGACTTTGTACAATGACTTTAAATCATCAGCCAAGGAGGACACCGATCGTGGCGATGAACGAGGCTCGAAGGCTTTGTTCCGATACTATGAAGGCGCTCTAAAGGAGACTTCACCAATATCAGTACATGTGGCTCAAGACCTTGTCGATCTGCTCCGCAAGGAGACTGGTCCTGAGAAGCCCATTCTCAAGCTGTTACGTCAAGTATGGCGCGACGGCGCACTCAACCTGAAGTCGCGCAAGCGTATTCAGGACAACCTCACCACTGAAGAGAAGACTCAGCTGGACCGTGCTGGCTGAGCTGGACCTTCACCACTCACCAACTACAAATCCTACACATGCTTGGCTATGAAAGCTCAGCTATCAGCATATCGAGCCAGACGTCGCATCTCAGTTCCTAGGAAAGATAGCATCATCATCTTTTGCTGGAGATCTCCCAGGAGACCTTTGACAGGACTTAAATGTTCCGAGATCGATGCTGGTCATCTCTGCACATCCATTTTCACAGCATTGTCCATGAAAGCATAGCCAGGCTTGCTGCATATCTCGCTTGGTCAACAGCAGTCATGGTAGGCGCCCGGAGTTTCTGACGACCCATCACGAAAGATGCCGTGATACCAGTTTGATTTCACCTCGTTCATACTACTTACAAAAACTCGTTCAACGGTACTACCACCATCACGAACGATATTTCCTACCAGCATCATACCCTCGACTCATTGAGTTACAGCATGGCCAGGGCAGTGCATGGAGTGGCGAAAGTTCTCATTTCTTTTATGTTCTCAGAGAGGCCGCTGACGGAGCCGAAGGACAAAGGATGGGCCTCAGGTCGAAAGCGCAAAAGCGAAACCGCAATAAATGAAAAGCTCTGCCCATGGCTTGTATAGCTGACTTATTTGCTCGGGCTGCGGAATAAATGCTGAAGCGGGAATGCACGACAACGCACAATTTGCGTCATGGACGGACACCACAGTGATAGTGTCTGTCTTTATGCTTGTGCTCGATCGCTCGACTAAGCAAGCAAGGACGATGGGGCGAGCATCAGCAGCCCGACTAGACATGGCCATCAACCAGTATTGCGTTCCGTTCGGCAGTCACATTCGAAAAGTTTGTACACAATGAAAATCAGATGAAAGCGTGGTATGAAGAATTCTTGTTTCATATGATTGCCGCTCAATTGTTGTAGATGTGAAAAGTGCGAGATTGCAACGACCCTTTCATACCGTGAACACGGCGTGCTTGCCAGAATGACTACCCCATGATGGCTGTTCCTATCCTTGTCATCAGAGATGACAGATTCAATAGCCCGATTGTCTGCCAGCCAGGGCTTCGCGGCGCCGCCTCCACGTGGTCATCGAATTCAGCCAGCATGACATGTGGCAACTCGTCCTCGAGACGAAGCAGCAGCATGGACATTTTCACTCTCGGCGACAGAAAGCCCGGCTTCGTCTGCAGCCTACACCCATAGTATTTGCAAACCAAGAGGTTTCCCCTACTCCCTGCGCTGCGCAGCTATTGGCTTTTGACCAATGCACCCCCTGAGTTCTTTCTTGATCTCGACCTCCAGCATCAGCTCAAATCCATCCTCCACAACCCATCCCCCAAATAATGCCCCCTCTCAATCGCCGGCCCCTTCTTCTTCGCCTTCATCTCCTCCGTCCCCAACTCCAACACGCCCACCATACACGCCTCACTCTTCCCCTCCGCACCCACCACCACCACCTCTCCCTTCTCAAAGCCCTCATCCTTATCCGGCAACCTCCCCCCGGGACTCGTCAACCCCGGAACCATCAACGTCGCCCCACTCATCACAAACCGAATCGCGCCGCGATCAATCCATATCGTCTTGAAGCACTGCGGGTATTGATGCACGATTTTCAAATGTGGGATGATGGGGTCGTCCATGTGTTGCCAGAACAGCGGGATGTCGTCGAGGGAGTACAGGGAGACGCGGTCGGGGAGTTTGACGAGGTCGAGTTGGGATTTTTGGGGAGGATGGATTCGAGGTGCGGTTCGAGGAGTGGGTAGGTTTCGAGGACGCGGGCGCGGATGGAGCGTTGGACGGAGGATTTTATTTTTGTTTTGGAGCCGGGTGTTAGGGAGTCTTTTTTGAACATGGTGTGGCTTTATGAGCGTGGTGGGCTTGGTTCGTGGTGGGAGGGCTTGCTGCGGTGGGGAGCGAGGTGAGTGACTGGTCGCAGGTGTATTTTCGAGGTTGCTGCGGGTATGGTGACAGATGAGTCCAGTGGCGCGCACCCGATAGGTTGGTGTGAATTCAACGAGCTTGTAACAAAGGTGGGTGGAGGTCGTGCTTGGTGTCTCTGATCTTGTCTGCAGAATCGTGGAAATTATGTCATTTTCGATATCTCAGCCTTGTCTGCTCAGCCTGACGCGGCGCCAAGTAAGATACTTATACTGCATGCTCAGGGCTTCCTATCAAGGTTTCAAGTCGCTTCACGGTCGTTGAAGTCTACTTCTTTCAGAGCTTTGCAGTATCATGAAAGCCTCATGTCGGACGCCGGAGCTCAATAAAGATTTCAGGCGCTGTATTGCGTCCCTCAGCGCACTTTCCCTGGTCTGCAAACAGCGCAACACGACGTGACCAGTCTATGTCGGACATGCAATGCTAGTATTGCATATCTGGAATAGGCGCCGATTTACTCTGCCCCACAGCTCGCGATCTGCTTCGAACGATGCCGATGGCGCCTCATATTGCAGGCATTTCTGCTGAGCTGGATCGATACGTGGACAAGGGGGGTCGAATAATGTGCAGACGCCTAAACAAGGCAAACAGGCAACCAGCTTCGGCCACGTAGGAACCAAGTCTGTGACGAACACTTGATAGTACAGGAACACAAAGAGCAGAGGCCAGCGAAAGGTGAGTGATAGTGTCCTGTGGTCTGGAAGCAGTGCATGCTGTCAAAGCATGCTTGTATAGGTTGTCGTTGGATATCATCACCTCATGGACACAGAGTCCCTGGCATGAGATGAGAGATCGATGGTCAATGTCTTGGGCCGTGACGCTTAGAAGACACTTAGTGAGAGGTGCATCCATCGCATAGTGTCATTAACATACCCAGGCTACTGACGACGAGGTCGCCCTGTGGCCATGAGTGATGCCCAGATCTGGCTGCCACTTCTCTCTAAAGTTTTCCTGCCAGACTTATTCGACTGTGTTGGATTGATGTGTTTGCAGTTTATCGAGGGTTCAGGCCTCCCTGGCACGATTTCAACGATGATGATTGTGGCAACTTCAATCTCGAGCTCCTCAGGCAGGGAGGTCTCTGTGGCAGCATGATCTCGTCCTTGACCATCTGCGCCATCCCTCTGAAGAAAGACATTCCAATGGGATCCGCCTCTCCTTAGAGTTGTGGGTGAAGTCCAAGAAACTCTTGAGTCAGGCTAAGTGCAGCCAGAATCCTTGAGATGGTGCTTGACAAAGCGTTGCCAGGCCTTCAGACCTCTGTGAATAGTGCGTCCTCTGTTGCTCAGCTCAATTAACTCCGTTAACACCGTCCTCACTCTAGCAGTCCTACACAACGCTGTTCCAGCCTGTACGTCAACATGGACGCTACAGCCTCACCTAAGAAAGACTCACCATGGCAGAGGCTTTGCAACAGCTGCCAGCATGGGTATGTTTCGCGCTCCTGTTGCATCGCTCCCAACTAACTGCTTCGAAGCGGAAACCAGAACCAAACCTTGCCAGCATGCCCGTCGAGGTCCTCGAGCAAATTCTCGAACACGTACTACCGACTACAATACCCACCAAATACGAGCCTTTCGCCACTCACCTCATCAGCGAGGAGGACTGCAGCAGGAACCAGTGGGCCTGCAGCTTCAGACTGCAATCGAAGACCATCAAGAAAGTTGCGGAGGATCTGATCATCGAACGCCTAGAGGTCAGGAGCGCGTTGGGAGGACTCTCCGCGGCTCGTGTTGAGATCGCGAAACACAAGCGGAGAGTTTGCTTTGGAACGGAAGACGAAGCTGGATGGGAGCGTTATTTCTCCGCTTTACATGATGAAGAATGCTGAAGGGTACAGCGCCCTCCCTGGCCAGAAAAGTCATGAATGTTCATTTCTACAACCTGACGCTCAAATGAGGCTCATCTGACGCCTGTCGATTCTATTGACAAAAGTTTTTGGACCCTTGGAGCACTTCCTGGCGAGGAGATCCAAGACGAAGTGTTCCAAGACTCTGACGCTCAAAAGAGGATACGCAAACGGGGCGGTTAACAATATTCTATTCAATCACATATCAACACTCTCATTGAATCTCAACACCCCATTCGGCTTGACTAGTCCATTAACTCCCTCAGGCATAGGCGCAAAGCCCGCCGCTGGAACACTCTGTTCCGACGGCTCACTGTCAGAGTTATCCGAGACCAATACCAGACCAGCTTGTTTGATCGTCTCTGTCAGGGCCGGCACCATCTTCAGGATTCTAGCACTGCAGGTGACGCCCATGAAATTATTTCTCTGCGCTAGGCGCACTGATTCTTTGATTGAAGTACTATTCAATGCTGACTCCGAGCCAGGTCTCGAACCAAGGCCGTTGCAAAGCAGGACTGGGAAGTTGGGCTGCTTCCAATTCAGTGCAGTGCAGATGTGTGGGTTCCAGGATGTGAAGACTATCGAGCGGCTCAGCTCCGTTGACTGGTCGCGTAGTGCTCTCGCATGATCGAAGACTTCTGTCAGGATCGCATCGGCGAAGGTGTTGATATCGATATTAGAGGCAAAGACCCCGTGTTGTTGTTCGATTGCTGATGGGTAGAGGATGTGAAGGTTGAGATTGATAGTCGCAGGCAGAGTTGAAAGAACAGTTTTTAGCGCGACTACTGCGGTTGAGATTTGTTTTCGCCATTCGAGAATGTTGGCCGTCTCGGATGTCGAGCGCATCCCAGGAGCATTATCTGCCACAGCGGACAGAGCGCCGTAACGTAGAGTAGCGATGCTCACATCGAGGCCAGCGTGGCCTAACGAGTATGACGGATAGATGACAGGCACAGCGTCACTCGTCAGCTGCACGCACAGTCGCAAGTAATCGCCTGAAAGACTCGACCCGGTGATGAGTGTAGGGTTATCTTCCAGGGCGCTCGTGGCTTTCCAGTAAGTGGCGAACTGCGTAATCTCCAAAGGTCGTCCGCTGTATGGTTTGATGACCTGGAAATTGAAGAAGATCTGACCAACCGAACGCAGTCGAGGGTCGAAGAGCGGCAAGCAACACGTACCGGAGCTGCTGTCAAGGGCCTGGAATACATCAGGCAAAGCGACTGATTTAGCGATCACCTTTGATCCGAATGTGGGAAAGATCTCGAAATCGACTTGGAAGGTAGCCAGATTATCTACTTGGAACAGGACCGAGCGGGAATCCTCTTGTATCGGCAACATGATGTTTCGCGGTATGAGATCTGATGTTTTGGAAGATATCGTTATGCGAGCTGCCGGATACCTAGCCTCGTTGAAGAACTGGATAGCCTTTGCACTGCGTTCGAAATTGATCGCCACAAAGCATTTCGTGTCGAGGAAGTTGTGGCCGTATCGACGCAACGGTATGATAGGTGGTGGTAACGACAAGTCTGGTATGCCGTCCGCTTCGCCTATCAGCTCTGGCTCGCCGAGGTCCATTGCTGCACCAGCAAGAGAGTCTTGTGGCTGTAGGACTGATTGATTTGCTTTCTGTACGCTCTTCTCGACCTGCCGCTCCCACAGAAGATCTGCGCAGCTCAGGTGGCCTTCCCACGTAGCATAGTAAGTGGCTGTCAGGCCTTTCTCATCCAAGGCGGCGGCGTTGGCGCCATGCTCGAGCAGCATTCGCAAACATGCTATGCGGCCTTCACTGGCTGCATGAAAGAGCGGTGTCCACTGATACAGCTTGTCTCTCTGGTTGAGATCTGCGCCTGCCTGCTGGAGCGTGATTAATAGATCGGCCGTGGTACTTGACCTAGCCACGAGGTGTTGAGGGAACAGGCCTTCTGCATCGGGCAGAAACCGAGCTCGACGTTCAAGCAGCATCTGTACGATCTCAATCGATTCATGCTGGCAAGCAAGATTGAGTGGGATGTGGTCGGCTTCCGAAGTTGGCTCGATCGCAGCATTATGTGAGAGAAGCAACTGGACACAATCTATTCTTTTTCGAACGATACTGTGGATTAGCGGTGTAAAGTTGTCGTGGTCTTTGAGGTTGATAGTGCGTGGCGCTGCAGAGATGAGCTTCTCGAGCATTGACATCCGTCCCTTGAGGCAGGCGTAGTGTAGGGGTACACGACCATAAGCGTCGAGGCGGCTAGGGTCTACGCCTCGTTCCAGAGCATAGTCCAGTACACTTTCCTTACCATAAATGGTTGCTTCGTGCAAGCAATTGCGTTCGTTGATATCGTCCTCAGCCTGAATGTCGACAAATTTGGACTCCAAGAGAATGCGCAAGGAATCATCAGGAGCATCACTTATGGATGCGAGGAATATCCTGGTCAATATCTCCGTAGGGTTGGGAGAGGTAGACAAGCGATTGAGCCACTCTCTTAGAGCTGGCAAGTTGCCGGCCGCGGCAGCTTGAAGCACCTGGAGGTCAACATCGCTCTCTTCTGTGCCAACTCTTTGGCCTATCGTGGGCCTGTTAACTTCAGTGGTCGTAATATTCTCGCCTTCTGAGAGGGCCTCCAGCTCAAGTCGAGCAGTTGTTGCACGATCTGATAAGTCTCTGAGCACATCCCTGTTGAAGCATGGCTGAGCTTCGGCGACTCGTTGCAAGTACAATTCTTTGGTGCGCGACTTGGACGTCTTGTCCCACTTCTTCAGGATCTTCGAGATGGCAGTCTCGTTGACTTCGACAAATTGTTGCAACTTGTTGAGGTCATTGTCGAACTGTTGGAAGCCCTCTATTAGCGTGACGAAGTTGGCGGTAGATCGCGAGCCGGCGTTGATGCGTGCTTGTATCACTCTTTTCTTGTCCAGTAGTGTCTTCAGTCGCAAGGAGAACTGCACGGTGTCAGCAACGAGCCCAGGACCATCGTGACTGTCATACTTCAGCCTCCTTCTGCAGATAGAACACATTGACTTTCTCGATCTCTCTTTCCTGTTCACGTTAAAATTGACAGAAGTCAGAAGAACAAATGACCCGTACTAGACGAAAGAAGAAGACCTCCTTGTTTGCACGCAAAGCAGCTTGAGGGTCTGTCGTGCCCGAGTCACCTTGCGCAATGATTGTCGGTGTAACAGACAACTGTTTGATTAACTGCGCAGCAAAGTCAGCAAGGTCCACGTTCCCATCGGGGCTGCTCCGGGCGTACCTTCTTCAGCGCTTTATAGTTGAGGAAACTAGCAGCATATTCGGGCAGGTCCAGCTGCTGTCGCTGTATCTGCTTGCCGAACTTCCTGCTTGTCTCAGTCTCAGGACTGAACGAGGAGCCAGATCCATACATACATATTGAAAGTTCAGGCAACGAAACCGAGAATGCTACGGCTGAAGTATTGCTGAGGCAGTAGGGTAGGAGATCTTGGCGCAGAGCAGACTGTCGAATCAAGGCTGTCCGCTTGCGCCGGATCGGCTGTCAGACTGCATTGCTTTTGTCGAGAGTCGCATACTCATCCACCTCGGTCGAAACGGCGCAGAAGCCGCTGGAGGGAGTATAGTTGTCAAGTCTGCAGCAGTCCTTCTTCCTTGAAGCTGACGATATTCGGCGTTCTTGTCCCGACGAACGAGTACAGCAGATCTGTGAAAGAACACAGTACAATCACAATGCCTCGAGATTTGCTTCGGTTCGATAGCACGGCCTTTCGCGGTGTTGAAGAATTGATGCCAAGCCAATGGTGACCATGGGAGTCGGGAACCAATCAACTGCCCACGTGAGTCCTGGGGCAACGATTGGCCGGCAATAACAGTGCTGCAGAGACGAACACGAGTCTCTCGCTGCTCAAGCTGCAAATTGCGTGAGGCTCGAAGCACGAAAAGGACGAGTCATCTGATACACAGCAAGCGAACGACCCCAGAGGAGGAGATACAGACATCATGTTGACGCGACGTTAATAAGAGCGAGAATTCGATCTGATTGGCCGGCTGGAAGCCTTGCAGCACTCAGAACCTCAGCCTCAGAACGGCGACAGGAATGTACTTAAGTACCTCTATCAAAACATTGCCATGTCACGAAGACATGGGCGAAATCGAATATGCAGTGGGCGGCACTGCGGTCATCCGAAAACTGTAAGATCGACATCGATAAGGACCCTGACGCCATCAATGCTCAGAACATTGCAGGTAGGATTGCCGAGCGCCTTCCAGTCAATCGCGGACAAAGGAAACTGCCACCAACGCGGATCACTGCTCAGCAGAAGACTCTCGGATGGTCCGTGTCGAAGCCAGCCATCCCAGCGTACGTCTGACCGTTCGCAGCGCATTGACCATAACCGGCCTCTCGCCGGACTCCTTCCACAACTCATTATTGAAAAACTTTTCGTGAGTAAGAAGAGCCCGCTGTCAAGTATGACATCAGGAGTATTGGCATGTCCGCCGTTTCATTGCTGCCGTCAGTGTCTGACAGCGGCATGCCCTTACCGTGACCCTGGAGACGCGTTCTTCTCATGACGTACAGGAAAGTGACCCCTTGATTCGGTACTAGAGCGGCTCGAGCGCGACAAAGGAGAAATGACCGCAAACGGCTCGTGCGTTCTGTTATATCCTTTACTTCGAGCGACGGTGACCTCGTTGACCACACTTCTCACACTTGAGCAAAATTGACTTCGCAGCAACCCAAACAAATCTACTAGCCTCAACAAACAGCCAGAAAACACGACAAGATGGCGGTCCCACTCTATACAGCCTCGCCAATCAACACAAACGTGCCGCTAAGCGCGTTTCCCTCCAGTCCCTCAACATTCGCGATGAGATATACACCAGCCGAAGCACTAGACGAAGTCCTAGCTACATCAGTCCCGCTGCCACCCTCAAAGCCGGTAACGCCTTCGCCAGAAGCAATGCAGAACACCCAAAGAGCCAACACGCTTGCACACACCTCCAACGCGTTCCCAACATCACCCACGCCTATGAAAGCTCAACCCAGCCAAGCGACAAACTTCACAACACCCGCCTACAGCACGCATTCCCACAACAGCAGCGGCACCTCCTCCCCACAACCGCCCTCCCTGACTCGCCTCTCCATTCCCAGCACGCCTTCTTCATCCCCCAAGCTCCCTACCGCCATCCCATACACAGGTGCCTCAGCAATGGGCAGCCCCGTCTCCCGAGTCTCCTCAACCTACAGCCCACCCCACCTACCCCATCACGCCCGCAACATCTCCTCCATCAGCGCCATCTCCGGCTTCTCCTCCCCCTACCTCTCCACCCCCATCGCCCACGCAGTTCCCACCACACCAGGCAACAACCCACCCGGCTACGTCCAAAACACCCGCGACAGCTTCGAAGACCGGCCCCTCGCCGACGTCGAGGAACAGACTTACTCCCTCCCGCGCTCGCCCCTCCGACAATCATACTCTGCTCTCCATAACAGTGGGGTACACAGCCCATTCTACGCGCCGCCGAGTTCTAACGACGTATTCGGGCATCGGCACCGGAAGAGCTATGCGGGCGGTCCAGGAATTCTCAACGGGGAGATTTTTTTCCAGAATCTGGATGGGGTCAATCATGAAGGGACTGATGGTGGTGATGAGAATGTGTGGGAGGTGGCGGGCAAGTGGGCGAAGATGGGGTGGCGGAAGCTGGGGGAGGCGGAGGAGGGGGTTTGGCGGGTTGTTAGTGGCGAGCGGTGATGCCACGGATCTGTTCGATTTATGTATCGGGGGTCGGATGACCGTAGAATGAACAATCGGTAGGAAGCAGCATTGGTCTGTCAGTCATACAGCAGTATAGTGGTGTTATGATGCGCATCTAGAATCCAAGCATTATTACCAGCATAACTCTCTATCGCATGCACACTCCTACATTGTCGTGCTTGAAGTAGTTCAGATTCGGGACAGACGCCGCGTAGAAGACGGGACGGTGGAAGGAAACCGGAACCTCGCGACACGCCGTTTGGCAAGGTATATATACGCCCGCGGCGGACTCTGCATGGTCACCGTTTGGCACATCCGTAGCCTAGTAGCCGCGACGACTGTCCTACTGACTATTGGGAAGCATTGCAACTCTACATGAAGTGTTGAGCAAGCGAAAAGCAGAGGTAAGGGGCGCAAAACTAGGTTGTGTTAAAATACAGAGGATTTATGGGAGAGTGGTGTCCGCAGATCCCGCTTCGATGAAACCCGTAAGAACCATCACCCATCATTGACTATCGCTCAAAGACGTGCAAACCCGACCTTTGCTTTACTAGACCCGATTATGACGTCTAAGCCATGAACCAAGTCGTGTCTATCTGCATGCAAACTCCCCTTCGTCACCACTGGAGGCGCAGGTTGAGGATGTTCTGCAATGGACCGCGTGTCCTCAATGCTCTCTGGTTGTCTGTTTGCTGGATATCTGGATATGCAAATCTCTTGGCTCGGTAAACCGTTGGCTTGTGCGAAACCAAGGCCATCTCGGTAGGCGTCGAAGAGAGCGCTTAGCCGGAACCGCCCTTGAACTTCTTTCCGAAGAGGAGGAGCTGAACCTCTGTATGTTTGTTAGCACTGGTAGGTTTGAAGAATGCGGAATGAACTTACGATCGTAGATGGAGAGCACACCAGCACCGGCAACACCACGGAGAATGTTGGCACCGGCACCCTTGAAGAAGGAGCGGACACCCTCAGCAGCCATGATCTGGCGACCAGCATCGAACGAAGACTTGTACTTGACGGCCTCACCAGACGTCATCATCATGCGACGACGAATGGTGTCAAGAGGGTAGGAAGCGATACCGGCACCAGTGGTGACAGCCCAGCCGAGCAAGAAGGAAGCCAAGAAGGAGCCCTCAAGAGAGCCGACCAGGAGAACGGGCTTGATGGAGTCGTACATGCCGAAGTAGAGACCACGGTAGACCACAATACCGAGGACGGAGGGACCGAAACCACGGTAGAGACCGGCAATACCGTCAGAGGCGAGGGTCTTGCGGTAGACATCGACCAGGCCGTTGAACTGACGCTCACCACCCTTGCCGGCGGACTTGGCATCGTTGGCAAGACGGGTACGGGCGTAGTCGAGGGAGTAGACGAAGAGGAGGGAGGTGGCACCAGCCATACCGCCGGAGGCCAAGTTACCAGCCATCCACTTCCAGTATCCATCACGCTCCTTCTTGAAGGCGAACATCGACTTGTAGGTATCGCGGAAAGCGAAGTTGAGGGCCTGGGTGGGGAAGTAACTGCACAGCGGTGTCAGTATATGTTGGACCGTATCTCGTCGTTTAGACTCACCGGATAACGTTGGCAGTGTTGCCTCTCCACAGAGCCATGACACCCTCGGCCTTGGCTGTGCGGCTGAAGCAGTCGACGATACCGTTGTATTTGCGGTCGAGACGGCCGGCCTTGATCATTTCATCCTGTAGAGCTATCTGTCAGCTATCTTGTTCCCAACAAAATATACTAGCTCCGCTTGACCGCTGCCAGTGACAGAGCACATGATCGAGATAGGGGAGTTCGACGTACCTGGTTCTGGATGAGCAGCTTAACACGCTCGATAGGAGCAGCGGCGGTCTTGGAGACTAGAGATGTGTCAGTGAAAGCGACTTCTAGCACCACGAGAGACACGAACCTGCAGCGGCAACACCTCCCATGAGGAAGTCGACCATGAAGCCAGGCACTATTCGCAAAAATGGTCAGTGACTGTTGTTATCGCACATGGCATAGCAGGTAGGGTAGGCCGAAAGCCCGATCGTCCGACCGCAACGCGTGTGTGCCGGCAGCCATGGACGCATGGGCAGATGCTATGCGGTAGTCGAGGTGTACTCACTGCCCAAGACCTAGAAAGGTGTTAGCCATCTGAGCTTGTTCCATTGAGGAGCGCAGTAATGCTGAGAGCTATCTCGTTCTCACTGCGCGGAACGCACTTACGGACTTCTTCGCCTGGTTGACGTCGCCTTCAACCATCTTGACGGTTGTGTGAGAAGAGAATAGGGAGTGGAGATGAAGTAGTCGGGCTCAAGGTTGATGAACGATGAGAACGTCGACGCTGGATGAATTTTCAGAGAAGGAGGTCGATATGAGAGCTTCACCTGCAAGTTTTGAGCCGGCTCAGGCTAGGGCTAAAACGGCTAGCCTATCATGGTGCCGATTTGCCCCGAGAACATTGAATTTTGAAAAAACCCTCACTGGGACCCCGTCCAAATTACTGCTCGTGTGCCGAACAATCACGGGTGGAATCAATGCAGGAGCCGGCGTCTTCATTTGACTCTGGTACCTGTGTGATTTATTCTCGGCGTAGCTTTCGTTCCGTTCCAGTAGGATTCTACACGGCAGGCCGGCAGAAGTGCCGAGGCGGCAATACCTTCTTGCACCACGGCGGGATCTTATTTTCTGTAGTATACTACTGGATGGCACGCACCATCATCAAAAGGACCACATATAGCCTTGATAGGTTGTGATGCTCACGTGGAAAGGTGGTGAAGCGTAGCACATGAACGCAACCGACCACACAAGGTATAGAATCGACGATGCCTGCACGAGTGGACAGTCAACCCCGGGCTGCCTGCATCCTCCCAAGGGGCTCGGATCGCTCCTGCGCTCTGATACTTCACACTTTCTGCTTCTTCGATTTTCTCCTCTTCTTCTTTTTCTTCTCGCCATTGATGATATTCACGCCGTCATCTTCTCCATCACTTGCCTCCGGATCCAGACCGGCTGTAATCTGGTTCTTGGACGGTACCAAGTCTTCGACCGCTATGCCCTCCTCGCGACCAAAGACATCCTTTCTCCACTGTCGCAGTCGAGCCTTCTTGCCTAGGTGCTTCTGATCCTTGCGCTTCCTTTCTGAATCTCGAAAGGCTGCAAGCTTCTTCAGGCCAGCAAACTGGTTCAGCTGAGAGTCGTCTGCCAACAGAATATCGGTAGCACTCAACCCGAAGCTCTTAGGTGACGTTTCGCGGTATCTGAAGGCGCTTTTGTTCTTGGTCGATTTTGGTAGGGCATGATCGAGGTCCAACTGGAGCTGATCATCCACCAGCAGCTCAGCAATACGTCTGTCTCTTTTGGCGTCTGCTTTCTTGTCTTGTTTGGTCTTCTTGGACTTCTTCGGCGCCGGGATGTCTTCTTCAGAGAGGCTGAACTCGGGTCGTTCGTCGTCATCTTCGAAGTCTGGTATAATGTCTTTGATATCAAGGTCATCATCGAATTTCGGCTTCTTGGGCTTCCGTCTCCCGGCCTGATCATCGCCTTCCTCCTCCACAAGAGCGTCGTCATCGGCATAGTAGTCGTCACCAAAGCGCTTCTGCATTTCCTCCTCCCACTTGTCGTCGTCCCAGTCCTCGTCCACAAATCGCTGCCAATCCTCTGGCTGAAGGTCTTTGGAATGAAGGCCGGCGGCATCCTTGATCTTGCGAATTTTTTCTTCAACCTCATCTACACGAAGTTTGCGCAGGCGAGCCTTCTCTTCCTTGACTTGCTGTTTCTCTGCCTCCTTCGCAGCCTTCTCGGCTTCACGCTTACGTTGCCGCGGATTGGTCTCATCGCGACGCACGGAATACTTTGCAGCCGTGTCTCGAGCATGCGATCTCAATGTCTCATTGGACTTGTCGGGATCTTCGAATCTCAAATTGTATGCTTCCTCGAACTCGTCTGCCTTTCGGTCTTCCTCCTCATCGTCTGACTCGAACGGCTGGAGCTGACGCTGGGTGTCGGGGTAAGCCCATGCGCGGGACATCATGAAGTTGGACAGGAACGTTTCGGGGTCCTTGTCGGCATTCTCGACATCGAGCTCAACCTCGTTTGTGACACGCTTGGGCTTGTCCTTGGCTGTCAGAAAGCCATCTTCTGATACATCTGAGTCTTCTGCAGCGGCATGCATTTCTGAAATCACAGACTGCTTCAAGTTCTCCTGCTCTTGGTCGTAGGTCATGACTGCGTCAACTTGTTCCTCGGCATGTGAAGGACCATTCAGCAGGTTCTGCCGGTGATAGTCTCGCAGATGCAATGGCTTCTCTTTCTTCGCCTTTATGTCTCCATTCTGTTCGGCGTCGTCCGTTTGCGAGTAGAAGGTGGCCTTGCTGTCGTAGATCCTGGGATCTTTGGAACGGATGGCCTTGATAGTAGCCATGATTTCGGCGTCCTTGGCCGCTGTCGCAAGTTCGCCCTCATCTTCATCTTCCGAACTTGACTCCTCTGATGACGACTCTGCAGACTCGGAGTCTCTCTTTCGCTTGCCAGTGCTTTTGCCAAACTTGTCCTCCAGGCGAGCCTTTTCTTCTCGCTTCTTGTTGTACTCAAACTTTTTAGCATAGTCCTGGTTGACCTTGATCTCAGCGCCGCCTTCGGACTCTGATGAGTCGCTGTCGCTTTCTAGGAGCCTCTTGCTCGCCATGGCTGCGCTCGGAGGTCACGGCGACGTGTACAGTAGATGAAGTTGGTTGCACTGCAGGTGTGAACTTTTTTGCGCACCCCACACTTTTACGCGGATACCTTTTCCGGCAAGATGGTTCCGCTCCGCTCTGAAGTCCGCCGCGGCATCAGAGTTGACGTAGATCGGTGAACTGCTCAGAGTGCCTTCCCATAGACTGACAGCCACAAGTCAGCGCCTGTCTGGACGCGTCGACTACCTGTATCTACTATATACACTTCGGTGAGCGCCAGCATTGCTCGGAAGAGTCCACAATCCAACCAACAACGACGCCTACATAGCCTACTGCAGACAGTCTCCCGCGCCTCCAGGGCCTACGCCGTCTCTCATAGCATGGCTACCTAAATCGAGGCAGCAAATACGCGTTGGCGATGGCGGAGGCTCTTCTGCCTAGCGCTGAGGTGGGAAGACTGATCAACCTGATACCGGTCGGCTTGAAAGAGGCAGCGATCGATTCTCCCACCGCCAGAGCGACCATTGTCCACTATGGCGAACAGGTGGATTTGTTGGAAAGATGGCTGGAGGAATACATGCGGGTCACCAATCGTCTGGTCGCCGAGTCATCCACCCTCGAAGGCATATTGAACAGCTTTACGTCGCATGCGCTTGTGCCTACAACCATCTCCGAGGCGATGCTCGACCACGACTATGACGTTCTCGCGATGAAGCGATACTCAGAAGGTGCCAAAGACTATTGGATGAGCATGGTTTCGGTTGTCAAGCGTCTGTCGAATCTTGTCGTAGAGCCCATTCGGATGTTCTTGCAGCACGATCTGAAGGCCTTTCGAGAAGCACGCCGGTCGGTAGATGCTGCGCAGAAGGTCTTCGACAACCAAAGTACCCGATATGCCTCTCTCTCGAAGACGAAAGAGCCGTCCTTCCTGCGAGAGGAAGCATTTCAGCTGCATGAAGCCCGAAGAGCCTACCTGAGAGCCAGCCTCGACTTCTTTGCCATCGCACCTCAATTCCGCTTCTCGGTGGACAAGCTTCTCGTCAGAATATTCTGCGATCAATGGAAAGAGATGCGTAACTCGCGCGACACAACTGCAGCAATCTTCCAGCGAGGTGCGGGTGACATGGATCGCGTCAAAGGGTGGCTGACAACGATGGAGGAGAGCGAGAAGGCCTTCAGGCGCGAACTACACGCTGCACGCAAGCAATTGGAGGAGTCAGCGGAGAATGCGACGCGGCCATCTCGAGAGATCGAAGATTACAGCACAACGCTCGGCTCTCAATATGCCCATGGGCATTCGACCAGTGTCGCTAGTGGCCCTCGATCACCGCGCAAAGTAGGTCCGAAAACACCAGAGAAACAGGGTTGGCTGTATTTGCGAACATATGCCAGCAGACCGACCAGGACGGTGTGGGTGAAACGCTGGTCATTCTTGAGAAATGGCGTTTTTGGCTGGCTCCTTCAGAGTAGCCGGGCTGGTGGCGTGGAAGAGAGCGAACGAATCGGTGTCTTGCTGTGTAGTGCGCGACAGGCGGTGAACGAAGAGCGGCGTTTCTGTTTCGAGGTCAAGACCACGAAGCACACTATTGTCCTCCAGGCAGAGTCACAGAATGAGCTGCAAGACTGGCTTAGCACATTTGAGACAGCCAAGTCCAAAGCCTTGGAGGATCCTGCATCACTAGCCTCACTGGGTTCACCTGGTCTCTCCAATTCAGACCCAGCATTCGCAATATCGAATCCGCCCATACCGGAGTTCGGTGCTTCTATCCTTGCTGCGACCGAGCCTGGCGCACCAGCGGAAGACACGGTTGGATCACTGGATCGATCTGGAACACTGCCAGCGCCTGGAGCCGATTACGACCGTGCTGCAAGTATGGACATAGCTCGGCGTGCTACAGCTGCAGATGAAGGGGGCCAGCGAGATCACGCTTCTCGCATAATTTCGAAGCTCGATCTGCACCGCAAAGCATCACCCTCTATCCAATCGCCGACTGGCCCAGGAACAGGAGGAATTGCTAGTCTGATTGCCGCTAGTCATGGATCAATCAACGCCAGTGGCACCATTCCGATGCTGCCAAGCGCTGGTGATCCAGAGAAACCAAGAGCGGCATTTGCCTTGGCATTGCGAGACATGCCACCCAGCACTCTTGCTCCGTCGACCTTGGCTAACGTCCCAGCGCCGACGAACATGAGCAAAGCAGCAGTTGTCGTAACGGGCGAGCGTGGCTTGAGCGGTGCACTGGACAAGAGTGGCTTACCGAACTCGTTACTCGCAAACATGTGGGGTAGTTCGAATACTGCATACGTCAATAGACTCGACCGAACGGAAGCCAGACCAGCACCAGACGTTATCATGGCAACCCAAGATAATGCGCCTACAACATCACAAGACTCTCCCACCAAAGCAGAGTCGACCAGTCACGGGACTGTTCCACAACTCGACCTAGGTCCACCAGCCCAGAGAAGAGCACGATCACAGTCACCAGCGAAGCGTAATGCCGCAGGAAGGACGGAAGGGAACAGCGCAGCCCAATTGAAGAGTGATAACACCATACCGGACTTTCCCAACTACTATCCGCTGCAACTCAAGACCCAGGATGCCCAGTTCCGGCTACTGTTCCCGTCTGTCAGAAGAGATGAGCGTCTACTGCTGGTGTTCCGTGCTACATGGAGCCCGAACGACCAGCAAGATTTCCCTGGCCGCATTTATGTCACCCCTAGCAGCATATACTTCTACAGCAACCACCTCGGCCTGGTCCTGACATCCACCGTATCTCTATCATCCATCGACGAAGCAACCGCAGCCCCAGGCCGAGAATGCGATTTCCTCTTCCTACACATGAAAGAAGGCGGCCCAGAAGGCTCCACCACCCGCATCACTATCAAGACATTCCTTGAGCCTCTCCGCCTCCTACAACGCCGCATCAACTTCCTCGTCACCCACAGCACGGCCACACAGCCTCAGTCTCTCGAGTCACTAATCAAGGCTCTTCTCAAAATGGAAACCGACGTGCCAGACCGTACTCCTAGCCTAGAAAGCTGGGAAGACGTTCCTCCTGACACACCGGCAGACGCACAGGGCCACAAGCGACGTGGTCGCTCCAACACTGTACAATCTGAGCTGCGCGCCCCGATGCGCGTTTCCACCGCCCTCAATCCTTACTCCACCTCCGCATACGACAAAGCCGCCACGAAATTCAAGCTCCCCGCCCAACCCGTCAAGTACACACCGCCCGGCAACCTCACCCTCGCCGCGGAACGTGAGTTCGACGTCTCCCCAAAGGCCCTCTTTCACGTCATGTTCGGCGACCGCTCCGCGCTCTGGCAGCTCCTACAACACGAGAAACACGCACGCAACCTCAAGCAGGGTCCGTGGACGGAGGTCGGCGAGGGCCGTCTCCGACGAGACTTTGAGTATCAGGTCACCACCGCCAATCTCTTCGGTCGGGAGAGCGCGACAACAGTGCGGGACTACCAAATCATAGACGTCAATTCGGACCACCTTTGCTACGTCGTTACGGATAAAGCTACACCTTGGCACTTGCCCTTTCCCAACACGTACCGTCTTGTCAGCAAGGTGGTGATAACGCACGTGGCGAAAGCGAAATGCAAGCTCGCCATCTTCGTCAAAGTAGAGTGGTTGGGTGAGCCATGGGCGTTGAAGGGGATGCTGGGGAGGCAAGCGCTGCATGATTTGGAGCTGGATGCGGCGGATCTGGCGGATTTGGTGGGGGACCAGGTGAGGAAGTTGGGTGTGCATTCGAGGACGAAGAGGGCGGTGCAGGTCTTTGGCGCTGTTGGAGCTCTACAGAGACCACCAGCCTCGAACTAGACAAGGGTGCAGCTGGCCAGTCCCTCGAATTGCGCAGAGTAGGTGGAAGGCGCACAGTCGGCACTTTACTCAAACAAGGCGTCGAGAGCGGGTTGCAAAGCGCACTGGGCATGCTCCTGGCAAGCATCGTGTCGGTCGTGCAATGGCTCGGCAAAACAATCGTCGCCAACAAAGTTATCCTAGCTGCCCTCCTATTCAGCGCACTCTGGAACACATGGTACGTGCAGAGGGAAGGGTGGATGTGGTGGCAGGAGCGCCGCGCGGTGAGGTTTATGGGGAGGATGGGGGTCAAGCCGGAGGTTGTGATGAGTAAGGCAGTGTACTTGGGAGATTTGGATGAGTTGATGGGTGAACATCTCAATGTTGTTGCTGGTATCACCGATCCTGGCGACGGCGCTGCTGGTGGTGCCAACACGTGCTACGAAGTTTTCGTGCGCGACCACGCTGGCTTTGGGGAGCAAGCGGAGCTCGTTTCCGTGCCTTCCTCATCGGCGCCATCATCAGCGGTCAGCAGGTCTCGTTCGTCCTCGGCGATCAGGACACAGCGGACGAGACGGGAATTGGGCAAATACCGCCACGACCTGCTCGTTGCGATGCGCATGGTCAATAGCGTTGAAAGAGAAGTTGTGAGGAGCGAGTGGGAGGATTGGGTGGAGGGGGAGAGGCGGAAATGTGGACAGGTGGGCGAGCTCCTCGAGAAAGTGAGGAAGGGAAAAGACAAAAAGGGAAAGAAAGGGACTGTCAGTGGTAACGAGACAGAGATTGTGGTAGAGCATATGGGTTTGAGTGGCGCTACTGACGCTGGAGGGGAGTTGGATGAGTGGTTCAGGGAGTATTGTGCGAGTTGTAAGGCTGAGGGGAGGAAGATTGATGGTGTTGGGGGCAGGAAGTTGCTTTGATCTGTTGGACCCGTATTAGGTCGGCTGGAGTCTACTGGTGCTGTGCTGCCTCGAGGGCAGGCAGGCTGGGGTTTTTGCATTTCCAATAGCACGATACCCCATTGTACAAGCAGGTCGGTGATCAGAGCAAGCGGGCACGTCCTATACAGTAGTCGGAATCAAACAGGCTTGTGAGGCTGTAGATATCTACACATTTTACACCACCACATCTACAGCTCCTTTCCCCTGATTTTGGCCTCCCTCGCCTTCTTCGCCTTCTTCTCCTGCGCACCCAACCACGCCTCCGTTCCGATGCCCCCAAAGACGAGGCCCACACCACTCCACTGCCCTCCGGTTAGGCTTTTGCCGTACCAGACTACACTCAGCACCATAGTCAGCATTTTCCTCGTGACGGTCACTGTGACCAGCAACAGACTCGAGAAGCGCTCGAGTGTCGCGAAGATGAAGAGCTGGCCGATAGCGCCGCAGGCCGCAAAGCCGAGGACGTCATAGAGCACGGAGGGGTGTCGTTGGAGGAAGGACAGAGCGGTTGTGAGTTCGTTTGTGTTGGTCGTTTGAGCAAAGACTGGTAGCAGGGTGATAGGCAGGTGCGGGGTGACGAGGAGGTATGCTGCCATCAGGATCGTGGAGTAGAAGTTTGTGATTGCCATCATCTGGGCGGAGGTGACGCGGCCGTATTTGGCCGGGGAGGAGAAGATGTGGTCTTGGGTGGTGTTGGTTAGGCCGTCGAAGAGGAGGTTGATTGCTAGGAGGGCGAGGCCGTAGTAGGAGGATTTGGCGGGTTTAGAGGCCTTGAGTTTCGAGGAAGAGGTCTTGGGCGGGTGGTAGAGGGTGAAGATCGCGACGCCCGCGGTGACGGCCAGCACGATGAGGTATTTTGACAGAGGGTAGCGTTTGCGGTAGAAGGTGACGTGGAGGAACATGACGGGGAGAAGTTTGCAGGATTTGGCGAGGACGAATGTGAGATAGTCGACGTGGGCGAGAGAGGCGTAGCCGAAAGGGGAAGCGAGGGTTTGGGTGATCGCGACGAGGAGGAGTGGGGAGAGGGCCGCGCGGGAGGGGAGGATGTTGGTGGTGGAGGTGGAGGTGAGGAGAAGGTAGCGCTGCCGGAGATGAAGGCGAAGAGCGATTGTATGGTATTGAGGAAGATGGGAAAGCGGAAGTATTCGTGTGCGGGACCAGGGAGGAGGCTTGAGGGATGTGCTTCGAACGCGGTGGTTGTGATGCGCTCTTGGAGGAGGCCCCATGTCAGGAAGGAGGCGTAGATGCCGCCGACGCAGGTTAGGAGTTGTAGGATGCCGGCGGGAGGCTTCGACGAGGGACTATCTGGGAGGAGCGGTCGCCTCTTTGTTGCGATTTGGCCGTTGGTGTATGCTGCGGGTGTCTCTGCGTTGTCAGGGAGCGGCTGCATGATCTCGCCTGAGTTGATGCGCTGCATCGGCGCGACCTGCTTGCGCCGAGCCATGGCAAATTCTGAGTCAAGACAGACTCTCACTGAAGTTAGCGTGGCATGGTATTTCAGTATGGAACCGAGTCAACGAGAACTTGCTGGAGCGCAACGTGTTCTCTCTATTTTTCTACACATGGCGCGCCGACCGCGGACAGGGGTGATACGCGATCCCGGCTCCCGCAATGCTTAACTGCAATTGACTCGGAGTCTCGGACTTCGTACCTTCCTTGACGGAAACCCGCTGTGACTGCTTTGCACGTTGTTGGATAACATCAGAGTTGCTATATGCTTCTTCCTATGTAGCTATCTACTCGACCTCATCATCCGATTCGTCGTCGCCGAAGACAGCCTTGAACAAATCCATGCCCGGCCGAGATCCTTCCAGAGCCTCGTTCCGATCAGGGTCGACTTTCTCAACACCGACTGTCGGCGTCACCGGTAGCTGAGAGAATCCTACCGGTTCAGTGACGCGGCCTGCCTGGTCAGCATCGCGCCGACTCTCTTGAGGCTGTTCAGGGACTTCAGAAGATGGTGGGGCCGAATAGGCCGCACCCATGCCCGCACCAGCGTCCATGGTAGTGGGCTCCGCTCGGGCACCAATGTCGGGCATCGCAACACCAAACCTCTTGCATAACAGGCGTGTAGGAAAGAAGCCAGTGGTACTCCTTGTCATGTGCCCGAACATACCCATCTTGGCGGCTGCCTCTTGCGGATCCTCGGGCTTCTGTCGTTTGTAGGAGAGCAAGTCCGACGTAGAGGCGTCGGCATCTGCTGTGCTTCCAGGCATGCTGGACCTAGCTGAAGTGAATCGACTCGCCATGAAACCGCTGACTGGCTTGAACACTTCTGCTGCCCTGGCAAACTCCTGTAGCTCTTGCAACCAATCTTCCTGGCTCACACCTACTGCACGAGGTGGGATCTCGTCACCTTGCTCAGTCGGCCGCATTCCAGCTCGGATTTCCAAGAAAGTCTTGTACCTTTCGCGTTTGTCCAGGTCCTCGGCGTACGGCATCCACCCTTCGCCACGCTCGGTGCTTTTTTTCAGAGCCAGCAGGGCCACTTCCTGATCCAACTTGGGGACGAGGTCTTGCAGAGACTCTTGAGCACTCGTTTTCGTGGCATAGCCGTCGGGCACCTCACCTAAGCCGGGAGGTAGATTCGATTTTCCGCTCGCAGCTGCAAGGCGGTCGCGAGCAGATGCAGACAAATAATCAAAGACGGATTTTCCGGGAAGGGCGGCCTCGCCGAGTGCCGATGCTCGACTTTTCGAGGTATGCTGTGATGCTCTCGCCACGTCTGAGGTGGACTTGTAGTCGTTGATCACCGTCGCGTCCTTTGCAGGAGTCAATGCAGATGTCCAGCCTGGAGGTACTGATGGTGGCTTGTACTTCTCGCTGTCCAGCGACAGGGTAGCCATTGCGTTGACTTCGTCGCCGAGCTCGAAACCGTCCATCGGCAGCGTCCCATCACGGCATTTCCGTAGGGTGCCTCCCAGTCCATTGAGCTTCTGAGATAGCAGGATGGGCTTTTTGTGAAGAGAAGGATTCGCCATGCTTTTCTTACTGGCCGACTTCTTCTTGGAAGGCTTGTCTGCGCCGATAGTTTTGTTGTAGGACATCTTAGGGCCCATAGCATAGGGGTCGTCATCATCTGATCCAGTGTCGTTGAGAACTCCGACGCCGAACCCACCTTTGCGTGGTATGGGCCCGCCGGGCTTTCGAGTCAACGACGGTGAAAAGAGCTCATCGCCGTCGTCCTCTAAGTCACCAGGCCCAAGAGGTACAGACCTTGGCTTCGTCCCTGTCTGAATAGGACCAAATTTGGTGGCTATGGGATCTCCACCATCGCTATAGCCCAAGCCTTTCAGATCATTCTTCACAGGGAAAGTCACTAGGGGAACATCTGTTGGCGCAAAGCTGTGGATCTTCCCTCTAGCTACCTGACCTTCGCCTAGGTCGGCTTCTCTTTTGACATGTGGTCCAATGCCTTGACCCTCTTTCCAGCCCATTCTTTTCAGCAGCTTTACCCCCACAGACTCCCCGGCTGGCCTGAAGATGTCCATAAGCGTTCGACGTTGAGAAGGATCGCTCATTGTGCCAAAGCCGGCGAAGTCATCGGTAGTCGACAGGGTCTGGGCTTCTTCCGCCTCACGCATGTCTTCCTCGTCCATAAAGTCTTCGACGCGCTGTTGGCGGAGTTGCTGGCCTCCATCTTTGTCCTTCTTCCGTGATGACACGAATGTCGATGGCGTCCAGCCTCCTTTGAGCCTACGGTGTTGAAGTATCTGTCGCAGTCATTTTAGTCTTCTCGTTCCACATACTTGACCTCGGGAACCCACCCGGCGCTGAACCCACCTGTGAAAGCGCCGTGAAGACGCTTTCTGCCTCGATCATCTGTTACCTCTTGCTTCCAGACGGGAACGAAAGATCCGTCATCTCGGACTTTATCGTCCAGAGGTGGAAGAGGGGTGCCATAAAAGACATACGGCGACTCGCGCGACTGCAAGTCTGCCTCGAAGTCTTTGCGCGAGCGCTTGTAGGCCATATCCGGCCAGATGGGCCTCCGCTCACAACGACTAGGCAGATGTTATGGCAGAGACGGACAGTTGACGGGAGACATTAGGCATACAAGTAAATTCAAGTCAGAGTCGTCTTGAAAGCAGCCTGGATTTAAGCGTCATGGTAGGCGGCCATGCTCCACCGGAGCCGTTGAACTATCTCGCTGCTTGCAGCCAAAGCGCAGCCCTCCCCATCCCTCCAAGGCTTGCTTGCTTCGAATGCGACTTCCCTATTGTAGCACGCTGCCGCCGGCCTCTACCGTTGCCCTGTCCTAGTTTGCCTTTGAGCGTGTCGGCGACTGCGAAGAATTGAGCGACTTATCCGATACATCTGATTATTGCGCACTGATCTATCACATAGCACCGTTGTGGTTTCACTTATTTTGTCATCAGCGGCCCCTGCGCGCGCAAGCTTGCTTGTGTCCACCACCCTTCCGTCAGATTACTGTGCTCTCCAGATGACAACTACATCTCGACACCCGCCAGCCATACGCCAGAGGCATTGGTCCTAGGCCTTGGGCACCTGCCAGTTGCTATCGTCGCACCAATTTCAGCCCGAAGCTGTCGCTTTAGCACTGGTCTCAGAGGGCATTCTCGCCAAACAACCGGTCTGCTTGACGGAGCCCGAGCCTTACAAACGAATCGCTGTCGCATTTGCTCTGCAACTGACCATAGCAAGTGCTAGTACGCCAGTGCAAGTCAGAGGCCGCCACAGTACAGACGCAGACATGGCAACGACAGCGTCGAGTCAGTCACCATCAGTGCCTCGTTCACAGTCCGGCTCTCGTAATCCACCTTCGGCCTACGCTACGAATACTCCTGCCCAAATCACCAGAGCCCATTCTACGAGCCAGCGAACGACCTCATCCTCCAGTCGGCATCATCGATCAGGCTCTCGAGCATATTCACAGGACATGCCCACCACGCCAAACTCCGTAGGCCTTGTCAATGTTGCTAGACGCGATTTTGAAGATCCAAACCTACCACGGCCACAGTCCTCGCGTCGCAGCTCTCGTGATGGACGCCGAAACGACGGTGCCGCCGATTCGCGTCACGGCCGAACCTCGAGCAGGCCGAATTCAAGACGAAACAGCCAGGACTTTAGCGCAGCCTCTGCCTCAGCCAACGGTACACCCGCCCTCGCACCCACTGCCTCGAACAATCCTCCTCCCTACGCTGGTCAGACTGCACCATACCAGAGCACCGGACGTCGACGAACGTCGATTACTTGCGCTTCTGGCACCTGGGGTTTGGGCAAGACAATCGGACAAGGTAGCATGGGTAAAGTGAAACTGGCCAAAAACCTGGAAAGTGGTGAGACCGCCGCCATCAAGATTGTGCCACGACAGACGCTCGACGAGCACGGCAATCCCAAAGATGAACGAGCTGATCGCTCCAAAGAAGTTCGCACTGCCAGAGAGGCTGCGCTGGTGTCTTTGCTTTACCACCCATATATCTGCAAGATGGTTGATGTGCAAAAGACCAACTACCATTGGTATATGCTGTTCGAGTACGTCAACGGTGGGCAGATGCTCGACTACATCATTGCACACGGCCGTCTGAAGGAGAAGCAGGCACGCAAATTCGGCCGGCAAATCGCCAGCGCCCTGGATTACTGTCATCGCAACAATGTTGTCCATCGTGATCTGAAGATCGAGAACATTCTCATCAGTAAGAACGGTGATATCAAGATCATCGATTTCGGTCTGAGCAATCTCTTCGCTCCGCGCTCACTGCTCAAGACGTTCTGTGGCAGTCTCTACTTCGCAGCACCCGAGCTGCTTCAGGCAAGACAGTACACAGGGCCGGAAGTCGATGTATGGAGTTTCGGCATCGTTCTCTACGTGCTAGTATGCGGCAAAGTGCCATTCGATGATCAGAGCATGCCTCAATTGCATGCAAAGATCAAACGCGGTGTCGTTGACTATCCACAGTGGCTAACAGCTGGTACGTAACTCCATGTCCTTCCTCTGGTACAACAACTAATATTTGGCAGAATGCAGAAGCATAATATCACGCATGCTCGTCGTTGATCCCAAGGATCGGGCTACCCTCCATGAGATACTCAACCATCCTTGGATGACCAAAGGCTTCAACACTGCGCCCGAAAATTTCTTACCACAGAGAGAGCCGTTGCAGCTTCCTCTTGACCCTCTGGTAGTAGAAAAGATGCAAGGCTTCGACTTCGGCTCCACTGCCTACATTACTGAACAGCTGACCAACATTCTGTCTTCCGACGAATATCAGACTGCTGTGCGGCGGTACTATCGAGACGAGCCGACCAACGCGCCCTCGGGTGGCGAGAAAAAGCGAGGGATGTTCGACTTTTATCGTCGGCGCAATTCAATAAGCCGAGAAGGTCTGACCACACCGTCTACCGAAGCCATCCGTGGTTACGATCCCATCAATGCATACAGTCCACTGATCTCTATCTACTATTTGGCACGAGAGAAGCTGGAACAAGAGAAGCGAGACCCCAACCCTGGTGCTCTGGGAACATCATCCACGGCGCCGGAGGCAGCGAACGGTGCAGCACCGCTGACGTCGCCCGAAGCGGTCTACACGAACACATACTCTCCAGAGATCCCGGGAGAACGCGTCACAGGTGGGCGATCCCGACCGAGGGCTCGCACAAATGGAGAAGACGATCAGCCATCTTCCAAGGCCGCAGAACAGCTTCCGTCTAGACCACAGCAATCTCCCGCGATCAACACTCCCACCACTGGCGATCAGCCAGTAAAGAAGGAAGGCACTGCACTCGGTCTGTTGAGGCGCTTTAGCACACGCCGTGTTCGCGATCGCGACACTGATCGACCTACACCTCCAACTCTCAACATTCAGCCACCGCCAGACAGTGCAACAGCGCCTCGGAAGTCGTTCTCTGTTCGTCGTTCTCGGCGTCGCGAAGGTTCTCCAGCTACCGGGACGCATCATGCCGGCGGCAGTCAGCCTCAGCACGAAGGTCTTCTGAGTGCAGGCACCAACAAAGCCCGGAACTTCCTCGGCCGGTCCACGAGCGTTAATTCTGCGGACTACCGGCCGAGGCGACTGCTGCAACGGATGACAAACGACGACTCTCCTCTACTCAACCCAGAGCCCCCACAGACCAGCGGATCTGATCACTCTAGTCACAGTGCCCAGAAGACAGGCAAGAGTGTCCAGCTGACTGACCCGCCTGAGAGCAGCAATCTCGGCGACCCGCCAAAGCCTACTGCGGCTCGGACTAAGTCTCTGGGTCACGCAAGACAAGAGAGTATCCAAGCTCGCCGGAAGAGATGGGAAGACAGCCGAAGAGACCGCCACGAAAATGTGCCTGAGGAAACGGACGCAGAGCTGCGAGACGAGGCCGATGGTCTTGACACTCCTGCCTTGCCTGAAACACCGGGTACTGCGGTCACCAAGCCGGCTGGTCTCAAGGGCTTGTTCTCAACATCGACAACCAGCAGCAAAGCACCCGAATTCATACGTCAAGATCTAATCCGTGTGCTGAAGCAACTGGGTGTGGAGCATACGCCGATTCGTGGAGGCTTTTCTTGCCGACATGCGCCCAGCATCAACCTCGACGATGTTCGTGATGTTGAAGAGGAGAAGAGCGGGCGCGTACAAGGTGCCAGTGGCCATCAACGCCGTATCTCCTTTGGCGGTGCATTCCGTGGTAAAGACCGCGAAGACCTTCGGGACGAAAAGGGTCTTCGACGTGGCGCATCTCGCAGACGCCATCCCGACCAGAGTTTTGTGACGAACTCGGAAGGCTCGGAGGAATATCTGCACACAAGACGAGAAGATGGTGGGCGAGATGCTGGTGCCACTACTACACGTGTCCAAGACGATACCGGTGAGCGGCTAGTGCTGAAGTTTGAGATCGCTATCGTCAAGATCCCATTGCTTTCGTTACATGGCATTCAGTTCAAGAAGGTCCAAGGCGGGATGAATCAGTATCGGTCGATGACTGGCACAATTTTGAATTCATTGAGGTTGTAATCGGATGGTGGAGGTGTGAGAGTGGTGTGGTTGGGCATGAGGTTGTAATAATGGGCAAGGACCATGCCGTAGTAGGCTCCCACGACGATGATGCTATTCATCTAATCGCCGCTCAGGTCATCCATAGGAAACCTTTTGCAAGCAAGTAAGGGCATACGTCGTAAAGCCACCAATGCCCTGAACAGCTAGTTAGGTAACTATGCCGGGACATTTTGTTGTACATCCGGAGCCAAGACTCTCGATGATCGACGTCTAGACTAAATTCGGACGTGCCTTCCCTCGATGGCACTGCAGTGCCAGACGCTCACTGTTCCAACGACCTCGTTGCTTCCTAAACCTCATCATTGTCATCTTCCATACGACTCCAGCGTTGGCAGATCTGTTTGCTGCTTCGTTGGGATCACAGAAGGTGTTTTGGTTCTTTTGTTGACTTGGATTTCCAGCCTGTCGCGGCACGGCCCTGAGCATCTACTAGTCGTTTGCTCCTTCTCCAGCCTGCGAATTACCCTCATTTCTCGATTCTTTTGCGAAAGATCTCGTTTTCGGCAGACAATCACCTCGAGTGGCTCAGAATAGTTTCTTGAGGTCCTGAGGAGTTGCCTGTATGCAATTCTGGCCGCCACCGATCGGCCCAGTGCGCTTTTGAGTTCGCTGTGTGACCTTGTTCACGCCTCTTCTCGCCTACAATGTCAACCTCTGCTGGTCTGGTACCAAGCGGAGCGACTGCATCACAATCACCGGCGACTCCAGGCGGACAAAACAATACTGCGAGATCAGGCATGAGGTCCAACACCGCAGCCAAAAATGGTGATTCCACCAAGCGACAGAGTTCGAACGACCCCAGCAACAGGTATGCTCTCCCAGTAGGCCACAACTTATCATTGTTCCGGAAGACCTCCTTACCCCCCGCTTGGGTCTTTCGCCTCAGAACATTGCTGACCATGAATAACGTAGGCGTACTCCCACACAGAAGGCCTGGACAGGAGGCTCGAATCCTTTGACTGGTCGTCCATCCTCTAATCAGACCAACGGTGTCGCTCATGCTCCGAGATCGAGCCCGGGTCCCAGGACCCCAACCCAGAAAGACGGCGGACTGAGTGACAGGCATGCTCACGATCGGACACTATATCTCCTAGGAGGAGCTGTCGTATGGCATCTCCATCGACCGAGTGGTCCAAAGCTAAATAATACAGGGTTGCTCTGTCCTCCTGACTCTGAAATCAGGCGAGCGTTTTGATGGCCTCTTCGCTGGCTCGAGCCTGCAAGGCGCTGTGACGAAGATCACACTCAAAATGACAAAGAAGCTACCTCAAACCTCCCAAGGCACTGTTGCCAATCATGAAGCGGCCTTCACTGGCTCGAGTCCTGACTACGCAATGACTTTCGAGATGAGAGACATGGCAGACCTACAAATTCGATCCTTCACTGCGCCTCAGGCTGCCAAAGCGGCCAATGGTACTTCGCCCGCTCGGACTTGTGACGGTTTGCTAACACATATAGGTACGTCGTCGAAGTTTCAGACAGATACCGACATCTCTGGTAATCAGCTTCGGGGTGAGCGTACGCTCCAGAAGTGGGTGCCTGATGCCAGCGACGACGCCGACTTCTCGTTGGAGTCAGGCAAAACAGGAGAATGGGACCAATTCAAAGCAAATCAGCAGCTCTTCGGAACCCAGAGTTCTTACGACGAAAGCTATTACACGACCAACCTCGACAGGTCGTCAGACTCTTACCGCCAGCGAGAAGCGCGTGCCAACAGGATTGCGCGAGAAATCGAATCTTCACAATCCAACCTGCAGCACGTTCGGGAAGAACGTGGCCAGGTCTCTCAGGCTGAGACTGAAGATGAGGAGGCAAAATACAGCGGTGTTCAGCGCGATACCAGCACCAAGGGTTTCCCACCACTGCCCAAAGGAGGTCTAGACAAGTATACTCCTCCTGCAAGGCGCGCCCCAACCGCGGCACCTACCGTGCCAGGTGCACCATACGACACCGCCATCCTCTCTGCGCAGCTACAACGCCCAGACAGCAAGCCAGCGACCCAAGTACAGCCCAGACAGCCCTCCCCACTTGGCCAAAGTCATGTGTCGCCAGCTGCCACATCGACGGACGGTCCTGCCGGCGCGGCTAAGCCTGGGTCCGGCAAGGAATCTCAGCAGACCACTGCGGACGGTGCTGACGCTATCATGCCTCGCCTCCTCACAGATTATCATACTTTCGCAGAGATCGAGAAACAGAAAGTTCTCGACAAGAAGCGGGCTCAAGCCCTTGAGGAGAAGAAAGCGAAGCTCAATGAATTGATGCAATTTTCGAAGGGCTTTAAGCTCAAAACGATCGTTCCACAGGATTTGGTTGGCATTCTCGCAAAAGATCCAGCCAAACAGGAAGCCATTGTGCAAAAGTCTAAAGAAGATGTCAACAGCCCGACAGCGACTCCTCAAGCAGCTCCCGTTAAAGAGCTGCCCACCATTCGTAAGGCCGACATTGCACAGATCCCACCTTTCCAGGGCGGACGCGGTCGTGGTTTGCCCCCATCTGCGAGCATGCGGCTACCACAGCAGAACGCTATGCCGATTCGTGGTGCCAATGGCCAGCGCCCTGGAAAGGTTGATAGACCACAGGTCGTGCCTGCTCCAATTCCTTTAGTCGATTCTCGTGGACCGCCAGGGGGGCCCTCGGGTGCCGCAAGCCCGGCTCAGTCCACTATGCAGACTCCGTTGTCTGCCACATCGGCTGCCAGATTTAATTTCAATGCTCCCGAATTCAAGCCTACCGCACCAGCATTCAACCCTGCTGGATCGAACGCACCGTCGAGCCCTTCGTCGATCGCTAAGGGCTCGACATTGTCACGTGCAGCTAGTCCTTCGGCATTCTTTGGAGCTCGCAAGCCCAAGCCAGAAGGCGAACGGCCGACGGTGTTGGCAAATTTCCAGACCATCAAGAAATTGCAGCAAGATTATGCCGAAGCACTTGCCAAGAGCAAGACACAGAAACCTGGCGAGGGTCCTCCGGTGAAAGATTACTCTTCAATTGGCGGCATAGTGCCTGCTTACCTTTCGCAACCAAGGTGGCCGGTCACCCTCGACAACGAGGAGAAAACATATCTCTCGGCCTTCGAACGCCCTACCACGATCTCGCCTGGAGTTAGTAGGACTAGCTCTGCGCAGGCTGTACCTTATCACCAGCAGGCTCCTCCCGTTCCGGGTGGGCCTGCCATGCCCGGACTACATCATATGCCTCCAAGCTACGGTCACACCTACGATGAACAGCGCATGCACATGATGCAGCCTCAGGGTCAACCATATGCTTCTCCGAGCTTTCAATCACGACAGCCGTCATCATATGCGTCACCGATGAATCCCTCTGCTCAATTAGCATACGGTCAGCAGCCCTACTATGGTGGACAGGTCCCAATGCAGATGCGCCAGTATCCTGGCGCGCCGCACGGACAGGGAAGTGCACCTATGATGATGCAACAACATTCGAGCGGTCCATACATGAACATGCCCCAACAATTCGGTGGACAAATGCAACCGATGTACTCCCCAAGCCCCGGCCATGCTTATCCTCAGCAGAACGGCTACGGAAGTCCAGGGAGAGCTCCAATGATGGCACAACAAAATTCGCAGCAAGGCTATGGACAACCGATGATGTACTCTGCATCTGCGCAGGGAGGTCCTATGTACGGCCAGCAAGGGCAGATGAACATGTACCGTGGTTACAACCAGCCACAGTACGGCAGCAGTCCACAGCAGCCATATCCGCAGCAGCGTGCGGGTAGCTACGGACAGGTGCCGCATCACAAAATGATGCACATGCAACATGGAAATGTTGGTCAAGATGAGGGCAAATGAATGCCAAAGTACGACATCCTGCAGAGATGATCAATACCGAGCATTCGTCACAGCATTTGTACGGGTCCAACACCAGCAGCACCATGTTCGCAATGTCGCGCAGAGGCTTTTGTGTTCCAGCAGGAAGTCATAAGAGGGTGACTTGGACGCTCGCCACATATCTGCTACAGCGACGCGTCGATGAACTGATGCAAATGCATCTCCTCCGGCAAGTCCTGTGCTTGAGAGATGTTCGTGACCAGAAATATGGCGAGCTGTTAGCGGCAACCCCGCGCGCTTGAAACACAAGCACCTGCGTGCTGAGTAGTATTTCAGAGACGCCACGCGGGCTCAAAGCAGATCTGACGACGGGAAACTGCAGTCCCGCGCCTCATGAGGACAATGAGGTGAAGAGGACGTGGGCTTGCAGTCGGTCTATTCCATGCACAGCCATTCCAGGTGCGTGTGGGAGGACAACATCGAGTCAGAAGCGACGTATAGGAGATAGCAGAGTTTTGACCAAGGATGAAGTGCAGAGCGAGCGAAGAGAGCAGTCGAGCAATACATTTATGTATCTTGGGCAGAACGGGTGTAGGAGAATTATCTGGCGGATCACCGACGCGATTGGTGGTTGTTGACGCGCCTGGAGGCCCAGTAGGATGAGAGAACGGATCACATTCCTCAGAGCTCTCCCCATGGCGCTTACCTGTTCCTATCTTCGTGTCGTCGACCTACATCGTCATCTACTTGCTACGCTATGCGACATATCAATCTCTATGCGCTCTCGTTCAAGAGCAATCGACCAGAATGCAGTGACTAGCAGGTAGGTATAGTTTGAAGACTTCCCAAACAAGGAAGGCGCGGCCGGACGCGACGTTCCTTCCCGAAGCTGCAATGACAACGCATCAGTCTTCTTCCTCAGCTCTTACCGTGTCCACCGCCTCTCTCACCGCTGCAGGAACCTCTGACGTGGCTGCCTTTCATTCACTCATTCTAGCAACGCTCGTCCCACCGATTGACCATTATCCGGCCGCACTCGCTTCCCACTTGGCCTGTCTGGTCCATACACTCTCTTCAAACCTCCGAAACTTTCGCCTTACACCTCACCTAGAGCTGCTAGAGCTCCTAGAGCTACCCATAGCAGAATCGGACACTAAGTACGGCTCCAGTCTCCACGGCCCATCTGCCAGCCACTCGTATCTGCTCCAGGCGCTGCTGTTCCTTGCCGCCGTGGCCTAGCAGTGCCCGAGCGCGCTTCACAGCCGTACAACTACACCCGGACCTGCTCTGCTCGTCAATTGACCAGGACGCCACGTGCCCTCTTATGGATGCGGCACGATGCGAATAGCGAAATTCTGTGGATCTACATCAGCCTCACTTCCTCCCACTGCCACAAGCACCTCTTGGGCATTAGGCCCCATTCGCGTAGATCTGCTATAGATCGCAGAGAGGCTGGGCGAATCCGCTGCTTCGGTATTTTGGGTGCCCAATTGGAGTGTAGGTACTTCCAAGTCGTCGTGATCTCACACACAGAGCTGACGGTGCCAACAGAGCAGGTCTCTCGGCCACTGCTTCGGCCAGCATTCCCTTTCGCTACGTGTGTTGTATAATACTGTCGTGTCTTTGCGCCGTCCGATTCCGGAGATCTGTCGTTTGCGCCTACATTCGTTACTCGTCCGCGCGCATTTCTGCTGCACACCGCCAAAATTCGAGCACATATACATCGATCACGTATACCTTGTACCAATACTGTATCACTATCTCCCAGGCTCTCGACCAAGAGCTCGACGTATAAAAGCGACCAAATAATACACGATCCGCAAGGAGAACGGAGAGGCGCATGCAGAAGACCACTGCGGAAGAGATAGAGAGAGGGTCAGTTCAAGATTTTCACATCCAAATTCTGCTCGGCTGCGCTCTCTGCGTGCTCCCGGAGCAAGTCAAGGCCACGGGCCTCGCAGAATCCTGTGCCAAAACGTTCATCTACCTGCATCGGTAGCAGAGGGAGGACGACCACCGTATACAAGATCGTGTTAGACTGGAATCGCGAACATGGCCGTGACAGAGCTAACTAGCGTGGAACGACAGTGGAAATTGAGGAGAAGGTTGCCACTATACAGTGGCTCATGGCATCGAGCGAAGTTGATCGCAAGTTTCTGGGTGTATGTGCTACGGTTCAGCAGATTTGGAGCTCGGCTGACATCGACAAGCACTTCGCCAAATCTACCATCAACCATCATGGTTATCTGTCCAGGTACGGATGTTCAGACCCGATGCAGCTCTCACTGACATGTATTCAGCTTTCTTTTCCGAATACTTGGTTTGTCGGTCGTACTCAGCGAGGATCTTTTGGTCAGCCCTACTTGGTACCTGTGGTGAGAATCCACTGACCGCAACAGCAAGCTAGGAGAGTCAAGCGGCTCGACCCGATCCGCGATCCACAACACCGGCGCCTCGTCCATCACATCCTATGGCTCGCCCGAGAGGGACTGGTCATGATGGAACAATATGTTCAGCCTATGTGAGGAATCCGAATGCGTTCTGGGGGACCATGCTAAATGTGGCAGGGTCGGTAAACGTCTACCGGCAGAGCTGCAAGTGCTGGTGCTTAAGCTGAAGGGTAAGGCCGATACGATTAATTTACAACCTTGTGCTGACGTTCCATAGCCAGTCTGTACCACATATTCGTGTTGGTGAGTGAAGCGCAGCGGTCTGATGTTGCGGCGACCCCTGGTCGTGCTGGCTTGGCAAGACTCATCGTGCTAACGAAGCTAATATTAGTTTCATAACGAGCCAGCAGTCAAGTAAGTGACTCCAGCAAGCGTAACAGTTGCCCGTCATCGACTGACCTACCTTGCAGCGATCGGATCAACTCTCATCCATCACAGTCGTCCTTGTTCCCATTACCACTATCGCCCAAGTCACGCTCTTCAAATTCGCCGACCTCGCCGCCAACAGCACGGCAGCGCTCCCCGGCCATTTCGCTCGGAAGAACACCACCTGGTCTGTCGTATCCTCCGAACAACTCCAATAACCCATACAGCTACGCGAATTTGCCATCCTCAGCATCTGCAACATATCTTTTACCATTGACCGACTATCGGCCAGCAGCCACAACGGCGTTCAAGGAAGCCGACATACTTGCCGAGCGGCTGCTGCCAGGCAGTCATCCAGTGAGGCTAAGTGTGAAGGTGGAGTATGTAGCTTATATGTATGATTGTGTCAAGGATCGGGAAGCGAGTCGGAAGTTGGCGAGGAGGGCTGTGAGGGAGGTGTATGAGGAGACTGCCGGGTAAGATCTGCTCTCAAGCGCATGCAGTCGTGCCAAGCTCACTCTTTTCTCTCATTTGGACCATGAACTGACCTGTTGTGACGCAGAATGGACGACGAGTCGTTTGAAGATGCAGCAGAACTCGTCGGCATCCTTGGCCGTATGATGAAAAGAGGACTAGGTAGCACAGACAGTGGTGGCAGCGGAGCTAGTGCGACGAGTCGGCCTGGTGGCGGTGGTGGCGGCTCGGTACAGCAGCATTCAGCAGCCACAGCTGTGGCTCCGGCCTCGGCTGCACCGGTGGCGTCGGATTCGAGGACGAGAGGCAATAGTACTGGTGGTAGTAGAAGTGGGGGCGTGGGAGGTGGTGGAGGAGGCACCGTGACTGCTAGTCGCAATAGCAGTAGTAGAAGCGCAGCAGCAGCGCAATCAGCTCAGCAAGATTCGCGGCAAGCATCACAACAGGGACATCGGCGTGCGAGAAGCAGTCAGAGCCAGAGTCAGAGTCAAAGTCGGGCACAGCAGCCACCACAGACACAGCTGACATCACAAAGTTCTGCTAGTCGAGGCAGCAATAATGGGAGGTCACGGAAGGGGACCAGTGACGGCGCAGGAGGAAGCAGTTCGAGAGGATACGTTGCAACTACTCAGCCACGACTTGGGTATGAGGCGAGCAGTATTGGTACCGTTGAGTATTAGGTACAGAGTGGCCAGGGCAATCTTGAAGTTTTTGAGCGTTCGAGCAATATTATCACTACGGATTGACCGCTTCCTCAATGCTACCGCTCAAACCGAGCGTTCCTGCAAGATCATGCGCCTGTTAGTGCGTAGGCATAGCTCTGTCAGAATGGGATAGGGTGGTCACAGTCGATGTGCACCTTCGATAGACTGGGAATATAAGTGCTTCGAAAGCCGCGTCCATTGGTCCTGAAGCGCGATTTTAATATCGATATCGATGCCCGCGGCGGCAAGTCAATCTTGGCCCAGGCGAGCGATCTGCTAGAGATAGAACAAACATCTCTCCACATGTATGCCGCTTTTTTTGCCGGCCAGGGCTGATCAAGGTGCCATAAGAAGCCATGGACTAGAGAACGCACGGCCGAGTTTTTGGAATTTAGTCAACCGGCGACAAGCGCAGCTCTATGTCGTCCGGTCTGAGGTAGAGCCAATCAAGTCAACCGGGTTTCAAGAGGGTCTGCTGTCACCCGGCGTGCTGTGATGCCTAGCCTTACTACCTACCTAAGTATGTTCTTCCATTTCTTGAGGCGACTACTTTACTCGACTGTGACTTTGAATCGCGGTCGAAAGAGATGAGATGTGATGGCAAGCCCTTTCTGGTCGGTCGGTCGACCTTGCTGGAGCTGCATTCCCGGATATTTCTACATGGTAATACGAGCTGCATCAAGAGGGTCTATTCACTTTTGAGGTTGGGTGTGAAGGCACGGGGTCGGACGTCACCAAGAAGGGGAACGTGTGTCATGGACGCTGGAACACTGTGGGAGAAGATATGTTTTGTGGTATTCGCTTTTTTGTCGCACCGATGAGCATGGCGACGCGGACAACTGCTAGCTCAGCTCACTCCATCCAGGACGCTCTTTAATATGGCTTGTGACCCCTGGATCCGTGAAAGTCTACCGAGTCACTCTGGGGACTTCTGACCAGCAAGTGACGAGTCGTAGTACAGCCAGAGGCTGCCCCTTTCGTGATCCGCGCTGCATCGCAGTAGACACTCTCGTTGGTACAGTTGATGGTTACCCAGGGCTGAGAAGCAGAAGACGGTTTGCTCGATAGCCCGCCCTTGTCCGCTCCTTTTTTCATGACGCATTGCGGTTGCTCGACTTGAGTTGCTCGACAAATGCTCGACGGCCCAATCGGACGACCTTTGGACCATTGAGGAGGCATCAACAGTGCATCGGTGTGAAGACGATGTTGTCTTTAAGCCTGAATATGGGGTGGCGATGAGAGCTGGCTCAGTAGTCCCATGCGCGGCTGATGGCTTCTTATGCTTATGGTCAATCCTCTGACTTATGCGCAGACCAGGTGCCCATGAGCTGACGATATTTAGTCTTTGTCTCTTGGAGCTGTCTCGTGGTCGGATTGCACAGTCGAGGTGAGGTTCGGGTGTAGACATCAAGATGTGTGGGATTGTTGGCGCCGAAGTCCCAGTCAGACAGACGAGCGAACAGCCGAACGAGGTCAACCTCGGAGCTGTCAACACCGCCGCCAGCCTTGGAAAGGACCTCAGCTAGCTCTGGCATGCGGCTCTCATACCGTGGCCGTAGAGAATAGCGCTCCAGGGTGGCCTTGTCGACGTATGCTCTATCTTTGTCTTCTTCCAGAAGGGTGACTTGCTCTTGGGGACGACCGTGAGGCTTGTTCTTATCTGCCTTGAGCTGCCAATTCACACTCGCCAGGTCTCGCATCATCCATACAGGCATATCGGGATTGCCTACTTCAACGACCATAGAAAACCAGGTTGGGATGTCTCGTCCACACAGCTCGTCAATAGCAGCGCTAGATGCGTTGTAATAGTCCGAGCAGCAGTGTGGACTATTGACCACCAGGTGACCCAAAGGCATGACCTTGGAGGGAGCCTGACCTCGATCTCCGGGCCCATCGTAGACAACTTTACGCCATGCTCTGGACAGCCAGTTGTCTGTGTCTGTTGGATCGGGAGGGTCATGGAAGAATAGACGCAATGATGGATGGAGCTCTGACCATTGATAGCTGTGACCGCTGATGGAGAATCTGCTGAAAACGCTCTCGATGCTTGGTGATGTATGTTTGATTGTGGAGGAGTTCTGATTGCAGCTACCAGGAGGATGTTTCTTGGTCTGGACTGGGTCAAAGAGGGGTGACCTAGGATCATGCTTGACAGATGCCATTGCTGTTGGATATCAGTCAAAGAAAGACCTCTGGGATGAATTGACTTACCACGTGCCTGAAGTGCTCTACCGGTACCAACGGCCAGGCATCGCGGTCGGAAACACGATTTGACTCGATGCATGCTGCTGATAGACCTGATGGTATCAATTGATAACAGTCGATGGGCGTTGAGAGGATAGACACGTTGATGATGGGAGAAAAGAAGAGTGTTGGAAATCGTCAAACAAGGAATCAAGAAGAAGATATAGACACCGCCGGACACTTCACGGGCAACTGCATAATCGCCTCTGACCGTAGTGCCTGATTGCCGGGTAGACGAGGCAACAAACACTACACGGGCTCACTAGGTAAGTTGACAAGTTCAACGATGCCAGCTCTCTGCCCGACCTGCTCACATCAAGTGACTGCTGGCAGAGAGGGCACAACATCGTGAGGCCGACTGCAGCGGTACAGTTAGTCTGCGTGTTTCGACTACCGGCACGCACTCGGGCGATAAATGAGAAATGTATTGGGATGCCAAAGATCTCTGAACGGCCGTGGACATGGATGGTCCGTCTTGGAGGTGTGGTGTTCCGACGAGCGTTTCTCTTCAAGCTTGTTGTCATCCGGTCTCCCGACTATGCAGTAGCCTCTCGTCATCCGGTCTGCGTTAAAACTATTGTGTCAGCCGGTCTATACAAAACTCAATGTCAACCGGCTTGTGTTGACACCTCCGTCGCTGCTCCCATTGAAGCGACTGAGCGATCGCATCTGCATCCTCTTCAAAGCTCCACCGTGCTAGGACAAGTAAGTACTTACCTGAATGTTGTTCATCATTCATGCCCAAAACCCCGTTCCCTGGTAGCTGCGGGTCACATTTAAGACACGGAATGGTAGGTGGAGATGAGGTTTTGTGGTATTTTGCTAAATCTTTCGCGTCGATCAACATTGTGAAGCGACGAGTATCGTGATGGGACTTTCAAGCTCTGCGCGAGATTGATGAGGGGCATGTCTGCCTGTCTGTGTTCTGTGGCTCCACGATCATTTGAAGCAGTCAAATGGGGGTCCTGCCGGCAATAGTGTTCTCCTGAAGAGTGTGTGTACATGCCGTCTTCCTAATACCAGCTCCGCACTCGGACCACCTCAGACGCCCCATTCGAACCCTCCCTCTGGATCAGTCGTCCTCCACCAAGACCGAGGTCCAGGCAACCTCAGATTTATGCGCCCACGGCCCCTACGCTCGACTCGCTGACGTTGAAACGTAGCAGCAGCTTCTCGCAGCTGCGTCGTCGTAGGATAGGACAGTCGGGGCTGGGTGTTAGTGTAGCAATTAATACTTGTGGGAACACGGCCGTCCGCCCAGTCAGACATGCGAGGAAACAGTCGGATCAGGTCCACTTGTGAGCCGTCAACGTTGCCAGCCTTGAGAAGTTGAGCGAAATCCGGCATGCGATTGTGGTATTCGGGGCGATGGGAGTAGTTCTGGAGGGTTGTCTTGTCGATGTAAGATGCATCTTTGTCGTCGGGCAGAAGTGTGACTTCCTCTTTGCGGCAGAGACCATCCAGATCGATACCAGTCGCCTTTGACTGCCAGTTCACACACTCTAGATCTCGCACAAGCCATAGAGGTTTGTCGACATGACCTAGGTCAACGACCACAGTGAACCAGGTTGGAACGCAATTTCGACGATGAATCTCATGAGCCTCATAACTATAGCAATTCTTGCAATCGTCGCAATTGTCGCAATTGTCGCATTCGTCGCGATTTTCGCAATCAACCCAGCCATCGTAAAGTACCTCATCCGAGAAGACAGGTGGAGCCGTGACAAGCAAGTGACCCAATGGAAGGACGATGGAAGGAGCCTGATGTCGATCTCCAGATCCTTTGTAGACAACGTGACCAAATCGCTTACAGTGATTGTGTTCAGTGGGACTTGGGTAGCCGGGCTGTAGAGCTGCGCTGAAGCTCTCTCCCTGTAAACCAGCGTCCCAATGATATTTGTCCGTGTTTATGGACAATCTCTCGAAGACACTCTTGATGGTTGGTGAATTATGCTTGACAATGCAGGAGTCGTCATAGTATCCACGAGGGGGTCCTACGGGACCCGACGTGCAAAATCTGTACTCCGCCTGGGAAGGGGGGACGATTGAATCGGAATGTGAAAGTGTGAAGCATTCTGACCGTAGCAGCGGGATACAGAACAAGTGTTCGTTGGACAGAGGCCGCCCGAGTGTGCCATAATGAAAGAAACTGCCGTCATGAGTGGCTGTCCAGATGTCTTGTCGAGTCATCTCCATCAGCTCGGCCGCCTTGATAAGGTCAGATGGACCACAAGCGTATAGACGTGCGCAAAGACTAGCGAATACGAAGTTGCTGTCTCTCTGAAGAGGTGAAGTCGGAGTATGGAGTGGGTAATTGAGGTGAGATCGAGTCGCTGTTGGACATCAGTGGAAGGAATCAATGTGTGAGGATTTTGACTTACCATACTGTGCAGGGAGCACGAGGCCATCCGTGGCAAAAGCGCGCCGCAGACAACACAATCTCAATTGATTCATGCTCTTGACGGATGCCTTGGTAAGACGAGTCGATAGTCTGTAGGCGTGCACTTAATGGATGAAGAATAACACTCTGGGCTTGGGATGCTAAAAGCTCTCAGAATCGTCGAGGATCAAAGCTGTCGCTCTGACATTACACGTCGGGGTCCCTTGAGATGCGCAAGTCGTTTTAAAAACTAGCTAGTCAGAATGCTGGACTTGTCACCTCACCGGGTGAAATCGTGTAGTCTTCGTGGTTGCCCTGTCTACCCGAAAAAATAGGCAACACGGGCACAAACGGCTGAAGCTCCATGTTGGTGACTATATCAGTCGCTTGTGCGTGCGCGTCCATAGCAAGAATGATCATCATGTCCTCTATAACTTCGATTGAGTCGCTTCCTGGTAATGGACACTCATGTGAAGGGAGCCCTGAGGAAGCACAAGATCGCGAGGCGATTGTGCGATTACTGGAGACACATGGATCGAAGACATTGTTCCGAACCTCTTTCAGGTGCTGCTACATGATGCGAGAGATTGTGCAGAGGACGCGGGTTCTCCTCAAACGATGTCTTTATTGATGCTGGAGATGTTCGCAGGACGGTGAGGTTCCTGGAAGGCTACAGCGATATGAGCTTGGCTTCTGTCATCCGGTCTCAGCTAGTGCTACTGGTCATCCGGCTTGGGATGGTTACCTGGGTTCCTGCTTGTCTCGAAGCAACTGCCCGGTCGATCGCAATTTCTTCTATAGATCGCAGAGGAGTATTGGCAGCTTCCCCCAAGTGACTCTCTCGATACGTGCTATCGAACGGGTCAGCACCTCCCTTTGAAGCATTGGCTCCTTCTAACTGGCTTGCCATCCTCCACGCCTTCCCTCTCCCCAATGATGTTCCTACTAACGCGACTCCACATCATCCTCCTAACGCTATGTTCGACGTATGCATGCTCGCCCCTCTAAGAAGCGTCCATCCGCATCTAAGTCTTCTTCCCACCAGGAGGCAGATCCCTATCCTGAACCGCGTACACCGCCGCCAAGTCTGCTGGAGGGCATACTCGCGCTGGACTTTGATCCAGTCCTCATCGTTTTCTTGAGAAGCGGATGGGACGATGGTGGTGTCGAAGATTGTATCGCTGCTGAGCAAAGAGGTGAGTGGGTGGTGCTTGACCTTAGGCTTCAGGATGCCGCGTTTGGTATGCTGGGCGAGGTGCCGCTTAGCTTTCATGCTGGTGTCATCGTCGTTGTCGTTGTCGGAGTCTTTATCAGAGGTATTGGTGCTTTTGCTTCGATCGTAGTCTGGCCAGTGGCCGTGCTGACTTTGTGGCGAGTCTTTGTTGTCGTGGTCTACTTCTTCCTCGCCTGGTTCAGATCCAGTATCATCAGCGGCGACAGCCACCGTGATCCTAGCCGGGCTGGAGCCATCGCTGTCATCACCGTTGTTGAGGTCGTGCTTGACCACAATGTCCAGCGTGTCTGCACCTGCTTGTGTCAGTCCCGGCAGGATGGTAGCTGGCTCTCCATCAATGGTGACTGGGGCGGCGTGAAGCAGTAGCCGTGGCGAACGCTTCTCCGGCTCATGGGGCGCTTCGACCAGTCCATCTTCCGCCTTTGGGACAAGTTGTGGGAAGGCTAGTGCTCTTGAGCTTGTTGAAAGAAGCAGAAGTGCTGTTAAGACCAAGCTGAGCGGCCGACAGGCGGCGACCATCGTTACCCCTCGCGAATGGTGGTGACTTCAGCGTTCCTAAGTGCTGCTGCTGGCCTGATCCCTTCAAGCCTCCTTCAAGAACAACCCACTGCCCAAACAACAGCCCGACTTGCAGACCCGAAGAAGTCCTCCAAACAAGTAAATAATTCCCTCGAGTCCTCCTCCGAGCGATCGTAAACAGCAAACGAGTGTAGGTAAAGGAGCGACAATGAGTAATGAGCGAATACGTCAAGCAGCAGTCATCTGAAACAGAAGAATCGCCAACAGTGGTGCCCCGAGGAACATCAAGCACCGTCTGGCCTTGAGCTGCCACTTGATGAGACGGAGAGACATGCTGTGTAGATGTGCGGGTTCAGTCCTCTTCTTGTTGCTGGGTTTGCTGCTATCAGAAGGAGACGGAGTCGATGTCTGAGAACTCCGGCTTTGTCTCGTCGAGGAGATTCGGGACCGCTGTCAAGCTTATCAAGAATGCTACGGGAGGAGGGAAATCGATAATTTGCTGTCTCGCGGTGAGACTGTCCACGAGGACGACGAAAGGAAACAATAACTTTGAGACATGCTGACCACTGCTACAGTATCGTGGAGGGGTACATTCCTGACTGCGAGGGGATGTAAGGTAATCGAAGTAAGGCTCCGACCCCCTTGCTTGGCATCATGGCTTGTGCGCATGTGCGCAGACATGAAACACAGTATTATGTTGTGCAGTAAGGACGACAGTAAGCGGACGCTTGGAAATGATTTCGATTCGATTCCTATGGACAGTTGGGAGCATACAAGACTCCAGAGTCTAGACAGCGCTCATTCTGCAAGATGTGAAGGAAGGGCATGGTGCAGGTAGGTAATTACCGAGCTGCTCCCGCTGACCGCCAAACCGTTGTCGCCATCTGCACGCCTTGCTGTCCCTTGCAGTACAGTGCAGGCCGGTCCGCCAGGAAATGATTGCATGTCGTCACTTTTCATGGCGCTCTCATATTTGACACAGTGGAAGGCGACTGAGTGTCACTCGAACACTTGGTCTGCAGCAGATTTGGTGATCTACTGCTCGAGACCCTCCTCGCCGAGGTCCTCCTCACCCTCGTATGGCTCCTCGCCATCTGAGATGGAGGCTTCCTGGTATTGCTGGTATTCGCTGCCAAGACATTAGCTTCGAAATTCAACAGCGCGGACTGTTCTGCTTACCTGACAAGATCGTTCATGTTGGACTCGGCCTCAGTGAACTCCATCTCGTCCATACCCTCACCAGTATACCAATGTAAGACTAGCAATCGTTAGTAAAATTCATTCAGGACGAAAATGTCAACTTACAAGCCTTGCGACGGAACATAGCAGAGAACTGATCTCCAACACGCTTGAACAGCTCCTGGATGGAAGTAGAGTTGCCGACAAATGTAGCGCTCATCTTCAGGCCACGAGGTGGGATAGAGCAAAGAGCAGTCTGGACGTTGTTGGGGATCCACTCGACGAAGTATGAGGTGTTCTTGTTCTGGACGTTGCGCATCTGGTCCTCGACCTCCTTCATCGAGACCTTGCCGCGGAAGATGGCGGAGCAGGTGAGGTAACGACCGTTGCGGAAGTCAGTGGCAGCCATCATGTTCTTGGGGTCGAACATCTGCTGGGTGAGCTCGGGCACGCTGATGGCACGGAATGAGTTGGCGCCACGGCTAGTGAGAGGGGCGAAGCCGACCATGAAGAAGTGTAGACGAGGGAATGGGACCATGTTGACGGCCAGTTTGCGAAGATCGGAGTTGAGCTGGCCGGGGAAGCGCAGCGATGTGGAGACACCAGACATGACGGCGGAGACCAGGTGGTTAAGATCACCATATGAGGGGTTGGACAGCTTCAATGTACGCATGCAGATGTCGTACAGGGCCTGGTTGTCGATACAGAAGGTCTCATCTGAGTTCTCGACGAGCTGGTGGACGGATAGAGTGGCGTTGTATGGCTCGACGACGGTGTCGGAAACCTTTGGTGATGGTACGACAGAAAATGTGGCCATCATGCGGTCTGGGAACTCCTCACGGATCTTGGAGATGAGCAGTGTGCCCATACCAGCACCAGTACCACCACCAAGAGAGTGGGTGATCTGGAAGCCCTGAAGGCAGTCGCAGCCCTCAGCCTCACGACGGACAACGTCGAGGACCTGGTCGACGAGCTCGGCGCCCTCAGTGTAGTGACCCTTGGCCCAGTTATTGCCTGTTTTGTGTTATTTCTGTCATCGTTGTGGAGGGGTGTAATTCTTACCAGCACCGCTCTGGCCGAAGACGAAGTTGTCGGGACGGAAGAGCTGACCGAATGGACCGGCGCGGACGGCGTCCATGGTACCGGGCTCGAGATCGACGAGGACGGCGCGAGGGACATATTTGTTGCCGGCAGCCTGATGTTGTGGTCAGCGAAGACATCTGGTGGGGTGAATAGTTGACCTACCTCGTTGAAGTAGACGTTCATACGCTCGAGCTGAAGGTCGGACGTACCATTGTAGCTGTCTCGAGTCAGTAATATGTCGTCTACATGGTCGAATCGAGTATCAACTTACTTGCCGGAGCCATCGAGGCCGTGCTCGCCAGAGATAATTTGCCTGCGCTCGGTTAGGCGACGATGAGGTTGACCATGCTGTGCTTTGACTTACCAGAAGGCAGCACCAATCTGGTTACCGCACTGGCCGGTCTGAAGGTGAACCTGTATCGCGATGCTGGTCAGTATCATCACTCCTCAATCATGGTGGGGCAGGGGTTCGGGGCGCGAACGCGCCTGCGTGTATTCGAGGTTATGATCGTCGAGAACATGAACTTCGAGGATGTGAACCTACAATCTCGCGCATTTTGTGTGGTGGATACAGGATTCGTCAGTTAGAGAAGATGTTCGTCAAAGACAAGAACTGCGTGAGTGCTGAGAAGGTGGACAGTGGTGGTAGTTGGGTTGCAGGGGGAAGTCACGGCGGTGAGGATTGTTTATCGCGCTAAGTTCAGTGGGACTCCACTCGACACGCAGGATTTAAGAGACTATTTCCGAAGATGGGATTCAATGTTGACATCGACGTTCACTTTTCCCGGCGCGTCACATACACTTGATATTGTACATTATTTCTAGTGCCTCATTCGACGAGTATTCCGACCTCTGCTGCAGGTAGTGCTGCAAATAGCAGCATGTGGCGTCGGCCAATTCCGTGGCAAGACTTTGCCAGCTGCGCTGTTCAGTTGTCTTAGGGACAGGGTCGCTCTTGAATGTGACATAGTCTGTATCATTAACACTTCTGATCAGTTGCTCGAATGCGAGGATGTCGGTGTTTCAGCATCTACCACGCAGATACAAGTAAGACGGGCGTCCTGTTGTTGATCGGCCGCGTTTAGATTGATGGATTATGGTCTGGGATGTCTGCACCAGGAGGTTAATCTTTCAAGTGATCTACTGAACCGAGCCTTGCACGATTGACTCACTCGGTTGCCCACGGTGACGATGCCGTGGCTGTTGACTCAAATGCCAGTGATATGCGGATGATCGCAGGTGGAGGTTCAGGCAAACAGTTGACTATCTGCAAATCCAAAAACGTCCACTAATATTTCCTTTACCACTTCCCAAGTCTGCAAGCTAATTCACAGAGCACCAACTCGTGACACCATCGCACTCTCGTCATCAGCCAACTGGCGACCATGTCCGAGCAGGGAACTCAACGCCCAAGCGGGCAAGGCACCATCACAAACCTAGCCAGATGGCATTGGACCCAGTACACCAGCGCACTAGAGTCCCTCGTGCACGGCAACACGAAGCCCGGCATCGATCTTCTCCTCGAGCTGGTCGTCGATCCGCAGCTCCCTTGGGCACTCCGAGCTCTCGTCAATCTGTCGCTCGCACGAGAGACTGATGTTCGCCGATACCCTATCAGTGTCAAGCGTGCCTGGATCTCGAGGGCCGAAGCGGTGATCGATATAGTCAAGCGTGACGGCAAGCAGGCTACCATCGACCATGTCGAAAGCCAGAGACAAGCAACCATCAACATCGTGGATGAGCAAGAGCGAGAAGGCGTTCCAGCTAGGAGCAAGATGAGAATACGAGCACCAGCAGCCATGGGCTGATTGTGTTTGGAGAAGACGGTGAAGCGTCCGTGGTGCCAATGACTTTGCAGGATGCGGATGACCAACCAGATCCACCAGAGAAGGCTGAGCAGATAAGTCGCGACGAGGACGAAGGAGAAGAAAACAGCGAGGGGAAACCATGAAGCGAAGAAACTCTACACAGATGCTGTAGAGCAGCGGATCGTCAACTTTCTTCAGTCGAAATTGCCTATGAGTCCACCATCGAAGAGCTCCGGCTTCCAGCCGCCGACGCCTCCAGCAATATGAGGATCCGCTGTCCTGCTGACGTTGGCACTCGCAGAAGTGCACAAGGTCCTGGAGCAGAGGAGCCCAGCCACTATACCAGTTCGACTGTCGATCTTAGACGAGAAACGTCAAATGATATGAAGTCTCAAGGGGAGGTTCGATGAGTCAATTCCATCTCTTCGACGCTAGGCACGTCTACACCCGTTCGATCATTATTCTTGAGACTGCCCCTGTGAGCGCGCTATGACAGTAAGCCCCTTGAACGCCATCGGCCCCCTCATGAACGCCACCAATGCAGCAAAGCACTTTTCAGCCTGATCATACCTCATTCGAAGGATACTCAATAGTCCCAGCAGGCAAGAAATCCTCCTTGATCGCCCTAGGCGTAACAAACCGCTGCAAAAGCAACACACTGCCCGCCTTGTCATCCGTGCCAGACGCTCGAGCACCACCGAACGGCTGTTGGCCAACAACAGCACCTAGGACTTCGTTAGCATCCTCTCATAATCCATCAATTAGATCGAACTCACCTGTACACTTCCCATTAACATAGAAATTCCCCGCCGCGTTCCGCAACGCCTCCTCCGCATACCTCAACACCGCCCTATCCCTCGCAAACACAGCACCCGTAAGCCCATACTCACTTGTCCCATCAATCGTCCTGCAAATCTTCTCAAACGCATCCACCGGCGCATCATCATACACATGCGCCGTCAGTATCGGCCCAAAGAACTCAGTGTGCAGATTCTTGTGTCCTGGATCCTTGGTCTCGTACACTGTAGGGTGGATGAAGTACCCTTCGAGTCATCGTACTTTCCACCTACCACGAGCTCGAGATCCTTGTCGTCCTTTGCGGCATCGATCACACCCTTAAGCTTGTTGAAGCTGTTTTCGTGGATGACAGGGCCGATGAAGTTTCCAAACTCCTCTGGCGGGCCAACCTTGAGCGCTCCGACCTTCTTCACGAGCTTCTCCTTGAACTCTGGCCATAACGACTTGGGAACGTACGCCCTCGAACATGCCGAGCACTTCTGCCCTTGATACTCAAACGCCCCCCTGACCGTCTGATTGACCGCGTTCTCCAGATCCGCACTCTTGTGAATCAGGTGGAAATTCTTCCCACCCGTTTCGCCCACTATCCTTGGATAGCCCCTGTATTTCCCCTCCGCCACTCCGTTCGCGATCTGCCCGTACAACTTCCTGAAGACCGCCGTTGAGCCCGTATAGTGCAAGCTCGCAAATTCCTTGTGCCCCAATACCGCATTTGTAACCTCGACCGCATCTCCCGGGACGAATTGTATGACTCCCGCCGGTAAGCCGGCCTCGAGCAGGATCTGATACACCAAGTAATTACTCGCAATAGCATAATCACTCGGCTTCCACACAACCACATTCCCCATCAACGCCGGCGCCGCCGGCAAATTCCCGCCTATTGCCGTGAAATTGAACGGCGACACCGCATACACAAACCCCTCCAGCGGCCTATACTCCAGCCGATTCCAAACGCCAGCAGAGTTATACGGCGGCTGTCCCTGGTACAGCTCCTCCGCATACCGCACATTGAATCTCAGAAAATCGCACAGCTCAGCGGCGGCATCGATCTCCGCCTGCCATGCGTTCTTGCCCTGCCCGAGCATGGTGGCGGCCATGATCTCGTAGCGGTATTTGGTGGAGATGAGGTCGGCGGCTTTGAGGAAGACGGCAGCGCGGTCGGCGAAGGGGAGGGATTCCCATGCTGGCTTGGCCGCTAGTGCTTGCGTGATGGCATCGTTGACTTCAGCTGTTGAAGCAGACGAGTAGTTGGCCACCGCCGTTGCGTGCGATGATGGGTTCTGCTGAGTCTTGATGCTCGATGTTTTCACCTCTTTGCCGGAGATCACGACTGGGATGGTGAGGGGGCCTTTCTTCTGGAAGGACTCGAGAGCAGCGGACAGGCCTGCTCTTGAGGCGGAATCCTTCTCGTAATGCTGGTTGGGCTCATTCTTGATGTCGGGGATTTTGAAGGAGGCGAGGGTCGACATCGTTGGCCTCGAGCTGTGGAAAGCTCGGATCGGTTGTAGTGATGCTGTTGTAGAGGTGTATGTGTTGACGGCTGTTCGCGTGGTGGTTCTGCAGGCTGTGCCAAACATTGTATGCCACTTCGCGGGCTGTCTGGTGAGTATGTGCTCGGGATAGGTGGCGTAGTGATGGTTCTTGTTCTCGATCAATCCTCGGATCTGGATTCTGCGCCTTCAAATATCCTCGAGCTCGCCGTTGTCGCAGCAAAAAGTCTGTTGTGCAACGCCCAGCGTCAACACCATCGAAACAACGCAGGTACAAACCAGCTGCGGCTGCACTCGCTTAAGAGCGGCATGCCCCTCGTTGATGTTGGAGAAATTTCGTGGGACAGAATGAAGTGCAGAGGGGTTGTCGGCGGCAGCGCCAGGCAGGCTCGGCAGGATATGGAGCCCATACGGAAGTGCTACCGTAGCTTGAATTCTCATACAATTCCCATGGCGTTATCTATGTGCATCATATGACTAGGATTTCCGAGCGCTCAGGGACGGAAGCAAAGACCCATCACATCGTTGCGCTCGAAACTCGAACAGGCGCTATCAGCCGTGGCCCGGGTCGGCATCCGAACCCTTGCAACGCCCTGTCCCTGACAACTCCCTTCAGCCAAAACTCGTGTTAGGCAAACCATCAGTCAAGATGATTGGCATTAGACCCCCTGCAACAACCTGTAGCTCTCAGCCTTGCCGTCCTACCTTACTTACACTGCCTCTGAATCCAATTCCTAATCGCACCCTCCTGCGTCTTCTCCTGCCCAGCAACATCTTTATTCACAACCGCCTCAGGCTTCGGCGTGAGCGGCTCATCATGACTCTCGCCAAATCCCACAATCAACCTGAACTTCTGCTTGCCCAACGCATCCTCAAACTTGCCAGCCCAGCTTATGATGGCATCCCTCAAAGCCTCGTCATTACCCGCAGTCGCGAGGATATCGGTCTCGACGACATCGGAAACGCCGTTCCACCAGGTGGCGGGAGCGATCTCGGGCACAATGTATTCGTCGTCGGGCTTGCCGGCCTTCCAGATTGAAGACCAGTAGTCTGCAATGTTTGAGTCGATGACATCGGTCTGGCTTAGTTCGACCATGGAGGGGAACTTTTTGTAGTCGCTGCTGACCCAAGGAGCCATTAGGAAGACGCCCTTGAATTTCTTCCCGTTGAGGTCGAGTGGTTTGACGATGTTGCTGTTCGGGTGTGGGTGGCCGCTAACGTGGCTAAGGACGGCGAGCTAGGATGATTGTTAGTCATGATCTGATATTGTCGACAAGCCGAACGACGTCTCAAGATCCGAGCAACGGCGGTGAGCCACGTCGGAAGGGCGAGTGAAGAACTCACAGCAAGCTGCCCACCAGCACTATCACCCGCAATCAACACGTCCTTGTCTCGGCCAGCACCCTCCAAGACGAACCTGGTCGCCTCGACCACCTCGCCCAGCGCCTGGGGATACACGCCCTGCGATGTAGTCGTATATGCCGGCAGGAAGACAGCCAAATCTCCCTGACCCCATTCCACCAGCCGATCCAGGAATGGCGGATGCTGAGGCATGGCCGGCATAGCGAAACCTCCACCATGATAGTACACCAACAAGACCTTTGCCTTCTCCTTGTCACCAAACCACACCCCAGTGATTCCTGAGCCTGGAATGACCTCGACATCAACCTTCCTCTTTAACGACTTCTGATGCTTCTTGTACGTCTCGACGGTATTACCGAACAGCCAGCTGTTTTGGGTCACATGTCAGCCACTTAATCTCGCTCTCAAGCTTCCTCCAACACTTCTTGCATGACGAGAACAACACATCAGATGCAATGCGACAGGTAAAGTACTCACTAAAGCTGTCCAGCGCTCAACGTGTTAAAAACCACCCGAAACAGCTTTTGCTGCACGGCAACAGCATATGCCTTCTGCCTCGACCGGCCCATGCGCAGTGGCGCAAAGAACGCGATCAACACGCCGCGGCCCAGGATATAACCAAAGGCGGGGAGGATAGTGAGTGCTTCCCATAGTGTCATGCCCATGTTGCCGGTGTTTTGGAGTCGTCTTGGGGAAGTAATAGGTGTGGCGGCGTCGTGCTTGACCGAAAAGCAGGGTGTTGAACGAGCAGTGCGATAAGTCAGCGGCGGTACATTAGCTTATATGCGATAATCATGAGCTTCAGCAAAGGGGAACATTTCTCAGCATCCCGGCTTTCACATGGCAGGGAAGGTAGTTGCGGGGGTCGGAAGTTTAGGTCCCACCGCGTTCAAGTGCGAGGGGAGGCCCCGAAGCTTGAGTATGGCGGAATCGAGGCCAGTGCGGCCAGAAGAGCCCGTAGCGGACACTGTAACGCCGCTACGGGCTCCAGACGACACGAGCTGCTGGCGATATTGCCCTCGTTTCCAAGGCTGACTGAACAGGGATCCGTCGTAGCTTTGCGAGAGACTGCGAAGTTAGGCACTCTGATCACTATCAGTTCCGAAAGGCTTCGTGAAACGCTATCTCAAGCAGTAGCCTGTTCGGAAGAGGTGGTTTTTGACATGACTGGTGTCTGTTGGAGCCGCCGTGCATGGGCTACTGTACCAGCAAGGTCCAGGTGCCTGATGTGGTGGTCCAGATACCTTGGTATGGGGTTGCGAGCAATGGTCTGGGGATACCCCAATGCCGGCAGAAAGTTTTTGGGCCGAGGTATACGGAAGATACCATGCAATGCTGACTCGCAGATTAGTCTACTGAGTTCGTGTTATCTATGCGCGGAATGTGCACCGCTCGCGGAGGGTGACACTGTGAGACGATGCGGAGGAAGGTACGAGGCTCGCAAGGGAACCTTGGAAGGAGCAATAGTGTTCGAGGCGGCCTGCGTACGGTGCTGAACGAGCCTTGCTGAGAGGAAGTTGCATCTTAGGTCATCATCGAGGTGAAAAGTATCCGGTCGCGGTGGCTCCAAGCATTGCTGTACTACCAGGCAAGCGTCGTGATTTAAGAGTAATCTTCGTACAAGAAGGCACGTCGTGACCGCTTACGTACTGTGCTGCGACACTCCCTGCTAGGCCAACAAATGGCTGTCTGAAGCGCACTTTACGATATACTCCTGATCGAACGCTGACCACCCATGGATAACGCTCAACCTCATCCTCATTCTTGTATCCACAAATCGTATACCATCATACAAATGCTAACAACGCACCTGCTCCGGCCTAATCGTGTCTCAGGAGCGCTTTATTTCGTCATACCGCGGTCGCGTTTCCCAGCATAAGAACAAGTTGGCCTACACCAACAACGATGACCACTGCGACTTGTATCGCAAAGATACCCCAATGAATGGGGCCAATCTTCTGTCGTCGCATGCATATCAATACCACACTAATTCCCACACAAGCCCACGCCGCCACAATACCTGTCACCACACCGGCATCGACTTCGAGACGCTTCTTCTTCCTGCCTGTCCCGAGCAGGATACCTGCCACGAGTAGGAAGATATATGCCAGGACGAGCAACGCGATATAAGACTGCTGCAGTGTCGCTTCGCGCGCCTTCTGTCGCTTACTCAGGCGCCGACCCGGAGCGTACGGCGGCCTTGAGATGGTACTTCTCCTGTTGCGCTTGGATGGCGTTGGTGTGAAGTCATCCGTGTCGGAGCCCGAAGACTCGAGATTTGCATCGCTGCTTCCTTTTCTACTGGCTTTGCTGAACAAAAGGGGACGGCGTTCGCCGTCTGATGTGGTCTTCGCTTCGTGCATGCGCACCGGCATCCACGATGTGAGCCGTTTGCCTCCCTTACTAATGGAGTCATACATGCCGCTGAAGACTTTCTGAACAGTTTCTGCGCCCGGAAAGACAGGTTCGTTGGGATCAATGTAGATAGCATACCGCTCCTCCGGATGCGTATCTGAGTCGCCATCGTCAAATTCATTCCAATACCTTGTGGGCGCTGGCTGCTGCGGTGGTGTTGAGAATCTGGTAGTTTTTCTTTTTGACTTTCGGGAGTCCTTAGCTGAGGGAGAGGTCGCGTCATCGTTTGCACCAGTTCTTGTCGGGCTTCGGTTACTCTCGACTTCAGTTGCCGAAGATTGGCCACCTTGTCCGGCAGAGAAGATACTATCGCCGGTTGAGGAGGGTCCTGACGATGATGGCACCTGAAGTTGTGAGTCTTTGCGACGTGTGGAAGTAGCAGACTTCCTTTGCACAAGAGCAGGAACACGACGGATGTCGTTGACCAGGAGTTCACGCCACTGAGGCTGAGGCAAATCCTTGTTGATGCTGACGACTGCAGCTTGCTCCAGCGAGAATGAGTGCACCCTTTCCGCCAGATGAGAAGCCTCGAGCACACGCACGATCTCAGGCAGGCGAGTGAACTCCCATCTCAAATGCAGTACTGCATGTGGAAACGTTTCCATGCTACTGATAGCACCGATCTGGCCGTAAGATATCGTTGCGGGATCTGCAAATGTTATACTAGTGTCTAACGCAGCCCAGGTGCCGACATCCTTGGTGTTGTTGGGACCCGAGAAACGTGCACGATCCGAAACGGCGACTGCAAGTGGCTTTACGTCTCGGTTTTCGGAAAGATAGTCTCGTATCTTGTCAGCCTCGCTCTTCGGAACCGGTGATGCATGACCGTTGGCTTTTGATGAGTGCATCAAGCCATCGAGACGCTTCCGCTTCACAGACAATGTCGACGTCTGCTCCGAGTTGTGGGTCAAGTTGTTCAATGTCACAACAGCCTCTGTATTTTCATCCCAACGACTGACCAGTGCAGCTCGTGATGGCTTGACTGAGGAGCTATCACGAACGAACCTCTGCGCATTGTCAAAGATGGCCTGATAGGCCGCAGCTGTCGTTGAGCAGCTGACTTTGCTTAGATCAGTACTTGATTGCGCTGGTGACTGGCGTGATGTTGAAGATCGGGGCTGCAAACGCATATGCCTCAGTAGAAGAGTCTCGGCCTGCTCCAAATTTTCGGGATGAATCCAGAAATAGGCGCTGCCACCACTTTCGCCATATGGCACTTGATCGAGGGCTGTGTCGAACTGCAATGATCCCTTCAAGCACATATCATTGATAGTTTTCGCATTGGACTGGCTCAGAGTCCTCCCAGTCCTTCGCTTCGTGCGCTGCACTTCGTTACCCGTCAGCATGGGCGCCTGTAGCTTGGTCGATATGGTAGCGGTCAAGCTAGCCAGCCTGTTCAGGTACTCGGCATAGTCCACCTGAAGCGCCCCGGACGAGAAGACTTCGATATCCAGCCGGGTCTGTAATTCTGTTGAACCTGTCCATTTGCGATATTTCTTGAGGATCTTCCGAAAGGCTGTCTTCTGCACCGCAGTGAAGCGGGAGAGTAGTTCGATCTCATCGCCGATCCCGTCCGCATCCTTGACTAGCCTCTGATATTTCCTGGCTTGTGTCACAGGTCGATCGATATCAGCACTGATAGCTCGACTTGCGGCGTTGACCTGCTTCTCTAGGTATGCGAGGCGTCGGTCGATCTCTCCCTGTTTGCTTCTGAGGAACAACGAAACATCTTCGTACTCGCGCTTGATGACGGAGAGTAGCTCGGTCTCGAGATCGTGCCATCTGCTGGTGGAAGCTGAAGGGATAGATACAGGTAGTGCGGCTCCGACAGACGTGCGCTGCTTTATCAAGTGCTTTAATTCGTTGTATTTTACATTGTATGGTGCGTATTTGGGCACGGACCTCTCGAAGAGGGTGTCGCCAAACTTCATCGAGGTCTATTGAGCGGTCGAGGACTGACGGATTCGGCGCTCGAGCGTATGCATAGACGACGGGCTCGGAATTCGCGGAACAAAGAGTCAAATAGCATACAGGCTGTCCCGTTCAGCAGACTGTAGGCCTGTGCCTTGGGACGTTCAGCGACTTCGATAAGTGATAGGGCGTCGCAGCTGATCGAGTTCGATGTTGAGAGTTGAGAGTTCAACGTTAACTGCCCGTGGCTTAGGGAATGGAATGTTTAAACTTCCTAGTTAAAACAAGCTGCAGGAGCGATGACCGACTCGAACAGTTTAACGGTCGGACAAGTTGTCGATGTGCCTGACACATGTGCACGAAGGATTACACAGGTACAGCGTTACGAAAATTTCTGGCTTTTGATCAAAGTGAGACTGCATTATCAGCCGTTCGCTTGATTCATGAGGGGCGACAGCCATGCATGTCCAGCATGATGGCGCCTCCCTCAACGACACTCCACCCTGAATGACGCGCCTACTGGGATCTTTCCTGCTTCAAAACCTTCAAGCATCGATCCCACTACAGTATTCAACCATTCAAAGCTCGGTCAATACTGCGCTAGCAGACTCCATGTGCTGGCTAGACAATCTGCGACGCTATATATGCAGTCAATTGTCCGCGGCCAGAGATTTGCAGTCTCAAGGGACGCAAGAACATGGACATTCAGCTTTGAAGAATCGATCTTGTGAAACCCGTTTGAACAGCCCGGTCCAACCACCCTGTCCGAAGCCAATTCGGCACTTGGTTAAGCGAGGAGTGCTTGGCTTCCCAGCTCAGGAACCACCAGCGACAGGATGTCGCGTGGCACGGGGAGGCATCTTGCCTTGCTCATGTTCTGTGGACAGGTGCGGGTCTAGGACCTTCGTACAGCGTCTGTTGACGGCTCAGGCTTGACACCAGTCTGGTGAATGTCATGGCTCGCTTCACTGCAACCACTCATCTGTTCCTTCTAAAAAATTTGCCAGTGCTTTGAACAGGTAATCCCACGGCAAAGTGCTCCGGTGCGAGCATATCCTTTCCGATTGCTGCCCGCAAATACGAGGCGCTCCCCAGAGATTCATACAGTATATGCAGCTGAATGGGTAGCCCTATAAGGTAAGCTCCGAGGCCTTGCTGCTGGCTCGAGAAAACTCGAGTAGATCATCTGGTCAATGACCAGACCGACGCTGCCAGAAGTTGCGTCGTCGGGTCAGATTCCGAGGATGATGGCGGCTGATACGTTTACGCAGAATAATCAAGTCACATTCTGCTTATCCATCGTCTGCAGTAGTAGCGATATCAGTGGAGACGTGAAGATTCTGTTATGCCAGTGCTCTTGAAGCGTTCACATCCACATGTCGCGCAAGGCCGATCACTTCGACCGCAGCTCGAAAGAACGCCTGTGTCGCGTGCTCCAATCTTATACAAAGACTCCGAGGAGGTCTATCAGTCATGGCGAGTCATGAACCATGCGTACTTAGCGAGGTATGCCAGACGCTTGACCCACCAATCTGCAATCACTGCGGCGAGCACGGGCGTTTTTAAGGATCATGATTGCGTCGTGTGTCCTTGTGCTCCATGGAAAACTGCAAGACATCAAATTGAATAAGAAGCACCGCTCAAAAGCTCCGAGGAGCAGTCTTAGCTGCAATTACGAGCATGGGTAGCAGTTTTTAGCGGTCCTTTAGGTGCGAGTCCGTGCGACTTGGGAAGTTCTCCGATTGCGTGTGGGTTCGGTCTCCAAAAAATTTCTCAAAGGTTGAGCCTCATGTCACCACGCTGCTGGACCGACACGTTGCAGACGAAGCGCGATTCGAGCCCGACGCTATGCACGTTCGCTGACACACGATCGTTTGACATTGGGAGCAAAGATGGCGAGTGCTGCATTGATCGACACCATTCAACGGGCACCACATACCTTCCTGCAACCCTCACCAGACACGCCAGCGAATGCGATATCATTCACAAAATCCATTCTCGATACCTTGGCCGAAGACGTAGTGCGGACCCAGGCACAGCGGAGAGATGAGAACAGGCGGAAACGAAAGCGTGGCGCCGATGAGCCCGTGGGCGAAGTCCTGCAGCTGCGATCACTATACACCAATAACTTGGCCGTAAAGCAGGTATGGGAGCAGGCACGCCGCATCTTGGATGCTGCATGCTCAGAAGTCGAGGCGTATCTCCCGGAGCAGCCGCAAGAGCATGCAGGTCCTGACAGCGCCGATGAAGACGCCTCTGATATCTACGAAAATGCTGAGGTGCTGGGCGAGGAGGACGCCATCGAGAGTGGCGCCGACATAACAGATGACGAAGAGATGGGCTCAGACATCGATGACGAGGAGATTGGCCTTGAGAATGGCATCGAAGAAGAAGAGGACATCGAGATGTCAGATGCCGAAGAAGATGCGCTCAACGGAGACCTCTCCGATGACGTGAATGAGCAATCAGAAGTCTACGCCCCAGACAAGCACGGTCTGAACGACGGCTTCTTCTCGATAGATGACTTTAATCGGCAGTCTCAATTTCTGGAGCAGATGGACGCACGAGGCGAAGACGACAACCCCAGTGACGAGGACGATGTTGATTGGGATGCCGACCCACTGCTTCAGCAGCCTACAGCTATGGGGCCGCATAAAAGAAAGGACGACGACGAGTCAGATCCAGAAAGTGATGATGGCGACGAAGAAGACGGCCCTACCTTTGGTAACGCCGATCTTAATGCTCCCGACACAGACGAAGAGGAGGACGAAGACATCGACGAAGCAGACCTCGACAACGCCATGCCGGGACTAACAAACACCAACGAAATCAACTACGCCGATTTCTTCGAGCCACCACCCAAAAAGCTGTCCAAAACAAAGAGAATGCGAGCCTTGCCAAAGACCCAGCCCCAAGACAATCCATCCAGACCACAAGCCGGCGACGACGACATCGAAGCAGAAATGCAGCGCGCCATGGCAGACGTGAACCGCGATATCTTCGCCAGCGAGTCCGAAAACGAGTCCGCCAACGACTCGGACGCCGCATCAGACACCAACACCCGCAACATGTCCACCCACGAAAAGCAACGCGCCAAAATCGCTTCCGAGATCCGCCACCTGGAAGCTGCCTCCGTCGCAAAACGCGACTGGGCCCTATCCGGCGAAGCCAGCTCCGCCTCCCGGCCCCTCAACTCCCTGATCGAGGAAGACCTCGTCTTCGAGCGCGTTGGCAAACCCGTCCCCGTCGTCACTGCCGAAACCTCCGAAGAGATTGAGACCCTCATCAAGCGCCGCATCCTAGCCCGCGAATTCGACGAAGTCGTCCGTCGACACCCTGACTCCATTGGCGGTGCCTCCGAGACCAGGCGAGGAAGGATCGAGTTGGACGATAGTAAAGCCCAGACCGGTCTCGCGGACGTCTACGCGCAAGAGCACTTGAAGGCGACGGATCCCAACTACGTCGACACGCGCAGCAAGCAGACTAAGAAAGCACACGCGGAGATCGAGAAGCTGTGGAGGGAAGTCTCCAACCAGCTCGACCTGCTGAGTAACCTGCACTTCAAGCCCAAGCGGGCAGAAGCGGAGGTCACAGTGATCGAAGACAAGCCACGAATAGCAATGGAGGACGCCCGACCGGATGGCGGTGAGGGAACGTTGGGCGAGGAGACGACGTTGGCGCCGCAGGAGGTGTACAAGGCCGGCGACAGAAAGGTCAAGGGAGAAGTCATGCGAGCGGGTGGTGCGGCAGTGAGTAAAGAGGAGATGAGTAGGGAGGAGAGGCGGCGGAAGAGGAGAAGGGAGAAGGAGAGGGGAAGGAAAGGGAGGATTGGGCAGGGGGTCGAGCCTGTCAAGAAGGTGGTGGACGAGGAGGCAAGGGGCGGGAAAGCGAAGAAGCTGGGCAAGAAGAAGAAAGAGGAGAAGCAGGGGATTCTAGAAGACTTGAAGAGGGGCAACGTGCAGGTGGTTGGTAAGAAAGGGGAGTTGCAGGATTTGAGTGGGAAGAAAGGCCGAAGCGAGGTCACGTCTTCCGCTCTGAAGCTGTGAGGGTTGAGAGCTATGTACTGATTCTGCTGTCGACGAATTGGCAGCATATGAATCGTCTGAGACCGATTTTGGGGCTGCTGCTGCTGCTCATTTGTGTCTGTGTTTCTGTGTCGAGGTCCATTGGGCTGGTATCCTGATCTGTCGAGGCGTCGCGCCCGTGTCTGCCCTCGTTTGCAGCCTTGTCAACGTCAGCTGTGTCCTCCTCCGCGTCAGTCATCTCCTGGTCTTCCTCATCTGATTGATGCCCGTTGCCTGTAGCATCCCCGGTCGCAGAGTCTGGCTGCAGCAAGATAACGCTCCCGTCGATGTTTGCCACTGCCTGCGTATGGTGTGCAGAGATACTCAAGACTGCCCAAGGCGGCTCCCTTTTCTCAACCTCAGCACCTTTTCGTGCCCTGGATGCCCTAACCAGGCCAAGTAACAAACTAGTGACCCAGCTACTGGAGAACAGTCCCTCCCATTGCAATATCACGACGGCTTGTGTCACAGTATCTGCGCTGTCCTTGTCAGGGACTTCGTAGTGCGCCACAAAATCGTCAACCCTGTCGCCCCCTCTCACTCGTCCACTGCCGAGGGCGACCAGGTCAGACCACTCCACCAGCGACCACAGCGTATCCTCGTCCTTCCACGGCTGACGACTTCCAGCCAACAGCCCCCTCGGCACCTTCACCCCATCCATGACCCTCCTCCGCACATCACCCTCAGCCCAAACAGCTCCTATCCTTCCCAACGCTTCCCTTGCTTGCTGCTCTTGCCTCTCATCTCCCCCCTCCACACAGACCCAACACTCTACCCGCTCAGTCCACACTTCCGCCGCCGCCTTTCTCCACCTGCCCAGTAATTTACTGCTACCACTCTTCCCAGTCAGTCCCCTCAAGTCGATCTCAACCCGCCGCATCTCCCCCCCCTTCCCGTGTTTCCGCGCGCCAGACTTAACAATTGTGCCATTCGGGATGCCTGCGCGGGCATAGAGATCGAGAGGGAGTGTGAGGCTGAGAATGCCGTTGTGGAGCGAAAGGCTTGTGGCAGTCCCAGGCGGGTTTGTGGTCAGCAGGTTTATGTTCAGACCGGGCGTCTGGACTAGAGGGAGCAGCGTGGTTGGGTGCGTGGAGGAGGACCCGACGAGGTCGTTGAGGGTCAGGTAGCATTTTCCGGTCAGGAGAGGTGTGGGTAGTGAGTGCTGGGAGGAAGCTGAAGATGGTAGGCTTGTGGTGGCGCTTGTGGTGGCTGTGGTGCGAGATAGAGGAAATGTGGCAGCTAGCGAAGGTGGTAGGAGGAGCGTGGCGCTGGCTATGTATTGATTTGCGTGGATTTGCCGGAATGGCGGTCGTGAAGCGGATGGCGGGTTGTCGGGCGAGACGTGATCTGGTAGGTCTCCGATCGTGAAATACAGTTTTGGTGAGGGTGAAGTTGCTGATGAGGATGAAAGGTTCGAAAAGAAATTTGATGGCGCCATGTCGGTTTTCGTCAGATCATGAGGTGGGTTCAAAGGGCAACTGCGATCAGTACTATTGCGACGCTGGTCTTGGTCGTCATTGACTTGGCATGGGAAATCTAGCCTCTGGTGATGTAGAATGATATGCTTGTGGCTGCATATCTTTTGACAATACCAATCGAATCGCTTGTATTATCTCAAGTTATGCGTCAAGATCGCCAGCCGCAAAGTCTGGCGCCGATCTATGTAGCATGCTCTGATGCACTTCAGATATAGCGAAAAGTTTGCACTGTAGGAGTCGCTGTCGACGTGGTTGCCTCTTTTGTAAACCTTGTTGGCCAATCAGACGCAGGACGTTGCCTTTGGCATCAGCTCGAGCCGGATGACAAGACTTTCGATCGAGACCGGATGACCAACCGCTATGTCCTAGACCGGATGACCACAGGCTCTAGTTGGAACCGGACGACCATGTACTGCACCTAAACAGTGCTTTTCCTCCCTAATCTCGACTGACTTGACCAACACAAGAGCAACACATACTTGTAGAGTAACTCCGAATATCTGGGGATGTCGTCCAATTGGCATCTACGGACTTGCTGCAATTTATCGCTGTGTGCAGCGTGGTTCGGGCCTCAGCATGTATATTTCCCTGGTAGAAGGGCTGCCCTTTTTTTGAACACAATACGTTTCATTAGTACAGGCTACCTGCTTGTCGCCATCAGCAGCAGTAGAGATCCGCGCAATCGTGCTCTCGCCTCATGTTCATGGACATCGGCTGTTCAACACTATATACATTTACATATTCTTCTTCTTCAGCGGCCTTACGTTGCTACGATCACGCAAGTAGTGCCATGAACTTGTTGATATCTCCTCGACTCAGACTCATCTCGTTGACCGCCTTCAACACCTCCTCGCTTCTCTTCGCGCCATACACAGGCTCCATACACCCACGGAACTTCTTCTCCACATCCTCCCGCTTGAAAGGGTGCTCGGGCTCGCCCAGAGGATAACTGTTTACCATCTCTTCCCTACCACCATCGCTATACTCAATGATCACCCGACTACCCATGCCATTCAGCGCTGGATCGTTGTCGTCCACGACGCAGGAAATCTTATCAGAGAGTGCATAGATATCCTTGTCGTCGAGTCTCTCGTAGGCTTTCACGCCTTGCTGGCTGCCGTAGAGATAGCTGTGCGCGACCTGGAAGTACGCAGAGAACTGTCCGTCGACTTCGGCTTCTGGGTGGACTTTGTTTGGCGTGCGGTCACCGACCAGGCTCATGTTGGGACCACGTAGTCGGACTTCAATGCTCTTCACTTCCTTTACCAGGTCCGACGCGCTGCTTACGCCCTTCGCTCGTCGCTTCTCAGCAGCAGCTTCGGCCATCTCGATGCTGCCATGAGTCATACGGCAGGCAGGAAATGGTTTCAGCGATGTGTCAACGAATACCCACTTCTCTCCCAGGCCATCGACAAGGCGATTCAGATCCTTCTCTTCGTTCGGCGAGTAAGCATTCAAGAACCCCATTTTGCCCTCGAAGATCTTGGTCGCTCCAATAACGCCTTGCTCAGCCAGCGCAACACATACAAATGCATCATGGCACGCGAAGCCAGGATGCAACCTCTTGTTGTGGCTACCATTGTCGAGATACTGCATGCTACCCGCTGCTCGCGACCCAGCCAGGCCGAAAGCCATTTCGATGATGTTGGCGTCAAGCTTCTTAAGGACTGCGATTGCCGCAACGGCTCCGAAAACACCTGCTGTAGACGTATTGTGGAATCCACGTGCGTAGGCTGAGTAGCCGAGCTCTGTGCCAAGTCGACAGGTGAGCTCGTAGCCGACGCTGATGGCGAGGAGGATCAGGTCGATGTCTTTGATGTCGGCTGCTTCGGCTTGGGCAAAGGCCGCCCAAATAGCTGTTACGCCTGGATGCAGCGTCGATGAAGCGTGGGTATCGTCGAAGTCAAGGGAATGGCCGAATGTAGCGTTAAGTAAGGCTGCTATGTGCGCGGGGTAAGTGCTGCCCTTGGTGAGTACAGTGTTGTGGCCACTGTTTGGTGGCGTCAATGACGCGAATCCGGCAACGATTGCTGGGGTTGATGCGGAAGAGTGCGCTGCTGTGGCTGTGATGCCGACCATGTCGAGGATGAGATCGGATAGTTTGGATCGCATTGCCTCGGTAAGTGATGAGGGTTTCACCGTCGATACAAATGCTGAGATGAGAGTTGTGACTGGTAGAGAGTCAACGAGACCAGGCTTTGTGGCATGGTTGCCGTTGGTGGCGTGACCATTAGTGGTACCGTTCGCCGTCATGTTGCGTTGCCAGTCCTGTATTTCCAGAGTCCTCAAGCTCGATCGATCACTGATAAATTGTGATTCAGAGTGTGTTCCTACTACACAGGTTGATCGGTCATTGACGCAGGGGATCTGCGAGTTGTACCAGCGTCAGCACTGCACGAAGTGCTTGAGCAATTAGAGATAGGACCGTGGACCGCTCTCTGTTGCCTGAACGACTTCAACGAGGCTGGCAGGTGGTGCAGTGTTGAGTGTGCTTGGAGTAAAGACTGTGGTAGTGGTCTACCAAATAGCCATTGTACTTTCCCCAATATTGGGGGAGGGGGGTCGAGTGCGGGGAAGAGCGACCCAGTAGCCCGAGGGTGTGCTTGCCGTCGAGACTTTGATGACCATGCGGTCAAAAGTAGTAGCAGCATACTGACGAGCTGCTAACATTTCAAGTTGCATTTGCCATGGCTTCGATGAGATTCAGACGATCGGCGACGTCCTCTGATTCGTGCCGCCAGAACCGAAGCATATTGATGACTCTGCCTACAGCCGTCTGCCAGGTTCCCGGCAGCAGATATCGCACATACGGAGACCTGCCTGCTGCGATTAGTAGGAGAGCAGATCGGCTGCATGAGCGTAGCATCATCCAAGTTCCGTGATGACGGTAGTGGAAGCCAGGCTCGTTCTTGTCGATCCTTTCCACTGCGAGAGCCAACGCTTTACGCGTGAAGTCCCTGTCGACGGTCTGCTGGAGCTCGGTGTTTCGATTTATTGCGTCTGCAACAAACGGCCAATACATAATTTCATAGCAGTCGATGAGCTCGCCCTCGAGGATGAACCTCAATGTCTGATTAAGATCCGAGTCTCCAGGAGATGGCTGGGTGATCTTGTCCAATGATAACGGTGAAGGCAATGAGCGACGCCAGTCAGATGCCTGTGCCTCAAACGAGATAATGTGGTCCGCCATTTCTTTTGAAGCTGCGGTCGTCTCAGATGGGTTGCTGCCGTATATGTAGTTCAATATTCGATTTGCTAGGCGTCGCAATGCGATTTCTGCGAGGAAGTAGTACCATACGACCTCTGTCTGCGTATTAGAGCGTAGCTCATCTGGTGGAGATGGAAAGAATGATGGGTAGCGAAGATCCCAGACAGACGCGTCAGTGACCCCTAGCTCGAGACGTGCCTCGAGCTCTGACTTGAAGCAGGTCCAGTAAATAGTTTCGTGCAGACGTCGGTCACGCGCATTGTCCGTAGAGGCTGCCCCATAGAATGCTTGACAGGATGCTAGAGCCTGGACGAAGCACTTCCAGCCTTCCAACGGCCGGATCGTCGAGAAGAGATAGACTCCTGCGAGGAAGAAGCATTGTGCTTCCAACACACCGCTCCGAGACAGCAGCATTCCCATCCTTTTTTGGGCAGCAGCAAAGAATGCCTCGGCCTGCATGAAGCGCGGTAGTTGACGTTCCTCTGAGGCGCTCGTCGGTGCCTGCGGATCTGATGAGCGCGAAAGCGATCCAAGGGCGAAGATAAGGAGCTGGGCTTGTCAGTCTTCGCTCACGCACGGGTCCAAAAGCTTACCAAGAGACAGGAGGCGCCATCGTATCCTATACCAGCAAAGCGGGCATCTCTCGTGTACTTCTGGATTTTGGCCTCTTCGATGACTGGGTTGAAGATGAGCACGTCGTCCATGAACGTCTTGATCAAGCGATCGTCCCACGCGGGAAGCTCATTCTCACCCGCAAGAAGTGTCGCTTGTGCTTGGCTGTCGTTGCTGGCATTGAGAAGCTGGCGAAGATCCAGACATGGTCGAAAGCCACGAAACGTATCCCATGCAAGTAGTCGCTCAATACTCATGTGATACGGGCCAACCTCCTTGGTCCTTTCTAAAGTAGGCGAGTTCAGAGACTTGATTTGCGGTAACGGAGACGTGCTATCAGGCCCTTCGCTGGGTTGACTGGACAAGGTCTGCCGCCTGACATTATTGGTAGATACATCTGGCTTAAGGAGCTGCTCGATTGTGCCGAGCTTCTCGAGAATGGCAAGACTGGCAGCATCGAAGCTATCCGGGTCAGACCAGATGATGCGATTGATAGCTCTCTTACCTAGAAGGATCGGCGTCTGAGTAGGAACACTCAACGCCCAGGTCAGCACACGACGAGCAGGTAGGCCGCTGATTGTCGCATTTTGTTCTTCGAACGCGACATTTCTGACACGCCTGGATAGCCCTCTTCCTGGGATAAGACGACTTTATGCGAGACGCTGGCCGTTTCCGGGAGTTCAGGTTGTCTGTGGGGGAGTTGGTCTCGGATCCAGCAAGACTGAGGTCTATAGGCTTGCTAGAAGCTTCAAAGGAAGCTTGCGGATCAGGTACAAGTGGATAAGAGGGGTTCAGGATCTTGCCGAAGGTATTTGTATCCATTTCGCAGACATGACTATAGGTTTACTGCTTTCTGCATTAGATTGGATGATCAAGCGAAGCGGGAGAACTGGTGACAGAAGGTATTCTGCGGAGAGCCGGAGTGCACGAGATCTGTGTAAGATCTTGATCTGGGTATCAACATTGCAGCGGCTGACAGGGTGGTGGGGGAGGTTAGAATACGAGCGTGGGACTTTTCGAGCCTCTTTACTTGCGTCGACGTTCCAGAAGCAATGAAGGCCACATCTGACGTCTCGGCAAGTATACAATCATCGTGTAGTGCTCCACATATTCTTGTGGTCACAATGTATGCAGAGGACTCCGTGGATGCCGCTGTATCATGCCAGTGGGCAGAACACGACGCTTGGGTCCCAAGATATTTAGCGGGTGCCCGCCTATAGTGCAGCGTTGGCACGAGCACCGCCACAGCCTGATTAGGCGCCGAGCCGCCACGAGACCGCGCCGGAGGCCAGTGGCTCTGGCGGCAGGTACGTCATCAGATCAGATGCAGTTGCATTCAAGGCTCAGTAGGCGTGGTCGCAGCCGTTATCATGATTCGCGACCTGCAAGACCTAACAACCATGCAGCAATGACAGCAAACACCTTCATATTTAGGCCGTCTTAGTTTCAGGATATCATTATCTCACTGCCGCAGTTTCAGCCTTCCTCAACAGCGCTGTGAGCGGCGTTGAGGATCGATCGAGCCCTCCACATACCTATCCGCTTGCTGCGGCGCAAGCCCGGCCATCTTCACCAGCAATTCCTGAAGCAGTATGGCAGACACACGAGACACACCAACATCTACAGTGGTGCCGACGCCCTCCAACAGCACTCCCAACTCGAGACCCTCAACGCCCTCGCTCACTACCCCTCCGAGCACGGTCACTGTCAGTGACAAGCCGCAAGATGATTCTTCCCGCCTCAAGCTCTTTCTGGGCTTGCTCCGAAAGTAGGTCCCAGTCCAAGACATACCAGACTTGACCGATCTGGAACATGGCATGGCTGATCAGAGTACTACAGATTTATCGGCGTCCCAGATATGGCTGCAGTACGGTTTAGTCTGCCAGCGCAGTTGATAGAGCCGATCCCAAATTTAGGTGGGGCAGTCTGGTTCTGTCCGCAAGAGCACAACTGATAGGCGATGCAGAGTACTGGCACTATCTAGACCGACCAGAAACATTCATAAGGTAAGGCACACAGCCCATGAAATCTGACTATTCATTGACGTCTGGTGTTACAGCATTGGGCAGTCGGAGCAAGACTTGGGGCGCATGCTTGAAGTGTTGCGCTTCTGGTTTACCAAGGACTTGGTACGGCACTCCTCTGTCGATACTCTGGACGAGACTGACATGACCAGAAATATGTCAAGGGAAAGCCTTGCAAACCCTACAACTCAGTGCTGGGCGAGTTCTTCAGGGTTGGTGACGATCATGAGCCACCTGGCATCGTTGGCTGACGCATTGACAGTGTAATTGGGAGCTCAATGCAGATGCTGGAGCAATATCAGATCCCGCACACGCTCCTCCACAAGCTCCTGCCGATCCAATGGACAAGTCCAAGCAGAATCTGGAGAAGCCGGTCACCCTATCATACATGACCGAGCAAACCTCACATCATCCTCCAGTATCAGCGTACTACATGGAATGCCCAGAAAGAGGCATCATCGGATATGGCTACGATCAGCTGTCTGCAAAGTTCACCGGAACCGCCGTTCGAGTAGTTGCCGGCAATTACAATCAAGGAATCTTCATCAAGCTGCCGAAGCGGGACAACGAGGAATACCAGCTCAGCCACCCGGCAGCGAATCTGAGCGGCCTCCTCAAAGGCTCACTGTACATTTCCGTGTCCGATACATGCTTCATCACCTGTCCGAAATCCAAGCTCAAAACTATTCTCACCTACGCCGAAGAGGGTTGGCTAGGAAGAGCGCAGAACAAAGTGTTTGGTGTGGTATACAGGTACGATCCGAACAACGACAAATACACACGCATTAAGGACGTTCCGGAGAAAGACGTGCTAGCCAAGATCGAAGGATGCTGGCAAGAACAGATCTTTTACTGGCTAGCCGGCGACAAGAAGGCCGAGAAGGACACCAGCGCGCGCCAACTTCTCATGGACGTCTCACCGCTCATGCCGGTGCCGAAGATCTGCCCTCCACCCGAGGAGCAGCTTGTGAATGAGTCACGGAAGTTCTGGAAGGATCTAACCATCGCCATTCAGGAGAAGCGCTTTAACGACGCGAACAAGATAAAACAGAACATAGAGCAAGCACAAAGAGATAAAGCCGCCGAAAGAAAGACACAGGGGGCCGAATGGAAGCCTCGATTCTTCCAGGAAGTCACCGATCCAGATGGTAAACCCCATCTCAGCGACGAAGGGAAATTGGCTATGGAGGGATTACAGTCCAAGAATTTCGTTCTCAAGGAGCCCGAGACGACGGGAGCGTAGAAGGCACCAGTCTCAATACGACGAGAGGACACGAGATCGACATTGCGATCGGTGCGACGGAAGAACACGCAGTCGAGTTTACGATCATTTCGACGAAAGGACACGAAATCGAGTCTCCGATGATATGGCAGCGCGAAGACTCGCACTGCTTTTGAATCCAGCCTATTGGAACGGAACTTGCTGCACAGAAGACTGATTAGATTGTGCATAGACTTCTCACATGATTACCTAGGCGAGTACTGGAAGGCATTGTGGCGTTCTGTGCCCAGCGAGGCGTATATGTGGTTCATGGCATGGGCGTCGGCCCGCAAATTTGAGCAGTCAGGAGGACCGACGCGCGCACAGTACTTCAGCACCATCATCCAATTGATCGGACTTGCCCAATGCGACCAGCCTTGGATGAAGTTGGTTTCCACCGAGCTGTCTTTTAGCCCAAAACGAATGTGCAGAAGCTAGTGTGATTCCGTACTCCGTCCTATGGACTGCTACACCGATTGCCTCTGGACTACGGTGCCAGCAAAGGGCGACACATGCAGAACGTGCCGTCTCATCAAAGCAAATGGAGAACTTTCGCGCCTGTGTATCGGACACTTCTTGTACATCCAGCAAGGTGACGCCCATTGTGCTTGATGCCTGTTCTCGAACTACAGGAAGAAGGAACCGGGCTTGGTGTAAGAATCATTGTCATTGCGTCGAGAGCTACGTATGAGAGCAGAAGCAAACTCGGGTGTCTGCCCATGTCATACAAAGCTGACCGAAGAGTGACTGCTCATCACATACAAAGGCCACAGGAACGTGCCTTTCCGTGTCATATCAAGGACAGGACGAAGTGTCTGCCCACTTCTGCTCGTACAATGCTGAAGAGATCAAGACCTGATGGTCACATGCCGTATAGAGGACGTATGCCTGCGGCTTAGGAGAAGTGCTCTCCAAAGCAGGTGCTTCTCTTCCCTGCTAACCGCTCCACTGACTTCAGTAAGTCCAGTAACGCTTCAATGCGTTCAACACGCCATAGGCGCCTTCCAGGTCCTTCTTGACGCTCGGGGCTCTGAAATGCCTCCTAAGCTTCTTTATGGCCTCTTCCATGCGCTCCTCCATCTCAGGACGGTTCTTTCCTGGTGTGCCTCTCTTGTGAGAAACCATCAGTCGGCGAAGACGGCGGATGGCGGGTTGAATGGCGTTTTGTCTGGCGGGTTCATGGAGTTCATCGCACCATGGCGCCTTACTGTGGATCCCCACGTTACCAACATCGCCGCCACCAACGTTGCGGAGGATTCCAAGCGACCATAGCGCAGTCAGAGCGTTATTGCGCTGCGAGGGGATCATGCTATGGTTGCCGAATGTGACGTGCAGTCGCTCAAGGACGCCGTCTGCGGCGGTGAGCTGTAAGTGCTCAATGAGGTCAAGCCAGGCCTCCGTGGCGAACTTGAAGTTGAGTGGGATGTGGATATCCGGCATTGGTGGATCAGCTTCGTCTTCTGAGTCTGAGTCCGAGTCCAGATCGGACGAAGCATCTGGCAACCTTAGCCCACCGAAATAGGCGTGTTGTCCGAATGTGTCCAGCCTTGCTTCAGCAGGCGCTGGCTCTGGCTCGGCTTTCTTCAGATGTACGTCCATGGTGACCGATGGGATCAGTTCGGTCAGATATCTGTTCTCGTTGAGTTGGTGATCCATCCGCAATACGGAAAGAGCCCGAACCCAGTTGACCAGATCCTCCATCAAGGCCATATGCTGGCTATGTACGACGATCTGGATGATCGTCATGCGCGATCTGAGTACGTCTAGCCCATCGAATCGAAGGTCTCTGCAGACTCGGAGTAATGTGGTGTCCAGCACACGCGAGGTCGATTTGTCGCGTCTCTGCATGCCTCGAACGAACGAATACTCGATGATGATTTGGCGGATCTCTCGAGGCATACCGAGCAGCGTGCGTAGGCACGTTTGGTAAGCAATTTTGGCGCTGTCTCCATCCACCTCCATCAGTTCGGCAGGTCCATCGTGATTGCCGGAACCATCGGCGTTTCCAGACTCGTCCTGCTTACCAGCTTCATCGTGACTGCCGGTAAAATCTTCAGGTTCCACATCGTTCATGACGGTGTCTTCTACATCGTCGATGCTCAGACCTGGCACGTTTGGCATGTCAGTGACAGGAAGTGGCACGAACGAATACATAGGTAGTGCACCAGCTTGTGAGACTTGGGAGCTCGATCGCGTCGTTGGAGCGTTTTGGCTTCGCTGTGCAGGCCCTTGAGTGTGTTGATTGAGATTTGAGCCAGGGGTGGGAAGGGCGCTTCCACCAGAACCCGCCCCTTCCAGCGCGTTGTCTGCATCGTCTTCGCTGGTGGAGGTCTTATTCGCTTGGACTTGAGCCGCCAAACGTGCCGCCTTCTTTTCCGCCTTGGTCGCTGCACACTTTGCTTTCTTGAGTTCGGATCTCTCGCCTTTAGGGCGTTCTTTGAGGCGGCGTTGGAAGTACTCGTCGCCCACAAGCTGTCTAATATACGCGTCCTTGACCAATTTGACTTTCTGATCTGGTTTTATTGCTCTGCCTTTGATGCCATGTCCTCCTTTGGATGGATCCTCTGAGTAGTGGCGGCAAGCTTCTCCTCTCTCTGCAGCGAATTTCTTGCATCCGTCAGTTCTGCATACGTACCACTCGCCTTCTTCTGCCCAAGTGAGACCCATGGCTGCTGGGTTGGTGTTCTGTCAAGGATTGGAGTGCGCAATTGGTGTGTGATTGATTGCGGATAAGGTGCTCGATATGGTGTACACAGAGGTTGCGAAGAAGGATTGCAGTGCAAAGACAATGAAGACAAGTACCAGACGCGCCAGAGAGGCAGGAGGCGCGTCTATCTGCCTGCAAAGACAGCAACAGGTGAAGATCCAGACGTTCGCAACTTCATCACATGCTGCCAAAGACGGCACATCACTTTTCAGACATTCCGGGCTTCACTCATCAGTGTCAACTGCGAAAGAAATAAGGCAGTAGACACTTGAACTCTTCCGCAACTCGTTGTCGAAACTTGTCAATGACTCCGGCGAGACAGATGCATTCTGTGTAAGGCTATGGCTGTTCATCGCTCGCTATGAAGGTCAGTGCGGATATGCCAATCAATGAGTAGAAAATGCCTGCTCGATGCATACCAAGGACACTCCAAAATGCCTGCCCGTATCATGCAAATATGAAAGAACGACGAGCCTCCGTTGACTCCCAAGGAAAGTATGACCCGTGGCTCGCACCATGTTCAGAATAAGAGCTCGTGAACATGCCGGCACCCTGCTGATCCTTTGTAGCTTCTGGTTGCTCGCTCCAATATGATCGCCTGAGCTGAAGGTGGCTTAACGTCGTTGACGCGGGATATCTAGGCCGGCTCCTCATCCCATCCAAGGAATTACACCTTCCGAGTGCGCAGTGCTTTCAGGACCGACAGAACAATCTCGAAATCATCCTCTGAACCACTGCCGGTTGTGAAGTGGGGCTCTAAATGGTCCTTCACCAACTTCAAGCACTTCTCAGCACTTGGCTGGGGTTTCCCAACAGATTGCGGGCTGGGCTTGGCCTCCATGACTTGCTTAAGGTCTCGTAAGATCTCCTGTGGCCAGGGCAACTTCTTGCCGCAGAATTGCACACGATCGACCATTCGAAGCATGCCGAACATCCACAGCAGGAAGACCGCGTCTTTTCGTTGTTGGGCATCTTTGATAGGTCTGTGGAAGTCGAGTGTGAGTCTTCGGATCTTCTGAGACTTTAGCTTTCGAACAAGTCTGAAGCCTGACTCCCTCTCGAGGATGAACGTGTGTGGAATGTGGTGAGGCACGTGCGGAGCGTTCGACCTTGGATCTGAAGGGTTCCAAGCTTTCGGACCCACGTGAACGCTCACTGTTAGCGACACGATACGACCGTTCAAGATTGGGTCCTGTTCGAGCATGGGGCTCACCCGCTGCAATGGGAGACGAACCAGACTTTCTTGGAACTCTGTGAGCGCATCTATGCTCCAACTGTAGATGTTGACCTGGACGACCACCACCTTCCTCGCAAGAATGTCGAGAGTTGCCGCCCTTAGGTCGGGGTGCCCATTGAGGAGGTCCTGGTCAATGACACTGGCACCAAGGCTTTGGCGGCCGAGGGCGTGACGCGTCTCGCGAACGACCAATTTCTCGATAGCGAGAGCGTGGAGCTCAGGGGGCAGAGTGAGCAATGTCTTCGGTGATATTGGCCCAATCGCATCGATTTCCATCGCATCGGAAGGTGTCTCTGGTGCCGTGTCGGGCTCGGACATGGTGTAAGTTGGTGACTCGGCCTCAGCCTTGGCGATGTCTCGATCGTCATCTTCGTCGAGGTCCTCACCACTCGAATTGTAATCATCGTCGGTGTCGTTGTAGTCCTGTTTACCGTAGATGTGGCCCTCATCACCGTAGTATTAGCCTTCGTCACCATCTTCTTGATGGCTCTCATCATGATGGTCGCTCTCACCGTCGTGATCGTAATCATCCTCGCTGTTCTCATGGCTGTCCTCGTCGCTGGTCTCTCCGTCATCCTTCTCGCTGTCCTCTTCGTTGTCGTCTTCGAGATTCAGCGACTCTAGATCGAGAGCTCTTGGAACAGACGACGACGCGCCCGCAGATGTAGGAGACGTAGCCGAAGATGTATGAGACTGAGCCGAAGACGTAGCAGACGCAGCCGAAGATGTAGGAGTCGTGGCCGAAGAAGTAGGAGACGTAGCTGACGATGTGGGAGACGCGGTCGACGATGTAGGAGGTGAAGCAGCAGACTGTGACTGTTGGGCCGCTTGAGCTGCCAACTTTTCCGCCTTCTTTCTGGCCTTCGTCGCTAGAGCCTTCTTCTTCGTCGCTTCGGCTTCTGGGCTTCCAGGACGACGTTTGAGTGCCTTGCGTGCGCGGCGACGTCTACAAGCTGCTCAGCATCCTCGTATGTGATGTCTTTGGCTTTATCTTCGGAGTCGATATCCTTGTACACGTCGGGATGCTTTTTCTCGTAGTGACGTGCGACCTCGTATCTGTCGCGTTTGAACACTTTGCAGCCTTCCTGTGTGCATGCGTACCAGTGCCCATCTTCGGCAAAGAGTACGCCCATGGCGACTGCTAGATTGCTGCTCCAGACTAGTGACTGACAGAATTCGTGATGTTACGCTAGACGTGGCAAAGATGGAAGTTGTGGCAGAAGTGGTCGTGTCGTGCAAAGAGAATAAAGACGAACAGACACGCCAGGGAGGTAGAAGTCGCGTCTGCCTACAAGAACCTGAATATCTGGGTGAAGTTCTGGACACTCACTTCTTCACCTGCTTGCCTAGCCAGCCACACGCTTTCCCAGGCATTCGTGGCTTCACCAAAGCACTCACAATCAACGTCACCTGTAAAAGCATGACAGCAGATTCTCAACTCTCTGCCAGATCAGTCGTTGTTGATGCATCCCTCAGAGGCAGATGAATTGTGTACGAGGCCACGATGGGTGTAGAAATGCCAATGTATGACTAGAAAATGCACGCTCGATACGTAGTATGGGCACGAGGATGTGTCTGCTCGTGTCACACAAGGACGACTGATACCCAAAAGCGCATCTCATACAAAGGACTCGAGGAACTGATCCCCAACTGCTGCCGGGAGCCCTGACCTGCGCCCTCCGAAACCATGAGAAAATGAAATTGCTTAGACGGAATGCCGGTGACGACCACGAGTGGCCATCGCTGATCCTGAGGATGTTGTTAGCGAACATGACATCAGAAATCCAGAATGTGCGACTAACTGAGAGACAGGGCGGTAGTAGCCCTTCGTTGCGTTGCCTCCGACTGCTATCTTCTGGTTGATGCGGCTGGTGCTCCACAGCGAACGCGCACCTTTCCCAATACCTCGGAAGCACAACCTTGACGCATCCTCTCAGAGTCGCGGCCAGCGGCGCGACTCTGCTGTTACCGAATCAACGACCTTGGAGTCTCCACTAAGGTGATAGCGGCATCAAGGTCGGCAGCACCTAGCCCAGAATGTGTCTCGCGGAGGACGTTTATCTCGGTGATGTTGGCGCGAACCTCATCTGGCAGACCCAGAAATGTTGGGACTGGTTGTGGATCGACTCGCTGAGGGCCTCTGTTGGTAAGACTCCCTTCCTCGACCTGCATCTCGACGGAAGTCGACTCTGGTTCCCTGTCTTCTTCAAGCATGTGGTATGGTGGCTCGCTCGCAAACATGACGACGTCTCCGTCTTCGCCTTCGCCTTCGTTCTCGTCCTCTTCAGCGTCGTTGCGGGCTTCGCCATCATCGTCAAGACCGTGATTGTCGTTGAAATGGTGTGGACGACCAAGGTAATGGCCAGGACCAAAGTAGCGATCGAAGCACCAGGCGGCGCCATCGTCAATACTGTCGCTCTGTCCGTCGTTTTCGATACCGTCGGTGATGTTGTCTCCACTGTTGTCTTTGCTGTTGTCTTCGGTATAGTCTTCGGTAGACAATGGTGACACATCAGGAATCTTTGGGACAGACGACGGGGTGGCTGATGATGATGAAGGTGCAGGAGGCGAACGAGTTGCAGTAGGGACCGCAGGCTGTGCTTGTTGAGCCGCTTGAGCCGCCAACCGTAGATTTCTTGCAATGGTGCGTTTGGCGTCCCGATCTTCAAAGTAGGCGTCGCCCACCATTTGTCTGATCTCGGCATCTGACTTTAGCTCAACCTTCTGCTCGGGCTTCACCGTCCTGCCTGGGATACCATGAGCATCTTTGCAATGACGGATGGCTTCACCTCTCTCCGCTCCGAAGATCGTGCAATTTGGCGTTCTGCATGCATACCACATGTTCAGGGGTGCCCAAACACGATTCTGAGGAGCCATTGTTGTTGATTAGGTATCCTTTTCGTGCTCAGAGTGCGTATTCGAGTGCGTGTTTGGGTGCTGGATGCAGTGTACAAAGTGTTCATCAGACACAGCTGTGCAATAAAGAAAGTAAGACCAGGTCGACATAGTCGCGTCGCAAAATCTGCCAAGCAACGCCAGGTGAAGCACTGAACATTGTACGTTCATTTCACAAGTTGCCTAAGCAGGCCATTGGCCAGGCCCTCATGGCCTCTGCATATCACCTTCCACTGGTTTCACCCTCAGCAGCAGGTCACCAACCTTCTTACAACCTTCATCAGTTCAAACATCCTTCGAGACAGAGTGGGGTGAGCAAGCGTCGCCTGCAGGATCTCCTGCCTGGTCGTCATCATGGTGGAGGTGATTAAAGACATATGTCTCATTGTCTGGATCACAACAATTCGGGTTGAGCAATCGCTGAGCAGGCCTCAGACTCGAGTCTCAGCAACAGCTCGACTCTCACGATTCTTGGATCTCTTTCTTCTGATAGGTCGTACGCTGAGTCCTCGCTTGACGTTCGGGGTAGTCTTTTATGCTAGTCGGAAGTAAGTGAGGGCGGCATGCATGCGCTGTCAATATATTTATCTAGCTTTGACCATCTCAATTCATCCAGTCGTCATTAGTGCCTCTTAAGTACATGACCTGAAGTGCGATTGCTTGAGATTTGCGAGCATAATCAAAGCTGTTTGCTCGCGACAGCTGGTCAATCAAATCAGTCATACCAAGCCGGCGAAACATTCGACAATCTTTCATTCACGACAGCTCGGTCGCGAGCTCTTTGAGATGTCGAGTACATAGTACAATGAGCCGGTGTGCATAGCGTTCCTGGCGTAAGTCTACCGTGGGAGTGACGATTCAGGTTGTTGTGGTGATGTCCTGCTCCAAAAAAGGCGTCCACCGCGAACGCGAAATTGCCTCGGTCCTTGGCGTTAGGCGGCATCCTACCGCACCAGATCTCACGTAGATGATCATTCATTGATCCGTCGGACGTACTACAAAAGAGGCTCATTCGATACGACTCTTGGGAATGACAGTCGTGAGGCCAATTGAAGACATATTTGAGCCACGTTCGAGGGAGGTTTGCACGCACCGATGCGAAGGATTGAAGCTGCATCCGATAATTATCTGACACGACTAGGAGAGACCGCTTTCCGCGAAATGAATGCATGCCAAATTGATCATCAGCTGCAGGACTAGCATGAATCAAGGCGCAGCTGCGGCGCATCTGGTAACCTGCGGATTCTTCTGGTCCTAGGACTCTCGAATGGCCAGCACGCCGATGTGAAAATGCATGCCTTCAGGCGACACCGTAGAATGCCGTCGTTCGCACAAGTTGTGCAGGATTAACAGCTCGCTGACATACTTTGGACAATACATAAGTCCCCGTAAGTCTCTGAGCTCGAAAGCTAATGTTCGACTCATTGAAGAGATGGTCACCATGGATCTGTGCCAGGACAGATACAACATATCGTCCGACAAGAACATTGCCACGCTGGTGCCAACGATAAGAACAGATTGTGCCACCTGGCGCTGGAGTGAACACAGCCGAAGTTCGCCCCTGACCCCTCCAGAGCTGGTCGATGGCCACGAATATCAGCTCGGGGAGCGGGCGAACTCCACTGCTTTCGATGTCCCGCCACTGTTGCAGCACCGCGACTTGACACGAATGGCGCAGACCGTGGTATGGACGAAGTCGTGGCTCGCTCATTTGTGTCTGCAGCGTGTCCTGTAAAGCAATTGGAAGAGCATACTGCTCATTCATCACTCGAGATACTTACATTACTGGTGTGCTGATACTGTGCTTCAGGTGATGCAGCAATCACCATCTCACTGCTTGTACCGTGGCAACTAATAGCACGCCAAGCCCAAAACGCGCTAAACGTCCAACACAGGCAATCTTCCAGCCGTCAAGTTTTGAGAATGACTCTTGCGTACTTACTTCTGACCACAACTTGTTCCATGAACACAGACATTATGATTGAGTCTCTTCCTGGGCGATAGAGCACACAGTAATCATGCCAAGTCACACAAAGAAGGCGCGCCCTGGTTATTGGTACGCCTGCACTATTGTAGGGTGTGATGTGGTAAAGGAGGATGCATACGAGTTGTCCAGACACTGGGGCACCTCTAAAAAGCCTATGGCGCGCAAGTATACACAAAGTCACACTATGCAGTATGCTTACCAGCAGCATGTCAGGGAGGTTGACGATATAGCGGCCAGTCAGCTCATTGGCAACAGCTACGCAGACAGACATTCAAAACGCTATGGAACACCATGGACAGGCGTTAACACCACAGCAACATCTGGGGTACAACCCTTACAACCTGCTGTGCCATCTGCACCTCCAATCGCACACAATCCTGCTCCCAACCCTCCTCAACCGACTCAAGGCCCTTCCGGTCTCAGTAACACCGTGGCAAGCGCGAGCGATGAGATGGATATCGACATCGAAGGCGATGACAGATCGCAACTCATGACTCTTGCGACCGAGACGAGAATGCAGACAATTCGCGAACTCGTACAGCGAAAGACTCCCGACTACTATGGCCTGACCAAACTCGTTCCGGAAACCATAGATCGCTCTCTGTTTGCCAGCAACCGCAAGTTGCGCCATGAGACATTCGATTATCTGGCTAAGCAGGTTCTGGTCATCAAGTTGGATATCCACACCGAAAGCGACTTCGATCTCATGAGGCACGAGATGAGCATCGCCGCGATACCGTTCCTGCGCGTCCCCGACGATCTAGATACCGACAAGACCATCAGTCTACGCACAACTTCGGTCCACATGGTGCTAGAAATAGCAAATGAGGGCAGCACTCATCGTAATCTATTCAGCCACGTACACTCGGTTGTTACCTGCATCTACGAATACCGCACATTCCGCGAACTGGTCGAGCAGCTGGAAATAGCTACAGATGCGCGTCAGCTGCAACGACTTGCTGTCACATACACGAATCGCGAAAGCACCCCCAACCAGGACAAGGATATCCTGGATGTGCTGGACATCCTCAGTCTCCTTCGTGGCATTCCGAATGCCATGTTCTTCGGTTTTGAGTCAGCATACAGTCAAATGGTTGCACAAAACATGCAGCGACCCGCGTGGGTGGAAGCCTGCATGCTTGACCGAGACTCACATGGCTTGTGGCCTATCGACGCGCACGCTGCGGACTTTCGCCTGTTATATGTATACCACCGGATCCTGCAAGCAATGGACATCATCTACTTGGAAAGCGGAAACCAGAGTCGCGCTTTACAGGAATTGGGGCTCATCGAAGCGCACATCAGTCGCGAGCGAGCGCTATTTGACGATCACGACGATCCATTGTGGCACGACCTTGCTCGTTACGCGTCCGACTGCTGCAACTTGCTCCTCAAGAAACTCCTCCTTGTGATTCTGAGCGATGCAGACCGTGAACAGAAGCTCGCAGCCATAGCCAGCAACGAACTGAACTATATTTCGGAACTTCAGTCTGATGAATTGGGAGCTCGACATACTCAGGCCTTCCGTGCAGAAGAATACGCAGTGTCCGCCGCTATGACCTTGTGGAGCAAGAGGATCGGCGAAGTGCTTGATAGCCCTGAATCGTTCATGAGCAGATTTAAGGCGTTGGAGGAAGCGGCAGACGAGACTGCTCGCGCGGTCGCGATGTACCACCCAGAATGGGCCGCTCTCAAAGAATTGGAGCAGTCATGCCTGCGGGTCGCCCAACGAGTCCGGCCACCAAGACCATTACTGCCGAAGGGTATGGGTTGTGTCACTGTTGGAAATGAAGACGAAGTTGAAGCCGAAGATGAATCCGAAGATGAAGATGAGGACGAAGATGAGGACGAAGATGAGGACGGATATGGAGACGAAAGTGAGAACGAAGACGAAGGCGAAGATGATGATCTTCACGAGGTCGACGTGCAGTGGCTGAGGGCATTTCCAGACGAAGTCGCGGCAGAGGGCCGCCGGTCGATATGGTTCGGTTATCGCGCGTTCCATGAGGAGCAAGGGGACGAGACCGTGGTCGCGGACGAACTCCTTGAGGCAGCGACGTCCACGTTCGAGGACGGGCCAAGTGATGGGGAGATGTTTACGGCGGAAGTGCGGCGCCTGTCGTCCATTGTGTCCGAGGCGGCATTGTCCTTCCCAGTCGACATTCCCGACCCGTACATTGATGTACAAACGGAGAACGTGGAAATATCGATTGATGAGGATGACGAAGTTTGAGGGCCTGGGTCTGCTTCAGGACACGCAGCGCTCCTCGTCCAGAGGATGGAGTGGAAGTCACTACGACCACGTTCACGCCGAGATGGCACGTACTTTCGATGGAATGTTGCGGACAGCGTTGCAGTATCGGACACAGTAACGTCTGCGCATATCTCATATCTTGCCACAGTTAGTCTCTGTGTCGAAGCCCTCTAGGATAATTCTTGGATGAAGATAACTTGCAGCACTGTCCCAGTCCGGGGTGCCTTGAAACATATGCCTATGAGTGTGCCTTCTTCGATCCGAATACCCTCGTACCTGCTTCACATCGGTAGCTGACTTCAGTGATTGACTATTCGGATCAGGCACGTGGCACTCTTGCTTCGTCGTGACATTCAGCTTTGTATGAGGACAGATCAAATTCCATGGCTCATGCTATTGGAATAGCGATGAGCTCTGTCGCTGAGTCCATCTCAAGCATCGATGAGGACACGGTTACAGACAATCTGGCCCGTCCCTGCACACCTGGGCAGACAGGGCAGGCACAGCTTGCTACTATATATGCAGAAAACCTAGACTTTCGAGCGCTCGGGGACTCGCAGACCCTGCTGCCGCAGATGAACCCCCACATGCGGGGCGCCCGCGCTCCCACACAATCCCTGCACGAGCTCGACCCCCTAGTGACAGGCAGGAGACCCTCCCGTTCAGCCGCAGTACTTATCTTGCTTCCTCTCAGAGCTCGGTGTGCCCATCACCATCTTCGTTCATCAAGTCGAGGCTGTAGCCATCTGTATACCGTTGCTTGCCCCCATCGGCGATCGGCACTGGACTCATCAGAGTGACAGTCGGCATTCGCGTCGCGGTTTTGGTTGTACCATTTTGTATGGCGGAAGCTCACGGGGCATCGGGTACAGATTGACACGAGTTCGGCAGCCGCGAAGATCGCCACGACTGTCTTGATGCTCCAATGTCGCCGTTCACTCAGTAGTCATTGTGATGGCAGACACAATCCCAGCGGAGTCTGTCGACGTAGCGACTCCCAGCAACAATGGCGAACTCGCCGAGGAGCCCAGCATCTTGCCCAAAGAAGAGGACGATGCCAAGAGGATGAAACCTGGTGATAAGCGACGGTACCATTGCACGTTCGCCGGATGCAATCGTGATTACTCGCGCGCTGAGCATCTTTACCGTCACCAACTCAATCACAACCCAAAGGAGATATTTCGATGCCACTACCCAGGATGCACGAGAACTTTCGTCCGGCAGGATCTTTGCAACAGACACCAAGAGCGCCATTTCAGCCGCGGCAGGCAGGAGGAGTCTGCACCACCTGACACGTCTCATCAGAATACTTCACTGGGAGCTGGTCATTCCTCAGACACCGACGAAATCAGTGCTCTTGTCGCTCTCGGATCAGGGAATAATTCTGCTTATCAACGAGCTCGAACATTACCCGCAACAGACTCATACAGCTCAACTTCTGCGTACTCACAAAATCAGAACATCTCAGCAACGTCCAGTCGATATCCCAATATCCTCAATGGACCGGCACCGGCACACAATGTCACCGAGTCAAGGTACAGATTGGACCCTTTCAAGAACGTGGCTGAATACAGCGAGTCTTACGAGCGCGAGCCCGTATTCACCAAGCCAGCTGAACCCAGCTCGATGAGCAGCAGAAAGCGGTCTCGCGAGCTTGTCGATCTTAGCGTATCAGCGACTCCGTATGCCGCCAGAAGATCGACTGATGCAAGCATGAACGGCTTCGACATCACCCAGACTGGCGGTGGCGCGGCTCCCCTCGAATCGCCTGTATCAATGAGAGATGAGTTTACGAACTGGCTATTCGATGACATGAGCGGGATGCCTGGCGCGTTCACTGGTCTAGGTGTCGGATTTGTTGATACCAACGAGGGCTTTGGCAGCCAGATCTATCCGGCATACTTCGACGATGGCTCAATGGGAAGTGCGTACCAGAATCCGTCTCCTGGAAGCGCAGGCGAGCTTGCTGCGAGTCCACTGGCTACCGCGAATGGCCAGCTTCTCTCTTCAGGCAAACGACAGAAGTTGATGGCTCTCATTGACCACCGCTTCACGGACGATGATGCTAGCGATATTGCAGAGATTAGAGACGATGTGCTGGGTGGAGATCGGGATCAGGACGACCATGTCCTGAGCATGCGCTCATTACAGAACTACATCGGGTCGTATTGGTTCCATTTCCACGAGCAGATCCCAATACTCCATCAGCCTACCTTTTCTGCGGATCAAACTCATCCATACCTTCTCCTTGCCATCATGGCTATAGGAGCATCTCAGCTCAACAAAGCCCATGGCCGAGCAGTTGCGGAGGGCGGCTCCAAGTTGGCAGCATTCATCGCATGGCATCTGCGATGGCTGGTGTTCAAGGACAAAGATTTCCGTCCTCCTGCAAAGCTATGGGTGTTTCAGACGCTTCTACTCTTGGAGACGTATGAAAAGTTGAGTGCAAGCAGGCTAATTCATGAGCGAGCCCACATTCACTCATCTACAACAATCACACTGATGCGTCGGGGAACTGCCCTGATCGATGGTCATGCACATCGCGAGATCTCCCGCCACGCTGCTACACCAGAACAGTGGTGGGGACGATGGATCCAGGCTGAAGCGACTCGACGTGTGGCACTTGCAGCTTTTTATCTGGACGCTCTGTCCGCGACATCATTCGGCCACGCAGCAATTATGGTGCCTCACGAGATTCGTCTGCCTCTACCTTGTGATGATGCACTTTGGGAAGCCACATCAGCTGGAGAAGTTGCTAGAGTCGAGGCGAGCTTGCATGCGAACGGTGTGCAGCCGCCAACATTCACAGACGCCCTTCGGAAGATTCTCACAGGGCGCAAGGTGCGCACGAATCCAATCGGACGCATGATTTTGATGGCTGGCTTGTTGTCTGTGTCATGGCACATGCAGCAGCGAGATCTCCAGATGTCGGTTCTTGGCGTCTCACGAGGAATGGGTATGGGCACACCGCCTGGATGGCGAGAACCGCTGACAAAGTCGTTCGATTTCTGGAAGAAAGATTTCGAAGACTCACGAGCACATATGCAGCGCATTTCGCTTCCATGGCAGACGGCTACGCAGTCGAGCTCTCCTGATTCGGACAATATGACTACTGCGACGGTGTTGTGGCATCTGGCACATATGGCTATGCACTGCGACATCCGCGACATCCAGATCTTCGCAGGCGCAAAGTCCAATCTAGGTAGACCAGTCGCTGACACAGATCGAGAAAGGGCGAAGAATACCATTGGGTCGTGGATCCGAAGTGCCGGTGGTCGGACAGCTGTCTGGCATGCATTGCAACTACTCAAAGAGACGCTGACGCCTCGGCCGTCCCCGGGTGACGCGCATGGGATTACCTACAATGCGCGCGATGATCATTTGATCTACAGATCATGGTCGCTTTACATGGCGGGCTTGATCGTCTTCTGCTGGGGTTTCATGAGTGATGGACTTCTCCGACCATTTCCGGAGCGGCTCCTCAGGTCGGAGGTCAGTGGCTCCGCATTGCCACACTCGGCATATTCAGCTCCCCGTCAGAGTTCGAAGTGGGACGAAGACATCGGCATTCAAGCGCAGAATTGGCAGGATGCGAAGTTGTACCTTCAAACTATAGGCAGTGTAAAGGATTCGGCCGAGCTTGAGTCAGTGAAAGCTGGGAGAAACAATATTGTCGGCTTGCTGCGAAGCCTAGAGTTCGCTTTCAAGGATGCACGTTGGGAGCTCCTCAGAGAAGGGGCGGAGCGGTTGAGGGCTGCTGTGCGGATGCTGGAGCAGTAGTACCCTCCTAGTAGACGGGACCAAGCTATGAAACTCAAGAGACGAAGCACTCGTGCACAATCAGCAGAAAGCAACAGGAGTCTTCACCCTGTAGCATGGGTCCATTGGTTTCGAGCTTCGAGCGCCCACAGGGATCTAAGACCACTGATAGATGTAGCTTCTTTCCACATGTCCATGTAGTGGCCCAAGTAAGTCACTCCTAGTACCTAGGTCTACTAGTATACTATGGTAGTGACATCACTGCCATCTCCTTGGATTACCTACTAAGAATCTCCTCCACCTAGAAGGCAATCCTCCAGGCGCCAAATCTCGTTTGCCTGAACCTTGTAGCACCTCCCAGCCCCCAAGCCTTTAGCGACCACGAATAGCCTCCGCAATAGCAAACAATCGTCTTCGGTCACTTAAGAACAGTATTCAACATTTGAAAATCTCCATCGTCTTCTTAAAGCAAGAAACTCGCTGGCCCAGTTGAGACATCGATCGCCTTGGATTGAGGCATACGACTACTTTCATGGACGGAACCGGGGAGTTGCCTGATCAGCCCGATCAGCTCGATCAGCCCCATCAAAACGGAATGAGAATGGATGCCATCCAAGAGTTCACACGAGGCGAGCAGACGCCTGATGAGGTCGATGAAGATGTCAGTTTATTATGACTTCTGAAAAACCCCTGCCACAGCATAAAGTCCATTACTGACGATACATTGCACTGTAGATCAATGGAAATATGGAGACGCCAAACAAGCTAGACTTCATCGCAAACCGCGGACGGCGAGGGTATCCACGTCAGATCACATCGTTGCCGGATGAGATTCCGCCACAGCTGGGCCGTCAGCTAGTCAAAGGTGACACATTCAAATATGAGCGCGAGAACCGAGTGTTTGAGGACAAAGGCGCGGCGATCTGGGACAGGAAGAAGGAGAAGCTTTACGACTACTACATGCTCAGCACCCGAGAGAAGCTAGACGCCAGGTACTATCACGTTTACGCGACGACAGGCAGCACCATGGGAGTTACTGTAGTCAAAGGGAACGATTGCGCCGAACCCACGATTCTTGGTCGCTCGCCCAGCATGATACCGTCTCACCTTCGAGTATGGACTAAAGCGAATGGATTTGCCGACGATACGAGAGAAGTCGTCAGGACCACTGAAGGCCTGGAAGGGGTTGATAAAGCAGTAAAGAGGCTACAAGCACGACAACAGCGCAAAGGGACTTCTTCCAGTACGACAAACTTTGTCAAGAAACGTGAGAGACAGGCCAGAAGATCAGAGCCTTGGACTTTACCGCTCGAAAGTGATATCTTTGAGAATGAAGATGGTCAGTATGCTTTGACAATGCACTGCTACTTGCTGACCTGACTCAGTCCAAGCTCAATCTGGTCTGTTCGGTATTGCTGATGGTACATCAGCCGGCAGTACCTCTTCGGATACCTCCACTGTACACACTATACACCCGCAGACATCGAGAAAACGTGTCAGACCTTCAGAATATTACGACGAGGACTCGACCCCTGAGCCACCTAACCCCAAACGCCTTAAGGATGAAGAACTGGCACGCAATTACCTTGCGACCATCTTTCCCAACGATCCTAACTACGGCGTTCCCCACGACTACGAGCCCAAGAAATGGGACCAGCCTCTCCTTCGCGACTACCGAGCCCTGTGCAGAAAATTCACCGAGAACGGCCGTCCTGCCCATCAACTCTGGCCAAATCTCCTGCGCGCTGCATGCAACAATCTTAAAACCTCGAAGCGCCTCACCCGCCAAGCCATTAAAAGCGCCAGATCATCTTTCGAGGGCCCACACCGCCAGAAGCAAGCGAGACGTAGCACATCTGTTGGCTACTCTGATGCAGAACCACGTCCCTCAAACAGGCGCAAATCCGAGTCGACGGTGTCGCAACCCAGACCTCGGCTTATTGTCAGACTGAAGATGCCGAAACGTAACTCAGTGTTACGACAGGCACAGGCACCTCAAGCAGATGATCACCAGTCCGGGCTCAACGGTGTAACGGCGCCTCGTCTAAGTGCCTCCGAGCGGCCGTCGGGCGGTAGAGCAGAGACAACGACCACGACCTCTCCTCAATCACCTCACCCCAGGATGTTCTCGCGCACAAGTCATGTACCTATAACTGCACCTCAGGCTACTGAGGCGCCTACAGAAGCGCCCCAGCATACCGAGATACCCGCAGAAGCACCACAAGAACAAGAAGAACTCACCGCCGAAAGTGATTCGGACGATGTCCAGGAGATTGAGGCACCAGCAGTGCCAGTCAAGCAAGAGGCGCCGCAAAATACAAGCAAATTATCGGAAGTACCAGCAGAGATTGGTGATCAAGTCATGGTAGTGTTCAGAGACGACTCAGATCAAGTGCTCAGGCAACGACCATGGCGGGACTGCAGCAACGTACAGAAGTTGTTTCTGCAAGCGGTCGTCGGAAGGCTGTTCAAGACAAGTAAAGAGGATACTGCGCTTAGCGTTACGGTACAGGGCTTGGAGGAGGAAATTCCGATCATGAAAGGTGATGTAGACGACTTTGGTGTGCTTTGTCAGGCGATTGCTTTTGCGCAGAACATGAAGACCGAAGGTGGTGGGGAGGAGCTGGTGGTTGATGTGAAGTCTTTGTGAGGGGTGACCTTCCTGATCCTCTGGTACAGAGTCAACATGAATTTCTGGGAAACCTTAGGTGCTCGTCACACAAACAGCAAACCGAACGGTCTTGGCACTGGGCCAGTTCACTTGATCTCGACGCAACTTGTGACTTGATTCGCATTCCAAAACCCCGCCCAAACTACGCCCGACTGTCCCAGCAACATGGTCGCACCGACACGAGAGAGAGCACGAGAGTGGAAATTCGATGATACGATGCCTGGAGATCTCAAAGCACTTGTTCAAGAGTCTGGCAGACCAGATCTCCAGGGGTCCTCATGGTTGACTCGCAAAGACCTTAACTTTCGTGGTGGTCGGTCACGGCATACGTACTACTTGGTCGACACCGGCGAGCAGCTAGAGGCCACATTCCATGCTTGTGTGCATACTGTCTTTCAGGGATAAAAGCGCACGACCTGGCGGTACCGGGAACTCACTGCTGTACAAGGTCCCTCGATTCCGCGACCAGTGATCATTGGACTTCCAGGCAAGATGAGACAGAATATGAAGGGCAATTGGGCGACCTGGCATGGCAAAGAAGCTGGTTACTCCACGCAGTACGTGGTCCGCAAATCGATCAAAGCGAAGTCTCCAACGCGTAAGAGTTGCGCAGACCGCAGAACGACCACAACGCGATCTTCAGAGCCGGACGACGCTCAAGACTCAGTCTTCTCTAGCTCAATCGACGTCGTACCAGCCTCTGGGTCACACTTCGACGATCTCACCAACGACGAGGACAGTAACAGCGAAATCAACACCATGAACGACAACGATGACAACGAGGAGGTCAACAGCATGGGTACACGTGACACTTCCCTAACCACGGAAGAGCCTCGCAAGATCACTGTCCGATTCCTTACCAATGATTTAAAACTGAAGAGACGGCGAACGTGGGAGTCATGCAACAGCAGTAAGCACTTGTTCGGGCAAGCTGTCGCTGCAGGAATCATCAAGCCTATGGTTGAGACTGCTTTGCTGTTGGTTCGGGTGGCTGGCTTCGAGGATAGCATTCTGTTCAAGGGCGACGAAGAAGACTTTACCAGCTTGAGGGCTGTTATCGAAGATGCCGCGGCTGTCAAGTCTGAGCCCGGTGGAAAACTGCGGCTGGACGTCGATGTCGATGTCTTCCCAACGGGATGAGCCACAGCACGATGAAGACTTCAGGCCTGGCGTTGAGCCACGCGATTCTGGCCAAGCACGTCGTGTCTCGCTACCTGAGTACGGTTGAGGTCTCGCCCGACAAGGCGGAAGGGTCTATGGAACCATGCAGACAGACGAGAATTACAACAAGTGACGATACAGAATCATGAGGGAGATCATGAGCGACGGCGCTCAGGGTCGACGACATACACGAAGCGCGACCATGACTAGCGCCTTCGAATGAACATTTTATCCGCTGAGAGATCTCCTTGCTGACAAGCCTTACATCGATTGCCTCTCTCCTCACTCTCTGTCTTCAGTTTTTCCTTCCCGTACGTGGCTCATCGCTTCTCCGTCTAAGCACAAACCAAGCTCACTTGCGTCTCGGTCTCAGCATCTGCCTTCCAGGGCCCGGAACGGCCTGCTTCTAGAAGATCAATATCCTCTACAGGCCTTCATCCACCCTCTTCATCCCTTCGTTCGCCATTCATACCACTTCAACCACCCATTTTCATCTCGCATGATCGCCCCTCATGACTACGCCGTCACCGTCCAGTGCGCCGTACAAGCACACTGATTGCATGCCAAAGCATCTCCGCCAGGAGCTAGAGGCATTCGGCTCCACAGCCTGTCTTGAAGATGGTATCCTGGTGGAAAAGCAAAATGTTGTCAGGAACTACGCTGGAAGAACGTTTACTTACACACTCCTACACACCTCAGAACTGCTCAATGTCAGGTGGTATCAATGCACATCGCGCCGCAACACATCTCGAGGAGTCCTAGTCGCTGTTGGACCAAGTATGCCTCAACCCCAAATCATCGCACGATCACCCTCAGGCGCGCCCAAGAGGTTTCGAGTGTGGCAAGGACCAGAGAAGGGATTCAGGGGGTCCGCCTGGGAGATCGTGAAGAATGCTGTGGTGACCGGTGGTGGCGGTCGTTTCGAGAGAGGACCGTTGAGGTCGAACGTGACGGAGTCACAGGCGGGCAGCAAACTAGAGGATGCAATCGATGTCGCAGAAGACGACAGCGATATTGATCCTAAGCCAGGTGCAGGACCGAAGAAAGAGATGACGTTGGCACCGCCGCCCTCCACACCAGAATCAAGCACAACAACAACTCTCGTACCTTGCCCTAGTAGCGACGCCGCGCAAGCTGAGGAAGAGGCATCGGACGACCGCGAACAAAGGCCTCCCAAGCGGATCAAGCTCGAATCGAACGACTCGACCACATCTCATCACCTTGCTTCACCGCCTGCCGACGATACGGATGCAGCCGACAACACCACACTGCAGTCCCAGCTCGGGCCCCTAAGCAAGCAAATCCTCAATCTCAAGGTCCGCTATCTCTCTGCTCCGAAAAACATCATCTTTCGCGAGCGTTCGTGGAAAAATTGCAACTCATCCGACGACCTCTTCATGCAAGCCATAACCGCCAACCTACTGCGGTCTTCAAGCGACAAACGTCCACTGAAAGCCACCATCAAATTCTGCGCCAATGGGGACGACGACAACGGCGAGGAGGACAGGACAGTGGCTGAAGTACGATTGATGAAAGGCGATCCTGCCGACTTTCAGGCATTGGTAGATGAGATTGCTCGCGTGGGTCTGGTCAAGACTGAGGATGAAGATGGTGAAGGTAAGGGGCTCGAGGGCATGTATATCGAGGTGCGTGTTCTTTGACCTAAAGGGGCTGTCGGGGCGGACCTCATGGGCAAAACGATGACAGACTTAGATAACCAGTGGTCAGAGGATTAAAAACGTGCCTCTATCGCCTTCTGCACAGCTTCTATACACTCTGTCGATAGTCGTGTGGACAATCCCATAGAGTCTCTGCAGCTCCACTGCGACCTCGAGAGCTGTGGCTGCATCCGCCGTTCCCAACGCAGTCGCCTGGAATCGTTGACATTGACATTTTGGAGAATGAGTTTTGACAAGTGCCCGTGGCATTCAGATGAGATGCTTCGACCTGCAGAGACCGCGAATTAGTCATGTTCCCAGACATGCACGCCGTAGTCGTCCTCCACGAAGCAAACAGAGCAGAAGACTGCAAGCACACATACCGAAAATAAGCCCTCAGGTAAACAACCTGCCAACCACCCAAGCTAACCAACACCCCCATCGTGCCCAGACTGAACCATTTCACCCGCTCATTCGTGCTCTCGTTCGTGTCCCGCAGCTTCTGCTCCCGCATCCGCAGATACTCCATCTCTTGCACTATCTCATTGACCGAGGCCTCGATGCGCCGGAGTTCAGTGTCGACAGGTTTGAGCTTTTCGGCGGCTTGCAGGCCGGCCCAGTCGCGGGCGTCAGCGCCGATGTCGATGTCGAGCTCTATTGAGCGGGAGGGGTCGTTTTGTGATACTGGTGGGAGCGTCAGTGAGATGGTTTCGTGGGTTTCATGGAAGAGGTGCCGGAAGCGGGCGGTGGGACAGGTTGTGCGTACTGGATAGTACTTACCGCGCCCAGAAAGGGTATTCTCAAAGCATACGTCAAAAGCCGTGTCGGCGAGGGAGGTGAAGACTGTGCGGGACTCGCCGACGACGTCCTTGGGGCGGCCGTAGTCATTGCCTACTGCGTCTTTGATCTGCTCGTCGACAATACGTCAGTTTGATGGTCCGTAGAATGGCAATTCCATCCCCTGATGACAGATAACGTCGGCCCTCCGTGCCCACTCCTGTTGTTCTTCTTCTTGCTGAGCCCTGCTCAGTCATGCCAATCTACACCAGGTGGTGTGCCCGCTCACCACAACCACCCCCACTGATCCGTCCTTCCTAGCCCAGCGCAACAATTCCGTTCTCCGCATTTGTTCCAACCGGGCTCCGGGACTGACTCACATGCATATTAACAACCATGCCATCTCCCTTACTTCCCCCGACAGTCGCGGTAACAACGACCAACGTATCCCGATTGACAAAGTTGCGCACGCAGCGCTCGTTTTTTGTCGAATGGCCCGGGTGGGCGAGGAGGTCGAATTTGAGGGCTGTGGCGAAGGTGGAGAGGAGAGTCAGGAGGACGGTGAAGACAAGAAAGGGCTGCCTTGCTGGAGGCGTCATCGTTGATGGTGGAGGTGTGAAAATGCGGAATGGGCGAGGGAGGAAGCAGCGCCGAATGTGGGCGGGGAGGTGAGCCGCTCAGGCGGTCAGTAATCGGTGAGACGCAGCGAAGGAAATGAATTATAGACTACCCGTCGCGGTACCGGACGACAGGCAAGTCAATGCTGTCCAGAGAGAAGGCGCAACTGCTCGTCGATGTCGTTGACGATATTTCGTGGGCTGCGATCTCGCGACACTTTTTGGGGGAGGTTCAGGGGCCATTTTGAGTTCTCATCCCTGTTCTTCGGCCTAGGGATGTTCCGCTCCGAAAGATCTATATCAACTACTGCTACAACCGCTATGTTCGGTAGCCTTGACAGAGAGGTTGAGGACGGGTCAAAGGACAGGAACGAAAGCCTACAAGCGAAAACAATGATGGCACCGATACTACGACATCGGTACTAGCCTTGCTATCGCTCGTAGACGTCCACGCTTGCACTCAGTATAGCGTCGATTCCCACCCGTCTCCAGTCGTCCTTCTCCACAAAGCTGGTCATATTGGCATCGTACACATAGTTGACCTTGCCCTCGTCTTCGGTCGCATAAGCTGGCCAGGCAACCTCTCCGCCACTCAAGAACCTCCTTCCGTGCCATGCATTTGGATCTGTACTCGCCACGAAGCTCACCCAGTCCCCACTCATCAGCTCCGCTAATTCAGTATAGCTCTCGGGCTTCGCCTCGAACGGTGGCTTCCTGACTGGTTCGTACCCAAGACCTTCTATGTTGTACATGGAAAAGGCCACTTCCGAAAAGTGTGCAACGCCGTCCATCTGATTGGCCCATGCAGGGATCGCGTTGAACCGGTAACTCCATACAGGCAGCCCGGCCCCTGCCCACGTCTGTGCTGCGAGGCGACGGCCTGCGATGAAGGTGCGGTCGCCCGTATATGTGGCTGCTGGGCGGAAGTATGCGCCATAGCTGGCGTTCGGGACGAAGTTGTTGGGGAGGTTGGCGAGCTCGAGCGGCAGAGTTGGATCATCGGGGTATAGTTCTGCCAGGCGCTCGGCCAAGTCGGATGGAATGTCCCCACTGGTGAGGGACGCGATAAAGTCAGCGGTCGTGTTAAGATTTAGTGGCGCATACGCCGTGCCTTCATCGGAATTAGCCCCGATAATGATCGGCACGTGGACGAATGCTTCGTCGGCAAGCTGCTGGGAGGAGTATCGGGCGATGAAATCGCCGTCAATCTTGGGACCGAAAGCGCCACGGACAAGAGCGGAGGAGTTGATGGCTTCGTTGAGAACCTCATACGGAGTAGGCTTGAGGCAGGCGAGACTATCCCCGTTGGAAGAACATCCGATGGTGGCGGTGAGATTGTCGTATGCAGCCTGAGTTGGACTTGTCAGACTGCTGAGTGCGAGTGGGCCACCACTCTGCATGATCGCCGAGCGGAAGAGACCATCGTCTCTACCGTCAAATGCGAGCAGATGAAAGCCAACAGACGCGGCTCCAGCGCTCTGACCGAAGATGGTGACTTTCGAGGGATCGCCACCAAAAGCTGCGATGTTCTCCTGTATCCATGCCAGCGCCAACCTCTGGTCTCTCAATCCGAAGTTCGACTGACCTGACGCAGTGACTTCTTCAGAGCCTAAGAAGCCCCACGCACCCAGGCGATAGTTCAGCGTTACAGCCATGATCGGTTGACCAATACCAACAGATCGATCCACCATGAAAGACATGTTATACCGCCGGTCAACGCCAGAACCCTGAACAAAAGCGCCACCAAAGATCCAGACTGCCACTGGGAGCAATTCCCTGATGCCTCATGGCCGGATGACGTTGAGTTGCAGACAGTCCTCACTGACGTCGTATCCAATTTGAGCTGCCCCATAGCCGACGCATGCTGGGCCGTATTCCTTTACTTCACGAACACCCGTCCAGTGAGCATCGAAATGAACTGGATTGCTGAACCTCAAGTCGCCCACTGGCGGCTCTGCGAAGGGGATGCCGAGGAACACATCTTGGTTGTAGCTGTCCAAGTGACGTCCGACATAAGTACCGTTCTTGACATGGGCTACTGGTCCATCGTGCTGCCTGTCTCCATGGGAGGAAGCTGGAGCAGCACTCGTCGTGCCAACCAGTGCCGTGAGCATCCATTGTACAGCTTTCATGGTGCTGATTACCTAGGCAGGTCACAACGATAGGCCTGACCATTCGCAAGGACTGACGGAATGGACCGCCTTGTCATCTTGTATGCTCGAGCACTTCCGGCGGCACACTGGCTCATCCGTTGGCAGATGTGCACATCCTTGTGCGCTATCAAGGTCGGCTAACGAAGCTGTTGTGGGTTCCCTCGAGCATGCCTAGTCGCGAATGGGCAGTGGAGGTTGCTGATGTTCATAGAACATGGTTCGGGAAAGTGCTTTCCCGCCATTTGACGACACAGCGACCTCGGCAAGTGTCATCATTCGCAAATGCAGCATTTTCAAGTTTTGTGCCTCCGCACCAACCTCCACAGATCGGCGGAGTCTGGGGTAATGCCAAGACACCGCTTGGGGAGAATCAAGCTAGGAGTTCTGCCGTGTCGCTGTTTGGGTAGTCTGTCGGTCAGAAGCTGGAGTCGTCAATGGAATCAGGTCTGTTAGCGTCATATGTATGAGTCGTACCTTCAGGCAGATGACCTCCAGCGGCAAAGACATCTGCCATCATGAGTTTGAGAACCGGATGATGCAAATTGGGCGATGTGAAGGCTTGTGCCCACTTCTAGACTGCCATGTACAAGCTAAGTTATAAGGGAAAACGGCAATGCTTGGGAGTGCTTCACAGGTAGGTGTTCCAAGCTCGATTCACCCGCCTGGACAAGATGCGCTGGACCGCAATCGCTTGCCTGGGTCTAACCCTGGGCGTTGTTCTGGCCCAAGACTACAGCAGCAGTGATGACCTCCTCGTCAAGACCGGGTCACTTGTGCTCCAGGGCACACTCGAAGAGAACATGCCAAATGTCAGAGTCTTCCGGGGCGTGCCATTCGCCGAGCCTCCTCTGGGCCAATACCGCTTCCGGCCGCCAGTCACCAAGAAGTCCTCTTCAGAGGTCATCAATGCCACTTGGTTTGGTCCATCGTGTATCCAGCTCGACAACGGCCAGAAGACGGTCTACACCGAGCATCTCCAAGGATTTCTTCTTACACCCGGTCAACAGGACACAGAGGACTGCTTGACTCTCAATATCTGGACTCCTCGTGGAGCGGAAGGGCAGAAGTTCCCGGTCATCTTGTATATTCCTGGAGGCGGCTACACGGGAGGTGGGGGGGCCTCCCCCTACAAGTATGGTGGACCAATGGTTCGCGACCAGCAAGATGTAATTGTGGTCACGATGAACTACCGCCTCAATATCTTCGGCTTTCCCAATGCCGCCGGTCTTGATCAACACAACCTGAACCTTGGTCTACTGGATCAGCGGAAAGCAGTCGAGTGGGCCTTCAACAACGTCGCAGCCTTTGGCGGCGACCCGTCCCGTATGATCCTGTGGGGCCAGTCGGCCGGTGCTGGCTCTGCCGACAGTTACGCCTACGCGTGGCCTGACGACCCTGTCGTCTACGGCTTTGCAATCGACTCAGGCAGTGGCGACGGTGCAGGCCGCTCCGCGTCAGACACGTCCAACTTCACATACGTCGCCCAGCAGGTCGGCTGTACACAGGAGGACAAGTATGATCAGTTCGCTTGCATGCAGACAGCTCCAGCAGAAGACATCATCGGCGTACTCAGCTCATACAATGCCAGCGACAACGACGGTCTCAGCCTAGGCTTCGGCCCAACGACGGACGACGAAACAAAGTTCTCCAACTATTCAGACCTACAGGCCAGAGGCAGATTCGCAAAGGTACCGCTGCTGGCAGGCAACACCAACGACGAAGGCCAAACGCTGAGTGCACCCTACAACGAAGACGGCTCAGCGCCGAACCAGACACTGGTCGAGATCGGCACAAACCGAACAGCTTGCGGGATCGGACGCGCTGCAGAGGTGAGGGCTGAACACGATGTCCCAGTCTGGCGTTGGCGATACCTGGGTTACTTCCCAAACCTACAGCCGTTGGAGTGGCTGCGCTCTTATCACTCCTCCGAGCTGCCGCTTGTATTTGGCACATCAGATTTCTCGGGTCCAGATACTGAGGTCGAGGATGAAACGAGCAAATATATGCAGGGTGCCTGGGTAGCATTTGCGAAAGATCCCGTGAATGGTTTGAGTCGGTACGGGTGGCCAACCTATGATGCGGCAGAGAACACATTGGTCGAGCTGGCACTGGATGGCAACACGAGTGCCGTCTTTGCAGCTGGCATCAAGTACGATAGCACTTGTCAGAGCTCTGACTAGGTCGATTCGTACTATATAATCGCATCAACAGAAATAAAGGGAAAGTCACACGCGTGACGCTCAATCGCTTCAAAGCTTACATGGAATTGTACTGGGAGAACCTCGGACCTCTATCACGCGGGGCGATTCTCAGGCAGTATCCATACTACAAGACAGCCAGCCGAGATATGCATCTTCCTCGGAAAGTCTGCACTCCACCCATCTTCCCAATACGACGTATATGGACTTCTATCTGTTGCGCCCCGCATTCCGCCAGGGTTCCGCCATGATTGCCAGCGGGAAGTCTGCACTCCACCCCTCTTCCCAATACGACGCATATGGACTTCTATCTGTCGCGCCCCAGATTCCGCCGCGATTCACTTCGCACAGCGGAAAGTATGTCCTCCACTCACTTCCCTTCCCTTGCCATTTTGACTCTTCTATCCGTCGCGCCCCAGATTCCGCCACAACTCAGTTGCACAGCGGAAAGTCAGTCTACCCTCCACCCGTTCCCCTCCACTCGAATGCCCCACACGAGGAGGAAGTCAGCGTGGAAAGAGCCAATATTATCAGGAGATGCCAGACACACAAATGAGTCAACGAACGACAGAGTTCGTGCGAGCCTGGATATCCACGAGCGGGAGCAAGGCTAGTACTCATACCGTGCTATCAGAACCATCCTTTGTTTTGCCGACAGTCTTCCTCGCACTCAGACAGCCATTATACCGTAAGTCAGAAGGGTGGGGATTGATCAAGGCAGAAAAATTCACCTTCAACGACTCCCAAACAACCACAAATCTCTCAAGTCCCATCACGCCTACAATCGAACACGAAATCGTCCCCACAACTATACACCAACCAATCCTTCGTCCTCCTTCGACGTCGTCATCAACACAGCGCTCCTGCCAACAGACTTCACTAGGCTTCGCCAAAAGGCCCTCACCTCGATCGCCCCTGCCGTGAAGACCACCTGGAACGGCAGGTGCGAATCCCGCCAGCAAGTCACTCCTGCCGTACACCATTTCCAGAGAGGTAGGTGCGGTTGCTGCCAACCGGTCGCTCCTGTGTTGTCGTAGTGCATGTCGATGCAGGCCGGCGCGAACGCCCTAAGCCGAACGCTCCTGCAGCGCCGGCGTGAGAGTCTAGCAACGCAGGCGCGAATGCCCTCTCCTGATCGCTCCTGCAGTCCTGCAGCAAGTGTCGAGGAAGGCAGGTACGAATCGCCACCAGCCAAACGCCCCTGTCGCAGAAAAGGGCCCAGAGGAGTAGGTGCGAGTGCAGTCCGCTGCCCGCGATTCCTGCTCATGGTGTCTGGCCACGGCAGTCGCGAGAGATCGTCAACCGGCCTGCCAATTTCCCTGTCAGCCGGTCCAACTGGGTCCCCCCCTGCTGATCGGTGTCAGATGGATGAGAAAAATTGTCCAAGAAGCATAGCACAGGCAACACTTGTCGCATTACGATCCCGAGCCGCCCTATGGCTAGCTGCGACTATTGGATAACAGAAAAAGCAGTACGCTCACCCCAGAGCGCCTGCTTTCTCGAAATAATAAGTACACGACTGCCGTCAAGATGACTCGACAGTCTCAACCTCATCCGCTCCAAGAAATCAACCACCATAATCATGACACATCAAAGCCTTCAAAACATCATCTCCGTCGTCTCCATCGTGCCTGTTTTGCACTTGTGCATCACGTCAATCACTCCAAAGGCCCATCCCCCATCAACTTCCTGACATCCTCCGCCGTCTCGCGATTCTCCTCCTCCTGCTTCCTCATCTTATAGATCCGCTCCTTCGTCACCTGCGCGTTCTGCAACGTATCGATATACGTCCTAAACTTCACAATCTCCCTCAGCAAATAACTGCTCTTCCGCTCCCAATTGTTCATCGCCTTGCCCGCATTGATATGCTTGGGCGAGTACGCCAGCTGCATTGCTCCACGGAGCTCATTGTGCTTCTGCAGCTCTTCTTCCACGCTGTGCACGTATGCTTGTAGGGCACGGAGCTGGTCCACCTCCAGCAGCTGGGACGCGAACATGGACTGTTGCGGCGGATTCCATTCGTTGATGTAGGCACGATCGCCGGCCATGCGTGCTCGGACGGTACCATGGTGGTCGATCGAGCTGCGCATGGAAAGTTGTGTGCTGGGCCGTGAACCGCTGATGCTCATGCTTTTGGTCGAGTCCGAGGTCGGTATCAATGCCCTGTTGACGACATTGTCACTCCAGCCGTATTCCATGTTGCTGACCCCACCCACCATAGGCTCTTTGGAAAGTCGGGCACTCCAGAAGTTCGCGGTTGAGACGAACTCCTTGACAATGTCAGGCGTGCCGACAGAGAACAAGTGCACAGCGCCAGTCGGTAAGCTCAATGCCCATACGTAAGGTCGACTCTTAGAATACCCTGGCGGCGGTAGTGCACTGGCGATGGCGTGCCGTAGCATGAATTTCCACACCTCTTCGGCGTTGTCCTGCCAGTTGCCTCCACCGACCACGCCATTCGACTTCTGCTTTCCGGCCTTTGACCGAAGTGTTTTGGCCGTGCTGGAGAACGAGAACAAGCGCATCCAGCCTCGCTCAATGACAGCAAAGCAATCATTCCAATTGCGATCTTTGGACCGCTTGTCAACACCTTCAAGATGGCATTTGTGCTTGAGAATGCCCTCCTTAGCCCAGGGCGCTCCGCACAACTCGAGCGACTCATCCTCGAGCAGCGGACCGGTCTTCATGCCACCATCGTCGGAGTTCAACTCGAACTGGTCTTCACGGATAATCGCTTGACTCAGTGCATTGGCGAAGCGATCGAGGACTGATAGTCCTTGCCGGGATCCGGACCAAAGGAGTCCACAGACATGGACGTGAGAGTCTTCCCGATCGAATTCTTACTCCATGTGCTGGACACGGACGGACTCCATGCCGATGATTGCTCGTCCAGACTAGTTCTACTAGATCCAAATCCTGGAGCTGATGGTAGCCGTGGTCTCGATCGAGCCTTAGCTGCCCAGCGTGCACCTAAGGATTTGCTTTCAGGACCCATTCGTGGCCGACTCAGGTCAGAATGTGCCTTACTGATCGTGCTTGGTGTGCGGCGCAGCATGCTGGACCCTAAGTTGAGTAAATTGTTGTTTGACTGGGCTGGCACGGCTTCGACTTCGGACCCGAAGAGTGGTAGGGGCTGCTGGGATATAGACACATAGAATGTGCGCAAGACAGCCTCGATCTGTGCGTCCCAACCACGTTCGGAACCTTTGTATGGCGCATCAACGAGCGCACCTCCAACAACGGACGCATCAACATCTCCGGAGTCCTCTCGCGTCAACTTGTCAACAGGTCTCTTGGTCAGGCGCACCGTCTGATCATGGTCAACAGAAGCACTACGGCCGTCATCATCAGTGTTGCTACGCTGCAGATCACCAGGAGCAAGGTCCTTGCGTTCGCCAGCCACGTGTCTGATCGTCGGCAGCGCATTCCGCACAAATTGTCCCTTCGTCATCTTGGACCCAATATCAGCAAGATGCAGATCGGTATTGAGTAGCAGGATGGAGTAGCAGATGGTGTGCACAACATCGAGCGACTTGAATCCATGGGTGTCGTTGCAAGCACACCAGCGATGAGAGAATGCGAACAGCAAGCGATCCATCTGCTGAGTTTCGCCTCGGAGCACGATACGATCGCACAGCTTGCGTAGAGAAGCCAAGATGTTGCAGTGCTTGAAGTCGAATAGGTCCATGAAAGCGGTCCGGACGACTTCCCGCTCAGGTCCTGCATCGCCCAACCAGGCAGCTGCAGCATCCTGCCCGAGATCGTCATCCACATTGTTATAGATCTTCTCAGCTTTGACCCTAGCTGCCTCTTGAGGATTCGAGCTGATGCTTGGTCGCGATACATGCACTTCAGGTCCGGGTCCGCCCAGCTCGATGGGAACAGGAGTGCTAGGGGCCGAGCGATAGTCACTGATGGGGGACGCTGCCAATGGCGCAGACGTGTTCGAGACAGTTCGTCGCACTTCACTCGTACCATTCAGCTTATCGGATGAGATCTGCCGTAGGCTCTCTGATGCACTTTCGCCTGCCAAAGAGCTCGCTGACGCCTGAGTGCCGGTTGTGTCAACACGTCGAATTGCTGTAACAGAGTTTGAGGACTGATTCTTGGCACTTGCTGTCAGCCTGTTCGACGAAGAGTTGCTGAGTTGGCTGTTGTTATTGTTCTGTAGAAGATATGGAGATGGATTGCCCTCCGAGCCGCTCGAGTCTGCCAAGAATGAATCGTGATGAGGTCTCAAAAAGCCATTCGGCTTAGACGCTGGGGCTGCTGTGTTGCGCAACACATGAGACGCCTTCGTAGGAGTCTTCATGTCATCCTCGTCCACAGTCGGCGATCCTAGGCCGGGTGTGTAGAAAGTCTCCCCCGAACTACCCGTCTTTTTGGCACTTTCAGGCTGCTCGGTCGACAGATATGGGTCCATGAATGCCCTCAGCTACTGACACTGTCCTGATGACCATGACGTGGAGCAACGCCGTTCGAAGACAATGTTAGCGGCATAGGTGGAGGTGCAGGATTGTTGATTGAGCGCTTTCTGCGCCGGAAGAATGACGACGTCTTTTTCTGTAAAGCAGGCTGATTTTCCTTGTTCGCAGACGACTCTGTAGAGAGTGGTTCAGGACGTTGAGATAGGCTCTGAGGGGCATTGAGGTCTAGCGAAGTGCGTGCAGATGATGTTTGTGCGATCTCATTGTGCGACGCCGGCTTGGAAGACCCGAACACTCTTCTAAAGAATCCGGGTCTCGGGCCAAGTGATGTGTCGTGAGGCGATGCTCTGGCATCTGTGACCACCTGAAATTGTCCTGGCCTCACGGGCATAGGTGGAAGAGCATCGGGTGTCTTACTCTTGACGGTAGCAGTTCCAAGTGTCCCAGCTCGAGGCTTTCTCGTCGCCGCACTCTTTGATGATCGAGCACTGTTCTTGCGTGCTACAGGCGGCGCTAGAGTGGGCTTGTTAGGGCTCTTTTGCGCTTCAGGACCAGGAGCGATGACTGGTGTAGGTGCGATACCCATGTCGTCGGAGAGATTGAAACGAGCAGGACGTTGATGTGATCCGAAGTCGAAGCTACGAGACCGTCGATCACCAGCGTGTCCTAGTCTGCCTTGATATGCAGCGAGATGACCCAAGTCTATGCTCGAAGTTGCACTGTTGGCACTGCCCTTCGTAGGCCGCCTCACTTTCGGTCTAGACGGACCAGCTCGCTGAGCGTCGTACACTTTGGCCCTCACTGAGTCTTCGTCTTCTCCAAAGATGCTAGGCAGCTTGTTGAGGTTCTTCTGGTACTTGTCCGAATCCCGCTTGACGGTTCGAGAGGATGCGATTTGGGGTGCAAGCATGCTACGAAGATCGCGAATGTCTCCATCGGAGGAGGTAGAAGAAGTAACAGTATGACCACGTACTCTGCCCACCCGCTGATCGTAGCTGTTGGACCGTGGGGTATGCCTTGGTGGCGTCACATCGAACATGCCGGAAGAGAACTGGTCAAGGGCCAAGGCCATGTTCTCAACCATGGAAGCGCGGGGTGGAAGGTTCGAAGAGAAGGATAGGTCGTGAGGGTCCTCCATGTCGTCCTGCTCTACGAGCACTAGACTGCCCCTTGCATTCGTTTTCGGTTGGTCATTGTCCGCAATACTCGGGTGTGAGGACTTTTGCGTATTCTGGCGGTCGAGATCAGAGTTCGGCTGGACGCGAGGGCGCTGTAGACTTCGAGCAGACGAGTTAGAGTCGTAGCGCTGATGCGTGGAGGGACGTGGCGGAGTGACTAGGGCGGTGATGGACGACATAGATTCTTTGCTCCGAGAGCGTGTGATATGGCAGCCGACGGGAGCATGCGTGGTCAACACAGCGTCAATCTTGACCGCGCGATTCGTTGCATTGCGCAAACGGAATTGCCGTGAACTTTAAGATTGAATGCGAATTTGAGCCGCTATTTCCTCGACTTGCGGCACGCGGGACGGATGTACACGATATTCACGTGGTAACACAATAACAATCACGATGTTGCCCGGAGAAATAGGATCGCGCAGCAGAAGCTGGAGAAGATGCACTGCAGTGGAGGGAGGATTCAAAAGGTGCAGTCGGCGGTCGCGACTTCCATCGAACCAGGGGTAAGTCGCACCAAGAATTGCCGCCTGAAGATCTCGCCTATGATTTGTCCGACTCGCTTCCCCTGCATGAAGCCCTTAGCGGAGGAAAAGCTTAGCACAGACAAAACGCGAGAAGCTTGCGAGCCGCAAGTGCTACACGTATTGACACCAACAGCCTTGCTTGTAGTCAACTTCGGAGACGATGTTAGAGACAGAACACCAAGGCGAAGCTGATCTGCTCGAGTTCAATGTGATCCCATCTATCGTGAGAGCACGACGGCTTACATCTGCTTGCAGAAGTGACTTCATGAGACATGATCGGCCCTAGCTACTGAAACACGACATAGTCCGAATGCTTGGCTACTTAGCGGGCTATCAACCTCTTCCGCGACCAAGGCTAGGCTCTCAGAATGAAGTCTAGACTATGGACAGATGTCACATATGCCAGTGTTTCAACAACACACTCAATACTCTTTCCCATGCTGTGGCACTTCGTGGAGCGGGCCTCGCACATAGTACGGGACGGACGCTTGTAGCAGAGGTTCCATCGAAAGTCTCCGTAGGTGCAGAGAAGAATCTGGAGGCGCTCGAAGAATGCCTCATTTTCGCTGCCTGATCTGGCCTCTGCCGAAGATCAATGTGACTTGCCCACCTAATGCACCACAGACGCGGAATAGCGCTCAAAAATCCCGCTTCCGTCGTAGACCTTCTCTGAAAATGCAAGCTCAGCCCTTGACACCAAGGAACAGCCACCGTATGCCCCAGAATTCCAAGTTGATGCCCAATATCGTACACACGAGCCATATGATGATCCAGACCAGCATAGGACTCAGCAACAGCTGCGTATGATGCAGAAAATGCAACGCATTATACCCCAAGAACAATATCAAACTCCAGTAAATGCCCGCCGCCAGGTACAGCGCATTCGCCACAAACACACTTAATCGATTTGGGTGATTGATAGCCGGCATCAGAATATACTGCACAATATAGAGCAGCACATACGGCGGGAAGAATGCCCGTATCGACACGTCGAAGCAGTAGCCGAACTCCAGTGCTTCCGCGCTCTTGCCGCCTCCGGTCTGAGGGAATAGGCCCTGCTGTCGTCGTCGCCCTGGCAAGCCTGCCACGCCGGGGCCGAGGAGGCGCCCGACCAGGAAGTATGATATTGCGGAGACGACGAGGGAGCCGGCGAGGAAGTGGACGAAGACGAACATGAGGGCGAGTTTGACCACGGAGGAGAAGGCGGGTGTGTAGGCGAGGGACCAGGCGAATGAGGTCAGGAGGAGGAAGAAGGACAGGAGATATGTGAAGGATGGGTCGGGTCGGTGCCATGTATTCCGCGTTTCTGCCAGGAGGTCAGCATTCGTAGTTCGAGTCATTGTAGTGTAGGGTCCATCTCACGTTTGTGGTAGTATATTGACTTGAAGACCTTCTTTGGGCTGATGAGGAGGTGCGTCATCTCCCACACTGCCATCTCGAAGTCCATCTGGGGGAATTTGAAGATCCTGTGACCATCTCGTCAGCCTGCTGCTTGCATACAAATAGGTTCCCAACCATCGTACCTCTTGAAGAAGCGAGGCACCTTGAATTCCGAGCCTCGACGATCTGGTCCGAACGAGGCGCCATATCGAGATGTGATTCGGGGACTATTCATGAGCAAGCCGTGTCCAGAATGCTCAACCGCGAGCAAGGCAACGACAATGTCACAAACGAGGCAAACGCACGACGCTGGCGGGATACATGAAGTGTCGAAAGCGAAGGCAAGTGTGGTGTTGCCTTGATCCCGGAGCAGGCAAAAATCACGTCTTTACAAGATCGATGCTCACGAAATTGGAGAAACATTCATAGGTCCCTCAGCGGCATCTTTTGAACGATGAACAGTCTGACATTGATGAGACAGGTGTGATGTTGTTACAATAAACCTGAACGACCTGGCAACATTCGCCGGGCCACACGTTCAACCTGCAACCACTGTTTCCGTAAGTGTGGCTCGTGAAGGGCCAGATAAGACTTTATGGCCCGCGGCGTCATAAGCACACCACTTCCTTGGCGTGACGAATGTGGTCCAGCCATCCATTCTTGGAAATCTGACTTCGAATCAGACACGACATTGCGCTGAATAACGAACTGCCGCCAGTCTGCCTCAAGCAGTGATCCAAGCAAAGAAGTCTCTTCGAAAGGCCCTTGACCGCTGCTCACCGTGGCCTTGGCATTCGCCGCCGGCTCATCACTACGAGCATCCCAGACGAGCATCCGGTTCTGAAGCGACTTCTTCCACAAAATTATGGTCTCTTGTACGTCGCGAATGCGTTGCGTCACTCTGCCAAGATTGTTCACAGGATCTGCAGGATCTGGGAACATCATATGGCCTTGTTTGACAGAGTGATTGTTGGGACCAAGCCCAAATCGTTCCATTACATCGCGGCGATCCGCCAAACTGAAGACTTCGAACGGCTCGATGGACAGACCTTGCGAGAAGAAATCAATCTCGCTGAACAGCTCCAGGAACTCGAGCAGGTGCCTTGCTGGATCGACCTGTCCGTACTTCAGCTCGCACGACTTGCAGGCAGCGACGACCATGTTGAGTAGTGGATAAGATGTGAGACCGCCAGTGTTGCCATTCTCCAGGCCTCGGAGCTGTAGCGCAGTCCTCAATACCAGAAATACCCGCTTGACTGTTGGAACTCGCGCTGATAGCTTTTGATGTAGACTAGGCTATTGAAAGCGCCGTTTGAGGACTGTACATCCATTCGCAGTCCTGTGTTGGTGTGCCATAGCTTCAATATAGGAACTTTGGGGCGTGACACGTAGTTCATAGGGGAGAATGTCTTGCGGTAGACCTGGTTGTGTAAATTCTTCCAGACTGTGCTGAGAAGCTGCAATGCTCCCTCGCGATCCTCATACGTATCATATCTCTCCTGACCTCTCACCCGCACGTTGATGTCGATATCAGACAGGGCAGATGCCAGTCCGCTAGCACGGGAGCCGATCAGTTCAGCGTCAAGTTCGGGCCTGAGTGGCTGCAGCATGCGTTGGAAATCGGCGAATGCTTGCTCAGCAGCACTTTCTTCCGCTGCACTAGGAGTTATGAAGTCCTCAAAGGCTTGTATCTCGGTCAGTAATCTTTCATGTGAGACCTTTCTAGGGCCGCCATCACTGTCGACTAAACTCCGTAGCCAGGGCGCTCTGCGATGGATGTGCAACGATCTGTCATGCCGCCAATCGGGCAACAGTCGTGGCGCCATGCCCGCGGGTCGCTTTTCGCTGCCCATGTCATTTGCCAGGCTTTTCTGTGAGGCTTCGCCTTTTACGCCCAGCAGAGCGAGGCCTTCGATCTGCTGCTTCTGCCTCCTCATGATACTCTTCAAGAGATTTGGCGGGATCCCCTTACGGGACCGCCGACGATCGGCATGGAGTTGGAAGCGGTTCAGAGCATCGTCCAGATTCCTCGGATCACGCAGCTCTCTGCTACGCTGCTCCTGTCGCTCGGCCCGCTGAAGTCGAGACTCGACTCGCCTGATTGCGAGCGCATCTTTTGAGGGTTTCTCGAGTGCAATGCCTTCAAGCTCTGGCAGTGAGAGTCTTTCAGTCGTGTCGCCGATCTTCCGAATCACATTTGCGCGATTCGCACCGCGGATGGATTCCAATGTACCTCGGAGATCTTTGGGGTCGATCAAGGCTGCGTACTCGTCTTTGAGTCTGTTTTCGGTCGACTGGGCCGGGGACAGATTGCGGTCAGCCCGGACATGGTAATGTCTTGCGTCAACTCGGACGCGAATACTGGCGATGAGCAGCTGAAGGCGATGCCTACATCCAGGCATACAGTAGCTGAGATTTAATAAGGTCGCAGAAACGGGTCTGACAGTGATCTCAATGTGCTCTCGATACGGCTCAGACCTTACGGTAAGATGACCAAGGAAATGTGAAGTGACTAAGGTGATGACCGCGACTCGATCGTGACTTCTTGAAACATTGAATTCCACGACGGGCATTCACGTAGGGTGGGGACCAGCGGCCTTCAGCGCTGCATATCCATTGGACTCGGAACTTTCAAGTGACCACACCTACATATACTGCTGAGGTACCCGCCTCAGCACGCTTATCTTTGTTCACGCAGACTTCTCTTCTTCTAGCTCATGATCAGACATGTCCGCTGCCGACGCCGCCAGAGGCGCGCGATCACCAGCTGACCTTCTGCGTCGTCTGAGCCTGACAGACTCGAGTCCTCCACAGAAGGACGATCTCGACCCCCGGCGGGCATACCCCGGCTTGAAGCTTAGCGGCAACATCATCAGTGCATCAATATGTCTACCTTATTCCTTTCATCACGTTGTTGGCGGTGACTGGAAGATCAAACCACGGCGCGGAACATCAGCATTGTTCGACTCATTCTCGTATTTGGCTTCTGACAAGACACCATGGAACCATACACTCGTAGGATGGACCGGCGAGATTTTGCCGGATCAGGAGCGATACTACACGCCCAGTCCAACAGCTGCATCATCAACGCCGCAACCCACACAGAAGGAGCCGGTGCCGTTCCACTCGGGCGGCAGTCATCATTTGACTCATTCCAAGTCCACGGCAGAATTGCCTACGCGTGGAATGCAGGCTCATGTCTACAATCCGGCAAGTGACACTTTGGTCATCACCAAAGACGACCGAGAACGCATGGAACGACAGCTCAATGATGAGTGCACCGGAACAATGGTGCCTGTATGGCTATGTGACAGCGAGATGTCTGAGAATGGGGACCTCCGGCTCAAGGACCAAGGCCGCTGGCGCCGCTACGCTGAGCACGAGCTGTACACTCTCTTTCACTACCGACAGCATGCCCCCGACAATGGAAGAGCGGAAAAAATCTCCTGGGCCGATTACGTTCACATGAATCACGTCTTCGCAGAAGGATCCTGCGGATATACCAGCCGGGTGACATAATCTCGATTCACGACTACCATCTGATGCTGCTACCTAATCTTCTGAGGCAGAAAATCCCCAACGCCTTCATCGGATTCTTCCTTCACATACCATTCCCTAGTTCGGAGTACATGCGGTGCTTGCCGAAGCGGAAAGATGTGCTGAGCGGTCCATTAGGAGCAACAATGGTCGGCTTTCAATCCTACAACTTTGCTCGGCACTTCAACTCTTGTTGCAAAAGAATACTTGGCTTCGAATCAACCTCAGCAGGAGTGGATGCATATGGCGCCCATGTTGCGGTCGATGTGTTTCCCATCGGCATTGATGTAGATGCGGTCAAGCGTGACGCATTCGACGATCCGATAATAGAAGAGCACATGAGAGCGTTGCGGAAAGCGTATGGCGGGAAAAAGATCATCGTGGGTCGAGATCGGTTGGACACCGTTAGAGGCGTGGCTCAGAAGTTGCAGGCCTTTGAGATCTTCCTAGACCGGTATCCAGAATGGCGCGAAAAGGTTGTGTTGATTCAGGTCACGTCTCCGACCAGTGTTCAAGAAGAGCAAGATGACAGTGGACACAAGATCGAAAACAGGATTTCGAACCTTGTCTCTCGTATCAATGGAGAATTCGGCTCTCTTTCACATCAACCAGTCCATCACTACCCACAATACCTCGACTCACATCAGTACTTCGCGCTGTTGCGACTCGCTGATGTCGGTCTGATCACTTCCGTTAGAGACGGCATGAACACGACCTCACTGGAATACATCGTTTGCCAGAAGGAGAACTACGGTCCACTAATTATCTCTGAATTCTCCGGAACGGCTGCATCACTTGCTAATGCCATCCATATCAATCCATGGGACCTCGGAAGCGTCGCAGACACTCTCAACGAGGCTTTAGTCATGTCAGTAGCTGAGAAGAAAGCAAGCCACGAGAAACTCTACGAGTACATTACCACTCACACAGTCTCGACATGGACCAACAACTTCCTCAAACGTCTACTCACCAACCTCACATCATTCTCGCAATCAGATCTTACACCCCTCCTCGACCGACGGAAAATGCTCGCAAAGTACCACAACAGCTCAAAACGTCTATTCATGTTCGACTACGACGGTACTCTGACACCTATCGTCAAAGACCCTAACGCTGCAATCCCCACCGATCGAGTCCTACGCACCCTCAAGTCCCTCGCTGAAGATCACCGCAACAATGTCTGGATCATCTCCGGCCGCGACGCAAGCTTCCTAGAGGAATGGATGGGCCACATCACCGAGCTCGGCCTCTCAGCCGAGCATGGCTGCTTCCTCCGCCGGCCCGGCTCTGAAAATTGGGAGAACCTGACCGCTAGTATGGACATGGCATGGCAGAAAGAGGTCTTCGATGTGTTCTCGCACTACACCGAGCGCACACCCGGCAGCTGGATCGAGCGCAAACGCGTCGCTCTGACGTGGCACTACCGCCAAGTCGACCCTGACTTCGGCGCGTACCAAGCAAGAGAATGCAAAAAGGTGCTGGAAGAAGGCATCGCCAAGAAATGGGAAGTCGAAGTCATGGCCGGCAAAGCCAATCTCGAAGTCCGTCCGACATTCGTCAACAAAGGTTTCATCGCAAATCGCCTCATCAACGAGTATGGCCTCGAGCAAGGCGACGGCGAGCTCCGGGCTTCGTGCTGTGCATGGGCGACGATACTACGGACGAGCACATGTTCGAAGCACTGCTGCATACTGACCTTCCGGCTGAGAACATCTTCTCCTGTACTGTAGGAGCAAGCAGCAAAAAGACCAAGGCCGGCTACCACGTCCTCGAGCCAGCGGATGTGATCGCCGCGCTGGGTACGTTGACGCAGAAGCCTCCGAAGGAAAGCAACCGCTAGCGACGGCGATACGCAGCTCTCGTCCTTTTGTGGATCATTATTTTGCCGCAAGCATATTCATTGGCTTGTGCGGCCTTCGACTAGTGGTCCGCTCTTCCTTTCGGGCACCGACAGGCATTGGGAATTGAGTTGCTTGGTGCTCAATTTGCTGTGCTCGCGATATTTGTCCGGGAGTGGTGGTGGCCGACCACTGAAAGCAACCGCTGGCGTCGGAGATACCAAGTCCGCGTGCTTCTGTGGATCTTCAATTTCCTGCAAGCATATTCATGGGCTTGTGCGGCTTTCGACTGGTGGTCCTCAATCGCTTTTGAGAAGCGGCAGGCATGTGCAATGTTCTTCCTGGGTGTTCATACCGTGACGGGCCTGCAGTTCGTCCGAGAGTGGTGGCCAGTTACCGTTATGCTGTGTAAGATCCTAGCAGGTCTCATCCTAAGGGATTTCGTGGACTCGTTGGTACGGTTGCAACCGTTAATGGAACCAGCGAGGCGTCCGATGGACACGGCGGGTCATGTGATTAGTGCACGCCTGAAGCGGACGATGTGTCATTTTGATGGGTAGAGGGCAGTGAATCAGGTCAGGGGACTATTCTGCATTGCCGATATGCACAGAGGTCCAAGTGCTGGCAAGCATGGATCTACGGTATCATTATGGTTAGCCGGTCAGGGGTACGAAGGAGCCCGGAGTATTATTAGAGTCGCTGCATTTCCGGCAGACATCAAGCGAGGAACCGGAGAGCTAGCATTCTTGTCATCCGGTTTGCTAGAAGAACTCCAGACTTATCGTCACAGAAAGACTGCTACCGTCCTCTCTGGCCGCGTTCTCCTGCCCGTGGTTGCAAAACCCATTCCTGCGAACCGGTCTTCTCAAACCCTCGCACTTATACACCACCCGGCCACCTCATAGCTTCCCCTTCCCATCACCACCGTCAAGCTTTACCTTCCCAACATCATCCGTCGCACCTTCCACGCCGACCTTTCCCTTCGCAGCAGCAGCAGCAGCCATAGCTGCCATCGTTTCCCTAATCGCCTTCTCCACCGCGCTCATCAGCCTCCGCCAAACCCCGTCAACCACCTCATCCCCGACGTCCTTCATGACCGCCCACTTCTCCACCCTTCGCCGCTGTGCGTACTCGTCTTGTGTGATCTCGCCGTGCGCGCCTCGCGGGCCGAATGCGTACGCATATGTTTCCTTGCTATCTTTGGCTGACTGCACAGCGTCCCACGGCTCTTCGCCATTGACGAAAGCAATAATCTTGTCGCGATAAGCCTTACTCACGTTCGCGAACGCTCCGTCATTCTCCACAGGATACTCGGAGGCGTAGCTGTCCCACAGCGCGAGTAGATCGACGCCATGATGCGCGCGGGGAACACCGGCTGGAGACTTTGGATCTGGGAAGGGATTGGCTTCGTCGAAGACATAGCTGAACACCTTCGTATTCGAGGATGCCACCGAGGAGATGATGTCGTGGTTGGCCACGTGGAAGAGGTAGTCCGCCATGAAGTCCAGCGCACCGCTTTGGGCTTGGCCCAGCCCGAGTGTTGGCGTGTCTGAGGCCTTTGACGATGGAGAGTCAAGATACGTCGACGCCAAGCACTGATTCCGAGAAGAGTACGAGGCACCCGCCCCCTCCTCCAGCTCTGAGCTGCCGAGGAAACACTCCCTCAGCGCCTCGTCCGAGAGCAGACGAACACCATGCATCCACAGCACACCCTCAAACTCACAATCCCCCACCATAAGCGCCTCCAGCCTCGTCAATGAACCGAGCAAAGACGGGAGGTCCGCCAAGTCATCCGGCTCCCGCAACGGAATCGACATCATCGACCCCGCAGCCATACCAGCGACCAACAACGACACCGGCGCCGTCTTGAGCGTCAAATCCTCCACACTCTCAACCTTCTGCGCAGCCGCAGCCTCACGAACAGCCTTCAACACCCTCTCAAGCGTCGGCTCGAAGAACCCCGACTTCTGAAACCGCGATGTCCCAATAGAACCAGAGCATAAGATCGCCCTGCTGATCGAAATCGACGGCGGGAGCGTCAAGCAGAGAGCATGCGTCAGGATAGAGCCAGCGGATTCGCCAGCGATGGTGATACGAGCGGGGTCACCGCCGAAGGCAGCGATGTTGTCCACGGTCCATCGGACGGCGAGCTGGAGGTCTTGGATGTGCAGGTTCTTTTCGCTGTTGGGTTTGCCGTCGCCGTAGGCGAAGAGATTGAGGCGGTAGTTTGGGTTTACGAGGACGATTGGCCTGCCGGAGGATATGGCTTGGGCGGCGAGTGGTCCGGTTTCTTGGGCTGTGAGCTAGTCATATAGAGCACGAAAGGGTCACCACTTACCGCACAGGCGATGTGCCGAGCTCGAAAACGAGACGACTTGGGCACCGCCTGCTTGATGTCAGCACAAGTTACCAGACACGACTTGCAAAGTGCGTACCATAGACCCATATCAAGACAGGCAGCTTCCCCTGAATCTTCTCAGGCACGGTAATATTCAAATTCAAGCACTCAAACTCATCGTCCACCTCCGGCGGCCACTGCTCCAAGTCCTTCGGTATCTGCATCAGATCCCGCACGTCGACGGGGATCTGTGGGCATCGTGGCCTTTACGTAGCATGCAAAGTCAGCTCATCATAAGCCTGGTGGTTCGGTGACTGATCGGTAAAGATGAGGAAGGGTATACACGCACCCAAATTTCGTAGCATCTAGCTTCGTCTGCTTGACTCTCTGCTCGTAGACAGGCGCAGCGAACCGTTCCGGTATGCTAGCATACTTGATGCCGCGAAAGTGAACCAATGGCCGGCCGTCGAAGCGGGTATCGAGTAGTCCTACAGCATTGGCTGAAGGATGCTCATACTCTTTTAGAGTCGTTGCTGTCATCTTCAGCGAACACTGAATGATTCTCACGCCTGGTTGAGGCACTCCGCGTCCGTTGGTCAGACTGCTCTGTTCTTGTACATGACTTCCGTCGGATAGCCCTGCCAAACAATCCTGCAACTCCCGCTTCCTCTTGAGTCAAGTGCCGCATTTGACCTGGCTGGTGATCGTAGTGGAGGAGGGGAAAGAGCCCGAGACGTGGTCTCGGCAGGCCTGACGGACTTTGTCACCGGCCGAGGTTCAAAAATACTCCCCGAAGAAGTGCAGCAACAGCAGTCTCCCATGATACTTTGATGCGGCGATTATGCCTATGGTGAATTATCACTATGACTAGTAGCTGCTACCACAATATGCTCGTTGCCCGATGATTTTCCTGCTGTGCATTACGTGGTGGCTGCAGGCATGTACCTCAGTAGCGACCTTTTCATAACCTCGTGAGTGTATTACCCTGGTATCCCGCCCAATCACGTATGCGTTGGTGCTTGCGGCTGACCGTCGCTAATCTGCGTCACCGTCGGTACGACAGTGCTCGCGCCCCAAGAGCCCCAGGAGCCTGTCTGAGAGCCCGGGTATGTTGGCGGATATGGGATGATACTGGTCTCGTTGCCACCTGCTGGTGGACTACCGCCAGAGCCACTAGTCAGCGTACCTTGGAGCGGTGTCTTTCGGCTAGACGAGCCGACGTAGACGACAGGGCTTTCGACCTCAACCCAATTCTGCGTGACGACGTCCCAGACGCTGACGTCCTTGCGAGTCAGCTCGGCAGTGAATGTGACCGAGCCTCCTGCTGGAATGGTCAAGCGTTCGAAGCCACGAAGAACCTTTGGTGGTTCTCCGTCACCAAGACCGATATAGACCTGAGCGACTTCATCACCAGCAACACTGCCCGTATTGGTGACGAGTGCCTGGACGGTGGCCACAACCTCCCAAAGACCTGGGTTGCCACCGGGAGCACCACCAGCTGGTAAGACTGGCTGAGGAGATGCGTCATCGTAGCCAGCAGGCAGGTAGTTTTCAGATGGCTCGCCGTACTCTGGGTCGTTTGCTGAGGCCTCAAGGTCGCTACTGTTGAGGTAAGGGTAGATGTAAAGGTAATAGTAGTCGATCTCGGCAGGGTAGATGACCTCATCCACGTTTGATGAGACATTCCCGTAGGTTGGTGCAGGCTGGGTCAGACCGCCTCCAGGGACGTATGGCGCGGGGTTACGAGGAGTGATGACGAGGTCTGAGAATTCGAACGTGGTGTAGCTGAGTCCGAAGCCGAATTCGTAGATTGGGTCAATGCCCTCCTGGTCGAAGTGGCGATAGTCAATGAATACTCCTGTGGTGGAAAAGTCATCTTGAGGTGCACCAAACTGTCCGTTATTGGGTTCAAAGATGATTTTTGCCGGGCCATAATCGTCAAAGTTGCGGCCGATGGTGAATGGCAGTTTGCCTCCAGGGCTGACAGCACCGTAAAGCACATCAACAAGCGCGTTGCCGCTTTCCTGACCTGGCAGACCTGCCCAGATGATAGCGGTGACATTGGGATTATCGTACCATGCTGTGACATTGACGGCGCCAACAGAGTGGATCACAATGACGGTATTGTTGCTGTATGTCGTGACATTGCCGATCAGTCGATCGCCATTCTCCCAGACGCTCAGATTGTTTCGGTCACCGACATTGCCATCAATGTCGATAAAGCCTTCGCCAGCGTGAGCGTTCACGAAGATCAGTGCGGTATCTATCGTGCTTGCGAGCTTTTGTATCTGGGTGTCTGCGTTGTTCTGGCAGATAGTCTGCACGACACCATCGGTGTTGGAGAGGATGTATGTCTCGATTGCTTCTTGCGGTGTGACCAGGTACTGTCAACCATGTTAGTCAAGATCGGATACTTAACAGTCGTGGGGTCTCACAGGGAACTCTGCAGTGCCTGAACCATAGCCCATTGCCAGGGTCCCGTTGTTGCAGCCGCGATTATCGCAACCATTGGGACCAGCAGGATTGCTGCAGGCGTCATATCCAAAGATACCAACTTGTTGCTCCTTACCGGTGAGTGGTAGCACACCAGAATTCTTCAGCAGGACAGTCGACTGCTGGCCAATCCGTCGAATGACCGAACGATGATCGTCTTGTACGTTGACGAACTCGTTCACCAGACCAATGGGAGAGTTCGGATCGATTGGGTGGATGTGTCCGAAAGCGGTATAACCCCAGGAGTTGAAGTTCGTATCGGTATAGACCTCGTCGCTTGTTTTTGTTAGCTGCGTCGAACTAAGAGGCTCTGATAGTACTTACTGGCCCACAAAGTAGTAGGCTGACATGATCCTCACGGCCATGTCGTCCAACCGCCATTGAGGGAGCGTGCCATTCAGGACGCCAACAGTCAAATTTGTTCCCCAAAACGTGTAGCCGGTGTTGAACAGAGTGTCTCCGGGCATGGTCATATCTAGACCGGCGGCAGCAGAGCTCATTCCACTGTGTTGCGCAGCCCAATCGGACATGATGAAACCTTGAAAGCCAAGCTCATTCTTCAGAAGATGGTTGAGTACATAGGAGTTTGCACAGGCATAGCTGTTGTTGACCTGTTGATACGAGCACATGATGGACCCGGTGCCAGCTTTGACAGCATCTGCGAATGGCCAGAGATAGAGTTCGTGCATGGTCTTGTCATCAATGTTCGAGCTCAGGGTCTCTGTGATATCATAGCCGCGACCTGTCGATTCACCAACTTGACGGAAGTGCTGTGGTCATCATCAGCCCACCACCTTAGCAAACAAATGTATGCGCTCACCTCTTGCTCGTTGGCGATGTAGTGCTTGGTGGTAGCAACAACGCCAGAAGACTGAATGCCTTTAACGGTCTCGGCGACAATCTGACCAGCAAGATAGGGTTCGGGACTGAAGCCCTCCCAATTACCTGCAGGTGTCAGCCATGATGGCGTCCGTCCACACACTGTTCACTTACGTCCACCGTTCGGAAACCGTCCGAGTGGCCCGATAGCAGGTCCCAGCTGAACATCAACACCCTTTCCGGCAGCTTCTGCACCCATAGCAGCGCCACGCTCGAGCGCGAGCTCGCGATTCCAGGTGGCAGCGACGTTGATACCGGCAGGGAAGGCACTGACCCGATCGGCGAATCGCAGACCAAGAGGGCCGTCCTGCATGCATAGCTGGTGAAACCCGAGTCGAGGAATGGCGCCCGTGTTACCCACACATCTGTCGCTAGTCCAACTGCGAGCTCGTCAGCTGTGATCAAAGGGTGCCCCGATGTGCTCGGAACCTACCCAGTTCCTGTGGTCAGGTTGACCTTCTCAGCAAGCGTCAATTGGCTAACGAAAGCGACGGCTTTCTGGTGAGCTACGGCCCAGTCGCCGACGCCGTTGCTCCATGGCGATGGGTAGCTCGGTGGCGACTCGAGGATGGGACCATCATAGTCACTGTTGAAGGGTTGCTGCTGCTGTCGCTTGTCCAAGGCCTTGGACAGCTCAAAGTCTGACGGCAGCGCTGACACGGTGCTGGTCAATGCCAGACCGAGCAGACCGATCGTGGCGCATAAGTTCTTCCCCATGATGAGGACACACTTTGGCCTTGATCACCCAGGCGAAGCTGAAGCAAGTCGAAGAGGCTGTCCTGGTCGCTGCGGTGACAGAAAGCACAGGTGACAAGAGGCCGGCATCGCAGCGAGGACCTGACATTTTATTTCTCAAGCGAGGGAGGAGCTCCGAGCTCACCTCGCGCTTGCCAGAGTATGACAGCTCTGTGCTGCTGATCGGTCAGGTACCATGGTGCTTGCCCCACAGTATGGTTGCATCGCAAGTTGTAGGCGGAGAAATTCGATGGTCAGCACATCATTTCACGGAGTACTTTGCCATTAAAAGATCTACAGATCATGAGGTGCCTCGCCTAGTTCGTAGGTGGTAAGGACAAGGTCTGCAAAGACAGGGGTCTCCCGGCAACCCTGGAACTGACTTCTTGTTTACACCCGCAAATGCACTCTTTTAGGCTTTCCTCCAGTAAAAGCCGACCGCCTGTGCTCCCCCGCGATTGATCCTGGCGGGATGACTTCACCGTCATAGCCTTGGCAAGCCTTCGAGATGTTACCAGTCCATCGACATTTGCCTCTTGTCGCCGGAGTCTTGGTGCCTGTGAAAGTCACACACAGGAAACTCACGTCAAGGAAAACTATTGAGACTTGAATCGTCCTCTAATGAGACTGCGGGCGAAGCATTCGGCCTAAGTGTCAGCCTGTCCGTTGGCAGACTACATCTCTGGAACTTCGTAATCTGGGAGGTATTGCTGCGGCTCCGTGTATCGTTGCATTATTACTCCAGGTCCAAAAGCTCGGGGTAAGCCGCCCAGCCATCTGCTTACACAACGACGCCCGGGTATCATTGCCACTCGCCGCCAGTAGCCTCATACAGCTTACGTTGTATCCTCGAAAGCTCGGCCCTCACCGGGTCTAGCCTCTTAAGACAATGAGCTCTCGAAAGGGCATATACGAAAGTGAGCTTTGCTCTTTGTAAAAGACTTCAGATCTACCTCAGTGCTGCCAGATCGAGGTTTTGGTCGTACACACTCACCCACCAAGCGATTATTATTGTTGTTGGATGATGAGGCAGATGTCAGACCCGGGCCTGCCGACATCACCTGTTTGACCACGTGCATGCAGTGTTAACGACAGAGCCGATCTCTCCGTGAAGCCGGCGCAATCAAGAAGAGGGGATGGGGACTGAACAATGTGACCTTCCATATTCTTTCCCGAAGCACTTCGCATCGTGCATCATATGCCCCGATGTATGTAATACTGACCACGAGGGGCCGAAGATTATCCTAGAGATCAGCCCGCTACAAACCCTACTGTTGCTACTACTCATGTTCCGAGATGTTGACAAAGTCCTAGCTCGGCATATGCAGTGGATTTGGACCGTTGACGAGGACGCTTACATGGAAAGCACCATCATTCACGGGAATATGCCCCTCATCTCGAGCTCGTAGGCGATGCTGGTGCGAGCCCTTGCACCTGGACCGAGGTAGGTACTTACTGCCGATCGTCCAAGCACCTGACAGCATGGCATGCTCCTCACAGCACGGCTTTCGAAAGGTCTCCTGCCACGCTTCGACATGTAGGAAACGATGCGACTCCTCTGAACAGGCGGCCCCGGAGAGCCTGCTGCTCACAGCATGTTTCGGTCGACTCGATCTCGGTGCCGTGTCAGGTCAACATCGCTCTCATGTATACTCAGGCGGCCACCGCTTCTGCTGTTCGCCTAATCATTTGTAGTCAGGAACTCTGCGACGTGTTATGTCAGTTGAAGGTAACGTGAATAAATTTGCGCGTTTGGAATCGTGATGTCAAAAGCCTCTCAAGCGGTTCACAGCCACTGCCGTAGCCACGAACCAGCTGCCGGTAGCACTGTTCCGTGCCGGCACCACTCGTTCCTGTGCTTGCCATTTGACCATCCTAAGGATCGCTCTTGTCCCTTTACCGCAATTCTTAAGCGCTTCGATACCTTCCTGATCACTGCAAATTCTCACCACAACCATCACAATCGAATCGTGAATATCACAATACCCTCCGGCAACCCGCGAAACCTTCCCTCCGGCCCAATTGCTTACTCCAGACCCAAATTGCCCTTTCCTCGTGCTTCTTGGCTCCACAAACACGCCCCGAAAGTCCACCTGAACCAACTCGCTTCTGCACCCAAGCGTTCTCGAAGCTTTCAGGCACACCAGCCCCTCTAACAACCAACCTCATTCGCGCGTTCCCGCATAACGGTCAGTCATGGTGGCAACTCGGTCCTCTAGGAAGTCATCGGCTGCCAACAGCCCCGCGCCAGAGTCACCAACCACGCCCTCTCGCAATGGCCACATCAACGGCCACGTGAAAGGCCACGCCAATGGCAAACTCGTGGCCGCGACGCCGAACACGAAGTTGGCGATCAGTAAACGCAAGTCACCAGCCAGTGGCGATGCAACAAGCACGTATGCTCACGTGGTCGATCCATTGACCATTCTCTGGCTGTTCGTCTCGCTGATACTGGTTGCATGGGATACTGGCTACGTCTTCCTGCGGCCTTGGTCTATGCCTGGAGGTCACTTGCATTCGCCCATTTGGACACCCTATGCGCTCTACGGTACCGTCGATTACATCTATGGATGGCCAGCTATCGAGAACGGCGTTGGCTTCACAGCTGCCCAAGGCGCTCTGAACTTCGTTGAATCGTCTATGTACGGATACTACCTGTTCAAGTTGCTACAATGCGGCTCGGGAACGGAATGGTACAAAGTCTGGGATGTTGCCTACTGGCGCCGTGAGACCGTGGTGGAAGGCGAGGGCATGGCCAAAGCATTGGTCATATGCTTTGCGTCTGCTATCATGACTCTCAGCAAGACCGTCCTATACTGTGAGTTTGACAGGTTCCGGCACGTAAAGCTCCATACTAACGGTATCACAGGGCTCAATGAGTACTTCTCAAACTACTCGAACATCGGCCACAACACCATTGGCAGACTCTTCTTCCTCTGGATCATTCCCAACGGGCTATGGCTGATAGTCCCAACTTACATGATCTACATCCAGGGGGCCGAGATTGTCGACCTCATGGAAGCAGGCAGCCGCAAGATTCACGTCAAGGAAGAGTGAAGTTGATTTTGTGTCGCATTCAGCGCTGACACCTGTATATCGCTGTATACTAAGCACCTAGCTGGGCGAGCCAAATGCGGCAAAAGTTTGACTAGCATCTGTCGATGGGAGGTCTGCAATGTTTTTGCAGTTGGATCTGCGGATGAGTGCTGTTACGTTGGAGTTCATCTAGGCGCAAATGTTTACGTGAAGAGACTGATGCTCGACTGGCTGAAACTGATCAAATCAAAAGCACATACATCTTGGGCTACTTCAATTCTGATCTCGAGCATCTCACAGGACTGCGTAGTTCCCTGAAGATTACTGCTATCGGTCGCTCAGACGATCAGTCGTGACCAGCGAATTCAAGGGGGAGGCCGCTTCGCCACGAGGAAGACACCGTGAACGTACTGATGACCACACCGACCTCATCCACACAGACCAGCTTTCGTGGGAAACCTCGACCAAGTTGACATACTGACCCAAATCCACACTCTCATCTGCTTCAATCCTGCCACACCAGCCCTCACCAAAATCTCTCGATCAGCAGTACTCCTCGCCGATCCAACCAGCGGCCTGTGGTATCGGCACCCCCGGCCCCGCCAACCACAACTGCACCGTCACCCTCCCCATCGGCGCACCAGCCTGATATTCAAATTGAACGGCCTTCCCCTCATCGCCGGATTCCTCCTATGCCACACTAGGGTAAACGCATTGGGACGCCCCGGCATGCCCAACCCCCCAAACGGCCGCCCATTGATGCTGGCCTGAGCAATGGCCTGGTTACAGACGATGATGTAGGTGCCGACGCCACGACAGGCGATCGGGATAGAGGCACCGGCTGTACGGCCGGTTTGCACGGGGATCGTGCGGGCGTGGCGGCCTGGTGGCGGCATGGCCTTGACGATAGTGACCTAAAGGAGTCGTAGTGTATGGGTGGACTGGCTGTTCTGACGACAGCGGTGACGGAACGCAGAGGGACTGCAGGCAGAGATCGGGTGTGGAGATGGGACAAAATATGAGGGAGCAGTGAGATCAGGCTGACTTGAGAAGGGGAAGGATGAACCCGTGGAGTCAGGACCACGGCAGTCGTTGGTTTAGATGTACTTCAGAACCTCAAATCCGGCCCCAAAAAGGCTGTGCCGTTCTAGAATATCGCAAACCGGTGATGGCGGGGCCCTAGCGACGGCTCTCATGTACTTAGCTAGATCAGTAGACGATGTTTGTTTAGTGCAGCGCCCGAGAGACGCGAGAGCTCAATACACGGCCATATAAACCGGGCAATAGCTGACAAGGAGGGTTGGAACAACCGTCAAATCACGGCCTACTACAGCCGCGTTCGCAGGATGAGCTAGCAAAAGGTCGAAGTTTAAGGCAGGTTAGTCGTATCATTAGCGAGGGTGAAAAGCAGTCCGAGGAAGTCTGCGACTTGATGGGTCTGAGGCTGCGAGCAGAGAAGACGAAGATAAATGGCGGAAATCTTCACAGCAGCGAATATGAATTGAGGTGCACGTTGACTTTCTGGCAATAGAGGTTGAACCTTTCCGTATGTGGAGCTCCGCTAGAGCATCAGTACGTAGGTCTACCTAGCTCAGGTATCCAAACCACCGGTACGGCTAGGACCCAATTACTCTCGTGCCTGGGCGTCGGGCTGAGAGCTTGAATTAATATCAATGGCTGTCATCATCGTTTCATCGTTTGATTCTGCGTCTCGCTCTCCCAATCAATCATTGTTGCCGTCGCTAGCCAGGTCTGGACATCACCATCTCGGGCTGTGCTCGCACTAGCGGATAGCAAGCTGTAACCCTCAGCCACATAACCTGCTGTCTCGACAGTAGGATGCATCGCTCACGTCGACCATATTCACTGCCACCGAGCCAATATCCAAGACCAAGCAAACATGAGGTCCTGAATGGCATTACTCGAAAGGCTCTCACTGCAACAAAGCCTCCATCTGCGCCTTACGCTTCTCCTGCCGCTCCAGAGCTCTGTTCTTCACAGCCGGGATATGCTCTTTGACGTCGCCGATGCCTAGCGGGTCGAAGTCTTCAGCCAGTGTCTCGGCGCTCGGACCTTGACCTTGCTCAAGTTCTTCTTGCAAGATGGCTTGCTCTTGTTGAGGTGCCAAATCGATGGATCCAGAGATATCTCCAGGTGTTGTTGGCTTTGCTGGTAAAGCGTTGTTCTCAGGTGCGATCTTCTCCGGTGCGGAGGGCGTGTCTTTCCCTGACTCAACAGGAAGGGCGACTGGTTCTTGCGGATATTGCTGACTTGTGCTGTCGGGTACTCCGAGAGTTGTGCACGCTGACTCATCCTCCGTGACGGCCACTGGCGTCTGTTTGGCTTCAGTCACTGTCCCGTTACTCACTGGCTGAGCCTCAAGGGCCTGTGTCTTTGGCGGCGAACTAGCAGCAACCCCAATGCCAGCCTCAGTAGTCTCAGCACCGGTCAAGACCGGCGTCCTAGCTCGGCTGATTGGTCCGCTGGGACTGACTTGGCTCTGCATGCCGTAGGAGCTCATCTCGCTTTCCGCGTCGCTTGTACCATTAACACCTGCAGGTTTCGCACCAATAGCGGCGGTGGTGCTGCTCTGCGTATTGAAGAGAGCGCCGTTCATCTCGTCATCTGTGCGACCGAATAGCTCGTGCCACCATCGTGTCTCGGCGATGCGTGGGAAGATCAGTCTCTCCTTGCCGCGAACGTTGTCATCAACATCTGGGTCGTACTTTGGGTTCAAGAACTGCTCCTTCCTCGAGAGGAAATAGTCCCATACGCTTCTAGTACGGTCGCTGATCTTAGCCTCCTTGCGATCTTTCTCGTTGTCGAACAGAAATGTGCCATACTGACACGAGTAGAGGTGGTAAAGTAGTCGCCGCAGAAAGCGTTCCGAGAATTCGAACCTAGTGGGATACTGATATTGCAACTGGTAGGTCGCATCGAGGAATTGATGAAAAATAGGCGATATCTCCTTTGGTTTTGTGACGTTCTTATCGCCCTTGCCACTTGCACTGGCGACCCGCTTGACTGGCGTTCCGTCGGCGATACTAGCTACCTCAGCTTCGCTGTCGATAGCGAGAGACTCCCGGCTGTCATTGTCTTGCTTGAACCATCCTTTGGCGCTCAGAAATGCATTTCCGAGTGATTTTTGTGCTCCTTGAAATGCGTCGGCTGCACGGCCACGATCTGGCTCATCATCGCGGTCGTCGTCTTCATTGCGCGCTATCACTCGTTCATTCTCAATGTGGAACCACTTGTCGGATCCCAGAGGTCCATTCCGGTACCGAAAGCGGTGACCGAATGACAGCCAGTCCTTCTCGACCAGAACAATGAAACCCTCCATCGTGCGATAGTATGGATCGAGACATATCTGGCTCAAAGCACTTAGCTGACTGGTGCGATCCCACCCGTCTGAGCAGTGTATCAAAACATGTGAGTGCTGCAGCCCTACTTGGCGCGCTATTTTGCCCACACCGTCCATCATGTTGGCGATATGCTTAATCCATTTGCTGTTGTGCAGGGCTTCCTTGTTGGGACCGATGGGTGTCAGATCAGAGTCTTTGAGTGCATCAATCACCTTGTTCAGACTGTCACGCATGACGTGGATGTTGTCAATATTCAAGAAATCCTTCCATGCGAACGCGTAGTTCTTCATATCCTCCGAACCTGCGCCCATCGCTTGCATAGCTATAGCATTGAGCGTGGGCCGCGCATCAATGATCAGATTGCGTTGCTGGGCGCCGTAGACCTTTGGTCTGTCCTCCTCCGATACTTCATGCTTTGGCATTTCACTGTCGTGTTTCAACTGATGGATCACCGCGTCTTCCAGTGCTTCCGAATTCGAAAAATCACTTTGAAGAGATGGAGGCTGAGGTAGGGCGAGAGGATCATCCTCGGACACTTCTCGATCTGGAGGAGGCGTGGCAAAGCCGCTGAGTGGACGTTGTGCTCTGGTGGTATTGAATATGGCAGCCACAAGCTTCTCGTCCTGAATACTGCGTTTTCCCCCAACCCCGACCATGGGCTGAGAACATCTCGTGATTGTACAGTTGTTGACTGGATGCAGATATGCGAGAGCTGGTATGCGGTGCCGAGACCGATATGGCTTTGCGTAATTCAGAGTGTTGTCTGATATTGCTGACGGCACTGCAAGGGTGGCGGGATAGGTGTCGGAGAATGCATAGTCCTTGTTGATCTTGGTGATTCGCCAGGCCTTGTTCTTGTCAACGCCTTGTCGCCGCCATTCCCGCATAGGGTCATAGACACTCCAGCCTCCGCCATTGATCTTACTGAATGCTTTCTCCGGCCCTGTTGGTGTGTATGAGAATGCATACAACTTCTCGATTCTGCCCAACTTGCAGGTGAACGCTTTGGTACTGTCAAAGACATCCCGAGCCTTGCGCTCGTCTTGGAAGTAGAAGCAGACGTATGAGAAGTCCCGACAACGTAAGCGGATACTGCTGGGTTGTCGACTAGTCGTCGGAGACGGGCGGAAGGTGCAGAACTGGATGATTGGATATGTGATCCAAAGTTCTCTGGGTTTAGGTGCAACAGCCTTGCTGTTCTGACCTTCTGCTTCAGCCGGGCTTGGTGCAGGAGGAGTTGTGACGAAGATGAGGTGGTGAGGTGTAAGATGAAGAGTGCCGGCGGTCTGCTCTCCTCGTCGGGCAAGTATCACGTCCTCGACCTGCTCAAAGTCAGTCAAGAGTCCTTGAATGGGTTGCTGACTGCCTCTCACCTTTGCAATACGAGTTCGTTCCATCGCCATGTTTACGTCTGGCACAGTATGTGACTGCGGCGGCAGCAGCGGGACGCGGGGAACTCAAGGCGTACACATTGTTCTGAGTGTCCGCTATGCTGTGGCATGGGCAAGTCAGACAACTACTGCACAAGTGATTAGGCTTCAGAAGCTGGTGACTAATGTTATGGCCAGAGTCATGAAGGAGTAATCTGTTGGGTTCCAAGAGCAATGGTAACATCACTAATGCATCCATCTTGAACATTCTCAAAGTACGCAGCCTCGTCACTATATTCAGCCTTGTGTGTAAAGACAGCACTGCGGCAGTCGCCACAAGCCAACAGGCGCTAGTACTGTATAAGGAGTGCTGAAAAGCCATGAAGACCAGCAAGTAGATGGCAGGATGCTGCAAGCACTTTGCGAATCGTCTTGTATCTATCCACAATGCCCTCAGGCGTATCTGGTCCTCTTTCCAACGAGCCACTTTTCGAGGGCTTCCAGTACTACCCTATGTATGATATCCATGTTGTACACCACCTTTTTGCTCTCCTGGCAGGCCATCCTGTCATCCAGTGGGCCGCCGTATGCATCTCGTTCAACCATTATGCTACGTCCTGTTGTCGAAATCCATCCAAACAGCCGTGCTAATGTTACAACTCGGGCTGATCCGTTTGGATCATGCACCCTGTTCGTTTCTCGTCAACACACATCAATCATTTTACTCGCTGCAGACGATGAAGCGGAAACTGCCTGTAATTCGGTCATCGGAACTCCAGGAACCTCGGTCTCGAGGCAACTATAGCAGCAAATACTGCTTCACAAAAAATCGTCAATATGACGCAAAATTTCCTTCGCTTCACCTTGTTGAGGAGGACTTCGTGGATCGATCGTAGTCGGAACAGCCGGCTGGGTCGGAGCGTCATCCAAATGCATGGTCGGCGCCCGGATATGTGAAAATCCTATGACCCCTGGACTCGGCGTTGGTGGAGCAATGGAATGGATCGATCTAGCAGATCTTGGGCCGCTAATCAGGAGTTCCCCGACCGAATTGGAAATCCCAAACGGTGAAGCCAGGAACTCGGTGGCTCTGGGCGAGAACAAAGATGGTGATTCCGGCACATCCTGTGACGCCAGGTCCATCGACGGTCGTGAGATGTGGATCTTCATTGGAGCATTAGGCTCGTTCTGCGGTCGCGGCCGATGTGGTGGTATTCTCAAAGGATGTGAATAATTTGCCATTTTCCGGAAAGGCAGTTCTCGTGGCTCGACGCTCTGCTTCTTTGCTGCAGGCTCGGCTTTTGGCGGTGTGGGAGGCGTGGCATTGGATTTGGGAGGTAATGCTGGCTGCGAGCTCGGTACAGCAGGAGCATCGGACTTTGGCTCGTCTTTCGGGAACAGGGGCACAGGAGGTAAAGCCTTGTCCAGCTTGATCGATCGCAATGGATTCGCCTTTGGTGTTTTTGCATCGTCGTCTGACACGGGACCTGTTTCGGGCCTCTGATTTAGTGACGACAATTCCGGATTGCTGAATGATAATGAATCTGGAGGAGAGTACTTGAACCATTGTGGAGGCGCGGGTCGTCCACCGTTCGCGTATGTGCCCTTTTCTATAGCGACCCGGAAGTCGCTGAGCTGATAGATCAAGCTCATGTTTGGCCCTACCCATCGGCTCTTGCTTTTGACTTGCTGATACATAGAGTGAAAGTTCTGCTGATACCCTTTGTAGAGGCCATATGCAATAACGAGCGAAGCAGACCGACTGACTCCGAGCTGACAGTGTATGAGCACACGCTTGCCGACTTTGACACGCTCATCAATGACGCAGCAAAGAGGCCACAGATCATCCAAAATCTCGGAATTGTGGTCCCAAGGCACGTGCAAGTACTCAGGATCGTTCTTGAGCAATGACGATGGCCGAGGAGTTGATGGTGTGTTCTCTGGTTGGAACTCCCAGGCTGACTTGAACGAGAGTTCGGACAATGCAGTCTGCGGCTCAATGATGGAGTTGCGATTATTCCTCCACACCGACATGACAGTATCCGTCTCGCCTGATGAGGCTTCAAAGGGATTCTTGATTTCTTTTGCGCAGTTGATGACAGTGTCGAACTCCTTGGCTTCCTCTGCTTTAGGCTCCAGATACAGCCAGACACCACAATCATATATCTGTACAGGTCCTTCAGTGTAGCCTCGTTCCGGCGCCTCGAAAGACCGTCGAGGCTCGTCCTCCTCCTTCAAGCCAGGCAGTTGAACGCCTGCAGATTGATGGCTCGAGACACTCGATTCAGAGCCAGGTCGAGAATGTCCAGCACTGAATGTCGGAAGAGACAGATGTAGTCCCATCGAAGACGACGTGGTAGGTGTCTGCAGGGAAGGCAACGAGGGCGATGTCTGTAAAGTGAGGAGGGTTGGTCGTGAGCTTGGTGTGGGTGGCACATCTCCCAGGGCGCGAGGGAAAGCAAGCTGATTGAAGCCAGGCGTCCGGATCGTCAGATTCGTTGGCTTTTTTCGAGCGCTTCGTAACGGCTCTCTCAGCGGCGATGCTGGAGCAGAGAATGCATCCGTCCTGCTCTCAGCGCCGTGGGAGGTGGCGGGACGTAGACTGACTGTCGTATTCATGTTTAGAGACAGGTTCTTGACATTTCGACTCGGAGAATCAGACCGTATATGGGATTGTATCGATAATGGCGGCCGCTCTTGCGTTGTTTGATCTGGTCCGTTCTCTGAGCCATGGTCAACATGCCTGATGGTCTGCATGATGTTTCTGAAAGGTGACGGTGGAGGATTTGAGGATGAAGCCGACTCTGGCGACGATGACGGAGACGGGTCGGAGAAGATGGGTGAAGAGTGGGTTGTTGTAGGACTCGAGGCGCTAGAGGCAGTCGTGGCTATGGAGGTGACACTGCCTCGGTGATAGATTGGATATGGTAGAGCGTGGCTATTATGTTGAGTTCTTTGAGCATTGATGTTCAGTTGTCCAAGTGGCGGTTCTGTCTGCTTCTGTGAAGCCTCGTCTGCAAGCTCTCTTTCTATTGAATGTGGATCGCTGCCATAGACGGACATAAAGGATGGGTATGGTGTTGACATGGCAGAGTTGACAATGTGTACCGGCATGCTCGGACTTGAAGGGATGGGAGATAATTGAGGCTCAGGCAGCGAGCTCTTTGGCGAAGGAGGAAGTAGGCCAGAGGTTATTGTATAGGGCCTGAAGCCATGCTGCAGAGGTGGTGGTCGAGATCGAGAGCGAACTGTCGGTTCGTGAGGTTCAGTGACCAAATCGAACGACCTTTTTCTGCTATGCATGTTAGGACGAGAACCTTTAGTAGACGCCATAGCAGCAGCAGGAACTGCAACGAGGGGGAAGCTGCGATCATGACATGCCCTCGCTCGCGATAGAATGTACAAGCAAGGTGGAAAGGCAGCATACCGTCGGCGACAGGCAAACAGCCAAGACGCAGAATATCCTGAAAGTAACAGTGACAGCGACGCAGTGCTCCGGACAACGTGACAGTTGCGAAACTGCTTGGTGGAGAGCAATGGTCGCAGAATGCGGAAGTCTGAGGAGTAAGAGGTCTTTGAAGCGTTTCGAGTCGCAGGTGGAGGCGCAGCAAACAGTGAGAGTAAGAGTCAGGCTGCTTCGAGTGAGGCTTGTGAGAATACTATCACCCGGTCCAGCCGTTGTTGTGTCGTGGTTGCTGTCAATGCGACCGTCGAGGGCGTGCGCTTAGTGCACGGGCAGCTGAAGTCGCCTTTGCTGGTGGTGATGCGCCGAAGCGGAGGACTGGAGCGATGCGCCAAAGCCAATACTCGGCCTGGGGATAGCTGAAGGACTCCGCCCCAAACTGGTCAACCGTGACACTTGTAGTGAGAGTACTGATTGTCTGCGCTTGGTAGCCAGCAAACAAGGTGATGCTGGTACTGAATTCACAAAAACAAACGAACGACAGCAGGAACTTCGCAGCGCTGAGGGGGTGGAATGCTCAGGGTGGTGCAGCGCTTCCAGCAGTTCCTGGCAAAGTCGTAACCCTGTCCCGCAGGTTGCAATTGGACAGTCCACACCTGAAACTGGCGGAGCCTTGAGTCTGTACCTAACAATAGCCGCTCTCGGAGCCGCCAACTGGAGCCTTGTTCTTCGAATGAATGTCTCTTGTTCTCCTCTTGCGCGGTGCGATTGGCCGCAGAGCGCAAGAGTCGATTTTCGAAGCTGACCGTCGAGGCCCTTCGTATGTGAACAGGATGCAAGTGACGCTGGTAGAGTCGAAGACCAGAAGATGGTTGTTGACGTTTGCTCTTTCCGCTTCAGCTACGCAACTACTTTGGCAGGCACGATGGCTCTATGACCGTCTCTTACTGCGTAGTCGACTTGCCCAGGTGCTCTAATTTCAAATGACACGGGCTCCAGAACCCCCCGTTGTTGGCCAAAGCTCGGGCCAGAGATCCTAGATGTCAGATTTATGCGCCGGATCTGGCCATCTCACGCATATGGCAATAATCCCTAATTCTCTACTTCGTGAGACCACGTCCTCGAGCTTGATGGCATTGACCAGGAGAATCATGACGACTGCAACGTTCATTTCGACGACTTGCCATCAGCATTGACACCGACTTACACAGGCAGAAGCTCAGCCTGATCGCCGTCCCCATGAACGAACCCCTCGACCCATGATCAGCAAATTGCAATTTCTTCAACATTCCTCCACTCACTACAGTTTCACCTTTTTACCCCCAAGCCTGACACCCCGAACAGCGAACAGGAACATGCTGACCCTTCATCTCTCGCTGTCCATCTTCTACTGCAGAGGTACGAGCTCCGTCATCCACGTTTGCAGATCGCCATCTTGCATGAACACGCACGCGACACTGGAAATTCCTACTGTTCCACCGTAGGATCCGAGACCACAACATGGGTCATTGTACCAAGAGACGTCACTGACTGAGCTCGCTACGAGGTTCGCGTGTCAGACTACGTGAAACTACCTTGCTCAGAAGTCCTTCAAGCTCGCATCGTGCATGCTGGTTACGGCTGAGGAGATTATCATTATGGTAATCCCGTCATCTCGCCTTCGAGGACGATCTTCTCGACGAAGAGCTGCACAAGTTTTTTGGAACACTGGAATGCTGGATCTCATCGCACTAATCGTCACCGCCGTGGCAGCAAGGTGTTGCCAAGGCTCTTGAGACGTGCCATCGGTCCCTACATCGAGAGAAGCATGCAAAGCGAAGACATTGATTTTCGCAGAATGACCGCAAGAACTGGTTATTGATCCAGACTATCGAATACCAAGCAGGCTTGCGACTCTTCACATGTCGAATCTGGGATGATGCTTCCTCCTTGACGGCCGAAGTAGGATTTTACTTATGCGACCAGCTCATCCCTGCTCGTGAAACTTTTCGACCATGTGAAGCCGAGGCTGTTCCTCTTGTCACGATGTGAGTGACACATCCGCCATGTCGTCCCTCTGTCCACGGACTCACCAACGCTGTCGATCTACATTATCCGAGTGTAGCACGTTGAGCAGCTGACCTAGGTATTCCGAGGACGCTGAGTCTGTGGAGGTCCGTTCTGTCCCGGCTCATCTTGAGGCGGCGCATCCCGTGGGGGATAGATGAGGTCAACTCCAACAGGACATATCCAATCGAACAGCCTGGGCAGATCGCCACGTGCTCGACTCCACAGGATTGTCGGCTCATCGAGTTTCTCTTGTTCGCACTGTGAAGGCGGCTGTCCCTCTGCAGGCGGCTGCACTGGAGGAGGTGCAAACTTAGGATCAGGATCCGGGTGCTCTCTCTTGTACTTCAGTGGCTGAGGATCGACATGTAGATAGTCTGGATCCTTGGGTTTTGTGTGAGTGCTGGATACTCAATGCGTGCCCAAACGCTGTCAGACCTCCACCATTCCGATCCTTTGGGCGCAAAGATATAGGCGTCCTGATGCATTGCAGCCCGACCGAGAGCCTGGTAGTAACAGTGGTTGAACAGGTAGATAGGTCTGATGTCCTCCTCGCCATCGGAATCTTCTGTCGGCATAAAATCAGTTGGATATTGGACTTCGAATGCATCGGAATTTGCGTTGATGAATCTTTCCTGCTCGTCGAGCCCTGCAGTCTTGTCAGCCTCCACCAAACCAAGCCACTTCGCTTCAACAGTCAACATACATTCCGTGTCAAATGGACCGAGGGACCAATAGAACTTCAGGTCATCGCCATTCCAAAAGTGCTTCTGCTTTAGCCAGCCTCCTACCCACGCCAGAAGAGACGCCCGGTATTCGTTGCTGTCATCTTTTCGCTCGGGCACTGGATAGCGTAAGTTGGAATACTATACATATTTGTCGCTGTTAGCATCATATGCTCTTGGGAGAATTTTGATAACAGACGCTTGTGGGTCACACCGTCTGGCCGTCGGCTGTACTTACAAACACTGCGGGACGATCGACATTGACACCTTGACCATTGTGGGGATTTTGGAGTTGCTCGACGATGTCGTCGACAGATGGGAGGCGAAAGTCACAGTCGAAGCCCGCATTGTCTGCAGCTGATCTGCGCACGCATTGTCTTCGGTCGAGGTGGCTGGTGTTCTTTGTGTTCACGATGTGTGCCGCTCCATTCGGGTGGGTTGCGTGGCTGGCGTCCGGTTCATGTGTCACTAGGTCCAGGTGGGATGTGCTATTGATGTCCGAAAAGCGTGTCGGCCACGCGCAGGCCCAGGGCCCCAGGAGCAGTACCGAGAAGGCGAGTCTGTGGAAGAACATACTGACAGGTCGGGACCGAGCGTCGTTCTGGAAATTCGCCTTGGTGAGTAGGTGCTTGTGATGGACTGCCTCCCTTCTTGCAGTGGAGACTCATAGGGATGGATGGATGGTACGCAAAAACTTCAGAGGCTTCACAGGCTCACGATTGCAAGTGAAGTCACGCGTCTCAGATGGCAATGACTCAGCTAGACGTTCTCGACAAGTCGTTGAACAGGGAGCCCGGCTCCTAACGGTGCCCTCCCTGGCCAGAAAGTCGGCGGTGAATCCGTTTCACGAACTGACGCTCAAGTGAGGCTCATTCAAAATCACCTACCTGACCAACGAATCAACATCACACCTGCAGTGCCCTCCTGGAGCTGGGAAACGATCACGAGGCCAATATGCTGAAAACGCCCAGTACCTGTAGCCCCAGCCTGAGAGAACAGGTTGCCCGGGAGCTGAGTGGCAAAGTGATAGCGTGGATGAGGTAGGCTCAGAAGAGATAGATGCAGAGAGAATCGCCAGATCAACATTGCACTCTGCCAGATGTTATGTATCGCGTTGCCCGCATGGCCTAACAAACTGTGTACTTGAGTATATTCCTTGTCAACCGGCTCGCAATAAGTCGTTGGAAGATGTCTGTAATTACTGCTCATAGCTCTAGATATGGACCACGAGTCCCCGGGCATTCCTGTATATTTTGCTCCTAGTTCTTTGGTGTTTCGGCAACAGCCTGCCGGCTATCTCGCTTTCGCTGCCGGAAACGCCATCTCAAAATACATCCTCGACGTAGCCCGATGCGGCTGGATCCGCAGAAATCGCGCCGTCACGGCTTCAATCTCCTCCCACGCTCGCAATCCCATCGTGACAGTGGCATGTCCTACAAACGCTTGGTGGAAGTACCCCTCCACGACTCTCTCCGCAGTATCATCAGGGAAAATACTCGCGCGCTCCGCAAGCGAGGTTACCCACAATAACCACAGCCAAAGCCGCGCGTGTCGAACCAGACCATCTGACGATTTGCAGAAATGATACGCCTCGCGAAGGTGAGCGAGCACAGGGCCGTGTGTGCCGTAGATCTTGTACAGCTGCGTGTACGCCCGTCGCTCCACATCGATAGGCTCGTGATTGGTGACGGTACGAACGGCGTACGCACCCACGATGCCGATTGATGATTCCGAGTAGAGTTGGTAGAGGTCGTCGGTGGGACTCTTCGAGTCGCGGATCTGATCCAGCCCATCGTTGTAGCTGTCAATGAGATTGCAGCAGCTGAGTGCGGCGCGATACCCAAATGCTTCCATGAGAGCGTCGTCAAGGAATTGCGGAGCGTACTGCAGGGCCTGGCAGAGATCGTGGATGAAGCGCATCTCGCGAGTGCGACCGAGGAGATGCGGATTGATGCTAGCGGCCTCGAAACCGTCGGGTAGAGGCGTTGGCCAAAAGCGAGGCACTCTAGACGCAGTTTGGCAGCAAACATGGTGCGAAGGTGAGGTGTTGAATCGATGAAAGTCTCGCACGTCAAGATCGGTCGGCGTCCTGTCAGTCCGCATCGGAGGCATTCGTGCCAGCAGATAGACGTCAGTAACCTTCTGTCGAGTATCACGGATTGGCCATAACCTCGCGCGAGCTGGCCCAGGTTTCTTGTATGTAAAGCCGAATTGTCGTCCTGTCGTGCAGTCATTTCCATGGACACGACGGAGAAGACTTGTTTCAGCAATGCCAGATTTGGATTGCTTCCGGAAGCCGCCATTGACTCTCGAAGGCTTGCATACGCTAGCATTTTGAATCGCGCTGCCAGAATCTCCAGGCGAGGATTACCTGTCACAGCAGCAGCGGCGACAGCGAGGCGGGCAAGGTTCGCATATCCTGTTCCCGGCTCCGCCATCGCCTGCTGCGACGCCTGCGCGAACTTGTTTGCAAAGCTGCCATGCTTATCGTCGCCCTTCTCGATACCTATAGCCCATGGCGTGAACATGCTGGAATTGAAGACGAGAAGTTCATGAACCTGTGACGTGATCGGTATCGATGTCGACACGAATGGATCATAATTGCCATCCGTGTGTGATGTGATTGGCACGGTTGGCATCACCGTGTCCTTGGCCGCCTCGGTCTCATTCGAGCCATCACCGCTGGCATCAGTGAGTACACCAGGGCTGCTGTCGGTGGTCGGTGTGTTGGCAGACTGATCTGTCAGCTCGCCAGATAAAGGTCTGGCCACATACTTCGGTACGACCCTCGAGATCTGGAGCTTTGGCGCCTTTGATAGCGCCTTTGCATCCTCTGAGACCGAAGACTCGCTCTTTGTGAGCTTGGGCTTTCCCTGACGCCTTCTGTCAGCGGCGCGCCGACTGAGATGTGTATTGATAAATTTGCGATCGTCCGGTTTTGAAGGATCAGTGCCGGCCTTTTGAGGGACAAAGGCGAGGACCAATTGCTTCTTCGTCATTTCGACTTCCCATGGTCACGGCACTCCCAATCCGTCCGAGTCCGAGGGTCGTATCACGTTGCCTGTTTCAGCGTCTTGCATGGGTGGACAACCACGGTCGACTTATGGAGGGTGCCTTGCAGCCTCGTAGCCATGTTGCACAGAATGAGATCGTTTCCCCGCAATACGAGTAAGAACGAAAGATGTTTTGTTCCCCGGCAGTTCTACCGGTCAGGTTCGATCGTTTGGCGGAGCTCGCCGTCTACGCCATGACTAAGCGTGAATCATTGATATCTCGCGATGACAGCCACACTCTTCATTGCATTGCCGACGCGCTCAAGGACGCGATCTTCTGAAGATCGTACGGGTTCCAGCGCAATGGAGTGATAAGTTCGAGATGCGTTGACTTTGACTTCACAGATCGGCATTATCATGTCGAACTCAAAGACGTGCACCTCCAAGCTGTGGGGACCACAACGGAGTTGTACGATCTAGGCCGAGGTAGTAGACCGTGACTTACGTCTCATGATATTGATGACGATCTGACCATGGACGGTCTGTAAGTACTGCAATTGCGAGCGACTGAACAGCGACAGCCCATACTTAATCGATCGCCGCAAGCAATCATATCGGAAAGCACGACCTCGACCACACGGCCGACCGCGCGTCATCGCTCCTACCAATGCAGAGCTACAAATCGATCTCGTCCCATGTTAGGGTAGTATCACAGCAGTTTCGTACACGGAGCCACGGCCTACAAGCCACAAGCACTGCGAGATCATGTTCGAGTCCATGGTTTTCCACCAGCCATCTTTCCCAGAAACGTCACGCTCACGCTCGTGGCATCGAGTATCTCCAGAATCACGACCCCGACTTGACAGACTCCCAACGTACCGTCCGGGAGGCCATCTCCAAAGTCTGCTCTCATTTCGATGATCAATACTGGTCCACGTGTGAGAAGGACCACCGCTTTCCAGTCGAGTTTCAACAAGCCATTGCAAAGGACGGTTGGCTAGGCATCTGCATGCCCTCCGAGTATGGGGGCTCGGATCTGGGTATCGCAGAGGCCGCCACCATGATGCAGACCATCGCAGAATCAGGTGGTGCGTACGCTGCTTGCTCGTCAGTTCACATGAACATCTTTGGTCTCGAGCCTGTCCGCAAGTTTGGGACGAACGACCAACGACAGAGGATGCTGACACCACTCATTGCCGGCGACGAGCGAGCTTGCTTTGGTGTGACGGAGCCCAATACAGGCCTGGATACGCTCAAGCTACAGTCTCGTGCCGCCAAATCATCGGACGGGTCGTACTATACACTCTCCGGGTCCAAGATCTGGACTTCGACCGCCCAGGTTGCCGAGAAGATACTGATCCTGGTTCGCACTACACCCCTTGATCAAGTCAAGAAGCGCTCACAGGGCTTGTCGCTCTTCTACACCGACCTCAACCGCGACTCTGTACAAGTTACAGAGATCCCAAAGATGGGTCGTGCCGCGGTGGACTCTAACGTGCTCTTCTTTGAAGACTGGAAAGTACCAGCCTCTGACTTAATCGGTAGTGAGGGTGACGGCTTCAAGCAGATCATGGTCGGTATGAATGCTGAGCGTGTGCTAATAGCTGCCGAAGCACTTGGCTGGGCTTCGCTGCCCTCCGGCGCGCTGCGATCTATGCCTCTGACCGACAAGTTTTCGGACGCGCAATTGGCCAGAACCAAGCAATTCAACATCCGCTTGCGGAGAGCTGGATGCAGCTGGAAGCAGCAAGACTGATGATCAATCAAGCTGCCAAGCTCTATGATAACGGCTATGAGGCAGGTGAGTATGCTAATGCTGCCAAGTATCTTGCTGCAGAGGCAGCATACACGGCCTGTGAGCGAGCTGTGATGACGCACGGCGGAATGGGCTACGCGAAGGAGTATCATGTCGAGAGGTATTTCCGAGAAAGTATGATACCTAGGCTAGCGCCTGTATCTCGCGAGATGATATTCTCCTACATCGCGGAGAGGGTCCTGGGCTGCCCGAAGAGCTACTGATACAGTGGACCACAATCGAGCCAAGCCATGCTCTGGAGGGAAGAAGTCGGTCAGCTCCGCGTGTACCACCACCAAGCGCCGCCCGCTGCTGCAACTGGAGACACCCACAGCGCCCACTCGGCCAAGGAAATCACGATCCGTATGCGCAGGGCAAAGTCCAGAGTCTTCTTCAGCGAATCACCTTCATTGATGTGCGGAAAATCCGGGTTGTCTTCTGGTATGTCCTTGCCCAGAAAGTCGCACAACGGTTTCCAGCCATCGCTTGGATGAAACTCGAGGAGGTTATCTTTTGGCACAAGCCTTCGGACCATCTCATTGTGTCGTTCGATACCGTATTTCTTGTATGCCTCAGGATTATACATGTCGCCACCACTCCAGATATTGAGGCAAGACCAGGTCATGTCATACCATTCGCCTCCATATCCCTACAAGCAGAACGTCAGGTTGGAGCAGTAGACAGCGAGGATATGTCGGCTTACCGGGTCGAATATTCGCAGGTAAAACCACCTGAATTTACCCGTCAAGAAATACTGCCTTCGTCAGAACATGGCTGCATTGTTGCCCAGATTTACTCACAAGGAAGTTGTCCATGATCGACTGTGTCCACTTCTCCGTGTCCCGGTTACTCAAGACAACCTTAGCGTCTGGATATGCCTCCAGCAGCTCCTCGACAAACAGAGCTGTTGGCGCGTCCGTCACGGCCTGTCAGATGGACCACCGTCAAGTCAGCAAAGCCGCTGAGTCGCAAAAGCCCGAATCTTCTTAGGAGCACTCACATCATATCTCCACAACATCTTCTCGAAGTCCTTTCCCTCCCAACGCTTGCCCTTGCCATAGTATTTTGCGCGGACTGCTTTGCCCCAGGCTTTCGGATGCCCATTGGCGCCGTTCAGGATAGATTCCGCCATATGGTACGGTTCGTAGCCGAGCATTTTCAGTGCGGTGTACGTCGACAAAGTTCCCGTTCGCGATACGCCCAGGGCCAGCACCTGCATGGGCTTCTCGCGGGGCTGCTGGGGGATCTTGGGATGTGGTGGTGGCAGAGACATCCTGACCAGAAGCCACTGCTGATATGGCTCCCTGCTCGAAAGTCTACGTCAATGTTTGGTGTTCTGCGGACGTGTTCTAGAAGACAAGGAGAAGAACGAAGGAGACGGCTTGTCGTTCATATATGCATAACGGATGTCGCATCGGCAATCAGTTTGTACTTCCAGGTCTCGTATCTGGAAGAGCAACCATGCTGGCGGGCTTTGCAGGGATCTTCATAGTTCAAGGCGTCTAGTATGCGAGAAATCGTGTTTAGTGTGCTCCAAGCATTTTCCAAGCAGCCACGAGTGTTTGGCGTGGGCTAAGAGCTTCCTCATCCAGCTCTATACACATGTTTTCGGTCGTAGTGCCACTGCCCAAAACCCACACCTGGGGACCGTTAGACATCAATGTTATTAGACGGCGAATGATGTGGCCCGCGATTTCCAGCTGTTGGGCGAGGTTACAACTTGGCGTGCATCATTTCAGCGCACCCACTTAGTCACCGCCCGCAGAAAACAGGCGACCGCCTACGCCGCGCCTGATTCGTGCAATCTCAAGATCCGGCTATCGGGCCTCCCAGTTTTGATTTTCGAAGATCGCATCCTTTACTGTATGCGAGAGCTAGTTCGATCCTTCCAAGATATGCGTCGTACGCAAAGGGGCTTCCTTCCTTGAGAATCATTCTGAGGACGACGGAACGCTGAAGCAGAAGCCTGGATGTGTGACGTAGAAAAGGCTGGGGAGTTTCTGATTTCGTAATCGCCCAGCCCGTATAGCAAAGACATTGCCCGAAAGCGCCACGCGAACACGAACAATGCTGTCCTTCGGATATTTTGAGTGGGACGAACGAGGAAGCTCGTTAGGCAAGCTGAATGTAGGCGTGCTGACCTAAGTGGTGCTGTGCCCACAGTGACCATTAAGATCGAGACGAGCAAGTCTAGGGATGCTTTTAGGCGTCCAACGTCAGCCCTACAGGTGTAGTATTTGCCTTGTCGCCTTGGCGTTTATGCGTACTAGGTAGGCCAAGGGGTTCGCGAGGAAAGACAGCGTTTGAAAATTTCAGGGTCCGGGGCAGAATATTTGTCGAGTCGCTGTGAGCAATGACTCTTTCGATTGTACCTACTGCCGAGCACATGATTATCACTATATTAATTGGGACGAAGTAAAAAGATGTCCGCTCTACAGCGTGGGCTCCCGAGCGGCCAGATCGCAGCCATGAGGCGGTGTTTCTCGATCATGCAGCGTCGACGCCAGAATCGGACTCAGACTGGGGGGGGAGAGCCAGCTTAGACAATTCAAGGATTATCCGACTGCCGCGCCGCCACGATGTCCTCCCAGGTTGGGTTCTGGTACGAGGTCCCGCTCGGCGAAGGCGGCGTCGAGCTGCTTGAAGCTGGATATGGATTCTGCGAAGACGGCGGCGGCGAGCCACCTGACCCTGGAGCCGGAGCTGGGGCTGGAGCGGGTGTCGGACTCTTGGATCCCCAATCTTCCTTGAAGATCTCGGCGCACTTCTCGGCAACCATATACGTGGGTCCAACAGTGTTGACATCCGGAAGGAACGGGAAGATACTGATATCGCAGACGCGCAAGTTGTCAACCCCGTAGACTCGCAGACGGGGATCGACCACGCCTCCGTCCTCTTCTGGCAGCATCTGGCACGTGCCGCTGGCATGCCAGTTCGGGATCGTATTGGCCTTGATGAACTCGAAGATCGTGTCGTCGTCGGCATCCTCAGGAACGTTCTCCAAGCCAGGCAGCACTTCGCCGTTATTGGGACCAATGGTGAATTGCTGCAGTTTTGGGTGCGATAGAAGCTTTCGCAGGTCTTTGAACGCATTTATGCCAATCGCACGGTCTGCGGGGTGCTCGTAGTAGTTGGGGTTGATATTAGGGTCGTCATACATGGAAGTGGACTTAATTGTGACGTTCCCACGGCTCAATGCCACGCAAGTCTGCGCTGTGAGCGAGAAGTAGGATTCGCTCGACTTGGGGCGGTAGTACGCTTGACTTTCGGTCTGAACTGCGCCACCACCGAAGAATGTTGGACCGCCTGGATAGAATGCATCCTCGTACAGGAACTCGACATGGGATTGATTCAGCAATCCGGCATCGACGACAGCTCCAGCACCTATGTCGCGAAGCTTCTGTTCGCTCATACGCTGGAAGCCATTCGTTATCCCGGACGGCGCAGTCCAATGTCCGGTAAGGTCTTTGTAGTATTGCTCGCGAGCTGCTTCCTGTGTAGAGGCGTTTGCATACATCACGCTGTTGGTAGAGTCTTCCTGAGCTAGGGCGACGACACTGAAGACGTGATGGTCGTTGAGACTAAGTATAGATTAACGGGGATGACAGCCATCGTGCAGCGGACTCACTGTTGACCGACGTTCTCATTCACCTTGACGGGCTCGATGCCGAATTTGTCAAGTGGCTCTTGAGGACCAACGCCCTAGGGCCTGTCAGCAAGACACTTTGTAGATAGGGCTCTATAGACCCACCGAGATTATGAGTAGTTGAGGCGAGGCGAACGCGCCACCAGAGATGATAACTTCCTTACTGGCGCTCACGACAAAGAATTCTCCCGTAAGGTGGTCAGTGAACTGCAAGCCGGTCGCTCTCGGCGTCTTCCCAGTGGTGTCGAACACGATCTTCTCCACATTGGAGTCGTGCAGAACGTCAAGATTTGGCCGGCTTTTTGCTTGCTGGTAGTAGCTGTCGAAAGCCGAGCTACGTCGCAGTCTGCCATCGAGGTTTCCCGTCCCCTGCTTGACGCCTGTGTTGTTGCCAGCGTTCAGCTCTTCGACAATGGGAATGTCGATGATTTCGCATGCTTCGATGAATCCGACACATGAGGGAGCCACATAGCCCTGATAGCCAATCTGCAGTGGCCCATCGCTGTACGCGGAGGGCTCCCACGTCGTATAGGAGTGATCCCAGTCTGGGTCGTCAATCGGCGGGTTGAAGTGTGTTGACTTGATAGCAAGAGGATAAAGGTCATCCCAGCCCCATCCCGGGTTGCCGAGTTCAACCCAGTGGTCATACACACTGGCGGTACCACGACCATAGTAGAGCCCATTTGTAGTTGAACTACCACCGACAGCTTTTCCTCCTGAAGGGGGTCAGTACGAGACTCCAGATCCTGCTGTATGCTTACGTCGGTAGAACAAAATTCGGTCGTCCAGGTGTGTTTGTGGAGTTGTATAGAAGTTCCACTAGCCACCATGATGTTAGCCATCTTCGCCTCAGTGAGTGTGCTTCACACCCGAACCGTGTATCAGCGGCGCGATCATCGACTGGTGCCGTGTCGCGTATGACTTACGTCGATGGCAGTACCCCCGAGGAATTGGTTACCGCCTGGCGATTCGTAATTAATCACCACGGTGGGCTCTGGCCCTGCTTCGATGACAAGTACCCGAAACTCAGGCACCTCCGTAAGGCGATTTGCGAGAACCATGCCAGCAGTGCCACCTTTCACAACAATCAGCTAGAACATCAACAAGTCACGAGACAGGACGCGAACCTCCAGCAATAATGAAGTCATATTCTGCGAGGATGTTAGTTCCACGTTTGAGACGATGAATAGGACTTGAAGACCCGGCGCCGAGCAGACAAGCTGCCAGAAAGAGTGGACGGTACATATTGGTTTGGACAACGCACTGTGAGCAGGAGAATAGAGCTGTCGGTCAAGTCATCTTATATAGGCAGCGGGCTCCGTGGATTACCTAGGCGCTTTGAGGATCACCTCGTGTTGAATTCGAGAGCATAATTCGACTTTTGCTTGATCTGATGCGCAAGGGAATGGCGACGCTGCGATCGTCGATGCTCACATCCCGAGATGACTTCAAGAGAAGGGCGTCCATTGTCTGTACACCTTGGCTGACCCAGCTGAGCAAGTGATGGAGCCGGATTAGAACCGTCATTTTGACATAATTTCGTGCCTTATTGAGACCCATGTTAAAAAGCTTGGAATGTACCGTCACAGCCCTATGCTGTCTCCGCAAGTTTTCCATCTGTGCTTCCTACCGTATAACGAAGATTGAAGACGACAACAGACTCCAATTTTCGGGTAAGCAATCCATGCTCAATCATGCGACCGTCGGGACGAAAGAGCACAAGGAGCGGCTTACCTCAGTACCCGTCGGGGCTCTGCCAATGCTCTGTGCAGGATCGACCTGAGTTGGCGGACATCTCTAAAGACAAGATACTCCTCTCAATTTCGATGCCATTCCGAGAGAGTGACGACGCAGACATACCATCCGCACAGACAGACATGTTCGGTCGATCTCATTCACGACAAGAGTCCAAGGTCAAACACTTGCTTCATTGAAACGAAGGGGATGCCTTGTCCCCGGACGAGAGGATCTGCAGATCAGTAGGCTGATTCTGGATCGATGTACCTGTCCCAATGCTTCGTCTGCCATCAGGCAGCTTGGCAGCCGCCATGGTTGGACATCAGTCCGCTTGTGTACTTGGGGGTGGTCGTAACAATTGTGTATTCTTGGCACTCCAGAGTCATCTGGGGAGATTAAGTTGTGCAGCTCAGCTCGGTTGCCGCATTCGACAATCAGCACTCCGCGACTTCTTGTTGCAGAAAGTGCTCGGATATAGGCATTGGTTGATGAGCAGATCATTGCAGCATACTGGTGATCTGTTTTCAGCCTCAAACAATATTCGACCTGCCCGTGGCGGGATAGGAGACGGTTAAGCACTCCGTGATTGGTCAACCTCGTCTAATGTAATCTGAGCACACATACGTATGTCAGCTTTTCATAGAGCATAACACAAGGAAATTGGTTTAGCACTTCCATGTGCCGACGGCGACCAGGGGTCCGGTCAACTACGTGATATCATGATGTGTCATTTTCAAAATGATAATTATGCGTAATTTATTATAGCTGACAGCAACACCCTAACCCTAGGCATGTGACTCAGTTCAGCCAGGGCCTTCGGCCCTGGCGAAAATTTTCTGGACAGCAACACCACTGAGGAGACCTCCTTCTAGATTTGGTTAGCGTGTCATTAACGCAGTCACGTAAAAAACTAAATCATGTCTACTACCCGTGGACGCCCCATCATCAATAAAAAGCGAATTTGATGTAATTAACGGACCCCTGACGGCGACGTATGCATTGGGTGTGATGGGAATATCCGGGTGATGCTCTACCGAGAAGCTTGGTGTTCCTGCGGACCTGCAGTCGTTCAGATGGCCCGAAAGCAGTCAGCGGTGTAGTTTGCCTAACGCAGCCCATGCGGGCTTCGTAAGTTCAGAACCGTAAGACCTTGGCTAAGCGATGACGTTGGGATGTCATGGATCGCGCTTTGCAGCCTCGCGAGCCAGTCGCAGAACGTCACGCGTATACAAAGCCTGCCATGTTAGGGAGTACCCTATCGAGAAACTGTACACACCAACTGCCAGCGTGTACAGGTAAGGTCGATCTAGGTACTAAGTAGGTAGGCACGGTGTTGACGCTCGAGCCTGCATCATTTCGGAGACTTGACTTGGCAGGGACTTTGGTCATCTCCATCTCGCCCGTCGTGATTGGTCGACACTGCCTCTTGCACTGCCTGCAAAATCCGCCTTGCTACTTCGCCATACGATCGCCACTGCGCTGCCGCAATGCTGCCTCTCTGTTGTTCGCAAGATGTCCATCAGCCACTTGCCCTGCGTTTCAGTGGAGAGGACTTTTGTACTCTTTGCAGACATCCCGCTGTGATTGGCGCGTTCGACGTCGAGATCATGCATTAGACCACTGCGCCAACGAATGAGCGTAGATGCTGAGCCACAGACGTACTTCACGATGGCAAGGTAAGTCGTCCTATATATTATTGTGAGTCACCGTCTCTACCTTTCCCTTCTCGTCCGTCACACTCTCGTACTGTATCGCAAGCTACAAACAGAATATTCCAAACTTCCATACCAACCACAAACCATCTCAAACGAAGCCAAATCAAATCACCTCTAGAGCATGAGTTACTATAACCAAAACTATCAGCAAAACGCTGGGTATACCGACCAGTACGGTCAGTATCAGTCGTATCAACAGCAGTACCAGCAACCCACGTACAATTACAACCAGGGGTACGGCCAGGACTACAGCCAATCAACCGGCTCCAACAACCAATACTACAACCAAAACAATGGCGTCCAAACCCAGCAAGGCGAGCGTGGCCTTCTAGGCGCCGTAGGCGGCGGCGCAGCCGGTGCCTACGGTGGCCACAAAGTGAACCACGGCTTCCTTGGTGCTATCGGCGGTGCCATCAGCGGCCACCTCGCGGAAGAATACGCCAAGAAGAAGCGTGGCAACCACAAGCACAAGGCGCAACATCACAATGCTCACGGCCAGAAGAACAGCATGAGCACCCTGGGCGGCGGATCCGTTGGAAGCGCGATGTCATCGATCTTCTCCTCGAAGAATGATAAGATGATTTTGAGTAGTGCACGCGCAACGGTTGTTTTTGAATTGGACGGGGACGCCTGGAAAGTTTATCCCACTGATCCACCCATACGCCAAATGTCTCTCTCAGAATAACAATGCTGCCGATCGCCAACATACATACCGGAACATAGCACTTTGGTTGCACCCTTCCTTGCAGTCTCGCCTCAAGCGATTGACGGGGTGCGACTCAATGTGTCTTCCGAGGGCAGGTCAAGATTACGAGACGAACGACAAGTAAGTATACCGGATGGCTGGGAAGCCAAGGCGAACAAAAGAGATGCAAGGAGTCGTGTCGACTGACGGATCACTGCGTCGTCGGGGTTGAAGCTTGTTGAACTTCAGCCTCTGCGAAAGAGAGAGGAGATTGCTGGTGAAAGGCAACTTTGTGACATTACTGTTGGGCAGCACAGACGAAACACAGCGCAAACGCTACGATGTAGGCGGCGCATTTACTTGTACTTTTTGTGATTCCGGAATCATTGGCGTCTAGCAGGCTAGGTAGTTTGTTGTTAGTCTCTATGATACACAGTCCATTCCAAACATCTTTCTACTGAATCGTGTCGTCTTCGTGCTATAATTTCGTGCAATTGACATTTGCGTGAGATCGTTGAAGATTGGCGTTGCCGCTGCTCAGCATGACTTGGCATTTCATCGAGCCTCCCCCTATCTCGTTACTAGGGCGACTTCCCTTTCCACATGGGTTATATATTCCAGTGACTGAACTTCCCTCCAACAATCGCACCCAAAAAGCGATATGTTGTTCTTGAGGAAAAAACTCTCGGCGACAGTATGGGGCACTTCTTCCCTGCCACCCTTCCCTCGGGGTGTGTGAGTACTGTTAGGACGGTTTCTAATGTACCCTTTCCGATCAAAGTTATCGCGAAACCTGGTGTTAGTTTTTGATTTTTGGGACAGGGCAGGTTTTCTGTTCGTGCGAGTAGTGCTGAGGAAGTGGTGATGGTGTTAGTAAAGAGGCAAGTCAATGTTGAGCGAGATGTCAGGTGAGACTGAGGCGTGGTTGAGGAAGATTCGCCAAGGCGAGATCGCTGTAATCATTTGAAAGAGAGGACAGTGTTTCTTGCCAACATTGCACCGATTCCGTCCTGCCAGATCGAAACTCCTTGCGAGATACACAACAACAGCTCATTAAGTAGCACCCGGTAACCATCCGGCACCCCCAATTACCCCTAAGTTGGCAGCTCAACAGGACCCTGCAAGAACTTTCGCTCAGGACCAACCCTCCGCTCCTCCCCTTCCATTGGTGCTGGCAACTCCTGAACCTTCTTGCCTTCGAGCCCATCTATATCGCGCGCGCTCGGCAGTTCGCTGAGGCTATACCTTGGGTCATCTCCGCCGGCACTTACAACCGTCGGGCTGATCTCCGCTGGGTCGTTCGGGCTTCCCGTCGGAATTGCTGGTTTGGGGTCTTTTTCGTAGGCCGGCGGGGATTGACCTTCTTCGTCCGATGATGAGGGTGCTATTGCGGGTTTTGTGGTAGCAGCGGCTTTCGCTCGTCGCTGACGTCGTCGGAAGACCCATAGCGCGAAGGCGATCAGGCCAGGCCAAGGATGCCGCCAACTACGCCTCCAGCGATAGCTCCTGCATTCGATCCTCCGCCACTTCCGCTAGAGCTCGATGGAGGCGCGTCATCATCCGGACAAATTGACTCGATGACTACATCGGGAGCCGCGCCCAGAAGCACCTGATTTGAATCAGATCTCTTCGCCTTGCCCATACGGAACTGTCGCTTTACATGGTCCATGACTATATAGTTCTGACTCAAGAACGGCAAGCCCATAACGCCACGCGCGAAGATTACCGCGTCATCAGGAACAGTCACGTTCTGTAGCTGGACCAGTGTCGACTCGTGGTTGTAGATCTCGTACTCGCCTTTTTCGTTGTAGTCGCGCGGCTTGGTGAAGAGCTGGTCGGCGGGAATGACGGACTCGTAGCCGTTCGCGAGCCGGACGGTGAGACTGCCGAGAGACGCGTCGATGGGCATGGTAAGAGAGCCGTTGGCTTGGGGTGTCGCACCGGTGAAATTTGTGAACCGGTCGTATGCATCTTGCGGGACCCACATCGTCCGTATGGCGGATTCGAGCTGGAAGCCGAGTGGTTCGGTGATGAGGTTTTCGGACCTGCCGTCAGGCGTAGTATAGGTCAGAGCATCGACGGTGAAGCAGTTCGGGCAGTCATCGGAGTATTCCATATCGCTCAGGTCGCCCTCGACGCGTGCGGTGTCCCAGCCGCCGATGACGAGGAGGCCATCCTCCGGAGACTGGATGCTGCGCGAGCCGGCGTAGAGGCCGAAGGCTGTGGAGGGGCTCTGCTTCGTGTTATATGTGTTGGTCAGGATAGTGGATGCGTTGCCGAGGCCGATTCCGCCTTGAGACTCCACGACACCACTGCTCATGAAGAGCGGAAAGCCGGAGCTGGAAATGTTGGCGCCATACTGGATGTGTTCTTGAAAGAATATGTAGTTCGCGGCCGTGAAGAGCTCCTTGTCTGTGGTCCCGTTCCACTGTGCGCGAGTGACTTTGGTATATGATGAGCTGGCTTCGGGGTCATACATCCCGCCCAATCGCCCGGAGCATATTGCCTGGACCGTGGAGTTGCATTGTGCCTGATTGAAGACGAACGTGTCTGAGTCGCTGAGTGAGATGCCTAGACTGACGATCTGCTGCGGTGTCCCGATTCCAAACTCGATGCCGCGGGAGACTGATCTGCCGTCAGATGAGACTGTCACATTGCTGATGGGCAGCTGGAGCGGCGCGATGCCGTTCTGGCAGGTCATAGTGACTGCAAAGTCGCGATCTCACAATGCGAGAAACATGGCAGTCGTCGTGTCTGCAGCTCTGTGTAAAGCACTACTGGCGAAATTTGGGCAGGTTCGGAACAGGCAAAATCAAAACTTGAGAGGTGTGGGCCACGTCGCGCTCACTCTCGGCCATGACGAAGCGCATGCACCTTATCGTCACTCCATCGTCCGCGAGACCGCCAGTTCTCGCCGGCGCTGTCCTGCCGCAGGCTATCCCGATGGTCCTTGGTCGTGACACGGCATCGGCCAATGAGTAGGCGAACGCATGCTGCCACGTTCCCACCGGTCCCCATGGCTCGAGATTCTGCTGCTAATCGGAGCACAACTTACCTTCTAGCAGCTCTGTGGTTGGTCGTATCAGTGTCCAACTGTGATGACAGCGGTACATGGCTCCTACTCTGGTCTAACGTCAGGCCCCACCCCAGAACGCCAAGCATTTTGGAGCGTCCTGCCAAGGTCACTGCCAGGTGATTCAACGAGCCACAAAGCTCTTGCTTCTTCGAGCACTGGCATCCTATCAGTCTGGCCTACTATCACACACATCTTAGTGGACAATCACAGCATCCGTCTGGCTCTCAAGGCTGCGACCAAAGGGAAAAGCCAATGTCCAGTAGAAAAGGTGAATAGGGAACTCGACACATATCAAGTTGCTCTATCTTATCAAATATTGTCCTTTAGCACCAGTCACTATGGCCGCCTCCGATCCTTGAGTATGCAGTCTAGCCATCCAAGCAGTCATCCCTCCATGCAATTGATCTATTCCGCTACCACGACTGCTTGACTCCGACCAGCTTGACAACAGCCATACACGCTGACCATACTTAAGTATCTAGCAGTTACCTTTTCTCATCCTCCTTGTCACGACCTGTGTCGGCAACAAGTGTCGCTCAGCAGCATCCAAGTTCCGATGCGCAACCCCAGCATGGATCTCCCAGTTCCGCTGGACCACCAACAATAGCATCGCAGTCTCTGCTCAATTGCTGTAGATTGGAATCTTTGACTCGTTTTTGGCATGGAATGCGTCGAATGCCCATGGAGCCGGAGCAGCAGCGGCACTCGACGCGGATGAAGCACATGGCAATGTGAGTGTTGTTGTCTCTGGTGGTGGACTTGGGTAGATGATTAGACGTTGTGGTGGAAAGCGTGCAAACGTTTGCTGGTTGTTTGGCTCAGATAGGTTATGATTGTGTCGGGTTTGCAGAAGATCCTGGTCGGTAGTGTTTGGAGAGGAGATGCGACGACGGCCGAGTGTAGTGCTCAATGGCAAGTTGTTGAGTGGTTTTCAACGTTTCGTGAATGGCGAAAGAACGCGAGTTATATGCGGCTCACTTCGTCACATAGACGGCCATGTCGGCCTGAGAATGACCATGAAACAGCGGGACGACAGAGACGTATCCCTTCGATCCTTTGTTACCCTGCCGAGATCCTGTTCAGCCTGTCTCGGCGCAAGGCTCTCCATCAGAAAGTGCTCTTTCCTCCGAAACCATTCTCGGACTGTCTCGGACGCAAGTATGTCGGCGGAAGAACGTGCTCACGAGCAACTCACAAGCCACCCGGGCCTCGCACCACGCCAGATCACCGCCATTCAAAGCCCTTCTCAAGCACATCCACCAACTCATCTAACCTCCCCACCCCCAAATCACACTCCTCCCTTTGCCTCAAATGCCCATTCTCCTCGTTCACCAACAGCACCGTTGCCGCACCCGCTCTCCTACCAGCGACTAGATCGTCAATACTGTCTCCCACCATAATGAGCCCACCACCCAACTCCATCTTCGCCCGCTCAAGCACATCTTCTTCCCTCACACCATCCGCCCCACCCAGCCCCCAAGTCCTTGCACAGACCCATATCCCCTCTGGACTGGGTTTCGGCCGCACGCCTTCAGTCTCTCGTGTGATGATTGGCTCAAATTTTATGTCTGGCAGGAACGTCTCGAGGAGATGTCGGACTGGGTCGAGGAAGTTCCGTGTGCAGAGCGCTTTGGGAACTCTCCGCTTGTCGAGGTAGGTCATCAGTTCTTCCAGGCCAGGTTGAGGTGTCTGCTCGGTCATGGCATCGCGCTCGATGTCCTTGACGGCTGTGATAGCGCGCTGTTGAGCTGGTGGGTCGGAGGCGAGAGACTTGATGTGATCAAGGATGTCGGTTGATTTGGGTATATCTAGAGCTTGCCGCATGGCTTTGAACATGTGGTTCTGCGGGAGACATAACGTTCCATCGACATCGAAGACGATACCTCGTAGTTTCGGCGCGCCATGCTTGTTCCCGAGGTCGGGATTTAGAGGTGCAAACCTCCGTGGCATGTGACTGTGGTCTGGTTGATCCAGTCTTGACGATGCCGACGCTGACATGCTGCTGGACAAGCTCTGGAAAGATCGTAGAGAACCGCCTTGACCCAAGCGTAGTACTGTAGATGCGCTCCTGCCTGGCTTTCCCAGTATCATCACAACTGATCTAGCGCCGGAGTGAAGCATCTGGCAGCGGTGGACCTACTGTGTTAGCTGGTCTTGGCGTTGTGAAAAAGCTCGAGTGCTGGAGCTGTCTGCAGCGTTGAAGTGATCATCTTGACATGACTATCAAGGTTCCGACAGCTACCTAGGTATCTAAAAAGAAAGTAGTCATCGCGAATTTGCGAAGCAATACAGCAGCAGTGGTTCGGGCAAAGCCACTCGCGACGTCAACACTTTTACTCAAATTGAGCTGCGGAAGCATTTTCCGGACGGGCTGTCGAAGTCCTCAGTGAGACTGCCAGTCATTACGAATTTATCGACATGAATATTGTACTCGATTTTGAGACAGTATTGGCTGATTCCTTCCATGTGCATGCAAATCGTCCTCAGTGCCATCTATGCTGCTACTGAACGCCTGTGCCTCTTCTAGCCGTGGGGGTATAGTAATACAAATGACTTCCACACTTTGAAACAGAATGCCTTCCTGATCGTTGCTCCCTCAATGCCTCGACGATGGGTGACACGCGAATCTTCACGTTCTCATTGAATGGGCGCTGGTTACGATGTCAAACAGATAATATACCTCATTCCATCTCACTGTCATCGACGACCTCGTCTTCCGGTTCTCCCTCATCCTCGGACATGTAGTCGCGGTTTCCAGCTTCGGCAGCCAGACGTACCTTTGTTTCGTACTCGTCTTCGATGGGATCGGTGATGAACGGATGCTGCAAAGCTTCGGTGGCGGAATAGCGCTTATAGGGGTCCAGCTCCAGCAGACAGCCAAGGAACTCAACGGCTTGAATCTCGCCATCGTGCAAGTCGTCGTCGCTCTTATCTCGGCAGCTTGCCCATCGTACGATCTTCTCTAGCGTGAAGCCTTTCTCTCCAATAGGGATAGTGGTCTCGAACAACTGACCATGAGCAGCAGCGGCGCCTTGCATCTTCCTCTCGCCAAAGATGGTTGCCATCTCAATTGTGGCATCAATATCATCCGAGCTGTTGAAGAAAGGGAAACGACGGCCTAGGATGGTGAGCAGAATGACTCCCGTAGACCAAATATCAATCTTGGTTGTTTGTGCGGTGCATTTGAACAAGACTTCAGGTGCTCGGAAGCCTCTTGTCCCTGCTCTGTTTGCACGTCGAGCAGGACGATTGTCGTGCTTGGGAAGACCTGGACACCGCTCGCCCTCTCGAGACATGTACTCCTTCGTGGCAAAGGAATTGAGGAAGCGCTTCTTTCGCTTCTCTCTGTCTTCGCGACACATGCAGTGTTGCCAGTCCACACCTTCCTTCTCAGCCAAGCCGAAGTCGACGAGCTGACCTTGTCGGTTGTGAAAGTCGTAAAGAAAGTTGGTTGGCTTGATATCTCGATGGATTATGCGATGTTGGTGAACGTATTCGAGTCCTTTGAGCAGACTGTACATGTAGTGTCGAATGTCTTGGGCAATGAATTTATGATAGTACAACCGGAAGTCCAGATGACGAAAGTAAGGCAGAACGGCGACGACCTGATCCTGGTGCCGAAAGGCGGTAAGGAGCGGGCAGATGTGCTTGTTACCGCGTAAATCATGCAATAGCTCAAGCTCATTCAGGATGCGGTGCGGAGAGGATGTGACATAGATCTTCTTGAGAGCAACATAGTTCTTCTGGCGACGCTGGACTGCAGTGGTCTGGGACGAGGTAGTAAGCTTCCTACGCTTGCTGGACGGCATGTCGCTGTCGTGGTCATCGTCAGGGATGTTCTCAGTGTCCTGATCATCATCCACATCAAGCTGCTCGGCTTTGTAGACGGTTGAGAAGGTTCCTTAGACTGATCAGTTGCGGATCTGACTCTCGTGAGAGAGAGTACTTGCCTTCACCAATGCGGTTGACCAGTCGATACCGCGAGGAGATGCCGTGAAAACTCTCCTCAAGCTTCCGCATGTCGTCGAGGACTGACTCATCGACCTCGTCGTCGCTCTCTGACCTCTCTGATTCATGCTCGAAAGCGTCCTCTTCGAGTTGTGCCGACATCTTGCGAGAACCACGCTGTCGCACGTCCGTGCTGTCCTCGTGTATTTTGATGTCGCCCGCAGCCATGACTCTGTAGGCCCCTGCTCTCCGTCTCTTACCCAGTATAGTCGCGACTGCCGTTCGCAGACTGTGTGGTTGCCGTGGCCGTGGCAGTGGTGGCAGTTGTAGGTCGTTCTCGCTCGTGGGCTGATCTGATGTGGTTACTGAGGTTGGGACCTGTGCCTCCTGCTCATCTTGCTGATAGCTCTTTCCATTGCGAAGAGTGCCGTGTTTTGATCGCAAATTCCTGAGCAACGAGGCCGTCTTGCGGACGAGCTTGCGGCGGGTTTCTTCCGGTGCCTGGGCCACCTGCCGTTCCTGCATGGCGGGCGGCGCGATTGGGTCCCGAGGTGTTGTGCGTGGGGCTCCCAGATCGGGCTAGATCTAAATAACGCGTGGGATGCAGCCAATCAGCGAAGCAGCGCAGACGTCCTCATCGATGATGGACGATGTCGATGTTCGTGAATGCGATGATGGACGATGAGATGATGCTGTTGTTGTAGGACTCGGCTTCTGCGTGGGATAGCAAGCATTTGGAAGTGCTTCAGATTTTGTTCATCTTTTGCTGTGTCACCGGCCACCGTTGCTAGGGCGTTTTCTTCCTCTCCATAACGACTGCTTGCCACCTCTCAACGACTGAAACCGCATGAGAATAATTCGTCGAGACAGCGACACCGGCAGTGAAGCCAACAGCAGCAGTCATGGAAGGCGCCGTTGAGTTCGACATCAACGAGTCACTGAAGCTGTACCTCAGCGACCCCGCGAGCATCCAGACCTCAGAAGCGAGTGCGCAGTTGACTGACTGTGAGAACGATCCGGACAGTCTGACCCCAGGCTTGATTGATGGCGCACTGGAGCCAATACAGGATGCGCTGGTCGAAAGTCCGGAGAACATTCTGAGACCGGAGCCTTCGACACCATACAATTTCTACTCAAGTGCGCTCCCATAGCTGCCCCTCCCAAAGGTTCCCGTATCAGTGTGATACATACTGACTTGTTCGCGCATCCCAGATCTTCTTCGCTACTTCCTCCGCAGTCTCTCAGCAAGATACTCGAGATCATCGTATCCGGACTCGCGACAGTGTCCGACAATGCCAATGCTGATATCGAGAACGATGAGCAAGATGCACTTCCACACCACAAGAAACTACTAGAAGCATATGCCTTTCTGCTACAATGGACGATCGCCGCCGTCGAAGCCAAAGCCGCCGAAAAAGCCCATGCAGCGCCCGCTCGGAGGGGCAAAGGCTCGACGAAGAAGACAGCATCCAAAGGCGGAGTCTGGGAATCAGCTGCACAAATTCAGGCCGCTATGGATATCATGTGTCGAGCCATGAGACTGAAGCTCAATCGCATCTTTGAGACGACCTCAGACCGAGACACCTTCATCAATCTCTTTACCCGCTCTATCTACCTGATCATGGAAACAGAAGCCAGGATGAAGATCACCGCCGTACGCATGTTCTGCTTCAAGGTGCTGTGTGTAGCAGTCAAGCATCACGGCCACGCGATTGGTGCCCAAACCTCAATTGTGCAGAACCTGACGTATTTTGAACATCTGTCTGATCCTATGGCTGAGTTTCTGCACATTTTGTCAGAGCAGTACGACTACCCACAGCTATCGTCCGAGATCATGCGGGAGCTGGCAGCAAAAGATTTCAGTCCCAGCGATCTGAAGGGTCCCAAGTCTGTGTCGGCTTTCATCATCAAGCTGTCCGAACTTGAACCTCGATTGGTGATCAAGGAGATGGGTTTGCTGGCCAAGTTCCTCGATAGCGAGGCGTACACCCTTCGATGCGCGGTCATCGAAGTATGCGGCAACCTGCTGGCTGATCTCAACAAAATCGAGGATCGCGACGAGACGACCAACATCCAGATCGATGCTTTCTTCGACACATTGGAGCAGAGATTTCTCGACACAAATCCATACTGTAGATGTCGAGCCATCCAGGTATTCATGCGGTTGTGCGAGCTCGATCAGAGAATACCGAAGCGACGACAGCATGCCGCAGAGTTGGCAGTTCAGAGCTTACAAGACAAGAGCAGCAACGTCCGGAGGAACGCCATCAAGCTGCTTGGCAAGCTGGTTGCGACACATCCATTCAGTGTCATGCATGGAGGAGAGCTACAGCGCAAGGCTTGGATACAGAGACTCGAGGGTGTCGATCAGCAACTCGACGCTCTCAAGCCGCCACCAGACTCGCCAGGTCTGGCAGAGACTGCAAAGGGCACGGAGCGAGTCGATGATGAGTCTTGGATGAGGCGACAAAGCTCGATGAGCCAGAGGCACCAGCAGAAATGACGGAGGAAGAGCAGATCGAGGCCGCTAAGAAAGCTCAGGAGGAAGCCGCTACAACAGAAGTGCTCACTCGATTACAGCTCACTCGAAAGTACTATATCGACGCTCTCCGCTTCATCGATGTCATCCATGAAGCTTCTGAGACGGCTTGTCAGCTGCTGTCTGCTCGAAACAAAAGTGAAGTCCTCGAGGCCATGGACTTCTTCGTCATCATAAATGCTTACAAAGTCGAGCCGGCAAGCATCGGCATACGACGAATGCTGCGCTTGATCTGGACCAAGGGCAACAGCGATGAAGGCAAAGGCGTGCAAACACATCTCATCGACTGCTACAAGGGCCTCTTCTTCGATGCACCAGAAGTCCTGAACGCTAATGACACCGCCAACTTCATTGCCCGGAACATGATAAGCCTGACATTTGGTGCAAGCCCTGCTGAGTTAACCTCTCTTGAGCAGCTGCTCAGCACCATGTACAAATCCGGTCACGTTTCAGATCTTGTCATCGCAAAACTTTGGCAAGTGTATGGCGTCAATCGAGAGATCTCACGCGCTCAGCGGCGTGGTGCAATCATTGTCCTCGGCATGATCGCATTGGCTGACCCCAATGTCGTCGTCAAGGAATCGGACGCAATGATGAGAATCGGTCTGGGCCAACTCGGCCGAGCTGATCTGACGTTGGCGAAGTTCACATGTGTTGCGCTGAAGCGCATGATACCTCCCCCTAAGAAGGCACAGGACAAGACTCAGACCGGGATCTCGAGGATAGCAACGACAACAATGTTTTGCGCATGCTGGCGTCGATACTCATAACATCCTCCGAAAGCCGAGAGTGGTACGGTATGGCAGAACAGGCCATTGCTGCGATCTACGTGTTGTCAGAACATCCAGACGTCCTTTGTTCGGAAGTTTTACGCCATAAGACGAAGACCGTCTTCACACAGACACAAAGACGTAAATCATTCTCACGATCGCCGTCGCCTGTAGAGGAGACAGTCGAAATGGACGTCGATAAGCCGAAGACCTTGAGCAATCAGCACAGGACAAGAAACAAGCCGACGAGGCTACAAGCCCCAGCGCTCCAACCGAGAAACCGAAAGAGAAGCCAGCAATCACCCTCTCACAGCTCCTTTTCATGGTCGGCCACATTGCCATCAAGCAGATCGTTCATCTGGAACTATGCGAGCTTGACTTCAAGCGACGGAAGCACGACCAAGAGAAGGAGAAGCCTTTGGTCGAGCCCACACCCCAACCAAGCAAGCGCAAGAAGACTGTAGCTGAACAAGTCATGTCTGAAAAGGAGAAACAAGAAGAGAAGGATGAGCTCGAGCTAATCGGCGGGACCAACGAGGACGACTTCACCGAAGCCGTCGCTCACATCCGCGAGCGCGAGCTTCTGTACGGACCCAGCTCACTTCTTGCCAACTTCGGACCTCTTGTGACAGAAGTATGTGCCAACAACATGGCGTACAAAGATCGCAATCTACAAGCACACGCGACCCTCTGCCTCGCGAAACTCATGTGCGTCAGCAGCGAATACTGCGAAAAGAATCTGCCATTGCTCATCACCATCCTCGAGCGCTCCGAAGACCCCATCGCGCGGTCAAACACGGTGATCGCACTTGGTGACATGGCTGTGTGCTTCAACCACCTCATCGACGAGAATACAGACTTCCTGTATCGACGACTGAACGACGGCGACGAGAGCGTCAAGCGGACATGTCTCATGACACTGACCTTCCTCATCCTCGCCGGACAGGTGAAGGTCAAGGGTCAATTGGGCGAGATGGCGAAGTGTTTAGAGGATGGCGACAAGCGGATCGCGGATTTGGCGAGGATGTTCTTTACAGAGCTTGCTACCAAGGACAACGCGCTTTACAACCAGTTCATCGATATGTTCAGCATACTTACCAGAGATGGACCACTGGAGGGCGGTGTAATGGAGGAGGAAGCATTGAAGCGTATACTCAAGTTCCTCTGTGGATTCATTGAGAAGGTAAGCATATTCCTCCCTGGTGGACTTCTTTGCGCAGAACAACGCACTGACAATGCGAACAGGACAAGCACGCCAAGAACCTAGCGGAGAAACTGGCCGCGCGTCTCGATCGATGCGAGAGCGAGCGGCAGTGGAACGACACGGCGTACGCGCTGAGCCTGCTGCAGCACAAGAATGAGGACATCGCGAAGAAGGTGTCAGAGGGGTATCGAGTCGTTGAGACTGCGGCTTGATCGAGATTGTGTCTGGGAAAGCATGAGCTTGATATACGAATGGTCTTGATGATGTATGATATCCCTTGAATTGAGTGTGTGACAATACTTCAGCTTGAGCTTTGGAACAAGGAAGATGTATTCTCTTTACGATCACCACTTTTGCGGTCGTGAGACTCGATGTAGGAGAGTCGAAAGCTGGAACAGGACACGAGGGCCTCCCTCAGTTGGTCGTGCTGAAACTCGCTGGACACGGCTAAAATGGTTGATAGAGACCTTGCGAATCGATGAGAGACAAGAGTTGCAGCAATGGTCACCACAGAGACCAACCCGTGTTGGAGAGCGATCTGTCGTGCAGTGCACGGCTGAAGTTATGCACATCTCAGCTTGAATTTTGGGATTGAGGCTTGGCGGTTTGCCTAGTCGCCTCATCGATATCTCTCGGCATTGGTGACAGGCTGGGAGGAATGGCAACTTCAAATCTAGGTCTCGGTCGAATGGTACCGATCATCCACCATTTGAGCACAAATGAGCCTCGTGCTCGGATAGAGTGTCACGACCTTTGACTTAGATTGCGTAACGGGAAATGTTGTGTGGATCCTTCGAAGCCTTTACATTTCATGAGATGTGGGACTACGAGAACAACGACTCGACTCGACTCGGTTTCCCACCAGTCCGGAAAGGGGAAGGCTTGTGTCTTGGATGACTATAGCCATATGTTTGTCGAAGCTACCCGGGGAAGGACCGGCCAGAGACAGGCCAACCGACTTAGGTAAGTACTCTCATCCTAGCATTGAGCAATACAAGCGGAATTTACTTCAGTACCAATGTACCGAGGTATTCCCTTTTCTTTTCAAAGAAACAGCACGATGTCGGGTACCTAGGTACAGAGCACTGGTATCCTGTCTAAGACTCGGCTCCTCCCAAATGGTCACCTCCACCCAGCTCGCCCCGGTCATCAAAACATTTCCTAGAGTCTCCTTGCCGGCTTGCGCCTCTTGCGTTAGATAGGAACAGCGAGATTCCTGACGAGAGTCAGATGAAGTGTTGTTATGGGTCGGCAATTCCAGAAGCATGTGGCTTGGGTGTATTTCCACAGGGTAAGGGATAAGTGAAGTGTCTTGACCGCCTTAAGGAGTGTTTAATCTAGGTAAAGTACACCTTAGCAGCAAGGCTCAGTCTCACCACGACCTTCCAAGATGAAGTCGCTTGCATTGCAGCTTCTCTTTGCTATAGCAGCACTGTGTAGGGACCCTTGCGGACTCGCACGTCGCGACACCATAGTCATACTCACGGTCGTCACTGTGATTGTGCAGCCAGTGTACTACAGCGAACTGATCCCTTCTAATACCGTCATTGACCCGTTCCGCAACGGGCATTTTGTCACAGTCACAAATGCACCCACAAACGTCATCATACTCTCCGCCCTCTACACGACTATCACAAGCCAGAGTTCAATCACCGAGGGCGCAATCTCGACGTCCACATCTAACAGTGCGTCTAGCACTTCGTCCTTGTACTCGACGCAGAGTTCTACAACAACCACGTCAACATCAGCTTTTGTGACGGCAACCTCAGCCTCTTCTTCTTTTTCTTCTTCTCCCACTTTTCCAGGATCACCCTCAACGACTGCAGCCGCTCTCACTACCACATCGAGTGGTCCGTCTTCCGCAACACAATCGTCGATATCAAGTACGACCGTTGTGAGCTCTTCTCCTATATCATCGACAATTCCTTCTTCAACTGTTCAATCCACTACCTCCACCAGCTCGCCCACCTCTACGAGCACAAGCAATCCTGTCGCTTCCACTGCAACCGCGTCCACTACCACGTCGAGTAGTCCGTCTCCCACGACACTATCGTCAATATCAAGTACAACCGTTGTGAGCTCTTCTTCTGTATCATCGACAATTCCGCCCTCAAGTATTGATTCCACCACCTCTACCGCCTCCACCTCCTCTACCACCTCCACCACATCTGCTACCTCAAGCACCTCAAGCACCTCAAGCACCTCAAGCACCTCGAGCAGTCCTGTTGCTCCGACCACTAGCACCACAACAACCACCACCACAACGACCATCACCACAACTACCACCTCGCCATCTACCACTCCCTCCATTTTGCCTTCATCCTCGCCTACAACCACATCAACAAGTACGTATAATCCCCAGAACTCACGTCTGATCCTTCAACTTCAAATCAAAAGTGAAAGCACCCAACAGAAAGCCAACCACACTGATTTGCCACAGCATCCGCATTTGCCTGCAATCCTTCGACCGCCGGCGGAGGCGTTCAGGTCGGCTGCACCAACGGCTGCTATTGCAACGTAGATGCGGCGGGGACCGCATTTTGTGATGACGACAGCGGCTCACACGCCTCATGCACGACGAATGCAGATTGCCCTAGTGGCGAGGTTTGTGATGTTTTCGTCCTCGGGAACACAGGCGGGAATTGTGTTACCAGCCCGGCAAATAATTCGTGTGGGGGATTAGTCAGGCGGGACGTCTCATACGGAGCAGGAGTGGGTGGGATTGGAAGGATGATGCAGGCAAGGGATTGGAAGCAGAAACCACGCGGTGGAAATCAGCAAGTGTCATAGAACTGACGCAAGCGATGAGACGGGGGTAAGGCGATGCTATGACAACGACTCCTGATAATAGTGGTTAAACCATCCAGACCGACGTTGAAGTATGCTGAGATCAAGCGCAGCGTGGTCTGGGTGGCGGCATCTTTGGATACTGTCATTACGCCGGACCGGACTGATCTTGCGTGTCTCCAACGAGCTCTACCTGTAAATGTGGGACGTCGGACTATGATGGAGCTGCGTCGGTGTTGCTGTGAACGAGGAGAGTGGGCGTCCGGGGAAGAGCCAGCTGTGTAATTTGAGTGCAGGGCTGGATGAGTTGATGGATCTGTTTGAGGGGGCCTTTGAGGGGAGTTGATCTGGTGGCTTCGGAGAGCTTACTTGGTCGAGGGTACCGAGACCAGCCAATATGTCTAAGACGGAAGACAAAAAGGAAATGACGAGAAAAGCCCTCCCATCAGTCTGTTGCAGGCTCAATTCAACGTCCAAAGCACGTGTGGTCGCGAGGCGAACTCGATATGTTCCTGGGTACGTTGCCTGTCGAGATCCTGGCGCTGAGACAGCCCGAGAGTGGTCTCGGACAGGAGGGCATTCCTTCCTAGTGACATGTATCGGGACAGGCCCGAGCAGGGGTTCAGACAGTGAACAAAGAATCTGCAAGACATGTTGTATCCTGCGGCTCTTGTAAGACTGTCCTATCAACACACACAACCACCAGATGATAGATTGAATCTGGACTCTGGATGGGTCTGGGGACACAGGTCTTACCGAGAGGTTCTTGTTGAGGACTGACTGAGCAGTCTCACACTGGAGACAAAGAATTGTGTCTACTCTGCCTGAAACCGCAAAGCCATACAAGATCCGCAAGGTCGTCTCGATGGAGGGTCGAGTGGTATATAGCCGTCCTTCTTCCGCCTCCACTGACTGCAATACTCGAGCTAAGCAACATCTTCCGATCAGCCATCGCACTCAGCCATAGTCACACCTCATCTCCAACCAGAATACGAAGCGAGCAATAAGAGCCTTAACCCTCGGCAATCGCCACAACATCGATCAATCGTCAACATGTGCCGCACTCGTGTTCACTGCCGCAAGTGCAACCGCCTCATGACAACTCGCCAACGCAGCTGCCGTTACATTTCGAAGAATTCTTACAGCCAACGACATAATGTAAGCTGCACTGCGACAACTCCGGAACCCGAACTTGTGGGGCCCTGTCGTCCGTGCAATCGGCGTGAACGGGAGAATCGTGGAAAGGAGAATGAGAAGTCTGGTCCGACACCTCAAGCGGAGAAGTAGATATGGTGCGCGTGGTCGAATGTTGGAAAGCTGTCTGATAGTCAAGGAGCAATGCTGTGAGATAAAGTCAGGACAGTTGGGAAGGAATCGGGTATGGAGACTGTGTACTGGATGCATCGGGTGGGTCTGTGACTGTCCAAGTTAGAGGTCAACGGTTGATAGAGGCCAGTCCCTAACAGAGGTGAACATTTGATAGAGGGTAATGACTGATAAAGCAATACAGTATATGTCGCACGTCCGATCAAGTTAGAATTCCAGCAAGATGGTCTGTCAAGAATGATGTACCGCTGACCGAATATCAAGCGCCGAGAATTAGAACATGTCAACCGGTGTCGGGAATATTACCCACTTCCAGATCCTGGGACTATAGTATCTCCTTGACCATAAGATGCTTCTAGTCGCTTAGACATGTCGATCGGTCGAAACAGTGCTGCGGAAAAGATCTAGTTTACTTAGATACTCTGAAAGCTCCCAGAGTCCGAGACGGCTGAATCATGCCACCTTGGCCCCTGAAGCCGAGAACGTGAGGCTCGTCGAAGCAATCTTCGCAAGAAAGGTTATTTTGTATGAGGGGCTGAACTTAGTTCCAACCTGAACCAAGCCCGTGGCTTGAGCGACTCAGCTCCGGGAGCACGTCCACTCTGTCTTCATGTCTCTTTCTGGGAGTCTGGCTCTTCGAACGGGCCCGAGCCGCCATATGGCGCAAACGAGGCTTACCGACAAGCCTTTTCAAGCTTTGCACTGCGCAGACCAAGCTTCATTAAGCACTATTACCATTAACCCTACCCACTTGGACTCATATAAAATTGGACTTCAACCTCCAACGCTCCCACGTGGCTCCACAGACCCTTCGAGATGTCGGCAGCACCGATACTGACGGGTGTACCTCGCGCTCAAGGGCACTGCAGCTATTGCAGAGTACCTGGGTACATTAACTACACAACGCCCGACATGGCGCCCTCCCCGCGAGAGCAGAGACCGCTACCAGCATTCCTTCGTTGCCGTTGGGTCTCAACACACTCGTTTGACGTACTGGAACAATGTTTCAAGCCACTCTTTTTGTCTCTTTCGCTATTTTCCATCTTGCTTCTACTCAGTCTTTGACCTGCGATAATAATCAAAGTAATGGAACCTCATATACTGCCTCCGCAGGGGGTGCGTACGACATTCTTTGCAGCACTGACTTCTTCGGCGGCGATATGAGCTCTATGAACGGGGTCACCTTTCAGCAATGTATCGACACATGTGACAACACAACCGGCTGTGTTGATGTTGCCTACGTCGAAGCAGGCCAGGACTGCTATCTCAAACAGACCCTCACACCGGCTTTATCAAACCCAAATGTTTGGAGTGCTCGAAAACATAGCGCCGCAGCCAGCACTGCCTCCCCAGTCACACTCTCCTGCAACAACCCTAGCACTAATGGAACGACCTTCACTGCATCTACCGGAAGCACATATCGGATTCTGTGTGGTTTGGATCATTACGGTGGGGATCTTGCCAGTATCCAGACCTCTAATTTTGAACAATGCATCGAGGCATGTGAGACAAAGGACGCCTGTATAGACGTGTCATATGTTGACGGCGCGTGTTACATGAAGTCAATGCTCAGCACTCCATCGGCCCTATCTTATGTTTGGACGGCGCAAGTAATCAAGTCAGCCAAGGCGAACTCCAAAGCCTCGTCGCTGTCTTGTAACGACCTGAATGTCAACAGAACCACGTACACCACCGCTGGGCAGCGCGTGTACGAGATTCTGTGTGGAGTTGACTACCTTGCTGGCGACATGTCCTCGACAACGACCTCGACATTCGAGCTCTGCTTGGAAGCTTGTGATGCGGCCGAGGGTTGTGTTGATGTGTCTTATGTCACCCCTTCATGCTATCTGAAGTCTTCCGTGGGACCTGCCGATACAAAGGCCTGGGTATGGAACGCTCGATTCATGGCTGCAGCCGCCACAACTACGAGTGCCGGGCCTTTACCCACGGCGCTGTATGGAAATACGACCAATTCGACAGTCGCAAGCCGGACCACGGCCTCTTTACCGACTTCCACGGCATGTGCTGTCAACACAACTTCTTTCTACCCGGCCGCTAATCAGATCAACCGCGACGACTATTCCGTTCTCAGCCCCAAAAATCAGGTCACTTTGACATATGTCGACCCAAATACGCTAAGGCTGCTCGCTCTGAGCTTCTCCATGAATCTGCCGACTGTAGTCCTGGAGGACTCCGACTATATTGACTATGTTTCCTGTGGACCAAACATGGAAGTCAGTCTGACTGATGAGACATCGTACAAAGTGGCTACTTCCTGGCCTAGCTCCGGATTTCTTGTTATCACGTACTTTCCGGGGTGCAACGACCAGTCACAACGAGGTGTGTACTATGTGTCCAAAGTCACACCGTTTCCTTTGGATCTTGTGGTAGGTCTTGACGTACTCGAAGTCAATCTTACATCAGTGGCAACGGAAATGAACATCGGTTTCGGGACAATTGTCAACAACGCCACGACTGTAACATCCACGTGCGTGGCAGGTAATAACGCGACAGCAACGCCCACACCTACAAGTTTCACGCCGCCAACCAGTTCGAGTCTGTCACCAGAGGTGAAATCGATTATGGACGCTCTCAAACCACTCATGAAGTATGATGCAAGCGGCAATATCTTAGCCTCAGTTCCGATGCAGACTGCCCCAGCCATCGTAACACCCGACCCATTTGATCCATCAGATTTGGCAGCGCAAGCTGAGCTACAGGCCGCCTTGGCCGATGCTGGGCTACCTGCTGCAAACGCTAGTGCCGTTCAAGCTGCCGCGGCACTCTCTGGCACTTGCCTGAACAGCTCTGCTCCGGTGTCAGCAACACAGACCAAGACAAGGAGGACCATTAAACGAATGCCATGGACTACTCCGCCGAAACGAATCGTCAAGCGGAAACATAAGGGCGGAGAACATGAGCACGAAGAAAAAGGTCCTAATTATGGGTCCGCAAGTGGCACAGATGATCCAGATGGATGGGACTATGCTTGCGACGATACTGTGACTGGCTTTGCAGATTTGTTTGGCGACGTCGGCGAGCTATACGATGGTGTATGCCAAGGTCACGATGCATATCAAGCAGGTCAAGCCATCGACTGCTTAGTAAAGCACTGCGATCAGACAGTAACATATTATACGACGACTTCCTACTACATTTACTATCCGCCACCGTCAACGATATATTCATTTCTCAATTCCTGGACGATCACCTATCCATCGCTATCGAGCTACCCTCTTGGCTTTGCACGAGATGGAAGTCAGATGACCTGCGTCAACTGTAATATGGCGGTCAACCTCATTCAATTCGACGGCGCCATCACTGTCAACTTGACGTCGAAAGAAATACAGAAAGCTAACATCAACGCCGGCATTAGTTGGGACGCCGATCATGTTATCAATGTTAATTCTAATGGGCCTTGGACGAGCAACTTCAACTACATTTTCAACGCAGACAGTTTCGACGGTATTGGCGTTCCCGGAATCTTCTCAGTCACTCCGTCTATGATCTATAGTATTGCTTATTCCTGGTCGACGGACTCGGCGGTCAACTTCACAGCGGGAGCCCACCTCCATGTCGCAAATGCAACGGCTAACTTGAACGCGTTGAGCGCTGGTTCAGCTTCTGTCAAAGATCCAACCGACTTCTCGCCAGTGCCAACTTTCATCTATCCCGTTTTCTCCACCGGCTCAAAAGTGTCGATGTCACTGACGATGCAAGCCCTTGTATCAATGTCAGTCAATATCATGGGCCAAATCTCTGTGGCGACCTCTCAGACGATCCAGAATACAGTCGGGATGAGTTCTCAGTACTCAACAACTGCAGGTGTCTGTCCAGCAAACAACCTCGCAGTTAAGTCCTACGTAAGCACCAACAACACCATCGCTGTGAATAATGGAGCTCCGAATAGTCTGTACTCTAGTCAGACGGCCGGACAAACGCGCTGTTTTGCCGTTCCAAACGCGCTCCCTGACACTGGCGACATTTTGGCACTCTCCAGCGTTGGTGGCGCTTTCTGCACATCTTATATCAACTACAAGCCGTCAACATCATCCACAATCAGCACGAGTACCCAGTTCGTTCCAAGCACCGCCACCACTACAACTACAAGCACAGTAACGAGCACTCCGGTCATCACAATCTTCCCAACTTACCGGACTTCCTTGACTTCTACGTCCGTCCTTCTGAGCTCTACGTCGTATGTGTACACCACAGGAACGTACGCCATCCCGACCCAATACCTGAAGCGGGATGCTTTACCGGAGGCGAGCCCTGCTCCCAACGAGATCGCTGAGCCAAGAGCCCTCCCCTACAATAGGCCGCTGCTCCAAGGACGTGCGGCGGTGCCAACTCCCACCCTAGTCTCCGGGTGGTCTCCAGCAAAGATCTCCTATGCCTGCAGCCAGATCGCCACCGGAGCCATCACTACTACCTATACTGCCACCATAACCAGCACATCCGGCACAGTCACATCGACGCAGACCGACATCGTTAACGCCAAAGGTCCCGTCTCAACCGAAACTGACGCCATGTACGAGTCCCTGGTCGTAGCCACCGTCACCGTAACAAACCCCGGTGTAGCGACCAGCACAGTCGCGACCGCCTGCCCTCTCCAAACAAGCGAAAGCTGCCTCCGAATATACGGCTCCGGCCCACCACAGTTTGGCACAGGCTGGCCTATGGCATACGAAGACGGCGCCGACTCCAATTTCCAATTCGGCACCGATCAGTGGTATAAGTTCACCGAATGGTACCTCGCCTCCGACGGTTCCCTCTACGCACTGGAATCAGACCAGCCGTGGGCTGTGACGGAGAATTACGCGTTGGGCGCGTGGGTGGTTCTCGACCGTGGGGTGACGGGTCCGTATAGTGGGTACAGGCATGCCAAGTGTACGAAGGACTGTGTGGCTAAGACCATTACTTGTTGTGGGATGGGAGTGTGTACTTGGAGTGCGGGCGAGGTGAATACCGAGCAGGATTGGTATTATTCGGATAAAAGCCAGCAGCCTTACTTGCCCGTGTGGGGTATGGCAGGGTGGACAAAGAGTTATCCTATTACCTTGAGGTATGAGGACGTGCAGTGCCCGTGTCGGAATTAGATCAGGGGACCCATAATGTCGAAGAGGCCGGTAGTCCTGTTGTGTCTTGCTGCGGAGTTTCCGCAAAAGTCAGCGCCGTGGTGACATTACCTGATGCTGCTTACGGGGTATCCCTAAACCGCAGGGGCACGCTTACCCGTCGTGGCGTGTAGTATTCCCATAACGAGGTACGATGCGAACGAAATGAGTGCATAAACCATTACGAAGATTCGCAGATACGCACATAATGTAGGAGTGAAGTGTGATAGTTAGATGTCAGTACGGGCCTGGAGCAGCCCAGGACCAAACACCTAAGAACAAACAAGATATTGTTGTGATATATATATTGTGTAAGAAATGTTTTCCCTCGCAATCGACCACAGGGTGTGGAAAATAAGCCTTCCCGTCCGCTCAGGCAATTCAAGCCACACGCCGAACGGTTAGTAGTTAAGTGGGTGACCATTAGCGAATCCCGTTTGTTGATTGTTTTTGATTTTTTGACGACCACCTCACAGCTTAAGTGACCCTTCATGTATGAAGGAATGAAGCTCGACCTGTGCCCGTTGCAGACAAAGAACGACTATAGAAGACCAGGAGGAAATCCAATCGACGCGCATGAAGAATTATAATTGTAGTCACGACTTGCTTAAATGGTCAATCCTCAGCGGGCTCCCTAGGCCTCTCCCCTGTCCGATCGCAGGCACAGCGATGGCCGCCGCGACGCTAGTAGCACCAGTCTCGATAGATGTTGAGAAGGATCTAGACGTGACGATCGTTCCGCTAGATATTCTTTAGTGACCAACCTATGAAGACACTATCCAACGTTTGTGGCTTGAGCCGGACCGTTGCACTGCCTATCAGTCCCCATACATATCACCCTCGTCATACGGAGCAACATCATTTTGGAGCTGGTTGGGAATTTGAGTACCAGTGCCCCTGTTCCAATTGGTCATGTACTGGTCGAGATCTCGAAGATTAGTGCTCCCGTTCCCTTTACCCGGGCCGTCGTGATTAGTACGAATGTTGACCTGATTGAGCACTTGAAGCCCATTGCCCCCGTTCCCATGATCAAAGCCGTTTTGATTCGCACGAAGGTTGACCTGGTTGTGTACTTGAGCGCCAGTGCCCCTATTGGAGTTAGTCATGCCGTGTGAAGGAGCAGAAACGTTGAGCTGGTTATCATCTCGACCACCGTTCGAGAGACGTCCCAGGCCTTGCTGATGACCAACAGTGTCGACTTGGAGTCTCCGCAAGCTATTCCGTAGCATGCGGATTTCTTGGCGAAGCAGCGCGATTCTCCTATCATCAGACAATGATGCAAAATATCGCCATTGAAGTTCTGCTCGTCGTCGAACTCTTCCCTGCTCCTCGGGCGTTAATGTTTGCCGAGAGGACCTAGCCTGAGTGAGCTGCTCGATCTGTTGAAACAAGTTCTTCTTCTGTGCCAATAGAGAATCTATTAAGGCTCCAGGTTCTACCCAGTTCGATTCACCCTCGCGCGCCCCCTGTCGGCGAGACCCGAGCGGTGACGCTGGAAGTGATGTTGTGGTCTGACTGGGCACTTCCGACGGGATAGGCGTCTTGCGAGGACGACCTGGGCCCCTCTTCGGAGGAGCACTGCTTGGTTCCAGCGGGTCGATCGCTGCTTGTCCTTGAATTTCCCTCAAAGGAACCCGGTTCTGCGCTGAGCTCGATGCTGATGCGCCTGTCGTGTTCTGACTGTTGGTGAATGGCTGATGTTCGTCCGGTCTGATTTTCCGGGGACGACCTCGACCCCTTTTCAAAGGGGCGACGGTTGGCGTCGTTGACTCGGTTGGGTCTGGGACGCGCGTCCTTCCCATAGCAGCCCCCTGCAACCGTGCGGCGCACGATTTCTTGTGCTCTGGCCAGTGGAGAGTCAGGCACTCGACAGAGCAGTACCAGGTCGCCTTGCAGTCGCCACAAAGCGAAGGTCTGCTAGATGTCTCACGTGTTCCTTGTGTATGATCACACCAAGCGCACTTACGGCTCGTTGCTGGCGGTGCCTGGGATGCTGCTCGAGGCAGATGAGTTCGCACCTGCCTGGAGTGGTTAGCCTCATCAAGGCACGAACGGTCGTGACATATTAAGTGAGCTTTTAGACAGTTCTCAGAGCAGTACCAGATCTTCGTGGTAGGGTTGATCCACACATATTTGCCATGTCGCTCTTGTATTCCAAGTGCTTGAGGGCTCTTCCCGCACCAACAACATATCGTCGTGGATGCTGCCTTCGCTCTCGCCAGCTTAGCCGCACAGATGTCCCTGTGCTCTCGTGCTTCGTCAAGTAGTCTGCTCGCCACGCGTGTGTGTAAGCGATCAATCTTTGCAAATGCTTCCGACTCAATGTCCTCTGCAACTGCCGGGACGACATTGCCCTGTGCACCGAAGGGAAACTCATTTCCTCCCTCAGCTGTAGGCGACAATTGCCACAGGAGGTCTGATTGAGCTTTTTCAAGGCTAAAGTTTCCTTCGTCGTCCATTCCCAGCGGAGAGGAAAGAATACAGCAATGTGGTAGACTGTTTTCCGGCACAGCGAGGGCTCCCTGTTGTGAGCTGTAGCTCACGGTGGTACTGTACGTCGTGGTTCGATGTGTGGTGTTGTGGGCGCTCCGATGGGAACGGCCAGTGTTTGATGCTGGCTCATTAAGTACAGACGGGGGCCGGCCCGGCGTCATTGTCGAGTAGTCGTACTCGGACTCCCAGGGCGGCCACTCCTCGTCTGCAATGTTGAAGTTAGGCAAATATGGCGGGTCCATTGAGAAGATCGTCTCTCTGGTGGGCATGCCTGGTAGCCGTGGTGCTTATTTCTGCAGTCGCTCTTGGCTGTGGTCACCAAAGATAACGATTCAGAGGCGGATTCCTGAGTCCGCCGGGGTAGGCTTCAGATCGGTGGCAGCCCTTTCACCGTGGCAGAAGCTGTCTGCAGGAACCTGGCAAAATTCGACTCGTCTGAGACCGATTCAACACAGATGTACTCGTTAATTACGACCGTAGTGCTAGTCTGTCGCGAAACCAGAATGTCGCGGCTCCTGAGCCACGCCTTGATCAAAGACGATGACGGTGATGGCAATAGTGATGCCGTTGATGGTGATGGTGAGTGTGGACGGCTCGTGGAAAAACATTACTAAAACATATGAGGACAATTGTGCGTTTTCCGCTGTGAATGCCAAGGAGTACCTTGAAAGCATACGGTACCTTTCCACCCTCGTCGTAACCTAAAACATGCTCAGTACCAGTCGGAGCACCTTAATCCCACCGTTTAAGCGTGCTCCGGGCTCGGCGCCAACTGTGGCTTCCTTCCGGTGCTGCTCCGCCACCCCTTGACGGGTCCGCTCCGCGGATCCAAGCCGCATCTTCGGAGGCGCGAAGCCGTAACGCACATGAGAGCAGAGGCGAATCAACTGAACTGTGCAGCCATACGTGCGAATGTGAGAATTGCGTCCTGCGGTAACACCGGGTTTGACGCCTTCGACAGATGCGATTCATGCTTTTCGTGAGCCTCATCAGTCCCGAACCAGGAAGGCGGGATTGTGCCCCGAATGCAGGCGCCTTCAGCTCCTCTATCGCTGACAGGAACAAATTTGGTCCTTGCTGCCTGTGACTCGTCAATTCTTCCTCTCTGGGAAGCAAATGCTAGATTCTCATTGACGGACTTGACCAAAAGCCAATGGTTGTTGGCCTCACAGCGCAGCTGCTACAGTGTATGTTGAAGAGCCGCAATACGAAGCTTACCAGGTCCACAGTTGGCTTTGAGACAATAGGGAACTTCTTGTCGCAGTATCCCATCTTGCCTGGTCCCAATCTGTGCTATACAGCCTCATCCATTGTCAAGCATTTGACTGAACACTGAAAATAGCATTGACGCCAAGCACGACGGGATCGTCAGCATGCAGTAGTCGAGCAGCATTGGCGTTGAGCAGGGTGAGTCTGCTTGATGACATCTGCGATTACTTCAACATGATGCTCGTCAGGCATCGTCCTCGCTCCCATTGTCGATATCAGCCCAGCAAGGAATGCGTACGGGGCCACGTGGCCACACCTGGGGGACAGGGCGAAGACGTGAGACGTAGTAGCATCAACAACTCGCAGTCCATAGGTGTTCGCGGAGGAGCGAAAGTATTGGTTTGTTGATTGCGGATGGATTCGAACTGTAAGTCAACTCTGTTGAAATCTCATCAACAAATTTGGCACAGAATGAAGCTCCTGCGGTAGGCTTGGAGGAAGACATCTGGTTTCTTACAGAAAGTGATGAGGTCAGCGATAGGGGTGCAAAGAAGGCGTAAGAGGCTGACGTCGGTCGAGGCTGTCCTAAGTGACAGACGACATGTGCCGCCCACGGCAGCAGTTGAAAGGCTGGAGACAGGTTCTGGCTCTTCAACACGAAAAAGCAGTCAGCCATGGCTCATATTCTGGACTTTCTGTGATCGGCCCTGGGGACAGCTTCAAATTCACAGCTCCTTACATGCGACCCGTCGCGCGACAGCTCAGTGCTGCTACGATTCAGGATGATGCCCAGGTGTTCAGCTGGACAAGCAGTGCAAAACAGGGAAGATTGTGTCAGGCTTGGCAGAACATTGAAATTGACGCAACGCCCCACGTGGCTCTTAGCTTTGCAGGCATTGAAATACATTCATTGACACTGTGAAACAACAGGCTATCCCTGAGTTACTATGTTATTGGCCCAAATACGCCACTTCGGCGCCGTATCTGGCGTGAATCAAGAATGGGGCTGATCCTTCCTGAGCAAGGGAAGCTTTGCATCGACGGGCGTCGAGTTCGAGTTAGCGAAAGCCCATCGACCTCGTTGCACAGGCGACTCGCGTTGCGGAGACGGCATCGTACTTGTCCAGCTTCCCGGCCACGGCTCACTGGTATTGCCCACACGCAGCATCGCATACAGACGAAATCCGGTCCGAGTCCTTCGATGGCCATCGTCGGGAGCTTCCAGCGAGGGAAACAGATCTGACAACTAGAGCATGAAAGGCATCAAGGACGATCGGTCGTAGCGGCGTGTTGCGGAAGTAAAGCCCTTGACATGACTGGATGCCCCTGACGGCATGCACCCCATGCTTGCCGCTTCAGAGATGCAGGCTCTGGACTGATCACATGGGGGAGCTGCAACTTTCAGCGATCGCCTTGTTGCCTTGTCACTCACGTGACTATACCAGAGCATCGACTCCAAACTTACCTTTCTCAGGCAGGATCAGTCTTTGTAGAAGTTGCTAACGCTGATAGTCATCTTTAGGGCGCGACTGTCTGTCTATGAAGCATTTGGCTTTAACGACGCGGACCCGGCAGTCCAGATTGAGCTAGGCACGGACATGCTAGCTGGCGTCCTTATAACGAGCTGGAGAACCTGGAGGGGATGCAACACGTTCGTACTTGAGCAACGCCTGCGATTCCGGCACTAACGCGGCGGAGGGACCAGTATGGACGACCGTGGCGCCGTTCTTGGCCAGGTACTTTCCGCAGGATTTGTTTTCAACTGAAGTCTGGTAGACCGCAGCAACGACTAAACCGAGCTCAACGAGATGACTACGTGTGGGCTCTCAGAAGCTGTTTCGTCGGTCGCAGACATGCCGGCGGGCTCTGCTGACCAAAAAAGACTTAATTGTCAGGTTATCTTTGAGGCTCGGCTTGTGAAGCCTCCCTCATAGCAATGAGATGGCCGGCTTTCGCATTGACTGGCGATGGTGGACGATTTGTTCTTCACCCGGGTGATTCAACCCTTCTGGTTGTATGTCGTCGTCTGATGATGTAGGAGCGTGCAACCGGCATAAGTGTGGTCCGGTCTGGCTTCCTGGTCACTGCTGGAGACACGCCTTGAGCACGGAGTAACGGCTGAGGGAGATCGAGAAGGATGAAAAGCTCCGGTATCAACACGGAAACCACAAGAGCCATGAAACGGACGCGTGTTGGAAATCTGGGATTCGGTCTCTGGTACTGGACCTGTAGAAATGTCAATCAATGCTGGGCACATCTGGAGGGAAGAGACCAAGCGCTAGAAGCTAATTCATATCCCCGACAGTAAAACGTGTCATGGACGGCGAACCATCTCACCGTCATGACTATGGTTGATGCGCAGCTCCTCAAGACGCCCACGCCGGTGTTGATAATGCTCAGGTCCTCGAATCATGCTCAACTCACCTCACTCCTGACTCGGACGTCTCTGCGACCTGACTCAACGAACCCAAGTCCTGCTCTTACTGGCTTCTCGAACCTACTGTGGGTCATCGTGGTTGCGTGGCAGTCATTGCAGCCTACGGAAGGAGTGAATTTGTCTTGGCAAAACCGACAGCCTCGCACCTTCTCGACTACAAATATCTCTCTCCATCGCATCCTCATTCCTTTCTCCTGACCACACACAATTTACTTTGCTTGTCTCTATCTCGCTGCGAGGCATCTCTCTCGATAGCATCCAGGCTGCTTACGTTGCACGTTGCGACATTCCAATCACTTGCGCAAGTTCAAAAGGTACGTTTATTTCTTGTCTGTCATCCTATCACGAATTTCCTTGTCATGTTTCGAATCTGCTGCAACCTCAACGAAACTCGTGTCGACATCAGGCTTGCTCTTCGTCGTCTCTCCAATGCCCTCATAATTTATGCCATCACAGGTTGCGCATTCTCAAGATTCGACTCAGTCCTGAGCTCAGCTTGACAAAGCCTCTGATTGCCCACTCAACTTCTGTCAGAAGTGACGCAAGGCACCGACACCTTCCATACTCACTGCCACAAGTCATTTCTTGTTATCATTAACTCCGCTCCCAACAAATTCTGTCATCTTCACCTCCGCTCTCTTTGCACTTCATCCTCACACATCTCCTGCATTATTCCCTTGTCTGACACAAGCTTCTTGAACAGATCCCAGGTCAAGTCACCATGACTGACTTTGTCAAAACCGAGGACATGGCCGAAGCGCTCCCCACCACTGACGGTCCTCCCAAGGATCAAGAAGCCTACGATCGTGCTCGCGAAAAGGGCTGGTCTGCCCCGGAGCCAAGCAACTATCCCGCTGAGAATGGCACTGAAGCTCAGTCAAACGAGGTCCCATTTGTCGAGGAGGCATGGATGCACTCTGCCCAGAAGTACGAGTGGAGCGAGGAATTCGGCGATGTCGGTCCCAAGATCACAGAGCTTGAAGCACAATTGTTCAACCCAGACCTGAAGCCGGTGAAGGGCAACTTGTTCGAGAAGCAAGTGTCGTCACTCAAGTTGGTACCATCATGGCTAACAATTACCAGCTTGACCTCCATCAAGGTCATCGCCGAGGCCGTCGAGCGCCCTGCTCCTATCCGCGACGTGAGCCAAGCTTCCTGAGATCTGTTCCCTGTACTGACGCTGTAGTTCGACAACGCTGGCTTGCATCCCGTGATTGTTGAGAACATCAAGCTCTCCGGTTACGACACTCCAACTCCGATTCAAGCGTACACCATCCCAGCCATCGGCAAGGGTTACGACGTCATCGGCACCGCGCAGACTGGTGAGGCAAGATTGAAATATCATATCACAAAGACTTACACATCGCAGGTTCTGGCAAGACCGCCGCCTACCTCATCCCCGCTCTTTCAAAGCTGATGGGTAAGGTGAAGAAGCTGGCCGCGCCTCGTCCAAACCTCGCCAACGGCTTCAACCCTGACACCGACATGGTTCGTGCTGAGCCGCTGATCCTTGTGGTGGCTCCCACTCGTGAGCTTTGCTGCCAGATCTTCGATGAGTCCCGTCGTCTGTGTTACCGCTCCATGCTGCGACCTTGTGTTGCTTACGGTGGCGGTCCAAAGCGTGAGCAGATGGATGAGCTGCGCAAGGGCTGTGACATCCTGGTTGCTACCCCGGGTCGGTTGATTGACTTCATGAGCAATCACCCCAACCTGCTGTCGCTCAACCGCCTGCGATTCACCATCATCGATGAAGCTGACGAGATGCTTCACGACGACTGGGAGAAAGAAATGTCGAAGATCATGGCTGGTGGTGGTAAGTCTGACCAGCCTCATTAGGTTCTAACACGACTAACTTGTCCAAGACACCAATGAGGACGGCAACCACCGTTACATGCTGTTCTCTGCCACCTTCAACAAGAGAATGCGCAAGCTGGCGAAGAAGTACCTCTCCGGCGACCACATCCGTATCCGCATTGGCCGTGCAGGTTCCACCCACATCAACGTCCAGCAGAACGTACGTCTCCGTGTACTTGTCCTTGTCCTTTCCTTTGCTGACATTATACAAGGTCATCTGGGTGGAGAACAACGAAAAGCAGAAGGCCTTGTATGATCTCCTCATCTCGATGCCGCCCTCTCGTACCCTGGTCTTCGTTCGCTCGAAGAAGACTGCCGACTTCGTGGACGACTACCTCTTCAACCTCGGTCTCCCCTCAACGTCTATCCACTCTGATCGCACTCAGCGCGAGCGTGAGGACGCCATCCGTGCCTTCAAGTCTGGAAGAGCTCCAATCATGGTCACCACCGGTGTCTCTGCTCGAGGTCTCGACATCCGCAACGTCATGCATGTCATCAATTTCGATCTTCCGTCCATCGACTATGATGCGAAGATGAGTATATCCACCGTATCGGTAAGTGCGACGAGTGTCTCCCTGCCACTGTTGCTAACTTCTGAGTAGGCCGTACTGCTCGCATTGGTAATGTTGGTCTGGCTACTTCCTTCTACAACGACAAGGATGAGGGAATGGCCGACTACCTTGTCAAGATCTTACTCGAGACCGGTCAGCCGATCCCAGACTTCTTCGCCGAACGCGTCCCAGAAGACAAGAAGGTGGATTTCGAGGACGATTCAGGTGCTGAGGATGATGATGAGGGTGCACAGGATGGTGGTGGTGACTCGTGGTAGATTCTTCTACGGCGATGTATTCACCACAATCTCTCCGCACAGGAGCACAACCAAGACAATGCACGAGTCGATTCGGCGAGTTGCACGCACGAGGCAGCAGGCAATGGTCCGGTCTGAGGACCAGGCATTGACTCTTGTCTCAATCTCGTGACGCCATTTGCTCACTCGAGGTTTCGGCGAAGCTGACACGGTCTACGACCTGACCAGTCGCTCAGGGACCTGCATTCAATTCACACTGGGGAATCAAATGGGACGTAATGGGCGATAACAGTGACATTCAAGAAGCTGCCGCATCATCTTGTCTTCGAGATTTGTCGATAGAATTCAGACTTGAACGCCATTCCAGCCATCTCTGATGTGATTGTCGCTGGCGCCATCGTCAAATGAGCTGTCAACAGTCGCTAGCACAAGACAATTGATGTCAGCAGCTTGTCACCTTCTTCGTTTCGAGGGCTTCCTAGGTTTTCTCTACTGCAAGTGCTATCTTCGATGGCCTGATCGTAAACATCAAGTCCTCTACTGTGCTTGCCAGTAGGCCTGTCGCGATGGGACAAACCGCGCTGTCGATGGCAACAGGGTAGTCCTCCGAGGTGAGTTCCACGCATTCGTCGTCCAATATTGTATCGTACACTGCATTCTCTGCTCTCAAGTGAGTGGCAAGGCCCGTGACTGTCTTTCCTCGCTCGACGCCCTGTGCATGCGCTCGTGGGCGTGTGCTTGAGCCATGGACCTGTCGACTGCCACACGTGTCTTGCCTTGCATGGATACTGGCCCACCGTACGGCTTCCCTTCCGGAATGCTGCTAGCTGCTGTCCCTGAGAGTTCAGCAAGTTGCAAGCATAAGGCATATGTTGCCATACACCGCTTAACTTGCTCCAATACCTGCAACAGACATCTTTTCATACTCGTGCCGCGGTGCGCCAGACCATTGCTTCGGCTTCCGACTACTGTAATGCCTTCCATGTGTTAATTATTGTGCTTTCAGCCCTTCCCACTCTCGTTAGCATCAACTCCTGATCCTCCGCCTCCAACACCACCTTGCGCCTCCTCGCCGCTCACCCCCACACCAGCTTTCCCACCACCCATCCGCTTCATCCAAATTTTCCGCTCAACCTCCCTCGTCTTCTCCATCTCGTTCACCTCCCGCTCAATCGCCGCTTCCTTGGACTGCCTCTCTCGCACGCGCTCCTGGATCTTGCCCACCGTCTCGTCCTGTAGCTTCTTGACCAGCTCTTTATCGATCTGTCCGGTCTGCGGGTCGCGGCATTCGGCGATGAGGGCATCGAAATTGTGGGATTGCAGGTCTGCGGTGGTGAAGGGTTGGAGGGTGAGTGGGTGGAGGGTGTATGGGTTGGGCGCGTCTTCTGTGGTCGCTGGTAGGAGGGAAGGTTGGGGGAACGCGGGGTGGATTGGTTGGACGCGAGATGGGTGGGAGAGTGGTGGGTGGGTGTCGTTTGTGAGGGAGAGTTTGCGGTTGTGGGTTGGGGAGATGGGTTGTGGTGGCTGGTGGGGTTGTGCTTGTGACTGTGGGAGTGACGATGGGTCTGCTTGTTCTGACTGTTGCTGTTGGCGCCCAAAGTCCTGTTCTGGCTGTAGAGTGGTAGACGGCGCATCGGCCATGGGCGTGTCAGTCGACATCTTGAGAATGAAACATGGGCGAGTAACATGGGCGAGTAACGCGGCCAGATCATTGAGCTGCGGGCAGTGGCAAGTTTTGTGCGCGTAGCGGTGTCATAGCACGCCGGCCTGTGGCAGTCGCATTCGTGTGCTGGCGCATCTGCCGTTGAGTTCTCGACGCAATCTGAGGCCGTTATGTGGCAGGATGGGAGCACTTTGTTTGACGATGGATGTTTGGTAGACCGGATGACGGAAATCGGAGAACTGTCAGCAGCTGTGACGTATTGGAATATATTTCAGGACTGGTGGTAGAAATCAAAGACTGCCTACAAGAATGTTGCAGATTGTACTGATTTTCATCTCAACTCTGACTATCTCGCGTGCTTCGTACACTACGGGCAGCTGGCTTCGCCGACGCACATCATTGTCTGGAGAAGCCTTGCGACTCCCACATCCCATTCCAGCCATCACCGCCTCCAAATAACTCGTCCAAGTTCACTGCCGGGCCAGGCGTGAACCCACTCCTCGTTGGACCGCTGGTCTTGTTCATTTGAGTCCAATAGTCCTCCTGCGCCGGTCCCAACCCTGGACTCTCTTGAGGCACATCGAACATGTTGTGCTGCTGCGGCTGGTGCTGTGGTCCTCCATCGTGGCCGAAGCCAGTCGCCGACATGGGCGTTGATACCTGATTGAAATGTCTCTGTTGCTGGTGCCTTTGCTGCTGCTGCTGTTGCGCGAGCTGGTGCGCCAATTGTGGATTCTCTTCGTAAATTCGCTGTAGGGAGGCTACGTCATACTGCTGTTGGTGTGGAAATTGCCCCGTTCGAGGTTGTTCGGGATTGGAAGTCATGATGCTCGCGGGCGTCCCCATCATCGACACGTCATTGGATGTGCTCGTGAAAGGCGATTCCAGACTGTTCGAGGGATCCGGATAACCATACCGTGCATCGACGCTTTCCAGGGTGGCCATTGGCTGGTTTGGGTAAGCGAATGGGTTGTCTGACGGGAACATAACATTCTTTAGATCCGGAATTTGCGTATGGCCTAGTTGCGGAGTGAAGTCATTGAACTGGCTTAAGGGAGATGTGGAGAGTGGTGAGTTCATGTTGATAAGGTGAGGATTGGGAACAGGCTGTGACGGAATCTCGTGCTGCTGTGCATCAGGCATCGAATTGCGCTTCGCGATCTTGGCCAGAAAGTCATGCGGCAGGGTGCGAGATCGGCCAGGTGTAGATGTCGCGTCTCGGCTTGGTGCAATATTCGGGGAAGATCGGTTGAACGGCGTATTGCCTGATTCAGAGACAGGCGCTGGACGCTTGCGGCCCGTCGAGGCAGGCGGATTGGATGTGCCGCGCCTCTCCTTCAGCTTCTCGGGCAACTCATTGAAAAGACTCTGTGAAGTAAAAGTCAATCGCCGCCTCAAGCAGATGGTTGTTCGCGAATACGATTGTGCGTAGATCGACTTACCACAAGTGACTCGGTACATCGGTCAGCAGCCATGCTGCGCTTCGCCAGACTAGCCAGAGTATCCCGCCCCTCGATGGCATCCTTCAATATATCGCCTCCTGTGGGGCTGTTCGGATTTTCCAGCACGAAGTACACAAGCGAGATAATTGCAAAGTAAGTAGTGTACATGACGAACCAGTATGCTCCCACCAGCAGTCCTCTTCGCTTCATTTCGCTGGTAATGTGAACGATGTTCCTTGCAACACTAATGCAGGCGGCAGCGCAAGCAAAACTGCGTTTATCGGTTTTCTCTTGTTGTGAGACTTGGGAGACATAGTGGATGAACGGCCGGTACATCATCATCTGGACATGCGCATAGGACATCCTAAGTAGCTGCTGTACACGTGAAAGCTCCAAGTTGGCGCTCTCAGATGGCCGAAGTTCGACTGGTAGCTCATCCATCCATACTTGCAGATCACGTTCGAGTTCCCGTATCCGACCATGGCTGATGGTATAGCTGTCGTCTGGCGAAGTGTTTTTGGCACCTTTTATCGGATAGATGAAGCGCACGACCTTGCGGTAAATGAAGGTCAGCCGCGTGTGGGCGTTGGCGGCCTTGAGGATCGGGAATGCGCTGCCCTTCGGGACCGGCTTGATACCTTCGTCCGTGATGCATTCGTCATGTACCTCTTCAGGAAACTCCTGGTCAATGTCTTCATCGCTGAGCATTTGTGGTAGTCCCAGCATGCCACCAACGTAGGTATCCATTTTCCGCACCAGCCAGAACATTCGTTTCCGTTCCTCGAGCTCTATGGTACCGAATTTCTGGTTTGGCAGGTTTCGGTGCAGCCCAAGTCGACAACACGCTCGCAATGCGACGCCGATATAGGCATAGCATGTCGCAAGTTTCGCGGAACTCTGCAAGAAGAGGATCATAAAGAAGACAGTCTGAATTGTCATCAGGTCGCGGCAGTCGGTGATATCCAGCATTGATTTGGATGCATCAAGATATTGGTAACCTTGCTCAATCGCTTCTGTGTATCCCTTGATGTCCAACATGCTGTTCTCGTTCTCAGTCTTGGAGAATAGGAAGCCTAGTGCCATCACGGCGTACAGAAGTGGCAGGAACTTCATCTGTTCGTTGCTGTACTGGTCGGGGTCTGTTTCGTAGATCATGTGTAGGCGGCGAAAGAACATGGGTCGATGCAACGGCTTGATCAAAGCGCAACAATCGTCGAGTGCATTTCGACAAAGCTCGATGGCGGCTTCTCGTGGCGGGAGATCTAAGGCAGCTAGTGGTAGACTACCTTCGTACGGAGAAGACTGTGCAGAGCGAGGCGACTGCGTCATGTTCCGTGCTTTAGGATTGAAGCGGGGCTTCGGAGTCGGCAGAAATTGTTCGCCAAAATGAGCTCTGAATTTGCGCATGAAAGCAAAACCTGATGAGTGGCCGTGAAAGTCCCAATGTCCCTGATCGTCAAGGTCCAGAGTACCGATACGCTCGACCATAGGCTGGATTTCGCCGTCATCGTCTTGCTTATCCTGCGCCGGTGGGCGCGCATTGAGTCGTGCCCTGTTGGTCTCGACGATCTGATCGACGCCTCTAGCATCGTACTTGGGGTCATCGAGATCGATTCCAGGTAGCACTGTCTGAAGGATCGCTTCGGCCTTCTGTAATCTCTGCTCGAGAGCCTCAATGTACTGTGGTGCTGGGTTTCGCCGGCGATTAGATGGTTGGTCATATGTACATTCGTAGCTGTACACTGTGCAGTGCGTGCACGGCTGCTTCCCGTCACATTTGATCTTCTTCCTTCGACATTCATCACATGCACGTGTCACCCTCCGCCGTTTCTGCATGGGCACTTGAGGTTTTCCATGTCCTTCAACAGCAGTCAGACCCGAAGTCGAAGAGTTCCCAGTCTTGCCTTGCTGCTGTGGGCCGTCTTCTTCGCCCGACGAGAAGTCATCGTCCTCAGGAGATGGTCTTTCGAAGGATGACATCGTTGCTCCGTCACCGAGGAGGTCCACAGCAGACTTGAGTACTGTTGCTTACCGGACGCGATATGGTCCATCCAAACGTGGGATCCGGGACTGGAAACAGCGTGAGGCGAAGAGAGGGCAGGTTTGGCATCAAGCAGTCATAGATGGACTCATCAAGACACCGAGGCCAGAGATCCTTGAATTCGAGGCTATTTCCGTGTCGAGTGTGGCAACTTTCTACGAGTGCATTGACAACCCGGAGAAGATCTCGATAGATGCAGCACTGGGACGTGCAGAGCGTACTGCAAGCGCTGCTTTGCGATGAACAGTAATTCTGTCAGTATGGAAGAATCCAAGACTTTGCTGATGTCTTGGAAAAGCCTTGGTTGGACAGGGTATCCAGTCGCTTGGTAGGGTCTGGAAACGGTTCTGCACCAGCAAAAGCGAACAAGTGAGCTGTCACGAGGCAATACGAGAGGAGAAGATTAGGAATGCGATCGAGTGGCGTCATAGGATATTTTGGCGTTCCTAAGTTCGGAGCGACGCAGAATCTGCTCCTACAGGAGATACCTGAATGTGACTTTGCTGGCGTTGTTCTTTCGTACAAAGAGGCGTGTCGATCTTCCACCTCAGGCGAATTGTGTTCATCGAATGGGTCTTTCCAATTGTGCAATTTGTGTCAACTTCTGCATGCATAGCATCCAGCTGAAGGCCCTGCTAACACTAGCTCAATGGGTGAACTGAAAGTGTTGCGCGTCCTTCAGTCACTAGTACGGACCTGGCTATCAGAGATTGTCCAGTCCGCCGAGAAACCTGCTGCAAACCGAAGTTCAACGAGATCGAAGCCGTGTGGCTGCAGACCACATCGATCACTAAAAGGCTAAAATATTCCGGTGTGTCGGTAGTGCTTGTGATTTCAGGGTCTTCACGCTTGGTGTACTCATGATGGTGAGACTGTAACGTGGGCGAGGACGATCTTTGCACCATGGAATGTAGTTGGACCTGGGGCTAAGCTGGCCGCTGCTATTTCGGATCTTGTTCAAAGCCGAAGACTGCCTCGTGGAAGCCCTATCTCCGCATGTGGAATCTTCGGTTCCCGCCCAATGACTAAATAGGGAGTTCTAATCAATGCAGCCAGGATTTCATGAGAAATGGTATGCGACCGACTGTGCAGTGGCACAATTACAGGATGGCATGACGGAAGGATTGCCCTTGCTACGCTAACATTGGATTTTCCATGCACATCGCAGTGGTCTTACAACGCTATGGCTATGCGGTGCGTGAGGTTGGGGTCGAGCATCTCTCGAACGCTGCCATTACAGTTCCAAGAGAGACACTCATGTGCTGTTGGGACCGAGGATCTGACGGTGAAGAATGGCGGGCATCTCGCTTGACTAGTGTCCCGGGGACGTCCACGGGCGACAGCCAGTCAGTCCCCTAAGCTTGACATGCCGGTTAACCGGTTGGATAGCCCTAATAAGGTCAAAGGTGACTCCATGCCTATAGCACTAACCAATCACTATAGTCGTGCTGCGCCTCACGCCGTCTCTTCAACGTGCCCGATGAGTGTATAGAGCCGCTGCTTTGCCTATTTCAACGTCAATTCTCCTAGATATACTGCTCTCGAACTTCAGGGACTTTTCTACGTCTTTCGGCTCACTCGTGGTGAGCGTTCGAGGAGTAAATCATCCAGAGAGGGCTGCTCTTGGCGGTCTCGGGCTTGCAGATGGTCTAAGGCAAATACAGCAAGATCAACCTAGGGTCATATTCATCTGGATCATTCAAGTGGTTGGGATCGTGGTCAGCGGTATCCAGGAGCATTCATTGACGTTGCTGCCAAGGATCGATGCTCAAAACACAGTACGAGACCTTCGCCACGGCGCGAGGACTTCCTTAATTGAAGTTGGTGCTTCCTGGCTTACCTAGGGACATTAGGTCGGTGATTCTCCGGAGTCCAGAAGTACAGCTTGATGGATGAGGTCTTAGAAAGCCGCGTGGCAGTTTCCTGAACTGCTTGGCCATGCTACCGCTCCTACGAAGGCATCGCCACAGTCTGTCGCGATCTCGGCTGTGAGATGAGATGGACATGACTAATGATAAGGGCTGCAAAATCGTTCGCCATGAACTTTGCCATCAATGTTATGGACAGAAAGTTGCAGAACAATCTGCAGCAGGACGGTAGTTCATACAGGAGGGCACTATCCAGTGTTCTAGAACCCCACTCGTAGACTATCAGTACTACCGGAAATCGACTGCAGGGAACCATCTTTTTATAGCCGCAGGTTGTCCATGTCTGGGCGAGGACTTCTCCCCGTCTTTCGCAGCCGGAAGGTGCATATCTTCTGGCGCCATCTTCAAGCTCTGGTAAGGCTGAGATCCGGGGTCGCAGTAGAGCCCCTCTATCGACCCGGACTGTCGATGCAGGGCAATGTAGTAGAAGCCAGAGATCGTCAGCCCCCAAGTAGGGTGCATCGAGTCTGACTCAAGCCCAGAGCTTGTCTCAGTGGTGACTTGTTTGTATGCCTGTTTCAATATGGGCTCGACAAAGCACCGTTCTGCGCACAACATCAGCAAATGATTTTTGGGCATTGTCGGTTCATCTCACCTTTCCATCGCATGAGCACCCACTCCGTACCGAGTTTCTCTTGCAGCCATTTCTGGTTCCCCAAACAGCGCATCATAACCCGATCCGCCTCCAACTCACGGCTAGCTTGCTCTTCCGCCTTCAGAATGTCCCAGTACTTAGCATCTCCAGTCTTCAACTTGTCTTCCCAGACCGAGCTGTCCCATCGACTGCCTTGGGCTTGCTTTTCTATCGCTTCCTTGAAAGGACCCAATCGAGACCAGTATCGAGCATCAGTGTCAAGACCGCCTACTTTGTATCCACGTTGAGGATCCGTCTCCAGTGAATGTTGGCGAAAGTCGATAATCTCGCCCTCAAAGTAACTCTCCATGCTCTTGCCGCCCGTAGATGAGCGGTATGGTATCTGGCTGGCGCGCATGGTTCCTTCTACGAGCATGCGTTGCCTGTCGACGCTGTGTAAGGTGACAGTGACAGGCCAGTGCTCAATTTCTCCCTTTCTATTCTCTGCAGATTGACGATGTGGTCGGGCCAAGCTCGTTGGCGCCAAAATTTCAGGATCTTGGCTGGTCGCAAAACCCCACCTGCCGTCCAAGTCACGCATTAGAGACGAAGAGTATCGATCGGGATCCATAGATCCTGAGTCTGTGTCACTCATCAGTGTCGTGGCAGCATTTTGAGCGTCGACCAGGCCCCTTCTGGTAATGGATCGTCCAAAGTGCTCTCGGTGCCTGGCCATCCGCAGGCTCGAAGAAACTGTTGGATAGGACGGTCTGAATTCTCGAGCTGTGCACTGTAGACCGTGCCATGTTGATCCAGCTGTCAGCCAGGAAGTTGGCTCGGATTTTGGTAGACTCTCTGCGAGCATTGGCAGATCATTGGGCGTGTGTGCCAGTTCGCATTCATACAGCACATCCAGGTCCATTTCGCGAGCGAGATTTAAGCCGTCTTCAGGTCTTGCGTCCCTCAGCTTCGACAAGTATCGGATTGTGTTCCGTATGCGATCCTTTAGTGCAGTCGCATCTGACAAGCTCGACGGCTTGGCAGCAGGGTCGCTTGATACTGCATCACTGCTAGCGTCCATATGGCGGCCCTGCAAGCGTTGCTGCCTTTCGCGTCGATGCCTCTCGGCCCACGTGTGAATCAACCTTGTACGCTCGTTCTCGGGAGTGTGATCGTCTTCCGTCCAGTACTGGCGCAGCGCAGCGGCAGTTGGTACAGTACCCATGTCATTCACCGACCTGTCAGAGCGAAACGCGTTCCGTGCGGATCGATAGTTGCGAAGAGCATGGTCCAATTCCCGCTGCCGCACCTCCTCCAGCACGTCCTGAGGCATGTTCCCTCCCGAATCTTCCGAGTGCCTTGTGTACGGCGCAGCCAGTCATACAGCCTCTGGCGTGAGGGCGCAGAGCCACTAGTCGAATAACTTTCTCGGCCCACCTCAGCTATCGCAGTGGCAAGATTGGACAAGCTGCTCTCACTCTGACCTTCCTCGAGTATGTCACGTGGTAGATATGTAGTCGATGTGTTGGCAGCCGTGGAGTATAGCCGGGAGTTCTCTTCTGCGAGGCGAGAGTGCTGTCGCCTCAGCCGCAGGTTCTGTTCTTCGAGTGCGAGTCGTCTGGTCTGCTGATTGTCCAAGAACGCACGCAGCCGATCACGTTCCGTCTGCCATCTGTCAAGCTCTGACTGCATTCTGTCCAGCGACTCAGACAAACTCGAGCCTGTCAGACGGCGTTGCGACCCTGATGTGTCACCGCTGTGACCAAGATGTGCGGCGGGTTCGTGCCATGCCTCCGTCAAAACCCCAGTCGTGGTGTACCGATTCGACTGTGGGCGTGACTCGGGTGTGGTCAAGGTAGAGGCAAGATCGGGGACGGGTGTCGAGATCGCCTGTTCCAGTTGGTCGAGATACTGTGTACTGGAAGCCAAAAGCGGTCTATACTGTGTGGGAGGTGTGGACGGGCGAGTTTCCTGGAGCGCACAAGGTCAGAACTTGAGAGTAATCAAGAGTGCGGAAGACGGCGCCTCAGTCTGGAGTCAGCGGCTACAACCGAGAAAGCGTACATTTGGAGTGTTGTCCGGCGGCATGAGCCTTTAACACAGCTTCGATTAGCGTTCGTGAATGAATGTCGATTTGCGCATATGTGTGACCGGTTCTACGAGGCTTAACAGGTCCAGAGGCTTGCAATTGAAAGCGAAGCCAAGCTCGATCCACGACGATCTCAAAGGCGGAATGCGAACTGGAAGATGACGTGCCTCCGAGTTTCACGTCTCGTATTGGCGCCACCAGTAAAAGCCGCTAGGCATTCCATCGTCTGCTGCCTTTCTTCAATCTTCCCACCACTTTATGAAGCGCATGTTGAAGTATGTCAGCATAGCGATATTTGACGACAGGCAGTCCTCGTTCAGGCCGTGACTTCCACCTCACCAGGTACGTACGTTGACGGCTCCTGCTAGCGTCGCAGCACCAAGGACACACCATGGACGGCTTGTTGTCCCTGGAGCAAAGGCTTCACAGAAACCATCGCCACCAAAATCAAAAGTGACTCGTAAATTTGGACGAGACACCATCATAAAGGTAGGCAACGAGGCACAGTGATCTGGAGCCGCGACTTCTGGTAGTCCGGATTTTGAATGGCCCGGAAGCTTTCAATCTTTCTATACAACAATGCCAGCGCAAATCTCTTTTGCATGACGTTGATCAGCAAGCACTGAACCTCCTTGAGACTGCGCACAATGCACAAAGTTCGAGGCCGGTGGACGACACTTCTACCTAGGTACCGTGGACCGTCTCTTGAGGTAGCGAACAAGCCAGCGGATATGTAGTGCGCGGGTCGTTTGGTACACTGAGCCACCGTACAATGCAGCAAAGATTGCGACCGGTTTCGCAGACGCCTCGCGTGGCACGTGGGTGCAGTTTCTACAATACCTGTATCCAGTCACTCTAGCGATCCAAGCCAACCCCATCACTTGGCCTGCAGACTGTCATCAGTCACTTGTCGAATTTGCTAGGTCTCCTAAATTTTTGCCTCTCCAGTTGCGGCTCATAGCAATGGCCGTGCACGAACAGCCATCGAGAGTGTCATGTCTATCCGCTTCAGATTCGAACTCTTCCAAGGGACCGCCTCCGGCACCCTTCTCAGACGAAGTTGCGAAGCATTCAAGCGACACTTTCTCTTCTTCAGGATGCTTTTCGCTCACCAGGGATGATTTCAAAACCATGCGAGTCACATCTGCCGTATATTGGGAACAGACGGCATAGTCTGGTTGCATTGCGCGTTCGGGGAGGGCTCTCGTCTATATAGGAGACCGTGTAGGGTTCTTTTTGTCAGTATTTTGTGATTCATGAGACAGCATGTACAGCAACGGCTGCCTGCTGATCCCTCAAATGTCTGTGCCGGCATGTACGAAGTGCCTGCCTTCCTGGTGCACACCAAGAAATGACCCAGAAGAGAACGTAGGCGAAGCAAAAGCAATGGACCTGGATCGAAAGGATGCCGATCGCCTGGTCCTGATTCTCCACGTGCCACGTTGCTAGACACTCGTCATTTGCAGAAGTGTACTTGATGAGACCATGATCGTGGCATATCGTGTGTTCGAGTCGATTGATGACGATTCTGTGCTTGGCTGCTTGGGAGGCGGGAACCGTGGCAAGAAAATCCGCTCTCTGGGCACCTGGGCATGTTCCAAGGTTGGGCTAAGCCACCAAGAATGGAGGAATTGCCAATTTTGCGCCGAGTCCTCCATCAAAGTCTTGACACATGTCACGTCAGGAACCATGCTTCGCCACCATTATTCCACAAACTTGCCACTAGGAATCGGGTTTGTGTGATACATTTCAATGTGATGGCCGAAAGAGGTGCGACTCGATCACTGGCAGTATTACTCAGGCTGTGTGTTAGACCCAGAGCACCGGACACGTTTTGCAGCCATGCCTCGGCTGCAACAACATAAGACCCGTATGAGCCAGTGATTGTAGGAAACTTGCTCACCTCCTTCGTCTTTCACATTAATGGATGACAGTTTCGCTGCTGAATCAGTCTTGAGCTCATTTTGCAACTCTTGTTACATGCCTACAGCGCTGGTCTGTGTATGCTAGGAAGTACGATTGACTTTGAATAGAACTATAAAGTTGCGAAGTGGGATCGTGCTTCGGCATAAATCGTCGGAAGAGGGAGTTCGGTTCGCTCACACCATGTTCAATGCGCTATACACCTATCAGACGACTCAAGCGTAAGCGCATAGCGGCGAGCAAGAACCCAGTGAGGCTGAGTGAGCTCACAGCCTGTATGTGAACTGCCCAGATGGTCAGTAAAGTGGTTCTTATCAGCACGTCGGGACGAGAGTTCCAAGCTGCCAATGATTTCCCGAAGCTTGGAAGCTAACCTGGGCGCCAGTCCGCTGCTGGCAGCCTAAGTCTTACAGGGCATAATCTGCCTCCGAGACTGCCGCAGTCTCATCAGTGTAATGCCCCCGACATAGGGTTTTGAAGGGCATTTACACACGCTGAGATTGTATTCGTAATGTGCTTCGACGATGACTTTCGATCTTCATGACACTGCGCATACCTAGGTAGCTTGTTGGAACAGTACTGACCTGAAGTCGTGATGGCAAGAGCGAACCAGCCCGTGTTTGCTGCTGCAAGCCCGTGCTCCGAATGCTCCATAGTAACCAATAATCTGGCAGCCAAGGAGACGCCAAGTTTTAGCTCGCATTCACTCTGCTTCCAAGAAATCGAGTCGCTGAAACTGTCGAATTAGCAATTCAGAGGCGGACCACACTCTGGGAGAGTCAGGAAAAAGAGGGTCTCTGGCTGGCATGCTCGTCAAAATAAAAGAGGGGAAGGCGTAGGTGCACCCAAGCCCTCCGCTCTTGCCCAAGATCAGAAGGCGAAGTGTCCCGCTCCCGGCGCCCCAAGAATCTCTTCCTCCCAACTTTTCTACCTCACGGTTCCTGACACTTGTCGTCTACTTTATCACTTTTGCACGAGCTGCTCCATCGCTGCAGCACTTCACTTGTCAAAATTGTGTTGCTTGTATTATAGCTCTCTTCTGTGCATCTCTGAACTGTTTGTATCGACATCTTCTCGCCATTTCTTGGCTTGTTCTTGGTCTTCGCCGCCAAGATGTCCGATCAAGCACCGCCAGTGCCTACTGAGGCTCCTACCTCTGCCATCCCTCAGACTGTGCCCGAACAATCTGGCCAACTCGCGGCTCCCGTTGCGCAGCCTTCATCGGTATCGTCCGCAGGCGAAAACCTGCAATGCCAATGGCAAGGATGCGGCGAGCGATGCGCATCGCCCGAACTTCTCTACGTACGTGCACCCGATTGTCGTCGCTAACCTCATTGTAATATCTAACACGGTGCAGGAACACGTCTGCGAGCGCCACGTTGGTCGCAAGTCAACCAACAACCTCAATCTCACATGCGCTTGGGGTCAATGCCGCACTACCACGGTCAAGCGCGACCATATCACCTCGCATATTCGCGTGCACGTCCCATTGAAGCCACACAAGTGCGAGTTCTGTGGCAAGGCCTTTAAGCGTCCACAAGATTTGAAGAAGCACGTCAAAACCCATGCCGATGACAGCGTCATCATGCGCTCTCCCGAGCCAAATGGTGGCGCTCGTCAGTCGCAGGGTGGCATGCCACAAGGTGGGAACCAGAACCACTCTTACTACGGTCATTATCTGACTGGCCAAGTGCCCCAAACTTACTATGCTCCCGCAATGCCTCCACAGGACTACTCAGGTCAACATCACGCCAACCCGTACTATCAGACCCACCCACAGGTTCAGGTGCGTACCTCTCCCGAGGCGTCGCGTTATTACATGCCACCACCGATCACTCCATATGATGGCGCAGTCGCGTTCCAAATGCTAACAGACCCTACCGTGCAGACAGGCCAGCACCCAGGCTATGGCCCCGTGACCTACTACAACGCTCCCGCCCCGCAGGCCACCTACGATTACGAGACCCGAAAGCGTGGCTACGATGCTCTCGATGCTTTCTTCGGTCAGGTCAAACGCCGCGAATTTGACCCGATGCAATATCAAGCCGTTAGCCGCAGACTCTTTGAGCTCCAGGGACTCCAGCTGCCACAAATCATTCCCTCGAGCATGGGCGTTCCCGCCTATCAGCCTGTCTCCGTTGGCGGTGGCTCTTACGAGTCTAACGACCCCATCCAAGCCTACAGTCTACCACCCATGGGTAATGCCAAAACTCGTGGCGACCTGACATCGATCGACCAGATCCTAGAGCAGATGCAAGCCACCATCTACGAGAATGACACACACATGTCAGCACCTGGCCAGGGCAACACCGGATACGTTGCTTATCGCACCAGCAGCAACAGCCCGCCCTCGGCTCAACTGCCCCACGCCGGAAATAGTCCAACTGCCCTACTCCAGCATCAACACCAGAGTAGCGTTGCCAGCACCGCAGACACTGCTTCAACTCCAGGTCTTACTCCTCCCTCGTCTGCTCAGAGCTATACCTCAGGTCAGAGCCCTATCCAAGGCCATTCTGCGCCGCATGGCAGCGCCATATACCCCAGTCTTCCTTCCACGTCCGGAGACATGACATACGGATCCAACAACGCCGCTACGCTCGGCGGACAGTATGACGACGAGCGTCGTCATTACCACGGCGGTATGCTCCAGCGTGCGGCTCCGGCCAAGAAGGACGAAGATATGGACATGGGCTCAGATGGCTCCGTCACTCCTCCCGCATCTGCCATCAACAACGCCATCAAGGGCAAGGGTAGAGCCTCAAGCCCCAAGGATGCGAATATCGACCCATCCCTTGGCTCTGCAGAGGTTGGAACGCCCAAATCAGATGCCACGAAAGAAGATGGAGAAACCCAGTGGGTACAGAACATGCGTCTCATCGAGTGGATGCGCGATATCATCAAGAAGCGTCTGGAACGTGGCGAGTATGACGAGGATGAAGCTCGTGCCAAGGAACCATCGCCAGATACCGAGATGACAGGCACTACGAAATCAGATCATGAGCAGCTCTATCCGGTGCTGCGACATGTTGTTGACGACGCCTAGGTGGCACTTCAAGCTTGACTCTGATCGGACATCAGACCACGCAATGACGGCGTTATGGGACCATTACGTTTGGGGGAGTTGGGGAAGGCTCGGGCATTCATGTCGCTCGAAACATCATTATTATTCAATGGTTGTGTGCGTAAGGGTCTCCAGCAGTAGATAGGACAATCAGACTGTACGACTTGCAGATCGAGTTGCGGCTAAAGGACCAAGCATGTCAATTGTGTCTCGTCAAGTTCGTAATGACTATCTACGGTGTTATAAGATTGCATATGAGTAGCTAAAGTACGTGTCCAGCTGTACGAGCGCTGTGTGGTGCATCGACGCATAATTCGTGGCTCTTTGGTTGGCCAGATATTTGGCAGGGGCGAGCAGGGGTGCCAATTACATCACTTCGTTGCACGTGCGATTTATCGTACTCGACATTTGACAATTTCAAAACACCAAGAATCCGCATGCTTCACTGTGGCAGTCTCATTCGCTGCATGTTGGGTAGCGAAATGCCGTGGAAGGCGTGCTCCTCATGTAACCCTCTGAGATGGCTACGATGAATGCCGGATCAGTCCCCTCTGCACGTCCCCCGCATCCCACCCAGAACTTTGTGCCGACGCCAGCCAACGCGTCTGCGGTGGGGGATTCACCATCTACTCAGCAGAAGAGCCTCGTCACGCTGCTCGTTCTGCTCATAGCCGTGCTGGCCATGGTACCAGGCACTGTGCTGCAGGTCTTTCGCTTCCTCACCATCAGCCTGCCAGCATGGCTGTTCCACCTCTTCTCCATGAGCTTGACCTTCACAATGAACTTCACCACGCTGCTCCTGATCGCTGTGGCTCTCGTGTCTACCGTCAGCTGGTTCGTTCGATACCGGTTCCTCAATGTCTACGCCAGGCTACCCCAAGAGTCGAGCCGCAAAGAGGCGCAGATAGATCTGTTCCCAGATACGCAAGATGGAGACAGCAAACCTGGACTATCGAACTACCTAGACGAGTTCCTGAGTGCCATCAAGGTCTTCGGCTACCTTGAGAGGCCAGTGTTTCATGAGTTGACGAGGACCATGCAGACGCGCAAGCTCATGGCGGGTGAGACTCTGCTCCTCGAAGAAGAGAAAGGGTTTTGCATGGTTGTGGATGGACTTGTCCAGATCTTTGTCAAGTCTCTGCAGGATGAACGCACGGAAGGTGGACGGAAGAAGCCCCAAGACGATGACGAGGGCTACCACGAAGGCAATCAAGGCTATCAGCTGCTTACAGAGGTCAAGAATGGCGCTTCCATGTCGTCGCTTTTCTCTATTCTCTCCTTGTTCACGGAGGACATTTCGCTGCGACGTGAGGACAGCGGCGAACAGGGCCGTCCATACACGCCAGATTCGGCTGTCCAGACTCCTGGCAATACTGCTCCGTCTACGCCCGCTCTGCAGCAGGAGCATAACCCCTTCCATGATGCTCATGGTGCGGCTGCGCAGGCTCGCCTGTCGCGAGTCCCACCTCTTTCGCTTGAGCCTCCGTTCAACGACCATAAAGCGCGCAGAGGGGCATCTTCGCCTCAGAGTGCTCCTTCCGCACATCCAGACATCGTTGCTCGGGCACTAGTTGACACCACGATTGCCATTATACCCGCGAGTGCCTTTCGTCGTTTGACCAAGGTTTATCCGAAAGCGACTGCTCATATAGTGCAGGTCATCCTCACACGCTTACAACGAGTAACTTTCTCGACAGCGCACCAGTACCTAGGACTGACGTCCGAGCTGCTTCAAATCGAGAAGCTAATGAACAAGTACACCAACTTCGATCTTCCTGGTCATCTGCGCGGTACCGCTCTAGACCGTCTACGTGACAAGTTCAGTAAGGAAAGGGAGCGACTCGGCGACGAAGACATCACCCAAGGCATCGCACTACACAATCCGACAACGAGCCGGCGGCGCTCATCAAGTAGCATGAGGAAGGAAGCTGCACTCGCCGCCCGGGTTGCTGCCTCAAGACTGCCCACTAGCACCAATGGCAGCCTGCCCGGCACCATGGATGACAAGGACAAGATCAGCGCGGGAGATCTCGCTTCAAATGCGCAGGCAGCACGAACACCAGCTCGGCCTGGCAGCATGAGTTTTGGGGACACGAAACTCCGCGACTTTACGGCTCCGGACACTTTCGATAGAGCTACAAGTCCTCTGCAAGCCAGGGACCGGTCCACATTTCGTCCAACGTTCGAAGGATCGGTCCAGCGGCAAGATGCTGCCAGCGAAGACGCCATGTTCCGCGAGTCTATAATGCAGAGCATGGTAAAGGCTCTCGGTTTATCCGAAGCTGATGGTCAGAACGGTCGGCGAGTACCAGCCTCGGTCGAGCAGTCACCAAGAATGGTGTCATTTGATGCGAAGCGTCAGACCGCAGTCTTCAACAACGCATTCGGCTTCATTGACGCTCTTGATGGCTCAGCTGATGGCGACACTGAGTCAATCACGGCGTCCTTGGCAAGTCTGAGCCAAGGCCGAAATCTCAACGATGAGTTGATAGATGATGTCGAAGTCGTTTTCTTTCCGAAAGGGTCTGTGTTGGTAGAGCAGGGTGAACGTAATCCTGGACTGTACTATGTCATAGACGGATTTCTCGACGTCAGCATACCCGTGGACGAGAAAGAAGAGCGATCAGGACCGCGACCGCCGACCGTATCAAAGTCTTCAAGAAATGCTCCGCCGCATCTGCGCAGGGCTCAGACTTCGACTTCTCGAAAGCCTTCAATGCCCGGTTATGCACGAGAGCCCAAGCAACAGGTACAGAAATCCTTGTTCTTGGTCAAGCCCGGCGGTATGGCAGGATACGTTGGCACGTTGTCCTCGTACAGGTCCTTCACAGATGTTACGGCGAAGACAGATGTCTACGTTGGTTTTCTTCCGCGCTCATCCATTGAGCGAGTGATCGAAAGATTTCCACTCGTTCTCCTGACCATGGCGAAACGATTGACGAGCCTACTGCCACGTCTGATTCTTCACATCGACTTCGCGCTCGAGTGGGTCCAGGTCAACGCAGGACAAGTCATTCATCATCAAGGCGACGAGAGCGACGCCATATACATAGTTCTCAACGGTCGTCTCCGAGCGGTCAAGGATACTCCAGAGGGAGGCATGCGAGTATATGGCGAGTACGGTCAAGGAGAAAGTATTGGTGAACTAGAAGTCATGACTGAAGAGACTCGGCCCGCGACACTACATGCCATTCGCGACACAGAGCTAGCCAAACTTCCCAAGACCCTGTTCAACAGCCTTGCTCAGGAGCACCCGTCAATCACAATCCAGATCTCGAAGCTTATTGCGCAACGAATGAGGGCACTTGTCGAAGAGATGGGAAATGAGCGTAGTCAAGAGAAGAAACGAGCTGCGCTCGGCGACTCGTCGACCTCGACTATGAACCTCCGAACCATTACGATCCTGCCTGTCACAGCTGGAGTACCTGTCACCGACTTCGGGAACCGATTGCTCGCAGCGTTCAGCCAGGTCAGCGTGGCTGGAGGCGTGACTTTGTTGAATCAAAGCATTGTCTTGAATCATTTGGGTCGCCACGCCTTCAGCCGTATGGGCCGACTCAAGCTGACGCAGTATCTCGCCGACCTTGAAGAGCGCTATGGCATGGTGATTTACGTTGCCGATACATCTGTCAATTCTCCATGGACACAGACCTGTATCGCACAAGCAGATTGCATTCTCTTGGTCGGTATTGCTGAAGGTTCCTCTTCCATCGGCGAATATGAGAAGTTTCTGTTAGGAATGAAGACCACATCCCGCAAGGAGCTTGTCTTGCTGCATCTTGAGCGATACTCCCCGCCAGGCCTGACGCGCAGATGGTTGCGCAATCGCGTTTGGATTAATGGCGACCATCATCACATTCAAATGGCGTTTCGAACGACAGCCGAAGCGACACCTCACTCACAGCCACGTCGCTTCGGCAACGCCATCAAGCATCGCGTGCAGGTCCTGCAGGCTGAGATCCAGAAATACACATCGCGGCGTATACGGCAGACGCCACTCTACAGCACCGAGACGCCGTTCAAGGGTGACCTGCACCGTCTGGCACGCCGGCTATGCGGACGCTCCGTCGGCCTCGTCCTGGGCGGTGGCGGCGCACGTGGAATTGCACACGTAGGCATCATTCGTGCCTTGGAAGAAGCAGGCATCCCAATCGACATCATCGGTGGCACATCGATTGGCGCTTTTATAGGCGCACTGTATGCACGAGACGCCGACGTGGTTCCTATGTTTGGCCGCGCCAAGAAGTTCGCAGGTCGGATGGGCAGTATGTGGCGATTCGCCTTGGATTTGACCTATCCGACTGCTAGCTATACTACAGGGCACGAGTTCAACAGAGGCATATTCAAAACCTTCGGAGAGTCCCAGATCGAAGACTTCTGGCTGAGCTTCTATTGCAACACGACTAATATCAGCAAGTCGCGGCCTGAAATCCATACTAGCGGCTATGCCTGGCGGTATGTCCGCGCAAGCATGTCACTCGCAGGATTAATTCCACCAATGTGCGACGAGGGCGCCATGTTGCTCGACGGTGGGTACATTGACAACCTCACCGTTGCACACATGAAGTCGCTCGGCGCTGATTTGGTCTTCGCTGTGGATGTCGGCAGCTTGGACGACGACACACCGCAACAGTTCGGTGACAGCCTGTCAGGCTTCTGGATGCTACTGAATCGATGGAACCCTTTCAGTAGCGTGCCGAACCCGCCGAGCCTGTCAGATATCCAGGCAAGGCTTGCCTACGTTTCGAGTGTGGACGCGCTTGAGAGAGCAAAGAACACGCCTGGTGTGCTGTACATGCGGCCACCAGTCGATGCCTATGGAACGCTGGATTTTGGAAAATTTGACGAGATTTGCGAACTGGGCTATCAGTATGGCAGGGAGTTTCTGGGCAGGCTGAAGAACGAAGGTGAGCTACCCAGGGGCTGGGGTGGCGAGAAGGGCTGGGGAGAAGATGAAAGTGAGGAGGGCAGAGGTCTAAGGCGGACGATGGCGCCCAGAAGAGCCAGCATATGAGAGTCTGAGGAGCACGAGGGCCGACAAGGTCGCGTTGTCGCTCGCTGGTATGCGGCATTGTCATAGAGGCCTCTAGAGCATACTACAACCTTGCATAGCGGCGGCGTTAGATCAATACCGCGGCTTCTGCCGTTCGACTGTCGAAAGGACTTACAGCATAGAAGAATTCTCCGTTGCCATGCTGTCGGGCATCGCCGACCGCCATGTCCTCCGGTGATTGGCTGGTACCCAACGACACAATTCGTCGCAGCAGTTTGCTTTACAGCTGTCAACTCTGATAAGACCTTATGCTTCGTACATCCAGTATGATAGAGATGTATTGATAGACGAGCCTTTGCTTTGCGTTTCCCTCCCATAGATTTTCTTCACATCTTGTTGTTCAATCTCTGACGAGGCTAAATCCCCAGCAACCATGGCTTCGAAGCAGCAAACTATATACTTCGGTCGCTTCATCGACACACCTACACCAACAGCTTTACGTATACGGACTGGAGCAATACTCGTGAATGCAAGCGATGGGACTGGCAAAATCGAGAAGGCCGACTGGACCGTAACTTCTGCAAATGATGCGACAAGCAAGCTTGGCGTCGAGGCGCCGGTCGTGGCTGCCGGTGATGATGGGTTCTTCTTTCCTGGTTTTATAGGTGAGTCATTGGGGAAAGACCACTATGGCACCTGGCAATGTGTTGTCGACCATCGAGGCTGGGAAGAAACGGCCACTGACTGCTCCTGCTTCTATCAGATACACATATACACGCACCACAATACCCCAACGTCGGCATATTCGGCAAAACCACCCTTCTCGACTGGCTCACAACCTACACCTTCCCCGTGGAATCCTCACTGGGCAACCCAAACTCTCCCATGTACACCAAGACCCTCCCAAACGGCACATCAAACCCAAAACAAATCGACCCCCTAGCACGCGCCAAAACAGTATACACCCGAACCCTCCAACGAACACTCTCCCACGGCACCACGACAGCATCATACTTCGCGACCCTCTCCGTCGCCGCAACGAACCACCTCGCCGACCTAGCGCACAATATAGGCCAGCGCGCTCTGATCGGTCGTGTGTGCATGGACGAACCCGCCACGTGTCCGGACTACTACCGCGACTCATCAGCAACTGAATCCCTCGAGGCGTCGAAAGCGTGTATAGCGCACTGTCGCAAAGTCGACCCCACAGGGCTACTGGTCGCGCCCATCATCACGCCACGCTTTGCGCCCAGCTGTACTGTTGAGAGCTTGCGCAATCTGGGCCAGCTAGCCAGTAGTGAGGACGTGAGGGTGCAGACCCATCTCTCCGAGAACCGTAACGAGTGCGCACTCGTCAAGTCGCTCTTCCCTGAACGGGAATCATACACAGATGTATACGACCACGCTGGGCTACTAACACCCAAAACGATCCTTGCGCATGCTATTCATCTGGACGACAAGGAGATCGAGACCATCGCCCAGCGCGGCGCGAAGATCTCGCATTGCGCGGCGTCGAATTCTGCATTGGGCAGCGGCTTTTGCAGAGTGAGGACGCTGTTGGATCGAGGCGTGGATGTTGGTCTAGGCACGGATGTTAGTGGTGGGCACTCGCCTAGCATATTAGATGCGGTGAGGCAGACTTGTTTCGTGAGTAGACATGTTGGGTTCTTGGATGGAGGCGACTCACGATGGAATATTGGCGTGGAGGAGGGACTGTGGCTGGCGACGGTGGGAGGCAGTAAAGTCGTTGGTATGGAGGGCTCGGTGGGAATATTTGAGGAAGGCGCTGCTTGGGATGCGCTGGAGATACGCTTAGGCGCGGACATCGGTTCAGAAGACGAAGCAGAGGTAGGAGAGAACGGTGTAAGTATCTTCGGATGGGAGAGCTGGGATGACCGAGTCGCGAAGTGGGTGTGGAATGGTGATGATAGGAATGTGAGGAGGGTATGGGTTGGTGGAAGATTGGTGCATGAACGAAAATCGTAGGTGCCAATTGAATACCCAACGCTTTTGATCCATTCACCCATCACCAGTACTTGACGGAACTGTAGCAGTGTGGTGACGCTATTCGTCGTCATCGCTGTCAACAATGAAGCCTCCCCGCCTCCTCCCTGCCACACGCACAGCAGTAGGTCGTGGCTCGTCTTCGCCGTCATCTTCTCCCACCGCATCGATGTCTCCGTCATCCTCGACCAGCGCAGCAGCTTTCTTGACATTGACGTTTCTGACGGTAGCTCTTGGCTGCCGCATTTCCTCGAGCGCCTTTCTCGCCGGCGGAGGCGACCGATCCTGTTCGCTCTGACTCGACAGAGGCGTCTCTGTGTCCGCACCAGCTTCGTCGTCGCTGAGTGGATCATCTCTGGCGGGTTGGGAGCTCTCTGCCGTCTCGTCCGCCTCGTCAGCTTCTGGGCCCGTTTGCTGTGGCTCATTGTCGCCATCCAGATCCATAAGATCGCCGTCCTCGCCCAGCAGCTCTTTCTCACTGATAGCGGGAACTTTGCCTTTCTTTCCCTTCTTCTTCACGCCTTTCTCATCGCTCGCCGCACCAACACCCACGGCCATCTGTCGCCGGATATTCTCCTCCTGCCTCTTCCGCACCTCCTCTTCCTTTCTGAAGAACTCCTTGTCCGCTTCTGCATCACTTTCGTCATCGCTGTCATGCACGTAAAGCTCCGACTTAATTTTACGCCTCCTCTCATCGTTCGCGTCTTGCCTCGCTTTACGTCGTGCAGCAGCCGCATCGTTGTCGACCTCGTCGCCTTCTTCGCCTTCAGTATCACGCTTGCGCTTCCGGCGACGCTTCTTGAGCTCTTCCAACGCATTGTCTTTCTGCCTGTTCGGCTTGCGGATATTGTCAGGAAACTCGAAGTCTTCCTCACCTTCAGAGTCGTCGAGGAAGGCATCGCGGCGTGCTTCGCCGTCGTCGATGAACCCGTCACGCGCGACCTCTGCAGCGGGCTTGGGTACCCGGCGAAGCAGATCTTCTGGCTCTTCTTCAGGATTGTCGGATTGCCAGGGTCTGAATTCGTGTGTCTCAATGACATCGATAAATTCCTTCAATTGCGAGCTAGTGACTGAGCCGGGAATGATCCATGGTGCTCCAAGCACGTCTTCGTCGCCTAGAAGCTGCAGGCTGCAGAGTTTCATCAACAGTCGCAGACGTGCATTCTTGAACATGGCCGTGCGAATTTCATCCGTCGTGGGGCGGGCGGTCACTGCGAGCGGTGCAGCGAGATTGGCTTGCAGTGCTGCCGAGGCAGCACTTGTGGCAGTTTCGCTGCTCTCGGGGCCGGCTGCTGCTTTCCTTGCTTCAGCTTGCACCTCCCAGGCTGATCGCTCGCCAGACGCTTTCGTGAGAACGTCTTTGAGCCACAACACCAGGTTCAGCTTGTCATCTTTCAGCAAGATTGTGACCACGATCCCAATCTGCTCCTTAACGTCTCTGTTTAGGGACGGGCGGATCTCAAGCTCAGCTGGTGCTCTGACAGCAGATGTCGTCTGCTTATCGTGCCCGTACTCCAAGTAGAATGTAGTGGAGTTGATCTTGCTGAACAGCATCTCAACCAGCAACTCCGGACGCTCGTCAAGCTTTCTGGTTAGCTTCTTGAACAATTGCTTGGTGAACTCCGTCCACTCTTTCGTCATAGGCACAGCCGGACTGAGCGCGTCTGGACCTGTGACAGTCCGATAGAAGAGTGCGATGATGTCTACTCGATACAGCAGTACAGCTGAATCCTGCTTGAATGCCGCACGGTAGAAGAAGCGATGGGCCCGCTTCAGCTGCTCGTTGTTGAGCTCTTTGTAGTAGTTGAGGAACGCGACAAACGTGTTGATAGACTGCTGCGTGCAGAACTTGTTTGCGAAGCGGTTGAAGTCGAATTTGCGCTCTTTTGAGACCTTGACTGCCTCCTGCATGTCCTCACGTTCCGAATCGTCCTCGTCGATCTGTTCGTCTGCTTGGGTCTCCTGCTCTTTCTGGGCATCCTTCTTCTTCTGCCGGGCTCGGCGCTTCGACCTGATCTGTAGGTCGGCGTTTTCTTTCGAGTATCGTTCGAGCATGCGCAAGAACGTATGCGATAGTTCTGTGCATGCGTCCAGGTACCCGAATCCCTGGTCTTTATACCCACGTAGAATGCCCACGATGCGGTCGTGTGTAGTCTCTTCGTAGAAGATGCGGTTTTGGATGTTCTCGGCGATCTCCTGGTCGTCTTCGAGTGGACTGGCGGCCATTTCTTGAACGGTCAGCAGAATTTGCGTGAAGCATCGCATGCAGGCATTGAGGTCTTGCCACTCTTTGGAGTCAAGCGCATTCTGCATGTATCGGTTCAGCAGAATGAATGTCTCCTGATTCAGCACAGCAGCGACAAGGCTGTAGCTTTCTGCCTCGGTGTATGCCTGAGCAAGGTTTGCGGGATGCTTCTCGTTCTTGTTTTTCGTCCGTCGCGTCCTCTCTGCTTCTAAGAACCACGATACGCCGTAGAAGAATTGTCGGTAGTTTACGTCCAGAAGTCGTTCCGCTTCCCGCTCAATCGCTTTGCGGAGATGTGTGAATAACGGGTTGAAGCCGGAGTCCAGGAACTCCTCAACGAAGTTGCGCAGCTGCTCGGTAGCAGAGTCTGTAATGTCTTCGAAGCGGTTGAAATCGTGGATGGTATGCTGTATATCCTTATCCTTGGTTTTGGGCTTATTCCACTTCTTCGATTTGTCCATGTTGAACAAAGCCTTGTTCTCGAGGATGTTCTCCTGGCCTGACAGCGCAGTAGTCTTGTGGTCTTCTCTTTTGACCCAGATCATGGTCCCGAAACGGTTATGCCTTGAAGGAGCCGTCTTCTTGTTTGCTCTTTCCATTGCCTTCTCGGTTGCTAGTGACGCAGTGAGTTCCGAGATGTTGGCATCAGCACGCTGAAGTTTAGTCAACCATAACTTAGACACATCGATCCCTTTGATCAGGTTGAAGAGAATTTCCAGGAGGACGACGTCCTGCAGATTGAAGTCATCGCCAATGTTGGAGCACATAGTGAGCAGGAGCGCAAAGACATCCTGTTCGACGAATGCATCGATCGTTGCTGAGCGAGAAACGACCATGTCGAGACCTTGGTTGGGTAGGTTCGGGATCTGGCGAATGACAGCAACATTGCGTAGGAAGTACAGCACCAATTTGATGATGCCGTCGTCTCTTGATGTACGCTCGTCTCGGGGCAATGCGATGGATGGCAGACCAATTCTCACAATCTGTCGGAGAATGCTACAGTTGTCCCAGCTGAGGATGCCTGCCTTGTACAGCACCTGTGCCTGCTGCAAGTATGGTGTATGCCGATGATGGTTCACTGTCATTTCCCCGGCGGTCTCGAGCGGCCAGGTAAGTGGCACCAGCAACTCCAGACATGCAAGCGCGACTCTTGACTTGACGCGGTCGTTCTTGCCATCTTCTGACCAGCAAGCCAGTATAGGCAGTATGTCACCTCCGACCAGCTTCGCTTCAGCCAGACATCGTGCAACGTCCAATCGGTTCAGTTTCTCGTCGTACAGCTTGAGCCATCTCTTCAAATCTCGCAGACAGGCGAGTGCATCGTCACCGAGCACGTAGCGGCCGTCTTCGTCGGCACTGCTGCCACCCAGCTATGTTCCGTTAGTATATGGTGACTATAACGGGCACCGGGGGACCTACCGCATTGACAAGACTGTACACATATGCTCTGACCTCCGGATCGACAGTTTGAGCCTTCACGAAAGGCGTGTCGTCGTCCATAGTGGCCGCGGAAGTTGTAGTGGTGGTTAGTGCATCTCAGATAGTAGGTCTACATTGGTGTGTTGTGTCTGCGGAGGACTTTGGTTCGAGATCGCGAATTGATAATGCTGCGTCGCGTCAGGACGCGTTGATTTAGCCGTTTAGCCCGTCAAGTCAACTCGAAAGTAATGCCGAGGTTCCGTGTCTAACCGCAGCGTCATTCTCGCAGCTTTTATCGAGAACTCCCGACACCTCTCAACTCTACAAGAATCCGCGGTAGCAGCAACTGCAGTGCTTTCCCTAACGTGCGCTCCCTCACCTCACATTTCCCTTGGTAATGGCCTCGATAGCGCGGGCCACAGCAAGACTCATGTCCAGCCCCAAGCCCTCCCCATCAACAGCAGCCCAGCGCCTCTCCTCAATAAACCGCCAATTCTCAACCTCACCAACCATGGCATTCGAAGTAAAGAAGCTCGGCGTGATAGGCGCCGGCCAAATGGGCCTAGGCATAGCCTCGTCGCCGCCCAAAAGGCCTCCGTCCCCGTCACGCTCGTCGACTCCTCCCAAGCCGCCCTCGACAAAGGCCTCGCCTTCGCCGACAAGCTCCTCTCCAAAGACGTCTCGAAACAGCGCATCACCCAAGAAGTCGCCGACGCCACGAAATCCCGCCTCACTCCTTCTACGAACATATCCGACCTGCACGACGTCGACATGGTCATCGAAGCCGTCCCTGAAATCCCCGCGCTAAAGACCAAGATCTTCGCTGAGTTGGCGAAGGTGTGCCCTCCACATGCGATCCTCGCGACGAATACGTCGAGTATAAGCATCACAAAAATCGCCGCCGCAACGACAACAGACCCCAAGGACACCTCCGCCAGCTCACGAGTCGTGAGCACGCATTTCATGAACCCCGTCCCCGTGCAAAAAGGCGTCGAGATCATCTCCGGCATCCAGACCTCCCAATCCACAGTCGATGCAGCAGTTGCCTTCTGCGAGAAGATGGGCAAGATCCCCTCTGTGTCCGCCGACTCACCTGGCTTCCTCGCCAACCGCATCCTGATGCCGTATATCAACGAAGCCATCATCTGTCTCGAGACCGGAGTAGGGAAGAAAGAGGATATAGACAACATCATGAAGAACGGGACGAACGTGCCCATGGGCCCGCTGCAGCTGGCGGATTTTATTGGCTTGGATACGTGTTTGGCGATTATGGAGACGTTACATCAGGGGCTTGGGGACAGTAAATACAGGCCGAGTGTGTTGTTGCGGCAGTATGTGGATGCGGGTTGGTTGGGGAAGAAGAGCGGGAAGGGATTCTATGACTACTAGAATTTGCATTTCGGGCTCGCACTATGAGGCAGGTGAGCGCTGTTCAACAATAGATGAGTGCTGGAGTATCTACTCAGGCGAAAGAAGGAGTCCATTGGTCGTTCCCAGGCACAGAACACACCGGACAAAGGCATCGCATAGTTTGATTGACCGGGCACGGCTGTGGCAGCATGAACTGGTGTCGCTAGACGTATATGCGGAAGATGCCTGGGTTTTAAGAATACTGATTGTGCCCTGTATACAAGGCTACGTTCAAGCGCAAGTGTTGGGCCCGATGTCGGGGTCATGGTGTTATCACAGCCCCTGGAGCCACTCGCTGTCCTTCTCTCCAGATTGCTTTTCTGCAGGACCGCCCCAATGCATCCGAGCTGCTACTCGTTGCCAATGCCTGCTGACATGTCATATCACAGTCTGCGATCGACGCATCCTCGCTCTGAGCAAGCGCCCTCGGTCTGTTTCCTATAGCTTCTCCTTCTGGCGCTTCAGAAGATTCCTCAGCCTCACTCGTTTGCCTTCGTTTTCAGTGACCGTATCTCCACTGTCCTGAGATCCTTGTGGCGTCGTTACACCTGTGGCGAGTTTGTCATTCTCATCGTCCACGGAGAGGTATCCTACGGTAGCGGTCCCCCTCGGGTATGGATCTAGTGACCCAACATCTGGCAAAGGGGTGGGGCGGCTCTGTATGAACAAGCCTCGCTGAGCCTTCCTTGCGGCCCGGTCGGCTTCGGCGCGCGCAAATGGTATGTCCGCTGAAGACGACAACGCCTTGCACGAGTCGTGTACTGGAGCGCCGCTCTGCCGGGCCGGTTTCACCGAGTTTGTGGATGAGGCCGACATCCCGGTGAGTGCATACGAGCTCCCCCACACGTGAGTCGGTAGCGGCTTACGCTGCACGACATTAGTGATCCGTGGACTGAGAAGTGGCGAGTCTGGTGGTGTTGGCGGCATGGCAACGTCTGGAATCTCCGTCAGCTCGAGATGGGGCTTGCGACTGCTGGGCTCGCCACGTTTCATTGCAATGAACGCCGTGCCATTCCGCAGAATGTCTTCGTCTGGATCTGGTGGTGTCAACTGGCGAGCAGGCAATTGAGTCCGCCCAGACACTAGACTTGCAGGCATCGAAAATTGCCCAGGGCCCGTCAAAGGGTGAGAGAAGTTGGGATGTGTGTTCAGGGCCCGCTCGCTCAGAGCAGTGGGATCGCTTCGATGCTCTGCCCTTTTGTTGTCGCCTGACATTGCCTGCCCTCGAGATCGTTGGAGCTCGGGGCTGCTGTTCCATGGAAAGCCCGACAGCTCGCCTGGGGAGAGCGGCTTGGAGTTGTGGAAAGTATGCAGCGAGAGTTCTCGCTTTTGTAGCGCAGCAATTGGGCGTACATTCGCTGCCCTGTCAACCGTGAGACCCACAGGATCTCGACCATGGAACAACGCCTCACTCATGAGTCGGACGTGTTCTGCGACCATCGCCAATCTTCGTTCGCTGACCGTCAAATACCACTGACGCTCGATAGACGCTTCAGCGATCAGTTGACCCATGCGCTTATCATGGTCCACTTTCGACCGGAGCATTTCTTTTTCAATCGCTCTCCCGATCAAGCCCAGTTCCCGTTCCGAGGAGCTCTGTGCGAGGTGGAGAGCCCGATTGTGCTTCACCTCCAAATCGTGTGTCTGAACTCGCTGGATCATCAGTAAGTCGCCCTCTTGTCTGGCGGCCCATGCTGCTCTGAAGGGATTTCTGCTGATCTGAATTGAGATGGCGCTAGAGTGTTCAGCTCGCTGTTTCTTATGCTGCGCGGCGAGCTCTTTCTTCTCCATCTCATGTCGGCGCCGTATACTTTCGACACGTGATGCTGCTGCCAATCTTTTGTTCGGTAGCAGCATGGTCTGTTTATTCTCTTGTTCGCGTTTCATGGCGTCAAAGGCGCTAAGAAGCTTTTGCTCAGCATGGCCGTGCTTATCGTCCAAAGCAACATGTTGTAGATGGATGATCTTCATCATGGTGTCCCGAAGTTCATCGGCCTCCAGCTTCACGCTCAGCGAGAGTGCCTGCCTCAATTGTTCTGCATCAGCCCGCTCCTGTCGTCGACGTCGTTCCTCCTCGACAAGTCTCTCGGCTTCGAGCACAGCGAGCTGTTCAGCTTCTTGCCGAAGTGCTTCCTCTTCTGCTTGCCTTCGCTGCTCACGCTCCCGAGCTTCGTGTTGCTCATATCGCCGAATATTGAGAAGGATTACTCGCATCTCTTCGTCCTCTGCACGCGCTTGCGCGGACTGCTGCGCTCTCTGTCGAGTCAATTGAGCTTGTCGGGCCGCCTCATCAGTCTCCGTGCAGCTACAAGACCTCCATTTCTTCCCACAGATGTAGCAAAATTGTGCTCCGCAATGGCAGGTCATATGGTTGCAACCACCGCGTCGTTCAATAAACGCCTGGCAGCTAGTGCAGCGACGCCAGCCATGTGATTCTGCGAGAGCAATTGTCGCTGCTAGGCCGGAATCTCGGGGGCAGTCGATTCTATTTGCATGGCCGAGTCCTCCACAGTGATGACATATTTGCGATGAGCACGTGGGGCATTTGAGGCTGCCGTTGCGTAGTCGAAGCTTAGATGGGGCAATGAACCTGCCGCACCGAGTGTTTGGGCAGTATGTCCTTTTCCCAACCGGAACAGCATACTCTGTCGACTTGTTCTTGTATATTTCCATTTCCTTGGCGTCAAGCACTTTGACAACGAGCTTTGGTGGTACTTCTGAGAGGCAGCATTTCGGAGGATAGGAGCTCTCTGTCTGAGCGGCAGTCATGACGAGTGTTGACAGACATTTCTTGCAGTAGTAATGCGTGCAGGGCAGCCTGAGCAGATTCGAAACTGGTAGATCGTCGAAGCAACTAGTACACTCGACCAGTGACTCCGAAGTCATTACCGGGTCAGCAGTCTTCGGCCCTTTCGATGACTGCGAGACTTTGTCAATTGTTCTTCCCTTGATGCGACCGATGATCTTTGCTCGCGATGAAGAGATACCGGCTGCCGGCTCAGCGGCGTCCAGCGGCCGATCCTGGATGGCGGATCTGGTGTCATCTGCGGAGCTGAATACTTCGGGTGCTGCGTGAGGGAAAGGTGACGGTCTAGCGACTGCTGGTTGCTGCGATCGAGTGGTAGATGCTCGCTCAAGAGACCACAACACAATCTCGAGTGCTTTCGGTGAGATCTCCTGGTCTTGCGGGAGTAAAGATAGAGCGGCTGGTGGCTTATATAGCGACCACGACCTCTGAGCAGCTGGATCTTCCAAGCCGATCAGGCTAGTCCACTGGTCAGGTACCATCCGGAGGCCCTCTTCCGGTGCTGGCAGCATCTTCTCCTCATTCATCGGCTCGCAAAAGCATAGGTTTTCTGTGACTGGGGAAGCAACGAAGCTGAACCAGTGAATTGATGGCAACGACTGTGACTGAAGTAAACATAGAGAAGACGTGGGAGGCAATAATGATAAGGGTATGATGGAAAAGATCCATAACAAGGAAGGCTATGCGGGCGCACACACTGCACGCAGGTAAGGCAGACTTGAGTTGGTACTTCCAAAATGCAGGTGTAAGAGTGATGTTGGAAGTACTCAACTTGACTCCGGGCGAACCTTCCAAAGTTCTGCTACGCCCGACACACTGGCACTTGCCAAACGTTAGAAACACTAACAATGCCAAACACTAACAATGCCATGAAAGCGCAGCGACGCTCGCTAAGGCTCATGTTGCCAACGGCAGTCACCTTCACTGTCCTGGAGTTCTTCAAATAGCAACTCAACCGTGCACGCATAGCTCGAAAGGGGCGGAATACTTTCTGCCATCTGACTTGCGCCGGTTTTAAGGCACTCTTCGACTTGCGGGTCACATCAAGCAGTAGTGGCGCTCTTTGCTGTGATTTTGGCTCTAAGAGTCTGTAAAGTCCTTTTAGGCTTGTGAAGTACAGGTCAACAAGAGTCACCAGCCCAAATCGCATCCACAACACTCCTCACAGCCACAGCGCGGGGTTAAGGACTATCTCCTGGGGCGACTGGTGCTGAATCCTCAAAGACGCAGTGGCTGCTCGGACATCGACATGTTGAGGGCTATGCAATGACTGCAGCATCATTCAAAGCGCGACCGAGTGGCATTTTGTCACTTGCGTTGTGACTATAACGCGGCTCCGCAGCAAACGGAAACATCTCAAACGAATCGGTCACTCAGTGGCCCCTGGCGTTCTTAGGTCCCATCGTTGGGTACGACAGCGACGATACTTGACACTGACATGTAGACAAACCTGATCCCATAGCACGTACGTCACAGTACATTTTCCCAGCGAGCTTGTTCTTCGAGGCCTAGCTACTGTCCGAGTGGATCACTACCTAAGTATGTCGCGAATCACGCTGACAGAGACGACTGCTTCCGGAGTCCTGCTCAACACGTACGTAGTGACACCTACGGAGGTAACGCCTGCTGAACGAAGCGGACGAGATGATCACCACGCTCATTCATCGTCGCGTACCAATGCGAGGATAGATGTCATCAGTCCAGAGATCACGACGACCCATGGCACTGCATCGGAGACTACCAAAGCCTCCTCGTCAGGACTGTCGATCTCGTCGCTACGGGATTCCGTGCTGGCGCCGTTTCTTCCAGTCGGCTATCCGGACAGTGTATCACCAGACTACACTTCCTACCAGCGCAAGTCCTTCTCTCCCAAAATCCCGTGTCCCGCTACCCATTCTCTGCCCGTCCACTCATCTGCAACTCACGCCATGATCGTCAGAGAACCTCGCTAACGTACCCAACCCCTAGTCTACGACTCACTACAAGCCGCTCTCTCAACGATCGCCTCCCTGCTCGCCTCGCGCGCCGTTCTCACCACGCTCGGTGTAGGCTCCGCGGATGCGACCACTGCCCTGGCAATCAACCTCTCAATCTTCCAGACCACCATTTCCAACATCAGCTCCATCCTCTTTGCGCATCGATTCGCCACCGCTATCGCTCAAGACGTCAAATTTTACCGCTTCTTCGCAGACATCGTTAATGATACAGCTTTTGTGCTAGACGTGTTGAGCCATCGCTGCCACAGTATGGGCGTATCCCAGCTCTCTGTATCGCGTCAGCATGTCGCAGTATCTGCGGCGTGGCAGGAGGTGCGAGCAAAGCAGTGTTGAGCAGTCATTTTGCAACGAGGGACAATATTGGCGAACTCAACGCGAAAGATGGCAGTCAGGAAACGGTTGTGAATCTGATAGGGATGTGGGTTGGTGGATTTGTTGTCGGGCGCATTGAAGGCACTGCAGCTACCTGGTTCTGGCTATTGTTCCTGTTGGCAGGTCATCTCTGGGCAAACTTCATGGCAGTTGCCAGCATCAGACTCAGGACACTGAATCAGCGACGCGCTAGCATGGTTGTCGACAAAGTGATGCAAGGCACGACTTGTGATGTCGATGTTGTGGGCAAGGAGGAGAGATTGTTCGGTAGAAGACGCCAGCTCAGGTCACGCAGCCGGGTCGTAGGCACATGGGCGTTCGGCGGCATTGATGAACTCCTCCGCAGCATTCGATGGAGACGCCAGGCTAGTGGAAGGGCGTACAGTGGCGATGTCAAGACATTGCGGCAGGTACTGGAAATCTTCGGAAACGAAGATCATTTGCTGTGGTGGGATCGGGAAACCTGCCGATGTACCATTGTCTTGAAGGCGAAGGATGTCAGTGGTAACGTGGGATGCGACATTCATCTCAAAGCCGTGTGTCATGCATGGATACTTGCCTCTACAGTGGAGCCGCCAATGTCGGAAAAGGCGTCTGAGGTCGTGTCTGAAGTGGAAGCGTTGCGCCGAAGTCTTCAAACGATTGAGAAGACTTGGCAGGATTGCCTTGCCCGTGTCAGACGAGGCGGATGGGATTTGGAGGGCTCGAATCTTGAAACCGAGGCGACCAGTCGCTTACAGGCATCCATCGATTGATGCTTCGCCTGGTTGTTGCCAGGAACAGGAAACACAGTCAGCGTAGTAGGTCATCCCTTATTCTCCGAGTCGGCTGTGCCACGTGCTCGTCGATGTGGTAGTTGAGACCTGAAAAATCTTCCGGCAGTTGGCGGCCCGGATTCAGGCGACGCTTTTTGGCAAACATCCGCAAAATTTTGCAACGTCGTTGGCACCAAGTCCACATTGAGGGCGCTTCGGATTTGCCATTACAGTCCAAGATCACGGATGGCCGTCGGGAAGATATAAACTCCCAGAGAGTGGTCCTGAGTTGCAGTAATCCATTCCACGCAGGCACGAAGGCCGGGTCGTACATCTCCGAATGCTCATTTTTCTGTACACACACATGACCAGCTCCGATCTTTCTGCTAGAGCCAGGGCGGGGGGTGCTGCTAGCTCCATAGCACCGTTCGAGCAGGTCTGCTATTGGGCAATAGGGTAGGAAGGACATCGTTGTCGAGTAAGCAGTAGGCCCTCGTGCTACGCCTTCCAGTAAAAGAGGGGCTGAGGAAAGCTGAAAGTACTTTACACCGCATCCACGACACCTCGCAAAACCTGAAGATGCCGCGTTTATGACTCTTCGACTTTGTAGGAAGGCGGTCCGAAGAGCTGGCACTCTCGAGGCCTACACATAGGTGGTTTCCATTAGTCAGACAGGCAACTGTGTCGTATAGCAGGCCATCATCCTTCCTTTGTCGATCAGCAGGCAGGACATGGCGCGATGCATAGTCATGAACGCGTAGCCGTTACTACTGTCTTGTCGATGCATCGAATTGTGGAAACTGTAGTGGCAGGATTCCACTATTTCGAAGTCGCTCGGACGGCGGTTGGACTGACGCCTATTGGCATTTGACAGTCGACACCTACGTGCCTGACGGCATCTGTGCGTCGATGTAGATCTCGTGCCTCTTTGCTCAAAGAGTTAGAAAACGAACAAGGTGAAGATGAACAAAGAAGACGCACTGTGGAGGCAGCTCATAGGCCGGAAGGGCAGTGCTGGGCGTTAAAACAAAGCCTAACCCGACAGATCAGGACGATCACGATTCGAGTAGAGACTTTTGGGAGCGGAGGGCTGTGAGGGGCGAGGAGCCAGGGCCGTAGGGCTTCTTCGCGCCTTCCACGAATCTTCTTCGGTGCTTCCAGTGCTTCCAGAAGGCCCAGCTAAGCGTCACCTACGACGTCGGTCTTCCCTCGTTTCCCACTGTGCCCTGCCACTGGTTCGCCTCGCTTGGTTGCTCCTTCTTTCTCAATCACACTGCACACACTACTGCGATCTTTTCAGTCCGCCCTTCACTACCATCTTTTTGCCTTTGACGTCGGACGTTTTGCGTATTGTTTATCGCTCATTCCTCGTCTTTTTACGCTGCTTTTGCCATCATGAGACTGCCATGTCTTTCGGCATAAGGTTGGCTGCCGGCTTGGATCAGAACCACCCCTCCCACCCGTGTCCTACCATATTCAGCTGCTAAGAGGGGAGCGTCACCATTACCACCACCTCAAGCATCCTGTCAGAACGCATCAGCCGTCCCGCTTTGGTCACTGGAACAAGCCAAAGTCTCGTGTCCTCTTTTCCAGAGACAGAGTGATAGTTGTTGGCCCAACTCCACTTCTCAGTCATCGCAGCCTACCTTCCATCTTCAATCGCTTGCGCCTGAAGGCACCACACCCCTCTCCCTCCGATTCATACCTCTACCAAAAGGCCACCAGCGTACGATTTTGTTGATCGTATACCTTTGTAGCATCGTTCTCGTTGCGACACGGTTCGTCACAGGCAGACATAACACGTCAGGCACCTTGCAAACCTCGCAGAAACATCCAGCCTGCCTCAGTGACAACACTACACGGACTCCCTCGCTCGGCTCAGCTACAGCTCGCCGCTCTTCCATCGCCATATCTGGCGGCGTCCGGCCACATTTCTGCAGCAAACGGCTTCGACAGCCAGGTTGCATGACCATTGTGCAACGATTTGTTGCAATTAAGCGCCTTAGCACCGAGACGACGGTTTCAGAGAATCTGCAGCAAACACGTTCTGCCAGCGCATTCCTTCCACTACCAGCCCGCACACTGTCAAGTCTGGTCCGATCGCCCGAGCACGGTATATCCAGCCTTCTTCTCGCCCTGATCACAAGAGGAAATACCCACAACTGTCAGTCTACTGTTACACCACAGCCTTCTGTCACACAGGTGGAAGCTTGCTTTCTGGCACTTCTTCGGCTGGCCACAGCGGCAGAAGATTCTGCGCGGTTTCGGCCAAAGGCTTGATCATCTTGTACAACGTCAAGCGGCCACAAATCATTCCCGCTTCATCGGCAAGATTCCCGATCCGGACAGGGTACAAAAAGTCTACGACACGAAAGAAGGCGTCGGTACATGTCTTGACGTCTGTTGGGGATTGATCGATCAGGCACAGAACATTAGTAGTGGTGCAGAATTGTTGCTAGCAAACATAGCTAATTTCTAATCGACCGCGATGAGCAAGAGAAGATCTCAGAGGCAAAAAGCACCCACAATCTGGCCATATACTCCGGAACCATCTCCTCGCCTCAAGCCTCTTGTCGTGGAAGAAATTGCCGAAGACATCACCATGGAGGAGCCTACACGGCCTCGGCCCATTAGCATGGTTCGAAAAGAAGGACTACTTTCACCAAACCGGCCCACATTGGAGGATGTTTTGAATAACACAGCACCACCACCATACACATTAGCTGCTTACACCGCCTTTCTCTCGCAACAACACTGCCTAGAAACGCTGGAATTCGTCACAGAGGCACGAAGATACAGTACGAAATATGATGAAGCGCTTGCAAGAGTGGAAAAGGACGAATCAAAATTAACGACCGAGAGTGACGAAGGATTCGAGTTGATGAATATGTGGACGCGGTTATTAGATGTCTATGTGAAACCTGGGGCTCCTCGAGAGATCAATCTACCCGCTGAGGAGCGAGACGACCTGGTTGAGTATCCCTACGAACCTCAGCCGGCGCCACCAGCAGCTCTGGATCCGTCGGTCAAGCGAATGTACGATCTCATGTCGGACTCCATCTTCATTCCATTCTGCAACAGTCTAAAAGTCCCATCACACGCACAAACCTACAGCGCAATATCCGAGTTAAGACGAACAGAATTCGATCCCTCAAGAATGACTTTCGACGACAGATCCGGCATGTCTAGAGCAGCCAATCCACCCAAACGGAGGGAGTCACCTCCGGCGCCTGCGACATTCTCACCGTCAAGATCACCTCCATCACAGCATCGTGCAGTGCATTCTTCGTCATTATCTTCGGCCCTGAGCCGCAGTTCGGCCGGAAACAGACTTTCGACTCACGTGTCACACTCATCTGCTGCCTCGGAAGCCGCATTGACGGATGGAAGTGATCCAGATGAAAGCGCTGTCATGACTCCGCCTACAACACCTCCTGCTAGTGAATTGGGTGGTCATACTTCACACGGTCCTCTACGTCAGCATCAACAAGCTCCGACGACTCAACCTCAGCTGAAGCCACATCGGAGCGAAAGTGGTGCATGGAAGAAGACGATGAAGTTCTTTGGTGGCGGAGGGAGTGGCAGCAACAATGCTAAGAAGGATCGCAGCTGAAGCGCAGAATGGCGCTATGCTGCTGCAGCATACGAAATCACTACGACCATCACGACATGAGAGCCAAAGAGCTCGACTTTCGTGCAGACCAGCATTATTCGGCGACACCCGCAATGCATTGATACTCCGGCGTGATCTGGTCAAAGGCATGCATTAGTCGATGACTCCCACAATGGGAGAGGCTGCTGCCTTTCATGTATTTGGGCATATTGATGAGACGATGGAACGGGCGTGGACACCCATCTCATTTTTGGCTGAAATTAAAGCCCGCCGGCGAAGATTGGAAGTCATGTGCCGTCAAGGGGACTTGAAGGTGAAGGCACCACATAAGTGAACGTGTGGGAAGAGAAGATGAAGCAAGCAAAATATTCTCACGGTAGCGACAATATGATGGTGTTACGAATCTCAATTTCTCGTGCCTTCCACTCTGGCTCTGTCCTGACTGAAGTGTTCTCCTTCTGTTAGTCTACTTAATCATGTTCTCAAAACCAAGTATTCCAATCCTAGGCGCTGTCTTTGGGTTCGGATGCTCAGCATTGTCTGCTTTCCACAGCCGGCAGTTGCCGTCAGCTGTGCCTTCCCATCCATCACATCACGGCCAAGCAAATCGCTCTGGAACAGACAGGTACGGTCGCCGATCGACGCAGGACTCGGTTATGTTACGGTGAGTCTTTGTACACGCTTCCTGACGCTGGATTTATGAATATCTGCTATTGAAGTCGATGACTGCGCCCATTCGCTGATGCTTGCTCGGCCGCAAAGACATATGTACTGATGCGGGTATTTCGTAGGGTAGTGTGTAATTTTGTGTCTATGGGTGATGAATCGTCTCGTCCCCAGCTCAATTCCACATGCTAGCCCCAGCACTATCCACCGCCTCGATCTCGCTCTCGGTCCACGCCATCCTCCTGAACCGGCTCGGCAGCTCACTCCGATCGAAATACTCGCCCTGCCCCGGCTTGATGCTGCCTAGACTTGCGCCGCTCTTCCCTCCTATCGCACCGTACGTCTGACTGCCACCTTGTACATTTGTGCCCTGGCTCATGTTCGAGGCCGAGGGTCCGCTCGAGCTCGAAGTGCTTTGTGTCTGCTGCGTCTTCAGTGGACCGTGCTGCTGCGCTCGCGATCGATAGTCGGCGAACGATTCAGCGAAGGAGTCTGGGAGAGCGGGTTTCTCGGAGGCTGGGTGTACGTGTGGTGTGTGGTCGACTGCTTGGGGGTGCTGCGCTTGCCGAGGAATTTGATGAGGGGTGTGCGTTGGTGTTGCGCGCAGAGGCGCAGGGTTGGGCGAATCATGGTGCTGGGTGGTGGTTTCGGGCAGGACACGCTGATAAACGGCCAGGCACCTTACGTGCCGTCCAAAATGCCTGATTGCAGGTGCTCAGACCACCAGGACGGAGATTTTCGTACTGAGCGGTGGAATGATGCAGTCTTTAATAATGAGCGTCTGCGAGTTTCTGCTGGTTCTGGTAGCAGCTATTCGGCGCCGATCCGGTGCTGTCGCCGGTGGCCTCGAGAGAAAGCAGGAGCAGTGCAGGAGGACTTCGTCACAGCAGCAGCGGGGTCATGCGGGAGTCGATCGTGTAGGAGGATGTTCACGGCACTGGGTGGTGTGAAGTATACAAGGTATCGGTGTGCGGAAGCTAAGGTTGATAGCAGAGCTCTTTTCGGAAGTTCAGTGGCCGGAACCGTGCCGGTGCTCGGGATCTCAGGTGAGGTGATTGAGGATGCTCCGCTGTCGGGCTCTCCAGGTTTTTTCTTGTAGTCTAAAGGTGGGAGAATGTACAGGCGGCAGATAAACAACTCTGGGAATGCTTCAAGGTTCGAGATGGTGAAGCTCAAGTTCAGACCTCCAGTCGGGATGGTCGGTGGGGTGTTTCAAATGACGCAAACTCAATGTCATTCTTTCTTCACGAATCGCCAAGTCTCAACTCAAAGGTTGAGCTGATCTATTTGTCTTTGCAGCTGTGAATTACAGCGTCGATTGCGCACGTACGTTGGTCCTTCGATTCATTCAAGGATAAGGCGCAGTTATCTCTTGATCGCAAAGGATGCGGTGCAGCTTCGGAGTAGCTGGATGAGTTCAAGAAGGAGAGTAGGTGAACTATCAGACGTGAAGAGGACGGACATCCAACATGCCGCACGAATATTCGCTCTATGGCCAGGTGGTCGAGTCGAGACAGCCGCTTCTGTTGCAGCAGCTGGCTGGCATATGTCGCATGCAGCCAAAACCGGTTGAGCAAGTGGTCCTTGTCTTCAAGCGCGGCCACCACCCGGTCTTGCCAATCTCCCTGGGCCTGGTGAGGCATCGGGGAAAGCTGATGTGCAGCGAATCGCGAAGATGCTGACATCAAACATCTACTACGTCAAGGTGATCGGAACGGTCAAGTCGAACGAAAGTCCCCCACCACAGAGTGACCAGATGACCAACGGGCACGGTGGTCGGACTGATGCTGAGCGAACAATTGATTGGCATTTCGAGTTCAAAGACATTCCCGACGCAGGTACTGGTCAGCAAACGGTCAATGGACGGCTGCTCTACCGCTTCGGCATCGAGGGTAGCGACATGCTCACATTCATGAAGCAGCTTGGCTATGAGTGAGTCAATCCCTCCCTCTACTTAACGCGTAGGACTAATAGTGATCTAGCTACGTCAGTCGTCACGTTCTGAAAGGACATACATTCTTCAGGGACTTCGCAACATTGTCCTTGCACCGTGTCTATCGTGAGACAAGCACGGATCCTACGAAGCCGTTCGACTGGTCTTTCATGGCACAGGAAGACTCCTTGGAGCTGATTGATAAAAGCGGCGCCTATTTGTGCATTGCGTCGATCGATGCAGAAGACGACAATGTCAGCGCAAATAAGGATCTGGCAACGTCGAAGCTGGTGGAATTGAGAGACCTACTGAAGCCTGTGATGACTCTGGCGCCAGTCGATCGTCTTGCGCTAGATACAAGAGCACCAAGCAAGTGAGACATTGTGATCATCATCAATCAGGATATGCTGCATCTCTCAAGTGGTTGCCTTATTTTGCCTGGTGCCTGATGGCGCCTAGCCATCGGGCCCACATGACCTTGCTTGTCCGAAAAGAAAACGCGTGAATCAGATCCCAGTGTGTCGTACTTTTCACGGTCTGAATCTGTCACTTGATCTGCACCATCGACCATCCGCACGAAAAACAGTCCGTGGCGCAGATGGATGCATACTCCTCTGCGACCATTCCGCGGTTGCTTAAGAGTGCCTCAGCCGTTGCTATTCAACCGACATCGCCCAGTATTCATCAACATGAGCCTAAAACGTGGTGCATCTGGTGGCAGAGCCATCTCGCCGCCGCCGACAAAGCGACGAATTGAGTCAACAACCACAAACAATGCCGTTGCTTCGTTCTTCAAGCCGGCATCTCAGAAGCCACCTGATCAAATTTCATGGAGAGTTCTCAAGGACAGTCTCATTATTGGACGCAACAACCCTACAGTCATCCCACCTCAAGCCAAGATTCATCCTGTAAGAGTTGCAGCTTTTGATCTCGATGACACGCTCATCACCGCGACCGGAGCAAAGTTTGCGCGAGGAGCCGATGCCTGGAAGTGGTGGGATCCGAGCATACCGGGTAAGCTTCGACAACTGTACAACGAAGGCTATCTGGTCGTGATCTTCACGAATCAAGGCGGCGTCAGCTTGAAGGACAAGAAGCCACAAACCTTGCAGCAAGATACCGCGAGTCTGGCGAAGCTCAAAAGTCAGGTGACCAACATCCTCACAGCATTGAATCTACCAATGAGTCTGTACGGTGCGTCTGCACAGGATCATTACCGCAAACCAAGGACAGGAATGTGGCAAGAAATGCTCGAGGACTACGATCTGACGGCTGAAGGTGCCGTCGACATGAAGTCTTCATTCTACATCGGAGATGCTGCTGGCCGAGAGAAGACGGACAAGAGGCAGAAAGCAGACTGGGCAAGTTCGGATCGTGACTTGGCCACGAACATAGGCATTCGATTCCAGACTCCTGAGGAGTTCTTTCGCGGCGAAGACGTTGAGCCTTATCAGCCAGCCTTCGACCCGTCGAGTTACCTCAGCGAGGCCGCTATCGCCAAAGCAGGCGTCAAATTCGAAAAGAAACACAAGCAGGAGATAGTGATGTTCTGCGGATCCCCTGGCGCTGGGAAGAGCACGTTCTTCTGGAGAGTACTCGAGCCTCTCGGTTATCTCAGGGTGAACCAGGACACACTCAAGACTCGTGACCGATGCTTGAAGGCGGCACGAGGCTACTTGCAAGAGGGTTTATCAGTCGCAGTCGATAATACCAATGCTAACGTCGAAGCCCGCAACTACTGGATATCTCTGGGCCGAGAATTCAATGTGCCTGTACGCTGCGTCCACTTCACAACACCTCTCCGGCTAGCGGAACACAACGACAGCGTCAGAGCCCTGAATGTTGCACTGATGAATCCTGAGAAGCGTGAGCTACTGCCGGGGATTGCGTTCAAGAGCTTCCAGGGGCGATTCCAGGAGCCAAAACTGTCAGAAGGATTCGATGATCTCACAAAAGTCGACTTCAGCTGGAATGGGACTCCTGAACAGCAAGCTGTGTGGTCGAAGCACTGGGTTTCCAAATTTTCCACGTAAGCTGCAGACACGTCTTAGAGGATATCTTGAACGTCCAATCTGAGAGCACATCGCCGTTGCTCAGGGACAGTCGTAGATGTAAGGTTCGGGTTGAAACATGATGGCTTGAGGGGATGCAGGTTAAGCGGATAGATCAGATCTATGGCTGGTGATCCGGGTTTCACGGCAGGCGCCACTGTCCGTGGGTGCATGCTGTCATGTCTCACGGCAGTCTGGGGAGAGGGCAGATCCCAGCCAGGGGCAGACATCAGCCAGCGTATGGCAGGTTGGATCGACAATCGCTAAGTGACTTGTCCATGCATCTTGCATAGCATGATGGCGTCTGTTGTACCTCGTCAGACCTGCGTGGTCGACGTGCAGCGCTCTATATTTGAACACGGACCGCCACAGAAGGCATATGTGAGTTGGCACCAAGACTGCTATACATGTGGCTCTGAAAATCCTAGGCTTGCCAAATCGCCAAGTACTACGCTTGAATTGTCCCCTGCCTTCCTGAGCAGCTGTCAAGCAGTGGTCCAAAGAGCGTCAATGATACTCAAACAGAGGCGGAAAATAGCCGGCAAAGGTTGAACCCAGGCGACTGGGTCGCCCACACTCACTATCTTTAAAGTTTCTCTGGCGGTGCCGAGGTGTCGGCATGGCTTTCTACACGTGTATTTCTCAGTCCGCCACCCGGTACCTGCGTTTTGTGGCTTGCAGCAAGCATACGCGGAGCGAGCAGCCTTGCTAAGCGACGAAGTACTCATGTCCACTTACGAATTGTAGTCGATGACAAGAAGGCTGGTCAAGCAATAACCACCATTGGAAAGTAAGCCGGAGGAGCGCAGGGTGCGGGGATTTTGGTGCAACGATTGTGGCCTCAGAATGCTCATGCTCGAGACACAGCCAACCTGTCAGTGTCTGCAGGAATGGCCTGCAACTGAGTCTAACAGACGACCACCGAGGTGGGCGTTGGCATGATGAAGCTCAAACAAAGTCGATCGGCAGTCTTTGCTGCTGGCGATCTTTCGGCAGAACATGCTTATTCCAACACACACAGGGTTTCATCAGACAGCAGCATTGTGCATCTCCGTCGAACAAGAGATCATGAACGGGATATTGATGACCATTCCGTGGTGAATAGCCATTCAGCATTGTACGGAGCAGTATATACTTTGCTTAGGCGAAGTCGGAAGTTGATCCGCGGGGCTTGCATGGGACACGTTGGTGGCTGCTCTGGCCGTTGGGAAAGTGAAAAACAGCCGAAGAAGTGGGCTACAGATTCGCGGGAAAACTGCAGCTTTGCATATGGCAGGAAGTGCTTAGCCGTCTTCTCAATCGTCATGACTACTACCATCGCTCAGAACATCCAGCGACTCAGTCTGGGATGGGAAGACCATGGTCCGCCGCATTTGTGAGTATCAACCACCAGTGTAGATAGCAGTAGGCAGGCAGTCGAAGCAGCTTACCTCGGTGCGATCACGGTATCAGGTCTCTGCTAACTTTTCATCTTGAGTGCCATCGGGCCACTGTCGAGGAGGACTAGCATTGGCATTTCCAACCTGGTACTCCTTTGTTCAGTATACAGTGTGACCCAGCCCGTCGCATGCTGAATTATGTGGAAACCCTAGATCTCCTCCAGGCTTGAAATTCAAGCCTCTTGTAGCCCTCTCTCTTCTCAGATGAACACAACACCTACACAGGGATGTGGACTGCAGACCGGATGGGGAGGAAGCATCGTCCTGGAGGTACAGGCCACTAGAGTTTCAACGTGGTAGTCTTGGTAGTGTGGCTCTTGTTGTGGTTTAGCAATAGTGGCTTGAACCAAATTTTTATGATTTTCTTCGGACCGGGGTAGAAGGGCCCTGCTCTGCTCAGAAGCTCCGAGTCGTTTGCTGCCCACCAACAACACAACACGAAGAACCCAGTTCTCATCACATCTGCTTCCTGCCCATCCTTGCTCTATCTCTCGCTTGCTGGTCGTTAATTATCCTCCTGCAAACATGAAGCAGCCTTTATGATCTCAGATGTCGCGCGACCACATTTCCGCCGTTCACCTCACCCACTGTCACTGATCGGTCAGTCACTCGCGCTTTCGCAAGCAGGCACTGCTTGACGCCCAACAGCCGATGCCTTGCGCCAGTCGCGCTTCACTACGTGTCGCACAGCTCTGTCACTGCTACTGAGCTACCGTCTTCCGTTCCATCCACCTGCGCCTTTGCGATATCTCAGCGACGCCTCATCAGAGAACTCGAAGAAGCATAACCAAGTGGCCGCCATCATGTCTCGGTAGAAAGACACGGAAACCACGACACAAACGGCCAGTAAAAGCTGAATCGTCTCTGCTGCAGCGACGGCGTTCCACAGATCACTAGCCATGGCTAATATTGCCCCTCCGCGACAGTCATTGGATGAGAACGTTGCGCTGTCATCGCCCGTCACTTCTGTCTTCAGTAGAGGACACGCTTCAAAGTCATCCGCGTCCAGCTTGTCATACACCTCGTCACCGAATACGCGCGAGTCTCTCGACTTGCATGGTTCCAAGCTCGATAGGGTCACCGAAGAACAAGAACGAGATGGCCAACCACAAATCGCAACGTATGGATGTGATGCGACGAGCGAGCCTCAGTTGCCACGCGAGCTCTCGTCTCGTCCAGCCGACCACGTGTTAGCTGACGAGTACGATCCCTACGGTCTCTACTTCAGCGATGCATCCGACAATGCCTTCCCTGCGCTCGACCCTGACGATTATACCTTGGGAGACTCGTCCAATCCGGGGCCAACCATTATAGAACAACGTCACTTCAAACGACAAAGGTCTGCTGATAATCCCGGCCTCAGTCTTCATAAAAGGCTATCGAGCCGACTGGGCTCCATGTCTCGTCGATTGAAGAACCGATCCTTCACAGGACCACGGTTGTCCATCATTACAAATGCGAGCACACCTGCGTCTCGGTCAGGCTCTATAGGAACGGGGCCGGTCCTCAGTCCTGCCATGAGCGCCATTTCACAGCACGAAAGCTATCTGCCATCTCCACAACCGGACTCCATGGATGAGTCAATATATGGTGCATTTGGCGAAGATGAGGAGATGACGACCACGGAAGCAAACATGGCGCCAGCCACGACGCCCCTTCTACCGCCAGTCTCTACAGAGGTCTCCCGCGAGGAATCGATTCAGTCGCCGTTACAGTCTCCCTCTATAGCACCCACACCAGCTACAATCAACTCACGGACTTCCCTCGACATCAATGCATTACCTTCTCCACCTTTGTCGACCAGACCCTCTGTGATCTCGATGCGTCAAAGGTCTAGGGCAAACACTGCCACTGCACCGATTGCGGAAATACCTCCCTTGCAACTAGGTAACGAGGATCCGTGGTCCGCCGTTTGGGCCATGCCAATTTCAACATACATCCAGAGCCTTATCTACCATCGGTCTTCAATGTTGAGTCCTACACCGAGTTCCGCAGTAATTGGGATCATGCTCGCAGAAACTACGCGAAGCATTTGGCTCGCACAAACGAACACTATGGCGTCACTTCAAGAGTGTACAAAGTCACTGAAGAGAAGTGGGCCACGATCGACGAGTCCTGGAAGAAGTTCCATCAGGCTATATTACCCACCGTCGAGCCGCATTTAAAGATGGTGAAGCGCGCAAGTGAGCAAGGTTCGTCCGATGAGTTCACTCAGGCGACTTTACCACTCGAGAAACCAATTTCTCATATAGTAATGCCCGAGATCGACGACAAGTGTGGCAAATTTCCCGAGATTGGTGATGGCGACATTGTTGGCCCTATGGAGGTTGGTCCTCCACGCTCGGCTGCCAAATCGCCCACGTTGTCGCCCACGTCGCCGAAGAAGCGTCCGTTCTTGCGGTACATTCAAGACGCCTTCTTCAGGGCTTGATCTGGACGCAGATCAAATGTTCATGTACAGCTAATTTCTGTGTTGTACATCATTTCGGGATCACGCTGCCTACATTTCGCAGGCATTCGGAGTTCTAGAGGAGCGGCCCGATGCAGGGAGTTTTCGGCGAATGCTAGAGGACTCTCCTCTGCCGACGAAATTCACGACTACATCACACGCCAGCCTTTGGCACAAAGAAGGCCAGTAATGCCAATTACGAGCACAAGATATTACCGACCATAACGACACTCCTTCACAAGCGCAAGCAAGCAAGCAAATTTTTCTTTGAATCAAGATTACATGAGGAAGAATCGGCGGATAAATTCGAAAAGAGCGATCTACGCATCAATGGTGGGGGTTTCCAGGCATGGAAGATGCGTGTCCCAGACACGACATTAGAAGGATCAGAGAACCCAAGGATGGGAGACAGACTAGATTCCCTGGGCCGCTCCCCAGAGGCAGTGGTCCAAGTGGAAAGGGGATGCAAATGGCGGCTTTCTGTTGACTTTCCCAGCTATCGGGAAGTCTTTGCAGACAGCGCAGTCTCGATCTTATTCTACAGAACCGGCAGAGACCGAGCTAGCTCGTCTGCTTGCTAAAGAGCATATGCACATATGTCTCACGGATATTCAATGAAGAAGATCACATTATAAACAGATGCTCACTAGATCATGCAACATTTTCAGGGCCTCGTACTATGCCTACGAATGTTGTGCGATTGTGGCTGCTAAACAAAGGTAACACTGTCCCATGGCGGGCGCTTTTTGTAGCACAGATTGTGCTGTCGCTCCTTGGGCTATAGATCCCCTACAGACCTGCAGCACTGCTAGATGACATCGAAGCAGGATATAGACGATCATTTGCAGGTATGTACTTTCACTCAGAAGCTCCACCAGCGACGAGACGGACAGCAGCAGTCGTGCCCGCCGCGTCGTACTTTGCGCGCGCCTGCCCCTTTCGTAGATGCACATGCCTCAGTGGCACATGCCATGAATTAGGAGGCTCTATCGCGTCCAACAGTCTGTGCATTATGCCTCCTGAGCGCTTTCCAGAGTAAGTGGTCCCGGTCCGTAACTCACCCGAATCACCTTCCGCCGCGCGTGCTAAGGGTAGGTGTAGAGAATCCCTAAAGGCAGTTTCGGAAGCCTAAAGTCCTTTCGGCTATTGATCCTATGTTGTTCACGGCGGCGGATCATAACGGCCTTTGGGGCATTGTTTGCTGCTGTGAATGTTCGCTGACATCCAAGGCTGCTCGCTCATTCGACGACGCGAAGCTTCATGCGCCCATAGAAGAGCAAGAGCATAGTGAAATGGACACATACGCCCTGCGAGCTGCATGCAATGGTCAAGGGGGCTTGAGCAGCTCTCAGTCGCTTTCGTGCTTCTTCAACCGATCGCGTTTGGCATGGTACTCGCGGTAGCACTGTTTTGAGACTCGTGGCTCCAGAGCAAAATCTACCTCTCATCTCGCGAGTCGCGCCTGCTGCAACTGGCCGGCGCTCCTGCCAGTTCGCGGACTGGTTTTCATCCCGCAATTGACGCTAGTCATCTGGCCTCTTAACTGTCGCTCGTCAACATTTGACGCTGTCGGCTTTCTCTGAGGCCTTTACATCGCTCGATCAGTAGCAGCTGTCCTTGCCACATGGCAATACATTCGACCGACTGAACGGCATCATACGGCTTCCAACCCGTCGGTAATTGATGCTACGGTCGGCAAATGGGCGCCTCAATGTCTTCCAAGAGGCCAAGACTTCCGTTGCCCAGTAGGCTGACCGCCCGAGTAAACGCCAGACAAGCCTGGACACGAATAGCCGACACCAAACAAGAGCTTCGGGTGCTTGGTGGGTGCGCTGGCTTTCCGCTGGGTGGTGCTCTCCTTCGCCTCCTAACTTCCCCAGGCTTCATCGGTTAATCGACATCCCCCCAAATGGAGGGCGCTGATGATCTGGCGGTAACCCCACAATCGTAACACCAATCCCCCCGGATCGAGAATCAACCTTCAAATGCCTTTCCGCAGACGGGCACGTAAAACCGCTACCGCCACGTGAGCCGTGTGCCCAGGAGCTATTGCCGATCGATGATATAATAGCTTGTATATCCCCCTCTCGCCCAAGATGCGACCAGACTCTGCCCTGGATCCTTCTGCAGTTGGTCTTTCGTCGTCAACACAATCGCCACAACCAAACACTCCATCAACATCGGTGCTCGAGGCCGACATCGACAGCGCTACTGAGACCACGCCACTAATCATGGCTCTTTCAGAGGACAAAGGTCACTCTGAGGAGGTGAACACCATTAGCAAGGATGACGCGGAGAGGCAGCGCTCGAACAGCATTCAGCATGGTGACCGGGCTGCGCAATTGTTCGGAGACCAGAGGGTCAGCTTGACGGAAGAAGACGTAAGTGCTTTACCTCCACGTCTTATGACGAGGTCTTCAACAAACAGTGTCCTCGGGTCTTGTGTTCGACCTCGACCGATATCTTCAGCAAGCTCACTTACACTGACGCCTCGTAGAATATTCGAATCCGCAAGAAGATCGACAGGGTCATCCTGCCTATCCTTGTATGGGTATACTTCTGTGAGTTGGCCATTAAACCATTCGCCTGAGCGTCAAGCGTTCTTCGCTGGTCCACAATCGCACGAGCCTCAAATTGGTTTGTCAAGTTGCAAATGCCCCTTTTGTTGAGTACATTGGACAGATTCACTAACGCTGGCAATAAACAGTGCAAATCTTGGACAAGAGTGTTCTCGGTTATGGTGCAGTGCTAGGCTTGCGCACTGATACAGGTCTTACGGGCAATCAGTACTCACTCGTGTCGAGCGTTTCTGCAATGGCACAACTCGGATGGCAGCCCTTCAGCTCGTATCTGATCGTTAAGGTTCCCCACAGATACCTGATGCCAGCGCTGGTCCTGGGTTGGGGTCTTGCGCAGACATTCATGGCGGTGTGCCACAACTTCGGAGGCTTATCGCCACCAGGTTCTTCCGTAAGTACCTCTCCCATGGGCACACTTGCGTCCGGAAACGAGCGTTACTTAGAGGACTGCCTGAGAATATGTCTCGGAATGACAAAGCAGTTGCTCTCGTTGACCTTACAGCCCTATCTTCGAGCATACGCCCTTTTCCCGAGACAAAGCTAATCAACTTTGGCAGTGGGACTGTTCGAGGCAGGGTGCTTACCTCTGTTCTCCGTCATCACTTCGCACTGGTACAGGAGATCTGAGCAACCATTCCGGATTGCTCTATGGTACGGAACAAATGGTCTGGCCACGATGTTTGCAGCGGCAGTCTCGTACGGCTTTGGCTCGATCGCCAACCCTTCGATTGCGGAATGGAAGATCTTGTTCCTGTTCGTGGGAATCATAACAATCATCACGGCTCCCATCGTCTATTACTACCTTGACAGCGACATTCCCTCCGCACGCTTTCTCACCGACCACGAGAAGCTTCAGGCTATCGAGCGAGTACGCGCCAACCAGACTGGAACCGGCTCCCGCGAATTCAAGTGGTCTCACGTCTTTGAAGCGCTGATCGAGCCGAAGTCCTGGCTCTTTGTGGGGATGACTCTGTGCTTAAATACCGGGGCCGCAGTCACGAACACCTTCGGACCGCTCATCATTCAAGGACTGGGCTTCACGCCACGCCTTACTTCTCTCCTCAACATCCCGTTCGGCGCCGTTCAACTTGCGGTCATCCTTCCCTCTTCATGGCTTGCCCATCGTTACCGCGTCAAATCGCCATTCTTGGCGGCCCTCATGCTCCCAGTCCTGGCTGGCAATGTCATGCTGTACACACTTCCACGCTCCAACTCAGGCCCGCTCCTGGCTGGTTACTACTTGTTCGCATTCCTGTTTGGCGGCAACCCTCTAATCGTCAGCTGGATTATCTCGAACTTCGGCGGCTCGACCAAGAAATCCGTCGTCATGTCTCTGTACAACGCCGGCTCCTCAGCCGGAAACATCATTGGCCCACTATTGTTCAATTCTAAGGATGCACCGAATTATTACCCAGGCTTGAAATCGGTACTGGGAATAATTGCCGCCATGATCGCTGCAATTGGCATCCAGTTCTTAAACCTGTGGTTCTTGAACAAGCTTCAGCGCAAGAAGCGCGTCCGGAATGGAAAGCCAGCGGATATGAAGGATTACAGTATGCAGAGGACGTATGAGGCTCGGTCTGAGGAGGAGGGGTCTGATCAGGGGTTGCTGGACTTGACGGATCGGAAGAATGATGAGTTCATCTATGTGTACTAGTAAGAGAGCTGTTTGCTTAGGGAGACATCGTAGACGAGATGACTTACAGCAAGCACACAGGTATATCGGTCCTTAGCAACTGAGCGCTCGTAGATTGAATAGATGAAATCGGCAAGAGGAGACTGCAACCTCATTTGACACTGTGATTTCTATTTTGATCAGGATTCGTGCGCTTGAGTATCTATTTGTACAATAGTCGTGTGAACGTGCCTTCAGCTCAATGTTTTGTCAATCTTTGCGGCTTCTTTTCATATGCGGCTTCTTCGCGTGCTCCTATGATGGCTAGCTGCTATTCGTGACCTTCGCGGACTGGTCCACATCCTCAATGGCTCACTGCATCTTCCGCACATACTCCACCGGCCCATCGTAGACAGTCCTTGCACCACCAGGCAGGTAGTAATGCAAGAGTGCAAAGATCATCGTGGCGCCGTAGATCAAGCACGCCCAGTTCATCTGCGCCACAGTCGGGTTATATGTGCCGGGGAAGAAGCTGAAGATGAATGCGATCCACAGGAAAGCGAGCGACCAGACGTTGAGGAGGATGCCGACGGGCTTGGAGAGTGTGAAGGGTGCTGGCAGGAGTGGGAGGTTGAAGAGGCGGCGCCAGAGGACTAGGGAGATTGAGATGATGTAGGACGATCTGGATGAGCTTGTCAATAAGGATTTACATACGAGCTGCAAAATACTCACAGGATGGCGCAAAGCGAGAGCGATGTAATGTTGTTCAGAGCAATCGTGCTGCCGATATTGATGAGGGACAGCAGACACGAGACGACGAAGGAGACGATGATCGAGTTCATCGGGACATCCCATCCAGGCCGGACGTATGCGAAGAACTTTGCGTATGGTACGCCCTGATCGCGAGCGAAGGCGAACAGTTGTCGAGAGGCGGTAGCTGTGATGGACAGATTGCAGAACATGGCCATGATGATGACGAGAGCGCTGAGGAAGGAGGCACCGACGTAGCCTGTGAATCGATGTTAGCTGTCTGATTCCGCAAAGATTGGGCTGGCAATTGACTTACTCTGGGTGACATCGTAGAAGACTTGAATGTAAGGCTGGAAGGTCGGGGTGGCAATGACAGTGTCCAGGTCGCCCAAGACCATGCAGAACGTAATGATTGTCACAAATCCCATCAACCCGTTGAAGAATGTAGTGGCGATCATGGCCTTGGGAAGCACTCGAGCGGCGTCCCGAAGTTCTTCAGACATGTGGACCGCGCCATCTGCGCCCAGCAAGGGAATCATGACAGCCAGTATGCCGACCATCGCCGAAAGGCCGTCGCTGCTCCAGCCGCCGTAGTTGTTGAAGGTTGTGAAGACCTCTGATGCGTTACCCCGTGGACCGAGCACCCAGAGTGTGACGAGGACGGCGAAGAAGCCGAAGACGTGGATGATAAGAACAATGCCCTCGACCATAGGCAGTTTCTTGACCAAGAACGTGTTGAATACGACGGAAAACAGGGCCACAGCAAAGGTCAACAGTGTCCCATGCCACCTTTCGGGCACATATGTCGGGTTGTAGAGGATGATGAGTCCTTGGATCTGTGTGCCAGCCAGGAAGGCCGTGTTCGCAGCACCGGTTTGCCAGCCCAAGACGCAGAGCCAACCAGTGATGAAGCTGAGGAACTTTTGGTACTTCCGGGGCGAGAATTCGCTCACCCAGTGGTATTGGCCGCCGGACGTTGGTGCCATGGATGCCATTTCGGCCATGGATGTGTTGACGGCCATGAATGATACCCAGCAAACCAGGAAGAGCCAGATGAGACCAGCAGTGCCTTGGATTGTCAGTACGCTGATTGTTGGACGCTGAGGGAGTCATTTACCTCCATTGATAAGGCCGATAATCGAAGTTCCTAGCATTGTCTCCCACGAGCACATCACCAACATGGTGAACCCAAGAATTGACACGAATCGAAAGTTGCGCCTCATCTCCTGCGCCTTTCCCATCCGCCACATGTCCTTCTGATCCTTCGCCGTGCCCTTCTTTTCCTCTGACAAATTGACATTTTCAGGATCTATGGGCACCTGCTCCGTCGTGGAGGTCAGACTGTCGCCCTTTGTGAGCGCCATGATGTTGTGGTTGTTGGGTATCGCTATTGACTGCGTGGTTGAAGTGTGTCGAAGACCACCAACAGAAGTGATGAGGAGTAGAGATGGAAAAGGGTTGCGGCAGATGTCGCAAGAGCGCAAGAAAGTATCATAGGTACCCTCGATGACAACTTGGAACGCTAGGTAGATGCCACGCGAGTACGGCGCTGATCCTGCGTGGCAGTACGTTGATCCTCACCAAATACTGTACTTACCCTCACAAATCTCGCAGTAGCGAGGGGCGCGGCACAGCACAGGCCTCGCCTCGATCAAGATACCCTTGGGCAAGGGCCCAAGGGGCCCTTGTTCTGCTTGCTGCAAGCCACATGCCTTCTTCCTCCATTCAGGGCGAAGCCATACTAGCGCAGGCAGGGGATCCAGAAAAGCTTGAAAAGACGCTTGCCATGAACAGTGTGAACTCCCTCGAGCTTCCGCAACCTGCAAGACTCACGTAAAGATGAACGGCTGGACCTCTGCCGGCACTAGCCTGCGGATCCGCATGAGAAAGGGATCACCGCGGGGAATGAGATCAAACTTTATGATGAGGACAGCAAGAAAACCAATATGGGATAAACTTCGGCAAGAAGCCGCGTGTGGCGGGATGGCACCAAGTACCTGGCCTGCTCGTTATCGAGCAACACTTTCTCTCCAAAGGCAGATGCGTTTTGTGTCCGTCTGACTGTGGCCGTAAGACTCCGAATCCCAGAAGAAATGAAGAATGCAGTAGCGTTGATGGGAATAGACCAATGCCAAGCAACTAAGTCGATAGCTTCGGCTATCTGCCTGGTCCGTGCATCGGCTTTTCAAGTTCCCTCGTTCCTAGGGCGGCATAAACCACAGTCCTTTTTCGTGGAGGTGGGATACACATCGCCTTACACACCTCATGATGCATCTGTTTCGTCACTTGGCGTGCTGGGAACCCAGTAGTACCGGACGGCCACGCACAAGATAGGTACTCGACGTCGTATGCATCTCACGTCGGTGCTGTTGCATCCTCCCTTCGGCTATCAAAAGAACAGTGCATACCGCTCATTCAGCAAGGAGACCACAAAGATCCGAGCTCGTATGCCTTGACAGCCGCCATGTAGATCTTTATCGGTGCAGCAAACTCGCAAGGCCCGTGAGATACTTTGGCGAACTCTGGTTCGCTGCAACGCCTTAATCGGCCTCCGCTTGGTTGGGTCAATCTCCTCAAGCTTTGACTCGGCTGCTGCTGCAGTTCATGGGGGGTCCCATGAACCATAATTTATCCAGGAACCACGCGCCACTGACAAGCCAGGATGGAATCGTCCTCAAGGTTCGCCTCCAGATCTCCGACAGCGTCGACTCCTGTACATGGATATGGCTCGTTTCCTACGTTCGATATCTTCCCTCAAGAGGTAGACGTATCTCATACTGGCACCGACCGCCTAGGGATAGATTCACCGCTCCCGCTTCTTGCTTTGTACCCATACTTCATTGCGGTCTACTCGCGGTTTGCGTTGGAAGCGACGACTTCGTACCTATCTTGCGAACTGCCAGTCACGAATTCCAGCTTCTTGTAGCAGCAGCCTTCGCGAGCCAACGATATAACCAGCCATTGAAGCCCACTTCATAACAATTTGTCGACATGGCCGATCAAGCAATCGCTTCGCGCCAGTCACTGCGGACAATCACTCTGGTGCCATCTGGATAACGTCCATTCTTTGCCTGGTGTACTCTTCAATCACAATTCTCACTCGAGGATGGCTGCGAAAGAAAGTCTACGGCATGGATGATGCCTTGATCTTGCTCTCCTATGTATGGCTCGAACGCTCCTTTCCTACATTCCACTGACAATTGTAGGTACTCCATATCGGCGAAGTCATCGCCACGATATTGGGGCTGTCCCGCGGCTTGGGCCAAACACTGGAGCTGCTGTCGTCATCTTCCAGATCATATGTTTCCGACACCTTGTTCGCCAGCATCATTCTTTATATTCTGTCGGCCGTGCTGGCTAAGGTATCGACATTATATCTAATGATGCGCCTGTTCAATCTGCACGGACGCAAGGCCCAGACGAACCACCACAAGAACCACCAGCTCTACATCTACACCTGCTTCGCAATTCTCGTCATTATGTTGACATGGGGAGCGGCCTCGATTGTGGCAGTCAGTGTCAAGTGCACGCCCTCCACAATGGCTTTGCCGACCGATGAGTCCCAGTGCACCTCCCAGTTCCTGCGCTGGCAAGTCATCACCGGCTTCGATGTCGCTACTGAGGTGTTGCTCGTCATGGTGGCGATGTTGATCGTTGCACCGGTACAGCTCTCGCTCTACCTCAAGTTCCAGGTCGTCTGCGCATTCGCTTTTCGATTGCCGCTGGTGGCCTTGGCAGTGCTCCGCTTGCACTATGTTGGGGTCGCTACCACAGCGGAGAACCCAGGAACAGCGCTGTCGCCGATTCTGGTTTTGCAACAAGTCTATCTCTGCTGGAGCATCATTTCTGCTACGCTGCCCAATCTGAAGGCGTTCGTGCGTAGCTTTGGCTCGGGCTTCGGCATTGGAATAGACATGGAGACTTACACAAACGCATATGGCAGCAAGCAAAGATCTTACGAGATGAATAAGATGAGCGGTACGCACAACAACGGAAGTTCCAACAGGAGCATGGATCATGGAACTCAGACTGCGCACGAGGTAGAGGACAAGGAGTATGTCAGGCCAGTCCGGACCGTCAGCAGTCAACAAGGTGGTTTGGTTCACGGGCATCAGGTGCCAAGAAGCTCGCACGGAGAGCCGCAGCAACATGACAAGCAAGGCGAGGTCGACAGCATTGAAAGCACTAGCAGTGATGCACAGATCATCCGCAAGCACATTGACTGGACGGTCCGATATGAGGACGAGGGTTATGCGACAGCTCCGAGAGCGATCTGAAAGGCGACGGCGACGATGTGACGATTGTTGTACATTATCTATATATCTTCTTGGGATGTAGGAACATTCAGATACACGAATAGATGTCTCACGACCAAGCTTCGTTGCGACGACGAGTCCATAGACCACCAACAAAGTACATTCCTGAAACTGCTCGAATGCCGGAGGTCTCGAACGTGCACCAGCAAAGCGCCGATCGACAAGCCCCAGTCGCCCCCATGTTCGGCTGGGCAACAGGTTGGAGCCCCTGTTCATGGGTTTTGCGCTAGCAGTTCCAGGGATCGCTAAAGCTAGGCTCGGCGGGTTCAGATGCCACCTCGGAAGCTTAAGCAAGCCTCACTTCTTGCTCGTGCTCTTATCGAAGGAGTAAGCGTTTCGATCGCACCAAACTTCGCTTCGAGGGTCTGGTAGCAGTACGATCAGTACCGACGTTCAGTGCAAGATTACGGCTCCGCACATGGTTCAGCTCAGTAACCGAGCTCGATAAGTCGACATCCACCTGATCTAAGACCCAGAGAGATCAAGGACTAGGAATTCCAAGTCCGCACCCTTCCTGGGGAAACAAGTCTGCCACGGCCGTACAAACCAACGACCCTGCATCGGACACCTCACTGGCCGGGACCAGGATTCGAACATCATGCAACAATAGCACTGTCTAGCAGATGCCGATGCAAATTGTTGGGCTTTGTTCACTGCATCTCTGGACCTTGCTTATCGTTTCTCGTTGCTGCACGTGCAGATCGTGGTTGGACAGCTCAACGCCACGCATGCAAGTTCGAGGCCAACACGAGTTGAACTTGCTTCTGCCCGTCGGCCGGGCGGTACGTACCTTTCTCGCTGGCTGCTGCTGTGATTTCCTACGCGAGGCCTCCTGTTTGCTACATCCTTATCGCTTGTCAACATCGGATCGCAACTCACGAAACGCCGGACTGTTGATAGGAACCGCATTGATCAAGTCGACGAGCAGCTACAGTATCGAGGACCAGGGTTTCAGGAAGACCCTCGCGACTTTGACCTCCCGGGGAGACTTCTCATCAAAACTCTGCCGTGTCTCGGACCTGCATGACTGCACACCTTCCACGAGCGCCGATCGTCAGGAGACAAGCCACTGCCGTCGAACCAACGTCTTGGATACATCACTTCTCAAATATTGATGCCATCACACCAGGGATCATCCTGATTCACCAGCATTACCCCCACGTACACTTCACAGAAAGTGCTCGCGAGGAGACCCGGACTTTGGGGACTCGAAGAGTTCCCAATCCGGCTTACTGGGCCCCGAATCCTCTTTGGCAGCAAGCACGAGGCCGACGCTTGGAGACACTCTCATCAGGTCCAGGGCTGGGTGCCAAGTATTGAGTCAGACATGCTGCAGAGATCTCTGGCAGAGATCCTGCCTATGACTGACTACCAGCTTGTGTCTGGTTGCCTAGTGCGGACAGCTCTTTGGATGCCTATCGAGGAAATAACCACAGTCCGCAGGTTCATTGTCTTCATCTAGCTTATCTATGTCATAGCATTGTAATCAGAGCACCTGCACTGTAGGGCGACGTGGGGAAGCCGGTAAGCGTTGACGTCGTGGTCACACAGTGGACGACATCAGTCCAGCCGTCGCGGCCATAGTCCTTCCCCATTAGGTTGGCCTTGGCCCAGTCCAATATTATGTCCTCCGCAACCAAACAACCAATTATCGAAATCCGTCTAGCCACCCTCACCGAACAGCCCAGCATAGCCCGACTCGCCGCCCGTGCATTTCACAATGATGTCCTCTTCGGACATATCATCCACCCTTACCGCCACGCCTACCGTTCTCACATGTCCCGGTACTGGCTCTCTCGCAATCTCATTGCCCATCTCGATCCCTGCCACCGCATCAATGTTGCTGTCACTACCTCTGGGAGTCGCAAGGAGAGGATCGTAGGCGTCATCCACTGGTCCCGGATCGCTCCTTCCGCGGCAGACAATTATGCCGCTGGATGGGGCTACGCATGGTGGTTCCCACAACGAATTCTTCACTTCTTGGTCTCCAATGTCGTTTGGCTTGCATATAGAACCATCTGGCGGAATCGTGCCGCTAGCCCAGCCCAAGAATGCATCATCGAGGCCAGCGAGGCATCTGGCTGCCTGGATCACATCTGGGATCCTGCCAAGAACCGGTGTCCGAGCTGGTATATCGAATCGATGGCCGTGGACCCAGACTGGCAGGGCAAGGGCGTCGGCCGGCTGCTGGTGGAAGAGGGATTGAAACTGGCTGAGCAGGAGGGCGTGAGTGCCAGTGTTATCGCTGCAGATGGCAAGGAGGACTTTTATCGGAAGTGTGGGTTTGTCACGGGACCGGTAGGGAGAAGTGGGATGGGTGACGAGAAGAAGAATCCGTTGTGGGCTGTTCCAGGAGGGCTGCTTTTCTTTAGGGAGGCGCCTGGGAAGAGGATGGCGGCAGAGGCCGAGGACAAAGAGGTCGATGAGTGTGTGAAGTGGCTGAGGAAGGATATGGAGAAGGGATGGCGGTCGTCTTGGCTCGAGAGTGGGACTGGGAGAGATCTCGGCCGTGGAGCTGGCTGAGTTGGGGACCATCAAGCGCGCCGTTGGCATCGTCTCTGCAGAACGGTCTTCAATGGTAGCTGCTGCCGCCTTGGTCTCAACATTACTCTGCCTCCATCCCAGTTCTGCATCTCAATTCTGAGGTATAAGCAGGGCTCTGGTGGTGTGCGCTGTTGGGGCCTCTCTAGTCCAAGCAGGCCGCCACTGGACATTTGCGGCGCTTTGCTCGGACTTGCACTCAGTACACCATCCAACAGCAGACGTAACACTTCGTACCGACATCTTGCGCAGCCACACTCCCAGGACAGCCTGTGGTCGAGCAGAAGCCGCGACTGCTGCCAGCACGACGTTGATGGGACGTGGTCATGCGACTGCGGCAAACCGGCGATGGGCATGAATCGTCGGTCTGCGATACCGAGCTCAGCTGTCGTTGTTTCATGCGGAATGGCGAACCAAGACCAGGAAAGGTCCGGTTTGAACTATCGACGGTGACCTTGCCATAGTTGGTCGTGATCTTGACAGGTGAATGCTCAGGCGTGACCAAGTGCATGGTCGACATTATCCTCGACAGGTCATTGATCATACTGTTGAATCTCTAGCAGAGGTCTCCCTCCCACGACAGTATCGTCCTTGTTACCACGTACCCAGCCAGTGAGCCCAATTGAACATTCGAAGAACAAAGTCCTACCTTTTTCTTCAACTTATGTCAAGACAAGAAAACTCAAAAAGTTGTCGAATGTGGAATGCGCAAGGAGCGAGCACTGCAGAGAGCGATCTGGGGAATGTAAAATGTTGCTCAAATGGATGGGCGTGTTGCGACTACGACATGTTGATTTCGATGCAGTCTCGTGTTCGCGCGAGACCATTTCAACGGAGCACGAAGGAAAATGATTGCCAGCTACAGGTCCATGTAACAAGAGCACATTTCAAAGATAAAAGGCTACAGTAATGAAGTACCATATGATGTGATGCGAATGCTCGTGCAAAGCCAGAAGCCCCCTGCATACAGTGTATGATGAGCTCGGCCGTGGGCATATGCATATGTGCCCCTTCGCCCGCGCACTGCAAGGCTTCCTCCCCCTTTTCTCCATTTACTGCGGACAATTGAAGTTGGGGTTGTAATCGACCATGTTTGGATACCCCGGATAGAGCAGGCGTGCAGACTGGGTATAATTGGCGGAGGTTCTTGAAGCACAATCGATTCTTGGAAAGCTGTAACAATTGTTACCGTCTGTGATCGAAATGTTCGCATAGAAGGTGACGCCCGCGCACACAAGCGACCCCGGGTTCTCGCGATTTGACCGGTCGCATTCGCCGATGCACTGCCTCAGGTCGCTAACGAATATTTGCGCTGCAACACCTTGGTTGACTCGGAACTCGGTCATACACTCGATTTCGTAGTTCTTGGTTCCGTTGTATTCGAAGCCTGGCTTTCCAGGATCGTAATCAAACGCATAACCGTAGCAGACTGGGCCTTGTGGTTGTCCGGGATAGCACTCTAGGTTCGTATCGAAGCCGTCACCGGCAAAACTAGTGGATGGAGGGCTTGGACAGGGTGAGGTACTCGAGGTTGATGTTGGAGTTGTTGGTGTGCCCGTGGTCACGCCGGCTTGTGCTGCTGAACTCGTGGTCGGCCCTGCTGTTGTTGTGGTGGTGGTGGTGGTGGTGGTGGTGGTGGTGGTGGTGGTGGTGCTTTGACTTGTTGTGGAGCTTGTGGGACTGCTGGTGACGGAAGTTCTGGATGACGTAAAGGTGCTTTGGACGAGACTAGACGTGCTAGAACTGCCGCTTGAAGTCGGCCTCGAGCTGGAAGAACTAATCGATGGAGTTAACAACTGTTGACTACTCTGGCTGCTTGCGACTATAATGCCAGTGCCGGGCGTAGATCGACTTATACTAGTGGTGGTGGTGGACTGTGTGGACGAGCTCACACATGCACCTCCCACCGGGCTAGAATATCCTCCATACACCAAGCGCGTGGAGTCGAAATTTGGGTCGCAAGTATTGCCTGTGAAGGATGTGAGGAGGTAGCAATTGTCGCTTCCAGGAGCGATGCCGACTTTCTGGAAACTGACTGCGATACATCTGAAAGGTATAGCAGCATTGTAGAGCGTACACTCGCTGATGCAGTCACGAAAGCTTTCAGCGTACGTTGCGTTGGCAAGCAAACCACCGCCACCCACTGCATTCCCGCAAAGAATCTCGTAGGGGTAACAATCGCCATTGATGTCGAGCGCCTGATTGTTGTGATCCGGGCACAAGGGGTCCGATGCAACAGATGGTACACACGTGGTCGGGATGGCCGCGGAAGTGGACGTCTTGATCGTCGTTGTGGTGGTGGTGGTCGTCGTCGTCGTCGTCGTCGTCGTCGTTGCTGTTCTCGTAATGGGTGGTGTGGTTGTAGTTGTCGTAGTTGTCGTCCTAGTGGTAGTCGTAGTTGTGCGTGAAGTCTGTGTGACAACCTGTGCAGGCTGTGAGGACGACTGTTTACTCGTAGGCACTGATGGGATTGGTGGTTGCTGAGAAGTCGCCGGATTGCTTGAGCTTGCAGATGAGGACGGAAGAGAGTCAACGTCGACTGCTCCAGGCACAACTGGCACGCAGCCAAGCGGTAGCTGCTCTCGAAAGTTCACGTAGACGAGGTTGTTCAAGACGCAGAAGCGGGCTGAGCCACCAAAGAACGCATCGTTTGTCCATCGCAGATCGTTGTTAGTGCCGATGGAGAACGTGGTGGTGATACTGCCTATCCCGTCTGATGCATAAAAAATTTGTGAGCTGTCCCCTGCGTCCGTAGACACCGGGCTCCCGGCGAAGAGCTTGCCATCTACCACATCGAATCGGGCCGCCGCGAAAGGATCGCTTGTAAGAGATCCATCATCGCTTATGTATAATATAGCCCGCTTGACTTTTCCGCCAGGATTTATGTTGACAGTAAGGACAAACTCGCCTTGTATGGTACCACTTGGGAGGTCAGCCAAATTCTCTGCACGTACGGAGAACCCCTACCTGGGTGAAGGATTTACGCTCGAAGACAGTATGGTATTGACTGGTCGACTTGAGATTCTGCTTGACGTCTGAGACTGTGGGCTCAATGATGAGATAACGGGGTTATGGGACGATGATAAGCTCGCTCGAGTGGCTGAATTGGGAGGCTGAATCGTGGAGACGCTCGATGACGAAGTCGCCTGCAGCATGGAGCTTGACAAAGCTGACCCTGTGTCGCCAGCGGCCTGCGATGTCACTCCTCCAGGTATTGTGAGGGGTCTGCTCGTCTGTGTGGTGGTGTCGGTGCTTTCAGGGGAGTATTCGATGATAGTGTAGATAGACATCGAATCATCACCGCCGCAAATCGCATTGACATCTTGATCGCAGGGAAGATCGCAAGTTCCCGAGGATACGGAAACGAAATACTTCCCGCAGAAGCATTGATTTCCTGTTCACGTAAGCCAATTGCCGACTAATGCTAGCAAAACCCACCTGACTGTACACCCATGTAGCTGCCGACTGGATTTCCAACGCCTGCGGCACTCGCGCAATGGTCCGCGCAGTCTTCAAGAGATGATACTGTGACAGGAAGGCCGGCAATAGGATACGAGTCGATCCTGGGATAAGACAGCAGGCATCCAAGCGGTTCGGCCACGGCGATCCGTCCTCTGACAATGCCAACAGGGGATGGTGATGGCACAGGCGATTTGGTTGTAGGAGCCACACTTCCAGAAACGCCTATGGTAGTCATTGAGAATGTCGCAGTGTAGGTGCCCGGCTCTTGCGTTCCCAGATTTGTTGATTGTCCGATTGGATTTACCTCTGTGCTGGGCTCAACTGAGCAGCTCTCCGGATATACGTGGATAGTGGTGTCCTGTGCCATGCTGCTCACTACGAGCGCGCACAGCGTCGCTGATGTGTAGAAGACCTTCCGAACCATGTTGAACACCGTTTCCTGGCGCGCCAACCCTCCGCTGTCGGTAAGACATGATAGACATGGACGCGCCGCAGGTTATCAAAAGAGAGTGACCTCAAGCTTGGACCATCACGATGGCAAGGAATGATGCACGAACTTCTCGGAGAATGCATCTTACTTACCGCAGCTCGCACAGACATAGTCGTCGTAGCCGGTAGGCACAAGCCGTTCAAGCAGACTACGAACACACAGATCGTGGACACAATCTTGCACCAGGAAGAGTAGGTAGTCGACTAACCATAAATTGGAACTCACATGGGTAACCTTGATTGAATTCAGAGTGCATGATGTCTGCATTTGGCTTGTAAGGACCATCTGTCGCGTCGATTGTGGGTAGTCGACGATTATAAGGTAGAAGGCAGCTGCCGTGCCATGAATTTGGCGGTGGAGCGAGTGAGACTGGGCGCCATCCCCAACAAGTTGCGGGCGACGTCACACCTTCCTGCTCGATGACTTCAACCTACACCGTACCGTCCTACTCGCCTTCCCATTCTTATCTGCAGCCTAGACCTGGTCGAACTGCATGCGACTGTATTGATTGTTCCGATAGTTTGTCCTCGCCGAACATAGTGTCTCGACCAAGGCGCCGGGCCTAGCACACCGCAATGCTCGATCCCATCCCACCACCGCCTGGGTGGCTGCAGGCTCTGGTGACGCCTGCGGCCGAAGCACTGCAGCTGCCCTCTCTGCCGTTCCATATCCACGAGGTCGTGTTCGCCTACCTTCTTTACCAGACCATCGAGAGTGTCGTTTCACCCTGGCTGTCCAATGCTCTGTTTCCAAACATCTATCGGAGACTGAACAGGCGAACAAGAATCAACTGGGACGTCCATGTGGTCTCTCTCGTTCAGTCATGCCTGATCAACGCCCTAGCACTATGGGTAATGTTCAATGACGAAGAGCGACGTGACATGAAGGCGAGCGCAGTCGAACGCGTCTACGGCTACACCAGCTCCAGTGGCTCATCCAGGCCTTTGCGACCGGCTACTTCGTGTGGGACTTGATAGTCAGCACACGACATTTCAGTATCTTTGGCATCGGCATCTGGTTCCATGCCATCAGCGCCCTAAGCGTTTTTGCTCTGGGATTCGTAGGTCACTATGATTCCTGATAGATCAGTTACTGATGAGATGTGCAGAGGCCGTTCGTAAATTACTACGGTCCAGTATTCATCCTTTACGAGCTATCGACGCCATTTCTTAACATCCACTGGTTCTGCGACAAGCTCAACATGACTGGTGGGACATTACAATGGTACAATGGCATCATGCTGTTGGCAACCTTCTTTTGCTCGCGCCTCTGCTGGGGCACATACCAGTCATGGCTTGTATTCCAGGACATCTGGACCGTGCTCCAAGACTATCCATCAGCCCCGGCGCACGTGCGAGATGTCCATGCCAGTCCCGCTGCCGCAATATTCGTCCCACGCGATGGACAGCTCTGCATGGGTCAAGACACGTGCTTGAGGGCGCAGAGCGAGGTCATGAAGTTCGCGAATGACAGGACGCCATACGTGCCGCTGTGGTTGGGACTGGTGTACCTGGCGAGTAATTTTATCCTACACACTCTCAATTTCTACTGGTTCGGAAGGATGATTGAGACTGTCCGGAAGAGGTTCGACGACAAGCCAAAGACAGACAAGCTCCAGAGGCGTCAGAGCATCATTGAGGAGATGGCCGACGAGCTCGATCAGGGAGAGATCTCGGGGTATGGCGTACCTACGCCGGGCGTAGAGAAGAGCGAGCAGCAAGCTTTCAGCACGGCAGTAGACGGAGACAGCAACACGACAACGCGCAGGAAAGAGCTGTAAAGGTTGGACTGTACTTGCTATGTGGTCTTTGGATAGACGACGTCATACATATTCTGATGAACATGTGCTATAGAGATCCACGTCTGCCGCAACCCGCGACTTCACTAAGGTTAGAGCTGTGAGCGGTGATGTGACGGAGTTAAGCGGTGATTGGCGTTGCTTCGGTGACCCTTGCGAACCCCAGAAAGTCGGGACGAAACATTGATTCCCCATGTCGCATGCGCTCAACCTGCAGCACAGCACCACTGTCCCGGTACCCGATTGTAAACTGCAGCAGCCTCCCATACCATACACTACGTCCTCAAATGTATCTTTGAACGAATATCGATCTGTCCGGCCGGCTTAGCGTCACTGTCTCTCACGCTACGGGCCCTCGCCCACCGCCGTCATGGCGCTGAAAGCCTTCAACCTGTTCGGGAACAAGAATAACCCAAAAGCGCCGCCCGAGATCGTCAGGTCGTTGAAAGATCTTCTATACAAGTTGCGGGAGCCGGCGCCGAGCACAAAGGTACGGCAAAACAACATGACCGGGGCTGCATTTACTGATCTCCATGCTGACAGGTCGAGGACGATGCAGCGAAATATATGTCACAGATGAAGTTGATCGTACAAGGGACGCCAGGTATGCCGTCCAAGACATGCGAGTCTACGTGAGACTGACAATTGGTCTAGAACACGACACAAGCCCGGACCAAGTGCACCAATTGGTGACCTGCATCATCCAGGAGGACATTCTCTACGAGCTTGCACGAAGCATACGGCTACTGCCCTTTGAGGCTCGAAAGGATGCCCAGATCATCTTCTCCCATATACTACGCTTCAAACCTGCAAATTCACAAACAGGCGAGCCACCGCCATCAACTATCTTGTGATGCAAAGACCAGAGATCATCGTGGAGTTGTGTCGGGGCTACGATGATGCAAAGAGCGCTATGCCGTGCGGCACAATACTGCGGCAGGCCCTGCAGCACGACACGGTAGCAGCAGTCATCTTGTACGATGAGAGCCAGCCAGGCGAGAAGGCAGTCCAGCTCAACACGGTGGACGTCTCAAGGAAGCAGTCCGGCAAGGGCGTTTTCTGGCAATTCTTCCAGTGGATCAACAAGAGTAGCTTCGAAGTCAGCGCCGATGCGTTCACCACCTTCAGAGATCTCTTAACGAAACACAAGCCACTAACATCACAATACCTCACCACCAACTACGACTTATTCTTCGGATCATACTTCAACACAACGCTTCTACTATCGACGTCATACGTGACAAAGCGTCAATCTATCAAGCTGCTCGGAGAACTTCTGCTTGATCGCACAAATTATGTGGTCATGACAACATATGTTGCTAGCGGCGACAATCTCAAACTGACAATGAACCTGCTGAAGGACGACAGGAAGATGGTGCAGTACGAAGCGTTCCACGTCTTTAAGGTCTTCGTTGCGAACCCGAATAAGAGCGATGAGGTCAAGCGGATATTGATCAAGAACAAGGGCCGGCTGCTCAAGTTTCTACCGTCCTTTCTGGAAGGGAGGACGGATGATGATCAATTCCTGGATGAGAAGAGCTTCTTGCTTCGACAGATCGAATTGCTGCCCGATGAGCCAGAGTTTGTGGCGGGTAGAGGGCAGAGCGCCAGGCAGTTGGTGCTTAGGAGCAACTCCAACGACGTTTTGAATTGATGAATACGAAGTAGCATTAGCATGATACCATGTTCATGGCGCGGCATAGCGTGACACGGGGTGGGACTGAATTGTATACAGCATTGGTTACGATTTGTACAATATGAGTTCTGCGTTGGCAGGACCATGCCCGAGCCAACATCTCGAAGTGGACTGCGTTGTGCGGACAGTATCGCAGGATGGGAAGTCCTCCAGAACGGGGCGAGTTGCTGTCAACCGGTCTTTGCAATGTCCTAGCTACGGAGAGTGGTACAGACCTCAAGTGTTTTTCAACATGTCGGCGCAGCCAACCTATTTCATCGTTGTCTCTGCCATCATCTTCTTTGACCAGCCACCAGACCTTCAGGCCTCTGCATAAAGTGGAACGTCGATGTTGTCGACGGACCGTCATTCCATGGGATAAGCCGGCCTCAAGCAGATGCAGGCGCTTGTTTCGGCCCCCGTTTCTGGGATGCCTGCTTGTGTCTGCCTGGAATACTAGCGAGGTGTCCTTCTAATCAAGCGAGCGTGCGTCCTACAGTACCAAAAGTGTCCTGAGCCACTTGACAAGATGCTTTCATCGGCCGGGCCAATCGATAGACAGAGAAGTATTGCTGAAAGAAAATGAATGCCCTCGCCCAATCTTTGCAACAGCGCATCATTGATCAGTAATGGCCCAGGGACGTCGCCGCGCGACGTCACGGCTTGCAACAACCTCGTGTATTATGCTCACCACTGTGCTGATCTTGCTGTACATGATCGGAGCGAGTGCTGCGCCGCCAGCGCGCAAGACAGCTGACATGTCGAAGTCCCATACTTATAGCAGTACTACAGTCAAGGGGTCTCCCATCCAGATTCTGCCTGGAGCAGTGAAGGCCATCCCGCCACTCCCACAACACCTCAAGCTTGCATACGGGACCCCTGGTCAAGCCAACGAGACATCGAATATGCTGAGTCAGCTATGCGGCCGTTCTCGAGAAGATCGACAGGGGGTAGATGCCCTGACAATGGATGGTCGCCAGTCTTTGACAAACTGGACAGAGGTTCAGTGTGCCCTTCGATGTCTGCCCAGCGTTAGAAATATCTACTGGCAGAGCGACGGGCTCATGCCCAAGCTTCCTCAGACTCTTTCAGAATACCTTCCCTCCGCTCGACTGCACCTAACCTCTCTCGATGCCTTGGGTCATTTTCATTGGGGTCCTCCTCACGGTCACAAGCGGGGCAACCACTACCTAGATCTGATGGGATCGCCTGCTGTTGAGTCAGTCAAGGTGGCCGTCATATATGGCGGCGAACCGGCTCCACAACCTATGATCGACCTTCATCGTCTTCTCACATCTTGGCCACACGTGACTTCGCTTGATCTTCAGCTCGGCCACGAAGGTTGCGTGGTGAGCGATGGTCAGCCACGCGCATTCAACTTCGAAGATCGTCAAGTGTTTCATGCGCCAATGCCTGTTCTGAAGGAATTGAGGCTGAGCGGCTATGCATTCGATCAAGGCGCAAACGGCGAGTTCTCGTATTCAAGTGCAGGTCTCCCGAAAGCTACCAATCTCTTATGGCCGTTCAACCGTCTCGAACATTGGTGGGCGCATTCTAACATCTTTCCGCCGCTTTATTTCTCCCTAGAAAATGCACGAGTGTGGATGTTCGATCATGCCAATAGTACATCGCGCTTCAGTCGATGGGTGAGCTCGGCGTACATGAGGATCTCAGGAGACCACGAGATAGAAGAGGCTCAGTCTTGCGACTTCCCATGTTGTCGCAAGCCGGACAGTGGCGACCTCAGAAACAGCAACCTTCAAGCATGGCTCAACCGAACGAGCTTCTCCAACATCACGACATTGTCGCTGAGCGGACTCTATGACGATATGGCCTATGCCCTGCTCTTTTCAGCGATTGACTCATTACATGAGCTGAGCATTTTCGGTGTCAGCCAGTGCGATGCGCAGAAGTTGTTGCAGCACTTGGATTCACCCAAGCACTCCCTGGAAGTCGTGTCCCTTCGTCATTTCCAGGTACCATTCAACGATCCGGGAATCTTGATTGATGCTCTTATGAGGAACCAGGCAGCGCTGACCTCCCTGTCATTGCAATTGATCAACTATCTCGACGTTCCCTGGCCTGCACGTTCAACGTACCTGAACACGACGCACCTGGCACGGCTTGCCTCTGGTCTGCCCAATTTGACATCTCTGGACGTCGACATCGACCGAGATCAGCCACATGAAGCTTTTGATGCAACGGTCCAAGCATTCGAACGATTTTCTAAGCTCGAAGAGCTTACCCTCCGCAGTGGCTCACCTGGCGAGCTTTACAGTCATACAGGACCCGATAAGTTGTTCAATGCAAGCAGCCTCGCTTCGTTCGTCGAGCGTCTATTGCCGCCAGTACTGGCGATCAATGACACCTGTCGAGTTCCCACGTTCAGAAGACTCGAGCTTCTGCTAGGCGAATGGGACCGACGCCACGAACATAGTATGGGTGGTCCAGAGCACGAATATGTCGGTCGTTATGTCTGCAAGGTGTTGAGCAACGATTCAGATAGCCCGAGCGGAAGCAGTCCCACTCCTGCAGCTCCTCGTATCTCGTGCTCTGGCGGACTGATGGCGCCAGACATGTGGAGTGGCGGCGTTATATGGCAGGAAGGGCCCGACTCGGACAGCCTCATATATTCGCGGAAGATCAGAAACATCGGCTTTCCTCGCGACATCGAGCTTCTGGGACAGCTATGGGACGAAGCATCGTAGAATATGGGTCACAGACGAAGGACTGGAAACGCGTCGGTGGGCTTGAGGTGATTGGAGCGGTCTTCTAAAGGACCTCAATACCGTGGTCCTAAACGCGTATTTAGTTGGTAGCTCGAATGATCCCGCGTATTCTACCTACACCCACAATTGTGCGAGCCAATTGCCTGCTTGGCCAGCACAGTAGCTCGAACAGAGGCACGGTACTTAGCGTGTCGTGGGCAGAACTCCTACTCTGCGGGGTACAAGGAAAGTCGTACGAGGCCAGCTTCATTGTTCGCATCCATCTGCACTGAATCACAGATCGCAATAACGAGCACCATCGCCGTAAGTGTGGTCCAATACAGGCTCGTAGCTCTCTGGCTGCAGTCCGAGGCGATGCCTGCTGCCACATTGCGGAAGCCTAAAGTGCACTACGCCATTTGATACAACAGAGCAGCATTCACGGGGTTTCACCTGCCCAGAATGGGTGTCCAGTTCTCGCAGATCATCCCTCCCAGCGCACCACTAACCGAAGCGAACGTTCCTTCCCAGAAGGGAAAGACGTTCATCGGCACCGGCGGCTACAGCGGCGTCGGCCTCGAGCTATCGCGCCTCCTTTACAACGCTGGCGGCCATGTCTACATCGCCGGGCGCAACCAGGCCAGCGCCGAGAAGGCTATCGAGGAAATCATGTCCACGAGCAAAGTTCCCACATCAGAGCAAGGCAGACTGGAATTCCTACTTCTGGACCTCGGAGATCTCAGCTCGATCAAAGCATCCGCTGATCAGCTTGTGAAGAAGGGTGTTGCCGTTGATGTGCTGTTCAACAACGCTGGGAGGGGCAATGTAGCGCCGAACTCGTTCTCGGCGCAGGGTCTTGAGGTGCAAGTGGCGACGAATGTGCTTGGGGCCTACCTTTTCACGAAGCTGCTCGAGCCGTGTCTGACGGCTGATCGCAATGCTGATGCATCTCCGGCTCGTGTAATCTGGACGGCGTCGCAGATCGTGGATCTCCTCGTTCCAGCCGGCGGCCACATCATGGCGCACCTGACCTCACCTGTGGAAGAGCAGATGAAGGACCTCAATGCATGCTACACGATGTCCAAGCTGGGGAACTGGTACCTCGCAACGGAGTATGGGCGACGACACAATAGCAGTTCGGACAACGCGGTGTTCTCTATTGCACAAAACCCAGGAGGCCTACGCTCCAACTTCTTCCGTGAGAAGCCGTGGTATTTCCGGGCGGCACTGTGCCAATGCTGTACCCACCTAAGCAAGGCGCGTATACGGCTCTATATGCCGGGCTCTCGCAGGAGTTGAGTATCGAGCGGCACCAAGGCGTGTATGTGATTCCGTGGGGAAGGATACATCCTGCGCCCAGGGAGGATCTGCTGGCGGCAGTGAAGAGCGAGGCGGAAGGAGGGACTGGTGAAGCAGCAAAGCTTTGGGACTGGTGTGAGGAAATGACCAAGCAGTATCAATGAAAAGTCATCTCCATGCCTAAATCGGGTTTACGTACGGCATGCCACTCACAAAGCTGCGCTGGCGCTCCACGTTCCGATCTCAGGTCCATCAGTCGAGAGTTTTGGGACGAGTCCCAGGGACAACCCGAGTTATCATTCTCGAACAGCAATCGGGTGATGACAACTCTTTTACCGGAGTGCGTTGATCGGAGGAGGTCGAGGAGCGTCTCCAAAGTGCTTCCCAGCACATTTCTCTTCCCAGTATGACTCAAGACAGAAATAGACATAATTGTCAGCGTTCAACCAGGGCGCTCGAGTGAGATGCTCCTCGCTCATGTCCGAAGGATCCCATCTTTGAAACACCTCATTCAGTGCTTGTGCATTCTCCGGTCCGTACCCAGTTTTTGGCCAGGCTTTAGGATCAATCAGATTGATCCCCAGATCATCGATGTTGTAGTCCACAATCTCGAGAGTGCCAATATTTGTCGTCATTCTGTGCCAGTGTAGGAATTCGTGGAGCACAGTCGCGCCTGGAACATCCATAGCTGCTGTTGCACCGTCAGGTAGCTCCTCACAGGTTGTATGAGACAGATCTTTCTGGTTCTCGAACGTCTTGGGACAGATGACCATCCACGCGGCAGAATCTTCGTCGCTCTCGCCGAAATACGCGTTGGGCGGGTCATTATGGCTGCACATTCGCTGATCGAGCTCTGCGATGGACTCTGGGACGTCGACCACTTCTTCGTAGTAGATTGCAAAGCTGTAGCCTGGTTCGTCCATCTCAGCCGGTCCGTAAGGACTGGGACCTATGACAGCCAGTAAGGCATCCTGACAATTTGCTCAGCCTGTAATATCATAATACACTGCACTCAACATACCTGGACTGATCCTCGGGCATCCTCCGGTTCGGGTGGGAAGTATCTGAGGTATGTTGCAGGTGGCTGCCACCCCGGTTTGCATTGGCCCATAAGAGCTTTGTAACCTGAAAACGCCAAATTAAGTGCATCGAAGAATGCTGTAACGGCCATGTTCTGCGTGTTTGTATCAGGGAAGTTGCGTAAGATAGGTGCCCTTGGCTGCTCTGGTCAGTTCCGAGGCCGCGCTTGCTGTTCGTGAGTATTTACTCACTGGAAGGAAGAGGTCAGGTACAGCAGCTGCATCGGCAGAGTGAGGTCGCCACTCTTTGGCTTCCCGTCCCAGGGTGATGTTAGGGGAGATCACGTCATGCCAGACGCTACTGAGGATGTGTGGTAAGTGTGGTCGACCCTGCACCCCAATACTCAGCAGCACAACGAGGAATTGGAGTTTGGCAAACATCTTCGTCAACGTCGTATGGCAAGGAGGCCTCCAGATAAGAGCTCAAGGCAACTTGAGGGGGGTATTCGAATGGCACGGGCTGCTTTCAGAAACAGCTATGGAGCTATGCCTGCTGCACCTGCCTTCGCGTGCATGCCCAAGTCAAGTACCTACCTAAGTATGATGTGAGCACTCGGATTCCAGCCGTGTAAGTTCCGCCCACTTTACTCGACTCTGTCCTCGAATACATTCCAGTCTCTTAGCCTCATCTTGATGATCAGCACACTCGTTGCATTGCATGCTGACCATAGCTGTATTGCTTCCTCATCGTGGAGCTGAGTAGCGTGAGACAACAGCGTGTACTGTCTCCAGTTCCCATTTGCACTGGCCTTTGATAAAGAGACTCGGCATCCTATGTAGCAATTGTACTTTTCCTGTGGTAGAGCTCAGAAACATTTCCCTCGAGATCGTCCTTTAGTGGATCCAGCACAGAGTGCTGGGAGGTAACTTCGAATCAATGGGCAAGCCGGTGATAAGATTGGCAGACGGTGGTGCAGGACCTCGAGTGCGGCTTGATTTACAGCTACGTTCAAGCGTGGACCACAGCAAGAGCACCTAGATACTGTCATACAGGAATGCTATCGAGAGGTCTGACGCGTGGAAAGTTTAACATATCAAGGTCGTGTCCAGGAAACAGAGGGCTGTCGAGTCTGGAGGGGGGATTGTGAACTTATAGGGTTCAGTCCTTGGCCTAATCTCGCCTATCCTGGGCAACAAAAGAGCTCAGTACTCCTTAACATATATTGATATCTCCAGACCTCAGCATGCCATGTGCATGGTTTGCATCGACAGCAGTCTGGAAGCTCTGTGATGCTGTAGCGGTCTTGCTGTTCGTCGTCGGCAAGTAGCACCTCGCTCGGAATTTTCGCCAAGCAAGGTAAAATCGGCGTCGAGGACACCCCGCGTTGGGATGCGGGTGAGGCCGCTTTACACGAGCCCGCCTCTCACTCACCCGCGTCGCGCGACGCTCGGGTGCGCGCTCACCCGGCACCCCGGTCTGTCTGTGAGCAGCCGGGTCGGACGATTGGTTTTAATAAGGTGGCTTCTTAAAGCGGCAGAAACCTCTTTGCCGTGCAAGGGCCACACTACGTTCGGCTGACTTACTATGTCCAATCTCGGCGACCTTGTCCCTCACTACCAGCGTACTTCAGATGCCAGATCGGCATACTATGGCCAGGCATCAGTCCGGTCCGCCGCTCTAGTCCTTCTTGTCATTTCGCGAGGAGTGCTGTCAAAGCAGACAGCTGGTCACAAGAATCACGGACCGCGACCATGGTCCTCTGTGTCAGACGGCTACAGTTCCACCTCTGCTAATCGACCCATTCGCGTTTCTCCTTGTGTCATTGAATCTGGAACGATTGGCCCTTTCAGTACTATCGGGTATGGGCCTTTCACTAGACACAGATCTTTTGGTATGCGACTTCTCTGCCTTGAGACTTCTGGAGATCCATTGGGGCGACCTGAAGGACTTTCCACGTCAAGCTCAGCTGCCTAGCCTCAGGTACTACTCCGAATCTTCTGAGCTTTTTTGGGTCAGGAGACGCTTCTTCCGTCAGGAATTGGAAGCGCTCTTGCGTAATGTGGAACCTCACCTCAGTACATTGACTTACATGTCTCTGCGAGTCTAATATAATGGAGGAGGTGGGGGGGCGCACGAGCTACACAGCGTGTAATCAGCCTTTAAGACATTGTGTGCTCTGCATGACCGCAGCCGCTCAAATGCTGTCTACTCCAAGGTCCTATCAAAGCTGATTTCGTGCGGCCTACAGCTTAGTCTCACAATGGCTAGCACTAACACGGCAGTCGTGCTACGTACACTGGCCTGAAAGTTCATGATCCTCCCGAAAGCTTACTATACATCTCCCTTATATGATTCCATTTAGTCCTAATTATCGTCTCATCGTGCCTAGTACTCAACATGGCAAGCTATGGTGCAGCCGTAGCGACACTGAGCAGCCTGGTTGAACTCCAAAATGATCTCAGCAACGAGGATACCCACGCACGTCTACGTGCCTTGGAACTTTGCAGCAAACTTCAGGCTGAACTCGAGCTCCCCGGAGAGAAGCTCATGAGGACCCAGTGGGCAGAAGTGCGAAGCCGGGCTCCCAGATATGCAGCAACTAACGAAAGTAGCCTCTACACATTTCGGCACTTAACGCAGCTCACGACCTCCATATCTATTCTATCCTAGCAGAAAACGACAATGCCCCCAAATCGGTGTCACAGATCACAGAAACGACAAAAGCCGAGCCATTCTTAATCAGTAAGTCCTTAGCTTCTCTCCTGACCAGCTCTCAACGACATAGGGCGAATTCTGCGCCAATTAGCGGCTTTTCGCAGCATTACAGAGACAAGCGTCGACACCTTTGCCAATAACAAGTTCTCCCAATTCCTCCTAGAGGATTCCGCAGCGTCCACACTCAAGTTCACGCGATGGTTTGCACCAGTTATTGCCCAGGCACCAGACTTCTTGGCACATTATGAGTGGAAGTCGCCAGCTGATCCTCAGAAAGCTGCTTTCGCATGGACACTCGGCCTTGGTGACTTGAACTGGTTTGAACACCTGTCACAAGACCCAGTGAATGGTGCTTTGTTTGGAAGGATGATGCGAGCACAGAGTGAAGGCAAGCCTACCTGGAGCGATGGGCTCTACCCGGTCAAGCAGCTCCACAGCGATGGCAATGCCCTGATCGTCGACATTGGAGGCGGCAATGGGCACGACTTGGAGTGGTTCCGCAAGAATCACCCAGGGGTGAAAGGCCGGCTGATTTTGCAAGATCTGCCTATGTCATCGACCATGTCAACTTGGATGGTATTGATAAAATGGCCTACGACTATTACACTGAGCAACCTGTGAAAGGTAGGCACAATGGCGTCTCTGACTAGTACTGACGATATACAGGTGCTCAAGTCTATTTCATGCATCAGATTATGCATGATCACGATAACGCGCAATGTCTCAAGATTCTTCGAGCTGTAGTGCCAGCGATGAAGCCGGGCTACAGCAAGTTGCTCATTAATGATCTGGTTCTGCCGGATCAGGATGCCCATTGGTACCCTTCCACAATGGACCTGCTCATGATGTTGACAATGTGTGGCCGTGAGCGGACCACGCAACAGTGGTTTGACCTGATCAATGAGGTTGGGGGCGGACTGCGCATCGAGAAGATCTGGACTCCAACAGCTACGACGGGGATGGCTGACAGTCTGATTGAGTGCGTCGTGGATTGATTGTGGGCGAGTGTCTTCATGGGAGCAGTTCCGGAAGCTCATACTAAACTGTAGTGGTGGCGTGGCGACCTTCAGGCTCTCATATTTGCCTCCAATATCGAGCCGGCGGTGAGAGCTGGGTCGCGGAGTATCCGCGAAACGGACTCCAAGTTGTCGTCTGGACGAAATTGTAGTTTGAAGGGCTACTGGAAATCCCCGGGCCTTGGAGATCTGTCGAGCTCTCAACGCCATTCAATCACATTTGCATAGCTTTTACCTAGCTCTGCTGCAACACTGACTCTTCAAGCGTCCCCACGCCTTTCGCACCTATCGGCTCAGGACAGATTCGACTTTGAGTCGATGCTCCCATCCTTCGTATTGTTCCAGTCCTTGACCGTCATGCACAAGCCCTCGAGCGTGTCAAATGCCGGCTCATATCCCAGATCTCTCTTGGCCGCCTTGCTGTCAAATAGCACGTGAAGCATGAGCTAGCCTATCTACCAGTACAACAGTACTAGCATCATATGCCCCCGGAGTTGGTCGGTCCATCTTGATCACTCCAACCAATAACGAAGGCTCCATCTCCACAAAAAGCTCTATGCCCGGCAGGCTTATCCTCTGACATGTCTTGAGCGTGAACGACGTCTGTGGAATGTTTTGTGAACACGGGCTGAGTGCAGTAGGCACAGGACAGAACTTGATTGGCTGGCTGATCACGTCCGTTCAGGAAGTCCCAGAAATGGGTCTTTAAACGGTGTGGCCAAGAGGGGGAAGCAACGGGAACCTGCAGTCGCGCCATTTTTAGAACGTCTCCTTTTGTGGTCAGGCACGATGGAGCGCGTCGCGGGCTCGGAATCGACATAGGATGGTGTGGCAGATACACGAGGGTGAGTGTAAGGTGAGTGGAAGGTGAGTCGACGGTGAGGCGAGGGTGCGCCGACATTTAAAGCGGCGCGGGGGAGGTGAGCGCCCACGTGAGCCCGACGCAGATTTTACCCGTACTCGTTGGCCAAGTGCAAGCACTGGCAGACGCATCAAATCACATCGCGTCAATTGGACGCGCTCAGCAACCTGGTTGGCTTCGTGGCCTGCCCGATTCCCATGTCTGGAAGAATGCAAAGACAGATCTTCTGGCCGACTCCAGCAAGCTTGAGGCGCATAGACCAGATCCGACGGGGTGGACGTATTGCGAACCCAGGCCGGGCGATCACGCCTGAACTTCTCTGTCCAGATCTTGAGTATTCCTACACGGTGATCGAACACAAGGAATGGACGTCCTTCCGTGCTGGCTCAGATCCCACACACCATGGTCCTTACGACACTCTCGACGAAGCAAATGCTGTGTTGACCAGCATCTACGAAAGGTTGCGACATGGGACGGAGGTGGATGGCTGGTCTGACGGTACGTGGCCGGACGGGCGGCGTTGGTACAAGTGTGACGACTGGGGCCACGAGGAGAGTTATGAGCTGCGTATCGAAGCTACAGCCACCCGTCCCAGGGCTGTGAGGATTGCTCCAGCTGTTGTCGCTGGCAGCAACAGTTCACACCAGATTAGAGAGGACATATTCACAACACAGAGCCTGCGTCGGGCTCTCATAAAGCGAATTGCAGCATCAGAAAAGGGCATCGAGGCTGCGGTGGACCGCCTCATTGCAAATCCGCGAACCGCTTCGGAGCTGGTGCAGGTGCTGTCCAGCAATGCTCCGACGGCTGTGCTTGATGCACTCGTTGGGTCACTGGTTGGGTCTGAGGTTCGAGTGGAACGGGTCATCAGTCAAATTCTTGACCACGAAGAAGCCGCAGAGCTTTTGCGTGACGAAGTCCTTGGGTCCAACAGTGGACGCGAGGAAGCTGTCAGACAGATACTTCAGATACTCGAGTATAAAGGGGGATGGAAGAAAGCTGTCAGACAGATCTTCGAGTCTGACGGTGTATCTGAGGAAGCTGTCAGACAGATACTCGAGTCTGATAATGGGTGTGAGGAAGCCGTTAGGCAAATCCTCGCGCGCGAGGACCAGCCACAAGCCTTACGCACGGAATTACTCGGATCTGATACTGGCCGCGAGGCCGCAGTCTACGGAATCCTTGAGGATCGCCGTCAAGCTCCTCTCTTTCGGTCAGAGCTCCTCTCCGCCGACGGTGGCATTGAAGAGGCTGTGCATCAATTGCTCAGCCACCCTTCACAGGCGCGGCACTTACGAACGGAGATCCTGGAGGATGTGAAGGAGGAATATATCGCGCAAAAACGTCAGTCCTGGCAAGTCGCGTACGTGGCAGATCGCAAGAAGCGTTGGCAGGCGGAGTATATTGCTGCTGAAAGTGCGAAGTGGAGGGAGGAGTGTAAGACCAGTATGGCTACCGAGCTGCGGGAGCAGGTTCGTGCAGAGCTCAGAAACGAGTTGCGGTCTGAAAACGTCGGTTTGGAAGGCACTGAGGGAGGTGAGCCAGTCAGCGCGCCATCGCAACCGAGAAGGGCCACGGCTGTGGCGTCAGCAAGTGCTGGGAGTCGGCCGGCCGGCGTCGTCAAGCGGGCCGCTACCAGGCGAAGGAAATGAGGTGTGATGCTGAAGGTTGCGTGCCTTGCTGACTTGGTTGTAATATTCAGTACTCGCCATTCGAGAGGAATTGTACATTATGAAATGTTTGTGGATCATCATCTTCGCTGTTGCTGCGCACTCTTGCCCTCGCCTGAGTCCAGACGACCGCAGGCCTGCGGCCGATCAAGTGAGCTTGCGTTGCTCTAACACTGCCGTATTGAAGTATTAGTCCACAGCGTCCTGATCGTGTTCATTCATTCAAATAACGCTTGCTATCACCTAACGATCACTCGAGCTGAGTCCTTGCTTCTCAGCCGAACAAGTCTCTTAGGGTCCCTCATGAGTGCGGATGACAACTGTATTTCTCCACAGAGCATTAGTGTGGCACACTTCAATACTCGGTCTAGGCACAGTATGGTCAAAATATATTTCCAAGACCGGATGACAAACATCCTTGTTCTGCTGTACGGTTTGGCTTCTTCGAAGGTTACCACATGCTTGGCAGAGATGATATCGACCTCGGTAGACTCACTGTGGTCATTTCTAGGGCCAGCAGGCTTTGGATGCAACTCGTGGTCCTGCAGCAATAGCGTGCCGGATGAAGAGGCACGAGCGTGGCTCGCAAGGCAACCACACTTTTGGGCCCCCGTTGGTCTAAGCCTGTTCAGAACTAGCGGCCTTGCTAAATCTTCAGAGGTTGCCCTGTTCCCTCCCCTCTGCAAAGTTGGCGCTCTGTGTGGCATCAAGTCCTTCAACAGCCGCTTTGAACATGGCTGGTGACAAGGTACGTATCAATTAGTCTTCCACAACATGCAAATTGATCCAAATGTACAGAAGAGGAAGCGCACCGACAACCACGCGACCCAACCTGGCACCTTTGAACAGGACACATCGAAACCGACAGCCGTCTTCACACCTTCTGGACCACGCACATCAACTTTGTCCGTCGCTTTGCCTGGAAGCATCATTGCCAATGCCAAGTCTCACGACCAGAAGACGTACCTGGCTGGTACCCTTGCTCGCGCTTTCGCCGTCTTCTCTGTCGACGAAGTAGTCATCTTTGACGATCAGCCTACCTCCAGCAACCATGATTCCGAGCATCGCAAACAACGGCAGCGGCGCTCACATGCTGACGACGAAGAAGGCTACACTGCTTTGTCCGATCCGGCACACTTTCTGATTCATATCCTTTCATATCTCGAAACGCCACCTCACCTCCGGAAAACGCTCTTTGAGATGCATCCGAATCTGCGGACTGCCGGCACGCTACCAAGTCTCGATATGCCGCACCACCTGAGGTCGAACGAGTGGTGTCCCTATAGAGAAGGTGTGACTACCAGATCGGATAGCAAGGGGACGATGGTGGATGTAGGTCTGGGAGACGACTATCTGCTGCCGGGAGTGCAGATTCCAATCAAGACGAGAGTCACTGTGCGGTTGCCAGAAGATGACCAGACAGTGGAGGCGGAAGCTGTTGCGCCGGACGTCCCTCGAGAGGAAGGAGGATTTTACTGGGGCTACACACTGAGGAGGGCGGACAGTCTCAGTGCAGTGTTTACGGAGTCTACGTACGATGGGGGCTACGACGTGAGTTTCGGGACGTCAGAAAGGGGTAAGCCTGTCACGCAGCTTGATGCGGAGGCGATACCGAAGTACAGCCATATGCTGGTCGTGTTCGGTGGTGTCGCCGGCCTCGAGACTGCGGCGAGGAATGACACGGCTTTGGAGGGCAAGGGCATCAGTGGTGCTAACGTGAATGAGTTGTTTGACTACTGGATCAACCTTGTGCCAGGACAAGGCAGTCGTACCATCAGGACAGAGGAGGCTGTATGGTGCGGCTTGATGGGGTTGAAGAGCATTGCGGATTCGCGGCGAGCATAGCATTTTGATTGATATGTGTTAACGACTGCATATTTTGGGTGGGATATCATAAGTATTACTGTAAGTACCGGCAAGCTTTATAAAGCAATTGCCCCACAAGATTGCTCTCGCGGATCCTGGGTGTCGATCTGGAGAGCGGCATGTTTCCGCTCTCACAGAAGGCAACGGCTCTCTCATCGTCTTTGGCAGGGACAGCAACCGAATTCTGTTGAAATTGGTCGCCATCACATCAGGGAACCAGCTTGAGCCAAACCTGGCGCCGATCGAAAATAGGCGCCAGCCAGCTTAGCCAGTTCCGGAGTCCTCAGGTCTCGCGCTGCACCTCAGGAGCAGGAGCGTGATGTTGGTCGGTCTCGCCGCTGCTGCGGTCGAGCTCGTGCTCCTTCTCCAGTGCTGCGGCCTCGGCGGCCTCGCGGTCCTGACGGCTCACGTGTGGAGCGATGGCATCTTCGCCGCCTTCGAGGGCTCCGTCGTGGGTGCCAGCTTCCTTGCGGATGCGGGCGATCTCCTCTGGTGGAGGCGCGACCCATTTGGCGGAGTTCCAGGGTCGGACGTTGAGCAGGTACATTGTGTCAATCTCTTCAAGTGTACGACCTTGACCTTCGATGACGAAGAAGAAGATGATACACGCGCCGACCAAGTTGCAGGCGGCGAAGACGTAGCCGTATCGGAAGTCGATGGCGCCGGTGATGAATGGAGTGAAGAAAGCCAGCAGGAAGTTCCAAAACCAATTGGAAGCCGTGCTGAGGGCCATACCCTTGCCACGATAGCGAGAAGGATACAGCTCACCGCAGATAGTCCAGATCATCGGGCCCCAGGTCACCGCAAAGCCGAAGATGAACAAACTGGCAATGACGATCATGGCAGTGCCTGTGGACTCGGTCGCTTGAGGATCGTCTCGGTTCAGCGAGAAGTGACCGACGGAGGCGAAGATGAAGAACATCATGCTCATCCAGACAGATCCGATGATGAGAGACTTGCGGCGGCCGTAGTGCTCAACGATGTAGAGACCGTAGAAAGTCGAACCAAAGTTGATGCCGTTGAGAATCATCTGAGTGACAAACGAGTTGTTGATGCCAGTAGCCTGGAAGATAGTGGTCCCGTAGTAGAAGAAGTAGTTGGCACCAGTGAGCTGTTGGAACATTTGAAGAGCCATGCCCAGAGCAATGCGATAGAGCATTTTGGGAGCCGAGAACATGTGGATCCATTCGCCAACAAGGGTGCGTTGTGCCTCTTCGGCGCGAAGCTTCTGCTCGATTTCCTCGAGCTCGACATGGATGGCGAAATGATTGGCTGGGGCGCCATACACCTTCATCATCGTAGCTTTGGCTTCTTCCTTGCGGCCTTTGCGATAGACGAAGCGAGGAGTTTCTGGGAAGAAGACGATTCCGCCGCCGAGGATCAAAGGCCAGAGGAAACCCACACCGAGAGGGATACGCCACGATCCAGAGTTGCCACGCTGGTGCTCATTGGTTCCAAAATTGACACCTGAGGTCATGCTCAGCATCAGATTCGATGGGAGAGCATACGTACTTACATGATGCAAGGAAGATGCCAAAGGTAATGAACAATTGATAGGTCGAGATTAGAGCACCACGAATGTGACGCGGTCCAGTCTCTGCCATGTACCTGGGAACTGCGTTAGTACCAATCTGCCAGCGTAACAGTACACGGGGATACTTACATTGGGACCAGGAGCGAAAGAGCACCGACGCCTAAGCCCTGAACCCAACGACCCAACATCACCTGGTACCATTTGTCGTCCGCAGAAATCATGACAATGTTGCCCACGCAGAAAATGCCACACCATACCGTGACCGATGGTCTGCGACCAATGACATCGGCAATAGGACCGCCAACGAGGGCGCCCATCAGAGTACCGATCGAGAGCAGAGCGACAATCAGCCCAGCACGGACGTTGCTGAAGTAGTACGTCCCATCACGATGTCGAAGACCGAATCGTTCCAAGAAATCTGGCATTGCCAAGAACTAGTGCCACATACTGTCAGCACTGATACGCTCTGTGGACGCTATGGCCTGGCTTACACCACTGATCTGTCCAGTATCGTAGCCAAAGATGAAACCTCCCATAGAGATCAACAGAGCCATCCATAGCGAGGCAAGGGTGATGCGACGCAATGGAGAGTAGTCGAGGTTGGTCAAGGACTTGCGAGCCTGGTCTGAGCCATCGTGGTTGGGGTTGTATTGGTCGTAGCCAACGTGCGTGGTCAAACCCAATGACTGGCGAGTAGGCACTTGGAACTTTGGTGCACGGAACTTAGGTCGTGGGAGACTGGCTCTCCACGACTCGTTACCGGTGTCGGTCGCCATCTCGCTCAGACTTTCAGGAACAGGAAGAGAGGTGATATCAGGTCGGACAGCTGTGGGTGATGGGTGATCTTATATGGGCCTGACGAATTGAGAATCCATTCACGTGGCCGTCAATGATTTTCTAGCCAACGGAAGTCGGCGAATGGACAAAACGTCCTAGCGTCAGGAGCGTGGCGTGATGACATGGTGTTGCACGTGAGCGGAAGGTCCTTCAATTCGTGGAAGGTTGACAGTCGCGAGGGGTGGTCTGCAAGAGCGGGTAGAGTAAGCAATCGCTTGTGCTCGTAGAGTGATGCTCAAGCACGCATTTGGCTGACAACCCCCAGGATTCGCCCCAGACGGAGACTTGGATGAGGAAGTGGAAACAACTCCCGTGTTGGTGACAGCTCCAAACAGTCTGTTCACCGGAAACGAATAAGCAACGAGCGTTCCGGCCGACTGCTGCAGAGAAACCCACCTCATGCTCGTACTTTCTGACCGACCGCGGGTAGGCCGAGGGTCAAATGACTGGGGGAAGTATCTTCTGGAACAATAATGACCGCGGTGCTCCTCCGGAAGGCTGCGGAGTCAGGGGCGCCTGCCTGGGGACACGATGTCAGCATTACTATCAAAAGGGGTGTGACGTAGTCCAGTCAGCTCGATTGGTTCGCACGGGCGATCATCTCAGTCCACAGCTGCGTAATCACGACCACGTGACCATATTGCACAACCTCAGTCCAGGTCCAGCAATGGGTCACCAATATTTGCTTAAAGGTAAGCCAGAATGCAACATAGGTATTACTGTATTCAGGCAGGTAGCATGCCAGGGCAGCAACAGCAAGTAACCTGACGCGGACTCACCAGCAGGCTTTCCCGCAAACGTTTCGATGAGTGACGGCGGCGACTGATGAATGGTCACGCCAGCGGGTCGCCTTCCTGTTATTCATGGCAAGGCGCGTCCTGAGCATGGAGGCATTGGCGGACAGACTTGGTGACTCGCGAGGTCTCCTTGCACCAGGCTCACGCTGTGTGTTGATTGCGTACTCTGCAGCGGAACCTCAGGCAGACAAGATGAAGGGTCAATGGAGGGCCGGATCCGTGGGCAGTAAGCAACGCAGTGAGCTGACAATTCAGTTGACTTGGACGAAGATTAGTTATTCGTAGACGTACAGGAAGCCAGTCTCGAGCGCCTCGTCCTTTGTTGCTCATGCAGCTGGCGCGTAGTCAATGAGAGCCTCTAGAGCCAAGAGTGTCGTGCATAAGTAGTCTCGCATTTGCAGCAATTACAGGGTGATCAACGCCGGCAGTGAGGTCTTTTCCGGAAGATTCGGAATGACAAGCGAGGACCTGATGCCAAGACGCTATTCTCTTTACGTCTAGCGTGTCTCGCTTTACCTCGACTGCACTCATCGTCATCGTATGGTGTCCTTCTGACCCGAATGCGCGCACGGCCTTGCCATTGCAGACGCGGAAGGCCGTGATGTCAGGCTATAGGGCCCGCGGCGGTCACGAGCCGCCAGGCCTCCGGGCTCGTCAGCCAATTGACTTCTACGATGACAGGTCCAGATCAAGATCGCCTGGTCGCAGAGATGCTACACCACCAAGAAGACGAAGCCCTCCATTTGGTAAACCATGATGCGACCGAACGAAAGCTGTTTGAGTGCGGATGCTGATTTCGTGCTTGCAAGACATCTCAAGAGCACCTCGTGGACCGGCGAGAAGAAGCCCATCTGGCGGAGACTACGGTCGCGACAACGACTACTATGCCGACAGACGGGCGCCGTCACCGCGACGCGGGCGTTCTTACTACGATCGGGACTACCCCTATGACGAGTCATACGAGCGCCCGCGCAGTCGTCAGCGCAGCCAGACTGACGACCACGACGACCGATCCCCGAGCCAAGGGCCGCCGTCCAAGGAAGTCATGATAGAAGGGCTGGCACCTCACCTGACCGAGAAAGATGTCCGACTGTCCTTTGCTCCCACTCCGAAAGCAGACGGACCGTAAATCTGCAACGCGTTTGAGAACAGATGACTAAGACCATTGCCTACGTACAGATATCCATCGAATTGAGGGAGAATTACCGAGTCGAGCGACTTGACGATGTGCGAATCATTCGCGACCGGCAAACGAGTAGGTCCGGCGCTGCTACCACTGATCATCGTACTAAAATCACGCCAGAAAAATCGAGACAGTTTGGGTTCCTCCGCTTTCCAACGATTGAAGATGCAGAGGACTTTATGCACCGCAACTACCCAAGCATTTATCTCTATGGCAATGACGACGATCGACATAGCAGTGCAGAGGTATCGAAAGTTCGACTGACCTTTTCCCGAGAGAGACGGGATAAAACATATGATGACAATGATTGGATCTGTCCCAATGTGAGTCACTCAAAGTCACTGGAAGTCCTGACTCACGTTGTTAGTGTAAGATCAACAATTATGCAACAAGGCTCAAGTGCTTCCGCTGCCAAGCATCCAAGACGGGTAAGTTGCCATCACTCTATCATGGACTTGTCTCAAGTAGCACAGATGCCGTGAGTGTCGCTAAAGCTGTCAATGTTGGAGACAACGACGCTTCGCCCGACAATACACCATCACAATTTCTCTTGGTCCGCGGACTGGAGGGGAGTGTGTCAGAAGAGCTCTTTGCCAAAGGCGTAGCAAAGCTGAACAAGCTTCCGCATCCACAACACAATCGGCTACCGTGTCCAACAAGAAAGGCGCAAAAGTCGCGTCTACGACTGGCGACACCAATTTAGGTGCACGCGAGGGTACGTTGAGGCGGGTACTTCTTGTACGAGATCGACGAAGCAACGAGAGTTGGAGATATGCTTCGCCGAATATGCTACCATCGAGGACGCACAAGCAGCCCTTGTCCGATACAATTCCTTCGATCGGTTCACCATCGCCTCCAAACACGTTATGATCAGCTACATACATGCAGGCGTCTTTGTGCCTAAGCTGAATTCAACGACCAGCGAAGAACGTTTCCTCATCAGCCCTATCAACAATCCGAGCCTCAAACTGGCATACTGGGACGAAGAAGCTTATGTGACGGAGCTTATTGTCAATGCTCCAGGTGCGGCTGAGCCTGAAACGCGAGGCCCGGAAGCTGCCAAAGCTATTGGAACCGATAGTCTCAAGTCTGCCGCCAAGGACGAGAAGGCTAGAAAGAGGAAGCTGTCGCTGAGATTGGTACAACTCCTGCGAAGAAGACCACTGCTTCTCATCTTCAGTTCTGGAGCAACCGGCACGCGGAGTTGCATGGCACCAAAAGCGAGAGTGCGAACGGCAACAGCGCTGCCGCCTCGGAGAACGGAGAGACAACAGCGTCACCCCCAGCAATCGCTCCGACTCAATCCTTCGCCGATCCTATTCGATTCTGCTGCTACCTGTGTATGCGTCAGTTCAATAGCATGGCAGAGGCAACCACGCACGAACGCGTTTCTGAACTCCACGGTGCTAACCTGAAGAACAAGAGCAAAGTTTTGAAAGCATTGGGAAAGCTCGAGAAGCACGATATCCCGATCGTCCCCTTCGAAGGCGAGTCGGAGTACCGTGATCGTGCAAAAGAACGGCGTAAGATTCACGGCGTTGTCAACAAGAAGGGCGAAAACGTCTCGTCCGGCAAGAAGCAGACTGGAGCTCGAAAAGGAACGACTGGGTCAGACTCGGAGGCTGCTACGCCTGCCATGAGCAAGGGCGCGGCTTTGCTATCGAAGATGGGCTATACTCCTGGTGCTGGTCTCGGTGCCAAAGGCAGTGAAGGTATGACAGTGCCAATATCGCAAGATGCCTATGCTCCGGGTGTGGGATTGGGCGCAGAAGGCGGGAAGCGAGGCGACGCGGTCGAGGAAGCACAGAGGAATACCAAAGGCAATGGATTTGGCGAATGGGTCCAGCAAGGTAAAGACCGGGCGCGGGAGAGATACGAGCGGCTGGGTTGAGGATAAAGTGCTCACTACACAGTGATCCTACTTGTAACATAATCGAAATGCGATGCTGTTGTGTCTGCGACCATGGACATCTCGTGTGCAGACCCAGGACTTGGCTTCCTGGAGCTTGACTCATGCTTCTCCTCGCAATGTCCGATTACGCAAACCATGCATACAAGGTCGACTGACATAATCAGGCCGTGTGAAATCTGCGCGTTGTGGGCCCCCCCTTAGTTGATTTGGTTGCCTTTTTCAAGGCAACTGCTACGGCGGCCAGTGAAACCGCAAGTTTCACGCAGCAAAATTATTCCCACCAGGCTGACAATATTAATGCAGCCTCTTCTCAAAGTCTTGTGTGCCGTAGGCGGCCATCATCGCATACCATGGAGACGGAATCACGCCGGTCGTCGGCCTCAGGATCCCCACACTCCAGATCTACCGCAATGACTAGCCCTGATCAACCTCTGACAAGACAGGATGGCACCACAGGCAACACAGATGTATCTGACGACGACATATGGGCAGACTCGCCGCCTCGCTCACAGATTCAACACTCTAGCGCGGGTAGAGGCCCAGCAGGACCGACATCCCCTTTGACACCAGCTGAGGCAGTCCTCTCGGACCTGCCCACAGTCCGCCGCCGACGGATGGCCGACGGCTACCGTGACGGCCTTTCGCACTCGAAAGCGCAAGTCATGCAGCGCGGTTTTGATGAGGGCTATCCGATTGGTTTGCAAGTGGCGATGCGGGTGGGTAGGATATTGGGTGTCTTGGAGGGTCTCTTGAGTGCGCTAAGGAAGTCGCTCGAGCCGGTAATGCAGCGGACACAGCAAGAAGGCAGCGCATGGTGATTGAGGTGGAGAGCCTCTTGAAAAGAGCAAGGGAGGAGCTGGGAAGGGGTCGACTACTGGAGGGCTTGGAAGAGGAAGTTCTGGTGCGTGAAGGCGGAGTACTGGAGGCAGTCGAGGCTGCCATGAGTAAATGGGAGAATATGTTGCTGCCTGCTTTAGTCGACGAGAAAGATGGGAGACTGCAAAGCGATGCGCTGGCAGCAATTGGCAGTGTGCAGAACGCGACATGAGGATCACCAAATTTCAGCCAGCCATGATATTGGCAGGCACGGTTCACGACTAGGAAGTCCTCCCTATGGATTCGATGCGACAGAAGCCTCGTGAAACCGAGCTGCGGGCTCGAATTGCCGATTCGCACCTTGAGCAACGCAGCATAACTATTCTCAGCGCTGACCTATGGTGAAGCTGCGATTACGGGTAGATGAACCAGCGACAGCTGTTGGCTACTTCGTGGTCAGCTTCGAGCTTCTCACACCAGGGCTTGCGACGCTTGAACATATATACCCCTACGTCGATCGACTGCTGGCACTTCTGCCAAGGCATGGAAAGTTCAGTCGCAACCGAGGTTCCTGCATCGCCAAGCACGTACTCGTATCTGGCCAGGAAGAACATCTCTGTTTCCTTTTACCTGTCTAGATTTCGACATGGTCGATACCCTGCTGTCATGGCAGTGGAATCGGAATGGCCGGTACGCATTCCTCATTCTGACAAGATTGTTGGTGTGAGCATCATCGACACCACGACCCGTGTTGGCAATATCTCTCTATCACATTACCAAGGCCCCAATGAGTGGTATCCTACGCTGTCATCGCCTGGGGAGCCGACGCCGAGCTACAGCTTTTTGATAACCCATGAGCCTCACAGTCCAAGACTCTCTTCGATCTAGGTCTTCGCAAAGATTGGAAGACTTCGAGCACGCCGGGAGTCCTGCAATGGGTTCGAGACTCCAAAGCCAGTGTATCTGTTGACAAAGACGTCGCAGCCATTCTCAGGGACGCTGGGGTAGATGCAGAGGAAATCGACGCGGTCATATACTCACATCAACATTTCGACCATACAGGTGATCCTCGGACGTTGTCACGGCACACGAAAATCATTGTTGGTCCTGGGTACAAGAAAAGCTTCTTACCTGGCTGGCCAGCCAAGAAGAGGAGCTGGGACACGACCAGTGATCTGTACGAAGGACGAACGGTGACTGAAATCACTTTCGATCCAGATTTCTGTATTGGAGGCCTGCAAGCATTCGATTTCTTTGGCGATGGCAGCTTTTATCTGCTGAGCAGTCCGGGGCACACCATCGCCCATCTCTCAGCTCTGGCAAGAACTACTGCACCTCGTAACGAACCAGATCAGTCGACTTTCATACTGCTTGGTGGCGACATTGCGCACAATCCTGCTCTCTTTCGTCCCAGCGCGTTCTATCCACTTACTGAAAAGTTCGCCCTTTCGGACACGAGGTCCGGCCCTAAGAATGAACTTTCCGTCGACGACTTACTGCGGATTCACCGAAATTGGAGGGAGGGCCCTGGGAGGGCTCTGCATAGTCCATACTGCACGTCCCAGGGGCCACATCACAACGTACAGGCGACACAAGACAGCATCGACAAGCTGTCTGCGATAGATGCTATGGACAATGTTTTCACTGTGCTGGCTCATGACGGGAGTCTCCCTGATATAGTAGACTTCTTTCCGAACCCTGCAAACGACTGGAAAGCCAGAGGATGGAAGGAAAAGTGTAGATGGACTTTCTTGCATGACTTCGTGCTTCCTGCGCCAAACAGCCGCTCAAAATTATAGTCAACCGATGACCACCACTAGCCTGTAGCGGAAATTATGAAGATGGTCGCGATTCCCGTGTCGTGTGAAGTAAAGCTTTCAATGTTGACTCGGCTTAATCAGTGAAGATGCCCTGAAGAGCCCCAGATACTTGGCAGCGGGTGACTCTTTTCAGCTAAAGACTCTCCAACAACTGACTCAAACGCAGTGTCGTTGAGTCATTTGCGTCCTTACGATTCAACATAGCGCAGTCAACGCGAACTCCATCTGTCAAGCATGCAGCCTGATCTGACACAACCATCCGCAACATCTCCCAATGGCTCACATCACGGAGAGTCCCCCGAGCCTGCCTCGCGCAAGCGCAAGGGCATGTCCACAAGCTCTCGTGGAGTCGCCAGCCTCACGCCCGACCAGCTAGCTAAGAAGCGCGCCAACGACAGAGAAGCTCAGCGTGCGATTCGAGAGCGAACAAAGCGGACAATCGAGACATTGGAGACCAAAATTCGAGAACTCGAGTCGCAGCAGCCATATCAAGAGCTTCAGACTGTCATTAGGCAGAAGAATGCTATCGAGGCAGAGAATACCGAGATCCGTCGACGGCTGGGATCGATTATGGCCTTGATACAGCCTATACTCGGAGCCCAGGGTCTGACAGATCTAGCCAGTGCTGCCCACCACAATGCGCAGTCGGGTATAGGTCAGACTACGTTCTCTACGGATGCCTTCATGAACGGCCAGAGGCCATACGCACCGCAGGATGGACAGATGCCGCAAGGACAGGCCAATCAATATCCTGCCTTCGGCGGAGAGGCTTCGAATGCCGATAACAGACAGTGGAACGCATCACGGGATGCACTCGACACTCAACGCGATAACATGCAGAGGGGTCTCGAGCTTGATGAGTCTGGCGAGCAGCGTCTGTCCTTCAACAGCCTCCTCGACAGTCTGGGTCAGCGGGCACCCAGTGTCCCGGGTCAACTCCAGCAAGCACAGCATCACTCGCCGGATACGCGTGGAGGTTACCCAAGCATCAACAGCTTCCAAGACGCAAGCCCTACGCTACCACAAACACCCTGGACAGTTCTGCCGAAGAATTGTGATCCGACGTGCCCACTGGATAACATCCTGCTGAACTTCATCACGACACAACGCCGAGAAATCGAGCAGGGCGGCGGTAGCGCTGCATCTTCGAACGTCTCTGCACCGACATACCCATCTGTGGCTTCTTTACTGAACCCCACCGGCGGGCACCGCGTTGATCGACTGTCGCAGCTGATGACCGATGTGATTGACAAGTTCCCAAGTATGTATCTTCAAACCTCTACACCACTCTCACTAACATTCACCCTCCCAGACATCGCCAACCTCCCCGAACGCGTCGCCACCCTCTACTTCATGTTCTCCCTCACCCGCTGGATGATCACGCCAACCCAAGAAAACTACGAACGCATCCCCGAATTCTTCACCCCTCGCCCGTCCCAACTCATGGCCCCCCACCCAGCTGGATCGACCACATCCCCTTCCCGCGAATGCGCGACAAGCTCGTCGCCACGTACAAAGACCACCCGTTCGAGCTCTTCTTCATGCCTTTCACCAGCGGGATGAGCGTCAACTGGCCGTATGATCCGACAGATTGTCTAATTAGCACGAGTGAGAAGGAGGATCCGATTATCAATCCGGTCTTTGAGAGGCATATCAGGAGATTGGAGAATTGGAGTGTGGCGCCGATTCTGATGGAGCAGTATCCGGACTTGCAGGATACGGCGAGGGTGAAGGCTCAGGCTGAGCACCGGAAGCTGGACTGATCCCGGATCGGTATCTTCAGAGGGGGAATGGCGCAATGTTGTAATGCTTATCTGTGCAGCGGCTCTGTACATATCAGTGGGAGGGTGATTGGAGCAGGTGGAAGAGGGTTACAATGCAGCCATCACTGGCAACCTGGCAGACAGAACAGATATAATCATGCAGCGATATTACATCTGATCCCACGGTGTACAGCAATGAAGGTGTGAAACTTTGTATTCCATTCCGTCTTGAGGCGCCATATCGTCTACTCATCTCTTCTGCATAGTTACGTACAGTCCGATCCGATTCTTCTTGCAGAGTTCCCGAAGCACGCCCATACGCCTCCCTTTTGGCTAGCACGTATTACCTGCCTGTGATATGTAGCAGAATAGTCCGCTAAAATCGCATGGCCCAGAGAATGAGATGCAGCACCCCAGTCGAAGGCAGATCGTGGACGCAAGTGTCCCGAGCGTGTTCTTAATGAAAGCATGCCTTTGGTGAAGGTCGCCCTAAGTCAGTCCTGGCTTGGCCTTCCTTCCCTTCGGAGCGGGCGCAGCCTTCTTGACACCAGCAGGAGTCTTCTTCGGACTAGCCTCAAAGCCACCTTCGAAGCAGGACCCCTCTTCTTGATCATTGGCGCGGGCTTCTTGGCTGGGCTCTTCTTTGCGGGACTCTTTGCGGGACTCTTAGCAGCGCTCTTCTTCGGACTAGCAGCAGGAGCTGGCTCTGGTGTGGCTGCCTTCGTCTTAGGAGCAGGACCTCGCTTCTTCGGCGCGGCTTTCTTGATTGGACTCTTCTTCGCAGCAGCAGGAGCACTCGTTCTCTTCGCGACCTTGACTCCCTTCGTCTTTGCAGCCAAAGGTCCCTTCTTCGCCTTAGTGCCTGCAACTGGTCCCCTCTTCTTCTGTACGCCAGATCCCGAGGCAGCCTTCTTCGCAGGCGCAGCTTTCTTGCCAGCTCGACCGCCCTTGGCTTTCTTGTTCTTCGCTTCGAACGCAGCTACCATGTCGGGAACGCTTGCGGCGAGGTCGTCGCGATCTTCCTCCCAATAGCCGTCCCATCCTTTCCACTTGACGAGTAGTGTCTTGCCATCATTCTCTGCTCCAGCAATGCGGTCGATCTCCCATTCGGTCTCGTTGCCTACTTCGTGTCGTGTGTCTGGGCCAATCTCGCCGGCGAACTCGACTTGATCAGCTGCGGGCGTAGCAGGTTTCTTTGAGGTGGATCTGGGTGCGGGCTTGCTCTTGGCTGGCTTGGGTGCAGCTTTTGTAGGCGCTGGCTTGGGTGCAGCTTTTGTAGGCGCTGGCTGAGCTGATGCAGATTTACTACGTCTGCCTTTGGTGACTGAGGTTTGTTGTGTTTCGGGAATGGTTGCGACGTTGATGTCGACATCGATATCAACCTCATCAACATCTGCATCCAGACCGTGCCTCGACCGCGCCCTCGATCAGATCCTCGGTGACATCAGCGATAGCGGCCGTGGCGGCTGCGGCAAGAGCTGCAGCGCCGGCATCCTCTTCGTCGTCTTCCTCGTCCACAGCGGCCTCCATTAGAGCTGTCTTGGATGCAATCACTGGTGGTGAAATGACTGGAGGAATGCCTGATGTGCCGTTCGTTGTAGGGATATCATCATCGTCTGAGTCGTACTCGGTCACTTCGCGATGCGAGATGACTGTGCGCTGGACTGGCTCGGGTGAGGCCGTGTGCCGTAGGTTGTGAGCCATGTCGGCCACACTGTGGCCGACGCTCTTGAGTAGCTCCAGGTTGGCGATGGGGAGGGTTGTGGTGGTGAAATGAGTGATGTCGCAAGAGCGACCGAGATAGTGCCAGAACGCGTCGGTTTAGCGCGTCCACTTGGCTGATCTCGAATGTTTATACTAGGTGCGAAAAGTCGAGCAGGTGTTGTGAATTTCGCAAGTGAAGACGCGTCTAGTCGAGGTCCCGGAGACGACTTCACGTTCGAGCTCCAATCTGGATTTGAATTTCGGGATGGTCGGATGTCATTTCCGCTCCCCATGGTCCCTTCCCCGCCTGGAGCCCACCACGGACGACGTCCTCTCGGATTGTCGCGAGGTGCTTGTTTGCGCTGATTGAATGAGATCATTGACTCGTTTCTGTTTGACTTGATAGACTACCCGTCTGCTTTGACGCTCGCGGTTGATTGTACCGCGCCCTGGCCTGTATGAGGCGCGTATGCGTTACATTGGTTCAGTATATAGAGTACCTGTCATCCTGGTTATCCTAGCTGCAAGCATCGCATACCTGGTGTACGAGAACCCATCTAACGAATCTGAGGCGACAAGCCATCCACAATGGCCGCCTGGCGCTGCTCTGGCCGCAGCAATGCAGAGCTCGTCCAAAATCTCTTTAAAGGCCAACTGATCACATCTACCCGAGTTAGGGATTCGATGGCCTCTGTTGACCGAGCTCACTATGCTCCTCATTCTGCCTACGAAGATTCTCCACAAGGTATCGGCTTTGGAGCCACCATCTCTGCTCCACACATGCACGCATCCGCTGCAGAGTCACTGCTACCGCATATGCCAGAGAACAGGGGTGCCAGAGTGCTCGATGTAGGATGCGGGTCTGGTTACTTGACGCACGTACTTGCGAATATCGTCTGTGGAGGCGATGGATCAGGTGATGGTAAGGTCATTGGAATTGACCACATTCAGGGTCTGGTTGATATGTCGGAGAAGAACATGCGTAAATCTGCAGAGGGCAGACGTCTGCTCGAGACAGGAAAAGTCGAGTTCGTCAAGGGAGATGGTCGTAAAGGGTATGCAGCGGCTGGGCCATATGATGCCATACACGTGGGCGCGGCCGCTGTTGAGCTACACCAGGAGCTGATCGATCAGCTAAAGAGTCCTGGCAGGCTGTTCATTCCGGTTGAGGATCGAGGCGGATGGGGCAGTCAGTATATCTGGGTCATCGACAAAGATGAAAATTCAAAGGTCACGAAGCAGAAGACGATCGGGGTTCGATACGTGCCCCTGACAGACGCGCCGAAGCGTTGATTCTGAGTTCTTTAATTTGGATTGTCAGCTCTGGCAAGAGCGACTCAAGTTGGCCATCGACGAAGCAGTTGCCGCGAAACTGGTGGTGCAAGACTGGAACCTGAATTTGGTGAGCTTCCAAAGGAAGGTTGTTTCCAAGGAGAGTTTGGGATTCGGGCTGAACGAAAGGTGGTTCGGAGAGGCGAGATGCGCATAGTGTCTACTTATGCCGTGACTGAGTGAAGTACATCAGGAAAGTGAAGAAGCAGGCGCCAGTCAACGCAGTGACTACGGCGTAAATGGCACTTGGCTGCTTTCCAACGACGTTAGCACTTTCTGCCGCCCGCCTAACTCGAGCTCGTCACTGCCGCACAACTGTTCCCATCCCAACATCGAGATCCTCAAGATGCTCCGACTCCCTCTCGCGCTTCTCGCCATCGCATCAATTGGTGATGCCCTCCCTACACAGCTCTGGTCGGCCGACTTATCGTACCACCTTTCGATCGAATTTGATCATAGCTTTGATGTATCAGACGTCTACAACGCGAGTGACACAGCTCCGGAAGATGACCACGACGTCGCACAAGACTCATCCGATCCTGGTGACACGCTGCAAGCATACTTCGATTCCGTCCTCCAACCACGCCATGAAGCCCACCTCAATGGCGCTTCTCGAGAAAACACCCATGTCTTGATGAAGAGAGGATGTAAGATCGGCGCCAACGGATGGGAATGCGACGACAACATCCCCACCATGACTGAGATTGTCGACTACCTGCGAGTCAAACCTGGCGGCATGGCCAGAAATAACAGGCGAGCGGCATTTTATGTCAACTTAGGCGACGTCGACCCCAATCTCCAAAAGGGCGGTAACGAAGCCGCAGCAATGCTGGTTGCTTGGTGCCAAAAGAACGGCCTGGAGGGAAAGTACTACTGGTGGGCGAATGCGTGCGACAAGCTTTGTGAGAGCCCCCAACAGCACAACGTGGATCGTGGCTGACAGCTACCAGGGCTCGAGAAACAGGCTGAACATCTCAAAGAGAATCGGGCGCGTATCGAAAAGGCTCACCCGGAATGGCCAAACCCTGAGCAAATCTTCCTCCACGGGTTCTTCCAAGCTATGGCATTTGCTACAACGCATCCGGATGTGCTGTTCTTTACGCAGGCCGGTAAAGACTGGGACAAGAAGAGTATTTGGCAAGAAGTCGAGTACGGGCACCATTCTTGCACCCATATTGGTCAATGGACTAACACGGCCAATAGGTATCCGACCTTGACACGCAATCGGCATGTGTGAGTATTTTCGAGTCCAATTCACGTTCCATCTTTAGTACAGCCGGGGCTGACCATGAACATCACACCTGTAGCAAGCGAATTTTCCGCATTGATCCGACCTGCCCCGACAACAAGCCGGAGTTGATGTGGGATCGTTCGAGGAAAGACCCTCTGCCGCCTGTCGTCTTTCAATACCCGGACATGCGATGAGGTGAGGCGATGACCTATGGCACTCAGAGTCGCGGAATATCGTACGAGGCACCACGGCCAAGGCTCAAGTGCCTGTTACAGGCGACCGCCTTACAGCTGTGTCCTATCTTAGAGCAGATGTCTCGCTGCAGGATCGATGGGGCGGTTCATCATGTGTGAAGGTGCGGCAACTGCAAATATTGCAAGGAAGTCCTTCATAAGCAGTTTCTCTTTTGAAGCCTATCGCTCAGTCTCGACTTCGAGCTCACCAAGATCGGGTATGCCGAAGAAGGCCAACGGAGGAGGCAAGTATTGTTCATGGGAAGCGTTGAAGTGACCGAGCTGCTCCTATGCAATATCTGAGATGCGCCTTGCCATTACAAAACACTCTCCCCGCCGTCCACTTTGATATTGGCCCCTGTGATATAGGACGAGAAGCCAGAAGCAAGGAAGCCTGCGACTCGACCAACTTCAGACGGATTGCCAACTCTGTCCAGCCCGCCTTTGCCTCCTCCTACCGGCACAGTACCGTTTCCATTCGTTGGCTTGACCTCTCCAGACATGTCAATACCGCTGTGTGAGATGGCATTAATGCGGACTCCGGTCCCCTTGAGAGCCGACACGCCACTGCGCACGACTCCCAGAGCAGCATGACATGAGATCGTAAATGCTGGCCCATATCCGGCTGCCTTCTCGCACGCTGTCGAAGTCACTACGATGATACTACCATAGCGTGAATCCTTGGGAGCTGCGTTGCCGTACAGGCCCTTCTTCGTCATTTTCTCCATCGCCGCCGGCGCGTACTTGAGTGCGAAAAAGGGGGCAAGAGTGTTGTGCTCAAACGCAGCGTCTAGATCCGCTGGAGTGGTGGAAGCCATGGTTTTCGGACCTGGGGTGGTAGAAGCGCATACCCACACATCTAGTCTTCCGAAGCCGTTAAGAGCTTCGTCGATCAGAGCCAGTGTCGAGTGTTCGTTTGGCTCAAGATGGGGATAGTGGATGATCTGAGCTGTGTCTGAGGTTGGTATGTCGGTGGCATTGGGCGATGAGGTACATGCGTATATTGAGGCCGCTCCATGAGCTGTGCTGCGGTCAGACATATTGTCAACAGAGCTCGTAGGACTTACCAGCAAGCTCGGCCACAATGGCCCGTCCGATGGGCTGATCAGCGCCAGTGACCACACAGACAAATCCATAGAGCTTGCCGTCTGCCCTGTATGGGCTGAAGTGATCTGACTCTTCTTGCATCGTGAGGTTCGCCATTCTCGCAGGGGTCATTGCTGTCGATACAGCAACCTTCAAGATATCATTCAAGGAAGACACCTACCTCCAAGTCAAAGACGTCGTGGCTGGGGCTAAGACACAATTTGTTGATGTATGGCCATACTCCAGGTATTGGCAGACGCTGAATGGCGGATCTACGTGCCTATCTGGGCCACTCAGAGAGTCTACATTGTTAAGGTGCATGGAATGATGTTATGTCCCGCGGAGACGGGAAATGCAGATAAGAGTTGCTTACCTAAATCTATCAGATGCAGCTCAGAGCCTCGCTGAGCCTCGCACCGCATTCTGTAACTTAGGTCGGTTGATGAACACACGCAAGCAGTGGGATGATCAAGCAAGGAATTGATGCACAATGAGTCGAAACGGTTCGCGGCTTCATGTCTGTCGGGCGAGAGAACGAGAGAAGAGGCGACAGCGGTCGGAGACAGACTTAAAACCGATTGGAATGCGTGTCATCCGGCCTCATCAGCGCTGTGCCCAAACCGGTTGACAGGGTTGCGACGGGGACTTTGCGGACCGTCCACTGTCTGTGATGTTGTCAGGCAGTTTCGATTAGGGTTGCCTCGGTCTCTTTGCCCCTCTGTCGTTGTTGTGCTGCTCCCAAGATGTAAGTAGTGGGCGCCACCTTCGGCTGAATCATGTCATCCGGTCTTGCGTGGAGATGCGTCGGCGCCGGTTGACAAGGTGCGTAACCATGGAAGGCGCGGCTGTTCCAGAAGCACCTGCCGCTCGTGGCGTTGTCATGGCATACTGTCGGGCAAGAGCGATCTCTACGTGCTCTTGTTGCTGCTTTCTGCCAGGGAACTTGGAAGAGGCAGTCGCTCGTGGGAGGCGCCTTCTCACCGCGTCTCACGCCACGCCCTAAAGGGCAGTCATCCGGTCTCCCAAGAAACATGGCCAAACCGGATGACGAGGAAAGGAGGGAATGTTCAATGCACCGCTTCTCCATTACATTTAGCTGTCGAGGACTCTTGATGAGTATAGCCGGTGTCACAATGCTTCTGCTGTCGTCACCTATCTGGAAAATGGATGGAGACGCAGTTGATGGTGAGCGAATGCCGCCCGTTTCGTGGATATATTCTGAGCCTTGAATGTATGATTGATCCCTTTTCACACGCGTCTACAATTTCAATAGACTACAAGGGCGTGACGGGACGAGACGGAACGAAAGAGTGGGCATGAGTGAGGAGGATGGAAAGATGAATCTTGAGCTTGCCTCATTGTGCTGTCCAGTGCCTCAACCCCGTGGCAATCCAAGTCTCACAGGACACGCAGAACAAGTGGCCCCTTCGATACCCAATGCATACAAAGTTCGTACACTTATCCGTTTCACCAGAGCTTTTCGACTGCACAAGTTGATGGTCGCGTGCCGATGCTCTCGTCTTCGGACCTAGAGTTCGTTTGTGCCTCATCTTCCTATCTAGAGATCTGGCGTTGAGTGAGAGTATGTGCTAGGCTGGATAGTAGCCAATAGGTGGCAGAGGATCATCGCGAGCACGATCCCACAACAGTTCTGTGTAGTTGCCTGTGTAGGACGGGTCGATGCGCCAAATGCGTTGCCTACAAGACTTGTGATCAGCCTTCACAGACCAGCCAGACTTGAGTAGAGAACAATCTCGAGAATACTTACACGTATGGATTTCGAGTCAAAGCAGGATATCTGAAGCTGTGTCAGTCTCCTGGCAGAAATCGGAGCAGAATCATCTTACTCAGCCGTTTGCCAGATACTCTTCTCCTTCCAGTCTTTACGAGCCGGTGTGAAAAAGAACACATCTGGCTGCTCAACAGCGAAAGCCATAGCCTGGAAGAACCCCTCGAGAAAGATCCGTTCTGGGTTCAAATATTGTGGGAAAGCCCTCTCAATGTTTGCTCGTTCCTTCCTCAAATATCGGGCTTGGTCTGAGACCCCTTCACACTGCCGTCAGCATGATCGTTCTTGTGGTCTTTGGAAGTGGTCTTTAGAAGTGAGGTGGAACTTACAACGCTTGGTGAAAACTGAAGTGTTGCCCCACCAGTAGTAGCTTCTTGAAAGTCCGTTTACCTTGCACCAATTGACAAGCAAGGCCTTAGTATTATCACCGCCTCTCCTAAATGCTGGATCGATGCTGCCGAGGTTGACGTAGAAGGAGGGTATACGATTATGACCAGCTGTGCCATCAGGCCCGAATCGCAGGTAGTTGACTCATGGATGGGAAGAGACCGTCGCGACACCAATCACTGCCGTCGCCTGAACCACCGAGCTTGGCGTTGAAGTCGTCTCGATCGTCGAATGTCGTGTTGGACTCCTCTAGATCGCCGAGTCTGCCATCGAAGAGCTTGGCATCGTATCCGTCATCCCAGTCGACGTCGTAGTCGACATAGTCGAGGCGGCCCATGTGGTGTGGGTCGAAGGATGGAATCAAACAATAGTCACACTGTGTCGATAGTAATCAATTCTGCGCGATACTCTGGCGGTCTTCTGAGACCGTGTTATTGGTGTTGAGGCAGGCTATCGGCTCGAGGGCATGGTCGCGTTGACTGCGCTGATAAGAAAAAATGCTGCGGACCACGGTTGTGTAGGCAACGGCTTGGCAGCTTTGTGATGATGAGAATCGCGAGAGCAGATAGGAGAAGCTCAATGATGTGATGGAAGACCTGGAAACGGTCGAACGCGAACGTTGTCTGGACCACGGCGTGTTAGACGAGTTGTCATTGACTTCGAACTCACTTCACTGAGAACCTGATACTACCGCCTTCGTCGTTGCTCGTCCCTCCCTGAGCTTCGTATCTCACCTCTTCCCGACTCGTCACCGATTACCGCCAGCAAACTTATTCGAACTCGCACTCCCCATCTTCAGCCTTCCCAGACTCGGACTATTCTCCGGGCTTTGCTGCCTCGTCCCATACCCCGTGCCATCATACGGCCGGTCTCCTCTGTGGTGCGCGCGCTCTGGCTCGTCCGCGTTCCTGATCCCACTGATGTAGTTCCTGAAGTTGCAGCTCATCTCCAGCACGTCGCTGAAATGTGTTATATCAACCATTACCGTGTTGTCGTCTTCGTCTCCACCGGTCTGGTCCGCATGGGCGTCGTAGTCGGCGAGGGTGATAGCTGCTTGAAGGGCATTGCGGATGTCCCTTCCATTCAGGCCTGGGTAGTTGCCCTTTTTGAACTCGTTGATGACCCACTTTTTCGCGGGCGGGTTTACCCAGATCGCGCGTTGCTTCAACGGCGGCTTGCTCGTCTCGCTATTCGCGTCCGGGTTCGTGGAGGCAGTAGAGGCAGTGCGCTCGAGTGCGAGTGCGTTCTTCTTCTCCTTAGCCTGGAGCTGGCGCATCTCGAGTTCCAGCTTGCTGAAGAAGTGCTCCCAGATCTTGGCGAGCTGGTCGCCAGTCAGGTGCTGGTAGAGTACTGGTACTTGGACGCGGGAGATGAAGGCATCGTCGATGTGGCCAACGCGGTTGGTGGTGAGGAAGAGGAGGCCGTCGAAGTACTCAGCTCGGCGCAGGAAGGCTGAGACGAGGCCATTGCGGGTGAGGTCGCGGGTGTGACGACGTTCCAAGAAGATGTCGGCCTCGTCAATAAGCAGGACGGCCTTCCACATTTCTGCCCATGTGAACCACTGCAAGAGCTTTCGCTCGATCATAGTCTCCTGGGTGCCGATATCAGCAACAGTCAGGGCGAGAAGTGGGCTGTCTAGCTTCTCGGCGATCGCTTCAACGGTGAATGTCTTGCCAACACCTGGAGGGCCGTGAAGCAGTATGATGCCGCCCGAACCTTTGCCAGCCACGAAGTCGGCCGACCAGGTGGTTTCGGTCTCCTGCCTTTCCAGTCGCCTGACCACAGCTTGAATCATCTTCTTGGAGTCGTCAGACAGTACTAAGCTCTCGTAGCTTCGATCAGACTTTTTGACCTCTTCTAGGCGAGAAGCATCGAGCTCGATCCACTCTTTAGCTTTGAGGGAGAAGGCGAAGGTCAGTGGGTACAAGAGCATCAGCTGCTCGTCTCCGAGTGTCTTCATTGCTTTTGCATCCTGAGCTGGCGTCCATTCGGTCGGCGGCTGTCTGACGGACGAACGTGTAACCTGCTCGGCCACGAGTGGCACTGTGCGTCTGATGACGAGCGGCCGTCTTAAGGGCGCTTCGACAGGATCGTATCTCCCACGACTTGGGTCATTATCCTGATCCGGGTCGAGCGGATCCGAGCGTCCATACGATGCGCTACCGTAAGACGTATCTTCGTTGAGTACATTGTGTTGAGGTCCCCAGACCCAAGCTTTGTGGACGAAGACGCCGTCGTACTTGTCGTACAGATCCTTTTCACTTGGAACGAGGCCTATCTTCTTTAGCTGCAGTCCTCGGACCATGTCTTGGCCCCTCCTGTGGTCGACAACTACGCGGCCTGCGTACTACAGGTGCCGTATTAGCCAATGTGACGACAATACTGGTGTAATGTACTTACTCCTGTCTCTCCTGCTCGCTCCTTCTCATCAGCGGTATACTGTGCGACGATATAGCCTCTCTTCAAGGCTTTGTAGAGCAGACGTCCACGACCGATCGCTTGCTCTCGCCTGTGAGTCCCGTGTGTCTTGTCCCACAGGTCGACTGGGCAGATGTCCAGCTCAGTCGTCACGTCCTTCGCCTCATGGTACTCTTCGATATATTTGTCGTCGACCAAACATCGGCCCACTCTGTTGCCATCTGACGAAAGGACCCACACAGATATCTCCCATTGCATAGTCACGCTGCCTATCGTGCCTTGGTGCTGCACCAATGCGACATCGACGACGCCGACACACCAAGGTGTCCAGCGATCTTTAATGTAGACAACGGTTCCTGGTCGGAGGAGGAACCCAAGAGCCTCCCAGTGCCACTTGATGTTACCTTCAGCGAGATGTTGCTTGTATTTGGCAATCTTTTCATCGTACATTGGCTTCAAGAGCCCGTGGAGAACTTCAAGATGTCGGCGTGCAAGCTTCGGTGACCTTCTGAAGGGAACAGAAGTATCAATCTTGTTACCTGGCTTCGTTTCTTCGTTTTTTTCTTCTCTTGCTTGTAGTTCTTCAGCGGTAGGGATTGGGGTGGCTAATATTTCTTCGATTTTCTCATAATAGCGAAGCAAATTGCTGTATGGCCAGACATAGGCTCGTTCCCAATCATTGGTGACATTGTGTGTGTACAGCTTGGAGAACTGCCCAGGGTAATGGTCAATGATCTCGGACAACTCCTGGTAAAGATGTGGACTTTTGATGACAAGATTAGGCTTCGACCAATATCGGATGTCGTGCTCCATGAGAGTTTTGGGGATCCTGTCTTCGTTGAAGATTCGTCCAGTCTTTTGTCGAGCGCCGAGTCCTAAGTATTTGATCAGCACAGTAATTATTTCATCGGGGAGAGAGTATCACTTTTCTTCCTTTGTGCGCAAGCCACACATCCTTCCGCGGAGTCCTCTTCCTTCTGTGCATATTCTACATCGAGCCACGGCATATGAGCGGCGACCACGTATCGCATGACAACGACTGGCTCGTTCCATTCCGGTTCGTCGCCGTCAGACGCCTTTGCCGCCCCTTTGGAGCTCTTGGACTTCATGTGCTGCTCTTTCGAAGGCTCAAGAGAGTCCCAGTCAACATACTTGACCACCGTGGTATTGTCGGAGACAAATTTCTCGCTGTCGTAGACCTCTGCTTCCCATTGCACACCGTGTTCCTTGGGCTCTGCCTTCTCAGGCTGGGCGTCGTCGGAACTATCTGGCTTCGAAGCTTCCTTGTCGTTGGCTCTCACTCCGTCCTCGCCTTCGGCGCCTCGAGCGTCCGTGCCATCGTCGCCCTCGGGTTTCTTGTCATCAGTCTCGCCTTTCTTCTTCCCGACTTCAGCGCCTTCACCTTGTCGTATCACCAGTGGCATTGCGACTGCCTCAAAGTAAGGGGGACTACGCGACCGAGGAGGAGATAGCGAGTACCTCCGGCGCCAGTGTCTTCTAGGGCTTCTGGGACTTCTTGGCCCACGAGGAGACAATGGCGACTTTGGATTTTCCTCGTCGGCTACCTCGGGAGGATCATCGTGTGAATGACTTGAGGCCTCTGGTGTGAGTAAAGGTGGAACGACCGGCTTGTCTGTGTCCTGGACCTCGATCTTAACATCGCCATCCACAGCGCCTTCGTCCTGCTCGTCGGCTTGATTAGTTGCCTTGCTCGTCGATGCATCCGTAGTCTGGCGAACAATGCTTGGTTCATCCCCAGGCTGAGTCACTACATCTGGATATCGTCGCCAGCTTGATTCTGTGGCGTTTAGGCCTCGGTCCTCGACTTTGGGTGATGCAGGCTCGCCTGTAGCCGGCGTAGCCGTCCGCTCAGTGCTGGCCTCGACGGCGGGTGCCATATCGTCGCTCTGGACGCGGACAGACCTGGATCTGATGGCGATGACGAGAACCTCAGCTGCTATAGGAGTCAGCGACAGCTGAAGTGTCAAACACGCGCACGAAGCTCGAGGTTTCCTCGTGTTAGATCTAGCGAACCGAGGGGGATGGGGGCCAACATTGGCGCAGAATGAGCTGTTCTGCAGCGTCCCAGCCTAAGCGACTAGCGATTGACCGGTTGGACCTTCTCAATTGCTGGCGTCCATCTTTGTGGGCGAGACAACACGTTCGAAACAGATTTAGCGCTCGGTGTTGCAGTAGTGCAAGTCAGGCCTTGACAGGGGTGCCTGAAGTTCCACGATGATTTCCAGCCTGATGAAACTTGGGTCTTCCTCAGGTCCACTTGCCATCGTGAGTGACGACGATGACCGGACTGTGCCATGATCCAGCACTATCGTGGATTAGAGAACTTTGCGATCAACGAAGTGTGCATATTTCCTAGTATTGAGCGTGTCACGAAAAGCAACAAAGGCCAGGTCCTAACGTTCGTGGACGTCAAATGCTCATAACAATGGCGGCTTGAATTGGGGGCTATGCTAAAAAGCTTCAGCCATTTAGGGAGCAAGCGCCTGGCGCCCATCCCGTGGAACGGCACGAAATGAGATCCACCCACAAATGCCAAACTCCAAAGGCTTGGGCTAGACCCTATAACTCGTATTGATACCTTATTGGAACAACGAGGACAGCGAAAGTGCCACTCTAGGGTGAAAGTGCCTAACGCGGCTGTGCTCACATCTCACGAGGCCTTCCCCGTAAGTCCCACGAAACGTCCACTGTGTAGGTATGAAAGCTTGCCACGGTCTACATCATATGTACTCGTCCCAAAGATCTCGCAATTGACAGCTTCACTGTCTGCTGACAAACCGAGATATGCTCTTCACCAGGACTCTCACTGATCCAGGACCAAGTACAGAGCTGGTGAGGAGATTCAGTGATCAGCAGATTGCATATCAGCCCCGGAGTAACTTAGCAAGAGGTCTGCATGAGAAGGTAACCCTCGACAGAAATAGGGAGGCACAGTTGAAGGGGAATGATGCTCTTCGCAAATGGGATCCCATTATACCGTCCCAAACCGCTGCGCCTGTAGAGTGAGTCCATATAGGTCCTGTGATGCGAGTGGTGTACCACTGACGGCAGTCAAGCCATGTCGCAGAATTGGAGAAGAAATTGGCTGTGCTGTACAAGCGACTGGAAGATGCGTGGAAGAAGTTCCAAAAGGTTCACGAGAAGTCCACGAAGATCAAGGTCCAGGGCGACAAGCCTGATCGCAATGTAATCCTGGCAGCCATCAATAAGCAGCAAGACGCTCTGGACAAGAACCAAGGCACTGTGTCTGGTAAACTCAGAAATGGCTTTCGCAAGGTCTGCTCGAAGATCAAGAGTCACGATAATGTCATCAAGATTCTACCCAAAGACGACAGATATTTTGCGATCTTTGTCGGATCACTTATAACCATCACCGAAGTATGCAAGACTTTTGCTCCTCGACGGTCGATGCTAACGCAAGTCAGGCCGGTGCAAACTACGACAAGTTGAGCGAGTCGATTGCAGATACGCTAGAAATGATCGATGAGCAGCTCACGTACTGGGGCGAACGGATCGACAAACACGGCAATCTCAAGATGCGCGAATATCAGATAGGTATATACGTGGTTCAAACCGAAATGCTCTGCGAGATATTCGACCGGTGGTCCAAATCCAAAGGGGCCCGCTTACTGGCGTCCTTCAACCAAGAAGCCGTCGACGACATCGTGGGCAAGAGCAAAGCAGAGTTGAAAGAGCTTGAAAAGAAGCTCAAGGCCGAAGAAGGCGACATCAAATTCGAAGCGGGCATCAGAGAAACTCAGGGTGTCGGCCAGCAGGTAGAAGGCGTTGGTCACAAGCTAGAAGGCGTCGAGCAGAAGGTGCAAGTACTTGGGCACATGTCTGCGACTTTTGCGAACGCCCTTAATGCTGAGCTCAAGGATACGCAGAAACTGATTCAGGACAATCAGAAGGCTCAGAGCATACAGATTGGCTATTCGATTCAAACTCTCCTTGAAGAATTCAACCTCCTGAAGGCCACTGTCAACGCGCAACTCCTACCGGCCGGAAATGCTCTGCCGATGCTCGAAGGTCCCAGAGGCTTTGTCGAAGGACCAGCTTCGCAAATGACGACCAGATCACCAAGTCCGGTTCTGCACCCCGAGTATACTGAACCCGAGCCCATGGAGCAGACGATGCAAGAGGCGTTGTTCAACCTCGGAGAGATGGTAAATACACACCTCAACGATCTCACTAAATGTATTGGGCGCATAAGATCACTCAAGGTCGATAGCGAGGTTCAGCGTCGGATCGAAGCATTCCTACAAGCCACGGGAGACCAAGCGCTCTGGATTCAAGGCCCAGGTGACGTTTCGATACCATCCCAAAACACCATGACGGCAGCTCTACTCGCCAGCATCATTTCACAGAACGCAGGCATCTGCATACAGTACTATAATAGTATCACCACTATGCAGGGCAGACATCGAGATCACCGCTTGGCGCTCGGTGTTCTGATAACCTCTCTCACAGTACAGATCCTCCTCGCTCTAGAAGCAGACGAAATAGAGGCAGTGAAACACCTAGCTCCTCAGATTGCTGACCTCGGCAACGGCGAGCTCTCATACAACGAGGCCCTAGAGCTGCTCACTACACTTTGCAGGCTCTACCGAGAGACATTTTCATTGTCATCGACTACTGCCAGGTTCTCGAGCAGCAACGAGATCGAGAATATACGGCGACGCTGCAGACTCTTTTGGATACCTTGTTGGCGCTGCAGTCAGCTGACGGACCAGTTAGGCAGGCAGCAGAAGGTTCAGCGCAGCCACCAGCACCGACGACCAAAATTTGCATGCTCACAGATGGCTATATGAATCTTCTGGGCCAAGCCAGACGGCGACGGCAGCTGGATCACGTGGAGTATGACATGGACTCTCATGAGCTCAACGTTGATGCGACAGAGAGGATGTCGTTATAATGGCCTGGCGCGCAGACGAGTCCTCGAGCTCCATGCAGCAGCATCATAACAGATCGTGGGACGCACCTTCGACCAGGTCGTGCCCCTGCGTTTGTATATCATGCCTAGATAAGGCTTACATTCCTGCACCTTCACGATCCGAGGACCTTTGATACACACGGCTGCCCAGACTGTGAATAAGAGTACTGGGCGGTTTTCCTACAGCGCCCTCCCTGAGCAGAAGGTCCATAAGGTATTTACCTTTTACACTAACGCTCGAGTGAGGCTCATCTCAATCCAGCCCACTCGAACACCGTAATATCGTCAGAGCTTTGGCGGTCTCCCTGGCTGAGAAATGCATGAAGAGCAGTTTTCGGGGCTCAAGAGTAGAACGTCGTTGACATGAAGCAAACGCTCAATACTTACTTGAAGACACCGCTCACTGATTTACAAAGGATAGATGGCAGAAATAGCGTCATTTGTTTTGCATTCAGTCACTACGCTAAGAGTGCACTCTGCTCAAATCCGCCTATTGCCTAATACCACAGGTCCATGTTTGGTTTGATACCTTTCTGTTGGCAGTGTTCCTCATACATCCGCCAGAAACTGAAGCCGTCCATGGTCTCTCTGAGTGTGTTGTCTTCGTTGTAGAACTCGATGCTGCCCGTCACATCAAAGATAACATCCGACCCAGCACCCATGTACAGCGTATGAATCGTGCCCGGCACCTCGCAGACATAGTCACCAGGCTTTCCCTGCCAGTCATACTCATGATATCCCCACTGGCCAGCAACAGTGAAGGCCTTGACCTGACCTCTGTGTCTGTGCTTACCAAGCTCGGCGTGAGGCTCAGTCTTCAGACGGATGACATATGTGCCGGTGCGGTTCTCGAAGCGGTATGGCTTGGCGTAGATTGAGCCGGTCCATAGGTACCAGTCTGTGTTGTTCAGTCAGTAAGATCTGACCGGGCCTTGCGCTTTGCGATAGTCCTACCTGTATCCTTCTCTGCATCGATGTACATATCCTTGGCACCTAGACGGTCGGCGATCTTGTCCTCGGCGATCTCGTTGGCTTTGACGCGGTCGACCGCTGGGGCACCGCCGCCATCGGCGGATTTGATGGGTTGTTGTGGTACTGATTGGACGTCGACTGAGGGAGCCATTGTGTTGTGAGGTTGTGTATATAGCATGCGTTGTGATTGTGTCTTGGCTCTGCTGGTGGTACGAGAGACTTGGTTGTGTGGATATAGTATATTTGTTCGATATGATAAAGGTCGGTCCTTCCCAGATCTTCAAAGCACATTCTTATAGATCTCTGCGAAGACGCTTGTCAGGCCGCAACCGACTGTCAGCAAATCTATCCAACAAGGCTGTGATTCGTGTCTTGCGATGTGAGCTTGTCGGTAGATAGTAAGCCAGGCCTCGATTGGGATAAATACGGCGCTTCTCATAGCAGTGAACAGTGCCCAAGTGATCGTTTCGAGGCTGGAGGGAGGGGATCACTACCGCGAAGACATGCAGTGAAAAACATTCTGACTCGTCTCTGGGCTGACGCATGACCACCAGCAGCCGACTTCGCTACGCTGTTCCGTCAGCGCAAAGTTACCTTCTGAGTCGTAGCTCATACTTATGGCGACTAGGAAGAACATGTTACTTGTACCTCTTCCGTCTTTATTTACCAGATACGTCCTGTAGCTGTCCATCTTGGTGCTGAGAGCGTATATCCCGATAAGACATCAGACTTAGTCACCCATTGCATCCGAACCTTAAAGAGGCAAACAAGACTGGCGCTATGGCCAAAACAATGACAACAGCTCGCTTCCACGCCGCCAAAGACGTGCACGTCGATGAGATATCCGTTCCAGAAGTTGGTGAAGAACAAGTAAGGATCCGGCTTGAGTACGTTGGAATCTGCGGATCCGACGTCGTCAGTTAACACGGTCATGCAGTTGTGATTTTCAGTAAAGGGGATTTTGCATCTGCGATCGACGCAATTGCGACGAGCGAGATTCAGCCCAAAGACACGATCACGAAGGTCCTGAGCATCGATCAGGTTGATGCAGGTTTCAAGGCCCTCGTGGAAGACAAAGACAACCAGATTGTAGTACCCCACACATGGCTCGGGGCCTATCGAGAGCACGCTGACCAGAACACAGAAGATCATGATCGACTTGGGAAAACTCCGTAATTGATAACCGATTAGGTCTGGCACGAGATCGAAGATTCGGTCTATCATTGCGGCTGGCTGAACCCTGCGCTCAGTGTCGCCCGTAGTCGACGCACCTCCGCCTCTTTTGCATCGTCGCTACGAAGCTCGTACACTTCTTTAGCTCATCGGCTCCTCTGCAACGTAATGCAGGTAGGCGCCGAGGAGCTTGATGCCCTCGATATAGTTCCTCCGGTCAAGCTTCTCGTTGATACTGTGTGCCGCATCCGTACTGCTGCCCATTGGCAGAAGAAGAACGTTCTTGCCAGTGGCCTGCTCGAACGTGATTGTGACTGGTATACTTCCACCCTCACGAGTATAGTCGGGCTCGACACCGAAGACCTGCTTCACTGCCTTGGCCGCAGCAGAGAAATTCCAGTGCTTGGGTGACGATACCCACCATTTGCCATCGTGCTGAAGGTAGACGTTGAGCTTGTTCTTCGAATTAAGCTTGGCGAATTCCTCCTTGATATACTTCTCGACGGCGGCCGTCACTTTCTCGGGCTGCATATCAGGGACAGTCCGAATCGAGAACTTGCCAATGACTTTTGCAGGAATGACAGTCTTCGCACCAGGTGCAGAGAAGGCACCCTCGATCCCGTGCAAAGACAACGATGGGTACCTCCAGCGAGCCATCAGCGTTGACACCTTGTCTTCGGTGATGGTCGTTTGAGAACCCAGAGATTCGTGAAGGTTGTCCATGGTGTAGGCTATGGGGTCGTATAGTTCCTTCTCGTCGTCGGTCAGTGGAGCTACCATCTCGTTGATTCCAGGAATCAGGATCTTGCCCTTGTTGTCAACAAGCTTGGACATAATTAATGCTAGATCCGTCATTGGCTCTTGGGCTGTGCCTCCGAACACACCAGAATGCAGGTCCTGACCAGGGCCAGATACCTCGATACTGTAGTAGTTGCAACCACGGAGACCGTAAGTCAGACAGGGCTTCTCTGTTCCCAGCCAATAGTTGTCGCTGATACACACAGCATCCGCGTCCTTGAAGTACTTCTTGGCCTCGACATTGATGAAGTCGTCCAAGCCTTCTGAGCCGTACTCCTCCATACCCTCAAAGCAGCAAAGAAGATTGACAGGGAAGTCAATGCCAGCCTTCTGATGGGCCTCAATGGCATTGAGCCAGCCAAGAACTGGGCCTTTGTCGTCTGTTGAACCACGGCCATACATTCTGTCCTTATCGTCGATAGTCAACTCGAAGGGCTTCGTACCCCAGCCGTCTTCGAGTTGAGCGGGCTGAACATCATAGTGACCATAGACGAGGATCGTACGCTTATTCTTGTCGTTGCCATAGCGGGCAATAACGACGGGCGGTAGATCGAGGTGCTCCTTGTGTGGTTGCTTGCCCAACGGTCGCAGCTCGACTTCTGCGCCCAGCTTCTTCAGCTCCTCTGCGAGGAAATTTCCCATCTGTCGCCTTATCAGCCAAATGACTTATATAGCCCTGCTCGACATACTCGGACGACATCTGGGCGACGCTCTTCTTCGGCCGAGACAGATGGAATGGCAACAGCTTTTCGCAGACCTGGTGGCTGTCAGTGCCCCGCTATGAAATGGGCGGGCCAGAGACTTACGATCGATGAATGTGTCGGCGAGGCTGTCTACCCTGGATCGAAGTCAGTATCACGGGCAGTCCGTGGCTAGCACTCGACGTACTGCTTGAAGTATGGGTCGAGTGACGGCGCCATCTTGTGGTCTGTAACGTGTCCGTAGTAACTACGTCTGCAGATGAAGGGACGGGCGCACTGCTGTAGATGACCCAGGTGTCCGCTGTTGGCTTGATTTATCCACTTGGTGATGTGCAAGGATCGTTTGACAGTTGAGCACGAGCGCAGTGGTAGCATAGATTTCTGTTTGAAATGGTCTAGTTGTAACGATGGTGGGTGAGACTGGGTAGCATCGGATATCAACGACGATCGTCGCGAAAGCACGTCTTTCAAAAGTTAACAATCGTTCCTTCTCGTGTCAGGTGAACAATTCAAAAATGGCACTGCAGTTCTCCCAAATGCCAATAGTGCTTTGCTCATTTTTATATAGAACGATTCAGCGCTGGCTGCATGAGATGAATGCATAGCTAACACTACTCATCTCTAAACCATCTATCCTTCCTGATCTGCCTGTCCTCACGAGCAGTGCGTCTCCTTTTCCCCCAATTGGATCGTATCGTCTCCTCGACAAGCTTTTGCTGCTCTGCCTTCTCTGGTGACATGCCTCTGATGATATACCCAACAAACGCATTCGAGGTGTTGAACTTCTTGGTCAATTGCGTCTGACTCCATTTGTAAGGATCCTCCATGCGCAGCCTCCGTATCTCATCAACGTCCGCCTGAGTCAATTGCACTATCGGTCCGGTCTCTTTGAAAACCGGCAGTAGCTTCTGTGCCTCTGTCTGTGGTGGCCCTATACCAAGTGATGCTAGTGTGGCCTGTATAGTCTTTCGTTTGTCGTGTCGCGGCAGGAATATCGTGGGTGTATGGTACACGTTAGGCATGCTTGGAGGTGGGTTGTAGACAATGTGATCGTGCTGCTCGGTTTTCGATGGCAGAAATGCTGGATCGGGTTTGATGTTAAGTTTTGAGCGTGTCCGACGATACGAGCTCTCATGTCTTCTCTGTATAGGCTGCAGAACTTGTGCGCAGAACACAAAGAAGCGCGCCGAGGCCGGCGAGTGGCCGCAAGTCGTCAGCGACTGCATTGTGCTGGTCTCCGTCGTTGGATAGCTGGAAGAGCAAGTCGAGAGAAGCTGTGTCGAGTATTACCGCCGATGTCCTCGGATCATTCTCGTCCTCCTGCTTATTGTTGGTGAAGTGTCGTGACGACCTTCAGCGGTTAGGCTCGTTGGCAACTCTACAGCCCGGACGCCTTCTGGAGGCGATCCTGTTGTGTTGTAGACTACCCAGCGAGAATACTGAAATCGAACTCGGACTGGGAACTGAACTAATTCGCGAATTCGGGGATTTGTTGTAGGGCTGCCCGGACAGACAGCGCTAGCACGCCAGGCACAACGACGCACCTGACCACGACGTAATTGTGGCCCCCATGGAAACGAGCAAGGAGGGAGCGAGAGGAGAGACAAGGTGGGCTTCAGATCAGCGACAACCCGAGACTTGAGACCTGAACACACCTGCCGGCTTTTCCTGTCTCAAGCTGTTTGAGCCATCCTCTGCGACTCAGCGAGGCCGTTAGACTAAAGTCTGTCGTTACGCTTGTGCCATCAGACCACGTATATCCGCTACTTTTCGGCATCGTAGCGTGTCCGTGCGATTTATGCGATTGCCTGTACGCCCAAAACAGACCTCTTCCTCGACCTCTCGGCGACCAGAGCCGGCCGATTGCAATTGGCACAGTCTCACTCGAACGTGAATACAGCATGCCGTATCATTCTATCTACTGATCGCAGCGCAACCATTGTCGCTGCCCTCGCTCTCCGGCCAGTCCTTCTCAACCGCAGCCTTTGCAGCTGGGTTAGCGGGTCTCACCCAGTCCTTTTCTCGCGACGATGTCGAGCCTCGCTGTGAAGCGGGAAGACGATGGAGGCGCAAGTGCCGAGTCTAAGAACTCGAGCGCTCCCTTGTTGAACAAGACACAACAAGACACAGGCTCACCTGCTGAGAGCGACGCAACTGCCAAACCGCGCAAGCGCGATTTCTGGAAACTGGGCAAGAAGCCCGAAGAAAAGGAGCAGAAACCAAAGCAGGCACCGCCCGCGGAATTCAAGCATAGTACGGCTCCTCAGATCGCCGGATTGCGGCCATCCTCCCCCTTCCGCATGACAGAATCCGTCGGCGGCTCAGCCTCACCACATCGAGGCTCAATTCCATATGCATCACCAGGCTCTCCTGGGTATGCTATGACTGCAGGCGCCTCGCCGAGGCCACATTCGCCTGCCTCGTCCATGATCTTTGAGCGGAACGTTCAGGATGAGGCCCATCCTCCCGAAATATCGCCGCAAATCCCATCTCATGTCATCACTGAGAACCACATTCCACCTGCGCTGGACGCATCTGCCGAGGCTATCACTAACAGCAAGTTGGACGTGGACGAGGTTGAGATCATCACGCATGCCACTCACCAACCTGCTGCGGTCACCATTACTGGTGCAGCAGAGCACTCTATGGCCTCGTCCACGGTGGATGAGCTGCCGCCACCAGCCAATACTCTTACACACCGCATATCAGAGCCAGGACACGAGGACGTATCCAATTATGGCTCTCTCGACGCCAATGATGTGCGACGACTATCTTTCATCTCCTTTGCCGACGTTGTGCATGGCGAACAAGAAGGCATCACGAGTGAGCGCCGCGACTCGGCCGCAGTCACCGCTCTCTCAGGCCTAAACGCTCCGCGATCGCCTTCGCCAATGCGCTCGCCTGTCTCTTCGGCTGCATACGGCACATCGCCGCCCACAAGCATCGCTACTAGCGCCAAGGGTTTCGAGGGAAGCCCAAATAGAGGTATTCGCGCGGCTGCCGGCAGCCCTCCACTTGCAGGGCAGACCAGTCCGCCGCTGACTGCTGAGCTGAACATCGAGACCATGCGTCAAGCTTTGCGACGCACTGGCAGTGGTGATCTAAGTGGTGTCAGATCAGCACCGCTGAGTGCTGTCGGAGAGGGCGAGGGCTTTGGAGACAAGGCTTTCAAATAGGTTTTCTATAGTAATCTATATGGCGGGACAAGGGCGAGGATCATGATTGGGAATGATGACTATACTATGGAGACGAGATGAGAAACCTCGTAGCAGCTACAGGTTCGAGCCGTCCCGAACAGATGAGTCTGCCGGCTTGAGGGGAATGTGGGGATGGCGATATCAGGTAGTAACCGATATATGGCACAAGCCTGCGAGATCATCGCTACCCAGCTGATGGCATCTGACCTTCGCAAGATACTCCATTGCACGTCAAGGTTCCTGACGTAAAACAACGCTTAGATCTGGCCCATGATTGCAGGTGAACTCTCGCTAGAGTTACGCCTTGCCAAGATCGCGCCCGCGTGAGGAGTGAGGTAGGTGGCGGAAGGCTAGGCCCGAAAGCGGCGCGGAAAGCACAGACCGACTAAAGTTCATATTCTTATGTGTCAATTGATCCTTCGCGTTGCAAGGCGGACGCTAGCTGACGCTCGGGGCTGGACTTTATGTTGACTGCATCGCTGGTTTTTACAGCGTCGAGGCATTGATCGAATAAGTGGAAAGTCATGCTGTTCGTGACGAGGATGTTCTGGGCTCAAGGTAGGTGACCGAATCATTCTCAATTTGCAACTGGTATGTGCAAAGCGGACGATATATCCTACATGTTTCAAACATGGTATTCCAACACCCGGCCAGAGAATCAGGCTCATCCACCTCCTTCCACCTTCCACTGCCCCGACTCCTTTCTCTTTCTCCCGAACCCGAGTTGGGATCCGCACCACACCACCGATCACCCGTCGTCGGTCTCGGCTTCTCAACCCTCAAAAGCCACGCAAACCAGTCCTCCGCCGGCAGCAGCACGAACCATATTTTATTCAAGCACAGACTCAACGTCACTGTGATCGTCGCCACACACGCGTCCAAATAGTAATGATTTGCCGTTGCAACAATTACCGTCAGGACCAACGCAGGGTAGAAGAACCCCAAGAAGAAGAACAGCAGGCGCGTCGCAGGCCAGCGCTTGTGCTTCGCCAGGATGGACTTGTTGTAGGAGAATGGAGATGGTAAGATGCTGGAGTGGTAGATGAACGTGCAGCCCGTGACGAAGGCGTACGTGAAATGCAGGGATGGCATAGCGGCGAGTTCGTTGACATATGATGCGCCGACGAAGGCCGATTCGGCGTGGTCTTGGCGAACGGTGTCGTGGAAGCCGTACGAGGTGGGCAGGAGGCGCGGCGGCATGCACGGCCAGGAAGCGAAGACGAAGAAGGCGGCGAAGTTGCCTAGCGTCATGGTGCGTCGAACGGTGGAGTAGTGCGTGAAGGTGGGTGCGGCGAAGTAGTACCAGCCAAGGAAGCTAACGCTGCCGGGGATGTGAACGAGGGAATAGATGCGGTTGAGCACGGTGAGGAGGCCGACGTGGCCGGAGAGGAACCAGCCTTGGAAATCGGCTTCGTGGACGGGCCACAGCAATCTAAGGAAGGAATCGTGTTCGACCCAGAGGACCTGGAGGGCGTGTTTCTGGGCCAGGTCCCAAACGGAGCCGCCCCGAGAGAGGGTGTTGGACGCGATGGCTTTGGTTGCGACGTACGTGAGGAAGTTGAGGGCCCAGTAAAACATCTCGATGAGGAAGGGGAACTTGGCCAGGACTCGGGAGTGGACATTGTTGGCGAAGCGGCTGTTGTCTGGTGTGGAGACGGTGGTCAAGCCGCAGCATGAGCGCGTCTTCATGCCAGAACGGCTGGGCGAGTCGGCGGCACTGCTGGGAAGGAGACGGTCTGTGTCAGAGGACACCGGCCGTGAGCCAGAGCCACTTGAGGAGTCGTCCAGCAATAGTGGCCGTGAGGGTGAACGCCTCGTTCGCGATCGAGTATTCGGTAGCCTCGTCGACGGTTGATTATAAGGGAGGTGAGCATAATGCAAACCACGACAATAGGCTCGAGCCATGCATGGCTGGCGAATTGGGGCTTGCCCAAATCGAGTTTGGGACTCGAATCCGTGCCGTTTGACGGCATGGTTGAAGTATGTACAGAATAGATGCAAAACCAGTCCCAGGATGATATATGAGGTATTGTATGGTGACAATGCCTTGGTATTCGGTTTGAGTTTTTGGCGTTTAGTGATCGCGTGCCCAAGAAACGGGTAGGCACGTGCCCGCGGTACCGAAGAACCAGTGAAAGAGGGACGAAAGGATCGAAGTATACAGGTTAACGAAAGATATGGAACATGTACTTGGCCGACTCCTGACAAAGCAGTCTAGATTCGCTGTAGAATATGGGAAGGATAGAAGAAGGAGGAGCAGCAAAACAGGAGCAAAGTCGTACGTAGTGAGCATTCGTCAGACCCCCCCGTGCCAGGCACCCGGCCAAGGATAAACGCCGAGTCTGCATGAGGGTTTGACAACGCGACTCAGTAAGACTCGGTGGCACCGCCCGAGTGGGCCAAGCATCGTAAAAACCCGCGAAATCAGATAGGCAACCCATCTAGCTGATGCTTAGATGGCGAGTTTGGGCCGTTCAGGGGATGGTACGACAACCACTAGCCCGGAAGATGAGATTCGTATGCCCGCAGGGCGTTGCGATGGACTAGCATCTGCCGTGATCAGCGTCTTGCGAAACCATAAGTAGCAGTGTGTTCTCATCATGATGCATGAATACACAGCCCCATGGACTGGTCCGCGTACGATGCAGTTTTCCAGGCGTAGGCCAAAGGCGTTGCGACTGAACGCCCATGCCCTCAAGCCCGCTCAAGCAGCGATGGTGATGAGCATTATTGTGGGCCCCGTTGCGAGTTGACAGGTTCCAGTTGAATGCTCAAGTCAGCACGAGTGAAACACTGCCAACTGGACATCAGTCTCGGTTCTGGGATTCATGATTGGACAATATCTCCGAGCAACTCTCGCTAACTAGCGTTTGCTCATTTTGCTTTGTGGCTGCCGGAAGTGCCGGAAATGATGGATTGGAAAGATCCCTAACAACTCTCTTTTCGCGTCGCAGGGAGTAAATGGACAACTCAATAATACAAACCAGGCACATAGCCTATATTCGGCTGGTTTGGAGGAAGTCCTCCCGAGAACTCATGCAGTATGAGAAGCGAAATCACTGCACGAGTCAAAATGCTGCTGTCCGAATAGTGGCAAGACAAGCACGTTGGACATAGGTGAGGTTACAGGCACTCGAGCAAAGTGAGCCAGTAGAGTACTTCGGTAGACTCACTCCAGGTAAACCGAATCTGGACATGGCTCCCCGAGTTGCCCTATTCGAACATGCGGAATCTGGCACAGAATTTCTAGAGATACTTCATGATGTCGATATCTGGATGCCAACGTCTGTCGTGAACACACTGCACGTGAGTGTCTGATCGGGGCCGCAACTTACCCTCCACAGCAGTAGCAATGACCGACTCACCGAATTCGAGATATTGATGTGGGACCGGGTAATCGCAAGGCGTGATGCAAAGCCAGCAGCTATGTCTCTTCGGCGCCTTCCGACGAGGACTCGCACCTTATGCTCGGGCCCAAGCTGCAAAACGCTCCAGTCGCGCCTACATATCGCGGACGAACCCGTTGCAGAGGCCAGCAACCGCCGCTGCACAGGAAAGAGACGATGACGATGAGCCCATTATTCGTTACCAGACCGCGCCTGAAAGAAATTCTCCTCTGTTCCGTTCCGGTTCAGCGAGAGCAGACGCACCTCGTGGAGTTGGCGACTACTCAGCTACAAACTCACGACAACCTGTCCGAACGACACCTGATCGCGAAGCGGGTCCAACGAGCAGATACCAGCCGGCCGGTTCCAATGCTTCAAGCGGGCTTGACAGTCTCCTAAATTCGCTAGGACAGACGAATCCCGCGCCGGCATGGTCTACACCTAGAAGAGATCCACAGCGTCAGAGGACTGCTGTCGACAGTTATGGAGATCAGCAGCCGCAGCTGCGGTTCCGCCGCACCGGTAGCCACCCCAGTTACAGTAGGGAGCCGGACAGTGGCAGTGACCGCTACTCTTCACGCCCGGCCTACAGCACCTCGCTAAATTATGCCGACGGTGCTGCTGATCGCTCCCGCGGAAGACAAGCTGGGATGCGGCGCAACGACGCTGCCTTGGACCTCTTCCAAGAACGATCTTCCAATAATGACAATTACTCACGTCAGTCTCCGCGCGACTTCAACGGCTCGTACGGGAGGCAGAATGGTCGCAGGAGGCCAGAAGGAGAGTTCGGAAGGAGGCAAGAAGGAGGATTCAGCAGGAGGCAAGAGGGTGGCTTGGGACGGAGACCGGAAACAAAAGAAGCAGAAGCAAACCCACCAGAACCCGAAACCGAAACCTCCATTGATGTGGAAGACTACGACCTAGATCCATTGGACGCAGTCGAGGACCGCGTAGTTGACCGCCGAACGTATCGAGCCAGTAGGGCAGACCGCTACACTACTACTGCCGAGCCTGTCCAATCAGTATCAGAAGAAGCCGAGAAAGCTCAGCGAGCCAAAGAACGCGCCAAAGAACGAGAGCTCGAAAATGTCGAATCAATCATGGAGGGCGAGTCCGGAAGACGGCGAAACAGGAAGAAGGCGAAGAAAGCGCAACCACAAGTGGTCCAAGCTCCCTCTAGACCTACCCTGAAGATACCTGAGTTTATCAGCGTACAGCACATGGCGCAAGCGCTTGGCTTACGACTGGAGCCATTCATCGAGAAATTGGAGGAGGAGGGCTTCGAAGGAGCAACCTACGATCACCTGCTTGACTCTGGCACTGCCTCTATGTTTGCTGATTTATATGGATACGAACCTGTCCTGGCCACTGTCGAAACACAGGCCGATCTGGTCGCACGACCACCAGCGGAGGACACATCGCTTCTACCTCCGCGACCGCCCATCGTGACGATCATGGGACACGTCGATCACGGCAAGACGACTATCCTGGATTATCTACGAAAGGCAAATGTTGTTGCATCGGAACATGGTGGTATCACTCAGCACATTGGAGCATTTTCAGTCGTGATGCCGATCACCGAGCAACGAATCACTTTCCTTGACACTCCCGGCCACGCAGCCTTCCTCGACATGCGCCGCCGTGGTGCCAATGTGACCGACATAGTTGTTCTTGTCGTTGCTGCGGACGACAGCGTTATGCCGCAGACCAAGGAAGCCATTAAGCATGCACTTGATGCCAATGTACAGATCATCGTCGCCATCAACAAGATCGACAAGCCAGACGCAGATGTAGAGAAAGTGAAAAATGATCTGAACGGCGAGGGCATCGAGGTTGAGGGTCGAGGTGGAGACATTCAGGCCATCGAGTTGAGTGGCAAGACAGGCCAGGGCATGGATGCTCTTGAAGAAGCCATCATCACACTTTCCGAGGTTTCAGACTTTCGTGCCGAGACGACAGGCGCAGCGGAAGGGTGGATCATCGAAAGCAAAGTCACCTTGGCTGGGCGGGTCGCAACAGTCCTTGTACGTCGAGGTACTCTGCATGTAGGAGATTTCATCGTCGCAGGCAACACTTGGGCACGAGTCCGAACACTGCGGAATGATGTCGGAGATCTCGTATCAGAGGCTGCTCCCGGTACTCCTGTTCAGATTGATGGATGGCGTGGAGAAGATCCGGTAGCTGGGCTGGAAGTGCTCCAGGCGGACGATGAGCAGCATGCCAAAGACGTGGTCGCAATCCGACTTGAAAAGGCCGACGCGTTGAAGACTGCTACTGATATCGTGGCCATCAATGCCTCCCGGGCTGAAGCGTCCGAGGCTCGAGCCAAGGTGCTGGAGTGGCAGAACGAACAAGGCTTCCGCTCGAAGAAGCAGCAGCGAATTCGGTTGCGCGACACAAGAACTGGATGGCTCGACTCAGGCCCGGAGGCCGGACCACGCAAAGTGCACTTCGTTGTCAAAGCAGACGTGGCCGGATCCGTGGAAGCCATCGTTGCTGCAGTTGGCGCCATCGGCAACCACGAGGTCCAGGCAAATGTCATTCACAGTGCAACTGGGGCGCTCAGCGAATCCGATATCCGGATGCTGGCTACTAGTGGAGAGGTCAGCTATGGCATCACATTCAACCAGCCCGTCGACGCACAATCTACCGACTTGCTGAAGCAGCAGACATCGAGATTCTTGACTATAACGTGATCTACAAACTCACCGATGCTGTCAAGGAGAAAGTATCTGCTGAGCTCCCACCACTTATCACCACGAAGGTCATCGGCGAAGCGGAAGTCCTACAAGTCTTTGAAGTGGGCAAGAAGAACAACAAAATGCGCATCGCGGGGTGCAGCATCAGCAATGGTATCGTAAGCCGTGCTCAGAAAGTCAGGGTGCTGCGAGGTGACAGCGAGATATTCTCAGGATCACTTAGTGGTCTCAAAAACGTCAAAAAGGACGTGACTGAGATGCGGAAAGGGTCCGAGTGCGGTATGGCATTCGAGGCTGGGAGAATGCCCTAGTTGGTGATAAGATACAGTGTTTTGAGGAGGTCTCCGAGCTAAGGAAGCTGTATTAGCATGAGCGCGCATGACGGCCATTAGACCTATGTACAATGTAGAATACTTTCAACAGCCAAGAGGGAGGACACCGGAGCAGTGTGCAAAAGCAGTGTCTCAGAGCGAGACAGCTCAAAGAGACCTCACTGGCCATATAGTACTGCCAGCATAGGATCCAGTCCAGCGTGGTCCATGTCGTGAAAGCCAGTGACATGAAACTTCAAGCCGTAAAGAAGATCACTTGACTCGTGAATGATTGCTGGCGGCTAGAGCTTCCGTGGGGCCCCTGGTTGTTGCCAACCAATGAATCTCGCCAAGACCCGGTTGCCTCGTTTCGAAGCTTGTCGTCGCGATGAGGCTGAAACTCGAACCACGTCCAATCGACTCTCCATCGCTCCTGCTCCCACATCTCAAATTCTCCGAGCGAGACTTCTCGAACAGATCTGCCTTCGTGCCGACCAGCCCATCGTATCTGGCAGCGCCGCAACAGGCTCTCGTGTTTCAAGACGAGAGCTTAGAACCTGCCTCGTGCGATGATGACAGCTCGCGGCGAGAAGGCCTTTGCGGGGTGTCCCAGTCAATTCTTGCCTGGGTGATGGCCGCAAGACAGCTTTTGCCTGTGCTTGGAGGTGGGCAAGACAATCCATCCCGGTTCCAAAACGGTTGTCTCGTCTCATCATACTCAAATGGTGGTCCGCTGCTTTCCTTTCCCTTTCCTTTGCAGTTGTTAGATTACGTCCAGTTTTCCCAGCACGCGCGCTGGATGTGCTGTGCTCGCTGATCACTGCGACCCTTTCCTTTGTCATCACAACGTTCGCTTCTGCACGACGCTCATTTCGACTCATACGCAGCAGATCTTCCACGACCCTCGAGACTACAGCATCTGCGCGCCGGTGTTCCACCGCTACGAGAGCAGGACTCTCGATACACAAAGAAGGCAACATCACTAAACAGTAGAGCATAGTTTCTGAAAAGTTCAGGCCGCAAGTATGCGAGCTGTTGTAACACCACTAGTGCTAGCTACGCTAGCCATAGCCACGCCGATCCAGCTTGCAAACCCAACGCCGCCAAACGTGGTGGCCCATCGGTTCGGTGGCTTGCCCACAAATATCGCATCTTTACCTCTGCTCCGCCCAAGGCATGGAGATCACGGTGACGAGGTCAACGACGGAAACGGGGGCTCTGATGGCGCCAATGGCGATAGGGTACGGAACCGACCTGATATTGGCAGCGAAGGGCCGAGGAGAGCAGAAATTGAGAACTTCACGGCAGCTTTGCCGTCGAAAGTAGGCTCAGAAGATGGGGCTGTCCCCGCGGCAGGCGCTGGAGGCGGCGGCAATACTGGCCTGATCAGTGTCCTGACACAAACAACCCTGGAACCTGGGGATGCGAGGGCTACGGCTGCAACAGCCACGGCGACGGCAACTAGCGTTATGAACGGACAGGATCGTGGCGGCGGTAGCGACCAGAATGGACGAGGGCAGGGCGGACAGGGTGGCAGAGGGCAAGGAGGTGGACAAGAAGGTTCGCAAGGAGGCCAGGAAGGGGCTCAAGCAGCGCCGAACCCGAACCAGCCGCAAGAGGGACCTGTCGCCATTCCTGCTGGATCTGAAGACCTACCTCCCGCACCTAGTCGGGATGCAGCAGGCAATTTCGTCGTAGTTGAGAATGGTGCCACACGCACGATAGCCGGCCCAACGGGTGAGAAGACTGCGACTCTCGCCGAAGGTCAAACACCAGAGCCATCGGCGCCACCTCAGGCGACTGGGACTCCTGCGGCAGCCGTACCAGACCAAGCATCACAGCAAGCACCTCAGCCTCCCGCGACTCCTGAGCCTCAAACTACGCCTGCATCACCATCATCGCCACCGCCACCGCCACCGCCGGCAGCACCATCAGCACCGCCGCCGCAGGTGCAACCCATCCCACCTGCAGAGACACCTCCAGCAGCTGCCGCAAGCGAGAGTGCAGGAGCGCTCCCAACGGCAACACAACCGCCCGCTGCGGCGACGCCTGATCCTACAGTCGTCACGCTTTCTCCAACCACGCCTTGCACGACTGCCACACAGATCGTAGGCGCAATCCCACCGGAATTGTCTGCTGCAGCGGAGAGCGTTCTTGCGACTGCGAGTGAAGCTGCTACGGCTGCCGCTGTCACTGATACTGCATCTGCGTCTGATGCGGGTGCTACAGCCCCAGACTCTCAAGCTGCCACTCCCATCGGGATTCTGGTGGTCCCAGCATCAGGTGCTCCCGTCGGTCTCGGAGCTTCCGCCCAGCCTATTCCAGCTGACCTCGCGAGCCAAGCTGCACAGGTAGCTGCCTCAGCATCAGGCTCTGCCACAGTCACCGATTCTGCTGCCACGGCTGCTGCAACTGCGCCTCCAGCTGCAGCTTCAGGGACAGCCACTGACAATGGTAGTAGCAACACCGTCACAGTCACAGTGGCCGAAGTAACCGTGACCGAAGCAGCCGGCGTTGATCTAGTCGCGCCTTCTGCGACCGGCTCAGTTCTGCAAGAAGGGCAGGTCACTATGGTCACCATCCTTCTCTGACAGCGGCCGAGAGTGCAACAGTGTCGGAGACTGCCAGCGCAAGCGATAGTGCTAGTGCGAGTGATTCAGCGAGCGTGACTGCTTCGGCCGCGACGGCGTCAGAGACCGTGACGCCACCTCCACCGCCACCGTCACAAACGCCATCATCGACAGCAACAGTGACGCCGTCGGCGACAGCTGCACCAGTGTGGAATCGCCGTCCTCCGTTTCTGCGGATGTACCACCACCGTCACCGAGCCAGGTGGGCCGCCAGCCGCGAATGCCCAGACACTGGGTGTAGCTGGAGGGTTGTTGCCTACTGCAGCAGCTGGGAGTGGGGATGTTGTTGCGGGTGCTCCACCGAAGAGGAGGCGGAGAGTCTCGTGATACCAGGGCCGGAAGTAGGAAATTGTGAATATTCGATGTTACACTATGGCGTTTGAGATGGACAGACTTTGCGAGCATAGGAGCATTTACAGGTGGTGAGATTCTGCATAAGCATAGGAAACGGAGTATTGAGATCCTGCGGTCCAGACTTTTATCGTTTGAACCATACTGCTAGATGTCTGGAAGTTCAGTCGGAAATCGGCGTTGCTTCTTTTTTAAGCGAACATTGTATGCTGTTACACCTGAGTACGGAGTGCTGAGTCCAATGTGATCGTCACCTAACGCGAAGCTTATTGCGGACTCCTCCTAGGCTTCGTGCGAGCTGCATTGGCGAGCTCCTGCTTGACGTCAATGACATGATACGCTACGTCCGGACGGAGCTTGGGGTCAATGGGGTGCCGTGTGAATACAAGCCGGTAGTGGCACACTCGCTTGTGACAACGACGATCCATGGGATATCGATACTCGTCATCGATGGCTGCGTGTCGTAGACGGCTGGTGTCGAGCACGTATTTCATGAGCCGGAGGTCTGCTACCTCGAATTTAGTCCCCCACTGGGCGAGGATTTTGTGCGTGTGAATGTCCCAGAGTGCTAGACGATCGAGCCTGAGTAGAGTCGTAGGAGCTCAGCCATCCAGCGCTTAGTTTGTGAGGGACGATTTGCGACATTGTGGCGTATGTCAAGATTCCGGATCCCTGACACAAAGAATGGGTTTCTGACGCCGTACCAGCATGCCGCACTGATATCCTGCGCGACCACTCTGATTCGATCGGCCAGCAGATGGAAGATTTCTGCACGGATCAAGTGGCACACCTTCATCATGACCGTGAGGAGTGTTCGTGTGCCTTCGAGCTCTCTTCCATGATATACGACAGAGATCGCTTCGTTGCGAAGCCTGTCCCGCTCTCTGTAGGTACTGAGCCATTGCGACTGTTGGAGCCATATTGATAGGGAGGGCGGCGACTGGTAGAAGCTTACGCATGATCCTGTGCTGAGTGGTGCTGCGATGCTTTCTCTGTCATTCCGTTCGATCTGGCTCAATGTGGGATAGGACCAGCGCAGCCTCCTAGGCGCTTCAGTTGTATCGTGAACGTTCCCGCAGCGTCTGAAAAGAAGTTTTTGTATATCATTAGACGGACTTCGACAGGCAATTGGAGCAAGGACGACCCTTCTTGTGGCGACACCATCATTGCAGTGGACATCGAATGAGCAGTCGTGACTGAAGACATCGAGGATGAGGTGCGGACGAATCGAAAAAAAATAAGCGCAGAGGTTGAGAACACCTGTTTGTGTGTCCTGAGGTTAACTCTCTTGGCCATCACCACCCAGCTGAAGTACTCCAGAACCACAAATTTCTGCCTCGTGTGACACATTAAATCGTTCATTCATGATACCAGTCTATCTGCCTTCACCACGAGGCAAACGATCAGCACTGCCAATCCGCTCAAGCGGCCCCCCATCTCCGTAGTCAGTAAGTCCACGATACTTCTCCTCAGGGATCTCGGCCAAGCGACTAGTACCTAGCTTGCCGTCTTGCAGTGAGTAGAAGTGGGAGAACATCATGATCAACGGCTTCCACTTGTCAGGCTCGATGTAGTTCTCCTTGCCTTGACCTTCCATTCGCAGCTCGGGATTGATGCGGACATTGAGGATCTTGACCTCGAAGCACTTGATGACTCCGGGCATCTCTGTGTCGTTGAACAGGTCTATTGTCTGGACAAGTTTGGCTTCCATGACGATAGGGCACTCCGCGATGCCGGGAGCTGCAATGTGGACGGAGGGTAGTTGCGTGAAACTACCGAGAGCGAACTTGTCGCCGCAGTAGACGTAGTTGCGGTCGATCTTGCCTGGCGGAACGACTTCCGTGCCTGTAGTGCGAGCGATGGCATTTACATTGGCGGCAAGTGCAGATGAGGCAGGGAGATGGTACATTCTCCCGTTGCGCTGTGATGAGTGATCAGTCAGGAGACTCTTCACCAGGTCAGTGCGAAGTTGAGAACATACATAATGTTTTGTGTCGTGTAAGACTCGGCTGCCAGACCAAGTACACAATGATTGCCTAACCAGAAGACCGAACTCATTGGTCCAATGTTAGGCTTGGTGCTCGGTGAGGCATTGGGTGGAAGTGTGCCAATTAGGGCTGTTGGTGCTGTGCACGGAATCAGTGGTAGGGCTCCTTCTAGTATGTACGGAATGCAGCTCCTGGGCAACCGCTACGTATATGACCCGATGAGTGGGGCCAACTCACTGCCAAAGTAAAGGATCGAGGGAAGAATGTCCTCATGTTGGAATGGTTGCTGCATTGTGCGCCTATCGAGTAGATTCGGCGCTGTTGTAGGCGGTCTGATCGGTCGGCTTGGCTTGTCGAGTAGATATCGTCTGAAAGTGTCTGAGCTGTCTCAAGACTGGACTCACATCCTAGCTTTATATCCCACATCTCGTTGGCAGTACTGTACCTGTGAGTCCGAAGTCTGTGACTATTAGGCTGGATCAACATCTCGCCAGCAACGCAGTGTTACTGAATCCTCGACATTGCGATGGAAGTGGCCAGTCACATCAAAGACCGCGCGAACAAGCGGCTCCGTCGCAAGCGACACCATCTCCGGTGCCTGTACGCGGAGCTCGCTCGCGGACTGAGAGGCCTTGCATTCACAGAGCACTAATGTGGACTATATCAAAGTGAGTGGTCATGATGAGGGGAAACAAGTACGTTAGCGAGAAGACGGAATTCGATGACGAGGCTCGTACGCACCGGCGGACAGGGCGTCGTACAACATTGGCGCCCCCGTTCTCGCGGCGACGACTTTTGCGTGGCTTACGGATTCTTCCTACCATCCTAGTTAATATTGACGTCGAATCGCGCATCCTGGGATGAGTACACGCTGGCGGACACGACTCATCCGTACCTGCGCGCAGGCCCCGAGCATAAAGCATGCGAAGCATTGTCGCGTTTGACTCTTTGGTCACCACGAAATCATCTCCGTTACTACTATTGTGTTCTTGACGTGTTGTCGACCCAGACGACGGACAACAGTCACATCGTGGCAACTCTTTGTGAGATGTTCATATTCATAGTAGCGACAGATACTGCACAGAAGGATATGCATCGGATTGTAGTCCTTAAGCTGCGTCATGAAGTGGTAACTGACGTCGCCGAACCTACTCAGGCACTGAAGCATTCATCTTTCACTATCAGTGCCTGATCGCTGTCCACCATCCAAGGTCTCCATCATATATTTACGAAGTACAACTCTCTGCGACTGCAAACCGAAACACGGCAAACGGCAAACGTTGGCCTAGCTAATCTAGATCGGTAGATATGCCAGAGACGATCACCGGATCTTGCAATTGCGGACGCTATGTATACACCATCCCAAAGCCAACAGAGATGAATCTGTGCCGTAAGTAACGTTACTCATATGAACAGTGGCTGCAGCACTGACGACCAAAGATTGCATCGACTGCCGTAAGTGGGCCGGAGCAATGTAGGTACTTCCCTCCGCCAACAAACCTGGCTATTCACCACGACGTACAACAGGCACTCAGCACATCTCTTCGTCAAAACCGCAGACATCCAATCCCCCAAGGACAAACCTGAACCGCGGACACACACCATGGGCACAGACAGCGGGAACAGCATCACCCGCGGCTGGTGCGATGAGTGTGGATGTGGGCTTTTCATCAAGCCCCAAACCAAGCCGGACATGACCTGTCTCAAAGCGGGACTCTTCAAGCCGCACGAGATCCCCAACCCGACGATGGAGAACTGGATGAAGAACATGGAGAACTGGGAGACGCCGGCGAAGGGAACGAAGAGGACTTCTGACGTGCAGTAGTTGTCTCTGTCCACGAGAGTAATGTCCCTTACCAGTCTTATCACTACAGTGCTTTCTCAATGGGACGCGAGGACTTCTGTGAGTCACTAACGAGGAACCCACGCCTTCATTATATTGTACGTCCACTTCCTCAGTCAAATCGACACACAATTCCTGAGATGTCTTCTCTAGACGTATCCATCACCCAGTGATCCCATCTGGTGTAGCGGTAACATGCGAGACTTTCAAGCCTATACTGAAGCGAGTTCTCTCGAGCCCGGAGTTCGACTCTCCGGATGGGAAGTGAATTTTTTGGGTCGATGGACTGTGCAGATCAGATAGACGTGAAAGCTCCTCCAGCACGGACTGCGTGTCGCGTTTTGGCATAGCAATGTACAAGACGACACCCTCGCTCAGACCGCGTGCTCTATTGAAGGCTTACTTCCAACTTGCGCTTAGGTAGGATGGTCCAATGTCGAACCAGTAGTAGACCCGGACCCGGAGTGAGTAGATGATAAGCAGAACGTCTTCCTCGAACGACTGCGCCCCCATCAAGTGCCCAGGCAGGCCTCTCGCCGGATGTGGACTTCTATCTGTCGCGCACGGGAAATGATACTCTAATCAAGTAAAAGTGTACTCACGAAGGATGTGATAGTAATTCTTCTCCCGATTAGGTAGACTCGTTTCCAGAACCGAACTTCCTCAAGCTATAGCAGTCCTGCGGATAGAACAGATGACACTCGAACTAAGTATGATCAGACTTGGAATGAGTACCAAGCCGATGTCACTTGGGCGCAAGCCTCTGTCAAGTCCGGAGAAGAAGTACGTGTAGCAATTGACAAATGCTTGAACGCTATCAAAGGTATTGTATCCAAGTTATACAGTCGTGTGACCGCGACCCATTGTGATGTCCTCGAGTCGCGGTAGTGCTTTGAACACCACACAAAGGCGTCGCACTCAATATCGTGGTTTCCTTTCCGCGCGCACTCCAGCTCGCTTCACAGACGGGCGAGGGAACAGCTCGGTGTGATCCATCGAAACCACCGACGTCTGCACATATGTCTCCCCTACCTTCAGCCTCTGCCGCCGTCATATAGTCGGCGCCGGTAGCTTGCATATTGACCCCTGCTCCACGGGCAACTGCACAGCCTTGGCCGGCAAGGCGCCGTTGTATGAACCTTTGTCGGCCTTGACCGGGTCCCCTTTCCTAATCTCCATTTCGACACTGTCCAGCCATTCCTTCGCCGATATGCGACCCATCCCATCCTTCAGCACTGCTCTTTCCACCACATTTTCCACCACGCCGAATCGTGGTATTCTCGCGCCGTCATTGCCTGATCGCATGAAGCTGATGCACTGCCAACCTTGCGTCGCCATAGCCTGCCGTCGGTAAACATCGCCATCATACACACGAGTGTTTCCCGTGGCAGCGACAAGCAACGTGATGGCAAGCGAGAAGACGTCTGATGATTTTGTGGTTGTCGAAGAAGGGTCGCGTAAGACGCTGGATATCAGAAGCTCTGGTGCAGTGTACTCGCGGGTGACAGCGAGAGTGTTCCCAAAGGGATAGTGTCCTTGTCGTGCGATGTCTTGTGGGAAGACGAAAAGTCGATGAAGAGGGGATAAAGTTCCTCTTCAGTGACTTCGTCTTCATAGCTTGAATAATTATTGCCTGAGAACGAGTATTGGTGCGACGACTTGAATGACGCGAGGACGAAGTTACCTGGCTTGATATCGCCGTGGACCACACCAGCGCAGTCGTGAAGCCAGGCCAGAGCCGAGACCAATTTGTGTGCTAGTCGGAGCCATGCTTTAGTCGAGCCAAGGACTGGGTCGTGCATATTTGATGTTGTCAATTGTCGTGAGGCTCTACTGGCGCAGCGGCGTATGTGGTCTTCAAGCGAGACTGGACACGCTCCTAGCACAAGACTGTCATCCAATAAGCCGTAGAATGGAACGCTGTAGTTCCTGCTCCACGGAACATCATTTAGGTAGCTGAGTATGGTTGCCTCATTTCGAAGAATTGGCTTGGCATCCGGTCTTGCAGGCTTCTTTACAGCCACAAGGAGCGGTAACGGGCTCGTAGGTGACGAAGGAGGAGTCAGTAGACCTTGCGAGGTTGCTGCTCGTCGCAGAGGTGTGGCTTTGTAAACATTGCTCCAGGCGCCAGATCCAAATAGCTGATTGCGTCCACGCCCATCTTCCACCAGATCAACATCAAACGGGCAGATCAGTACGCCGTCTTCATTGCGTGTCGGGATCGGGGTCTCCTCGAGCGACCTTGTGGTGTCGTTGCCAGACCACCTCTTGCCAAGTCCGCGAGACATTTCTGTGACCGGTTGAGAAATGACATCGTCCAGTTTGGCCAGATCTGACGATGACCTGGAAGGCCGTTGCAAAACAGGCGATATCGGTGGCGTCAATTCAGCAATGGGCTGACGCTGTAGTGACTCGACATTCAGTGACTGCGGTGTTGATGGCGGAGTGCTGAGTGCACGATTCAGAGGCGGAGGTGGAGGTAAGGTCAACATCATCAGTCTGATGTCGCAACTCAGCAAACAGGTGTTGTCCAGACAATTTTGTTAAGGAGCCTTGGAAGAGTCGTTTGTAAGATGTCTTAGGTTGTCCGGAGCGTAGTGATACATATTGGTTAGATATACAGCTGGTGTTGATACAATCGTGATCCTTGGCTCACCAAGGTACTCAACCAAAGTGTTGCGTTCGACCACGTTTGACCAACAACGACTTCGCCAACGGATCGCAGGCTGAAGCTGAATTCAGACTTTTGACGCCAATTCGAAAGTCTTAGAATTCGTGATAGCTTCGTGTCTGAGCACGGACAAAGTGCTTAGCCGGCGGTGAGATCGCGGCTCTTTTCGTGTTCTCACCGAGTTGAACGATGCGCGGATATGTTACACGTGGTAGTAAGAATACTGCCCTTTCAAGAGGCAAAGCGAAAGGAATGTGTGGTCAGTGATCACAAAAGTCTGGACAGCGGCGCACGATGTAGCATTCCAGAGGAAATGAAGGGAAAGGAAATCCGCACTTTCAATTCTGGGGAAAGGACAGAAGGCCAGAACCACCCACTTGTACCTGCCCGTGCAGCCGAACGGGCTGAAAGGTTATCATTATCATCGCAGATTGATGTGTGGTGAGTGTGCACAGGAAGTGGCAGCGTGGTAATCTTTTTGCGGCTGGGAGGGCTGCAACGGTGCTGTGTGGTGACATCAGAAAACGATAGGTCGAGAAGGCTTTATTGGAAGCCTGGAATTACCCATCTGGAGCCTGCAGGAACGCCAGTTCGATAGGGCCAAATCTTAGGGCGCATATATCAGCAGACGCCGCAGACGTTGTGAGCGAGTCAATTTCTTTGGTGGCGGCCACGAGGTCTGATGATTGAGATTATCTGGCTTGGAAAGCAGAAGACAACGGGCAGGTCTCGGCGATGCGCGAATACGCTGCAGGCCTGTCACCTGGTGGGCTTGGATTTCCTTACTAACCGGTGCCATGTCTGTCGGATAGACTTGTGGGGCGCGGAAGCTCTTCTCCATCTGTAATAAGCATCATGGCACGGGCGAGACTTTTGCTGCTTTCAACAACGGCTTGAAGCACCAACAGCAACTTACATGGCATGCTTTTCTCGAGTGACCTCCGCGTCAATAGCATGGCTGTGTGACTGGGATTGGCGCAAGCACCTGAGATAGACAGATACGAGACGTGCCCGCTTTCGATGCCTGTCTGATAAGAAGCCTTCCCGAGCAGTGATAGCAACGATAAGCCTGGTCTAGCGGTTGTGCTGAGGAAAACTGCCCACCTTGATTACGGCGGAGATGCCTGGCGTTGATATCGGAAATGAGGTACTACTGCCCAGGTGGTTCGGAGCAGAATCTAGAACTCTAGGCCTTCCAGAAAGCCGAACTCATGCCGAGTGTTACCGTCTTAAGTGGGACTTATATGCTGCGATCGACTTCAATGCAGTCACGGCGTAAAGTAATAATGCAGCCGAGACTGATACATTTGGCTACATGGCTACTGCATCCTAATGAGTCGAGTGTGATCCCAAGTGGCTGCCCCGAGGTCCTCTTGCAACACTAACAGTTCCTGGTGGCACTCCAACAGCGTATTATCCCAAGCCCTTCCAGATGCCCGTCACAATGAATGTATCCCACAGAGAGCATGTACCGCCTGCGCGCAACCTACGCCGATCCCAACCGAACAAAGCCAACGCCCCCACCATACCGATCCAACATGAAAGCATGAAGGTTATGGCAACATATCTGCAGCCTCCTCATCCGTGACAAAAATCTCCGTGATGGGACACCTTTCCGGGTCGTTACTGTCCATTATATCATCGTCATCGTCTTCATCGTAGTCATCCTCTGCACTGCCTCCAAATCTGTTCCGACGTCGCCGATTGTATGATGATCCTCCGTATCTAGAGAGCAGATATCCTGGCAGAAACAGCTCGTCGTTCCAGGTGAATCCCTGGCTGTGTTTCGTATAACAGATCAGCCTCGGCGGCTCGCTGTCGTCATGATGGCCGGAGGAAAGATTGATCGACTTGTACGAAGTCGAGGCAGCCATGGACGGACCGAGCGGGGAGTTGTGAGGGTGGGCCAACGTGCTAGGCATACGCGATGGCGGGGACGATGACGGCGTCACCGGTCGTTGCTGCTTAGTTATCCGTTTACTGTTGTCTTGCCTGTGAATGTGGCTCGATGTGGTCGTCGGAGATATAGGTGTGCGCACGGGTGCCTTCTGCTGCGCCTTTGTGGTCAGGGCAGTCCCGCCATTGTCGTTGTCCCAGGACGATTGGCTCGAGCCGACGGAGGAAGACGGTCCAGCGTCTGAGCTATCCGTACGCTCGAGGCGGGCTTTGTAACGGCTGCGTCGGGCGGCCGCAGCAGCTCGAAGTCCTCTGGATTGTGAAGGTATCGAGATTGCGTGACTAGCGCTGTCCTCGGAAGACATTGTGCTCGGGTACGGTCGTATACTCTAGAAGTGATGTGCTTTGATCGTGTGTCCTGCACCAGTGCACCGAACAATCATAGGAAGCAGCTACATGGAAGTGAAGGGTGTATGAGTCAAAACAAGGAGGAAGCGAAGCGCGTGGTGGTAAGATGCCATTAAAGCGGGCAGTCACGGGCCCCCGCCTGCCAGACCCGAAGCTCACTCACTCGTCATTGTGCCTGTATCGATAAGCTTCTGATTGGCGGAGGTCCAACAGTTCAGCATAAAGCAACGAGGCATCTGAGATTCCTTGTCGAAGTACTGCAGAGATAAAAAAAAGACAATGAATCACTTTTCAATTTTGTACATGTCAATATCTGCTGTACAGTGATTTACCAGTAAAGGTGTATTCACTAAAGCCCAATTGTGACCTTTAGATCAGGCATAGTAGCGAGGAGCACCCCCACGAGCGTCACCATCAAGGACGTGGTAGAAGTGGCCTCGGGCACCCGGGGGCTTGAACATATCCGGGAAACGTCGGCCTGGTGGAACCTGCTCTTCTGATATCCTCTCGTTCGTATATGAGACGGGCTCGCCAATTACGAATTTTCCAAGCTGTAACCATGAGTATATGAGCAAAGAATGGATGAGCGCAACGTACCTGGATCTCGGTGTCTGTGATAGTGCCTCGGGCGACTCGAGCATAACCAACGCGCTTAATATCCTTGTATAAGATGTATTCGCACCATCGATCCCAGTCGCTGACATCGATGTCGTGCATGGTACTCTTATCACCGACGTATGTATTGTAATTGCCTTGCTCCGGCTTTGTGACCAAGTAACTCAGCAGAATTGCCGGACGAGGTGTAGCAGCCATAAGTTTGCTGAGGTATAGACTCTGCAGTCGACGATCTTCGGGGTCCTCTTCTTGACCAGAATGGAAGACGAAGACATCTACCAGAGTACCGTACACGTCAAGCGTAGCTTCAATAGCTGGCGCAAGCTCACCTACCGGTGATGGTAGAAGATGATGGGTGGAGTTCACGATCGGGAACTTCGACAGAAGTGCACTGCCCCAAGTGTGCTTGTTCGGGCCAGGGCCGAAGTCAACATACATGCCCAGGTCTTCAGCAAGGAACGCCGTGGCGTCGCGGTTGCCCATAATGATGCGCTGAGTATCCGACTCTAGCAGACCGATAACATCGATCTCCAATTCTTTGAGCGCATCGCGAATCCTGTACTCGGAGGTCCAGAGGTCGTTGTCCAGAGAGAAATGTGTAGTCCAGATGCCGGCTGTCATTAGCTTTTCCTCTTTGTGATACGGCTGGTAGTCGTTCGTCGGGAAGCGTAGGTACGCAATGGCCGCAGACAGCAGTTGCAGAGCCAGTAGGATGTGTATGTAATATGCCGAAGCTTTCCTCGAGCTCGAGCTGGTGGCCGACCGGCGTTTGTGAGGTGAGTCGGTGGTCTGGATCGTAAAGACAGCCGCCCCAATGGCTATCATCATTGTCGCCATGATCCAGTCAGTATGCTCTCGCACTAACGGACCGCCAGGCACGAAGGCGTAAGCGACTACCCAGACATGGAACAGGACCAAAAAGTTGTAGAACAAGAACCCAAATCCAAAAGTCTTGGCTGGATTGTGCTGGGCTCCGGCTGTGATTAAACTCGGCGCAACACCCATCAAATAGACTGTCAAAGCAAGGGCACCATAATAACCCGTCCAATGGCTGTAGCAGGTCAGTAGTGCTGCTCCCACCGATCCAATGCCGAAGGCTGTCCATGTTGTAAAGACTTGTGGGATCGATGTTCCTAGGAAAAGCCCGACTGCCATGAAGAAGATGGTGACGGCGCCGTGTGGGCTAGCAATTGGGCCACGGACTGGATAGCCCTCCCAAACCCATAGGATCATTGTACTTGAATCGGACAACAGCGAGTGCATGCCGAAGAACAGTGCTCCAAGCCCCAGACTGATGAGACCGGCAGAACCCTTCTTCTGAGCGGCGGGGTTGTAGTCGCCACCACTTACGTTGACTTGACGGGTGGATCGCCAGATAGCAAGGACTGCCAGTAGAACGCCAGTCTTGTTCCAGCCGCCGCCCTCAGCATTAAGAACAGGCCATATGGGATTATTGCCGTAATTGGCGAATTTGGAAATGCTGGATAGCACCAGGCCGATGGTCCATGCAAGAATGCGCGTTTGCAGTCGATTCGGATTGGCCCTCTCTGCGTACCAGGTTGCACTCCACGCGATGCTTCCGAGCGATACAGCGGTACCGACTGTGAAGAGCCGATACACTGGATCTTTGACTAGCCACGACAGAACACCGGCCACGGACAACAGGTGAACGACACGGATGTTCTTAATGACCAGAGAGCGTACTGCTGGGATGGCAAGCCACAGCGGTGCAGCTGGGGCCATCACGAAGACCTCGAAACCGGAAATGCCCATGTGCCACAATGGGAAGTACCAAATTACAACGCCGAGGCAAGTCAAAATTGACCAGAATACGTAGCCAGAGAAGATGTCTGATGCAGCGTCCAGCACTGCCGGCCAGTAATATGGGCCATCGAAGGTCGAGGCCTGGATAATGGACTGATCAGGACTGCAGGCAGGACTTAGCTTGAGCTACTTAGGGTGGACGGGAGGCGTACTTCTTATCCTTGACACTGTCTTTCAGCGTTTTCGCGTCACTGTCGGGAATCAGTCGTTGCTCGGATATAAGCAGAACGGTCGTACCCTGCTCATTTCGGGAGCCATTGCACGTACCCTCGGCTGAGACCCTTGACGTCTCGGACGACCACCTCAAAGGTATTGAAGTCATATGCTGTAACAGCGTCGAAAGCTACATCGAAGAGGACAAGGGCCCACTCGAAGAAGGCGTATATTGTATACGCTGTGCCCTGTCAGTAAGGTCGGCATGCCAGGCATCACATCAACTGACCTCCTGCCACTTTGTGGACTTTGTGCTGAATGAAGAAGTAAATGAGCGGGACAAGAGTCCCGAAGAACAGGCCAGCGAACCTCTTGCGCCATTTAACAGCCTCGGGATTGGGCGGACTGAGAGCGAGACAGCCCAGAGTCCATGGAAGTGTCGCGACCAGATATGAGATCATGAAAATGTCATGCCAATCATGGTCATCGGTCGAAGTGACATATGTCCAGCCTCCGCAGGTCAACGTTCTGAAGACACCAACACCGGCAATGATGGCAGGCAGGTTCGAGTTCGGACGCTTGGTGAGGAGATACCACAGCCCGACCAGGGCGAACCGCGGGCCAGATGTCATGGCGATGAAGACCATGAAGACCGATCGTTCGGGATATCTGTCGCCTATCGTCGCACTGACAGAGGGAAACCATTCCTCAGGGTAACCATAATGCTCATTTTGTACAATCTTCTGATAATGCAACCAGCACCCAACGAAGAGGGCGCCGAGGAAGGCGCAGTATGCGACGGCGGTGTGTACCCAGGATACCCATCTTGCGTTGAGCTGGCAGTGATTAGCGCAGATGTTTGAGCAGAGGAGGGTCGTGAGCATACTGTGAAGACGACATCCCCCTCCTTGTACTTGGGAGCCATGATGGAGATAGTCAGAGATCAATTCATTGGTAACAACGACAGCCAGAAGCAGAAGGGGCGAGAATAACACAGACGAGAAAAGGATCAATTAAGGAGTGTAATGAAGATGTGTTTCATGCGAAGAAGCAGAAGCAGAGCAGTTGTGGTCAGCATGCGATGATCAGTAAATATTTCCTACGCGACCGCGACTCCAATGGAGCGCGGCTGCAGCCCCTGAAGCACCCCCGAGCCGAAGTCCCCGAATCGCTCGCCCGCCCACATGTGCGTCACCAGACGAGTCTCCAATTTATTTTCATTGCCCATATTGAACCACGCATCATTATAAACCACGGAGTGTGCTCTGACACAGCATATCAGAGATCCCCAGTCTCGCTAGTGCGCCAACCCTATCGAAGCCACTACAGCAATTATGGCCGCAGCCTCCGATAAAGCGCGCTTCTTCCTCGAGCAGTCAGTGCCGGAACTGAAAGAACTCGAAAAGAAGAAAATCTTCACCGCAGAAGAGATCAGCAAGATAGCGAGACAAAGATCCGACTTCGAGCACAAGATCAACGCTAGAGGCTCGACTGCTACAGACTACCTGCGCTATGCAGAATTCGAGACCAATGTCGACGCTCTACGGAAGAAGCGCATGAAGCGGATGGGAATAAGAAGTACTTCTCACAATGGCCAACGGCGAATCTTCTTCGTGCTAGATCGTGCCACCAAGAAGCACCCATCTGACGTTGGTCTTTGGCTTCAGGCTATCGAGTATGCCAAAGCGCAAAAGGCCAACAAGAAGTTGCAACAGCTCTTCACGAGTGTCCTCCGACTGCATCCCACTCGACCAGAACTATGGATCTATGCTGCCCAATTCGCCATGGAGGAGAACGGCAACATGACTGAGGCGAGAGGATACATGCAGCGAGGACTGCGCTTCAACAAGAACAAAAAATCATTGTGGACTCAATATCTGCGCTTAGAAATGTCATACATTGCCAAAATCCAAGCTCGACGAGAGATCTTGGGAATTGCTGCCGCAGAGGCCGATTCGAGTGGTCGAGCACAGGAGGCGGCGCCGGCCTCAATCACGACAGGAGACGTTGTGCCGGAAGAAGAGGGCGATCAGGTTGACTCGAGGGCATTGCAGGCCCTGGACAACGTTCCCGCGCAATCGGGCGCTATACCAATCGCTGTCTTTGACGCTGCCATGGAGCAATTCGACAATGATGAGGATGTAGTAGCGGAGTTATTGAAGGCTCTGGAAGACTATGAGCATCTCGAGGTCCTGGGAAAGATCGTACGCCATATCAGGAATACCATTGACGGTGGATCGAAGAAGCCCTGGCTGGTGTGTATCTGCGACATTTGGCTGCCAGTAATCGGGATGACGCCAAATTCAGAAGCATTCCCGGCCGCTTTCAGATCTGCGCTCCAGCAATTGCGAAGTGCTCAGAAACAATTCAAGCACTCCCTGGAGCTATCTTATTGGGCGAAGCGATGGCTGCAACGTATAGCAGAAGTCGAGGATCTGGATCCAGCACTGCTGACCGTCGCAACAGCAGTCTCTCAGACCCTATAGTTGTCTTGTCACGACCATGTTCAATCGAAGCTCTTCGACCTTGCAGCCTTCTTGGAAGACTGCAGCTTCTTCATCCTCAGTCGAGCTTCGTTCTCTGATCTCTGCAATTTCTTGACTTTCACTGCTTGTGATTTCGAGGTTTCGGCCGGCACGATCTTCTTGAATTCATCGTCAATCAGTTCTGACAGTCTGCGGAAGCAATTCTGCTTGTTCTCGCTCTGTTTTCTGCTCTCATCTGACTGGATCAGAAGCGAGTCACTCTTTTGCGCGTAATAGCGGCCTGTCCGAATGCTGGCATGCAGAGCAGTCGGTAGTCGTGAGAGTAGCTGCCCTACTGGTACTCGTAATTGAGCCTTGGAATTGACCCTGTCTAGTTTAGCATCATTCCGTGATGACCTACCATATTGCTCACTTATTGACATTTTGACCTCCTGGACCACTCGATCTCGAGTACGTCAACTCACCAAGGCTGTCTGTTACCGCCGCGGGATCTTGGGAGAAGGTGCGGTACCACTCTCGCGCTTTGCTCAGGTCTTCTTCAGATATCTCGGCGCCTGTCGAGTAACATCGTGGCGTAGGCCGCTGCAGTAGTCTGAAGGTACCAGTTGTCCAGAGCCGCATCTGCTGTATGGGACAATGACAGTACCGGAGTCGTAGTCAGCGGAAAGAGAATGACTCGTGTTCGAGTCGTGGTGGTCATCATCGCAATGGGTGGGTCTCAAGATGCCAAGGTCGCCGGTGACTGGTCGGATTGGGTGCACCGCGGTGGCTGCTTCTCTTTTCTTCCTCGAGTCTCGTCACTGACAACCTTGAACTCTTCAACGCCTCGACACCAAGCTCTGCAGTCACGACCGATCTGACTGTCAACTTCCGCCTTCCTCTTTGTGGATTCTCTAACATCTGCTTTCGAACATAGCAAACAATATGGGATAGAGGCATCCTCAGATCAGTTCTTCTGCTTCACCCGCACTTCAAGTGCCATTTCCATTACCAGAACACTTTTTCAGTTGCCCTCTCCGGTATTGCTGGCCTGCGCATCATCACTGTCTAGCCGAAATATCCTTCACTTCGATTTGCGCTACTGCCTGCCCTTCATGAAGTGCCAGGAACTCCAGACTTTCTTATCATGACGGCCCCTCCTAGTCCGTCAAACCCACCTCTGGAAGCTCAACGCTTTGGCAGATCGCAGACGCCTGAAAGTCCACGTCCAATCCACATAGCTGAGCCCACTAATATTCCTGTCCTGCAAAACCAAATGGATCCCGTCTTCAATGACACAGCCACCCACAATGTCCCGCACGATCAGCCCTTCGCCTCGTTCACAGAGCCTGCCCAACCCACCACAAACACCCAAAATGACGAGAATGACGCCGTGCAAGACTTCTTCAGAGCCGCAGAAGAAGAGTCCTTGAGAACGCTGCCACTGAACCCGCCCAACCAAGCCGCGACCGAGATCACTGCCTCCACACTCGTCAACGGATCTGCGCCCGATCTTCCCGCAAATGATGCTCCTGCACCTGTCCTCAACGATCACGCTGCCGTACTCGACCCGGCTGCGGAGCATGAAGAGCTAGGTCAAGGCATAGAGACCACAGTATCAGAGGCGCAGGAAAAGACAGCACCAGCCGAGCCAGACGCGACCCAAGACAAGCCAGGCAATGATGGTGGTGTAGATTACCAATCTCTCCTTGACACCATCTCCCAGTCCGCCTCTACAGCTCCTGCAGCTGAGAATCTTACCACGCTCACAACCACCGCTCCCATCGTTGAGCATGATCAAAGCACAAGCTCTTTGCCCACTATACCAGGACTTCCTCCAAAGCCCCCTGCTATTCAGCTACCCGCAGATGTTACATCCTATCAAATCCCCGAATCTAGCCTCTCTGCTACTTCCGCGATCGATGGCCCAATCTCCCAAGTCGATAAGCTTGCTACCACCCAAAGTTTTGTCTATGAGGCTTCTCCCAATGCCGCTGCCATGTACCCAGCCGAAGGTACGAGCCAGCCACAGGTGATCGTCCTTGGTCACCACAGACTCAATCGATCTATGATCAGTTCCTGGAGGACGAGCGTGGCTTTGTCACAGACGGTGTTTGGGACCGCTTTCCTGCAGGGTCTCGCTTGTTCGTTGGTAACCTGCCCAGCGAGAAGGTTACCAAGCGTGATCTATTTCATATTTTCCATCGTCATGGCAAGCTAGCCCAGATTTCCATCAAGCAAGCATATGGCTTTGTTCAATTCCTACAAGCGTCCGATTGTTACAAAGCACTCGAAGCTGATCAGGGTGTCGAGATACGCGGAAGAAAGATCCACTTGGAGATCTCGAAGCCGCAAAAGAACACGCGGAACAACAAGCAGAACGATCGTGCTGCTAACAACAACAACCAGCATCGACGAAGATCCAGATCACCAGCCCGGAGGGTGAGCGATGACCGTCATGACTTCCGCGATAGAAGAGACAACTATCGACGTGAACGCTCACCTTCGCCACGAGGGTACCGAAGAGACAGTGGGCGATACGATGCTCGAAGTCCACCACGTGCGCAAATGAGTGTACAGACACAGCCATATCCTCCGGTCTATCCACCAGTCTATCAGCAGCCACAGCAGCCATATGACGAAGACGCTGCGCTCCCACTCCCGCGGCGGAACCCGCAAGACGTCCCTGATGTCCAGCTCCTCATTCTGGATCAAAGCGTGCCTCAGGCCTTCATCAACTGGTAGAAGAGGGCTTCCGCACGAAAGGACTTCGAGCATCGACCATCTGGCTGAGTCCGCGCCTGCCGTTACAAGCTGTGATCAAGAGACAGATACTGGAAGGTGTTCATGCGATTGTCAAGCTCCTGCAGGTCAACTCGATAAGCTACAAGATACCACTACAGGTATTCGACAGGTCGTCTGGCGCGTCCAATGTGAAGTTCAACGAATACGTGGACCTTGACTTGAACGTCGCTGGAGATATCGTAGTCCACACAAAGCGGTCTCAGCCATCGCCATTGACCCCACATCCACCAACGCCTGCGTTCAATAACGCTCAGTACGGCCAACAACCTATGCAGTCGCCGCAACAGTGGTCTCCGCAAGGCCAGCCGCACTATCCTCCCCAAGGCCAACCACAGTACCAACCACAGTACCAGCAGCGGCCGCCGCAACCACCCTATCCTTACACTCAGCAACAGCAACAGCCTCAGTACGGGCAACCACAGACTCCTACACCACAGTCAGCTGGCTCGAACGCGCCGAACCTCCAACAACTCTTGGCGAATCTGAGCAAGCCAAACGAGCCTCAATCGGCGGGACCTATATCAGCTCCAGTACAAGGTCGTCCTGATCTTAGCGGACTCCTGAGTAACATTGCTGCTAGTCAGCAAAATCAACAGCAGCAGCCGTACTCGGCGCAGATCAGTCCGCAGTCCTACGGTACTACTCCCAATTCTGCTCAAGGCTATGGACCGGCAGCGCAGAACAATGTCTCGAACATCATGGCACAGCTAGCCAGATATCAGCGATAGTTGGCGGTCATGTCCGGAAGGTCGTGCGCCATCATTGCTTTTCCGACCTGGGCACTACGCTTATGTAAAGAGAAAGACACATCAGTACGCCCTTTGCGTGTGGTGACGTTCATGCTCCAGTGGCTCGGGGTCGAAAGGAGCTCAGAATGGGTTGTGTCTTCCGGAGGGCGTGGCGTTAGATGGGTAGCCAGCGAAGAAACCTGACGTCCAAGGACGAGTCAATATTGACACTTCAATGAAATGAAATGACTACACCTCCCTTTCCTGCAGTGAACATCAACTCCCGGCATATCTATGAGCCGCACTGCACCGCTGCACCGTTCTTTCGAAGTCTTACATCGCACGACAGAAGAGCAAGTGACGGCCATACATGCATTGAAGCCAAAACCGCCTCGGCCCGGTCGTGCTTCTCGTGTTGGAATTCGTTGGAGATCGCTAGGCGAACCGTATCTCAACAACCTTCACCACACACCGTGGCCATTGGGCTCCTTGTCATCTCACCACATGTTGCAGGCTGCTTCAATCATTACATGATACACGTTGCAATATTTGTGGGGGTTGATTTTGACATGTGACGGCTGCAAGAGCGACGGCGCGAGCCTTTGCAGCGAATCCACGTGTTCGTTCGCTTGGAATGAGGACCTTATACTTCCTGGTCAGTGGGCAGAGGTGTGACTTGAGGCCCATCATTGGGTAGTGATGCATTGACTCGACGCGACATGACTTGCTGCTCAGCGACCCACCACCCGAACGCAGTCAGTGGCCTGTTGCGAGAGTCAGAGAGCCACTGAGGCCCAAGAGGCCCAAGAGGCCCAAGAGGCCAAGGGATGCTGTCCAACCTGAGCCTCTTGGACCAATTTCTTCGACCACTCCCCCCACGGCCAGCAACTTCACTGCACCCGTCTCACCTCCACGTAGTTGCTACACTGGCCTACCAGACGTAACTGCTGCCCAATTCTGCCGGAAAAGCAATGCAAGCACGGTGGGTGCAGATGGCCCTTACCTTGAAACGTGAGTGAATGGCAGGCGCCACCGACCATTGACGAGGAGACAAGTGCAGTGCAGCGGTCTTACCCGCTTCGACACGGCTATATCTACCCTTCATCTCCAGCTAGCAATCGATCGAACTTACATACCACTATCCAACCCATCGAAACCCAACCCAATACCAACCCAAAGTCCTTTGTACCACTACCACGACCACCACGTCACCCTTCCAAACCCCAGATCGAGCTCCGCTCTGCTCTAAAGCCACCACAATGGGACCCTGTTCAGCCTGCAACTGCTGCTCCGGCCCGTGCACGGGCAGCTGCTCATGCAAGGGCTGCGGCGTAAGTGCCAAATCCAAGCTTAGTGTGCCGGAGGCGATACTGACGGATCTGAACAGCACTAGATTTCAACCTGCACCATACTGAGAGAATCGACTCCTTGCTGGGGCTTCCGAACGAAGGAGAGATGACGACGGGGGAATGATGACACGGCTTGACCGACGGGGGGTGGCTTGGGCTTGTTGACGACGGATTCAAATATTGGAATGGGGATGACAAAACATCGTCTGTGCTGTTGAGCTCTCGAAAGTATTCTTATCGATCTGAGGCTGACTGGAGAGGCCGGTCTCGCAAGCGCACACAATACGGGCGGTTGTGCCTTCGACTCTCAATAGGTTCGGCCTGTCTGTGGGCTTGAGGCAGCACTCAACTCACACTCCTAGCACCTCCCAAAAGTAGCAGTCAGGCTTAGAATCGAGCACATTCATTAAGCACTCCGCTGCTCTGTCACTTCCATGGATGCTCGAGTTTGAAATGATCGTCATCATCGTTACCCATCTATGGCAGATCTGATCTCCCTCCTCTAGACGTGTATCAAACCGATCTGATCGGCCCCATGGCCCCCCAACCCGTTCCCTTTCCCGTGATCCCAGTACTCGTACACCACCAGCAGCCGTCACCTTTCTTTCCCGGTCATCATAAAACTACAGGCACGCTTTCTTCGTGCACACCGTCCCTGTCTCGATGAGGACAACACCAACACTGTGCCTCGTATCTATCCCAGCCTATGTCCGGGGTGTCCCGTCTTGCTTTCTTCCTGTTCGAGGCCGTGAAATTCATGATCAATCCGGAGACTTTCATCGAGCCTCATACTCGCTTCGCTTGCCCGCTGATTGAAACGCTTGCCGCATCGCCAAAATCATCTTTCACTGCAAAACTCACTTCACAACAGCACCACCAGCAACAGCAACCTTCCCCATAACATCCGCTTGCGTGACCTGCAACGGCGCGCACGGGCCGGTAGCGCTCAAACTCAGAGTCTTACTCAACCGGCGCTTAGCCCTCATAATGTCATCTTCGATCGTCGTGCTTGTTGTTGAGGTAGACGCCGTGGAGGGCTCTCGTGGCTTGTGTGTGCGCTCCTTCCGACCTTGACCGGAATCTATGTCTCCTTTGGTTCTCGTGCGGGTCGGAAGGGTTGTGCCGTTGGCGGGGATCGTTGGCGGCGGGGCGTCCTGCTTGCTGGATCCCTTCTGGGGTGAGCCTGTGGCTGAGGACTTGGTCTTGTCGGTCTTGGCTTCTGCTGCTTTGTCCTCATTGCGTGTTCGTGGCTTGGTGAGCTGGATTGGATTCACTTTCTCGCTGTGTATCTCATCAAGGTCACCCGCACCAGCCACCGTCGTCTGGTAGACACTCTCACTAGCGATCGGCACACCCCCAAAACTTGCACCCAGCATCCGTAGCAGCACAACGAAATATCGATGAAGCGCGGCGAAAATCGTTTCGTCGCCCACAATGTCCGCCAGTGATCGCGGACTCGTCTGACCTGCTCGCCGCATCGTGCCATCCGGATCCATTGCGCGCTGTGTAAGGAATGAGGAGACGGGCGTGTATGCTAGCTTCTCCTTCGTCCCACCACTGCTACCTCCCGTGCCAGATTTTGTGCCAAATGCGCCACTTACAGGCCGAGTTGATGAGCGCTCCTCTTCCTCTTTCCGCTCTTTCTCTTCCACCGCTCGCGTGGCCATAGCCTCGATGCCCTTCGCAATCCCGGCAAATGCTTGCCATAGCATTGGACATGCCCGGAACGCGCGGGATGCATCTGTGCCGGCTAAGGCGAGAAATGCATAGCACCGCCTCCTGCCTCTTGCCTTCGGGTCTGTGAGTCGAAATATGTAGGCTATGGTGTACCCTGCAATAGAGTCGCCGAAACACAGAGGCCCGTCAGCCATGCCTCGAGGTAGCATCTCACAGGACAGTGTTCGAATGACGGACGCACGGAGTGCGGCATAGGTCTCGGGAGAGGACGGCGATTTGGCGGTCAAGTAGGTGAATGTGTGCTCGTGGCAGGTGTCGGAGGAATGATGGTGTGAGTGAGAATGCGATTGGGATGAGGAGTTGTAGGAGGAGGAGCCAGGGTAGCTGTTTGCAGCACTACCATTCGAGTGCGCGCCGAGCATGTCAAGATTGTTCGTTTTGTCTGGTGGGGAAGAGCCCAAGCACACAAGCTCTCGCGACCGGAAAACAGGTGCTCCGTTCTTGCTCTTTCTATCCGCCTTGATGCTGCCAGGAGCGCCGGCGGGAAGTTGGCCGGCGACCGGGTCTGGAACGGTGAAGGAGCAGGATGCGCAGGTCTCGCCTTGGGCGCGGCCGTAGCGAAAACGCGGAGCAATGTCGGTGTCGCTATGTCTGAACAGAGGATGACGTTCGATATTAGGACTCTCGGGCTCTGAGTCGATGGTGGTAGAGGCGCCGAAGAAGTCGGTAGGAAGAGTCAGGTCTGTGCCGGTCTTCCGAAGGGAAGGTATGGCATGTTGTTGGGTGGTGGTGTATTCATGGTAGTCGTCTTCGCCGTCGAGTGTTTCGCCTGAGGAGCGTGCCCGGAGCGGCGGTGTTGGCGGAAGGCATGTTGCGCATTCGACGGGCAGCACTTGTGTACAGAGGACGTTCTTGGGGCCATGCGTCTCGCAGAAATGAGTTAAGGAGATCTGTACAGGTGCGTGAGTAGAAGCAACAGTGGCGCAGGACCGAGGTTGCGCATGCTGATGAAGCACGTGTTCATGGAGCAATCATTGTACTCACTGTAAAGTCCATGGCAAACACATGCCTCTCTCTACCTCAGACCTATGGACAGGCTGTGCCGGGCGGAACAAGGACAGCAACAGCTCTGCCGGGCCATGAGCGCGTTGCCGGCGCGCTCCTGTTGTGAGTGATAGGTCGCACTGCTCTGTCGTGGGATGACTGCCTGCGGTTCTTGCCGTCCGTTGAGTCTTGAGCAACGTGGCAGGAAGGTTTCGTGGAGGTGCTCGTGTGCCGGATGTACGGAATGCACGTGAAAGGCAATTGCAATGCGTGGAATGGTCTTTGCTCAATGTCGCCCTCGATTTCTATGCGCGAAGTGATGGAGCGGAGAGTCCTACAAAATGGAAGTAAAGTACAGAAAGAGATGGTGTACAACAGTAGCGGTGTCGTTTGACGTCGCAGGCGACAGCACACGTCAACGGCATCTCAACGCCGCCGCCGAACCTGGTCCGCGTGGAAACGGCCCGCCGCTCACCGCTACACCAGTGCACCATCCACATCGCTTGGCCTACAATAGCCGATCACTCGCAGCCAATCACATTTCACGAATTGGCAGCATATGCTTCGTTCCTGTAGATTGAACCTTGCCGCCGTCATGGCCTCAACATATCCGCGAGATAAGCCGTGCATGGATCTAGCACGCAGAGCCAGAGTGATGCAGGTTCTACTGTACGAGACTTGCGTTCACACGAAATTTCGATGCAGTACGTGAGCGCTCCCGAAAAGCCTTCGTTGACTGCCTGCCTGCGCCTGCTATCTTCATATGCGTGCTAAAAGTCCAGAGTCCGCCCGCATCATCACGGGGTCGCACTTCAATCGATGCACCATTCCATTGGACCATGACTAAAGCGCATCGCAGTCCACGGCGCAAGGCGATAGAGCTGGCTGAACCAGTTGGCACATTGACTGATCGCAAGCTTCTCATCATGAGGACTTCCTCGTGCTTCCCGTATCGCATGCATTATGTCAAGACCAGAAGACTCCTTGAGTCCATCGAAGACAAGCTCTTCCTTGAACTTATCAGCTTCCTCCGATCCGTGGGGAAGCGAGTCCAGCGTCTGCTTGTTCTCTAAGCTGATGTTGTTCACAAGCCTCAGAAGCAGGGCCAAGATTTCGTGCTGCTTCCTCGAGAGCATCTGCAATAGAATATGCCGGAGCGCTCTGACTTGTACGACTCCGCCCTCGGTAGCATCACTGTCATGAAATGCAATGACTCCTTTCTGTGCTCCTTGCATCTGGAAGTCATGCGTCACTCTCAGCACCGAATCCTTCCCGAACTTCAACGATCTATCCATTATGATCACGGGATGATCGTTGGCTTCGATTGTTGGCAGCTCCTGATGCCAATCATTCTCCGTCGTACACACGAACCAGCGTCCTTGGTCGTCGTGGATCAAAATCTCGCTGCCTGTCTCCTGGACCACATTCACGAACCTCTCCTTAGACAGGGCGGCGTCTGGTCCATGCGATGCAGCGAACAACAATGCTGGCAATGAGACGACCAGACCATGAGCAGCAACTCGTGCGTCGTATGCAGAGTCTATACCGAGAGGTCCGCCCCAGTCTGCCTGCCGCATCTGACCCATAAAGGACTCCGGCGCCCACCGAAATCCCCGCATTGACAATTTGCGTCGCGACCTTGACAGTGCCAGGCCAGTCGGAACTTTTGGTACCAAACTCCAGAAGACCTGCGTTCTAGCTTCGGGTGGAGCATCGAGAATGGGCCTCATGTCGAGTTCCAGTATGCTCGCGAGACAAAGTGCCTCATCAGTTTGTACAGAGGTTGACCTGGTCTTCAAGGCACCTCTCAACACCGTGACCGAGGAAATACCAACGACCTGAAAGAGTCCCGGATAAATCGTCGTCGCCGTATGATTCGCCATGACCATCAGCTCGACCTCATGACTGGCCAGTGGAGGGATCCGCCTGAACGTGTCTCGCCAACCATCGACTTCATTCCAGAGATTGACGCACTTGTCCTTGAAGAAAAACCATACTTGTTTTGGTAGACGACCCTCCTGGAAAGTCCACAGTCGCTGCGTCCAGCCGCATGCACTGACACGGGCAATGAGTTCCGTAGACGACGCGCCAGAGGCTTCTTGACGTTCAAGATAGCTGTCGACGACGCGTGTATTGACTGCTAGCACGTAGGGATCTCTTAGGCGCTTGAGAGCTGCATCTCGAAGCGACCTCGGTTCTCGTGGTACACATAAGGTGTCGATCCAGAAAGGGCAGGGTCCGCCTGGTCCAGTGGGCGGAAGCCGGTCAACGAGATTTTGGATTTGCATCAGCACACACGTGGGTAAGCTGTTTTCCCGAGGATTTCCGCGCCCGTCGGCCCAGACATGAGAGATAGCGATGAACTTCATGCCCTCAGCATGCGGCTCAACGGCGACCCGCATTTCATCCGCATTGTCTCCGTGCTCAAGTCTCACTAAGACAAGCTGGCCATCACGGATGATGTTCTCCAGGCGCATTCTATTCGGTCCTATGGTAGCGCAATCCTGCCTTTGGCATACATGATGAAGCTTATACCCTGATTTCTCGATCTGAAGATGCTGGCAAATTTCCGCATTGCAATAGGTGTGAGACATCGATCGCCTCGGAGGCTCCAAGTTGGCAATGAACCAAAGCTCCCCAACCGAGTTCGACCCCGTGCGTTCGAATTGTGCCAATTCTTGCGGGCACCATCCTCGCTCCAACATGAGACCGACAACCGGTTGTCCACAGTCGATGATGATCTCATCATCAATGACCCTCCACCTCTGCTGTACCGGTGTGTCAAGTCCCACCGCAATATAGAGGTTCTTCAATGCCTGCATGAGATACTCTGCCAACACTGCTACACTCAGGCATAATAATGAGCCCGCTCTATCGGGCGATGCTTCTGGTATGATAGCCTCAGTACATGGTCTCTTGCCACAAGCAAGGTGTCGTAGATGTTGTGCATCCATAGCTCCACGCCTTTCTGATCACCATTAACGTACTTATCACGTAAGCTCACAGTCCTGGCGACAACGAGAGCCTCAAGCTGAGTCGTGCTAAGGACCCTGTGTCCAGTCGCACTGATCGTCTGGAATGACCCCAAAGGAGGACTTGTGGCGAGGTAGTCATGGACCAGACCGAAGTATAGCCGTGTCTGTAGGAACTCGTCGCAATTGTCCGTGGACAGAGACGTCGTAGCAAATACTGTTATGGCTCTTTGTGGCCGCCCAATGCGGGGTGTGTCGGGTATTCTCCAGCCTTGCCGAGCAGGACACTCCGCGAATGAATCACCATCGTATTGCAATCGCGACAGCAGGGGAATTTCCAATCTGCCAATCGAGGGATCCTTCGGCAGCGGAAGGTGTTGCATGGTTTGTGATGCTGCTGTTGGACTGGTAAGAGGTCGGCAATAGAGCCGTGGGTCAAGTTTCGAAAGATTCGCCCCCACCTTGACCGGGGTTGCAAGGACTAAGCAACGTCCCCATCCTGGGCGACCTTGTTGGTGCTCTTTTGTCATTACACAGCTCCTGCCTCTCGATGATCCTGGCGTGTGTTTTGGAGAAGTCCGAAGCAGGATGTGGATGCTGAAAGAATTTCTTCGTATTGTTGGTGACATCCCATCGCTATCTCTCCTGCGGCATGAATGTGCCTTCTCTCGTCGGAGGCTGTACAAGCAGAACCACTCCCTTTCCCTGAGTAGCACCGCATTCAATGCTCTGTTGGTTGACAGGAGTGACAAGATCCAGCGTCCCTTCGACGATATCGATAGATTGGACATAGCACAATCCAAGGCATTCGGTCTGGTCTGCAGCAAAGCCAAGGCTGGTCAGAGATGGAAGCAGCGGAATCCGACTCGATGCGCAATGTTTTAAAGCATGGCTGGAAGTTGCCAAGACGGAGAGGTCAACCAGTGTCAGAGCAGCGATCAGACCCACGACGGTCTTATGGACATTGGCATTGGGTATGTGAGCGTCAATAGTGGTGACTGCGGCCACCGTGGCCCCAGGCCCACTGTAGCTGAGTTGTAGTTGAGGAGCACACGAACTCACCCTGTTCTCAACGCTGCTGAAGTAGGAGCGCAGGTTGGTATGATGTGCTCGAGACAGATGTGCAGTTTCGTTGATCGATGGTAGGAAGCGGATAGGAACAGCGGTTTTGGCAGCCAGCGCTGCTCTCGTGTCCACGGTTGGTGAGGTCTTAGATGACTCTGAGACAAGGACCGATGTAGGAGACAAGTCTCGCCATAGGTCTTCATTGAGGTCCTCGCCCAGGGAATTTGCAATACCAACATTGACCAGAAGTGGCGTGAGATGTTTTTGGTCTTGCGAGGCTAGTACAGTCTTGACAAGATCCTGAACACACGACCGATTCCCAGCATTTGGAGGTAAGCCTGCTGCGGTGTCACCCACAAAGTGCTGCCGCACCACGTCAATGTCTTTCTGGCAGGATCTATCAAAGACCGGTCCCAGTACGGGACTCCTCACTCTGAGCACGCTCAGAAACCCTGGCGGCGAGAAGACAGGAATTGTCGAGTTTAGGTCGAGGAAGAGGACATCTCCAGCTTGCTTCTGGAGTGTAAGCAGTCTGTTGATGATGCATCTCGCAAGAGTAGCTGCTTCGTGCGGTCGACCACCAATGAAGAGCAGACGTTGATCCGCTGATCGTCTCAACTCTGGAATGACCTTGAAGTAGTCATCAACAAGATTGAGAATCCGTGGCGGCTTGTCACTACCAGTGAGAAGCGTGAAGTCGAGTCCGAGGACTTGGTAGGTCGTGTCGGAAGCCGTGCTATTCAGCGGAGTAAGAGGTTTGAATAGGCTTGAGAGTGTGTCAGGCGACGGAGAGCGAGGCTCGTGAATCTCGGCAAGTTCAAACTCTGCATCTACGTCCAGAGCCTGGATCGATGGTAGCGCGAGAGAGGTTGGAGCTGAAAAGTGATGAAGATCTTCTGACGCTTGCAACACAGCGCCCATGAAGTACACTGTCCCGTGCTTGACCCATAGCGAGCCCCGTCCAGCGATGATGCAATCCGCACCTTTCGAAAGTTCAACTCGTAGTCTCCGCTGAGGAAGCCGCTCGTAAAGACGTTGCCCTTGGTCCACGACAGATCCAGTCAAAGCTGCAAACGAATTGTCATTCTCGTCGGCTTCCGAGGCATGGCTTTGCTCTACCGGTAATACATGATCGCTCTCGGGGTACTCAGCCTGCAGCTGTTCTGGCTGAGTGTGCTTGATATCCTTTCGCGGCTTTCGAAATGCTTTTGTGGGCTTCAATGGGCTTTCCAGCTGTGGCTCCCGGCTGGGCTCCCTGGTTGATGTCTCATTGTTCGCCGCACGCGCTTTGCGGAGCTTTGAAATGGCGCTTTCGTTGTCGCTGGCTTTCCTCTTGCGGTCCGGCGGCATCAAATGCAGATGTGTCTAATGAAAGTATTCGATCTCAGGTTTCGTGTTCAGTGGTGAATTTGGAGTGAAAGTTGCCTCGCGAGGTCGTGATACCCCAAGTTGATTGGCTCGGCAGTGGTCAGGGGAATCCACCTAAATTTTGTAACTGGGAATAGACAGATTTCTTGTTGCTCACTGACCATAAGTTTTTCGAGTGCAGTCAAAAAGTCTGAGGCCTTTACACGAGTTGCCAAGACCGGTCGCCTGCATACACTTTGACGGGGAAATGGCGAGGCCGGAGCAACTCAGTGAGGAATTCGTGCGCGAATCTGATGAAAGCGAAGCGGCGGAGTCAAGCGAGGACGAAAGCGATGATACTGGCGATGATACAGCTAAACCCCAGAACACAAGCAAGAAAGCTACCGTGAGCGCTGTCAGTGGCAAGAGCGATTCGGACGGCATCAGTAGTGAGTCGACATCACGCGAAAATTCGACGGAGGCAAGTGCTGCTGAGCAGTCGGACTCTGCATCAAGGAAGCGTCAACGAGAGGAACTAGCAACTCCAGCCCGAAAATCATCTCCAAAGAGGCAGAAGCGAAGGTAAGTGGTTCTTGCCTTGCTTCTGTGACCTGCTGACCTTCCCAGCACCCGCAAGATTCCAGCACAGCCTTTCATAGCTCCCATAGGATTCCAGTCACTTGACTCGGCTTCTACACCTGCTGACGCGAGGATCCTGGATGAATTGAACGACACGGACGGCAAGCAAGTATGGCATATAGCAGCTCCGGCATCACTCGACCTGTCGACGATTAAGCAGATCGACATCTCGGCCGTGCTTGCTGGTGGTCCAGTCTTGACCAGTCACGGCATCAGCTACGGCATGCAGCCGGTGACGGAGCGCTCCGAACTCTTCCTGCCTCAATCCGATCCAGCCGTCTACAAAGCACCTAAAGCCAAGGTGTCCAAATCCTTTCAACTTCGCCAGATAGCGAGCAAACCAGAAGTCCTGGTGGCTGACTCGCAGCCTGAGACCGATAGGCCGCCACAGACAAGTCGGACTGTGCGTGAGCAACCAGTTGGGAAGCTGAACTACCAATTTCTGCCATTCGGTGTCAAGACGAAAGTCGCATCGGCGTCGAAGGATAGTGCTGGAGCTGCAGAACCAGTCCAGTTGAAGACAGGAGCTTCGCCATCAACGCCGGGGCGGAGGGAGAAGAAGAGCAAGAGACCAAAGCTCGTTGACACGGTATAGCTGCGGCGCGCTTATGTGCCTAACAGTAAGCCGGAGGAGCACCGAGGATACCATATCTTGTAGACGACAGACGAATGTGAATAGCGTACCAGCCTAGCTTTAATTTGAGTCAAGCCATACGCTTATTCAACTATTCCAGAGACGATGACAGCTCAAAGGAAATCATCGGCGGACTGTCCTAGGGGATTCTATCCGTGTTGATAAATATTGTACCTGACGAGAAGTGGCTAGCGGAGATCTGATCTGGACGCTTGGACCCCTGCGAGTGGGGTGCGAGATGGTCCAGGCGGGGTGAGGAAACTTTTTTGGGACAGAAAATCCCTTGGGACAGATGGATAATCGTTCTTACACTACTGATGTGACTTTTACGAAGTATATACTGTGAGAAGAGCGCAATTCTACCACTGCGAGCACCCTCATCGTTCTAGCCAAGAACATACCTCAACACAACACCGCAACCATGGGCTCCGTCTCACAGAACACCTATGCTTTGCCGCAAAGCCACCAGGACGTGAGTGATGCCGATGAACAGCACGCGGAGGCGATTGACTAACGAGACGGCTAGTTGATGGAGAAGTCCTTGGTAGAGACCGACCCGATGATCGCTGAGATCATGGTGTGTGCTCCTCCTTGGCCCTCCCATGCCCTCTTCTGACCCTCCAACAGAAGAAAGAGATCCAGCGTCAGCGCGAGTCCATCCTCCTGATCGCCTCCGAAAATGTCACTTCCCGCGCCGTCTTCGACGCTCTCGGGTCGCCTATGTCCAACAAGTACTCCGAAGGCTACCCAGGTGCCCGCTACTACGGCGGCAACGAGCACATCGACGAGATCGAGCTACTATGCCAGAAGAGAGCGCTCGAGGCATTCCACCTCGATCCAGAGAAGTGGGGAGTCAACGTCCAGTGCTTGAGCGGCTCTCCCGCCAATCTACAAGTCTACCAGGCTCTCATGCGGCCACACGACCGTCTGATGGGTCTCGACCTGCCACACGGCGGCCACTTGAGCCATGGCTACCAGACGCCCGCAAAGAAGTACGCACCAGACCACTTCTGAGAAGCCAAAAGACATGCTAACGATGCCACCCAGGATCTCAGCAGTATCAACCTACTTCGAAACCTTCCCCTACCGCGTCAACGAATCCACCGGCATCATCGACTACGACCGACTCGAGGAAAACGCACAGATGTACCGCCCCAAATGCCTCGTCGCCGGCACGTCCGCCTACTGCCGTCTGATCGACTACAAGCGCATGCGCCAGATCGCCGACAAGGTCGGCGCCTACCTCATCGTCGACATGGCCCACATCTCCGGTCTGATCGCCGCCGAAGTCATCCCTACCCCCTTCGAGTACGCCGATGTCGTCACCACCACCACTCACAAATCCCTCCGTGGTCCGCGCGGCGCTATGATCTTCTTCCGTAAGGGTGTGCGCAGCACAGACGCTAAATCCGGCAAGTCTGTGCTGTATGATCTGGAGGGGCCGATCAACTTCTCCGTCTTCCCGGGCCACCAGGGTGGGCCGCACAACCACACTATCACCGCACTGGCTGTGGCGCTAAAGCAGACTATGACGCCAGAGTTCAAGGCTTACCAGAAACAAGTCATAGCCAACGCCAAAGCCATCGAGCACGAGTTCAAGAAGCTAGGCCACGTCCTCGTCGCAGATGGCACAGACTCGCACATGGTCCTGCTCGACCTACGCCAGAAGTCTCTCGACGGTGCACGCGTTGAAGCTGTGCTCGAGCAGGTCAATATCGCTTGCAACAAGAACTCTATCCCGGGCGACAAGTCGGCACTCACCCCGTGTGGTATCCGGATCGGTGCGCCAGCAATGACGAGTCGCGGGATGGGCGAGAAGGATTTCGAGCGGATCGCGAACTATATTGATCAGGTGATCGGGATCTGCAAGAGTGTGCAGGCGAGCTTGCCGAAGGAGGCGAATAAGCTGAAGGATTTCAAGGCGAAGGTGGCGAGCAAGGAGGTCGAGGAGATCAATGCGCTGAAGAAGGAGATTGCGGCGTGGGCTTGCACTTTCCCGCTGCCGGTGTAGGTGACTTGCAGGCCTATGATCAGGTTTCGTGGTGTTGGAGGGGCTATGCATACCCGGACGGCGTTCGTGGACGTGTGGGTTAGACGTGTTACGAAATGACGAAAAGTCAGTGGTGTTCAACCAAATGCGCTATCGGGGTTCGAAATTTATGAGGTTCGAAATTTATGATGACCGTCAACCGGTTTCAAATATGCTGTCAGTAACCCTTCCAAGTCCAATACTGTATTCTTTGCTTCCGCTCCCATGCATGACGGGGAAGCAGCCCGTACAGATTGAGCTCGTGGCAATTCTCGCTGGTCCCGCATTCTCCCTGCCTTGTTTCGGCTAGATCGTTGCGGAGCGATCAATGAACTTCGGGCTAAAGACCAAATCGATATGTGGATCTGCGACCCTTGGCTAGACAATATCGCCCGAGCACGTGTAGTGGATGACCGCCACTCCAGTCGCTCGTGGATAGCAGGAAGAAGTGTGATCCTTGTTGCCCTAGCTTGAAGGCTCGAGACAGGAGCGGTGGCCAATCATGCTCGTCTGGATTTCTGATGGACCTAGAGCTGTGTACTGATTTGGTATCCTATGCCGCCGGAACACCTAGCTCGCAATGATAACAGCGGCCATCGGGAGTACGCCGTATGCACATTGCCCCATAGTCATGTCATTAGTCGCTCAACGTTGAAAAGGTGCTCCAAGTCCGAAGGGCTCCAGGTCCATGGCATTCACTCTGCTTCATGAGGGGAAAGCTCGTGGCGTGCCCTGATACACAGAGACGCAGATGCGTCCATTTCTCTCCGACCAGTCGTTTGAGCAGCCCCTGGAGCAGAAAGTGCGCTTCCTGCGGCTTTTCTGCCATCACCTTACATTTGAGCCTGCAACACCTCGTTTCCAGCAGCAGCCTATGCTTCGTGCCCAACGGACCCCGAACCAGGGTGTCGATGTCGATGAGTGTGACGCCAGTACCGCCTCAATCGAAGGGCTCGAAGTTGTATTGGATGGTGTTGGGATCGAAGCCAAGAACAGGAGGTTGAACATCGGGATGAAAGTGGAGCGGAAATGGAGTAGCTTCGTAGGCTTGCTGCTGGTCTGCAGTGACAGCTTCGAGGGATGGACGACAGTCGGGACGGGCATCGTCACCAGTCATGGGGAAGTTGAAGTTGAAGTCGAGCTCGAGATCTTGACCGGCAATGAACTCAGCCAGACGAGCAAGCTCTGCTTCCAACGCTGGCCGTTACATCGAACATCTTGAAGTATGTTCGGGTCAGAAGGAGTCTGAAGTTGACATCACGAGCAAGCCGTAACAGGTCGTCATAGCCATATGCGTGCATATTTTGTCAGAGACGTTCTTCGAATGAACGGCGAGATACCGCGGTTGGCGACGGCCTCAGGGTACTGTTAATTGAAGGCGCAAATTCGTCCATGAGTTCAGCCGCCATCACTTCCAGCAGCCCTCACTCCCAGCTCACTCAGCCTTCCCTTCAGAAGAGTACACCGTACCTCCAACTCTCGGATTTCCCTCTCTTGCTCATCGATAGACCGATCCACGTCAACCATGCCGACTGTGACTGCCTCTCGTGCCTTCTGAATTCTCTGCTTGAGAGGATAGAGTGCGGCGGGTAGGTCTTTCAGCTCTAGCGGCTGTGAGGCTTCGTTCGAAGTCGTCGTAGTCAACGCCGGTGAAGTGGTTGGCGCGGCTGCGAGAGGAGATGTGGATACCCCATTGGGATGTTGACGAGCTTGCTGTGACTTCTGAAGACGTGAGAGGAGACTGAAGATATCCGGAATGAAGGTGAATACTGATGCCGAGGGAAATGCAGGTATATCAGGGTGTGTGGTAGCCGCTTCTGGTAAGGGCGGAGAGGTAGCAGAAGGCATTGTGGAAGATTGTTAGTTGATACCGAGACAGAGCGACGGCTGAGCTGAAATATAAGACAGCGTCTCAGTGCCTGCTTGCGAAGTCACTGCCGCCCCCGCCACACTCCATCGCGCTTTTGGAGTGAATGAGGTCTGCAGCAAGACGTTGATTGACTCGACGGTGAATTGCTTGCAGTGAGATGAAGATCAGAGAGTCATGATCGATGTCACTTCAGCGGTACATGACTCGAAGATTGTCTCAAGCGTTTTACGCGTCACTTGGGCTCTCATCACTATCTCACCTCTATTGACATTCGCAGACCTAGACCTTGACGAACTCATCGTTCATATACCACACCGAATCAGCTTCTGGATCCAGCTCGGTCTGACTGAATCCATTTTCCAAAGAATTGGAAACGGTCGCCGGTCAAGTAATCGATCTCGTTGTCCTCCCATCGGACGTTCTTCATCGCCTCAAAGAAATGCAGTTCGCTCCCAGGATATACAGCCGTCACCAGCCCATGCGTCTTGCCATTCTTGAACCAAGATCTGCAAGCACTCGACCACGCCAGCCTCTTCATCAGCTTGTGTGTATGGTTGCAGAAGTCCTTAATCGCTGCCGGCTTTGGCACGATTGCTTTTATGTTCTCCGTCTGGATCTTCTCGATGACCTGGAACAGGTATCTGGCGTACTACCCTAACGCTGGGAGGTAGCTAGCGTGGCTTACTGGATGAATTACCCCTTTAGGCAATCATGTACCCCAATGATCGGTGCTGGGATACTTTCCAAGTGCTCTGAAGCTTGGGTTGGAAGCAGGATCCTGACTTGATGCTGTACGAGGATACCCTTCTGGACACCCTGTGCCAGATCTACGACATCTCTCGCGGGTGGATGGAGGAACTGCCCCTCCACCAACCAGTCAGACTCTGCGAGTAACGCTGCCGTAATCGCCGGAGTGATGTCGTAAACGTGACTGATTCGGCGAATTTCTCGTCAGCACGATCGTTCACGTATGAGGTGCATCATTCAGCACGTCGGTTCATGATCTCAATAGGTGGTCGAGTCCTGTCGCTGTCCCTATCACCCGCTCTCGGCTAACGGAATAGCAAGCGTGCTCTCCGCTATGCCAGGTTGACGCGCTCGTATCTATCCCGTCAACTTCTCTCCTTCATCCGCACGACCAACCCCTTCTGGTCCAGCACCCACTTGTTCTCGACCTGCCACGCCTTTGGATCGACCAGCTCCAGTTCAAACCGCAGCAGCACGGCCACGACGACCTTACACACTTCCAGCATAGCAATGTTCTTGCCCAGACAGCTGCGCTTGCCAGCGCCGAAGGTGAGGAGGGCGTGCTCCATCCGTTTCGTTGTTCTTTCGTTGGGCTCGAGCCAGCGGGAGGGGTGGAAGGCGTGTATTGGGTAGAGATGCTCCGAGCTGGAAGCAGGTGCGATGTCGTCGAGAGGAGGGCAGAAGATTGAAGGGTCGCGGTGCTGGACGTAGGGATTTATGCCGACTATTGTGCCAGCGGGAAGGTGGACTGAGGTTTGACTCATGGTAGATGAGCTAGAAATCTTCTCGTCCGTGGCTGAGAGCGTGATGCCGCCTTTAGGCACAACCCTCTCAAGCGGAAGGCTTAGCGCTGGGTTCAGCCGTAAGCCTTCTTTGATTACTGCTTGCAGGTACGGCAGCGCCTGTGTTTCGGCATATGTGGGACAGGGTGTGGACAACTCTCCTTGCGTCTGAGCGGTGCATAGCTCGTCCATCAGCTTCTCCAGCGCGGCCGGACTGGTAAGCAAGTAGTAGAAGATGCCCTTCAGGGTGGATGCTATGGTGTCTGATCCAGCGTTGATGTTCATGAACAGGTACGACAGGAGCTTTGCATCCGTGGTGAGGTCTGGCTCCTCGCTGTCTTTGCGGGCTTGCAGGAAACGGGAGAGGAAGTCTGGCTTGGCTGCTCTGGAATGATCTGAATCGGTAATCTTGTCCTCAGCGTCGTCGTCTAACGAGCGGAGACGCTCTTGCAGCAGCTTCTGCGCGAATGCTAAGATCGGACTCGACACCGGCTTACGGAGGTACCGAACATAGATCGGGTTTTTGCCGAGCAGACCGTCCACCCACGGCATCTGGCCCAGCACGCTGAAATAGCGAAAGTTGCTGCCGATTGCTGCAATGATGCCGTCCACATCCTCGTCCTGTTCCATGAAGCCCAAGCGCTTCGAAAAGGTCAGCTCTCCAATCACATCGAAGGCAAAATACTGCAGATACTGGCCGAAGTCGCACTTCGTCCCCGTCTTCGCAAACCGGGTGGAGAGATTCTCGAGCAAGACAGCGATCGTGCTATCGACGAGCGGTTCATACTCGACCAGCGTGGACAACGAGTAGGCGTGGGCGATCACCCGTTTTGTTCGGGCATGGTCAGACTCATCGGTCATGGCCACGAGCGAGGCTGTTCGCTTCCCATTCACGATATTTTGGAAGACGCTGTAGTAGTCTGACTTGACGAAGCCTTTGCCGATGCCGTAGATCTGGGACGCGTACGGCGCACCACGGACGGACACCATATTCGGACCGAGTCGAACGAAGGGCCCATGTCGGTCGTGCAGCCGGACTTGGTCATCGTGAGGACTGGAGCAGAACACGGAGAATAGTCGGTGCAGATTGGTGAAGCGTGCGAGCAGAGGACCGGGAATCGATGCTGGGAGTAATGCATAGTTGCGAACGAGAATATATATGACGGCTGCTGGAACCAGGTACAGCACGAGCGGCAGCAGCATCGTATTGCCAGAGGGAGGTGTAGTCGTCAAGAGCTCATGATCTACTCATCGCTGTAGATATACTCACGAGGGGATTGCATCGCCTCATAGTGCCACATTGTCTTCAGGATAGCTCATGTTGCCTACATCGTCTGCTTTCCGCCTCGGAAGTCGGTAAGCCCTGCAAGTCCACTCGAAGCAGGTCATAGGTGGCTCTGGACCTCACTCGTGCGCTACAATCCTGTCATCCGGCGAGCAGAAAGTTTTCTATGGACGTCACAACGGAAAGCCTTCCGCTGCAGCTATGGCCGAATTTTGGGGTCGGCGATTTACCGCGTCGCCGGCCCTCAATTTGACGCGTCTCATTCATGCGGGCTTGAGCTTTCGCCTCCCATTGAGCCTGGGTCAAAACAACCCATTTGTTATCTTCTCCATCTAGCGCGGACGGCAGCTGGTCGTCAGCTTCAACTTGAGCGCCCAGAAGAGACTACATGCTGGTCGGGTGAGACTAACGTCATCGGCTCAGGACTTTCACCAACCATTGGGCCAATCTGGAACACAGACCCGATGACAACACTGGCAGGACCATGTCTCGCATCTGGACTAAGGTGCTTGCGCTGACTAGTGCCTGCTCGGGATGGCAGTGCGTCTGACCCTGGTGTCATTCTTTCTGCTCAAGCTACCGGCTCTAGAGTAGATTGGGCAGAAGTCACTCCCATAGGTGGTCTGAGCATTCGAAATTTCTGCCGATGGCTATGTGGCCTTCCCGTAACCGTCCACCCCGAATGAAATCGACATATAGGTGCCGCAACTGGAGGGCCATCTTCTGAAAATCATCAGAGTGCCGCTGGCCGCACAGCATGGGAGCGTCTTGCCAAGCATCTGGCGTGCCCAATACAAGAGGCACGTCTATACAATGGTTGGCCTCGAATACGCTTCCAGGAGGGTGCCAGCCAAAGCAGTAGGAGGTGGAGTGCCCACCGACCTGAAGATTGGCGCGTTGATGCAAGGCTTTCGAAGGCGCAGCAAAATAGTTCTCGGTCACAAACATTGTGCCCAGTGATTCTGAAGTGTTCGGCGACAGGGTCCGCGCAAAAGGTCGGCCGTCGTGTGTGGTCCACCCAATCAATATGGGCAGCTGTGCCAGACGCGCATTCAATCGGTCGTCGAGCCCAGATCCAGGTGGCAGAGGATCGTACCCTAAAAGGGGCCCGAAGAGCATAAGATGTTGCTGAGTTGGTGGATTCAAAAGTATGTCTTTCTGGAGGCCGAGGAGCTCATCGGTAGACATTCGCAGAGGATCATTCTTCAGCTGAGACTGTACTTGCTTAGCAAGCAGCGGGCCGGTGGGTGCCCTCTCACGTAAATCCTCGAGAGGACCACTCATGAGAACGGCTCGGTGAAAGAGGTCTTCTGTGCCGCTAGACGCCAAAAGACAAACGATAGACTCGGCTCCTGCAGATTGGCCGATGACAGTCACGTTTGACGGATCACCTCCAAATCCTGCTATGTTGCTCTGGACCCACCGTAGAGCAGCTATCTGATCGAGCAGACCCAGGTTGGCAGGTGCAACATCTGGCAGCATGAGGTATCCAAACACGCCCAATCGATGAGTGATGTTGACGCAGACGATGCCTTGGCGGGCGATGTCGAGTGGCAGGTAGCAGTCCAAATCGCCTCCGCCCGAAATAAACGCTCCGCCGTGGAGGAATATCATGACAGGAGCCTTGGCAGCATTTTGTGGTGCGACGACAGACAAATGAAGGCAATCTTCATCGAAATGTCGTCCTTTGGTTATTGGGCCTAACACTGATTCCAGGCGCGACGGTAGCTGGGGACAGAGTGCTGCTGGCACAGTACAGTATTTGGCCTTGGTCCATGCTGGTATTGCTTGTGGTGCTTGGAAACGTTGTGCTTGAGCGTACGGAATGCCCCTGGCTCTGATGAGGCCGTCATCTCGCTCAGCTGTACAGGGACCGCATGGCAATTCCAATGTAGTCACATCCTTCGCTTCCATCTCAACGTCAACGGCGTCTTTCTGTGGGACACCCTTCGAGCCTGATGTATGGGTAAGCAAAAGTGTCCAGAACGATTCGGAATATCTACTGTTCGGATTGAACTCACACCGCGATCACATGACGGAGGCTATGGTTGCACCAGAAGTGACTTTTCGTTCACTTGCATGGTTCTCAAGAGGCAGTCGGTTTTGGGGCTCGTGGGGGGTAACTTCCACTTTCGGCCCGCGCGCTTTCGAGTCGGCGACTTCGCGGATATCCAAATTATCGGCATCTAGTCGGTAAGAGCTTCCTCGTCTTGCAGCCAGGACTGGGGCACGCTAGATGATGATATGAGCACAATCAGTGAGGGCATTGCTGGCCTACTATCGAAACACTGGGAGGAGTCAGAATATCTGCTAGATGCTTATGCCCCAACTGGAGCAGCAACTACCGGAGCAACTACATTTCGCCCAATTGAAGCAATTACAACCGGACCGACGACATCCGGCATGCCTGGTGTCAGGTCGAACGCTTCTCGCTCTTCCTTCACTCTGGCATTGAAGCCAGAGACCTGAAAGACCTTGCTGTCATCTCTCAAGTTGTCAAGGTCATGACATTCCAGACATGCGAACCTGCTCAGCAGCACAGCCTCATGAGTGCGCTCGACCACCTCAACCTGATAGTCATTGAGAGCATCTTCCCTTGACTTGGTTCCTCTTCTCCACTGGTTGAGTTGATGAACGAAGGCGGCTGCGTCGTACATGCCGTGATTTGCGGCCTCACCACGATCTAATCAGGGTGTCAGCTCACGTATAAGATGATAGTCGATTTCAGAGGATGCAACTTACACATGGTCATGGTATGCGCAGCATCGCCAAGGAGCGCTACACGGCCTCCTCTCGATGGCCATTTCTGCGTCGGCCAATCGTCCAACACAATCTCCAGTGTGTGTGTATCTTCAGGTATGTCAAGAATTGCCTGCCTCAGAGGTTCAAATATACCCGTAGATGCTGAAGCTGCAGCCTTAGCTTTTGCCAATTGCTCAGCCGAAGTCTTTGGTACCGGTCCATTCTGCTCGATCAGCCAACTCATGTTGAACTGTCCCTCATAGTGCTCATTCTCCGTACCAGCAGTACCGTTGGTCTCCGGAGTTGAGAGCATAGAGAAGAAGATGAAGTAGCCTGATCGAGGATGACAGCCCTGCCATATCACCGGGTGGATATCTGTGAACGGCTTCATCTTTGCGGGCGACAGACGCAAAGTAAAACCTGTGAATGCAACTGGAAGTGGATTCAAACGGGCGCTCTCCTCGCCTATCAGCAAGCGCTTGATCCTGCTATTCTTGCCATCGACGGCGAGCAGCATGGACCCCTCCACGGAAGAACCATCAGCGAAGTGCACGGTTACACCGTCTTCGGTGGTCTCGAAATTCCTAAACGACATGCCCCATTGCACACGGATATCGGTGCTGAGCAACTGTCGCAGCTTCGCTCGATTAAGTCGGTAATGGTGTCCTGAGGGCATGGCATATTTATCTTTGCCTGTCTCCAGATCCAGAAAGCGGTAGACATCGTGCGCTTGACGCAGTGAGCCAGTCTCCTACCTCGAGTCATGCCAGCTGGGGTAAACGTACCTTTATCACCTGCTGACGGATCAACCTGAATCGAAGGAATCTTGTCGTAAAGCTCCTGTGGCAAGCATGCTTGTAAGGACGGCAGACTCCAATGTACTGTGATGCCCCAACCCGCTGGCCTAGCATCCAGTGAGGAATCTCGGTCAAAAATCTTGTATGAGAACCCAGCTTTCTTGAGGCCTTGAGCGAGCGTCAGGCCCACTAGGCCTGCTCCAATCACAATGATTGGCTTGGTGTCGAGTCCTGCCATGCTGTATTCGAAGTACGATAAAGGGACAAAGTCGACAGATCTTGAGAGTCCTTATCTCATTTATCCGCAAACAATCGGCTACCTTGGAAGATCCTCCAGCCATCTCGTCCAGCGTCGCTTGTGCTATTCGAGACTCTGGGAGCAGCAAATCCGAGCCCAAGAATGAAGCCGACTCCCAGTTCCAAGTCGGCGACTTGAGATCAAGCTTTGCCCCACCCAAACTCTGGTCCAAGGTAAGCTACCACTCGTGCACATGAGCCACATCGTGTCAGCGGAGGGAACCTGCAATCGATTATATTGCAGGACGGATGCGTGCCACAGCGGTCATGAGCATGACAACCTCAAGCGCTCGGCTCAAGCGTAGCATAATCAGTCGACACCTCAGGCCAAGCAACTTAAGTCTACGCAACAATTGGACCTCGCCGCCAGACTTCCGCACTCTTGAACAGAACTCTACTTAATCAGTCATGCTCACAAAACACCTGAATGGCGTCGAGATCGGCTACGATATGTCTGGCTATGCCAGCGGGCCACCTGTAGTCCTGCTGACAGGATGGGCTCACGACATGAGACTGTATGATCAGATGCTGCCACTTCTGGTACCAAAGCACCGAGTCATACGTGTCAACTACAGAGGCCATGGTCCAAGCCATGATCCCATTCCAGACTTCGGAGTCGAGGAGCAGGTTGCTGATATTCTAGCCCTCCTCGAATCTTTGCACGTACAGCAATTCTACCTTGTCTCCCACTCGCACGGGGGCTGGCCAGCGCTGGAGCTGGCCGACAGGTTAGGCAAACAAAGAGTTCTGTGTCTGCTGATGATCGACCAAATCATGACGTCGCCACCACCTGCCTTCGCGAGCGGGCTGCAAGCTATGCAAGCAAAGGACACTTGGCTCGAAGCCCGACAAGGTCTATTCGAGAACTGGCTGTCCGGTAGCACAAATGCGGCCGTTCTCGACCATTTCTATTACAGTATGGGCAGCTTTGGGTTCGAGATGTGGTCACTTTCTTGTCGCGTCATTGCTGACGCTTACGGCAAACATGGCTCCCCAATGGACAGAATGAGCAAGCTGGGAGAGCCGCCAGCGATACGGCATGTTTTCGCCCACCCTCGTAATGACGCGCAGTACGAGCAGCTACATGTCGATTTCGCCGCGAAGCATCATTTCTTCTCGTATACACACCTTTCAGGCGAGACCCATTTCCCTGATATAGAAATCCCGGAGGTCGTGGTCGCGGAGCTGGAAAGCCTTATTCATGAGAGCGGCGGCAAGGGTGGGAAAGTGAATGGTGTGTCCAATAGTTGAATAGAATCACTCAGAGCATGTCTCCTGCAACTTGATCCGCAACGGCATCAATCCAGTGTGTACAGATTGATGGCTCTATTGCAAGACTTAGCCGGGCAGCAAGCATACTGTCCTTCCTGAGACCATATTTTCCCCATCAGTGAAGCATACGGCCACGAGGGCCAGACTGAAGCACTAGTTCTGGCTCATTCAGTGGCCCAAAAGAGCAGACACAGCTCGTTCAATGGGCGCTGTCATCCGCTAGGCGACTTCTGCCAGTTGCCTGGTATGATCTCCGCTGATATGGCGGAAGATAACGCCCTACTAGCAGCTTCTGTTCGTTCCGTGTCGCACACGGACCACTCAGTGCACGGTCCGAGGTGGTCGAAACATTGTAGTGCAGCGCACAGTATCTTATTAGCAGTATCTGGGCATCTAGAGGTAGCCCATCTCGGTTGACCCATCAGCTCCCTCTCTTGAGCGCCCGCCTACAGAGCTTCAAGTGTTGCATTTAAGCTTTCACCCCACAGATAACTGCCGAAAGTAGTTGACACCGTGCCTATGATTGGCTTGCCTGTGCCTCTTCTCCTCGAAGCAAGCGCAAGCTACAGGGGTCTAGAGCATTCTGTTATCAACTCGGCGAGGCTTGTTGCAAGTCGGCGACTTCGACTTTCGGTTGAGCACTTGAACTGAGCAGTCGACCATGCCGATCTATAACTTCGCTGGACCCTCTGGAGGATTCCCCATCGCTGGATCCAGAGCGTGCGCTATTAGGTAAATATATTGTCTTCATCCTAAATATCCACGTGGAGAATCACCCACAGAGGCCCTCTGCAGCAAAGGTTTCAAAGTGGTCGCAGCAGCCATGTCCACCACCATCGACAATCGTGTCGACCAGAAGGGGCCAGCCTACGATATTGAGGGCACAGCAGAAAGCACCAACTCAGCAGCACCTCCCGAGAAAGGTGACCTATCGTCGCAGCAAGACGAAGGTACCATCATCAATAGCTATGCTGCACCGCAGTCGATCAAAGAGTTTCTCAGAGTACTCACAACAGCTGGCGTCGAGCTGCGCGGTCTTGAGCCTGTCCCTCTGCAAGACAGGACGCACACCAAATACTACAACATCATGACGCTTTTCGGGGGCTCATTCATCTCTTTGCTACCGATCTCAATCGGGACGACACCCACGCTGGTTTTCGGTCTCTCTTTCAGTCATGCTGCTGCCATGATCGTCAGCATGCAGCTCATCTTCATCATCCGACTCTGTACATTCTCACACTTGGCCCACTGCTGGGAATGAGGCAGTCCGTGCAGTTTCGTTATGTCTTTGGCAAATATCCCAACATCTTCTTCTGCTTGATCGTCATCGTGGAAATCGGCATTTTCGGCATCCTGGCCGCCGTAGGCGGCGCTGAGTGTCTCGCAGCAATCCGCGCAGGCACATTGCCAGTCGAAGGTGGCATCGGTATCATCATGGCCGTGGCGCTGATCATGGCCTTCTTTGGCTACCGTGCTATCCACCTTGTCTGCCAATACATCTGGATTCCCAACTCGATCTGCATCCTGATCCTCGTTGGCTGCGCCGCAAAAGGTCTGCACAATCAGGCAGGTGTAGCCGCACCACCCGGTATTGCGGGACCATACCTCTCGACTCTGGCTATCTGCGCGGGCAACATGGCGACTTGGGGAACCATCGTGGGCGATTACTCCTGCTATATGCCGCCGACAGCCCCTCGAAAGCGGTTGGCAATGTATTGCTTTCTGGGACTGTACGTGCCCTTCACCCTGATGATGCTGTTTGGCGCCGCCATCGGAGGAGTAGTCACCCAAAATGCCACTTGGATAGCTGCATACGAGCAGGGCAGCTTCGGTGCTGTGCTGGGAGAGATCCTGACCTCACGCGTCGGAGGCTTTGGCCGGTTCCTCTTGGTCATCTTAGGTTTCTCGATTGTCACGACGTCGGCCCGGGACATGTACAGCATCTCGATCTTCGTTGCAGGCGTGGTGCCCTGGCTTCACAGGGTCCCACGTATCGTGCTTCTGATGCTGGTGGCAGGCGCAATGGTCGGTATTGGTATTGCAGCATCGCGGTCTTTCCTACCAGCACTTAGCGCACTGGTCAGTATCGCCGGCTATATCACTGGTCCGACAATCAGTGTGTTCTTGGTCGAGTGGTTCCTGTTCCGGAAAGCTGACCCTAGCACAATCGACCCGAAAATTTGGAACAACAGTGCTGCACTACCTTCCGGATTCCCTGCGCTGATTGCCTGTTCCGTGCCCTGGGCTGTCATCGTGCTTTCGATGGCAACAACGTGGTACGTCGGACCTATTGCGAAAGCTGCTGGAGACCTTGCGTATCCGTTGGGCGCGGCATGTTCGATCTTGTTGTATGTGCCTTTGAGGGCCTTCGAGATAAAGTATCGTGGTCGTCTCTGAGCGATTTGGATAGCTTTTAGTGGATAGATTTTAGTAGAGAACAAACGGTTTCATTCTGAAAGAAGACTCTTCTTTTCAGGTGTCAAAGTTCCCAAAGCCCTGCTCCAAATCCCAGTATTCCATACCTGCGTCCTCCAGCAAGCTGTTTAGTGGAAAAAGGAAAGGCATCGGCGAGAAGCTGAGATCCGCCTCAATCTCTGGATTGAATCTGCTGCTGTCGGAAATCGCGGTCCGATTTGTATCTCTCGAGTCGCCCCCGGAGCCGATACCGACATCGGGAGAACGACGCTGCTGCTGCTGCGTTGCGCCAGGAACTGCTGGCGTTTGCGGAGTGCTGTTCGTTTGCGAATTCGACTTGTCGTTGCGTGACTGATCTGACCGCGCGTACTCGTCAGTCGGTTCGGCAGCGGCAAGTGCTGGCGGAGCTCGCTTCGTATCCTTTAGCAAGACCTGGAGTAGATACCGTGTCCACACAACCAGCGGCCACCTATCCTGCAGCTGGTCGAGGATCACCATGGCCAAATTCGCTCGATGCTCTGCTAGGATTGCAAAATTTCCAGGCTGCTTGCGTATTGAGATAACGTTGACCAGTATGGAGCAAAAAATTGCTGGAAATGTCAGGAACGGGAGCCGCGTCACCAGGTCCGGGGCAGAAGAAAGGAAATCTTCCAGAATTCGGCTTATCAGACCAGCATGTTTGACGATATCCGAGGTATCAATCCCCGGAGCGCTGGGTGAGAGCATTCGCTGCATCACAATCAGATAGTCCAGGTGTATGAGTCGAAGTACAGCCGGGTAAAACCCATGGGCGAGTGTGAGAGTGCCGCTATTCTGCGTAACACGAGAGACAAAACGATCCGAACAATCAACAAGCTCAGAGTACGCATCAGATATTGCGCGGGGTGTGACAGATGCCGCAAACTTGGTGAGCAGGCACTTGTTCAATACCAAAGCAAGCTTGCACAGGTCGACAAGAGAAACGTCAGCTTCGTCCGAGGTCCTGTCATTAGTCCTGGAGGCGAACACATCGTCCGCATTGAGTGGCTCGACATCGCTGTATTGAGAGTGTATGTGGGGTGGTCGACCAAATACAGCCGCGTGATGTATATCGTTTATCTGCTGGTGTCAGCCCCTAAGTGATACTCAGTAAATTCGAGACCTACAAATAATACCCACCAGATACGCCGCCACAGCTTTCGGCGTCCGGGGTCCAGGATTGAGTATGATTTGCTTTCAGGGTTAGCCGTACCGATATCGTCATCATGAGCTTTGACCTACGCTCTGTGCATGCCAAGTGATTGTGCTAGATGCGCAGCGACACCAAGCCAATGCCAGGTGTCTTTCTGTTCCATTGGGGAGCCCCACCAGTTGATTAGTAGAACGCATGCCTGAAGATTCGTAATTCCGTCTGTATCGTAGTCGCTGTCAAAGAGGAACTTGGCGCGTTGGTAGAAGGTGACAGTAGCCAGGTATCTCGAATCAAACCCGAGTCTCTGTATCACACTGTTGCCACAGTGGATTGTTGCCACACAGTACAGCGCATTCAGTAGCAAGTGAGATGCTTGACCTGCCATATAATTCCGTCGAAAATCCTCCTCGTCGATGATCGGGAAGAAGGGATGAGCCTGGTCAAAGAAAGCTGCCAACAGCTCCTCGCTGAGTGGTCCTTCAATTGGCTCCAAGGCTTCCATGGCACGCGCGTGCTGCTCGTTCCAGGAGCGGAGCTGCTCAAGCTTCGAGAGCGTGGCCGGGGTGAAACGGTCTGTCAGACTACGCTGCAAATTGTCACCCCATAGCTTGCTACTTCCAACGTGTTTGAAGGGATCGCCTACTTCATGAACAAGGTACTTCATGTTGCTTGAGTCGCCCATATAGACAACCCGACCACTAGGTGGATCAGATTGCTTGTCGAACACCAGATCGGTAATCGAAGGAGAGGCATATCGCTGCGGCTCATCTGTCCGCTGGACGGATGATACCTGTATTGACGTGACAGATGAAGTCGTTGGTGACCTTGCAGCACCCGAAGGTGTGTCTGTGGACGGATGGCGCTGGCGAGCTTGAGCCTTCCTCTTGTACCTAGTCGGCAAGGTCAATCAATGTTCTAGACAGTATCCGGAAGTAACAATAAGACGCACTTGCCGCGTTGCGATTCTATCAGCTCGCAAGTGTGACCGAGAAGCTTGCATCTGGAGCAGCTTGCTCCACTGTCTGTCCGATCACATCGTACGCGTTTTGCATTGCAGTGCGTGCAAGCTATGCGCGTACGCATCATGTCTCCTCGCCCCAGCAGTGATTGTAAGCCCCTGGTGATTCAACAGTAGCGACATTTCCACCGAGCAACGGCTTCATCAATATGTAGGCAGCCGGATAGCATGACCTTGTCTCGGGCCGGGAACAGTACCAAAGTTCTGCAGATTCAAAGTAGGAAATTGATGCAGCCGCAGTCGTCCTTCAGGTCGCATCAAGGCCAGGGACTAGTCGCGACCCCATGAGAGGGGGTCAATTTGTACTATAAAGAAGGAGGCCCTGTGATGCAAGATAGCGACCTTGTTGGAATCCAGAGTGGGACTTCCATTAAACCGGATGACATGTCTCAGCTTGTACTTTCATCAGACCGGATGACTGACTTCGTGCCGCCATGAATGTCTGTTGTAAGCCCTCCTTTTCGGGAGGTTAGCAAACAGCAATGAACGCTGGTACCGGACAATGCGCAAGGCCGTCTTTGATGCTTCCTCGTCACCACCTGCGACGTGTGACGTTAGCCAACAAAAGTGTCAGGCAATGTGACGGAAACGATCATTTCTTGAGCAAGGCTAGCCAAGCGAATAAATATACCTTGGACCAGTGTGGATTTCTTTCCAGCTCTATTACTACCTGTGTCTTTCGCTTGCAGCTTCATTCCTCTAGAATTACACGAGTCTCTGTGACCTCGCTACTCAGCATTCGTCCTCGGCCATCCAAAACTGATTGTCTAGTCCAGGCAACCCACTGGCGCCATATGTCGTCACTCATATCCCCGTATCCGTCTCTTTTCACGCCTTCAATCGTCCCAATCTAGGACGAAAGGTCGCTCATGCAGCCGATGTCAACAGTTTGAAAGTCGCATAGTCTAATCCACTGTAGCTCCTTGCACCCTATGAGCGGACGTGCCCAGACAACACGTTGTTCCCAATGAGCTCCTCCCCCTTTCAGTCTTGCCAGTCCCAGACCTGCTTCAAGAAAGCCTGCATATTGACCTTCTTACTTTGCATCTCCTTCATCCAAGGATGCTCCAACATCCGCCACGGCGTTGCCCTCCTCGGCGGCTCTTTCTCCAAACAGCACTCCACGAAGTACTTGAACCCATCCGACCACTTGATCTGATTCTCCGGCTCATCCTTCAGCTTCGGAATCGGTTGAGCAACAATATAAGTAAGCAGATCAATAAGACCAGCTCGAGGCTGCATCTCGGTACCATCTGCCGGAAACGGGAAACGGTGCTGTGCGACTTCGAGCAACGTGACACCTAATGACCAGACATCGGATGTAATCGTGTACGACTGTCCTTGAATACGCTCTGGGGCCATGTAGTACGACGTCCCAATGAAGGTGTTTGCGTCACCTTTGGTACCGAACTCGCCGGACACGCCGAAGTCGCACAGTTTGACCTGGCCTTGTCGGTTCAGGAGGATATTTGAGGGTTTGATGTCTAAGACAAATGGGTCAGTGTGAGTCAGGGCGAGGATCGGAATGCGGGCTTACCTCTGTGGATAATCTTTCGTCCGTTCAAGTAAGTCAAGCCGTGAAGGACGCCTTCGGCAACCTTGCCAAGCACTTTCTCACCTGTCCGGCCTCCGAGCTTCTTCACCTCCTTGTAGACGGAGTCGAGACTGCCACCTTCGCAGAACTCCATGGCAATGGAAATCGTGCTTGAGGACTTGTCCATGAAAGCGCCATAGTATTGGCAGATGTATGGAGATGTGCAGTTCTTGTTGAACTTGAGCTCGCGCAAGATCTGCTTCTTGATGTCCGGATCTGGTGAAGTCGTGATAATCTAGACATGTCAGTAGTAGACCAACCTTGAGACTTGTACACGTACCTTTAATGCAAAGATGGTGCTAGTACCCTCGAGTTTGCACCGCGTGACGGCACCTCCGGCGCCCTCGCCTAACGAACCCAGCTCGCTGATCTTCTTCTGTTCACTAGCAGCAGCCCAGGCATCGTCATCGAGATCCTCCACCTCAAGTGGTCGACCCTTCTCCAATGAGAGCTTTTCGAAGTCTAACGGCAATCCACCCATGCTGCCCTCTCGCTCCATGGACGTGCCGCCAATTCCGGCTTCTGAATATGCTGAGCTGATGGCAGAACTGGATCTGGTGTGTTTGATTTCTGGCCGATAGGGTCAAACGACAACTTGGAATATGTTGAAGAGGATGCTGAGCCTGGGACACTGTTGTGGAAGCTGTCTGAGCGTGATCTTGCAGAGTCTGTGGATATTGGCTGTATCTGTGGCCTCAGCGAGGTGGCTTCCTGATGAATGGTCCCATGGCTGCCCATGGGTGTGGCTAACGACAACTTCGGCGGCCTCTGGCCGGCAGCAGCAAGGCTGAACTTGGGTATCTCGTGGCCCGGTTGGCCATCTTGCGTGATCGGCCTTGCACTCGGTGAAGGTGGGATGCCCAGGGAGAGCTTTGGTGTCCGTGAGCCGCTCTGACTACGACCGCCTGGTTGTGGGGCGCGAAGTAGAGGTACTGGCGAGGCCATCCTCTTGGTTCGGAAATTCTTTGTATCGCTGAACTTTGTAATGCTCTGACCAGCGCCCTTCGTGGTAGGTCGAAATGAATTGAAGGGTGTTCACCGTCCTCCTCTGGCACGATGGGCGTTCAGATCATGCAGAAGAGGACTATCGTCGAATCGAGCTGTGGCACGGCAAATCGCGAACGTTCCGTTGACAGCACAGCGGTGTTGTTCTTGAGTGACAAATGGCTGTGTCAGAGCGCGCGGAAAGTCCGCTGTTAAGCGTAGATCTTTCGAGAAGTGACCCTTGCAGAGGATTATTGTAGAGCAGAAACAGAGAGCTTCAGCAGATGTCTGAGAAAATGGCGTGTTGACGTAGCTTGCTGACAGCGCTTCTGCCGTGGTATGGAGTTTGTTGACCTTTAGCACGGGAAAAGAGTGCAGCTTGCGTGAGGAGATGGAGGTGGAAGTGGGATTTGAGTGCGGTGCGGATGGAGGAGTCAAGGACCCTCTTCTTTTGGCGCTTAGTTATGAAACTGGTCCAGGCGTCGAATGATAACCCATCAGCACGGTCATTCAAGGGTCTCGTTGAAGGGTATCGCCGAAGAATGTGCAGTCAGGTCGGCGGACATTTGTCTGTATAAAGTATTGGACCTTCGACTCGTACCACGCCAAAGGATGCTCCGCCACGCAGCAGGTTCTTTTGACCGATAATTGAACCAGCGTTCAAGCACTCCTTTCTGCACGACCTACATGCACATGCAGCAAGCAACGTGAACGAGATCAATCATGTCTGCAGCCCTACGCGTCCCTGAGTTGCTCTTGCTGCCCTGATAGGCTGGGGGCCAGAGACCTTGACGCAAAGCGCCTACTCAAACAATCCGCGGCGGTGGACATCGACGCTGACCTAGGCATGTATTACCATCAAAGCACCAAACAGCTGGTCGGAGATCGTAGTGTATGGAGTAAGTCAGGCACGGATGCAGCACCCGCATTTTCTGAGGTGAAGTGAGACCCGGGCTTCTATAAGCTAAACACCCGATCCTGGACTATCGTGCATACCGCTTCTTCTGTGCGTACCGGCTCTTTGGAAGTTGGGCATCTACACACGGAATGCGGTGAAGTGGTTTGACTTAGTCGTTGAAATCTCTGAATGATGCCTCCAGCTCATCCAGTCCGGCGCGAGCTCATCACCGGTTGGCAGGGCTTGTGCATGGTTATTGGATACTGTCTACGGAGTTTCCCATCTTGACCACAAGCCCGTCCGGCGACTGCAGCCTTTTGGCGCAGGACATGCTCCATGCGTTAGCGAAGACTTTCAACAGCCGTGTCGACCGGACTCTCCATCCCACTTCTCATCTCAGATGATGCCTTGTCGTGTTAAAGTTGCAACCTGCACGGAGAAGACCCGTGCACGTGCTCTTACAGATATATCTACCGAGACCACCATTGCGTCAGCATTGAATTATACGTCGAACCAACTCTCTCAGATGATCCTTGGCAGCCTTGTGAATGATCACTCAAGACGATTTGAATGTTCCGAGAACGCCGTACTTTTCTTTGTAGAGGCCGTGAGGAAGAACCGCCTTCTTCAGGCGAAAGCTGACAAGCTGGACCTCGTCAACATGTTGTGTCGCAGTGATTGGAATTTTGCCCAAGGACGGCCTCCAGCGATGTCTTCTGCAGTGAACCGGCTCTCGAGGCTGCAGAGTGTACAGGCAACGACAATCTCTCAGTGCCGAACCGGCTCAGGAGGTAGCACTCCCACTGTCGTGTTTGAACATCGATTCACACCGGAAGTCAGACCTACCTTGGCGTCCTGTGACAGCCGCCCACACCGCACTCTGCGGGGCTCCATGTGCCCAGAGCTATTCGCCGCAGTCCACAATTAGCGATTTCTTTGTGACGAAGAAGCCCACGAGGAAGTACTTCTGTCAACGTAGCAGAACGACACCGACCTAGACCACAACTTGACCTACCTTGTCACAACAGGTTCAGAAAGAGAGGTCTCGAGTCCAGGAGACTTCCATCAGTATTTCTCGAAGCTTGACATCTCGTGTAATTAGCAACTGCCTGTCACGTGTGGCAGATCCGCATCGCGTCTTGCAAGGTCTGCCATCGCCACTGTCTGTATACTGACTTACCGTTGTGATGGCGACCCCGTGTTTGGAAGTGGCGATATGTCGAACGGATGCGATATGTACTGACCGTGATGTACTTATGTCGCCACTTTCAGGCAACAATCAATCTATTCATCGTATTTCGTGAAGTGCCTTGGAATTCGACTGGAGTCACGTTGAGACAATGATTCGTAGGCCGCGGTGGCGATGGTGAGATAGCGGAGAGTGGGGAAGCTTACGCTCGACGCGTGGTATGATACAAAGTACACAGTAACTCGCGTTCCATTGCAGCCGTGAACCAAGTGCGGCTAATCACTCTGAATATACCGTCGATTGATGAAGTAATGAGTTCTGATCGACGGGCAGGGATTGGCACATCGAAATGTCCAGACCTGGAAGCACTGCGTTCGGGAAGCGAAGACCGTCAGGCTTGAGCAGGTGCTGCGCGACGCCTTTCACTTTTCATTTGTTGATGCTCCTCTGGATTCAGGTGATCTCGTGGCGTCACAGATGAAGTCGAAGTGTCGTCAAATGTTCGTCATTTCTCAGATGGGTGCCCGACACGATTGCGCATCGCGCACCGGCCGGGCTACTGGGTGAACGGCATCTTGCTGCCTCTCAGCTCGACTATCGGCATGGTGGTTGGTCATAACTCCCTAGCGTATGAGGAATATCATAGCGAATAGCATGTTCATGATCTGTCAACGAATGAAAAGCCGGAATGTCGTCGAAGCTGGCGCGGGGCACGAGGGCGAGGGGCGGACCGGTCGGAGACGGCGTCCCACTCAAGAACCTTGGGGGGCATTCGTCTCAGATTGGTGTTGATGCCTCCTGATTGTTCGATGGACGATAGCGGTTTGCATTTGGGCATCGCGATAAAGCATTCGCGAGTCTGGGGTATCGTACCTTCTTGTTGCATCATTGGGGGCGATGTCCATGCTGCGCGGCACTTCTTTTGCTCATTCGCGACTCGCGCAAGTAGAGGCCCAACTTGCTGCAGGTTTGGAGTCGCAAGACTGGCCTTCGATTGTCTTGGTGGAGTGCCGTACGCAGGACTTATGCACTCACAGGCTTGCATGATAGGCTGTCCACCATCAACAAGTGGTTTCTGAGGTCTGTTCTGCCAACTGTCTCAAGTCGCGGTGCTTTCTGTCCTCGACACGCGAGCAACATCGCGGATCTGGCTGGACTATGGAGTGGCAGTCTTACAGGATGATAGCAAGTACGATGGCAGTTCGCATATTCGTGCCTGTCCAACGAAATACTGGCATTGAGAACGGCCGTACGTACAAATCGCTCGTCATTGCTGTTACTTGGGCTTCTGCCTCGATGCGCATAAGCCTCGATGGCTAATGCATCATTAGCATGTCTTGGACGTCTTGAATTTTGCCGTGTGACATGGTGGATTCCCTGAATCTGAGAATAGTGTCGTGGTGTCAGATCGTGTTGCACTTTGTGTCGGTGCCGGATGTGGTCATGGTGATGATGAAGGTTGAGTCACAGAGGGTGGCGCGAGCGACGGTGATATGAGTGTGTGACTGTCTCTTGACAAGGATAGTCTGTTCGGACAGTTTTTTGCCGATCAAATGATTCAGGAACGTCTAGGAACAGGACAGCGTACCTCTGGAAGCAGCCGGGAGGGGAGACTTTGCACAGCCCTGATGATGGCAAAGAATGAGCCGCGGAGTAGCGACAAATGGGGAGTAGCTCGAGCAAGAATGCAGGCCTGGCCGCCCGTGAGGTCTTCTTTGGCCTCCCAAGCGGTTCCATCTGGGCACTTGCAGCAGGTGGTAGAGGCACCTGCATGCCTCCATGCTCACTGCGATCTTCGCCGGTCCACGTGAAGAGGGCATGCTCGCCATCCTCACCATTCATCTGCTCGCTCGCACTTCCCTGTAGCCTACGACTCCCACCCGCCACCCACTTCAGTATCAAAAAGCAATTCTCCTGTTTCTTCTTCCAAACGATTTTCATCTCATCCGCCGTTGACCAGTACGGACAGCGGATGAGAACGAGCCATTAAATTTCGGTTACATACAACTGTGTAAGCCTAGTCCCCAAGCACAGACCAGCACCCGCTCGTTCCCAGTCACGATCGAAAACACCCGCAAGGCTGCTCAGCATTCCGTACTGTCAATCCGTTACCAAGAAAGCCTTCAATACGTCAGCGGCATCTTCAACGTCCATCTTATTTCTCATCAATTCTTGTACAGTCCATTCATTCACTACGGCAAGCGATGCATTTTATCATCTGATTCTGGAAACATTCACTTTTGCTCGTCGGAAGGCCCCCAACTCGACCATGGCCGACTCCGCGACCTAGCCTTGACCGCCTCGCTACGACCATAATACGTCCACCTCACCGTAAACACTGGGAGTTCTTCTGCGTTCACTCTTAGTATCTACCGGCAATGGACCTACCTCCAGATCCATATGACGCTCTCGGCGTAGCCAAAGATGCTGATGTCAGCGCCATAAAGAGTGCACATCGGAAGCTCGTGCTCAAGTGCCATCCGGACCGCATCCAGGATCCCGCTCTCAAGGAAAAGGGCAAGGAGGCTTTCCAGAAGATTCAACAAGCCTACGAGCTGCTCACTGATCCTTCTAAGAAGGCTCGCTACGATGATCAGGTCCGGTTAGCTGCGCTACGGCGAGAGGCGATGGCAAGAGATGGTCCTACTACTAGATCGCAGACATATCCTATAAGGCATGGTCCGCCACCGCCACCAGCTTCGCGGCACTACAGTCCCGATGATGGTGTGTATTTCGAGGAGCGTCGGCCCCGAAATGAGGATTTCAGCAGCAGTAGAGAGAAGTTTGAGGAGCCTCTGAGGACGTCTTCCCGCAAGCACACTGATTACGATCGAGCCTCTTCGACCAAGAAACCTGCAGAGAAAGAGCGATCGGACAAAGCTAAGGCGGGTTGGTCAAGGGCGACTGGCTTTGTCAACGCTGGCATCAGATTGAAGAAAGAGACGGACAAGACTCGTGCTTCGAAGGAAGCGAAGGAGCGCACAAGACAGAAGGAAAGGTCCGACAAGGAGCAGCGAGCTCGCCACGCATACGTTGACAGCGAAAGTGACTCTGACACTGCTACTCGCGTCACCTCCTCCACTATCAAACCCTCCCGGCCCACACCTCGACACTCACCTCAGTCCAGTTCATCTCGTCCATCGACTGCCACAAGACGGCCCACTCATGTGGACGATGACAGCGGCGACGAGAGTGACGATGCTCTGGCCCGCAAATGGGAGGCCAAATTCGACAAAACCAAGCAGTATATTGAAAAAGCTACCTTGGGCGCTGGATCTCGACCTAAATTTGAGCGACACGAATCAGGTTCGTACTGGTCGAGTCACCACCGGAGTGGGAGTGATCCAGATCGGTACGCCTCCTCGGGCAAAGAACGAGAGCGACGTAGCCACGATGATTCTCGACGTCCTTCTATGCCTACCATGAACTCGTCTCCAGCCAATCTGAAGGCACGAGTCGAGGAGAGATCACCAAAGGACCGGAGGTCTGCGGGTTCCGCGTCCTACCGCGACTCGGGCAGAGACCGCGATTCTGATCACCGTAAGGACATTCCAGGATTGCACCGCTCGCAGACTATGCCCGTTCCGCGTTCTTCAGGGCGCAAAGATGCAGCACCCAGCAAGTCTTCGAACCTGAAGCATGCCGAAACACACGACTCTGGCTATGGTAGCAGCTCGACTCCACACACGCCTGATCCGCGCGACGACAGTCCAGTGCGTCGGAACGCTAGCTCGCGCACGAAGTATCAGATAGTTGACCCGGATAGTGGTGATGATGGTGCATCGACAATTCACAGGGTGGATGACACAAGGTCTCGTCACCGAGACCGAAGATACGCCAGTCCCGAGCCCATCAGCCCCCGTGACAGCGACCGTCGACGACCCGACCGCCCTCGTTTGGACACGAACTATCGATCCAAGTCCTCTCGCGAGTCGCCAATTGAGCCGCCAAAGGTTCGAAGATCCGAGTCTGCTCGATACGATGATCATCGTTCCGGGCGAGATTCGAACAGCAGCTCGCGTTATAACAGCCGAGAGAAGCTTGACACCGAAGACTACGAGTATGAGACCAGATCTCCGCGATACAAGGAAAAGGACAGGGGCGGCCTGCGGGATCCTTACGCTGAATCGAATGCTGGATATGGCGACAAATATCGCGATCGTGATTATGCTCCGAAGTCGACGTTCCACTCGGATGCACGAGGCTCGCGCAGACCCTCGATGCAGACTGGAGTTCATTGAGCTGCAGCCCATGTTTGACGGCTCTTCCACTCCTTGAGGTTTTCTAATGTACATTTTCCGCTCACTCGTTCTTGCGGCTGCAATGTTTCGGGACGATGAACGCACAAGTTGGACGTGGCGATTGCGATGGGATCAACAGCACAGTCTGAAGAGGATCAGCCTCGATTCGGTGGGTGGAGGACCGTTCTTGCGCATGGTGAGGGAGACGTGGCAGCCCACATTCCTTATCATTGCGGTGTACAGCACAGCACAGCATCATATGACGAGATCACGAATTATCATATCATCAAACCTTGAGCATTCATCCGGTGCCGTTGATAGTATGAAAGTAGACGAAGCATTATTGATGTACTGCTTAGAGGAACAGGGGCTAATCTCTTAGTAGGTGAAAGCGTCGAGGGTAAGCGAGTGCCACAGCGAATCAACGCATCGTCGACACGGGTCAAGAAACTCAGCAGTTGAACAAGTACCGTTATTTCTCTTGGGAAGAAGTGTGCGTTGAATGATCTGATCAGTAGTATATGCTTAGTTGTACGTCCAGTGATCTCTCTGGATCAGTTCCAATCTTTTGAATTGTGTCAATTCTGGTCTTTTGTACGAGGTAAGGCCCGAAGGACCGCGCCGACGATCCAGACTCGCTGTTTACCCCTGCACACCTACGCCGCACCACCGACGAGCACCCACAGCACGTGTAACGCACACGTCCACCTCGGACATATAGACGTGGTATTCATAGCCGCATGATTTGCTAGCATTGGCACGGGCTGTCACTGTCGTTCCCGAGGCTGTCACCGACCTGCCCGCGGTCTCACCGACACATGGCTGTCAGAAGTACCTGAATACAATACCTCATGCTCTGAGTGCCCGGACCGACGAGACCGCAGACCATGAGCGCTATCGACACAGCGGCGAGGCCCATCGACTCTGTTTACGAGGTGTGTATCATTTCCACCCTTGGCAGACACGAACATGCCCACCAGCCGTTGCGCTAACACGTACTACAGACCGCCGGCAGCAAGAGCTCTCGATCCGCCCGAAGACGAGACAACTCCGACGCCAACTCGCGAATGCCACTCACGTCCGTCGCCGCGAACCGCAATGACCAAAGCACGGCATACCGCGCGCCCTACAGCAGAGTCGAGGAACTCGTTACCTCACCACCGGGCGTAAGTCGCAGCGGCTCAGAAGCAGATAGCCTCCTCGATCTCTACCGAGGCAACAACGGCAGCGACCCCAAGATCACAAACAGATCAACGTCCTACGACAATGAAGTCCCCGAAAACATGTACCGCCCGCAAGACGAGGACCCCGAAGGCTGGATTCACCGCGACAAACTCGCCAAAATCGAAAGCGAAGAGCTCCAAGCAGCAGGCATTAACTTGTCTTCTGCACGGAGAGGACGCAGCAAAAGCGGCAGGCGGGACACGAGTCGGAGCAGAAAGAGCGAGGAGAGCCAGCAGAGCGGCACTCGCGATGACAGCAAAAGGGAAGAGAAGAAGCCGCGATTGTCGGAGCCGGTCAAGGAAGAGGAGCCCGACGATGATCGCCACAACTGGGATTTACGAATTCCAGAGGAGATCGCGCAGGACTCTGCGGCTGCACAGATGTATTCACAGCCGACGTTGAAGAAGTCGGGCTCACGTATACCCGTCCTGACGAGCAGTCCACATCCCATACCGACAGAGCGGCTGGATCGTGATACACCACTGCCGCGGAAGCGTACTATAAGCAATAGTATGAGCCCGCCAGACATAAATACTCACCAGCAGGACCAGGTCACGGGACGAGCTCAACGCTCAAGACCACACCGACACCACAGTCACAGTCCTCAGCACACCAACGCCCAAGCCCACCGGTAGTCGCGACGGCAGCAAACCCTCCTCACCTACCAAGAAATCCGGCCTTGCAACACCCAACAACCTACCTCCAACCGCCTCAGCAGCCTCCCTCCGAAAAGTGACACCCTCATCCCTCCGCAAACCCTCGGGCCCCAACAAAACAGCCAACGGCCCGCTCTCACCTACAGGCAGTACCCGCGGCGAGCGCGTATCGCAGCTCGAAGCGACTCCCGACCGCCCACGCACCGCGGTGAACAGGCCCGAGGCGACCCGCCATGGCTCGCCACCATGTACAAGCCCGACCCACGGCTGCCACCAGATCAGCAAATAATCCCTACGCATGCCAGGAAACAGCAAGCGGCGCAATGGGCGGACGATGGATCTGTGCCGAAGACCTATGATCGGGATTTCACGCCGTTGGCCGTGCACCAGCCTGAGGAGTTGGCTGTCGCGAACAACGCGAGCAAAAGGCTGTCATCGACACCTAGTTCACCCGCAATGGGCAACACCGAAAACAAAGAGAACAATCCGCAAGCATGGCCACTAAAGCCAATGAACAGCATACGCAGCACGCACAGCAGCAACCACGGGCGACCGGGCACGAGCGGAAGCATCACTGGTAACTACAGCACGATGCCCAAGGTTCAGCCCTCGCCTATCATTCAACAAACGCCGATGAGCCCGAGACTTCCGCCACCGGCGCGTTTGCAGGAGCAGCGGCCAGGTCGAGACAATGAGAAGAGTGGGAATAGGGACGACGACGATGGGACGGTGAAGAAGGGTGTTGATGCTGTGTTGTCATGTAGGGTCCACTTGCCCTACAAGCTTTGGTTGGGAAATGCCGCTGATGTCTCCGACCGCGCTTCGAGGGCCTCACCTGTGCATAAGGGGCCGCATACTATTCAATCACTGGACGACAAATTCTTCTTTCGTTTTTTTAGGCAGAGCTATGTGTTTTGATAGCGATCTTTCGAGCGAGCGTACACAAAACGGTCGTTGTTTTTTACTGGAGTTAAAAGAGCTTGGAGCTTGAAGGGAGGATTATGGCCCAGTGCCATGGGCGTTGTATACGGGTGTTGAGTACAACGATGTCAGATCGGTGATTCAATATGGGAGAGATCAGGTCGCCTTTGTCCGGCATGGGTGCGAGAGCAGACTTGCGCGTTTGTCGTTGCTGTCTGAGGATAGCCGAAACTGTAGAGTGGGAGTAAAGACAATTACAAGCAAGACGGTTGATCCTGACGAAGCGCCGCTGTCAAGCCCCCGTTCTGAGCAGTTTCACCGCGAGTACAGCACATGAGTAGAGATGTCATCCGAAGGACTGCACTTCTATTTGTACCAACAAGCTGCTCATTTGTATTTCGGCTGCCACAGAAGCTCAATCACAGGGGCTTGCTGAAGGTCCCAGCCTTGGAATTATGCCGGTCTGGTTCGCTACGCAGACACTTTAGACTGCACCAGCACTCTTCAACAACCCATCCAACTGTGACTTCTTCGCCTGCAAATCGCTGTTGCCGCCAATGTGCTTCTGGCTGATGAAGATGTTGGGCACGCTGCGCTGGCCCGTGATCTCTTCGAGTGCGTCTTGGAGGGCGGCACCGTCATCTACAAGCAAAACACGTTAGCATTCATTCTTCAACGTGTGGCATTCGCCTGTAAGGCCAGTGCTACGTACCGACAAGGTCCAACTCCTCAACATAGAACTTCGCACCCTTCTCGCTCAACAAGCTCTTGGTGGCCTTGCAGTACGGACAGTAGCTCTTGCTGAAGACAACGACGCCATTCTCGTCGATGATCTTCTGCGCTTTGGACTTTGCGGCGGCGGCCATGGCGGGCGTGGGCGGGTTGTAGAAGTGCCGGATGAATTGGCGGACGTAGGCTGCCACTGTGGCGAGTAAGATGGAGTTGGTTTGGGTTGGGTGGAATTGATTGACTTAGTGGAATCGAGTGTAGGGCGCAGGAGTTTCGAGTCGGGAGGTTTGGAAAGTTATATAGCAGTTGCGGCGAGTCGAATTTGTCAGGGCTGATGTGGAGGGGAGGTGTGAAGTCACAGATTGCCGCGGGCTAGATCAGTGGCCGGTGATGACACAATCTTGCGGCATTGGAGGGCAAAGGTACGAGTTTCCTACCGAGGCAGGTCAAAAGTGAAGAGTAATCGCGCTTGCCGCTAATGCCTTCTATTACGATTCGACTGCACTGCATTGCTGTGCGAACTTCTTGCTCTAATGGGCGTTACAGCAGTAGCTCCTCTGGACGCTGTTTCCCACCAAAACCAGCAGAGCAGCTTCATCAGGTCTATTTGGAATGCAAACGTATCTATATCGCAAGCTCAGCGGCGCTTCGATGCTCTTCTAATCGCCACTACTCTGGCTGACAGCGCTGCGGAATCGTCAACGATCCCTAGGTAGTCAACGGTCGTGCCTCATCGTGCAGGGGCCATATGGAACTGATCATGGGGCTGTGGCAGTCTCTTACATAAGGCGGTTGGCTTCGGTCTACCTTGCGCTACTACGGACAGTGAACAAGGCTTCGAGACTCTAAAGGCAATGTAGCGAAGTGCCATTGTCATAGGTAGGGCGCGTACAAAGTTGAGGCAAGGTATGTCCACAAGTGCTTACTGCGTGGCATATCCAGGTCAAAGTCAGGGACTCAACCCACCTAGAAGGTGTGGATAGCTGTCTGGGGACTGGAAGGGCAGTGCTCGAAGGAAGTGTTGTTCCGGCGCCGTCATGCTGAGCAGAATCAGGAGTACTTCGCAGGTGTGACAACGTCAGTGACTGCGTATCGTGTGACGCCTGTGAGTCAGTCGAGTCGAGGGTAGAAGCCTGACTGCCAATAGCTCTCGCACAGGGATGCTCCTGGACGGCAAGGAGAGACTGATCGACCCACGATGAAGTCATGCACACATGCTTTGCAACATTGAATGCGAGGCAAACACCGGTGTCTCGAAGAGCGTGGACCCATATCCCGGACCTACCTGTTGTGATGCGCCAGCAGAGATCAACCAGATGGAGGAATTCTGGAGCCCGGTCTGAGGTTAAAGGCAAGCATGCGGTGCACGCAGCACGTTTGCAAAGCTTTGAGATGGGGATCTGGACATCTATGAATTGTCTGTAATTGCTTACGCTCCCTCCTCTTCTTTACCGTCTTCTCGTGGTACCTGAGACGTGCCCTTTCTGTTGCCGAACATGATTTCGCTTTCTTTCGAGGACGTCGCTTGTGAATGCTGCAGATGATGTGTGTCGGGAGGTTTGGGATAATAGTGTCGATATGACACACCTGGTCCTACGATATTGCGGATCTATAGTATGACACATTTGCTCTTTTTCTTTGTTGCAGCTGGTGCTCTTGGACTGAGGACGGCTCTGTCACGCGCAATGTTAGTGATCTGCCTCTTATGTGTGGGCGTGGGCCTGCGTACCTGATCGCTTCGTCGAAAACGCTCTTCAAATTCCGCTGCGTCAAAGCCGAGCACTCTAGGTATTTCACGGCTCTGATCTCCCGAGCAACAGCCAGTGCTTGCTCATACGAGACAGGCTCCATCTTCTTTGAGCGTAACCCCTCGGCTGTCGCGCGGTCGTCCCTGAGATCGAGCTTCGTCCCAACTAGTATGATGGGGATGCCGGGCGCATGATGTTCGATTTCAGGATGCCACTACCAACGTGTCAGTGAGAACGTAGATTAGTACAGGACATCGGCGCATACCTTTGCCTTGACGTTGTCAAAACTGGGCGGCGACACAATCGAGAAGCAGATCAAGAAGACATCCGTCTGAGGATAAGATAGAGGCCGCAATCGATCGTAATCTTCCTGACCAGCAGTATCCCACAGTCCCAGCGACACAGGTCGACCATCTACCATGACACTAGCAGAGTAGTTGTCGAAGACTGTGGGTATGTATTCGCCGGGGAAGGCGTTGGTCGTGTATGATATCAGGAGACATGTCTTGCCAACTGCACCGTCACCGGTCACCACGCACTTGATTGATTGTGTCGGTTGGCCAGCCATGCCGTTAGTATGTTGGGTTGTGCTGCTGTGTGCTCGCTAATACGAAGCGTCTCGCGCAGGCCGCTTTTGGCTGCGTAGCGGTCGCAGGTAAATCGCTGATGGAGATCCTCTTGCGGTTTCGAGATCGGTTGGGGTCAGGTGCAGGTCAATGCATACGATAGTTGCGCTTGTAGAAGACGTCTAGAATGTCGACGTCGCACAGAAAATGCAGGTACAGATGGCAGATGGCAGATGGCAGGCGCTGAAGCGCTGCAGGGAAAGGGTTGACGCTCGGTCGATACTACCCTGCTCCGCGGGCTCGATAATTCCGGCTGTAAGATTCGTCCACTGTAGAAGGCGATGAAGGCAGGTTTGAGGTGAAAACAGACTTCAGGACATCAAGATAGAGCTCAGAGAGAGTCGCTGAAGATAGTGACAGGGGTCGAGTGAGGCGACAACCTGAGACGAGAAGGGTAGGAGAGGATCTTCAAGGTATCAGGTCAATGCTCTGGTACCAGGATCTTCAGCGTCGGCGCCAATGAGGAGCGGAAGCGGTCGCTCGGTCACAGCCAAGCAAACCCGCCGCCTGCAAGTTATTGTTCGGGATGGCGGCTTGCTGCCTTGATATGTCGAATTTCTATCCTGTCAGTGATGCCGCCGCAACCGCACTGGTTATGCTGTCGCCTTGAAATCACTAGTTTTGCCGATTGTTGCAGGCGCAAACGAAGCCCACAGTCCATGCCGGCAATTGCGTGCCCAGCCATTGATAAGGCAAGCACGACTTTCTGGCTTAGTTCGAATCTACGCGACTGTCTCTTCACCGCAACAGTGAGCTTACGCATCATCAATCAAGCGCTGGTCTTCAACGCCACACGTCGCTATGTAGAAAAGAATACCATGTCAAGATCAGTGCTATACTACGAATACAACAATCCATCAGCGCCACACAGGCCATGGTCCAGCGAAGCCCTGACAGAGGCGCTCGATGCCATCTCAGCACCCGCCGTTCGCCAGGGCTTATTGAATGCTCTAAATCGCGAATGATATGGCAAGGCTTTCCGAGTATGTGTCGTTACTACTACTTCTGGCAAAGGTTGTAGCCATGCAGGCAGTCTGCACCATGGACAACCGTGAACTGTGACGTCGGCTGCATGACTGATCATCCTAGCAAATCTGAAGACATCCTGTGAAGTATAGGTAGGTCCGATATGCTTGCCCGTTCCATGTGAAACTTGATCAACCATAAATCCCAGACCACCAAGATGTCAGAATACATCCTCCCAGCGCCGACAAACAACATCGAGTCCGGCCGTCTCGACCACCAGCACGAAATCTTCATACGCACGCTCGGCAGTTTGAATAAAGCTCCTCTAGATACCTCCAAGCCGCTCAAAGTCCTCGACATAGGCTGCGGGAATGGCAACTGGACCATGCTTTCGCGCTTGAACACCCGCAAGCTCACGTCACCGGGCTCGACATCACGGCCTCTCCACAATGGGTCAACGCTCCCTCGAATTGCAGCTTTCAGCAGGCAAGTGCTGAGAGCGCCGATTCGTGGGACTCTCTACAGGACCGGTTCGACTTCATCCATGGTCGTATGATCATGGTGTTTGTACGAAGCTGGCCAAACTTGCTCAAGCGCTGCTATGACAAGCTTACACCAGGAGGCTGGATCGAGATCCAAGACTTGCAGTTTCCTCTGCAGTGTCTCGGCGAGAGCGCAGTCACGGCCAAGTGCAGGACACTACAGTGGTCTGATGGGCTGGTCAAAGGTATGCAGATGGCCGGCGTCTCCCCTGCTGGAGCGATGCAGTTTGCCTATATCCTCCCACGCTTGGGCTTTGTAGATGTGAGCCTGGAAGACCGTCAGATGTTGTTTGGGGAGTGGCCCGAGAGCGAGGAGGACAAGGAGCTGGCAGAATGGGGCTGGAGAACCTCAGACTGGGCTCGAGAGGGTGGTCGCGGATGCTGTTCACGAAGATTCTAGGTATGAGTGCTGAGGAGCACGAAGATCTCAACGAGGGATTCCATCAAGAAGCGTTGGATGGCAAGGTGAAAGCTTTTGTGCCGCTCAAATTCTGCTGCGCGAGGAAACCATTGTGAGGTCGGCGTATCTTGCGTGGTAGTTTCATGACGGAGGAATGGGTCTGTCGCTACGCTCTTTCAGTAATGTCTGAGAGGCCTGTTCGAACCAAGCGGGCCAAGGTGCTGCATCGCCGGATTCGCATGGCAATGACATAAGCTGAGATCTTGCTGACAGCAGCAGCGGCGCTCTGCAGAGCAACATCTTACCTTAAGATCCCGGCTGTCATTTGTACGATGCCCACACGATGCGCGGGTATCCGTAAACAGGTGGATACGACGCCAGCATCTGTCAGCGGCGTGTTGACTTGGGCCTAACACAGGCTCGGTGACAAGAACCCTTTAGTCGGACCGCGCAGCCCCCCGAAGGCTTCGCAACAGCGAAGGCTCAACAATGGGCCCATGAACCATCCTTCGACTTTGTCTGTTCTCGAGAAGAGAGAGGCTACAATGCACCGGAGTCCTTTTATAATTCCAGATCACTGCTTCTGCAAGCAGAGTCACGAGCCTCGATGTGGGCTAGCTCGTGTGCTTCACTTCGAGCGCGCATACAGTCGGGAATGAAGTGAAGTAGCAGGTACTTACCTTCGGTGCAGGACGCAATTGCAACATGTCAGGGACGATAGCCCACCAGTGAAGGCATCTACTCTGCCGATTCTAGGCGAGTCCGGATACCTGAGATACGATCCAGACACTTCGCAAGGTCTTCAATCACAACGGCAGCGGCAACGACGCTGAGAGTGCATACACTGTAGCCGTGACGGCACGAACACTTTCACGCGAACACGATACACCGGCGAACGCTCATTATGCATAAGGCAGGCACATATACATTGTCTACACAATTACATGAAGCACGGCGACGACGACATGCGACGACAAACACCACAACGACTATCTACGACCAACTAGACACGACGAACACCCCCGAAGGCTTCACAGAGTAAAGCCAGACGATGGTGCACACACATATGACTTCAAATACCAACATATCTCAAATGCTCAAGTATGGCAAAATTTGAAATATGGCAATATCATTCGACGTATGTTGTACAAAGGAAGGAAAGAAAATCTCTGAGGGAGATGAGGGAGGGCCTGTATATATACGTCTGAGATGGGGGATCACATGTCAGTAGGGGAGGAGCATGTGAGTCAGGGTGGAGCGGAGCTGAAGTTGTGAGTCAGCTGTCTGGGAGGTAGGTTTGCGTTTTGTTGGGTGGAGGGGAGTTTAATGACTGTATGTGGACAGGAGGAGGTTGTGATTGGAGCGGAAGGACAGTGAAGCCGTTGCAGCTGGAAAGTCTCGATGGTATTTCGCCAAGAGGCAGAGCGGAAGAAGATGGAAAGAGAAGATGTGGTTGGCCGGGAATCGAGGCATGTGAACTTTGGCTCAGCTTCGTCCGCAGCAGCGGCAATTATGACTGTATTCCGACGAAAAGCCGAGTGGAAGGAGATGAAAACAGATGATGTGGTTGGACCGGACGTGAGGTATGCGGACGCTAGTTCAGCTTTGAGTGCAGCAGTGTATCTATGAGTCGAAACGAAGGCTTAGGGATTGTTGACAATTCAGCACACAGCCACTGCCCCCAGAGAGAAGCGGGCAGGCAGAACCTGTTCGATTGACTGACTATATCTACGGCCTCTTGTCCTCCCATCCTCCCTTGTTCTCTTTTTTATCCAAGTGCTCGGGTCTTAACTGTGCCGTTGAGGATTTTCATCTGAGGCCAGTTGTTTGCTAGTTGAAAACTACCAAAAGACCAGATCTATCCTGATCTCTTTTGATCGGGACGTAATTGCTTTCCAAACAATCATTGCTGCTGTTGCAGCACCTTTTCATCATTCGCCTTCTCTTTGAGGAGGGTCTGGGGGAGAGGGCTTTAGTCGGCATAGCGAAGGCATGCTTTTTGACAGGATTCGGGCCTTGAGGTCCAACAAGAGGTTCAATCACAGATCAGCGTCGCCTGTGTCCTGGTCGCCCATCTTGACATCGCGAACATCAAGGACTTGGTTCTTGACTTTCAGTCGATTGCACGCACATAGAAGTGAATGGCACCAGGCAGCAACTGATCCCAACCCATGCACTTGTCTGTGAATACGTCCGACAGGGGCCAGTGAAGTCATCGTCTCGGTTTGCCTCGGATCTGCGCACTGCCGATGAGGTATAAGTATCTGCCTTGCTCGTGGCTTTCTCCTCCTCGTTTTCTTCATCAATACCTCAAAGACTATTGCGACAGCAACACAGTGCCATGCTTGGATAGTGTCCATCGCTATCTGGTAGGGCGAGTTTGTGGATTGTCGGTGTGTTCGATCTTATGCTTGCTTTTCGAAAAGTTAGGCTCTCATGTAACATCATCTCAGAGGCCGTCCTCACTGGCTTCATCTCAGCTCCTCCCACTATTAGCGGCTCTGGCCAGACTGAGAACATATCCTCAGCCTGTCACACGCTGCATTCGGCTGGGATGCACATTGCCCCTGGCACCTCCAGCGCCACCACCACTCATTGCAAGCCCAGCGGCATTCGCGCCAGTCGCAGCGCTCCTCCCTTTCCCTTTCCGCTCCCTGACACCCTCCGTTGACTCGATCTTCTCTCCTCGCTTGATCCGTTCCTCATATCCTTCTTGTGCGCTCGTTCTCGCTCTTCAGCCAACTTAGCGTTCTTGTTCTTGATCTTGTTCCGACGATCGTTGGATTTCGCGCCGCCTCCGCCTGCAGTGAGCTCAACATTGATTCGCCGGGTCTTGTCGGTTGGACGCTTGAGATGTTGCGCCGTGGTGTCCTTAGGCGGCGCCTCTACTTCCTTCTTCGGATTTTTCTTCTTCCCTCCTGCTTCCACGGCGTCCGTGGTCGTGTCATCATTCTCCTTGAGATGTGCATCCGGGTCAAATGAGCTGTGGTGGTAGAGCTTGATGCATGTCTTCATGGAGTCGTAGGAGGGGAATTCGAGGAAAGCGAAGCCTTTTGATTTCTTTGGGTTGGACTTTTCGGTCGAGTGTCGGACCGTGAAGGGTTGGAGTTTGCGGAAGTGGTGCGTGAGGGACTCGGCCGTGGTTGTGTAGGGTAGATTGCCTATGAAGAGGATGAAGCGGTGCTGTTTCGTGGGGTCTTTGGTCGTGTCTGGTTCATTGGAGGCGGACTCTAACTTAGTCCGCTTCGATTTTGATATGGTCTCGCTTTTGATCTTTGATGCCATCGACGCAGAATTCTTCGCTGAAGACTTCGACGCTGCAGCATCGTCGACCAAAGGTATGCTCTCGTCGCCAGCTGCAAATGGATCTGTAGTGGTTACATCTTGCTCTTCGTCGACGCCATCTGGGAGCGCCTTTGGCTCGGGTCTTGAGCGTCGGTTGCTTTTGCTGTCCTTGGTCTTCTTTGATCGTCGCTCTGACTTGGCCTGCCTTGCGGCTGCCTTTGCTTTCGCATCACTGGCTGGAGTTGTGCTGTCGGCTTCGATATTTCGTGTCTTGCGCGGCGGCTCAGAGTCGGCGTTATCGACCTCGGAAAGCTTCCTTTTCGACATGTTGCTGAGTCGTCGTGCCTTACGATTCTGACTGCTGCTGCGACTTGAACTAGGACTATGATCCTCGTGTATAGTTGCTCGTCATGGCTGAGTGGTCTAGTCCTAAGAAAAAGCCGTCCGCGGTCGACATTTTTACTGCCTGTGGTGCCAGTATACGTCATTGGCTCGCATTTAGCATTTTAGGCTAGCCCGTAGGGCTCATGGGCTTGGAAGATGGGCATCGATGTTGCCTCGTTCCTGTTCCTGAAGAAGCTGCGTCTGGAGGACTGGCTGGCTAGAGTCATGATGGCTACCTGATTTCCTTCGTGGATGGTATAGTGCACCTGAGATCGACAGGCTCCGACCATTCTCGACATTGAATTATACATCACCGGTAGTCACCGGACTGACTGATCAGCTCCCCCCTCCAGCTCTACCTGCGTCAGGCGCATTTTGGAAGCATGGTCTCGAGGTAGAGCTGCTTTCCTTTCCCTGCGCCATTCCCCACGACAGTCGCATTTCGAAGCCGATCTCCAAGCAGCGAGTTGACACCGAGCATAATGGCCGTGTACGCATCTAATCCCGCTGCTCGAGGGCCCTTCGCGAGCGCTGCCCCGCCAGGTATCGTTCAACATGCAGCACCGGCGGGCACCTTTCTTCCTGGGACAAAAGTTCAATGCGGCACACATCGAGTCATCATCGATCGCTACTTGTCAGAAGGTGGATTTGCGCATGTCTATGTTGTCACGCTTCCACGGCCAGTCGACGGCAATGCGAAGGCAGTCCTCAAGCGGGTGGCAGTGCCCGACAAGGAGCATCTAGCCAGTATGCGGACCGAGGTCGAGACGATGAAGAGACTACGCGGACACAACAAGATCGTGAAGTATATCGATTCTCATGCAAGTCAGCTGAAAGGGGGCGGCTACGAGGTCTTCCTTCTCATGGAGTTCTGTCAGGGCGGCGGCTTGATCGACTTCATGAACACGAGGTTGCAGAATCGGTTGACGGAGCCCGAGATATTGAAGATTTTCACAGACATCGCTGAGGGCGTCGCGGCTATGCACTATCTGAAGCCGGTGTTGTTGCACAGGGATCTCAAGGTTGAGAATGTACTCATCTCGCTCAATGGGACCAAGAAAACGTTCAAATTGTGTGATTTCGGCTCTGCCGCTCTCCCGAAGCCTGCAGCAACAAACGCGGCGGATGCGAGACTGCTTGAAGATGACATCCAGCGCCACACGACCATGCAATACCGAAGTCCTGAGATGATTGATGTGTATCGGAAAATGCCTATCGACGAGAAGTCGGATATTTGGGCCCTCGGAGTCTTCTTGTACAAGCTATGCTACTATACAACGCCATTCGAAGACGTGGGACAATCAGCCATTCTGAATGCGAAATTCAAGTATCCGGCATATCCGCGCTTCTCTGATCAGCTTAAACTCCTTATTGCGACAATGCTCAGAGAGCGACCTGGCGATCGGCCAAATATCTACCAGGTACTCCAGAAGGCGTGTCAACTCGATGGCCGAGAGTTGCCAGTCCGAGACATTTACGCCCACCGAAGTCAGTCAGAAAGTCGTAAGGATACCGTCTCGCCACCTTCGAGCTCTCAATCGAATGTGGGCGCGACTCTTGCTCCGCCAACTCAGGCAGGGCCAAAGCAAGAAGTGCCAGATATTGCTCCTATGCGAAGGGGCAGACCCACGAAACCTGTTTCTCACCACGGCTCAGCCAAGCCCAGTCCATCGCCTTTGCGTATGCTGGATCACGGGCAGGCTCAACATGATCCTTTCGCGGCTTTGGATGGTAAGAAGAATGGAAGCGGAGATGAGCTTTCTTCAAAATTTCCCACGCTGGACGAGTTTTCCTTGATGACAGATGGACGCAAGCCGCATGTCTTCGACGCCGGAGACAAGCGGGCTTCGCAGTCAGCAGACCCGAATCTGGCTCAAAGAGTGACCAATGCGCTCGCAGACCAAGCTTTCGCGCGAGCTCCCAGCCCACCCAAACCTGCCCGTTCAGCAGTCGTCGAGAAACCCACCACAGCAGCCAAGCCTTCGACTCTCCTAGAGAAGACCAGATCCCTTGAGGTGCGGCCTAAAGGAAGAATGTCACCTCCTGTGGCACAGAAGTCTTCAATGGTCTCGACAGGAGTGAGTGCCTCTCCTCCTCCCTCTGCGACGCGACCTGTGGCAGATAAGCCGGTCTGGAAAGTGCCTATAGCGACGACCACAGCACGACCTGCGAGTACAGGTCAAGCTATTCCGCCTTCGAGGGCTACTGAGCGACCAGAGCAATCGCGGTTAGCACGTCTTCTACAGCAAGATGCTTCGGATTCGCAAGGTGGCATTCTGGAGCAGCAGCCTCGATCGCCCACCTCGTCACGACCATCATTGGAAGGAGGCCGGCCGAGCGCGCAAGAGATTGATCTTGGGTTGAGCAGATCCAAATCGCTGGATATCAGAAAGCGACCTGCGACGGTGAACTTGGGAGCCCATCCTACACACATCAAGGATCGAGAAATCAAGCGGCATGATTACGAGTCAAACTTTGTCAGTGCTGAACCTGAGATCGCGGAGTCAGCTATAGTGGATTCTGATGCTACCGTTGCCTCTGATCTGGAATGGCTACGAGCGCGAGAAGAGGAGGAGCGAGAGCGCATGGGGCACCATAGAAAGCACAGCAGTCATCAGAGCAAGCGAACTAGTCTGCCACATGCTGTGGCTTCAGGGACCAAAAACATTCTGACCGGCCGATTCGGAGATGCGTTCAAGAAGTTCGAGGGTGGTCGCCACAGTCCGACCGGCGAACATTCGCATCACTTGCACTTCCCGCACCGTTCGTCGTCCATAGATCCTAAAGCAGTAGCTGCACCTGAGGTCCACGATGCGCCGGCCAAGTACGACGAACTTGCACTGGCAGAAACAGAAACAGAGGAGCTGTCACCGGAAATGCGACGCGAGCTAGAGAAGCTTCAACTCGAGGCCGAAGAGAAGCGAGTCGCTCAAGCAGCAGCAGCCTACCGCCAGAGAGTGGCATCACGTGGAGGCGGTCCTGTCAATGGCCCTGGAGTCAATCGCGCCGCCACAATACAAAGCAAAATGCAGTCCCTAATGACAGACAACAACAAACCAGCGCAAAAGACAGCCACAGGCTATGGAAAATACACAAACGAGGCTCAACAACCAGTGGAGCCCCGACAGGCACCTCTATCTTCGGCAGACAGAATCTCATCTGCACCGCCATCCTCGACTAATCTCCAGTCTCAAATCCAGCCCGGACGACTACAGCAGCAGCAAAGGCCCAATGCGCCATCAAAGCCTCAAGCACTGCGAAACGCACAGATCGTGACGGGATCGGTGAATCAGGGGCCACCCGTCGCGGGAACGGAACAAGCAATCAGTCCAGAAGAGTGGGAGAAGAATTTCAGCCAGAGATACCCGAGTTTGTCGGGACTGGAGATGGTCGAGCGAGACATTGACTCGTCGAAAGTGCCTGCTGCGAAGATACGGGAGATATAGATCATAGATACTTGTTGGCAATTGTATAATCGTACGCATCAGCGATTTTTGCTTATTCTTTGTGCTTAGGGGTTCGCTAAATTTTGCTTACGCTTCGGGTGTGCTTACGGGTAGGCGTTGGCAAGTCACTGTAGCCAAGTGAAGTGCCAGTCCGGGGGCAGCAGGGTGCCTGCAGGCAGGCGCAACGGCGACCTCTTCTGCTGCCTTGACGACGTGCAAGTGACAGAGCTGCAACTTCTCAATTACTGCTGCAGTACTTTCTTTGACAAATTATTCTTAACACTCAATCCTCAATCAATTCGTTCGAAGCATTCATTTCAGGCCACGCAGCACGAAATAAGCGAACGTCGTACCTGTCAAACCACCAACCTATCCCCACAGCGCAGCCAACATGCCGCCTAAGAAGCGCCGGAGAAAAGCGCCGACTGGCGCCCATGTCGCTCAGCCCAAGCCTAAGGGCAAGGCCAAACCAAAGTACCACGCGCTGACTTCCACCAATGGCAACCGGCTCACGGTCATCTCTTACCCACCAGACCCTCCGCTCGGGCGGGCCTGGGAATACGAGATCGTCAAACCTCGAGTCCACAATGCCTTTCTTGCTCTTCGAGTACCGCCCGAGAGGTTGCGACCTTTTCTTGAGAAGTACGGGCCAGGATCTGGGCAGGGAGTCGCTGGCGCAGAGTCTGCAGACAGAGCAGAAAACTCGGAATACTTGGATTCAGGACACGAGGACACGCAGCAAGGGGACTCGAACGACTCACCAGACTTTGCTAGACTCGTTGAAACACCAGAGTCTTTGCGACAGGAGGCAGCGACACACCCAGACGACTCACCGGCCACACACACAGCCAGTGGTACTGTAGAAGGTACACAGCGACGCGACTCAGTTCTCGAGCCAGGAGAGATCCGGGAGGACTCGAATTTCTCAGCAGCTTCTAGCACCGCCAGAAGCCCTCGCAGCAAAGTCGTGAGCTTGAGATTGCCCAAGTCGTATTATCGACATACAGGACAGCCATCCGTTGAGTCACCCGAGGCACCGGATTTCAGTCCCATCACACCTTTTGGATACGAGGGTTTTACCCCATTGGGGCATGCTGGTGAGGGAAGTCCGTCTGACGACGTCGCTCAAGTTGGGAACGAGGTCGAAGTACCCAAGAGTCCTATAGCAGAGGTCCACGCTGAGCCAGTTTCTCCGGCTCAAGTCGAAGTCAGCCAAGATCGAGCTGTCCAGATCGAGAGCGAAGTCACAATAACAGCACCGAGTCTTGTACAATTGACCAACGAGAAGGACGTCTTTTCTGTGCACGAAGAAGTCTCAGCAAATACTGAAGCGGCCAGTCCTAGAAACCAAACCTTGCGGATTGAGAACGAGTTTTCGACATCACTTCCAGAGCTTGTGCCCGAAACCGAAGCTGAGCACCTACCGTTTGTACAAGAACAAGTAAGCCAGAATAACCTCGATCAGATCGACGACGAAACATTCACAGCAGCACCAAGTTCGATACCAGAAACCAAAGAAGGTTACCTTCCTTCTGTACACGAAGAAGTCCCAGCGAGCGGAAGTGAAAACCAGCTTGCTCGTCCTGAGAGCGAGACATCAGCCGCAGCGGCAGCAGCACAACATCTTGTAGCAGACTTCGAAGTCGCGCTCGTACCATCTGTACAAGAAGCTGCAGTCTCAGCAAAAGCCGCCGAGACAAATCCCAAGAACCAGGTCACTCAAGTCGAGAACGAACGTTCTCAAGATATAGTAGCACCAGGCCTTGAGCCAGAACGCAAAACCGAGCACATCCTTGCCGTACAAGAACGGCCCAGCCAGGATCGGGAAGACGAACGTGTCGAAGTCGGTGTCGCTCGAGGACTGCCAGTCACTGCTCATCATTCATTCGTCACTCTCGGATTCTCCCAACGACGATCAGAGTTCATAAACCACTCACTGAGCCATCCAGCATCCGTCCCTTACTCGAGCAGTCGCACCAGGCACACACTTCCCATCACTGCTCATCATTCTTACGTGACTCTCAAATACAACAAACGCAGAGCATCCGTCCTCGAACAATCGCCCAAACGTCCGAAGCGTCGCGGCAGTGCCAAACCATCAGGCACTCCCAGCCGAGGAACGCGCAACAACAGTGTCGCAACACCCACTCGGCGCAACACACGAGCTCACTCAGCCATCCCGGACCTCCCACCACCACCAACAATGGGCTCTGTCAAAGACCCCAACGACGTCTCAACCGTCATCAAAGACGTCGTCGACAATCTCTACGACGTCCAGTCCAAGACCCATGGCTACATTCCCGAGACTCAAGACCTCCTTGTCGAGCGCCTGACCGACCTCACCACCTCCCTCACCCAGCTCCGCGATTTGACCAATCGTCAAAAGACACCCAGCAACCCGATCCACGACGTGCGAATCCCCCCGGAAATTGTCGACTATGTCGATGAAGGCCGCAATCCCGACATCTTTACTCGAGATTTCGTGGAAAATGTGCAGAGAGGCAATGCGGTGGTAAATGGGAAGAAGCAAGCATTTAGAGACTTTAGTGTAATTTTTGCGCAGAAGTTGAAAGAGGGCATCAAAGGAGTCGATCAGCATGTTGATCGAATCATGGAGCAAGCTGGATTGGAAAAGGAGTTGGAAGAGGCAATGAGGAAGACCAATGACCAGAAAGCAGCGAACGCGAATGGGGATAGCAAGGTGGACGTGGTGATGCTGGAGAATGGACAAGGGAAGTGAGAGAGATTGAAGTGCTGTGCCGGCTGGCACGTTGCCGAGGAAGTCGGGAAGAGAGATTATGTTCAGGTTCGTAGAAGGGGTGCGACCATCTAAATATAGGTCACGGAAATCAGCAGGTTTTTGCAACATCAGTTGTCGGACTCTCAACGCCAGCCTGTACGGATTTGTCACAGGAGTACTGGCATTGAAGGACAAATGAGCCGAATGAGAGGTGGAGAATACCAAACTAAGAAGTCGACAGCAGCGGGCTGAGAGAGGAAGACCCGACTGTCGATTGCCCACGAAAGAGCTAGCGCTGGACAAAGGCATCACTTCCAAGGAAAGAGGATCTCGCAACGGGATTGTGCTTAAAGATAGCTAGGTGAGGATACATGTCTGTCTAGCTGATGCCACGCTGTTGAACCTAAACATGCTTCATGACACCGTGAGCTCGCAATGCATCATTCGGTTGTCGTCAATGCGAGACTTCGATGTCCAGATATTGGTGTACATGTTACACCTCTCGCGAGGAAGAATATACCAGATCATGAACCGTCGTCAACGCCAGTGCTAGTCGCAAAAATAAAGTCATACCCTGAAAAGAAGACAATGAAAAGGAGTCGACCTTTCATCGAAACGAATGGTAGTCAAACCCGAGCCGACACCTCAAGTGAATGCAAACCGCACACGCCTCCGCCGCGTGTACTCTCTCTCACGCTCCTGCCTGACAAGCGCCGCCCAGTCGACACTGTTGCTGCTACCACTGTCGTCGGCGGTCCCGTATGCGGACACGCTGCCCTCCAGTGTGGCTGGTGGCGAGGGCAGCGGTACCGGCAGCACCGTGGTGTCGTCAGCATAGGCAGTGTCGTTGTCAAGTCTTGGGTGGTGCTGATGAATGCTCACAGACTGCCTCCGCCTTTGCCGAGGCAGCGATCGAATAGGTTCCGTGCCATAGGAGTAGTATTCTTCGTGGCCACTGCTGCTGTTGCTAACAACAGAAGATGAGCTGGCGGTGCTGTCATTACTGCCCCTCCTCCGCGAAGAAGAGTCTCCAGTTCCGCTGCCGTAGTCACTGTCGGCCGTAGAGCGTCGAAGACGAGGTGACTCGTCATCGTAGTAGTGCGGAACATTGGCCCAGACATGCTGCTCTCTGGGGTATGATGACCTGGATGGTGAAGTCTCGGTCGCAGTCCAGGAGCCATGGCGTGACCGAGGGTGGATGGTCACGATGATGGGACTGCCACTGCGGTGCTTTCGGCGGACTGATGTGGACGGCATCGTGAGTCGGGATGGAGACTCCAAGGCCGTCGGTGCTCGTGTTGGGGTGGTCATGGTGTCGATGCGAGAAGTTTGGATGCAAGAGCGGAGAGCTCGCTGGATGAAAGCGCCAGCAGAGTGTGCACAGATGAGATGATTGTGCGAATACGCCAAATTTATGTTGAGTTTCGCTCACTCCTCGCCGAACTGCCGGACGAGAGTCAACTGCCCGAGATCCTGTTCTAGCGATGTTCGTTGGGTATGTGGCAGGCGGTGTTGTAGTCGTGGTCGCAACGACGCCTGTCTTCGACGTCGAGAAAGGTAGTAGTCTCAATTTATTGATATTGCCAGAAGCAACAGTGTGATGAATGAGATGGGAGCCAGCCGCAGGTATGGTGTGTAGTTCTATTCCAGACTGGACTTGACAAGCGCGGATGTAGGATAAGGGTTCATAATGCCAGTCGACATTAGAACGTCAGATCCAAGAAACCGGGAAAAGTTGGATACTGTTTCCGCCTCGGGTTGAACGACCGCGACAATCGTACACTGTAACATTTACTGCAGTTAAGACAGGGTTGGCTGGTGTTCGTCCGCGAATTGGGCACAACCGATCAAGACGTCAAAATGATCAGCGTGCTAAGCTTTTGCCTCACGACTTGATACCTAACCTTGCAGATCGTTACCGTATCCGGATTACAGCGATACGTTCGTATGCCAAGATGATGTAGAATTCAGGCGTCTTCGTGAATTTGGGATCGGAGACGAATGTGTCTGCGACATAGGTCTCGCGTGGTTGTCGACTTGCTGCCGCCTGGTTGGAGTGACACATGACGTCTGCGTCACGAGCAGACCGTTGCTAGATTACTGCGAAGCTACTTGTAGAGAGCGTCTAACAAGGGTAGAAGCGACAGCCGACGAGATGACGCGGGCGTGGGCGAAGAAAGAACAGTGTACATGCAGGGCTCGAGCGCCCTCGTCTGAAACGCCAGTACACGACAAGGACGAGCTGACAAAAGTGCTCACCCATGGCAGTCGATTCGACAGAAAGTAGTGGGCCGACCGCCTTGCGCATTTTGTCATGCGCTCCGGCGTCATCGCGCGCCATATCGAATGAACAAACCCGAAAAGGACGCGGGTCACTCTTGTCGGCAGTTGATATGCAGGGCAACCCCAGCTTCTGTGGTGTGTTCACCTCGCGCTGACTCGAAAGTCCGATGGCTGCTGCAGCGAAAAGGAACTTCGTCACAGGGACTGACAGGCATCGTCCGTCAGACATCAAGGACACTGCAGGTTACATGCAGCCGAAGAGCTTCGCCCAGTGTGACGTTTCTGTTCGGACCCCTCTCTTCTCAGTGAGCGCCAGCAGTCCGGGTCATGATAATGACGGCGATGACAGTTTGACGCCGCATACTGCATGAGCTTCTCAGTCTTCGGGCGATGCAGATGCTTGTCAAAGTGTTGCAATTGGTGCCGAGATCGCGCCAGTCAGCCGTGCAGCCCGAAATGTGGTTCGAGAGCACAAAAGCCAACCAGACCGCCCACTCTCACCGGACAGATTTGCTAGCGATAACGAGATACCGCCGAATTTTCATCATGTTATCCCAGATTGCTGCAGGTTTTCGCTATCCAAGACGTTATAGTTCTTTTGCCGAGCAGGGGATCCATGGCATGAACGATGCGACGCTGCTCCGCTTCGCCGCATTTTTCGAAAATGGCACCGACACTCGTCCGCTGACAGCGAACGTGTTAGGTGTCGAATAGCTCCTGTTGAGTCGAGAAGATAGCGATGTTGGGCAGCATGTCGCGCCGCTGAAAGGAGACAAGTCGTTTCCCGCCAAGCCCAACCAGGCGACTGCTCGCAGCGCTGTTGGCTGTGATCGGCGGAAGGCGCGATGCGCGCTATCTCGAAGAAGCTGCGTTGAAGAGGTGAGGCGCGCTTTGTCTTGATCGCAGTGCTGTACTTCGAGATCAGTCTCGGTTTTCGAGAGTTGCGAGTCTGTCAAGCGAAAACTTTGAAAGTCAGATTCCGCGGCTGGTGTAGAAAGCTGACCAAACTGCGGGGAGCGACGGCGATCTTAAGTCTAGAAGATCAGCGACTGCGCAGTAGATAAAGTACATCGTGCTTGTTATCGAGGATGATGCATGTATGTTGGGCATAACAAGGCGATCATCGGGCAGTACTGTGCATTGCTGCCCAACTTTCCCCAGACGAGGCTGAAGAGGCAGGGGCCTCCAGACAGGGTGCTGCCGATACACTACTGGTCCACCTAGATGAGTGTAAGGCAGTATCGACTTTCATAACATTGTGCATCGGAAGGTGAATAACTACTCCGATGTGAGCATAGTGCGTTGAGAGACGAGGCAAGAAGCTTTGGTTTGCCGCGTCGAACGACTTTTAGTGCTGTCGATCATGGACGATCTCCTGCCAAGACAGCTTAGAGCACACCAATCAGAGTAATGTACAGTACCAAATAGTGAGCTCTTCTTTCGATGTTCTTCCAGAGACAGTCCTACCGCATGCTCGAGGCTTCATCGTTCAGCACAGTCTGCTGTTAAGTCCGGTGAGCCACTGACAGCACAGTAAGGCGTCAGGTAGACCGGTCAGATCGCTTGGACAGCCATCAGAGCAGCAGGCGGGGTACAATCACATCTGCGGGACGAGTCGAGATCAGTCACTCTGCGATCGTTCGTGGCACTGTGGGAGCACCTTTGCGATTCCCGGCTTCCGTTGTTGGTCGGCTGCGTATTCTGTGATTCGATGACGAAGGACGAGCCGTCCATGCTGATAAGTCCAATTCAGACGACGCCCGCCTAGCGGGATCCAATCTGAGGTCTTGCGCCCACCAGATGTCGCTCAGCAGCTCGTAGAGCTGTAGCAACAGTCAGAAGTGTCTTCTAGTTGGCAGTGTCGTTCTTTCCGGTGTCGAACAGCAGATATGGATCCTGATATCGGCGACAATGTATCGGGCCACGTTGTCCCAGGGACACCGCCGACGCACAGCAAAATGCATCTCCCATGATCAGGACCGAGTGACCGTTGCAGATTGAACATGGTTTAGAGCCAGCATCGAACGCCCGATCATGCTCGCAGAGATGTTAGCTTTGCAGGGATCGAGGATCTATTGAACAGGGCGAGGCGCTTGTTCGCCTCACTTTCAAAAGTATGAGCCATGATTGGCCGAATTCGACATTCCGCAGCAGCACGGCAAGGCGACGAATACGTTGTGGAGTACTTTGAGATCGCGAAGGATGATGGCTGCTGTCATAGCCTTGAGCGTTTCATGCATTCAGTATTGGCGCAGGTGATGTTACGAATGCACGAGGAGATGTTGGGAAATGATACGTTGAGCCACTTTGATGCGAACCGAAGGTCGCATAAGAGCCTTGCTTTGCCTCGATGTCCCTAAGGTCTTGCTCGAGGTAAAGCGTCAGATTCATCCCGAGCAGAGCCGTGACCTTTACGCAGCAATCTGAAGCCCGGGTCACGGTGCTGAGTCAACCATGTCCGGCAACAACGAAGAATACTGGCTCCCCGGGTACGGGCTCTCACGCCATATCGTTTTCCGACAATTGCAATATTTCATCGGCCCATCGGCAACCGTCAGACCATTCAGCTACCACGTATGACTCTCGGCAGAACCGGCGAATGTTGTTGCTAATGTCTCGACAGGGCCGAGAGGGATACCTGATCAAGGGTGCACCGTTGACTAAGGTGAGTAAATCTTGTTGCTCAGTCGAACATGATGTCTGATGGGTCCAGAAACAAATTGAAGACCTGCGGAAGCAATCCGAGGAGTACGAGAAGCAGCAGTCCCTGAGAATGTCAGGTCGTCGAGAAAGCTCAGATGACTCTGCCGACATCAACACTCCCATCATCGTGAGCAACCGAGGTCGTGGCTCCTCATATCGACCCTATCGATGACACTGGAAATTGAGGATCCCAACGGTGAAAACTCCAGGATGACAAGCCGTGCACGTCCCTCACGAAGCACGTCGTCTCGACTGGCCCACACTGAAGGTAGCGGCCTCAGGGTATGAGACATCATGGTTAATCTCGAATCCCAAGAATGGTCTTTGAATTGGCCGAAAGGTGACATGAGAACTGCGACATGGCGAGTACGGCAACAAATTGTTGCGGTGGCGATCGATGCAGCATGAGCAGAGAACCAATTTCAGGGGCCGGGGCCCTGTCATCTCCGTAGAATGCCGATTGCGAATTTGATGATCACTCGCTCCATTGCCGACCACCGGTGAAGTCGTCCTACTCTCATGAACCGCGGTAAGAACTGAAATTCCACGGACCCAGCAGGACAGGCACATGATAATGCCTCTCACCCTTCTTCACATAGAACTTGACTTCCACCTCCGGCCAGAAGCTCTCCACGCCTTGATCCTCGTACCACTGCCCCACTGCGAACTTGATACTGAATGGGACCTTCTCGCCCTGCTTGTAGTCTTCGAGCAGCTCGTGAACGGACTGATGGCCCGCAGTAGCAGAGGAGGGTGACCACTCCTTCACACGGCCGTCGGCGTCAGTGGTGGCGTAAAAGGAGACGACAGGCTGTGGGGAGGCGGTGGTCGCGGGTGGGGTGAGGAGGGAGAGGGTTGCAGGCAATGACGACGCAGGTGTGCCGGAGAGAGTGTTGAGGACGTGGCAGGTTATTGGGGAGGATGGCGTGGGAGACATGGCGGTGGCGGTCGTGGGTGTAGCTGTGGTGGTGAGGGACGATCTGATGGCTTCGAGACGGGAGGTTGCTGTGATGTCGGTTGGCTCTGGGGCTGGCATATGCGTGTATCGGTAATGTGTGTACGCGTTTGAGAACTTGCGCCACTCGATTGAGAGACGGGAGAAAGAGTGAGAGCTCGCTCGGAGGGCACCTGCCTCGTGAAGCTTTTAAAGCAGCTGCACCTCTGATATAAGGAAACCGCTATCGAGATACGCGTGCTCGTCGGCCAGCCCCGCCTGTCCTGTCCCGGCCCGGCGTATCGTTCGGCCGCTTCCGGTCCAGATGTCAATCACATGTGTGACATGTGCTTGTACGTATATTCATCCGCATAATTTTTTACCATCTACCTACAGAGGTCCCTACTGGTGCAGCAAGCTCTTTACTCATAGTAAAACTCTGTACGCGACGTTTCGTGGCCGTGATCAAAGGTGCTATTGCATCAGTCTTTCCCTCACTTCTTACCAGCAGACTGGCAGCTCAATGTACTCAACGGATCAAGACGACTGGTGGGTCGTTACATGTGTTGACGTGTATCATAGATTCTCGTCCAGAAACTCAGTGAACCACGAGGCTGGAGGATCCCAGTCGGGTAGACCGAGGTCAGACAGGTCGTCAGAGACCCTATGGCCTGTCTTGCCCGCCGGCGTAAACAGTATGCCGTCGACACCGTGACTCTGATCTTCTTGACCATCTCGACAGGAGCTGTCAGAAACGTCCGCCGATCGAAGTGCCGGCAGCGGTCCATTTGAGGCTCTCTTCCTGCATGCCAGAAAGCTTGAGAGGAGGTTGACACCAAACGCGGCATGTAGATGACGTTCCCGTAAGCCACGCAGAATTTCAATACAGTCCTGCAACCTTCTGCAGACCTGGTCAGGATTCTCTGCGCTAAAGTCTTTGAAAGTCAACGCAGCCTGCATCAGCACGGTCACCGACCATCCGGGCAACAGATGCAACAGATTTCGCCACTGGACGTGCTCGAAGACCGAGAGCATCTGCGCTGCGCTAGACCGCGCCTTGAATGGGTCGGGTCCTCGTGCTTCTTTCTGATTCGAGTCCACACTTTGTTGATGTTGTCGGTGAAGAGTGGACGTTAGCATGTGATACAGCAACCTGACCATAGCGGTGTGGATGAGTAAGATCGTTGGTTGGTTGTCAAGGCTTGCTGTTTGCTCACCGATGAATCTGTCCCAATATCGTTCGGACCACGAGGCCAGAAGTGCTCCGCACTGGTGAAGGCCTGCCAGGTCAGTCGTCTTTGGCTTTGGCACCAGAAGCAACGTAGTCTCGCGTGTGCTTCCGTACAAAGGACTCTTGTGATGGTAGCGCAGCCTCATTATTTGGTCAAGCTGCTCCCATAGGGCAATTTGTGCGATGCAAAGCTCGGCAAGTTGGTGTTGGATGGTTGTGTCCAGCAGAAAATGAGAGGATCGAAACATTGCGCTGACTCCTGGTGAAGGTCCACGAATGTCGAAGTCCGAGATCACGAGCCCTTTCCAGAGACATTCGTCGTCGCTGATCAGACTGTACTGTCGCATGCCTATCGCGCAGGCACGATCACGAATAATGCAACACCACCACAGGCGTTTCCACAGTTTGTGGTGTCCTTTGTCAGACGAATCAGCGCTAGGCTCCCGGTTGAGGCATATGTCTATGGCAGTTCTGTACGCTATGCCAAGCCAGTGTCGTAGGTGTTTCAAGCCGTCTGTGTCTTCATGATAGTATGTCATCAGGAGCAGGCATTGGACGAGGATCAATCGATCTTGCTCGCAATCGAAATCATATAGTAGCTGTCACAGTCAGCCCACGTCAAAGGAAACCATATGTGTAACTCACCCGTAGTCGGCGATAGATGGTCTTGGAAAGCACAGATGCGCTGCTGTAACCCGCCTCTGATAATAGCGAGTGGTTCATGAATGGGATGCCTGCAAGCACCACCGCATACAGTAAGAGCAGACTGATCTTGCCGCTTTCGCCATTCGATGCTATGCAGTTAAGCTCCTTCTGAAGGTCCAGTAATGGTGTCAGGGGATATACGTAGTCGATAAACCCCGTGATCGATGAGACTAGCACGGACTCACATGGGAGGTCCCAGACTCCTTTGGCTTCCAGAAACTTGAAGTCCTCTGAAGCTATGTTACTGTACAGTCGATCACGTATGCTGGCAGAGGAGAGCTATGGAGCGCCAATGGTTGCAGACTCATGCCGGGTAATGACAATGCTGGAGTCGAGAGAGGAGGTGTTAGCATATGTAGTTGCTCGGCTCTACGATGTGCACTCCCTTCATCTGTCAGGGAGACCTGCGTGGATTGTTTGGCAACCAGGTCTTCTGCAAGGTAGAGATTCTTGGGAAATTCGGTGATGTCTGCTCCAGCATCGCCACGACGAAGGCTGTTCGGGGATGGCGGCAACTGAGCAGCTGAGAGGCTCACGTGTGTGATGCCATCCTGGAGCGATTGGAATAACGAGACGTCTGTGGGTGCTACCAGCAATCCAGTCGCATCGTTAACCAGCCCTTCTGAGTGCATTTGAGGCGGAGAGCGACAGGTGGAATCATCGGTCGGAATCTCTCTGTTGCTCAGGGTCAGGTTCAAGCATCGGATAGGGCCAGGTGAGCAACACACCGCTCGACATATTTCCTGGCACGCTTACTGTCTATACAGCGAGCTTGGAGACTCAGTCAGCGGATTTCCGGAAGGAAAGTCAGGTTGTAGGTATGAAGCACTTACTTTGTCTATCTCGCAATTCGTACAAGGACTGCCCTTGCGTATCAGGTCACATCGCACCTTCCGGCTTCGACACTGCGAGGTAAGAATTAGCAAGAGCCAAAGTAACAGGGACCAAAGGGCGATCCCTTGGCCAGGGTTATATCGTCAAGGTGTTTGTTGCGATACTTGTAGTTGCTTACCTGCGTGCAGGCGCGGGATGCGCGCAAGTACTGATTGGACCGCCGACGTGTAGGGTGCTCGAGGACCATCGTTGTAGTCCCAGGACGGTATACATGTAGCTACGGGAGCACTGCTATGCAATAGAAATAGTCTAGAGATGGCGTGCTATAAGAGGCTCGGTACCGAGCGGGGAAAAGGCACTAAGTTGCTGAGTTCTACCCGTTTGGGGATCAATATGAACTTGAAGCCTGTGCCATCGCCGATGGAGCCCATTGGAGAGGCTTTAGTAAGCGACTGGGAGAGTTCACCAGCGCTTCCTACTTGCTGTAGTCCTTCATCTTGGGAGATATCAGTATTTTGATGTGCTCGTCTTTGTTGTGGATCAGCTCCTCGAAGCCGTCCCTCACAATGTCTTCCAGCCCTACTCGACGCGTGATCATCTTCTCCAGACCAGTGAACTTGCCTATAACGCCATCGTTAGTTTCCTTTCCGTCTGAAGCTCTGAATACTACTTGCCCTGCGCAAGGAGTTCCATCACTTCTTGAAAATCCCGTCGGTTGTAACAGCACGAGCTGTAGAACTGTACCTCCTTCCGAAAGAAGGGATAGTATGGAATTGAGACCTGTTTGTCCATTGTCAGTGACGTGCCCAGATGGCTAGGAGCACGAAGCCATACCGAGGATGACCACATTGCAACATTCACGAATCGCCCTCCGATCTTGATGGCGTCGAACGCGTCATCCGATGCCCTTTTGCTTCCCGCACAATCGAAAACGATATCGACACCAGCTCCTTCAGTAGCTTGCCGACACTTGTCGCCAACATTCTCCGTGAGCGGGTCGACGATGACATCGACAATGTCCTCTGCATAAGTACGTCTTTTCAAAGTAGGCTCGCTCAGTATGATCATACTTGCACCGTGGGCTCTGAGCGTCAGTGCCATTGCATAGCCAATTGGGCCACCTCCAGAGATCAAGACACTGATCTTTTCGTTCGCAAAGTCTGCACCAGAAGTCTTGATGCTGTGATGCGCAACGGTCAGAGGCTCGATGACGGCGGCGTCCTCCAGATGGATGGTATCCGGCAGCCGATAGACCATGTTGGCATCGACTGCCACGTACTCGGACAGCCCGCCACCACAGGCACCGCCACTAGCCCCAACAAAGCCCATCTTGGGGCACAGATGATCCCTGTCTGATTTGCACTGCTGGCAGGCTTCACAAGTGAAATGTGGATCTACCATGACAGCATCGCCAACCTTCAGCTTCGAGCCATCTGGAGCACTCTCGATCCGGCCGCAGAGTTCGTGACCCATCATCACTGGGAGGTGGCCTCCTGTCAGTGGATGAGGCTTCTCTGGCGTTGGTACTCCAATAGGTCCTGCGGTCAATGCTTGCGTCAGCCTTGTCTTATGGTTTAAGATGTTCGAACACGTGTGGACAAACGCACCAGATAGATACTCATGGAGGTCACTGCCGCAAATCCCACACCATTCCACAGAGACCACATATTGACCTGGTCCCGGATTCGGCTTCGGTACATCCTCGACGCGGATGTCGCCTTTTCCATAAAAGACGGCTGCTTTCATCACTGATAGAGTGCCTCAACCAGAGACAGGCCATTGTGGGCAATCGATGCAAATGCCAACAGGTACACGCGTAAAGTAGTACTTGAGCGGACCAGCATCAAAGGCTTCACCATTGCCGCCTACGGTAAGTCGAATAAGCTTTTGTGTCGTGAGGCGGTCCCTCGGGAGCGTATAGCTGACATAGCCAAGAGCCCTCCCGAGGTCGGCTGCCCATCCAGGTGACCGGGTACCATGCACATGCGCATGCATAAGGACCCAGGCCGTGGACACAAGTCCTGGGCGGTTTTCACATTTAGGACTGGGAGCTGCTCATTACAGATCTCCAGGCCCAGGAGGGCGCTGAAGGTCAAGGAACTTTTGCCGATCAAGTCGACAGGTTTGAGATGAGCTTCACTTGAGTGTTGAACATTCGGAGAGAGATATTGAGAAGGCCTAGCGAGGGCGGGCGCTGAAGGACTTTTGACAATTTAGTTGGAGAAAACGCCCGGCTCTTGCTCCCACAGCTTGGGTGCCTAGGCGGATGTAGCTCAAGCGGCGTTACGACGCATGGTGTGCGCGATGATCTGTAATCACCATAACGCTACACATGGGTTTGGAGGTGGAGAATCTGCTGCAAATTTCATCTTGTTTTGTTGAAAATCCCCATGCTCTGGGCACAAGTACCAAGACTTTGTTGTTCTCGGACTAGATCTACCTCTGAGCAAGTGACTTATCTGTTCGCAATTCTGCGACTATGGATCAGTGCATCTCGCGAAGTGCTCCATGACACAATCGTCCAGACATCGCGGATTGGTTTCGAGCATGATAGCTCTCAAGCTGTCTCGACATGGGTTGCCTTGGCATCATCCAACTGCTCGAGGCCTTCGGGCGACTTCTCAAGAATAGTGACAGTGTTGAGTTCTGGCTGCGAGTACAGCTCATCGGCATCCCCGAACAGTCTCGCCACTTCCTCGAGTGGCATGCCTAGCGTATTTGGGAAGTAGAACCAAAGCCAGGTTGCCGCAACCATACCGGGGATGCAGAAAACGAGGTAGAATTTGTAGCCAATCTTTTCGAAAGCAATGGGCGCAACTTGCAGCCAAACGATATTGATAGCGCAGATGGTGGCCACGCCCACCACGACGCCTTTGGCACGGATATGGTTGGGAAACATTTCTCCAAGTGAGCAGAACTGCACGCCATCTAGTCCATTCATGTTAGTATTCGCGACGACTTGCAGGGGAAGAGAGTGTAAAGCTTACCTAGTCCGAGTTGATAGAAGCAATTCACCAAGTAAATGAAGGCAATAGTCGCACTCAGCGCAGGTTGATTGGGATTTTCGAGGGCCTGCGGAGAAGCAAACTTCCCGATCAACCCACAGACTATGGCTAAGCACATGGCGCATCCTCCAACACCGAAAGACAGCAATTTGTTGCGCGGGAACCGATCAATGAGAAGGAAAGACATGAATCCAGTGCCGAGTGCAACCACACACCATCCGATCTGATACAGAAGTTGCTTGTTCGTGTCGAACCCCAGAGAAGCATAGATCGTAGGTCCATAGTTCGTAACAACAAGGATTCCCGAGGTCTGGATCGAAAGCGCCATGCCCATGGCGAAGAGCGTGCGCTTCCGGTAGCTTGGCTTGGCTATCATGGACAACCATGTGCTGATGTGGTGGCGATCTGCCTCGATTGATTGCCTGATCTGTGCCGCCTCGACCAGAACTTCCTCTGGCATGTGCAGTCGCTGTAGCACTCGAGCGGCCTCCTCGTGGCGATCCTTCATCATCAGCCATCGCGGAGACTCCGGCAGCCAATGGATACCACTGAGTAGTGCCAACACCCAGAACAGCTGAAGAATCATGCCGCCACGCCATCCCCAATTATTGGTAGGCGGCAGATGATAGAAGGCGTAGCCGAAATATGTGGCGACGTTGTAGCCAAGCAGGAATCCAACATTATGACAGTCCACCAGAATGCCACGGATGCTTGGCGGAGAAACCTCGTTCATCCAGATCGGGATGGCCGTGACGATGGTCCAGCCGCCCCAGCCAGCCACGAAGCGGAAGGCAAGGAACATGCCGATGCCGGTGCTGCCAGTCAGTCCTGCGGCCGCGACCACATTCACGACTGCACAGTAGACAATGGCCTGTTTGCGTCCGTAGCGGTCGGCAATTATAGAGACTGTCCAGACGCCTATGAAGCCCCCAGCTTGGTACAGAGAGTTCATCAAGCCTGCCAGAGTGCTAGCATCTTCCCGTGTGTCGAGCTCGAAGTAGGAGATGAAAGATGGCTGAGCTAGAGTAGTCGCTATGATAGAAGCACTGTACCCATACTCGATGGATCCGAGTGACATGAAGAGGATGATGAAGACATTGTACCAACGGAATTGGCGTTTGTTCGAATGCTGGACGACCGTCGGCATCGTTGGACCCTTGAGAGCGCTCATATTGCTGATTTTCCTTCCAAAATCCACCCTGGCCCGTAGACATAATTCAAGTTGGGGGTTGGGTATATGTATCTCGTTCGCGTCGACTCTTTCGCCGAGGCCGTCTCCTTGAGAAGGCGCGATCCGAGGTCGAGTACTGCGGCCGCGTGTTTTTCATCTTTCCCGTGGACAGACACAGCATTGTAATGGATGTCTCACTCGTCGCGACGTAGTATGCGGCTAGTATGAAGTCCCCGCAGCTGTCAAGCGTGTGTCAGCCATCCCCACGGGGTATCAATCAGAGCTTCAACCCGAGGTGACATTCACACGCCTGAGCTCCACGCGCGTCAGTAACCAATAGTATTGCTTACCGAGGATGCTTTTTTGACGTGCTGACCGTCGGAAGCCCAGTCAGTCGGTCTGGGCGTGAGGGAAGCTTTTAGCCACGTTGGCACGCTGTAAGGCACGAAGCCCGCTCAGTGATGTTGTCCAATCTCACCCTTTCGCAGTCCTCACAAAGTCTTGTCAACATCATACAGCACATCCGTTCGAATGATGTACTTCACCCCTCTCGTCACACCCGAGCCCTCATGTAACAACGCCCCCTTGCCCTCTCCATGCGGAAACAACGCCACCGCACCAGCCACAGGCTTTACGGGGTACGCATTCATAACCTCATCACTGATGCTCGGCGTGAAGAACGTCGTCTCCCCGGCGTCGAAGTCATCATTCAGATACAGCAGAAAAGTATACAGACTTGACTGCTTCGCATTCGCCGGAGACGAGTCATAAACATAGCTATCGTCAACAGGGTTGATCCCAGACGGAGGCCACGCACCGTCAATGTGGCACCGGTACTCGGCACCGGGGACGTAGCGATAGACGCGGAAGCGGCGGTTGAGGCCTCGGACCTGCTTGCCGTCAACTTCCGAGGGAATGAAGGATTTGACGCGCTGCCATAGGCGGTCGTGGAAGGATGTGTCGATGATCCAGTAGAAGTTGTGCGCGAGAACGCTAGTATCTTCGCGCGATGCCATTATCGGAGCGTCGGGCGTGAAGCCCACACTCTGGCCTGCGGAGACGATGCGGGAACATTCTGCGGGGTGGAGAACGTTCTTGATCAGGGAGAGATTGGGCACGACCGGGTGATTGTGCAGTGTGGTGGACGGTGCATCGTCTGCGAGGAGGATAGCGTCGTCTTGGGAGGCGTGTAGAATGGCGGGATGGAGATTTGGTGGCTTTCGTTGTGAGCCGGGAGTGGTTTCAATAACACGGAACTGTTCGGTTATCTTCGCGGAGCACACCCAAGGTTGGTTTGGCATTTTATTTCGAAGATCCCACACGTTCAGTAGGCGTATTGGGTCCGTCGTAAAGCCCACGCCATCTGTACTGGTATCAATAGGACCAGAGACCCGTAGAATCATAGTGAGTACTCTCAGCCGCTCTCGATCTCTGGCTGTCCACTCGTGCGCGTGGCTGATTCCGTCCACCTTCATTGACAGTCCGCTCACAACATCGAGATCTCGAACCCATCGGCATATGGCACCGAGTTTGGGATACTGTGCTCGGATGCGCATCTCCGCAAGAAGAACGAGAGCGTCTGTGTATTTGCCATCGGACAAAGCGGCCGTGATGCGTGAAGTGAGATTTGAGTCTTCGGAAGAATTGACGCCGACAGTACAAGCTTGTCGGAAGTCGTAGATGGCTACTCTGAGGTCTTTGCAGGCTTTCGATTTGATGAGGCTGGGGTACTTTGAGAGTGTCGCGATAGTCTCTGTTGTGATTTCGAGGTCCTCGTCGGCGATGACGGTTTGGAGACTTCTTGGATCGCTGGTAGCATTGTCGGGCGGCGGCGTAACAATGCTGTCGGTTCTGCTGGACTCATGAGCTTGTCGCTTCCGTTTCAGGGATTTGTTTCGACCCATCTTGGCGCTGATCGGGACGTGAGTATCGGTCGTGGAAGGGCAAGCGGGCTCTATTGATGTCAAGGCGGGGGAGAAAACTTCGGAAATTATGCTCCACGTACAGTGGCAGCCAATGAGCGCACTTGCCGAGGACCTTATTTCGACGGCAACATCGAGCCTGCCCTAGGTACCCGAGGACCCCTGCAAGAGTTCTGATTGAGGTCGAACATCCACGACCCCTCTGCTCGTCCAAACCAACAGCCCGATGGCAACGGTCCGGCTCTGGAAGATTTGAGGCTTTGGAGCAGCCGAAGGCAGGCGCTGAGGTCTTCATGCCTGCGTCGCGACGAAGCTAGCTTTCCGACGTGTCAGCAGCTTTCAGGGATTCCCAGCAGAGAAGGCAGGTACGCTGTTTTCTCCCTGGCATAATCGCATCTCGTTCGGCAAAGCAATCGGACAGCGCACCGTACAAATAGCATGCGTCGGGTCGGACTGTCATCACGATATGGATCAACCAAAAGTGCCAGAATGTATACGCGCTTGCCCGGCAAAGTCCGTAGCCGCTAACGTTGTCCACCCGCAAGATGTCATCTCCAAGGAGAGCTGTTCCCTTCTTCCATCCTACGCATACCTAACCTGATATGTATCGTTAGACTAGCCACTGACACGCCGCTATGAACTTGGAGTACGAAGCAAATTTCGAAGAACAGGTTTTACCCTTCCGTATCAAGGTCAACGAGCAGTTCCTAAACACGACGAAGCTGAAAGTCTCTCTGACGCGCTTCGTCGACACCGAGCTCGAGCAGGCAGACTTCACCGATGGACCACCTACCAAGACAGCGCGTGAGTTGGCACAGTATTGGACGGAGAAATACGACTGGCGATCGGTAGAAGCCAACCTCAACGCAGAGCTCCAGCAGTTCACCGTCATCGTGAAACCATCCTCTAGCCCAGCCAACTTCAGCGAGGATGTCCCACTACACTTCGTCCACCACATATCAAGTAGAGCAAACGCCATCCCACTGCTCTTCGTTCACGGCTGGCCCGGGTCCTTTCTGGAAGTCATCCCCATCATCAAACAGCTTACCCATCCTCCAGATGATTCTCTCCCCGCCTTTCATGTGGTCGCACCGAGTATTCCAGGCTACGGCTTCAGTCCTTCGCCAAGAGTCCCAGGCATGGGCTACCGCGCTGTGGCAGCTGCGTTCCACGCCCTGATGACGCAGAAACTTGGCTATAAGAAATACGTCTTCCAAGGTGGCGATGCGGGAGACCTCATCAATCGCTACGCAGCCCATGACTTTCCCGAGAGTGTTGTCTCGGGCCTGTCAAATTTCTGGGTTGTACCTCCAAGCAACGAGGATTTGGAGATGTCCCAACAGCACAAGTTTCCGGAGGACAGCGATGAGCAGTACTTCTGCGCTCACTGGTCAGATTTCTTCAAGTCCAGTTGGGGCTATGCTCAGATTCAGCAGACCAGACCATTGAAGCTCGCGCAAGGCTTGACTGACAGTCCGGTTGGGCTCGCCATGTGGATCTATGATGCGGTCTTCACGGGCATCGAACCGGCTCGCCGCGAGGAAGTCTGGACCATGGATAGGGTGATCACTTGGACGATGATGGAGTGGCTGAATGGTCCTTACGGGGCATTCTCTCTGTACAAGCAGGGCGCAAAGGTAAGCCAAAGTCACAACCCAAAGTCTGGTCTTCACAGGCCAGGCAGAGTCTGCAGTACCAAAAGGAATACTCACAGACTCCAGGACGGTGCGATAAGCACTGACACCATAAACCCTCTGCCGTTCGTTAAACAGCCGGTCGCCATCTCGCTATTTCCCTACGACATCTGGTATCGATTGCCCATGAGATGGGCACAGCGTGGAGGCAATGTGGTGCAACGAAACGTGCATGCCGAAGGAGGCCACTTTCCGAGCATTACAAACCCTACCGCACTTTTGCAGGATATCTGGAAGTTCTTCGGCGACGCAAGTCTTTCGCGTACAGATACTTTTGCAGGGTGAGCTAGTGCTGCATGGATCATCGCAATGTCTCTCGCAGGCATAAGCTGTGTTCTCCGCATTCATCGTTACGAATTACTGCATTAGAGACGGTTGATATGACCTGGACGTGATAGCCATCGTCGGCGAAAAGTTCACGTGCTTGAATAGACCTCTTCTGTCTTTGGCCTATTCGGGCCATCAAGAATAGAGCTGTTCTGTCTCAAATGCGCAACCCGAACCTTTGAAATCGGAAGTTGATCATCCGCCGCCAGCATACGAAGTACTCTGGTGATTTCGTTGCACAACGTGCTTCTCGGATGGCGCATTGACCTTATGTCTCTGTTATCGATGACGACCGCTGGACGAGCCTTGATAGCCAACAAAACGATGGATATGCTGACCTCAGCCCACGCGTGTTGATGACCCCTGTCTCGGTTGAGCACGACATCGCGCCCAGACTTTCGTGATCGAACCGCGATGGCCTACACGTGCCAATTCGGCGCCTAATCTGGCCCAAATGCCTTCTGGTAACATGGCTTTGGTTGCAGCTGACACTCAATAGCCCGCGTGATGCATTTCCGCTGCTTGCGACATCTAACTACTCCGCTAGCATGAGCCATAGAAGCATATAGTCCTTATGGCGGGGTGGGCCGCGGGGCCTCCTGTCTCAGACGATGGCTCGAGGTCGAGGACTGCTTCATCAGCAGGCGAATGGGTTGAGTTCGATGAGCTTGGACCGTTGACAATTGACGAGATGCCTTTACTTAGAAGACATGATGATGATGCGGACGACCACGACTTGGCGGACGACGACCCAAGCACAGCACTGCGCATGTCCGCGGAACTACCATTGCTCCCAAATCATCCATCTACATCCGACAAGTCGCTCGCAGCGGCTGGTAGTCGCGGCTCAGGCTTCAGCTTCCGGCAACGGCGGTTACCACATGACGCCGACGCTATAGCGACGCAGTCGTCCGTCTTCGACAACCCTGATACCGCCAAGCACTACCAGCCACGCTCGGACTGGGAGAACATCCATCGCTTCGACCCGAGCGCGCGTTGGAGCTGGAGCGAGGAGGACAGCATCGTCCGGAAGATCGACTACAAGATCATGCTGTTTACCTGTATCATGTTCATGGTGTTGGAGCTTGATAGAGCCAATCTGACGCAGGCGGTGACTGACAACTTCCTGGACGATTTAGGGCTTGACACTAATGGTTCGTCCCGAATTGCCGAATGACCTCGCAACTTCAACCTGTACTGACGATGGTCAGATTACAACTGGGGCAACACAATCTTCAAATTCAGCTTCCTCTGCGCAGAACTCCCATCACAGCTCATCTCAAAATACCTTGGTCCCGACCGGTGGGTCCCACTGCAGATGACACTATGGAGCATTGTAGCCTGCAGCCAGTTCTGGCTCTCTGGACGCGGCACATTCCTCTTCACCCGGGCCCTTCTCGGCACTCTACAGGGAGGCTTCATCGCCGACATGATTCTCTACCTCTCCTATTTCTACAAGCACGGCGAGTTGAGCATCCGCCTCGGCTTCTTCTGGACCGCGGGATCACTGTCCGACATCCTCGCGAGCATTCTAGGCGCTGGCCTTCTCAGATTACGAGGCGTGGCCGGTCTAGCCGGCTGGCGATGGCTATTCCTCATCGAGGGCCTGCTCACCCTCATTGTAGGCCTCATCGCATTCCCAATGATGCCTCCCGGCCCCTGTGAGACTGCCGGTTGGTTCCGCGGTCCCAACGGATGGTTCACACCCCGCGAAGAAACCATAATGGTGAACCGCATCATCCGCGAAGACCCCAGCAAAAGCGGCATGCACAACCGCGAGCCCATCACGCTCTCCCTCCTATGGCAGTCCCTGACCGACTTCGACCTCTGGCCCCTCTACGTCCTCGGCCTCAACTTCGAAACACCCCTGACCACACCCTCGCAATACCTCACCCTCATCCTCCGCAGTCTAGGCTTCAGCACACTAACAACCAACCTCCTCGTCGTCCCCTCCCAACTAGGCCACATCCTCACCATGCTCCTCTTCGCGTATCTCGCCGAAGTCGTCGGCCAGCTATGGCTCTTCGGCCTCCTCGCCCAATTCTGGCTCCTCCCCATGCTAGCCATAATCTACACCTACGACCTGAACGCCATGAACCCCTGGCATGCATGGCTCATCCTCACCGTACTCCTCGCCTGCCCAAACGTCCACGCAATCCAAGTCGGCTGGAACAGCCGGAACTCGAACTCGGTTCGAGCCCGGACTGTCAGCGCCGCGCTGTACAACATGGCGGTGCAGACGAGTGGCATAATTGCGAGCCAGATCTATCGCGAGGACGATCGCCCGAGGTATCGGAGAGGCAATCGCACGCTGATTGCGCTTTGTGTGCTGAACATCGGGTTGTATTTTACTACAAAGGTGTACTATACATGGCGCAATCGTCAGAAGGAGAAGACATGGAGTGTGATGACTGACGGCCAGAAGGCGAGGTATCTTGAGGCAAACAAGGAGAAGGGGAACAAGAGGCTAGACTTCCGCTTCGCGTCGTGATCCCGGCGTATAGATCGCTGCCATCTGTAGCGCTTGCATAGAGAACGAAGTGCACTGAGCATGCTGCCTCGCTGGTAGCTCCAACTACCAGTGCTTCCGATATAGTGATGAAGTTCTTGTCATCCGGCGTCGTAAAATGCCAAGCGAAAGCGGCCTGCGTTCATGAGTATATATTCCACAACTTCGCACGTTATAGCGTCTCCAATACCGCAGCTCATCTATCACGCCGTGTATCCCTACGGATCATGGAATGATCACATTCGCGCTCCTGTCGAAGTGTCCAAACGCATGATACTCAAATGGATGCAACATGGCAGTGCAGGTAATGCAGTCAACGGGAAAAGAAGCAGTGGAGCGGAAGAAGAGCAGCTATCTGAATGTCCTCACCAGGATTTGTCTCACATTTCTGACTATGAATTGTAACAACCCGGGTACTATTTCACAGGTCCACCTGTTCCTGCAGGTTCCATCTAGTCCGCTACAGCAGACATCACCCGATATTCATTGAGGACAATTCCCTTTCTTGACAATTGTGGAACATTCGCTATTGGTTTGCGTGCCCAATTGGACGCAAACGATCGCTTAAAGAGTGGGTCGTACGCTCGAGGCCTTCAAACCAGTGATTGAATCCTCTGAGACCTACAGGTCATAGCGGAAACCTGGAAGACAGCCGAGGCGCGAAGGAGAAGAAGATCGAAATCGTCAAAAGCAGAATCTCCAGCACTGCGAATTCCATCAACAGAGCGAGCGTGAACGCCTCATTCGGTGCTTGAGACAAGCCGTGGCTAGGTAGCCGCCACCTCCCAGGTCATGTATCATGTCAGCCGACACGCATACAGTTATGTCGTCCCCAAAGTTCCCGAACGCCTATCCATCACGGACTATTGTACATTAACGAGAGTGGCTGTCAGTGATGGCATCCTCCTCGATCAAGACATCGCGAAAAAGCTCTCGTCGCCCATCATGTCGGTGCCAGCGTAGCCATAGTCCAAGAAGGCATCGAACTCGTTGCGGTCGTCGGGCTTATCAGGTTGAGTGAGACCAGCTGAGACCATATTTGATGTCATTGGCATATCAGCGAAGTCGAAAGCAACCATCTCGGGTGGTGGACTCGAACTGGTCTGTGACAGAGCTGGCAGTGATTGGGTGTTCGGTCGGCCAGTAGCTGCATTGTGCAAGTTCGGACTGGCCATGACTTGTCTTGGCTGAGCAGGCAGAAGATGTCCTTCGTCCATCATTTGCGATGCCTGGCTGAGTTCCTGGTGCAATTCGATTATCTGACTGTTCGCAGGCGAAGCTTGTGCTGGACTGGGATGATTGCCTGTGCTGAATTGTGGGCTCTCCGGCGGTGTGAAGGTGAACATGTCCGGTGGGAACGACGAAGTATCGGTGGCCAATGTAAGATTGTTGTTGGGTGGAACGCCGAAGAACGCCATATCGCCGAATGGAGAGCTGTCACGTACACTCATGTTGTCCTCGGTGGGTGGAGAGTCCCAGCTGCCAGGTGATCCAGAAGAAGATGACGAAGCATAGATGCCCATCTCGTTGGCTTGTCGAGTCCGAGCGGCTTTGTCCATGCGATCGTCCATCTCGGGACGGTGCTTCCTAGGCCGACCTCGCTTCTGGGGCTTTCTGACGGTGCCTTCGAACGCTCCAATACACATGCCCCGTTGTCGATGACGAGTGAGGGCATCATGGCGTGCGAAAGAGTTGCCGCACAGGCAGGGGTATGGCTTGGTACCAGTATGGATCTTAGCATGTCGCTTCAAGTCGTGGCCACGGACGAAGCACTTCCGACAGTGATCACATCGGAACTGGCGATCGCTAGGTGAGTCTGCACATGAGACTTGATGTTCTCCTTCCTACCGAAGCGCTTGTCGCAGTCATCAAACTTACAGATCCACTTGTTGTCGATCGGGTCAGGGCCTTCGATGTACTGAGCGATGTCGTCGAGTGTAACATTGGTCTCCTCGATGGAAGCTTGAATACCAGGCTCGAGATGAAGATCCGAGATCGAAGCACGACGCGGCGACAGAGCAGGTCGATTTGGCGAATGACTGTTGGATCGATTATGTGTTGAGGTAAGAATCGGAGCTGGCCGAGTTTTGAGGTTGCTGACTGAGGCTGGAGGGGAGCCGGTGGGATCGCCAAAGAAACCCATGGGATCGGTGTTGCTTGTCTCACGTTGCGGTGAGGGACTTGGCATATCGGCAACATCAAAGGCCTGGCTCTTTGCGGGTGTCGGGAGCATAGACTGCTGAATCATGCGCCGTGGCGAGGCTTGTTGCTTCCGTGGTGATTCTTCGTGCTCAGCAATGCCCTGAAGGGAACGACCTCGCTGCATTGAGACAGGGACGGGCGAATGAATGGGCGGAGTGGCCTGTTGAGGTCGTGGGAAATGCATCGGTTGTTGATTGACAGTCGCAGTGCATGGAGGAGTCAGCGGGAATCCTGCGCTGTGTTAGTAACTGGCATCATTTCTTGCTAGTCGACCTACCAATTTGAAGTTGATCTGCGGGAGTATGTGGTCTCATCCGCAAGTCGGGCTGAGACATTCTACGACCATCGAATGCACCACTCATTTCATGGACCGAATGAGCATTCTGGAAGTAGTGTTGGCTGTTCTCGTCTACACGGCCCAGGTCTGAAAAGTTGCCTTGCATGGGACTCATGGCTGGGCTCGTGTTGTACGCGAAGTATGGTGATGAAGGGAACTGCATGCTCTGAGACTTGTACATGGCAGCATTCATTGTCATTTGTTCGAACTGACCGTTCGGTATGGAGTTTGGGTATGGTGGTGCACATTGAGGGTAGACTGGTAGGTCTGAGATTGGTTGCTGCTGGCCCGGTCGGGCGGTACGAAGCTGCTGCGCTTCCCGCAAAATATGTTGTCCTTGGTTAGTGATACTTACACAGTGCCTGGTTGTCGTCGGATGGGGCTTCGTTGGTGCTGGTCAAAGGATTGACCTCTTCGGTGCACGCCCTGGCGTTGTATTGTCGGTGGCATTGTGTTGCTAACCTTCATGGCTTCGAAGGCAATCACCGGTGTCGAATTTTGCCTGCGGTGAAGTTGCCTTGGTTGCTGAGGAAGAGTTGAAGGTTGGTTGGACATCATCTTAGGCGAGATGAGAATCGAATTGTCGTTGTCGAAGGGCTTGGTTGTCGATATATGCTCCTTCTTGGTCGAGACTGGGCCTCGTCAGTGACTTGTTTGACTGGTGGCTGGGAATTGTCCTTACCTCACGCAGCGCTATGCTGCTAAGACCGGGCAGCGGTCGTTCTCTCTTGTTTTTCTACCAGTCACGGATGGATGTGCAGTCCACCGGGGAAATGTATAGAAGGGCCCTCTCAGGCCAGGAAGTTGTGCAAACTCGTGTAGTCTGAGAGGCTTCTGTCTTGTCTGTGTGTGTTTCTGATGGACTTTCGGGTTTGTTTCTTGTGTATGAGCAGGTGTGTTGAGGATGTATGCAGCAAGTGACGGCTATAGTATGCTTGCCGCAGCTGACGAAGACGATCGCAGTTTCCTGATGTTGTCATCGAGATCTCCATAGCAACCGCTAAGAGCCGAGGCAGGCTTACCAGATTTGGATTAGCGCTCTTTTGCCGCCGAATCTCGCCAAGATTTCGAAACCCACGAAATTTAGCCCGCTGCAGCGTCGCAACCACCTTCTGCTCACTGCACCCATTTCTGCATCTTGCAATTGAGGAAGACAGGATCCTGTCGAGATTGCACCATGCAGATCTTCGTCAAGACCCTCACGGGCAAGACCATCACCCTTGAGGTTGAGTCGTCCGATACCATCGACAATGTGAAGAGCAAGATCCAGGGTAGGCCACTGACCTCGCCGTCCCAATAATCATCACTAACGACCTCCCTAGACAAGGAGGGCATCCCACCCGACCAGCAGCGTCTCATCTTCGCCGGCAAGCAGCTCGAAGACGGTCGCACCCTCTCCGACTATAACATCCAGAAGGAGTCGACTCTTCACTTGGTCCTTCGTCTGCGTGGCGGTGGCAAGAAGCGCAAGAAGAAGGTCTACACCACCCCGAAGAAGATCAAGCACAAGCGCAAGAAGACAAAGCTGGCTGTGCTCAAGTACTACAAGGTCGACGGTGATGGAAAGATCGAGCGCCTGCGTCGCGAGTGCCCAACCAAGGAGTGTGGCGCTGGTGTCTTCATGGCTGCCATGCACAATCGCCAGTACTGCGGCAAATGCCATCTAACCTACGTCTTCGACGAGTCCAAATAGAATGGGTCCGGAAGTCGTCGAGGCTGATTTGCTCGGTGGTCTGCTCGCAATGACGATCCAGTATGACGAGTAAGATGCGGGAGACGAGCGCCAGAGACAAGCAGAAAGACATCTCATGTTTGCAACATGTAGATGTCGGTATCTCCAACCAGCCATAGTCAATCGATCAAATTCGCCCGCATGTTTGCTATAAATTCCGGATCTTGCATTTGGTCAGACATTGATGGAATTCCGCCAGCCAGATCAGCCCGCCACTGCGCTCCGTCTCGGTACAGTCGTTTCTTATGGTTCTTGGTCGTCCCCATGTACCCGTGTATATCCCAACGTAGACCGTTCTAAGTCCGAGACCTACCGCGGGCCCACGAATGAGGTCTGTCTCAAAATCAGGTCTTGTCCATTCATCGCTGGAGAGAGTCTCGAGCCAAAAGTCCCTCTTACGACCAAAGTGCCCTCCCCAAGTTCACAGCCTTGCCCGACACGTCGATCTTCCCACACCTCCCAGAGATCGCATCTATCAACATTCTGAACGATCAGCAATAACAACACGCAATCGCCTGCATCATGAAATTCCTCCTCGAAATACCAACTAATTCTACGCTTCTGCATCAGTGGGACCAGAAACTCGAACTCTACCCTGCGAGCGGACTAACAAGGTAGCACATTCATCGACAACGTCGTGCCCTACCCAATGCGAGCTCAAGACTCGGCGACGTAGCGAGAGAACGACCCAGCGGCCGGTAAGTCTTGCCGGTCGCGAGCCGATGAAGCCTGCCCGCGCATTCCGACAAATGTCTGGGCATGGCGAACGGTGAGCAATGAGGTCTGACGACGCGATACGAAGCCGACTCACGGTCGCCTCCGTCACATACGCGCTACTCCGATTCAAAGTTGGGATGACAACTCCCCAAGAGCGGCCGGCGTGTCAACATGAGCTGAATTATGATCCCAGACACGGACGAAACCAAAAGTTCGGACAGCGTGGGAACACTTGTCAACAGCGCCATTTTCATCATCCCTAATTCTTCGCTCCGATATCGTTCTTCCATCCTTCTTCCCCTTCCCTCTTTCCAACACGTAACCGGCCGAGGCTAAAACACGGATTACAACTGTCGGCAGTCAGATCATGATTGTCAAACAGGATTTGCTGTACATACTCAGCATATCACACCAGTTGCCATACTCTTTTGGAAGTTCGATCGACCTGAACATCATTTAGACTGAGTATCTGGACCTCAAAACGTGAAAGCTCATCCTTGGCCGCAGCCTCAGAGAAACACGGATTACTATCCTCGGCAGAGGGACTCAGCTTCTGGATTGGTATCGACAATGACGAGTAGGGCTAGAGCAATATCTTTATGAGGACACAGCACTGTCGACAATCAGTCGATGTTTGCTCGACAGGAAATGCTGGACGGACCGGAAGACCTCAAACATTTTCTTCAGTCAGGCAGGCTGTGGTGGCAGCAGGATGATGAGACAGACGGCATAGTATGATAGACGGAGATGAGCAGGTTTATGACACGTGCTGCAAGCACTCAAGAATGGTGGAAGCAAGTAAATTTGCACAAGTTGTTGCAGATGGGAGAAGTTGAAGGATGTTGTGGAAGATGAAGAAGTCGGACGAGAACGAGAAGCAATTTCAAAGGCAGCGTTCCTTCCTCATTCACCCAGGAAGGTGCAAGCAGTTCACAGCACCTGCACTGACATATTGTACAGGGAGCACGAGAAGGAGAACCCGACATCCAACCGCGCGAGTACGATACGATAGCAGGATGGACAAGATGCCGAAGGACCATGGAGCAATTATGGCCGACACTACAGCCATTAATGACCATCGCACCGTCCTTACTGCGAAATGACTCCGTGCCACTGGAAGCTCCTGGACCGAAAGGAAAACTCGAATGCGCAGCAGGTGTGCTTGCCCGGTGTGCGCCTACCCACTGCCTACTTCCATATATCACCACCGGCAGCAGCAGTAGCGAACGTGCGACTCGGTGAGATCATATATCAGCTTGACTGAGTAGCAGCGATCGCGACAGCTCACCTACAAGTGGTAGAAGCGCCTACCACAGGAAACTGCAAGTCCGAGCGCCACTGCAAGCAGCAACGTCTGAGACAGCCCAGGTACATCAGCCGTGACACATATCTAACAGCCACAGCAGCTCAGCCGTTGCGGACTATGTAGGCCAGTGGTAAATTTGTCCATACGCATCTCTGGCGAGGAGCGTAGCGTCCAGGACAAAACACAGGTTCGGTGAATTACGGTGCTGATCATTCGCCTACATGCCAGGTGAAGGAGCGATGAAGCCAGCAACCACTGACCATCTCTGTTTCTATGGAGCGTATCAGTGCCTGCCTGAGAGTTAAGGACCAGAACTTCGTTGAGGCGATCGACGTCTCCTGCTCAATGCTTAGCGACAAAGTCGATAGTTCGAGACAGCTCAATTTCTGGTAACTTCCTCCTCATAGGAAGCCCAGAGTCGCAAGGGTGCTCGGTTGTAGTGCACCTTGTTGACCTGGACGTCTCGCCACCCCTGATCCTCGAGACCAATATGACCCTCGATTGATACGGCCCTCGTCAATGAGGCTCCGTGGAAATGCCAGCGACGGCAGGGACATCCTCGGCCATCTTCGCGACCCATCTCGCCAGCTCCCGCTGGGCATTGCGGCGGCCCGAGTCAGTTAATGTGAGACCCTTGATGATCTCATCGAAAACACCTTCTTCCTCGTCCTCCTGGTCCCAAAGAACCCAGTACTTGTAGACGTCATCGTCATTATCGAATGGATTGTCCGACAGTTGTTCCTTGGCTGACATGTCTTCTCGAACAGGGTTGAGTTGCTCGTCAGCATCATCGGCGCCAGTAGTCTGAAGTGCTGTCTGGGAGTCCAGCGAACTTGCGGCATCAGCCTGATCGCGGCGTGGCTCGAGGCTCGCCTCATCGTTCCTTGTGACTTCCTCACATCTCGCCAACATCTCCTGGAGCTCTCTACTGTCTTCAGAATCACCCTCTCCGATGCTATTCCTACACTCCAACGTCGCCCGGATCTGCTCGGCGTACATTGCATTGGCATGTCTCAAGCCTTCCGCAGGACTGAGAGGAGGAACCACTGGACGGCAGAGTTCGTCAAACCATCCCTTGCTGAGGCGATTGGCGCTCTTCTCATCGAGAACGGCAATGGGTGTGCCCTGGCAGCCAAATTGAAACTTATGTGGCGACGTGAAGTGGACAACGGATCTCTGGGGGAAGTCTTGGACGAAATATCCCTTCATGTAGATGACGAGGGGCTCGGTATCGGTCTGCTGTTCGGGTGTGGCATCTTTATCAACGATACTGAGGTGTTGGCTCTTGATCTTGTCGCTTGCATTGGTGAGGTCGTAGGTCTGCGGCATCAGTCAGCTCTGGTCTTGGCTTGTTAGGAAGGGGCAACTTCATACATGAAGGGGCACAGCCCAGAAGCCCCCTGAGTCGACACAGGTCACCACATACGGCCGCAACGAGCAGCAGAGAAATTCAAGACCCGACGCGTTCCAAAAAGGATGACACTCCGCAACCTCGGCATGAGGCGTTGCCTTACCCTCGAGGGACAGCTCCAACACCCTGATGTGCCACGCAGGGGACTTGCACCGGTGGCTCTCGTCCAGCAACAAGACACATCCACAGTAGACGTCGCCCTTGTTGAGCACTTGGCTGTATACTTCTCGATCGAGGAGCTTGTGGCGCACAGTGATCTGGGACCGCGAACGATCATGGGAGATTATGCGTCGGTCCATGGATGCTCTGCGGTCTGGAGTTTGGTGAGAATGGGTTCAGCGTGAGCGGGTCGCAAAGGAAGATGCAATGATTATTGAGAGAGAGAGAGAGAGAGAGAGACTTGAAGTTATCGATGTGGTAGGTGGCAAGCGCTTAATTTTGTAGTTTCTGCAGAGTAAAAGATCTGCCTGGACTTCCTTATGTCACTTGACATCGTGTTGAGAAAGTGATTGATCCTCAAGCTCATGTGTTGCCGACTTGCCTCGAGTCAAGTTCACGTTCACGTGTAGCAGGTTCTCCTCCGGAAGTGCCTGGCACAGATGCAACGGCAACGGCGAGCCACCCCTATTAGCCGGTACCCAGGAAGGAACCCCTTCGAGAAGTACGAAATGGAAGATGGAAGTAGTCTCGGATATGCAAATTATCGATACAGGTGCACATTGTGTCGACATACCTAGGTGAGCTTGTTTAATGCCTCTCTGAACCACCCCAGGAAGCGTACTACGACGACTTGAAGCTGTGCCGAGTCTCGTACTCCATGGCGCTGCTAGGGGTCGTCAGCAGCGTACTGAATACTGCCCAACCACCTCAGCTCCTGGCAAGCTGCGTTTCACAGGAACCGTAGTGATTCGAATGGCATACACGCAACTGCAGTTGGCTCATTCAAACCACCAGCTTGTGCGTCTTACCACTCACTATCGCCGAGATCGATAAACTCATCCATGATCGCCGCCGTCCTCTCACTCGGCGACATCTGGCGGAGCTTCTCGACTGCCTCTTCCTCGTGTTCACGATCCACCCCTCCTACTTCCTGATCATACTTCTGCTTCCAGGCCAGGTTACGATCACTGCGAAGCCTACTCCGGGCCGCCTCATCCTTCTTGGTCATGAGTCGAGGTTTCTCCTTCACGCGCCTACGTTCATCCTCAAATCGTTTCTTCTCTCCAGCAATCATCTCCAGCGCGGCCCGCCGACACTGCTCAGGCGGCACGCGTCCTGGAATGATGGTGTCGAAACAGCCATCTTCCTTTTCCTCCTCATGGAGAAGATCCCAGTAGCCAAGCGCATCTGGCTCGCCTTCGAATGGTGTCTCCTTTCCGGCAGACAGGTCTTGTTGGTTCGGGACGAGGCGCTGTGTAAGAGCGTCTTCTGTGGGGAGTTCTGTGTCTGTCAGGTCTGACGCGGTGATCTTTTGGCTGGTGCGTCGCGTGGCCTCCTTGATGGATCCAGTACTTGCTTTGCCGTCCAGTAAGTCTGTTGCGACTATGTCACTCAGCTGATCGTGCGATCGACTCCAGGTTGTCTTCTCAGCTTTCGTGCCTGCTTCAGAAGTTGCGTCTCCTTTATGGAACGTTCCATCCTGTTGCGCATGACCATATAATGCCTCTCGTGCATCATCCATAAGGTTTCCACTGACGTACTGAGCAAAACCCTTCTCGGCCTCTTCGAATTGACGCCTGTTTCTTTCCACTTCTCTCTTGGCACTGGCATAAAACTCCTCCTTCCAGGACCATGTACTGTACATGTCTTCCGTCTTCCTCCGATAGGCAATGCTCTCCGCATCCAATTCTCCGATGTATGTGCCACAAGTACCACCCCATCGACTGTAGTATTCGAATTCTGTCGAATACGTCCACGGATAACGAACGGTGAGTCTTGGAGAGAAAGCATAGGTGTAGGACGCCCTATGCGCTATGTTCAGAGCTTTGTCAAACTCAGTATGGTAATCGTAGAAATCGTGTTCGGCGAGACTGATATGTTCCCTTCTGAGCTCGTCAGTCGCACGACTGAGGTCATAGGTCTGTTGGAGCAGATCAGCTCTGATCTAGCGTGTTCAAACTGACGCATACTTACATGGCATCGCAAAGCTCGAAAACCACCTCGGTCATTAAGCTGGAAAACCAAATGCGGCTGCTCTGAGCAGCAGACAACTTCGAGAGATATACCATTGGTCGAATCCCAATGTTCCTCGACCCAGGCATTAGGTGTCGATTTGCCCTCCAGATACAACTCCAGCATTTTGATACGCCATTGCGGCGACTTTTCACTAGCAGCTTCTGGCAGCAGAATGATATCACCCTCGAAAACTGTTGGCTGTTCTGTGTAGGCGATGTCGAAGCCAGGGATCGGCGCACCATACCCGGTCATGCTCTCATAGTCGCTGTAGGAGTAGTCGTCCTCATAGTCGGCGGGATCGTAGGTATTGATCGGATCGTTGATCTTGCCAATGTGCAACCCTTCGGCCCATCTCTCGTCAGGTACTTGCTCGCACTTGAGTATCTTATGTCTGACAGGGGGAGGATGCCGCCGGACACGGACTGGTCGATCAGTGTCCTTGGGCACTGAGGTCGAATACATCTCGTCTGTGCCAGTCATGGTTGTGTCGGGCTGTGCCACGAGTTCGCGCTCGAAGTGTGGAGTCACCCCGTCAGCTATAGCCTGTCCACCTTGACTTGGTTGACCATTCTGACTGCGAGCCTCTCTGTCGGAATGGGACTGCGCCAGTAAGCGAGGCGGTTGCGTTGAATGCGGGGACTCCATGGCGAAGCGTTGGCGTTATGAACAGGTCCAAGGGATTTTGGTTACGCCGGGACAAACGCGATGTTGAACAGTATGTAAGTGGCGAGAGGTGCTTAGCACAATGACGGAAAGGGACAAAACTCTTTGTGGGCAACGTCTGCCTGGCATACCTTATCACTTGAAGCTGTGTCAATACCGTGATGCAGCCTGAACGCGTTCCCTCGTTGACTTGGTCTTAAATGCTTCACGTGAAGCATGCTCAAAATTGCTTATACTCGGCACTGACATGTTGCTGTTTCATCGAATCTCTTACCTTCGCCGGTATTCGAAGAGTAACGAACTGATCGCGGGCGGGCGGAATTGCATTGAAGGGATCGTTGCATTCTCATCGACAGTCATGCCAACGCGCGTCCAGCTGCAATTGTTCTCAAGTGTGTTCGTAATGCAGAATGCTGGCAAACCAGACCTTCGCTCTCTTCGATCATTACGTGCTCGGAGAGCCTGAGGTGGAGTCGATGATGTGACTGAGTTCTCCGTTTCCTGATCTGCACTCCTCTTGACATGCTACCCATAGGCATTGACCTGGATGGCATGATGCCTCACCGGACAGAAGCGTCCACTCCGATAATCCACTGCCATATATTCACCTTCAGTGCGACCCATCGACCAGCAGTATGGACAGCAGAAAGTCAACGTTTGAACATTGCGTCGATCATGCGCCGCGGAGATCCTTTGACTGCCAAAGTCGTTGACCAATAGCGGGAAATGACCTCTGCCTGCGGACGTACAAAGTCTGGGTCAGTACTCTCGCACAATGGCCTTTTGATGCCGGCGTGCTTGTTGTCGCCCGATTCGGCCACAGTCAACCGCGAGAGACGAGGCTGTCCTGAGGGTTCAGGCCCAGGAGGAGGAGGGGACCTGGGTCTCGAAGGGAACGTGCCGACGTAGCTTTGCTCATCCTGACAAGCCAGACGATCTGCCGTATTCCCAAAACGGGGACGAGCAGTCCTATCCCTCTTGATGCCCCGGTGCCCCTTACGTCCACTTTTCCTATAGTACGGCTGGAAGTAATCGTAGCGAGTTGCATAACCACCACAGGTCGCCTGATCCGACGGCACGTAACGAGCCTTCTTCACCGACCCAAAGTCACGATCTTCGTGTCCTCCGTCGTCATGCTTCCGTTTCGAGAACGTGGCCCTGGTGTCGTTCCCCGCAGTGATGCTTCCGGTCCCTCCTCGAACAAGTGTTGTCGAGAACGAAGCATGTCAGATCGACGCTGATCTCGAGAGTGCAAGTGGTTGATCATCTGTGCAGCAGTAAGCTTGCCCCCCTCGGTGGGTGCGCGGTCCTTCATCACCCCCTCATCGAAGATTCCTTCTTCCAGAAGATCTTCATCTTCAGCGGGCATGACCACTTCAGGACCTACGGCGTCATGTGTCCCAAACGTATTATTAGGGGACGTTGCAGCTTGGTGAGCATTCTCGGCATGATTGATGTTGCTGGCGAAGGTATCAGTACTGACAGATCCTGACGCATTTCTGGCTTCATCAGAGTCGCTTTTGCCATTGATCGCCGGTCTCTGTGGGTCTGGTAAAGTTGTAATCTCAAGCTTACTGGCTCGCGGCTGGGAGCTTTTCTTGGGCTCCTTCATGGCTGGCCTGGATTTCGGTCGGACCGCTTCGATCCCTCTCACAGCTTCCCAATTGCGTTCGATCCTCCCTGCAAGGTGACTCTGCTCGTTTGCCCTGATGATGACAGTGTGCGCATTCATCAGTTGCTCTGCGCGAGAAGTCTTATCCTTGTCATGCAGGGTCGACCGTCCTATTTCGCGGAGGCGTAGTTCTTGCAGGTACTTGCAGCTCTTCTCGTCGATCAGTGCAACAAGCGTACCGAAGCCGACATTTTGGAAGTACCGCTCCTGCATGTATCGAACACTGCACCCCGGAGAGAAGGCATGGATTTGCTGAGCCGCTACTTCCACGCAAAGCATCGGATCACGATGACGTTCAGCCTCATGAACATCATTGACAAGCCCGATGTGATGGCATTTGGAGTTGGCGGTAGTGGCCAAGAGGTCGAGGTCCTGTGCTTCCAGTTAGTTGGAGTCTTCTGTAGCCGAGGAAAACATCATACAAAGAGAGGCACAGCCCAAAACCCGTCTTCATCAACACTGATCACCAGGTACAACCGCTCCTTATTGCAGATGATCTCCAGGAGTGGATTGCCACTGTTTGGAGTGATACCAGTCGAGGGATGTTCTTCAACCCATCCATGTCGCGTTGAAAGTCCGTCCAAGTACAGCTTGAGTATCTCCATTCGCCATTGATCAGAGAGAAGGGTTTCGAGGTCTTCCAACAAGAGAATGTGTCCGACTTCGATTTTCATGTCTCCTAGCTTCTTCGGAGCCACGTTGTACTTGAGTATCTTGTGTCGCACGGGTGGTGGAAATGTCGGTGCTCTGGTAGGGCGTATCGATTGACTGTCCGACAGATTGGGTCGCCCCCGAGCAGCAGCTGCTAATTGAGATAGCACCGCTGCAGCAGGTGCTACTACAGATTGATTGGATCCCATTGGCGCTGGTTGAGGTGTTGACAAGCGAAAGGGAATCTCGATTGAGCGACAGAATGTTTGGAGTTGCGAAAGAATGGCAGTGGCAGATCTTGCTGTGCGTTACCTAGGTAATTTTCTTTGTGGCCAAATGTCTGCCTGCTTCAACCTGTTGTCACTTGATGTTAAGCTGAAGCTGTGATGAAAGTCCAAAAATTCCTCTCATCACGGTGCAGGTCACCTAGCAAACAAGAAGATCTACTGTTCTCCTTCGCCACAATCGCTCTTGCCGCATATCACGTTCCCGAGAAGATCCAGGACATCCAGAAGAGCCAGTTTGCAAACACGAGGCGTCGTTCAGGTTGTGTACTCGAACAGCATTAGTAATGCCATCACACTCACTTACGGCCTCCTGGAGGTCGTCATGAACTTCGGATTCATACATTCGACTCGCGTACTACCAGCTGACTGTGGCCCTCGCGAACTCTTTGATAACGTAGGACTATCGACCGCGAAATTGTCATTCATTGGCCATCGATCGAAGCCAGCATCAAAATGTGATGCGGACTTCCCCTTAAACTCCTCGCAAAATACTTCCAAATCCCATTGTCGTGCAAGCCACCGTAGCCAGAAAGAAAGTGCGACTCCTGAGAGCGCTCACAGCCATAGCCTCGCACCATCAACCATTTGTTTGACATCCCTGAATGTGGTTCAAAACACGTGTCAATGAGGCATTCTTTGAACGGTCATTCATCATACACACCCTTGCACACTTTCGCATCCCATACCATTACGCTCACTGTTGCATTGAAGCTGTTGAGCTCGTCGTGTCGACCTGCCGCATCCCCGCATCAGTCGCTCGACTCAGTAGTAGTAATCGTAATTGCTCTTGAGCTGGCGCCCGTGAGGCTCGTTCTCACGCTCGTCCTTGTTATTCAGCTCGCGCCTCTTGGTATCGCTGCCCTAATAGGGGAGCGAAGCATCGTTCGCAGACGCATTTCCATACTGGTCGTCGGAGAAGAATGCGGAGGAACCGAATGTATCTCGAAGACTGTGGGTTGTGCTCTGACCGTTCGTATGATACTGATCCGATCCCCGATTTGCCTCGCGATGATTATGACCACCTCGATCATGGCGACCGTCGTGACTATGGTCATTACCGCGACCGTAACCGCCTCGATCATAGCCACCATTGTGACCATGGCGATCATCACGACCGAAAGTATAGCGCTCAATGCGTTCATCTCGTTGATAGCGTTCACGCTCTTCATAGCCATCGACCCGACTGTATGAACGGGAGCCTTGAGAATATGCGCTGCTGTACTCGTAGTTGACGTGATAGTCCCCATCGCGTAGAGCTTGTACATTGTTCGGAATTCCCGAATTTTCGGTGCCATTGTAGTGGTTTGTGGAAGATCGATCGTCTCTAGAGCCACGAGAATCATCACCTCGGCTTGAGAAATGATCGCCCCGAGACCGCTTTGGGGGAGGTTGCTGACCATAGGATTCAGCGCGGCGGCGGCGTCGATTTCCAGCGGATTCTCGTTGTCTCTCTCGTTCCTCCAGCTCTCGCTCGAGATGCTTCCTCTTCAATTCGTCCAGCTCTTGCCTAAAGCGTTGGATCATCTCATCAGCCATGTCCTGTTCCTCTTGACTGGGACGACCATCCTGACGGCGGTGCTGTGCAGCGAGAGATCTTCGAGAGCTTTGATGTACGCGAGAGACAAATGGTCTCCTCCATGTTGTTCGAACGCAGCCTTAGCCAGCCTGACTGTCTCTTCAGGTGAGGATGTGGGCTCGATCTCGCCGTCTTCGCCATCTTCATCGATCTCAGTGCTTCCTGGCAGCGAAGTACCGACTCCCAAGCTTGGAGTCGCAATGTCATCCGCTTCACCAGGAGTGGATTCAGAGCTCGCTGGCTTCTCCTTTGCCTCTGACTTGTCCTTCGGTAGCGGCTGCTCGGAAGGTTGAACAGACTTCGAATCGGCCTCATTCCTAGATGTAGTGGCGCTTTGCTGTCGGGGACGTCGAGGCAAATGATTCGCAGCCTTATCTTGGTCACGACCTTCGCGATTTGCGTCATAGGCTTTGGCAAAGGCAAGCTTTTGATCAAAGAAAGAGTCACGCTGCTCAAGGAGAGATTTCATGTCTCTTTCTGCGACTGTCCCAATGTACACTCCTAGGTCTTTCTCGGACTCGAACTTGCGCGAATCTGTGTAGTGGATGTAACTCCGGGAATGGAAGTCTTTGCTATATTCGGCGAGACTTACGGCATGAACGCACGAATGGTCATGTTCCTGGTAGTCGTGGTTGTCGTTACTCTCGATCCCAATGTGTTCGAGTTGGAGCGCGGGTGCCTTATGCAAGATGCCATTCTTGCCATGAGTCTGTGATCTCAGTCAGTCTCGATTAGCATCAGCGAGTAGAATCATACGTAGATGGGCAGAGCTCGAAAGCCGTGCGCAACGATTGCGTCGATCAAATGCGGACGCTCTTTACTGATGTAGATCTTGAAGCCTACAAGTACACCATGCTCGTAGACTGGAACGACGTGACCATAGCGACTCTGGCGACCCTCCTTGAAGTCTATCAGCAGATCTATGCACTCTTGCGGATCTTGGCACTCCTCGTCCCATGTCAACAGATAGACGTCGCCAATCTCGGCGTCGTACAGCGGTATTTTTTCTCGAGCTTCCTCGAGCATTGTACATGTCGAAAATGAGGGAGTCTCGGGCTTCTTAGTATTCGATCGCTTGGTAGATGGTGTGGCGGCAGCGCCGCGAGGTCGACCCGACATGCCAGGCATCTTCGCAGAACGAGAAGACAAGATCAGGCTTTTGGTTGTGTCGCCACTGTTGAGAAGACAGCCTTTGCTTGTGAATGGGTGTAAGAAGAGATTCGCGATAATTGTTCGCGGCGGAAAGTAGTCAGATGGAAAGACGACAGGTCTTGTGTCGCAGGCACACGGTTGCCCCGGCCACCTTTTGTCACTTGCAAATACAGTCGAGTGGGTAGACGCCCAACTGTTCACCTCGACACAGTTTCCGTGTCTGAGTCACCTCTGAATGCTTCACCCAGTCGGACTACCGCGTTGTGCGGTGTCTCGAGTAAGGCTGGGACCATCGTAAGGAGCTCTGTTCCCGGACTTCTGAAGATACCCTAGCATTCGAAAACTTCAGCGACCAGATATGCTCAGTTGAGACCACACCTGCGCCATGCGACGCTGCAGTGACACACGATGAAGCAGGGCACTTGTGAATAGCGCTGACTGCAGGAGTGTCTGCGATGGTGTTGGGAACAAAATGTATTGGCGCAGAACGACCATGAGCGCCCGGCCAGAACGAACCCCCGTTGATCCTGGAGCGCAGACCATTGTGAAATGTGTATCGTTGGAGCGCCCTCGCAGACGGCTCCTTTGTTTTCAGCGCAATGTCCATCCGCCATCCCAGGGTGTGGTGCTAGAATGCGACTGCACACCATACCGTGCGGTTCCTAAGACATTAACGGGCGGTCGGAGACAAGTGGTCCTTATAGCTCAGACCGAGGTCAGACGAGGCTTGCTCGATGAAGTAGTAGTCCCGGATAGTAAGACAAACCACTGGATCTCTGTGGAATTCAGTGATTGAGACACGTTTCCATTGTTCTCAGTCTATAGATACCGATCAATCTGCGAGGAACAAAGACTTACATACAATACACATGGCCAGGTGGGGTCGGTGGTCAAAGAATCATTGTTCTGGCACAGCGGCTCACGGGTACGACATATACGGACAGCTGGTCGTGGGTGCTCAGGTAAGTCCAACCATAGAATTGAACGATGCCCGTGATAACACGTGCCGCAGCCAGGCGGAAAGCCCAAGAAGAACAACGGAAACTCTCCAAAAGTGATGGAACGTCTTCGCCGACAGCTAAGGATCCCGATCCATACCAGAATCTCCACGTCCAACCACAGCGTGGACACGATGAAGCTGGAAACTTGGCAGGTCAGGCAGAAGAATCTCGTCGTCCGGCTCCAGTAGTGGCCCAGGACGATGTCGTTGGTCCAGATTTGCATGACGCAGATGCTTTGCAACCGGATCCTTCTAAAAATGGCGAGACGGATCGGGAGAACAGCAGCAGTGGTGGGGAGATGTACAGCAGTGCGAACGGCGACAGCCGGCGCAGAGTTGCCAGCCTGATGTACCGCGTGATGGCAGTACCCATGGCCCATACACACACAGACGCCCCGATCCTAGCTCGCGGCCACGTGATGCTTCACCGATCATTGGAGCCCGTGTCAGGAGTTCGGTAAACCGAATCCCCAAATGTCGGGCTGAGCTTGAGGACATGCAGGGAAGGATGAGAGCCGCCAGAGCCCTTGCCTATCGTCTACGACGGGCGTTGTGGCTCGTCATGCGTTCAACGAGACAGGTGGGTCCAATCGAAAACGACCCTGAAATGCAAGACGCAATGCTGTTTGCAGCAAAATTGGAAGGACGGAATTGGCCCAATCCCCGGCACGGCGACTGGGCACGAAGCTATCGGGAGATACAGCATATGATCGAAGCTGCGCAGTCCAGAATGGTTGCGATAAATAAAGATATCAACTCCCAATATGAGGATGTGTTGGCATGGGTGAAGTCGTCGTTTTCCGAGCAGCTGAAGGAACGTGACGGTGATCGAGGCTACCAGCCTTGGTCGCAGATGGATCGCCTTCTGGACGCGGAGGAAGATGTGGCCTCGATACTTGATGACTGCGATCAAGAGATCCAGGCAGAGCACGGAGCCCAGAAACACCAGATGAACGAGCAGACTCGGGCTCGGGAGAGATTTTTGAAGGCTCGCATTGGCCTGCAAGACGCACAGCAGGCATTGGCCGATCACTTCGCGAGATCAAAGCTGAACTATGCAGGAATGGTGGCTGACCACAAGAGACGTGTCGACTTGGGAGAAGACCTTCCACCGCCAGACACGCACATCACTCTGGACGGCCAAAGACGAGCCAAAAGTGTCGCGGCAGCGGAGAGTGAATACAGCAAAGCGGCAACGATGGCACTAAGGCTTCGAGCTGTGCGTCGTAATTCGTCCCGATTCTCCAGCCATTCTTCTCACACAGAGCGGTCCGAGATGCAGGCATACGGTTACGGCGGCCTCGGCATGCCCAAAGATTACTCGAGGATTGTGAGATGGCGCGAGCGAGTTCCAGGCGATGCCGAACTCGATGACATTGTATGGCCTTCATCGACGCCATCAAACCGCTCAGAGAGTTCGGAGGACGGCATGGATGGTCTTCCCTTTGAGAGGAGAGTGTTTGACCATCGAACCGTCCGCCATCTTGAGAAGGCGAGGAATATCGCCGCTGATAATTTCAAGCAAATGATGGAAAACTGGGATGAAAGGCAATGGCCAGCTGACAAGCCGAAAGCAGCTCGACCAGACTCTCTTTGTGTTGGACGTAAAAGAAAGCGAGGTGACGATGATGTCGAGGACACTGCTGCTGGCGAGGACTCTGACAGTAATGCTTCTCTCGAAAGCGACGACGAATCTGGCCGTGCAATTGCGACCTGATGTAGGATGTTGTAGGATGTCACTGGCAGAAATGAGTCAAGGAGGCGGTGGCAGGAAGGGAGAAGGAGGGTACGGTGGAGATAAGGGTATATCTCCGTGTGCAGGAGTATGTATGATCAGAATGTACATGTATTTATATCGTCAACAACAAAAGTCTACCCAGTATATCGATTCCCAACTCTTCAAGTCGTCGCTCATAAGGTGCTATGTACTCAGCGACATTACCAACAATGCCCCGACAAGTCGCCCAAGATCGCTCAAATGCACGCCCGAATAATCCCTTTCCCTCAGTCATAATCTTCCCTCTGCACCTGCCAGGCAAGCACAATCATCCACAGAAACAGCACAGCCAGGACAATCGACCAGGCAAAGCTTGCCTTCCAGCAAGCGCAGATGTTGCTCTGAGTCAGCCATGCTAACGTCTCCACGGTCACCCCAACATATGGTCGACCCGTAACATAGGTATTGCAATTTGAGTTGACATTGCCTGAAGGTCCGAAGAGCTGAATGGCGGTCTCAATGAGTGTTGTCAGCCACAGCACGAATAGTATGAATGCGCCTATCAGTATCCCTCCCGGTATGAGCAGTCGTCTTGAGGCGAGGATGAGGATGATCAGGAGGAATATGATCGTTAAGGATGCTGTGACGATCGCGAACGTGAAGATCCTGTCCACGTGTTAGCAGCCGTTCATCCACCCCTGAGGACCGGTGTGCTTACCATGGTATTCCTATTCGCATCTGCTGTTGGACCACAATGAACCAGGCATTGATTCCGAGTACCGTTGATGCGCCTGCCAACACCACGAATATCCATATGTTTAGCTGTAGCTCTGGCCAGTGGTACCTCCTCCGCGACTCCCGAACCACAATCTCTGTGCCTGACATGTTGCGCCCCCGGGTGACCCTGTTTGGGTTTTGTATAGCGGATATAGATGTATGGTGCTTGTTGCTGCCTGTGCGCTACGGTGTAGCGGTTCAGGTCGTATACTCGGTAGTATATGGTGTAAATATCAATCGCATAGTCCTTTGAGTGGACTCAGTGTAGGTGCGAGCGAGTTGTCGAGGGCACGTATGCCCAACCGCAAACTGCGTAAGATGTGGTGAGCGACGAGCGTCGAGTGTCCTATGGATCAATCGGCTTCGGCCACGCAGCTCCGGAAGCGGGGTGCTGTCTCAGCCTGTTGCGTGCCAGCCAATGTCGTAAAATTGAGCGCTGGCGACGAGGGTTGAGACTGTGCCTCTTCTTCAACGACAGCAAGGTCGACCAGCAACAACAGAGCCAACAAATCTCGGGCAATAATGCACAAGAACCGCATCATCGCGGCAAATGGGGGAGTTGACGTATTGGCGGGCGCTCCAAACTGGGACTCCCCTGTTGCCCATGACAACCGGCCCTCGGCCAAAGGTCGCGTATTTCGTTCGCTGCGATGAATTGCGCCGTACCAGCAAAGACGCAGATGACGGCAGAGCTGATGACTGCAGCAACGACACATCATTCGAGGAATAAGGCGCATCAGCGATGAGTGTTCGCGTGGTGGCTCGGATTCGGCCCTTGCTGAAAACAGAGCGTGATGTTGACCAGATTCTCACCGAACATGCTGGCGCCGACGAGAAGACGAGCATCGTCAAGATCCCCAACCCGAAGAACTTGTCCGAGGAGTACAGCTTCCAATTCAGCAGCGTCTACGGCCAGGAATCTACGCAGCAGCAGATCTTTGATGCCGAAGTCTCGCCCACCATAAAACAACTGTTTCAGGGCATCGACGTCACAATATTTGCCTATGGCTCAACGGGAACGGGCAAGACGCACACGATGCGAGGGGGAAGAGCACTCACCGATCGAGGCATGATCCCACGACTACTAAGCAGCATCTTCCGTAAAAGCAAGGCATTGGAAAAGAGCAGCAACGGCGACACAACGGTCGACGTGTCAATGAGTTACTATGAGATCTACAACGACCGAGTCTTTGACCTCTTCGAGCCGCCCGAGAAGAGGAACGCTACTGGGTTGGCCATCCGGGAGGCCGAGGGCGGCAAGACTGTGGTTGTGGGCCTGACCGAAGAGCCTTGCAGCACGCTGAAAGAGTTTGAGGTCCTCTACGATCGAGCCAATGCAAACCGAAGTACGGGCGCCACGAAGCTGAACGCGCACTCCTCACGGAGCCATGCCATTCTTTGCGTCAAGCTGACCATGACTACTCCGACCGAAACTCGCGTCAGTGTTGCATCCGCTATCGATTTGGCTGGTTCAGAGGACAATCGACGGACAGGAAATGATAAACATCGCATGGTCGAGTCGGCGTCCATCAACAAGTCTCTCTTCGTGCTGGCACAATGTGTCGAGGCTATCGGAAAGAAGCAAAGCCGCATTCCATATCGCGAGTCCAAGATGACAAGAATTCTGTCGCTTGGTCAGAACAATGGCATCTGCGTTATGATTCTCAATTTGGCGCCTACCAAACCTTTCCATCTCGACACTCTCTCGTCACTTAACTTCGCAAATCGCACCAAGAAGATCGAAGTCAAAGAAGTAGAGAATGAACCAATCTTCAAAGGTCCACCTCGGCAAGCTACTGGTACCTCGGGCACGACCATTCAACGGCAACCTCTTCGACCTTTGACTCATGTCATCAACGTCAACCTGAATGTAAACCGAGATACGAAGGAGAAGCCCGCCAAAGCCTTCTCGGTATATTCAGACCGCAGTAGAGGGGCTCAAGTACAAAAGTCATCCCCATTGAAGCGGTCAGCCGAGCATCAAGCATCGAGCAGACCACTCAAACAGCAACGACCATTATCTTCCCAGCCAATGACATTATCTTCGAAACGTCCTATCCCTTCCGGACCAACGTTGTCAACCGCTAACCTCGAAGCTTTGATCGACTCACGAGTCCGCTCCGCCCTAGCCACACATACCCTCGCCGCACCGCCGCCCGCCGAGCCTCCAATATCTGATGCTGTGCAAGCCCGTCTAGACTCGATCGAAAAGAGACTCGAAAATGTCGCCGATGAGGAGCGCGCCGAAGGTATTTCTTTTCTGTTCATGGCCAAGCAGCACCAGGCACGCGGTGAGGACGTTTCGGCGCTGAAGATGTATGAGCTGGCCAGTGGTTATTTCCCGGAGAACGAAAAGCTTCAGGCAAAGATTGAGCGTTTGCGTGAGCGAGTTCGGAGAAGGAAGGCCGAGGAAGAGGAGCTGCATACTGCCCGCGAAGAGCGAGTCCAGGAGAGCTCAAGGCTGGTAGCGGCGCGGAGAGAGCAAGCTCGAAATACCCAGGATGGAGAAGACGAAAGCTACATTGTGGAAGCCGCCAGCGATTCTGAAGATGACGACTCATACGCCTTGTCGTCCACTTCCTCACCAAAACGCGCGAAGCCACGCAAAAAAGCCAGTGGACGAGCCGGTAAGAAGCAGCGAGACAACGCTCACTCTATTCCACACAACATATCCTCCCCCGATCCGTTGGTCCAGGCTGCTCAGGCTGTTCCCTCTGGTGCTGACGGTCCGCCGACGCCACGCATGCAACATGTGCTCTCAATCATCAACTCACGCGACGTACACCAGATCAAGCAGCTGCAAGGCGTGGGGCCGAAACGTGCGGAGGGAATCGTCGGACTGTTGCAGGAGCTCGACGAGCAATTGGCAAGCCACGTTGACGGGCATGGTTCCCAATGGATCATTGAGGACGAGCAAGGACTGGTCAGCCTGAAAGGCGTTGGCCAGAAAGGAGTGGCGAAGATGCGGGAAGGCATCGCGCTGTGATGATGCTTTCGACCAGAGCAGACCTAGACTTGTGTCTGAAAGCGATGGCTACGTTAGTGATACATTACAAGGGGATCTGGCATGAAGCCATTGACGCGTGTCGGAATCTCCGCCGCTGGTTTGGCAATCCTCATTTTTAGCATGGCGTTCAGGAACTGCAATCATAGTTGCCTGCTACCACCATCGAATCAGCGCGGCTGTACCGTAGCATGTATCACCAAAGACAACTGCATCGATGGCCCTTCCGAGATTGATGTGATTTTACCGGGCGCTGTTTCCTCCTTCAGAAAATGACGTCAGATGTTTGGGCGTCATAGCAGGATGTAGTAGCAAACATTTCCAACAACACCATACCGAAGATTTAGCAGTCTTCCCATTCTCATTGATTCGCCTCTTCTACATTGCTCGTCAAAGCATTCTGAAACTACATTCAATCCTCCTACGTGCCGAAAAAGTCAGCCTTTGGCCGATTCAGTCATGAACGAGCGCGTGAAGACCGTAGCCACCGATGAGGCCCGCGCCGTGAAGGCAATGACCAAGGATGCCGTTCAATCGAATGCCTGGCTAGTACGTGTCTCCAGAGTACCCTGTGGCAGCATCAAGATCGATTACTGACAACGCTGCGAATAGTACCCGTTCAAAGGCATCGTCTATTTCTTGTCCCACAAGGATCTCTGGAAGCCGTTGATCTCCAAGCTCACGCCCACCCTCAGCACAGGAGTCATCGTCACTGTCGCCTGCTTTGCCGCCCTGTATCTTCCTCAGGCTGCTATCATGCATTCACCTCTGGTCCTGTCGCTGCTGTGTCTGCTGCTCTACTCACTTTGAGCGAGAGTTCTACAATCACCAACGTCATCAGCCGAACCTTCTTCATTGAAGAGGCTTTGGTCGACACATTTGATGGTACACTGCTTTCCAGAGACTGCAAGAACCTGGTCGAGGAGGGTAGACAGGTCAAGACGGGTGGTGACAACATTGCGAGACTAGGAAAGCTGGTCAAGAAGCCGTTCGCCAAGTTCGCTCCCAACGCCATCATTCGCTACCTGCTCTATCTTCCGCTGAACTTCATTCCTGTGGTTGGGACAGCCATCTTCATCGTACTGCAGGGCAAGAGAGGAGGACCTCAGGCTCACTCGCACTACTTCCAACTCAAGGAATGGAGCACGTCGCAGAAGGAGACTTTCGTTCATCAACACCGTGGCGGCTACACAGCGTAAGACTTCCTTTCCTCGCCTATGTGGTCAGTACTAAGTCTTCTCGTAGGTTCGGAGTGGCTGCCTTTGTGCTGGAGATGGTGCCATTTGCCAACCTGATCTTCGCGTTCACGAACACGGTCGGCGCAGCACTGTGGGCCGCAGATATGGAAAAGAGTGCTGGCACAGCCCCAAAGTTGCGAGAGCAGGCGAGGAAGGCCGATGAGTTGTGAATCAAGTCAAGCCTCATGATTGCGGCGTGCCAAGTTATCGAGAGACCGATGTCTGTAGAGAGCAAACCACAGTAGACACTGCCATCCGAGGACCATGCGGATGACGATGTGGCAGGGGCGAGCGCGAGGATGTCTATTTGCAGCAGCAACGCACTGGTCGCGCTTGCTCGTTGTATGAGAACCGGATTCCTTTGCCCACTGAATTCCAACCTTTTCATTTTCATTATACCACCAACCCGCGAATGGATCTCATCAATTTCTTGCTCTGCCTGGCCGCCTTCATCGTCAGTTTCCTCTTAAGCCAGTTCATCGGCTCCTACATTCGCAGAGCACGAGAGGTAAGTCTGAATCACGTTTAGACGATGGCTGCTAATCTGAGACGCAGGCACGTCAGGCAAGGGACGCTCATAAACGCCAATAATCACCTTCAGCCATCAATCGCCAACTCTCGACTTCCATCACGATGCTGCTCTCCGTCATTCTATCCTTTCTCGCTCCTGCAACCCGTGCGGCCCCGGCAGATGGCATCACCGTTCCGGAGTCCACTACGCCACTGCCAACCACAACAGTCACTATCTCTCCCATTGAGATGCCAGTCGTCGAAGCTCGCCGCTGCCTTTCTGCAGTAGACTTTCGTGCCGCTCGCAAACACGACTACTATCCTCTCTGCAACGTCGACATTCCTGGCAAAGACATCTTTTCCTTCCTCTGGGTTGGACAGTTCGAATACTGCCTCGAGTTCTGTGACGCTTTCAATTCGGGTGGCGAAGGAGGCGGTGAACTGCTCTCTGACATGCCGCTGTCTCCTGAAGTAGCACAAATGAGAATGCGTGGCGAGTACGTTCACTGCAAGGCGGCTCTCTTCCTTCCAGAACGGTTTTCCGGCGAGAATGATTGCTATCTGAAGTACGCCCTGGACGGTGCTATCAAGACGAACGGCACTCCATGGGTTGTCGGCGGTATCAAGAGACAGTACGAAGAAGATGGTGGACTTACATTCAATGGAAGCACTACAGCTCATGCTACGGCTACCAGCACTGGAAATTGGACCAGCATCTGGCCTACGGGAATGAGTACTACAGCGTCTCGTACCACCTATTCTGCGTCGAGCAACGAGACCATCGCTTCAACCAGCCATACCAGCTCCGGAAACTCTTCTTCCACGACCAGTTCCATGAATGCTACCACAACTGCATCATCTTCAAGCACTACTGATAGCAGCAATGCCACTGATGCCATCACGGTCCACAACTCCTGGTCGAGCGACGGTCTCACCCTTCCTGTGCCAGCCACCAGCACTCAAGCAAGCAACACGACTCAAGAGACGACAATCTACAGCTCCACGTCCAGTGACGGTCTGCTGCCCGGCCAGCCATCCACCGAGCACGAGACCAGCATTACTGGTACTGTCACCATCCAGAACTCCTGGTCCAGCGGAGGCTTGACACTGCCAACGCAGTCTAGCACGAGTGAGCATACAAGCAGCAAGACTTCTGAGATCATCATCCACAACTCGCGATCGAACGACATCCTGACGCTGCCAACACGCGTGTACAACCACGACTACTGACTGATTCGCTGGAGCGCACCCCGTAGTCACCATCATCTGTGTAAAAAAAAAGGGTATCTTCGTAGCTTTTACCACGCAACGTGGTCTCCATAGTGTATGAAGGTAGCAAGCATGTCAAAGAAAGACGAATGCATAAATAGTCACACAGCGCACCATATGTAGCAAATGCTATTCATTTGCTATCTAGTCATCTAGACCCTCTGATGCCCTCCCGAGCATATGGTCCCCATGATTGCGTAAAAACCGCGGAAGCGCTCCCCAAAATACCCCCGGGGAGGCCTCGCCGGTACCCAAACTCCCCAAAACGCGTCCCAACTCCCCCAAATACCCCCAGGGAGCCCTCTCCACTCACCAATCCTCATAACTCTGCGCACACCCAGCCTCATCACACGGACACAACCCCCCCTTCCCCTCTCCCTCTACCTCTCCCTCACCCAACACCGCCTCCCCATTAGCCACACGGGCACGGCAGACCCACCTCGGACGAGGGGGAGCAGGAGAGGCATTGGTGGTGGCAGGAGCGGAAGAAAGAGGGAATTGGGTGAGCGGGAGGCGGAAGGCGAATGGTTGCTGCTGCTCCTGCTGGTGCTCTCGCTGCGTCTGCTGCAGCTGCTGGTTGAGGAGGGCGAGGCGCTGTTGGGTGGCCTGCTTCTGCTCTTCGGTTTCGGGGTCGGTGTCGACGGAGGCGGGAGAGGCGGGGCGAGCAGGGGCGGGAGTGGTGGTGGTGGTGGTGGTGGTGGTGGCGGCAGCGGCAGCGAGAACGAGATCGTCTTCGTCGTCTTCTGACTCTTCTCCCGCTGCGCGGCGGTTGCGACGAGCAGCAGCGCGTTTGCTGGCGTGGGAAGCATCCTGGCGGACACCACCGCTCTGGTCGCGCAGGGAGTCCTCTGTCGCGACGGCGAAATCGAGGTGCTCGAGGTGCTCGGGGTCGTCGTCGTCGTTGGCGGTGGTGGTGGTGATTGGGAGGTCGGGAGGAGGAGAAGCCGCGGCAGGAACTGATTCCGGGTCTTTCTGCTTGCCCTTCCCCTTCTTGTCGCCCGCCGAAGAAGTAGAAGCCAGGGCGGGCTTCGAGGCACCGTTAGCCTGCTTCCGCTTCTTCGGTGGCTTCTTGGTGGTGGTGGCGGAGGCGGAGGGAGAGAGAGCGCGCTTCTTGGCGGGTTCCTTCTTCTTCTTGGCTGGCCCAGAAGGAGCAGCAGCCCAAAGCGCATCCACAGCTGCATCAGCAGCAGGAGAGGGAGGCCAGGGCGAAGGAAGAGCAGGCGGAGGAGGCGGCGCATTCAATGCACGCGCGTGCGCAGCAGCAACACCACCAGTCTGCTCAACATATGCTGCAGCAGCAGCAGAGAACGGGTAAGGAATTCCACCTCTACGGATTCCCGTATCGGTGAACGGAGCCGCAGACGCACCACCGAAAGCGCCGAGAATAGCAGCCCACGCATCCTGCTGCTGCTTCTTCTGATCATGTGGCAGCAGAATCGCGGCGCTGAGGAGGCCTCTGGAGTCCTGTGGCCATGGGTAGCCATGCCACAGCTGGAAATGCCGACGACCGACGAACTCATTCTTGCAGTCCTTTATGAAGCCGCAGCCGGAAATCGGACAGACGTACCATTGACCGTCCAATCGCAGCTTCTTGCTGCCAGATTCGCCGTACGCATAGTGGTCGGGGTCGCCCTTGATGAGCCTCCAGGGCTTTTTGTCGTCCCGGGGGTACTCTGGCTTGCGAGGCGAGTCGTCTGACATTGTGATTGGCGGAACCAGAACCAGAGTAAACTTCCAGACTACGGGCTGCGTTTGGGAGCAAGAGTGCAGCTTTGAGATCTACGATGACCAAGAAAGCTCTTAAGTGCAAAAAATGCCAAGACCTGATAAAATCTACCCCACCTTTGCACTCTGAGTTACAAGTGAGATTCAGGAATTGAGCTCACTTCTAGATCACTTCAGCCTTACTGCAGAGAATTTCCGCCTCTGTTTCCGTGCCTTATGGCTCTGTTTCTGACACTATACATGATACCCTTAGGGAGGCCTTCAGAGCTGTTGAACAAAGCTCAGTGCGTCATCCTACTTGGCTATATAACCTAATCATGCCAGTAAGTGCCTTAATGCCGAAAACACCATGTTATATCCTCGGTCTACTCCCACTCCTGCTTCGCGTTTTCGCTGTCAATCTCTCGCTTCCTAGTACTCTCAACCATGTCCCATCCAACTCCCCAACTCACACTCTTCGTCACCTTCCACGTCCAACCCTCCAAGATAGAAGCATGGAAAGAAGCCCACAGACCCGTGTGGGCCGCCTGTGCCGCAGAACCGGAATGCATACTCTTCGACGTGTTCCACGATCCCGCGAAGCCAGGTGTGTTCCGACTTGTCGAAGTGTGGAGTGAGAGTCGGGAGTGGTTTGAGACCAAGCAATTGACTAAGCCTTACTATGACACGCTGTGGGAGAAGTCGAAGCCGACGTGGGAGAAGGAGGTGGAGATTGAGTACTTTGAGAGACTAGGGGAGGGCGGGAGCTACAAAGGCAGCTATTTGGAAGGTATGAAGCGGATGGCATAGGTTGCTACCTACTAGCGGGTAGCGACTGCCACTAGGGAATTTCATGCCAGGGCGGGCCCTGACTCGATTGCTTCCAACGACCTCATGCTTCATCCAAAGGACTCCTCGACACCACAAACTCACATGTCTACATCTGCAGCGTCTCAAGCTACGACTACCTCAACGACTTCTCCATACAAATCGAATCGCCGCCAGCCTCGACCTCCATTCCGACATACTCCCCATACATCGCCCTCTCCTTATAGCCCAACGACCGATACAGTGCAACCGCAGCTTTCTGCCTCAAACCGACCTCAAGCACAACCATATCCGCCTTCAGCTCCTCCCGAGCATGCTTCTCCGCATGCGCCAGCAACGTCTTCGAAAGTCTGCGTCCACGATGGCTGTGCGCGATGAACATTCGCTTCACCTCGACATACGTCTTGTCTGAGGACAGCTGTGGTGGCAGAGTATGTGGAACATAGTCTGGCTGTGAAGCGTGCGGCGTGAGTTGACGAAGTGCTACGCAGCCGACGGGCCTGGAGTTATCGAAGGTGATGAAGAAGAGCAGACCAGGCTCGTCGCTTGTGGTGGAAGAAGTTTTGGAGGGAATCAGGTCGGAGAAGGGTGTGATCTCCTTTTCTTCCGTTGCAGGTCGCTGAGAAGTTGCTGAGATCGCACTTGCGTCAGGAGTCGCGGGACGAGGATTGCCGACGTAGTTGGGCTGGCTCAGCTGTTCCCAGTCGGGGTAGAAGGCGGCAAGGTCGCTTTCGAGGTCTTTGACGAGTTTGTATGATTCGGGAGAATTGAAGGGGTGGAGGCGGATCTGAATTGAGCTCTCCATGATGCAGACCGTTTGTGCGACTCCGTGTTCAGTGTGTTGTAAGTTTTCTTTGCGTGGTTTGAAAAGACTCGAAGTTCGGTAGACCGTTCGTGATATTGATATTGTTCATGTGATAGGGCGGATTAGGGGCTGTTCGTAGCCAGTGCCACAAGATCGCCTGATTCGAAGCTTGTCTGCATCTGCAGGCGAGTGAGTCATAGCTCAGCAATCCTCGGCTGCTGCATGCTTCTTTCTGCTACGAACCGTAACCCACGTACAGATGCCCGCAGCGCAGAACAAAGCCAGCAGATATGAACGACCGGCCGTTTCCGCTCCGATCGCAAGAGTCGTCAATGCTCCTGATAGGTGCCCAAGAGGAAGGCGATTCCATCAACCTTCGGGCCTTGGCGAGAAGGCAAGCCCAAACGTGTGCCATGCATCACAACGATAGTCGCCTACTCAGGCTCGAATTGCTACGATGTAATACGCCTCAGGAAGGGGCAAACATATGGATCATTGCAAGTCATGAATGATGCACTTCGATACAGCGGTCAACAACATTCGCGGCTGATCCGAAGAACACGAACATCAAGCACCCAGACGGCTTCCATTCCACTCAGCAGAGGCACTCGCCCTCTCAAACCTGACCAAGCCCGCCTTTGACGCCTTCAAGACGCTCATATCGATCCTCGTCAATCCCTTGACCCGACTGCCAAGCTTCGCCGCATCTTCTTGCGAAAGGATCTTTGCTCCTCCTTGCTCACCACCCCAGGCTTCATCACCAGTATCCATGATATTGTCAATCTGTTGGTCGACTTGGCAGGTCCCGATGCAGAGCCACCAGGTTTACTCAGACTTGGCACCCCTATGATCTCTAGTCCTTCAAGGGCCTTTGTCGCAGGACTATCGCCCAAGACCTTCATCAGCTCGGACAGCCAGTCTTGTGTCAGTAGGACTGATATTGTGAGGTCGATCAATCCTGTCTCTTCCTTACCCTGCGACGGACTGATTGCAAGAAGGATTTCCTTGATGTCTTCGACAGTCAATGTCCACATGCCCAAATTCAGTACCTTCAGGGATGCTAGCTCTCCCTGCTTGAAGTTCGCAAAGCGCTTCTTCAGGGCTGCTGTTGCCCTCGAGTCGCTGGCAAAAGGCAGAATGCCTCCTGCGGGTGAGGGTTTTGATCCGTCGTTTCCGTCTTCGGCAGTCTCCCCGAGGCTCTTATCTCCCTCCGCTTCCTCGACCAGACCAAAGCCAGCACCAACAAGACCAGGAACTATCAAAAGCGGCATCTCCTCGCCATGTAGACGAGCCAAGAAATCGCTGTCGGAGTGACCACGGTAGGTGTACGACACCTCTACAACTTGCGTTCCGCCGGCCGCTGTGCCATTGTTGCAATTGCTGGCTGCATCGCCGGTAGCTTCTTGGATCTCCTTTTCCTCCCTTGCACGCTTTTCGAGCAGCTTGCCAACTGCCGTCCAGTAGCCTGGCCTTACGAAGGTGTCGATCAGGTGTAGCTCGCGCAGACCTCTAGCTGTGTCGAAGAAGCGCTCAGCATCAGTGCGGCTGGCGTCATCGAGTCCGTCTAGCAGGCAGGCGAACGCTGTGACGCTTTTAAGATTTGGCAGGGCGACCGCGAGGTTGCTGAGATATCTGGGATTGCGGCCAGGAAACCCTAAGCTGAAGAGTTCCAAGGTGAGGTGCGTGATCGATTGTGGCAGCACCGGAAGTGAGTATTCTCCCCCGGACACGAGTGATTGGTACTCCGGCAAGGGGATGTCGGAGGTGAGGGTGAGAGCGCGGAGGTGGGAGGCCTCTGGAGGAAATTCTGGTAAGGACGAGAACTTGCTGATGGGCAATTGGGCGGCGAGTGGGACCTGAGGAAATCGACGTTAGCATTTTCCACGACTGCATGGTCTCAGCGCTGGCGGCGGTATGGCTCTAGAGGTTAGTAGCGGTTGGCTCGACTAAAGTTCGCGATATGAGACCGTCGTCGTATTATGACTGAATCTGTTGCTGACCAAGAACGATCTGCAGATATTCATGGCGACAGGCTGAAAGTGTTGCGGCTCTCTCAAGCGGCTCGCATAAGTCGCAGGTTTCACGGTCATCGATCTGACCATGCGATGCATCAAGGAGCGGTATGTACCTCATCTGGTAATGTCTCGTCAGTAGGGCTTTTGATTGGAGACAGCGGAGTATTGGTTGGACTCAAGGTCCGCTTCTCGTCGATGGGACTATCCATTGGCAGGGACGTTATTGGTGGTTCTTGAGGAGGCATTGATATAGAAGACATAGAATTACCGTTGGCATTCTGCCCTTCGGAGCCCATGATGAACCTAGAGGGCGAGTAATGGACCACCAGACGTGTGCCTTGGAAAACGTCCTGTGCCTGAGGACGTTGTAACTAGCTCGTGCAGCGACTCAGTCCTCGGCAAGCTGATTAGGCTAAGCAGTACCTCTGGATGGAAGGGTCTGCCAGGCGAATGGTGGTTGGCACGGGTTTGATCGACGCGTGGCTGATGACTCGTGGCAGCCCGCAAAGGCTATCTTGGGCGAGCAGGGGTGTTTCGAGCACTTGAGTACACTTCGGCTGGCAGATGAGCTTGAAAATCTCAGGTCAGCGGGATCTGGCATCTTTTTGTACGCTCGCAGACACTCAAGTGAGATTCGATTATGTTCCACGTCCATCTCGCGCAGGTTAGACGAAGCACCGTGACATGCCAACAGCATCATTGCGGGTACCTGGAGAGGATCGCACACGAAAACCCCGGCTATGCTGTAAGCAAAGCTGGTAGAATGTGATCGATCATTGGAAGCTGGCGAAAGGAGGGGAAGGAGGAGAAGGTCACCACCAAGCTCTTTCTCCATGTTTTCCAAGCGGCAGATCTGAGCGCGGGGAACTGCATGCCATCGGGAAGGAGTGAAGGGCCGGGAAAGGTACCATTCGTAGGGATATTTCGTTCTGTGTCTAACATGATGGGTATGATGAATCGAGAGAAATCTATCTAGGATGATGGGTAACATATATCTCAGAATTGACCCAGTATGCTGTTATTCCAACGTCATTGCGATCACTGCTCGCCACTCTATTCGTGTATGATCCCAACTGCGCCAAGCATATCCATTCCTGGGTAGAGCATCAATAATACCACGTAGGATCGCAACATTCGTAATGTCACCAAGTTCCTCACGAAGCAGACGACCTCAACCCCACTGCCTTGAAAGACGAGCTTGAGCCACTCTTCGCACTCGGTGCGATACACAACAGGATCCAGCTCGATCCGCCAGGCTTGGTCGATTGATCAGGATCCCGTGCTCGTCGAGGCGGTGCCATCCTGCCAGCAACAGATTCGACAGCTGCCGTCTTCACAGCACCTGACGGGCGCAATGTTGATGGCGTCCACCTCTCTCGTCAATGGCACCGCGTCAGTCGTGATATCATCATCGCCAACGCCTCTGGACGTAGTGGTATCTTCGGAGTCGCACATCCAGTGACCGCGATCCGCCGCAGCCACAATCACTGGGAACCGACGAGCTGGTCGTTCGCCGACTCGCACAGCGACCTCGTCGTCGGGGCCGCACTGAACCAGAGCGTTCCCATCACGAATCGAGTGCTTGTTGCGCTCGCGATCAAGAAGACGGCCGTTCAGGCGCAGAAGCTCGATACCGATCTGAGTGTTATCCCTGCTCTCGTCGATAACTCCAACACGAAATCGTTCTGGTGCGGACTTCTGGAATTCGTCCTCGTCAACGGAATCCAGCGCTTCCATGTCGATTGCCATGCTCTCGTCGTCTCTCTCCCCTCGATCTGGTACGACTCTCCCGCGATTCTTCTTTTTGTTGTTCGCAATCTCAGTCTTGTGTCGATAATTCTCGGTATGTACCAGGCTGTTGTCTTCAGCGGCTTCTATCACGCGGTAGCAAACGCCTTCTGCGGCGAATTGATAACCTAAGAACGCGAGTCCTTTATTGTATAAGATTGCGTATTTCATCTTCTTATCATCGTTACCAGGCAGATATAGAGCCTGAGGTCTGAATGGCTCCTTTCCAAAGCTCTGACGTGTAACAACTTCGACAAGACGCAAATGCTGGCGACCTACCAGTTGCTCGGAAATGAAGAGCCGTTCGAGCTTATGACAGAGTGATTTGATGATATCGATACCAGCGTTGGGCCATTGATCCGCCACATTGAGATGCAGCTCGAGGACTTTGAGGTTTGGCATCCGGCAAGATGGCTTCCCAAGGCGTGGATCAGCATGCCCTCACCACGACTGCCTGGTCTCAAGGGATTCCCGGTAGTGATTGGCTGCTCAACGCAAATACGTAATGTCTTCAAACCGTTGCGAGGCCCATTCATAGCCCCTACAAGAAGTATCTCTGCAGTGTGAGACAACCAGTCGAGCTGCCACGTCGGCAGAGCTCCTTCACCTTGATTCGTGATACTGGGCACCATCATGTGAGCTTCTCGAGGCTGTGCATCGCCCTTCTGACAAGTCGTGATGTCAACGCCATTGCATTCGCAGTGATCTCTAGTTCTCGAAGATCCGGCGGCATCACTTCACTGTCGATATCCGCATTTGTACCCGTAGCGGCGTATCGCAGATCTGGATCTGATGTATCGTTTAGAGCTGCAGCCCAGCCGTCCGTAGCGGTTGTCCTTGGGTCGCAGCAGAGCGCAAGGCGAGTCAGATTGGCCTTATTGTTGACGACCTGGCTATACGTGAGTGGCATGTTTGCATTTGATACCACAAGCGTCTCAAGCTGGGTCAGCCGACTCAGTGTGTTTAGCAGCAAAGCTCTGCGACGGAAGCCCTGACCACTTGCCGGAAGTTTGCCACTATAGTCGAAGGATCTAATGCCGCAATATTGAAGTCTGGTTTCTGTGCCATGAGTGTCGCAGCCGGTGAAGAAAAGCCTGAGATCTTTGAGTGGCAAAGAGAGAAGCGCGAGAGTCAGGCTATTGAGAAGGACTGTGTCGGTATTGAAGGGAAGTTCAAGCGAGAGCGATTGAAACTTCTTGAAAAGAGGTGACATGCGGTCAGGCCGTGTGAGATCGAAGTCGCCGGTGAAGAAGGGGAGCCGAAGCAGATAGGCAAGCTGGTTTCGTCGGACCCGATTTGACTGCCAGCGCATGTCTTGCAGGTCGTGATAGAATTGTTTTGAGACTAATTTGAGAGAACCGTAAGCTGTTCGCTCCCTCGTCTTCCAATTTTGCTCGCTGAGTACGACATCTTGCTCAGCCAAGCGAAAGATGTGCTGTCGGAGATCCGTGGGAAGTCCTTCGAAGGTTGGGCGGGCGTCGTGGGTGACATCTGCTGACACCTGGGCCAGCTTCGGTGTGAAGTCTGGGATGATGAAACTGGGTTTCGATGGCTGACGCCGAAAGCCGCCTTTCTTTTGCAGGGCCTTTCGTTGTCGGGCGGTGAGAAAGCGGCCCTGGGCCTGCTCCTCGAGGAACTGCTCCTCTTGTTGACAAGCCCACATGATGGGCCAGCGAGCGGGATGACAGCGATTAGAGGTGAGAGAGGAGCTCTGGATAGGATTGCTTGGGTGCGCAGGCGAACGACTCAGGACAGTCAACCCCTATGGCAAGAGAGGGAACCACAAGTTCGGTCAGGAGCGTGAAAGGACTTGCCGCGTGATGCGATAAGTGGGAGGGCTGCAAGAAGATATTATATAGATCGATATTGGAAGCCTCGGAACAGTGAAGCGTTGCTTAAGCACTGCACTCGAGAGGGGAATCGAGTTCATGTGCATACAAGGCTCATATAAATTCCAAAGCTAAGGGCAAATGAGCAGAAAGTGGACTTACGACTGAGATCTTCAGATGTGATTCGGAGCTGGGAACATTCGGTCTCAGAGGGAGCCAGAATACAGTCATAACGTTGAGAGCTGAGAGCAAAGATACAAGTCGGTCCCAAGCCTTGCCGCTTCAGAGCTTGCAGGTAAGGCATCGAAGTTTGCCGCTCCATGTTCGAGCTCGGATGTGCTCACATCGCATGGCGTTCAATAGTTGCACGCCGCTGTACAGCTGACAGGCACTTTCATCAGGCTAGTGCATGTCAACCGGCGCGTACATGTCCTAATGCTATGCCGGAAGCCGTCCAGTGTCATGTTGATCTGCTGTGCAGCATTATGGGTGATGACTTAGTCGATCGATCATAGAGCCCCGCGGTCCACTTGTCTGACTCAGGAGCGATGGATAGCGATGAACAGTGGTTAGCAGTGAAGAATAACGACAACGTCCCGATCGACATCGGAAGACGAGGTCAAGAAGGTCGATGCCAAGGTTTTGCTTTGACACGGATTCTCCGCGCAGGCTCATTTCAAATGACGATGCGACGCGCTTTCCATCACCACCAACGCACCGCGATCTTAGCAATTCCTTCCAGCCACGACATGCTTGAGCTGCGCACTCCAGCGCCTTGAACTGCGTCACGCTGGTGTGATGCTGTGGAGGAGCGTGTCATCCAGCCGCAATACACCAAGATGGCTTGCACTATCTGTCCCTACGATCGCTGGTCGCGCACGACCGATGTCTCATGTCCCATTTCATGACATCGATAAGAAGTGGCAGCTGAGATGGACGGAAGATGCAAGTGCGCACCCGTCCACGGCGGCTCAGAAGAGCTATGTGCTGCCCATGTTCGCCTATCCGTCAGGGTCGTTGCATATGGGACATGTACGAGTCTACACCATCTCGGATGTCATTGCCAGATTCCGTCGCATGAGCGGCTTTGACGTACTACATCCCACGGGCTGGGACGCGTTTGGACTGCCGGCCGAAAATGCGGCGATAGAAAGAGGGCTTGATCCTGCGGTCTGGACGGCAGAAAATATATCAAAGATGAAGGAGCAGCTGAAGACCATGAACACCAGCTTTGATTGGCATGCTGTACGTTTGTCACGGCCTGGGAGCTACGTAGTGCTGATGTAAGTGGTAGGAAATATCAACATGTGACCCAAGCTTTTACAGACACACGCAGCGGCTCTTCCTTATGCTGTTCAATCGGGGTCTTGCATACCAAGCAAATGCGCTCGTAAATTGGGACCCGGTGGACCAGACCGTTCTTGCCAATGAACAAGTTGACAGCAATGGGCGATCGTGGCGATCCGGCGCAATCGTCCAGCAGATCAACCTACGTCAGTGGTTCTTTCGCATAACCGCCTTCCAAGAAGCCTTGCTGAAAGACCTCGACTTCCTCTCCAAGGGCGGGCGCTGGCCAGAGCGTGTGATCTCGCAGCAGAAGAACTGGATTGGCAAGTCCTCTGGTGCTCGAATCCGAATAGATGTGAAGCATGCCGATGATACCATCAGTCATCATTATGTCTTCACAACTCGGGCAGATACTATTTTCGGAGTCAAGTATGTTGCATTGTCGTTGAATCATGAGCTGTCGCAAGCAAGCAAGACAGGACTGCCAGCCTTACAAGTGTTGACCGAAGGTGACACTTCCAAAGAAAGTGGTTCGAAAGCCGGGGTCGAGCTGCCCTACAAAGCTCGCATACCGTCTGTCTCGGCAGAGTACAACTTGCCTGTCTTTGCTGCGCCATACGTGCTGGATGGCTACGGTGATGGAGCAGTAATGGGCGTACCAGCTCACGACACCAGAGACCTCGAATTCTGGCGACAACACCGCCCCACGGAGGAGATACCGCTTGTCATTCAGCCTCTTGGTTACACAGCCAAAAGATTGTATGTTGCACCTGATGAGGTGCCAGAGGCTTTCACTGAGCCCGGCACGCTCACTGAGCTGTGTGGAAAGTACGCCGGACTCGACAGCACCACAGCTGCTCGGCAGGTTGTGGAAGATCTAAGCTCTCAGGGTGAAGATCCGCACAAACATGCCGCCCTGGTCGAGAACTGGCGATTGCGAGACTGGCTTGTATCACGACAGAGATATTGGGGAACTCCCATACCAATCATTCATTGCAAAGACTGTGGCGCCGTGCCCGTGCCCGAGCAAGACCTGCCGGTGGAGCTGCCAGTACTGGATGCTTCAATGAAGGGTCAGCGAGGCAATCCTCTGGAGAAGATTGAGGACTGGGTCAACGTACCGTGTCCGACATGTGGTGGCCCTGCAAAGCGAGAAACAGACACGATGGATACATTTGTCGATTCATCGTGGTACTACGGCCGATTTGTCGATCCGCACAACACTGAGGAGCTCTTCTCGAAGGGCTCCGCAGTAAAGTTGCTCCCTGTCGACACATATATTGGCGGAGTCGAGCATGCAATTCTGCATCTTCTTTATGCTCGCTTCATCTACAAGTTTCTTTGCAGCGAGGGACTGATTCCAGGCCAGGAACGAGCCATCGAACCTTTCCAACAACTCATTGCTCAGGGCATGGTCCACGGAAAGACGTTCTCCGACCCAAATTCTGGACGCTTCCTGCGCCCTCACGAGATCACAGAATCGGACTCGGGCCGACCTATGATCAACGGCACGGAAGATGTGGCTAACGTGACCTGGGAAAAGATGTCGAAGAGTAAGCACAACGGGGTCGACCCATCCATCTGTATCAGGAAGTACGGAGCAGACGCAACGCGGGCGCACATACTGTTCACGGCTCCGGTGAGCGAGATCCTGCAATGGGACGAAGAGAAAATTGTTGGTATGCAGAGGTGGTTTCATCGGCTTGAAAAGCTTGTACATCACCCAAGCATTCTGCTGTCTGCACTTGGCAGCAACAGCATTGAGCGACTCGACCCAGCAGATGATGTCCAGGCGCTAAGCAGCGAAGATGCGTCTGTCGTACTGCTGACACACGCCACAGTCCAAAGTGTGACGAACACCTTCACTTCAGACATCTACAGTCTCAACACTGTAATCTCTGATCTGATCAAACTCACAAACGGCATCTCCGGTGCCACGCTGGAGGGGCTTAACCAGAGAGTAGCCAACATTGCAGTATATGCACTCATGCGCATGACAGCACCCATCGCTCCGGCATTCATCGAGGAGTTGTGGGAGCAAAATTGCCTGCGAGGAGACGTCCCCCACAAGAGCATCTTTTCCCTCACCTGGCCTGCCTCGGTTATGACCTCAGCGCAAGAGGAAGAGCTCAAGGGCTCAGGGACGATGCCCTGCACTGTGCAGATCAACGGGCGGAAAAGGTTCACTACTCAGATCCCGAGGCCCAGCCCGCAGGAGAGCAAGCGGACAAAGCCTTCAAAGGCACGGATCACGGCTGTGATGGACACGGTGCTCAAAACAGAAGACGGTCAACATTGGTTGAGACACAAGAATAACTGGACTGGTGAACAGAGGGTGATACTTGTTGCCGGCGGGAAGATTCTCAATGTTGTTTTCTAGAGAAGAGAGTCCTCAGCATTCGTACACGAATGAACCACTTTTCAATGCCATAACCCACTGGTATGAGCAGCATATGCCACGTCATTCTGTTTGTGCAGTCTTCTTGTCCAGCGGCCCATGTAAAGCAACATGATTCGATTTGACTGTACACGATAACCAGACGCGAGCTGATCATTCGGCACCGGAGCAGACGAGAGAAGTCAACAAGACGCCCGTTGAAAGATATCCATATCGATGATAGAACGATGCAAACAAATTAAGCGCTTCTTTCAGCAATCATCTCCTCCAGTCGTTTGATGCTCAGAAAGAAATAAGAGTTGCGTTCCTCTTCATCCCTGCCCCTGCTGAAGTCCTCGCCAACGCCATAGTCCTTCAAATAATCCCTGTCAGCGACCAGATCATCCAGCGAGCACCGCACCCAGTCGAGACACTGTTCCCGCCTTTCACGCCTCGCTGCCCGTCGTCCCTTCTCCCAGATAATGAATTGATTCTGAATTTGATTGCGCTGCTGCTTATTCGGCTGTCCAGTCTTATATTCGCCCACGTCGGCATCCTTCTCCGTGAAACGGTGAGGTACTTTCGAGAGAGCTTCCTCGTTCAGCCACGCTTCGGAACCAGGCTTCTCTCTTGCCTCAATGGCAGCCAGCAAGGCTGTATCCATCTTGCCCCAGGCTCATCACATCCACCGCATTCACCAGACATCTTGGAGGTAGTGATATTGCGGTGGCTTGAGTCTGCGAGGGCCATGGCGAAGTTGAATGCATGCACTGGAGAGCCCATGCCAAGCAATTTGGCAACAACCCCAGCGTGTTTGGCGGCCGAGACCGCGTAGTTGTCGACGGTTATGGCACGGCTGTTGGGCGACATGGCTTTGACCTTCTTGTCGAGGTCTAGGTGGCGCTTTTCTACGTCCTTCAGCTTGTCGTTGAAAAGCTTCTTTGCTTCTTTGGCGGAGTCCTTCGATTTCGAGGTTGACTTTGTGGTAGATGTGGTGGTGGACTTGGAGCCCGCCGACTTTGGTGCCGGAGCAGCTTCTGCCGTGGCTTCTTGGCTGGCGCTATAGGCGGCTCATCACTATTGCTGTTCTCGTCGTTTTCACCATCAGCCGCCCATTTGCGCTTGCCTGTGGCCGGCCCGGCGTTGGTCGGTGGCTGAAGCCAGGTCTGGAGGGCGCCAGGACGACTTTTCGCAGCCATGGCGATAGACTACCTCGAAAGATTTATGGAAGAAGGAGGAGGAATGAGAGGTGCGCGGACGTGGAATGAAACACATTTTGGAGTTACAGGAAAGATGGGTTACGCGTAACGCGATATGCATGGTCTTCGCGTACCTTTCGCGTTATCAACCGAGATGACTGTGTCATCGGGCATACAAACCATTAGTGCCATCGTGTAACGAGACTGATGTCATTTGTGGTGGTGTAGCAGATAGATTCTTGATTCGATGCATCTGCATTGCGGGTGAAGTTGGTAGCCGGCGGTGCGCGTGTCGTTCAATATCGGTCGCCGCTTTGGGCGCGGCTTTGGGCGACAAACAGCCCAGGCTGAGGCTGAGGACAAGGTGGCGCTAGGCATCCAGGCAACGATCATTGGTTCCTTGCTTCTGGCCACCTCGCCTCTTGGATCAGCGATTCATATATCTTCCACACCTGTGCCTTGATCATGCAAACGTCCGCGTTGCATTCCTAAAAGGCGTGTCCATCCAAGATGCTCTCCAAGTCGATTTGGCTGGCCTTAGCGGCCACAACCCTTTTCTATGTCTGCGGAGATGCGGCCAAAGTCACAAACCCTACCAAAGTCCCCAAGAACGCCATTCTTCTCTCACAGGTACAGTCCCTGACATTCTACGGCGGCAAGCAGACGGCATCGCGACGCGTTTCGCCTGTCCCCCAAGCGCAGTGTGTCGGACCGCCAAACGTTTGCAGCCTCTACAGCGTCGACGTCATTCGATGTACGAACGAAGGCGCCGACTACGACGCCGAGAATATCCAATGGTCGTGCAAAGCTTCTCTGCCAGAGGAGTTCAAGCTTGGTAGCACCGATGTTATCTGCGAAGGTTACGCAAGCAGTGAAGATCCATACGTGCTCAAGGGCAGTTGTGGTGTCGAATATCGACTGCTGCTCACCGACAAGGGAGAAGCAAAGTATGCCAAGCAGAAAGGGTTTTCTGCACGCCATGAGTCAACAAAAGCAAATGATGGCGACTTTGTGGGGTGGGCATTCGGACTAGTCTTCGCTGTGGTTGCCATCATCATCCTCTATAAGTTGTTTGTTTCAGCTCGGGACGCCCCTCCACGAGGACCAAGGGCGGCGCGTCCACCATATGGAGGTTATGACGGAGGCGGAAACGACGACGACGACCCGCCACCGCCTTACGACTCCTACCCTCGGAACAACTACGGTACCGCAAAGAAGAAGTCAGCACCTCGAACATCAGGCTCGACCTCCACACGTGCCAGCTCGTCCCGGACTCAGCAACAAGGCTGGAGACCTGGCTTCTGGACAGGCACAGCGGCTGGAGCTGCTGCTGGCTACATGGCAGGCAACAGAGGCAACAACAGAACTCACACACAACCGGAGACGAGAGAGCAGCCACCCAGCCGTGGACTCTTCGGCAGGAGTACTGGTGGCAACACTGGTCCCAGCTCATGGCAGGCTCCGTCTAGCCCTCCGTCTGCACCGAGCTATTCGAGCACCACACATGAATCGACGGGTTTTGGTAGTACACGGCGTCGTTGATGCTAGCCGGTCAACCGAGGACGAAAGTTTGCCAAGTCCCTTTTGCACGCTGAAGGTCTCCAGCGTGGCATATACCATGTGATAAATCTCAAGCCTGTGTTGCTGTAGCTCGAGGTCGGTCAAGTCAATTCAGCGGGAGGGACGCAGTCACCTCGTTGCTGGAACAGCTGCTGTCCGAACGCGGTGAACTGTCGGTCAGCTGCCTAGCGGATCAGTGAGGAGAGGAGAGGAGCCGCATGCAAGCTTGTAAAGGCGCCTTCCTCTTCGAATGTGGTCTGGAGTTCATATACATGGCCAGTGTACTATGAACGAATCAGGTCCTTGTGCGATACGAGATGTGTTATCATACAGCGCTGCAGATGCCAGCTTAAGGAGTCTGACATTGATTCATTTGCGCAGCCACCAAAGTATGCAGCAACGGTAAGCTGAAATGGCAAACTAGGAGTCCCAAGAAGATGCCGGCTGCGACATCCATCCATATCACCTGCTGAACAGAGGAGACCACGAACCAACCGGTATTCCGCAAGATGTGGTTCTGCAAGGATCTCCTTTGCATCTAGATCGCTCTGAAGGTCTATTTGAGCCCAAATGCTCGAAGCCGGCGGCATATCAGCACTTGCAGCCGCTAGCGTCTCCTCTTCCCCAGACCGCTCCGAGAAATGTCCGCATTGCGAAAGGGCGGATTGTGGAAACGCTAGGTGTCGAATACAAAGTAACGAACATGTACCAGTTCGGAAGCAGAATGGACTATTGGGACCTGAAAAGACAGCATATTCGTTGTCACAAAGCTGGAGGTATAGGGTTCGATAGTGATTGTAGCGGAGACGAACGGGTATATCTCGCGCGAAAGCATGTGTAGGTTTGCTCGACCGCAAAGCATATCACACATGGGATTCTCAGAGTCGTCGAATACGCCGAAGTCTGTGCAGGTCTTGCCGGAGGTCTCTCTTGGGTATGCATGTGACTTTTGAGTAGGACCCGAGTGCAAAGTTATGATGTGCCGCAAGTATATTCGACATACGCTTTTCGTATCGTGCTCGAATCTCAACATGCTATCAGCAAGCTCTTCAACCTGGATTATGTACTGAATGCTCCTACGGACACCTCGCTGCTCGTCTAGCGACTGCCATATCGACGCTATGGACTAACAATAATCCGTGTGGTGATTGTGTAGCAAGGTTCACAGACGACGCCGGATGACAATCTCTGGTCACAAGGCTTCGTGTCAGCCCTACGGTGACACGAAGCCTTTAATGATGCCCGGGCAGCCAATCGCACTCAACGATGGTTGTACTTGCAACTCATCGCAATCAGCCTGTATACTACTCACTGGATGCTTGATAGAATATAGGCGGTCTCTGTAGTGCTATCTGAGCATCAGTATATCCTCGTTCTTCATTACAGACGTGAGCACCTCAGATCTACTTCCCGCCATCTCAACGACGCGTAGAGCGTAGCGTCGGCTTGCTTTGCCACAAGGCAAAGCCGTGTCGAGGTACGATTCTGGTAAGACACCCGCGAGATCGCTATCTTACGGCCGCGCCACGGCCTGCGACCTCACAGAGCGTGCCATGCAAGAATCCGTCTCGACTTCACGGCATGTCTTGGCGCTGAGTCTGGTGCCTGTTTGTTTGCTGTACATCAAACAGTGAAGACAAAAAGTGAACACGAACGCGTGCATTGAGTCATATGAGGACAGGCAATTTGTTGGCTTCAGCCGCGATCCTACGACAAGGTGTTCGTATCGCTCGATGTCCCGGGCTGCGCAACACTGGACGATATTCAACAAATTATTCACCTGACAGTACGCAGCAGCCAAATGCACGGCGACTCAACATTATTGAGCGTTTGAGCTTCACTGCTTCCGTCAACTTCGCAAGTCTTAGTCGAGCGAGGGCTACGACGATCATGGCGTATCCGGATCCAGCAGAAGACGTCGTCATCGACCTGACCGACTCTCCACCAGCTTCTCCCCAGCCAACATACAGCAGTCGTGCGCGAGGATCATACAACAATCTAAATCAACCTGTTCTACTGCCGAGACATATCAGGGACGATAGCGATCCGACAGATCATGAGGCAATCGATTTGACAGACGACAATGACGACGACGAAGATCTGAGGAAGGCTATTGCACTCTCTATGGCGGCAAATCAGCCGGCCTCGAGTAAAGGCCAGAAGTCGATACTGGGCGAGAACGGGATCGATTTAACGGGAGAGGGTGACGGAGATATCGAGCTGGAGCGGGCGATTGCGCTGTCCCTGGCCGCCGGGGGCGAGAAGGAGCCTGCTGTCAACGAAGCTGTTAATATGGACGAGGGCACTACCGGAATCGTAGAAGACCAAGTTGCGAGCAAGGACGGGAAGCATGAAGGCGACCATGACAAGTCAGCATCACCAGTGCCAGTAGCTCAGACTACTGGATTTCTGGGGCTTGACCGGAAGGCCATGGAGGCCGAAAGACTTGCGAGACTAAAGCGAAAGCGCGACGGCGTTGATACTCCTGCCACCAAACCAATCTCGAATGGAGGCTCGCCAAAGCCGAAGCCCACAGTATATGAAGATCCTCAGCATCCAAGCAGCAGCAAGCGGCTCAAGACGATAGATGGTAAAACCAGTGTTAATGGCACAGCTTCCACAAAAACCATCAGCCCTCCTCCGAAGTCGAAGCCTTCCGTACGACCAGCCGACTCTACTGAGAAAGCCGCAAAAGCAGCCGTTGCTCACAGGGACCCACCTTCGTCTTTACCATCACTGCCACAACCCCGCTACTTCACGGCGCCGACTCTGTTACGCACTTTCACACCCTACGACCAAAACAGCGACCCATCGCAGCCAACGACAACACTGTCTTCTCTGCTCGCTTCGCCTGCCACCACATCCACAGCAAATCTGAAATCCGCACTGCTTTCTTCGTTCACCACAGACTTCGACTTCTTTCTTCCACTATTCGACACACGGACCACCAAATTCTTGCTCATCCTACATGCCTCCTCCACAGCAATTAAACGCGGTCTAGAGGTCGACTTTGCCGATGTTCCAAATGTCGAAGTCTTGGTCCCTCAAGCTTCGGGTGGCATGCAGGGCGGTGGCACAATGCATTCGAAATTCATGGTGTTGTTCTATGATTCCGAGTCTGACCTAAGAGATACAGCAGATCTTTGGCAGCATGGACGTTGTCGCATTGCGATACCGACGGGCAATCTAACTGCATACGATTGGGGACAAAACGGTAGTCTCGCCCGGAACGCGCCGAAGCAGGCGAGGGAGAATGCCAGAGTGAACGTGGAGAATTTGGTGTGGGTTGTGGACCTGCCTGTGCTTGAAGCAAACCGTCCCAGTGCAGAAATGCCCACCAGAACATCCTTTCAAGAAGATCTCACGGCCTACCTCACCAGTCAAGGAGTGCCTGGCTCCGTCCTCAGAAAGCTCGACAAGGTCGACTTCACCGCCACAAGAAACGTCGGCTTCGTAGGCAGCGCTGCTGGCTTCCACTTCCCGGACGCAGATGACGGCAGTAGCCAGCAGACTCTCTCGTTCGGCGGCAAGCTCAGCACGCCAGAGATTGGGCCCGAGTCAACCTCGGGCATGGGCCTTTACTCCCTTGCAGGAACCATCCGCCGCCTGAACCTCACTGCTGACCCCGACGAAATGGTGCAAGTCGACTTCCTCACCAGCAGCGTCGGCAGCCTTACTCCCCAATACCTACTACGCTCCACTTCGCCATCAGCGGACACCTCGGTCATCCAGACTCCTGGTCATCGACTAAGACATTCACGACCCCAATCACGCTGCACGAGCTTGAACAAACCATGCGCATCTACTTTCCCTCCGCAGCCACAGTCGCCTTATCCCTCCCCGGCCCCAACGGCGCAGGCACGATCTGCTTTGCAGAGAAATGGTGGAACAACGGCGTCTTCCCTAAACATATCCTTCGCGACGCAATATCGAAAGCCTGTGACGGCAAGGGTCTAATGCATGCGAAACTCATTGCTGTGCGCTTTGAACGCGCCCGCGCTGCCGCTGACGCGAAGATTCTCATCGGTTGGTACTACGTTGGCAGTGGAAACTGCAGCGAGAGCGCGTGGGGAAAGCTTGCGGAGGTGAAGGAGAAGGGAAGTAAGGAGAAGAAGACCAAGCTCACGGTGAAAAATTGGGAGACGGGGGTCGTGGTGCCGGTGTACGCGGCGGAGGGGAGCAAGGTGAAGGCTAGAGACGAGGTGAAGATGGAGGATTTTGTGCAGGCAGTGCCGAATTTGCCGTGGAGGATGCCGGCGGAGGGGCTGGTCGAGAGTGGGAGGGAGCCGTGGTTCTTTGAGGGTGGGTTTGGTGGTAATGGTGGCGGAAGGTGGAAATGATGAGCGTCAAAGGCTTGTCATGGACGAGAATGCATTCATGGATAAGCTGCTGCGCACGAGGTATGCAAATTGCACTGGGCATGGTGTTTTGCTTGGGCGTATTGGGTTCATGAGGCTTGGCATAGCGAGGATGGTCTGGTTGAGTAGGGAGGCTGTTGACAACGGTCAGGGAATATTCAAATCGTTGGTCTAGCATTAGGCACTGGGCTTTGATATGGTCTAGAAGCGCGATGGGACCTTCGTCTGCCGCGACAATGTGTTCACTGAACTCTGCTCTGGTGAAAGTCAAACATCCGCTAATTGTCGCTATTGATGTGTCGATAGCACATTGATGTAGCACACTTAGCTGAGAAGACTTCACAGCTGCACTTCCGGGGAACGTCGCGGAGTCGTAGCTTAGTATTAGTACATGGGCGAAGACGTATGCTTAGCAACTCGAAGGACATGACAAATTTGGTATGACTTGCCTATCAGCATGTATACCATAGCATAAGATGTGCAAGGTGCGCCTGCGTCTCGGGTACAACGGCAGGGACCATATGTATGTGGGCGGATATTCTAGGTAAATCATCTTCAGAACGCGCACGTCGGTGTGATGAAGTTGCCGACAAGTCATTGTAAAATCGTCAAATGCACAGACTGATGCAAAGGAGATGCGCGAGGGCCTGGACTCTTGCATGAAGACCAAACATATCTAACTTCAAGCGGTAGCAGGCCAATTGCCTACCACTGGTTTTCGCTTACCTTTGGTGAGGTCTACTTTGAGTTAAATGAAGTTCAAAGTTCACGATCTCGTGTAACTGCCAACGGGATGGTTTGTTCGGCAAGCAACCGAGGAAATACTGTGGCGCCCGCGGGTAGGAGATCAGTGGGCAGCTCCGTTGAGAAAGACTGTTCGAGAGCAGAAGAACACGAGGCGATGGACGAAGGATTGCTACTTTGGCCCCTGTCCAAAGCTAAACGGCGCTGATCAGGCTGATCATATGTGATTTGACCTCGCGGAAAGTCGATATGTTCAGCCGAACCGGAAGGCACGGCAGTTCGACACTGTTGCGTAATGCTCACTGCTCAAGTCTCAGGTATTGATCCTTAGGCCGTCGGATAGCATGGGAGACGTGGCGAGTGCGACACACACGAATCGAGTCAGATGCTCACGAGGAGTAAGCCGAGTGCGCAAGTGTAACGGCATCCGTGGCGGCAGGCTTGTCGAGAGGAGAGGCCGCGTGAGCAGTGTAGTGTGGTCGACTGGCGTTCTCGCACTCCAGTTTTCGGCTATCTTTTAGCATGCTGCAGTTTTGTGGGTTGCTAGGATTGTCCGATGGTTGAGTTTACAGTGTACCTGAGTCTGTTTGTAAGGGGGCCAAGTGCAAAGTCTCACCGTACATGTGTGACCCGAACCAGTTTGGCGCATAATGCAACTCAGTGGAAAGATGGTTGCTTCCCTGTATCCGACAGTATGCTGCATCGAGATGTCACCAACATGAAAGCAGACATCGGAACAGTACTGTGGGCGTGCGTCAGAGATCATGCTTGGATCGTTGATGAGGGTGAGATGAGGCTTGCTGGAGAACAACAAGAGCTGGTCAGAAACAGCGATGATGATCTCATAGCACAGCTACTTCTGGCAAGAAGGGGTTAGCGCCTTCCATACCTACAGTTGACAGACATGGCATGTGCCACGTACGACTGGGCGACCAATAGAAAGGTCCCGGAAATTGATTTGGTCTCGCTCATCTACTAGTCGTGTTAGGGAGGTCAAAGAGTGGCAGACTCCTGGTCAATTCGATGGAATCTATGATGGCAATTGCTAGCATGATTGATGAGGTAAGGAGGATTTCGTCACAAGCGAAAGTTGGAGCTCGCCAAAGTCTAAAAATCTTGCTTCAACGCCAAGCTTTGTTGCCCAGACATTCAGAGCAAGGATCGAGGTGGGGTGCTTCCTCGGGTGATCGAAATCGCCTTCGTGGACTGCTCGGAGTGATGGTTTCATTTCATCGACCGTCGACTGCAAGGTGCCTCTCTGTGGGAAAGGGAAAGCTCCTTGAGGTGGTAAAGCAAGAGGCTGGTCGCCCGCGTATGATCCCCGTAGCAATCCTTCCTGAAATCATTGTGATGTCTTCAGCCGCATCGCCATGTGACCGCCATTTCAAGCTGCGCCAAACTGAACTAAGATGCGGCCTTCCACATCCCCGTCCGCGCGTCATGTACGAAGTCGTTGCAGCGAAAAGAATCGAGATGCGCAGGGTGGTAACGGCCGATAGATTCCACTCCTTGACAGGTGCAGTCGAAGACGCTGACATGACAGCCGCTAGGTGAGCTGGCTTCGGCGTGTACAGACGTGGTCTGTTTCTAGCTGGGAGTAAAACAATCGAGGGTATCTCAAACAACCGTTCAGCCACAGGAACCGTGTCCCCACCAAAACAATTATCGCGTTTGCATCAGCGATCGTAACAATTTTGGCCGCAGCTGTTCATGGGTCGTGCTCTACGTGCCTGAGCGAGAGGACATCGGATCGCTATTTCGCAAGCCACTGACACCATCTACAAATCGTGTGCGTGCACGACCTTGCATGCACTGACGCGCACGCAGAAACAACGGTCTACCAGATTTTCGGGACCAAGGGTTCAGCCAATACGGTAAGAGTCGGGCAGGGATGATCTGTCGCGAATTTTGCGTGGTTTGCAGCCCACACGGGCAGACCACGCTTCGTATCAAGTAATTGGACGGTGACACTAGGTTACGTTTCCGATCTCTTGTCGGGTTGTTGTGTGCAGGCGCGCCACCCGTGACAGCAAGGCCGCTGCATTTGCATCGATCACTGCATGTCAGTCGTGGTGAATACACCGATGAGTATTGCCGACTCGTGCGCTCAACAGCCCACTATATCTGGGGAGGGAATAGTGTGGCTGAGATCACAGCTGAACATCGAGGCAGGGATAGCATTTGCGGTAAATTGACTGTCTGCAAATAATCCACAACATCGATTATACTGGAAGGCTTCCAAGACTTCATACCACAACGATCGTCGACAAATGCATGGCGGTGTCGGGCTTGGCCGGGTGAGGCGATCACAACAGTGTATTGATGAGTTCATGTGAATCATGGACTTGGCTGGTGGCAGTGCAGCCACTTCGTACAGGTTTGCAGGCCCTATCGCTTCAAGCAGTCTGCATCAGTTGTCGAACTCGACTCTGGGCGCCAACTCGGTAATTGAGCAGCCCAGGAAAAGAAGAGCCGCTGATTCGTTCACTGTGCACTTGCCCTAGGCTGCTCGCCAATCGCCAAATAATCGCCATTATTACCTACGTATTCAGACGCGACAATGTCTCGAAATCCTTCGATTTCGTCTGTAATGTCGCTAGCCCGTTCTGAGCAGCCTAGTAGAACGCAGCGCTGGGTCTCAGGGTCGGGCTTGAGAACCCGATCATCGGTCTTGCAACTCGCATACTAGGGCCGATAATGTGGCACCATTCCGATGCAAGAAAGCCCTTGCAGTGTAGCGGTACGAAGTTTCGAAGGTCTGTTGTCACCGTGAACATCTGCTTTGAGCGGACTGCGACCTCAAGAACCGTGCACAGACACGTGGAAGAGGCGTTGCCACGAGAGTTCTCATGCCAGCAAGAACTTGGAAGTCTCGAGAGTTCATCATCTTCTTGTCTAAAGTCATTGTTCGGGAAATTAACTATCATGCATCAACGCTTGTGACCAAACCTCTCCCCAGGAAATCGTCTACCATTCTTAGTCTCGAAGCATATCTGCACAGATGCTGTTAAATCCAAGCCATCTTTGCAATAGTAGTCTTCGAAATCTGTTGCGCACGAGGGATCGCCATTGCGTGACTTCATAATTGATTTAACGATGCTTGCACTGGGTAGCGCATGTATCCCAACTTGCCGGCCTGGTCGAGTGCCGGAAAAGCCATGGACAGATGTGCGGAAATGCATACCTACCGAGGTCACCTCAACTTCAAATATTGCCAAGTCAGGCTAAGCTGTAGCATTCGCTGGGTTATTTTACAGCTGAGAGACACGTAACGTACAGCTTTCAAATGTCACGACTCAGTTGAGTCAAGCCCGGCAACTTGGAAGTGACAGCCGCAAGACAGCTGGCTGAAGTTGGTGGTTCCGCCGACAGATTCCTCGGGGTTGTTTTGAGATGTTTTCCACTTGCTAGCTCGTCGATCGCAACGAGTTCCTGACTACCAGGTCTTGCATGCTTTGTTAAGCGATCAGTTCCGCCTCTCAGCCCATCCGGTCTTCTCCATCAGACCCTGACCGCGTCGCCTCCCACCTGTCCACGGCTCCTGGCTACCTCAATCGTTTTATTGCAAATATTGGGTAGCTGATCATTCGCCATCACAACAAAACCCAGGTGGTTGCCCAGCTTCGATCTCATTTCTCAGAAGGGTGTATTGCGCCTTCCCCGCCTAGGTTCTGTTTTGTGCGTCACGGCAATCGCCCCCTCTCGTCGACTCCAGCGCTCGACGTCGACGCAACCTCATTCGAGCAACTTAATATTACGGAGACGAACTTCGTTCAGCAGGGGCCTTGTTTTGTTGCACCTGTACATGCCTGTGCTTTTCCTGCATCCACATCGACCGAGCAGAAGTTAAAGTCAATTATTTACTGTCTACTACACAAGCCGTGGCTTGAACATCCAGGATCCGCCCACAAACCATCCTTCACCCTTGAGAACAGGTGTAGATCTGGTGTTTTATTAGTAGGGGCTTTCGATCACCTCACAGCATCTGGACCTACCTCTTGTATCAAACAATCAATCATCCCCGCCAGTTCATACGCGCCTGGCTTGCGCATCACGCTGCAAGAGTTCACAAGGAACCGTTCTTCGACTCGACGGTCTTACTCTCCATCCGTCAACTTTGTGAGTGCAAGGTCTGGGAAGCTTATAACCGAAGACAAGTTTCCTTAAGCTCAAACCCTCAAGCACATCTGCGAACTCTGGCGGACTACACCTTTGTGAACACTCTATTCCAACTACTACATATATCTGTAGGCTGCGTCGACCATGTCCACGGGCGGCGCGGCGTTGCAGCCGACCTTTCAAGGCCATGTCGCGACAACTCAAGATGCTCTGATTTTGTTCGAGGCATGCTTGCAAGGCCACCTTTCTCATGTTCCACGTCGGCCTCACGATCGTGAACGCAACTCGCTTATCCGCAGCGGCTCGGTTTTCATCTACGAGGAGAATGCTTCCGGCATCAAAAGATGGACCGATGGCGTCACCTGGAGTCCCTCTCGAATACTTGGCAACTTTCTGGTCTACCGGGAACTCGACAAGCCATTTCCACCTGGAGAGAAAAAGCGAGCCATGAAGAAGCAAAATCGACGTCCTAGTCGGCCAGGTGAGCCGTACCCTGGAGCCATGGGCGGCGGCAGCGAGAATGGATCCTTTGGGGCAGAGCGGACTCCTACCGAGACGGAGCGGCAGCTGATTGGGTCTCTGATCGATAGTTACGGCTTCAAGGCTGATGGTCTGGTGAAGAAGACCATGAGTGTCACTGTGCAGGGCGTCACACATCATCTTGTCAGCTACTACAACGTCAATGAGGTGGTCGCCGGTCAACTACGAACACCGGGTCAGACAGACAATCTGCAATACATCCGACCGCGCCCGGAGCTGACCAGCAAGCAGAGCTTTCGCTCGCCACTCGAGGACAATGAGGATGTGGACGGTATAAGAGATGGGTCGAACGCCTATCGCTACGGCGTCACACCACACCACCAACCATATGTGCAGGACTACAGACAAGCCCACTATGGCATGAACTCGTACTATCACCTATGAGCCAGGCACCGCCCACTGGCTACTCTGCAGGCGTTCCGCCCATGTCATCAGGTTACCTGCAAACACCGGTCGCGACACCTCAGATGCCGACTCAGCCCGACCTGAGTATGCCTCCTACGATCAATCCAGCTACAATCGCGGGTACGACTCCAAGGCGCCAATTTCCTCGTCCATGCCGTCAATGATGAGCGACCGTAATTCGTCAATCATGTACCCACCGCCATCCAGCATGCAACGTCCGATGAATAATCTGAGCCCCGTCGGAATGGACCAAAGTCGAAGCATGAGCTACCGTCCCAGTTACGGTATGGGTTCCACAGCATCGCCAATCGATGGTCACCGTCCAAGCGATGATCGTAGAGACTCCGGCGCCCCGAATAGCCAGATGTACGGAAGCCGACCTCCTTACCCATATGAAGCCTCTCAGCAGCAGATGCATCAGCCTCCCTACCCGCAGAACCCCAACGGTTCGGGGTCATGGTCTACCAACAGTCATCCGCAACAATCTTAGGAAGGCAATCGCAGCAATTTTGGTACTCCTACAAACCTCGCAACGCTGAACTCGCCTTTTGATCCCAGCCAGAGTCAGACCTGTCTTTCTTCGAAGACTGACTCCGTTCTCGGATCGCACAGCTCGTCAGCCTAGTTGCCAGCAGGGTCCACTACCTCAGGCTTGAAACCTTTCTGGCGCACTCTCTGTCGACTGCAGGCAACTCGCGTGGAATTCATAAAAGCCCTCATTCAGACAGCCGTCAGCCCAGCAATTACCTGCAGTAGAATACTCAGACCAGATGCCCCGCAGTGTCTTGCCGCACTCATCATTACCACCACCAAAAATTGATTCTCATCACCAAATCGGCTGATGTGGGATGGAAGAGGTCAGGTCCACACAATCACAGCTCTACATCACAGGGGCACCCGTTCGCTGACCTGCAAGATCCTTCACGGGACGACGATACAACGACTCTTTACGTTCCGGATGAGAACTACGGCCGACAACAAAAGCATCAATACCATGGGAGGTTCTCTGTCATTTGCATTGCCCCTACCTATTTTGAGGTATGGAGATAGGAATTCGCATCCATCAGAAGGGCGTTCTCGGTAGCGTACTAATATAATCGATGACGTTGAGCTACGGGTTGGCGATCTATTCTTTTGTGCTTCTAAGAAGCGCTTGCGACTCATTCGTCACTAGTCCCTTAGGTGACTGTATATGGCCAGTGTTTCAGATACTGTCAGTTCAGGTGCTGGGGGACCTGCTCTGTTCTCCTCCTACAGATACTGTGGTACCAACGAGAAACTGCTTAGGCTACAGCAAAATAAAATAGTCGTGCTGGTAGAACCCGCACAGTAGTACACCAACCGCGGCAATAGTGGGACGCAGGCGTGAGGGCGAGGGACGAGGTGGCTACGAGTTGAGCACAGCACTTTGTGCTTTTGGTAGTGAAACATCCGTCCAAGACATCTGTGCCTTCCAAGGCTGCCTTGGGGCCTGCCTCACAAGTGCAAGATGGAGTTGGCATTAGGGCAACAGCGACCGTGCGTAGTGCCTTACTCTGGTAGACTAGAAATTTCACTGGAACGAGCCTGAGCAACATCTGACGCCCGTTCGTTTCCAATACTGGTAGAGATATCGAGCCGGCGAGCCATGAGGCGTTGCAGCTGTGCAACAACGTCGTCTGCTTTTCAGCGCATGTGATTTCTTCGTTCATCAACCTTACACCCAAGTCTCTTCCAAACAAGTCAAAACTATCGCGAAATCTGCCATCACGTGTACCAGAGCCTCCATGTATCGGCTTGCATTGGGCTCACCGCCACTTGCTTCTACGAAGGCCCTGAAGAGCTTCGTTCTCACGGGGGATATCGCCAAAGGTTGCTGCACAACGTAGCTAGCTGAGTTAGCCGCCGATCAAAAGCGAATACAGGACCAGCAGTTTGACTTTGGCTCCTAGCGGCATCCTATCTGTCCCCCGTCGAGGCCCATAACACAAAGTTCACGTTCTTGAACGGGCACAGAGTTCACTGAGCCCCGCAATAGTTCTGAACAAGCTCGAAGGAAAGGTTCTCCCCAGGACTTTGCAAGCATCCACACAAGGGACAATTCGCCTGATGCAGCCTCTCGAGAAGCCTGGCTCACGATGACAAGATCCTCAACTACAGAAGGCCCAAAGCATCACATGCCTGACAACTAATCATCCTCGGTTTGACGTAGCTCCAACCTCATTCGCATCCGCGGATAGCAGGCTTTGATATAGTTTTGGCAGCGCAATTATTGCGCAGTCTCAACACAGCATAGCGCGGTCATTGCAAACACCGCAAATTGTTCGAAAGTTGGGGAATGAGATCTGGCGACAGGACATCCTTGCACACAAGAGACTCGAAAGACCAAATGCTGTGGTTGGCTCACCTGATTGTCGATCACAGCCTTCGCCGGAAGGTCGACAAGTCGCCAGTGAGCATGATGTCTCTCCGAGTGACGGACATGCCCTACAGCTCCTGTCGGAAGTGCGCATCCTCATAGCCAGACCGTCGCGGCCGCAAGCATCTCGGTAGTGACGGCTCCTGAGATGCCCTTCTCGAGGGACAACGGGTAGCTCAAACCTACAGCAATGATCCTGGAAGCACAGCCCAAAGTTAAACCTCCTGAACACTTTTCGCGGAGTTCAGTTCATCGCATGCATTGACACAGGCATCCTTACTCACTCATCGTTGAGGGCATGTTCTAGAATCTGAGAGTGAGCAGTAACGTACGTTCTATGAGAGGCGACAGGCGCGCTTTGGGACATACCAGACTTCCCCTCGCACCAGCGCTGCGCATGAAGGGCAAGATCCTTGCCACGGCGACCAGCAGTGTGGCTTTCCGTTTTGCCTGCGCCCTTTCACCACGTGAGATCGCGACTACCTCGACTCCTTCCCATCAACGCGCGCTATGCTCTCTGCTGGCTTCCTATCGACGCAAGGAGCACCTACATCCGTCTCAATCATCAAGTGCAGCATCGTCGCATGAGAGTCTTAGGTTTCCCATGTTGTTCAGAGTTCCGCAATGTTCTTACCGAGATTCCAAAGCATAACCTTCAAAATTCCTTGCATGAGCCGGAGCTTTGGAGCAACTCAACTCTCAGTTGAACCGTGTCTGCTTAGCCGAATGTTAAACCTGGAAGACGAGAATTGAAAACCTACGATCGACTTCATCTCTGTCGCTTCAAGATGGCAAGAGCGAATGGAAACAATTCGGAGCGGCGACACTGGTAGATCAATCCTCACCACAATGATGTTCCCGTTGCGAATACCTGGCTCATGCTGGTCAACGACATCGTCTTGGAACGACGAAGCGTGTCGCAACATTGGAATCGACGACGGCGTAGTTTACCAAATGTATCAAACAAGCATTCACAGGACGGGCGCGCGGAGCCCGGGATAAGCGTGGTACAACGCTCACGACAAGAATCACGATGGTCCTGTGCTCGCCTGGCCGTCCATAAGGTGAGACTACGTTTTGTCCATGCCTGGAGAACGGCAGTTCGCCAGTCTATGATAGCGCTCCTGTGTCTAGTCAGTCCCGATTCCGTCCGGCACAAGGCACGGTATGCTCGAGCAGGGGAGCTCAACAGCACTTTGATATGAGAAATGCAGTAGGCGGAGGCTTGGGGCAACAACGAGAGCATGCCTTGCCTGTCACCAAGTATTCAAACCCTCGCTATGTGCACCATGACTGCCGACTGCCGAGCAAGGCGAGTGATCTGGTAGCCACGCTCGAGTATGGTCGACTATGTATCGTAGCTTGAGTCCAGCGCAAGCATGTATCGAAAGTTTGGTCGACATTACTGGCCAATAGCAGTACGCATTATGTTGAGGCTCTTAAGGTGAGTGTCCTTGGTCGCGACTCCCGCAGTGGCACGACTCACAGCCTGCTACATCGAGTATGTCCCTCAATCGTGTTACCATGATGATCATGAGTTGACAGACGTCAAGTTAAGGTCGCAGCAGGGTCAAAGCTCGGACAACCATCCCCGGCGGAATAGAGGATTGAGTTCGCGATCAGATCATCTGTGCGTCAAACTTACACAATCCACGTGGTCAGTGGCCTTGCTTGGGTGAGAATCAGGGAACACGAATCCGGTAGGCAGGTAACGTCGTTCCAAAGTTGTGCGAGCATCGGCTACGACAAACGCGTTGGGGATGGCTATGGAGAAACGCATAATGCCCCCAAAACAAGCCACAATTGCCGTCCGATCCGACGATCAAATCGTCGAGCAATGTTATCGGCGCTAACAGGCTTGGTTCTACCCAGAATCATCATTGACAGGCACGCCTACGGTATGCACCAGCCACTGATCGAAGGATCAGTGACTCAGTGCCGCCTGTGTCGATTCGACTGTCAGAACGCGAACTAGCAAGATGGCATCGTCCTACCAATCTCAGCTGAAGACCACTTGCCGCTTGGAGTCCGCGGCTCGGAATAAGAAGGGATCTCTGAAAGCCTCGGACATCGTCAACATCCTGTATGACCGTCACTGCTTCCCTGGACTGCTCGTACATCGCTATCTCCGAGCAAGCCATCAGGCCGGGCCCAGCGCCACAACTGGTATTTGCATCCAACTTTCTGCGTGCTGATCACATCGCGATATAATCGCTTGTAATGGCGGAAAGACGTCGTCAGCCTGGATACCGAGGGAACGGTAAGCGAAACATCGTTACAGCAAGCAATGTTCGGCAAAGTGACTGATCTTCGTCGCTACGCCATGAGTCCATGACTATCATTTGCAGCACGGAAACTGAAGCTCCGCACAATGCTACATCAAGCCATTCACTTCCACCGCGATGATCTGAGTGCTGCAGCTACCAGAATGCTAAGCATACCGGCCAGACTGCAAGTTACCTTTGCATAAAGTCATGAGCTGGTTAAGGATGCGAATGGTGCGAGAGAATGGTGCAAGAGACACTCACACGCGTGCGCACATTCTCAGGCGTGTCTTGTGGGTCTCATTGGCAGCAGCCAGGGGCCTGGTTTTCCGAGGCAGATTCCGAGAAGCAACGAGCACACTGTTGCTGCATGACAATTAGACATAGATTCGTCATCTGGTCTGAATCAGCGTTTTAACATCCGGCGCTTGAGCGTCTGATGCCTCTCTTCAGCTGTGCGAGCCAGTGCCAGAGTACACTTATTCACCCCCCCGGTAGTGCTTGCAGTACCGGGAAACTCTGAGCAACAGAAGGACATTCGCTAAAATGGTTGAATAATTGCGTTCGGAGAAAACTTCCATCAGAAATGACGACAAACTGCATCTCCAACTTGAATTTCGGTTCGTCATGGTCCCGATCTTCATGGCCTTGTTCTTGAAATCTCCCCACTGCGTGCCGGTGCATTTGTCCGTTATAGGGACCCCTTCAGCGAGCGAACTGGGCAGGGATGCCTGCAACTTCCGTGACTGGCGCCCACAAGTCCTTGAAGCTGGCACGTCTGCCGCCTGTTACTTGCTTCTCATGAGAGGCCTCTTGAGTCAGGTGAGATGATGAAATGCTCTTCGAACGAGTTTTGGTGCGTGATGAGTGAGGGGTACCACGATCCTGGCCGTTGATGGAGGCAGAGCCGTACAGCTGTACAGATGACTGTGGCTTACACGTCCTCTATCGCTATCGCCTGTGCTCGAGCCACTCCAGCCTGAGACGTTTGAGTGAGTTGTGGCTGTGACGTCGTCGCTCGCGTGTGATTGATGCTATCTGGGACTAGAGTGATACTGACAGCACCAACCACATCAAACATCGAAAAGGCAAAACTTTGACGGCGACGACGAGCAGCGACCGTGTGGCTCTTCCTATGTCCAGGCTGGCAGAGCGTCTTCACACCTACACTGCCGTTTCAACCACAAACGCATACACCACACCTCAGAAGTTCGTCTATACAAGAGACCCATCGCGATAACGCTGCCGACAACGCTCCGCGCTTGATATTCCCTCGCCCGGCATGGGGCTCCCGTACTCCAAACAAATAAATCAACCTTCGACCAAGTCACCCCGCTCGTCGCCGCCGCCTACCAGGTGCTCCAGACGACCAAGAACATCTCAATCCTCTTGGCCGTCATCCAGGTTCTCACCGTTGTGTTTTTGGCCTTGTTGCTGGTCACCGCACTAGGGATCTTGATTTCCATAAATCCGAATCTAGAGAACGAACGGGATGTCCTGGTAACCCCAGCGGTGAAGTCACTGTGCGGATGGGTCATAAGCTTGGGGAGAGGAGTGGTGTGGTTGATGTGGTTGGCGGTCGTGGGAGGAATGGCGGGCATGGGGCTGGCGTTGTGGTGGGGAACTAATCAAGAAAGGCAGGGGCGAGTGCGTGTGGTGCGAGAGGGGAAGGAGGTTGATGAGGATAAGGTTGCTGAGGAGGATGAGGGGGTTGTTCCCGGCGCAGAAGAGGATGTGGAGAAGGAGAAGGCTGAGAAGGAGGTTGAGAAGGCGGAGAAACAGCGGGAGGAGAAAGAGGAACGGGAGAAGGAGCAGAAGGACAAGGCGGACAAGGTGGTTAAGGAGAAGGCGGAGAAGGAGGGTGGAGACGAAGAGGCAAAGGCAGGGTGGTTTAGTAGTGGGAAGAAATGAGTTAGGAAGTTGCAAGATTTCTTGTGTGCGGAGCGCCGTGTGTATCTGGAAGCAGGGATTGAAGTGCTAGCATGCAAGAGTGACTCGTTCGGTCGCGGACGGCACTGTTCGGTGGTAGATCGCGAGTGGATCAAGGGTGAGCGCGGTAGGAGAGCAGCACATATGCGATTTACGATGATATGATCGGGAAGGAATAGCAAGGCGTTACCGACAATTGGGCGGACAGATTGAGGAACCTTGGGAGTTACGGTCATCTGCGCACCCGAAACATCGTTTAGCGGCGTTATAAAGCAGCGATCTCTCTTTGCGGCATCTACTGAATCAATCAGTTTCTGTGTACCATGTGTGATCGCTTCGAATTGTGGCACCATACGCCAGCTTCGTCCTCTGCCAGATATCTACTACGGTACCGCCGCATTCGGGAATGCCAAGGCCCGTCCTCATACAATTTGACCCGGACTTGATCAACCGCCACGCTCTCAATGCTCATCAACACTAGATACCCCTAGCATTGGAAGCTGAACGCACTATCGACAGCATATTCGTCCACATTTGGAATTGAAAATCGCTGAATTGACCGAGTCGACTTTAGTTGTTGCCAACAACGATTTCAGATAGTCGCTTGTCCCCGCGGAAATATCGCTTCCCTAGACGAGAAACCCAGTGCAACAGGGATTCTTGATAAGCGCCCCAAGTTCCATTACCTTCTGAGAGCTGGGGCGGCCAGTGCTGAAATTTCTAAGTCTGGGATCACCGGATGACTAGCCCTTGCCAACCGGCGTCAAGTCTTGGCACGGGCAAGCATTGCACCAGCGACTTGATCACTCCATCAATCACAACTCTTTCTTCAACGCATCGCCCGCAATCGTTGCCGAATCCCCACCGACACTGACCCTTATCCTCCCTGTCGATTTGTCCTGTTCGATCTTGAATCCCTGTCCGATCTTCGACTCCACCATCTTCTTCAGCTCTTCGCCTGTAGGCATAGATGCGCCCACACTTCCTCGCCTCCGCCTAGCCTCAACTTCCGACCGGATATCTGAAATCGCTTCATCGATGGATGCCGCCGGATCATGTGGCAGGCCAAGCAGTGTAGGCGCATTGAGCGTGTCGTGGGAGTGCGACCGGGTGAGTGGGTGTGGTCGTTGATTGCGGGCCTCGAGCTTTTTGAGGATCATCTTCTTGAAGGGCAGCTGTGGGGAGAAGAAGGCGATGGAGAGCGCAACCGCGACGGGGACGTAGAAGTAGACGCGCGCCCACACCATGATTGAGTCGTGCAGGGTGAGCAGGACAAAGGGCGCCGTGACGAAGGAGAAGCCGATCTGCGTGACGAACCAGGAGGCGAAGTCGTAGTAGCGTTTGGAGGGTAGAGCGTTCGGGTTTCGGTCGGATTCGTCCTTTGGTGGAGCGAGGAAGAATGGACGGATGTACCGTCTGAAATTCTTGGCTACCGTCTGAACGAAGGCAGCAAGAATGAAGGTGAGGTAGTACCCCGGGGCAAAGCCGTGCCAGAATGCGGAGGTACCGAATGTCATGAGGCTGGCGAGGAACCCGGGTTTCTTGCCGGCAGGCGTGACGCGGAGGTAGACGTAGTTGCGCAGCCAGTGGTTCGTGTTCTTGTTCCAGCCTTCCAGATAGCCGCGGGAGTTTTGTGCGAGTTCGATCTGGAGCGGGTTCACGTTTTCTAGGCGGTCCCATTTGGGCTTGTTGGTTTTGGGTCCATGCCATTGTATCCGAGACCGGAGAGGATGCAGGAGCCTTCGGTCAGGGTCCAGACGGCGTAGTACTTGGTGCGGGTTGTGATGCCGAGGGCATAGAGCATGAAAATGCGTCTGATGAGGGAGTAATCCATGTAGTCTGGAGAAGTCACCGCATCGTTGTTGTAGTAGGGACTCAAATATAGGTAAGCTCCAAGCCAGGCCAAACCTGTCAAGCATTTAATCGTAGCTGGCTGACCTGATCGAGGAATCTTGCGGGCCTTTTTGGTCGGCGGAGCTGGCTGTCCAGCAGCAGTCGCGAACATACTTGTGTCGATGTAGCTGTTGTAGTCTGCGTAGTCGAATGCGGGGCCGACCATGAAAGACGGGAAGAACATGACCCAGGCCGTATACTTCAGCAGGGGTGGCATTTCTTTCAACGCTCGAGACTTTTGTGAGTCTGTTAGAGCAGACTCTGGGAGACGCCCATCATGGACATTCCAACAGAATGCAGATAGCTTCATGAGCCCGACCATTTGGGCGCCAGTGATGTCAATTGTGGAAGGGTCAGCCAGCATCTCGCGACGGATATGGTTAATGGACATATGTCCCATGAGGAACACGAATCCAATCCATGGCATGAGACTGCCGTCAATATAGTACGCAATGATATATGTCGCAGCTGCGTCAATGAACATGGTCCGTAAGCCACCCCATAAGTCGAATAGTCCTACTAGGTAGAACAAGGACACTCCGATGATGAAGATGTTCTTGATCCATGGTGAACGGTCTGGTATCCTTTTGAGAACAGCGGCCAGCGGATATGACAGCAAGAAGCTGAATATGAGCTTCAACTCGTCGATTGATCCTCCGGTGGCATCTGCTAAGGCTACAAATGCTGCGCTGAAGCTTCAGCAGGACTATCATCAAGGTGGGGGCTTGGAGGGGTGTTTGCTCACGTTTATTGATGCCAGGAATCATGATGGCGGCTTCTCAAGAACAACGGGGTCGGCTACGATCAAGACACAGGTGAAGGACCTTCCATAGCCTCTCTTATGCGACCGAAGAAAGGGCATTGAAGAAGGCAGTGGGAAGATGAGAAGAGCCTCTCCATCGGGAAACAACAAACGATGTCATCGCCTGCACGGTCGATCATTCTCGGCATTCTCCAACTGCTTTGGGAATCACCACTTCAGGCCATCGCGAACTGCGTGATACAATCCGTTCACGTGTACAACTTATTGGGTTGTGTATCTCGAGCCTTTCTACTACTCGTACCAGCCCTGGAGAGCCTGTGTTGAGACTTGCGCCTGCCGGAGTACGACCCTTTGTCGTCGCTTTCAGCTTCGAGGGCAAGCCGTGCTTCAGGCATCTCCATTTCGCGATGAACAGGTAGCAGTCACGTTCACGGCAGCACTACCTCCGCCATGGACGTCGCTGCTGCGATACAGAATTATGTGTCGAAGATTGCGGGGCCCGGTGAGGGCGTGGCCGCGAGTCAGTCCTCCAAGATGAAGATCCTTCTCCTCGACAGCGAGACTGTTTCTATCGTGTCAACGGCAATCACACAGTCGGCGCTACTCAAGCACGAAGTGTTCCTCATCGATCGCATAGACAACGCTGCACGCGAACGAATGAGGCATCTGCGATGTCTCTGCTTCGTGCGACCATCACCCGACTCGGTGCAGTATCTGATAGACGAGCTACGAGAACCGAAGTACGGCGAATACAATATCTACTTTAGCAACATAATACGGAAGTCAAGCCTAGAGCGACTGGCTGAGGCAGACGACCATGAGGTCGTCAAGGCGGTACAGGAATACTTTGCGGACTATACGGTGGTCAATCCAGATCTTATGTCCCTAAACCTGGGCTTCCCAAAGCAGAGGTTATGGAGCCACAGTCCAGATCTTTGGAACACAGACGCCTTGCAGCGGACTACCGAGGGCATCATAGCCCTGCTGCTGTCACTGAAGAAGAATCCGTTGATTCGTTACGAAAAGAATAGTCGCATGTCGCACAAGCTGGCAACAGAGGTGCGGTACCAGATCACACAGGAAGAGCAGTTGTTCGACTTCAGGAAGACTGACACACCGCCGATACTGCTCATAATCGATCGACGAGACGACCCAATAACGCCGCTTCTAACCCAGTGGACATACCAGGCTCAAGTGCACGAGCTGCTTGGTATACACAACGGCCGTGTGGATTTGGGAGCAGTACCGGACATCCGACCAGAATTGAAAGAGATCGTGCTGTCGCAAGACCAAGATCCTTTCTTCAAGAAGAACATGTACCAGAATTTCGGCGATCTCGGCGGGAACATTAAGGAGTATGTTGAGCAATATCAGTCTCGCACGAAATCGAGCGCTCAGATCGAATCAATTGCCGACATGAAGCGCTTCGTAGAGGACTATCCGGAGTTTCGGAAGCTGTCCGGCAATGTGTCCAAGCACGTCGCCCTCGTGTCGGAATTGTCTCGACGAGTCTCGGCAGACCAGCTCCTCGATGTGTCCGAGCTGGAACAGTCCCTCGTGTGCAACGACAACCATGCCGCCGATCTGCGATCGTTGCAGAACCACATCCAGAATCCTGCCATTCCAGCCGACAACAAGATTCGACTGGTAGCACTGTATGCTATTCGATATGAGAAGAACCCAAACAATGCTCTGCCAGTCCTGCTTGACTTGCTCACTACAGTCGGCGGCGTCTCATCGCATAATCTTGCAGTTATCCCGCAGATTCTGGCCTACCATCATTCACTTCAACCAGCACCTGCAGCAGGCGGCTTCACAGGGCTCTTCGAGGGAGAAGCTTCGCCGTTCTCCCAATTTCGACGAAACCTGAATCTTAAAGGCGTCGAAAACGTGTATACCCAGCACTCGCCGAGACTCGAAAACACGCTGCAAAATCTTATCAAAGGTCGTCTGAAGGAAGTGCAGTTTCCATTTCTCGAAGGTCATACGAGGGACAAACCTCAAGATATCATCGTATTCATGGTCGGAGGCGTGACTTACGAAGAAGCAAAAATGGTGGCACAGGTCAATGCCAGTGTGCCTGGTATCAGAGTCGTCCTTGGCGGTACAGGTGTGCACAACAGCGAGACCTTCCTCGCTGAAGTGGGTGATGCGGTTGGCAGCTGGCCGGATACGGCGCCCACGAGTGCGCAGGGAAGGCTAAATAGAGCTGTTGGTCGATGAATAGTAATGAAGCGATTGCCCGCTGCAGATTTTTGAGGTCCTTACGATAGGCTCGCCTTCTTGAACTCAGATCCGTGCTGAACCACATGCAGGAGTAGACCTTGTTTTGCTCCGAGCCCAAGGGCAGGCGGTGGTGGTCTGCCACTGCCTTCTCCTCAAACGCACCTACCTTCGAGATTAGAGGCTCTTCGCAAGAAACTCGCCCCACTCTGCAGGACCGTACGCTGCCAAGGCGTGGCGATGTACAGGTCGAGGGCACCGTTGAGGATGAGAAGAGGAGGGAAAGGAGTTGAAGAGCGAGGCGACTACTTATATATCTTTACGACCAGTGAAGCTCATGGCCATGCGAGACGATGACTCGGTCAGGAGACATTCACTGTTCTTGGTGTGATTTGCAGTCAAGTACTGCATACCGTACGTGATTGGAAGTATTCTGTTGCATTCGTCTTGCATGAGCCTCACATGTCTCTCAGTCTGCGAGTTGACGAGAGCGCCGCTGCGACGGGATGTGCTTGTACTTATTACAGAAGATGTCATCGCGGCCCGAGAGCTTGGCGCCTATTTAGCCATACTTTCCGCCCCTGGCGATGCCAAATATTCAAATCTTACTCCGTACGCCCCTATAATAAGTCATGTACAATGTTCGCAATCTATCCCAAAGAGGCACTTACGAGTACACGAGCTCTTGCATCAACTCGCCAGGCTCACCATCGGACTCCATCTTACGATGAACGAAGTATGAATCGACCACACGACGCCCCACCATGGCCTGGCCAACAGTAGGCTACCTCCGCCGGCAAACCCGCTCTCGCTACCGGTATCCTGTCATCCTCGTGCTATTTCTTCTTTACGTTTTCTTTCCAATCCCTTGGCCATCTGGACACGCTCCCTACGAATATTCCAACCACCACCTAACCTTCCGCGGCACACCTGTCATACAACATGCCTTCACGACTCCATCCGCCGACACAGGCCGGCTCAAAGCCGTCAAGGCCGAGTTCGTGCACGCCTACAACGCCTACCGCTCCCGAGCATGGATGCACGACGAAGTCAAACCTCTCTCCGGCGGCACGCACACGCAATACTGCGGCTGGGCAGCCACCCTGATTGATGCTCTAGACACGCTGTACATCATGGGCCTCGAAGAAGAATTCGAGGAGGCTGTAGCAGCCGTCCATCGGATGAAGTTGTGGTATGCGCCGTCGCTGGCTTGTAGTATCAACCCGTTCGAGATGACGATTCGCCACTTAGGAGGCCTGCTCTCCGCCTACGACATCTCGGGCCAGCGGGACGAGCGGCTGAAGCGCAAGGCGGTGGGGATGGGTGAGATGTTGCTGCAGGCCTTTGGGCGGAATGGTATCCAGTGTCGGGCGATCCTCTGGCCGAGGCTGTGGGGCTGGCCGTGTACGCCGAACTCGGGGGTAAGTTTTGCACGAATGGGCAGCCAATTGTTGGAGTTTGTGCGGTTGAGTATGGTGAGTGGGAAGCGGAAGTGGTCTGATCGGGCGGATTTCGCGGCGCAGGAGCTGCTGAGGGTGCAGAACAAAAGCAGGATCCCAGGTCTTTGGCCACGAAACTTCGACGGGACCTGTGACCAGGGACTGTGCGATCTGACAGACGGACCACAATTCTATACGACGGCGTCAGGTGCGGATTCAAGCTATGAGTATTTCGTCAAGACGCATCTGTTATATGGCGCTGTGGACGACAGCTATGCTAGAATGTGGGCTGCAGCGCTGCCGCAGCTGAAGAAGCACATCTTGTTCCGTCCGCAGGCACCCAACAACGCAGACCTGCTCTTTCCGGGCGAGATTATGACGTTCAAAGACCTTCCGCAATCGTTCAGCGGTAAAGTGGAGCACCTTTCCTGCTTCCTCGGCGGTCTCTTTGCTCTGTCCTCCCGCACGGTCATCGACAATACTGAGGACATCGAAATCGCTGCCAAACTCACGAATGGATGCGTATGGGCATATGAGTCAACGGCTTCGGGCATCATGCCCGACACAGTCGTCTTCGAGCCCTGCCCGCCCTCGAACCCGAAATGTACCTGGAACGAACTATCCTTCGCCGCCAACACGCGCAAGCACGGCGACGCGACGCTGCCGAAGGGCTTCATAAAAGTCGAACGGCCAGAATACCTCCTCCGGCCGGAGGCGATCGAGTCCGTCTTCTATATGTACCGCATCACGGGCGATGAAATCTGGCGCGAAAAGGGCTGGCGCATGTTCACTGCGATCCGAGATGCATCGAGGGCGAAGTATGGGCATGCGAGTGTGGCGAATGCGTTGGTCAATGCTACGGGCCAAGTGGAGGAGAACCAGATGGACAAGATGGAGAGCTTTTGGTTGAGTGAGACGCTGAAGTATTTCTATCTGCTGTTTGCCGATCCCAGGTTGGTGAGCCTGGATGAGTGGGTATTCAACACTGAGGGGCATCCATTTCGGATCGATGAAGAGTACAGAGGACAGATGTATGCATAGATTACTGCAGGTATGGTAGGTGGGAGTGTTTGACGGTGGACAAATTAAACATTAAACATTATGTATATCAGTGGACAGTCGATCCGATACGCAGGAGTCTCATACTCAGACATCATTCATCTCCACCACCTTACCGGCCCACGAGCCGACTCACCTGGCTACCTCTTTCAAAGTCCTTTCCCGACACCGCCCAAGCCACCACCTGTCCCACCGGTCCGCGGCGCCGTTGCATCTGTCTGGCTTCCATTCGTGTCCGTCTCCCGCAATTCGACCCATCCAGCCAGCCCCTCCGCGTTGGTCGGTTTCCCCGCCTCTACACCATCGACAGCTCTACCACCCTCAAGTCCGCCTTTTAGACTTCGGCTCTTAGCGATCTGCTCCTTCCGCAGGAAGTGACATTCTCGACACGCCACAACGAACAGATAGCAGTGTAGTAACCACGGCAGGATCATGATCACGAACGCCGCTGTCAGCACCGCGCTTGACCCAAACCCCCAGAAGCCCAAAAGACCCGCGAGGAGGAGTTGCGCCAGCACGCCAAAGGTCGCGAGCGTCTCGCAAGTCAGCGTCAGGGCCGGGTGGAGACGGTAGATCTGGCCTGACGGTACGGCTGAGGCGCCGGCATCGCGATTGCGATGAAGGCGAAGAGGGAACGACTTGGGGCTCCCTACCTGACTGTAGAAGACGACAGGGATGAGGACCGAGGGGAGAGTGCAGACTATCGAGGAGCCAGCGGCTGTGAGGACGAAGAGGTCGAGGGCGGGTGAGGAGCCGTCATCTTCGTAGTAGTAGTCGAGACTTTTTGGGCGGGGATGGCGGCGAGGATTAGAGCTAGGGTGGTGAGGATGAGGATTGTGAGGCGGATGAGGAAGGGTGGTGCGCGGGCTGCGGCGGAGAAGTTTGAGCGGAGGCGCGCGCGGAGTAATGGCGGGGGAGGCGAAATGCTGTTGGTGGTATTTGTCAAAAGATCGTTGTGAGTGTCCATGGCCGTAGCTGAGGATGCAGAGCTTTGCCTCTAATGGCCACTACGATATTTGCCTTCTGTTCCGCCTTTATCGTTCGTGACTGCGTTGTGGGTGAATAGAGTGCTGCTGGGCGGGCTGATTCACTGTGAGAGAAGAGTGGCTATGCAGTGCTCTGGCAGACGACGTTATATTGTGGTGGCAGTGAATGTCTCTTCTGGAGTCAGAGGCAGTCCTTGTTCGGAAGTGTTCACAGCCGTGTTCACGGCTGGCTGGCTAGTGGCGGTATCGTATGCCAAAGTGACCCGAGGCTGGAGTGAGAGATCAAGCGCACAGCGATGGGCTTGACGTTCGTGTCGGTATGCCTTGTTGCCTTCTGAGAGTTTGGTGAGAGCCTTAGGCAATCATTCAGTGCAGATTTACGCGAATATAAAGAGGAATGAATGGACAGTAATGAAGCGAATTTGGGATCACGAGGCGATTGATACTTATTCCGAACACATCGAGCTTGGATCTTCCAGGCTGGTGCGTCGAGTCAACGACTCGCAGTGCATCCCGGTGTCGTTGATAGCTGCTTCGCCTCATTGGTCTCGCCAAGTCCGCCCCCAGGCACCTGTGTTTCGACACCTCTTGGAAGCTGGGGCCGGGCGGTTGATATTTGCATTCTCGAGTTGTGCGGGCGGCGGCTGTGCACGATGATCATGTGCTTCGACCTGGATTCTCTCAATCGGACCCTTGCTTCATTCAATCAGTGGGCTGAGAAATTTCGGTTTGGCAGCCCCAAATGAGGTGAGCAGTGCGTACAAATGTATGCAGCCGATTTCGACTATCTCGAAAATGTCCACAGTGATGAACAATGCAACTGCGACAGCTAACCGTGCCAGGACAAAAACCACGACTTCCACTCTGACCACGCTCGCTAATATGTCTGTTACCGCTACAATCGCCTCGACTTCTACCGTCAACATGACGTTCACCAGTCAAACAACCTTTACAAACACATTCACAACGACAACGACGGTCGTAGCAAATGACACAGCAACTTGTGGTCATACGATTCCCGCCATAAATCAAGCACTTTGCTTTTGAGGTGGGAATGGCTGCAACCGCTTTCAAAACGACTTTGCTATGTGCACGTCGGAGCCCTATATTTGGCACCAGGCCTGCAGCTCAGATCAATGCGTCTACGAAGTGCCGCGTAATCTCGATAGAATCTCATGAATGGGTTAAGGTACTCAATCGTGTATCATCGTGCTATCCTCGCCTTAAACTCTGCTGCATCACGGAAGACCTTTTCCAACTCTCTTTTCTTTTGCGCCGGAATGTTTTGCTGGCAACCAGATGTTTGCGAGCAGAGTGTGCTGTCTGAAGTGCAAAATTGGTAGTTGCTATTGACGTGATTGTACACACAATTGTCGAACCCGGTGGCAATTCCAGAACAATCAGCATCAGTTTGGCAAGGCGTTTTCCCTGCTGAGCTGGCACAGTATTCGTTATCTGAGCAGACAAACTGACCATTGGTTTTTACGAAACAATCGTTACAGCCCTGGTTTGTGCAATAGTCACTCTGAGTTTGGCTGCAAGCCGTCTGCACCGGTCCAGCGGATGTCGTGGTGCTCGAAGTGGTGCTCGAAGTGGTGCTCGAAGTGGTGCTCGAAGTGGTGCTCGAAGTCGTGCTCGAAGTGGTGCGCTTGAAGTGGTGCTCGAAGTGGTGCTCGAAGTCGTGCTCGAAGTCGTGCTCGAAGTCGTGCTCGAAGTCGTGCTCGAAGTCGTGCTCG